AAAAAAAAAAAAAAAAAAAAGGGAAAAAAAAAATAGTCAATAACATGCAACGGAATTAAAGATAGAATACTGTCCTTGTGGATTTGTTGGGAGATGAGTCGGATATAATCAGTGTGTTAATCTTCCCTTTTTGGGTTATTCTCCGTCTTGGTTTTGTATGTCACTTGACGGATTATTCTTTTATAAGGTTGATGGCTCGAAGGATATCCTCCAAAGACCATCCAGGTCCACCGGGAACAATCTCAGCCCACACTTCTTCCGGGACGCCGGAATCCTGATCCAGCAGGCTCCAATTCGGGCTGGGCTCTGGTTTGATCCATTTGAAATCTTCGACCTGACTCCAGCGGTCTTCATGGTCTGGGCGGTCGTGGTCCAATGCCTATAGGTGATCAAGTTAGAATCTTGATGACTGAACGAGTCGGATCTAAATTATCAACTTACATATGCCCTTGGTATCCGGCCAAAGCGTATATTCGTGCAATCTTCAATGATTGGGTTGCTGGATGAACTGAGATAGACATCCACATCCGAGCAATTGTGCATACGGAATTGACGACAAGAAACCACAAGGACGCTGTGCTCCACTCCTGTAATATGGGCGGGGCCGGCAACCTGGCCGCAAACCAACAAACTCTCCTTAACTCCCTTAACCGTGAGGCTCGCGTACGGCTTCCCGTCAGTAGTGGGGATAGACATATCCACCACACAGTGGCGTAAAGATGTTATAGAAGCGGGCACAGTGGAGGTAGAGCCCGAAGCCGGAAGCATGATATGAAGCCCGTGATGGTTGTTCACTGACACGGAAGAGACAGCAGCCGCTGAGAAACCCGGAGTCTTCTGCTTCTTTTCCACCTCGCTATCCGTATCATCAATGGCGATAGCAGGCATCGAAGTCGGTGCAATCTCTGGTCTTGACAGCTGTATCCGATCGGGCTCGTTGAGGGGAGTAGAAGGGTAATTGGGAGTCTGATTCGCAGACGAACTAACGGAGGACGTGCCTGGTGAACGATACCCCGGAATACCACGTCGGCCTTCAGCGGCGAGTTCAGCTGCATCTGACAGTGAGATAGCTGAAGCATTTTTCTTCGTCTTGAAGGTGAACTTGGACCGTGGCTCGACCGCTGCCCGAACTTCAGCCAGCTTATCCTGGAGCGCTTTGATGGCCTGGAGAGCAAAGAATCAATATACACCGCGCTATCGTAGCAGTCACGTTGTGCTACCTACTTCCGCATATATCCGCTGGTCGTAGGTTGGGATGTAGCTAGCCGCATCCTTGACTTCGTTGGATAACCGTGCGATCCCGGCCAGGGAATGGTCAGTAGCATCTGCTCTCTCACCTCCTACCAAGGCTGTATCGGCAAGACGGTCCATTTGTTCCTGAAGAGCTATGTTCAGTCAGGATCATCAGCTTATGTTCGACTGTACCCGATAGAGCCCAAGAACTAATCAAACCCATACCGGTGATCTCATGTTGAAAGTAGCGGAAGAACCGTTCCTTGAGTGGGATCTCAGACTTCGAGATGGTTTGGTTTTCTGCCTGTGACGACCGGCGCGATATGTCGAATTGTGGCTCCGCCATGATTACTTGGGTGGAAGAGAAAGATATTGAAGGAGATGTATGTTATCAAGCTGACTGCAGATCAGAGTTGCGGATGATGAGATGCGGGATGTAGTGATGACGTCGATCCGAGGTAGGTGTATGTATAATCGAGTAAGGTTTCGTACCCACGATGCTCCCTCAATTCACCTCCGCAAAGTGCTACGAGCAAAATTTGGGATATTGTCAGTTTGATATCTAGAAGCAAAAGAAAAGCGCATTCGAGACGCAGGAGGTTCAACAGTTGATATGAAGAGAGCTCGTATGCAGGCTCGTTGCTTTGACGTGGAGTCGATCCTCCGCACCGCAGATCCACTGAGGGGCAGCAATATCAACAACCAAGCCAGGGAAAATACTCCTTCACATTCGTTTTCCTCGCACTCGAGAGAATCACAGACTGAATGAAGGTATTCAACCTCATAAGCCGCAACGGCGCATTGGTGACGTCGAAGAGCGCACCCCTCGGCGTCGGCCTTTCTCTTATCCGGCACATCCCCGCAGTAGCGGCTTTTGGTTAGCCTTAATGCCTGAGGCAGACACTTCTATCACGAGTCGAAAACATCAACGTCACATTGATTCTTCACGCATCGACGGTTGCTCATCTGAACTCGTACGAGAAAACAAATTGTGCTACTGCCCCTCTCAATTGTTACAACCTCATCATTGGGATTGCCGGTCCAAAGTACGACTAGGGCAATGAGAATGGTCGTACAATTGCAATGGCCATTGGCATCATCAACATACGCCGAATGCTTCGCTTTGTGCAGCTTTCATTGCTCGAAAAATGACTCAAGACAATACTTGACAAAGTGGGATAAACCTGGAGAGACCATGTTTACATACGAAGTGTCTATGGGATGCTGATCCTATATCCTGTATGGTCGCACTGATAAGCTCCTCCCAGCCAGCCACATATTGAAGGGCATCATGACTTGCTTCTCCCGATCTCCCATGACCATTACCATGACCACTATTGCTTTAACCATGCATGCAAACAAGGATTGCGTCTCCTAGCTTCATTGATTCAGCTATGCCGACTACCCTGATGGTTGGTTATCGATCTGGGTTATCCTCCAGACCTTCCGGTCTATGCATACTAGACTATTTTAGATCCATACTGTGCAGATCATACAGCTGAGATCCAATTATTCCCGAGAAAGCAGAGTCTCGGTCATTCCAAACGCAACTAGAGCTGTTGGTCTAGCTGTCTGAGCCTGATTTTAATTACACGATCGAAACCAGCGAGTGGTTGAGATCTACATGCGCGCCGTGGTTTTTGCTTTTTATACTCACTTGTGTGACTTTCCGCTGGCTAATGCATGTGCATGTACAATAGTCAGTACGCTAGTACTCTGTAATTTTTACAGAGCACTCTATGCATAGATGGGTTTGTCCTCTTAGGATAAGTGTGGCCACATATTACAAAATATCTGCACGAATGAGTCAACTTCAGCTCAAGTTGCAATTGCACTCGAAAGATGCAATATGAGATCATCTCTCGATCTAGCAAAGCTGCTGACAGTCAATAATTTCAAATTTAATGGAAATGTCGCAAGTTGTCAATCATGTTCTGCACTTATGGGATACAAAAGGTCAACTATTTTGCCATCTACAGATCCTCAAACTCTCATACCTGATTATGCTATGATCTTCCCTCCCTTCTCTTTCCCAAAAGAAACACAGCCAGCATGAAGTCAACCAACCGTCAATACCACATCCATACCGCAAACTCCAGGCCTGATCTCTGGGAGGTCTTAGAAGATGCCCAACACCCCCTCAGAACTTCCTGGCCCCTATTCCTAGGCCAAGATGCCCCCTGCAAACACTACTCCAGCAAGCTCGCCAAATACTACGGTCTCGCAGAATTCCAATTTGCCATTGTCGAGCAGGATGCCACCACAGACAAAGAAACAATCGTAGCCTGTGCCCGCTCCATCCCCTTCTACTGGCCCGAACTCGACCATGTCGGCGGCCGTGCCGGGCTAGAAACAAACCCTGAGATCTTGCAATCGCTCCCAAACGGCGGCTACGATACCATCCTCACTCGCGGCGTTCAGCAATACCTCGCCAGAAACGGCCTCTCTCCCAGCATTACTATCGATCTTGACGAGTATGACCACGATGAGGCACGCCCCCGAACCGAACCTCCCAATGCCTTATCCGCTATTTCCATAACTGTTCACCCGGACAGACGCTCCCTCGGACTCGCAGAGGCCCTGATCCAAGCGATGAAACAAATCGCCAAATCCAAAAACCTCGATATCCTAGTCGTACCTCTACGCCCGACTCGGAAATCAGAATACCCCTTCGTGAAGATGGACGAATATATCACTTGGCGTCAACCTGGTTCGGATCTGGATCTCCCGTTTGACCCATGGCTGCGGAAACATGTGCGTCTCGGGGCGCGAGTCATCAAGGTAGCTTGGAATAGTATGAGAGTTGACGGGAATATGGCCGAGTGGGAACATTGGATGGATGGGAGTCTCAAGCTTGGAAAATTGGGAGTCAACTCAGACCATGTCTATTCAGAGGTTTCCTTTCCGGGTGGTTTGGTGCCGTTGCAATTCTATCCATTACGGGATAGATGTGTCTATGTGGAACCCAATGTCTGGATTTATCATGATCTAGCTTTTTAGCTTGTCTTGTATGGATTATGATAATGGATGGTTTCTATTTGCTACGGTAAGAGTATTTTGGCGTATGTGCACAACATCGTGTCGTCTGGGTTAGTAACTCGCACCTTATTAAAAAAAAATTTATCCTGAAAGAAAGACTCGATAAGAGAGATATTCAATTGAGCTGTATTCAAAAGTAGAGAGTACAAAATGGCTCATTCGAAGCGGACAAACCTTTGCGCTGCGCATCAATCTCCCGACGGCAACTCAGGCAACTGCGGCCGAGGTATAAATGGAGAGCCTCCCATTTCTGCAATTTGTTGAGTTGACAGGAACGACTGTCTTCGCGGCTGGAGGTGCAGCCCCGCAGTCGACGGCTTTTCAACCACCAGATGATCGAAATCTGACCATAAGTCGTAGTCATTGATTGTTTCACTGCCATCGTGTACTTTAGTGGATCGCAGTATTAATTTCCCATCCTTCACCCAGAACGCCAATACTTCGTTTTCATGTGGGAAGGATAATATCATTTTTCCGGGTTTGAAGATGGAAGAACTTAATTTGGCCGTGGATTTCTTTAGCCGGGAGGAGTTGAGTGTTCCGTTGGATTTGGAATTGCAGATATAGATTTCGTTCATGCCATTTACAATGGCGAACCGGGAGCCTGATGGAGACTGTGCTGCATGGACAACTCTGATGCTGTGCGGATCAGTCATCATTCTTTCCTTGGATGTAGAGAATAGAATCGGATATTCCTTCCCAAGAAAGGCTGTTAGGAAGACAGATTGGTGAAAGACATCATAGAATACGCTTGTGAGGTCGCCGTCGTTCGTTGTCCACTTTGACTGTTAGCATTTTTTTCAGAAGGAAAAATGAGCAAATCAGTATGTGAAAGCACCTACATTTGGAAGCTTGAAAGACCTCGAACGTCCGGAAATAATACTCCACGGCTCAACAGTGCAGTCCCATATATCCGTATAAATGTGATAATCTCCGAGATGCGTTGCAACCACCAAACTCTTTCCATCCACCGAAAACTGGAGTTTCCGTTGAATTACAGCGTTATGACTTATTCCCTTTTCGTTAGGGGCCATGTTAGATTGGCATAGTGAACCGTGATTGGGATACGGTCCTATTTGGTCGGCGAGTATGACCTTTTTAATCATATTTGCTCCAAGTCGGTAGACATGGAATTGATCTCCAAGTGTAAACGCAACGTATTCGTCGTCGCGAGACATGGTCATAGAAGTGATGGAGGGGGTTCGTTGCGGAATATCGATCGTCAAGTACGCTTCCGCGGTGGAACCAGTGCTTCCAAATACAAGTAGTTCAAGGTGCTGTAGAAGTGTCAGTTAAGTACACACAAATTTAATTTGGAGAGAAGATTCACCTCCCCAACTGAAGCAACGATAGCACATCGCTGATCTCCCACCGCAACATTTTGAACACCCGAAACATCGTATCTATGGCCCTGCGGTTTTCGTCCTTCAACAATGGACGGTACTTCGAACCGCATCACCCAATTGCTATTCGCTCCCCAAAGAAGCAAGGTCTTTCCCGTCGAGGAAAAGACAAATCGGGGCTGATGAGGTAGTCGTTGTTCTTTTGATAAAGATCTGCGCAAAGAGGATCTTCTGCCCGAAAACGACATCTTGACATTCTTGAGCTCTCTCGATAAGGATTTTATAGTCTGCTTCTCTCGTAGTTGCTCTGATGTATTTGCAAGAACCGTGCTTATACCCTCAGGAGCCATGGAAAAGGACAGGCGACTCCCTATTCTCATACTCCCAGGGCTTGGGGTGATTGGGCTGGTAGGGCTTTTGGAATTATCGCTTGACTCCAAGGGCGTGGAGGAGCGTCCCGTAGAGCGGCTTAGAGAGCTCGACCGAGAGGTTGTATTCCGAGAGACTGATTCGAGGAAAGAATGGCGGCTGATGCTACTTTCGGACTCGGAAACAAAATGCAAGGCATTGGATAACTGTTCAAGCGGCTCGATCATCCGAGCGTTCTGTATTCTAGAATCTCCGGGGCATAGTGGACAGGAAACATCCATTGTGATAAAGGGTGAGCTTTCTTGTAGTTGCTACTGAAGGGGTCAACGTTTTGTGAAGGATATCGAATGGGATTCATCGAGACTGAATATGAGCAAGCCAGTAACAATAGATTTCATACCTCATAAGCCGCTCTATCGCCTCCTCTTAACTGTTCTTCTAGGAGATCGCGAGGGACTGGATGAACTGCTGGGCAATTGACCACATATACAACACTACCTCGCCTTTCTGGCTCATTGGTTTGGTTGCCTGTCTCTGTCGATGAGGAGTTGTGCAACCATTGGGTCAGGTGCTGCTGATATTCCCGAGAAACAGCCTCTAATTCCCCATTGCAGTCCCATAGTTGAACCCTGCGGTTGATAAGCCACCTCACAAAAAGCCCCAAAGAGTTATCCAACGCCGTTCTGATATGCGAGAAATTAACCCAAGCCTCTCTGGTCCGTCGGGTCTGTAGAGGCGGGGCGCCATTGGCATTCTGGCTTAGTATCATTGTCGCAAGTACCTGGAGGGAGGGAGAGTCGGATTGGCCATCGGATGCCATCAGTATCGTTCTCGCCAATTTCTTGCGTGTCTCTCCTGCCTGAACGAATGCTTCTTCCACCTTGACGGCTGCCTTGCTAGAATATCCTTGGTCTTGGGCGAATCGACGGCGATCGACGTGGCACTGGATAAGCGCAGCTTCAGCAGCCCATAGAATGTCGTATAAGGTCCAAAACGGTCCCATTTGTTCTCCGTTGCTTCCAACCAAGGCAGTCAGAGTGTCCGTGATAAGCGTTTCGGGTGTGATTGAAAACGGGTACTATTGGATAGTCAGTTTATCGCTGTGGTTTGGATGAAAGTAATAATTGCTTACAATCCCGGAGACAAAAGGTGGGAGGCATGCTTTGGCAGCTGGGGATTGGGGGCTACCTGAAATATCAGGATATCCGATGAAGCCAATTGCGCTCGGTAGGAAGTCATTAACCAAATAGCTCTCCCCACTTGATAGACCAGGATGCTGCCATGCCGCTCTTATCGCTTGTTCCAGATTGACTTTCATATGAGTATGTAGATTCTCCCCCCGCAACACGAGCAGTCGAACACCAGCCAGTAAAGTCTGTGCGATCGAATACCTATGCTCAGCGAACTCGGGGGTCGTAGCCATAGAAATTGGGAACAACTCGGACTTGACTCGGATCAAGTACATGAGGGTCGAGAAGATGGTCTCTGATGGTAGGAGGTACGGCAAAAGGTACGGATGACAGTCACGCATCCCAGACATTCCCTGGAGATACGTTCGTTGCAAATCAAAAATGGCCTTGATCCAAAAGACCATCCGGGTGGTCGATTCGATATCGGAAGTCGGGCCACTCTTGACATGAAGGGTAGCCAACTCTGTCGCATACTCCCCAATAACCTCACGTAGAATATTGGCGACATCATGACGACCTAGTTGTTCCCACACAGCTGCCACGAGCGGATGTGACATGGAGGAGCTGAGACAGACGAGGGTTAACGGACATACGAGCGAGCAGACAGTCGTGCGAAGGCAGTTGTTCCCTTCGAGGCTGAAAGAAGATGATGAATGCTGGAAGGAGGGATGAAAGACATGTTACGGCGGGAAAGGCAGTAGTGTTTGCAGAGGACAAGAAAAAAAATTCAAATTAAATCAAATCCAGCAGTGGATGATTATTCACGGTCTGGTATAATGGCCAGCCCCGCCAGGCGCCCAGGATCGTTGGCCAGGATTGAGGGGGAATGAATGCGTTTGTGTCGCCGGATTTTCGTCTCATTTCTTTTTCTCATCGCAGCTGATGCCAGGGGGTACACTGCAAGTCTCACGCATTGGCGGAATCTGGCCATTCAGGATGGCAGCTGAATCGGTGAGAATGCGAGGGATTGGGCTGTTGGATTCCATCCGGTCTTCTGATTTCTTTGTGACCCCTCCTTGACTGAGGTTGTACTGGTTGTCTGGCACCGTGTCAGATCAGCATTTCTCCACCTTTGTCCTGCAATTCTGGATTTCTAGTTTTCATCATGGTTTATGCTGCCATTATTTCATGGGTTCTGCTAATTTTTCCGTGCCTAGACTGAGTCTGATTGACGTGTTTGGTGTGTTGTCTTGGAGGGTGGCATCGACAAACATAATTATCCACACTATTCTTCAAAATTATTTAATAATTGTGCATAAATTCAAGGCAAAAATGAAATGTTTCTTTTATTTTTCTAACTTTCTTTCTAACTTTTCCCTTCTTTTCCAGAATGCACCATCCCGAGACATCCCAGGCCGGGGATCCGACACCGTACAGCTTACTCGGGCATTTTCTAGGCAACCACAGTCAGCCACGACAGAGACAATTCCATAGTTTTGAATCATTGTTAATATTATATTTAATATGTTTGTGGCTTTACATGTTGATTTATTATATTTCTGATGTTGTGTTGTAATTTGACTATTATGATCTACGCGATGCCGCTGCAACGTTTGTTGGTAAACACGCCAAATAATTAATAGCGAGGCATGACGTCTAATAAAGTCTATATAATGCTGTATTATTATAGTCAAACAAATACAATAAAACTATGTTTTTGTTAAAATTAATTGGGTGAGCTTGTCTTGACAACAGGCAATAACATCTGGGATCCAATATATATATTCAACGTCGTGATCTAGCTGCCATAAAAAAGCCTCATTTAGAATAGTAATGGTTCCTGGCATGTTTTCCCAATGAGTATAAAATAAGCGTTATGCATCAACCAGACAATTGATTTCCATTGTAAAGCCGTGTTACGTCAACGATCAATTGGCATGTTGGCTGATGAGCCTCAGTGTCTCCGTCATATTATGTTGCATGGTGGCAGTTCTTCTACTACGTGGTGAGTACCTGATAGACTTGATCTATTATAACTTTCGATATAACTATTTATATCATCAAAAATGTTGACTGTCATCTTTACGACACATCTACTAGACTTGATACTTAAACTATTTCCAGCGAACCATGGTCAAGAAAGCCACAAGGCAGGGCTTTTTGTCCAACATTCCTGCGATCCACTATAACTCTATTTCCCCCCCCTTTTTCACCTTCATTCGAGAATTTTCGAGGCTTTCATTGTTCTTTGAGATAAATATTGACAGCCAAGAAAGCTTACGGACAACAAAGAAATGCTGGTGCCATTCCATCATTCTGATTTCTGATATAAGTATACCGATGTACCAGCATGTTATACTGCAAATATAAAGCCGTAGTCTTGTAGCATATGAATATGAATTGTTATTCTGTATCCCCAAGCATTTATATTTATTTACTTGGATTTAGGGCTCGCTCGAACACTGCTTGCCTTTCTGGGCATTGTCTCTCTTTGAAAGAGACTAGCGTCGATCTACCGGTGTCTCCTGACCAATAGAAGACTGACCCACTGACACTAGCGTGGTATAATGCACTATTGTTGGTTGTAATACAGCCACCCCTGTCTTGGCCTATACCTTATTCGACTGTCAATAGACAGCCTCAATCGGCACGGCTTCTGAGACTGGATTCTCCCATCTTTCTCCATCGCCCAACTTGACATCACCACCTCAACTTCCAAGAGGCCGAATTTATGGCAGAATCACACTTTGCTGGTCTCGTTGATCCCACTTGATACTCTTTCTATTTGTCATGGATCCGTTTTCCAGTACCAGACGTCACATTCCTTCGGGTGACGTGGGGACTCGCAATCATCCCATATCCGACGCGCTGTCCCTCCCACCCACGATGGTTGCAACATCCAGACTCTATATAGTGGTACACACCGTCTGATTGCTAGCCGAACGGAAGCATTGGCCAGTTTCCTTGGTTCACATGTGCTTCTTGGAGTGACGCGGCTGTGGACTGTACTATATACCTGATGACCCAGTCCCTCCCGTCTCGCGTGAAGCGGGCACCACTGTCAACCCTTCCAGTCCTTTCCGATTCAAAAGTTGACCGTTTCTCTCGTTTATCTTAAAATTCTACCGACTAGGTATTGTTTTCAGTCGATCAGTCTTGATGGTGTCCATCACCTATGTTTTGGGGACTTTGTCCCTCTTTCTGTCAGGTTTACAGCTCGCACAGGCTTTTACCCCTGGACACCAGATTATTGAGCGACTTGGAAATGCACCCAAGGGCTGGGAAAGAGGTGGGGCACCGCCGCCATCGACGTTGATGAGGTTTCGGCTGGCACTCTATCAGGAGAGAGCGGCCGAATTCGAACAAAAGGTCATGGACCTTGCAACGCCGGATCATCACAGCTATGGCAAACACATGAATCGGGACGAGATTCGGGAGTACCTACGTCCATCTGATCAGGCTCTGGAAGCAATCATATCGTGGATGGAATCCGAACACGTTTCCGCGAACTCAGTCGAGATACATGGAAATTGGATTACATTTACTGTTCCAGTATTCAAAGCTGAGCAACTGTTGAAAACACAATTTGTTCACTTCTACAACGATGTGACAAAAACGACGGTTATCAGGACGCTCGAATATTCTGTTCCCCGGGAGGTTCATTCGTATGTTCAATTGATTCAGCCAACAACCCGGTTTGGACATTCCGGTCCACAGGCAGGGCAACCAAGCCTTAAACCCGCTGTAGTTGGCTTCGATGAATTGACGGGAAACTGTTCGATAAATATGACTCCGGATTGCCTTCGGCAATTATATGGGATTTTTGATACCTACGCCAGGCCAGACCCTTGCAATCGACTTGGCATCTCTGGCTATCTGGACCAATACGCACGCTATGATGACTTTCATGCCTTCATGCAAACATTTGCGCCAAATAGAACAGATGCGAACTTCACTGTTGTGTCGATTAATGGTGGTCTCAACGAGCAAAACTCTGCCAAAGGGAGCACCGAAGCAAGTTTGGACATGCAGTACTCCGCTGCCTTGGCATATGACACGCTCACGACATTCTATACAACCGCAGGCCGCGCTCCTCGAAACCCCGGGGTAGATTCCAACCCTACTGTGTCCTCTAATGAGCCCTACCTTGAACAACTTCACTACCTCTTAGGTCTTACCGACGAGGAACTTCCCGCTGTTCTCTCCACCTCCTACGGCGAATATGAACAAAATGTCCCCGAGTCCTATTTAGAGGCCACCTGCAACCTATTCGCCCAGCTTGGAGCACGTGGAGTCTCGGTGATTTTCAGTAGCGGCGACTCGGGTGCTGGAGGATCGTGCTTAACCAATGACGGGACCAGCAGGACGAGATTTCAACCTTTCTTCCCAGCTACTTGTCCTTTTGTTACATCCGTCGGTGGAACATACGATATGAAGCCAGAGAAAGCTGCTAAATTCTCTGGGGGAGGGTTCTCTGAGCGATTTAGGCGCCCGGTATACCAGGAGCAGAGTGTTAATGCCTATCTCAAACTCCTGGGGAACAAATGGGATGGACTATATAATGCGCAAGGAAGAGGCGTTCCAGATGTTGCTGCTCAGGCCAGTGATTTCGTCATTGTCGACCATGGATCTTTGTTGAGAATTGGAGGCACCAGGTCTGCGCCCTATAGTTTCGATAGCCATGTGGAATGTACTAACTCATTTGCAGTGCCGCCGCTCCAGTCTTTGCGGCCATTATTTCCCGGTTGAACGCCGCACGACTGGCCCAAAACCAACCACGAATGGGATTTCTAAATCCATGGCTCTACTCCATCAACCAGACTGGATTTGCAGATATCGTTGATGGGGGTTCAACCGGCTGCACTGGGAAATCTGAATCTGGCGGCCGCGCATCGTTCGTACCGTATGCGAGCTGGAATGCCACCACAGGATGGGATCCAGCTACCGGACTAGGAACGCCATTCTTCAACACACTGGTCAAAGTCGCTACTGCTCCGTAAGGAGTTATTTTGATTATTCTTCGGGCTTTTGTGTTACTGTCTTTTGCTCTTCGTTGTCCATTTTATAATATGCCCCCATGTACCATATCGATTATACCACGAAGGGAACTTTTATTCCATTGATTTAGTATCGTTTATATTTATAATGCTATCAATATAAAAAAAAAATTCAAGTTCTCCCTCCCATCATTCTATCTGCTCATACTCCCTCGATCCTGATTGGCTGTAAAGACTGTGTCACATGACCCGCTGACCGCCCGCCAAGACCGGCGCTGGAGCTCCGTCATGAAGCTGTGACAACAGCACTGGCTCTTCCTCCACCATCTACTCTTCACGACTGCCTTTTCTTCCACTGATACTTTGTCATCGGTATCTATCGTTTAATACATTCTTTCTTGCCGGCAGACTCGTTTCTCGATTCCCATCTCGATTCTATCATACACCATGGCTAGCGCCGATCTTCGATCCATCATCTCTGAGCTCAGCAACGCTCTGGACCGCAAACAAATCGATGCTGCCAACAACCTCCTCAGCCGCGCCAAGCGAACACTCATGCTTCAGAATGCATTGATCCCGACTTCCTCTACCGCGCCCGAGCTGGTTGCTCTCGCTCGCCAGGTTCTCGAACTCGGCGCCCTGGCTTCTATCAGACAGACCGACGCCCCCACCTTCACAAGATATTACCAGCAGCTGCAGCCCTTTTACGATCTCGAGAGACATGCTGGTGGACCGGGTCAGAGCTCGGCGAATGTTGACTTCAGCACTAGCCAACGGAGCAAGATTACTGGACTCTACCTGCTGCTTCTGTTGAGCATGGGCGACAGCACTAGCTTCCACACAGTCTTGGAGGGTCTTGTTGAGGAGGCGAGCTTGAAGGGCAAGAGTGTTGAGGATGACCCATTCATCAAATACCCGGTTGAGTTGGAGAGGAACTTGATGGAGGGAAGCTACGACAAGGTGTGGAGAGAGACCAACTCCGAGCGTGTGCCATCGGAGGACTTTGCCTTGTTCTCTAGCGTAAGTTCATGACCTCATCCGACTACTGGAACATAAGGCAAGCTAACACTTTGAAGGTCCTTGTTGGAACCATCCGTAGTGAGATCGCAGACTGCTCCGAGAAAGCCTACCCGTCCCTCCCGATCTCCAACGCCAAGAACCTTCTTTTCCTCGACTCTGAGGGCGCCGTCATTGAGTTCGCTCAGCAGCGCGGTTGGGTCCTTCGCGATGGCCGGATATACTTCCCTGTCGAGCCGGAATCGGCCGCACGCTCCGAGAAGGACATCCTTGTGGCCAGTGGTACTGTCATTGAGAATACGATAGGCTACGCTCGGGAGCTGGAGACGATTGTTTAATTTATATTCCCTTTCGTCTCAGGCTCTCTGGTGTGGCTGTATTTTATTCCCGTTGTTTTTGCATCATGATTTTTATCAAGCGTATTTTCTCATGACAATAAATCATGCCATTTCTCAAACTATACACTTGCCCTCCATATACAAACTCGTTTATCATAGAAACTGCTGGAGACACAGAGCGTTTCCGAGTTTCCACCCTGCTCCTTTGCCCCCTTCCACACATCAGATGCATAATTCATGCTTTGATGCTCCGTAAACTCGGCCAGAACCTCCATCTGCCACTCATCACCCCCTTGTGTAATCCTCACAATGCGCGTCCCAGCATGCATACAGCTAGCCAGGACCAAAAAACGCCACCCACTGCCCGAGACATTTTCCTCACTCAACATCTGCAACCGCCACACACCACCTCCCAGACACACTTCGGCCAGAACTTCTCCCCTCCGCGTAGCATGATACACACGTAGATACTCATCATAGCTACCCGTAAGAAGAACAGGAGCACCATCGACAAGCGGCAGCGGAAGAGGAATGATCGAAGTCACACCAGCAGTATGATGACGGGCCCGATCATCATGATCCAGCAGAAGGGGTGAGAGAGGCTCTTCTTCGTCCTCATCCTCATCATTCTCATCCCCTCGACCCACCCCAAAGCGACGAGTATGCAGCGCCCCAAAATCATTTCCGGTAAACATATACGGAATCTCCGCTCCACTCTCATCCGCAAACATACCCAACGCGACAAACCACACCTCGATACACTGCCTCGCATCGAACCTGCCCAACTCCACAATCTCGCCCTCCGTTACCTTTGCGATATCGTCACCACCATCGCCCTTACCGCTCGTCCCGAAGACAGCCGTCCGACTATCTGAGAACGTCACGGCAAAGGCATCAGTTTGCGGTCTTTTCGAACACCAGTTCTGCGGGGCCCATGCGAGGAAGAGAGCTGGGATGGACTGGTCCTCGTGGACGGGGAGAGTCCAGAGGGGTGTTAGGACTGGTGCAGATGCAGGATCAGATGTAGAGACTCTGAATAGAGCTGCAGAACCCGTACTACCAGCGATAGCGAGGATAGAGGGATTCCTCGGATGAAAATGCAGATCGAAAACAGCATATGGTATTGGGATTCTTTGAATGAGGGATCTACTACATATTAGAATTATGAATATAAATCAAACAACTAAACATAGGCGACTACTTACAGTTTATTCTCAACAGGGTCAATCTCCCATAATTGCAAACTACCAGTTTTGGTCTGCGTGATATTTTCCTCCTCGTCCTTGCTCTCGGATAGGAAATACGTACCCACCACGAAGAAGTTGGGGGCTTCTGGACAGAACTGGAGACAGCTGGGAGGTTGGTCTAAGAAGATGGTTGTTGCTGATTGAGGTTTTTGGGGTGAATCTGATGCCATTTTGATGGCTGGTATAAAATATGAAGTGGGGTAGCGGGGTAGGAATATCAACTGTTTTGGGGCAATTGGTGATGGTATCAATTGTATCAATCATAGAAGACAAGACTGGTACGAACACTTAAGGCATTCCAGCATCTGTATCTGAAGACTCAGATTCGAAGATGAAGCAGAATAAAAGTGCGGGCGGTGAGATTGAATGACCTCAACACCCTCTGATGGTCCCATTATCTCCACATCATCCCAACCAGAGCATACTAGATAATCCATCTCAGACATTGTATAGACTTTCCTGGTGTTGGACCCCACCTGAGATACGAGGATCCTTCACGTGCCTTTGTCTAACCATGACTCAACGTCGAATCATGCGATGGTCTTCTCTCCATCAACTCAACATCTCCCACTGTCAATTCCATCTCATCTGTGATTGCAATAATGTCTAAATCATTCGACAAGATCCCCTCTTCTGCGAGGGTATCCCCATCTCCGTTGGAAATATCCTTTCCTGAGGATCAAATCGCCGATCTGAAGACGCTCGTGAAGCTCTCCAAGACAGCCCCACCCACGTATGAAGGCGCGCAGCCGGATCGTCGATTGGGTATCACGACGGCGTGGCTCACTTCGATGAAGGAGAAATGGGCTACTGATTTTGACTGGTAATTATTCTCATAAACATTGGAAATGTATGGCTTGTCTAAGATCTTGTAATTGACGTAATGTAGGAGAAAATGTGAAGCCCGTCTCAACAGCTTCCCTCAGTTCACCACGACGGTCGAGAATATCAAGGTGCATTTTACGGGGCTATTCTCTGAGAAGGAGAATGCAGTGCCTATTCTTCTCCTTCATGGATGGCCGGGTAATGACAGTCTGATGAAATCTATCTTGAATATCTTCTCATGATTTACAGGAAGTATTTTGGAGTTTCTTCCTCTCCTTCAACTGTTCAAAGACGAGTTCACCCCAGAGACTCTGCCTTATCACTTCATTGTCCCCTCGCTTCCAGGATACTTCCTTTCTTCTGGTCCACCGGTTGATAAAGACTTTACTACTCAAGACATTGCCCGAGTTGTGGATCAGCTGATGAAAGACCTTGGATTTGAGAGGGGCTATGTGACACAAGGAGGGGATATCGGTAGTAGGGTTTCTCGAATACTTGGAGTAGACCACGATAGCTGCAAAGGTAAGCACGAGTCGATGACATTGACAGTTCAGTGCTAACTATACTAGCGGTTCACTGTGAGTACAGTCTTCTGAATGATGCTGTGATATGATGCCAACCATCCACAGTGAACTTTAACTTGATGCAACGCCCCGATGGATTCTCCGATGATGTTCTAACGGCATCCGAAAAGAGTGGATTGGCAAGGGGGTCTGCCTTTATGAGTCACGGTAGAGCTTATGCTTTTGAGCATGGGACTAGACCGAGTACCATTGGCCATATCCTGTCCACCAACCCCGTGGCCTTGCTTTCATGGTACGCTGCTGTCTAAATATGGTTGAAACATCCTAACCTGTTGTAGGTGCGGAGAAAAATTCCTTGACTGGGTCGACGAGCCTCTTCCTGACGAGACTATCTTGGAATTCGTCTCGTTGTACTGGCTTACGGAGACGTTCCCGCGTTCCATCTATACGTATCGAGAGGTTGTACACCCTTCCCACTCGCTTGAACGAGTTTAAAACTGACGGGGTTATCAGTACTACCAAGGTCAAAGATACGACATGACCAGTCGATGGTACATCAATAAACCATTCGGTTTCTCTTACTTTCCCATGGAACTATTACCGGTACCAAAGTCGTGGGTAGACACAACAGGAAATCTCGTATTCTGGAAACAGCATGAAAAGGTAAGGTCATGTCATACGAAGTGTATTGTTCCATGCTTACAATTCATCCAGGGTGGACACTTTGCGGCACTCGAACGGCCAGGACAGATGAAAGCAGATATCTCCGAGTTTGTAAACCAGGTCTGGCCTACCACGAACTAGGCAATGAGTGGGATGTAGTTACTTTATTGAACACAAAATCTCATCTATTTGATTTCAATTAAACGAAACCCGCTAGTTCATACGAACAAGATTTAATCTAAGATAAGTCAACCTAATTCTCGATATCCTAGAATCTTCATAGGCCGAGTCGATCCTATCGAATAAACAAAACAATATCACAAATTCGTATTTCTCCAGAATAACTCACGTCCTTGAACTGTCGACTTTCTCACATAGATCTCTGCCTTTATTCATATTCTGCTTTAGGATAGTTCTTTGGTAGGTTTAGACCAGCTGAGTTCACAGAATAAGAGACACGAGCACTGCGCTTCTGATAGTCACTTGAGCCTTCCAAGGGTACCAGAAGTGCAGACAAACATATCAAAATTTTCCAGCCATTGTATAATTGTTCGCTCATCAGAGGACTTGACGAATGGTTGCCCGGGAGGCAGCGAGGGCCTCCTTTCGCCATCCTGCGATGTAGTCCTGGGATATCTGAACGTTTGGTCCAAACCGAAGATCCAACTCTTACTTCACCACGAGAGAATTTACTGGGCGTCCTGGATAATTCATGCAATGAATAAGACCCGGTAGAAGTATTAGTCAATGAGCTTATAAGTATCGTGCCACCATATTGCTTTTGGAAATGCATCATGGATTCGTGCTTAGATGGTGCCCAGGATCGCTTGCATACTGCGTAAAAGATGAGGTGTCTTGTGCGAACCGCCTTGGATGATATGACTTGTTGTAGGTGTAGAGTTCTCCATTGCATGCTGTGATGAATGCGTGGCACCCGTTACATGAGAGTTTAGAAACGCCGATATAACTGTGCAGGAAGCAGAAAGCACCATAGCTCCAAGTAATCATATTATGCCATCACAGGGGTTATCTTCTCTCCACGTCCAGTTCTAGATATAATTAGCAGTTTCCTAATGAAGACGTTGATGACATACCGAACTCCATTTGTTCGTGATGTGCAAATTCTGTAGGTTCCATTGAAGCTTGAATGACAAAGCAGTTGCCTGGAAGGGATTTTGCAGTGGCCATTCAAGGCATATGCCACTCTGGGAGCGTAGCAATTGACGTTGGTTCTGCCAAGTGGAACAATCGCCTGGGCCACTTGTTTGCGGTCCAGTGGTATATATTGAAAAGAGTTGAAGATGAAGCTGAAGATTGGTGGTATAGATTAAGAGGTATATTCACTGAATACCAAATATTTTGAATGGTATATAGGCTGAGTATTTTGATATAGTTACCAGACATCGAAGAAGAGAAGAAGAGGAGATGGCGATGATGGCTTATATCACTTCACCAACAAAGAAATCTTCTGTTGCCTAGTTATTGTAATAAAGAGTAGGTACAAAGAAGGGAATATCAAAGAATATTGAAGAGTGATTAGTTGAGTATGCTTCATTGTGTAAACTGAGAGACAGAATGCTTCATCGGCAAAAAGATCGGATTACCCCACCATCTTTCCTTCTCCATCAACAATTAATCAACACACCTCAATCAATGTTATAGAATGGATTCTAATAATACTGGAGACCCACAATTAAATGAAAACACTCTCGACCCCAGTGTCATCGCAGGTCAGCAGTTCTTCCAAATACTTCAACGACTACTAACCACCACCAGAACTCCCAAATGGCTGCCAAATACTCTCAACAAAAACTCACGGACTCAGTTTCTTTGCAAAAACAGCCTGTATCAATGTCAAATTGAGCAATGGAGCAACGCAATCCTTCTTCGTCAAGATCCTCTCCCACGAACTGGGCAAAAACATGGTCTACGCGGAGTTCGAATCGATGCAGGAGATCCACAAAACACAGCCCGAATTCGTGCCAAAACCAATTGCCTGGGGATCATACCAGAATGCTCCAAATACACACTTCTTTATGTCTGAATATCGAGATATGATCAAGGACAAAATGCCAGATCCACAACCGTTCGCTGCTTGTTTATCCAAACTGCACCAGAATAGCACGTCTCCGAATGGGAAATTCGGATTCCACACAACGACATATAGCGGCAACCTCCCTCAAATGGTCGAGTGGGAAGACAGCTGGGAGGTCTTCTTCTCCAAAAGCCTCAGACTGGCTCTCGAACTGGAACTCAACACCAAAGGACCGAATGCTGAAGTTGATAGTTTCCTTCCGGCTCTATTCGACAAGGTCATTCCGCGTCTGTTGCGTCCACTGGAAAGAAATGGCCGATATGTGAAGCCTTCACTCGTCCATGGAGATCTCTGGTATGCCAATTCAGGCGTTGATATCCACACAGGCCAGCCGCTGGTTTTTGATGCCTGTTGTTTCTACGCTCATCACGAATGTAAGTCCATCCAAATTGGATCGAAGATGCATGAATGACGTTTCAGATGAATTCGGTCAATGGATGCCGGCTTGTAATCGATTTGGCGATGACTACTTGGAGGCATATCGCTCATATGTCCCCAAATCTGCACCTGAAGAGGATTATGATGGGAGGTTGGATTTGTATAAACTGTGAGGAATTATCTTCATATATTCCGTGGAGGAAACTGACTTGAACAGGAGGTTTAATACGCATGTGTCTGCCCTTTTTCCACAAGATAGACAACTTCGAGAACAGTATGCATCGTTCACTCTTTAACGAAGACTACTAACAGGCTATAGAATGGTTGGCGATATACGAGACTTGGTCAATCGATATGGTTCAGGATGAAGTGTGGATATATCCAACATTCTTTGATACCAATGCATATCTCTTTACATCAATAATTGAAACAAATTGAATTTAATCCATCATAAACATCTTTAAACTGCCTATAGACCACTGCTAGACTGCTGCCGGAGTGAAGGCTACCTAGTTACTCGATCCTATGATATCGGTAATTGGGTTGAATGACTGCAGGCAGAAGTGATAATACATTCACAATGAAGACTAATGAGGACAGTGATTAATTTGAATGATCAGATTATAGTAGGATTCACTGACCACAATCTCTGGCTATATAAACCACATTTCGTCTCATCATCTTCAACAACTCAACAACTACCATCTACTTTACCAAGTATCACGGTAAGCATCCTCAGATCCATCTTTTCTTCCAAATAATCAACTGACTTATCGTTAACCATAGGAACCAGTCCAGGGCCTGCTTGAAACATTATCCTTATTGGATACCAACGCGCCGTCAAGGGAAGAAAGCACCGCCAAATTCTTGTTGCCCGCAAACACAAGATGCCAAGAGCAAAGAAATTCGTCAGAAGAAGAATGAATGCATGAATGAGGTCCATAAATGCTGGAACATCCTCCTAGACGGCTGGGCGTTATCCAAGCCCTGTGCACCAATGTCTCGAAGGGGTTCGTTAATCTGGGGGATGTCGGCGAAACCGTGGCAGCCATGATCTTAATGTTCGCGTTTGATAACGCACATGGGCTCCAGGAAATCAAGATCAGAGGTCTATGAGTGGAAAAATGAGGTCTTCCAAGGCTTCCAAGTGGGCTCAGACTAGACTCTCGGACCGAAAGAAAGAATTGGATGAGAAATGGGTACCAAAGAAGGGTCTCTCCTTGGCCAGCAAAGAAAACTGCCGATTCTTGAGTTTCGACAAATACGCGGCCAAGGTGATTGTACCACTCGGTAGATCGAATGTGAATTACTACGTACCCTGGGGTGGTCCGTCAAGGTGGAATATGCATCGGAGTCAACGTCCCATCGAGGGCTTTTTTCCAGCCATCGCTTCACGTTTGTTCAAGAGCAAACACGCCATCCTGGCATATCCCAGCTCGCTCACATGGACAGCCTTTTCGGTTTTCGTGTCGTACCTGTGCTGGCTGTCCTGAATTTTTGGACGAAGCAGAGATAGAAGCGCTCCCAACAGAGCAAAGAGGCGAAGAAACGAAAGCCAACCAGTGCGCCTGCGACGCGCCCTCGCTCGAGGTTGCTCATGTTGTGGCAAGGCAGGATACCGCCGTATGAGTGCATCTACATTGTGAATATCAGGAAATGACTCTAATATATTTATAGAGCAAAATGCTGAGAGCCCGGGGCTTACTCGATTTCGATTTTGACCTGAAGTCAAAGGACAATGCCATGGGCCATCGAACGAGCAACCTATTGGAGGCAGCTTTACGTCTCGTACTCGAGAGAAAGATACGGGGAATAATGTGGCTTTTATCGAAAATATCTCCACGAGAAGTGTTAGTTAAATCTCCAGACTCAGAGAGTGCTATCTTGTGGGCAACACAAGTCCACCGCACAATGCTTGCAGGTGGCAGACATACAAGCTGTGGCGGCACAGGAGCTGGAGTTGGCGAGTGATTTGAAGACAAAGACGTTGGAATGTTTTGGATTTGTATATAAGTCTTCTCTTCGTCATCTGCAGCTTTGTGATAGAAATAGAAATACTCAAGAATGAAGATAATATACCACTTCTATACAAAGTCTTGGCATCCCACCTTATCGATAAGCGTTGATCTTATCGAGACTGACAAGATCAGTCCACTGCATCAACACTCACTCTGCAATTTAAAACCATCATTATCCCCAGAAATACCCTCAAGGCCAATCATTGCATAATATGTCATCATATCACTCCTGCCCCGATGACCTTTTCTCCGACGAATCCAGTTTCTACGGTACGCGTCTCCATCAACAAACAAACATCAACCAAAACACTCACTAACTCACCACAGGCGATGAAACAGAAAAATCACGCCTAGAAGACCTCGCAGATTCCTACGATCCAGAACCATACTGGTCCGATGTCCATCCTTACCTCCTCTCCACTATCCAACAAGACCGTATCGCATCGGCAAAAGTAAAAGCAGAGCCTACTACATCCGATACAGACATGAAAGACGAAGACTTAATCCCACGACGAAATAGCCGCGGCGCAAACGAAGCTACGCCATCCTTCCTCTCTCGTCTCCCACCATCCACAACTAAAAAGGATGACATCGGACCCTGGATCTACGCATACCCACAGAACAAACCCACGCCGGAGAACGAAGACATCGCCTCCCTAGTCTCAGAAGGAAAGGAGCTTCTCTACGACTTCGAGAACAAGAAAACAACCCTAGAAGCCGAGCACGACAAATCCGGCGCAAAGACGAAGGCAGGTCTAACGCGGAAACTCAACCCGCTGCGACGAACGCTCGAGCAGGATCTTTTCACGCTTGCGCGGGATACAGGCGTTACGTCGGGCAAGTGGATGCTGTTTCCGACGGCGGATCGGGTGGATAGGTATTGGGGGCTAATTGCGGAGGCGACGATTAAGGGGGGTTTAGGGATTGCGGCTAAGGTTGCGACGGATGATGGGGAGGGGAAGGCGAGGTTGATTGCGGTTTATACGTATGATACGGCGGATAAGGAGGATGTGAAGAGGGTGTTGATGAAGTTGGTGGAGTTTGGGTTGGTTAATGAAGGTGAGAGGCCGATTTACTACAAGAGTGATGCGTTCACGTATCTGGAGATTCTGGGGAATAATTCATATGGGCTCAAGGCCAGTATGTTCTCCAGCAAGGATGTGTTGGCAGGGAAGTTTTGATGCGGCCATCTCATGCTTTGATATGATTGATGATGTTATGTGTGATGTAAATGTACATGGTTTGAATATACATGAGTTCATAGTTCATAGTAGATGCTGCGTGTGTTGCTTCCAGCGAGACAGCTTCTGTTGGATGCCTTGAAGTCGGTCATTTGGCTGATTGCATTCATTCGCTGTTGTCGCTCCCCTGATGGCAGTTGTGTGAAATTCCATGTTCCAGGGATTCACACAAGCTCGAACCGAGGTTCCTGGGCTTCATGGAGGTCGCAGCAAGGCAAGGCCATCACGGATTGTATATCGGTCTGGAGGATGGAGCTGCTATCCTGGGAGCATGCAGCAAATACAGGCATTGGAGAGGTAGAATCGTAAACTCCATCCTTCCTCAAGAATCCTTATTCTCCTTTTCCTCCATGATCTTCTTGCAAGCCTCCCGGATTTCAGAAACTCCCTTCACCCCATCCCACTTCTCGAGCAGACCCTGTATCTCGCTCCAGTCCTTCTCTGCATCCTCTCGCTTCTTTTCGTCGATAAGCCTTTGCAGTCTCTCCGGGGCTCCAAGAACCCATCTAACAGTCTCCTTCTCAGCCTTCTTGCGCTCTGTTTCCTCGTTGGCTTTTGCTTCTCTCATCCGCCGCCGTTGGTCTTCTCCCTCCTGAATCAACCCCCCAGCAGTCTCAGCAACAAACGCAATCGACGGCCCAAGAGTCTTGGTCATCGTAAGCGGTGCCCCACGCTCATCCATACTCCGACGCATTTTTCCAATTGTTTCCACCGCCCGAATCAACTTGGAGTAGTTATCGTAGACGAGCGCCTTACGCTCACTATCCAGCGTGCGAATATCACCCACAAGCGTATTTTCCGCCTTGAGAACCGTTGAGAGTGTCGATGTTTCCAACAGGTGGTTGACGTAACGCTGCGCATCAAAGTCCGGATTGTCGAGCTCCGTCCCGGCTGTCACCGCGGAAGACGGGCTCGAGATGTCTCCGGCATCGGTATGCCGGGGAACGCTGCGGGAACGGCGACCATTGCCGGCGGGATCGGCTGCTGATGGCTTGAGGTTATAGTAGTCACGGAGAGCGGCACGATTGCGGCGGGGGTGGAGAGAGGGCGAGACAGCACGTGCGGTCGAGGGGGTGGATGAAGCGCTGAGGCCTCCGACGTTGGTATTCAGCGTGTCCAGCGAGGGACGGCGGGAGGATGCGGGGGTTGGAGAGTGTGCACGGGAAGAAGCAATTGACGGGCGAGGAGAGGAGATGGTCGACATGGTGGGAGATTAGGAAGACAGAAAGGTGATTAAATATGTCAACAGGAATGGATAGGCAGGAGAGGAGAGAAGCCAGAAAGACAAGCTGGAGCCATCGTTAAGCGGTGGCCCGTGCTTTCCCCAGATCTTGGAATTTGAATGGCCTCAAATTTATCCCACCAACACTTCCCCTCGTTAGTTTGAGGATGCTCTTCTTGATGTGTCCAAACATCGATTTCCACAATTGACCGCAAGAAATCTCTTCTGCATCCAACCCTCCAAGTACAAGCTATCATGGCCAATCAACAACAGCAAATCGCAGCTCAATTACGGAGCACCAAATCTCTCCCCGTCTCTCCACCATGGCTAGATAGATTCGTCTCCTCCTCTACAGCCTCACAACGCAATGTCCCAATATCCGCCTTGACCCAAACCGCCCTCTTCCGCGTCTTAGCCTCCGACTTCAGAGAAAGCCTCACAACAACCAACCAATCTTCCCTACTCCCCGTCGACATTTTCGATCCCAGCGTCAAGGAACGACGAATCCAAGGTCCAATCCCCGTTCAAATTCTCGACATCGAAGACATCGGCACTAGTTTATGGGGGCAGGTTGAGGCGATCGAGCGCGTCGAACGCGGAGAGGCCATTCGAGGACGCGAAATCGTGCGAACCGTCAACGTGGGCGAAGACAGCGAGGAACGGGCGAATAATAACAATGCTGCGATTTCGGGGCTACACAGTGTTGGAAGTAATAGTAATGGGCCTCATCGGTTGATTTTCCAGGATGCGGCGGGTACTAGGGCTGTGGCTATTGAGATCACGCGCGTCAAGGAAATTGCCTTGGATAAACTGCCTATCGGGGCGAAGCTGCTGCTACGGAATGCAACAGTCGCACGAGGTATGGTGTTGTTATCACCCGACTGTGTCACTGTCCTGGGAGGGAAAATTGAAGCTATGGATAAAGCGTGGAAAGACGGCAGAAAAGCAAGGTTGTTGGCGAGGATTGCGGAAATGGATGGCGCGCAGCAAAACAGAAATGGAGATGCAATGGAAGAATGATTGGTTAGGGGTTACTATAATCTGTGGATATTCTGGTAAAGTGGTTGGAGGTATGCACTGATATCTTCTTTTCCTTATTGTCTACAAAGGTAAAGGTCTATGGAATTGCCAGACTCTAAGCCGGCCCAGACACGGCATGGTTCAACTCTTCCCATCCATGCCGTCTCCATGGTGCGATCATGATCGATCGTAGGGCATCGCTTGCCTTGCCTGTCTGCGCATAGGCCTCCGAGAGGTCGACGGCATCCAGGTTGCTCCGAGGCGGAATGTTGCGCAATGCTCTCTTAACGGCCATTTCTGCTGGGTAGAGCTCCTGTGAAGCAGCCGACAACTCCATCCATCCCTGAGGCTGGTCTGGCGATCGCATGACAGCCGCGGTGGCTTCGCCGATACGCCTCGTCTCCTCCGGGACATCCGCATTGTCAGTTAGACCCAGAGCGGACAACGCAGTCAGCAGTCTGATCAACTTGTTCCGCTCGTGAATCTCAATGTCATCACGCGTGATCATGGCTTGGAGGTCTGATTCAACGGCCTCGATAACATCTCTGTCGGCATCTAGCAGCGCAATAGCTCCCAGAAGGGTGACTGCCCCAACATGGTCAGGGTGATTTTCAACACAGTCGAACAGTTGTTGTCTGGCCACGGCCCGCTCCTCTTCGCCACCCTTGGCCCACAGGACCTGCGCCAAAAGACATACCACTTCCGGTGCATTGCCCGCCTCTTGAAGAGCATCACGGAACATGTCGATAGCCGAGTCCATCGACTTCATGTAGTAATGTGCAAGGCCGGCAGTTAGGTGAGCCGACAACCGTAGCTTGGTGTTAGCTTCCGGATCGAATTGTTCAGCATCTTCCTCACTCGACAGTGTAAGTGCGGTTTCCGCCTTTTCTGCGGCCTCTTCAAACTCGTGGCGTGCAAGGAGAACGCGAGCCATGTCCGCGTTTGCCTGTGCAAATCTCGAAAGAGACGATGCCGACTCGGTCACCTCGTACTCTTCTTCCACACTGGAACAAACAACCTTCAACATGGACTCGGCATCTGAAAACTCTCCTATTCTTTCCGCCAAGAGGGAAGATAGGTGCACGAACGGCAAATCAGATGGGTCTTGGCGGTAAAGCTGATGTAGTGCAAAGAAAGGTTGGATGAGCTCGGATATTTCGTTTGAAGCCGACTCTTCAGATATGAGGTGATCGAACAAGGTCAACGTATATTGGCGCTTCGGTAGGGCCGATGAAGAACTGGCAATTTCGAAGGCGTGTTCGAAAAGACCTCTTGCTTCCTTTGGATCGCCAAACAGAAGGGCCAGGAAGCCTTGGCCAATCCAAGCCTGCGAATAGTCTGGGTCGGTTGACTGCGCGCGGGTGAAAGCTTCATTCGCGAGCTGGATGTCATTGTGGATGAGGTAGAGTGCACCGAGGTTAGCCCAGACTTGCGCGCTTCTATCATTCAAATGAAGACTTCGAACGAATGCGTGCTGTGCAACCTTAGGGCTCATATTTGTAGTCACCACACCAAGCGAGTTCCAGAATTCAGAGTTTCCGGATTCCAATTCAATTGCTCTCTTGAAGCATCTCATTGATGCCTTCAAAAACTTTCGCGGGTGCTTCTTACCCTTTTTGCTTGAGCCAAATTGTACATTCCTGTACGCTCCATACTCTGCCCAGCCAAGGTTATACCAGGCGACTGCCTGGGCATGAATGTCCTGTAGAGAAACGTATATAGCGCGCTTGTATGCGAGTATCGACGAGTAGATGCAGACATCGGACGGTTTGAAGTCCCCGTTGCCTTCACCCTCCAGCAGTGCTACGTAGTTCTGCCCCACTTCATCTACATCTGCCAGAATGTCGAAAGCTGCTGTGTCAAGTTCAGTAGTAAGAAGTCTCTTGACATCTTTGACCGGCAATTTGTCTGCCTTCATCTTAATATAAGAAAAGTTGGCACAGGCATCTCCGACAGCCTTCCAGAGGTTGAAAATGTCGACTCTCTGTCTGGCCAAAGAAGTGGCCACAGATACAGCCTTGCGTGCAAGCTCGGCACTGTCATTGTACAGTCCCGATTCAAGACTTCGCCAAGAACTCTCAGTAAGAGTTTGGAGCAGAGCAATTTTCACGCCTATTTCATCGGGTCGGAAACTCAGGACATCCTCGTATCTCGTAATGGCGTCTTCATACTCGGCAAGCTCGCGCTGCACATTTGCCATCATATACCGTGCGAACCAAATCTGCTCTTTATCAGAGCTGGGAAGGTTTGGTTCTAATTGCTGGGCCTGATCAAATGCCTTTGTGGCAGCAATGAATCGGCCGGAATGATGATAACTCTCTCCCAGGCCAACCCATGAATGGTAATGACCAGGTGAAATTCTCAAAGCTGCTTGGAAAGAGACAATACTCTTGGTATACTGTTGTTTGTTTATCTGCACCGTACCTAAGGCGGCATACGGCCAACTGTACCCTTTGCGCTTCGAGCCTGGGGCCGGCTTGGCCTTGCCTGAGTCAACAACTCGCTGGGCTACGGCTTCAACCAAGTCCCATTCCTTCTGGTCTGCAAATGCACGGGATAAGCGCTCAGCTGCCTCAATTTCAGATGAGGATAACTCAAACGCTTTGTGGAAACATCTGCGTGCTCGTGTTTTATCCTTCTTGTAATCAGCATAGTAGAATCCCAGACTCGTGTAGGCAGGAGCAAAATTCATGTTGGATTGGATAGAAGCGAGGAAGCTGGCATAGGCACCATTGCGGTCTTTGCGTGCGGAGTACGATGGATCCAATTCCCACTGACAGTACCCTATCCGATACAGAATTTCCGACTTGAAATCCCGATTGTCTAAACGAGTTCTTTGTATTTCTGAGAGAACTTCTTGAAGTCCGTGGAAACCAGACTCCATATCTCCGTCAAGAGCTCTGCACCAAGATAATTCGCCTTGCACCTTGATGTTGGTAGGGTCTCGCTCCAAAGCACGCTCAAGGAAGTTCACGGCCTCTGTGTAATCCTCGTCAACCTTAAGGATGAGGCCAATACCAAGCAAACAGCTTGTTGATGTTGGCTTTCGCTGTAAGATGTTCTCGAATATTCCCTTAGCTTCGGGGTGGTTTCGAGGAGATTGGTAGTATATCAGAGCATTGCCGAGCATTATGTTCACGCAGTCGGTAGTATTGCGAAGATCAATCGCAGTCGTCTTGATCAAGTCTTGGATGTTTCGAATTCCCTTGCGAGCGACGTCCACCACGCTATCATACTCCTCGAGAGACAGATAGAGCTCACCCATGATCCGGTGTGCGATGATTGAAGAGGAAGATGCTTCGAGTCCTTCTACCATAAGTATCAAACGATCCTGGGCGGCAAATTCACCGTTTTCGCCATTTGTAGTTTCCGAGTCCTTTCTGTTGTCGGACTCCTGTTCATCTGATGGAGGCTTCGGGGGGAATGGGGAAAGTTCACTGGCCAGGAAACCCTTTAGCACCTTTGAGAGCCCATCTTCTGGAAAGAACTCAATGAAGTCCTCAAGCAACCCACGATCCCATTCCGAAAAGCTTTGGATGTCTTGCCACTCGAGAACAATTTTCCAAGCGAGCTCAAAAGGATGCTTGATAATGACCATTTCACGAGCGGCCTTCAAAACCTCTTTTCTCTTTCCATTCTTTTCCTTCGATGGGAGAACAAGAAGAAGGTCATAACCCCGCTGCAGAAGCTTTTCTTCGTATGTACGTCGTACTTCATCATCATGAGACCAATCCACAATTCCACGATAGAGTTGCTCGAGTTCGCTTCGCCTAAAAGCCTCCCTTTTGACCTCCAATGTCACCAGTTCAATTTTCGCACCCAAACGTGTTCGGCGCTCTCCAATCTCTCTATTGATGAACTCTTTCTCCTCCGATTCAGTGATTTCAATCAGGCGAAGGTATGTTTGTGCTGGATGCGGCACTCGTCCCTCGAGAAAATCGTACAGCGGGCTTGTTGGCAACTGTAATTCGAGAGCTTTCTTGAGTTGAGATCGATTTCCTTGTTTCCGGGTAAAGTTAACGAATTTATCCAGCACATCCTGGCAACGATGTTTGTCATCGCTAAGACATGTTAGTAGCGTTTTATGGGATAAGAGCGAGAGGGTCGACTTACCCCTCGGCAAATATCAGACCAAGTTTTATGACGGCTTCGCGATATTCCTCTATTTTTTGGCCTCCTTGTTTCTCATATAGGCTGATCAGTCCTTGCCATGCTGTCCTGTCGCTTTCTTTCACACGGGCTGCTGCGAGGTAAGCCTTTTCGGCGTCGCCATGTTTGTTCAATTTGTCCAATGCAAGACCTAAGAAGACATTTCTGTTCCGAAATCCAACATTAGCAAGGAGAATAAGTCTAGAAAAAAATAAGGTCCACGTCACGTACGCATGATAATTCTGGGGCTCTTGCTGCACCAGCGATCCAGCCTTCTCAGCTGCGAGCTCGAAGTCTTTCGAGTCGAGAGCTGCCCTAACAGCTTTCAGTGCCGACTTGCCCGACATTCTAGCGGAGACCCTTCATTTCTCTGCCGCAATGGCAGCTTTGTTCCTCTGTTGTTGGCTTGTCGGGTGCGGGACACTGGACTTTGGCGGGAAGAGAACTGGTGTGGTGTGTGGAGAAAGGTCGGCGGGCGATACGTCAGAGGCCGATCTCTTATCTCGTACCTCGTATTTCGTATCGGCGGTCGTCGTGTTCCCCAGTCCAGACCAGACCGCAACCGCTGCATCTCTAGACGACAGTCGCGGTTTTCAATCTGCTAAGATTTGGCACTGATGCAGGGGGATTATATCTTGTCTGTGTTGGTACTCTGACTTTTCCAAGTCTGCTCGTGGCTTCACACAACATCCTTCACCCGATAACTCGATCATTCAAGGGCCGCAGGAAGGTCAGTACAGTATCCGGTTCCAGTTCTGATTCACATTCTCTCCATCGCAAATTCATCAATTGCTGAGATATATTCAGACTACAAGCTTGTAATTTATTCACTTCTACGAAAGTACATACTATAACCTCACCCTTCTCTCGAGCTCCCCTACTGTCGACCCGAGGATAACGTCTCGCCATTCCGATTCTCAGTTCATCGTTCAATGTCCTTTGCTGGACAATATACATCTTTAATTCATTTGATCGTCTACCGCTGTGATAGACATCTTCCTTGATGATAATGGGTCCCCTCCGTCTCCGGGTCGATGGCCAAACGTTTAGGGATCCGCAAAACCGAGAGGTCACTCTGAGAGGAATCAACGTTGCCGGCGAGGCCAAATATCCCAGGAACCCTAATACACCTTCCTATGTGTCCGAAAATTTCTTCGACGCCGATAATGTTTCGTTTGTGGGCCGGCCTTTCGCCCTCGAGGATGCGCATACACATTTTGCAAGGTTGAAGAAATGGGGCTACAATACTATCAGATATATCTTCACCTGGGAAGCGATAGAACACGCTGGTCCTGGTAAATATGACCATGAGTGGATCTCGTTTACTATTGAGGTTCTTCGAATCGCGAAGAAGTACAATTTCTATGTTTTTATGGACCCTCATCAGGATGTGGTAAGTAAACTATAGACTCTAGTGGTTCCAACGAGTACTGACATAAAGAAAGTGGTCCAGACTTTCCGGGGGGTCAGGTGCACCGATGTGGACTCTGTATGCAGCAGGGCTCAACCCCCAGTCCTTCCAGAAAACCGAAGCAGCTTTGGTTCAGAATACCTATAGGGACCCCTCTCAATTCCCAAAAATGATATGGAGTACCAACTATACCCGGCTTGTCAGTCAGGTCATGTTCACCATATTTTGGGGAGGACGTGACTTCGCCCCCAAGGCTATTATAGATGGTGTGAACATTCAGGACTACCTCCAAGGACATTTCATTGCAGCATGCAAATATCTCGCCCAGAGAATCCACGAAGCTGGCGATATTGAGAATGATGTTGTCATCGGATGGGAAAGCATGAATGAACCGCATCGAGGACTCATTGGTGTGCAAGATATATCAGTTATTCCCCCAGAGCAACAGCTTCAGTTAGGAACATCACCAACGGCTTTCCAAGCCATGCTGACAGGTTCCGGCCGAGCATGTGAGCAGACCACTTGGGGATTCGGCAGTTTTGGCCCGTATAAGACCGGTAGGGAACTAGTGGATCCAGAAGGTGAATCCGCATGGTTACCAGCTAGTCATGATGACAGTAAATACGGATGGAAGAGAGACCCCGGGTGGAAGTTGGGAGAGTGCCTATGGGCACAGCACGGCGTATGGGACCCATCGTCGGATACGCTCCTGCAGAAGGACTACTTTTCGAAAAAGCCTACAACTGGGGAGCCTCTAGACTATGAAAAGTTCACCAACACCTACTTCTTGGATCATTACCGCACTTATAAAGATGCCATCAGAAGTGTATGGCCAGGGTCAATCATGTTCTGTCAGCCCCCAGTCATGGAATTGCCTCCCGATGTAAAAGGATCAATTGATGATGATCCCAATATGGTTCATGCTGTGCACTACTACGATGGTCTCACTCTCCTCACAAAGCATTGGTTAGTAATCGGCCCCGATCTTTCAACAGTTTACTAAGGAATATAGGAACCGGCTTTACAACGTCGATGTTATTGGCGTTCTTCGGGGTAAGTATCTTACGCCAGCATTTGCCGTCAAAATTGGGGAGTCGGCAATTCGAAATTGCTTGCGTGACCAGCTTAAATTCCTCCGGGATGAGAGTTTGCGATATATGGGGAAGCACCCATTGATATTTACCGAGATTGGAATCCCGTACGACATGGATGACAAGTATGCATATAAAACGGGTGATTATAGTAGCCAAACCAGTGCCATGGATGCGAACCATTACGCCCTAGAAGGCAGCTCCTCGAACGGCTTTACATTATGGCTCTATACCACACAGGTATTCCTTCTCCGTAATTCGTTTTCAGGGGAAGCAGATTACTAAATTCTTTTGCAGAATGACCATGAATGGGGTGATCAGTGGAACGGAGAGGACCTGTCGATTTTCTCACTCGACGACCCTGAACTACCGAGCGGGAAGCTTTTGCCTGGAAACGAGTCCCAAGCCCAGTTTGATCCTCACTCGCCCGCGTATTCAGAAAGTCAAAGCAATACCGAAGGCCAACAGGTAGGACCCGGAAACCTGAAGCACGCTCTGCAGTCGCCTTCAATATCATCAGATTACTCTCAGTCATCAAAAGACAAAGCCGGGTATCGGGCTGCTGAAGCTTATATCCGCCCGAGTCCGATTTTCACCAATGGCCGGGTCTCGAGCTATCTGTTTGATCTCAAAAACTGTACATTTACGCTGTCATTAGTGGCCAAAGCAGGGACCCCACAAGATGCACCGACAGAAATATATCTACCGGAGTTCCACTTCCCGCAGACAGAAACCGTTGTCACTGTCAGTGTTGGAAAATGGGATATTGATCTTCTAGAAACCAACTCGATCAAGGTCCAACGTCTCCGATGGTGGCATGCTGAGGGCAATCAGGATATCAAGATCCAGGGTGTGAAGCGCAAGCCGGGAGAGGCATCCAATGCTCCCGGAGACGATATCTCTTATCTTGAGCAATGCCAAAAGGGAGGGTGTACAATTATGTAAACCTCTTTGGGTCCCGATTTGGATGCTTTTTATTTTCTCATTCTTCATCGTTTTTGGCGTCTTTTCGATTGGGTTGCCTCGAGGGCTTCTTGGATAGTATTCCGTGAGAGCAGGAGGGTGTTACAATGTTATATTTGAGCATTTCAAGATTCAATATGAAACTACTACATAATTTAGTACCTCACCGTCAATCTGCGTATACTATTTTACATCTAATTGGCTTCGTGGGCTTACATGCCGTCCAAACTCGCAGCTACATAGGTAATCTATGGACTTTATCTGATTTGCTCCATCCAAACAACTACTTCTACCCATCCAGGCGTGACTGTGTATACTATACATCCTGATTTAGAGTAAGAAATTTCGCTATAGATAATTTGGATGGGTCATATTATTATTAATTAATTTAATCACTAAGCCATGGTTTATTGTTTTTAAAATAGCTCCTAACCATTAAGGAAGTTGTCCCATTTTGCAACCTGGAAACTACCTACTGCCGTACCTAGTACTTGACTAACTGGATAACCTGAGTGCGCTGTCGGGGCGGGACTACTGGCTTATGAGCCAGATTTGTAGGGCGATCTGATGAGACTGAGGGCGATTGAGACCGAGAAGAAGTTGGAGAGTCTGACGGCAGATAGTATGCCTCACTAGCTTCTGCAATTACAGCTTGGAGTATCATGGTGGCTCTTTCCTCGCCATTTGGTAACGGTATATTCACTTGAACTGATGCATCGATCATGGCCGGCCTGGCCCATGGGTTGACTGGATTTGCTGCTATGAATATCCAGAGACGACACCAGCAGCATGTGCATAACGTTGCTGGGATTTGTGAGGGATGCGAGATGATGAAGCCCAGCCGCGCTCTATCCCATATAGCAAATTAGTGCGTTTGTTTCTTATGTGTATGGGTATACATACCGCTGGCGCATCCATTCAACCCCCAGAGGGGACCATGCAAAGGTTACCATCATTATAACCAACTGGATATCGATATTGATCGTCTCTATCAGCTTTGTAGCAGCTCCAACCAGAGTAGTGGTAATGTTCGACATTGTGAAGAATAGGTAGTAAAAGGAAGAATTAAGGATTGGACTGGAAATGAAAGGTCTGCTGTAGGTAATTCCATGAAGATCAATTATGGTGTGCACCTTTTTGGTCGAGTGGTTGTAATCAACAATGTTTACAGTAAGAAAACATCTGCTATGAAGGTGATTTCTCTTACTTCGAGGCCCATGCAGAAGGAAGCTACACTCGTTCCTGCCATATATATCTTTGAGATGAAGTTGATCAATGCAAGACAAGTGCTGGATTATGCAGTCGTGCCTGTCAGAAAAGAGAAAAAAGCGTCTCATTTGCCCCGGAATCAACTTCCATTGGATGTCTGAGTGGGTGTTGGATTCAACGGAGGGGAAGACTCAATGGAAAGAGGACCTGTTTTTTATGTGAATATATATATTTATTGCATATGAATCAATGGCTTAGCTGTAGTTGACTAAACTAGCATACTGCATGTAATTTAATCAGTTAATCCATCACTTAACTCTGGTTATTTAGATGATAGATGATGCTATACTGGAAGCCAAGGATGCCCCTCCGGGAGGCTTGGTTGGCGGCCTCACTGCAAAACAGACGCAAGGATTCAGCTGCATAGCTAGTGAGCATGCCCAGTGTTACCAGAGCAAGATAATGCATCTCCAGGCATCCATTCGTATTGAATACTTAGGTTATAGAAGGAGGCAGTGAATGTCTGGCGGTGAAGTTGCCCCTCCAGTCGGTGTGGTCATTGGCACGGGAGCGCGTGGAAAATCCCCAACGGCGGATTTGTTATTTGATTTGATTTTGCTCCAACGACAACACGTCTTCCCCGGCAGTTGCGCGTCGAAAGAATACACACCAGGCAGAAATAACAAAGAAAACAAGGAACACCACTGCTTGGAGCACGCAGACTTTAGAAATAACCACTAGAGGCTTCGTCCATCCTCATCGGGAGACCGTTGAGCCGCAACGCATTCACTCGCTCTCTGCCTGATGGCCATTGCCGTTTTGTCCGCCCGCTGACAGAGCCATTTACTTCTTTTCTGGTCTCACCTCTCCAAGAGTCCACGGACCATGAAGGCATTGGTGTCGCGACTCGAGAAAGAGAGGTAAAATACAAAAAAAGTACTTATTAATATCCCATTAATTCACCAGATTAAGAAAAAAGCAAAAAAGCAAAAACAAAAACATGGCCGCGGAAGAGCTGTCGGAGAGCGGCATGGCCGACATCGTTCGTGCACTGGAGCTCATCCACAGCCCCTCGTCGACAAATGATCTGCGCAGACAGGCGTTGACCTTCGTGGAATCGCAAAAGGAGAGCAAGTCTGCCGCCCGTAATGGTTTCCTGCTGGCTTCCCAGACGGAGAACGCTCCCTTGGTCCGCTATTTCGGCCTGGGCCTTCTAGATCATGTCTTGCGCCACACTTCTCTCACCTCCACGGAGCAGTTGACCGTGTTGAAAGGTCTCGTTCTCAAACTGGCAGAGGCTGTTCGACCGGAAGATCCACCGTATCTCCGCAACAAAATCCCCCAGCTATGGGCGGAGATCGCGAAGCGCACGTGGGGCTTGGACTGGATCGATATGGACGAAACCTTGGTCCAGTTCTGGCAGGCCAGTCTTGTCCACAAGGAGCTTGTACTGTTAATCCTGGAGACCCTATCCGATGACATCTTCTACCGCGAGGACACAGTCTCGTCCTTACGCGGACCGGATCTCAACCGGGCGCTGGTCGAGATCTGTACGCCCTTTTCTGTCTTTCAAGAAATCTATCCGCAAAGAGATCACCATGTTGAAATCCGGTGCGGAAGTGAAGGCTGGCTGGCCAGAATCTGTGAATTCCTGGGGTATTGTGTTGAGAACCTACAGAACTCCAAGCAGGCAAGAGACTCTGCCCTCAAAGCCCTTGCGACCATGAAATCCATATTAGTTTGGTCAATCCCCAAGGCCATTGTCAACTCCAACTGCGTGGCTAGTATTGCGAGAGCTTTTACTTGCCAGGATGAGCAAGTGCTATTGGTAAGAAAATCACTAACCTATAGACTTGAATGTGGTACTAAGCTGTCTAGGCTGCGGTGGAAGCATTGCATGCGCTGTATAGCAGGTCAAACTTTGAAATCGAAGACTTCCAGCCTCTTGTGCACCTGATGTACGAAACAGACTACCTGAACTTGCTGCAAAAGCTATACGAGTGGTCGGTTGTCGGGCCCGACGACATTGATGAGACTAAATACACAATTTCGAAGAAGCTTTCTGAGGTACTCTGATTTAAAAGCATCATGGCTGGGACATTAGTGCTAACCAGTCAAGATGTTATCATACGTCGCAGGATTCCTTGAGGAGAAGGGGTTCTCTCTAGAAAGCGCACACGGAATGAATCTCCCATTCTTCTTCCACCTCATGATCAGTGTCATTCAACACCAAAGCTTGAGCGTCTCGATACCTGTTCTACATGTATGGTCCAAATTGCTGGCGTCGGAAAGGATTGGGAACACGGAGCTGGTTACTTCATTGGCTCCCCCGTTGCTGGGTATTTGTACACAGCGGCTCATCCGCTGGGAATCACTCCCATCGGATTCGGAAGATCCAACAGTGGTGTTCCTAAACGAGGACATTGACACAGTCCCTGAACGACATGCCTTTGTGGGCAACTATCGACGGTATTGCTCATCGATCATCGAAACAATCGTCCAAAAGAGACCACAAGAGGCCATTCCCCATATTCTCTCTGGAGTTGACACTAATTTGAATAACCTTTACAATGGAGTTGAGCCTTTCAGTGGTAGGTTCTTGTTCATGAAATAGACCCAGGTATATAATAATAAGACCTTTAGTGAAAACATTTGCAAAGGCCTCGATGCCACTCATGCGTGCTGACACTCAGTTCGCCGTTGTGGAAGCAACTCTGAAGGGTTACAACAAATGGGTGTTGGCTCATGGGAAAATGCCTCAGCAGGACGTATGTATACCGAGGTTCTCGGGGTACTATTTGGCTAATCAAACACAGGAGCAGAAGAGAAGCGAATTGGAAAGTGCTCTTGAAACATGGGCGCTCAGCTTAATGCAAAGAAACTATGATGTTAGACTCTCTCACATGGTAGCAAACTGAAATTCCCATATTGACTTTAACTTTTACAGGACCCCGTTTTGAAGCAACGGATCATCAAGCTCGTGGTTGACATCTCGGCCAGAACTTTGGACAAAACTCCCAGCTTTGCTCTCAAGGTTCTTGAGCATATCCTCATGACACGCCTTCCCGACCAGCCAGAATTCCCTGCTTACTCCGAGGCTGTGAAAGAGCTTCATGGCTTGGCAAGTCATGAGCTAAGACGTCTTGCCATGCGTTATGCTGAGTATTTCTCGGTATGTTGGATAAGACATGCGTATTATCTGGGGTTGTGCTAACGTGAATACGTAAGACCTTCTACGATTTGCTTGAACCGAAGATCAGAGAGATTACCCTTGCCAACCGGGTGGACGACAAGCTGCAGATGGAGCTTACATCGATCCTTCTCATAATAATGTATGAATTATTGAGTTTTGTCATACTTTATAACTAGCATCACTAACTTCATTAGGCAACGAGCAAGCAACGTGGATCCATACATTCGTCAGTCCCGATTGACATCGTTCTTGGAACCTATCAGACAGGCTTGGCAAGATGAGGAGTTCAGAAGAATGAGCTCGTCGTTTGAGGGATTCTGCTCCATGCTTGGACTCCAAAGCGTGGGGCCATACATGCTGGCGAAAGAAGCACATAAACTGGAGGACTGGACATCGGTCTCCTTGGATAGTGAAGGCAAGCAGATCCAGGAGGAGATGACACGGAAGTTCCAGGTGCGTTGAACCCATCTTTTAATGTGGAAGCAAATACTGAAAAATTCTCCAGCATTTGCCATTGAGAGGCACCAAGACAATGTTGGCAGTTTCCACCGAGAAGCTGAAGAAGGGCGAACCCGCATATGATCTTGCGTGTAATATTTGGCACGACACCATTCCGATGATTCTACCGACGCTGTTACAGCTTGTCAGGTAAAATGACTCCCAGCCCTTTTCAAAGCTAGTAAGCTAATCAGCGCCAAAGCAATGCCCATGCTTTCCACAATCCAGCCAATTGGGATGGTCTCACCAATGAAATGAAATCGGTCGTCGAACGTATCTTGACCGATAGATTCTGGCAGGCAGGTATTTCGACAGGAAGTCGCGATGAATTTTATGCTAAAATCACCTCTTCTCGGGCGTCTGTTGAGGGATTCGCATCATCTGTTCGGGGTAAAATCAGAGCAGTTCGGGAGTCTTGCTACTCTATGTTATTCAGCATGAGCAGAATGCGAGAGCACTTTTACGGCTTTGCAGAGCTTCCAGGACCCCTGTCTGAAGCTTTGTTCAAGGACTCGGAGCACCTTTCATCCCACCAATTTTCTGTCCTGCTCAATATCTCGCGATGCCTCATCGATGACTGTCCGGTGCGATTCCGTGGTCATTTCTTGCCTCCGATGCTTTCAACGCTGTTCACCCATATCGATAGGAAGGTGACAGCGGAATGGGATATTATCGAGCAGCGAAGAGAGGGGTTGGCGGATGGAGATCTTACCACTGAAATGAAATCGGAGAGTATCCTTCGACAGCTGACTTATTCTGCGGTCATCATGGTGGCAAGCCTTTTGGATCCACAAAGAGGCGGTAAGCAAAACCAGGAAAACTGATGCCTTTGCTTTTTTACTGACGTTGTTGACATCTAGACCCCGACGAAGCTGATCCAGCGGATCCAAGCGCACAGCAAGCACCACCTCCACTCTCCGATTCGATTCGTCACTTTGTTCTATCATCCCCAGAGATCTTCGAACCCGTGATGCTTTTCTGTACCCATGCACTTCGTATGCGTGATACTAGATGCTGCAGCATCATCACCCGGGTTATCCGGTCCATTTTGCAGGATTTTGCTCCTCCCCACAACAGTCCCACCACTGCGACAATCCGCGAATTCATCTCCTCGGAGGTTCTCAAAGCCTGTATCACATCTGTTCACGAGCCCTACTTCGTGGACATGCAGAAGGACCTTGCCCAGTTGATCGCATCCATTTGGGTTCTCTATGGGTCAGTCAGTCCGACTCCGCGCTCTGTGATCCTAAGCCTGCCTGGCATGAATGAGCAGCGAGTTGCACACACCGAGGCCGCTCTCGTTCGCTCGACTGCGGCACGGCAGCAGCGTGCTCTCATCTTGGATCTCTTGGAAGGCCTGAGAGGTGTTAGTATCGCCGAGCAAGGTAAGATCCTGGGCACACGGGAGGAACGTCGGAAAGCCAGGAGCGCACTACAGGAGAGGTACATGACCAGCGAAGCGATGGAAGGCCAGCAGAACCTGAAGGTTGATATCAACGATGGACCTGATCTAGGTGGGGTAGCCGACATGTTTGGTTAAAAGGCTACTATCCAGTTTATCTCCAAGAGTTTTGTACAATACCTCAAGTCTGGTTTGGTCTGGTCTGCTGCACGTTTTGGTACCGTAGTTGTTATATACTTATCCTTATGTGGGGTTTAGCAGGGTTGGGAAGGGGGCATTACTACTATATAGAGGGTCTTGAGTGAGCGGTTAAACAGATCGATTCATGAAAATAGAAAAAGAAAGGGGAAAACGAAAGAAAAGAGAAGGGACGTTGTGAATACCAAGATCAAACAACACAAAGCAAATGGATACTTCGAATAGACAACGGGGTAGAAAAACACATTTAATAAACTAATCAGTCTCACTTCCAGACGGTATATCTACAGCGTACAGCATTTTGTCCGAAAAAAATTGAAGCACTTCCTTCATTGTTGCACCGAAAACCAACACACCATAACACAACTTTCTGCGGGAGCACCAGAGCCGCGCCTTCGTTTTCCTTCCATATCATAAAAAGCAGGATGAGATATGCATCTCAATGTGGGGTGTAAACAGGAGGCAAATCCAAGCACATAATAACTTCATCACGTTTATTGAGTGACTTGGGATGGGGTATAGACGAATGTAGGGCGGATGAATCTATTAAACGCAATCAGCAAAACCCACAATTAACTCCACATCAGACAACAAGAATGCTTAGAACGTACCGGTCAGAGTTGTAGACCTTTTGTTCGCTGCCCAAGAGCTCCTTTTCTCTGGCCTTGTCGGCAAAGTGTCTGCGGACCTGGTCACGGTCTTCTTCGGCCTGAAGGAGAGGAACCAAGTGGAGGCGGGACCACATCTTCTCACGGGCAAGTTCACTAAACGCAAAAAAAAATCCCATCAGTCATTCTGTTTTAATCTTCTTCGGATAGATGATATATAAAGAACGCTCGCGGTTTTCCTTCAATCCCGAAGCGGTGGGCCGGGGCCATCTTGGCGGAGATGGGGAAGCAATTGAGACATACTGTTGTTCGCGGACACCGTGGAAGAGCTTGTAGTAACCGTAGGCCATGACGAGGTGCATTCCGACGAGGTAGGTGACAGGGCGGAAGCCACGGGCAGGGACGTTGCGCTATATCACAGGATTAGCCCGAATCGAATCTCACGAAGGGGATTGAATTATTGCAAGTGCAATAATTGACGAGGTAAAATGTACCTTGTACTGGACAGGCGCATAGCCCCCCTGTGGGGGCATATCCTGAGGCATGGTGAATGACTTGGAGAGCGATTAAACGACGACGGTCTTCAAGTCTGGGGCACGGAGGAAGGTCGAGATACGATGATGCCGGACGAACGAAGTTGGTCGGGTCACGTGGGATCGTCCTGGTTTGGTAATGCGGGCTGCGGGGGATTTGATTGGCTGTTGCCGATTTTTTGTGGTTTCCTTCCGACTGACAGCAGCGAATAGAGGGACATTTATCTGCCGTTTGCTCTTCATTCTCCGGGAATTTACCATCTACGAGACTACGACATGATGGAAGGGGAAGAAAGACCGAGGAAATTGGCCAAGCTGGATCACAGCAAAATGCAGGAAGATTCTGAACCCACAATGACTGGCGCACTGGACAAACCCGATCTTGCGGATGCGCACAATAAGAAGGCCGACGATGATGATGTCTCTGATAATGAAGCCTCTCCGGCCAATGGCGAAGATGACGGTTTACAGACCGGAGAAACTGCTGCCGGCGACGGAAATGAAGCAGAACCTAAACTTTCCAAACGTCAAATGAAGAAACTCCAGCGAAGAGAAAAATGGGAAGAGGGGCGCGAAGATCGCAAAGTGAAGCGCAAAGAAAAGCTTGCCGCCAGGAGAGAACGGCAACGAGCTGAGTTGCAGGAAGCTAAACTGAATGGCAAGGAAGCAACATTAGCAGCTCGGAAAGCGCAGGAGTCGACAAAGCAGCGATTTGCACGATCAAAGCTCCTCCCAATCACGTTTATACTCGATTGCGACTTTGACGATCTGATGCTCGACAATGAGCGCATTTCTCTTGCTCAACAGCTGACCCGTTGCTACTCCGACAATAGCAAGAATCCCTACCGCTCTCACCTGGTATTGTCTTCCTTCAACAAGAAGTTAAAGGAGCGGTACGATAATGTTATGGCAAAAATGTACAAGAACTGGAAGGGTGTTCGTTTCTTCGACGAGGATCACGTACATGCTGCCGCACTGGCAAAGGACTGGATGGCTGGACCAGAAGGAGGCCAGTTGGTCGGTATGTTTACGGACAAGACAGATGCCAAACCAGAAGATGGAGAGATCATATACCTCAGCAGCGACAGCGAGAATACATTGACGGAGCTGAAGCCATACAGTACATATATTGTTGGAGGCCTGGTGGACAAGAATCGCCACAAGGGCATCTGCCACAAGCGGGCTGTTGAAAAGGGAATCAAGACCGCTAAGTTACCTATTGGAGAGTATATCCAGATGGCTTCCCGATCCGTATTGACAACCAATCATGTTGTTGAGATCATGCTTCGATGGTTGGAATTGGGAGACTGGGGTAAGGCATTTATGGAAGTGCTTCCCCAAAGAAAGGGTGGTGTTTTGAGGAAGAAGGGTGATGAGGCAAAATCGGAAGCTAAATCTGAAGATGAACAGGATGAAGCTGAAGCTGAAGTGGAAGAAGACCAACAGACTAAGGAGGATGTAACGGAAGTTATTGAAGCTTAGGATGATGGCATATGTACAGTATCTCACGATTGAATATCCATGACTCCCATTCATTCCACCACGTAGGCTCAGATAGCTCAGACAGCCCTCAGATATCACTCATTCTGTAATCAAGTTTAATCGTCTCCATCAAATAAAATTACCTTGAATAAAAGTAGCACTTGAATAAAACTAGCACTTGAATATCATGAACCATGAATGCTGCTTACATAACGCACCGCCACCGTTGCCACAGTCCGATCGATGACGATCGCAGAATAACAAACAACCACTTTTTTCTCTCCTTCTGAGCAACCAAGAAAAAGACCAGGTCGATTTCTTTCTCGAGTCCCTCATCGGTTAAAGGACTATTATGCTCCTTTGCTGCCTGTGATCTCTTTCTTTTTCATTCTTCTTTCCTTCCCTGTCTTTCTTTTATTCCCTGCCCTCCCTCCTACCCAACGAAAATAAATAGTTGCTGTTGCTCAGCAGCCAGGGCCAGCTCGCAACCATGTTTATGCTCCGCAACGGTACGTACCCCGCCATCAGCCTTTGCAACATCTCCCGATCTCCATCCATGAACGATCTTCATAGAAAGCCATTGGTTATCATCTACTAATCCCTGACTTTTAGTGAGCAAATATCTCTTCGGAGATACCTCGAAAGAATCTATCATCGAAATCCCGCAAGGCCAGCTGTATCTGGTCCGCCCCCTCTCGCCCAAGGGATATTCGGAACTCATCTTCAAGGACGCCGCTGCTTCTATCCGGCGTACTGGACAAGACTTTCAGTACCAGCTTGTAATCCAGAGAGCCTACGAGGAAGGCGAAGAGGAGCTTGCCGACGACGAGGACGAGCAAGGTGCCGCTGACGGTCTTGACAAGGACGAGAAGGTCTTCCTTCTTGACCAGAGTCTGCACTTCCGGTCCGAAGTTCGCGACGGTGGTGTGAAGATTTTGGCCTGGAGTGACTTGAGTGGTGATCTGGGTGATCTTTTCGAATTCGTGTGCGACCCCGCAGTCCCCTCCGACAAGGTCGCCACCTTTGAGCTTGCAGCCGTTCAGTGTCAGTACGAACGGAAGCACAGACGAAGTGCCCAAAAGGCAACCGAGTCGGAGCTGGAAGAGTTTTCCTTCCAAGAGGAGAAGCCCATTCCGTCCGCAAGCCCCATCGCTTCCCCGGCAACCAAATCTCGAGCACACTCTATCGAACCACCTGTTGATTCGACTGCTGCCATGGCTAAAGACGTCGAGTATTCGCGCTCCAAGGGGCATATAAAACCTGCCGATTCTGGCGTGGAACCCACGACTGCTCCACCCTCTGCAGCACAGCCTGAGGCTCAGGAAATCCTCGCCAAAGAATCGGCTGAGCTGCACCTGTTTGACTTTACCACCGGGACCTTCGTCCAGCAGGATGAACATGTGACTGCCACCGTGTCTGAAATTGGCACATGGCAGTATTGGCTCCAGATCAGTGGTAAAGAGCGGGAATGGCTGGGGCAGGCGGTCATCGCTGATCTTAACCCCGTCTTCAATTTCGAATACCTTTCCTTTATTTTCAACCACTATAGCGCGGATGGTTCTGCCTATTCTTGGCTTCTGCGTTTCAAGGACCAGGAGACCGAGGAAAGGTTCCAAGAAGGTGTCATGCAGGCACTTTGGGAGCAGCTGAATGAGATGAAATGGAACAAGGTCAAGGAGAACGACCGAGATTACGTCTTGGACGCTTTCCAGGATCTTACAATGGAAGATCAACAAACAGAGGAACAGGAAGAGGCCGAAGCGGGAGCCGAAGCCGAAGAAGAGGAAGAGGAAGAAGACCAGGACGACGGGCAGCGCAGCGAACATTACGATTCGGACGAGGAGGAGGATGATGTTGTTACACGCGATAGTGACGGAAACGTCAACTCGCAGCTCGCAGTTGGTTACAAACATGACCGCTCTTTCGTCGTCCGGGGCTCTAAGATTGGTGTCTTCAAACACACCCCTAACAACAATCTTGAGTTCTCTACCAATATTTCCAAGGTTGAGACGCCCGGCGGTAAGCTGTTCAGTCCTAAGAAGGTCATGTTGCATGCAGAAGACACCAACATGATTCTTCAAAACGGCGATGACCCCAACTCGCTGTACCGCATGGATCTCGAGTACGGAAAGGTTGTCGACGAGTGGAAGGTCCATGAGGATATCCCAGTCAAGACTTTTGCTCCTGAGAGTGTAAGTTCTGTCTTTTCTTTTTGTCTCTTAATATTTTACTAACTGTCTCGCAGAAATTCTCGCAAATGACCTCGGCTCAGCCCTTTGTTGGTGTTTCTCAAAACGCTCTTTACAGAATTGATCCCCGTCTGTCTGGCAACAAGCTGGTCGACGCGGACTTGAAGCAGTACACGGGCAAGAACGAGTTCTCTTCGGTTGCCACAACTGAGAAAGGTTACCTTGCGGTGGCATCAAACAAGGGAGACATTCGCATGTTTGACAGACTTGGAATCAACGCCAAGACCCATATTCCTGCCTTGGGCGAACCTATCATCGGTTTGGATGTCTCTGCTGATGGTCGTTGGGTTCTGGCTACCTGCCGAACCTATCTCCTCCTTATTGACTCCCTCCAGAAGGACGGCAAGAATGAAGGCAAACTGGGCTTCGAGAAGTCGTTTGCCAAGGACTCGAAGCCTCAGCCTCGTCGTCTGGGTCTCCAGCCCGCACACGTTGCACAGTTCCAGCATGAAACGAAACAGCCAATCTCTTTCACTCAGGCCCGTTTCAACACTGGTGTTGATGCCGAGGAGACCTCGATCATTACGGCCACTGGACCTTTCATTATCACCTGGAGTTTGAAGAAGGTCGTTGCTGGACGAAAGGACCCGTACACCATCAAGCGGTACGGTGAGGACGTAATGGCGGACAACTTCAGATTTGGCTCCGACAAGAACGTGATTGTCGCCCTGCCAAATGAGGTCAACATGGTTGCCAAGAGGAGCTTCCAGAAGCCAACCCGTGAGAGCATTGCTGCTCCAGTCACACCCAACCGTCGTGCAAGCCGATGGGCAAACAGATTAGGAAGAGATGACATCGTCAACTCTCCCTACTAGTGGATTTTTGAAGCATCTAACTAGACCGTTTCCACCCTTTGTCTCTGGCTTCCCCTTTTTTTCCCTTTTCTTTTCCTTGATGTATCAGTACCGCATACCCCCTGTTGTTTTTGGCTTTCCTTTACTTTCTCGCCTACGTTACGTTAGGATGGTTGATGATATTTCTTAATGGCGAACACGAGCTTTGAAGATGTTAATGACGAAAAAGGCATTGTCAGCCTGTCAGGACTCTTAAATGGTGAAGCAACTTGGGCTTTAATATAGCAACATAGTTAGCTAATAATATTTAAACGGGTTCCCAATTATTCCAACTTATTTCCGCTGCTGCTTCTCATTTAGAGCTATGAACATAAGATTTGAGTGAGACCAAAACAGTGATATGTAGTAATCCAGTAACGATGCAAGGCACGATGGCGAACCAGCCACACACCGTGCCCGGGTATTTGATGTAGATACAAGGGGCCTGACAAGAGGGTGAGCACCCTGATTGCCCAATTAGATAGATAGTAGCTGAATAACTTTTGACTTTTCGTCCTGCCTGTACAAACTGCGGCTTCCCCTCAAGCGCCTACATACCACACTTCAACGCCGAGGATGTCGAATTTGACACCCTCATCGGAAAGATGTTCGTTTCCAAAAGTTTGGCATGAGGCACTGACACCCTTTTCAAGGTTAGAATCGATCCAAAGACCGTAGTGACCATCACTGCGATGTGCGTTAGCAATTGAATTTGGCCAAGTCTTTTCTGCTTTCGAGAGATATAGTACTCACCCTCCACCCAAGCTAAGGAAACCCGTTTCACAAAACATCATATAATCATTAACACCACTATACGGGAAAGCCTTGAACCGAATGCGCTCTGGAGTACTAGTTCCACTCGCATGGGAGCCATTCATCTGAGTATCGACCAACGGCGGCGCAAGACGATTCTCGATCTCCTGGCTTTTCTTCTCCCCTTTATCTCCCCGCAGTGTCGTGAATCGGGTCGCGTGCGTGGTATCCGCACTGGGCGGCGGCGGCAATCCAGCCAGCTCGAGCAGCTCCTCCGACTGGGGGCCTTCATTGAGGCCCAGTGTACTCGGGGGAGGGAGGACACTGGCGCGCCACAGGAAACACTCGCCGGTACCGTAGTAGTGGGAATTCGGATGCGGGGGGTCGGTCATGTAAGCGCCAAAGACGGCGGCAGAGGGGGAAGAGGCATCGCGGACGATGAGGACATAGCCGGCGCGAGGGCTGCGGGTGGAGAATTCGCGGCAATTTTCGTAGAGGGTTGCGAGGGAGGCGCCGTCGCGGTCGAGGCTGTATGCTAGACGCCAGGTGTCGACGAGTTGGAGGCGGGCGGGGACGAGGAGGCGGATTTCCTCAGCGAGGGCGCGGGTGAGGAGTTGTTGTTGGAGGGAGCCGTGGTCGATGGTGAGGGAGAGTGGGGTGAGAGGGGGAGGTTGGAAGGGGGAGACGGTGCGGACGGGGGTGAAGACGTGAGGGGAGGTGGAGGTGTTTATCGAGGCATTGTTCGTGTTGCGGGAGAATTTGCTCGAGGCGGAAGAGTTGGAGTCTGTGAAACGACGATAGAGGCCGGAGACGACGTGGCTGACGGGGTAGGAGAGGTAGGAAGCGGGCGACTGGTTGAACGAGGATTGGGGATGGTTCTTTTGCGGCGTGCGAGATCCTGATCTCGAGCTGGAGGAAGAGGTGGTGGTGGAGGGCGGTTCGCCCTGGGATGTGGACGACATGGATGGCTAATGTTGAATGTATACGAGATGGTCGATGAGATGGAGAGTCAATTGAAGACGAGAGAGGGCTAGAAGGTGTGGATGGAGGAGGTTGACAGGGTGAAGCGCGGATCCAGAGATGATGAAGTGGTGTGTTTCATTCCTCCTTATCGGCCGCTGATCGCATCTCCCGCGAGGAGAAACCGATCACACGAGGGGCCTGTCTGGCGTATATTGGGCGATAAGAAGAGGTTTATCAATCAGCGAGGTTTTAATTTGATACATCTGATGATGGCGCTACCCAAAAAAGCAATTTGCGATGAGTACAGGATAGCTTCGATTATATCACCGTTTGCCGATGCGGGAGATACGAAACAACCACAGCAATAAAGATATATTCTAAACTAACATAATACCATTTCTATATCCCTGTTTTATAGCAAAACATACATCCTGACCATGTTCATTCTTCTTGCCCTGGCGCCCAACCCTGCCCATTTGCCATCCTAACCCATCGCCTCTTGCACGTCCATCCATTCCCCAGGATATAAAATACCAAACATCCACCCATGGTTGATTGCTATAGCCTCGTATCCTCGGTATTCCATTCCGGACTGACGTCGAAAAACGCCATCATGACTGCAGTCCGTTCACCTAGGTATAAAAAGCAGCGACGTCTAGTGCTCCATATCAACATAGGTTAAAGGTTTTGCCGCTTAATCATCGACGAAATCACCAGAAGAAATCAAAATGTCGTTCGATCCATCTCAAGGAAACCCAGACAACTTCACCATCAGACCTGGGGATCAAATCTCGCGGATCAGTCGTAAGGGCGGGTCGAATATCAACCAGGAAAACACGGATCTCCTGGTATGTTTGGTTCTTCATTGGATTTCTTCGTGCTGAACAAGATATAGAGACGAGTAAACGACTTGCGTACCGCGCAAAAAACAAGCTCCCAGAAGGGACCACGGCGACGACGTTCTCCCACGCCGTCACGAAAATCCCGTGCGAGCTCTGGGTCTGGGGCACGCCGCCGGTCGTCCCAATCCCAGTCTCGTTCTCGTTCTCGGGCTACTTCTCAATCTCGTTCGCGTCGTTTCTCCTCTTGAGGAGTTGATAGACACCATCATGCTTTTTTGGACGATGTCTTTTGTAACATATTGTACGATATGCAAGATAGAACGAGATTGTATATATTGACTGGTTTTTGAAGCCAGTACATGCCCATTGCGTGGTGTATGTCATCATGAAGCATGAGGAATTCTATTGGATAATTTGATAGGTGAAGAGGTTGTCGATAAAAACAATATATTGCAGACTTCCAGAGTTCTGCTATGAGATCAACATTGTTGAATGGTTGAATGCAAGGCCACATAAGCTAACACCAGTATGCTCCCACAAAAGCATCGCCATGGAAATTGCAATAGTTCCATTCATCTAGGGGGTATTGGTAGTTTCATAAGGATGTATCATAGCCCATCGTAAAATCAGAAGGAATAGCCTTTTTGGTGGGAGGATTGGTCAGTTTTAGCAACCCTTTGAACGCTGGTCGACCGTCTCAAATTCCAGCCCCTTGGCTTCGAAGACATGGCCTGGTCTCAGTGCATCCGTATATACATTCGACTCTGCATGTGGATGGAACAGACCAGGCTGGGTGCAGTTGAGCACAGTTTTCAGCCCTGGCGGATCCGTCAATCGGAACACACCCCAGTCAGGTGTCTTACTTGGGGCGCACACAATCGCGATGCTCTCAGGCAACATCACTTGGTACCCGCAGTGGGTGTGCAAATCTCTCGAGCTCATGAAACAAGTCTGGCTTGGGTGAGTGTGAATCCAGCCCAGCACCATCAAATCCTCCTTGTCGCAGTAGTCAAAAATCGCCGACTCGTTCACAGTCTCACAAGTATCCGATGTCGATGTCTGCTCTGGGATAAGCAGCCTGGAGACGAATAGGGCGTTCGAGATCAGAGTTCCACAGAGTATACCACATGTCTCTAGGTTTTGGCGTGTGTTGGAGCTAGCCAGTGACAGAAAGCGTGATCGTAGATCAGGGGGAAGAAAGACGGTACGAAGGGGGGTACCGTTCTCGAGATAAGCAGATGGTTTGAAAGTAAAACTGGATGGATCTAGGTCTGGGTGCGAGGATTCTCCATTTACCGGTGTTGGTACCTTATCCGGAACAGCTGGTGCTGGCGATGGTGATAACTTGCTCGGACGTGGCGGTGGGCCATCCAAGCCAATAAGCCCGTTGCTCTCAAACCCTTCTTTTGGAGGCAGAAGCGGAGGCTCGGAACGAGTATAGCTTTCGTCGCATTGGTCTACTGTTGGTGTAGCAGGAACCAACGGTCTTTGTCGGGGCACGGTTGGGTACTTGTAAGCTGACCCAGAAGAGGGCACAATAGGCTGCGGCCCAGTAGGTTTCGTGGACTTTTGTTGACGGTAATTCTCAGCTTGCGCACTGTCCATGTTGACTTTCACTTCTTGGATTCGTTTACTCAGGTCATCATCGGTTTTTCGTTCGTCGCGGTCAAAAGCATTTTCCCAGTCGCCCCATACGCCCGCGGTACGTCGGCTGTGTTCCTCTTCTGGCGATATCCCAGCTTGTCGTATTGCCTTTTTAACTGTCGCCCTTCGACTAATTTCTGTTCGTGCCAGTCTAACTGCCAGATCCTTATTCTCGCCAGCTTCCAACGGTTCGGCAACGCCCGCCAATGCGGGGTCATGAGGTTGTCTGTGAATAGAAGGAGCAATGCTTGTAGCAGGAGGCAGTTTTCGAGACTGACGATCCCGCATCAACTGAGTATAACGCTCGTACCGTTTATTGATTCGTGGTTTCAGCTCCTCCAGCTTTTTAAGACTTATTTTGACCTCCTTCTCTGCTTCCACCAGACCCTTGCGGTTGTGTTCCTCCTTCGAATCGGGGTGCTCAGAAAGATTAACCAGCACGAGCCGGGCGTATCTGAATAGTAAAAGATAGGTTTGCTCATCGTGTCCTTCTCGTTCGTAAATGCGGGCCTGTGTTTGTTTATTGTCAGTCTAAGCGAACACTAGACCAACATTGAATGAACCAACCTCTCGAATGAGCGTTGCGGCTGTCCTCAGCCAGTATTTAAGTGGGATATGCGGGTTATATTCATAATCCTGGGCTGATCGAGTGATCGCCTCAACGCTCTGAGGGGGTGAGGCCCCCGCGCCCACAGAAGCAGGCAGATTGGAAGCCATCGGAGCGTGTATATTTCGGGCTGTGCTTTCAGGTACAAACGATGTCGTCAATGGAAAAAACCTCGTTCCTCCAGATCAAATCAAATATCGCATGATCACCGTTTCAGAGTGTTGATCGAGATCTGGCGCGGAGACCAGTGGATGCCGTGGCGGGGAAGTGTCGCATCTAGGCGGCAGACGAAATCTTCTGGCAGGCTGACACCAATAAGGGCCCGGATGGAGGTTTAGATCGAGCAAGTCGGTTCCGTGTATCGGCTGGATGCCTGGGGATAGAGCATGGTGGTGTGGTGGTGTGGTGGGCTGAAAGTGCCTGCGGTGGTGACGTTGGGCGATCAAGTTCCCCTTGACGTTCGTTTCTTCTGGACCCGCCGGCGGAGCTTCTTTGTCTTCGCGATATTTTTGGAGATCTTCAAAGCTGCCACTGCGACGCATCTCAGCCATGCAGCTGTTAAACTTACAGGGCCTAAATTATTTACTCATTTAATCTTCTTACAGGCGGTCCAGTCGTGCAAGGCTTTGGTCTTGGACAAAAAAAGAAATGACCATCTCCCGATGGACGCCGCTCACGAAGTACCCGCTAACCTCAACGATCAACAAGTGCTTTCCACAGAGCGCAAAGAAGAGGGGGGTTCATAAAGCTGATATTGTGAGCGACAAGCTATGTGGTGAGCGCTGGATTAGACGAAGAGTTGAATTGGAAGCACATATGCTGATGGCTTTGGTATTTGACACACAGATGATATTCTTCAACGCGTCTCGCCTTTTTTGCGCAATAAACCCCCGGTGGATATCATTGATCTGTGGCCTGGAGCTGGGCTGTGGTCATCGAAGGTCAATGATTTCCTAAACCCGCGACGGCATGTCCTCGTCGAACCGAATTTGGCATCGTTCGAGTCTATTCTCAAGCCTCTGGCGAAGAGCAAGCCATGCTACGACCTACAGTCCATGGAGATCGACAAATTTGATGACTGGGAGAATTTTATTTCAAAACATCTGCCGGAACAGGGAACATCGAGTCGCGATAGTTCTGGCTCGTTGGCCAAGAACCATAGTTTGCTTGTTCTTGCCAACCCTCCCCCGAATAAGTCCAAGCGAGATCATTATACACCGGCACGATGGTGGTCAATACTTATGGAGACTTGTATGCGGCAGTCAGGGATCAATAGCTATGGCAGTGTGCGGCTTCTGGTCACGATGCCAACAGCTGAAGCCCTGGCGGTTATGCCACGATCCGTCATCGACCGCAAGCGGGTATCTCTCTTGACAGAGAGCATAGCAGGCCATGTGTTTGAAGTTGCAGGTACTGACAGCTATGGTATGTGGTCGAGTTGGAAAGGCCTTGGTTTGATCAATGACAACGCGGCTCGTGTCGCTGAGAGGGCTGCGGAGCAAAACGTCGTGGTCCCTGCTGGACGAGAATTGCCTCCTCTTCCATTGGCGCCAGAAAGCCCGGAGGGCTCTTCAAAAATCCATTGCCCCCATGCTCCTCGCCTTAGGACTAACATGCACGATAAAGTCTCTGATATTATCCACTCCTCCCAGGGCGAAAAACTCGATGCAGTGACCTCCAAACGTCGACAGCGCGCTCTGTCCCAACTGAACTTGGACAATCGGAAAGCTTATACGCGTGAACAGATGGCTATAAAGCAAAGGGAGCTCAATGGGCAGGTCAAGGCCTTGTCAAGAGCAGCGGCGGATCCAAACATAGACAACGAGGCACTGAAGTCGGTGGGGGACAAGGCCGAGGCCATGAAAGCCGCTCTTCTGGAGGAAATCTCTGCCTTGCACTTCGAGATCCAAAGAGATCTCTCGAACCAGTCCGATGATGTACGAGCCAGCATCCAGTCTGGTAGCTTTGACAGTGCTATCCTGCAATGGGACCGTCGGCCATTTGAGCCATTGTTCATTGAGCCAGAGGAGCTTTTCCCCCGAGAAACCACCGAAACCATGATCTATTTTGAAGCGAATGCCAATTCAAGCGTGATACAAAGGATCAACGCACTCAGCCCTTCTGAGCAGGGCGACCTCTTCCGGCTGTTTGACGCGCTGTCTCTTTCCTTTAGCAGCCGCAGCACCATGTCAACAGCAGAGCTTCTTAAATTGATATTCCCCGATCGAACCATTAATGACATTGTCCGATCGGTACCAAGCTTGTCGATCTTTGCGTGGAAGAGCCTGAAGTCCGATTTTGCCAATTGGCCGAGGACCGTCCAGGGGAGTGCTACAGAGCAGGAAACGGGCCAGCTCGACCCGGCTGCGTGCTTCCAGGAGAACCTGGATTATGATTTGAGCGGAGTACCTCTCCGGATTCTGAATGTTACCACATTGTGGGATATTCTCTTTGAGTATCACAAACAACCTATGAAGATATCCTCGATGCAATTGATTCGACTGCTGGGGGGTTCGTTAACCGCATTCAGATCAGGCGAATACGGTGACGTTTCTCGGAAGAGGTTGCATTGACCTGATTCTGTATTTATATGATGTTTTGGAGTTGGCTATAGTCAACAGTCTATGATTCCCAAACACATGGCATGTTTACGACCATATTATATGTACAATAGCGCAATTATATTAATGGTGATCAATATAATTCTAAAATATCACTTACCAAATAAACGATAAGGAATCACTTTTCATCTACTAGAAATGTAGCCATAAATAATCTGCGTATAAACAGTCTGCGTAATAATTTCCTCTTCCAGCGCGTATTCGGCTCTCGTTGCCACTAAATCCAGCCAATTACCAGCAAGAGCTCCACTATCTACATTGATGATCGATCAAAGAATCATCCACGAGGATCTGGATAAAAATGAGCAGACTGGGTATAAATACTGCTCAAGCCCTGCAGAAATCATCTCAGTCTACATCTTTTCTACCCAAGAAATATTTTGAATTCTAACTCGAAGATGCATTTCCTTGTGCTGGGCGCAACAGGTACCTTACCCCATATCTTACAGAATATATCTTCATAAGAAACATCTGACTTGGGAACAGGAGCCTGTGGAAGCAGATTCTGCCAGCTCGCACTCGAAGAAGGACACGCAGTCACAGCATTCGTGCGCAATGCTACCAAGATCCCACCAACGATACTCCAAAACGAAGCCGTACATGTGATTGAAGGGACACTCGACGATGAACCGTCTCTGGAGAGGGCCTCGAAATGCGGTGCAGACACGTTTGTTTCCTTTGCTGGACCTCCTGTTGGAGAGAAGGGGACGGTGAGTTATCATTCATCCTTCCATCCGGCTAATAAACATTACTGACAAGTCTATCCTCCAGCCCCTAACAAACGGCTACAAGGCCCTCATCCCCAAACTCTCCTCGCAAAACATAACCCGCCTCCTCATCCTCTGCACACCATCCTACACCTGCGACTCCGACACCCCCTCTTTCCTCTGGCGACTGGGGGCATGGACAATGAAGACCTTTAGTCCGGGACAGTATAGAGAGATGGTATCCGTTGGGGTATACTTGACTTCTCTGTCAGATACGGTACAGTGGACTTTATTCCGCGTTGGAGGTCTTACGAATGGTGCTGAGGAGCCAGTGGAAGCGACGTATCTGGGGAGTGGGAGGGATAAAATGTGGATTGGTCGGGGGAGTGTGGCTAGGTGGGTGTTGGATGAGGCTATTCGGCGGGATTGGGTGGGGAGGGGGCCTTATATTTGCAATGTCTGATATAGATGTATAATATAATATCATATAATGTTGGTTGAAGTTGAAGTTGGTTGACACATGACCAATAACCACCAAACTCAGCATCACCAACTCTCCATCTCCATCTCATCTCATCCCATCAACAACAATGCCCCCAAGACGCCCCCACCAGAAATCCCGACATGGATGCGAACGATGCAAATCACGAATAATCAAATGCGACGAAACCGGCCCTCCATGTTCATATTGTCTGTCGAAAAACGCAGAATGCCATTACTCCAGTTTCCGCCACGCGCAATTCAACGGCCAAGATCCAGCAGATGCACGTCCACAAGAACAACCCCAATTCCCAGCAAATTCAAATGTAGCAAAAACAACTCCAATAGAAAGAAAAAGAAATCAAATCCAAGACCTCCAGATAATGCACCACTGGTGCACAAAAACCAGCTACAGCTTCTCGGAAAAACTGCACGCTATCTTCCTCGACGATATCACCAACACCGCGCTCTCGCAGCACAACACCTATACGTATCTATTAGACTCGATATTCGCCTTGACATCTCTCCATATGGCCAGTGACGCCCATGAATCAAACTCAGACTATATAAAAAATGCCCTCGAATACCAAAACACAGCCGTCCCCGCCTTCCGCAGCGCGCTCGAGAACGTAACAGAATCAAACTGCGATGCACTCTTCGCCTCTGCAATACTCCTAATGACGTGCGCTATTGTCTCGCCGCTACTCAGCAAGCAGGATACTACCGCAAGTAGCTTACTCCTTCTATTCGACTTCGTCAAGGGCGTCCACTACATCATCTCCACCGGACGGGAATGGCTACAAAACGGCCCGTTTAGGGAATTCATCACCATCCACCCTGTGGAAGAACTTCTCAGTGATGAAATACCATTAAAACCTCCCATCCAATATCTGCAAATTCTAGACCCAACCAACGCTAAGAATAACGTCTACGACCGCGCTATCAAAATCCTGAACTACTGCTTCATTAACGATGACCTCGCTATCCCCTGGCTGCTCATCGTCGGGGACGAATTCATGGATGAACTGCAGAACCGGGAACCCCTTGCTTTGATGATATATATGTACTGGGGTGTTCTTCTGAGCCGATTAGATGGTGTCTGGTGGGCGAAACTAGCGGGGAGGAAGCTGGTGGGGGAATTATCCGTGTCAATACTATCTGGTAATATTCCAGGGTGTGGAAAGGAGTGGAAGGAAGCTGGGATTTGGGCTAAGAGGGAGGTTGGTCTTGTTGACTAGTTGTATATGAAATGAAAGGAAGTTGGGGTTGGTATTAATTTAATTAAATGAGAATTATATACACTAATGCAGGTTAATCACCACTAATCCTAGTCTGTTTGTTATTACTTCGAGGATTGTTTGACGGAGTAGTTTGTTAGCTTTGTTTGCTAAATAGTTGGTATTCAATAGTTTGGATAGTAATGTGATATGAGGTGATATTGTATCGTATCGAGTAAATAATAGATAGATAGATATAACATGCAATGCGTAAAAGAAAGAACAGAATCATGCAATCTTCAGGGTATCGTTATAAAGTATTAGTGAGGATTGTAAAAAAACAAATCAAGTCAAGTAATAAAACAACCATCTAAGAAAAGAGAATGTATATGCAAGATGCAAGTTTAATGCATATGCAAAAAATGCAAATCAAATCAAGCCAAACTCTCCACCAACCCCAACCACTCCGCAGAACTCATCCGCTGATCAGGCACCTTACAAACCGCCGGTTTGACAACCCGCTCAACGGTTCCATTGCGTGGGACCCGACAGCCCGTCATGCCGGACTGCGCGAATTCAATCACGCGGTGGCCTTCGCGCGCCATTGCGAGTCGCTGCATATTACTCGCACCCGGGTAGAGGAGCAGATCACCCGTGGCAGCCGCGAGAAGCGTGACAGCGAGAGAGAAAACGTCTGACGCCGGGGTGGGAGCCACGTCGGGGGAAGTGAGAGACGACAGTGAGAGGAGTTCTGGGGCGGCGAAGGGGGGCGTCAACGCGGTCATTGAGTTTCCGGCCTTTTTGGCCGGCGAGGAGGAGGTGGTGGTGGTGAGGTCGTGGGCGGAGGAAAAGTCAGCGAAGAGCGGCTCGAATGGAAACTCGTCCGGGTGGTCTGGGTTGACGCTGGACCGGGGCTGAAGGAGGAGGTTATGCGGTTTGATGTCACCATGCACGATGTGCGGGCCGTTGTGTAGCCAGGAAAGTCCGGTGACGAGCTTTTTGGCGAGATCCTGCCATGGGCCCATGCCTTGGACGGGATCGAACATGGTGCGAGTGGATTTTTCCTTTTGCGCGATGGCGGCTTTGTCCTCGATGTAGGTGGAGAGGGACAGCGGGACAGCCGACATGACGATCGAATGCGAGCTGGAAATGTAGCCGTGGAAAGGCACGACGTGGTTCTCTGAACCCGGGGTACAGCTCAATCGAGTGAGAGTCATTGCCTCGGCCTCGAGAACAGGATGCGCATCACGTCTCACCGGCGACTTGACGGCCACCACGCGACTCTCTGGTGATGATGCTGGCGAGCTAGGAGGAGTGATCATATGCGACTGCGACTGCGACGAAGCGCAAGACGAAGCCATGTAGACGATACTCCAAACGCCGCGACCAAACTCGACCAGACGACCTCTCTCGTCGTGGCGAAACTCCAAATCATCCGAAAACCCACGGGGACTTGAAATGTCCCGGTTCCTCAAGACAAAGTCTTTTGGTTTTTCTTCGGGAACAGATACGAACGAACTCGAGCGACTGAATGGCGCAGTGATCGCACTGACTTCGGAGCCATTGTCGTCGATCGTTGGAGTGACTGGGGGAGTATGATGTGGCGTTTGGATGAGTTTGCCATTGTGTTCTGTACGAACAGACAGAGCAGGTATATCCCCCGCTGTCATTTTGGTGGTGAGTATATAGTATAGTGTGACTCAGGCCGAGTCTATAGGGCAAAGTTTGCGATAAGCTTAGTTTCGCAATGGGATTATCGGAGAAAAGAGGCGATTAAGAGGGATTAAGAAGACAGAAGAACAGTCCGCAAAGGACAATCGAAGCGTCAATCAGAGCGGCGCAGCAGAACACGAGGACGAGAGTGTGGTTGGAGAGCGAAGCGCATAATCGGGGAACGATGACGAGGTGGCAACGTATACGAATAAGCTTATTTGCAGATGAAGAGGAGGAAAGAGAGAGGAGAAAGAGAGGAGAGAGGCGAAAGAAGAGGCGAAAGAGAAAAGAGGCAAAGAAAAGAAAAGAAAAGACAGAAAAGAAAGAAAAAGAGGGGACAGAAGCGTCAGAATGAAAAGACGAAAAAGAAAAGCCAGAGGCCTCGACCAAAACGGGTGGATCGACGGCTTCAATTACAGCCAAAATTACACGTTCGACCGAGTGCGAACCATGAAACAGCGAATCGGCCTTGTTGGTTATCTCCATATCATACATTCATCTCTATCTACATCCTAGTAGATGTACACTTGTACTGTCTGTCTGTATATGTACACTGATCACTGTCTGTATCTGCATATATATGTAGAGGTATGTTGTACCTTACTGACTGGCACTGTCGAAGATTCTTCTGGATGAACTGAACTGACTTTCCATTCGGGAAATCTGCAGTTCCCAAAGCGGACACCATACCCCAATTGGCTCTAGCGTGCCGGTTAGGGCCATTTCAAGTGGCCGAATCCGGTAATTGGGCGGTTATCAGGGAACCCTCGGACGGACTGGCTCCACTCGGACCAATCCAACGGCTGTCATTATCTGTCAGCAGTCTTTAGTATTCATAAGAGATAGAGATAGAGTATAAGATAGCGATAAAAGATATATTATGTATCATAATGATAGTATATATATAATAATAATATATATATCATAATATATACCCCTGTAGTACTACAGCAGTCCGCACATGACCAGACACTCAGACAGCGTTCTCTGGCCAATCCCCACCCCCACGTGGGTCTCAACAACAGGGAAATTAAAGCCCAAAAACACGCTTACGCAAGTCACTTTTTTTTTTCTTTTGCCGCATCCAGTTAGACTGAGGATTTTTTGTCATTCTCCCTGTGTAATAAGATATAGACATGTCTATACTTCATATCCTAAGCAAGTTGGTCTTCGCCCCCACCATTCATGACTTCATTTCTACCCAACTGGTTCATTGATATCATCTCATGCAGGGTATTCTCTCACAGGAAGAAATAACTCAGTCATTATAACCAAGCCAAGTCAACCAAGTCAACAGGATCGAATTCGCCTCCGACTCCCGCCTATCCTTGGTTCATACTTGATATTGCCCTGCACTTGTCGTAACCAGCTGACGATACGTTCCGCATCCAGCCCATCAATCGCCTTACTGGGTTTGCACAACTTCTGCATGAAGGATTCGCCATAGCTACTTCGGTAATCCTTCTGATCCATCAGATCCCTGAATATCGGACGCATGATTTGTCTGTCACTACAGGCGAATATTGCAATATCGCACTCCTGCAAAACTGCATCTAACAGGACAAGCGCATAATCGCCTAGGATTCTCACGTAGCCATCCGGGGTTCGATCCCAGAATGCCCACTCTGGGCGACATGGGCTTATGGCTTGGGTTTGTAGTCCAGTAAAAATAGAGTCCATGCGCAGGTGGTCGTGGTTTGGTTGAATCCGAAGCTGCCAATATGTCGTGTCGAGTTTTCGGTCCAGTGAGAAACCGTTGATGATTCCTATTCGCGAGGTGGGTGGCTGCTGAATGAGCATTCGGCGCCAGCTGGCATTTTCTCTTTCGATTCTTTCTATTAAATTCCAGATGCCCGTTTTGTTGTTTTCGGGTTGGTATGATGCTGGTCCGTATGGTTTGTCCCATAATTTCCAGGGAACAGTACAGCTCCAAAAAACATCACTGAGAAGTGGGTTGCGGATACGCTCTTGGTCTTTGCTGTCGGTAGGATGGAAAAAGAGAGCTTGTTGAAGGGCTTTGGACTGGGCGATGACTTGATTCCATAGTCGACATACGCGCTGCGCCGATATCAACAGTGTGCGTATATCCAGGAATATCAGAATGTGCTCCAGCAGTTCTGGAATACAGATTGCCACTGGCTCCATGTTGGTTGTGAATTCGTGATGTACACCATCACTTGACAAAAAGATTTTATCAGCCTACGTCTTGGTGAAGAATACGACATGATGACTCTATCACTTACCAACCTAAACCTCAACCTCAAAATCAACGACAGCTATCGAGAACCCGAAGACTCAACGTATCCCTTCAAATCCCGCACCCACGTCTCGAAATTCTTCTTCAACTGCGTCCCATACATCCACCGCACCACATACACCAAATATCCCACCTGCGCCTCCCAATTCCGAACCTCTGTCCCCTTTCGCATCTGTCCATCCTCACCCTGAACCTCGATATCAACCACCTCATGCACCCTCTCCGCCGTCAACAGCGATGCCGGAAATGCGCCTTTAGCCGTAGAATCGCCGGCCCAGACAATGCGACCGGGTTTGTGGGTATCTGCGTCTGGGGGGCTAAACTCGGTCACGACCAGGACGGCTGCTTGTTCGGTTTGCGGTTTTGTCGATGAAGGGTCCATGTGGACGTGGAATGTCATTTTGGTTCCATGTTGGAGGATGGGCGAGAGGGCGGTGTCGGGGTTGGAGTTTGGTTGTTCGCGGATAGTCACGCGGGGACAGAATGTATTCCAGGATGGCCAGGTTGAGGTGTCGATGAGGTTATCCCAGACCTTTTGCGACGAGGTGTCGATAAAGGCGGAGCTGCTGATGTGGAGGACTGCGTCGCAGGCTGCGATGTTGGGTGTCGAGTTGGATTCGAGAGTGGCCATTTTCGCCGTAAGCTGTAGAAGCTGGAGGTTAATGGGATCTTGGTGTCGTAGAAGGTTAAGAGATTGAGTTGGAGATCGATTAAGCTGTCAGTTCTCCATCCCTTGATGGTCGGAATCTGCCGCTGCAGAACAACCGAGACATGTGATGTCGATCTGATTGGTCAGCTTGGGACTTCTTCATTGCCTGTCATCATTAGTATAGTAGATTATGTTGATGTAGACTTGTAGACTGTATCTTTTGTAGATAGCTATATCATTGTGGTGAAGCTGAATTGAGCTCCAACTGGCCAAAGCATGTGACCTGCATTCACTCAACACCAACTCCTCTCTAGACACTCTCGACCAAGACTCCTCCTGCATCATCAAAAATCCACCAATTACAACGATCATCCTCGAACATCCCACCCAGCCGTTATTCTCCCGATGCGGAGTGAAATATCCCGTCCACTCAGTCCATCCCAATCCCTGTTTCTCCGTGTTGTGGAGATTAGTGCCCTTCTCGTATGGTCTGAAGAAATGCTGCATCATATAAATTGAAGAGGAAATATAAGAAAGGTATGAAAACTTGTCAATTATCGTCAGTCCATATCAATTCATCATGCTAATTTTTAAACCAGCCTCTCTGGCTTTGGCCATTTCCCTCCCCCTGGCATTGGCTGCAAACTCCAATTCATCGCGGAGCCAGCGCTGTGTCATTCCCTCCAAATATCGATCGACAAACGGCACAGCGGACGACTCTCCCGCTGTCTCAAAGGCCTTTGCGCAATGCGCCACCGACTCGGTTATTGTCTTTCAGGACGGGGTGGACTACAACATCTTTCATCCCATTAGTGCTACCAATCTCAGTAATGTAGAGATTCAGATGCTGGGCAACCTCCATCTTCCCCAGAACATCACAGAAGTCCAAGATATTGTCAGCTCTGGAGAATCTGTATGGTTCACATTTGAAGGGCCGCGCGTTGATTACCTTGGCTCAGGCAATGTGGACAATGGTTGGATCAACTCGTACGGTCAAGCCTGGTGGGATGCGAATCCTACCGGCAAATCTGGGATCGATGGCCGTCCCCATCTCATGAGCTACAAGACGAGCCAGGCCTCGGTGAAGCATTTCAAATCCAGGAAACCCATTGCGTGGAATGTGAAGCTACATGGAGACAATATTGCCGTCACTCATGCCATCGTCGATGCATACTCCACAGGTGGCTTTCCCTTCAACACCGACGCCTTCGATGTCAAGGGAACCAACATCAGCATTTCCGACAGCATCATGTACAATGGCGATGATGCAATTGCAGTAGGAGCAGACTCCCATGATATTGTCTTTGAGAGAAACACAATCGGGTATCAAACCCACGGCATGAGCATTGGGTCATTAGGCAAAAACCCATCTGACTTTGCGAACATCACCAATCTCCGATTCGAAGATGTCACGGTCATCGACGCCATCTACGCCGCTCGTTTCAAGTCCTGGAAAGGCGGACAAGGTCTCGTCAAGAATGTCACCTGGAAAAACATTAGAGTGTTCAATGTTACTTTCCCGATATTCGTAACCCAGAGCTACGAGGACCAAGGCGCTTCTCGGTCCGGGGAAATAGATCCCAGCTCCGCTGTGATGATGGAGGACTTTACTTGGGAAGACTTCTCTGGCTCTATCAACACCTATCAGCCGGGCGATGGGTCGTGTGTTACAGACCCATGCTGGTATGATGTCGGGCTCGAAAACTTAAAGCATACAGAAGCAATTGTCATCGAATGTAACACCAAGAAGTCGTGCAAGAACTTCACCACGAAGAATATCCAGCTTTATCCTCAGAGTCACCAGTCACCAAGTGTGATTTGCATGAATGCCGCAACAGATCTGAACCCAGATCTGGGCTTTGACTGTAGGAATGGTACCTACGTTCCAACCTCCAACTAAAGTCAAATCACATATCATTGCATCTATACATATGAACATCAGATAGAAGATCATACGTACCCATCCTATTCAATGCAAGTCCGTTTTCTGGATAATCGTTCTTACCACAAACTGCAGTCTGCAGTCTTCCTTCCGTTCTGTCTCCATTGGAAACCATCACTGAAGGCTGGTACTTTCCAATCAGGCAATTGCATGATATCCCATACCTTCTCGTCTTCTCCCTACTTTTCTCTTCTCTCTTCTCTCTTTTCTTCTTCCTCCACCCATCTGTCATTCTTTGCGAGCGCGCCCTTCTTTCGCCAAGCGCTCGTTTCGCTCGTTTCCGCCATCCTGTATCCTTTTCCCGTTTATTAAGTTTTCATATCTTACTTTATCCATCTCCCAACACCTTCGTCTATTACAATGTCAACCTGGCGGAACTTTCCGCAATTCAACAAGACGGATCAACAGTTCCCCATTTTCTACGTCTTGCGACCAGATCTAACGCCAGTCCCTCTGTTTCCTCTCGATGAGCTGCCAAGTTGGCTGCAATTCGGCTACTGGAACTTCAATGACCCTTGGTTGTACACCCAAATGGCGCCTGCCAGTTCTAACATGATTCCTCGTCTGGGTGAATACGATGTCTTTTGTCAGAATTGCCACTGCGATCCAGATTTTATCTATCGAAGTGTATCTGAGCGGAGCGAGAACAAGCTCGAGTCCCTAGCTTCCATGTTGTACGAGAACAAAAGCTACCCCGGCGCCTATGGACCAAACTCTCTGGAAAAACAGACCTCTATCCCGCTGGCCTCGGACTTTTTGAATTCGAACATGCCTCATCTAAACCAGCCCCCGTTCCATACCAATCTACAGAGTCCATTTGTCGGTATGTGTCTTGTTGACTATCGATGCCCTCAGTGGACTTTCGACGCATCACGAATTGCATCGGCTGTCTTACCGGCAAGTCTACGGGGATCCCAGAACCCAACAGGGTCTGAGTCATCCTCGAGGTCGACTCTGAATCCTCAAGCAGATGTGTTTGATCCGCCAATCAGGTCGGCGCCAATAACGCCACCTACCCCATTGACCGCCAGTGACTCTGGAAATGTAGATGTCTTCGTGATGTCGAACCCCAGTGCTGATGGTATCAGGACCAACGTCGGCCCCGTCACTCCCAATTCACCAAAGGACGGTGATGAACCGGTGTCTAGCAATGACTTGGCTATTGGTGTGGAACAGCTGAAGAAAGTTCTCGGCATTACGAATGACCATAAAGCTCCATTTCCCGGGCGCAGGAAGGTCAGGATGCCTCGACGTACTCGGGTTAGATCAAAGAGACGGAGCCCTTTTCCGCAAAGGCCAACGAAGCCACTCAGGCTCAGAGCCCATCGTGAGTTAGTGCAGAAGAGGGTTGTTGGAAAAAAGGTAGCCTTCGAGAGAATTGATGGACCACGTCAGGTGAACTCGGAGACCAAACGACAGCAGCGAAGGGAAAAGTTGGACAAGGGCAAGAAGCGTGTCGAACCGGGCAGTCGATACTGGCACATGATGAAGACACCGAATTGGCGGTCGGATGCTCCACAGTAGTGAGCTTGAAAACTTGTACTTTTTATTCTTAGATTGTTCATTCTTTTCTGTTGTTTCGTGCTTTGGCCTCTGGAAGATTAAAGTTCTGTTTGTATGGGCCATTGGGTTTAGATAGATTCATAGATGTAATCAATAATCAAGAGATGTTTATCTGGATATCTTGCTTATATGTTGTATTGACAATGTTCTATTTGGATGGTTCATATAGGAAGAATGTATATAAAACTACATATTTACAGACGAAGACATACACGACAGCCCAACCAACACCATCTATACAGTATCCAGAACTGAACTCGGATTCCGCTCCGGGTGATTCTCAGTGTGGCTTCCAATCACACTCGGCGTTGGCGAATTCGAACACTCCAGCCTCAACTCCCGTACAACCTGAATGCCATCCCCATCCGGATGTTGACCCCCATGTTCCTGCCCGGTAACACTAGCCGAGTAATGACTCCCCTCTGGATTAAACGCAGTACTAAAATCAAACCCCCCGTAGAAGTTCGCCTTCTTCTCGCGTTGTTGGCGGTAGGTAGAGGAGCGGACGAGAGGTTGCAAGAGATGAGGGAAGACGCGAGTGACGAGGGGACGGAGTTGGGGGAGACAGGCGCAGATTATGGCGACGTCGGCTTCGATTGAGGACCAGAGGGCTGTGAGAGCGTTGGATCCTGGATTCTTTTAGTATCTTGTGCTTGTAGGATATAGGGTGTATGGGGGAGACGTACGTGTTTCATCTGTACTGTTTACCAGCCTGACCAAGGTGACCAGACGGACAATACTCATCGCACAGACACTATTATAATCAGCACGCGTACCACCATAGTATGGAGAGAAGGAAATGAAAAGGGAGAAATACAAAAACCCCAACCCAAAAACAAACACCAACGCCCACTTCTGCCTCTTCGGCAACCTAAGCCTCGTAATGACCGGCATGGGCAGGACAACAATCACCAAGTCCGTCGTGATCTGGATCGAGGCATTCAGGCACCAAACGACTCGCTCTGACAGACAATTATCGCCTAGGTTGGGGTCCCAGAATGCGGCGATGGGGATGCAGAAGACGAAGGCGCTGATTGTCATCCAGAGGCCGGTGATGGTGATTAGGATGATGATTGCGAGGGTGACGATGCGGTAGCGGGTTGTTGGGAAGAGACGGCGGTAGAGCAGGGCCATGGAGATCTTGGTGAGGGTGAGGGTTAGGTTGTAGAAGGGGATTGTGAGCCAGAGGGCCTTTGGATATTGTTAGTATGTATGATGATGATGATGATGATGATGATGGTGGTGGTGGTATAGTGGGGATGGTAATATGTAGATCAGTACCTTGAGCTGAGTCCGGAGTTCGCTGGGCGAGAGGGTATTTTCAGGCTCACCCAATCCAGTATTGACTTCTATAATCCAGTTAGAGAGGAATGAGATGGAGGTGAGATGATACAAGACTCAACATACGAACGACGATAAAGGCATAGAGGACGAAATTGGTCATCTAGGCATTTCCCCAATCAGCCCTTCACCCATCCTCCCTCCAAATCAAAACAAGACATACCAACGAGACCACAATCATCAAATCATCCCATCCTGCTTTTCGAACATACCAAAACCGTGAGATCATTCGAGCCACGACCGCCACGGCAGTCAGGCAGATCAACGTCGTGGTTATAGGGAAGACATACATGCTGAATGTTGCCGAAACACCAACACAACATTGTTTCCCCCTGTCATTCTGTCCCTGGTTTTTAGTATTGGAAAGAAAATGTCGATATGATAATAGTGATATCGATAGTGGCCAATTGATTGTGATGGGGCCAATTGGGGCAAGATGATGTATCGACGGACTCAATTGCGTCAAGGACTTCCGCATCGGGATATCTGGTGCGTTGATCCTGCTTTTCAGTCTCAGTCGGCAAATCCGAACCCTTCTTTTTGCACCTGGAAAGCGAGAAATACGATCGTGCATCCACGGTTCGAGGGGTTCCATCCAGAATCCTGGCGGCATGACTCGGTCGTCATTGTCGATTTTCCTGAACAGGCAAGTATACTGACAAAGTTGCAAAAAGAAAAGATAATGTGCAAAAGGCAAAACGTGGGATTATAATCTAGAACATGTACAAATTTCATGTCACATAAAGCAATACATCTATACACTCCGCAGAATAGATCATCCAAAATTACGGCGCTTGTCGACATGCCACAATTCCATTATCCGTCGAGCCTCATGCCAGAGCTTTTTCTAAATTCGCTGAAATGGTATAATAAATTTAAAGTCGGGGCTTGAGGCTGGCCTTGAGTCTGTTCTCAACGGCGAGCATGTATTCCTTGGTAGTAACCCAGGCCTCACGGTCCTTGCGGCCGCAAGCCAGAGCCAAGTCCTTGGTCATGATGCCCTCCTCGTTGACAACGTCAACACAGGCGCGCTCGAGCTGCTCGGCAAACTCAACAACGTCGGGAGTACCGTCGAGCTGGCCACGCTGGACGAGACCACGGGTCCAGGCGAAGATGGAGGCAATGGGGTTGGTGGAGGTCTCGCGGCCCTTCTGGTGCTCACGGTAGTGACGAGTGACAGTACCGTGGGCAGCCTCGGACTCGAAAGCCTCACCAGTGGGGGTAGCAAGGGTAGAGGTCATCAGACCGAGAGAGCCGAAGCCCTGGGCAACAATGTCGGACTGGACATCACCGTCGTAGTCTATAAAATGGGTTAGAGGATATTGCAGGTATTCAATCTTGGGATGGCTTACTCTTGAGGGCCATGACGAAGCCACCCTCGCTCTTGATCATCTGGGCAACCATGTCGTCGATCAGACGGTGCTCGTACCAGATGTTCTTGGCCTCAAACTCCTTGACGTAGTCCTTCTCGTAGACCTCCTGGAAGAGGTCCTTGAATCGACCATCGTACTTCTTCAGGATGGTGTTCTTGGTGCTCATGTACAGAGGCAGACCCTTCAGGAGGGCCATCTGGAAGCTAGCGTGGGCGAATCCACGGATGGAGTCGTCGGTGTTGTACTGGGTCTGGGCAACACCACCACCCTGGAAGTCGTAGACCTTGATGGTCTCGGGTTCACCGCCGACGGGAGTGTAGGTCAGCTCGAGCTTACCGGGACCGGGGATGACACGGTCGGTAGCACGGTACTGGTCTCCGAAGGCGTGACGGCCAATGATGATGGGCTTGGTCCATCCGGGGACGAGACGGGGAACACGGGGGATGATGATGGGTTCACGGAAAACGGTTCCACCCCTATAACCATTAGTCATGATTTAACTGATTTATCTGCCACAAGGACTTACAGGATGTTTCTGATAGTTCCGTTGGGAGAGAGCCACATCTTCTTCAGCTTGAACTCCTCAACACGGGCCTCATCGGGAGTGATGGTGGCACACTTGACACCGACACCATACTTCTTGATGGCCTCAGCGGCGTCAACGGTGACCTGGTCGTTGGTCTCGTCACGGTATTCAAGACCCTGGAAATAATTAGCTTAGCTGGTTCTTTCGAGTCACAATTCAATATAACGTACCAAGTCGTAGTACTTGAGGTCAACATCGAGGTAACTGTAATCTCGTGTCTCAGCGTAGTTCTAACCAGATTCTCAACGTCATAGTAGACGCAACAATTAACTTACGGAAGGATCAACTATAACAAAATTGTCAGTCAGAAAACGTTCATCAAAGAAATGTGACTCAATTGAGTCGGAACTAATCGGGGTCAAGCGGGGAGTGATTAAAGGGTATTGCAACTTACTTTTTCTCTGATTTCCTGCCAGATGATACGGGTCATCTAAATCAAACAGTTAGCACATGTCAAGATCGAAAGCACCTAGACCAAGCCAGCCAGCTAGCATTCCTCGGTATGAAGTCTGTTATCAATTGGAGCGTGACTCGCCGTGTTTCTCCGCGCTCCACGCAAGAAAATGACGAAAATGTGCAGCGGATCATATGCTAGCTTGACTGACTTGGCTTGTGACAGCGCAAGGGGGGAGGTTCTCTGCCGTAAAATTCTCGGGCAGGTATAAAAGGGCTAGGGAAGTACCTCATCACCGTCCAGTTCAACGACTGGGTTCTTAACCTTGATTCTGTTGTCGGTCGCCATGGTGCGGAATTGGTTCGAACGCAAAGGAGTCACTCCAGACCAGCGGGAGGAAGCAAAGATACGGGGAGAAATGGTAGAGGAAGAGATGGTTCTCGAAGAGCGAAGGGCAGCAGATGAAGAGGAAGAGGAATAGATAGAAGGAAGACGGCGAGAGGAAGAAGAGAGAGGGGCCGAGAGAGGGGTAGACGACGCAAAAGAGCGTCGCGCAAATGCGGAACTGGACCGAATGGAGTTCATGTTGGCAGTCGAATAGGAATCCTTCTATTTGCTTCTCTGTCCCAAAGTCAGTATTTTTTTTTCGATCGGGATTATCGTCCAGCAACCATTGAACAAGAGCGCGGGGACTTACGTCGGTCTGGGGGGATAACGAGTACCCGAGGGACAAAAGGATAGCAGTCTCGGCTGGAAGGAGATGCGACTTTGCTATGATGCGAGAGAGCACAAGATCGCGGATGGTGGAGTCGGAAGCTGCCGTTACAAGGACAAGCACAAGGAAGATGAGCAGAGGATGCTTTCTGGGGCAAAAAGACGGGGCAGAACGGATCGCCCGGAAAATTGCTGAAGCAGAGGATAAAACAAGAGGCAGATGGGGTGGAAGAGGAAGAACCGATGGGAGGAGGAAAAAGCCTTTACCCGGGAAAGTTGATTGATTGGGGGTTTTTTGTTCGGGCTCTCTTTCAAGTCTCACCTGTTGATGATCTTGCTTTTATCTCCTCTCTTCTGACCTTCTGACTCCTTCTGTCTTATTTCCCTTTTGCTCACCTGGTAGAATGACGCTTTTTTAGTTTCTTGGAGGGCTCCGCTGGCCAGCGCCGAAGCCGGCCTTTTCGCTTCCTGTTGCGGCCAACTTCCCACAGCTCGATCTGGCTTGATATTGCTCGGAAATTGATCCGGGAAAATAGAGAATCATCTCATGCTAAAGGCACTGACAATTGAGTCAATTGCCATCTTTTCCCAGTGCCCATAACGCCTGTATAGCCCGGCATGTCATGGGGGACCAGACAGCGGACAGCTACCGCGGTTGTTTCCCGCGGCAACGGAGAAGGAAAAGCCGGGCGGGAATCGATTCACCGAGCCTCCTTCATGGCTAAACGGGCGATATCCGGACCATCTTACGGAGTGGGATGAATAATTCGGTCGATCATACAGAGATAGTACGGTGTAGCTCTCCAGGCCCAGCTCAATATTGGAGCCATCTATCTACTTAACTACCGTCGAGACTGTCAGAAAACTTCTTGATCCATTAGACTTGTTGAATACTGTCTAGAATTATCATCGGGCCTCCGAGGCCACACTGTGTGCTGTTGTCGTCATGTTCATGGCTATAATGTTGAAATCAATCCCGCTCTGCCCGGAAACCTCAAAAGTCATAAATAAAAAGCAATTAAATCAAAATGTAGATATCAAATCGGCCATGTAGTATACTCGACGGGATTCCCTGATATAAAGTCATACGTTTAGGTTTAGAACAATCCATCGATCTCTCCGGTCTCGGGGTCAATGTCGACGTTCAGATAGCCCGGAGCTGTGGGCAAGCCCGGAATCGTTTGGATATCCGCCGCAAGTGCATAGCTAAAACAATTTTATCAGTCTCATGATTGGCATTATCAAGAAAAAGAAAATATGGAGGGAAAAAGAAAGAAAAAAACTTACAGGTAGCCACCCCCAACGGCCAATCTAACGTCCCGAATAGGAACGGTGAAACCGGTCGGTGCTCCCTTCAAGGCTGCGTCATGACTGAGCGAGTACTGGGTCTTGGCAATGCAAATTGGGAGATTGCCAAACCCTTGCTGCGTGTAGGTGTCGACCTTCTTCTGCGCCAATTCGCTGAATTCAACCTTATCCGCACCATACATGGCCTTTCCGATGCGCTCGATGCGCTCCTGGATACTGCCATCCAACTCGTACAGGAATTTGAAGTCCTTAGGCTGAGAGCTGGCTGCCAAGACTCCCTTGGCCAACTCAACAGCTCCGGCACCACCCTCAGCCCAGTGGTTGGCGGGAATGGCATCCTCCGCTCCCGCCGCGATGGCCTCCTCGCGAATGATAGCGATTTCAGCCTCAGTGTCGGTCTCGAAGCGGTTGATGGCCACAACCACAGGGACACCATACTGCTTAGCGTTCTCAATGTGCTTCTTCATGTTCACGCAACCCTTACGGAGGATCTCTGTGTTCTCTGTACGGTAGACTTCGTGCAATGCAGCTCCGGGGCTGATCTCGGGACCACCACCGTGGACCTTCAAGGCACGAACCGTAGCCACAATAACCACCGTGTCTGGAGAAAGACCAGACGACCGGCACTTAATGTTGAAGAAGCGCTCACCGCCCATTGTGAAGTCGAAACCAGCCTCGGTCACCACAAAACCTGTCTTGGCCTCGTGGTCTTCGTCAAGCTCCGTACCCGCAAGCTTCAGGGCGAGCTTGTCTGCGATCACCGAACTGGCTCCAATACTGATGTTGGCAAACGGACCAGCGTGCACCAGCACAGGAGTTCCTTCCAAACTCTGCATCAAGTTAGGCTTGATGGCATCCTTCATGAGCGCAGCAAGGGCTCCACCAGCGCCAATGTCATCGCAGGTCACTGGTTCGCCGCTCCTCGAGGTAGCAACGACCATACGACCCAGTCTCTCGCGCATGTCGGCGAGACTGCTGCTCAAGGCTAGAATGGCCATACACTCACTGGCGACAGAAATATCAAAGCCTGTCTCGCGGGAGAGGCCCTTTTCGGTCGGGGCTTGTCCCACTGTGATACCCCGGAGATGTCTGTCATTGACATCCAAAACACGGCGCCATGTGATGGTTTCGGGGTCGATATCGAGACGCGCAAACCGGCGGATTTCGTCCGCATCGAGATCGTCGGGGTTGGTCTTCGTAATGCCGAGCTTGTTCAGTCTCTTGAACATAATGGGCTTGAACTCACGCTCCCCCTTCTTAACAGGGACCAACCGCTTGTAGAGAGCACCATCCTTCTGTGTAGATTCATGGAACATGCGGGTTTCAATTGCTGCGGCGAGCAAGTTATTGGCAGCAGTAATCGCATGAATATCACCAGTCAAATGCAAGTTAAACTCATCCATAGGAATGACCTGACTGTACCCTCCACCAGCAGCACCGCCCTTGATTCCGAATGTAGGACCCTGACTCGGCTGTCGGACGTTGGCAAAAGTGACTCTGTTCAAGTGTGCGCCAAGGGCTTGAGTAAGACCCAGGGTGGTTGTCGACTTGCCTTCTCCAAGAGGAGTCGGGGTAATACCACAGACCAGAATATATTTTCCATCGCGGCGATGAGCCAGTCTGTCCATGACACCGAGGCTAATCTTGGCCTTGGTGTGGCCGTAGGGCTCTAGTTCATGCGGGGCAATACCGACCTCCGAGGCAACCTGGGAGATAGCTTTGGGATACTGCGCACGGGAAATGGCAATGTCTGAGGGAACGGGTTGGACCAACTTGAGGGGCAAAGCTGTAATGTGTCGGTCCTTCTGCTTTTCAAAGTAGGCCTTGGCCGAGTTGACCACGTTCTTCATCAGCATGGCCACAGTCATAGGACCAACACCGCCAGGGACGGGTGTAATCTGGGAAGCGACCTGAGCAGCAGACTCATACTCGACATCACCCACAAGTCGCTCGCCAGATTTCTTCGTTGCGTCGGGTTTGTAGTTAATACCAACGTCGATGACGACGGCACCAGGCTTCAACCAGTCGCCCTTGACAAACTCCGTCTGACCAATCGCTGCAACGACAATGTCGGCAGTCTTCACAACACGAGCGATATCCGGAGATTTGGAATGGCACAGAGTGACAGTTGCGTGGGCATTTTTCAGCAGGTAGCTGACAGGGCTACCGACGATGTCACTGCGGCCAAGCACTACTGCCTCCTTGCCCGCCGGGTCAACTCCGCTCACTCTCAGGAGTTCCATCACAGCCTGGGGCGTGCAGGGAACAAAGAGGGGGTTACCACCCCTCTTTGCCAATTCTCCAATGTTGATGGCACCGAATCCGTCGACATCTTTCTCGTCAGCGACGGCAGAAGTAATAGTATGCTCGGAAAGGTGCTGAGGGAGGGGTAATTGAACTAGAATGCCATGCACAGCGGGATCATTGTTGGCCTTGGTGATCTCCTGGAGGATTTCTGGCTGCGTGATAGACTCGGGGACCTTGACGATGGTACAGATGATATTTGCCTTTCCAAACCCGGTAGATTAGTTGCGCTTCTAAGGAAACGGGTAAAAAATTGACCCCAGTAGCATACCTCTTGAGCAGCCTTCAACTTCATGCGCACATAAGTGCCTACATGGTATTAGCATCGACCACAGGGTCAAATATGCAAGAAGACTCACTCGAATCGGATCTATCGCCAACTACGTGTGCAACCAGTGTCAGTGTTCTCACTCTCATGCAACTCTCGACGGCTGATGACGTTTTGCGATAACATACCCTGGAAGATAACCAGATTAGGCTTGAATCTAGGGTTGGACTCTTGGATCTTTTCAATCTCAGCCTTCAATTCCCCACGAATGCTCTTGGCAATCGCCGTGCCATCGATCTTGGTAGCCATGGCTGTCCCGGTGCTCGAAAAGGAACGGCAGATAGAAGAAGGAATGAATGTCAAATCTGGTCTGACAAGTGCGTAACGACGACCACGGGGGTTAACTCCACGTCCAGCGGAGAATCGTCGAAAGTTCAACTCGGGCGAGAAGGAAGTGGAAAAGGAAGTGCGGTGGGCAGAGCGATGACGGAGAAGAAGGCCATTTGCTTTTCCACCATGGCGGGGCAGCGCCAAACGGGCGGGGGGAAGAGGCATGAATTAGGTGTTCCTGTCAGTCTAGTAAGAGCCCCTCGGCACGGCGGCAGATAGGAAATGGAGACCGGGGATTCGTCAATGCTAGTCTTGTTGAAAGAACTTCTGGATGTACAAAAGTACCAGTACAGAACGTTGGACGAAAAAAAAATATAATGGAAACCCCAATCATAAGATGTGCCAATCCTCCCAGCTATTTAACCCTTACTCTGTGATACTTGGAGTTCTGATCTGTGAGACTCTGGAATCTCCTTGCCTATCGACACTCCTTTGCTCAATCATATGAAATCACGGGATTACGGAAAATCCCCGTCATCAACTGGCTCACCGCTGATTGGCTCACTCAATTAACTTTTCTGCAACTCACCTTACCTTATCTGCACTCTGATTAGGGCTAGGGCTGTTTATGCTTACATCACGTGTATGATACCGGACTATAAGATTCCCCGGTATTGTATGTTTCCCATACAAACGACTCGAACGGGAAAGTCTTGGCGCGCAAGCCCGGACTGTGCGATGAAATTCACTAACTCTAGTCGTTGTCGACGCCGACGAAAGAGGGCCGCCATATTCTCCCCGCCAACTCACGAAGATCTGAACAACTCCAGTCACAGACACTCCTCTGTGATCCGGTCATTTATACCGTCTCTCCATCGCTTGATCCAGAGAAATATCTTGGTCGGCCCAATATGAGACCTATCTTGCTTTCGGGCCATGTACGTGAATCTCGAAGCTTTTGAAGATCTCTTCCCACGGGCAAAAATGATCAATGACTAACGGTAATTTTTCCATCTTTTCTCTTAACAGGAGCGGTCCCTGAACCAGATTAAATTCAACCGCGATGGCGATCTGTTGTTCTCCGTCGCAAAGGATAAGATTGTGTGCGCTTGGTGGTCGGCCAACGGCGAGCGACTTGGTACCTACAACGGCCATCAGGGTGCTATCTGGACTGTCGATGTCAGCCCCAATACGATTCTCCTGGCGACTGGCTCGGCAGACAACACTGTGCGACTATGGAACGTGAAGACGGGCGAGTGTGTTAAGGTCTGGGAGTTCCCCACAGCCGTGAAGCGGGTTGCATTCACACCGGATGGAAGCAAATTGCTGGCAGTGACGGAGAAGCGTATGGGTTATCTGGGAACTATCGCAGTCCTCGACATCGCCTATGGCGAAAACCTGAGCGAACAGTCCGCCGAGCCGAGTTTGACAATCACCTGTACCGAGGCCAAGGCAACAGTTGCGGGCTGGAGTTATCTGAGCAACTACATCATCGCAGGTCACGAAGACGGAAGTGTCAGCCAGTACGATGCCAAGGTACGATATATTAGGCCTGGGGGTTTATGTGACTTTTGGGGACTACATGGCAACAAGGACTAACATGTTTCCTCTTTGATAGACTGGTGAGCAACTGGAGAACGTCCAGGTGCACGAGTTTGACATGCAGATTAACGACATCCAATTCTCCCCTGACCGCACCTACTTCATCACTGCGTCGAAAGACAAGTCCGCCAAGGTGCGTTCTCTCTGAAACCTTTGGTTACGCAACGGTTCACTGATAATCTACAGCTCCTGTCCACTCGTAACCTCGCCATCCTCAAAACCTACGTTTCCGACACCCCCCTCAACAGCGCCACTATCACCCCTAAGAAGGACTACGTTATCCTTGGTGGTGGTCAGGCCGCTATGGATGTCACCACCACCTCCGCTCGCCAGGGTAAATTCGAGGCTCGTTTCTACCACAAGGTCTTCGAAGACGAGATTGGCCGTGTCAGAGGTCACTTCGGTCCCCTCAACACTGTCGACATTCACCCCAACGGTACCGCTTACGCGTCTGGCGGAGAGGACGGTTACGTTCGTGTTCACCACTTTGACAAGTCTTACTTTGACTTCAAGTACGAGGTCGAGAGGGAGCAAATGAAGCGGTGAAGGAAGTGAAGATTAGGAATTTTTGATTCGAATCATGCATAATATGTATGTGTCACGAGGCAAAGACTTTTTTATTAAAAAAAAGAAGAAAAAATTCCAAAAAAGAAAGAAGGCCAAGTCAGGCACGGCGGTATGAGATGGCCTGGGTATGATTCCGGGCATGAAATCTCATTTCATATTTATTCCATGATAAACCGGAGTTGGTACCAAATTTGTTGTTTTCTTTGTGCTTTTGTGTCTAATAAAAGAAAACCTCTTCTTGCTTCTTTGTTTTCATTCGAGGCTTATATTTTAGAAGTACATTTTCTTTTCTTTTTAACCCGGTTTTGGTGTGGAAATATGGGATTCGATGAGTTGACGAAGAAGCATTTCTTTCATCTACCTACTGCGACAGATTATGATGATCTTATGTTTTGATTCGCAAAATTGGCCAGAAGTACCTAGATGCCACGTCTACGGTCTTCCAAAATAGACGAAGAAGTAAATAATATTTCGCATCTTGTAACCTATGCTAGAGCTGCGGTCTTGATTATAAGCTCAATTTGGATACGATATGTGGAAACTACTAAGACCTAATTCTACAGGTTACCACCTTGGATTCTATGAAAACATGGTCAAATTAAAGTTGGATATCATGACATTTCCCATGCGATTGAAAGCTGTAAGTTCTAATCTCATAACCACAATAGGCAGAACTTCTAAGAAGACTATTTATCATCCGATCTCAGACCAATTTCGCACCATGTCCTTGAACGTTATAATGCAAAAATATTGACCCGTCCGGCGAGCGAGGAAGAAGGGGGAGAAAAAAACGATGGAAGAAAAAAAAAGATGGAGTATCATTGTATCTCATTGAAAAGGAACATAACAGCTGAATAAACCCGAGACGAAAGAAAACCGATAGTTCATACTATCCGCTTCCCCAAAAGAAAAAGCCGCAGGATCACCGTCGAACAGAATTTATTTCTTCTTGGGGAACTTCTCCTTTCCGATGTCCGAGCCTCGCAGCTTGACGTTGAGGACTCTCTCCATTGCACTCAGGACCTTCTGGTCTGGTGTGGCGGTACCCTTCTCAAAGTCCTGGATGACACCAGGTGTGGTGTTGCACTTGGTGGCGAGTTCCTTCTGTGTCATCTTGTACCCCTCCTCATTTCGGCGCCTCTTGATGGCATCTGCGACTTGGTGACCAACAGTCTTGGGCTTGACGATGTCATCACTGCGGTCGACCATGGTCATACGCTGACCTTCGGGGGCACCTGAGCGACCAGCCTGGAAAATTCACAGTTAGCATGCTGTCAAAGATGTAGAAAGTAGACAGGTGCTAAACTTACGGCATTGCCACTGGCATATTTCTTCTCAGTTCCGATGACCAGACCCTGACGCTGTGCAGCGTTCAAGGCACTCTTGCCCTTGACGACACTCTCACGGGGAGCCGAGCCACCGGTGTGTCTAGCTCCAATGCGGGTAACGGAGTCCCAGTCGCTCATTTTGAAGGTTGTGAGGTTTTAAACGTGTAGAAGGCGATATGTTATGATGGTTGATAGATGGTGAGGAGATGGCGGGGTGAAGTCGTGAGGATGGTGGTGAGATTGATCGCGTGAGAGTTTGTCGGAGGGGAGGGATATTGCCAGGCGCAGCGAATTTATATCGATGACACAGAAGCTTCTCGAGCCCTCAAACGGCGGAGTAGGAGGGGAGGTATGCGCTAAGCCTGTTTCGGATTAGCTCATCAACCGATCTCGGGGGGGCAAAACATCATCGTGGAATTAATCCTGGGAATCATTTTATCTCCGGGTGACATTGATGGCCTTGGGGTATTTCCTGGCCGTTGATAATATCTGCACGGTATACTACGACTCGGGCTTAAGTGGATGGTTTGAAATTGAGAGCAGCTCGATGAGTCTGAGGTGGGGAATAAGTCGAATCGATGCCTGCAATTGAACACTGCCCTGCGAGAGCCATCCATATTGCGCGCCCCCAAATACTGTCATTCTCTCGCGAAATGACTCACAAAACAGTCTAGACAATATCCATTTGGTTATGACTGTTTTCATGTCCTCGATGCGATGATTAAATCGTATATCAGGTTGACTCCATCACATATGACATCATAAGGTGGGTATCAAAGATTAACTCTACGCACGCACGATGTTCTCATATTTTGAGGCTGATATTAAGAAATCAGGGGAACATGAAGGGTCATTTCCTTCTCCTTCTACTCGTGTATATCCAATACTCATTTGAGAATCTGTATAGGGTTCGTGGATAGTCGACTGTTCTTCACAAAGCCTGTGACATCATCGGCCATCCCAATCCTTCATTATCACCGCCACTGTCGAAGCCCCATTGTTAGCAAATATCGACGAGATACTGTTTAATTTCTCAATAGAAATGCCATTGCTTCAATCGTTGAAGGGATTAGGCCTTGCGATTGGGGAAAATCTGGGGTCGCAGAGAAACATTGATGCTTTCATGCAAGCCGACCACTGGTCTATGACCTTCTGAAAACAACGTTCCATATCGACACAATATCTGGCACTATGGTGGTCGCAGCATTATGTGGGCTGTTCAGCAGGTATCATATCGCATATCTCCTAAAGGTTTATCGACAAGCGACAAGTATGAGATAGTTGTATCAGCAGAGAAGTATGCGGTTCTTTCTTATACTCCGAAACCCACGATCTCTCAACCAGAGCCAGTTCTTTAATTTCAAATAAGTGAATGGCTGTCTAGAAATGTTATGGAAACACGTAACATGTTGATGGTAGTTGTTTTGCTGCTAACATCATCTAATTAATTGAATGTGCCCGCGCAAACATATATAAATACTTTCGTCACTGTACCCTGGAGATGTAGTATTAAATTCAACCTCACTTATTTGAATACGCTAGAATGAATCGTCAATTGATGAATCAGACTCGAGATATGGCCTCACAAGGGCGATGATTAAAGAGAGATGAATTCGAGGGTTAGACGAACGAATTGACTTGGTGTCAATTCATACATGGACTTAGGGGGGTTGGTTTTTAAAATCATCTAGTGCAGTGCAACCTTAAGACTGACTCGTGCCCTTGTACGAGGCAAATAAATGGACAGACTGAATCAGGCTGTGTTTAGTAGATTATGTACAGTCACTGGCATCATCATGTTGGTGGTTATTTCCTGCTGTGAATTGAATTGGACTGAAACAATGCATCGAAGGTGTCTAAAAACCGGTCATAAGCCCTGGCCGTAGCTATTAGTGACACTAGTAGTTCTCAATAATAATATGGATATGTGGATAAGTCAATGACAGGCAACAAAATATCCACCCCATAGGGTGATGTTCGGCTTGATAGTAGATGGACTGAATGCTGGGAGCATGGCGGCTGTGTTGGACAATCGCCATCAACAAACAATCCAAAATCTAGACTTTGATAGGCTCTAGAATCCTTCACTACCTCCTATTCACCTGACAATAAAAAACTCCTGGATGTCTTGCTGTTCCCAGTCTCCAGATCGCTGCTAAAGAGTCCGCTCTCTTGGCCGAAACCGACGGCTGGGCGTTATCCACTCGTTTACGGCTGTGCCTGCCTTAAGTAACCACCAACTAAACTTCAGGCTCTCCCGTCCATCCATCTATCCAACCGTCTTTCTCCTGTCTTTCCATCTCGAGATTCCACCCAGGTTTTTCTCTCTACTGCCAATCTAGTCGCCCCCTTGACGCATCCCTGGAATTGCCCGTCATGGCGAGCCAGAGTGCCTTCTCGTCGGCCATGGCCAAACGGTCGCTCCGTACAATCCGTTCGGTTCGATGATGCCCTTCCCCGCCTGAATTATTCAGGAACCGTATCACATTGTACTAACTTTCTTTGTTTATCAGGAACTCGAGTTTCTCACAGATTCGTCGGTCCTCACACCCCAGCAGTATGAGGCGATTATCTCCCAACTGCCAGACAATGACCAGCCTCGTCGTGCACTGCCACAGCAGCCATCACCACCACCGCTGCGGCAACCGCAACCTGTTCATCAGCCTCCTGTCATAGCTGCTCAGACTCAGCCTCCTCCAGCTCCATACTCGCCCCCGACGAATCAGTTTGCTGGAAGTACGTTGAACGAGAAGGCTGCCCTCCAAAACCAGTACTCGAACACGCCCCCGCCACCTGCCTACCCGCAGGCTCAAGCGCAACCGGTCTTGTCCATGGCTTCAGCTCTATATGCGTATACCCCTACCGATGCTGGTGACTTGGCTTTGCACCCCCATGATCGCATCCAGGTTCTGGAGCATATGAATAATGACTGTAGGTTTACCCCTCGAAGGCGCAATGTCTCATCTGTCTAACGCTTTTTTACAGGGTGGCGTGGTCGCAACGAGCGCACCAACCTCGAGGGAATCTTCCCTCGCAGCTACGTTAGTGTGATTGAGGAAAAGGGTGTTGCGGCTCCGCCTGCGCCTACTAACTACGGCAACATGCCCCTGGAAGTCAGTCAGGGCAACTCCACACCCGTTGATGCTGATGGCAAAAAGCACGGCAAGGTTGAAGAGCATGGCAAGAAGTTTGGAAAGAAACTGGGCAACGCAGGTACGTTTTCCCTATAATGAATGCTTGCATGTGTTCGGTTCGCTATGCGATACTGATACTTTTCACTTTTCACTTTAACAAGTACGCCTTCCTTACTAACTATGGCTTTAGCAATCTTCGGTGCCGGTGCTACTGTTGGTTCCAATATTGTGAATAGCATCTTCTAATCTCGCAATGCGATGGGTCGTCATTTCTTGGTCGTGTTTTCGGAATTAGTTGAATTGGGCAACTGTCGGCTTTATTCTTTTCTCACAACGGAATGGTGTTGGTGGTTTCTTTTGTATTGAATCATTCGGGCTCGTTTGGAAGAGTCCGTCGCCGGTCGATCTTTGATTCATTCCTCGGGGCCGTTTCGAATCTCCAGAGCACCCTAAGCTCATTCAACGGGCTTCATATTATCTCATACTCGAACCGGCATCTTTAATTGGGCAGCAACCTCTTTCTTGAACAGAATTATTTAAAGATTAAACAGCATGCAGTTTACAATAGAACGTGAATTATGCCGGAAACTTATGACTTCCAGGTGTCTACCAACATCTTTAAAGGCGCAAGTTCCTGTCTGCAAAGGAATTCTCCCATTCCTTGATTATATATCCTTATATATCCCACCATTTGTTTCACAATAATAATACAAATCACATCTGATAACATTTTGCTTTTGCCCACTATGGCCACGCCCATCGGTTTGGCGCCGGGCGATCGTCTTGCCGCCGACGACCCGCATAGCGGCCCGCCACTTGTCAGATCAGCGCTAATATATGACCATCGTGCGAAACAACGGCTCGACCGCTGCATGTAATATGCAACGGCGCTGCGCCGGACGGAGACATTCCATAGGCAGAAATCTGGATTGGACTAGAGGCCCCAGGATTCTCAGGATGCTCTCAAAATGCACCAACCAGATGCCCTAAGTACGCGACTTGCAAGGTTGTGTCGCAGCCTCAATGCCTACCCAACCTATAGCCGACACAATAACGAGCAGACTTTCAGCTGATTAGAACCGGGCTGTGCTTTATACAGCCTGGGTTCACTTTCTTTGAAACTTATAGAACAATGGCTTTGTTCAGGTCCATTTAGAATTTCTCGTACTTCCACATACTGGTCGCGTGATGCAGTATACTGTGTCGCATCTTTGAGGGCACAACATTATGGGTGGTTGTATAATATTATTGGTATTATTTTTCTTACTGCCTGGTACCCTGGCCAGTGATTGGGACGACTTTACGGATAATCTTGCCACGGACTTGGTATGGACTATTCTGTACTATACGAACCAATACTCGGGCTGAGATTTTAACCATTTACTAGGCACCCCTAATTTCTCTATTTGGTGAAAGACTCACCACACAGTTTCTATCAGAGTCAACCAGCGTTCTAGACAACTTCACCTTTGCCGTGGCCCCCTTGGGTATCTTGACCGCAGTAGTCTCTGCCATCCGAGTCTGCGGCAATTCATCTCTTCGAGCATTTGTCGGGCGAGCACAGGAAGGTCCTGGAGACGCAGAAAATGAGCTTCTCTCATGCGTTTCCGAGTCTACATCCGAGCTGTTCAACGATGGGGGGATTTCGCGCGTTTTCGGAAAACCCAAGATTCTGGAGGTAGTGGCGTGGGAAGATGACATTTTTAAAACCCCGGGAAGTGATTCCCTAACACTTGGTACTCTTCGTGATGCTATTCGGAAAGGAGCCTGGGGCCCAGACGATATTATACACGAGAGTAAATATGTGCCGGAACTCGAGATTCCGAATCTGTCGCTGAACAAGGGCATCAAAAGGAGAAGTCCTATTTGGTTTTACTGTGCTGCAGTGTTAGGGTTTGTGTTACAAGTAGGTACGTTGGATTGATTCCTCTATTGACTCACAATTCTTTTGAGGATAAAATGGGCTTATGAAGTATGCAGGTGTCCTTATATACTCAGCCATTACGGTGTACATATACCCGGACGACTTTCAGAAAGATGGGAACGCAGTCCCCAGTTACGCCTTCCCACTCTTCTTCCTCGGGACAATTTTTCTCGGCGTTGGAATGTTTCTCTGTGCTTTCATTCTTGAAAGATCATCAAAGGAGTATTACTTCGAACCTAAGAAACCCAGCAAGATCTACTGGCTGCAACCAGGAGGCCAGAACGTTGGAGATCAAGTCTTCGGTGCATTTCTGGGTGTTACCGAGGGCTATGATTCGAAGACATCCAAAGATCTTCTATATATCAAATCAATGCGAGACCAAAAACGCCATGTGAAGGACTATCAACTTCTATCCATTGTCACAGTGACAATGGTAGGGTTTATTCTGCAGTTTGTCGGGCTGAGAGGATTGCATGCATCGGTCATTCTGGCGCAAATGGGATGCACGTTGTTAATGGCTATTGTTCGAACAAGTCTTCGAACAAAGAGAGTCGACAAAGACGAAAATAAGTTCTCGGCTTCCGAGCGACGACTCACTTCTCACTACAAACAAGAACTTGATTGCTTTGCATTCCACTTGGAAGGCGTTGAATCCTTCCACCTGCTTTCAAATCCGGCTGATGAGTCGACTCAAGCCCCATCCAGTCCCTCCTCAGGAACGACATCTCTTACCCAGTCGGTTGAACACGAAAAGCTAGGAACCAGAGCTGTACAGACAAGAGCCCGCTTAGCAAAGCTCACATCCGGTAATGACCAAGGTCGAAGCATAGGATGGGAGGATCTTCCCATCCGGAAGGTAGCCCAAAATCTGGCACAGACAATTGAGATGACAATGGACACACTGTCAAATTGGAAACATATGCCTCCTGGGTCCGGTGATTTCCAAATATTCCTGAAATGCAAGTCCTCTGCCCAGAATTCGGTTGACCCTATAACGGAAGCCTACCTGATTAAACTCGAAAGGTCAGAGGATACCTTGCGGTGGAGGATAGACGAAACGGAACTGGAGGCAGTGTTAGGTCTATGGACATGGTCACTATTGAAATCAAATCCAGAAGATTGGCTTCAAAAAGGACTTGGCCGTCTTGTCGGCCTCAATGAAGCAGAGGCTAGGACAGAAGAGACAGATCTTTACTTCCACAAATGGATTTTTCGCCAAACTGAAGCCAGAATGGTTTCATCTAAGATTGTTTCATCAGATCGATTGTTTGGATTTTACTCAGACGATTTTCTCTACGACAAGGAAGTTCTCGTTGCCAAAACGCAAAACACACTGGAGACAATGGCAGCACAAGACATCTATATGCACTTCCTCAAGAATGTTTTGGGGACCCTCGACAAGCTTGGGGGAGACGTTGGTGTTCTCCCTGGCTCGCAGGATGGCTTCTTTGCTTACAGTAGCCGTCTCGAAGACTTGGTGAACTGTTTTGAGTCGGGAGATTTGGGCTCAAGGGAAGATGCACTTTTGTGTATTGTCCCACCCCTGAAAGATCAAGGCCTTCTACCAGAACTTGCAGCAGATTCGGTAAGTGTCAGGGAGCAGGTAGAGGACCTGATTGCAAGTGACAAGTGGTCAGATGCATTTTCAGTCGTTCGCTGGCTTTGTGAGCGCTGCGAAGGAGCCGAGTTTGAATATTCGTTGTTTGAGCTGGGCTTCCTTTGTCGCCGGGCAATGCTAGATAACGACCAGAATGTCCAGACTCAAGGATTCGAGAATGTATACCTCGCAATTAATAATGACCCCAGGACAAAGCTCCAAAATCCACGAGCCCCTCGACCCCAGGATTGGTTGGATCCTCAACGACGACTTGAGAATTGGCACAAATTCTCTAAGCAACTAGGATGGATAGCATGGCATATTGCTCAAGGGCATCCTGATAAAACATCCATAGAGAGTGCCTTGTCTTCATGCGGAATTACGGAGCATTCCACGTTGACAGGACAAGTGCACGGAGAGGCCGACCAGGCTAAATGGGGAGAGTATACTGTACTCCAATTGCTGTGTAACAGTGAAGAGAAGGTGCTCAATCGGGAGATTCTGGGTATAAATGATCAACTTGCACTCGACTGGGTTTGCCAGAACGGATACGATGCGCTGATGCATTGGCTTGTTGCGAGATGGATTAAATTTGGGAAAACGCATCCAGACTTCCTTCACGACGTGCTTATCTGGGCAGCTCAAGGACGATATCGTTCGGCCATTATCGCACTTTGTCGGCGAGGAGTTGATATCAACATGCGAGAATCTGAGGATGGGTTGACTGCGTTGATTCAAAGTATCGCAGCTGCCGACCAAGAAACAGCACGTGAGCTCATTAACGCAGGAGCTGATGTTGATGGAAGAGATGCCAATGGCGCGACACCACTCATGACTGCCAGTCATGTAGGAAATCTCGATATGGTTCAACTTCTCTTGCAGAATGGAGCTACGGTAAACGCACAAGACCGCGGGGGACTGAACCCACTGATCTTTTCGACTGTTCAAAACAATGTCGCCATTGCTCGGGTGCTTTTGGAAAATGGAGCTCGTGTCAACCTGGGGACTCTCGGTACCACGCCACTGATTTCCGCGGCAGCAGAAAACCACGTGGAGATGGTGAAGCTCCTTCTATCCCATGGAGCTGACGTGAATGCGCAAACCCGGGACGGATGCACTGCTCTGATGCTGGCCGCGCGGAATCGTGGCACAGACACGATGATACTCCTCTTGGATCATGGCGCCGATATCCACAGGGCTAGCTGGGGCGGGGAAATGGCTCTCGACTGGGCGAGAGAAGTGCAGCATCAGGAAGGAGTCGAGCTTCTGGAGGCTGCAGGGCGATAGACTGATATAATTATTTTACGTGTCAATGATGATGAAAATGTATATATGATACGCGGTATATAGAGAGGAATATCGAATAATGCCTTGTCTTGACAGATCTTGAGCACCGTCCGTGGAGTCGCACCCCACTTCCCCTCGATCTTGGCCTTTTGCTCCAACCCATCAACAAAATGGCTCTTTCTCAACCACCATCCCATCCAGCATGTTCCATCAATGATAATTAGATTCCCAGAATTCCGTGTTTCATACCTGTCTCGGCGAAACCCTGCTGGTATTGTCTTCAAGGCCAATGGCCGGATGGTGATCCTGCTGCAGCTCCCATCACACCTCCTCACAGGCTAGTTGGGCTCTAACCGCCTCAACAGTCAATCAGGATGCGCAGCCGTCATTCTTCGGCGCTTACAGCAAGCCGCATGGCCGTTGTGTCTCGTGGATGGACGAGTCTCGCTGGGGCTTGGAATTGGCTCCTCGTACTAGTAATTCCCATGGATGCGACTTTTAAATTCATCAGTGCTGCCCTTCATGCGCATCTTGAATATTCCCAACCAACCCAACACATCAATCAACTGGTTATAAGCGACAGAAGTGAACTTGAGTGAACGTGAAGATCGACCCTTTAATCCTCAAGATGGCGACGGCATTCCCCCCTCCTCCAAACCAGAACTCTCAATTCCCTCGTAAGTTGTTTCCCTCTCATCGTGGACGAAATAGATGGATTTGCTAACGATGCGGTCCCAGCTCCTCCAAATTCAGCCAGTATGGTTCCATTTCAACGCATTACTTTCCAATTTGTATCTCTACTTGACCTTAACACATTACGATAGGTTTCGCGCCACCCCAAGGCTCCCCCGGGTTCCCGCCGCCGAATTTCAACTATCCCCCTCCACCGAAGCAAACGTATCCTTCGGCCAGCCCTCCGCCGGCAGAAGGCTACCAAACACCTAATCAATACAATGCTGCCGCCTTTGCTGCCAATTCTGGGCCTATGACTGTTTCCCCGCCTCCTCAATCACCCCCTCCCGCTGTGAAAGCAGAGCGAACATCAAGCGGCCCGCCCGCATTTGGCCAAATACTCGCATCCAACCAGGATGATGTCGGGACATTCAACGGTGGAAGCTTCAGAGTCAGTCATCGTGACTCCAACTCACTTCTCACAATGCAGCTAGCCATGGGATGCCCCATAGAAGCGAAGCCAGGTAAGTACCCAGACGACTCCTTGGGGTGAATGAAATTCTCTCTGACGGGGTCTGGAATTACCAGGCGCAATGATCGCGATGTCGCACAGCATCAGTCTCAAGGGAAGCATCAAATTCTCCCTGAAGAAGATGTTTGCCGGAGGCGAAATGTCTACGTCGACCTTTACTGGCCCTGGAGAGCTCTTGCTTGCCCCCTCTACTCTGGGCGATATCATGTCACTGCGTCTTTCTGGCTCGGATTCGTGGAAGGTGGGCAAGGATGGATTTCTGGCGGCAACAAGTGGTGTTTCAAAGGAATACCAGAGCCAATCTCTGAGCAAGGGAATGTTTTCTGGAGAAGGACTGTTCGTCTATAAAATGTCTGGGAATGGTATCGTATGGCTGCAGAGTTTTGGGGCTATCATCAAGAAAGATGTGAGTTTTCCTCTGAGGTTATTCGGCTATTAAACAACCCCTCTCATTTTATCCTGAAATATACCAAGCTAATCGGTTGAACTCCCTAGATTGCTGATGGCGAGACATATTTCGTCGACAACGGCCACCTTGTCGCCTGGAACTGCAAGTACAAGATCGAGCGCGTGGCTTCAGGAGGTATCATCTCCGGAATCAGCTCCGGAGAAGGCCTTGCCTGTCGCTTTACCGGTCCTGGCACAGTATACATACAGACGCGAAACGTCAGCGCCTTTGCAGCCCACATTGGTGCGCATACGGCTAGTAACTAGGCAGCTGGAAGAGAAGGACAACAGTAGTAAACTGTCAAATGGGGAATGGATAGCTGTCATGTATGACTGTGGAGGGGGGGGTTGATTTTTCTGTTTGAGATGTATACCTAGCGATATTTTTGAGCGATGCTTCTTTCTTTCTTTATATCTGATTTGACTTGATTCCTTTTGATTCGATCAGTGGTATTAGTAGCTACAGCGGTTTCGAGGTCGAGTTTCATGGGCACTATGATATGCCATTGTATCTCTAAATAAGATATTCCGAATTCTGGTAAAATCATCTGTGTAGATGGATGGTAAATAGGCAAAAAAACTAAGTAGATATCAGTCAAATCCAATTTAACTAAAGACAACTGTAAAAGAGTATCCCAGTTCATGATTATCATGCCATGCTAAAAAAAAAGTCTTCACTTCATTTTGGTTGGAAATCTTTTTTGATCATTTCTTCTTCATCACAACATTCTAATTTCAGTCCTCGTAATCATCTCATCCACATGAATAACATTTTATACGAGATAGGAAAAAGATAACACCACCGAAAGCGTAGGAACAACCACGACTGCAACACATCCCCAAGGACACCATCGTGTGCCCCCATTTAACCCTGTCTCTTTCGGCGACCGACCTGTCCACGGAAACCAGTCTTGATGGCAGCGACGGAACGACGAGAACCGCACGAGTTGCAGGTGACGAAGTACAGACGGTTCTCTCCCTTGTTGAGCTCGGTGTCGGGACTGCGGCAGGTCTTGCATGTAACGTATTCGACTGATAATGGGTTAGAAATAGAAAGGGTTGAAGTTTGGCATATAATGGGGAAACCTACCGATATACCGTCTCAAGACGTTCTCGATCTGCTTCTGCTGGAAACGACCCTTGATGACCAGACGTCTGCTTCCGTCCACACTACCGCTGGTACCCAATTCGGCGAACAGGAACTGCATAACGTGGTCGTCGGAACGCTTCATGCGCTTGCAGATATCGGCAATGTTGGCGAAAATGGTACGGCGGTTACCTTCACGCAGACACTGGGGAGGCGGGATCTTGTACGACTTGGTGCCACTGGACAGGAGATCGGGGTGGTGGCTCTGGATAAGGGAGAAGAATCGGGAGACGAGGAGGGAGTAGGGGATCGCTTGTGTCGAGTCGTGGGCCCAGATACCAGTACCAGCTTCGAGATCGCCCTCGGGAAGCTTTTCGCCTTCCTCCTCAGCAGCGCCTTCCTCTCCAACACCGGCCTCGGCCAATTTTGCCTCGAAGTCGCCAGCGTCGGGCTTCTTAGACTTCTTCTTCTTCTTCTTGAGGGAGGGGTCGAACTCGCCGTCGGCACCGGCGGCCTCTTCCTCACCAGCGTCGGCGTCCTTGGTCTTCTTGGTCTTCTTCTTCTTGGACAGGCCCTTGAAGAGCTCGGTCACCTCGTCGACTTGTTGGTCCGGCGCTTCTATTGTCCCCCATGTCTGGTTAGAAAATGGTCGTATATGAAAATCGGGTTAGGTGCGTACCGGTAGCCTGCTTCTCGACGGCCGGAGGGGCCTCTGTAACCTGGCCGTTGGTATCCATTATGACTGATCCTTCACTGAATGCGACGGACTTGCGTTGCTTTGTTGGTTCGGCCTGAGTCAAGTCAGACACGATGTTAGTTACAGAAAAAATAAAGTCACTGTCTCCAAAAAAGCAATAAATAGGCTGTCAACTGTAATCCAGCACAGCGATCTACTCCAACCCAGAAAAGCGAGGGAAATAGATCAAGATGTGGCAACGCTGATGGTGGTTGGGCCGAGGGGTATGAATTGTGAAGACGTCCGCATGAAAGAAAATGTGGGAGGGCCATCGGTAAAGGGAAAACAGGGTGTGACGTACAGTCTCCGCCATGGTGTATTATCTGCTTTCTCGCGATGATTTTAACACTCCACCAAGATGGTCGAACGAGCACTATCTGTTGCGACGAATCTGTTTCTGAGCACGACAACGAGGTTTGAGATTCCGCTGGTCAACCATACCCTCTGATGGCGAACCGAACCTGATATCGGTTTGTCATCACGTGACACATGAGTCAACTGCCCTGTTATTACATTACAATACTACAGTACCATACTTACCATACACCCACGTGACATATCCTGGATTACGTCGTCTGGTGTATTTGTTGCGGCTGCGGAGAGCTTCATTATCCACCGTTATCGACGCCGTGCAGTATCCAACCAGCCTTCTGCTGATGCTTCTATCCCTGTCCAAGTGGTAGGCGGGCCACTACTTGATCGACACTCTCTTGTCTATCTATATCTCTCTCCCATTTTTATCGGATACACCATTGCTCTTCACCATGTCGTACGAATCTGCCGCCGCCTCGAACCCGTCCCTCGCTGCCTCAGCCTATATGGTTCCCTCCTCAGCCGCATATTCATCAGATGAGGATGTTGCTTCGCTACCTTCCGAACCCACCACTGAATCCGACCTGGAAACCCTGTCAGATGACTACTCAGATGCCGAGGAGGAATGGAGGGAGAGTCTTGAGCAACTAGAGTTGCTTTTGACTATGGTCCTTGTTCCTTTCGTGGGGAAATACGTGGGCAAGAAATGTGCTTACTGGGGTATGTGATCTCTTGAGCTAGCCACAGAAGGACAATTGCTGACTTGACGATTCTGCATTGTAGGCTGGACTAGATTTATGGAATGGAAATACCCCGTCGAAGTCGTCATGAGCAACAAGGCTGCCTTCAGGGGGACCACTGCTGTTGAAGCTGCCTCTCCTCTGTGAATATACTTAACCTGAAGACGCATCACTATAGCCGTGAGACATCCGCGCCAGAATTAGACGTCCATGGCCGGAACAATACATACTTGATGGACGCTCGGACCTCAAATCTTGTTTTATTGGCCCGCATTTCTCAACATCTGCGTGGACACCAACTGCAAACCCTTCATGGAAACATCTTTCTGCTCATTTACGTTTAATAGAGGATTTGGAAGCGGATTTGAATCTTGTCGGCACCCTTGGGGATTCACATCTAATATACAAGACATGCTTCATCTTGATCTTAATGCTTGGCTGCTCGTTGGGCTGATATCAAAGGATTTTTTCAGCTCTAAATAACAGGATTGGATACGATTCATCTAGGGATTATGTGGAGAGGGAGGAGATGTGGACATCGATTTAACAGCAGATGCTTAGCAAGTCATTGAATAGCAGACCAACGCAGCCTGTCAAAGGTTTTATATACCCAATCGAACATTTTGCAACATGAACAAAAAACAACAGTAATCAGTTAGAACCATCAAGGTCTAAAAGTGGTCGGTATCATAGGGTAAATCAGGTGACTGCCCTTTTGGTCCTTGGCTACCTCGACTCCCCATCTTCTTCTTCACTCTGTCAACACTCTAATCTTTCCTACTAACCACCAATTCCACGTTCTTTTTTGCCATCTCTCTCCTTTCATCCCTTTTATCCATGCTGCCAAGTGGAGTATCCATCTGTGTCAAGGCCAGTCGAGCAAAATAACTAGGGTCACTGCACCCATCTGGTGTCAGAAAACGCTCTAGTGGGCTCTCCAGGCACAGTCCCAGCGTTTGCTCAAAGAGCTTAAGACTTGCAATCGTCTGGGCTTGCGTTGAATCGTATTCCATAGCAGACATGCTTTGGTTGATTCGCTCTATGTCACCCTCAATATCCATTCCACTCAACTGCTCGGTGTCATTCATTTTGAGCTGTGAATGGAATTGATGGATTTGCTCTTCCATGATGACTTTTTCAACCCATGCTACAGTAGCCATGCGGGAGTCCTGCTGGTGCTAAGTCAGTTCTGGTGTTCTAGTTTTCCAAAGGGAAAGTAGGGCTAACCTTTTGCAGAGCCTCGTTGTGTAATGCGAGGTTATATTCAGTCAATCTTAGCTCTTGGGAGTCCTTGATCATTTTCAATGTGATTTCAAAACGCTTCTTCGAGAAGTTAGCCTGACTGGCAATTTATCTCAATGACAAGATTTAAAAAAGATCGGCCTTACTTCCGTATACAAGCAATGTTATGGAATGCTTCAAATGTGAATTTCGAGTGACGCTGGGATATCAAGCAGACTAGAAGACCGACAGTGATTGAATCAATATTGGCAGACAGGCATCTTATATACCAGGGCACGATGCTCAAGGTGTGTGGGTTCCTTGCAATCTACAAACCTCCAAGCGCAAAACGACCCATTTTAATTTCAGTCATCTCTCTTGTCAGGGTGATATGCCAGGTGGATATCCAGCCAGCGAAGGTCCAATGGGTGGATCTTGTCCTATCATTTCCTCATGCATGCATTATGATGAACAAACTGCTGGGCCAGAAAAAGGAAAGGCACCATTTAGCTCTCTTGGCCCCAGTTATGCTTAGGAACTGGTGCGAGAGAGATCCTCCAAGGGGTTTCCCCAATGGGAAATGATGCATCAGACCTTCGCTGTCTATGATTTTCGTTGAAGGCTGCCTTGGCTGCTGACCTGCAAGTCTGAAACACTCACTGCGATACATGCAAGCCTCAGTTGAGCTATGGCCTTGTAGTGCTCAGTGGGGGAACAAATGACCAGATCCCGTTTATTACGGATATGCCCTGTTGCATATCATATTTCCTAATTCAAGCTACAGGTAGATCCGTTGCGGGGGGATTCGAACGCAATCAGTCCCGAGAACCCACTCGGAAATTGGGGATCTTTGCAAGCCTACACTCCTATTGAGGTTTGAGAGGGATGTTGATGAGCTGAAAAAGTACGCGCCGGGCTTTACCTAGTCGTATATAGTTTCGGCTCACCGGCTTGCCATCCCCATGGGTCTTCATCTAGCATTAGCAGGTGCTGAAATCTACAGTTTCGGGATGATCCTTAGAACCAAAGTGCCGGGTCCTCGACAGCATTCACGGAAATACAGAAGGCGGCGGTCAGACCCCTCATGGCTGTGCCTTACGACGCGTTTCACAAACAGAACAGGAGATTTCGATGAACGGTCACGCGGAATATCATGATCTATATACGGAACATTGCGACATCTAAGCCTTCAAGCTGTTGGAAAGGACTGAACTCTGAGGACAGTGCATTTGTCAAGGCTGAATATTTCCTCAGACGGGCAATTATTGTCAGGAGAACAGCAACATGTGTGCTATTACATGACCGGCGCTGCCGATGCACGCAAAAGGGGCAGCATGTACCACTGCTATTCTAGTCGCTTCACTAGTAGTTGTTCACCATCTACGATAACTTTGCTTTTTCCGGAGCGACCTGTCGTCGGACCCGACATTATGGTTCCCCGCGTGGTTGAACGAATGAAGGCCAGCACAACATTTTCCATACCTCCGTATGGCCAATGATGTTCGGTTTATTTATTTTCGCTGTGAGAATTACCGCAGGGCAAAATATCTTCGACATACACGAAAGTCAAATGGGGTGTCCATTGTCCATTCCTTAGAGTGGAACCCCCAAAGACACCTGGCAGACTGGCAGAGGAGCGTTGATGGTGTCAGCGCACGACTGCTCAGTGCTACTGTAGGCTATCTCCACACTAATTTCCATTTTGCATGCTACATCATCATACTGCAATAATGGTATGGCTAAAGAGCTCTATTCCTTCCCCACAGCCAGGGCCTCGGGTTTCTTGGTGGATTTAGCTCTTTCATCTTGACAAAGAACCGACATTCTACAAACACCAGATATGGCACCATGACCCGAGAGACCTGGTTGTCTTGAAAAGGGGTGATCTAGTTCAACTTTTGCTAGCCTTTGGACTGGCCGAAACGGCACTCCCCCTCTTACGACAATTCGGTAGAGAGGAGGAAAAGCAATAATAAAGTCCGTGTTGATCTACATGCAAGCGAACAAAACGAGAGGGGTGCTTACCACCGGTCTGGTCCGATGACAAGGATCATGACTCAGGATTTCAACCTTGCAACTCGAGTGACTGTTCCGAATATCTGGACAGTGTAGCGACATGCATCAAAGATTCGGTGTTGTCTCTAATTCGTTCGTCTTGCTCAACAAGGCATCTGGATACGATAGCTAATCCCGACAATGCCGGCACCAACGAGGCTACAGTTCGGTCCTCCATTTTGACCGCGACTAAAATGAGTTGCTCGGTATTTGCACAGGAATTCAGTTACTTAACCGTTGAACTGGAAACAGAAACTCAAACACACAATTACTCATTCATCGCAGTCTGTGTGTCGATGCAGACTGTATTCCGCCGCTTATCAAGGCTGACGAGGAAATACAGATGCTAGACTATCCTTTCCTGCTACGAAAGGATCACTCAGTAACAAAATCAGCCAAGAGCCTCAAAGCTACGGCTATCCTCGGGTCAAAAGAGAAAGCCAGATTGCTTGGAAGAGGTCTCTTCGATGTTGTTGCGACCACGGCATTATTTATCCCAAGCGAACGGGCACATGCTGTCTCTCCCTAGTTCGGTCCGAATGAGTGAACTGGGGATGACTGGAGAACTGGAGAAATCATCTGGAAAAGCGCTGCGGGTTAAAGATTTGCAACTTTTGGAATTCAGGAAGTGGCGCCCAGGGAATCGTTGAGTGTGAGCTGCCTCTGTAGTAGCTGCCTGGGTATGCCAGTTGTGCATTTCAATATGGAGAGCTCAGATTTAACATCTGGATGTCTTTATTCTTTCGGTTCTCATTCTGATCCTAGTGATGGTGCATTAACTTTCTCTTATACTTGAACCTCCATCCACTTGATTTTACACAAGAATGCAAGTAACTGAAGCGAAACTAACATCTCAATATGAAGCTTAAGTCTCGATGGGTAGTTATATTTAAGGAAAAATACAAGTATTTGTAAAATTTCTGGATAAATGATATGAATTTTTCTAAATCTCGCTAACATACATCAAATAACTGTCACATAATATCCAGAACAAACTTGAACCGAATCGTACAAAAACGATTATACAGAACTTCAAAATCAAGAAATATCAATATAGCTTATTCTGTCTCCAAAAGCCCGGCAGTTCTCCGAAAGGGGAGACATTCACTCCAAGATCCATGCCTGCAGGCTGGTTGTGTTGCTGCCACGTCAGAGGGTTGCCTAACTGTAGACTTTCTCCAGGCTGAAACCCTGACGATAAATACTGATGGGCGTATTGAGGACTTTGAGTGATATTTTGGCGGATGTTTCCGTTGCCCAAGCCATATGGCAGCAGGGTATTCTGCTGTCGGTGACCTTCAGGATTTGAGAGGTAGCGAAAAGACGCCGTAAATGGCGAACTAGTATAATCCTGGTAATCATTGGGCGACATTAGGATACCGTCATTGCTACCTAGCAATGAACCATTGGCAATAGAATGCTTTGGTGACTCGCACATTGAACTCTTTGAGTCCATAATCACATTGTATGCTGCGTCGAGGGTTTGCATGAGCAGCTCTTCGCTGGCCTGGTTATTCGGACAAGACGGTAGCAGCGTATTAGATTGCCTCATATCACATCCTCCCGTAGATGTTAGGTTTTCTGCATTCCTCTTGAGGTCAGGTACCTGAGTCAAAGGATCAGAAGAGAGGGGATTGTAACCCTGATTCTGTCCAGGGTAGTCTAGCTGTGCTAGGCTGCCTAACGAAGGTGCGATTCCGAGATTTTGTGGGATGATTGCGCTTCCCTGCTCAGGAACAGCTATTTCAGGTAGAGTTAGAGATACTTGCAAATTGTTATGCTGTGGTGTAATGTCGAAAGCGAAATTGCCACCGGAGATGTTGGATGGCGTAGATCGCGAGAGTTCTGCATGAGCGATGTGATCACTGATATCCTTTTCTCTGTGGCGAATGTTCTTCACTAGTCTTCTCCTGTTCTCCAGGCGCCTCTCCCTTATGGGGGAATATCTCGTGCCTAATCTTTTTGGTGGACTTCGTTTGCGACTGGAAGGCTTCGCATGTGAGTGAGTGTTTGCAAAGGCGAACTTATGGTCTGGCTGATGGTCCCATAGTTTTTCCCTCTCTTCAAGGAGACATTTTAACTCTTCAAGATCAAAGTATTTCCAGTTTGGCTCAGAGTTCACATATTTATCCCCCCGGTCGGTATTAGCCAACAAAAGCCCAGTCACATACATCTCGATAGATGGTTCAATGCCTGAGTCTTCATGTTCACTACTGTATGGAGTAGTAGTGGGCGATGATCCACATATGCTTCCCTCATGTTTGAGCTGGTGACTATGATCGTGATCGGATTGGGAAAGCAAAGGATTGAAATGTGTTTGATTTCCGAGGTAGTTCGGATATGAATGATAGTCAATACCTGACGAACAACCTTGTTGCGGGTCTGGGTTCATTGTGCCTGGTGAGTTGTCGACTTTTTCCATGTAGCTCAAGTCAGTCTGTTCACAAAACCGGTCTGAGAAGAACTCGGGAATTTCCTTTCGATGGTCCTCATACATGTTTTGCGACTGATTTATCTCATTGTGAGCATTCGTAAACGACTCTTCATGATTGCGTTGTGATCTTTTGGATAGGAAGTTCATCTCCGAAAAGGCAAGGTCGGGTACTAAGAGATTAGATCAGCTTCGAACTTTTGAGTAGTTCAAGGGCATTGGGATGACATACACTCGCGCGAGTTGACTGGAGCGGAAGTCTTGCCCTTTTGGAAGATCCCCAGGTTCATATGAGAATGGAGCTACCGTTATTGTCAGCCATTGTTCTTCAAAGCGGGTCGTGTTTCTTACCGTGAGTCTATCCTGCGTTACATTAGAGGCATGGAAAATATCATTGATCGTATGCTTTCTGGCTCGCTGAGAGGCCTTTTGATTTTCCTTCTTTGAAACCTTTGCACGGTACACTGGGTCTTTGTATTCATAGCGATCGTGTCTGGTTTTGTGTCGAGGTCTGCGCTCATATCCATGTCTTTCTTGGCTGACGGAGCTGGTAGGCTCAACTGGTTGCCCTTGGTGTGGCAGCTCAGATGGGTAAGCTGTCTGAGTGCCTTCGATTCCCTGTCTTTCTGTGGCTGATCTGATAGACTCGAATAGAGTGCCTGGAGCGTTGAAAAGACCTTGGTTGTCTGATAATACGGTTAGCTATGTAGAACGCTGAGGACTCGTAGGTGTTACCTGGGGGGTGAAAGGCTTCAGCTGCCTTCCCACGACATCTTCCAGATGCTTTCTTTGTTTCTGCCACCCACTTGTGGATTAGATCGTACTCGGCTGGATCCATATGGACGATTTGAGATGAATAGAAGATAGAAAAAATGTTGAAGGCGGTAGTTGGTGATGGTCAAATGAACAGAGAAGATGGAAGAGGGTGAAGAGAGACTGAATTCTGCCAACGAAAGGCAGTCCGTTATAGGAAGGCACCATGGAAGCCTGTAAGTGCTCGTTTTGGCAGTTGCTGCCATTTTGGGTATACAGGCAGAACAGTGCCTTCATTCTGACATAACTGCGAGTTTATGCTTCAGAGTGCATGGATACAATAGCTGATACCTACTGGAGAAGACATCAACGATCAAAGTATGGAGACAGTTGGAGACTCTATATGAACGATATCATCTAGATTACTGTGAGGCCCTTAAAGCTCCATTTTAGGAAATGATTAAACGAAGCTAAGACACTAGCGTGGGCAATTCAGAGCAACATTGGCCAATGAGAGTGAAGAGAAGGACTTAAATTGAAAGAGACTTGGAGTTAGCGCGAAACTAGCGAGAACTGACAAGCAAAAGTCTCCACAATCCCCTCATCAGTCATCAGTCATCTATTATCTATTTATTTGGTAGACATAGTAATAATTAAAGAATGAGAATATAAATGAGAGAATAAGAGAATAATGATAAAGATAATATTAATCAAATCAAATCATATCAAGTAATTAAGATATGATTGGCAGACTGTCACAAGGGTGCCAACGTGTCCAGCTGATCTGATGGTTCTGCAAACAATATCACCGTGGTGGGTGGGACTGCATCGCCCATCACCCTTGAGGCTGACCTGATTATGTCTAGACGGGGGTTATCCGATGCCATTTGTCTGATAACTCGATGATAACAGCCAGAATCAGGATTAAAGACATTCGGGCTGCCTCTTTGGGGGTTCTGGCGAATTATCCAGACGGTTTGTGTATTAGTCTTACGCCCCGGGGACCGTGGGGATGCTACATTGTCACTATGCGGCACATTCCACGATGGACTCCATATCAACACCAGTCTTTTGAGATATAATACCATAGAGGTGAATAAAATTTTCGTATTTATCCAGGTGAATGAATCCGGCTCGTATGGAAACATCCAGATGGCGCCATCTCCAGGCTGACTCGAATGAGGGGAACGGAGGTGCACACCAGCCGGATGCTAGCGTCTCAACGCCTCCTCTTCCGCGGTAGAAGTCCGTCCTTTTCTTTCTTATTATTTCGATTTTCTCGCAGTATTGGTATCATTTAGTATTAGAGTAAGAGTAATAATAATAATATGCGCAGTAATGAGCAGTAATCACAGGATAATACAGTAATCGTACCCCACTTCTGCATCTCCTCTCGCCCAGACTCTTCCCCCAAATCTTACGCTTTGCAGATTTTCGTTGCAGCTGAAATTATAATTAAATTTTTCCCTCGATACTTTTTTCTTTTTTCTTCTTACACTCTTCATTCATTTCTTTCATCTGGTCTTTTCGCGGATCAGAATCAATCAATCACCAATTCACTCTTAATAGTAGGTCACTCTCTCCCACTACTGGTTGCTGTTTCACAAATCCCATCCTCGCCCCGTGTTTTTGACCCTTGCCTTGTCTCGTCTGGACAGAGAGGATCGTTGCCTTTTTTTTTCCCCCTCCCTGATTTCCTCCCACCTTTTTTATTTCTACCTGTCCTTCCCCCTCCCTCAGTTTGGATCAGTTCACTTTGGCATCATCCTGCTTTCTTCGCCAGTGCTAATTATCTGATTAATTCAAACAGACTCAACAAATCACAAAAATTCAAAATGGCCAAGCTTTTCGTTGGGTGTGTTCTTAATCACTGCCTGACGCTATCACCCTTTTCTTAACAACTGACCGGATTAGCGGCCTCGCATGGCACACCACTGATGAGACTCTCCGCGCTGGATTCGAGCAGTTTGGAGTTGTCGAGGAAGCTGTCAGTTTCCCCTCCAGTCTTCTTTCTCGTACTTTTGATCAGGCTAACGTGTTCTTTGTGTCCACAGATTGTCGTCAAGGACCGTGACACCAACCGTAGCCGTGGATTTGGCTTTGTCCGTTTCGCTGCCGAACAAGATGCCGACGCTGCTATTGAGCAGATGAACAACAATGAGTGAGTTTTTACAATCGACCAGACTGTAGGAATCGACACTTTAACACGAAACAGATTCGATGGCCGTTCGATCCGTGTCGACAAGGCCTCTGAACGAGCTCCCCGCAATGACGGTGGCTACCAGGGCCGTGGTGGTTACAACTCGCAGGATGGTGGCTACCGTGGCGGTGGTGGTGGTGGCTACCGCGGCGGCTACGGAGGAGGTTACCAGCAGCAGCAGCAGGGCGGATACGGTGGTGGTGGTATGTCATTCACCCACTCTTGACAGCCCTTCAGTTCCTTGACTAACTCGATATACAGACTGGCGCCAATAGGGTAACGATGCTGCTTAAGCGTGCATCGACCGAGTTCTCTTTCTTTTCGTGCTTTCTTAAGGAGATACCGTTTCTTTGGAGGATGTTCTTTTCTCAAGTCTACTACAACCGTTACGCCTGTTCACCCTGGAATGCAAGTTATGAGATACGAACTATTGAAAAGAAATGATGGGGCCCGATATCTTTTGATGATGGAATGATCTTTGATCTTAATGGTGCAAATGACTAGTACTATTTTCTCTTTTTTGAGATGATACGAGCGCTAAGGAATAACATCACATTTGTCGTCTTTCCAATTTATAACAAACCCCTTGTATCCTTGTATAATTGCATCATATCTAAGGTAATCTGGCATATGCAAGTAAGTCCACGTCAATCATCCATCATCAACCAATCTTATGCAACATAAATCTACCATGTAGGTAAGGTATGCATCAACCTAATCGAAGATCCTACTCCGTCTTGGGAAAATGCCCATGCGCCTCTTCCACAGACGCACTCAACGACGCTTTCACCTCCCTCTCCGCCCTCTCCTCTTCCTCCACCGCAACCCCCTTCTCAATCCCCTCCACCCTCTTCACCAAATCCGTCACATGCCCATCCGCACTCCCCAGCCCCAGCCCTTCCAGCGCCTTCTCCAACATAAACAGATACTCGCTGTTCTTCCCGCTCTTGCCGCGACTCGCGCTGATCACCGCCGCCACGTCCTGCGGTTCGCGGCGCGCTTTGTCGGTCAGGAATTGCGAGTTGGTGGGGAGCCCGATGTATACCATGCAGGTGATGGGTGAGGAGGAGTTTGGTTGTTCAGATTCAGACTTGGTGAAGGGGTGGAAGGGCGTAAAGTGCGCCGTGTAGCCGTTTATCTCGCGGGCGTCGAGATAATCGTGGACTTCTTCGGCATGAGAGGCGGGGATGTGATATGCCGCGCCCCAGACTGTGTCGCTTGTGGATTCGAGGTGTGCGAGCTGTCAGTGTTAGTAACCTAGTACCTGATACGTAGTAGTAGAGAGACATACAGGATCATCCAGCGTCTCCCAAAACTCGCGTTCGATGACAGTCACCACTCGACCGGGGGCTTCTAAGGTGCCGCGATGGTCGGAACTAAGATGGACAGTCAGTCTGGATTAAAAAGGACTGCTGATCATCTACATACCTAGCCTAGATGATAATCAGCGCTGTTCTTGCATAGTAGATCATATAAGATGAAACTTGTACTGACCTGCCAGAAACGACGGACATAGCCGCTTATATAGCCCGGTACTCTTTGGTCTATATCTGTCAGACATTATTTATGATATAGTGGTTTGGACTGTAGAGCAGCATACCATAATGCGGTGGTGGCTTCCAAATCAAACTCCTACATTTAAATCAGCATCTCACATTATTTGAATTACTATCTTAGTAAAGACTGTCGATATATATCAGGAACCCTTACCCGTAACCAAACACCCAAAGATCACCATCCGGGAAATGATTTCGCCATTCTCGCACAGGCGCACCATTCTGACCTTCTTGCGAGGGCATGATGAGTTTAAAATAATTAAAACGGCAAATAACGCAGCTGCTCTGACAACGACAGGAACACTATAAGTACCTGAACCATCTCGGCTTCTTCTGCCAGCACATCCCACATTAATCGAATCGATCGGACGTGGTGTTTGCAGCGTTTGCTTTCTTCATCTCCACCTGAATAACTACAGGAATTCTGGGAATGGCGCAAGCTGATGCCACTTTGATCGAATCACGATTCTGCGGTCGGGTATTACAGCTTGGGTTTATCGGTTAACTGCCTTGAGGGTATTGTTCTTGAGTGTTACCCGGCTGTGCTTGCTGGTGAATAACGGGCGGGCTCTTCTATCCGAGTGCGACATTCCAATTCCATTAATCCAGGGGAGGAGGATATCCGTTTGAAACAGCGAGATACTATCGATATCAATATTGAGGATAATTCACCGAGGAAGAAATATCCTGGATTGCCAACTTGTTGCACCGCCTACGTAATCTCCGTCTCGATATCCATGGTTTAACATACAGCTTCATATTCTTAACTGGCACAACATCATCATGGCTGGTCTATTTCGTCTCCTTCGAACACAATATACCCCTCCCACCGACCCAACAGGGTCATTCGCTGGCAAAACAGTCCTCCTAACAGGCGCAACAGCCGGCCTTGGCTTCGAAGCAGCCATCAAATTCCTCAATCTCGGCGTGGATTCTCTCATCATCGGAAGTCGCAGTCTGGATAAAGGCCATGCGGCAAAGACAGAACTCGAGAAGCGCACCAACCGACCGGGGGTGATTGAAGTCTGGGAACTAGAGATGAGCAGCTACCAGAGCGTCAAGAACTTTGCCCGTCGCGTCGATAGAGACATCAAGCAGCTGGACGTGGCATTGCTTAATGCCGGTCTGTGGAATCGGGATTACAAGATGTCGTCTGAAGGGTGGGAGGAGACGTTGCAGGTCAACGCGCTTTCGACCTCACTTTTGGCGCTGCTGTTGCTTCCCAAGTTGAGGAGTGCTGCGTCGGTTGCGAACCCGGCGCATCTTACTGTCGTGTCGAGTCAACAGTTTGTTCGGGTCCAGGCTGAGAGTCTCAGGACGGATGGGTCTCTACTGGAGCATTTGAACGAGTCGCATCGCTTTGCCGGTCCCAAGCAGTACGGCATCTCGAAGCTTCTACTGGAGTATGTTCTCAAGACCATCGCTGGTCTGACTCGCAATGAAGACGGAACGATCCCAGTCATCGTCAACACCATCAGTCCAGGTTTCTGCATCTCGTCTCTCGGGCGGCAATATGACAAGTTCTACGAGCGATGGCTGGTTTGGATTGTGCATAGGCTGTTTGCCCGTACAACCGAGCAGGGGAGTCGGTCGCTTGTCAGTGGGACATATCAGGGTGTAGAGTCACATGGGAAATGCTGGAGAAGCGATGGATATTTAGAGTGAGTGGTGTTGTGTTTGATCATGCGATCATTACTGACGATATACAGCGAGTCCAAGGCGTTAACGGTGGGCGCAGAGGGGAAGCAATTCCAGACAAAGGCCTGGAAGGAAATCATTGAAATTCTGCAAAAACAGGCAGAGGTTGAAGACATCATCAGACAATTGTCCAGTCATAATGTATAAATAATAATAATATCTAATATCTAATTATTAACCTCATGATAGAATTCAAGTGTAACCACCAGGATGTCATATTGGCTCCCCACAACCCGCATTCAGTAGGGCTGAAGAACCAGCGGGGACCTGAACCCGGACAGAAGAGATGAAGATATTTATATTCTGTCATTCTGTCATTTTTTCCTGCTCCTCATCGTTCCTGAATCCTGATCTGAATACGAATACGCGTGGACCCCAGAAATTCCTGTCTGGTCGCTTGCACCGCCCCACGTTTGGAAGAAACCATCTGTTACGTTGACGGAGGCGTAATTTCGGGGCCTCTCCTGAACTCCCTTTCAACAACGTCAGATCTTTTGTTTCTTTCTCTTGCTGGGTTGGATCTCTGTTTCTTGTTTCCTCCTGGCTCTGATTCTCTCCACTCTGTGTGCGCGTGCCTTATTTTCTTATTTCCAGCTCTTGCTGTCGGCCTCTTGAATTCGCTATTTGCTACTTACGTCAACTGCCATGGCGTACAACAAATCCTACAACCCCGATGCGCTGCCTGCGTAAGTCAAGAAGATTCGAGAAAGGCATTCCTCTTGGCTGATTGACTGACTGATGCAATGGAACAGACACGCAGAGCCAGAACAGGTAAAATGATGCTGCCATTTGTTGTCCCTCTACCCCGCGATTGACAAACATCACCAGGTCGCCCAGATGATCGGTGCAATGCAGGTAAAGCCTTCATCGTCTCGCCCACCGGCACATCCCACGGCCAGCGGTATCCCTCCTCGAGTGCCCGTCTCCAGCGCCCCCCACGGCCCTGCAGGCCCATACGCTGCCTCTGCCCCCAAGCACAACAACGGGATGCGCCCGCCTCCAGTCTCAGCGCCGCCGACCCAATACCGACCCAGTCCCCAGCAGCACTCGCTGCATCCTTCCCCTCCGCCGCAGAACTATGGCTTTGGGCCTCCTCCCTCTCACCCAATGCGCACTCGCCCTCCGGCCTCCCGGCCCCCTCAATCCCAATCCCCTTACCAGCCTCCATTATCCGCCCCCGATGATGACCCGCAGCAGCTGTTTCCCCTTTTCCGCGCCGCCAACGCGTCCCACTCGGGCGCCCTCACTGAGATGGAGCTGGGCTCCGCTCTCGTGAACGGTGACTTTACCTCGTTCCACCCAAAGACCGTCAAGATGATGATCCGCATGTTTGACCGGAATGGCAGCGGGACTATCTCGTTTGACGAGTTTGTGTCGCTGTGGAAATACCTGGCTGCATGGCGGGAACTGTTTGATCGATTCGACGAGGATCGCAGCGGGCGCATCAGTCTGTATGAGTTCGAGAACGCGCTGGCTGCGTTCGGATATCGGCTCAGTCAGCCGTTCGTCACGGTGCTGTTTACGACCTTTGAGAGTAAAACGCGACAGATGAGTGGACCGGCTAAGAGTCCGGGACAGCTGGGGATGAGCTTTGATTTGTTCGTGCAGGCGTGTATTAGTCTGCGACGCATGACAGATGTGTTTAAGCGGTATGACGACGACCGCGATGGATATATCACAGTGAGCTTTGAGGAGTTTTTGACAGGTAAGACCGATGGAGATACATTGTAAGAGACTAAAGAGATAGACTGACTGGTCGATAGAGATTCTACAGTTACAGGATTGAACGAGGCATCTCAGCGTGTTTTTGTTTATATTATACCCCATCCATTAATTCATAAAGAGCATCCAAAAGAAACTATTTATTTATATCCAATTTAAACTACGGTAGACATTTAAAAATAACCACATAGATAACCTTGTGTCATACATAACCTTTGCTTTTTTTTCACGGAGAAATAGTCTGACACTTTCCATTACTCTATCCCGAGCGACCTCAATATCGCCAGCAGTGGGATGACTGCCGCTAAGCATCATCCGTGTTTCATCCCACCTGCAGATTATTCAAGATAATTGACGATGATTCCTGTAACCGACTTCTGTAACAACTGATCGACATGATTATCGTCGGCTTCGGGCTTAAACACGCGCCGCAGTCCAGTTTCTGACTGGGATTTACGTTGGAAAACTGCACGGATGACGATTGAATCTGATTAACCGCCATCAGCTGTCATTTCTTTTCCCGTCTTTTTTTCATCTCTGTCTTTCTCTCTTTCCATCTTATATAAGGATTGCGGTGTTGCATTTTTGGGCATCGATCGAGTCTCTCGTTTCTTTTTCTTTTTCTCTTCTTCTTCTTCTTCTCTCCTTTTCTTTCATTCGCTGCAAACGGAGTTTATTGTAACGCCGAAAATCAATTCCCCCTCGCCTGTCCAAAAATAACCTCCCCCAAATCCCCATTTTATCTATTTATCCCTAGCCTTTTTTCTGAGAAAAATGGCAGGAGAAAAAGATCATCCGGATGATACCTATCTAGTCACTATCGACCTTTCTGGAGACCAAAAAGTCATGAATTTCTCCCAGACCGACGCCGATGACGTCTCCTCCAGAGCTTCCACGCCCCTTTCTCCTATCTCAGAGCGTAGGCTGTCAACGAGGCAACATGGTGACAATGGTGATGCTGGCTCATCGCCTGGTGAATCGACCGATGGAGCACCGGATGGAGAGGAAAAGTTGGAAAAAAGCAAGGTTTTTTTGGTGATGCCGGCGCTTTGTGTATGTTCTATGTTCTCCTGGTTGACTCATAGGATGGAATGGCATGCTAACATTGATATCGGTTTAGTTGGCTTTGTTTTTGGCTGCTTTGGATATGGTGAGTACTCCCTTTACTCTGTTGATTGCTCGATACTGATGGTATAGACTATTATTTCTACAGCTCTGCCGACCATGGCTGCTAGCCTGCATGCCAACGAAAGTGGATATTCATGGATGGCCTCGTCATACTTACTAGCCAACGCTTCTTGTGTCCCACTCTGGGGCAAGTTCAGTGATGTCTGGGGACGAAAGCCCGTTCTTCTCATTGCCAACTTTGTCTTCCTCATTGGCAGTTTGATCTGTGCTCTCGCGACCAACTTGACCATGATCTTGGTCGGACGAGCTGTGCAGGGTATCGGAGGTGGCGGCATCATCGTGCTGGCCAATATCAGTGTTTCAGACTTGTTTAGTGTTAGGTGTGTTCTACGAGGACTGCTGAGATGAGATCAATGCTGACGTTAGACTAGGGACCGGCCGATGTACTATGGTATCTTTGGTGCTATCTGGGCTATTGCTGGTGCTTTGGGTCCGATCATTGGAGGTGCTTTCACTACCAGTGTGTCTTGGCGATGGTGTTTCTGGATTAACTGTAAGTATTACATCTGTTGATTGTTATTATGATTGCTAACAGATCAGTGCCTGTCGGAGGAGTCTCGTTCATCGCCCTGCTCCTCTTCCTCAGGATTGAATCGACCAAAACACCCCTGATGGCTGGTCTCCGCAGTATCGACTGGAGTGGCATGATCCTCATCCTCGGCGGCACGCTCATGTTCCTGTTCGGCCTCGAGTTTGGCGGCGTCAACTTCCCCTGGGACTCACCCACCGTCATCTGTCTCATCATCTTCGGCGTCGTCGTCTGGGCACTCGCCATGCTGAACGAGTGGAAAATCGCCAAATACCCCGTCATCCCGCCCCGTCTCTTCAAGGAATGGCACAACGTCTGCGTCCTCCTCATCTGCTTCTGCCACAGCTTCGTCTTCGTCGCAAGCACCTACTACCTCCCCCTGTACTTCCAAACCATCCTCCTCGCCACCCCCATCCTCTCCGGCGTCTACAACCTCCCCATGATCCTCGCCCTCTCCATCTTCTCCACGGGCACCGGCTTCGTCATTAAAAAGACAGGCTCCTATCGCCCCCTCATCTTCTTCGGCTTCTTCTTCATGACCCTGGGCTATGGCCTCTTCATCAACCTCAAACCCTACGCCGACTGGCCCCGCATCATCCTCTTTCAAATCATCGCCGGCGCAGGCGTCGGCCCCCTTTTCCAATCCCCCCTCGTCGCCTTCCAGGCAAACGTCCACCCCTCCGACATGGCCACCGCTACCGCTACCTTCGCCTTCATCCGCCAAACCGCCTCTTCCATGTCCGTCGTCCTCGCGACAGTCATCTACCAAAACGTCCTCGCCGAGAAAATCAACCAGCTCTCCTCCCTTCTCGGTCCCGAGACCACCGAAAAGCTAGCTACCTCCTTCTCCGCCTCCTCAAAGGGCCTTATCTCCTCCTTGCCCACGGATCAAAAGGATGCCGTCATGGAAGCCCTCACTTTCACCTTCAGCCGCATGTGGATCTTCTACGCTGCTATCGGCGCTATCGGTATCGTGCTGAGCTTGTTCGTTCGTCAGGTCGAGCTTAGCAAGAAGCATACCTTTACTAAGACAGGCCTTGAGGAGCAAGAACGTGCTAGGCAGGAGCTTCTGGCTAATGAGCGCAGTGAGTCGGAGAAGAATGGTAAGGCTGAGGTTTAGGTTCTTTGCCTCCACTTTCCTTCCTTCCGCTTCCTTTCTTCCCCTCTTTTGACTTCAGGTACATATCTGTGTTTTTAATCGCGTATACATATATGAGCGCTGGCGCCATTTTGTTTTTCTTTAAACAAAAAAGAAGTTATGCATTTGATGTTATGTTTCAATTTTTTGTTTATAACTGTTTTGTCAGCTGTACTTGTACATAGTTACCTTGCTTACATCCATTGAACATATCAATACCAATCCGATAAAAAGCAAAACAAAATTCATCACCCATACTTACTAGAAACTAAGAGGACATCTCTAAGCGATTTATTGTTCCTATGATAATCCTTATATACATATGATCAAGTCATTTACCCAAAGCCCTGTAGGCCTTTTTTGCATTCAAACATCCATTATAGGATGGTTGGCCAACAGCAAAAGCAACACTCAAAAAGAAAGCGAGAGGGCTAGATAATCAAGCAATAAAAGACAGTTTTTGACATGATAGAAAAAAAGAGACACGAGACGATTAGAAAAGAAAGAAAGACGGGGGAAATAAAAGAAAATGAAAAAAGAACGCCATCACCAGGAAGGGATCACTGAAAGGAAAGGTGTCGGTCTTCCGGAGGGAAGATGTATATGTAGGTAGGTAGGTAGGAGTAAGTAGAGAGTGAAAATACCAAAGTCGTTGGAGCAACGCCCTAAAGGCAGATTTGACAGCAAAGAAAAATTGAATAAAGGAAGGGGTATAAGCTTTCAACAACAGAGGAGGAATCTTCATCGAAAGAGACGATCAGACATATGAAAAGTTTCCCCGCAGAAATCAAAGGAATACATCCAAAGAGACCAAACCTGATTAAGCCCAGCTTCCCCATCTAACGCCGGAACAGATGCCAATATTGGAGACACGAAAGCACAAAAAATGCTAATCATCAATCTAGAAATGCAGTACTATGTCTTGGTTTTCTTATTTGTCCCTTCTGCAGATGGACCGCTGTCAGGGCTCTTGCGCTTCTTTTCTTGTTCATCTTCTCGCGCAAACCCAGGGCCTGTCTGTACTGCAGGGGTCGGAAACGTTAACGGACTTGGTAGCATATTCGTGTCTGGCCCAGACCTGCCGAAACCCCACTCAGGGAAGAAACTCGACGGTGATGGAAGGAGTGCATCGGATACAAAGCGACTTGGAAGCGCAGAAATCGGCGTTTCTATGTTGTTATTGCTGTTATAAGCATTATTGTTCTGCGATGCCGCTCCCGGAGGTGGCGGTCGAGCAAAGGGATTAGGGGGTCCCTGGGCACCGGCACTAAGAATTGCCCCAGCAGATGGCGATGGTGGAGGTAATACCACGCCCGAATGGTTGGTATCTGCGTTAGCCTTTGCAGGCGTCAAGGTCTTATTTCCGGCCGATGAAGACGACTCTGCCGTAGCACTGGCCCCGTCCGAATTCTCGCTAGGAATCTGCACCTTTAGTTGTGGTCGTTTTGGTAATTGACCACTATTAGTCCGGATAGGTGGTTTGATCTCAGGCACTGAAGAAACCGACTGCGTACGCGGGCCGTCCGTAGCTGCTCTGGGAGGGGGAGGTGCCGCCGGTTGACTGGATGCTTTAGTATCGTTCAAATCCTCTTGTGAAGACTCGGGCTTCATAGGAAGTTCAGCACGAGGCGACTCGCACAGCGGAGGTCCAACCCCTTTGAAATGACGCGCGAGCACAGACCCGCGATCGTCAATAGGCGTGAAGATACTACGTGACTTGGACGAAAGCGATCTGTGGTGATGTGTCGGCGGAGATTGACTCCCTTCCGACTTCATAGGACCAGGTACTTGTTCTGCAGCAGAAGTCTCGGGAAGTGGCACCGTCCGTTGTTGCGGCTCACCTGTAAAAGTTGGCGGCATCGAATTTCGCCCTTGCTCAGGCAGGTAAGCCTGTGCGACCTGCGATACCGCCGGATGAGGCGCCTGTGACAACCCCATCGGAGGCGGGGGATGTGCCATGGCATGCGGGTGCGGCGGGTGCAGGTGTTGCGGAGCTTGGTGGTGCTGTGCGATCGGCTGGGGCGGCATCGTGTGGGGCGGCATGGACGGGTGCGGAGGCGGCTGAGGTTGGTGGTGTGGCCCCGGGGGATGCCCAAAATGTGAGAACTGGCCTGGTCGGGGAGGCTGGTGGTTCATATTGGGATTGTAGACGGAGGGGTTGGGCATATACGCGAAACCATTTTGCGGCGGGGGCGGGGGCGGCGGAGTGGCATGGTGTTGAGGTCCTAGATTCGAACTGACACGACGGATATGATTTCTTGAAGACGGTCGGGAGATTCCTTGTGGTTGAGGGGTGCCATGGCGGGGATCAAAGGGCAGATGGGTGATGGGCGGCGAGGCAGACGGGGCGTGGTTGATATGTTGGAAACTGGGGTGGCTTGGTATTTGAGGCGGAACCATAGGGGTCTGGTGTATAGAATGCAGCTCTTCTGGAGCGGGAGTGGTCTCATCTTCATCGTCGTCATCGTCGCGTTTGCCATTAAAGTCTTCGGGGCCTTTATGTTCGTGTGGAGGGCCAAACTGAACACACGACACGGTTAGCAACATGGGGGGATGCAGGAACACGGGAGGGGGAAAACACACATATTGATAGCGACCTAGGGTCTCATGCATATCACACGATGAAAATTCATAGAGCTTTTTGTTATGACCGAAGATGATGACGGCGACATCGACCGAACAGAGAACGGCGAGCTCATGAGCCTTCTTGAAGAGACCGCCCTTCCGTTTCAAAAAAGTACTATCATCATCGCAACCGTGTCAGCTTTGAGGGCGCGGGGGGGTTGGGTGCAGGGAGAGCGGCAGGACACTTACACGGAACGGTTGCGATCATCTTTGATCGCCTTGATCTCGATCTTTCTCCGACCCATTGAGACCAGAAGTATATGGAAAGGTGCTAGAAGGCGATGGAGTCGATTTCACGCGTCGTCAAGGGGGTGACACGACGGAGGATGAAACAGACGACAAGGCCAGCAGCTGTTTGGCGGTGGAGAGTTTGATGCTTCGGGGACGTTGGTGGCGCGAGTCAAGAGCAAACGAAGCGATACGCGAGGGGAGATGGAAACAGGTACCGTTCAGAAAGAGTGGGGAAAAGGATAAAATTAAAAAAAGGAAAAGGGAGTTATTTTTGTTTTGGATGAACGAGAGGGGGGGAAGGATAGAAATAGAAATAAGAATAGGCGGAAGGATGGAAAGATGATGGTACAGATTAAAAGAGCGCTAAGGATGAGCTACGAAGTTGAGGCTCCGAAGCAGCGAAAATCAGCTGAACAAGAGGGAAAAAAACAGGGAGAAAGCGAGAGAGAAGGAGAGACAGAGACAGAGAGAGAAAGGAAGAAGATAAGATAGAGTAAAGTCAAAGTCAATTCACGGGAACGAGGAGGAGGCGAAGAACCACGCGATGCAGAAGATTCTAAAGATAGAAATGGGGGGAAAGAAGAAGAAGAGAAGAAAAGAAAAAGAACAAATCAAACCAAAAAGGGATTCAAAGGAAGGGAGGAGGACGAGGGAGTCTCGCGTTTTGCTCGAATAAATCGTTGGTTGAGAGCTGCCGGCGGCTGACTCAGCATGACAGCCGCCGTTGACGATTAGGCGCCGCTATTTATAGAAGCCATCTGATTGGTTTTTCTTCCCACATTTACTTCTTACTGAACCTGGTATGACCTCTAGCACCGACATACTACTGGCAGTACTAGTAGTACCTACCTTAGCCTCATGTAGTTTCTTCCTAGCGATAGAATCGTAAGGCTGGCAGGGTCTGAGTCCCAATCAGGAAATGGGAGTGGATGTGCCCCGCTGATTGGCTGGTCTAGACGTATTAATTACCGTACATATATTACCCGTCACGAGGATCGACTCGAAATGGACGTGTCGAATAGATTCTGACTCTGTTAAATAGCGGTGGGTACATTAGTGACTGGATTGGATTTGATTTATATTTGAGACCTGAGACTGTTTTGTAGGAACCTGAATCAATATATTTACATCTAAGATACTCCGTTGATTAAGGTAAATAAGGTAAATAGAGTGAATGTAGCTGCTGTGTACCGCGTAGGTAAACTGTAAGGTCGATCTCTCCGCATCCTCAAAGCATCAACAGAATTAAAGTAGATGGAATCATGATTATCATCACATCTCAAACCTCCCATCTAATCATAATTCATCATCGATAGTGTCCGATTCCCGTGGAGGCGAATCATCCTTGGATGGTTCCTAATCCATTTCCCCTCCGCGGTTGTTTGTTTTCGTTTCTTTTTTTCCTTCTCTCTTTTTTTTTTTCCAACCCCTGAAAACGGGAATCACAGTAGATCCTCATCATCACCATTTCTCTCCCCCCAATTCCCCTCCTCTTCCTCTCTTCTCTTTTCTCTCCTCTTTTCTTCTTATGGCGGTTCCCTTCGTTTGACCGACTCACCTAGTAACTTCTGGCTATCCTTACTACTGCGCTTTCTGCATATCTCTCACACTCTCTGCCTCTCCTGCACGCTAGACGTTCTGCAGTACAATTCGATTCTTGCCCCCCTCTGGGCTGCAGGCGATCACTTGGACACCAGCTGGATGTCTTGATCGCCTTGGGTTTCTTATTTATTATCTATCGATTGTTATTATTTCTTTTTCCCCTTCCCTTCTCGTTTCTTTTTCGTCTCCATCTTCCGTCCTTGCACTCTCGCACGGTTCACTGCTGAATCCACCTCCCCTTTGTGTCTTCTGCCCTCGTGTTTCCCTTTCCTTTGACCTCATAATTTCTCTCTTGGGACCGCCCTGTCCCTCCCGCTGTTGGGCATCACCCACCTCTCTTCCCCTCCTCTCCTAATTTTTTTTCTTTTTCATCTCGACTCCTCCCACTTCGAGTGGTCGCGTCCGCTTCATCATGCCCTTCTTCACCCGTGTCTTTCGAAACAAGGACTCTGGTTCCATCAAGAAGGCCACCAAATCCCCCGTGGTCGAGGAGCCAGAGCCCGAAAAACCCACGTGGACTGATGCATGGCAGCGTGCGGAGATCGCTCCCGAGGAGGTCCAGGATCTCCTACGAGGTTGTACTCAGGAATTGAAATTACGAGGTATGTCGGCTTGTTGTCTGTTTGCTCCCCTGACGTCAATTGCGATTTTGTCGTCGGACAAAGCAGAGGCGTTTGAGACAATCCCCATTCCTCAGATCGCTGATCATTGCCCGCGTTTCTTTTGACAGCTCTTGATACTCCATTCCTTCTCCTTCCCTTCCGTCCAAGCTCCGACCCCAGCGCCGCTCGTTCCTTTATTCGTAATTACTTCAATCAGTCCGTGGAGAAGGGATCGCCTCTCAGTGGAGATGCCTTGGCGCAGGAGCTGCGGTTGTCGGACCCCATGGTGAGATCACATCCGTACCCGTCATGTTGTGGTACGGTGGCTTACCCGTCATTTTGTACAGGTTCTTTGCAGCGTGATGAAATGGTGCTGGAGTCGACTCCCTGGAGGAGTTGTCACCTGGGAAGCTTATGAGCTGTTCAAAGTCGGTGAACAAGGTATATATCCTCCGGTCCCTCCTAGCTCCATCGTTTTATTGACCGGTCTGCAGACTCGCAGCTCGCCCGTGATGCCTTTTCGACATTTATTCCCATTAGCGTCGACTCCGACGCTCGAACCAAGATCATTTTCGACTTCTTTGATCTTCTAACGGCCATTGCAGCTCACGGCAAATCTAATGGTCTTGGAGGACGAAAGCTCTCCAGATATGCCGGCTGGTGGGCGTTTGAACATGTGGATACGGGCAATGGTTTTGAGGGTTCCTACAAGAGCTGGGCCAGTGCCGCCGATGCAACAAGCCATCTATTCTTCGCCTATCTGCGTTCAATCTCCCCGGACTCCTCCCGTGGTATGAGCGGTATCTCTACTTTGCCAATCGCTCTGCAGTCCCTGGTCCAGGCCACAGAATACCCCCCAGAGACGCCCACACTTCTTCAGGTTTCCACCACCAAAGTGGTCATGGTTGTGGACACCGTTTCTCCCACTCCCTTCGCTCTGCTGCGGCGTGCAAAAAATTTTGAATATCGCGACAGTGATCGACACTTGCAGGAATTTGCCAGCTTCGAGGATCCCACCCGGGCTTTGACTGACGAATGCCAACGCGTGTTGAAATGCATCTCCTCCACGAATCAGTCCAGCGTTGCGAGCCAGCAGGATTCGACCAACACACAGGATGCATCGTGGTCGAGATTCGAGGATATTGGATTCGGGAATTCAATCGAAGGAGAGGTGGATGAAGACGTAACAAAGGCAAGAAATGAGTTTGGCCTGAAATCCGCGCCCCGGTCTGGTGGTGGCGACTTGGGTCGTCCGACAACACCATCGTGGGCGGATTTCATGTCATCTGGTTTCTCAGATGAAAACGTCTTGAAGGCTCCCGTTACTCCTATGCTGCTTCCCCCAGACAAGATCCTGCCCCCACTTTCGACAGGCCGTGGCCAGAGCTCACAGTCCCACAAACGCACTCTGGATGCAGACCCATCTTTGGAGCCGGGTGAACTGGCCAATATTGCCACTTTGGACTTGGACGATTCATTTTGGTGGGTTTGGATCAGTAGTCTGGCTGGAGAAGAGTCCGCGTCGCGCAAGGCAGTCTTTGGCCGGTGTGCTCTGGTTGAAACGGTTATCAAGGATACCAAATGGCTCGTTCTCGAAGAACAGGTCAAGGGCGCTGCTTCGGAACCAGAGCCTGGTGCGTACATCGTGGAGAAGAAACGATTCTTTGGATTATCCACTCGCAAGGGCAAGCTTAGCCGTCGTCAATCCACCGCCAAGAAGGCGACTCCCATGGAGGAGTCGTACAAGCGACCGAACAACCAGGCACCGCAGAGTAAGACTAGCATCGGTCCTGATCAGCACGCAAGGATTCAGGCTGCTGCTGCTGCTCTCCAAAAGAAGAACCGTGAGCAGGAACAGGAGGCCAATGGGGGAAGTTCCAGGCGTCGAGATCAGTTGTCTACGATCAAGACCAACTCCGTCATGACTCTCCAGCCAGGTATCGTGAACGAGGCATCTCAGGCTATGAAATGGGCTAGCAATTATGACAAGAACGCTTACCGAAGTGCCTACCTTAACGACACTCGCGCGGGTACGGGTACACTTTCGCGTACGCTTTCGGAGGCGCTCCAGTCGCCTTCGACCGACAAACTCGATGTGCCAGGCACGCCGACGAGCACGTCGACCAGACAAGCACCGGCTCCCTTGTGCAAAGATGCCAGTCCACACTCTCCCCCACCCCCAGCGCCTGCTACCCCCACAAAGAGTGTTGTAGAGCCAAGCAACGATGTTGCTTCCAGTCGCAAGGGTAGCACCAGCATTGCTGCGGAACAGATTGCCACAGAATCGCAGCCCAAACAGTCTACGGACTCTGTGGAAGATCCAGGCCGGAAGTTGAAGAAGAAACCTGGTAATGCGGGATTCAAGAGCATGTTCGGTAGCATGAGGAGGAGCGACACCTCGTCAAAGCCTCCTATGAAAGCTACCGGTGCGGAGCCGTCTGCTGTGGCTGCTGCACGTGCTGCCCTGGAAGGCAAAGCCAAGGCTTCCCAGGAACAATCCAGCCGTCCACCAACCAACGGCTCTTCTGTCCTCAAGAAGAAGCCTCTCCCAGAGAACGCTGCGGTAAACATTCCTCTGCCTGATGACGAAAAACCGGCAACCCCGAAGGTGACGGAGACGTCAGTCCCTGAGCCTGAAGTCGATGCCTCGAAAACTCCTACTTCCCCTGTTGGTTCTCCGAGAACCCGACGTGATGCAGAATACGATGCGCTTTCCCGAGTCGATACCAACGAACGTGCTGCCGCCGACAAGGAATTTTCCCGATTCGACCAGGGTCCCTTGGTTGAACAACCCGCTTTTGTTCCAGATGACTCGCCGGTCTCGCCAGTCACCGAAGATCCCCATGAGAATGCTCCTCTAGAGGTTCCGGAAAAGGCTCCTTCAAGGTTCTCGGAGCGATTCACTGAGAGAAACTCGGAGAGGTTCTCTATCCCAATTATGTATCAGGCTGAGCCTACAGTAGAGCCTCCACTCGACGACAGCCCTAGATCGCCGGTGTCTCGCCCCTCTCAGGACCGTTGGGCTCAGATTCGCAAGAATGCCGCTGATAGGGCTGCTCAGGCCCAGCAGGCAGAGCCCCGGTTGAGCGAGGACCCGACCGATGACGGCGATACGAGCGGAGAGGAGGGTAAGTAACCTTGAGCCAATTCCATCCAAAAGAACAGCTGAACTAACTGCATACTTAGCCATTGAATCCCGCGTCGCCCGTATCAAGGCTAGAGTGGCCGAGTTGACTGGAAACATGGAAGCTGCACGGTAATAACTACGTGTCAAGCCTTTTGATCCTTTTCCCTTCCCTGTTGATCATTCTCATCCTTCATTGTAATATTCGTACATTCTCTACCCTTCTGTTCTCTTCCCTCTTTCCTGGTGTTGTACCAATACCTCCGACAGTTCATATATGAGAAGCTTCCTGGCTCAGCACGCAAACGAAAGCCACTTGCTCAAGTCTATACGCCGATTGATGTTCTTTATAGTACCCCCTTTTGTTTCTGATTATTTCCATTCGGAATTTGCTAAAGATATCCCCATGGCAAAGTCTGAACAATGGCAGACATACGCTGTGACGCAGTTTCAGTTTTGGACGATTGTGCTATACGTTTTAATGTGTGCTCAATCGATTCATCGACTCGATGGTTTGGATACCACTGCGGTTTTTGCTTTGTTTTCATTTTTGCTATATTCCCCTTCAGCTTTGCCTTTTGATTCTTGTTCGCCTACCCAGAAGGCCACTATTTGTTGTATTCAGCAGTGAATGACAATTTAATTGATCTACTGACGATCGAGCCCCAACGCCTTGAGAATCTCGTTGGCCACTCTAGCCGCACTCCGCGGATTCTGCCCCGTAATCAACGGTCCCTCCATTCCTGCTGTCTTGGAAACCACCACCTTCTCCTTGTACGGATGCTCCTTGACATACATTCCCCCAGAGATACGATTCAACTCCGTCTCAAGCAGAAACGGCATAAAAGCCGACATACCAACCTGATCCTCCTCGCCATTAGAAAACCCCGTAACCGTCGCCCCGGACAGAAGCGGCAGACCAGAAGGCGTAGTCGCATTCAGCAACGCCGCCGGCCCATGACAAACCGCCGCAATGGGTTTCCTCGCCGCCGCAAAGCTCTGTATCAGCGCCAACGACCTCGGATCGGACGGGAGATCAAACATAGCTACATCATTAGCCATCAAACACATACCACACCCTATCACCTGAAGTGTAAGGTAAAGTGAAGAAAAAACATACGCCCATGCCCCCCCACATAAAAAAGCGCATCAAACTCCCCCGCCATCGGAATCACCTCGGCAATCTTATACGTATTCGCCCACACGGCCTTCTCATTCTGCATGAACGACATGGAGACCTCGTCGTTTTCAAACGCCTTCACCGAGTGCGGGTCGAGGGGCGCTTCGCCGCCTTGTGGCGACGCGATGCTGATGTCGACTTTCGGTTTGAGGATTTGGTAGGGGTGGGCGAGTTCGGGCTTTTCAATCATCAAACATAAATTAGCTTTGGATTGGCTTTGTTGTATGTTAGGTTGGATATGTTTGGGGAGGGACGAACAAGATACCAGCCTGTTTCGGCGCGGTTGGCTGGGATTTCGGCTTGGGAGGTTAGGATGATGAGGACTTTTGGGGAGGGCATTTTGGTTTGATTGTTTTTTGTTTGTTTAATGAGATAAGATAATATGTGTTTGAAGTTATAGAGATACATAGCTTATTGGGAAGTACTAGTTATATATCAAGTATACTTGCAGACTGGGTAATTATATCGTCATAGGGTTATATCATCTTGACCATTTATACAAAGTTTCAATAATATAGTAATGCACATGGTATAATTAGTTAAGTACAGGCTTGAACATACAGTCAAGCATTATATTATCATTATCAGTGTTTCAAACGCCTATATATGCATTCCAATACAGACCAAATCACCAATGGGTCAGTTAATCCCGGTGTGAAAGATGAAAGATTATTCAACATGCTCTGAAATCACAATCGTATAGAAGTGTGTAGTGTGTACATGGAAGGTGTCGAAGTGAATATGCAGATTTTCGTTTTCATCATGAAATAGTTGTAGTTGTAGTGTATGCTCTCGTAAACAGTCGTGAAAGCCACTATGGGACGTACCGTAACCGTCGAGTTGCTTCGGCGGCCACGAGAGAACACAATGCACCGATGAACAGGCATATCGAAATGGCGTTGGGCGAGTCCTTGTCTAGGTTCATCCACTGCGAGTCCTGGGATGACCTGTCTTTCTTGGTGACGCCCGGCTCGAAGATGCTGAACACGATCCAGCTGATGAATGTGCCGACGAACTGGGGGAGTGTCGTGTACACGTTCAACACGCCGAGGTAGATACCGGCCAGTTCGCCTGTCGATGGGATGTTGGAGGCGGATTCCTCATCGTCTGTATCGCTGTCCGCGTCACGGTGGTTGAGTCGCAGTACATCTAGTTCCGTGTCGTCGTTACGGTCCGAATAGTATGTCCCGTTGCGGATGCTAGCCGATGTAATCATGGTAGGGCCATTTCGCGATGTGGGTGGGTTCATGGTCAACTTGTTGATCTCCACTCCCATAAAGGAAAATGGTGCCCAGCTAGTGACGGCCCATGGGATGCCACATACAGCCACCAGAAAAGTGGCAGTAGCCCGAGATCGCGCAAAGGGTGCAAAAACCATTGTTGCGGTAAACACAAAGTGTGAAAGTAACCATGTCATTTGCAGGTCTGGACGGATGGATGTGATTTTCTTGAGAAGTGCTGCTATCCCCGGGGGTGGTCGTGGTGTGAATCGCGATTTTTTGGAGTCCGGTGGTTGTACGCAAAAGGGAAGAACAACAGATCCGATAAATGTGATCGAGGAGAAGACGACCAGAGACAGACTGCCAACTCGACCAATCTCACCAAGAAAATCTTCCGATTGTGTCACTCCTTCTGGGGCCTCGTATCGGAAGTACGTCTCGCCAACCCAGGTGGTGCTGTAGAACAGAAATGGAAACCAGCCTAGAAAAAGTCAACTATATGAAAATATCCAGCCCAAGGTCTGCGACATACCGATCCAAGCCCAGAATTGAGCCCAACAGATGGCTTGAATGCGAGGGGGCAACTCCATTGTAGTTCTCATCAACTGAGTCATTACTTGGATTGCCCCAGCCTTATCATCGGCATCTCTGTCATCCAATTAGCACCAGTATACAACCTAGTTCTTCACATCACCCACCTTGCAGTGATCAAAACCCTCTCTTTAACCGAGTAGGACGTGACCAACACTGCTATGATCAAGGACAACGCAGCAATAACCGTCATTTGCTTGAATTGGGTATCACCAATAGTCGCACCGAATAGGCTGACAGTATCGATTGAGCCTATTACATATCCAATCAGCTGGCCAATGGCCGACATCCTGCCCGCTTCACAATGTCAGCTCTATCACCCATATCATGAATTCAAACAGACCTACCCCATGCTGATCCAGCTTGCTGCGAAGGAATCGGCAAAGTGTCGACAATCAAACTGCGACAACACGCTTGGACTGTGCGATTATTAGAGCAAATACAACAACAGCCTAAATCCAATACCTACCAACATTGATCGCAAAGTCAACCGCATAAATACTCAACACCGCAAGGGCGATGGTGACTCTTCCGGCCTATATTGCGGAGGTCCACTTGTCAGCAATCTTAACGAAACCACGCTATGGCCAGAACAAAAAAAAGTGCCAACCCCAGATCTTATTTTATTACCTTCTCCGCATCCTTGACAAACACGGCGACAATCTCCGACGTCCACCCTAATACCAGCAAACAACAGGCAACAACTAATGAGCCTCCGATCATAAACGGTCTGCGTCTACCCCATTTCGATCGTGACCGATCGGCAATCACACCGATGAGGGGTTGAATGACCAACCCGGACAAAGGACCAGCGATCCAGACAAGAGAAGTTCGAGACTTTGTAAGACCAAGTTGTAAAAGGTACGGGGTGCAATCTATCTCGGGTCGAGGGAGCGATTGATCAGTTGAGAGGGTTCTTCTAGAAACGGTGGGATGGGCTCGTCGGAGGGGTTCTCTTACAGGTCATCTCAATGCCCCATGTCAACCTATTCAAAGCGCAAGACAGTTAGTTATGGTCCATACTAGCCGGCGCATTTACTGCAAACCACAGAAAAAAAGAACAGAGGAGAAGTAGAATACGCACTGCAATCCAACCAAACTAAAAGTCAACAATGCCATCCGCGTCGACTCACTCCGTCCCTTGATGGAAGGGGTACCGGCCCATCTTGCGGACTGAGGCATTCTGATTCTTCCAGATGCCCGCACATGCACAATGCACTTGGGCTCGTTTCAACGTCTCTCTCTCTCCCCTCCTTTGTACCCGGAGGTCGGTTTTCTAGCTTCGGTGGGCCAATATATACTGTGTCGCAGTCGGGTAGTCCTCGTTCACTTGATTTTGTTGTTAAATATTTCGAAATCAATCGCGAGGGGGTTCGGAGTTCTCAATGAAAGTGTTGGGCAGGACAACTCCCAATGCGGCGCAATCGGTGGTGCTGTTTTCGACTGGGCCAGAACGGATTGTTTGTTGCGGGTTCCGCTTTGGATCGATGCCTGTGAGAGGGAAACCGGATGGAGTAGAAATACAAGAGAAGAGAAGAAAGAGAAAGAAAGAAAGAAAGGAAAAGAAAAAGAAGCTCGGCAAGGTCGTAATAAGAATAGTAATGGTAATAGTAATGGTAATAATAATAACACTAACCAAAGACCCTGCGGGCCCCCGGGCCGTCAAAAGGCGGGCTTATCGCAGGCCCTGCATACAAAGCGAGAGATTGCACCGCCGATCAATATTATTTATTCTTAGCAGAAAGTCCGGAGAATATCATGGCACTCGACAGGATTCAGCATATGATTATAGAATACACGATATAGAATAAGTATTCATTCTTGTCTACAAAATATCTCCAAGAGTTCTCTCAATTTGATCATGCCATCTTACTCCAAAGTCCAGACCCTAAAGGATCATCTTCCCGGTTGTCGTAAGGCATCCAGAAAAGGAGAAATTATTATGGAACCCTGCAGTCCCAGACCCTTACCCCAGGGGTAAAAAGATGGAGAACAAGATGGAGATGGTATCGATCATCGATGATGTGCATGTTGTGATACCTTAATAAGCGGCTGCATTCGTTGACTAGGTATACCACTCTATACTTAGAATGAATGACATCAAGTCCTCATGTCTCGAGATTAACTCCTCCTGGCCCGAGCGCAGATAATCAATCTGAGAACCCTATCCAGCAATATGAAGTATCATATGTCTGATAAAGTCGGCAATGAATCTACATTGTGGGGAAGATCGAAACTCTGTGACACGGGGCTGCAGAGTCCTTGTCGTATCATAGCATCAACTCTATCGAGTGTACATTGGACATATTGGTGTTCGTAGCAGTTGCATTCATTTCTAGAATTGGCTTGCAAATAGATGATATCATTGCCCGGCCGCCCTTCCACTAAAAAGAACTTCCCTTCATTTCTGTCGTATCGACCCTTGTTTTTCTGGCCATGCCGTGAAAAAGCAAAACAGAATCGAGTGTGCGCGCATTATTATTTTTGGTGTGTTTGTTTATTTTGATGTCCTCGTTCCTTACAACCGGTTGGGGGCAGAGGTCATCGGCCACTGGTAGCCAGCAGCGTCGCTGAACTTGTATCCGAACGAGGCAGTGAAGTCGTCAAGAACAGCGGGTCCACGGGATCCTATTCAGTTGTTAGTGAGGAGAAAAGGGTTTGCTGGCTTTATGACATACCGTAGGGGTATTCCATGGGGATGATCTCTTTGTTGTCGTCAAGGTAGTGAAGGAGAGGAGTGAAGATTCTCCAACTGGCGTCCAGTTCATCGTCACGGACAAAGTTGGAGTGGTCACCCTTCAGGGCATCCAGAATCAAAGATTCGTAAGCCTCGGGGATCTTGAGGTCGGAGAAGCGACGGCGGTAGGTAAGGTCAAGCTCGGTCACCACGGTCTGCATGGACAGACCAGGCAGCTTAGAGTTCATCTTAATGTACACCGACTCGTTGGGCTGGACACGGATAACCAGCTCGTTGCGGGGAATGTCCTTGAAGATACCGGAAGTCACATCACGGAATTGGATGCGGATCTCGGTCTTCTGCTCATTAAGGGCTGTAAAAAGTAAGCATCATGTAGTCATGAGATGAGAAAAGCCAGCATACCTTTTCCGGCCTTCATGATGAAGGGAACACCATCCCATCTCTCGTTCTTAATGTATGCGACCAGGGCGGTGAAGGTCGGGCAGCGCGAGTCCTTGGGGACAGTGTCGTCCTCCTTGTATGCGGGCTTGCTTCCATCCAGAGACTTGCCGTACTGGCCGATAATGACGTTCTTGGGCTCGATCGCATCCATCGCACGGAGCACACGAACCTTCTCGTCACGGATGTCTTCAGCGGAGAAAGAGATGGGGCGCTCCATGGCGAGCAGGGTCAGCACCTGCAGAAGGTCTGGAAGAAGTCAGCATAACCAAATCACACCCATCAATGCATTTGTCTTTAACTTACGGTTCTGCATGACATCACGGATGATGCCGAACTCGTCGAAGTAACCTCCACGGCCCTCGGTACCGAAAGGCTCCTTGAATGTGATCTACAGAAAGGCACTTATTAGTGGTTGTTTGGCTTGAAATGCTCGGGACATTGTCCATACCTGAACGTTGTCGATGTGGTGACGGTTCCAGGTGGCGTTGAAGAACTCGTTACCGAAGCGCATAATGAGGATGTTCTTGACCATCTCCTTACCCAGGTAGTGGTCAATACGGAAGATCTCATCTTCCTTCCAGTTGGGCTCGAGGGCTTTCTGAAGGTCACGGGAGCTCTCAAGATCCTTGCCGAAGGGCTTCTCGACCTATTGATAAAAAAGCACTGTAAGTGACTGCTCCGGTCACATCCAAATACACAAGGATCACTCACGATGATACGGGCGATGCCGTGCTGGGGGTAGCAGTTTCTCTTCAATTGCTCAGAGACAGTTATGAAGACACTGGGGGGCAATGCCATGTAGAAGACTCTGTTCTGTCCTTTCCGGCCCTGCTCGACCTCTTCGATGTGCTTGTTGAGGTTGATGAAGGAGTCATCCTGGTCGTATTGGCCGGAGACGTAAGTGCAATGGCTGCAGAAGCTGTCGAGCTGCTCCTCGATCTCCTTTGTGGGAATCTTGATGTAGGATCGCACACGCTTCAGGTACTCTTCGTGGTCCATCTTTGTTCGGGCATATCCGACGATCTTAATGTCCTTGGGAAGGAATTTGTTGCGGTACTGCATCGCATGTTAATTTTCGAATCATCACTGTTCATTTAGAATTAAACACGTACAAGGCCAAAGAGGGCAGGGAACTGTTGCAAATGTCAGTGTCAGATCAATTTCAACAAAGCGGGGTAGTGGGAGGAGTTACGAACAGTCTTCTTCTTTGCAAGATCTCCAGATGCACCGAGCACCACAATGACGGTGTCATCCTTCAGCTCGAGGGTTCTACGTTGGGTATTCATGTTAGAAGATGAAGCAAGCCAGTGATGTAATGAGTAGCGGAGTCGGTGGGGTGGGAAAGACTCTGCACTGGACAGAGAAAGAGAAAGAAAAGGGGGAAAGAAAAGGCAGTTGATAAGAATGTGCCAGTGCTTTTTTTGAGTTGTGAATATAACAGCAGCATTCAACATATAATTGATGAATTGCAATCTTGGATAGCTATCCAGGCGCCCGTAGACTCCGTGCTAGATGCGCTGGTGGTGAAGGTAGCGGGCGGGCTTCCGCCGCTGGCAGGGAGTGATGTCAGAGACACAGGGGAGGGGTTGGGAGGACTCACCCAGCATTCTGGCGTTCCTCGGTGCGAGCTATCGTGCTGGCCATGTTTGAAGGGGATGGGGTATGTGTATAGCCAAAGAAACAATTCAGGAGGAGAAAAATGAAACAGGGAGAGAGGGAGGGAGGAGGGAGAGGTTTGATGAAAAAGAGTCTCCAGCAGTTCCGGCGGAGCAAGTACTTTTTAACACAGAAATTGAGGGCTCCTCTTGAGCTGCGCTGCAAAGGTGTGGGCGAGGCACAATGGTGGGGCAGGACTGAGGCCGGCTTGGGTTCTTTCCACTACGTCGATGCTGCCGCGCTGCCCCGTGGCCAGTGGTTATTACTTATGACTTTCCTGATGACTGTTTTTATTATTCCTGTCTTTTTGCGCTCGATTCTTTTTATCATATTCTATTATCTGGCGCTATCGTGGTGACGTTTGCTTGTTGTTTGCAGGCTCTGTCGGATCTTATATCATAGCCTTCATCTCTATCAACGCCCGGTCTTTCGCTCCAATTGCATTTTATCCGGGACTGTTTCCAAAATTTATCCTGGATGCTCCACGAGGGGTCGCACATGGACAGCTGACGGTTGTTTAAACTGCCTTTTTTACAATCCTGACTTGCCGGCCCGCGACTCAATAGTCAATACGACATAGATGTCATGGCCCGCATATCTACCTAGGTATCAGTTCTCATCTATCTGTACATCATTTATATCCTGGTCGAAACAGGAAATCCTCTGAATTCTCCGCTATCCTTACTGTCTTACTCTTACTCCTTATCCTAGGTAGCGTAATCCTGTCAGAAAACCCGCGGAGCGTGGACCGGTACAGTTGTTACCAAGGGTGGAGCTTCCGCTATTGTTGAATAATATGCCCCTCGGAGTACATAGATCCATGATAAAAGATTGAGTTCCCCTTGATTTAAACTGCAACATATAGCGTGACCGTATTACAACATACACGGCACTTTCACTCTATACAGACAAGCGATTTCGGACTCCACTACGGTTGACGGAGGACTGGTCGTAGAGATTGCGCCAGAAGCCTGCAGGGAAGAAACCGCCGTCCGCCGTCTGATGGGTGTTGAGAAGCTCTCCCGGTGACCTAAATCGTGGAGATGGATCGGCGCATTTGTCATATCAGTACAGTATGATACGGATACTATTTTCCCGTGAAGGTCTGATTTTATCTTCGAACACTCCATCGAACGAAGTAATCCTTAGCGCTTAGCTCCAGGGCCTAGTTTAATGACTGCCCGGACTTAACAGCTCCAACAAACCATCTTTGCGCAAACGGCAGAAAAGCAAATGCTGGGAAGATCAACTTCCCATTGGCACACCACGTCAAAGATGTGCATGCAGATCCAAGCATATTTCGAGGGGAAATGCAATGCAGCCAGCCAGCAGGGAGAACTCATGTCGACTTGATTCAATTCAGTATTGCCGATTCTGGTGGTGGGGCGGTGCTTTCCAAATAGGTACTCCCGGTCTGTCTGCTTGTTCAATGTCACCGATACAGGCCATACATACCGTACCGTCGGAGTAGATCAACGGCGATAAGCAGAGGACCCCAACTATATCATCACATCATGGTCGATCTTCCAGCTCGCTGAAAATAACCAGAATTCAAGATGGGTTACGGCAAGAACACGAAAAGTATTGAATCTGGAAAAGAAAACGATGTCTATTCCCGACGGTGATCCCGACCAAATACCGAAGACTCTATCCAGATGGCACGGGGCCAGCTAGATGGAACCCCTTGTCGTCATGGAGGGATAACCGTGTTTTGTCAGCTTCTGACGCTCTAGACAGGCTCATCCAGTCATCCTGTCACAAAGGCAACTCGGAAACCGGCCTCGGACCACTGTAGGCCGGACGGCGAAAAAAAGCGGTGGTGGGGTTAAATCTGATACTGGAATGATGGCCGGATATCAGGAGGATCAGTTTCTCCGGCTGAATTGACGGAGGGTTGGTTTCTCCGGAGGAAAATGACGGAGACTTGGTTTATCCGGATAAAAGCCGTAAACGGACTAGCTTAATCTATCACGAGACTTCGCTAAGCCCTGGGATGGTCCGGCTCGCGTCCGGCTCGCTAAGGTCCCGTTTGGGGTTAGGGCGAGCCGCACCGAACACACCTCGCAAATTGAACATTGTGCGCTCGCCTCATATCTATCGAAGCGACGACAACCACGACAACCCGGACGACTTTGCGGGGAATTTTTGCCTTCCTTTGACTTGCCCGCTGTTGCTCAGAACAACCGTCAAAATGCCTTCGGAACACGGTCACAGACGTGAGTTGATACCTGGATGAATGCTGGAGGATTATGTGTGCGCCGGCCGTGAGGTTGAACTTGCGGTTTACGAGTGCGGTCGGGGATAGAGAGAGAGAATATATGCTAACATGATTTTTTGTCTACAGTCTACGTCAAGTAAGTTATTGCAAACCATCCATGAATTATTCGTCGCATCGCGCATATCATATACGGATATCACATATCAAAAACGGTGTTGTGGGACTGGGATATGGGCGATGGGAAAACCGAAATGGCGACGGCATTACGTTCAGAACAGACGATTAATACGAATTTCTTCACCAGGGGACGTCACCTGAGCTACCAGCGCAGCAAGCACCTCACCCACGAGAAGACCAGGTAGCTACCTCCAACCACAAAAAGGGCAAATCGAAAGGATGGAATTTGACAAATGTTATACAGTCTGATCAAGATCGAGGGTGTTGAGGACCCCAAGGCCGCAGAGTGAGTAATCGGTCACATGGATTGGAATATAAAGGAACAGGCAGCTAAGATGGATTCGCACAGCTTCTACTTGGGCAAGAAGGTTGCTTTCGTCTACCGGGCAAAGCGCGAGGTTCGGGGTTCCAACATTCGGGTGATCTGGGGCAAGGTCACCCGGACACACGGTATGTTATGGCTGGAGGAATTGAGAAAATGGAAATGGGAAACTAACATGACATCTCAGGTAACTCCGGTGTTGTCCGTGCTCAGTTCCGCAACAACCTCCCCCCCAAGACCCTCGGTGCTACCGTTCGCGTTATGCTCTACCCCTCCAACATCTAAGCGGCGTTTTGTATTTGTGGGATACTCCGGAATCTTCGCGCAAACAGTCGGGCAAAGGAGTCGACGGTACGAACCGATGTATGTTGAGGTGATGGAGTTGGCGGGTTGATAACATTCGTGGGAGAGGCAGGGCCGTCAAGCCCTACGAATAATAAAAAAAACAAAGGCTCTTTTTTACTTATTTCTTCTCTCTCTCTACCAGCATGGTTACTTTGTCCGCTTCTAGAAAACACCTAGAAGGGCCCTATCTTATGGACGGGGCTCTTTGGCGAGCACATTGTGTCTTGTCTGGCAGGGCATACCTAGCCTTTTTTTATCTCTCTCCCTCGAGTTTATTTGAATACTCCATACACACCAAATCCATACCATTCAACAAACAACGATTTGATCTTGCCCACACATGTTATGTGTGGTGGTTACGGAATTTCCTGTGATCGGAATGTTTTTCTTTTTTTTTCTTCCTTATAACGAGCTCTTTTAGACGAATTCAAGGACAGTGGGATTATCCTGCAATCAGCCGTATCTTCTATTATTCAGTGTCATCTCGATTTCTGTGTGGGTATTCAATATGTCTAGTCCGTGGTTCAGCTTGAACATTTGATCTCCCATCACATGCTCCATCAATGCCCCATCCCAATGCCATTGACCAATAGCTGGTCTATCTGGAGTATGACGTCTATCCAGTAGGTAGCCGTAGCCCACCTGATGCCATACACTGCCCGATATAGCACCCAAGACAAACCCTACAAGACATGGGCTACTGGGCATCCTCATGCATTGCCATATATTGCAATTCTCGCCCGCACTATACCGCTCAACATCATGAGTAGGAAGTACTATCATTACTCTTATCTTAAAGAGGTTAGGGCTACTATACCTACCATCCGGAAGCTGCAGAACCATATGACCAAGTCTAATGAATGCCGTATCCGCGAATAGTCAAGTAGAGTATAATACTGAACATGAACATTAATGGCATTGTATATTACAGACATAAAGTTAAGCTTTCGGTTTAGTATGTAAGTGGGCACCCATTCAGGTACGTAAAGTTTGCTGTGGTTTGTAGAAATGAGAAAATAACATATATTGCTGTGTTCAATTTGTTATAATAGAGAGAAGCCGGGGATATCAATGCTTGTTATCAAGGACAGGTATTTAAAAGTAAGTCATGTTGAATGCATCAATCTTATAGGTCTCTGTCACAACAAAGTATGCCTGTTTATATAGATTATCATACGGAATCAACTCAACTTCAATGTTACATATATTCCAATGGTGCTCTTATATTGACTGTTGAAGATAATATTACTATATACATATAGACTGTAGTGTAGTATGATCCCTTGATGACTGTCACGAGCCATCTTGTCTCAGTAGGGTAGTCTATCCTGATAATTCGATTAAATTCCATGCAAGGGCAGTCAGCATATACATGGACGCCTGGTAGGAATTAAGATATGATATATGATTCTGAAGTGATTACTTACATATCCATGTCACATGCATTGCAGAATGATGTTTATTATCTAGAGAGTATACCCGACGGAGTGGTATACTCATTAACTAGTGATTTACATTACGCTACTATGTAATACTATTAATTAAATCTTATTAGAGCAATACAGATATAATGTCAAGTTCATCTGTGGAGAGATCCGACTCCTTACATCCACTGTGAGAAATTAAGGTAGATGCGCCACGCCCCAGGATGACCCACTTGATCATGGAAGATTCCATGATCAGCATATCAGAACACTTGACTTGAGCATAAACATAAACATATAGAGAATAATGAACACTGTCTGTATAATAATAATCAAATAAGACACACTAACTGGACTAGTAGAATGTCTCAATCGGATAAGACTTTTGATGGCAAATGGTGCCATCAGTGGAAATACCCTTTAGCGTCAACGTGCTGGGCGAATGAATCGCAGCCAATGGGAAAGCAGCGGATCAGAAAATCAAAAACATACATTTGCAGCTAAAAAATCCAATTTGTAAAAATAGCAGCAGATGTCTGCACGTTGCAAGGTTTTTTTCTAGTGACACAGTACGAAGAAGTAATTTTGTGAGAAATTAATATTAGAATAATTATACAGGGTACTATGTGACAATAATAATAGGAGCTGAATGAATACGAATCCTCTTGAAGATCAGAGCAGATCACAGCAGATCCTACTCGATCGAAGCAGAACACGTCGAACGCGGCAGAGCAGAAGAAAGCATTGGATGCAGTTCGGTTGGCGATGGTGACACTGGCGATCCTGATTGACCACTCACAGCCCGGCGTTGTGTGGCTGGCCAGACTCTCGTCGCCTTTTTTTCTTTATCTTCATTTTTATTCCGTGTACTCTCAGTACTGTCTACCTACTGTAGGTACAGGCAGTACAGTCAGTAGACTGTCCAGTAGAATGGTTCTATTGATCTAGGTCTATCCAATGATATCTGTATATCTGTAATCCACTCTCTCTATCATAGTCGAATCGAATATCATAGAATGTATCGAATCGCTGCCTGCCTCTCAACCGTGTCTGGCCCCTCCATCATTGCGTGGCACGTCGTCAACCCCAAAGATTTTGTTGCCCGCCAGGCCACATCAAAAGCCCTCGTCCTCCCCTCTTCTTCTTCTTCTCTTCTTTTCTCTCCATATTTGTGCCTTTTTTTCCCTTTCTTCCTTCGTTTGATATCCTATTTCTTAGAGGCTCAGTCTATCGCTATCTCAATCGCTGTCGATCACCTGTCACTCCTGCATTCCACCCCATCTCCAGTTTCACCCTAGATCACTGAATCACTCTGTGCAGAATTCGATGCAGAAAGGTTTCATTGCCGCTTGATTCCACCACTGTCTCACTTGTACATCCTGTACTTTGAGACTTACATCCAATCTCTCCACATTTCGCTCGCTTTGCGGTGACGGCTCCAGTTTTTTTCTCGGCCTACTATCAGTCGGCGTTTGTAGGACGGTCGAAAGAGCAGCCAGCACTGCTCAATATACACGGTCGATCTCATCACGATAGACAATCAAACAAATAAACCATCCAGACCGTGGCAGACCGTGTCACAGTGTCACTCGTGGGCTATTATATCGATAAGATCAAAAGGTCGTTGGCGATTCCCACATTCCTCCCTGAGGTTCCACTCCCCGAATCGCGGACAGCCGCTCCACAACGGCCGCCATAGTTTCAAGGCAGATCGCAGCAATTTGGGCAATCAAACTAGGTATCAAGGCGCAGCAGCAGGCACCACTAGGTCTACGCTCGGGGGTTTTATAAGAAATGGCGTCCCCCCAACCGGGCGCGTCGCCCAGACGCAGTCGGGGCTTCAGTTTCAGTGGTCGGTCTGAACGTTCTCACCGGTCCAGTGGTTCTGGGAATCTTTCAAATAAAGATAAAGTCCATCTCACGGAATCGCACGAGGATAAAGTCCGCCGCAACTTGCATACCAAAGCTGATCCAACGGTTGCTATGAGCGAAGCACAACCCAGTATGTTGCCTCGTGCTTTTTTTTTCTTTTTTTTTTTTTTAATCTCCGAGAAAAAACTTTTTCTCTCATGCCTTTCCCCCTTTTTTTTTCTGTTTGCTCTACAAAGTTTATTCTTAAGGAGAATACAGAGTGCAGAGCTTCATTGTGTTAACTGTCCGACCCTTCTGCAAGAATGTTATCTGACAAGTCTCATAAAGTGGCGGTCGCACTCGAAAAATCCAATTTGGGTTCCTTACGGGCCATACAACACAAGGATCAATATGGAAACCCAATAGGTGAGTTCATCTTTTATCGCGTTTATACGGAACCAGCTATTGACTCCTAATAGTCGAGCCCGATATTTCGAACCCAACTCGTCCTCGATTTGAACGGCCGCTTGACACTATTCGATCGTTCGAGGCTGCCATCTATGGACCTATTACTTCCAGACCGACTTCCTACGTGAAGACAGGTGTGTTTTTCGTGCGACAGTTATCAATACAGCGACTAATGAATTTAGACAATGGATCAACACCTGGTGAATACAGTAAACGGGGCAGCTACTTTGGAGGTAAGTATACAAGCAAAACTATACGTATTTACGGCTGCTAATCACATGTCATCAATCAGCTCCCAATGGAAACGGATACTCCAGAGGCTATGAAAATGCATATGGACGTCCAAACCCATCGCGACCGAACAGCTACATTGACAACCAAATGGCTGCCCAAGCAGATGCATATTATCCCTACAACAACAACGGTTACAGCAATGGTTACGGCAACGGTGGTCGACCTCGAAGGCGCCACAGCCCGCGCTCGAATTTGAATCCAGAACAAGCGGTGTACAACCACCCTGCTCAGAATGGATATCATCACGGTCCGCAAAGATCGCATGATACCACAGCCGCAGCATCTGGGAGCAGCACCGAACCATGGAACAACTCCACCAACCCCAGCTCGGTAAACAGCTCGCTCGACCAACTCCAACAGCAACAACAACAGCAGCAACAGCAACGCCAACAACAACAAAAGATCGCAGAGAGCTATGGCTTCTCAGGATTCGGCCCGGAGCCGAATCTCGCCAATAACGCCGCCCCACCAGCTCCCCGACATACCTTCGGGCAAGCTCCTCCATCTACAGACCCCAACGCCGGCGGTCCTGTTGGAGGAGTACCACCCACAGCTACACCTGCAGCACCTGCCCTCGGCAACCGTCGCAGTCTTCGCAAGTCAACCAATCTATCTGAAACCGGCGACAAGCGAAAGAGCTGGTTCAAGAGGAAATTCACCAAGAGCTAGACTCGCCTTTTCTCTATCTATCTCCTTTTTCTTATTTCATTTCTCTTGTTCATGTTTTTTGTCCTCCGCGTTCGGATGTAATAACCAATGGCGTTTTGATCTCAGTACAGGTCGGGGAAATTGTGTGGGATTTGCTTTCGATTTTTCATTTATTCGATCTTTCATTGTTCCAATTCGATTCGACTCTTGTTTTATCTTTATGCGATTGACGAGGCTACGATACATTTTATATGCGCTGGAAGGGTGGTTTCTTCTTTATTCTACTGTGGATTATTTACTACTCATACTGTGTATCGGGTGGATTTACAGATACCTATCAATGGACATTTTCGGTCTGCACTTGTATTTATCATAGGTTGTGGAATAAGGATAACATTAATTCATCTAAGCAAATGGGAATCATACACCACTAGGATTAGGTATAACCAGACACAACCTGAATTTCAATCTTCATCTCCATCTACTTCCGACCAAACAGCTTAGCCTTCAATCGATCCGCCAGCCCCTCATACGTCGATCGATGCTTTTCCTTCTTCTGCTCTTTCTCCTTCTTATGCGCTTCGTCGAGATGGACGTTTCCATGGCCTCCGCGCTGTATCAATTAGCATACCTCCTAAACAGCTCATCCATACTCCTAGGAGATACATACCCCAATATGATAATTCTCATCGCTGGAACTGCGAATCGCCAATTCAGGGACGATTTCCGCATCGTGGGGAACGGCGGAGGTTGGACGAACGTGAGGTGATCCGATATTACCTGCTCCTCCGCGCTTTATTATCATTAGTATTTGTATAGATAGAAAGATGGCGATAGAGTATAGAATGTTAGTTGGATGACTTACACCAGCAGAATATGCGCCATCGCCCTGATCGCCCACGACACCTTCACGGACGATTCCGGCGTCGACGTATCTGATTCATTAGTATCAGTATCCAGATTGAGGATTTAGATTAGGATGCGATAGAGATGGGGAGATAAGTACGGGGTAGAGTCTGCGCCGATATTCCCCTGACCTGTTGTGTTGTTGTTAGAGTGAGCGATTTATTGATATAGGGTAATTGGGGTGGATGTTTACCTCCTCGACCATGCGAGACTACCGGTTCATGTTCGACCATTTTGATATTGACGTTGATAATAAGCTGGGATTACCGATGATAGTAGTTGATGAAAAGGTATGTAGTAAAGCAAAGTAAGGCAGTGCAACCAGGAACAAGAGCGAACACGCGGGACGGATCTAGGATATATTTATACTTCACGCTCTCATGCCGGCAAAACCTCCGACTCGAAATACGAAAAAAGCAAAAAAAAAAACCCCTGGAGAAGCGATCGGCAGTGGCTACTGTATTGATAATTGATAAAAACTGATTATCGCGAAAACAAAGAAAGAGAAAAGGACAAAAGAGAGTACCAGACAAGGGAAAGGGCTGATGATGACGTCGATATCGCCATGGACTGATAAGATAGGGAATTGGCGGTTGATTGGTCCGAGGCATGACTAACCTTTTTGCTGATAGCAGTCTTGGCTTGATGAGGCAATAGAAGAAGAGAAGAGATTATATTAATTAAAGAAAGACTATGGTATGGTTGCAATTTCCCGTGTCCAGCACATCAGATAACAGACAAGATCGGCTATTTCTTCTTCTCCTCGATTGGTCCTCCGGTGGTTGGTAGTCCCATGAAGATCTTGAATGAATCGTAGCTGCAACCAGGTCAGTAGAGCAAAGACAGGAAATGGTGTATACATACATCATCCACTGGAGACCAGTCTGCGACACATTAGCATCCATCATCATGACAGTATGGCTGACTTACTAGAGTCCCAATCATCACAATCCTCACTGGAAGTCCATTCCACAGCCCCCGGAAACCAATATCTTTATAAATCCGACTCATCGCAGCTCCAAATGCCTCGCCAGACTTTCGGTTAGCATTCAATTTACTCACCATCACATCTGCAGGGTGAGACACGATGGCACACAGGATACCTGCCAGATAGCCACCGGTAAAGGCCACCCCCGTCTGCGCGCCTTTGTTATAGTCGGACTTCTCCCCGGGAAGAGATCGATAGATGAGGTCCACGATCGTCTCGAATGAGGCGAACTTCATCATTGTGTACGGAATTTGTCGGCCCCAGAGAGGGTACAGACCCTTGTAAAGACTACTTCCAGTCAGTGCAGCTCTACCGTCACCAGTCATTCAAGCTCACCCTGGCACTCCCTCTTTCGAAACGACATCGGAAATCCCACGAAAGGTTGTCTTGATATCCGGTGGAATTGTCGTCTGCATGCGCACCTTGACAGCCTCAAACGGACACAGCGCTACGTCGGCGATGAATTCCGCTGATGCACTGGCAGTTAGGTACAGCGATGTCTTCCACCGGTTCGCATTTTGCGTTCCGACAAGATCGCTGTAGAATTTTTTGAAGAACTCATAGCCACCGTACTTGTATGCGCCTTGGGCCTTGTAGTTTCAGTTAGCACCATTAAGCTCCGTGTCAGCATTCAGCCAGCTTACGCTGTATCCAAAGAAAGTTGGACCCCAGCCGGTGATTACGCCTTTCAAACCCTCTGCGTGACGGATTTTATAAAACGCCTCCATGTTACTTTTGTATAGCTTCGGGTCGACTTGACGTCGGCATTTGATTAAATCTAGCGGCGTCACTGCTGTGTGTGTCAGGCCCTATCAAAGTAAGCATGCATATTGTATAGCAGTGCTCAAATAAATGCAGGATACTTACGCAAGCCAACAGCCCACCGAAAGTGCATGCTGCGTAGTACTTTGCACTCCATGGTTCGATGTGTCCTGTCTTTGACTGAGCCTTTTGACTGGCAACTTCAAACTCCCTCGAGGCTTCTTTGGCAAAAGCATCGGCCCTTTTCTTTGAGTTTTCTATCACACTCCAGGCCGGGAATGGATTTTGCTTGGGAGATCTTGGGGTATCCGAAGACTGAGGTCCTAGAGGACGCTGAGGCGCAAAGGTATTGATTATGAGACCGCCGGAAGGTAACATGATAGAAATCTATTTGATACCATTAAGTTGGTTCAAATCCCGAATCAAATGGAGCTTCAGCACTGACAGCTTATCTCAAAAGTCTCCACTAAAGCTGTTAGGCAAATGGGGCGGTTAGTAGATATTGCGGAGCAGAGATAGAACGCTCTGTTAGCTGTCAAAACACCAAAAACAATCAGATTGTCTGATACACAGCAGGGCAAGTGGAGTCATTCATAATCGAAGACAGGAAAAAACACTGGATGCAGAGGGAGAGTGCCAGTAGTGACGTCGTAATCGTGAACGGGGCGTGACACCATTTCGCCTCGACAAGCGCCGATCCCGATCCGCCGGTGGGCCGCGATCGAGAATTCAAACCTTCCAGTCGACGTCTGGTGCCAGTCTTCGGAGCTTTCATTAAACCTATTGTTACCACGCGAGTCCATCGTCTGGATTGTTGTTTTCCTCGCTTTTATCTTGTGTTTTGTCACCGTTTGATTGTGGTGTTTAGGTTCAGAATTATCGACGCTGATCTTTCACCAACTCCACCGTGCCCCTCATTGCGACATCTCAACCTCCTCAACCTCAACCACATCAATCGCAATGGCTTCCTACCTAACTGCCAGCGAGGCATTCACCCAAGAGAAAATGGCACCTGGTGCTTCAAACACTGCCCCCCAGGGAAACTGGGCGGACAAGTACCGTGGGGTGAGTTATTCCGTGGCTGTCGGACGAACGATGAACGGTGATTCATCTAAGCTTCTGGCCCCAAGAACCTCTACAACAAGCAATATATACTGACTTTATAGGCCACCGTCGAAGACCTCGACCCCCCAGCCGCTCTCTCCGTCTCTCCCCACGATAAGATCTCCGCCGCCATGCTCGCCGCCTACGAACGAGACTATACCCACCTGACCGTCATTTCATCGGCAAGCCGATCTCTCATCGGATACCTCAGCATCCCCCGACTCAAGGAGCTTCTGAAGGAGGGCAGCATGAAAGAGTCCGACTCAGTCGACGCCGCTATGCAGCGCTTCAACCGGAAACGAGGCACATACCGCGTCATCACAATGGAGACACCGCTGGAGGAGTTGGAGCAATTTTTCGCCGATAAGCAGCAATTTGCTGTCGTTACGGATGCCTCGCGGAAGTTTGTGCTGGGAGTTGCGACCAAGGCTGATTTGGAGGAGTTTGTCAAGAGAAGACCTGCATAAATATTTGATTGAGTGATTGACAAATACCGACGTTTTCTTTCTTTTCTTTTCGTGTTCAAGTGGCATTTCCAGGCGCGGCTATTCAACATGGATGGTTATATGATTTTGATGCATTGGACTTTTGGGTGGAGATATCATCGTGGTGGATGAAATTCAACTGGATATGCAATTGGAATGGTGGCATAAGTTCATAAACTCTTAATTGATACCATGCTGCAGGATCTGATCATATTCAATCCCAATATTTCTGCAATTTGTTCTCAAGCAGCCGCTCCTATAAACGCCATCCATGGGAACGAGTACAATACATTGACACATCGAATACCAATACATAGGTCAGATCACTGGCCTTTCTTTTCGTTTTCTGCTTCTCTCTCTCCTTTGTCCTCCTGGTATGCAACATAGATATAGGCAAATAGAACGACATTAGCTGTCACAGCAGCGGTGATACCAGCATAGGTCGCACTCCCTGTTCATATATTAAAACTAGAATTGATGGGACTGAATCAGGGACAAACCCACCACGGAAGATAGACTCGACGGTCAAGAAGTACATGCCGATAGGGGCAATGACCATGGCAGCTGTAAAGGCGAGCAGTTTGAAGATGACGTCTCTGCATGATTATTAGACAATGGTCAGCCATGTTTACTATAACTTCGATCGTCCACAACACATGATCCATCGGCCTCAAGATAACACATCACAACAGAATACCATAGTACATACGAAGGAACAGCCGGAGTCACATCCGAACTGGTATTTTTCTGTGTCGAAGGAGACGCGACAACCTCCGCGTAGGATTTGCCTTGAGGGCGACGACTGGTCATTCTGGTGGTTGTTTTGACTGTAGGTGCTGAGGACTTGAATGGATAGCCCAAGAGATATCAAGACAATATATATCTTGATGAGAATATGAAGAAGATAAGCAAACCAACAGCTCTTCTGATGGGATCTTGGTTCCTGGTATTGGTTCTCTCTTGATGTCTTCTTGACAATCGATGAAATCACCCGAATGGGAGGAGTTGCGCTCTGGCCGCTGATTGGCCGGTCTGTCCACTGCTTAAATGCACCTTAAAACGACTCGCAAGTCACAACATTGCAAATATATAAGAGGCATAAACTGTATATATACCTATTGTTGAATAGATAAAAATGCTCTACATCGTCTGTTTTTATAAGGTATATCCCCTTCTCCAATTGCCCTGTTGGTGTTAATTGAAGCGCCAATTCACGTGACCCGGAGCGCGTTCGCGTTTCCGACGAGGAAAAAAAGACGAAAAAGAAAGCAGAAAGAAAGAAGCAGAAAGCGAGCAGTTTGGCAGTGCTTTTGGAGGGCAGTTCAGCTCGGTTCATCCACGGAGTATCTTGGTTGATTCTTGTTTTCTTTTTTTTATATCTTCTTGCAAATTATTCGGTCCTCTTGGTATATTAATCTTGTTCTCTTTTTGTTTCTTTGTCAGGGCAAGGGCTATGATCGATCCTATCATTGAATACTACTACTGATCATTCACCCAACCTTCGTTGATTCATCGTGAACTATCGCCATTATTTCGTCTAGGTCGATTATGGACGATACAGTCCCTGATACTCCTGTCAGCAACAAAAAGGTCGTGCATAGCACCCCTCCAGCCGCTGCCCACGACGACGCAGAATATGAGACCGTTGCCACCCTTCCACTCCCACACCCGCAGCTTGCAACACAACCAGTAACACAGCCCACCCAGCATCTTACGCAACCAACACAGATCATCGAGGCTCCTCAGTCCGCCTCCCGCAATTCTTTCGTTCAAGTCGCCGCTTCCTCCCCTCCTGGTCCCGCTTCCTCTCCCTCTCGTCCTACCGCACGAGCCGGTGTTCTGTCCAGTGTTATGGCACCGAGTGGAACACAATTTCGCCCCCCTGTCCCCGCTGGCCCTGCAAAGCGTGCGCCAGTAATTGATCTGGGCGACGACGGCCCGGCCTATGGTGGTGGATCCTCTGATGACGATATGCCAACCACCGGAACAACCGATATCAAGCCGTCCATGTTCACCAAGAACTCGCGCAGCCCGGACAAGGTCAACGAGTCGCCCGTGGGCGCAAGTAATGGGCCAATGGATCGGTTCAAGGAGATTACTAGCTCGGCCGTGTATAACCCCCAAAACCCGGGGAAGCGCTCTGCGGCGCAAATGGATCCCACGCCCAAGGGTATCCCGGTTAAGAAAGTCCGCCAGGATGGACCATCTCGCGCTCAACCTGTTGCTATGAATATAACTATGCTGGATGAAATTGATGATTACCAAACTAGAGTCAAGGTGGAGAGGATGTTGAAGGTCGTGCCGCAAAAGTCTATCCAGGCTTGCATGGAGGCTCTCCTACTGAAACATGGAAATTATGATAATGCATTGGATCACTTGGCCAACGATGAAGAAGAACGAGATGGGTTGTTCGAATCGGAAGACGAATTGACCACGAATCAAAAGGCCTCGCCCACCGCACCCGCGAAGCAGCAAATCAAAGCCCGTGGGACAATTCAGGACAAGTGGACATCTATGCGCCTGAACAACTTTTCCAGCCAAAAAGCAGAAGCACCGCAGGAAGAGGAGAAGCCACGCAGACGATTGATGAGGGGCCCCAAAAACCGTGCATCCTCTCCTAGCAGTCCAATCCGTTCTGAGACTACTCCGCCCAAGAAGAAACTCGGTCGTCTGGTCCAGGGACGAAAGGAGGCATCTCCCGCTCGATCTGAGTCTCCAGAGGCACCTCTGGTTATCTCCGATGACTCTGACTCTGGTGTTGAGGAAGTCGCCGAGGGAGGTGAATTAGAACTGAAGGTTCTAAAATTTTTCAACGCCTGCAGTCCTCTAGAACTTTCAGATATTGCTGCTATCACCGAGGATGTCGCCAATACATTAATTTCGCATCGGCCATTTAGTTCGCTGGATGCTGTACGCGTTGTCCCAGCCCCCGAACAAGCCGCAAAACCCAAGGGTGCCAGAGGGCGAAAAACGCCAAAGCCAATTGGTGACAAGATTGTGGACAAATGTCTTGATATGTGGGTAGGATACGAAGCGGTGGACTCTCTTGTTACAGAATGTGAGGCGCTTGGGAAGCCAGTTGCAAACGAAATGAAAAAATGGGGCGTGGATATGTTTGGAAAGCGTGATGGGGAGCTGGAACTGGTGTCTATTGACCCCGCAAAATCGCACGACTCCGGCATTGGAACGCCTGCTAGTCAGCGCTCCGAGGAAGACAGTGATGGACCAGCAGGCTCTGGCTCGCGCAAGAGCAAGAGTAAAGGGAAGTTCATCTCCCAGCCTGGAATCATGGCTGAGGATTTGACGATGAAAGATTACCAAATTGTCGGGATCAATTGGTTGGCTTTGCTGTTCAGAAAGAACCTAAGCTGCATATTGGCTGATGATATGGGTCTTGGAAAAACCTGTCAAGTTATTGCATTCCTAGCTCATTTGTACGAGGAAGGGATCAAGGGACCTCATCTTATTGTGGTGCCTTCTTCCACCATTGAGAACTGGCTTCGGGAGTTTCAAAAGTTCTGTCCCACGCTCTCTGTCATGCCTTATTACGCTGGCCAGGCCGGAAGAGCTGAGATTCGGGAAACGATCGAGGATAACCGAGATGATATCAACGTTGTTATTACTACCTACACCATCGCTAAGGGCAAGGTTGACTCACATTTCCTGAAGAGTATGGACTTTTGCGCCTGTGTTTACGACGAAGGGCACATGCTCAAGAGCAGTACATCGGTGCTCTATGAGAAATTGATCCGCATTCCAGCTCGGTTCAGGCTTCTTTTGACAGGAACACCGCTTCAAAATAACCTGCAAGAATTGGCTTCGCTGCTGGGCTTCATTCTTCCTAAGGTTTTCCAGGAGCGCAAAGACGATCTCCAGCACGTCTTTTCAAACAAGGCAAAGACCGGCGACGAGTCCCATTCCGCCCTTCTTTCCGCACAGCGCATTGAACGGGCTAAGTCCATGTTGAAGCCCTTTATCTTACGGCGAAAGAAACACCAGGTCATTGATCTGCCTGCCAAGGTTTCCCGCGTAGAGTGGTGTGAATTGAACACTTCTCAAAAGGAGATTTACGACCACGAGAAAGAGGAGGTCCGTCGACTTCTGGCTGACCGAGCAGCTGGAAAGAAGACGGGTAACAAGTCCGCCAATATCTTGATGAAGCTCCGCCAGGCAGCTATTCACCCTCTCTTATACCGGAAGCATTATGATGATGCTGTTTTGAGCCGCATGGCCAAGGCTTGCTTGAAAGAAGAGCAATGGTCTTTGTCGAACCCCAATATCATCTTTGAGGAACTGCAAGCCTATAATGATTTCGAGTGCCATACCATGTGCACAACACACCCTAACTCTCTTGGAAAGTTTGCTCTGAAGAAGGCCGAGTGGATGGATTCAGGAAAAGTGGACAAACTCTGCGAATTGCTCAAGCGGTTCAAGGAAAATGGTGATCGTGCTCTAGTATTCTCCCAGTTTACCATGGTGATGGATATCCTCGAACATGTGCTGGAGAACCAGCATGTAGGCTTCGTTAGACTTGATGGCCGTACAAACGTTGAGGATCGCCAGTCTATCCTTGATGCCTTCCACGAAAGAACCGACATCCCGGTCTTCTTGCTTTCGACCAAAGCCGGTGGTGCTGGTATCAACTTGGCCTGTGCCAACAAAGTTATTATTTTCGACTCCAGCTTCAACCCTCAGGAGGATGTCCAGGCGGAGAACCGAGCCCACCGTGTGGGTCAAACCCGAGAAGTTGAAGTCGTCCGCCTGGTGACTAAAGACACCATTGAAGAGCAAATCTACGCCCTCGGTCAAACCAAGCTGGCTCTCGACCAGGCAGTTGTGGGCGAAGATGCTGCCGAGTCGAAGAAGAGCGAAGAAGCCGGAATGAAGGTGGTGGAAGACATGGTCCTCGCGGACATCGAACAAGACAAAGAAAACGCAAAAGCATAACCTTTCCTATCTCTTAGACATGAGATATGATCTATTATTTCATTTTCTTTTCCCCCTTGCTTTTGTTTACTTTCAACTCATCTACATAGCCTCCCTCTCTCTTACTAGCGATTTTGCTCGTTTGCATACTAAGAGATACATGGATACATCTGATACACTTTGAATGCGCACGGTTGCGTGTTATTCATGTTGGACCTGCCATTTGTATTTGCAACATTCTCAAAACCTGTTTCTTATGCTGTATGGGTTTTGAAGAGGGGAAAAAACCCAACTTCCCCTATCTATCAATCAGCCTTCCAGGCTTCATCTAATGGCGTTTTATAATGTGTTTCATTATCAGACCAGAGGAGTATCAGGTTTGTTTAGACTAAACTGGGTTTTTTGTTTTCCAGGATTTATTTCATGATTAAAAAGAAATATAATCTTTTTCTTGGTTTCGATGGTATCTGCTAGTACTTCTATAGTTGGGGTATCGTTTGATGAGATATTCAAACGTCTATTCTCTTGAGTTGAATAAGATGGTAAGTGTAGTCAAGGGTAAGGTTAAATAGCCTGTTAACTATTTCTCTATATTAAACGAATAAGATTTTTCTCTTAAAGCCGTCTTTTCTTGGGAATCTATAAACAGAACCGGATATAGCAAATCAAATATTTTCAACACCATAATATGCGAACCAAAACAAATAACCAGGCTATGCAGAACAGCAAAATACGAGGGGAGATAGGGGGAAAAGGCCGATCTTATATATCGACAGGAAAAGGAAGAAACATGGGGAAAGACAGAATTAAGGTATCACGGAAGAGAAAGGAAGCAAGGCGTTTAAGCAGCAAGTTCCTGCTTTTGAGCCTGTGGAGCTGGCACAGACACATCAACTCCGTTTTCTTCGGGGGTTGGCTTCTGAGTAGGCGTTGGGATGGAGTTGGTGCGGATTGGGCCTGCTCCGCTGACGGAGGGAGAGGTTTGCTTGGTGCGTGAAGCGCCGCTGGCAGCTCGGGCAGACTCATTGTTTTCAATGGCGTTTTGGACAGCCTTGCTGCGCTTGTCGCCACCCTCTTCCTTCTGGAAAACGGATTTGTCGCTGAGGTTGAGGATTTCATCGGCCTTGAGCGCAGCGGGCAAAAGGTCATCGTATTGCAGGTAGCGGCAGTAGTCGTAATAGTTCTTCGCCATCTTGGCCTTACTGGCTTCCCTATTCTTGCCCGGGATCATGATGTTGAGGAGGTACTTGCTGTTGCCGAATCGATTTTCGGCTTCAATACATGACTGGAGGTAGGCGTGGCACACCTCAGTAAAAGGAAGCAAACCACCCTCTGCTCCACTTCGGAAGCACGAAGGGTTCTGTTCTGCGGCTGTTGCAATCATAGCACCATCCGCACCGTATTCTTCCATCAGAGCAAGTGCTTGGTCGCGAGAAGTAACGTCACCATTCATGACGCAAGCAACGCCGGCGTTCCGGCAAATAGTGGCTACCATCCGTAGTTGGTCGCGAATGGCACGCTCACGAGGGCGCATAGGAGTTGTACGGCAGTGGACTGTCAAGCCAGTGATTCCCGTGGCGACGAGCCTAGTGACCAAACTCTCTGTCTTCTCGGGTGTATCGAGGATGCGAATCTTGACAGAGATACCGATTTCATAGGGCTTGCCGACATCACGAACAAGGGCCTCGAGGATAGAGACCAGCCTGTCGGGGTCACGCAGGAGAGCAGCACCCATTCCACCACTTGTACTGAACGGTTTAGGACATCCCGAGTTCACATCAATGCCTGCCACATCACCCGCAACCATCTTGGATGCTTCGACGGCATATTCAGGGGTGGCGGTGCCGATTTGGAAGATCAACTTGCCCTTTTCGCGAACAGGGTCGATGCGGTAGAGGATCGATTCTTGGGCTGGCTTGTCGGGGCGGCCACCGTTGGAGGGGGTTCTCGTGAATTCGATAGTCCCATTGCGGGGGTTCACTCGGCGGGAGGCGCCTATAAGAGATCGGTCGACTGTTTCGGGGCCCCAGACAAGGTCTGCACCATACTTGAGAGCGAGAAGACGCGATGGCAGCTCGCCCGATCGAACCATCGGCGCGAGAACGACCTTGCCACGGTAGTCGACCCCGTTGGCGGGGATAGGAACGCGGGGGGTAGAAGTGAGCGAAGTCATTGCGGAGCGGAGGAACCTGATCATAGCATTATCAGGTTAGAGGAATGGACTCAAATGGTATGAGTGGGATAGTCCGTCCTAGACTGGGTTTGATGGCGATGATGAAGCCTCGTCTGGTTCTTTGTGTCGAAAAAGAAAGCAGAAGATCGATGGAAGCCGAAAAGTCAGTGTCACGTGGCGATACCGATAATGTGATTAGTAAGGATCCTGCGAAATGCAAGATCAAGATATTGATGCATAATAAGAAAGAATGATTTGAGTATTCTTGTTTCTGCTACATAGCTCAGAGATTACTGTATATTTATCGACATATATATTAAGTAGAGGCTGTAATGGTAGTTGAATAGATTGAATCCATCCGATATCGGTTCCGACAGCATTTCGTGCCTGTGAGGAAAATACATAAAAGATCCTAATTATCAGAGATCAATGAATTCTAATTGAAATAAGCTTAAAACAATAACATTAACCATTCTAATAATCCTCGTTTAGTCTTTTGAGGTGTTACTAATGCTACATCTACATGGGTATGCATCAGTATGGTATTCTGAGAGAATATCCAACAGAACCGTGAAACCAACATCCACAATCAAGGCCAAACACCAATTGTCGAATGGCATCTTCATGTGGAGCTGAATATCCTTGACCGACGACAATCTTTGAAGAAAATGAGAGGCAAGTTCCCTGGTTGTGGAGAGGGATCATCCAACGTTGGCGCAAATGAGGCAAATCGAGGCAGAATTGAAGCCAAATGGCGATATCGTCAGTAGAATTCCCACGAATCCACAGAATCAAGAGACAATAGAATCAGAAGATCCATCACCTAGGCAATAATAGCAATATCAGTAAAAGAACCTCGGACCATGAGAAGAAGCAACTAGAGAAATCCCGACTCCGATTTTCCATCCCGAGGCCTTCCAGCTTTGCAGGCCATTAAATCCCCCTTTGCAGCTACCGAGACGTCAAGACTCGCCATAATCCAGAACAGACTGCAACCATCATCAGCAGACAGGTGGACTCGCCAATTGCGTTCCCCTGATCCCGAAGCATCTCCAAATCTTATAATAACCTCATGTCCCCTGTTGTTCCCTTGACCCGACGCTGCATCTCTTGCGTGTCCACCGCCTCGTCCCTCGCCCGCTCTCGCTCGCCCGTTCTTCGCACATCCGCAACGCTGGCTCCCCCCACCAAACAAGCCCCTCCCCCCTCCTCCTCTTCCTCCTTCCTCTCCTCCCCTCCTTCCTCTTCTCTCTCTCCTTCATCATATTCATCTCGGGTTGATCGTACGGTTTCCTCCGTTTCTTCTCGTGCTGCTTTAGTTTCAAGACATTTCTCGTCTTCTACTCCTACACCACAGCCCACCATGTCTTACACCGTGCGCAAGATTGGCCAGGCCAACACCCTGGAGCACCGGGTCTACATTGAGAAGGATGGCGTCCCCGTCTCTCCCTTCCACGACATTCCTCTCTTCCACGATGAGAAGGCCGGCATTCTCAACATGGTCGTTGAGATTCCCCGCTGGACCAACGCCAAGCAGGAGGTACGGACCCGACAACAAGCATTGATCAGTTTCTGCAGAGGGAATCTTCGTATACTGATGAATTACCTGCACAGATCTCCAAGGAGGAATTCCTCAACCCCATCAAGCAGGATGTGAAGAAGGGCAAGCTCCGCTACGTCCGCAACTGCTTCCCCCACAAGGGTTACCTCTGGAACTACGGTGCCTTCCCCCAGGTAAGCTGAGAAGATTTTATACCAGCCCCACGGGTAGATGATGATTTCTAACATTGTTATCCTTAGACCTGGGAAGACCCCAACACCGTCCACCCCGAGACCAAGGCCAAGGGTGACAACGACCCTCTCGACGTTTGCGAGATCGGTGAGCTCGTTGGCTACCCCGGTCAGGTCAAGCAGGTCAAGGTCCTCGGTGTCATGGCCCTGCTCGACGAGGAGGAGACCGACTGGAAGATCATCGTCGTTGACATCAACGACCCCCTCGCTGCCAAGCTCAACGACGTCGAGGATGTTGAGCGTCAGCTCCCTGGTCTCCTCCGTGCCACCAACGAGTGGTTCCGTATTTACAAGATTCCCGACGGCAAGCCCGAGAACCAGTTCGCCTTCTCTGGCGAGTGCAAGAACAAGAAGTGAGTAACATCCAGTCGGTGGATTTTTCTAGCTGAAATGCTAACCCGTTCATCTTAGGTACGCTTTGGACGTCGTCCGCGAGTGCGCCGAGGCCTGGAAGAAGCTCATCGAGGGCAAGAGCCCCAAGGGTGACATCAGCCTGTAAGTGGCTTTCATTATCTTTTAATCTTATTATACAAGAAATGCTAACTTTGAAATAGCGCCAACTCTGCCGTTGAGGAGTCTGCCGACCGTGTCGACCAGGCCCAGCTTTCCAAGATTCCCCAGGGCGAGAACCTCCTCCCCGCTCCTATCGATGGCAGCGTTGACAAGTGGTTCTTCATCTCCGGTGCTGCCGTGTAAATTTGAACTCGAGCGAAATCTCAAAAAATTAAATGTTTGCATTTGCCCTTAACGGGTAAGCCATAGAACCACTGGTCTGGTTTCTTCTTTCTGTACTTGTAGTATGAGTGTAACTTGGGTGAATAGCCTAAAAGAATAACGATAAACCAATTCCACACTACTTACCTTGTACACATAATTGTAGTAGGGAAATCCAAGAGGAAAAGAGAAAATGGAATATCCATGGCTAATATATACAACCAGACAATGCAAGACATAGCTAAGAAAATATCATAATACAACAGATCAACAACCACCTTCGACAGCGCTCTTGCTTGCAACCATATGTTTTTCTCTTATAAGAAAACCCCAGTTTCCCAAGCGCCACGTTGAATAAACCGTAATACCAATATTGTACAGTCCAAGGCACATGTAAAACCATCTAGTCCTTCAAAGTCTGCTCTCTTTCAATACCCCGACCCACTCGCGCAACTTCCTCAATGACATCTCCGATCTTGAGCTGCCGCTTGCCCACCTCAAGCTTAACTTCTTTTCCACCCTTAAACCCTATTGTCATCTCAGGCAGCTGTGTGGAGTTGCGCGGGAGCTGTGTCACCTTGACATCGATGTGGGTGGGACTGGAGGTTGAGGTCGTCGAGGGGTTACGGATCAACGAGAGAAAGAGTCTGCAGGGGCGAGAGGCGCGCATGAAGGGGTTGAAGGTTGTTCGGAAGCTGGTGATTGTCTGGAGGGGGATAGTCATTTTGGACGGTTGGTGCCACTGGTGTTGACTTGAAGGGTTTGGAGGAGGTTGAGTTGAAGAAGTAGATTCCTGTGCGACTAAGTCAGTCTATGCTTTCACTTTTGTAGATTTAGAAAAAAGAGACATATTCGTAATGATAGTCTTCAGATAGGCGAGGGCGATTGAAACGTACCTGATGTCCTGTACGAACTGCAACGGATATGGATGCGCGATTTGACCGAGTAATCGACTCAATGCGACTCGTAGAGCACCCGTAAAAGATTGAACAAGTCTAGAACCAGCTTTCGAATTGTTTGAAGGGCAATTTGGCAGTCGCTGAAGTCCGGGAAAATTACCGGATCGGTCCAGGAAACATTTCGGGATGGAATTGGGGAGAGAAAATGTTTGGCTCAGATGCAAACACCGGGTCTGGCCTTCAGGAACACCGATGACGCTGGAATAATCGGACAGATTGATGTTTCGATGTCACTTCATTATTATCCTACCTTTACTGCTCTTCTTTTTTGTCTTTTTTGTTCCTTTTTAATTTCATGTTAGAAGAGCATTTACCAAGCGAATAATGAGCATTGCCATATAATCCAACTGAAAACCGACCGAATAAAGCCAACATCCCGAAACCACTTTACAACTGGCACAGCACACTATCGCAACGCAAAATGTCCTCCACGATTGCCCTTCAATCGCGACTCAAGGAGCTATCCGCAGCTCTGGGCCATATACACCCACTCGTAGGCCGGTTACGCAATTTCACAACGTCTGTTGGCCAAGGCGATGAAGCTCGTTTGGAACTCGGTGCGGAAATACATTCGCTGCTGAAAGAGGCAGAAGAGCAAATGGAGCTTCTCAAAGTCGAGGTCGATGCGCTAGAAACTGGCGTGGAGACGAAGAGGAAGGGACAAGACACCGAGAAAGAAGCGGAGAGGGAACGAGTTGTTGTATTGGCGGGGAGGTTGACTGAAGATTTGAAACGGTGAGTTTCTATATGGGACGGACGTTTCGGTTGTCAATGCTAATGTGTGTGGTTTGATGGCAGGACGAGGGGAGATTTCCGAAATGCCCAATTGCAAGCAAAGCGAAACGCAGAACTTGCGAAGCGAAAGGAGCGAGATCTATTGTTTACAAGATCGCAAACCACAGAAGGACGGAAGCAGTCATCGGAAAAGTTAACGCAGGATGAAATCGTGAAGAATGCATCAAGCGATGTAACTGCGGCTTTGAGAAGGACGCATCAATTGATGCAGGGCGAGCTATCACGGAGTCAATTCGCACAGCAGACACTCGGTTAGTTACTTCCATGCGATCGTTGCTTTCTCCCATCTTACTTGTGATTACAGAGCAATCGACTGCTGCCATCTCTTCTTTATCCGAATCATACACTGGTCTCGATACCCTCCTATCGTCATCTCGCAACCTCGTTGGTTCTCTTCTCCGCTCCCAGAAATCAGACACCTGGTATCTTGAAACTGCGTTCTATATACTACTGGGAACTATCATTTGGCTTTTATTCCGCCGCATACTCTACGGACCAATGTGGTGGCTGGTCTGGCTGCCGCTTAAACTGGTGACTAAATTTACTTTCGCAATCTTAGGGGCTGTTGGTATAACCAGCGCAGCTTCTCAATCTTCTGCGTCTGTTATTCCTACGGCTTCTACCGCCGCCTCTATCCCGGCCCTGGAAACACCAGGCTTAGTTCATGAAACGGAAACATATGCTGCCGAGGGCACTGGCACTGGCACTGCATGGGAGCAGGCATCAGCCTCTGTTGAACCATCGGATAGCGATCGCATAATTGATGAGATCGCGAACATGACAGAGGAAATCAACAGGCGGGAGGCAAAACCTGTTGATGACATAATGCCGGAGGAAACCAACAAGGAAGAACCCGGCCATGAAGAGACGGTCATTGATGATATCTCGCCGGAGGAGAAAGCCAGACAAGATGAGATTCCTCGTAACCCGAAGAAGAGGATGTATGAAGCTGTAGAAGAGAACAGGAAGGATGAACTATAGAATATTATGAACTAATGAATGCTACCAAATGAACCAAGACAACAATATCCATTTGCTTTTTGTCCGAGTAAAACCCTTTATCAAATTCCAGAATATCTAGATCGATATCGAATCGATCTTGGCGGGGACTTAAAGTGGTTTCGCGCATCACGTGGAGACGCGTCTCGGACACGCCCTTCTCATCTGCCCCGGAGACTCACGAGGAGCTTCCATTCAGACCCCTCAATACGTTGTTCTTTCTGAGGATTGGGATTTATTTATCTAACATAATTAACACGCACCAGCCGCCCGTTATGGCTGCCAATTTCTTCAGCAACAAAGCTCGCGCTGCGGCCGCAGCATCCAGTACTTCGAAGCCGAAGGCCGCAGGAAAGGAGGAGCAGGAACAGAATCAACCATGGGTTGAAAAATAGTATGGAGCAGGACTTCCCTTTCGCGAGGATGCTGGATCTTTGGGGAGTTTGGCTAATAAGAGTGTATAGCCGTCCGAAGTCACTGGATGATGTAGCTGCTCAAGATCACACCACAAAGGTTCTCCAGCGGACGTTACAAGCTTCCAATGTAAGCTGTTTCTCTACTAGCTACGCTGGTGACTGGGGCATTATACTGATATAGAACCTAGCTCCCTCACATGCTCTTCTATGGCCCCCCAGGTACCGGAAAAACATCAACCATTCTCGCACTGGCAAAATCGCTCTTCGGCCCCGCGCTTTACCGTTCTCGAATCCTTGAACTGAACGCTTCCGACGAACGAGGCATTGGAATTGTGCGTGATAAGGTCAAGAACTTTGCCAGAGCCCAACTCACCCAGTCTACCGGAATGGACGCCGAATATCTCGCCCAATACCCTTGCCCGCCATTCAAGATTATCATTCTCGATGAGGCAGATAGCATGACGCAAGATGCGCAGTCCGCCCTTCGACGCACAATGGAACAATACAGTCGTATCACACGTTTCTGTCTCGTGTGTAATTATGTTACGAGGATTATTGAGCCCTTGGCGAGTCGTTGCAGCAAGTTCCGGTTCAAGTCTTTGGATAATAGTGCTGCGGGAGATAGACTGGAACATATTGCACGGATTGAGGGCCAGAAACTTGAGGATGGCGTTGTGGAGAAATTGATTGCTTGTGCTGAGGGTGATCTCCGACGTGCAATCACATATTTGCAGAGTGCGGCTAGATTGGTGGGAGCTCGCCGCAAGAAGGACGGCGATGAAGACTCTGAAATGACCGACGACAGCCCGGAGTTGATTACCGTGAGGACAATTGAAGAAATCGCCGGTGTTATTCCAGAGAATGTTATAGACAGCTTGGTCCAGGCCATGCAACCAAAGAAAATTGGCTCCTCATATGAGCCCGTCGCTGCAGTGATTACGGATATTATTGCAGACGGTTGGAGCTCGACCCAGCTGCTCATACAGGTACGTTCTCATGAAACATTATGAACGAAAATACCACTGACCCTATGTCAAGTTGTATCGACGTATTGTTTTCAACGATGCCATCCCCGATATCCAAAAGAACAAGATCGTCACAGCCTTTTCTGAAATGGATAAGCGTCTGGTTGACGGCGCAGATGAGCATCTTTCTATATTGGATTTGTCTCTCCGGATTTCAGGAATTCTGGGCGGAGCTTAGATACCAGGCCGATAAAAATCCTATGCAGTGAGCTATGAGTGTCATAATTCCTCTCAAATAGGCTCAGAACGGTCCGAATAATCCTTCTGGCTGCATTGCAGCTACGAATCCAAAGTTGAGAGGCTGTATGAGCAGTGCATGTCCCGTCCTGGATTCGTAGTCGGATTACTATTTTACTCCGACTCATGGACCATGAAAAAGAGGCCGCCACGTCTCAGTACGTCGTGAATAGGGAAGAAAAGCTACGACTATACGAAGCTTAATGGAGTTATCAAGCTCGAAGATGTCATAAAAAAGCTGGCGTTATGAGTGGCTAGTCATCTATGACTAAAGCATCTATCTTAGCGAAAATAGATAAGGGAATGACGTTTTTTCAAATCTTTTCATTTTGGACTTGTTGTTATATCAGTATTTTCAGCCAGAACAGAGCGGACCATAGTCCGTATGAATGGATGACACTTCCTGACATACTGTTACTCCTCTCTATCCCCTCAGAAGCTACGATCTACAGAATGCCCAGATGTATTTAGCCATGCTGTTTGACAAGCACAGGTTCTTAAGTCACGCTTAGTTTGACCATCCCCGCATTAGCAATCGGTGAAATAGCACCTAATTCTGTTGGGGACTTTAGCTAGTGCGTTGCTCCATATAACTGAAAACGAGGCTCCGTGTTTGCCCTGGTCTAGCGAAGTTATGGCCAATGACATGATGCTATTGCAGGACAAGGCTGGTGCTACCTACCAAGTGACCAACCTGCCCTGCATCTAAACATCTCAGCCTTGGCCAAGGGGCAAGGAACTCCCCTCAAGGCGCATTTTCATTACATCTGATTTCTATCGCCTGCCCCTCTCCTTGAAACGAATTGTTGTCGCCTTTCCCCCTCCCATTTATGCCTTTAACAACATTGCCAGCCCGATGACCTATCGTGCTCTCTTCCTCTGGCTCAGCTGCTGGTTGCTGGCTTCCGTGAGCAATGTGCAGGCTACCGCGCCACTCTTAATGCCATGGTCTGAAAATATCTATGGTCCAGACGGCCCATGGCACGCTGTCTCCGTGAACATTGGCATCCCACGCCAGGCCGTGGACCTGTATCCTGGCGGCAGATGGTCCGGCACCATATTAACATCATCCGTCTGCGACAAACAAACCCCTTGCTATTCAAAGAAGGCCGGTCTTTACAATCAAAGCGTGTCGGATACGGCGGGAGATATCACCGACTTTGGCAGCCCTGGAGGCTTCACTATAACCAACGTAGCCGGAAGTGCCGTTACAAAAACCCTCCACGACACAGTCAATTGGGGCTCTATCAAGGTCCCAAATGTCAGTCTGACGGCTGTCGAGAGTGTCCACCAAACGTACCCCGGCGGACAAAAGATTCCGGTCGAAGTTGGGGTGCTGTCATTGGGATCACCGCAAATCTCCCATGTCGATTACGGGACATGGATGTTCATACCCGGTTACTTGTGGACCGTGGGGGAGATTCCATCATATTCGTATGGACTGCATATCGGTTCGGCATCTCAGAACATCCCAGGTTCCTTGTATCTGGGTGGATATGATCAGAATCGCGTTCTGGGAGATATCTCGACCCAGTCGTTCATTTCTTTTTCGTCAGCTGAACCTGGTGGTCAGCTTATGATCGACATGACAGACATTGGTCTGGGGGTGGCGACGGGTGGTTCCCCATGGAATTTCACCATGAAGGATGGACTTCTGACACAATCAAACTCGAGCATCTTGGCCCCTTTCAGCGTAGAAGTCAATCCTGTCAAGCCCTATCTCTATCTCCCTCAGAGTACCTGTGATGCCATTACATCCCATCTCCCAGTTACCTTCAATCAGAGTTTGGGCCTCTATCTCTGGGATACTGATAGTAGCCACTACCAAGCCATCACTTCATCTCCCGCATACCTCTGGTTTATGTTTCTGAAGGACACGCAAAATAACCAGAATATTACGATTAAGGTTCCTTTTGCCCTCCTCAACCTCACATTGGAAGCTCCCCTGGTAGAGCAGTCAACACCATATTTCCCCTGCTACCCCGTCAATGATACCTACACAATCGGAAGAGCATTCCTCCAGGCAGCTTTTATCAGTGTAAACTGGGCCACCGGTGATAGTGACGGCAGATGGTTTCTTGCTCAAGCACCTGGCCCAGCAGTCGCTAGCACTGCAAGCATACAACCCATTGCTGTTGAAGACAAGAGCATCTCAGGCTCAACCAGTTCTTGGGAGAACTCCTGGGAAGGCCGCTGGACCCCATTACCCGACGATTCCAATTCCAACACCACTTCTAATTCCACTTTAGTCTCCGATTCCGACAGCCCTCTTTCGATAGGTGCAAAGGCAGGTATTGGAGTTGGATGTGCCGTTGCTGGACTCGTCTTGATCGGTGCCGTGTTCTGGATATTGGTCCTCCGTCGCAGACGCGCAGCAGTGGAGAAAGCTGCAAATGACCCGAACAAAAATGCATTTGATAATGGCTTTGTTCAAAGGCGGCCTCAGTATTATCCACACGAGCTAGGGGTTCGGCCTGAGGATAGTGTGATGCCCTCGGAGGCACATGGCGTACCAATCCGATTACGAAACCCGCCAGATGAGCATGTTGAGATGAGCACTTAATTGTCTATATTCTTTTGTGTATATTGACGGGAGAGAAACATCTATATACATTGTACATTGATACTTAGAGATTAATATACCAAGCAAACTGTGATACTTGAATATTACTTTGTTAATAACTATCTGTTCGGCTTTTAATGTACTATGATATCTATGCTTAAAATGTTAATTATTCATGATTCCAGTGCGATAACATTACCGAAGCTAGTATCCAAGTTATCACAGCCGTGTTGTGACGTATGCGAGATAGATTCCAGACGGGACTAGTCATCAACCATCACACCGTCCACTATTCGTAGTGCCCGACTTAGACTCGGAGATATGGATGGTTGGAAGAGGAGTTAGAAAGTAAGCTGTACATGTGTCGAAGGCTGTACAAAGTCACAGCTCCATAGTATGCAAAGCTTCTCTAGCTCGAGATTCTGTCCACTCATCTGCCCCGTGTACTTGATGTTACTGTAAGATGACATCTTCGCGGAGAACCTGCGATGCATGTACCCCCGTATCTTCACGATAAACTGATCCGTATAGCGGAGAATGTCCGCTTGCTCGCTTACTGCTTGATCATGTTCGAGATCATCGAGAGGCTTAAGCTCAATGCCATCATGGTACTCCGTACACAACCCCGCATTTTCTTTCTGCCAGGTTTGCATATGCCGTGTCTTGGCGGTTGCGTACAGACTTTGGGGTGCCATTGTTTTGATGATCGGTTCAGGAGGATATTGGCAAATGGCAAGATAGAGTATTATCAAAATGCGGGGGATAAGGGGATTCCATGTGGAGAATCCGGGGTATGGTTTGTAGTACATGCTATCCTGCCTAGATACATAGAGTATGTTATAGCCCGCCCAAAATTGAAGAAAGGTATTTATATAGCTAGCAGTCCATTGCATAGGGTGGTATTCATCGCAAACAGCCTCTCTCCAAACCATCATCATGAGGAATCATATGGCAGCCGGGTGGTTTTACTCCCCAAGTCAGATTGTTCGCTACTTTGCAACACGTATCTCAAGTTTGAAGCCTCCACAGGTAACGTTACCTGGTTTTCAATGTATTCAGCCATCCAGAGTATCCTGCTGATATTGGCTTTAGAATAAAGTGAGAAATCCATATCATATCTTAAAGGAATTGACCCGACACCAGTGGCTTATGTTTGCCGCTGGGTTCTTGGGATGGACCTGGGATTCTTTTGACTTTTTCACCGTCTCTATGACAATGACGGAGCTTGCTGCTGAATTTGATGTCTCTTACTCGGATGTATCCTGGGTAAGTCTTTTGGCTTATAAGAGGTTATTCGATGATAAAATGGCATCCAAGACTAATTTCTCTGCATAGGGAATGACAGTCACTCTGATGCTTCGACCCGTTGGCGCCCTGATCTTCGGTGTCTTAGCTGATCGCTATGGCAGAAAATGGCCGATGATGATCAACCTGGGCTTTTTCATTGTCCTAGAGCTGGGATCGGGCTTTTGTCGGACGCTGAACGAGTTCCTGGCCGTCCGTTCTCTCTATGGAATTGCAATGGGAGGTATGTTATATTTTAACTGGGTGCACAGATTCTTCCATTGACACCGTCATATAGGGCTATTTGGCCCAGCAGCCGCCACAGCTCTTGAAGACCTTCCGTACGACGCTCGAGGTTTACTTTCCGGGTTGTTCGAGCAAGGTTATGCCACTGGCTACCTTCTTGCTGCTGCTTTTTATCGTGCTCTCGTCCCGACAACACCGCATGGTTGGAGGAGTTTATTTTGGTTTGGTGCTGCGCCCCCCGTTTTGATTATCTGGTTTCGCTGGTCACTTCCAGAAACAACCCATTTTCAGGTCATGAGAGCCGAGCGCGAGGCAAAGGTCAGAAACGAGCAGGCCACTGGGGATCATGTACGTGCGACAGGCCTTCGTGCCTTCGTGAGAGACAGCGGGAGAGCCCTTTCCAAGGACTGGTTTCTTTTCATCTACATGGTTGTGGTCATGTCAGGCTTCAATGCATGCTCACACGGTAGTCAGGATTTCTACCCGACTTTTCTCAAGGATCAGGTTAGGATGTCAGTAACGGAGGCTACTGTTGTCACAGTCGTTGGACAAATAGGCGCCATCCTCGGTGGAAGCATAATAGGATACATCAGCACGTTTTTTGGTCGTCGATTGACGATGCTCTGCGCCTGCATTGTGGGGGCTGCTTTGATCCCCGCGTACACACTTCCGCGAACCATGTCTCTTGCGGCAAGCGCTTTTTTCCAACAGTTTTTCGTTGCTGGAGTCTGGGGACCTATACCAATCCATCTGATGGAACTCTCCCCCCCCTCCCTCCGAACATTTATGGTGGGAATGACATACCAACTCGGTAACCTTGCCTCATCCGCTTCTGCCACTATCCAGTCTGTCATCGGCGAACGGTATCCCCTGCCCTCAGGCCCTGGCGGAAAGAAGAAGTTTGATTATGGCCGGGTTATTGCCATTTTCATGGGTTCAGTGTGGGCTTATATATTCTTCTTCCTTTTCTTTGGACCTGAGATGTCACAGGAGGAAAGGGACGAGGAAGCCGCAGCAGCAGCCCGGCTCGAACAACTGCGAGGAGAAGGTGTGAGTCTTACTCAGGTGGGAGAGGCAAATGTTGGCAAGGAAGACATGGAAGATGAATGGTTGGACAGTAATGTCAATACTGCTGATAAGGCGCGAGCAGAGCACATTGAGTGATGCAGCTGTTGTTGGATATTGATAGTTGAATGCATCCATGATTATTTTAGTGTTCATGACGATAATAGTAAAGTGATATATCCAGCCCATTGTAAATCGTGTAGCCCGACATCTTGCTTGCTGACCCTGACCTGCATTGCATGAGTCTGGGATGAACCTGAATGAAGTCGTACAGGACGAAAGAAGAAGGTTGGTCCCTGTCGACCACGTGCTGCCCCGCACGCGTTTCTCTCCGAGCCGTAAGCTGACCGAGTCACCGAAGCAGTCATCGCTGGTTCTGGCGTCTTAATCTAACCACGGCATTCTTTAAATCCTTCCAGCTGATCCTTCTGGTTTCACATATATTTAGAGGCCATTCCCCACGAGAATACTAGACAAACAACCACCAAGAAAGCAGTCTGGTTCAAAACGCATTCCCCTCGATTGCCCCGCGATGTCGATCTCACCCCGCTATTTGACAGGAGACGGCGCTGCCCTCAAGGAGTTTCTGGATAAGTTTGATGTTTGTATACACAGTTATGGACTTTTTGTTATGCGCTATATATCCAGGAACAATTGTCTAACCTCAATGGCTTTTAGGTTTTTTTGTTCGATTGCGATGGTCCGTCATACCTTCCTCTCATGTATCTCTTCAACTACGCTCGATATGACATGAAATGCGATTACTTCGAAATAAGTTGATATTGCGCAAAGCTAAAACAAGTCTTGAAACAGGTGTTCTCTGGTCTGGTGACCATGTCTTCCCCGGAACAGTTGAGACGCTGCAAATGTTGAGAAGTAAAGGTATGGGATTGTCGCATCGAAATGGAAATAATACAACACTAAATTCTCAAAGGAAAGCAGGTTGTATTCGTCACAAATAACAGCACAAAGTCGCGCGCGGACTACAAGAAGAAACTGGAGAACCTAGGAATTCCAAGCAGCACCGTATGCTGAATGCCTCGGTCCTCTCTTCGCACAATGACGGTCTGCTAACTGCATCAATAGGAGGAAATATTCTCATCTTCATACAGCTCCGCGATTTATATCTCCCGTATTCTTCAACTCCCAGAGAACAAGCGCAAGGTCTTCGCCCTCGGAGAGACTGGAATTGAACAGGAGCTGCGCTCAGAGAATGTCCCATTCATCGGAGGAACAGACCAAGCGTTCCGCCGTGATGTGACACCTGAAGACTACAAGCTTATCGCAGCTGGTGATCCATCCGTACTTGACCCGGAAGTTGGTGTCGTCTTGGTCGGACTCGACTTCCACCTCAACTACTTGAAGCTTGCATTGGCCTACCACTACATCCGACGGGGCGCCGTCTTCCTTGCGACAAACATTGATTCCACTCTTCCCAACTCTGGGTCATTTTTCCCAGGTGCCGGTTCCATGAGTGCCCCTCTGATCATGATGCTTGGCAAGGAGCCCGTTTCCCTGGGAAAGCCCAACCAGGCAATGATGGATGCGATTGAGGGCAAGTTCAAATTCGACAGAAGCCGCGCATGCATGGTTGGAGACCGTTGCAACACCGATATCAGATTCGGACAAGAAGGAAAGCTGGGTGGTACACTTGCAGTCCTTACCGGAGTCAACACCAAGGAAGACTTTGTGGATGGACCTGTGAAACCCCTGGCGTACGTTGACAAACTTGCCGATCTTCTGGGCACATCATAAAACTCGACCGGGTGTGATGCTCAAGATGGTGACTGGTTTTCTGTTAAAGATTGCGATAAGGGGTATATCATTCGACCTCAATGCTGATAGTATATATTCGAGATATCCATAGATATACATATGATACGCATCAATGCATGCTGGGACTCTATGCCCCAATGATAGCGCTCGCAGACTCATTATAAATATGAAACAAATTATGCTTTCGATGGTAAAGGTATATAGTTCTCATCGGGTCTTAGCAGCCCCTTCAGTTTCCACAGAGCCAGCATTGCATCAACAGTGACAGAATTGTCAGGTCTGAAGAAGAGACCAGAGCTGCTGAAGCGCGGATGGTAAGTCTTGAGCTCCTCCATATCTGCCTCAGAGAAAAGCAAGGAAAGATCAAAGACCGGGACTTTTGTCTGAGTCTGTGGAAGCGTGACAAAGTCTGGCAAAGACGGCACTGCACCATCGGCCTTGTCCTGTCGTCCCATGACCAGCAACCCACCACATCCCATACGCTCAATCGCTTCCATATTCTTCAACCCTTCAATGAGAGCATCTTCGGAATACCCATCCAAGTCGACAGTCCTCCAGAACCTCTTGCCAGGCACACTTTGCAACTTCTTCAACACATCCATTCTCATCCGCCCGAGTACGAAATCCGGCATGTCCTCCCGCCAAACGAAATGCTTTTCATCGCGCGCAGTAATTGGGCCATGGGGATGTTTCCACCTGAAAGGGATCAATCGCATAATTCGGGATTTCTTCGCTCCAACATTTCTCGACAATGGCCCCGTAATATCCTTTAGAATGGGAAGACGATCGATGATCCGTAGAGTGAACATACGCAGAGTATTGTTGAATGTAGGCTTCCTGTCCGAGGGAGGTTCCTGTATTTTCTTCTCCTCCTCCCGGGCCGCTGATAATTCATCTTTCAAAAGACCAACGGGCATAAACCACATCCCATCTGAATCGGGACGTTGGACGATCCCCCAATCGCCCAGGAAAGCTTTCGGAATTCGAGTCCCACTCACGACACACATACGCGGAGGCGAGGCGAGAGCCACCGCCCAGGGATTGCGGCGTATTTCATCCACGTCTTCTAGCGTTGGACGTTTCTTGCGTTTCTTCTCGGGTCCCGGGGCTGGGTGTGTGAATAGCGGCGATTGAGGGAGCAATTCGGAGGGTCGTGGTGTTTTCTTCTTAACATATGTGTTTCGCTTCGGGTTGCTTCCTGATTTCTCATTCTGAGTTGAATCGTCACGTTCTCCATGGCGTTGAGCTTCGGTCTGTCTGGACGTCGAGATCGTACGCAAAGTGTTGACGCGATCGGACAAAAATAATCGTCGAAAGACTTGCAGACGCCATGAAGCGTATGTCATTCGTTGATGGAGACACTCCATCTTAGCTCCGTGAATTGAAGCAGTATGGACGGTGCTTCTTGAAAGGTGTGTGTTTTTTCCTAGTCCAAGGCCTCCCCGTACGTAACCGCACCGGCGCCAAGCATCACGAGTGCTCGGCCGTCGCTCTTCCAGCTCCCAAGCTTGGCAGTTTCAACGATAAGACAACAATACTCCCCCCATTTTGCGCCTTCATTATAGGCCTTCCCACCTCCCTTCATTTTCACTATTCTTGATACCTGCACAGAATGAATGTAAGCCGCTCTTTTCAACGACTCGGACGTCTCGCCCGTCGCGGCAGTCCCCTCCAACCCGGCCTGCTTCGGAGCTTCACGAGCTCCGTTCCCTCGCTATCCAGCTCCAGTCCTCCGCGGGGTTGGACCCCGACACCATTCGTGACAGAGACAGTGGTAAGTCCTGAACAACCGGCCTTCTAACCAAGTATATGAGACTAATTGTGTATAGGGCGGTGGCTGGCACACCTGTACGTTCTGGTTTTGAATCATAGAAAGAAGAAAGAGACATTAACCAGTAACTATCTAGATGATATCTTTTCCAGACTTCTCAAGGTAAGTCGTTGTCCCGGAAGATACCAGCGTGCTAGACGACAGGTACTAAATGTTTCTTCCCGGTTTAGGAACGTATAATATGTCTCAATGGCGAAGTCAACGAGACCATGTCCGCGTCCATTGTCGCGCAGCTTCTCTTCCTAGAAGCCGATAACCCCCAGAAGCCAATTCATCTATACATCAACTCCCCGGGAGGCTCAGTAACAGCCGGTCCGTAATCCCCTTCCACTACATTTCTAAAAATCCGCCTCCCCACAGCTAACTCGGTGATATCAATAACAGGTCTCGCAATCTACGATACAATGACCTACATCGCATCCCCGGTTAGCACTATTTGCGTCGGCCAGGCTGCATCCATGGGATCCCTGCTTCTCTGCGGTGGCCATCCAGGCAAGCGATACTGTCTCCCGCACTCGTCTATCATGATCCACCAGCCATCCGGTGGCTACTTCGGACAAGCGACCGATATTGCCATCCATGCCAAGGAAATCCTGCGCATTCGCCATCAGCTCAACCAGATCTATAAGCGACACTTGACCGGGAAGCAGGAGATGTCGCTCGATGAAATCGAGAAGCTTATGGAGCGGGATTACTTCATGGGTGCGCAGGAGGCGCTGGATATGGGTATCGTTGACGAGGTTCTTGATCGGAGAGTCAAGCCGGGGAATGAAGGCAAGCCTTAAGTGGCATAAGGTGCATATGGGGTAGATTGTCTTTTGGTTGTTTTCATGATAGCATACCCGTCTGGAATCTGTAACATTATAATGAATGGTCATGTCCGTCTATTTCAAATAGAAACCAACTGAACTCAATTGCCATGATATGGGGGGATTTTGTCATTGTGGTAAAAGATGTAATGCAATTTCAATGTGGGTATGTACGCAACAAAATTTACAGGGTATGGATGCAATGTGTACCAGCTTTGAAAACCTTCAACTTGCGCCAATGCGAGAAGTGCATAACAGTCATGACTGTATCCTTACAACACGCCCATCAGTGCCGACCTGAAGTCCGAATCGCTGTCGAAGGAAAGTTGCCGTTTCATCTGAAGGTACATAACTCGGAGATGTTCGCCTCAGCGCATTGGCGTGGCTATACCCCCATTGATCCTTAATGACGTCAATCAAGCCAACATCCATGATCACCGCCTCGCCAGACGCAAAATTATCCAATACATGGCTGTCCTTTGTACGTGCATGTCCATCTTCTGAGGGGTCTGCCAGGAGGCCCGTCCGTTCTAGCTGATCATCTGTGCTGGCTGATGCATATGCTTGACTATCGCGCGAGCCAAATTCATCAAGCTCGATAACGTCATTTGCAGATCCTGTTGAATTTGATTGCGGACTATCTCGTAACACACCCCTCTCTTCAGAATCATGGTCTTGCTGTGTATTTGTTTCTAGTGTATTTGTAACCGTAGATGGGGCGGCGGTCACACCAGCTGTCTTGACACGTTCGATTATAAGGCCCAGCATTATAAAATCAAGCGTCAAGACGAGAAGATCGAGTGATAATAACCGAAATACCGAGACAGGGGCCTTCTGCCCAATAAAGTCGATGAACAAGCCCCCATGAAGGTAGCCCCGCGTTGCTTCGTCGACCTCTGGATGAGTGAAAAAATGGTGAAATATCATACAAAAAAGGTTACTAGCGAATATTGCTCCGATGAATGGTTGATTCCGTGTCGGATCAAATGGAGGTGCTTTAGGTGTAAAGAATATCAACTGGACAATGGCACGGACTGCGAAGAGTATGATCGAACAACTGCATCCAGAAGCACACTAGTCAGCAAAAAAAGTCCCGAAAGCGGTGCGATATTTCATCTGCAGCGAATTCAGAACAGTATGGAAACAAAGAGGCTCACTCCATATAATACAAAGCGGAAAGCTCGCAGTATACCAGGATGTCTAGATCGCGGAGTAACCGATCGATAAAAGCGATCTTCGCAGTCGATTGCACCTTTTTTATGCGCTCATCCTGACCACTAGGGGAGTTATACTGGGATCCAGCGAGACCCGCGACGCCTCCATATGGTAAGCCGGACACGTCAGCGATGTATTCCGCATCTCGAAGGGCATCTGGAGTTGTCATAGAGGGTCATGGGGGCATGGATAGCATTAAGAGCAGCACAAGGCAAAGTCGACACTCGAAAGCTGCCACACCAATGTTGATAAAAAACAATGTGGCGTTGCGCGGTTGTTGATGCAGAGAGGGCTAATCCAACGGCCTGCGGAGTGCGGAGAAGGAGGTTCACTGTCAGACAATGACGGTTAACCGTTGCGGCGGCGTTCGGACTTTCCTCGGCCCGGCCCGCCAAGGCATGTATACTTAGGTCTACATAGTAGCATTTACTACAGCGCTTAAAGATGCTTGGGATTTAGGCGTAGAGGCTGATGCAAATTTATGTGATTGGATCTCATATATGGACATGGCTATGCAAGTTGACCAAACTATACAATGTTTAGTCAACAAAGATGGTCTTGGACAGGCTGGAGTAGTGCTTGAAGAAGCCTGCAAAAAGTCTGATGGAGTGAGCAACATCATGAGTACCTCCAGTCTCTCGGATACTGTGCATACTGAGTTGTGGGTTGCCCAGATCCAAAGTTCTAGCTCCCAAAGCTGCCGACAGCATGGGGCCAATGGTGCTTCCGCAGCTGGAATCATTCCGCACAACGAAGAGCTGGAGAGGAACACGCTCTCCAACATCCTCGGAGGCCTTGCGGGCAACCTCCTGGAGAAGGACGATACCGGGGGAGTTGGTGGCGTAGCGAGCGTTGGCGTTGATCTTGATCACAGCACCCTTGTTGAGTTCCGGTCGGTGATCGGGCTCGTACTTGCCTGTGTAGTTGGGGTTGATAGCATGAGCCATGTCGGCAGAAACTAGGAAGGAAGTAGAAAGTGTCTGCTCGTAGGCGGTTGATTCGCCGGAGTTGGCAGAAGAAGATGATGGGAGAACCGACAAGCGGCGGATGATTGCGGGGAGAACATTTGAATCGGCACCCTGCGCAGTGCGGCTACCGATCTCTTCATGGTCAAAGAGGGCAATGAGGCGAATAGAATCCTCGTTATCCAGAGCGGACGCATCGGCAACAGACTCAATCAGACCAGCGGTGGCGCAGTAAGAGCTGTTCAGGTTGTCCAGTCGAGCGGAGAAGATGAACTCCTCCAACAAGCCACCGAGGCAGGACTTTTGAGTGTCAAACAGAATCAATTCAAAGTCAAGCACGTCGGCGACCTTGGCGTTAGCTTCGGCGGCAATAAGATCAAGGAGGTAGGGGTGGTGGCGCTCGGTCATTGGTTTCAAGGGAGCAAATTCGTCATTTTCTGCCTGGGGTGTGGCGCCAGATTCTCCGGTACGGTTAAGCTCAGCGGCAACGAGACCAGCAATGGGGAAGAGTTGGGTCTCCTTGTTGAACGAGAAGTCCTGCTGCCGATCAAGATGGATAGCCAAGGTAGGAATGCGAAGGACTGCACGTTCAGTCAGTCTATCAGTTATAGCATATACCAACAATCAATCATACTTGGACGGTCAATCTTGACCAACTTCTGCACAATGGAACCATCGCTGGAGCGAACCATCACACGACCTGCGACACCCAGATCACGATCAAACCCTAGAGCTGTCAGCATCAATAGTAGAGCAGACAAATATCAAGATACGAACATGAGTGCCAAATGCCTCCTCCATAGGTCTCAACACCAACTTGAACGAATCCTTCTCCGCCCTTCTTGCTCACAGGCTTGATTCTCAAGACGGGCGAATCCGTATGAGCGCCAATCATGGAAATGGAATTTCCAGGCTATTTCAATTGTCACCCTGTGAGGCTCAAGACAGATCGTAGTAGGAATTACATACCGCCCATTTCTTACCAACGGCAAAAGCCACAAGGGTCGAGCCATTGCGAGTCAAATAGTACTTGCCGCCGGGTTTACATGTTGAAGCCCAAGAGTCTTTTTCCTGCGGGGAAATTTAGACAGCCGCGGGGGAGAAATCAAGATCAAACAATCAATTAAACCACCCACCTTGATCTCCTGGAAGCCAGCCTTGGCCAGGAGGTCCTTGGAAGATTGAACGGCATGGAAGGCTAATCAGATAGAAGCAGAATGTCAGACATCAAGGAACAACGAAAGTGGGGTAGGAGGGGCAGGCTGGATTTACGAGTTGGAGAAGCATTGACATAGGACAAAAAGTCCAAAGCCGGCTGCTTGAAGTTCTGGAGAGTCGAGCTCATTCTGATCGAGTACCCTGTGCGACGAAGAGGAGAGCTAGGAGTGTGGTTGATGATCAAGTGGAGAGGACGAGGTTTGCATGAGATCATGGAAGCCGATAAGAAGCCCAAGACGCCGTGGTTGGCGGTCAGAGCAGCACGAGTCCCGCCGATGAGTCGCATGTTGTTGGTTGTTCGAGTTGCGGAACTGTCAGGAAAAATACTCGGATGGAGCTGTAATATTTCACTGATCGACGGAATACCACTCCAACATTAATTCAATGAGGACAAGAATCTTATTTTGCTCTATCTTATGCTATCAAGCAGTTGCTCTCAACTGATTTATTCAGTCCTATTACCCCGGATTATCCAAACTTCAGGTTCATCGTAACGATGACCAAGAATATCAACCACCAACCATCTGATTCAGATTGCAATATGTCTACGCATACTGATCATGCTCATCATGAGTAACTACACCTAGCCTACATCCCCTTAATCTTCAGTCTACTCTCTACTCCGTCGAGTTCAGGGGCATTGAGCAGTCCATTGTTTGGAGCTGTGGAGATGATCATCAAAAATTTGTGAGATTGTGCCAACTTGGACTTGTCATAATGGCAAGCTGATGCGATAGATAAAAAGTTAGGATGATTTGGCTGTCCTGGATGTGATGCAGCATGCATTGGTGTTATCATTTTATGTGCAGCGATAGATCACGAACCCGTATGGTACATCATTTTTGGGATATTTACCATGGAGGGATTATCAATGCTGTTGAATTCAAAATTGATTCTATCCGTGGATGCTGAAAGCGCCCTAAAAACGAAGCAGCATTGAAAGATATCTGAGAAACCGAGAGCCATAGCAATTCGACAGAGAAGCAGAGCGAAACAATTGCTAGCACTGAAAGCAGCCTTGAGATTGACTGGCTATTTATGCCCGATGGATGAGGGAGAGAAACAGGGGCGTTGCATCACTTGGCGATACGGCGATAACTACCCCGGTAACTCAATCAACACAAGCACAACGGAGGATTTATGCCACGAGAGGAAAGTAAGCTAGAACCTAAACTAGAGCAAACGTAGTACAATGAGATCGACATGAGGCAACTCCGATCGTTTCTTTTTCTTTCCATCTTCCCACTCTGCTTCAGAAGTTCAGTGCTTGGATTAAATGATTTCTTGCTTCTTTTTGGTCCAAGCTTTTTCGCGTTCGAGGCGCGCGTGGAGACGGTCGCGAGACACCGCAATGGTTTCTGAGACAGACAGCCGGACAGCCAGAGCGCGCTAATCAAATCATCAGGGCGTTTCGCGTATTCTTACAGGAGTTATTGATATCCACTGCAAGGTACAGAGGATGGAGCATTTGAGTAGACTGGTCGTAAATAGTAGTAATTAATTCGATACAGTATTATGATCTGATTGTAGGGATCCTCCACGGCGGTTGTAGTAGAGGATCAGCAGCAACTGTGGACAATGAACACAGCAAGAGAACTACTCTATGCACAGTATTCTTTATTCTACTCTCTAAAACATGTTGATGATAATAACTAGAATTCACAAATATCCCAGACAATACTTGGTATGAGGATAATACACCTCCAACCCCCCTCTACAAGATGCCTCCCTAGATAGGCTTAGCGTTCCCGACGCGTGACTGAGAGGGATGGATTCCCCTTCGAAACTCCGTCACCCAAAGAGACCATCGCCAGCCCTTGGATCGCCCTCAAACTGCTGCTTCGACTTTCCATTCCCTCACCAGACGGTGGTCAGGTCAGTCTCAAATGACCTCCACGAGCTGCTTGTTTCCATCAAATCAGCCCTGGGTCTGGTGAGAGAAGTCTGTTGTTCATCCCGCCCTTTCTTTGTGTCGCTCGCTCTCCAAGTCGCCCTGTCTCTGGTTTGATTGTTGTTCGGAGCGGAGCAGAAAGAAAGGATTTGGCCTCATCAACACCGACTGTCCTGTTGCTCGCTAGAGATTACCATTCGATTGAAGTTTATCAAAATCACCTCTTATACCTACCCGACCAACCTATCTATTCCCCCCCCGCGCATCCATCCAGTCGACCCTTTCCAGACCTGTCGCATGAGTGAGCTCTGTCCCTGTTGATCTGAATTCGACCGCCACTTGCACCTCAGGGAATCCCAGAGCGTTGCCATCAGACATGGGCGAAAACACCCGAGGATTAGATCCTGCGACTACCAGCGGGGCAGCCGCAGGGAGGTCCAATATGAAGTCGCCAGGAAATGGCTCAAATGTTTTGAACATCGCATCCCCGCCCGGGTCAAAAACACCCCCAAGCATGCCTGCAAAGAAGACCCTTTTCTTCCCGGAACCGCTAGGAAGTCGACAGAAGAACCAGAACGGATCCGAACCCATTGATGCCGATGCACTTACAAAAGCTTTGAAGGACTACGAAGATGCCGGTCGTCGCCGGGAAAGGACGCCTGGGACTAGCCCCAGTCGAAAGAGACAAAGGGTTTACGGCGACAGGTAAGCTACCCTGTCTTCCTTCTGCACTTCCCAGCCTGCGCAAAAAGAAGTGTTACAAGTCTAGCTGGAACGTGCCCTAGCGGGGTTCGTACTGACCGCATAATTTTAACACCAGGTTCATACCCAACCGCGAAGGACAAGACTTGCAGGCAACGTACAGCTTGCTTCATGAAGATGGCTGTCCATCGACGCCATCGAAAACGAAAAAGCGTGCCCCACACTCAGAGCTACATTTCCAAAAGAGTTAGTTTGGTCCCATTCTGACATCCTGAGCTGCACCTGACATTCACTACAGCGGAAGAAGCAAACCGGATGTACTCGCGAGTTTTGCGAAGCGAACTGTTTGGAAATACTGTCCCACAGGCCGATTTCGACTCCTTACCAGCCGATCCTTTGCTTGGTCTTAGTGGCGGTATCAACGACAAGACTCGTTCACACACACCGCCACATGTTGTATCCAATCTCCCCCCAGCCAGCATCACACCCTCTACCCCTCACAAAAACCTCTTCACATACGCCTCACCGCGAGCTGGGTCGGGCCACCCCACCCCCTCTAAAACCCCTCGGAGTCAACATGGCCCGAATCTCAACGTCCGATCAGAACTGTACAGTCTATCGCCCATTCGCTACGATAGCCAACGCATTCTCGAAACACCCCGCAAACAGCCACGTTATGTGAATAAAGTTCCATACAAAGTACTCGATGCGCCCGACCTGCAAGATGATTTCTATTTGAACCTTGTCGACTGGGGAAGCAGTAATGTTTTGGGCGTTGGTTTAGGGAACTCAGTTTATATGTGGAATTCACATACAGGTCGGGTGACCAAGCTTTGCGAGTTGAAAGACGACACAGTCACCAGTGTCAGCTGGATTCAACGGGTGAGTGAGATGAACCCCTTGATTTGGTGATGAAGACTAAACATATTTCAATTACAGGGTACGCATCTTTCAATCGGCACAGGTAAAGGTCTGGTGCAGATCTGGGATGCCGAACATTGTCGTCGTCTAAGAACCATGGTTGGGCATACCAATCGTGTGGGAGCTCTTGCGTGGAATGATCACATTTTGACGTCTGGGTCTCGAGACCGCCTCATCTACCATCGCGATGTCCGGTCCCCTGAACAGTATTTACGTCGGCTAGCTGGCCATAAGCAAGAGGTTTGTGGCCTCCGATGGAACACAGAAGACGGTCAATTAGCATCGGGCGGAAACGACAATAAACTCATGGTGTGGGATAAACTGAACGAGACACCTTTATACCGTTTCTCAGACCACACCGCCGCTGTCAAGGCAATTGCTTGGTCTCCTCATCAGCACCACCTTCTTGCTTCCGGAGGAGGAACTGCCGACAGAACCATCAAATTCTGGAATACATCCACTGGATCTTTGATCAAAGAGGTTGATACCGGCAGCCAAGTTTGCAATCTTGCCTGGTCAAAGAATTCAGATGAAATCATCAGCACCCATGGCTACAGCCAGAATCAGATTGTCATATGGAAGTACCCACGCATGGAACAGATTGTTTCTTTGACTGGCCATACGTTCCGTGTTCTGTATCTCGCGATGAGCCCCGATGGACAAACTGTCGTCACCGGCGCTGGCGACGAAACGCTGAGATTCTGGAAGATATTCAACAAACGATCTGGGAGAGAACATGGCCGTGAAGGCAGCAAACTAGCGGAATGGGGCACCATTCGATGAAAGATGGACATTGTCCAATTCGATTTTGCTATCCTGCAGCGTTCCTGACTCTCATCTGGGTCTACGATGTGCATTAGACACGGCGTTCTTGGTCTTTGGCGTTGTTTCGTTCTTAGGTGATATCCTTTGGACGGTTCAAGGGGGTTTTCATGTCTTCCACATTGGCATCTCTTGCATTTTTGTTCGTGGGTTTACAGCATTTTACAGGTGAACACCAGGCGCTCTTCCTTTACTGCATTCCCCATTTTATCGGATGTTTACTGCATGTACCCTTTGTGGTTTCTCTTTCTGTTTCTTTCTGTTCTTTTCTCTTCTCCCTTTTGATTCCCCTCTTCCGATTCTTCTTGAGCGTTGGTCTCAAGTTATGCAAATTCTCAGATTTTATCCATGGATGTAAGCGGCGGCGCTCATGGTGTTCCAGAAGGGTAACCAGAAAGTGGCGTTTCTTGTGGGATGGATGGTTGGGAGGTATCTCTTTTCTCCGGCCTCAGGATCTCTATTCATCGCGCCATAATTGCATATGCCCTTTTTCTTTTCTCTTCTTCTCTTTTTTTACCTTCTCGTTATTACTTCATGATGACATGATTTGCTATTGAACTCGTCAGATAAGTCCATGCTTTTCTTTCTGGGCTTTATGGGCTTTTTTTCTTTTCTAAAGGGATGGGATGGGATCACGGCGCACGCGTTGTTGCAATATTTGCAAACTTAGGTAGCATTTGCCCTTGATATTTCAATGTAGTAATGAAAGATGGAAAAACTTGCAAATGAGAGATCCGAATCAGTATATTGCGCTCAAGTACACTTCTTTATAAAAAAAAATAAAATAAAATGGAAATTTAAAATTCAAGGAGATTTTTCGGTTTGTGAAACCATGGCAAAAGATCCCGTCCCGGGTTACTTCAATTATCTATGCTACACTAAAATCATTAGCCCTAATTCTTAGAAAATTCATGTTGAGGTAATTCTATCTGTAGATTGAGCTCCTTACCTGGTGATAAAAGGAAAGGACAAATTATAGAACCAGCCTTCCAGGCTCAACTGTCAAGAGGGACTTGACTCGCTCAAGGAATGCGGTGGCTCTCTTCTCATCACCGACTGGGACAGTCAGGCTGAACACATTTGCGGCATGGCCCTCAGCAGAAGGCTGTGGCGGCCGGGCGGAGACCTTCTTGGTCGGCTTTCCACTGAGGAAATCAATGAGGTCTTCCTTGACAGTCTTGGACTTGACTGATGGGGCCTCAACAGCGTTGAGCTCAGGGATGTAGTCTCCCCGAGATGTCTGGATTGGTGCTGCGCCGAGGACCTCATCGAACAGCTCATCAGCAGACGGCTTGGTGTGAGGCGAACGGGGGAGGTCATCGTTTGCCAGGTCAGTGGCGCGGGCGAGGAAAGTCGATAGCGGCACGTTAACACCCAGGGATTCCTGGATCTTCTTCTGGGCAGACAGGACGGTAGCCAGGGAGATAGAAAGGGCAACTGAAGCCACCGGAGGGGGTGCGGGAGCCTCCTCCTTGACCGGTGCTGCGGGCTCAGCAGGCTTGGGGGGTGCTGCGATCTTGATGTTGCTCAAGTCAAGGTGGGAGAGCTTCTCGAAGCGGGCTGCTTGAGTCGCGGGGTAGTCGGCCGCGATCTGGCCAGTGTAGGCGAGAACATCTCCCTTAAGGAGACGACCCTTGGGCCCTGAGGCGGGGATCTTGGAGACTTCGGACTCTGGGATTCCCTTCTCGTGGAGGAGCTGGGTGACCGAGGGGTAGAGCGGGTAGGCAGGGTTCTGGAACTGAACTGCAGAGGTGGATTGGAAGCCTGGATCACCACAATATGCATTAGCGCATTTATATCATGTGTTGCGTTTCGAAGCATGCCCGGGAAACGGTTGATAGGGCTATCTCAACAGAGATTCAACATCGGCGGGCAACTCACGTCTGGAGGCGCTGGATACTCTGGGCTGCCCTCTGGCGAGCACGGTCGGAAGTCGACGAATTGGGAATGTGGATGCCATTTTGTGTCGTAGATGTGGTTAATCAAAGACCCGGGAAGTGTCTTTTTTCAATCGGTGATATCGTGGAGACGGGGGCTGGATTCGGCGGCAAAGTCGAGCAGGATCGATCAAGAACCCACCACCACGTCGAGGGCACACGCGCTAAATCCGGGGTGTATCTTGTGGGTTGGATAGTATCAAGATCCGCGATCAATCCTAGAATGGAATCGGAGCTGGGATGGCTGTATACCGTCGCTAGCCGTCGCTCTTGGAGATGTTGAGGTTGTTGGGAGCTTCACCGGCGGCCCGGACGGGAACATTTTTCTGCCGCGGAGGAAGACGGAGGAATGCCGTTTATACAGACGATGCAACGCGGTTGCACGACAGGACTGAGTCGAGTTTCTGGAAAGCTAAAGTAAGTGGTGTCTACATTCTGAATTCCTTCGCTGCGTTGAATTGGGGCAATTGACTATTTAATTGATTGAAATGAACGGGGTTTTTGATACATCGGATTGTTACAATTGCTAATTATCCTTGCAAATTAGGCATCATGATGTTTGCCAGGTCCTTTGCTTTTAGAGCCTTCTCTCGGCAGTGCCCAAGAAGCGCTGCTTCTTCGAGGGTCCAATTCTCAAGCCCAACATGGAGATATTTCTCTTCGAGCGCTTTTCGAGCAAAGACCCCAAACCTCCGTAGCACGGCCAATCCCTCACCAGCCAGAGCAACATCGCCGCCCGAAGAGACACTCAAGTTCGCAGGGAAACGACCGCAAGGATTTGTTAAACTGGAACGCAAGGTTGCAAAAGAGGGGGAGCTCTTGCTGTTTAAGAGACCATCGCATCGCGCCTACATACTCGGAGCTTATGGCGTTGCAGCATTCTGCTTTGCTTATTCTGTTTACAACTCCAACATTGTGTTTCGGGATCCGATTGTGCCTCTCCCAATGTGGCAGCAGGGCCTCTTTGGAGGTATCTGTATCATGATGAGTGCCATGGGTACCGTTTTCCTCTTCAAGACCGGAGGGTTGATCAACTCTATCAAGGCTATCCGCGTCAATGGGCAGGCATATCTGCGTTTCAATGTTCGGCGTATAATTCCTTTCCGCCGGGCATACGAATTTGATGCCTTGCCTCGCCAGATCGCTTTCTCTCGCCGGCTCGTGATCTCCCCTGACTCCCATCGCAACATGCAAAGCGCCGGCCTGTCCAACGGGGGTCCTTCAGAAGTTAGCTTCTTCAAAAGCCCCACAAAGAAGATTAGTATTTTACTCTGGAGGGCATTCCGCTCTGTACGCCAAATCTTCACTTCTGAGGATTTCATTTTGTTGGAAGTCGAAGGCCAAAAAGGCACTCTCAGAATGGATTCCGGTGGCTTCCTATCCAAGGACTTCTTGGTAGTTGGGGATCCTTTTACCACCCACTAACGGTGGCCCGGGATTCTGAGAAACAAAGTGTTTCTATTCTTGGGATATCTACCTATCTTTTCTCATCCTCTTCCTTCATGGATCGATTCATGGAATGTCCAAAATTTGCTCGGTTCACCCATCATAGCAGCTCCGCATTCGTCTCAAAAATACCCATGTACATATATGACCTTACAATGTTCCAATGTATTTGTATCATCTACAGAACTGAAATATTCAACTTGGTTTGTTGGCATCGTTTGTATAGCCATGCCTCATTAAACAATAGGCGGGATGAGTACTGCCCCACGTGACCGGCGGCCGGCGCGTCCTCCTAGTCCGTGACGCGACCTCGAGATAGCAACTATCGCGCGGGGCCCTCCAAACACTCTCGGCTACGTTGAGGTGACGTATTACTGTTGTCGATATCTGTGGCTCACCTGGAGCTGGTCGTTGATAATCACTTAAATTCTCAGGGTTTGTGGTTGCACCCGCCTGGAAGCGGCTGCGTTGTCGCAAGATGGGGAAGCTTATCAGACTTGAGCTTTTCAGTATGGATTGCCACTGTTAGGTATAACCGTCCATTGAGGTTACTAACTCGAATTTCAGACTTCAAATCATACAAGGGACACCATGTCCTTCTGTTTGGCGATGCATACTTCACTTCGATCATTGGACCCAACGGGTCTGGGAAATCAAATTCGTTGGTCTTCCCGGATTGCATACTCAAGGGGATTCTTTGCGCTGACAGATATTAGGATGGATGCGATCTCGTTCGTTCTAGGAATTAAATCGTCCCATCTGCGATCAACAAATCTCCGTGACCTGGTTTACCGCGGCCGTGTCTTGCGCACATCTAAAGTCGACGCCGATGGAAATGCGGAAGCACCGAATGGCACGGATGAGCAAGAAGATGGAGCGGATGTCGAAGATCCCCAGGATTCAAGCGGATTAAACGACCCAAAGACGGCTTGGGTTATGGCGGTCTACGAGGATGATGCGGGCGAGGAACAGCAATGGCGAAGATCCATCACGAGCTCGGGTGTCAGCGAATACCGAATCAACAACCGAACCGTGACGGCGCAGCAGTACAACGAGGCACTAGAGGCAGAGAACATCTTGATCAAGGCGCGCAACTTCCTCGTCTTCCAGGGTGATGTTGAGGCGATTGCGTCGCAGTCTCCAAAGGATCTTACGCGATTGATCGAGCAGATTTCGGGCAGTCTGGAATACAAAGCTGAGTACGAGCGCCTGAAGGCTGAAGCCGAGGAAGCTGCGGACCAACAAACTGTCCAACTCAATCGTCGGAGAGGTATCAATTCTGAAATTAAGCAGTACCAAGAGCAGAAGCGGGAAGCCGACAACTACTCGAGGAAGGCCGAGGAGCGCGACCAGGCTATCATCACTCATATCTTGTGGAAGCTCTTCCATTTCCAACGCCTTATCGACGATTCCAGCGCAGACATTCAGAAGTACCAGGACGAACTGAGAGAATACCGCCGTGGGGTTGAGAAATATGAGAACAATGTTGAAGACGCCAAGAAAGACCACGCGAGAGTCGGCAGGGATGTTATGAAGGCCGAGAAGAATATAACAAAGAAAGAAAAGGAGATTGAAGAGGCGCACAACTCATTGATTCCCGTTGACGAAAAGGTCGACATCACCATGAAAAAGGTTGAGAAATATGCCTCGCGAATCGCCGAGATTGGCAAGGAGCGTGAGTCTCAGTCCGCCAACGCAAAGCAGCTGGAGAAGGACCTCAAGGTTGTTGAAAAGGCCCAGGCTCAGTGGGAAGCGGAATGGCAAAAGACAATCAGCAAACAGGGCCGCCATCTAAGCGCAGCTGATCAGGAAGAATACAACAAGCTCAAAGAAGAAGTCAGCCGTCGATCCTCTGCTGAGCAACTGAATTTGGACAACCTGCGTCGCCAAAGGAAAACGGAGGCTGAGGCTGTCAACAGTCTGAAGAGCAAATTTGAAGGTACTGAGTGGCAGCTGAAGAGCCTCGAGTCTGACACGCAGACTTTGGATGAGCGCAAGTCGTCTATCAACGATGTCATCAAAACTTCGTCCAAGGATATCGATCGAAAGAAGAAAGAGCTTAATGCCCTTACTTCCGAACGGCTGCGTGTCTCCCAAATGAGAACAGAGCTCGAGGAGAAGCTTCAGGTCGTCTTGAAGAAGCTGCTTGAGGCTGACAATGGCAAGAAGCAAAATGAAAAGGAGCTCAGGGCTAAAGAGTTGATCTCAACCTTGAAGCGCATTTTCCCAGGCGTCAAGGGTCGGGTCAGTGACCTCTGCAGGCCCAAGCAAAAGAAGTTTGCCGAAGCCGTTAGCACGGTACTTGGTCGACACTTTGACGCTATTGTTGTTGACAATGAAAAGACGGCCAAGGAATGCATCCAGCACCTGCGCGATCAGCGAGCAGGCCAGGCTACTTTCATTCCTCTTGAGACCATTCAGGTGAAGACTTTTAACTCTAACTTGAAGGGCATGCACCGGGGGATGCGACCTGCAATTGAAACAGTGGATTACGACGATTCTGTTGCCAGGGCTATCAGCTACTCTTGCGGAAACGCCATTGTATGCGACGATCTGGCGACCGCCAAGTATCTTTGCTACGATAGAAACTTGGATGCCAAGGCAGTAACTCTCGATGGAACTGTGATCCACAAGGGCGGTCTTATGACTGGTGGTCGTGGCCCTCAGCAGAACTCGAAGCGCTGGGAAGACTCCGAGGTTGAAAATCTTTACAAGCTCAAGGACAAGTTGATGGCCGATCTCGCCAATTTGCCCAAGGGCCACCGCAGAGGTACCGAGGAGGAGGCCTTGCAAGGCGACCTGGTTGGTCTGGAACAACGCCTCGCCTATGCCCGGGAGGAGCTGAAGGCTCTTGAGAGAAATCTTGAAAGCAAGCGAAGCGAATTGGACTTTGTTAAGCGCCAGCACGAAGAACTTAGACCCAAGTATGTCGAAAGACAGGAGACTTTGGATGAGCTTGATGAAACCATCACTACTTCCCAGGAGTCCGTCAGCAGTGTCGAAGACGAAATTTATCGCAAGTTCTGCAAGCGTCTCGGATATGACAACATTCGTGAATATGAAGTGCAGCAAGGGTCGTTGCAGGAAGAAGCTGCGCAAAAGAAGCTTGAATTTACAACACAAAAGAGCAGAATCGAGAACCAGCTCAGCTTCGAAAAGCAGCGACTTCAGGCCACAAAGGACAGGATCAGCAGTCTCCAAGCTCAGCACCAGCGTGATGAGAGCTTGATTGAGGAGCTCAAGCAAGAGCAGGAACAAATCCGAAACCAGCTGGATGAGTTCGAAGCTGAACTTGACATCCTCCGAGAGAAGCTTCAAGAACAGAAAGAGGCCTACGGTCAATCAAATGAGAATCTCGCGCAGCAGCGCAGAGAGCTTCAGAAACGCAGCAAGAATGTCGAAGGGTCCTTGAAGAATGTCAACACGCTGGAAGCCGAGATCCAGCGCAACTCGTCCAGCCGTTATGCTATGCTCCGACGTTGCAAGCTTGAGGATATTGATATTCCCCTGAAGGAAAGCTCAAACTCCCTCGATCAGCTCCCCATTGATGATCTAGTCCAAGCAGCAGATCCCGATGCCATGGACGTTGAAGAGACCGCCGGTGACGGAGGCCAGGTACAGGACTATGGCATCGAAGTTGACTTCGACTCTCTAGGAGAGACTCTCAAAGAGGTTAGTAGCGTATTATCAAATTCATATAATGCTAGCACTAATGTTGACTAGGAGGCCGATGACAAACTTGAAGAAGAGCTGCTGGAGAAAGTCCGGACACTTAATAGCGAGCTTGACAAGATGGCACCAAACACACGTGCGATGGAGCGTCTTGAGAATGTGGAAAATAAACTCCGGGGCACAGAAAAAGACTTTGAAGAAGCACGAAAGCATTCTCGAAAGGCCAAGGATGATTACGAAGAAGTGATGCAAAAGCGTTCGGATTTGTTTAACAAAGCCTTCGCCCATATATCTGAGCAAATTGGTCCCATCTATCGGGAGTTGACAAGAAGTGCGAACTATCCATTGGGAGGACAAGCGTAGGTTTCCCTTGATTCGAGTCAGACATGACATCTATTCTAACAAGTTGGTGCAAACAGTTATCTTGATATCGAGGACTCGGACGAGCCTTACCTCGACGGAATCAAGTACCATGCCATGCCTCCCCTCAAGCGTTTCCGGGATATGGAGCACCTCTCCGGTGGTGAGAAGACCATGGCTGCTCTTGCCCTTCTGTTTGCCATTCACTCGTACCAGCCATCGCCTTTCTTCGTCTTGGATGAGGTTGATGCTGCTCTGGACAACACCAATGTTGCCAGAATTGCCAACTACATTCACGACCATGCCGCGCCTGGTATGCAGTTCATCGTCATCAGTTTGAAGACTGGTCTTTTCCAGAACAGTGAGGCCCTGGTCGGAATCTTCAGAGATCAGTCTGAAAACAGCAGCAAGTCTCTGACGCTTGATGTAAGGCTTCTTACTTCCCTTTGTTTTCCGTTACTTGGCTAACCTAAACTTCACTTCAGCTTCGGAAATATCAATGATCGCTTTATCAAGCGGCACAGGGGCTTCTTTTATTACATTCTAGTGGTGTGTGTAGAATAGTGGTTTCTTATCTTTTGCCTGTTTTCAGCCCTTTAGGGTATATGGCATTTCATTCTTGATACGGGTTGATGGAAATTCATTGGTTATATGTTGCTACTGGCAATCGAATCAGTTTATGTGTAATATGTTTTTATTTCTGCTAATGGAAGCTTCATGATCGATATCCTACTACTTGTTGATATATATTACGTTGTAGGCTTATATAACTTTTTGGGAACCTGGCAACGCTTTCTCCCTTTCTTCCCTCCCCTCTTTTGCGAAGCACGATGTTACATCCCACTACTTCTAACCACAGAACCTTGTTATCAAAACATTCCCTTGAGCCACACCATACTGCGGAGAAGCGGCAATCATCATCTTATCCGTATCGGGATCTTTGTTGTGTCTCACATTCAGACTCGGCAATGACTTGTTACTTCTTTCTCTTGCTTTCTTCTGACTCATTCAAGGCAAGCACACTTAATTAAGATTCATAAACATCTACAGACGATATACAAATGGCTAATGGGAAAGGTCTTGAATAGAAACCCATCTGAGATATCTCGAACGACGTGAAAATGCAACGTCCACATCGGGACCCCGCATCTGACTGCAAATCCGGAAGAACCCAGACAGATCCTCCGCCAATTATGCATCACTCGATGTCTGCTCTACGACTTCAGAGAGCCGATCATATCTGGTTTTTGTCATGACCAAACAGCTTATGGGCGGGAACTCCGGGGGAATCATGATGCCCCCGGTGGGAGTCACGATATATAATGAGGCGAAGTTATTGATGAAATGCGGGGCTCTGGAATAGTTCGTACAAGCTGTCGGTTGCTGTTTAATTAGGTGTTCAGAATGAGGAATATGCCTGTTTCTTTCATGGTGCTTGGGGCTGCTACCGCAGAAGCAGTGCGTGTCAACAGCCCGACATCAGTTTTGTTGAGCAAGACTGTGCCTACAGATGCCGGTGCCCCGGTCCTGCATCCGTTTATTTCCTATTCTATTGAGTTTGCCTTCTTTCCAGATTTTGCTGGTATGTTTCTTTTTGTTTCTATTTGGTAAGAATTGCTTTTGTTGACTTGATTGTATTGCAGGAAATGCGTCGCATCCGAACCTTTTCTCGAACCAGCTCCTGGATAATCTGGCAGATCTCCAAGGCGTCAAGCCATACATTCGGATTGGCGGGAACACACAGTAAGATAGTTCTTGATTTGGAAAATCCTCTCTATTATGCAATCCCCGCTGATTTGGAAATAGAGATTTCGCCCTGTACGACCCTGACCTAAAGACAGCAACCAATGGCACTGTGGTTCCCAGTATCACATCCGACTACCCAATAATCCTTTCCATTGGTCCGTCATTTTTCGACTCCTATTCTACCTGGCCTTCGACCAAATTCATACACGGGTTCAATCTGGGGAAAAATGGCTCAACGGGGATGGAGAGTCTCCTGGCTACAGTGCCACTGGCTTGCAAGGCCCTCGAGGGAGATAAACTGGCCTACTGGGAGCTAGGGAATGAGCCCGACCTGTTCAAGACTTCTGCTCAGGGGATCCGAAGGCCATCAACTTGGACCGAGCAAGACTATGTGGATGAATGGTTGAACAAGACAAGAGTAATCAAAAGTAAGATGGCTGGGAGCTGCCCCGAGCTGGCGGGGTACAGGTATATTGCGCCTTCATTTGCAGGCGTCACGAACAGCTTGGATCCTGTTGTGACATGGCGGGACGGGCTCGGTGATGATCAAAACATTGCGCTGAACTCGGAGCATAAGTGAGTCTTTTTCTCTTTCTGGATCCCCAAAGTGCACCGACTGCCTCTTGAACATAGCTTTCCATTTTTACTGAAACTATTACCCAGCTACATCGGAGGTGCCACAGAGCCGGGAGTCACTCTTCAAAGGACCCTGATGAATCATACAATGACCATGCAGAGTGTTGCACAACATGTCAATGTCTCCCGGATGCTCTCCTCGGAGAATCTTACTTCTGGCATTCCCTATATCCTAGGTGAAACCAACTCATTATATAACCAAGGAGCCCCAGGGCTCTCCAATTCTTTCGGTGCAGCGCTCTGGGGAGTAGACTTTAACCTTTACTGTGCTTCGCAGAACATTCGAAGAACACACATGCACCAGGGAACTAACTTCCGGTACATCTCCTGGCAGCCCATCCACACGGAGAATACAAGCATTGGAACAAAAGCTCCTTACTACGGAAATGCAATGGCGGCAGCAATGCTCCACGGGGGCGTCGATGTCCGAGTTGCCAATCTCCCACTGACCGAGGACACGGAGGCGGCCTACGCTGCGTACGTGAATGGCACCTTGACCCGGATAGCGGTCCTCAACATGAAGGAATTCAATTATACCGAGTCTGAACCGGCTCAAACTCGACCGCTAGCGAAATACTCGTTTCGATTGCCATCTGAAATGTCGGCCAGGCCGCTTTCCGTGCAGCGGTTGATGGCAAACGGGAGCAACGCGATCAGTGGAATTACCTGGGACGGCTGGTCGTACAATTACGAGTTGAAAGGGGGAGAACCGGTCCGACTTCAAAATGTGACGATCGGAGAGACAATATCTGTGAGTGACAACGGTACCGTGGAGATTGAGCTGCCGTACTCCAGCGCTGTCATTTTGAATGTGGGAAAGGAGTAGGTCTGAAGCACTAGAAAACAAGTGGGTGTGGCAATATATAAATATATCCTCACTATGCTCATTGCAGATGCCTAGAAGGATCTCTGCGTTGCCACATGACTATCACTGTCAAGTAATAGTGCGAAGCGTATGTATGCAGGTAGGTATACATAAACCAAGCCAACCCACGACACTTCACCAAGCCGGAACCAACATAGAATTCCAATACGTCAAAAGGAGAATCCCGAAGTTAATTATGGATTAGGTTCCACAGCATCCTGCGAACGAGTTAGCAAATATTCTGAAATTGATGTTAGCTTGGGGCATTGATTCTATTCCATATGCACTTCGCCTAGGTGAATAGAACACTATTTTTATTTCCAGCCTTCCGCGATGCACGATAAGCATATAAACGCGTAGTCTATTGCCCGGGTTAATGGGTACATGGCCGATAAGAAATGGGATTTGAGATGGTGTTGCCGGTTTTGGAATCGTACAGAATAGACGGTGTTGATATTTTCCCGACAAGATAATTGTGTTTGGGATGATAAAGCACCACACCAATAGTTTCTGCATGACAAGAATAATCGTATAATCATGACTATACACTCGGCCATATGACCCTCACGAGTACAACCAGTCATCCATATATGTAATGGCAATTAATATTGCGATGATTATATCAAATAATCGGTGTGGAAGAAGGCGTTGAACGGCGTGGGTGCCCTACGCCAAAGTAAAGGGAAAAAGAGAGAAACGATCTGCGCCTTTTTTCTTTTTTCTTTTCTTTTCTTTTTTTTTTTTTTGGCGTATGTACGGAGGAGTATTTCGTGATTCATATGATGAAATGGGGGGGTCTCCAAGACCATTCGAGGATTGATAGCTGTAGGTGCTCGGACTTCGCTGCAAAGTCATCCATCCATTGACTGCTATCTAGCATCGGTTATCATGCCTTGAACGGCATGCATTAGGAATAGGCGGCAAGCACTGGAATAACCCCTTCTAAGATGATTCATGATGATGGCATAGGCGCTCTCTAGCAAGTTTGCAACCGCAGTTTCTGGAGGGCCTTCTTGGCCCCCTTTGCTTGTTTCGAAACTCGCTGTGATTTCAATCCTGCAAGCCACCATGCAAGATTTCCTGGTAAAATGTATGGCCGCATACTGCTTTGTACGTATTCTGTGGCTGACTGTCGCCTTGAAGGTATTTGCCAATACCGTAAGATTGCGAGTGCGGAAGAGTACCGGCCCAGTGATCGATCGACGACAAGATAGACATAGATTCTTCAAGAGGCAAAAGAAAAAGAAAAAGGCAAATCCCGCTCAATACGGAACACTTTCCCCGCAAAACGCAAGGGGGTGTAAATTTTTTCCGTTTCGACTGTCGTTCTTCCTATGTTCCTTTTACTGATCATATTCGATTTGGTCCCCCTTTTCCTGTGTCGTCTTGTTTATTGTTTTTTCTTGTCTGTTTTTGTTTCGCTGGTGGCGTTGACAAGGTGCATAAGCCGTACTGCCATAGTGTTACACTGTTGTCAACTCCTCATCAGCTTGGCCAACAGCAAAGAGCCAAGAGTCGCGTAAGCTATTCCTATCATAGCCTGTCTGCTCCCAAAACCGTTGGTGATGCAGGCGATTCTTTGAACTAGCGCCCGCTGTCGCACAACCATCGGGGAAGAGGCCAGGTTGAGTAGTGGCTGCTGGATATATTTCCCGCAGCAAGAGAGGTTTCTGGTTGGTCCATTCCAAAGGCGAAGACAAGCAAAAAGGATGAATCCGAGGCAGAAAGTGTAACTCCATATTGAGAGTTGCAACCGAATTGGGCCGGCCTCCTTATGGGTCCAGATCCCCCCCGGCCATAAATTAATCACACTGGTACGGAGTAGTACGGAGTAGTGGTAAGGCAGCTTAGGCTCTTGCACAAGCATAACCACACCGTCGCAATGGAGCCGCTGCCGCTGTTACAACTCTATCTTCCTAATAGTATGCGAGTTGCCCACACACAATTGCAGTGATCAGCGGTCAATGAAACTGTAGCCTTCAACCAGTCCGCATCCTTCCACAGTTCGCTTCCGCTTCAAAGCGTTGCGGAAAACCGAAGCCCTGTCGATCTGTACTGAGGAATTAATCCCACTGGCGGGATAAAAGTTCCATTGGAGCCTTAACATAGAACACGAAACGCCTTGTGGTCCGTGATTTTCGTCGAGTCCGTATTCCCAACGACGGGCCGAATTAATGTACTGTAGTCGGTGCTGTGAGATTCCCGCGTGGAGAAGCTAGACACAAGATGCATGGAACTATCTCCATCCTCAAGGCCGAAGTTGATAGATACTTCTCAAACCCCAAAATGCTCTCTCTATCACTTTCTCGGAAAGACCATCCGGGGAATGTGGAAGGCTGAGTCCTTCGAATTCTAATGATCCCGCAGTTTTTCTTTTTTCTTTTCTTTTCTTTTTTTTCTCTGCTTAACGAAATATGGAAAAATGCGCGTGATTATTCTGGACCAGGTGTGTCGACTTGGTTAGGCAACATGGAGCAGTTCCAGGCTGGAATGTAGAAGGCAGGTAACCTTCTAATGCACGCTTCATCGTCAGTGACGGTGGTTCTGACAGGGGAGCAAGCTGATGATTGGATGGATAGCATTTCAGAGTTTGCTTGACACTATGGCGATACGTAGAAAGCGCCTGACTCGAACCGTTAGTTACCCTACCTAGTCCATAGTATCGCACAGACAGTCTTACCTATGTACGCGGCATAGCTTTTCGAACCGTCATTTGATATTAGATCTCACACAGCATCATTGGGCTGAGTGCACAATTCCGGGGAAGAGTCGAGTCTGATCATTGGCCACATCGAAATCATCGGCGTTGCTTCCTGCAGGCTATCCCAAACACGGAGGGAAAGTGTTATTGCCGATCAAGACACGCATTTCAGCCGTAATCCTTGTTGCTTTACATGCATGATTTCAGAGGCGCCATGGGTGTCAAAAGACAGCATGTAGATCTACCCACTTGTCGAGTAATCGATCTTTATTGACTTGGAAAAAGTTCTCTAACTTTCTGGGATTGGCTCGCCCCCAGGACAGCCAAGGCAGAAAGGTCTAGACTGTTAATTGCTTTTGCAGCTATATTGTCGTATCCTTGAAACATTTCCAGCTATGATCACTGGCCCTAACCATTTGATAGGGATGGCCAGTGCTCAACTGCTCATTCGATCACCACCCTTGGAGAGCCTCGAAAGCTTTCTAGCATGGGAACCGAAGCCCGCTCTGCGAATGACAGCACACGATAACGCATCACTTATCGCCTTGACAGCCAAAGCACAAGCTGCTGGTCGTGGTGCGCAGTAGTGGCTTTGGGGGAGTCGGTCGATGCACCTCTGGAGGCCCGATCTGATCAGGAAAGAATGTATCAGCGCTTTACCCACTCAAAAATATGGAGTCCATGCATAATGGAGGGTTCTTTTCCGTACTGCGTATGGCTTCTCTTCTCTGCATGTATTTGTTTTCCTTACATTAGTGTGTGTATCGTACCCGCCACAAACTATGCAGATATCATGTGGAAGCTCAAATGTCAGAATTCGCTGCTCGGTTCGGAGTAGCTCTTGTGGATGAACGTACTTTTTTTTTGACTTTTAGGATCCCCTGAATGTCATTCTTTTTCTTTTCTTTTTCTTTATTCTCTGACCAATATATGTTGCTCGTCCTGGCCCATCCCATTCCTTTGGGTCGGCATAAGAAACGAAGCCAATGACTTCTATCAGCTTCGACGATCTTTCTATAACTTCTCGGAGACCTCAGCTTAAGTCACTATTCAGAAATGAGCTTGTGATATCTACTCAAAGGTAGATCATTAATAAGTGCCTCACAAACTTTGGATGCAACCTTTTGTCGACACTTGGTGGAAGGAATTCAACAGAAAGGCCCATATTGATAAACGACCCTAAGCCATGGCAGTAGGTGCGATTGGATCGGCCTATGGTATGGATGCGATGAGGAAGTCTGTGTCAGGCGGGGAGGAGCACCGGATGCTACCTTATGATGATGTGATGCTTCAGCCACGATCGATGGTAATGACAGGATTCTTTTGCGACACCAGTTGGGACCCTCAACTAACGCTCTTGTTTATTGAAGCAGGCTCCATCATCGCGAACAAAGACATTCGATCTCCCGTACCCGCACTTTGCCCTCATGTATATCGACCGCAATGGGGAGCTTGGATTGGAAGCGTCGCCTTCGCTGGCAGGCTGTGGACGAGCCATCTTCACCGAAGAGGTGAGGGACAGGTTCTTGAAAACGGCCGCGGCAGGAGGACAGCCCAGTATGCAACCCCGATTCGGATTAGCTTCTTTTGGAAAGCAGGCAGACTTACCCATGACAGATTCGATTCCCGGCTTCAGCTTCCAGCAAAACTCGAGCTGGTACCAGTCTGGTCTCTCCAAGTCCACGGAGCTCATTCCTTGTGAATGGCAGTCGCAGCACCAGACCAAACGCCAGAGGCGCAATGGAGCAATGGACCGTCGAGGGTCAGATTCGATGTCCCCCGGTCCCATCAAGCGAACCGCACTCCGAGTGGGCAACCAGGATCTCTTGCGACGATACTACGAAAAGGCATTCGAAAACTTCCAGCAGCTCAATTGCAGAGTGATCGCAAAGGCCTTTATCAAGCTGGTAGAGCCCCGAAAGCAAGTCAACCATCCGTATAACGGACGAAAGACCTCTGCAGGAGCTCCTCAGCGCATCGACCCGGAGTTGACCAAACCCAAGTGGTGGCCTACAGGAGTCACACACAAAGAACCTGATCATCTCTTGAAAGCTGGTAAGATATCATTGATTTTTTACTTCCGTCTGCCATGCTCCTCATACTGAGGCTAACGTTTTCTAAGAGAGAATCCGACTGCTGGTTCATATACTTTGCGAATTAATGAACAGCCATGGGATTACAGCCGAAAAGCTCAAGGAAGCCGGCCAGGATGTGAGACGCCAGATAGTACCATCGGAGCGCCTACATGTTTTGGATGAGATTTACTATGTTCGGCATATGGAAGAGTGCTACTTGAAAGGAGAAATTGGTAGGTTTCTCTCCGGACAGCGAAACTATACGAACAAAAATACTGACGCTTGCTTCTAAAATAGACGGCGATACCACCATCCACGTTTCACACGTTCATTTGGCCGAGGCCAACTTTGAATTCGATCACCACGAGCAGGACGCTAGCCAAAGTCCTCAAGACCAGTCCGTGCCTACGGTTACCGTGAAAGCAGATGGCTCCAGCCTCACTGATGACCAAACCCAGAAACGAAACAGCGACAACGACGCGGTACCGTCGGTAAGCCGTAAACGAAAAAGCGCTTCAACGTCTTCTGATGACCGTCTATCCTATGTGGAGGACAATGGTCAGCTAAAGCAGCCGACCCATCAAGATAGTGGTCTTTCTCTATCTCCGTCGTCGTGTCAATCGAGCAGCAGTCGAAAAAGCTCCTTGGAAGCCAGTTTGCCATCATACTCACCGGAAATGATGACATCCATGATGCCATCAGGCGCGCCAGCCCGACCTATCTGTACACCAAAGGATGTCCATCACACTGGGTCGACGTGTATGCCGGACTATTTCACCCAGCAACTCCTGGTCCCCACTCCTGGGCAACCCACTGAGCCCGGTTACTGGACTCACCCACATCTTGCGCAGGCGCAACTTGTATATAATCATGGATACTAACGTAATACGTTGTTGATCTTCAGCAGAAGCAACTCTTGCATGCACCCCTGCGAACACCAGTCGCAAAACTCTTGCATAACTCGGCGCTTGTCTTGACTATCCCTAATCATGTTCTTTTATTACCATTTCCTTTGTCTACCTTGTCATCTATCTAGCGGTCCTTTCTACTTCTCTTTTCTTTGTCATCATCTCCTGGTCCAACTATCCTCTTTCTTTCTTTTTTTCTCTTTCCTTCCAAACCGTCATGTCACCTGTCTGGTCTCCTACATTTTCAGCATTTAATGTATGCGCCGAAACCATGAAGCCATCATCATATAGAAACGAAGATATAACAGCTAAAAAAAACAGATTATGATACAAATCTTTTGCTACTTTCCAATACTCTACCCATGAGTCAGACCAGTGTTAAGTGTATGAAGTACCGAGTACATCAAGAATAATATACAGAGAGTATGATATTATCGCTAACCAATCTCCCAATTCATGCTGGGCCTTTGCTTTCAAAAATAGCATTGGACGGGCAGTGTTTGCCAGCCATATGTCGATCAAAGAATCCAAAAACCCGGGTAATCAGCCTGATATCTTCATGCCTTCTTAAAGATGACTTTCCACATCACTGGGGAAATAAGGCACAAAAAGAGGATAGTCAAGCTCTAATTCCCAGTACCAAGGCTCGTCTTTTAGTTCCTCTCGCGTATCCTCGACTAACCTCCTCTCAAGAGAACCTGTGAGCGACTGTCCGATAATAGCGACCTTTCCAGTTTCACGGAACAAACGCGCTACCGACACTATATGCAGGCTGCCGACCTTGGTGTGTCCGCAGACAAGCAAACGCTGTGTACACTGCCACGAGACCATAATCCGCACTGAGCATAGCATTGGCAGACCTGAAATAATGAGCCTCGCACTCTCCCGGTGCTCTCGCATGTATCTGGTCAAGTCAGGTGTGTATGTGATGTGTTTGATGCGATGTTTTGGGAGACGGTTTGGGGTCTTGGAAGGGTCCGAGTATCTCATGGTATATCCCCATCGAGCATCGAAAGCGAAACGGCTATACAACAGCTCCTCAACTTCTTGGTGAATCTGCTTATTGGAAATTAAAAGGGGCAGGAGAGTGCCATTTGAGCCACGCCAGACAATGCGGCCACGGATGAACTTGGTGCATTGTAACGACTCCCCAAAGCTGATCACTTCACGGTCAAGCCAGAAATTATCGGAACTAGCAATTGCTAGAAAGAAAATCTCTTTCCGAATTTCGAATGGTAGGTCCATAAGACGAAATGGTGGGAGATCGAGTGTTGAGATGTCTTCTATCGTGGTTCGCAGAGAACATGGACGCCAGAGAGGTGATTTGATATGAGCAGGGCGCCTTATGTTGGCATCCTTTAAATATCGAGCATTCCAGTCAACAACCATACTGTATGGAATCGCAGAGTAGCACGAGAAGGCCTCATAAGGGGTCATCTTTCACTTTCGATGTTCTCTTGATTGGTAGTGCTTCGATTTGGGAAGATTTTCAATAAACGGAGCTTCTTGACAGAGAATCAGTAGTATTGAAAAGAGAGAGCAAGGCTCTACGGCGTCTGTTTGGGAGGATGGGATAGGAGTTCAAAATTAATAGGTGTCAGTTGGAAGCAGTGAATGGAACAGGAATTCTAATCTGGAAAGGGCATCGATGAATTCATGATGATTCTTTCTACTGACCAACGGCCAACTCATCCGTTTGAATTGCAGATACAGTATGTACAGTACCTTAGGTATGTCGTCTGGAAAGATACTTGTGCTGTATAATGTAAATTATCAAGCAATAAATTAATCTCCGTATAGCTTGACGACTTGACACCGGTCACTGACTTCACCTGACAACGCATGTATAGAGAAATAGACACCTCAGGCAGAAAGTGGCGCAATCTGGAACGGTGAAGACAATCCCGTGACATCCGATTCTGAGCCAACCAGAGGGTTCCCCCGTGGACCCGTCTCCTCGATCCCAGCCTCTCATTGGCTAAAACGACCCCGTCCGCCGTCGATCCCGGCGCCTGAAGCCCTGGACCCAAGAAACGCGACAGCTGGACGGCGGCCAACCAGGAACCGTGCATCGGGCACAAGCAAAACCTCACTCTCGCGACTTGTCCTCAGCTTCTTCCCTCCATCAACCTTTTGCCTTCGCACACTGTCGTTTTCGGCGCTTGTGGTCAGTGGTTGCTGGGATCATGCGCCCTGAGCTTTAAACGAGACTGGTCGATTTGATGCTCATCTGGGATTTTGAGTCAACTAAGTTTATCCATTGGTGAGTGCGTGATCCGTTTGTTTTCGTCTGGGTCAAAGTCTCTACCACTCCATCTATTGCGTGAAGATGCCCTTGGGCATTTAAGGATGGAGTAGATAAGCTTTGCTTTCGCTTTTAATACCCTTCCTTGTGGTCTTCATTTTTAATACCCTTCCTTGTGGTCTTCATTTTCCACTCGTTTTACCCGACACGTCTACATCTACATTCTATGCGAATTACTGTCAAACATTAATTCAATATGGGGATGCTAACATTTGGACGTTTTCTCAGTCGCCCTTACCCTCACAATCCGAACGGCCCTACAATCTTTTCATTTCAGCAGAAATTAATCATGGAGGACGCTGGCTACCGCCAAGGAGGGCCGTCCAACAACGCGATGGGCAATGAGTCCCCTGTGTTGGAGTCAGCAGCAGGAGATGGAGCGAGTGTCTTCTCTGATACAGAGGAACTTGGGGCTCCTACCGATAATTCCCTCCCGTCTACACCTGGCAGATTATCACGGAATCCTTCCTTCTCCAATAGCAGTTCCTATCAGGAAGACTGGGAGACTTTCCCTCCGTTGGACAAAGTCAGCGTCTTCGATCTTCTCGACACCTTTTCTCTCACCCAGAGACTTGAGAAATGGCAACAGACTATCAATGCGCAGAAAGATAAGGTGAAGAAGCAGCGCGAGAAGCTGAAATCGAGCTCGATGAATGCCAAGGAGCGGGTTGTCGGGGAGTGGAAAAGACGCGCCCCCACAGCAGATGAACAGCTGGAGAAATACCGTCGTCGCATGAAGGATGGAGTGGAGCGCTTGGGGAAGCAGTGGAACAATACCGCTACAGTTACACTTCGCGAAAAGATTTCGTTCATCGCTGGTGTTCTCAATATCTTCATCAGTGGCTATCTGATCGGAGCTCATCCGGAATATTTCTATATCTGGTTCAGTGCCCAGCTGGTATACTTCATGCCGATTCGATACTACAGGTACCACAAGAAGGGCTATCACTACTTCCTGGCTGATCTCTGCTATTTCGTCAACTTGCTTTGTTTGCTGAGCATCTGGGTCTTTCCGCAGTCTAAAAGACTCTTCATCAGCACATTTTGCCTTACTTTTGGCAACAATGCGGTTGCAATTGCAATGTGGCGGAATTCTATGGTTTTTCACAGCATGGACAAAGTTGTCAGGTATGATCTTAGGTTTATTCAAGCAGGCAGTATTTTTTTTTTTTTTTGCTAACTCTCGCCAACAGTCTTTTCATCCACATCATGCCTCCTACAGCCTTACACTGCCTTGTCCACTTGACCTCGGCGGAACGGCTCAAGGAACGGTTCCCGGCAATTTATCACATCAAATTCAGTGAACCTGGATCTCCCGAACATTACTCCCTGCCATCCATGATATTCTGGGCGACTGTGCCATACATAATCTGGCAGGTGGCTTATCACCTCTTGATTACGGTGCGCCGTGCCGAGCAAATTGCCGCGGGACGCCCAACCAGCTTTACATGGCTTCGTAAGTCATATGCGAAGACCTTGCTCGGAAAGATTGTTTTGAGCTTGCCTGAGGCATTGCAGTCGTTTGCATTTATGTTGATCCAATATCTCTATGCCCTGTTTACGATGATCCCCTCTCCTATATGGCTCTGGTCTCGATGGGCTAGCGCTGCATTCTTGTCTGCTCTTTTCATTTGGAGTATCTACAATGGCGCAACGTACTACATTGACGTCTTTGGCAAGCGATTCCAGAAGGAACTCGAGGAGCTCAAAAAGGATGTCGCGCGATGGCAATCTTCCCCAGAGGGTGGTGCAACGAGCCCACTGATGACACCAAATGGCACTACTTCTTCTGGGGCCCAGATTTTGGATGACTCGACAACAGCCCAACAGCTGGACAAGGCAACTCTCGACCGTATTCCTCCCCTTGATCACGCCGCGATTTCGACTGGCGCCCAAGAAGCAACCCCAACCAATGACTCTGAAGTGCGGGAGAGGAAGTGATTCTATCGTCTTCGTTCCCTTCGTCCTACTATGCTGTGTTTCGCCCTTTGATATTAACGTTCCGTTCAACCCCAGATACCCTACGGCGCATTCATTCTTTTAAACTTGGTTTTGTTTGATCCCATTGGCTTAAGAACCCTTCACTCTTTATTATGAGCTTTGTTTTCCCTCAATTTATATATATTTATCCCTGTGTTAGCTGTCGTTGGTTGCAGCTGCACAGGGGTAGCAGGCCCAGGCTGTTTTCTTTTTAGCGGATTTGGTTTTATCCTGTTTTCAGACTTGACGATATTCATGATTTGTCCATTTCCACCCTTCATGACGCTAGAAGTATACGACGTATAATAAGACTCCCATTACAGGAACGCCACACAAAGAAAAAAAAATTCACTAGTATCGCCTAAAAATTGCCTCGTAGTGATGAGAGAAACGGAAAGAAAAAGCCGCCGCCACCTAAACTCCGGCGGCGAATGATAATCCCCGATATTGGTTGAGATCACGTGGAGAGCCGAAGCTGCGCAGCCCGGAGATGGACTACATCACGACACATCACCACGCTGGATGTTCTTTGCAGCATCAATTTATGAACCCTTAATCTTCATTTTTACCGTCATTCAAGTTGGTGCTGCTGTTTAAATTTGTTTTTCCTGCTCGCTTCTCCGAGCACTCCATTTCCCCTAGACATTTACAATGTCCGTCACAATGAGATCGGCTAGGCTGGTGCGCAACAATTCTGTTTTGCGGCCAGGTCTCGTTGGTGAGTCTACCTTTACCCGCTCTTTTTTGCCCTGTTTTACATATTAGTTGCCTAAATGCGATGGACTCAAACTGATTATTTACTGCGATCAGCCCGAACTCGTTTCAGCGGCGCATTGGGTGCTGCTTCCGCCGCGAACCTCCGGCTGAACGGGAGAGGCCTCCCATCCCATGTGCAGGCTATTGCGCTTCTGATCCCTCAACAACGCGGCTACGCTACAGAGCAATCGACATCGTCATCGCAATCTTCGGAATCTTTTCCCCCTCCCGGCTTCAACGCGGAGCAAGCCAAGAAGCCGATCCCTAAGGAGCAAAAGGATGCTGCAGTGCAACCGGCTGGTGCTAAGGAGAACAAACAGGTTGATGCCGTGAGATCGGATGACAAGAGCAAACTGACCGAAGTCGGAGCAGCCAAGGCAGCTTTGGCCGAGGATGAGAAGAAGGTTTCTGAGGAAAAGAAGGACCTGAAAAAATTGACTCTGGGACAGCGGTTCAAGAAGGAAGCACAGCACTACTGGGATGGAACAAAGCTTTTGGCTACAGAAGTCAGGATCAGTTCTAGATTGGCATTGAAGATGGCCGGCGGGTATGAGCTCAGCCGAAGAGAGCACCGACAGGTTGGTTTTGCCGGTTTGCTGTGGTCATTTTTTCGGCGTTGGGAAATACTAACGGGGTTTATTTTGATAGCTTCAACGAACAGTCAAGGACTTGGGTCGTCTGGTTCCCTTTTCCATGTTCCTCATTGTTCCCTTTGCCGAGCTGCTACTTCCCGTTGCCCTGAAGTTGTTCCCTAACCTGCTGCCCAGCACATACGAGGGTCAGAAAGCACGCGAAACTAAGGCATTGAGCTTGAGCTCGACACGGAAGGAAGTTTCAGGGTTCTTGAAGAACACATTGAAAGAAACCGGCCTGCCCCTGACTGCGGCGACAGTCAAGAACGAGGAATTCGCTGAATTCTTCAAGAAGATCAGAACCACCGGAGAAGCTCCATCGACCCAGGACGTCATTAAGGTGTGCAAGATCTTCAAGGATGACCTGACTCTGGACAACTTGTCCCGACCCCAGCTGGTTGGAATCTGCAAGTACATGAACCTGAACTCGTTCGGTACCGACGCCATGCTCCGATACAACATCCGTCACCGTATGCGCCAGATCAAGCGTGATGACCGTGCGATTTTCTACGAGGGAGTGGAGTCGCTCTCGGTTCCCGAACTGCAGATGGCCTGTGCCTCGCGTGGTATTCGGACCCACGGTGTCTCTCCCGCTCGCCTCCGTGACGATCTGTCGATGTGGCTGAAGCTTCGTCTCAAGGAGGGTGTCCCATCTACTCTCCTGGTCTTGAGCAACGCCTACGTGTACACACAAGGTGGCAAGGAGGCCGAGATGTCTTCTCAGATCGAGTCTCTCCAGTCCGTTCTGTCGAGTATCCCCGAGGAGTTGTTCCACGAGATTGAGCTTGAGGTGCACAACGCTGAGGGTGCTGCCACTAACAAGCAACGTCTGGAGGTTGTCAAGGAGCAGCAGGAGCTCATTGAGGAGGAGAACGAACAGAACAGCGAGAACGAGGAGAAGGGTCTTTCCGCCCCCAAGGACATTGAGGACATCGATGACAAGGAAGACACCAAGTTTGAGGCAGCTTCGAAAGACTACGAGAAGCAGACTGCCGAAGCGAACGAGGCAATGAGCGAAGGCGAAAAGGCTGAGGAGAGCTCCAAGGAGAAGAAGGCCGAGTAAAAAGCAGACTTGGTCCGAGTCTGAAGTTGAAATGAATTGTGGCATAGACTTTATTACTTCTTTCTAATCTGTTTCTGCTCATGTCTACTTACCCTTCTCATCATGTTTTAGTGACCATTGTTGATAGACTCTTTGTTTGGCACCGGCCCCGCCTTCTTTTGGTTGATGAATTTTTTTTTTATTCTTTTCTTATATACTCTCCCTCTTGTTTGATCTTTTCTTTATCTTTCATTGCGATGTACTCAAATCAATAGACTCTGTGGAGTTTGAAAAGGAAAATCATTAGGATTCGAGTTTCTGACGTGGCTACTGCAGCATATTTTGGGAATGCACAATCTTCTACATGCACTTTTATCAAATTAGTTTATTTGTCATGAAAAAAGTATTTGAATAACTTTAGCAAATAATATTCCTCCGAGCTGGCTGCTTTAAGCATCTTTGTAGATAGTTGGTGATGACTGCAGACAGAGTCGCATAACCTCGGCAATGGACGGATGCTGATGATGATCACTCACCACCCAATCTGCGATACTAGCCAAGGATAGCTACAAACAAGATCAATAAGAAATTACATCCATAATTAGCCATCACTCAGCACGGCCATGAGAAATAAGTGGCCCCTTCAGATCATCCCAAATAGTCGTTGTTTCAGCAGATCGTTTTCCCACCGTCCTCCCATTACGTCTGTCAGTGACATCCCTGGATCAAATCCGGGGAAGAAGACGTTGACGATGCCACGCTTGAATCCCGCTTCTCAGGTACGTATACCTCTTTCTTTTCTTCTAATTATATTTACAATGTCTCACTGTTTCATGCATTGTGTCTTTGAGTAAAAGGAAATCATTACCGTGGTTGTCATATTTTTATTTTATTTTTGTCTTGTTTCTGATGACATCTTCCCATCCTTTGTTGGATGACGCCCCCCCTCCTTCTAACATCAGAGATGAGATGATGCGATATAGAGGATTGGGCTGATGGGGCCGAAACAACACACAGCAAGCGATCCAGCGACTACGGGCGTATAAGCCTCCTCCGACGAATTATGATGGCGTGCCTCTCTCTAGACGAGCGGCTGTTTTGGTTCTGCTGTACGCGGACCCCAAGGGCGATCTGAAAGTGGTGCTTACCATTCGGGCCAAGACGCTGAGTTCATGTAAGTTGAGGTTATTCCTTTTTCTTCTTATTTAATTTCCGAGTATAGAGCAACTAGGCTGATTTTGGGTATTGGTGACTAGATGCTGGTCAGGCTGCTTTACCGGGGGGTGAGTCTGCTACTACCTAGGTAGTCTATTTTGTAGATCTGTATACTGTAGCTATACAGTACGACCGTGTTAAAACTGACAGAAACACAGGGCGAGCAGACACACTGCAAGAAACACCGTTTGAAACCGCCCGTCGCGAAGCACGTGAGGAAATCGGGCTCGCAGATCTCAATGACCAGCTGCCTCGTCCGTTCGCCGTTGAGCATCTCTGCGAGTTGCCGGCGAATCTTGCGCGAACCGAACTGGTTGTTCGCCCTTGCGTGGCGCTACTCCATTCCTATGACGAGGGGACGGGGGAAAATGCAGATCCGGAGGTGTCGTTGATTCCTAAGCTGGATGCGCGAGAGGTTGCGGCGGTTTTTACGGCGCCGTTTCATAATTTCCTACGGATGAGAGATGAGGTTGAGGTTGAAGAGGGGAATGGAGATGGGGAGGAGTGGTATCAGGGTGCCTGGACGGAGTGGCATCACTCGAACTGGCGCAGTAAGTCTCCTAGTTGCCTGTCCTACGCCTTATGGAGTGTTTGACTGTTTGTTGGGTAAGAAAAAAGAAAAAAGGAAAGAAAGACATTAACTTGATTCTTGCTAGTGCATCAATTCTTTGTGCCGATCAACAACAACGTTGTCAAGCCTCGTCATGATCACGAGCAGGAGCTCGAAGAACAAGAACATGCAATCAAAGTAACACGATACAGGGTATTTGGGATGACAGCCCGCATGCTGGTGGACGTTGCTCGAGTGGCCTACGCAGAGGAACCGGAATTCGAGCACAACAGCCACTTTGGCGATGAAGCCATGATCGCCAACCTGCGATCGATGGGCCGACTGAGTGCGACTCGCACGGCATCAGATGAGCTCACACGAGAAACGATGCAGAAGGCAGCCAAACTGAGTTGATAGAATTAAGTAGAGTTAAGCGAGTTGACTGAGTCAATGGATTCATATTTTATTTTTCTTTCCGTTTTTCCATAGAAGCGGTGGAAGAAAGGGAATTAAAGATTGACTATCGATCGCCATTAGCGGTGGAGGCGTTCGTTGGCTTCTTTGACGTGTTCCTTTTTGGCGCTGATCGGATTGGGTTCTTAGTCGTGTTGCTATTTTACGAAATACCAGCAAATCCTGTCTGACAGTGTTTTCATTAACGAATCCATGATGATTAGAGAAAATAAGCATCGTGAAGGAAGCTGATGAAGATGCTGATGATTCTGATTCAGATGGCGGGCAGTGTTCGACGGGCGCAGAGAGACGCAGAGCGTCAGCATCAGCATCCCTTGCATCGCGTCTGTCTGTAATTACTTTGTATCCATCCCAGTCGGGTTGGCGATGGCTCCTGCAGGCGACCAGTCCATGGAAATGCAGCGGTTTCTTTTCTTTTTTCGTCGCTTCTTCCTTCTTCCTGCTTATCGTCAGTCAAGGGGGTCTCATGTTCCCCAATCCGCTTACTTCTTAGCTGCATCGCTGCTCTACTCTCCTCCTCTCCTCCCACCCCACCCCCTCTCTCCCTTATATCAGGCCTTGTCTCCTTGTCTTTCTTTCTCCTCTTCTTTTAGAAAATGCCCATCTCCGACTTTTCTTTGTTCGTCTTCTTTCGGCTGGTCCGTATTTGGGCCGACTTGCGCGGGGGTCTTGTGATCGTCCAGCCCAACATTCAACAGTGAAAAGCCACCATCAAGGAATACGAATCGTTCAAAGAAAGAGAAAGAAAATAAAAAACGTGCCTTCTTTGTTTCCCTTTTTCTCCTCCACTCAATAGTTAAAGTTCATCCACCGTCGTGGAAAGTGACTATTGAATTCTCCTCGTGGATACACCTTACCGCAATTTGACTCAGATCCATTGATGCACCATGCTGTCTCCATCGCTTGGATTTTCTAGAAAGGCCCCCCCTGTGAGACCTTCTCGATCTCTCGAAGGGTTGGAAAAGGTCGTTCCTCCCCCTCGTCCACCTCGTCCTGAGTTGCGCCTCAACAAGCCTCTACCATCGCCTCCTCCCCAGAGGATCTCGACCACCTGGAGCGACGATACCAGTACCATCGAGAGTTTTGGAACACCCACTCCTCGCGACTCCAGAGCTTCCGGCGAAAGCTTCCCTATCTTTGTCAGTACAGATCCCGATGATCTGGTTCACATTGTCGATCAGACGTCGGATGACCCCATGTCAACCCTAGACCATCACCACAGTCTTCATATCGATACTTCGGCCAAGCCTCATCCTGAGACAGAGGCTCCAGGTCTTAGAACATTTCTATTCGAAGAGCGATATGCACCTCCACCTACGTGGTCCCCGTCAAACCAATCGGGGCCGAACCATTACTTCAGAGAGAAGAAATGGGATTTCTTCCCGGAACTAGCTACGCCTTCTGCCATTAACAGTCCGGTTGCGGATGATACTGAGAGCAAAAGGCGCAAGAACAATCCCAGTCTCCTGCAAAAGAACCTGGGGCGATGGAACTCCTCAGAACGCGGTGTGACAATCGCTCATGAAGTCCGGGACTCGATTCGCTCTTACGTTCATCGAAATATCACGAAGAAGGGTTCTTCGGAGAAGTCGAAACAGGATCCCCGACCGTTGACAGCGCCGGACTGGTCATATGAGGAAGAGCTTCCCAAGACGCCGGCTTTGACCTACAGCGACCAGTCCGATAGTGGAAGCTCTGCCATGCAGCAAAGCTACGTCAATGTCGCCGAGCAGATGAAGACATTGTCAGTAGCGACGGACGAGGATCCGGTCGAACGCTGCGAGACCTCCAAGTCTATCCCCATGCAACGACCAAAACAGCTCGCCGTACCTTTCTCGCCATACCAACAATACGGAGCAGCTGTCTGGGATAAAAATGGGAGCCCCAGGAGAGTCAACTCCCGACAGGGCCGCAGCGTGCGGTTTCCCCGATATCGAGATCAGAGGAGGGTGCCGTCCTTGGACTGTTCGACACATGGCCATGCATGTGCCAATGCAACACCACCATTATCTCCGCCGATCCGGTCGCCGTTACAGCAGAGTGTGAAGGCCTTGCAGGTGAGCACCAACAGCATGCTGGGTGCAATTGGCGGGGCAAAGAGAAAGATGAGCAAGAGCAAAGCAGACAAGAAACGAGCGCAGTTGAAGTCGAAAATCAGGCTCATTGGTCCGGTAAACCCATACACGACATATGGACGAGTTGACCCTTGGGACTTCTAACCTATCTACTATTCACCACACAGTACCATTTGGTATCTTTCTTTTCATTTTCTACTTGTGTCTATGGAGTACCTGTTTGATATCCCCCTTCCTCTCCATCTTCCTGGTTTTTTATTTTATTCCCATTCTACCTTTCTTTTGTCTATTCATTCCTGGGAGCATAAAGCTACTACGCTGGCGTTGTTGGAAACCAAGCATTCACCAGTCCGGACTGGTTTCTTTTGATCTGATTTATGATACCTTTTTCCCATTGAGCAATGAATGTTCTGTCTCTACAGAGTACCGAGTCAGAGAATACTGTATTATTTAGAAACTGTTTTAATGAATCGTTTTACGAGGATCAAAATGCCCTCAATTGATCGACAAACTAGTTCACTGACAGCCTCCTGTTTAATTTCAGTAAATCTTACCCCCTTGCTGGGGCATTTATGCGCATCATTCGTTTGTTGACGTTGCACACGATGCGGTCTGCAGACACGAATGAATATCCGTGACTGGTTTGGACAGTCCGTGAGGCTTTTGGATATATCATATTTTCTTGTCGGGGTCTCCGTCGACCAACTTGAATCATGTATATTGACGATCAAAAAGAAAGGAAAGGAAGGATTTAGGGTGTTTTGGGATCTGCAATCTGCGCTATCACTACGAATTGACGGTGACACCAGGCATGGATGTCCAATTATCAACTCATACAAATTCCATAGGGAATATTTTGAAGAACTGTCATAGCGAATAAACTACTGATAAAATAAACCAATAATTGAAGTTTATCATCATCTCCAGCCGAATGGGCCTGATATGAGATGTCCAAGTCTCCCTCAATTATCACCAGTAGTCAAATGCAACAACCTCATATATTGCTGTAACTGCCATCCTGCTCTTCGCTGCTTCTAATAATAAATCCCAGGTCATCAATGATCGCCATCGCCTATTCTCTTCCATCAAATCAATGCCAACATTCCAATGCGCTGCAGTCCACCTGCTTTTCCCCGCCTTCTTTCTCCGCACGCAAACAACGTCACAACAGGCCAAGGTAGCAGCCAACTCCCCTTGTGACCTCTTCTATCTCGCGTTTGGTTTCTTCTTTGGTGTCCCCGTCATCTCTACGACAATACATTTCTTTTTCTAATTTTTTCCGGCCCCCTTATCTTTAACGTCTTTATTACAAGAACTATCAGTTAGTTCCTCGTCAATAGACCCGCAATATGGGTGGAGACGCTCCATCGCGAGCTCCAAGCTCCCTTCCCCGGGTGCCTGAACGTCCCGTCGGTCAACGCATCAAGAGCATCTACACCGACCGTTTGAAGCAATTTACCGCCACCGGTCAATATGAGGGCCAGAATCTTGTCTCGTATGCATCCTATTGTCCCCACTATTTTGCTTCTGCTTCTGCTTGTTCCAGTTATACACAGACAAACGACTTGACACTGACACTTGATACCCACTATAGCAGGTACTTTGAAGCCATCAATTCCGACGAAAACCACGTCAAACTCTCCGTCTACTCAGTCCCCGATCTGCAACGGCCCAGCTTCAAAGAAGCAACCTCCCATGACTTCAAACCCACCCATATCGGGGCCGAGTTCGGCCCGAGCTGGTCCACGCATTGGTTCCGCATCCGCCTCACTGTCCCACAGGACATGCTGCAGAAGGAGCGGCTGGAGTTCCACTGGGATGCTAACAATGAGGGTCTGATTTGGACAGAGAATGGGCATCCGCTTCAGGGCTTGACGGGCGGCGGCGAGCGTGTCGAGTGGATCATCCCCGATGCCTGGCGTGATGGGAAGGAGCATACTTTCTACATTGAGATGGCGTGTAATGGGATGTTTGGGAATGCGCCGGGGGGTGATTCCATTCAGCCGCCGTCGCCGGACAAGTACTTTACTTTGCAGACAGCGCGGATCACGGCTGTCAATCTTGAGGCGCGGGCGTTGTTTTATGACTTTTGGATTATTGGTGGTGAGTAGCTCCGTAAGCATGCATGGGTGTGTATGTATGGGTTGGTCTGGAAGGTTTACTAATTTGGGTGTTGCAGATGCGGCTAGGGAATTCCCGGCAGACTCATGGGAGTCGCATGAGGCGAATATGGTGGGTAATGCCATCATTGATGCTTTCATTGCCGGTAATGGGAGTCAAGAGTCGATCAAGGAAGGTCGCAAGATTGCCAGGAAGTATCTAGGATCCAATGTCGACTCTGCCAAGGTCTATGACTCTGATACCAAAGCTATTGTGTATGCCATTGGGCACTGTCACATTGATACCTGCTGGTTGTGGCCGTGGGCAGAGACGAAGCGCAAGGTTGCCCGGTCATGGTCAAACCAGTGTGATTTGATGGACCGGTATCCGGAGCACCGATTTACGTGCTCTCAAGCGCAACAGTTCAAGTGGCTAGAACAATACTACCCCTCTGTCTTTGACCGTGTGAAATCATGGGTGAAGAAAGGCCATTTCCAGCCTGTCGGTGGCAGCTGGGTCGAGCATGACACCAACATGCCTAGTGGAGAATCTCTGGTGAGACAGTTCCTCTATGGTCAGCGGTTCTTTGAAAGCCGTTTTGGGGAGCGATGCAGTACATTCTGGCTTCCAGATACTTTCGGCTACTCGACTCAGATCCCGCAGATCTGTCGTCTAGCTGGAATGAGTCGTTTCTTCACACAGAAACTCAGCTGGAACAATATCAATAACTTCCCACACACGACCTTCCAGTGGGTTGCTTTGGATGGCAGCCAGGTGATGTGCCACATGACCCCAGCCGAAACATACACGGCTAGTGCACACTTTGGGGATGTGAAACGCAGTATCACTCAGCACAAATCTATGGATCAGGATAATACGTCGCTGCTTGTCTTCGGTAAGGGAGATGGTGGTGGTGGTCCTACCTTTGAGCATTTGGAGAAATTGCGCCGGTGCCGTGGTCTCAGTGACCAAACCGGTTTACTCCCACGTGTGAAGATGGGAGTATCTGTCGAAGACTTCTTTGATCAGCTTGAGAAGAAGGCCGCAGAAGGCACCAAGTTTGTCACCTGGTATGGTGAGCTCTATTTCGAGTTGCACCGTGGTACCTATACCACCCAGGCGAATAACAAACGCAACAATCGCAAGTCGGAGTTCGTCCTTCGGGACCTTGAGTATCTGGCAACTCTTGCCTCCTTGACTGATTCCAGTGGTAAATATCAGTATCCCAAGAAGGATATCGATGAGATGTGGGAGAATACACTTCTGTGTCAATTCCATGATTGCTTACCGGGGAGCTGCATTGAGATGTGCTACGATGATTCGGATAAGCTGTATGCCCATGTCTTCGAGATCGGAAAGAAGGCTAGGGAGGAAGTCCTAAAGACACTTGGATTCTCGGATAAGAGTACCGGCAAGGGACTGGTGGCCATCAACACCTTGCCGTGGCACCGCTCTGAGATTGTTAAGGTCCCTGCTGCACTTACAACTTCCAAGGGGCCGAAATATGCCCTAGTCAGCGGCGATACTGGATTTATTCAGCCCCAGTCCGTGGACTCCAAGAAGACCCCTGCCGTGACTGTATCGGAGATCAAGCCAGGTGTATTCCGTCTGGAAAATGGTAAACTGAGAGTCGACGTCCAGCACGGTGTGATTCTATCTTTGTTTGATGTCGAAGCAGACCGTGAGATTGTTTCCAAGGGTGGAAAGGCTGGACAGCTCGTTATCTTCGACGACAAGCCTCTCTACTGGCAAGCCTGGGATGTAGAGGTTTTCCATCTCGAATCCAGAAAGGAGCTCTCCTCTGGTAAAACTACTATTGCCGAGGAGGACCCGCAGCGCGTGAGTGTCGTTACCGAGACCAAGATCAGCGATAAGAGCTGGGTCAAAACGACTCTCAGTCTTGCTGCTGCGGCTGATGGCCAACCCTCCTACGTAGAGATGGAGAGTGAGGTTGAGTGGAAGGAGACGATGAAATTCCTCAAGGTCGAGTTCCCAGTAGATATCACGAACACGGAGGCATCTTATGAGACTCAGTATGGAATCATCAGACGCCCGACCCACTACAACACAAGGTAAGTCAACCACACATGATTCTCCCAAATTTTTTTAAAAAAAATAAAAAATAAAAAATCCACTGACAATTTCAGCTGGGACATGGCCAAATTCGAAGTCTGCTGCCACAAATGGGCCGACCTCTCAGAATACGGTTATGGAGTGTCCATCCTCAACGATTCCAAGTACGGCTTCGCAACCTGCGGCAGCCTGATGCGCCTTTCTCTCCTCCGCGCCCCGAAAGCACCAGATGCACACGCCGATATGGGCCGTCACCACATCCGCTACGCAATTCTCCCTCACGCTGGACCCTTGGACGCGCGTACCGTCCGCGCAGGGTACAACTTCAACAGCCCACTCGTCCTCCAGCCTGCATCAGGCAAGGAGGTCAGCAGTGTATTCGAGTCTGTTTCTGTCACGGGCAATCCATCTCTCGTCTTGGATGCCATCAAGCGTGGTGAGGACGATGAGGATGTGTCGCGAGGTGAATTACCCTCACGCCCAGGGAAGAGTGTCATCTTGCGGATTTACGAGTCGCTAGGTGGAAAGAGCCGTGGCACTATTCGTAGCAAGTTCCCCGTGAAGAATGTGTGGAAGTGTAATGTTCTCGAGGATAATGAGGAGGAGCTTGCGGTTTCCAAGGAGACGGGAAGTGTCAGCGTTGACATTGAGCTGAGGCCTTTTGAAGTTGCGACGTTCAGATTGCAATTGTAGCCCACTCTGTTATGAATCTGTTTTTTTGGCGTTGAATAGGTAGTAGGTAGGGATCATACGAAATTAATGGAATTGGAATATGCAAGATCAAAACATGTCTTGGGATGAAATCGTAATAATGTACACCGGATATCACCTAAAAAAGATACTATGCGAATGTCAATCCACAGCGCCTAGCCTAGCAGCTCCCAAAGACCCTAATCACAGACACAAACACCGAAACGATGGAAACCCTTTTCTATACCCTGAACGGAAAAGGCCAAGAAAACATCAACAACAATATGGAAAAAAAAAAAGAAATCAATCCCGTCCATAGCTAATCTTCAATCGTTTAGTAGGCGGTTTATCTCCGTTTTCTTCTAGGTCTTCATCATTGTTTTTGTCTTTATTCGAGCTTCCGCCGGATTTCTTTTTGTTGTTTTTAGACGAAGATGACTTGACGGCGGATGATACGTCCCCGTTGCTTGATTTCGAGGTCGGTCCGTTGGTAGTCGATGACGGCGTCGGCGCATGCGAGGGAGTCGTCTGTGCGGATGATGGAGCGGGTGAATCCTATCAAACAATCAGCCATCGCCAATTCTGTAACATACCGAAAGCAAACAGTTGGTTAAAACATACACGCAAATAACTGGCCGAACTCCGAGAGAACACCCGATCGACATCAGACACTTGTGCTTTCCTTCTTGCTGTCCCGATACTTGACCCAGTGAGGGTGAGTCCGCCAGCGCTTAGACCGGCTGTATTCGAGGATCCCTTGATGTAGTTATCGAAGCCCTTGATGATGTTTCCTGCGGTCGTTTCTTCGAGGTAGTTTTGTTCGTAGCGGAAGATTTGGTCTTCGAGTTGGGCCTGTTGATTCCGTTAGTAATTATTTCAATTCATCATCGTGAACTGTTCCAAGGGCGAGAGAGTTTCGCACCATGCTCTTATCCATTAATCGTTTCTTTTGCAATGTATCCCGGAGATCTCGGCGTAGTTTTTCGTAATAAGGAAGGCCTCGGTTGTTCCCATTTTGTTCCGGGACTGTTGCTGTCGCTGCCGCCGCTGTTGTACCTGCACCTGCACCATTCGAATTTGATGTCCCTGTGTTCGTCGCGGTTGCTGATGTCCCCGCGCCATTGGGGGTTGCTGATGTTGCCGGAGGTGCGTTTTCGGCCATTTTGTCGTCGCAGTTCGCGCGGGTGTATGAGGCAAGAACGGGTAGTTAGATTTTAGCAGTAACAATTAGGGCGTTGGTTTAATATCTACTCGATCCACGCGGCGATCAACGAGAATTGGCGGTTTATCTTCAAGGTGACATTAACGGAGGTTGAACAAAGACGACCAAGAGATCTTATCTAGGCTGTTTGCACTGTTTGCACTGGATTTCGCAACCCGCCAAGCACTGATGCAAGGCGTTGTGAACTGCGCGCATTTGAGTGATTTCCACGTTGGCTCGTCTCTTGGATTTGTTGAGATTATTTTTAAGTAAAAAGCGGGGGGTTTATCTTTACTTTTCATTTATCTTTAACTCGGGTCCTTATATACCCCCTACTCCTTGGTTGTCGTGGGTGAAACGTTTCGCTGACGCTTTATCTGCTCTATCATCATGGACCACCACGCAATGCATCATTCGGATATGGACATGGGCCACGGAGGCATGGATCACGGAGGCCATGGCGGAATGGATATGGGTGGCCAGTGTAACATGAATGTGAGTTTTATTTGATACTCGGTTCTATTTACTATTCGCTCGTCTCGTTGATTTTGGGCTTGGTGCTGTATTCGTGCTCCCCTACTGACATGCTTATCCCCGTTTAGATGCTCTTCACCTGGTCCTCGAAGAACCTCTGCATCATCTTTCGCCAGTGGCGCGTTGACGGGCCCATCTCGCTTCTGGCTTCCTTGGTCGTCATTGTTCTCTTGACTGCTGGATATGAGGGTATACGAGAGTTGACACGCCGATATGAGGCAGCGCATATTCGCCGTCTTTCTGCGTTTACGGCTACGACAGGGGGTAAGTGCATTTATTTTTCCTCCATTATTTGAAATTCGACTGGATTCAGTCCTTGACTGGGATGGGTGCATGTGAATCGTGAATGTCTTGAATATGTATCATGTTTTCATTGGGTCGGTGTTGCTCTTGGTAGTGGCACTCGCATCGGCGCCCTTTGCTGAGCTGAAGCTCTCATTGACATGGTCATGAAAAGGCAATGAGATCGCCGACGAATCTGCCACGGCCAATATCCTTCCAACCGAGAATCCCACCACCTATGTCCCCGACGCTAGCTCACCGCTGCTTGCAGGCAGAGACAACAGGAGGATCGTGGAGCGAAACGGGAAAGTCACCATCGCGGCGTTGTATGCCGTGCAGGTGTTTTACAGTTTCTTCATCATGTGAGTCTTTCCCTGGTCCCTGACCCTTGCCGTTATCGATTCAAGTGCTCAACGGAATCATCATCGTAGGCTACTCTTCATGACGTACAACGGTCTGGTAATGCTGGCAGTCGCTGTTGGTGCGTTCGTAGGATATTTGGCTTTCGGGCAAAATACATCGGCTGTCAAATCAGTTGCCTGTCATTGAGTCGGCTTCACGCCGCAAGAGATATTGTGGGGAGACATTTTCTGGAGGAAATGGACGAATGTAGCGACTAGGCTTCATGGGTGCGAAACAACAGTGGATTGTTTTGTCGTTAGCGTGGAATTTGCCTCAACTGAGTCCGAATGAATTATGCCAGCACAATTTCAGAATTATTCCATCTTATTGTCGGTGGTGTAAAGTATGTAGTCGTATTCTGAAATAATCAGGGAACTTCCACATCGCTATCATCTCCAAATCCAAAGCTGAAACCACCTCCCTCGGCCGCATCATCGGTGCCTTCTTCTTGGTCCGTCTTGCCGTGGACCAACTCATCCCATTTTCGCTTCTTGCCTTCGTTCTTCTTCTTCAGCTCTTCGAACGCTTCTTCCAGCAACTCAGGGTGAAGCTCGCGCATCTGGTTGACGAAACGCTCGTAAGGATTTTGCACATCCTTTCGGAAACCGGAGACCTGGTCGGCCTTGTTGGACAGGAAATCAAGGGCAGCGGTCAAGTGCGCACGGGGGATGAAATTCTGCGTCAGAGCAATCGCGGGCTCCAAATTGACAACCAGATGCCACCACCCGGAAGGTACATGAAGGATTTCTCCCTCATTGCAAACACCCTCAATACAACCTTGTGTCCGTCGTGCTTCGGCATGGAACCCCAGAAGCCATTCTGCAATGCTAAGGGGAGAAGTCACTTCACTCTGGTCGTCAGAAACATAGACTCCAGGCGGGGGCGGGAGCTTCGAAGAAGAGGGAAACATGATCCAGTACTTGGAGCCGCGGATTACAGCGTTCCAAGCGCTGGTGGCATTCGGGTCCTTGTGGAAGGTACTTCCAGACCTTTCAGGACCGATAATCAGCCATTGTCGATCCGGACGGTCATCTCCTAGCACTGAGAAGAAATCCTCTCCAAGACAAGGAGGTGGCCAATAGCTTGCTTCAGGTTCCTGTTCTGGTTGTCCAATTTTGATTCCCATCTTGGATGCAAAAGCTCGGTCGAAAAGATAGAGTGGACTCTCATCGGAATTATTCTTCATGTAATCAACGTATGTACTCAAGGTCCAGTCGACTGCCTCGGCGCGGAAGACGGTATCTTTGTACTTGGAAACCAATGTCTCTACAGACCAGTCTTTGTATGCAGGCCATTCCTTCACGGGCTCTGTCAGGACGAATGGTTTGTCTGTCCAATTTTCTTGGAATTCCTCTGGGGTGAGATTTGGCAGGCGAGCTATTTTATTTCTCGTGGGAATGTTAGACACATAAGGAGTCAGCGAAATGTGCGCGCAGTAGAACGGACGATGCAAGGCGTCCGAGAAGAGGTTAGAACAGTCCAAGATGGACACTTGAGACGGAGGTAAGTTAAGGAAAGTTGAGCGCCATGTTCCTCTCCACGAAAATGAAGGTGGGGGAGACCTATACAACAGTTAGTCTTAGTATATGGCTGTCGAACTCTAAACATATGCTTGCAGCTTGCAATCCAACGAGTAAACAATCCCCAGGAAACTCCCATAATATATTCATGCATACACGTTTCCACCACCTGCGGATGAAGAATAGATCCATGGTATCTTACCAGGTAAAGAGAGCCTTCCATAGATCTTCCGCCCTCGTAAAGGCATAAAACGCCTTACATGTTCTGCCGATCCGTAGCAGAGCTGGGCTATCTAGGAACTCCAACAATAGCAATATTAACTCATCTGGAAGGAGATTAAATGTTCCAATAGAATTGCGAAGATTCTCAGAAGCAAGCAGGGCATTGCCACTCGGCTTTACTCCCAATGGATGACCGGGAATTGCATCATGAGTAAGATCCCCCTGCAGGCTGTTATTTGGGTAGGATGAAGAGTAAAGGTCACCAGCCGCCTCACCATTTGTGGCTTGGCTGTCTAAAGATGTGATATCAGGCATGATGTGTATTTGTGCCTCACTCTGCCTGATGTGAAGGTCTAGTGGAGTAGTTATTTGCTTTTCTGTGTATCAGGAAGAATCACCACCACGCCATGTAATAAAGAATTCAATAAAAGGAAAAAGAAAGTTGGCAGATGAACAATACACCCACAACCAGATAGAATATCAAATTCAAAGAAGTGACAGAATCCTGATGCCCCTCTATTTTTCTGCCTGTGAAATTCTCATGGCAAAATCCCACCAGCAGAGGCAGCACAGAGGAAAAGGCAGGCGGTGGGGCTTCGGTTGGGCAGAATTGGTTGGCACTAAAAAAAATCAAAAATTTCACGTCTGGAAAGTCGGAAAAAGATCGAAGCGATTTTCCCTCCTCTTCTTTTTTTTTTTTCCCCTCCAGCCCACACCATCACCGGGGACTTACACTTTTCTAATCACCACCCATACTAGTTCTATTTAAGACTCCTTTGGAGCTGTGTTCTAGTTTTTTTAATTTCTAAATCACATTTTTCTTGTGTGATTTCTGCGACAGCGACCACCCCACAGGGACCGTATCGTCGCTAACAGCCCTCTTCAAAAACCCCACTACTTTTACGGATCACAGCACTTTGCCTGTGATCAACCATCACTACAACCGCAAATATGGCTTCCAACGACAAGGGTTTGGAGGAGATCCCCGAGGGTATGTGCTATTCTCTTTTTTTCCCCGGTTTTCTTTTGATATGATCTTTTGCGATCGTTGTGGCGGCGGGGATATTCCAAGAAAGAAAGAAAAAAAATTGAAGAAAAAATTATCACACAATGAAAGACAAACACTGACAACTGTTTTTTGAACTACAACAGGTCAGATCGAATCCAACTACGATGAGGTCACCGACTCCTTCGATTCTATGAACCTCAACGCTGAGCTCCTTCGCGGTATGTGATGATTCTGTTCCATCGTGGCGGGGTACAGGCAGAAAAATCCTAACTGTGTTTCCAGGTGTCTACGCCTATGGTTTCGAGCGTCCCTCTGCTATCCAGCAGCGTGCTATTATGCCCATCATCAAGGGTAGGTTTTTCCATTTTCCTTCGTTCGCTCTCGCAACCCCTGGCTAAAACCATATACCATACAGGTAACGATGTGATTGCTCAGGCTCAGTCCGGTACTGGAAAGACCGCCACCTTCTCCATCTCCGCCCTCCAGAAGATCGACCCCAAGGTCAAGGGTTGCCAGGCCCTCATCCTCGCTCCCACTCGCGAGTTGGCCCAGCAGATTCAGAAGGTCGTTGTCGCCATTGGTGACTTCATGTCGATTGAGTGCCACGCCTGTATTGGTGGTACCAACGTCCGTGACGACATGAAGGCTCTCAGTGAAGGTCCTCAGGTCGTTGTCGGTACCCCCGGCCGTGTCCACGACATGATCCAGCGCCGTGTCCTCAAGACCGACAGCATGAAGCTCTTCATCCTCGACGAGGCTGATGAGATGTTGTCCGTAAGTTATCTATAAGTGCCCGTGTATAGGTATTTTCCCAGTACTGATAGCTTTTGATTAGCGTGGTTTCACCGAGCAAATCTACGACATCTTCCAGCTCCTCCCCCAGGCCACCCAGGTTACCCTCCTTTCGGCCACCATGCCCCAGGATGTCCTGGAGGTGACCACCAAGTTCATGCGTGACCCCGTCCGCATCCTGGTCAAGAAGCAGGAACTTACCCTCGAAGGTATCAAGCAGTTCTACATTGCCGTTGAGAAGGAAGACTGGAAGCTCGACACCCTCTCCGACTTGTACGAGACTGTCACCATCACCCAGGCCGTCATCTTCTGCAACACCCGCCGAAAGGTCGACTGGCTCACCGACAAGCTCACTGCCCGTGACTTCACTGTCTCTGCCATGCACGGTGACATGGAACAGGGTCAGCGTGATGTTATCATGAAGGAGTTCCGCTCTGGATCTTCTCGTGTCCTGATCGCCACTGACCTTCTGGCCCGTGGTATCGATGTCCAGCAGGTTTCCCTGGTCATCAACTACGACTTGCCCGCCAACCGTGAGAACTACATTCACCGTATCGGTCGTGGTGGTCGTTTCGGTCGTAAGGGTGTTGCCATCAACTTCGTCACCGCTGACGATGTCCGTATGATGCGTGAGATCGAGCAGTTCTACAGCACCCAGATCGAGGAGATGCCCATGAACGTTGCCGGTAAGTTTATCATGCCAACTCATACAATTGATTTTCCTGGCCAATATACTAATTCTTTTCTCCAGACCTTATCTAAGCACCCCAATATTCCGAGTCACCTAACGTCTTTGTCAATGCGGATTACGATTCCAGTACGCCAACAATGGTGCCAGGGTTAAGCTGCGGTGGAAAAGACGTTTTGACATCGTTGCTTCTCCTTCGGCAAAGGAGAATCCTTCAAAAGTGGCTTCCTGTGTCTCCAGCATGTACTTCCGCTAACAGTGGTTGGTCTAGGATGTGGTGCTTGTAGCTACTATGTCTTATATCCACTTGCTGTTTATGGTTTCTGTTGCTTTCTGTGCCTATGGAGATACGACATGCTTGCGTGTTTTATTGCTGTAATTCATGGTTCTTTTATTTCCTTTGTTCTCGCATCTCTTCGATTTTTCTTTTTTCTTTTTTCCATTTTGTACCCATCTTGGTTGGTTAAGGATGCTGCAATCATACTTGATCAATAGGTTGGGCAAAAATACGATTTGTTCATTCGGGCGCTTTTTATGAACAAACAAAGGCACTTCGGTGGACGAATAGATGATCATGACACTGGATGGTTATATACCTACTTTTCGTATCATAGATAGAGGTAAATACCAGTCCGTACGCTTTCATATCTGGTCTTTGTATGGCTATAGTCTTGTAGATATTTGGAAGTAGTTCGAGAGTCCGTACGACCTGGTAAGTTGTATGGCATGGTTCGGCTTTCAGCAAAAGTAGTTTCACAACTTTCATCAACCCCAGGACTACCTACTCGCTCCCACAGCCTTCAACGTCTTCCTCTTCTCAATTCCTCTTTCCAATTTATGCTTTGTTCCATCTCTGCTCAAAGACATTACATCCCGATTCCATCCAGTCGGCCAATCCTCAACAACCCTACTCGTCCTCTCCCTCTCTCAAAGCCGATGGCGAAGCCCGTACGACAATGGGATCAAACCGCACCAACACTCCTCTGGGCTCACCAAATTCGACGCGAAAACATACATCTAGTCGACCAGATCGACCGCACGAGGACAGACCTCGCCTCGACAACAACCACCACAAACAATGTGAAAAAGTCCGTCACGGATCTAGAGCAACGAATCCAGGTCTTGAGTTCTGGGGTCGGCGATCTTGAGAAGAAATTAGATCAGGTAGATGGCAGGGCTACTCAGAGACTTGAGGCTTTATCTTCGCTACTTGAGTCGTCGCGCGAGGAGAATATTCGATTAAAGGAGAGACTTGAAGGGGCTGAGAAGGTATTTCACGATCAGTCTCGTCTGATGAAGGGGACTATTCGGGATGAGGTGATGGCTGAGATGCGCATGATGTTGGGGCGAGAGCTGAGCTCGATTCGATGCGGTGTTGTCGTAGGTATGTTCTATCATCATGCCATCCTTTCTTTGCTACTGCTTCCATATTGTTTATCAAACATGCAATGTCTTTACTGACTGGTGTTCACATCTCAAGGGACAGGTATCACCAAAACCACAGAGAACGAACCAGATCTCGTCCCTGACTCAATACCCATGGACGAAGCAAACCCACCATTGGAACGAAAGTACCTTGAACAACAGCTCACTCAAGCCACGTTTGGGGATCCTAGCGAATATGACGAGCAGTCTTTATCCCATGACGGCAACGAATTGAAACGAAAGCACAATAACCAACCGGAGACCGACCTTCATCGTCTCATGAAGCAGAATGGGAGGGGCCTCGCTGAGTATTTCTCATTTGCAGAAAGCACGCGAATGAAATTACCGCCACGGCGGAGAGAAGGGTTGGTCGTTGAAGCTGTTGTAGCGGGGCTTGATGATCTAAAAGTTCGAGATCTGCTGGAGAGGCAAATGGATGACGCTGGATGGTCGTGGGATGTTTTGGCAGCGCTTCTGCGAGGTATGGTTAGAGAACAGGAAAGGAAAACGTTCGATATCCAGTCCGCCGAAGCAGGGACTGTGCATGCTACGACAAACGGCACAGCAGTGAAACCCAGACAAAGAAAGAGAAGGCGATTTATCCCTATCGTTCCAGCAGATGATGAAGATGACCTGATCTAAGTGCATGTCGATAGGTATGTTGTCTGAAGAATTGTCATCCTATCTAATAGCTTGAAATATCGAATGACGCGTGAAAAACCATCAGTGTTGTAGGGTATGTATGTACTTAACACTGTACCTAAGTTATATGCAATCAATCAAGTCTCGCTGTACACATATCTGCCCTCTCGGTCCTTGACCTCAACATCAATGTTTCCTTCCTCGAGAACCTTTCCACCAACTTCAATCGAGGCCTTCATGACATCGCCTGCCTTCACCTCTCCAACACCCTTGGGTGTACCGGTCAAGACAATATCACCCTGCTCCAAGGTCATAACGCGAGAGATCTCAGCCAGCTGGCGGGGAATCTGGTACAGCATCAAGCTTGTCGAATCCGCCTGGCGCAATTGCGAGCTAACGCTCAGGCGCAGGAACGCATCGTGGGGGTTGGGAATGCGCGACTTGGCAATTTCCTGAGAGATGGGCAGGAAGGTATCGAAACCCTTGGCGATAGACCAGGGAAGACCCTTCTTCTTAGCCTCGTCTTGGACATTGCGCGCGGTCATGTCGATTGTGAGGAGGTAGCCTGTTCACCAGAAATGTAAGCGACTGTGTTCGAAATTCGGCCCGTTTTCATTTGTTCGAGGGGCAATACTGACTTCTGATAGCATCCAAAGCTCCCTTAGAATCGTTGGGATCCAAGTCCCGGAGGGTCTTGCCCATCACCAGACCCAATTCCACCTCATAGTGCAGCTTGGTTCCTTGAGGACGCAACACGGGGCCCTCGCCGGGGATAAGGATGGACGAAGCCGGCTTCAGGAAGAAAAACGGTTGCTTGGGCTTAGCGCTGTTGAGCTCTGTGATGTGATCGCTACAGATGAAGAGTATCAGCAATGGTTCATGAGTCACAGATTCCATCAATTGTTCGCTTTGCGCCAGCTCAATTCAATTCCGCGGGAAAATGATGGGGAGAACGCACGCATAGTTTCTGCCAATGCAGATGACCTTTCGGCAATTGGCCCTGATGGAAGCTGCCATAGCGATGAGCTGCTCCGACAGATTGATTCAAAAGAATGAAATCTGAAAGGAACAAAGAGACAATCGTATCGCAGAGGGGAGGAAATGGGGGGACGGGTAATCAATTTATCGCCCGTCGGTCAATGGCCGGTGACTTTTGCGGAGAAGTCGGAAAGTCCGACAGTCGGCGCTTGATGTCCCACTTTGTGCTTGTATTTCTTCCCCGCGTTTGGTTTGATAGGCCAGATAGGGAATGACGAGATTGTGTTGGAGATGGGATAAGATGGATTGACATGAATTGATTTGTAGACTTGCTCAATCATGGCGTTGGCTGGTAATGTTATTTCCAGCAGAGTTATAGTGGTTACGTCAGACATCTGTTGGGAGAGTGAAAAGTCGTTGACTGGCCTCAATCATACTGCGTTCATTTATTGTTTCCATGTTTTCATTCCCATATAGATATAGATTGAAGTAGATATCGTCTTGAATGAAAACGTAGAATTATGGTTGTACCTGAGAATGACATCTGCCATCTGACATCAAATGCCAAGACTTGCCATTGTCGACATTCAACAAAGCAGACAACCTCAACGATCCCTTGGATTCACAACCAACTCAATAGCATTATTCCCAATCCCCATTCATCATGCAAGTAGCAGAAATTCTCTCCGATCTAACCTCATTGCGAGTCTGTGTATGTTGTCCACAATCCCACCAGTCCATGTCAAGATACCCGATCTGCAATGATCTAACGATCTGCAATCTTTCTTTCCCTTTGTTCAGCAATTGCACTAACCAACGCTCGATAGGATCACAATGATGCCCTTGCTCTCGTCACCGTCAATGAGAGAATAGCAAATCCAGGAATATTGGAGTCAGAAGAAAACCAGTCAAGTCAGGATGCGATGTCCAAGGAAGACGAAAGACAAAACGATTATCTGCGACGGGCAAAGGAACTGGTTGACCTGCACTATGAAATGAAGGCAAGACATGGGCATGGAACGGTGGATGAGGAGCTTGCTCGTGCAAGAGAGGATGTGAGTCGTGTGTTATTAGAACTTGGAGCGTCAAATACGATGTGACGGGCCTATTTCTTTTCTTTCTTCCTATATTATGCTACTTTGTACTGGTCTATGGGGGTATGGTTGCTATTTTATAGGCGTAATTTGGTCAGAGGTTTCTTGTGACAACTTATTCAGAATGTTAATTTCGGATTTAAAATCGAATTCTTCCGCGTCCTGCAAATTGCACATCTGTTAAAACGCTATATACACAGCCATATGGCTCTTCAAATGTACGTCAGCGTCAAGACACCTTCCTATCTGGGAATAATTGAAGCTTTCCCAATCTGGATAATCGGTCCGACATGTGATCCGAGGTACGGCCGGCTACAAATACCACTAGCGCAGTCTCGTTCGTCGACCGCCGCATGTATTTCGCAGCTTCACAATATCTTCCAACGCGTGGGTGATATCCCGAGAATCTTTGGGCCGTTGGTTAGCAAAAATGGCGGCAAGCGTGGATGCTAAGCTGCTGAGGCAGACCAAGTTCCCTCCGGAATTCAGTCGGAAGGTTGACATGACCAAGGTGAATATTGAGGTTATGAAGAAGTGAGTGACAGCCGTTGCTGGGATTCATTTACAGCTGCTAACCGTGGAGTTTGTGATAGATGGATCGCGGGAAAAATTTCTGAAATTCTGGGAAACGAAGATGATGTCGTCATCGAGCTGTGTTTCAATCTTTTGGAAGGGTCGCGCTACGTACGGAATTCCTTATTCGCCGCGGCTTTGGGAGAAATGGCTAATTTCCGATTTGATTCAAACAGCCCGATATCAAATCTCTACAGATCCAGCTCACGGGATTTTTGGATCGGGACACTGCGAAATTCTGCAAGGAGCTCTGGTCTTTGTGTCTAAGTGGTCAAGAGAATCCTCAAGGCGTCCCCAAGGAGCTCTTGGAAGCGAAGAAGTTGGAACTCATTCAAGAGAAGGTATGTCAGGTTTCAAATCTTTCCATTGTTATTGGTTTCGATTGTTGACTCTTGGTTTCTTAGATCGAAGCAGAAAAAGCAGCCGAAGAGGCACGCCGGCAGAAGGAACAAGAACAAACCCGAGAACGAGATTTGGAAAGATTGAGACAAAGGGAGCGCTCTGACCGCGCGAGAGGGGGCAGGAGAGGCGGTGGCCGTGGAGGTCGGGACTTTGATAGACGACCATTCAGAGACAATCGATCACCCCCCAGACGACGCAGCCGCGATCGTTTTCGCGAGCCTCCCCCGAGACGGGAGTTCGATTCATATGTCCCCTCAGGCCCTCGTAGAGGACGCCGACCCTCCCGGTCACCGAGTCGCTCTCCCTCTCGATCTGTGTCCTCATCCCGGTCACCACCTCGTCAACAAAACAAAGGTAGAGATAGGCGAGACCGACGCCGTCGCTCGGTCAGCAGCTCGGTTTCCCCGGATAGAGGGGACCGCCGGAGACCGCGAAGACGCAGTCCAGACTATGGTGATCGAGCTAGATCCATCTCCCGCAGTGATTCATCCCGCTCACGTACTCCCAGAAGAGACCGAAGGAGACAGAGATCGGTGTCGTCCCGCAGTCCATCCCGATCTCCTGTACGCAGAGATCGACGCAGGAGAAGAGACTCTTCCGTTTCGAGGTCAAGATCTGCATCTGACCGCTCTCGTTCTAGGTCTCGAGGGCCAGGTGAAAGGAGCAGCAGACGCAGAGGATCATCGCCTTATGACTCAAAAGCTGATAGAAGAGAAACCGCTGATTCTACAAAGGCCCGCAAATCCCGTGATGACCGCCGTTTGAGTCGCAGCAGAGAGCGTGACAACGACCGCAGACGCCGTCATTCAACCAGAAGCGTGAGTCGCAGCCGTAGCCGCAGTCGAGGCCGGACCCGCAGTGCCAGCAATAGTCCGAGACGTTATGATTCTCGCAGTCGCAGTCGCAGTGATAGCCGCAGTCGAAGTCCCAGGAGGGAAAAGAGACGTCGTTCACTTCAGAGATATGCCCCTGCCGGCCGAAGACGGCGTAACACCTCTTCTGTATCCGTACCTACTGAGAAGCGACAGAAGATGACTGATGATGAGGACACTGCAAAGCGATCACCTCCGCCGGCTGAAAACCCAAACTCAACGGATCAAGAGATGAAGGATGCTGATGAGGTGGGTGAATAATTTCGGAGACATTCTCCATATGTTAGTTACTGTCACCTCCGTCATTCAACATTCTTGGGATGGTTGTCTTTCAAATGAGGTCTGTCCAACTAACACGATGTGTATAGAAAATCTCCTCAAGATCAAGAACTACACGCATATCCAGTACCGAGCTCCGCGAGAAACTGCTTCGAGAGAAGTTAGTCGCAAAGCGTCGTACCGCCTCTGACAAGGTAGGTGACAACTCGAAAGGACAGGAGTAAGCAAGCATTATGGATATGAAGTGAGCTTGGGATAAAGACTTGTGACATAGATATTGAGGTTGATAGGCTAATACTACTGCCTACTGTAATTAGACATACTACAGTGAAATCCTGTAGATCCAATCACTTCAAGAGAAGCTCATCAAAGTGCCCATAGAGCCATCCCCTACTCTCCAGAATGAGAAAGCGATAGGAGGTACCTTGGTCTTGACTCTTGAGCCCCTATCCAAAGAATGGGTTCATATAAAGTTGATATACACAAAGAACTAAGACACGTTGCCCGAATCTAGTCACGAACTATTTCACAAACATCTAAATAATACATAATATCGAGACAAAGAAATAAATTAAATTAAATTAAACATTCCCAAAGAACCCCGGGGAGGAAAATAAAAGAGTAAAGAAAAGACAAAAAGACCCAAAAACAAGGCTAACCCTGTACTTTAAAGGATCGACCGGCGCGCGCCCGTTAATCATTTCCATCCCATCCAAGACTTTTTTTTTTCATTTATTTTCCATGAATATTCCAAGTTCCACAGAGATGTCTGATGTACATGTTTATCAGCTCAGGAGAAGAATCAACCCACGCGTACATAATACTGCAGCCTTCAATAGTTTTCCCGTGATAAGGTTAAGTACAGCGGGACGACGGGCGGGAAGGGGGACATGAGCGAAAAAAAGGAGAACCGTGACGTCAATTTTTCTCAGCTTTGACCGTTCGTTATCGATGTGGAGTTGAGAGGAATTAACTTCGCTTACAACGGCAGGTACGTAAACAGGTCTCCTAACGACGAACGAGGATTATTGGGAAATGGGATTTATTGGGATTGACATTTGACCGTGCCACACTGCCACTGTGGGAGATTGGCTTGACACGGCCCCCCTGACGGTGTGGCGGAGGCTTTTCTCCACAAGTAGGCAAGTCATTACTATGGAGGGAATGGTGGCTCTGTGCCGTCTGGAGATGGAGGGGGGGATCGTTATGTTGGATATGTCAGGCGGAATGATTCGTAATAGTGTCAATCTGATATGATGATAATGGAAAGAGGCTGAAGATGTTTTGATCATGATGCATTAACTTGGTTTATCTAAATACACACTTAAGATTGTAATATATTACAAATAAATGCAGCCCACATATGACAACTCAAGTGAGAAAGGAATGTACTCCATTGAAGGGAAACATCTGGATGTAGAAAGAAAAAAGGAAATGGAATGGAAAAAGGATGATATCTAAAAAAAAAAAACGACATAAAATGAATATCTTCTTCGTCTGACGGAAGCATGTGGCATCACCTTTCCCAAGGGCTGTCTCTTGTAGAGCGTAAGGATACACATGAATCTGAGAAACTGTTGAAGAATTAGAATTAAAATTAGCTATGTACAAGCCAAGTGTAGTTGAGCTTCATCGTCCCATGGCGAGATTGATCTATTCCTCGCAGCTGCAGACGCTGACGGTGGTGTGAAGAGTGACCACTGGTGCAGCGGGCTGAGTAGCAGCGGGGGCACTGGTGATGGCAGGAGGCACAACAACAGCGGTGGTGAAGGCGCTGGAGGAGGACTCAGTGGCAACAGGAACCACAGTCTCGCTGGTCAGGGTCTCGCAGGGAGTGGTGGAAGCACCAGCACTGGGGACAGGGCTGGATGGGGTAGGGACAGCGGGAACGCTCGAGATCTGAGTAGGACCGGCACCCTCGGGGATGGTGGACGGGATAACAGTCTCGCTGGTGATGGTCTCACAAGGAGTGGTCGAGCTGGGGACAGGAGCGGGACCGCTGGGAGCAGCAGAGGGGGTGACAACAGCAGGGCTGCTGGGGGCGCTGCCAGAAGGAGCAACAACACCAGGAATGACAGAGGGGATCACAGTCTCGCTGGTGATGGTGTCACAGGGAGTGGTGGAAGAGCCCTGAGCGGGGACGCTGGGCACAGGGGCAGGGCCACTGGGGGCAGCGGAGGGAGTAACGACGGCGGGGCTGCTGGGGACGCTGCTGGAAGGAGCGACAACACCAGGAATGGTGGAGGGGATCACGGTCTCGCTGGTGATGGTGTCACAGGGAGTAGTCGAGGAACCCTGGGCAGGGACACTGGGAACGGGAGCGGGTCCGCTGGGGGCAGCAGAGGGGGTGACAACGGCGGGGCTGCTGGGGGCGCTGCTGGAAGGAGCGACAACACCAGGAATGGTCGAGGGGATCACGGTCTCACTGGTGATGGTGTCACAGGGAGTGCTGGAAGCAGCACCAGACGAGGCGGGGCTGCTGGGGACAGGAGAGTCACCGCTGGGGACGGGAGCAGGGCCGCTGGGAACAGCAGAGCTGGCGGGAGCGCTAGGGACAGGAGCTCCGGGAATGGTGGAGGGGATCACGGTCTCGCTGGTGATGGTGTCACAGGGAGTGCTGGAAGCAGCGCTAGACGAGGCAGGGACACTGGGAGCAGCAGAGGGGGTAGGCACAACAGGGACACTGGGGGCGCTGCTAGAGGCAGGGCCAGAGGGAACGGGAGCTCCGGGAATGGTCGAAGGGATAACGGTCTCGCTGGTGATGGTGTCGCAGGGAGTGCTGGAAGCAGCGCCAGAAGAGGCAGGGCCGCTGGGAACCGGGGAGTCACCACTGGGGACGGGAGCAGGGCCGCTGGGGGTAGCAGACTGAGCGGGAACGCTGGTGACGGCACCGCCAGGGATGGTCGAGGGGATAACGGTCTCGCTGGTGATGGTGTCGCAGGGAGTGCTGGAAGCAGCGCCAGAAGAGGCGGGGCCGCTGGGAACCGGGGAATCACCGCTGGGGACGGGAGCAGGGCCGCTGGGGGTAGCAGACTGAGCGGGGCTGCTGGGAGCAGGGCCAGTAGGAACAACGGGAACGCTGGTGACGGCACCGCCAGGGATGGTCGAGGGAATGACAGTCTCGCTGGTGATGGTGTCGCAAGGAGTGCTAGAAGCACCGGGGGTGGAAGAGCCGTTGGGGATAGGAGAGTCGCCGCTGGGAACAGCGGAGCTGGCGGGAGCGCTGCTGGAGGGAGCACCAGGGACCGAAGGAGCGGGGGTGGAAGCGGGAAGAGCGGGAACAGAGCTGGAGCCAGTGGTGACGGGAGCACCAGGGAGGCTGCAGCCGGTGAGCCAGCCGATCAGGATAATCTGGATGTGGCTGTCGATCTCAACGTTGGCAGCACCACCAAGGACGGCAGCAAGCTCAGCACGGCTCTCGAGGGACAGGGAGAGCAAGCTCTCGCCACCGAGCAGGATAGACAGGACACCACGGATAGTAGTGCCGAGAATAGCCTCAACGGTAGTGGTAACGAAGCCGAGGATGTCGGTGATGAGGTTGCCGGAGAAGTCAACGGTAACGTCGGTGGTGACAGCAAACGAGAGCCAGAAAAGGAGGACAGACTTGAGCTCAGCACCAAGAGCGCACTTGGAGCCAGAGAGCCAAGTAGCCAAGGCAGTACGGGCATCGAGGCTGAGAGAGGAAGCGAGCTTGCCACCGGCACAGGCCTGGAGAGCGGTCTTAACATTGGCGTCAAGGTCGGCGGAAACAGTAGCGTTGAGGAAAGCAGAGAGAGAAGCAGTAGCACTGCCAGTGAGAGCACCTTCGGCGGTAACCAGGGCGTCAACGGCGGCACCAACGGACTTGGAGGCCAAGCCACCGGTGGGGATGCTGCCAATGGTGACAACGTTGGTTCCAGTCTTGCCGGACAACCAAGCCTCAACGGAAGCCTTCAGGGAGGCATCGAGGCTGCAGTCAGAGCCAGACAGGAAGGCCTTGAGAGCGGCCTGGAGGTCAGAAGACAAGCTGGCAACAACACCACCTCCGGCGCAAAGCTTCAGACCAGCCTTAACCTTGGCGTCGAGAGCGGCACCGAGAGATCCCTTGATGAAGGCATCGAGGGAGGACTGAGCGTCGCCGTTGAGGATAACGTCGGCAGTAAGGTCGGCAGCTCCGAGAATACCTTCGAGGGTGACAACCAAGTTGCCCTTGGCGGCGATGTCAGCGCAGGTAGGGGTGAACAGAGAAAGTCCGGCGCAAATGTCGACGGAGAGGGTGGCACCATCTTCACCATCACACCAGTCCAAGAGGGAGGATTTCAGGGAAACATCAATGTCGATGTCAGCGTGGGCGTTGAGGAAAGCCTTGAGGTCAGCACGAGCATCGGCGTGGATGGAACCAGCCTTGCAACCCAAAGCACCTCCTTGGAAGGCCGCGGCTCCCTGCGCACTAAGACCGGAGAGGAGGTTGGCTGGGCTTTGTCCACCACCGAGCAGGGCACCCACGATGCCGCTGAGGTTCAGATCGATGCCGAGACCGATGTCAAGGCCGAGAGTGCGGCGGTCGACCGACATATCAGCGGGGAGGGCGAGAGCATAGCTCGCCAGACCGGCGAGCATCAAGAGACTGTTGGAACGCATGATGCCAAAATGTGTGGCAAACGTCAGTTGGGTATAAATGAATGTCTTTCCAAAAATGGAAGAAAAGTTTCTATCAAGAAACAATAAAAAAAGGTCACAAATGTGAAGCGAAGTGGCCGTGAGGCCAAGTTGGTTAACGATAGACTGGTTAAACGATTGTAAAGAAAAAAGAAAGAAAAAAACAAAACAACGACAACTGAAGCGATTGACAGAGGGTTTGGCAACGATGGATGAGGGCGATCATCCTCGAGGTTTATATACCCCTGAGGGCTTCTTCTCCTGGCAGTCAGGCAGTGCACCGCTCAATGCAGACCGTAGTTACCCCGGTCCGTCCACCCTAGGAGGTCCCACTTCAGCACATTAGGCGTAGCCTCGCAACTTTCCCCTAGCCACAATTGAAGAGCCGGATCTTCGAGTTGGGGTGGATCACAAAGTGCCAGTGAAAGTTCAAAGGATGCCGGACTACCGTTGGAAGTGGAAACATTCGAAACAGACGGATAAGACTTCTATTTCGAGCCACGGAGGTCATCCATTTAGGACCCGTCATATTTCGACATGAAGAAGAACTGGGCCAAAAGCAAAAATGACCGAGAGTGGAAACTTGACTACTAGTTAGTAGCTCAAGAGTCTTCTTGGTGTCTCTCCCCCGTTTCCATTTGACTCAGGGAGTTGACCCAGCTGAGTGCAACGTGCACGCATTTTTGAGCCTTCATCTTATTATTACCAATGACGAAAATACCGATAGTGCCTTCTATGCCAAGATGTCTAAAGAAAACCGGGGGGGAGAAAGAATGACCAGGACGGAGGATTTTCGCTTGAGCTCGTGCGCTGGTTGGAGGCGTGGAAGGCACTCCGCGATAGTGGGATCAACAGTCCGTCTCGTCAGCAACGGCCTGTTGTTGGTGTTGGAAAGTGAAACTCTGTAGGCCAATGGCGAGAAAGGCAGCCCATCTCAGTTTGGAAAACATGGCGATGATCGAGTCCCGCGCTTTTCCGCCGGATTCAAACCATGGACGATCAACATAAGCCGGTGTTTTCAAGTTTTGGCCCACGAGTTGTTAGTCTGGTGAAAGATGTCATTTCTTGCCCTGGATCAGATACAGTTGCTGATAGCTTAATTTTGGTTTCGAGAAAAAAGAAAAAGGTCGGCCATCGCCGTGCAATTGACTGGTGTTTTCCCACCATCAGATAATTTTTCGATGTACATACATACATTGTGTATGCATGTATGTGCGCCCATTCCTCCGTGGAAGCTAACGAGGTGCAGGACCCAGACGGCACATTCAGGCAAATAGGAGGGGTGTTTTCCTTGTTTGCAGGTCTACACTGCGTCTGGCGTGACTCGTGTTGCATACGAACGGTCGAGGAAGAGGAATAATAAAATCACCAGATATCCATTTGGGCAATACCCCTCTTCCCAATGTGGGGGAGAAAAATGAGCAAAAAGGGTAAAAAGAAGCAGGAACCAGATATAGCCATCTAGCCCTGTAAGGGGAGGCAATAGCTTGGATGAACTGCCGTCGTCTAGCAAGATGTCTTGGGTTCGTTATTGACTAGGTACGTTTGCTTAAGATGAAACCCTAGTCGACCAGGGGGCTGAATTGATGAGTTGAATTGAGAAATCGACTGACTTGACCAGTCTAGATGATCCAGACCCCGGAGGAACGCCAGGCTAAAGGCTTGTGGATTGTGATGGTAGTTATTAGTTTGTGATCCCGCATAAGCAGCACAAACAAAGAGACGAAGAATTGAGACCCGGGTAAGTCGCCCCGTATGTATGTACGTTGGATGTCGGCTGTTTTTCCCCCCATCCAGATATTATTATGGTTGGTCTTTTTTTTTTCCTTTTTCTTTTTTGCTTTTGCCGTCAATTTGCCTGGTTGCAGAATCTCCATCAGAAAAAAAAAAAAACAAATGCATGGTCAGGGATGATGGCTTGATTTCTTCATGTCCACACAGGAGCTCACACCGAAGTGACCGAAGCCCCGACCGTACAATAGGCTTCTGACAAGTCAGCAATGGGGATTTTTGACACCGCGCAAAAAAAAAAAAAAAGGCCGCCCTGGAGATCGTTTCCCGAACAGGCGTTCCTGCATTAGTGCTGGTTCCTGAATCTTGAGGCTTTCGATCCACCTTCAGCCATCCAAGGTACGATGTAACACTACGGCGAGGAGGGGAAAAGGTTCCTCTCACCATCACCCACGGAACCACTCCGTAGGGAACACCAGGGGTAGATATTATATAAGGTCGACCAGATATCCAACGAGTCAACAAGAGGTTCGTCCGACTCTGGAACCATCGTCGAAAAATTCTGATGGCATGGTGGTTTCATGACTTGCAGCTGGCTCTTGCGATCTGACCGATCTGGGAGACTGGGAAGAGTGGGAAGCCACTGAGAAACACCGATAGGGTTGGATCATAGCAGGATCTGGATTAAATTAGATACACTATTCAATGATCCAGCTGCTGGGATGGATCACAGTGAGCCGATGCTGGTTTCTTTTTTTTTTTTTTTTTCCTTTTCAGTGGAGCCTGGAAGGCACGGCGAGATGGAGATGAGCTGAGTTGAGGGGATTCTAAAGAAAGACACGCGGAGCAAGTCGGATCAAGACAAGGGTCAGGTGACAATGCATGCATCCAGCCAGATCACAGCGAATTATGATTTCTCTACAGGGTCGAGGGAGAAGAAATAATTCCCTCACTCATGCGGTGAGTCTTGGGGGTCTTCTTACTTGATACCTGCGAGTCAGTGCCTAGTACCTGGGTACCTGGTTCCATGGGCAGATGTCTTAAGATAGCATCCAGAGGCAGCTCAGTGGCTGTTTCACTACCGAGGAGCAAATGAGTCTAGACGATACGGATAATTGCTGGCTATTCTAGGATTCGGCCATCGTTGACACTATTGAATCTTGAAGTCAATAAGCTCGCCTTTGTTTTCAGCAGTCGAACGTGAGACATGCATACTAGCTCCATTGACAGTTTCAACACTTGCTGTATGGCACTATCGGCTGGCATCCGGGACTATTGCACGATGGCTTGATAGAACAAAGTCTCCAAGATTGATTATTCTCTAGGCAATGGAATAATGGCTACTTGTGGCCGGCAGTTGACGCCCAAGTCGCATTCCAGAGAACAGGGGTATTCAGAATCACATTCGGAGTGTTAGATATCAAATGAAATATCAAATACTTCGTAGAGCTGCGATTCTGCGTGAATGCCTGATGGATTTGGGCATTCAATGCGTTGTTAATATGACATGCTTCTGTGCTGTTATTGGACAGGATATGAGTACGAGTATATACAGCAAGTTCCATGCTATAACAACTCATACTAGTCATAAAGGCAGTCAAGATGGAATAGGCTTCTTACAACACTCCGTAACCTGTTATTCGATGCTTGATCAGATGGCTATTATATTGACTCCATTGTTGCCATCTCGAATAATTACGCTGTAGCCTTTGCCACTGACGGTCACTGTCACTACAACGCCCGCATCCTTTGTCTGATTGTTGCATATACCTCCGGTGTCTGTTTATCAGACTCCTATCGAGGCCTCGTCTTTAATAGAGATCTATCGGCTTCTTTGTGCGACAGAATGGGGCAGGCAGAAATGGTGCTTCATGTGAAAATGGCTATATAACAGCCATCATCTCTGTCCCACCTTGCAGTTCGCTAAATCTATGCTTCTTTTTAGCCTGCAAATGTTTCATAGCTTTATATGGCTGATTATTTCTATAAAAGAAGTAATTTAGAGTATTCTCTTCCTTTGTCTGAATTGATGCGGAGTGTACCTCTGCCGTACATTGCGGATTGCATTTGCTGCGGAGATAATGCAGATAATATATAGCCGGCTGCAACCGATTATCGACAACACTATACAAACTAAAAGCATTTGACAAAACATAACGCGATGGAAATTGTAGTTCCAATAAAGGGTTTCCAATATTGAAGAGTACGGAGCATTCGTAGGTCGAACCATCCAGTCTACTCCGCACTGCCTTTAGCCTGTAATTCCCAGTGTTGATCGAGGATGAATCTTACTAGCCCCCACACATCTTGTCAAGGCTGCCAATGCCCTCGAGCAAATACTCGAAATCCAACTGAATATCCACACGCGTGTCCATCGTTAACTCGATGCATCACAAATCTGCCAGCTGAGAGTCGTTGATCTCATCGTTTGTTGTGGTCGTGCTGTCACCCCTGGCAACGTGTACATTCACGTGACATCGAACGCCTCCCAGCCTCCCGCGTTGATTTCGACGATGCAAGACAGATTCATTCGACGCATCAACAAAAACGACGACATACGACAATCAACGCCAGGTCGCAGGGCCATTTGCGACTTTACTCCGGGGGATTGAAGCTGTGGTCGACAAGTCCATGTAGCCTCGATTGGACCTTTTCAGCGTCATGATGGCTTCTCCCAATTCCCTTTCGTCCGCCTACTCCAGCGGCCTGCATCGCCAACCATCATCCCGGCAATTGTCCCGCCACACGAGCTCACGTTCCAGCTCTCGACGTACCTCCGCAATTCAGCATTCGACCTCTCGCCAGAATGGCTTATCCGCTGTCTCCAGACAGTATTCCCCCGGGGACAGCTCCGACGATGAAGTCCCCGAACCCAAATTTAGTGCCTCCGTGAAGGCGCTGCTCGATGAAGATGGACTGGGAACCTCGCCTGGTCTTCAGCGTGAGCGGAGAGGACAGTCTCAAGAAAGAGACCGTGTGTATTCCTCTGCATCCAGCCAAGAGAGGCAATTTCGCACAGCATCTCCCCATGATCGATCGTCGGGGAGCCCGGCCCCGCGGGTCGTTCGCATTGGCTCTAGCCTAGCCACCTCTCGACCCTCGAGGGAGAGCTCTCCTCTCGCAAACGTCGACCATGTTGATTCCGACGGAGCAAGATATGATCCAAAGGATATGATCACTCCTGCCCCCAGACCGCGCAGTGTTCGCATCAGCGGATCGCGCAGCAACACACGATCCCCCGCCTCGGTTTCACCCTCTCAGAGACGATCGGCAGATCGTCACTCCGAGGAAGATCAGGGAAGCGCCGAACGCTCTGATGATGAGAGAAAGCTACGGTTCGAGGATGACTATCTCCCTCGAATCGGCACCTCATCGGTGCTGCGCACCCGCAATGCAGATGAATTTGCCCCCCAGAGCTCACTGCGTGTGAAGAGAGTGGGAAGACTCACGGGAACCTTCTTGAATGGACCTGCCAGAAGAGGTGTACTGCGACGACAGAGCGAGGAAAACGACCAAAACTATCTTTCGAACGATGGAGGGGATTTAAACGACGACAACGACAATGCCGACTATCATTACAAGAATACAGCGAAATCTTCGTCGCCCAAAGTTTCATGGGCAGACCCCAGTCCACCACTGGGCACCGAACGGCACCGAACCTATGAACCCGGGGAAGGTGCTGCTGCTGACGGGCCTTTTTCGAGGTCTTCTTCACCAAAGTCTTACGGTTCGCACTCCAAGTCAACACCCGGATCATCTTCAGAGATGTCTTCGAAGCCTTCAAGCAGAGAGCAGCCCGTTTTCAAGGTGCCCCCTCTGCCCCCATTGCCTGCCGTGCGGGATCAAGAAAACGAACCACCACCGACTTTCAAGCGGGCAAAGCCCCAGGGATTAAGCTTGCTGGACAAGCCAGAGAAGCTTTCTGTTTCATACGGTGAAGAAAAGAAGGAAAACATGGAAACCCCAGCGACAACCTCTCCCAGGAAGATTCTGGCAACCCGAAGTAGCAACACTCCACATCGACCAGCTCCTCCTCCTCCCAAGATGTCGGTTCTTGAAACCGCCACAGCAACTGGAGGAGCTTCCACAGCATCGCAATCTCGGAAGAAACGCAGCCAAGTGTCTGTGAACCACAAGCCTTTTACACGGTTGGACTGCATTGGGCGGGGTGGAAGCTCGCGCGTTTATCGAGTCATGGCTGAAAACTACAAGATATTCGCCTTGAAGAGGGTGAATCTTGAGGACGTTGACCCGGTGACTTTGACTGGATACAAAGGAGAAATCGATCTGCTCAAGAAGTTGGAAAACGTTGACCGGGTTGTTCGTCTTTTTGACTTTGAACTGAACTCCGATAAGCACACTCTCAGCGTCCTCATGGAAATGGGAGAGTCGGATTTGGAGAAAATCCTCACCTACCGATTAAACGCCGAAGATGCCCTTTTGGATATCAACTTTACACGATACTACTGGAAGGAGATGCTCGAGTGCGTCCAAGCCGTTCACAAATGCAATATCGTTCATTCCGACCTGAAACCCGCCAACTTCCTCCTGGTCCAGGGCAGACTAAAGCTCATCGATTTTGGTATTGCAAATGCCATCCAAGACCATACCGTCAACGTGCATCGTGAACAGCAAGTTGGCACACCGAACTACATGTCTCCCGAAGCATTGGTCGATTCCAATGCATCCCTTGGTCTACCGTCAAGTGTTGGAAAAGTGATGAAGCTTGGTAAACCGAGTGATGTCTGGAGTTTGGGCTGTATCCTCTATAAGATGGTGTATGGCCAGCCTCCATTTGCGAAGATTGCCAAGTACTACGAACGTATCCTAGCAATTCCCAACCCAAGGGTTCAAATCGATTTCCCAGCCTTTGGAGTTGGTGGAGTCACAGTCCCGCCTGGACTGATCCGAACACTGAAGCAATGTTTGCAGCGTGATCAGACTCTTCGACCAACGGTCGACGAGCTGCTGGGCCAAAGGGATCCCTTCCTCTACCCCGATGCCCAACTTGAGGGCGCCGTTCCTGTGACTCAGGAGATGCTCAGCAGGATTTTGGTAAATGTTGTGAACCACTGCCGGGTCCGTGGCGTACCCAAAGAAGAAGAACTGGCCGCCTGGCCCGCCGGATTTTTTGCAAAGATCAAAGCGGCTTTGGAAGAAGAAAACGCTTGATGAATACCCGACTTGACTATGATACCTTTCCTTTGTCTTTTCTCTTTTCTTTCTATTTTTGCGATTTCGATATCCTGAATGATCCGATGATCGGCGTTCAAGTCCAGGTCGACTGACTGATTGATTTTTCTTTCACTTCTTTTTTTTTTTTTTTTTTTTCCTTTTTACTTTCTTCCAAGAGTCTGTCCAAGTGACAGTCTTCCATTTTTTGGATCTTCATTTTTTTTGGGGTATACTTGGTGTTTTGAACGCGTTCGAGCACTGCATGTCGATGTTTTGTAAATGGTGTGCATCCGGAAGCATGGGTATATGGGTATTTGGAGTTTGAGTATCCCTTGGAATATAATAATTTAATTCATTTAACTCTTATCCTTATTCAACTTTCTGAGTGTTCTTGAAGTACGTGGACTGGATTAAACTATTGTTTTCCTTTTGTTGTTGCGTTGTATATTGTTTGAACTGGTCGGACAAATATATATTCGCCTTACCACAACTCCAAGTAAGGCCGAGCATACTTCTGGTCTGAAGTAAGATCAGCCTACGGACAAATCTATACAAGTACTAGTATTGAATGCTGAATATAATTCAAATGTCATAATCTATTTATTCAGTGTTTCGTTTGCATCAAGATAGAATACTTTTGGTAGACAATAACACATGCACGCCGTAAACTCCATCCATCCGCAACTATGGACTGTAACTGTATAGACTTAAAGAGATGAAGACAAGGAAAGGGAAGCAAACATAGGGAGGGTGCAAAAAATGTTTCTATGGCATGAAATGTTATCGATGGGAAAGTTGGGTTGAGGATGGAGGATTTCATGATTAGACAGGACAGATTAGACGAGGAGAACGCTGGATAATAGTTAGTATGTTTGTTAAAGAAAGAAAGAGGAGAGGGAAACATACGCATTAACACAGCCGTCGTTTTCGGGAGTGTTTGTGACCTTGAGAAAGTTAGTATCTGGGTTACAGAGTGGAGATCACTGCCATCTAAGCACATACCTGAGCCCATTTACCCCAAACAACCTTTCCGCTGGTGGTGACGAGACCCAACTCGGAGACGTTGACCTCGAGGATGGTACCCTTGGTCAAAACACCCAGTTGTGTGTACAGAGGGTTCTGGGGGTTCTTCTTGACCGACAGAATGGGCAGCTGCACTGTGACACCCAATTCGGGGCTATAACTTGTTAGATAACCTTCAATGTGACTATCCGGGATAAAGAACATACTGAGTAACGTTTGCCTTCTTGTAACGCAGACCCATGGGCCTGATGAAACGCTCGTACTTGACGGGACGACGGGTAAAGTCGTTACCAACGAAAGTGGGCTTGGTGATCATGCGCTTCCACGACTTCTTGTGCGTCTTTTTACCGGTGTTGACGACCTTGAACATCTCCTCCTCACTGATACCCTTGACCTTAGGCAAAGGCACAGCAAACTTGGCGGCCTTTTCATTTCGCTTGTCCTTAATGGCGCTGGAGAGGGCCTTGGCATTGGTCGCTTGCGAACGGTCAAGCAAGTACTGAGGCAAGGGAGTCTTGGAGGGCTCGTCGGGTGCGGAAGACTTGACGTTCTTCTCTTCCTGCGCCTTGATGCGCTTCCTCATCTGGATCTTCTCCGCATGACGCTTCTGCTGGTACAGCTTAGCCCGGAGACCGCGCAGGTTCTGGGCATCCTTCGACTGTTGGTGACCCTCACGGGCCTGACGCTTGCGGGTGCGCTCATCGTGGTCGAGGCGCTTACCGTGCTGCTTCTGCCAGCGCTCGATGTACCTATCACACTGGGTCAGTTTTTTCGGGAGGCGGAGGGCAATGCAGTGCGGGGGACGAACTCGTTCTGAGGCTGTTGTTCGGAAATTTGTTAGTGACATAATTCTTGGTGTCGGGGATGTTTCTAGGGGAATTTGGACGTACCATGATGAATATGCAGGTTAATGCTGGGGATGTTGAAACTTCTGTTCGGTCGAGATGAAGCAAAAAAGTTGTGCTGCGGATGGAGGCTTGGCAGCGATAAATCACATGACCTTATCGTTCCTCCACCAACCAACACAACCTTATAATGACTGTAATAGCTGCTATGTACAGATAGATATAGATATGCTCATTAATGAAGACAAAATAGATCAAATTATCCCCTGATTACATCTCTTTCTATCCAAATACTGTGTTGAGATCTGTAAGTGCCGTCACGTGCACTACGGTTACCGACGCGGCCACATCCGCCGCTGGAATTTCTCGACGCCAAAAGCAACGCAAAGCAAGACGAGACAAACTCGTCCAGCTCATCCATTGCGAGTCCCCCAGAGTCTCTGGGCCATCGAGAACCCATCTATCCAAAGCTTTACAAGGAAAGCATCTTTAGCTTTCCCCATCTACACCATGTTTTCTCGAACCGCCCTCAGAAAAGTCTTCGTCCAGCCATGGACCCCGACAAGCATCATCCCATCCACCACCGCCGCAATCCTCCCTCAACGAGCCAGCCTCACAACCAACAGCAGCAATGAAAGTACAACACCCGCCCCCGAGGCCCCATTGAGCGCTACACCACGGGCCCAAACCAGCCAGCCAACAAAACAGTCCCCAGCCACACCCTCCACGCCCAAACGCCGCGATGAGATCCCATCCACCAAACTACCCGTGGCGCCGACCTTTGACTCCCCGTTGAAAATCAGCCAGTCCCTCCTCGAGAAACTCCCGTACCTCACCTCGCAAAAGCCGCACTACATCACCGCCCACTTCCACGCGAACCCTTACCTCCTCACCGAGGGCGATCACCTCCGTCTGCCCTTCCTCATGCCCAAGGTGAAGCCCGGAGATGTGCTGCGGTTGAACCGGGCGTCGGTGCTGGGTTCGCGTGAGTTTTCGCTTAAGGGGGCGCCGTACGTCGACGAGAGATTGTTCGAGTGCCGGGTACGGGTTTTGGGTGTTGATTCGGAGCCGATGCGGATTAAGGAGAAGACTAAGCGGAGACAACGACATGTGCGGCAGGTGAAGAGCAAGCATAGGTATACTTTGCTTCGGGTGATGGATGTCAAGATCAAGACGGCGGAGCAGGTGCTGGCGGAGGGTGCTGTTGTTGTCGAGGGTCAGGATTCTGTCGAATTCAAGGCATAATGCGTATCTGATTTACCTTGAGCTTATGGAACTTGAGGCATGTTATGTACAGATAGATTTGACTGCACGTGGTGCATTGTATTCTATAATTGCAGTTTTTCATTTTCTATCAACAGCACAGTACTTGATCGTAGCTATATACATCTATCTATCTATCTGTCATGATTCGTCTAACCCAAAATATCACCCGCAATCTTCTCCGCCAAAGCATAAACCAACGACTGCGGATGACCCGGCGGCAGAACCGCAAAACTACTTGCATCAACAACCCGTAGACCCTGCACACCGTAAACCCTGGCTTTACTATCAAGCACAGCCATGGTATCGTTCTTCCTGCCCATTTTACATGTACAAGAAGCATGATAAACAGACCTCATACTCTTCTGAATGAACGCCCGAATCTGAGAATCCGTCGTCACGTTAGCGCCGGGATAGTACTCTTCTTGGTCAGCGGCGCCCATTTTGACGAGCTCCGACCAGACCTGGCGGTGGCGTTTGAATGATTGGACCGCGAGGTCCATGTCAGCTGGGTGGGCGAGCCATTGGGGGTCGATGATGGGTGGGGTCGTCATATCTGGGCCGGCGAGGGAGACAGAGCCCCGGGAGAGAGGCGCCACGAGGGCAGTGTTAAGAGTAGCGTAGTTGTGGCCGTCGACGGGGTCGGAGGGGAGAGTGTTGAGGTTATCGCCGTTGAAGGCAGCGACGGGGAGCCATTCGATTTCGGGCCAGTCCGGGGGGAAAGCAGCCAGGGCGGATCTGGAGTGGTTTGATAGCGAGGAGCGGTAGGGGTTAGGGAGCTTTTCCCAGCCGTAGTAGCCTGGGCCGAAGATGGCGAGGGGGCCGGTTGCGTTCTGGAGGTATTTTTCTACGTTGAGAGCGGCGAGGGTTTTATTGTTTGCTGAGGCGGAGGAGGTGAGGACGTTTACGCGGTGAGCGGTGCCGAAGACGGGGTGGTCTTGCATGTTCTTTCCGATGCCGGGGAGGTTGGCGATGCATTGGATGCCGTGGGTGGAGAGGTCATCGCAGGGACCGATGCCAGAGACCATGAGGAGCTGGGGGGATTGGAAGGCGCCGGCGGAGAGGATGACTTCCTTGCGGGCATTGAGGGTGAAGTTGACGGGGGGAGTGCCAAAGGATCCGGCCGTGGAGACCTGCACGCCTGTAGCGGTTTTGTGCGAGTTGAAGAGGATCTTCTGCGCCAGGGCGTTCTTGTACACGAGGAGTCCGTAGCCGCGTTGCAAAGCAGCCTGCAGGAAGCTGGTCTCGGAGGAGGAACGGTGGGCGTTCTTCGGGTCGATGGTGAGCGTGGCATACGCCGAGCCCATGAGCTTGCCGCTGTTGAAGCCGTCAATCTGCTCCATGCCCACGGCGATGAAAGCCTTGCGGGCCCAAGTACCAAATGGATCAACGGTATTGCTGAACGAAACTTCCAACGGACCCCCAGACTTGCTAAACGCATCACTAGTCTGGCTATTGGTGGAATTGGTGAGCAGCTCCTGATTCGGAGGCGTATAGTGACACGACTTTTCATAGAACGGCAGCAACTCGTCGAAAGTATAGCTCTGGTCGTCCACATTATCCGCCCAAACCTGCATACTATCAACAGTAGCACGCTGATAGAGCAAAAAGTTCCTCGCTGAACAACCGCCCAGTGTCTTGCCTCGGGCATAATGCAAGGAACGACCTCCCGAGCCCGGCTGCGGCTGCGTCATGAACCCCCAGTCAATGAGAGGTTGATAATCGGTGGGCTTTGACCCGGTGAATTGCGTCGCATACCCAGGGACGATAGAGACGTTGCCATTGTCGAGTTCGTAAAAGCCACCCGCCTCGACGACGGCGACCCTGGCTGATTGATTCTGCGCAAGACGACTGGCAATTGTCAAGCCGGCATTTCCTCCCCCAACGACGACGTAGTCAAAGGTTGCGTTGGCACCGGGCGTGCCAAAGGAGGTCCCAAGTAGTGATCCTGGCTGTCCGTCGTGGAAAAGATTGACGGGCTGCGATGCAGAGACCGAGGCAGCAAGACCTAGAAAGGACTGCAAATGGGCGAATGCACGCATATCACCTGTCTGTCCTGCTGGAGGAAGTTGAAGATGGATGAATTGGCAGTTGAGCCATGGGCAGCTGGTGGTATGATGGTGGAGAGCAGCTCAATTAGCTTACCCACCGCAGCTGCGAGACTCCTGAGAGATCAAAAGCCATCGTCGGATCTTGACCGACAAACGCAAGCTGACTGGCAGTGTTTGGCCGTGTTGGCCGCAGTGGATGAAGAATGTGGAGAAAGAGAAATCGGGCGAACCGAAGACAATCGTTGCTGTTCCTGGATCAGGTACAGACAGACAGGTACACACAAGAACAGATAGGCACAATAAGCAGATGGAGAATTAAAAAAGAAAAAGAAAAAAACCGGGCTCAACCAGGAATCGAACCAGGGACCTCTTGCAATTCAAGTAGTTTAATCACTGTGAGGGCAATGATTAAGAGAGCCCGAAGCAAGAATTATACCACTAAACCATTGAGCCGGGATAGCAGGCGAAGGCCGAATTGGGGATTTATCTATACAGAATAATTATATTATACCATATTATCATAAGTCATTACTATCGTACACTCTATCTACACATTTTGATGACTATGACCCTCTCTCCAAGGCACCTCATGCGTCGACGCAGTCTGCTCAGTCGGCCATCTCGCAAACCCCACCGTACTCCCCGTTTCACCACCCCTCGACCCAAGATCCGATAGATGGATTGTCGTGGATGGCGTGCGTTGTGTGCCTGTGCTCTTCCCATTACTGGAATGCTGGGATGCGCCGTAGAGACGCCGGAAGAGAGGACGGAAGGTGGGCAGACAGGCGCAGATGATTCCGACGGATTGCTCGATTGAGGACCACATGGCTGTTTCGACGGTGGTGTAGGTTGGGTCTTTGGGGTTGGATTTGCGGAATGCTGTTATTCGGAGGATGGAGACGATGCACACACTGTCCTGGTTAGTATGTGTGAATATAGAGGAAGAGGGAGACGTACAAACCACCCAGAAGGAATATCCCAGACAAGATCATCTTCTGGCGAAGATTCGTCTTTACCCTCCATGTCATCGGAAGCGGAAGACACAAGACCAGTATATCCAACAGCATATTGACGATGCCATTCCAGCGGAAGAAATTCACCTCGTCGATACACGAACCCGGCTGATCTCGATCCCAAAAATACGACACCGGAGAACAGCCCGCAATCGAAACAATCACGCAGGATATAAAGTAAGCCGTAATGATAGCCCCAGAAACTGCAAGAGCCCAGCGGAATCCATTCACGACGCCAAAGACTCTATGGTAGAGGAGGAGGATCGAAGCTTTGGTGAAGACGGCGTTGGCAAAGTAGGTGATTTGGACTGCGATGAAGCTCTGCCTTAGTTAGTTTTGAAACACTAGATAGGAAAAGGAGAGCTACCTTTTGGAAATTCTGGACCTTTTCTGTCGAAAGGAATTGCGAATGGCGACCATAATCATACACCAGAATTTCTGACCAGCGCGTAGCTGCCATGCCCCAATTGATAATCAACGCCACGATAATGGTATAATCATCCCACCAGTATCCAACCCTAGAAGCGAACCGGGCGATGAAGCGAACAATCACAGCGATTGTGGCAGGCACAAGAGTGACGATTGTACCGATCCAGAGCCGGTAGGCGATGTTATCATCTGGATCTGCTGCCATGATGGCTGTTTGAGATGAGGCATCTGAACTGACCGAGAGACATGGTGCGAGAAAAACAGGGCAGACTCGGCGAAAGCGAGACAGTGTGGGAAGAAGTGTAGATCCTTGAAAAATTGCACGAGCAACGAATGGATCGAGATAAAATTATCAAATGGTCTGATTTGAAAGCGGAGAATTTCCACTCGACGGAGAGGGTCCGCCCACTATGTACTACATAGTACTACCATGAGTGAGTGGATAACATGATGGATATCAATGGAAGTGAATGCAAACAAGCGAGTCAGAAGTAAATGAACTCATTCTACCATCCATGGATCGAACCTGTTTCAGCATTGCAATAATAACATCGCTAAGATGTACTATGCATTGATCGATCTGATCGTGGACAGTTACCGCATCAGGCTGTGATGGCCGTCTCCACCGCCGATCGTTATGATATGCAGATGAGCCTTAATCCCGAATGACATCAACGCCCAACCGCTGTCGACATTCTTCCAGGCTGTCTTCTTGCATGCGCTCATATAAATGAAACTCATCCGCCACTTTGGTCCCGAGGAGGCGTTGGAAGCCGTCGAGATCGGCATCGGCTTCCATGATTAATTGCCTTGATTGCGATGCGCTGCCCAGATTCGAGTTGAAGATGCCTCCGGCTGACAGCGGCAGGAAGTCTTCGTATGTGATGGGCTCGGCTTGGATGATTTCCTGCTCGAGGAGGTCTGATAGAGAGACCTGACTGGGTAATCGATGGCTTTCGTGGATGTGTTCTCCGTGCTCTGTGAGTCGGTAGCAGAAATATGCCAGTTTCTGCGTCTGCAGGGCTGTCATTTCATCTGGAAATGCTTCAAATTCTCGCTGCAGGATGTCATCGTATGTATCTGACTCCGTCTTTGCTGCTTCGTTATTAACTCGATCCAGAATGCGATCGTACAACTGCCGACCAGATCTGGTCAACGCCCATCCTCGCTGTTCAACCTCCCCAAACCGCGCCGTATGCGATCCTTTGATAAACTCGCCAGACGCATCTCGGAAATAAACCGTCTCCTTCAACGCCTTGAAGCTTGTTTGACGGAGTAGAATGGGACACATTCGTCGTGGAGGCCCTTCAATTCGCTCTTTAGCTGGTAATCCACTCTCCAGCATCAACGACTGCACAAGATCGATATCCACCGTCCGAGGCGTGAGGTGATTAATATGGCAGTTGGGAAAGGAGACAATATCAGCAATGAGCGGATGCTCCCCTTTCAACACCTGATACTCGTCTACTGTCACTGTCGCCTTTGAATGCCATCGAAACGTCTCCAAACCCTCGATGATAAACTCCGCACACTCACTCTCACTCAGGCCCTCCCCTTCAGCTCTCTCAATCAACTCAACCAACCTATCCGTAAAGATCCTCCTCTGCCTCAGCGCCCTCTCCGCCAACTCCCTCGTCCTCGCCGTCAACAACTCCATCCGTAGTAGCGTAGTAAACACCCGAAACGGATGCTCCGCCAACGCCTCCCTCCTCACTGGCCGAAACGCAGTCGCATGCATCGGGAACCCCGCCACGCTCAGATCATAGTATCCAACCGGGTACATGCCCATGATGGCAAACATGCGGCGGATGGTGGTGAGTTCCTGCGGAGTGCCCAATCTGATGGCACCGTGTCGTTCGACGCGGTTTCGGGCGGGGAGGACGTCGTCTGGGTCATTGATTTTGGTAGCTGAGTTGGACTGGACGGAGATGGAGTCTGCTTTGTAGACTAGATTGGTGAGATCGCCGTAGAGGGGGACTTCGGATTTGCACATTTCCGAGAGGGCATGGCAGAAGCGGGCGCGGAGGGGGGTTTGGTTTATTTGATCCATCTTCATTATTTGTCTGGTTGATGAGTAGAATTGAGAAAGATGAGTATATAAATACGATAGATATGATATCAGCTACTTATCAGCCTCGTGATACAATATCCTGATATGCCCGTTCTTATCCGTTCCGACGGATAACGCCTATTGTCGGCTGCAAGGGTGTTGCCTTATAGTATCCTGCCTTGGACGAGTATTACCGAGGATATTATCTCAATCCGTCGGATTCGATGACTCAATTGAGATAGCATCTATGTAACTAATAGATCTACAGTTTATTCCTCATCGTCCGTCTCACCAACTCCCTCCACGAAGCCATTCCCCTCTTCGCCCATTCATCTGGTATTCTACCTCATTAGCATCCATATAATATGATATAAGAAAAGAAAGACATACTCTTCCCTCTCCTCCCACAACTCCGTATAAAACACCTCCATCGACACCCACCCCTCATATCCCAAGTCAAACACTGCCCTGGCCACATCCACAGCAGGCAAGATGCCCCCATACGCCTCCTCACACGGGAAAATGCGACAATTCCTCGACTGCGTCATGTACGCTGGCTGAGCTAGGTCTTTTCGCGGATACCCCCGTTGGGCTGGATCAGCGACTGTCGCGTCGCTGAGCTGGAAATACGCTATATCTGATGGCTGGAGGGTTTGTTTCATTTCGGTTAAGCTGGTGGTGAAATTGTCCATTCCGGTTGGTTTTATAGGTGATGTAGCATTGAATGGGTCACAGGCTAGCTTTGTTGAGATGTGGAATGTATCCAGACAGTGTTTGAGATTGGGGAGGTTGACCATTTGGATGATCTGGTGGGTTTGCTGCCATGTGTTGAGGTGGATGCCCCAGGCGGGTGCTTCGTAGGCGATGGTGAGGTTGTAGTTCTGGGCTAGGAGGGTGAGTTTACGCATGTTTCTGGCGATGATGGTGGGGTTTGAGGTTATTCGGGTTGAGTCCATGGGGTAGAGACATGTTGTTATCTGTTCAATCAGTATATAAATCTGAAACTGAAACGAGAAGAGTGCATACTTGAAAAAACTCAATCCCCATAATCTCACAAAGCTCACACCAAACCCTCGCCTCGTCTAACCTCCTCTCCACCTCACCTTCATCTACGAGACCGTCATACGCCCCGAACGGATTCAACGCAATCAGCTGCAGAGACAGACTAGAGGCCGTGTTATGTACATCCCTCGCAGCAGAACGGAGTTGATTCTCCCGTGTTAGTTTTGGGTAGGTGGTTAGGGCATGATGCTCGAGACACTCAAAGGCGACTTCAACGCCATCGAAGTGGTGGGATTTGGCGACGCTGAGTTTGTGTAGGATGGAGTGGCCGGAGCTAGACTTGCCGAGGGAGTTGGTTGCTATTGAGATTTTCATTACGGATTGTGGTGTAGGGTATAGATGGTGAGGGTGATTATATAGATGTCCGGTGGTTAGATATAGACACCGGGCGGGGATACGGATTGTATACAAGACACAGATGGAATAATGAGTCTTTATTCCGTCTGATAATAGTTGATAGTCTACATGATGATCACAATCAGATCGGGATTAAATGAATACACCGGAGCGGGGTACACATCTATAACTTCATAACTTCACAGTATCATCTTCAATAGATCATCGTCATCATGCCTCTCCGCGCCAAAATCAACTTCCCCCGAGTCGTCATCGTAACTGGTAAGCCATTCTCATGTACACTACTTCCCTGCTAAGAGATACAGGCGGCGCAGATGGCTTCGGCTCCGCAATAACCGACAAATTCCACCAAAAAGGGTCCAAAGTGATCATCATCGATCTGAATCGCAGCAAAGCAGAAAGCAAAGCGACTGTCGATGGAGTTGAGTGTGTGGTTGGGGATGTGACAAAGAGGGAGACGTGGGAGGAGGCGGTGGCGTTGGCGATGGGGATGTATGGGAGGGTGGATGTTGTTGTGAATAATGCTGGTATTCCTTATTCTTGATGATTATATTTATATTGGTGAGATACTGATGATGATAGGGATTACATTTGCTCCATCTGTATGTCTATCTGCTGTATTATATGTTGCTAACAAGAGCAGCCAGTCCACACCAAAGATATGGCCGAGTTTGACAAGACTTTTAATGTGAATGTCAAGGTATCCTATCTTAATCCAAGTGAATATCTTCTTCTAATAAACAGCCCATCTTCCTCAGCGCCCAAGTCATCGCCCCCATAATGCAACGCCAAGAAAGCGGCATCTTCATCAACATCACCAGGTATCCTACACTATCCCCAAACAACACCAAATAAATAAACTCATATAATAAATGTATAGCACCGGCTCAACCCGCCCACGCCCCGGCTTTGCCTTCTACAACGCCTCCAAAGCAGCCGTAGCCATCGCCACCAAGACCATGGCCCTCGAATACGCCCCCTCCATCCGATTCAACTGCATTGCGCCTGCGATTGGGAATACCGCCATGTTGCAGGCGAGTATCGGGGATGGCGAGGATTCGGCGGAGAGGCAGAGGAGGATCGAAGAGTCACTGCCGATGAGACGCGTTGCTGAGCCGGGGGATATTGCGAATGCGGCGTGGTTTTTGGGGAGTGAGAAGAGTGGCTTTGTGACGGGGATTGTGTTGGAGGTGGATGGGGGAAGAGGTATTTAGAGGTATATGGTATAGATTTCTATGGGTGTAGAAGAGCAATTTTACTTATGTGGATTATGGATTATATACCTGTCACTCAGTGTGTCTAAATGTATTGCACAAAGAAGACTTCCATAGAATTCTAACTGATATTGATAGTATGGATAGAGGCAGTAGTATAGATGACTAGTGACTAGACTATAGATTACTCTTCCTCACATCCCCCCTCAACACCTTCGCAACAAAGAATGGATCCTCCCTCAATGGCCTCCCCAATCCAATCATGTCGATATCTCCACTTCCCACGGCCTCTGCCATACAACGAGCATCTCTCCATCCTCCAGTCGTCCCAATAACAGCCCGAGACTGTCTAGTTAGTTCATATATAAGATAGTAGACAGTAGGTGTATTACTTACCAACACCTTCTTCATCTCCTGCGCCCACTCGATAAAGTAACTCCCCCTCTCCTTCTGAGATGACCTTGCAGCCAATTCAGTCATGATATTTCCCCTCCACGCGGGCGATTCATATGTCCCCCCTGAAATATCGAAGAAATCGACGCCTGCTTCTTCGAGCCATTTGATGACGACGCATTGCTCGGCGAAGCTTGTTCCTCCTTGGATGACTGTCTTCATTAGTATGTATACACATGTATGTAAGATGAAGGGGGCATACAGTCTTGACAGTTGAGCTTCGCAGCAATCACGAACCGATCAGAAGGCAGTTTCGCTTTGATGGCATTGACCACTTCAAGAATGAAGCGTGCTCTGTTTTCCAGACTACCTCCGTATTCATCCGTTCGGGTGTTGATGAGAGGCGAGAGGAATTGGTTCATGATGTACCCATGGCTTGCATGCAGCTATCCCCATTAGCATATACTCCATCAAAGATAATAACGCACATACGATAATCCCATCACCACCAGCCTTATCCACCACCTCTGCAGCCCAAACATACCTCGCAACCAACTCTGCAATCTGCTCTTTCGTCAACGGACTCGGCACTCCGTACGTTTTATTCAAACACGGCTTCAGCTGCACATCCGAAGACGACTTGGGGTGCTTATTCAGAAACTCAGGAACCTGTCGACCTGGAAACTGAAGCTGGGGGAGAAAGATGGCACCCCTGGACTTGGCTGCCTTTACAGCAGGCGTAAATGCAGCCACCGCATCCCATGGGTTATTCATGTCCAGCACGGCGTTGTTGTAGTTTTCTAGATTGTCGCGGTGGATGGGGATGTTGCCGGTGCAGATTAGGCCTGCGCCGCCGTTGGCCAATTCTATAGATATCTTTTAGCATTGGATGTTATGAGATGGTTTGTTAGAGATACCCTGGTATAGCTCTGCATATCGAGGAAGAGGCTGTCCGCTGTTTTCGGGGTTGTTTTCATCATAGGTACAGGCATATTCACTCAGTGGCGTCCGGTAGAGTCGATTGGGGATGACTTTTCCGGATAGTTGGAGGGTGATGGGTTGGGCGAGGGGGGCGATTTGGGACATGCTGATTCTGCTATTCTGCTGATTTGATTGATTTAGATTGATTAACTGCTATGGATGCTATGTTATGCTGTGTTGATAGTTTTATAGTTTTATAGATCTCCCCCGCATCCGGAGGTAGATTAATGGACCGGTTGATCTACTTTCGGAATTCATCAATATTCCGTAGACACACGAGTATGTTTATTCTTGGATAAATCACAATCTAGCTTCAACCCTCACTCTAACAGCCTCTAGTGCCTCCTCCACAGCCTCTGGTACAGCCTCTCTCTCCAACCACAAAATCTGCTGCGCAACACAAACCTGCACCAACACCTCTGCTCCCGAAATCACAGCCCATCCATATGTCTTGCCCATCTTGAGCAACGTCGTCACAGGAGATGGCATATAGCACATGTCCAACAACACGCCTGTCTGTTTCTTCAAAATAGCCTCGGTGATGCGCCAGCAACGTATCTCGCCTTCTTCCTTGGGTGGGTAATCTGGGATAGTTCCCACGATGAGATAGGGCATCGAGATACCTTCCAGATATTCAACTGAGGGGATATACCGAATTTTGATGTCTGGTATGTTAGATCGAAAAGAAGTGATCATCGTGTCTACTTCCGACTGCAGTCGATTCACAACATAGATCTCAGATGCCCCAAACCACGTCCACAGCGCGTAGACGGCACTTCTCGCCGCACCACCCGCCCCGATGACCAGCGCGGGCTTTCCTCGCGCTGTATATCTATCGTCCGGATTCCGGTGGATAATCGTCTCCCAAATCCCAATACAGTCTGTATTCGTACCAATATGGCGTCTTCTTGCATCATCAAGTCTGATAAAGCTCGTATTCACAGCCCCAATCACCCTCGCTTCGTCGGTGATGTCATCCAGACAATCCATGAAGGTGAGTTTGTTGGGCATGGTGATTGACCCGCCGATGTAGGTTTCCTCATTCAGTTTTGCAGTAAACTCAGCCGGACTGGTCGTCTGGTGCAGATTGTAGGTCCATTTTGCGTGAAGCGCGCGGAAAAGAATGTGTGCGATGAGTGGGGAGAGGGATTGGGTGATGCTTGCGCCGAAGAGGTAGACGTGAAGCGGTTGCGAGGAGGAGTTGGTGAGGGGGGATGTGCCGTAGGAGTAGGATTTCTGGAGGAGGTCCATGTTTGATGGGTATGGTGTCATGTTGATTATCTTGATGGTTATGGTTAATATATGCAGTTTGTATTCCGATGGATGGTGAGGAGCGGGGTCCGGCGTCTTTATTTATACCCCGTCTGTATACAAATAGCACTATGGATAGATGAAGACGGCAACACCAGTATCAGATAATATGGACAGGATAACAGTCGTCCTAGTCGGAGGAGGCACCATCGCCCCCCTCCACGCCCAATATCTCCTCTCCTCTGCTTCCTGCACATTATCAGCCATCGTCGATCCCTATCTTCCAGGCCGCCAACTCGCATCCCAACTCTCCATCCCCCATTTCGACTCCATTGCAGATCTCCTATCATCCCACACACTCAAACCAGACGCATTCATCGTCTGCGTCCCGTCCAGCTTGCACGTGGCTGTCAGCAGCGAGATCATCACCGCCGCCACGCCAAAAGCAATTATCGTCGAGAAGCCTCTATCCACGGACTCGGTGTCTGGCGCGGATCTGCTATCTCTGGCGGAGAGGTATTCCTGTAAGATTCTCGTTGGCCATCATCGTCGCTTTCACCCGTCGTTGGCGTCTGCGAAGAGTGTGCTCGAGACTGGCAGGATTGGAACCATCACTGCTGTATCTGGATTATGGACGACCAAGAAGAATGACGGCTACTTTACCGCTGCAGGTAGCGAATGGCGCTGCTCACGCTCCAGCGGGGGAGGGCCGATCTGGACAAACTTCGTGCACGATGTCGACGTGTTGCATTTTCTGACTGGGTCGAGAATAGTGCGTGTCTGGGCGACTGCGACTGTTGACAGAAGGACACACGAGAATATCAAACAATCAGATCAGGTCGAAGAAGGCGCGGCAATAATGCTGCAATTTGCGAATAGCATCGTGGGAACGTTCATCGTGAGCGACAACGTCGGCAGTCCGTATGGCTGGGAATCAGCGACGGGTGATAACCCACTATACCCCCCGGCTGATATCCCCGTCGACTCGTATCGTGTTTTTGGGACATTGGGGACGATGAGTATTCCTGATGGAACTTTGTGGACATATGACTCTGTTGAGGCGGAAAGACGGGGGCTGGAGGTTGGATGGAATATTCCTATGAAGAGGGAGAAGGTGGAGGTGGATGAGGGGATTCCGTTTCAGCAGCAGACGGAGCATCTAGGGAGGGTTGTGAGGGGATTAGAAGAGCCGTTGTGTTCTGGGGAGGATGGATTGGCTGCTATTAAAGTGTGTGAGGCTATTGCGAAGGCGTTGGAAGAGGAGAATACTTCTGCTGTTGATATATAATCTTTTACACTGAACTTGAAGCTATTCACTGTTAATCACAACTTGGCACTCTCCTTCTTGACTAACCCCCATCCCTCCTGGATATAATCTCTCTCCTTTCTCCAACCCAACCACTCTTGAAGCACTTTTTCTCCCCCATAACCAGGCTGCAAAGTCTTGACTGTCCACCCATCCTCAACCGGCAACGAAGGCGTCTCTGTCAACATAACAGCAGCACGCTGTTCATACCCACTCGCTTCCATCTCAGCATGCGTCAAAACAGGCGTACAACACGCATCCGTCCCATCGAAAACCCCCTCCCATTCTGCACGAGTCATACTGCGGAATTTCTCCTGAAGAACTCTCTTCAGCGCAGGCCAACATGCCCGATCATCTCGTTTGCCTCCCCAGTTTTCCTCGCCCACATCCAGACCCTTTGCCAATGCAGCAAAAAATCGATCCTCAAGCGCCGCAACAGCCATATACTTCCCATCATCTTTACATTCGTAAACAGCATAATAAGGACATCCGCCATCAGTCAGATTCTCTCCCCTGGCACGATCCCACTGTCCAGGAATCTTGGTCGAAAGTCTCGGCGCAGTCCCTAAATACGATACTCCGTCTACCATATTCGCCTCGACAATTTGGCCTTTCCCAGTCTGCGCGCGAGAGACCAGCGCAATCAAGATCCCAGCGAAGCAGGTTAACCCACCGCCTGCAAAGTCACCGAGAATATTTCCTGGTGGACTAGGCGGGAGAGGACGATTAAAAGGCGCCACTGCATCCGACGGACCCAACATAGACAAGATACCCGATACAGCGAGATAATTCAAATCATGACCCGCCATAGACGCGTATTTCCCATCGCGCCGAAACCCAGTCAACCGTGCAACGATAAGTCGCGGGTTAAGACGGCAGAGGACAGATGGACTCAGCCCTAATTTCTCCAGCACGCCAGGCCGGAATGGGTCGATGAGGATGTCTGCGGTGGGGATAAGGGAGAGGAAAAAATCCTTTCCCTTGTGGGATTTAAGATTCACGCTGATGGAGGATTTGTTGCGAATAAGGACGTCCGGGCTGGGGGTGCTGGTGTCTTGGTGTTTGTCGATGCGGAGCACGCTGGCGCCGTAGTCGGCGAGGAGGAGGCCTGTGAAGGGGCCTGGTGCTAGGCCGGCGAGTTCGAGGACGCGGAGATTGTTGAGTGCCATTTCTGGTTTTCTGTCTGATTATTCTGTTTATGCTGATTCTATTCAGTGCACAAGGTAGATATACTTGTTCGGAATTTAGAATAATATCCGGACGGAATTGTGAGTTGAATTCCGAATGTCTATATACCTACAGGCTGAATATCTATCTAACTACTGACAGCAGACATCAGAATGAATCAATCAACTCTGGATACTCAATTGCAAATCGACCCCTTGAATGACAATGTCTTCATCACCAAACATCCCCTCTGGCGTCCTTCCGGAGCACGCGGTATCTTCGGCGGCGTCACCATCGCCCAAAGTCTCAAAGCTGCTCAATTGACAGTACCGACTGATATGAATGCTCATTCTATGCATTGTTGTTTTGTTTCTGCCGGGAGTGCCTCTATTCCCATCACGTATCACGTCGAACGAGTCCGTGATGGGCGAAGTTTCAGCAATCGATCCGTCAAAGCTATCCAGAACCAGAGGACCATCTTTCTAGCTATGATTAGCTTTACTCGGACTGAGACGGGGAAGTTTATAGAGCATGTTGAGAGAATGCCTCATCTTCCTGCTCCTCCCAAAGAGAATACCACAAATGAACCCGCAACCCCATATATCAACCACAGCGTGGGAATCCTCAACAACGCCTCACCCCCCAGCGACAAACGCATCCACCAATGGATAAAAGCCCGCGGAGCTGTCTCTGAGACAAACCACCTCGCCTCGTTGGCTTTCATGTCAGATAGTTACTTTCTAGCTGCTATCCCGCACGTCCATAACATCTGGCATTTTGTCGATCCTCCTCTAACAGAGTTTTATGGACCTGGGCCTGCTCACGCGGCGAGATATCCATATGCGCGGGTTCAACGGCCGCATCTTGGTGAGCGGTGTGATGGTCCAGATAAAAGGGTAGGCATGATGGTTAGTCTGGATCATACGATTTACTTTCATCATCCGCGCGGATTCAGCCCGGAGGAGTGGATACTGAGTGAATTGCAGACTCACTGGGCTGGGGATGGAAGGGGGGTGATTATGCAGAAGATGTGGACGAGGGAGGGGGTTTTGATAGCTACTTGTGTTCAAGAGGTATGTTTTCTTCTCCTTCTCTTAGTTGATTTTGCTAACTTATACTTATCAGGGAATTGTCCGACTAGAAGAACCAGAAAAGAATCGCCTTTGATAGATCACGATATAGATGAATGGAGATGAATGAATCACACATCCTCAATCTCCTCCACGCTCGACTTCTGCTCCAATCTCCCCTCGACATGTCCATCTCTCGCGAACAACGCATCCACTTCTTCCAATGTTTTCCCAGTAGGCTATACTCGTCAGCTTCCAGTACAACATACTCATACTTATATCGAACTCACATCCGGACACATGAAATACACAAACAGAAAACCAAGCACATTGAAAATCAACGGCCAGATCCAAATTTTCCACCCCGCAGTCTGGATTCCAATTCCTCCCGCAAAGACAGTGAGGAAAGTGAAGAGCCACATTCCGAATAGACCTGCTGCTGCGCCGATGTGTCGGTATTTAAGGGGGGCAATCTATCAACGGTTAGTATCACTTTCATCCGATGACATGCATGCTTGATGATGGTTGACTTACCTCAGGCCCATATAACCAAGGACAAGTAACCCACCCCCACCCATACATGAACAGATACGGAAACATGATAATCGCCGCCGCCCACTGCGTCGCGCTCGTCGACCTGCCCACCCCATTCAGCAGGACAAAAGCAAGCATGCAAACAGACTGCGCAGCCGCAGAGTACAGCATCATCTTCCGTCTCCCCACCCGCTCAATCGTGGGAATACAACACAACGATCCCCCGAATTGAATCGTCAGCGCGACCGCCGCCAGCAGCGAGGCAAAGAAACTCGATAGCCCCACCTGCAGGAAGATAAGCGTCATGTAGTACACGATTATGTCGATGCCCATCATCTGCTGGATGGAGAGGATCATGAAGGAGATGCGCACGCGGCGTCCGACGCGGAGGGGCGTAGTGTCCCAGATTAGGCTGGTCCAGCTGAGTTTGTTTTCTTGTTCGGCTTCGAGGCGGATGCTGGTTATTATGCTTTCTTTGAGGGTCTGCATGGCTGTGGAGTCTGAACCTGGGGTTGGGCTGGTGGTGTTGGGGAAGTATACACCGTGCAGTCGGGCGAGTGTCTGATCGCCTTCTTCGATACGCGAGCGAGCATAGTACCAACGAGGCGTATCAGGACAAAAGGAAATTCCTGTTCCTGATATAAATGCGAAGATGGATTGAATTGCGATGGGCATTCTCTTTCATTCCGTTAGCAAGTGAACCTAAGTGGTAAGGAAGAGGAAGATACCCAAGAGATCTGATTCGTCATACGAGTGAAGCCAAAGTCAACCCAATACGACAAGGCCACGCCGGCTAGTAATGACGAACAGTTGATGGCGACTTCAGGGCCTCGTTCGGTCGCGTGGAGACTCATTTCGGACTGTATGGTTGGTTTTCCTGTTTTGGATGATGTGATATAGGACTTACCATATACATAGGCACGTTGCATGTAATCAACGCAATTCCAAAGCCCTACATAAACATCAGCATATTCAATACAGAATAAATGCAGTAAAAGAACTCACACAAATAACCCTGGCAACAATAATCTGCGGTACAGAAAACGATGCAGCCTGGATGATTCCCCCGATGAAGATCAACACATTACCCAGGAGAATCGATTTCTGCCGTCCAAGAGGCATGCCCACCACCACGACGATCAGTGACATGATGGCTGCAGCGAGGGTGTATGAGGATGCTATCATGGGGATGGTTTCTGCGCCGGTGGGGTTCTTTGATATAGTTGATTAGGGGAGATATGGTATTGTGTAGATATAGATGCTTACTCCAAGGGCATCAAGGTAGGGTTTGGTATCTTGAACACCACCGAGGATACCAGCTTGATAGCCTTCGATCAGAAAGGCCTATATCACAGTATATCATCAGTATCAAGCAATCTATAACGCTGAATGCATACCAGCGAACAACTGAACCTCGCCAGCCGTCGAAGGGCTTTCCCCTGCAAATACTCTTCAAACATATCGATAACAAGACAAGATCGGATACAGATTATAGATAGTGTCTACAGTCTACGAGAATCGACAGCCCTCTTATTTATTCCGGGGAAAATGCGGGGACGGAATCTGGGGTAACTTTGACAGAAAGAAACCTAATTTGATATTCCATTCGGAAAGAAAGCTTGAACTTCTGTTGATCTGGATCCACTGCTGGGTTTTCTTTGGTCTGTTTAGACTCGGGATGTTGTTCTATACACCGGTTCGGGGGGTTGAATTGTGCCCGGTTGGAGTATGGGTTGGATGCATAGGATCTCTTTAGTGTCCATGTCAGATCGAGCACTGAGGGAAGAGTATCTGCTCTCTCCTTTAATGTAGCAGTTGCTCTTTGAACTCGTCTTCTCTCATTGAGATTGGTTTCCACATGTTGAGTATAAAATTGAACGTTCAACCTGCACTTCCATCTCTTATACCTTAGACAGGCCGGAGTTACGATCCCCGCACTCCATATTCCCCGCCCCCAAACAATCGGCCAGATATTTGGAATTTGAAGATATCAAAGTGTGCTTGTCTTGCTTCTCGCAGTTGGATAAAGCATTGCATCTATCCGAATCTGTCAAGAGAGCATCCGCCGGATCATTCCGGAACAGTCACAACTCGTTGTGTTCTATTCCTTTCTTGAATAAACGGGTTTATAAATAAAGGTAGAGTGATCCGATATTGTCAATAGTTTGAGTCTGAATGACTAGTAGGTGTTATGGACTGCTGCAATGAGGTTGATCCGCTGCGAACTGTAGGCTGCATGCGCGAGACAGCGCACTGAATGAGCCCTATTTTCTCTCTCGATATGTCATTGATATGATATAGCGGTAAATAATACGCCAATGGTTTCTCTGGACTCATCTTGAAACGATAGTCTGATGTCTGGTCTAGTCAGTGAGGGTAATCAACACCAACAGCAAACATACCTGTCCTACACGATCTCAGATCGCCAATGATGCCACCAACAATCCAGCATCATCTATCCAGATATCTCTAGAATTCCAGATTAGATCCCAATCTCGATCCCCAGATGGTAAACCTAGAGTCTAGACGGTTGGTTATCAGTGGCGATCGTGTCGGGCCGCCAAGCGTGTCGTTTTAGGTCGGACGTGGGGATCCTTCGTCATCATCTCTGGAAACACTGCGAATTGATCAGATAAGCGTGGACAACGGCATGGATTAATTGTAGGATACTCACCACGGTCGGACAATTGCTGCTATCTCAAGTAATGGATCCCAGCAGGGACGGTGGTGTTGAACCTCCCAAGCCCCGCGCGACTCGGCGAACGCCCCGAGCCTCGCGCGCTTGCGAGACTTGTCGAGTGAGAAAGACCAAGGTAGGCAATTCTGGGTATTTATATGGAATAGATGCTGATGGAGTAGTGCGATCAAAACCAACCGTGTTCATATTGTGCCTGTATGTTTTCACAGCAGATTGATGGCATACGCTAAGTGATTCACTCAGATCATTCACTCGACTGTGTCTTTCGAAGTGCTCCGAACAGAGCTTCAGTTGCAGCTGGAAAGAGACATTCGAGGATTACAAAAATCCAACAGTATTTGCCCTGACCGATGGAATGACTGTCAGTCAGCTGACATATGCAGAAATAATAAAGCAAGACCGTCGCCATGGCCTGAAGTCAATCAGAATGCCCAACAACACCTGCAGAATGAGAGCAACGCTGCAGATACCCTCATCACCCTGCATCAGAATGATTCACCGGGCTTGCTACATGGAGGGACGCCTCGGATTTTTCGCAGCGATGCAGACACCATTGCTGGTACACCAGTTCGTTTTGAAAGGAGCGATAATCGAGATGACGGGGTGATAGCGGGTGGGTGCATCACTACCGAGTATCAATGCATGCTAACTCAATAGACACCCCCGAGCTGGGTGATTCAGCATCACGAGAAGGACTGAGTGGCGTCAATCTCCACACAAATGGCACTGAGTTTTATGGCACTTCTTCGAATCTGGCTTTTCTTGGTAATCTCTATGCTAGAGCCCAGAACCAAGCAGACAACAGGACTTTGAATACATCTGAAGGGATTTATTTACGAGATTCATTGCAGGAAAGGAATGCCTTTCCTTCACAACCGTCCAATAGTGCAAAACCGACATCTGACAAGGGACAGCTCTCTATTGTGAATCTGCTGTATAATCCAAGTTATCCAAGTCATTCTCCTCCGTCGCAAGAGGAACGAGATAGAACCTTGCAGCATGATAGCTTGGGGAATACATCTCAACCCACCACTCCAGGTGAGTTCAGCAACCTCATACCTATGCAGCTACTAAAGGGATAAACCGGAATAGCCTCCATCATCGACCAAATATCAGGAGAAGCACAGCTAGAAATCGAAAAAATGTTCATCAGCAGCTACTTTTCCAACAAACACTACATGCATCCCATGCTATGCAAAAGCACCTTTATGCGCCGCTGCGAACACGAGGCTTTCATCATTTCCAAACGTCCCGTCTTTTCTCGCGGATCTTCCAATTTTGCAGGTCTCTATTTTGCCGTCGTTGCGTTGGGCGCCATCAACGCCAGTCCAAATGAGACTTCGCTTTTGGATCATTACTGCACTTATTCACCTGATCCGAGGAAATCGGGCACTGGGGCTAGATACTCGGCGTTGGAGTTGGCGAGTTACTATTTCGGTATCGCAAAACAGGCATTGGGGGATTTATTCGAGAGCTCTTCTTTGGAGAGTGCACAGGCTCTTCTTCTGATGGTGGGTTTGTTCTTTCTGGTCTTTGATTGTGGCTGATTTTGTAGAGTGTATTCTGCCAGAATGCTTTACGACCGCATAGCTGCTTCATGTATAGTGGCATGGCTGTGAGAACGGCAATTGCAATTGGATTGGCATCGGGGATGTCGTCCATATCGCTGAGTCTACGAAAGGAGGGAAGACGGACGTGGTGGTAAGTTACAGTTATCCTGTAGATGTTTTCCGTTGGCTAATATCTCTAGGTGTATCTATTCACATGAAATGTAGGCCTCCTTCCCACTACAGTAAATATGATTCTAACGAAGCAGTGAAATGTGCTGTTCATCCGGCCGCCTAGACAGCATGAAAGAACTCCACTACTACCAAGTCGCCCTGCCAACACTAAAGGTACCATCCATCCATCCATCTCTCAAACACCTACCATCTAACTCATCCATAACAGAAAGACACATCTGACCAAGACCCCGACGCAGAAGACAACTACGTCGCCATGATCCCCGTCATGGTAGCACTCGCCCAGATCATGTCCGAAGCATCCCACCTCCTCTACCACTCCACCAAACGCTCCATGACCGAAATGTCGCAAATAGCCATGTCTCTAGATCAGAAGTTATGGGCGTGGAAAGCGAATATACCTGCCTTCTTAGCACCGGATGTTGCGGCGCTGAATGATCCCGAGTGGGCGTTTAAGCAGAAATTGGCGTTACGGTTGAGTGAGTGCATCACACAGGTTTAATTGTATAGTATAGTATAGTGTCTAATGTTTACTGAAGGGTTCTATGGTACTCGAAATCTCATCCACCGTCCGTTCCTGGTGACATCTACGTCGTCTACGGACTCTTCCCCGGAATTCCTCCAACACGTCCATATTTGTCTTGATGCCGCGAGATCGGGCATTCAAATGCAGCACGAATCTTTCATGCACAGGATCTACATTCGAACATGGTACTCCCCTTGCCCTTGCCCCCTTAATCCTTGCATATACCAGTTTCTAACGAATCAGGTGGTATAATACAACCTACGCCTTATACAGCGCCATGATCCTCCTGCACCTCGTCCTCTCCAACTTCCCCGGCATTCCCGATGAAGAAATCCTCCAAGACGTCGACAAGAGCCTCGAAATCTTCGAGTCAATGGATAATATCATCGTAGCGAGACGCTGCGCGGAAATGATCCGGGGCGTGCTGGAAGTGGCGCGGACGTGTCTTGCGCGACGGCCTGGGCCTGGGCCTTCGTTTCCTGCGTTTAATACAGCGCAGGCGCAAACACACCTTGAACCGGGATTACAGAGTAATGTTGGTGGTGGAGGCGTGGATGAGGATTTCTTTTCTTCGCTGTTTAGTCAGGATTCGCATGGGCAGCCGGATACGCGAGCGGAGATTTTGGCGAATTTGGTGGATCCGGGGATTTTGGAGGATTTTGCTTTTGGGGGTGGTGGGGAGGATTTTTCTTTTTTCTTGTCGTAGGCTTAGTATATAGATGTAAGATCGGTATCATACAAGGAAAGAGAAAACTACAGAAGATAAGTATGCATTCATCATGAATTCATGATCTATTTAGTAATCCCAGTCCGAACCGATTCCTGTCTATCCCAAACCCAACCCAACAAAAGTAAAAGAACTCAATCCCAGAACTATGTACACAGAAGCAGAATGGCAAGGCAAGCAAGGAAGTTGAGTTAAAGAATCGCTTAAATCCAGGGAATCAATTCGTAATCCAGCGGTTTTGTCATCAGTTATAACAGTGAGATCGTCGGAGGTGATCTCAATTAGGTATAGGGTATCATCAGCGCGTTGAAAGGAGGTTATGATGGTATGATGGTAGTAAGTTAAAGAGGTGGAATCGGTGTGTCATCATCGCTGACTGATGTCGCTGGTGATGCAAGGCCTGAAATAACGGATGATGTACCACCCAGCCCACTATCGTGCGAGGGCTCGATCTCCAGCACAGACTCGTCGATCTGGATGCTTGCTGGGACGCGGGTGGTGGGCTTTGCCGCACTGGCCATGAGTTCGTCGATGCCGGGTTTCGCCGGGACGTGTTGGCCGAGGCTGGTACCGTTGTCCAAACTCTCCAGGGAGAAGTCCAGGAAAGGCGCGTATTTCTTGCTGACGCTCAGCGTCCAGCGGTACTCGCACAGACGCAGACGGTAGAACTCGGATTCCTCCTTGGTCGGGGCGGAGATGCGGAGGAGGATACCAAAAGAGCCGATGAGGGAGAAGTTGCTGCGCGAGGCAGAGGGCCAGAAGGAGCGCAGGTGGGGGGGACGCAGTCGGTTGACAAAGTCCATGGCGGAGATCAGGCGGGTTTTGGCGGCGGAGCGGCAGATGTGGGAGAGGTAGGCGTCGGCGGTGTCCGTGGTGAGAGAGCGGATAATACATCGGTGGAGGGTGATTTCGGTGGCAAAGTAGGAGAGGTGGAGGGCGCCATTTCGGGCATTGTCCTCGGTGATGGTGTCGAAAATGTCACCGGCCGACTCCATCTTGAGTTGTGGGGGTAGTCGTCCAAACCAATCCTTCAGTCGGATCTGAGCAGGCTTGGCCCGTTCCAGGATCATTCGAGTCCGGTTGGCGCCCGCGGATTTGAACTCCTCAATCGCCTGGAGGGTATAGAATCGATCGAGAATATCAGAGATAATGGTGGTCAAGGAAACCATGTGGCAAAAGTAAAGAGGACCATGGCCGACGGAAGAGTCATCACCCTCCTCCGCATCCGAGTGGAAGGCATCAGTGAAATCCTGCTCGACAAGATCCTTGACGGTCCAGTTGAACGAAAAGATGTGGGATGGACGGCCGTGGACAAGACATGCCCACTTATCCTGCATGTACAACGCCCACGCCAAGCGTTTCCGCAGACCCTTCTCCCAGTCCTCCAATTTCCAATTGGAACAATCCTGGTGCAGTCCCAACTCAAAGCCGGCCGTGACCAACTGCGCGTTCAGAGCCGATGTAGCCAAGGAAGATCTCTCCATCAGCAAAAGACCGGCCTGGATCGTCGCCATGGTTGCCTGTGGCAGGGAATCCGTGAACATCTTCAAGGCGGTGCTCTCGAGACGTTGCACATCCGGCCGGCGCGCCGATTGGGAAGCGGGGCCGACGTCGACGAACTTCAATGCCAGCACATAAACCGCGCATAGTAACAGAGGCGACAGGCCTTTTCGGGCCCGATAGGACTGGCGAAATGCATCCTCCATGAGAATAGGGAAAGTGGGGTGGACATGGTCAAAGTACTTGTCGATCAGGGTGGCACCGTACGGAGCAACCAGGCTCTCAATGGCATCGAGGGAGACAGTTTGGGAATCCCCCTGCGAGGGGTCCATCACGCGCATAAAGGTGCCGTAGTCGTCGAATTTTCGCACTCGGTATTTGGGCAGAACGCCTTCTTGGTTGTGGTCTAGGGGGATGTAGTCAAGGAGGGAATTTTCCAATTCGGTAGTCAAACCAATCTGTTTGGAGGATTCGGACCAGAATCCAGAGGTCAAGACGTGTTGTACACTGCCGTGCGGACGGGTGTTTTCCTGTTTTGATGAGACGGGGGTGGCGACAGACACAGATTGTCTATATAATTAGTGATGTCCAGCGTGAATGGTACAGACTGGGCATACCTTTTGGCGCATTCGACATCATCCGACTCGTCGAGCTTTCTCTTCTTGGAATCGTTGGGAGCAGACAGAGTAAAAGTACACTCCTGCCGGTGAAAGTCACACGAGTAGCACTTGTTGACCATTTCGTTCATCGCACAGCGACTCTTTCTGCGGAGACAGGCGTCACAGCTTGACCCATCCCGCCCCGGTGCACGGGCGATAGGATTGGCAGTGGGGGGAAGGATAGCGGAGGAAGGGGAGAGCGGAGTGGAGGCAGAAGATGCAGGTTGACGATGACGGAGAAGAGGATGGTCCGCGGAGGAAGGATGAGAGGCAGCGGGAGAGGAGGACTGGATGGTGATAACGGCGGCCATGGCGGAGAGGAAGTAGAAGTAGGACAGACAGAAAGAGAGATAGATAAAAACACGAGATAGAGATATCAATTGAATGTGTCACGAGTGGTATCTCCAGGATTGACCCGGATCTCCACGAATTGAGCTCCGCAAAGAAGGGGAGCAGTATGGGGAGAGACGATAGTTGAAGATGAAGCCGAATGTACGAACCACAGGGAAGAAGCTTATCAGAAGGAATGAATAATAAGGAAAAAGCAAGTGAGATAGATAGATAAAGAGGAAGATATCGGGAAAAGTCGTTGAGATATCAACTGGACTCTGCAAGCGACTGCAGGAGGATGAGATGCCAGATGGTTCGTTCTGTCATTCCTATTATACAGATGTAGACATATAGACAGAGATGTAGACAGAATGTAGACAGAAGATGTAGAGATGTACAGAGAGAAAGAGAGAAGAGAGCGATGACTACGATTATTGATAGATCCGTCATTGGAGGAGCCAAAACGCATCCGACTCTCTCCAGGCGATCATCTCGGCTGCTGCATTTGGAAACGTAACAGATTCTTATACCGACGATTCAGACTGCGTGAAGCAACACCAAATATCAGCAATATTAAATAATAAATCGCAGGCCAGAGATAAGCATCGCCCGCCTGATTGGGCCTCCGATCTCGCTGGCGGTCGCGTAGCGGTGCTTATTACGTACTGGATTCGGTCATCGCTGCTGGCATTACCTAACCAAATCTCCCGGATGGGTGTCGTCCGACAGTTTACTAATTCAACAATATTTGCGGATTCGCAGACTGGAAGGGGATCGATACAGCCTGGAGAGGAGGAATATACTGATTATATTGTACCATGTACCATGTAGTAGTAAGATGACTAGTCGTTAAGGTAGTGAGAGAGTCCTCGTATGGATGCATCAGAAGAAGGAATCACCAGCCAATCACATCCCTACGATAACACCTTTCGTCCACCAATCACCGCCCGCGCAGCTGGTCCAAACCGGTTAGCGCCATTCCCGGCAACGGGGATCGGCCTGCAGCTCGTTTTCCCCACATCGCCCTAGTCCGCATTGAGATTAGCGTGTGCTGCATGGAAGGCGCCAACTTTGTCGGTGATATATGTTCTGCCAGGGATATATGAATTATAGCTGCTCTGATTGGTGGATAGGGGCAAGTGGAGGCTCTGAGAAATGGGAGCGAATCCCTGTTTCTGGATCAATATTTAGACTGGGGTAAGTTTATATGGAGAGCAGGATCATCATTACCTCACAGAAACGCAGTTTGGCTCGAGTGGCGATTGGGCTGGAAAGTATCAGAAAGTATCATTTATCCGTTTTTCTGCTGTCGGTCTGCCTGATCGGATCGACTATTACTAACAGTAACTCGTCTAATCTGCTACAGATCACATTGAACGGATTAACTCCGGGCTTATTATTATCACATGTTATCTATACTCTATACATGGTGATATGCTTTGCTAATAATATGCATGCATACCCTGCAGACTCCAATCAGGTTATCATTTATCATCAATATTATCATCATCTTTTCTGTCAGGTATCATTTTATGTACCTAACCTAATATGTGTGTCCAAGATACAAACTACAAACACCAAAACTCCATGCTATACAAATGCTCATTCAGTAAAGTTCCGCAACTTGGTCAACTCATCCAGCAACTCCTGCAAATCCCCATCCATGATCTTATTCTGTAAACTGGGAATCAACGACTTGGCTTCTTCCGCATTGTCGCAGCACAGACTCCCTACTCCTGTCAGCCCATACCCTATACCCCATATCGTCATGTTTCATGTGTCATCTTCAACATACCCAGCTGTGATCGCTCAAACATCTCCAACTCCGTATGCGAGTTCAGCAGCCGTTCCACCGCTTTGATATTCTCCTCATCCTTGAATCGGGCAAACACCTCAAGATAGTCCAGTGTTTTGGTCAGGTTCCTACACGCACACACCCCCACGTTAGCCACCCATCCTTATCCTCATCTGCCCATCATCCATCGTATGACTCACTCCGGCTCTTCGTATTTCTTGCCTCCCCTCCGCTTATTCTCCAATACCTTGTTGATAACCAGTCGCGCCTCGGATAAGGACAGTGTATGCGTGTTCTGATCCGCGCCGAGTTTCAGCGTCGACGCCGCTTCCAGTTCGCCCTGGGGCAGGGCGCGTTTGCGATGTGTCGAGGGGGGAAGTTGGACGCTCATTGTGGTTGTAGTGGTCGGTTTTATCGTAGATTATACCCGAGTAATTCGTCTCCAGGCCGATTGTTGATGTTGATGTCGTCGTCGACCGGGAAAACTCTAGGGCGGAGGTTGGGGCGGCAGTTGGGGGCGGTAAGTCATTCACCGCCTTACGATGTACGATAGATACGATAGATCGATTCAGATAGAGATACAGACAATGGTTTAAAGTATTCAAGTGTATGAGTAGAGTATATACTTGTCAATCGGATGCTCAAGCCCCAATCCTGCATAAAGGCAAGCGAGCATCAGGGTATAACAATTGACCATCTTCTATAACTTTTATGCAGCAGAATTCCATGCTCCAAAACGCCTCATGCTATGCGATGTCTCGTGTCCGCACTCAGCTTACTCCTTTTTAAACGCCACCTCCTTGGGCAGACGGAAGCTGGCGCAGAACATCTGCTTCTTCGGGCTGACCAATCGCACATTGTGGATCGCCAGCTCTAGTTCCTGGTTTCCACTGCCTCCGACCCGGTCCTCGGGGGTGATCTTGTACCCGATGCGTTCGGAAACACGTTCGCAAATGTCAATGTGGTCGTCCAGCTCGTTCTCCGAGTGTCCAGAGAAACAATACACGTGGATCATCGGGAGGGGTGTAGACGTGTGAGGCGCAAACAGCTCCTCCTTGCCGGCGTACAGACCGGGGAAGGCATCGAGGAACTCAATAGCCGTTGCGGGGAGGTTCATCACGTAGTGGCCGAAGATGGTCGGGCGGTTAAACACCTGCGGCGGAGGCGCGGGGGCTACCGGCTCCTGTTCGTTCTCGGTCTTCCTTCTCTTCTCTCTCCGCGCCTTGGGCTTGATGGTGACAGTCACCGGCTCCTCCTCGAGAAGTGCCTTGGCGGACCAGCGGATAAACTCCCGTCCATCTTTGTTAAAGGGGCTCACAAATTCCTGGACCTTGTTCCTCTTCACGGCGTCCTGCATAACCTCCCACCCGTGCGGGTTGAGGTCGTTCGCCCAGACGAAAATCTTCTTCTTACCAGCCGGGACTGCAAATGGCCCCACGCCGGCCATCACATCACAGACCATCTCACCCTGTCCGAACTTCTCCACCAGCCGACGGTGCTCCGTCTCCAGACGACTGTTCCAGTACACGCGCGAGTAGTCGAAGTGGAACTCGCAGTCCTGCTCGTGCTGAACGACGTTCATATCCTCGTCACCGATCAACAGCTCAAATGGGAACGTGCGGAACTGGCTGTGAGAGCCCACATCTTCGGTCTTGTTGATGACGGTGCGGATGCTCTTGTTCTTGTCTTTCAGGATCTCCGCAATCAGGTACTTGTAGGGTAGGAATTGTTCACGTAGGTTCAAGTGCACTGTTTCGTTAGATCGTGCCAAACCATAGAGCAAAGATGCAACATACAAACATGGCCAACTTGTGTAAATCCAACGGGAGCATCGTGGAGTTCTTCTTCGGGCAGAATCGAAGAGATGATTTCGGCTGAGGTCAACGTTAGACAGTCTCTCTCATATGAACAATCAAACCATACCATAAGTCCAATAATCATAATCCAACTCCAAATCATAAAGCCCCAACCCAACGGTCCCCTTCTCAACAAGCTCACTGATCTTCGGAGACCACGTCGCCGTATCTGCAATGCATACACCAGTCAACACCAGTCTCACCAGCCAATATAAACAGAAAACCCACCATCATGCTTAACATCCTCCCTCAGCAACAACGCCTTCCTAACAACCTCATCCGCCCCCTTCAACTCCCGAATACAATTAAGTCTCGGTAACGCCAACAAATCCCGGCTCTTGGTCAACTCCCCGCGCACCTTGGAGATATCCGAGTTCTTGAACACCGTCGCCGCGGAGAGAGGCACTGTTTTGCGGAAGAACGAGCGGTCAAGGACTCGCATCGCCCGGTTCACCGGGGGCCGAAACATCGCGGGGAGGTCGCTGGAGAGCGGTTTGGATGTGCCGGTCGTGGGGTCCATCGGAGGGGCAGTCTCGAGTGAATGTGTGATATGTAGTGAAACTGGGGTAGGGTGGATTATGCGGTTGGCTGGATGGGCGTCATTTGGGGGACTGGGTTTCTGGGTTGTTGTTTGGTTGAATGTGTCTTTTTTTCGATTGTTGAAATGCACTTTTGCGATATCGGCACGTGATCGATAAGATAGCCCTGTATACATCAATGTCGATAATTCTTTCCAATTAAACTATATAGATTAAGATGATTAGTATATTGATAAATATACCCATTGCTACTTATATCTCCTAGCTGATGACAGCCAGCAAGAATGTGTATATAATGCTACTACATAACCATCGACAACAGAATACCTATCAAGCAACTCAACGCCAACAACAAATAAGTACAAACGAAAGTAAAAAAACCTACATATAAAACCCACATATAAAACCCGGGTATCATTTTGCCAATGCCATAATCCCTATCCATATCTCCTATGGAGGCGAAATCCATCAAGTCCTTTTATCATAACCCCTCAACCCATCAATCAAAGCCCGATCCATCTCCCTCTGTGACTCCAAACTCGCAATCCGCTCATTCAATTTCATAATCTGCTCGTCCCTCTTTCTCAGGGAGACTCGTGAGATGTCACGGCCACGAACAATCCCCTGTGTGCGCAGATCATGTCTATCCACCAGCGCAGTAAGCTCATCTTGAACCGCTCGAGGAAGAACGACCTTGTGACTCTGAAGAAGCGAAAGCACTTGCCGGGAAAGCGATGGCGTATCTGCACTCGAGCTCGGGGAGAAAATAGTCCCGCTGCTACTAAGCCTCGTAGGCGTCGAGGCAAGAGATGGCTCTGGCGAAACCGGCGGAGGTCGACTCGGCTGCGACTGCGAACCAGAAAACGAAAACGACGAAAAAGAAGTACTGGCAGTAGACCGCTTATTAGACTGCGGCGGCGTAAGCGTCCCCTCGCTCTCCTCCATATCCTCCAACTTCCGCTTGCCTGGTGTCGTAAAACACGGAGTCCGCGGTAGCGATGTCTTTCGCGACGCCTCTTGACTGAAATCCGGCTGCTGCTGGCGCTGGCTAGGCCGTTCCAGGATCTGGTTTACTTCGTCGTCGAGCTCCTCGTCCCATTCAAAATCTTCCATATCTTCAGACATCATCTTGGCCTTTGCGCTCGACGAGGGCGTGTTAGGTTTCAGTGGCGGGATGTCGGGAATTCTGCGTTCGTTTGTGTTTGTCTGTGGCGTGAAGAGTCCGCTTCCCTGTCTGGGTGTCTTGATGGGTGTTTGTGTCTGGGACTGAATGAACGAGCCTGAGCCTGGGCCTGATTCGGATCGTGAGTTGTTGATGACGGTCATTTTCTCTCGAGCTTCTGCGTCGCTGGTCCAGAGGAAGAAGTTGCAGCGGCTCTGCTGGGGTTTTTGGCAGGTATAAACTGATTCAATTAGCGTGTCCTTTTTCTGTAAACGTATCAAGTCAAACAATAGGAATCATACACCACCGTCCATGGTTGACGCCATGATTCTTCGTCTGATGCTTGGCTGCTGGTGGTCGGTCACGGCAGTTGCATTTCCAGACCCCGTCTGCGAAGAGACCACGGAGGGGAACAGATGTGCGGGGAGAACCCACGCCACGAGTTTTTTTCTGGGGAGAACTCATCGTATTAAGGCGATGCGAAAGCCAAGAGCATGATGGGGGTAAGGACGATAAGGAGATTCCTCTTAGTCTGAAATGTTGAGATCGTTGTTCTGCAGCTGTCTAGTTTGTCGCTATGGAAACTGGACGTCATAATGTGGGGGGCGGACTTAAGGACTTAGCCCCGTGCCTTTCTATACCTGTGAGCATCACGTACAAGAAGCATAGAAGATAATATTGATTCGATTACTCTATATCTAGATAAGTGCCAGGTGTTAAAAATCCTCAACCACAACACTAATAATGTATTAATGTAATGCAATGCATGCAGTGCCATATCGACCAAGTCTAAGTATATAATACGACTGATATGCAGGGTATCATTGACGAGGCTACCGGACTTATTCAGCAAGAACAAGTCTCAGCATCACCCCGAATGGCTCTAATAGCTTGAGAATCTCCTCAACCTCCGGCTTGACCGGCTCACCTGCTGTGCGGCGAAGCTGGTCCTGTTTCTTGGATCGCCGTCGTCGTTCGGCAACAATAGGGTCGAGGTCCTCTTCCTCGTCCGCTTCCTCCTCATCTTCCGATTCGGCATCTGAAATGGCAAGATCGTCAAGGTCGGCCTGGGTGGAAAGCATGTTAGAACTCAAACGGTCAACCAATAACGATTCAGATATGCATACCTCATCTAGACCGAAGTCACTTCCCTTGAATGTAGGGAAAGGATCGTTTCCAGTTCCTTCAGCGGCCATCTTTTGCCGGGTCTTGTTCAAATGCCAGCGCTTCCTGTCCTCATGCCATACGATGAGAGAGTTGATCTCCTTGAGTGCCTTCTCCTTGTCAACCTGTCCAACGTCCATGGCCCCGTGGAACAACGCATTCATGTCAAGCTTGCCACTGCTGGGTCCTTTGCGCAGGAAATCAAGAATCTCCTCGATCCAGGTCATCAGGGAGCCAAACAGGCCATTGTCGTGAAGGTGGACCTCATGGATAAACTTGTAAAAGTTGGCCTCGTGGCGCTCACAAAGATCGATAAAGGCTTGAACGGTTTGGTTAGGGTCAGCTGAAACATCTTGTCTCTGGCATTTCTCAATCACCGCAACGGCGTCGTCTGCAAACAAAGCGAAATCGGTGATGCTGCTGTATACATTTGCCGACTTGTAAACCCTCACCAACGGTTCGTAGAAGATCGTGAACAGGTCACGGAAAAGTTGGAGTGTCACGGGTTCTTCGACAATGCTGAGCATCATGGCCTTGTCACGCTGTCGGGTGTAAAGCTTCAGTAATTGCTTCATATGCGCGAACCATTGTGCTCCTTCCTTCATCTCCAGGTCTACATTGTCAACCGCATGGTTCCAAGCAACATATGCGTTGAATATTTTTCCGATCTGGTCGGTTGTGAGTTCCGTCGGCAACAGCTCCGATCGAAGGATGGCCACAATGATATCAACATCTTCTACGGCCGCTTCTTCACGGATTTCATTCTTAACAATCTCATCCGCATCGGTAAAGGCCTTCAACTTTTGGCTAATGACAGGGTCATCAACCTTGGAAACCAACGTATCGATTGACTTCTGGAAGGCCTTTATGCCATCGTTCAAAGTCATCGAGAAGATACGCTGCAAAAGAGAACGTGAGCCAAATGGTTGAGCCAGGAAAAGATCCAAGACACCCGACATGACAGCCGCAGGGTTGGCGATACGGATGACGTTCTTGAGCAGAGTGTATGGGACAAGGGAGTGAATCCTCTTGGCTTGTGCAAAGAGTTCTGGGGAGTTGTCTTCTGCCAAGAACAGATGGTATACAGTCGCAGCAACCCTGATACTGGTCAGCTAATATAAAGTCGAAAAGTCCTTGATTTACATACTCAATGCGAAGCCATTCGGCGAATTTTTTGTACTGGGGACTCAGATCCGCGATAGTGGGTTTCTCCCGAATCTCCGAGAACAGCTTGGTCAATCCATCTGTAAAAGACAGGTAGTTAGCAAAGGCGCTCAAGTCTTAATACAAAGATTGACTTACTGCTCTCCACAATATCTCTGCGGAATTTCTCCATGTAAACGTCCAGCTCAGCAGCACGTTGTCTCGCAATCTCGTAGAACCGTCTCTGCTCTTCCACTCTGACAGCATCTGCCTCCTTTCTTCTTTGCATATCAATCTGCTCTTCTTCATTCAAAGTGACGGGCTGGGCAGTCAAGAATTCCTCCACAGCCTTCGACTCGGCGATCCGCTTATTTTGTAGTATCGTGCGGAGGAATGCTCGAAGAGACACCCGCTGCTCTTCTCTATAGAGCAAGGCCTCTCTGGGGACCTCTGACGAAGCTCTTGGCGACTTGGATGACCTCCTAGACGACCTGGACAGAGACCGGTGATGATGATTCCCGGGGGTCAGCGTCCGGGAGACATACCCCTCCTCGGGAACGTTGGTACTCTCTGTCGACAACGACGAAACCGAAGAAGCATCATCGTCTCCAGATGAGAAAAAGCTAGAGGTCGATGATTTGTTCTTTCTTGGAAGAGGGGGCAGGATTTTGCCAGGGAATTCAGTCCGTAGTCTCTTATGAAGCTTGGCAAATTCTCCATATCTTCGGGCCACCAAGACATCAGTCTTTGCGTCTCGTCGCACACGAAGGATAAATTCCTGTAATAATTAGTCTCCTTCCCACCTGACCATGTATTGACTCCAAGATGCTTACTGCATGTTGATGATATCTCACTGTCCGCCTAATGGATGCAATTCGCACAGCGGCCACATTAACATCCCACCCATGGATCGCATGACCCTCCGGCATATTGACGAGCAAACCATTTTCATTCGCCCCACGGTCCACGACTTCCATCTCCGAGAATTGTATCCGTTCCTCGTATCCCGATGCCGTAGGGATACCCGAGACCATCATGAGCTCGACGAGCTTCTCACATTTCCGAGCCAACTTTCTGCGCTTCGTCTCCTCTAGACGGTCTTCTGATGACGATACATGCTTGTTCGCGAAGGATTCAAGAAACTACCACGAGCGTCAGTCCAACGCATGCCCAACAGACACATGGAAAGAAACCCACCACTTGTAGTTTATCCTGCCAAAACTCCTTCTCACGAGCCTGGTCGAGAAACGGAAAGTTGCGCACATGGTGTACAAAGATATATCGGAGGATGGGGAGTTCAGAATCAACCGGGGCGACTTCCCCGACGTCTGACTTGAAGGGTGCTCCGAAGCGGTGGAGGGCGGTAGGTGAGTTCAACTCGGTGATTTCACCGCGGACTTGACGAGCGATGAGTTCGCGCTTGAGATCTGTAAGAAACCATAGACAGTCAGAAAGAAATGTTACTGTTGATGATCAAGTAAGAGGCGAACTGACAGTGTTCTTGCTTTCCCGTCAGAACCTGTCCCGGCGGGGAAGTGTGGTTGGCTTCATTCGAATCCCGAGAGGGATTGTCGTGTTGCGACATCGTAAATCAAGCGAGATGGCAGACGCGATCAATCCGAACAGTATGTTGGCTTCTAGAACGAGACACTAGCAGCCTTAAAAGGGGAGATGTTTCCCGTTGGCCGGAGGGTTTGACAGAATTCGTCTGCCTAAGAAAGAAGACAGAGGGATGACGTTTGGCACCCAAATGCCGAGAGATTGACAACACTTGACGTCCTCTTGGTATTTTTCCCTTTCCAGGACAGCGCTCGATTAAAATAAATTGGGCCAAGCGAGCTGTCAGAAGATCAGATGTATGTATACCTTAGTAATAAAAATGGTGGGGAGGGAGAAGAGGGGAAGTTGAGAGCAAAGAGGGGACGTTCGTGGCAGGTGTCGTCACAAGCTCACGATGACAACACCCAAGCGAACTCGGGCAGAGAAGAAGAGCAGGTAACTAATTACTGTAATGGAGGGGAAGCAGAGACAGAAATAATAAAAAGAAAAAGGAAAAAAAAAAAAAAAAAAAAAAAAAGCAGGACGGATTCGAAATGCAGATCAGCCATTATTACCTGCCGACCAAGAATAGTTAAACATTAAATTAATTAGCAGTTAGTTAGTTGTGCCCTCCTTTCCTTGGAACGCTGCTAATTGACGCGTCTGCTCAGCCCTGTAGTACCAGGAGAGCCCCGCCCAGGCACCCACCAGCCTCTGATCGGCGAGGTTCGAGCCCGGGGAATCGCTGGCTGGATATTATCTATCCAGTATTAAATCACTATTCTTGGGACGAACAGTTATTGGGTACAGCCACTAAGACCCATCCTAAACGGATCTGTCTCATATCAGTCTACTGGGGCGGTGTTGATTGATATTCTTGTACATTTCAATCCTGGCAGTATGGGTCTGCTCTAAAACAATCTAAACACATGGCACCACGGCCAGCAAATGGGTTGGGCTCATGCTCATACCCTCACGTTTTCAACAAGTCGTTCAAGCAAAAAGCATCAGAAGCAAATGTGAAGCAAGGAGGGCAAAATACAAAGATGCGTTTGGAGACACAAGTCATAGTTCAGGATAGAACAGGCAAGGCAGTATGCTAGCCATGTGAAGAAAAAAAAAATATGAGAAAAACAGGCATTGATACCGTGAAAAGATAATAAAAGTTGTCTGACAATCGCTAAGAAAGAACAAAAAACAGCCATGAAACATCACAATGAGTGAAGAAAGAAAGTAAAAGAAACCCAAAGCGCCCCTTGTCCTATATCCCTAAGTTCATTGATCACAAGAATTCCAAGTCCATGTCGTTTGGAATTGGGTGGTGAGGAGCCCATTGCTGGTTCATGTATCCCACACTCTCTTGGGTGCTAAGAGGAGGGAACATTTGGTTGAGATTCCTCAAGCCCATGTGGTTGCCGTTGGACATGTTCATGGCTCCACCAGCGCCCATGGTGGCATTGTGCTCATACAGGGTGAAGTCATTGCCTGTCTTGGGGCCATTGTACCCGGCTTCGTAAAGGTCATGGGCATTCTCCTCAAATTGGCACGAGCTAGGAGAATACAGGGCGACTTTGCCCTGCTGGAAGGAAAGTGGAGATGGGTTCGAGATAGAGGGATCCCGAGAGAAAGAGTTCATGCCTCTGGCCTCAACGGAATGCGCCGGCGTAAGAAGCTGCATGTTCATCGCGGTAAACTCATCGTCGAAGCTTGCAGTATCCAAATGACCCCAGTCGAGATCGAAGTTGAGACTGTTGTTGTCTGTCGAGGCGTTGGGGGAGTTTTCAAAGCCCATCGAGGAGCCCATTAGGTCGGGGACGGACGTGTTGTCGAAGGATTGACGGTTGCTCATGTCCAATGGAATCAGACCATTGGGGTCACCGGCCTCAAGCTGGTTCTGGAACGCGTCGAAATTGAAAGAAAATCCATTGATGCCAACAGATGGGTCCTCATATGAGTTACTTTCGGAGAACAGCGGGAAGTCATCGCCGCCAGTTCGCGTGGGAGGATCCGCAAATGAAAAAGGAGGGTCTTGAGGGTACCCCATGTCGAAGGGGGAATTGGTGGGACCGCTAGCTGGGGTGGAAACAGCCTTGGAGGCAGGGGTTGAGATGCTAGGTGTTGAGGGGGTCGCTCGAGCGGATCCCTTTCTGCCAGAACGGCCGTTATTCTTAGACCGCACGTACACCCATCCGTGGGCCTTTTCCATGTGCTGCTTGCAGTTGCTCTCCCGCTTAGACTGGTAGGTACATGGCTCGAAGTTGCATCTGAACAAGGCGGGTGCCTTGGAATGCTTGTCATTCATGTGACGGTCCCTCTCCTTTTCGGTTGGCCATCCAAGTCCATAGTACTTGCAGGTCGGCTCGGAGCACTTCCAAGGTCGCGAGTGGGTTTTCTCGTGCTTGGTAAGATCGCAGGGTCTCTTGAAGACCTTGTCACAGTCTTTGCATTTTTGGTTGATGTCCATTGGGGGCGCATTCTTCTTACGACGAGCCATAGAGCGTTCAACCCCTTCATCGAGGGACTCGACGCTCAGAGATCGCTTGAAGGCAGGCAAGGCGTTCTCATCATAAGGCTGTCCTGTCCGCAGAGAAACAGACTGGCCGTCCTTGTGGGCAACAAGCTCCGCAGGACGTCCGGTTTTGGACAAGCCACCCTCCAAAGTAATACGCTCAGATGCACTAGCCTTTTCACCAGGCTGTGGGGAGCCCCGGGCAACCCTGGAACTGTTCCTAGATGCATTAATCATTGCTGCATAGTTACGAATCTGCGCGACGAGGTCGAGGAAGTAACCGTTAGTGTAAGGTCTGTCTGTTGGCAATCGTTGATCCCGCTCGTGGAGGTGATGAACCGAAGTATGAAGGCACTGTATCGTAAATTCGCAAAATCCGAGATACGACGCTCTAGAAACCGCGTGTTGCTTCAAGAGAGAAGAATTATAAGCAAAGCACCTAACGCCTGATCCCAAAAATTCACTTACCGGAGCCAACCACAAAAGTGTCTTTTCAAGATCACGCAGGCAGCCAATTTCTTTATCCACAATGCGCTGAGGGACACTCTGCACAAGGGGATGGAATGGCTTTAATCTCTCCTCCTTAAGAATGGGGACCAGAATAAAGCGCTCAATCTGCTTGCAAGCTGCCCAGTTGAGCTGACGTTTGTCTTGAGCCTCGGGTCCTGAGATTGAACTGGTGATAGCTGACTGTGTTCCCTGTGCACTGGAAGAACCAGACTCCAGGTGTTCAAAAGACACTTGACCGGCTTTGACTGAGAAGGGATAAGCAAAAGACTTTTATTGAATAGGCATGGGAGGGTTAAATACCTTTGCTGTTGTTAGAAGCCGACATAGCTTGGCTGCTGCTGACAGAGGTACCCAGTCCGCTGTCAGAGGCGTGGTAATGACTTTTACGGGCCTTAGCCGGAGGGGCCAAGGGTGGGGTGGATGTGCGCTTGCTGTGCTTCTCCATAGCGGTGTTGGAGTCAATGTGAGCCTGTAGGAAGCCTCGCGGAACAGGAAGGTCGTCTCCGGGCTGGCCTTCGTTGGAGTCGGATGAACCAGGAGAGTTGAGGCTGAGGCGACCCAAGATATCAGCCATACGCTGCTCTCCAGCGGCGATAGCCTCCAGACTCTTGGGGCATGTAGGAGAGCGACGGGGTAAAGACCGGAAGCTTAGTACCGGATCACGATCATCCGACGGCGGGGTGCTGGATGAATGGAAAGTCTCTCCTTTTCTCAGACGCACTTCAGGGCGACATGGCAGGTGGTTTTCAGGCGATGAGGAGGTCGAAAGGGAAGGAGGAGCGTTCTTTAAAGGACGGCGGCGCGGGTGAACCCGGGGCTGCTCAGCCTGAGGAGCGGACATGGCTACCACAGCAGCACGAAGTCACAGGGCAGGAACAGGCTAAGCAGGTTAGCGGGAAGGACCAGAGGGCGCGGACGCTGGATAGTTGGCCAGATCACACCGGAGTGACTCACCAGGCGCGGAGTAATAGTTGCACCCGGGGCAAAAAAAAGTTGTCCAAATGATTCAAATGACGTACGGGGAGTCACTGACTCGACAGTCTCCACGGACAGTCAGTCGTTGTGATTCACAGTCGACTTTAAAAGGAGAGCGTGCCCGTTTGCAGTGAACTGAGCCGCTAGTTGAAACACTCACCGTTGGACGAGTTCTGGGATGGACCCTGAGATATATACTATATATTGGATAATTCAATGATCCAATTGCTTGAATAAGGGTCGGATTGGCAGTGAATCGAGTCGCTGTCTGACCGGATCGAGTCGTACGCAAAGACGGTAAAGCGATATAGGATATATCAGATGGGAGAGAGATGTATGAGTTGAAGGATGGAGTCGATGGAAGGATGGGATGAAAAACGACTGGAAGGATTCGGGTATCCAGGAACAGTCGGCACGTATGGACAGGAACGATATAGGGAGTTGGCAGAGGCTATCGATGTGTCCTTAAGGTGATAAAAAGCGATAAATCAGATAAAAAAGAAGTGGACAAGGCAGTCAAAAAAGAACAAGTAAGTCCGGCAAGGAAAGGCGGAGAGAGATGGATGGAGAAGGACGGTTGAGGTTCAAGGAGAGAGATGAGATGATGGAGGCTGTTCGTCCGGCACGGATCTGCTGGCTGAGGCGTTTTTGGACGTCTGCCTGATAGACGAGCTGGGCTAATCCCAGACAGGCAAGGGCGGCGATGAGGGGGGCAGCTGCCATTGGTTGCTCTTGCTGATTGCGCCCCGCTGGCTGGCGCACTATCCCCGATCGGGAACCGGCGCAGTCGGGAGGGTGCAAATTTTGGGCGGTAGAGTTTTGGCGCTGGAATTTCCAACGTCCATAACTGGTAAGGTGGGCTCTAGACCCACTCCCCGCGCCCTTGGCTCCACCCAATCCATCCCCTCCGTATTGATTATACGGGGGTTGATTGGCTGCAGAGACACCAGTGGGGCCGGCTACTGGATGTTCCGAAAATAAAACACCAACAACGGGGTCGGGCGGTCCAACCCCCCGAGTGAAACTGGCCACGATTCCTACTTGAGCCTCAAAACAAGGGGCACGAGTTGCTGGTAAGGGCGAGAAATAATGTGGATTTAAGACTGCTGTAGAGATTTTTCCATGCAGTATGATCTGTCTCATTCCTTACTCAAGTACGGAGTGCCCCATGGAAGATACAGTGGGATGTTCCGTACAGTAGGTGTTGATACAGTACTACGTCACCTTTACCTGGGTTATCACCATGATCATACGGTGGTTTCCCAGTTCTGCGGCGGAATCTGTACATTTGGCCCCCTCTTCCAGACAGGGGTCCCGACTCCCCCAAAGTCAATCCATGCTTGTCTCTTTCTCCAGCTGACAGATGCGTCTGGCCATACAGCGATGGCCCCGTAACCACAGTCCGTCGCATCCTGGAGCCTCATTCCCAGGGCCTCCGACTCTTTTTTGGCTTCGGACTGCTCACGGCCAATCACAGTGCCAGCTTCGCCATAATCTGTCGGTGACTCTGTTTCTCTTCATGACGACAGCTTCACCTGGGGTAAGTCGAGATTTTCAGAGAATCATACACAGGCTACGGAAACGTGAAAGCCTACTCTGCCCGAGATCTGCGTCTGCATAAGCGGCTGCTTCAAACCCTCGAATGTTGGAACTCCGCCACACTGTCACTACTAACTATTGCTTCGCCATTGTCCTCTGGGGCGTTGGTCGCTCTGGCCATTATGATTCGCTTTCAAGCTTTTTATAATATCACTACTTATGAATTAGCCATCCCACTCATGCAACATCCAAAACATCGCACGGAACGAAGGCAGCGCAATTATTGATCGCTGGAAAATGCCAAGCGATTAGATTCGACCGCCATCAACCATCATCACGTCTACCCATCATCCATCATTTCTCGTACAGAATAGAGTCGAAGGTTCATCTGTGACTCATTCTTTTATGGTTGACTCGGTGGTTCGTTCTCGATCGCTGTCAGATCAGAACTACCAAGGATCACTAAGCGCATCTCCAGCAGTCTCGTGTGCCTTGGTAGCCATTTACTCGTCTCTACCGGGACCACGTAACGATCATCTCTCTTGCATCATCCAGCTGGGTATGACTGTTTCTGTGTCAGATACTACTGTCTTGGCTTGCTCAATACCCTGGAACATGCAGCCAGTCTGAATTCAATTCACTATCCTACCCAGGCATCGCCAATATCTGTTCTCAAATCGATGATGGCTCTCCTTGTCACCATGCTCTATCATCTGATGTCGTCAAATCGATTCATGCTGAAGTAATCACAGTAATATTGTCATGGGCTGATTTAGCAATCTCTTGCTGTTTTAACAACTCACGCATATAATAGTCATTAATAATCTTTCATAATTCAGGGATAATTAAACTTCTGCACAGTCAGTTACTTTGTTATAATTGGATCATCACATTACCTGCTGCACATGCATATACAAGATACTCTATTAGAAGACATCTAATAACAATTTATTCAGAGACACGTTTCCTCCCCGATAATGATACCATTATATCACTAGCAACACCAACAATTATAATTCTGTTCACATCTGCAGGTTGACCGACAGCTCACCTGTGAAGTCGTTGATATTGATGACATACGAAGCATGTGCAGCATATGCAGCGATGGTGTCTCGGATAACAGGAGAGACAGATTAATATATCATATTTACAATCCGGATTCCTGTTTCAGTACGAAGCAGTATCTGGTCGATGACTACGGCAGAGACGCCCTGTGATTCTAGCCACCTATTCACCCAGCTCATCGTCTCTATAATTGCAACTCAGAGTCAGGCTGTGAAGAAGAACTCAGGAAGTTGGTGATGATGTCTTTGCATTGCCTCAGAGATAATCGAGCCGAAAGTAATCATCAGAAATACCCATGCCTGAGCCCAGCCCTAACTGAATAACTGCAATACACCTTTGAGTAACCTTGCCTAGGTAGATGGGTTCTAGAATATTTCCTGTTCTGTATGATAAATTGAACACTGAGACTCAAAGTCAGAATTTACATACCTACATTACCTGGAGTATCTAGAATAGTATAAAGAATTTGGCTAGGTACATAGTAGATATACAGCACTGTTCTTTCGGGTTTGGCCGAAGCACTGGCTGGGTAGGTACACTACTATGGCATACAATAGTTCTCGGGCATACAGAGATATCAAGTTCAAAACTTGGCAGTTTCTATGAAGTGGATACCTGGTAGTCTATAAGATAGTTACTATAATCAACCACTTAATCTGATACTATTATTCCCTGATTATTCTGCCCTTTATTGCACTGAATTGTTATATTTAGTATAGAGTGAGATGGCCTGGTGGTTTATCTCACTTTACCAACTACTTCCATTGGCCCATATTGAACTTAATCCCCGACTGGCTTTAGCTGAAGATTGAAGAGTCCACGTCAATGCAGGCCAGTTTGCAACTTTGCAGCCTATTCATCGATTTGGCGTTTTTACAGACGATCTTTGTCGTTATGATACTTTATTTTTAGAGTACACGAGGACCCCGCTGTTTAGTTTAGGTTGTGATGATTCCAAACATAGCAGCGGAGAATAGGCAGAACCTTTTATCAACCGACAGATGAGACATCTTCTATTTGCTTCTTTGTTTCTTTTTATTTCTCTCTTTGATACTGCATAATGCATATAATGTGTTGCCTGTCCAGTGGATTCTCAACTCGGATACTAAATTTGAGGTAGGACTGACATGTTGTGGAGTACCGAGATCAATGCTCATATATATTCCGAGGTAGACTAGAGACGCCGATAAACGGATACTGATAACACTTTCCCTGCTCATCTTTACTTCCAGTAAAAAAACAGAATTACCAACCACGATGAACAGACTGTCATCAACATCCTCGTGCTTATTGGAATGCTGCCCTCGTTCTCTCCACAATCTGATCCCGCATTGACACGCGGAGAAGAGGGAATGAGGGGGAAGTCTTGGCAGTCAAACTGCGCAGTTGATCCATCCACCTTCATGATTCTGTTGGAAAGTATTATACCCAGTACAGTGTAATAGTATCACAGCGTAGCAGTAGGATCTATCCCCAGAATAAATAATCAATATAAGATGCCATCAGGAGATTGCGCTGGAGATCATCCCGTGAAGCTGTTGAACCTCGGCTTCGGACGCCGGCAGAAAGTCGGGCGGTACCGAGATAGCCAGACTGCAGCAATCCCCCGGACTTTCGATCGCTCCTCGAACACCTTGACCTGGTGAACCTTTCTGCTACGCCTTGAGGCTTCTTGCTTTTGTTTTACGGCCGTCGCTCGTAATATGAACTGTTGTTGATTTCCTCTACTCCCTCAGCTTCCCTCGCACTTATCGCAACAGACATTACCCGACGACGGCAATTGGCCGGATACGACAGTTGGTGCTCGAAGATGGACTTTGAGCATTACGGACAGAGCTCCGAGCAGCCTAAACGACGCAGACGCAATGTTGGAAGGCGGAAACAGCGCAATAAAGCTCCAATCTCTGCTCGTCTGACGCTGGACCATCAACTGCCTGGTGCGGTCGGTGTGGTGTCGGACGATCTGGCCAACGACCTCTTCCAGCAACGAGGTCTGACAGGTGAGTGTGATAGCTTCCCCTGATGAGATTGTTACCCCGGCTAATCATCTACGATTGTGACAGGTGCCGAGGATGAAATTCTCCATGTTGCCATCTCGCCGTATACTCCGAGCTACAACTCCGTGGAGGATCTTGCCTGGACCATAATTCCCGTGCGGGTCCAGTCTGCGGAGCGCTCTCGGACTGCCCCAATTCCTTATTCAACAGTCATATTCCCAGATGCAGCAGATACATTGCAGCCGTTTCTGCAAGCGTTGACCAAGCTCGACCCCACGCGCCACTCTCTCCACGCCCAACGTGTCATTGAGATCCGGGTGTTGGATGTTGTACCGTTGAATCTGGATACGGTGTATGTGACGGTTGAGCGGAACCTCCTCCGGAACCACGATGATGTCCAGAGCAAGTTTGGAGGTGGTTTCCCCTCCAGCCTCAACACCCTAAATGGCCTTCGAGGAAAGCCAGGGAAAGACTTGGAGCCAAAAAGGTACACAAAGAAAGCTGCAGCAGAAGCAGAGGAACGACTTACTGCGGCAGTGCGTCAGGCACTGGGAGCGCAGAAGGTTGTGCATACTGGCGATGTACTGCCACTCCCTTTACCGCCGCATCCTATCACCTACGCCGCACCACCTCCGGCGCACATCTCGTTTTGCGAGCCCGTTTCGCAGGGTTTATTGATGCCGTCGACAAAGATTGTCCTTATCCAGGCCCGACCGCATGGGCACCGATCACAAAAAAGCTTGCCACCCCGATCCAGCCTCCTCAAGCAGGTGGCGGAAGACGAGGCGGATGACACTTCCAACGAGCAGTTTTTCTCTGCTGCCGAAGATAAGCAGACAGAGACGGAGATGGAAAGTACTTCGCCTCCCGATGACTCGGAGACTGAGGGCTCCGTGGGGAACGCGAGTGACACTTCTGATGATTCCCTGGAGGATATGATCTCTCTCAGTGCCCCGGAGCTTCCACAGGCGCCATCCGGTGCCATGTCGGCATTTTCTTCGGCTACGCCTCGCGCGGGAGGCCGTCGGGCTGATGGGGTTCACACCCCAGGGTCTGTAGCCTCTAATTTTACATCGGCCACTATGCGCCCCGGTCGTGGCGGGGGCAAGGTCTTCAAGGCGGAAGGCTTACTGCGCAGTATACCTAACGAGCTCCTGCACCCTAAACCACGCGAAGATGATGATGTGGACTCTTTCATCTTCGTGGACATCAGCACGCTTGCCAAGATCGGATGTTTCTCTGGAGACTGGGTGAGAATCGAAGCTACCGAAGAGACCCAGGTGAACATGTTCGCCTCGATTAACCTCGGAAGCTTTAACAACATCGAGGAAGATTCTGGCGACTGGCGTGCTGTCAAGGTATACGGCATAGCTGGACTCCCGTCGGCCAAACCGCGGTACTCCATCAACCAGTCTGCAGAAAGACGCTCAAGTGTTTCACAACGCGCGCCCTTACGCTTGACCCCTTCGGTGTTTGTTCCTCCACTGTTGCTTGGTAACCTCGAAAACCCAAAGTATCTACGGATATCTCAGATGACCTTTGCCACTGCCAACGGGGCATCGAAGCCTGGTCTCCTGCATCAGATGAAGTCTAGCCCCGCCAGAAACCCGCCCCTGGCCAAGGAGGTGACCTTGCTCAAAGTATCTACACCTCTTTCTATGGATCGCGTTCTTCAGCCGGCCTTGTTCGCGGGACTGAAACAGTACTTTGAATCCAGACGGCGGCTCTTGAAGAGTGGTGACCTCGTTGGAATCAGTGTGGATGAAGGGCTTGGAAGAGCCGTCTTCTCAGGAAATGCAGCTACAGATGGCGGAAACCAGGAAGAAGAATTGACCGCCCGATTGGGCCAGGTCGGGGAATCAACCCAGTCTAGAAAGGTTGGCGTTGCGTGGTTCCGCGTGGGCCATGTTGTCCCTACTTCTGAAGAACAGGATGGAGCGGGAGAAGACCAGTGGGGAGGGGTTGCAGTCATCGATTCGGCAACTACGAGAATGGTCCAGGCTGGAAGTGACGTGAGCAGAGTTCCAGGAACCCTGGGCAACGGATGGGAGTACTGGCTTGGAGTGAAGACAATTCCGAAAGCAATCGGAGACTCCCCCAGCTCCCATGGCTTGATCACCGAGCCACCGCAGTCTTTCATTCCTCCATTGCAGGGGCGCATTCGCGACCTGATGTCAGCGGCTACGAGTCCTCGCGCGATCCAACTTGGCATGAAGCCCGTCGTTATCCTTCTCAGATCACAACAGAGAAATATCGGAAAAGCAACGATAGCTACACGGGCTTGTGCTGATATTGGTCTTCATACCTTCCCTATCGACGCTTACGATATTCTTACTGAAGGCGGTGCGAATGGAGGCGATGTCAAGACTGAGGGATACCTGAAAGCAAGAGCGGAGCGTGCTTTCCACTGCGGGGCAAACTGCACGGCACTTCTGATCAGACACATCGACGTGTTAACGGCTGATCGAATGGTTACGGCAATGGCTGAGATTGTTGCTGAAGCTCGTGTTATTATTGCGACTACGACCGACGTTGAGCAGATCCCCGAAGGAATCCGCAGCATGTTTACGCACGAGTTTGAAATGACTGCCCCCGAAGAAAAAGAACGAGAGGGTATCCTCCAAAACGCTGTTTCAGACCGAAGCATCAAGCTTTCCGCCGACGTGGAGCTAAGCACAGTGGCTCTGAAGACCGCTGCGTTGGTTGCTGGGGACTTGGTTGATGTTGTCGAACGAGCTGCTGCTGTGAGAACTGCTCGCTTGGAGAAATTGGCCGAGACTGCTAGTAAGGAACAGCAAGGGTCGAAGGTGAGCGTTCGGGATGTGCTTGTTTCCGGGGGCGATACAGCACGAGGCATCACCAAGGTCGACTTTGACGCTGCCGTTGAAGCCGCAAGGAAGAACTTTGCCGACTCGATTGGTGCACCCAAGATTCCCAATGTTGGCTGGGACGATGTTGGTGGCTTGACCAATGTCAAGGATGCCCTTGTTGAAACCATCCAGCTGCCACTTGAGCGTCCTGAGCTGTTTGCCAAGGGCATGAAGAAGCGCAGTGGTATTTTGTTCTACGGTCCGCCTGGTACCGGAAAGACATTGCTTGCGAAGGCTATTGCAACCGAATTCTCTCTCAACTTTTTCTCCGTCAAGGGTCCTGAGCTGTTGAACATGTACATTGGTGAGTCGGAAGCCAACGTGCGACGGGTGTTCCAGCGTGCGCGCGATGCCCGTCCATGCGTTGTGTTCTTTGACGAACTGGACTCGGTTGCCCCCAAGCGAGGAAACCAGGGAGACAGTGGTGGTGTGATGGATCGTATTGTCAGTCAGTTGCTTGCAGAACTGGACGGCATGAACGGAGGCGAAGAAAACAGTGGTGGCGTGTTTGTGATCGGAGCAACCAACCGTCCTGATCTGTTGGATACGGCCCTTCTCCGCCCCGGTCGTTTCGACAAGATGCTTTATCTCGGCGTGTCCGACACGCACGATAAGCAGGCCACTATCCTTGAAGCTCTGACCAGGAAGTTCACTCTTGACCCTAAGGTCTCACTCAGTCGGGTTGCCGAGAAATTGCCCCTGACCTATACCGGTGCGGACTTGTACGCGCTTGGCTCGGATGCGATGCTCAAGGCGATTACGCGCAAGGCTACGGCGGTGGATGAGAAGATTAAGCAGCTCCCGGGTGGACCTGTCAGTACCGCGTACTTTTTCGACCACATTGCGACGCCGGAGGATGTGGCTGTGATGGTTACTGAGGAGGACTTTTTCGAGGCACAAGATGAGCTTGTTCCCAGTGTTAGGTATGTTTTTACTACATTTCAAATTAAAGAAAAATGCTAACAGCAAGCAGCGCCAAAGAACTGGAACACTTTGAACGAATCCGACAGACGTTTGAGTCGGTTGACAAGCAAAAACAAGAAGGCGACGCTAAAGCGCCACAAACTATACAGGATGCCCTTGAGGCTCTGAACATGGGCAACGAGATTGATGAGCGCATCATTGACGGACCCGTTACGAATGGCGACCATGGACTACCGGTCGTCAAAGGCAAGGGAGCTAATGGACCCACGGCATCTCGCAGCGCGAGTAACCACTCGGTCAGCAGCAAAGGAAAGGGGAAGGGCAGTCTTCGGGGGAAGAACAAGAGCGTGGTAGAGAATGGAACGGGGGGATATGAGGATGTTGGAGAGGAGGATTTGAATGACGGCGATGATGATTACATAGTACGGACGGATCATCTGGCGAATCCATCAGGAAGATCTGTATGAATATAGATTCTGTATATAGCAGTATGATATAATGTTACTACCTCGTGGGTATACGGTCGCAATTGATGCTGATAGAGACAGATAAGAACACACCGAGAGTGGAGCTTATCAGCCCATTAAGTATTCGCATCACCAACACAGCAACTATCAGAACATCGCAATAAGAATTATTGCTGCGAGACGAAACGCCTATCGAACCTTCCACCGTCTGCTTTTCTCTTTCTAGCCTTCTTCTCCGTTCGTCGTCCCCCCTTCGGCCTCTCCCCGTCTCTATCGCTGCTGATCGCCTCGCCTTCGTCCCTCCGACTGGCTCTCGTCGCCTTGTCTCGGTCTTTTCCACAAATCATCGTCTACGATCTGCTTCTTCTTCCATTCCCCGCCCTTATCTTGTCCGAAGTGTTAAAAAAAAAAAGTCGCATACTAGCTTACTCCAACGGCTTCATCTGTCTGGAATTATGTAAATGCTGCGATGATGCTGGATGGATGGTTCTTCCCCGCAACACTGGTGGATCGGAATCCCCAGAGGCCCCTGGGGTGAGGTTGGGACGGTGGATGCCATCATCATTCTTATTATCAGTATTTATTACGCTTGTTCGGTCAATATCTCTCTGCCCTTTCAGCTGAGAGACGCTCCCCACCCCTTCACCTGCAGCTCTTCACCCTTCCACCTTTTCCCTCTTCCTCTTTCAACTCTTCCTTTTTTCAAAACTCGACTTCTCTCTGTTTCATTGACAGAATATTAATTGTCATCGGTTTTATTTCAATTTGTCTTGAATTGTCTCTATCACCGTCACTATGAAGGGTATTGAGGGCGATGACGATGCGCAGCTGGCTGCCATGGGCCACAAGGCCGAATTGAATCGCAATTTCTCCATGCTGTACGTTTCCTTCATCGATTGTATATGATATGCAGTCATCTAATTATTTTCTACAGGTCCATGTTGGGTCTAGCCTTTGCTATTCTAAATGTATGTCATTGAAAATCCCCAACCTCGCGTGGCGGAGGGCTGATCATCTACAGTCGTGGACTGCCCTGTCGGCAAGTTTATCGCTTAGTCTTCCTTCGGGTGGGAGTACGAGTGTTGTCTGGGGTATGTTTTCTTTTTCTGTTGGGTCAATTTGTTGTACTCTGGCTAACATTGTGGTTTGTTTGGTTCAGGTTTGATCACTGCTGGTTTCTGTAACCTGTGTATAGCGGCTTCGTTGGCTGAATTCCTCTCTGCTTATCCTACGTTAGTTTCGATTCGATGGCTTTTCATATATACATGCTGATGGTTGATAGTGCTGGTGGGCAATATCACTGGGTTGCAGCTAGTGAGTATCTATTTTGAATTGTTCCGCCGTCTATTGTCTAACCTAATACTTTCCAGTCTCCTGGAAGAGATGGATGCCTATCCTATCCTGGATCACTGGCTGGGCCAATGTTTCTGGTTGGGTCGCTTTGGTCGCCACCGGTGGGCTGCTGGGAAGTGAACTCATCATGGGAGTTATTTCCATGATGAACCCTTCGTATCAATCTGAGCGCTGGCACCAATTCCTACTGTACATTGCGTACAACGTTCTCGGCTTCCTCATCAATGGGTTGATGAATTCTGCCCTCCCGTATTTCACCAAAGCTGCCTGTGAGTCTCCTCTGTTCGGTATATTTATGGAAGATACTGACATATCCAAGTCATCTGGTCTATTAGTGGTTTCACCATTATCTGCATTACAGTTTTGGCATGCTCGTCCGGTGATTTTAACACTGGAAAGTAAGGATTATCTGTCCTGGAAATACCCAACATGCTGACTGTTTAGGTTTGTTTTTGGTGATTTTATCAACACGACAGGCTGTATGTATAACCATTGCTTTTTCATACACAGAGAAACAAAGCTAACTTTTCTAGGGCCTGATGGACTTGCTTGGTTGCTGGGTGTATGTTTTGTTCCTTTAACGGTATTCAATGATTCTAATTAGTGTATAGCTGCTCCAAGGAGGTCTTGGTGTCACTGGATTTGTGAGTACTCCGACATATACCTTTTATCATTCTCATGCTAACGGACCAAGGATGGCGTCGCCCATATGATTGAAGGTAGCCTCACCGAAAATACCCACCAAAGAACACACGCTAAACTATTGCAGAAATCCCCAACCCCTCTGTCGAAGGCCCGAAAATCATGGTATACTGTGTTATGATTGGAATGGTGACTGGATCCATCTTCTTGGTTGTGATGCTCTTTGTTGCCGGCAACATCAACGATGTGATCGACTCGTCTGCTGGGCCATTGTTGCAGATTCTCAAGAATGCTACCAAGAGTAACGCTGGAGCTATCTGTCTTCTCATGTGGGTTGCTTTACTTTATGCCAGAGATATGTGTACTGACTGAGATAAGCTTCCCTCTCGTCTGCATGCTGTTTGCAACAACCACCATCATGACGACTAGTAGCCGTATGGTCTATGCCTTTGCAAGGTATTTATCTCCCTAAAAGTCTTCTACAATCCCTGTAATAACCATAAACAGAGACGGTGGTCTTCCTGCTTCTCCCTTTTTCTCCAAGGTTCACCCCAAGCTCAAGGTGCCCTTGAACGCCTTGATGTTGACTGTCGGTTTGGTCGTCATCTTCGGCTGCATCTTCCTTGGTTCTTCGAGGTAAGTTCTTATCCATGTTCTTTTCATACTCTGCTAACTAGAGCAGTGCCTTTAACGCTATAATTTCCTCGTCCGTGGTCATGCTCGACATCGCATACGGCATTCCTATTGCAGTGAATTGCATCCGAGGACGCAAGATGCTTCCAGAGCGATCTTTCGTTCTTCCCAACGCCATCGCCTGGATTGCCAATATCGTATGTTGCCTGAGACCATTTTACTGAGACTTGGCTAATAATTCCTAGATTGCCCTCGCATACATCTCTCTCACCACCGTGCTTTTCCTCTTCCCTCCCGAGAAGATCGTCACCGGAAGCAACATGAGTAGGTTGTCCACCCGAATACGCAAGAGAAAGCGCTAACCCGACACCAGACTACTGTGTGGCTGCATTTGGAATCATCTTGATCATCTCAACATTCCAATGGTTTGTCGACGGCCGTAAGAACTTCGTCGGACCCCGAGTCGACGTGGATGTGATTTCGGGCGAGCCATCTGGCCATGCGGAGCCTGAAACCGGCCACGGTGATTATAAAAGTAGTGGGAAGTAATTTGCTACAATATGATGGAAGAAACAGGCTGGTCCGATATCTTGAGAATTTGAGAAATCTTGTATTTAGAGCGTCATCATTCTTGCCCGAGAAATCCACACTGTGTACAATGTAATAGCTGTTTGGCTCATTTGCATCACTACGTCATTGCCACCTGAGGCCACCCACTCCACCCCAACAACAGCACGGCTTCGAATCCCCACAATTTGTTTAGTTTTTGAGATCACCGTTGGGCCTCAGACCACATGGTTATCACTTCTCTGGAAAGTTACATACAGGTCTAGATGAGGTGGGCTTAAAATCCGACGTACCTGCATTATCTTCCATATTGTGCGACCATAACCTTCTTCCCCAGCGGTGAAGTCATTCCTCAACACTATCCCGCCATCAACAAAAACAACCAAACCCACCATGCTGAACTTCTCCTTCCCCTTCTCCAACCCCTTTTCCTCATGGGGCGATCGGACATCTTTCGATATCCCGCCGGTGAAAGTCCACGAGATTGACACGGCCCCGGAAAAGCCCGCCAGGGCATTGAAGCATCTGATCAAGCTGAACCATGTTAATAATTCCGTCTTGTATAATGAGCGCAGGTTTCATAATCATGCGCCTCATGTGGGTTTTTCTCTATCAATGCTGTATATGTTTAATTTGTATAGATGCTAATATTTTCTAGCTGTTGAGTTCGTCCTTCTTGCAAGGCGCCGATGCGGATGATTTGCATCGTATATATGAGACTGAAGCGAAGCTGCTTGAGCCATGGGCTGATTCGCCGGGTGAGATTAGTGCAGATGATTGGAGGGATTATCTGGGACATAGAGAGTATGTTTTTTGTCCCGTCTTGGGCTGTGGATTGGCTGACGAGTGTAGATATCAACGTGCGTTTGTGGACTTTTTCGAAGATGAACTCGTGCGCTTGGGATATGATTGGAAACAGGTTGTTACTGATTACCTTTTCGTGGGTAAACGGCCGTTGTTTAATTCGATTATTGCGGATCGTATGTTATCTGTTATATTTCGAGGAAGGTATCGAGCTGACTTGAATAGTGGGACATCCGTTGATCCATCTAGCTTATGCTTTTGAGATGAATAACCGTGAAGTCGCCATGGAAGCACTCGGTTTAGCAGCAACCTGCTACAGCGACATCCACAAATACCTAGACGACCCATCCTACGCCCAGGCAGAGTCATCCTACAAAACCACCTCTCTCTACGAAATCCTCAACCGAGTCCGCGCCGACACCCAATTCAACCACCTCCTCCCCACCAAAGGAGGTGACAACATCTCCATCATCTTCCGCGAACGCGAAACCCAACTCCTCAACCACTGGAACGCATGGAAGATCACAGACCCCGTCAAACAGTTCCGCGAGAGTCAGGAAGTCGCCACCGCCCTCCTCCTCTCAACACGCTCCAACAAAGACAAAGACGAGCACCAGTACGATTTCTTCCTCGTCCACATCCTCACCACCAGCCACGCCGTCCGCGTCTTACTCCCGCTCATCCCCGGTCGCTTCCAGACCATCCTCGTCCGCCAGTGGTGGCTGATGACGCTGGCTATCTACATCGCCCAGCTCCGTCCTGAGCTCCACACAAACAGGTTCACCAAGTTCGACCTGAACGGAAGAGACTGGCACTGGACTGCCCATATTGCTGTCAAGGGGCCGTGTTCGACTGACGCGCACTATGTCAAGGCTCTTCGAGCATTACGGGAGACTGCGGCTACTTGGGGAGATCCGGAGAATTATTATCTCAAGGCTGCGGTGAAGTTCGCTGAGGAATTTAATGGCTGGGGTGGGTTTAATTAGACGGTGACATGTACTATTTTCATATAATTCTTTTTTCGGTTGAACAAATTGGATATTGTCAACAGTTGGTCATATCTGTTAGTCTATCAGACTGGATCATCTATACTCATGTATTAATCAGATAATTCAAGAATGTATTTAAAATTGAGATTGAAAGTGTCAATTCGAAGCAGTAGAAATAAGCTTGGATAAGCAGTCGTCTTGGCGTCACGTGGATTTCTTATTTTGTTTGCTTTGTTTGCTTTTTGTCTTCCAAAATCCCGTTTGCTTTCGTTCTCCTAAACAGCTTGTCGTTCCTGATAGCTAATCATCACCAGACAGGATATAGTCCAGGTGGAAGTACTGACAGTAGCAGTTTCAGAACTAATCTTGCATACAGCATATCAAAATGTCTCAAGATGCCGATCTATCCCTATCCTTCCATCTGCACGCGGAACTTCTCCCCAACATCCGCCAAGTGACACTCTACATTTCACTTCCTCAAGATGAGAAAATAAACAATCTACAGCCAGAGGTTTCGCTTACCGAGTCCCGACGTGCGGTGACAGTGTCGCTCCCTGAACCGTTCCAGGATGCGGTTGAGACGATCAAGTTGCCGGCTCGTGTTGGTGAGGCGTCTCGGCGCGTCTTGCGGATGGGTAAATTGGGTGGGGATATCGCACAGAATAACAAGACAGAATCAGAGAGAAGGGAATTTTCGTTCAGAATGCCGATTGATGCCGATGAAGTGCCCTTTGTGCCTCGAGAAGAGGTTATAGATGACTTTGTGCCGTGGACTGCCGCAGATATGTCGTCGTCGACTAAATTACGCTGTCGAAAGTGTGGGAATATGATTTTGAATGCCCCGGAATTTGATAATGAAAGCGGTACACGCACAGGGTGGGTATGGAAAGACCTCCCTAGCGGTAATTGGGCCGAGATGATGGATTTCTGGCATTGCCACAAGCCTGATACGCATGAGGACGATAAAGAGCCCGGGGGCGAGGCACAGAATGATCTAGTCAAGGGTTATGGTGCGGCAAACCAACTTGTGGCGATACCAGGGACTGTCCTAGTGGATGTGGCAACTTTCCTGGTCGCACAAGGCGATTGTAAGGGGTTAAAAAAGGTAAGGACGGACTGCGTCTTGTTTCTCTTGTGTTTCTTCATTTATGTTTTGTGGATTTGGGCAACAAGAAGGAGGCCCTTTGCGACAATAGAGTGGTCTTCGATACAATTGCCCTACATCACGGGGTCTTTACTTCTGGAACATGGGCTGGTTGATGAGAGGTTGCAGTAGTTCTGTGATGGAGCCGCTGATGCGCAGATATCCTCTTTACCCAGATGGATTTCGCTCGTCAGTGTTTTCCGCCATGGGCTGTTGCAGTCTCTCGGATTCCTCTCATGCTTCAAAGTATAGACTGTCTCGTTCTTTTCTCCGTTGATTTCAGTCTTTGACCAACCCAGAGTGATGGGATTGACGCGATTAAAACGAGGTACATACCCTTATTCTAAGATTGAGTTGCTCATCTGTACCGGTAGCTTGATGCTGTATTCCATACCTTTGGGTAGATAATGCAGTGTATAGTATTGCAAATGAATATAAATGCCTTCTTATACTTTACTTTCATGCCCATTATCAATGCGAAGCTCACTGATGCATCATTTCTCCTGGTATCAAATCGCTGACATGCGGACATTTCTAGGTTCAAGATGAGAGCTCTAAAGCATCATCCGCAAACACCAAAAGAGTGAATATAACCTGCCAACAATGTGATACGCTTGTAGGCCTGGAAGACCCCATGGCCGATGGATGGAGACTTCTCAAAGCGAATCTCTCCGCAAACACACAGCCAGCTGAGGGCATTGAAACAGAAGAGCCGACTTGGACAAGCCACCCAACGGAGACCGTGGTAGCCGCTCAGCTGCTAGAATTGATTGAGAGAGAAAGCGCTCGAAGATTCGCCGTCCATTGTGGACAGAAGAATGGACTCCTGGTACGCCTGAAGAATGTGTATGATGATGTCGGTGCTGACAATAGCAAGCTTTGGGTCTTCAATCCAGATCTCCGGTATTCCAATTCTGGCGCAGACCACAGCACAACTGCCCAGCGAGGCATGAAGGTCTTCTTTCGGGATACGCCCAATGTCGACGACGTTATCAACCCAGAGCAAGGAAAGGCGTCTTCCTTATCTCTGGAGGAGTTGGAACTGCCATCGAGTATCTTCGCTGCCGTCTCTGAATGCCTGATAAGAAGCAGTGAAACGTTACCATCATCTGCAAGGCACTTTCGAGAATGGAGAGTGGGACTGTTGAATCGATTCGAACGGCCAGGGAGGGGTTGAGGTGGTGTTGGTTGTTGGTGTCGAGAACGCAAGGGTGACTTAGGGGAGACGCGCCTTCCTCTTTGGGGACGAGCACCAAGTCGCCTGACTTTTCCCACTCTCGACTTGACGTCAAAAAGGCTCGACTTCTTCCATCGTCACTGCGTACTTGCACTCCTTGATTTTCACTCTTGCTTCCGAGGGCATTATTTTATTGCTTGGCTGGCCCCTGTCTGTCAAAACGAAAGACACTGAAATCCGCCTATCTGCAAAGCCATGTGAGTCTGATTTCAACACTGAGAATATCAAAGGCTTACGCGCCCCTTTCTTTAGATCTCTGATTCCCTTGACCAAAATGTCCGGCTTATCCCAAGATCCAGCTCGAACAACCATCTGCAGTGATGAAGGTTCAATCACCTGGGAGCACCTAGAGGACATCCAGGACTACAAATCCGCCCCTAAAGATCGTCGACGCACACCCTCTGATGAAGACAATTTTGAATTCGGTGATGGAGAAATACCCCGGTCGTATCATGTCGAGAATGTCCCAGGCCCGGCATCTACGGCGCAAAACTCTCGGAATGCTTCGAGAACTGTGACGCCGACTATAATAGTAATACCCCCAAGCGATGAAACGGAAAGCCCAAGGGAGGACACTAGACGCTAGTGCATACTCGTGATTAGGGCTGCTTTCAACAAGGATGCTTTGTTCCAAGCCAGTGAATGACTCAGGATGCAGCTGCCTTCTTCGAGACGCCTCTGTACTTGATATCTTTAATCATGCTATCCTACGAAGCTCTACGACTGATGAAAATTCCATGTCCGTTGAAACCGCTGGCAGGTTTCTTTTTCTTTACAACCTAGAACAGCAATAGCTTCTAATGGCCATTTAATTTCGTCATTCGCCTACTTAAAATTCATTATACCCGTGATTTATGTCATCATTGGCATGTCGTGGCCGTATTTACTTGGAGTCCCTAGTTGACTGCTTTATGCCTCCCCTTCAAATGGTGTCTCATATGGACGCTCTGCCTGTGGCGTAATTCTGGCGATATGACGCCTCTGTCCATCCTCCCAGTCGAAAATGGCTGAATGAGAAACCACTCGGTTCTGAAGTAGTCAGCATCTCCCTATTGTCATTGATATTAAGACATGAACTTACGTCCCAGACCACGACAGTTCCTGGCCTCCATCTCACACGGGTCTGCACATCCTGCGAGAAGGCAATGTGATCATACAGGAACTTGAGCAGGAAGTCTGATTCTTCCTTCTTGTAACCGACAATGTAGCGGGTGACTGAGTCATGGTTAGAACGATACTCTACATGCACCATGCGATAAGGGATGACTCACATTGTGGGTTGACGTAAATAGCTTTCTCGCCAGTGACCTATAAACCAATCGGATTAGATACTATTCGAATTTCGGACTGAAAATTAACCTACCGGGTGAGTTCTGACAATCGGATGCTCCGACGTGATGGGATCACGACGGGCAATGCCTCCGTTGTTCAAGCTGTTGTTGATCTGCTCCAGGCCAGAGTGAACAGCCTTCAATCCATGCAGTCGCTTACGGAACTCGGGTGACAGGCGTCGGTATGCCTGAGCCATGTCGCAGAACAAAGTGTCGCCTCCACTTGTTGGTCCATCAAGGACATATAAGAATGTGGTACCCGGGGGCTGTTTCTCAAAGGTGACATCGGAGTGCCAGGTGACTGAGTTGGTACGGGTGGCCAGAAATTGGGAGCCAGTTCTGTCCTCTGCTCCCCGGTGGACGAGGTGGATCTCAGGGTATCCCTTGGGGGCTCCCGAGGTCTGGTGAATGTGGTGTCGACCAAAGTAGCCACCGAATTCAAGGGCCTTGTCGATAGGGAGATGGGCGAAGTCCTGGTTGCGGAAGGCTGGGGCGGTTAGAAAACATTGGTCTGGCCAAGGCATATCAAGGCATTCATTGACTTACCGACAACCTTTCTCTGGGCGACATATAGAGCCAACTGGTCTTTACCCTCTTTGGTCAACTGGCTCAACTGGACACCGTTGACCTCAGTACCAATAGTGGGAGTCAGGTCGTCAGTCTCTGCCTTGCCCTTGGGGAGCAGATCTGGGAAGGATGGGTCGGCATCCTTTCCATGGTCATAATGATCGAATAGGGTCAACGGGGGGTATCTAAACGATGCTATGAGTGCCTGACCAAGAGCCAAAGATGGAAGACGACTGAATACATACCTCTCTGTCTCATTATCCCAGACGGGGAGGTAGTTGGGAAAAGACGCAGGTGGCTGCTTCGCCGTGCCTTTGATCTCATCGTTATGGGAGTATGCTTCGCCATATCCGATCAAGTTTTCCTTGTTGAATCCGGCATCGGTCTTGAGAGTCGCCACCGGTGGTGCGCGGACAGGAAGAGTTTCAGTCAATGAAGGGGCCATTTTGGTTGGTTGGTTGATACTATTCAGCTTGCATACAAGTACCAGCAACTTGGGCCTGAATACTGGGGATCATGTCGCCAAATATACCCATTCAGGTCTTCTGCTCGCGCAATATCTGCGGGGTATGTCTATTGATTATGTGAACTCACTGCGGGGGTATACAGAGATATCAAACCGTCTCTTGGTTGTTACTTCAGCCATCGAGACCTCGCACAGCACTCGTTATGCATCCATTTTATGGCGTGATATAACGATTTGCGGCATGGAATTGGCTTTCGAAACTGCTTATTCATCTTCATCCTCGAGGGATCTCTACGGAATGAAGTCCATGGCGGAAAAGAATCCAGGATGTGCTCATCGAGCACGTTATGATTGATTGTAGATGATTGATAAGCCATGGTTGGCTGTCGCTTAAGGGAAGGTGTTGGGAAAGGTATGAAATGAAATATTTTCGAGTAAACTCCCTGTTTCCATTGACTAACTTGCTTCCAACTTGCTTCTGCTTCTGCTGCGGCTTCGACTCCGATATTGCTTGTTCTTTAGTGTTGTGTCGGCAGTTGTCTCTACAACCTCCACATCAAACGGCAGTAAAGACAGAGACACCCTATCCGATTCCAGCTGTTCATAATCATTCACAAGTAACGATCATAATTATTTCCAACTTGCTTCAACGTCCTCGAGAGTCGAGTTGGTGCAACCTTTTTCTGTCTGTGCGAAGCCACGAACGCCAATTGTCCTCCAGCCAAGTATGGCGTGATAATCATCCCCAGTTGCGCAACGGAGGAATTGCGATCACGCAAAAGCACTCTTGTTTGGCACTAAGGCAGCCTTTTGGGGGCAGCAATATGAATCCAAATTAAGACATCTCGAGATAGAGACAGATATTGTCAAGTTTATTTCAGTTACGGCGTTGGTGATGTTTCCAAATCTCCTCACCGGTCGTGGGCATACCCAACACTTATTGCGATAGTCAATGAAGATGGCAATATTGGTACGACGAAGAAACAGGTTTATGTTTTCCTTTGCCGTCCATCAGCAAAGACCAATGGGCCTCGGTCTGGATGTTGTGCTGCTGCAAAAAACACCACCTTGACCTCCGATGACGAGATAATCCGTCGTCGTCGCCTTGTTATCCACCACACCACGTTAATTCCATCGCGTGTAGTTGTTCGGACAAGATCCTGCAGGGAACTAAAGACATCCCGGTCCCTTATTTTCAATGCGACTTGTTTCCCATAGCGTCACTTATGTTGGTTTTGCGTGATCGAGACGATCTAACGCCACCAATTCCAACCGACCTCCTTTGTCAAACACTAACAGCTCGCCATATTCATCCCAAAGAAAGAACTTCTACGATAATATCGGTTTTCTTGTCTCTCATTGGGTGTTTTGAGATGAAACGCGACTGCCGATGGCCATGCTGAACTTACTCGCCAGCAACTGCCTCTTACCCACAGTTAAAACATCATCTGCCAACGTCAAGCTCCATGTGGGCAGTTATCCACTTAATCTGGGCAAACTAAATGTCAGATGGATCGAGAATGGCCATGTCGGCCTTATCGTCTATATCTAGAAATTGCGTGACGGAGAATTTCCATGTTTATCTCTTTCCTGATACCGACAGCCGCCCTTTATAGTCCATGGTTTCCTCCGTCTGTTTTCTTTGCTTGTCAGTTCACGATAGCAACACCGTGTGTTTCACTTTACTATAATCAGATCTACTGCCGCAATGGCTATAGAGGAGACAAACACGCCTGGCGCTGGCCAGGAGAGTTACGACTCTAAAGGCCCTCGCAATGTCACAACTGCGACAGGGTCTTCTTCGTCGTCCTCCATTTATGAGCCCAGGACAACAAAGGGATTTGACTCTGCATTCGATTCGACCGAAGACCCGAGATTTTATAAGCCGATCGATACATATGAAGGAATCCATCGTTGGGATCCAGAGTTTGAATGGACTGAGCAAGAAGAGACAAAGATAATCAGAAAGGTGAGAGACAGTATTCATTTTCTATGCTTGGAACATAAATTGACTGTAGCAGATTGATTTGCGCGTCTGCACATTCGCATGCGCAACATTTTTTGCGCTTCAGTTGGATCGAGGCAACATTGTTCAAGCAATGTCGGATAACATGCTGGGAGATTTGGGAATGAACACCAATAACTACAACACAGGCCAAACAATCTTCTTGCTCTGTTTCCTTTTCGCAGAACTCCCGTCGCAACTACTCTCCAAGGCTGTTGGTCCGGATAGGTGGATTCCCATTCAAATGGTGTGCTGGAGTCTTGTCGCAGCTTTCCAGGCATTTGTCAAGGGCAAAAACTCTTACTATGCCTGCCGGGCTCTTCTTGGTCTTCTGGAGGGTGGATTGTGAGTAACGCGCATTTATGTCTATGGAGAATCCTGGCTAACCTATGCTAGCATTCCGGATACGATTCTTTTCCTTTCGTTCTGGTATAAATCCAAAGAGCTTCCAATCCGATTGAGTTTCTTCTGGGTCTGCTACGAGGCGACGGCAATCGTGAGTGCGTTTTTGGCATTTGGTTTCCTACATATTCGACAGAGTGATGGCACTGGTGGCTGGAGATATTTGTTTGCATTTGAGGGTTTGATCACCGGAGTCATTGGTATCATTGCCGCATTCTGGATGCCTGCCGGGCCTACCCAGACCAAAGGTGGCTTCCGTGGTAAAGATGGATGGTTTAATGAGCACGAGGAGAAAATCATGGTGAACCGAGTCCTTCGCGATGATCCCAGCAAGGGCAGCATGCACAACCGCCAGGCTTTGACACCAAAGATGTTCTGGCTCGCTTTGTGTGACTACGATCTCTGGCCCATCTACTTGCTCGGCTTGGTTTGGATGATCCCCAACACCCCGGCAACCAACTACATCACACTCGAGCTGAAAGCCCTTGGATTCAGTACTTTCCAGACAAACCTCTTGACTATTCCGGCATACGTCATCTTCATTATCATGCTCCTCATTGTGACCTTCGTTTCGGAACGCTTCAACCAACGGATCATTCTCGGTGTTTTCTCTGAAATCTGGTGTTTGGCCCTCGTCATTGCTCTTGAAGTTCTTCCAGCAGATGCTAGCACATGGGGCCGATGGGTTATCTTGATCCTTCTGATTGGTGCCCCATATGTGCATGCAATTATCGTGGCCCTGGCATCTAGAAATGCTGGTTCAGTTCGCACGCGAACCGTTGCTACGGCCTTGTACAACATGACCGTTCAAGCCTCTAGCATCATTGCTAGCAATGTGAGTGTGATCCTAGAAAATGTTGCTACCTCTATATTAACCATTGGAACAGATCTATCAAGACAAGGATAAGCCGCTCTATCGCACCGGAAACAAGGTTCTCATTGGACTGGCCGCATTCAGTCTGGTACTTTTCATTGGAGCCAAGTTCTACTACATGTGGCGCAACAAGTATGTCTCTTCCTCTTCTACTAGAAATCGCTATAATTTCTGTGATTGATTTGATACTAACGTTTCTTGCTCATTACAGGCAAAAGGCGGCTATCTGGGATAAGATGTCAAGCGAGGAGAGAGAAGCTTATCTGGCTGCCAACCTGGATGCTGGCAACAAGAGGTTTGTATTCCCCATCCCTTTGCGAGAGAAACATATCATCTAACCAATTTTTACTTTAGACTGGATTTCCGATTTGCGCATTAATGTCGAGATGAGAATGAGAGAAAAAAAGGAAGAGAACCAGCTGGATCTGGAGCTCGGTTGCCGTTAATGGATATCCATAGCGAGATGCAGTTAATAGAGTGATATAATCACATATAGAGAGAGAATGAGCAGTCAATTCTTAATTCTCACCGTTTCCCAAACACACTTAGTGAATCCACATTATATCATCTTCATCATTACTCCCCAATAACATACTCACACCCGTCAGCCCCAATCCAAACCTCATGTAACTTTCCCGCCGGTACATCAATCCTAGCCCCTACTCCGAACGTCTCTTTCTTGACTTCCCCATCGTGCACGCCAGCATTATCTTCTGGATAGGTAACTGTGAAAGTACCACGACGGATGAGATGTGTCGTGACATCGGAATGTGTGTGAGGGGGGTAGTGAGCATTGCTATCAACTCAATATTAGATATCATCCTCATCTAAAGTAAGATAGGTAGTATATAGGTACTGACCCTCCATCTGCCCAGGTGAAGACATGTGCGAATCCCCAGTCTCGGACTAGACGCTCGCATTCGCTACGGGTTCCGATGGGATAGGTTTCTGGCATTTTGAGATGCGGCGGCCTTTCTGTATAGACGAGAGACGAAGTTGTTTATAATGCTTTTCTGGTGGTTTGCTGTGGATTTGCTGTAGACAAGGTGGGGAAGAGATGATGACGTCATTTGACTTGATGTCGATTAGGACGAATATTAATTAAGGACATACTCGTACTGTCTATATATAATTGTCAGTGATATAATCAAACAGATAGCCCTTCTACCCTCCAATACTTTCTCCTCCACCACAACGGCGCCATAGCTCCAACAGCCACCTTTCCCACCAGCATATCCGGTTCATCATCGCCCACAAACCCAGGCAGCAAATCATGAAGATCTCGGTCGTCCAATTCTCTCTTCACATCTAATGTCGGCATGTTAGCCGTTAAGGCAGCCCGATTTTCATCATCGCATGGGTATCCAGCGAATCCGTACAGCCTATCTTAACACTCGCCCAGGCGGATAACACAAGCAGTGAAAAGAGATATAAACCCAGAAGAACCGATATGCCTGTAACGGAAGCAGTGGATATCTTTGGTTTTGACACATCCGTGCCCTCATCAGAATATGTAGACAGTCCGTTCCGCGAATCGGTTTCTGTGTCAAGCTGGCTGTATATTATCTGATTTGCCAAAAACGCGGCATTGTTAAAGGTCCGTCCAGTATTACACTCCCATGTCAGAGCTTCGAGCCAGGCCTCATTTCCTTTGGGTGAGTTTTGTGGAGTGCTGCATTCATCGTTACCCAAGAGAAACATCAATGGTGCGTATTGTGTGCAGAGATCGCTCGTTGGAAGGTACTCCCCCGTTACGTTTTTATTCTCATTTTGCACGAAAGAACCAGCACTGAACAATCCCGAGGCAATAATACCGAGGGGCCCCTTGTATCTCACGCTCTCGTAGATGAAGCTCCGTTCCAGGTGAAACCGATGGACTGATTGATGTCGTCTCGACGGAACATATAGCCATATTCACTATTGATGTCCATGAGCGAATGTAACCTCACCCACAATGCCTGAAATTTTTCGAGCTGCGCGATACCAGCGCTCACTGTGTTTATCAATATCCTCTGGGTTTGGCCCTATAGCCGGCATCGCTAATGTAAGATTTAGGGCGGGATGAGTAACTTGATAGACCCATGGGTCGATGATTGAAGATGCACAGAATTGTCCATGCTGTCAAGGCAAGGCCAATTTAGATGAGGGCGAGGATGAAAACGTAACCGCGAGGCCAAAACGTGATGGTCAAATCTTTGATGTCTTTAGAACGAGGGAATTTGTTGCTCAACGGTTTGCTGTCGCTGGGACGATTGTTTTCGATGGCATTTTGGTGGTTTGAAGAACAATAACTGGATAGGGGATAAGTGGGATAGATATGTTTCGTTTATCTGCAATGCTGAGCAACCAGAAACCCAACCAGAGTCCACTATGTGGGTACAGTTGGGGGAACGAGGCTGCGTGTACGAGGCTATGAATCATTCCAGCCTTGTCACAATGCGCAGATATAGCATTCTATACAAAATTTGTGGAGCGTAGTCCGCAAAGTAATAATATGGCACTTTTTATATGAAGGATCTATTCCTGTTCATAATGCGTTCTCGGTGCTTCTTTTGCTATGGATTCTAGAGCCCGTGGAGGATACTCGGCTCTAAGTTATAAGAAACGCATTTTTCAGTTTTGTCTTCATTTAGAGTGGTTTGGAGGGAAGGCATTAGAGCACTTAACAAATCTAGCTGTCTCCGGATACCCAATCAGGGGAGCATCTTGATATCTGATGTGTATGGCTGATGGATTGTGGAAGAGAAGATGGCGGTAAGAGAGACGAAGAAAAGTGGGAGGTCGCTGTTGCCGTCTTTCCCTTTTGGGAAAAAAGATCACGGGGATATTCCTCGTTGGATTTTCGACTTTCAAAGCTTTCATTATATTCCCACTTCTCAGATATTATTATTATAAATACAAGAAACCAGCAACCCATCAGCTATACCCAGCACAGCTTCTGCTGTTCCCAGTTTGCCTCCCAAATAGTCTCGACCATTTTCCTGGCAAGACGATAGTCTATTCCCACATACGCTTTTATTCATTTCAAGCAGAAGAGAGGCCTCTCTGTGCAACGCTGCAGTTGCCATTGCCATCTCTGTTCTATCCAAAGCTCTTCCATGAGCTGCTTCTCTGCAAGAAGCGAAGACATTCCTAATGGATGCCGAGCAGTTGTTTGGCTGCCTTTCAAATTGATGACATTGGCGTATCCTCTCTCTCCTCTCATGAGTGAGTGGCCGTTTCTCTTCATTATTGATGAGAGGTTCTTCGGAGAAACTGACTAGTATGGCATTAGCATTAGGGTACTTCAATAACAAGAGGTCGGTATGGGGTACTGGGTCCTTACCACAAACTTATTCAACATGCCGTACCGCAGACATGACAATCTTTCCCCGGGATAACCCAGATCTCAGCTCCGTTTGCGGTGCAACTTGGACAGCGGACACCGGGCATCTAGGAGAGGTTCAGCAAGGCTTCTGGAAACTAAAATTTGTTCCAAAGTACTCACCGGCATTGTGCTTATGATACCGCCAATTCCTGATAATGAAGGCTCAATAGAACGAACTGTGCGGATGACACTGGGTGGTTGAGGAGAAGGAAAAGCGTCAAAGTCGAAGTCGGACATGGCCAGAGTTAAGGTTTTCGGGGTCAACAGAGTTCGTTGCACTTTGTTTTTGATGGTGAGCTTAATTCCTTCGAGAGGGCCGAGGATCGCTTCTTTATATCTCTCCAGCAGGGCTCAATATTTCCGAAAAATCTTTATTATTATTAAAGTTCAAGGCGACCTGTCTTGAGCTGTGCACAATCGCGATCGGGAGATCTTCACCCTAGCTTCGATCTATTGGAGGTCGCGGTTGGACTGGATTCAATGCATCCAAACATGATTCTACACCTTCCCTAACAAACAAACTTGACATGTTGGAAAGAGAAATAAATTTCCTGGGTGACTCGGAAGTTCCCGTTGATCGGTATGACGAGCATCCTGCACCCTTGCTACAGGGAACTGTGGGAAGACAGGATCAATCTTCTGCACGAGAGATACGTGTTCAAACTCTGGAAGATGGACAGACATGTCGAAGCTAAGGAGCAAACAATCTTTCTGGGAGGGTTGCAGAGATCAAGTTTGGGATTGTCATAGGCCATTGCCAGCGATGCCAAGTTTTGGCGCCGTTAACGCTATTCGCTATGGGGTATGGGCGGATCAGTGCATCATATTATGGACGGACCATTTTATGACTCGTTGAAAATGATGGAGACGGTCTATTAGGGCGCCGTCGTGATATCTCCAGTGGTTTATGGGAACGGTTTCCGCATCACAATCACAGTTTAATCCATCAGGGTGATCCAAATGGCCATCAACGTATAGGTCATACTTTAGCCAAATCGACGATCACTAATACGTATTATCCATCGAGGCGACTACGGCTTGCGCTAAGGCGTAATCCGTGCGTCCAGTTTCACATCGAATCTTGACATTTCTTTTTCTATCAATCAGCTCTAGGCCAAATTCATGTTGATTGGTCGTGTGCGAATTCCCACATTGATGTACGGACGGAGTACACTAACTGCTGAGTTGTCGGCCTGCCTCGGTTTGAAATAATAAAAAATAACAGACAAGCTGCAGGCCAGGGTATGCAGCATGAATGCCCCATCTTCTAAAGACGCTGCCTCAAAGGACCACTATGACTCGCAGTTTCGAACAGGAATTTGGAATAATAACGGATCAATACTCCATATTGTAATTGATTCGCACAGCGGGATAGAGGCCCACTACGAGCGCCCATCGTTTGCGAAAAAGCTAGCCAAAATTAGCTGCGAACTTGTGAACCTCTGGCGAAATCATCTTTAGTTTGTTGTCATCGCCTAAATTATATTCGAGCTGGAACCTGGATGTGTTCTCGTTTTGCCCCTCTCTCCAGCGCCATCCCCACACTCATAATTAGGGGCTTGGTACGTCAACAACCCTACGGAGATAAGTCAAGCCTTAGAATGGGGAAGAAAAAAGTGGTGTCGATCAGTTGTCATTCCTGATTCAAACCCTGGAAATTCCTGCAAATAGCCGAGATTGTGCGTTAGTGAGTGTTGGACATCTCAGAAGTCCAACTGCATTATCACCGTATTGAGCGCGATCAAAGCCCCTCCCGAGCTCTTACATTTTCAGGGCTCAATAATAGTCCAGCCACCTGCAGGCTGCAAATTCCCTTGGATTTTTGTGAAGCTGAACCTTATCAGGGCCCGGGGTATTAACGGATCAACTGCGCCGTCTTGTGTGGTTTGCCCCACAGCCAGGGCTGATCAGTGTACTGCTCACATCGAGAATATGATAGCTAACAAACTGTGGATGCGCAGATTTTTTACAGGTTCCTTTGGCAATTTCTCGATAGGGGGTTTGGTGTCCACTCACATGGCCTCCCTGATCCAGGTTCTCCGTTTGGTCCTCGCATTCCTGGGAAAAGCGACGGGGTTACAGGGGTATGGCAAATAAGGCGGACCGAAACGCTGGGTCTTTTTTCGGCTTTTCTGCGTCCATCCAGCTCTGCATGGATTTGGAAACTGGTGGGTTCAAAGAATCCTAGTCCTGCTTTCCATGAGTTCCGAGTAGGGGACCACTTGGTTACGATGAATTCGAGACCAAGGCATCAATGCTCCTAAGGTCCTAGTTGTCTCCAGTCTTTGGGCCCCTGTGTGTAGCACGGCACAAGTGTTGGACACTATTTGCTTTTCTCAACAAGCATCAATAGTCGTCTCAAATAGGTATATGACAGGTCTGCTGGGGTCCAGATTTTGCCTCTTGTCAACTTGCGAGCCAAAATAGCCGCAGTTGAACAATGCGATACCGTCAATCGGCCCCGCTGAACCGGCCCGTTCCCTTGTAAAAGGAATTTAGGTGTCATCATGGCGACATGGACAACCCTTGGAGGAGAATGGGGAAAAAAGCAAATACAGATACATTCTGACGCACGCCACATATTCTCGAATTGAATACGGAGATGCATAACTCATAATAATGGCGGATCTGAAACCAACCATGCATGGATGTGCAGGACCGAATAGATTTATCAATCATCGTCGAGTGCGGACTACGGACATAAACTCCGTGTGTCTTTTGGGATGCTGAGAGTTGGAATTAAGTTTGAAGAGTCCAGTGTGGATAGCTGTGGCGAAGATGACTTCCCCTATAGGAATCTAAACATACATCGAGTTTATAGATAGAGTCTATGCGTTGCTCTGACTGGTCATGAATGCTCGGTAGATGAATAGACTATCCCGAAAACTGCTTCAAACCGAGACTTCATTCTATGGTAGGTTATGGGGCCTTGTGCATGCGCTATTAATAACAAGCGTCGAAAAGCTTGACTTCCACCAGGCTGGGTCGATGCAATGTCATAACCTACCTGTATACGGGAACGAGTTCCACCAATTCTTCATGTATCAAGATTGCCTCTGTCGAAATTTATCGCGTATACAGGGTACAGATTACATGTATGTCAGTTTATACGTCAGCTGTTTCGGTGTAGCCGGTGACACTGCCGGTTGCATATTGCAAGACAAACGATGGCCCAATAGCAACAAGGCTTTCAAACAATCTCGAATGATCCAAGTGAAGCTCGATCAAAATATACCCAAAAAAAAAAAAAAGCAATAGTAATAAAAAATAAATGCAATGCAAGTATATGCTCCACATAATATATTTAGTGTAACTGGTACCCTCCCATCCACCAGTAGCGTAGTAGCACATTGTACCAACTACCAAGCTGTCCGAGCAAGGCTACAGCAAGCAAGCGGGCAGGATCAACGGATCAACGAGTCAACGAATCAGTGAATGTCCTTGACGATTCTTACCAGCAGAGCGCCACCGGATTTCTGGCCAACAGGGTCATAAAGGTGGATAATACGGTAGCCCTCCTGCAGACGATCGAGTTTGATGCAGGCCCATGAGGCCGTGGCGTTTCTACCGATTGCGTCGTCTTTGACTTTGAATCTAGTGTCTGTTAGCCGGTTGATCGATTGATTGATTGACGGATTGATTGATTTGATATGCTGGGTAGTGGAGCTTGACGGAAATGGCCCGAGAAAAAGAAAGAAAAAGAAGGGTGAAAGAAAAACGGGGAGTTGGGACTTGGGTGGGTTGCAGGTGTCATGTTGTGGGTTATGGGATACGTATGAGATATTCGGAATGCAGGGATCTCGCTAATTGGTTTGACCCATCTCTTTGTGGTCCGGTTTGAGGTATGACGAGGATGGTTGAGTGGAAGGAGGGAACAAACAAAGCAAGAGAGGACAAAGAAAATGAGAAATACTAACCGGACAAAGCTCAACTCCTCGTCAATCCCGGAGACAGTCGGGAACTGCAACTTCTGTTCACGGAAGTCGGGGTTAGATCCTGTGGAATATTTGATGGTACGCTTATAACTAGTCTTTTCAGCGTCTGTGCTGTCGTCCTCGGAGGGAATGGTTGCATCTTCGTCCGGTTGCTCTACGTGCAAGGAGCAGCTCACGTATGGATGGAAGCTCTTCTCCTTTGTGTGCCCGGGGGGCAAGGATATGCCCTGGCCTGCGAGGACCTCGATTGTCAGATCCAACTTTCGATCGACGAGGGCATTTGGCTTTGTCTCGGTGCTCTTGTAGCCTTGGGGCTTGAGAACCCAGCCCTGCTCGCCCGCAAACATGCCGTGGTTCAACATCATGCCCTTGTCCAGGCTCTGCCAGTTGAGTGCTACGATCTGAGCACCAGTGCGCCAGAAGAAGGTCGGGTCGAGATTAGATGAGTTCACACGCAGGCCACCCGGGTAGACGCGCATGAAGAAGTTTCGGTTGTGATTGAACAGCGCCTCGCGCTCCTTCGTGTGGGCGTTCTTGGCTGCATTTTCAGATAAAGAAAACACGTGGTCGGGCATCTTGGCCTCTGCGATGGAAAGTAAGTAATAGCATAATAAAAAACCAAAGCTAGTCTTACCTGGCTGCTCAAAATGGCTAAAGTGGAATCCTTTAGTATAGACGGCCAATCGACTGAGGGCATGTAAGGTCTTGGAAGGCTTCTTCGGGGGTGCGGCAGGTGCAGCAGGCACAGCAGATCTAGCAGCTGGAGCAGTTGGAGCAGGCGCAGCAGGTGCAACAGCTGTTTTGCTCGTCAGAGTGTTCGCCCCAGCCTCTTGGTTTTGGCTTTGCTGTCGTTCAATGGGCTGGCGCTCTTCAATGAAATTCTCGATATCTTCTCCGATCTGTTCAGCAGGGTTGGCCGGCGCCCATTTTGCCTTGATCAAGATTTTCCTCTTTAATTTCTCCAAAGAAGGAAGAATCTTCATAGGTTCTGTCTCTGTTGGAATTTCTACTAGGTATCCCTTCCAGGTCTCCTCCATGATGTCCACCATCATTTGCTGTTGATCATGACCTGCATGCACCTCCAGACTGATAATCACGGGCAGATCAGTCACGACAAAGGCGCTATCGCGGATGGCAGAACAAACATCACGAAAGGTCGTCGCTTTGGTCAGAGTATGACCATGGAGAACCATGGGCTCCGGACTGGCCGGATCTTGGGATGTGGTGGCTGCAGTAGCAGCGGTAGAATCACTGCTACCTGAAGGCGCCTCAGTGTTAGTTTGCTTACGACCCAGCAAACCGTTCACCTTGCCCCCGATTTTGCCTTCAATTTTCGAGACGGAATTGTAACGCGCAAGGCTGTTTTTCACCTTCATGGCCTTTTTGTACGTTGATTGCTCCTCGTCGGAGCTGGATTCGCTGCTGGAATCATCATCTGATGTGTCTTCTGGGTCGTGTGTTCCATCCCATACGTCAATCTCGACACATCTGCAACCGCTAAGAAGCGCCTATCAAACATTAGCGATAGTGCTTAAGCGAAGGGGCTATTTTCAAATCGACTGCAGATGCTAGTAGATAGATTCACACACCACTGCACATCGACAGAGATGGCGCGGTCTAACCATTCAAACATTCATCGATTATAGGTCCAAATTGAAAGCAGATGGAAACCTACATTGGTATATGAGCTGGCAGCGGCATCGCTGTACAGCTGATTCCCCGTTAAGTAAGTGTTATGACTCGAGGAGATGAAATAATCCGAGATAGGCGCAGATAAATCCAGCGGTTTGGCTGGTTTCATTGCAGATGACGCCGGACTGGCCATGTAGGCACGAAAGGCCTCCAAGGAAGCGAGGTGGTCTGGCTGTGGCTTCTCCTCCTTTTCGCTGTCAGTGGAGGGGCTCTGGTCGATCGACTCATGCTGGATATCGTGGAGAAAGTCCTTCTTGGACGCAATCAAGAGCTTGTAGATGCGGTTCAGGTGAGAAGTGATGGAGGGGCTGAACTCGGTGATCGATCCGCCCTCTGCACATTTGAAGGCCGATTGATCGTCAGCGGGGGAGGGGTTGGGCGCGATATGACCCGTCCGATAAACGAGATCGGTGACTTTTTCCAACATAATGATTTATATAGATATTTCAAGTATGGTTTTGGGATAAGAATAGTCTCGACTGTGAAGTTCAAGAGAGGTTGAGATGTTGAGCTGAAAAGATGAAGTTCAGGTCTGGTGGGACTCGAAGATCACTGCTTAGTGTCCACGTAACAGATCACCAGCAGCCCAGTGGAGCACGGCTCACATTCATTCAATCACAGGCGATGCCAATAAATTAATCTACGAGGTCGGTCTGGTAATGTTTGGGTTCACATTCTGAATGTTGAGAAGAGAGATTTAAATGGTATGAGAAGGTTGTAAGGCGAACAAATCTGCAAGACCCACTGCTGATCGACAATATATAGATCGGGCTAGGGATGACCTCAGATTATGCTGCACGATATATATCCACAGTTAACAAGCATAGTATCAAATAATGAGCAAATTTAAGGCAGATCTAGGATATAAAACCTGTAACTATTTGTATGTTTAATCCCTATTTACACCAGCGTGTTCTCATCTTTGTATGGGACAGTCATCCTCGAAAAACACCACCAAATTCTATCATTATGGGGTATAGCTCCTTTATATCAAGCTTCAGAAGATCAACAAAAGAAGATAAGAATTTAAATGCTTCAAGTTACAGAATACCAGTCCATTTAGATAAACCAAAGTTGTCGGAATAAACAACAGAAGCTGTCCACGGTTCGTGATTCTATGACGTTGGAGGTCTCTCCGCATTGTCGAGATCAACCTCAACGACAATGATGTAATCGACCTCCGACTGCACTGAACCACTTGAAAAGATTTACGAGCGAGATGACTTCTTCAAAAACATCAAAATACTGCAGAAAAAGCCATGGCAGACATCCCACCAATTCACTTCTTCGACATTGCGTCCACATTACCAGGTAAGTTGATCATCTACCCTCTACGACTACGACACTGACACCCCAGGCCCATCGCAATCATGGTCCTTCAACACCCTCAAAACCCGCCTGGTTCTCAACTACAAACGCATTCCCTACACCCAAAGCTTCATCGCATACCCGGACATCGCCCCCGTCCTCGTGAACCTCTCCGTCCCACCCCACCCAGAAGGAACTCCCTACACCCTCCCAGCCATCCACATCCCATCAACCCCGAAATCAGCGACAATCATGGACTCGCTCCCGATCGCCTCATACATAGACCAGGTTTACCCATCCCCGCCTCTTTTCCCGTCCGTGGACGCCAGTTTCGCGCTTACTCTGGCCGTGGGCAAGATCGTGGGTAAAGTTGCTTCGAAGGGATTCGTCCTCATCGAGCCTCGGGTGGTGGATATTCTAGACCCGCGGGGGAGGGAGTATTTCATCAAGACTCGGTCTGCGTTATTCGGGCAGCCGCTTTCCGAGGTGCGGCCTAGGGATGCGGCAAGTGTGCGGGCGATCACTGACGCGGCGAAGAGGGAGATGGATATATTGGCTCAGATGTTGAGGGGGAGGTTAGGGAAGAAGGGGCCGTTTTTTGAAGGGGAGAAGCCCGGTTACGCGGACTTTATTGTCGTGGCGTTCTTGGTTTGGTGTGAGAGGGTGGACAAAGAGTTTCATTTGGCGTTGATGAGTGTTGGGAGTGGTGAGTTCAAGGCGTTGTACGATGCTTGCTTGCCGTGGGTGGAAGGTCAAGGAGAGGAGAAAAAGTGGGAAGTTCCCCGGTAATGGGAGAAGCTGATCCTGCTTGTCTTAAAAATATTAACAGTGGAATCTCGGTAGATATTCCAATAAATCCATTCAGCGCCTTGTATTATAAAACAGTTTGAACATGGTTGACATAATAATACATCTTGATGTCCTTCAAAGGACCTCTTTCTACCGGCCAGTCTCAACTCAATTGTACATCGGATGCCGCAAAACACCATGCAAATGGAACCAAATTGCCCAAACGATTGAACCCAAATGCAAATGCTAAATTTACAGTCCACGCAAGAAGTTGGCCTCTCTGATGGCCTTCCGCCTGGATTCTCTTGCACTCTTGGTGATGTCGCCACGCTTTTCGAGGCCATCGGTGGCCTCGGCCAGGGTGTCGGTCGCTTCTCCGCTGCGGTTGTATGAGGCAGGTGTGATATCGTTGGCGTGGTGGTGAACGGGGATCTTAGGAGGCAGGGTAGCGGCACGGGCGGCCATCTTCTTTTCGTAACGCTTCCGTTGCTTCTTGTTCAGGGCTATGACACGAACCGGTTAGCAAATGAACTCAAAGGAGCCAAGATGTAAATGTAGTAGCATACTGTTCGGGTCAACACCGCCCTTCTCAGTCTTAGCACCCTTCGTCTCATCCAGCAAAGACCATAACCAGTCTGGGTACTCCGAGTCCTCACGGGCGAAGACATCTTCCTTGTTCTTGAAGTAGTTAAGGCCCACCATCTTGGTGCCAGCCTGGCAGCTACTGGGGGGACGTTCCGCAGACTTTGTAGGCTTTTCAGGGTTGACAGAGACGTGAACTTCATCCGGTGTGCTCAAAGGCTGCGAGACGCCAGGAGCAGCGGACGAGATTGCCGAGGGAATTGAGATGTCGCCTGCGACGGGCTGACGGGGAGTAGGAGGGGGTGGTGTAGCTGAAACAGTGGGCTTTCCATCGCTGTAGTTCCGGAATTGGCTGCGCTGAAATGGGAGCTGGCGCGCTGGTGATGTAGCAGACCATGCTACTGTGTGCTGCGGTTGTAGTCGGGAGAGGATACCGGTGCGGCAACGTTGGCAAATCATGATGATAGATGAAGGTTGTTAAAGCAACTATAAAAACAGTAAATCTTCCCCAGAACAATTGCTGAAGATTCAATGCTGAACGGGAGAAGGAGATGTCCGACACGGAGCTTTCTTGGTGTCGCAGAAAACTGCGGGATGAATTTGATGCCAAGCCGGAGGTGAGCGTCACGTGAGACACATCGTACACAATTATCAGGACAGCTTCATCGAGTGTACGCGATGGGGATGAGGGAAATTTCGTTTTTGGGACATATATTCAGCTTCATACCAAGAAGAATATTACTATTTCATAGGAAAAGCCCATGAACAGCTGAAGTACGAACATTTCAGTGGGAGGCGATCACGTGATTACAGACCATCCAGTCTGTTCAGGACCAGGGTCATCAAGTGTAGAGGGCGAAATCCTGGAATATTTCCACTTTGGGAAGTGACTTGTGTTTCGTGGAAGATACGTCTTGAAGAGGTTGAAGAGAAGAACATTTTCTAGTAGCGATGGGCAGAGGGTTTGGCATAATGACCGTCCACAGCCCAGGAGGTGTTCCTGATCGAGTGGATAGAGTGTGTATGCTGGAGAGTTTCCTATTTTGGTAATGTACTCGGCTTCATCTCGCACCCCAACCATCACTTTCTTTACGTCACACAACTCACATACAAGGATAATCAACTTCATGTTAGATTATATGGAAATTGTGGCTCGTTCCTATATTTTCATTCCATTAAATCTGTATTCCTATCTATAATTCCTAGTCTCGTCGCTTCACCTGCATTTGCTTTTGGGAAGGGCATTCTTCCATAAATGCTGTATTCACTCGATTTCTATAGTACAATATATTTAGAGCGATCATGGTTAACACAGAAATTCTCTAAAATTTCACGTTCGCACCAAATATTGACTTGTTCGTATCATCCATGATAGCTCGATTAGATAAATTGCAGAGCCGTACTCTTTCTAACTCAGCAAACCAAATTGATTGAGTGGAAATGAATGAGGTGTCTTTGAAATTCCTTTTGATAATAAAATTAATTCTCCGCATGTCCTCTTAGGTTACTACTATTCTAAACTGCCATGAAGCAATTCAGGCTCCATCTGGCCAACAACGGGTGATGATCTGCTGTGGAGATAAGGGTCTCGTGACTAAGCGAAGGGCCCCTTCTTGCCTCCCCCACTTCATCTCAACTTCAGCAACATCACAACTGTCGTCTACGATAGATGCTATCCACAGTTTAAACACGTCCGTCTATGGTCGAATAGAGCGGATATGCCATGCAAAAGAATTGCGGGATTGTGCATGCATGATCTGATCAGGTTTCAGTCCGGTCTCGTTTGAGATCTCGAGATGAATCATGGAAGATATGCGATTCAAGATTCAATCTTGAAATGCTCGCAGTATTTTTTATCAGGGTGGAATAGTATGCTAACATATGCTAACATATGCTAACATATGCAAATCTGCTGTGGAGTGACATACTTTTCTATCATGCAAATGCAGAGCCAAAGACATTATAAAGACAAGACAGGAAAGAAAGTGCTAAAACATGATCAAAACAATCAACCAAGCGCCATCCAGGACATAAACCGAAATTAAATACACGAACATCAGACTGCTAAGAAGACAGGCCGCTGACATTCAAAAAATTACAGATATCGGCGCAAGCATCTTTCAGCGTCTTCTCTGTCTTCCACTGGAGCTCGTCCTGCGACCTTGTGGCCACAGCCACGCAGGAACCAACATCTCCCGCCCGACGATCAGCAGCCTTTCGCGGGATGCTCTTGGAGGATACGCTCTCCATGGCGTTGACAACTTCCATCACGGAATGACCACGTCCAGTTCCAAGGTTGAAGGTGCGGAAGTTTTCGGTCAATTTTCCGTCGTTGGCGGCACTGAGGGCCGCGATGTGTCCTTGAGCAAGGTCGGTGACATGGATGAAGTCACGGACAGCTGTGCCGTCTTCAGTGTCCCAGTCTGTTCCGAACATTTGCAGATGCTCAAATTCTCCAGTCATGACTTTGACGACAACAGGGAGAAGGTTGGTGGGGATCTGCCTGGGGTCTTCTCCAAGAAGCCCTGACGAGTCGCACCCGATAGGGTTAAAGTATCGCAGAGCCACAATGGTCCATTCAGGATCAGATACAGCCAAGTCTGCCAATATCGTCTCGCAGATCCACTTGGTGCGTCCATAGGGGTTTGTGATTCCCGTGCACCCCGGCATGACGGTCCTCTGGGCCCCGTCATGGTCCTTGAAAACCTCTTCCTTATGCACACAAAACTCCTCTTTCAATGGAAGACCCGAATTCGCCAGTGTCCCATACACAGTGGCTGACGAAGAGAAGATGAAAGTCTTTATACCAAAATCGCCAAGGGTTGCGGTAAAATCGATCAGCCCGCTCACGTTGTTGGCATAGTACTTCAGCGGTTTCCTGATGCTCTCTTCCACGGCCTTGTATGCCGCAAAATGAATGACACCGGCGATTTTGGACTTCGGTGACCCCCATCGGGATGGAAGCTGGTATTCTTCGAGAAGGTCACAGAGGGAAGAAGTGTCCCGATAGTCATGGGCATGCAGACGCAGTGAGGGCATCTGCGTTCCCTTCTGCTCATGGTGATTTGACGCTAGCAAACTGATCCGGTCAAAGACATTCTGGAAGGAGTTGCTAAGATCATCGATGACGATCACGTTGTAGTTTGCTTTGAGGAGCTCCAACGTGGTGTGGCTTCCAATGAACCCCAGGCCTCCAGTCACAAGAATGTATTGGTCGAGAGGGATGTTGCGCAGCAATTCTTCGAGATTGCCATCAAACAAAATCGAGGATTCCGTCGCGGGCGTGTCCACGCAGATCGGCGAACAGGGGTCCACAGGGGTGCTTGCATCGGATCGTCGAGGGCTCTCCATTGTGAAGAACAAACAGCGAATTGCAATCGACACTGAGGCAACAATACGAAGCAGAGAGTTAACGAAAGACTTTGATAAACCACAAGCTGGCAGAACGAGAGAAACTTTGCTAACGAATGTGACCAAGAGTGGGTAAACTAAACCAGACGATTAACGAAAGGCGTCTGGAACTTATATATACTGAGAGCGAACGAGGTGTTGTCACGGCTTCATTGATCTAGCCGCCGTGTCAGACCAAGACAGGTGAAGACACCGTGACTTCGTTTATTTACAACGGAGGATAAACAGCAGCAAAACGAGCGAGGCCGGAGGATAAAGCGCCAGGGGTGAGAAAATAGGGCAAGGGAAAAAATAATAATAATCGATCAGAAAAAAAAGAAAAAAACAACAGCCAGAGAGCAAATGACGAAGTCAGGCTATTCCATGGAAAGCGGACTAAGAACTGGTTCTCATAGATTTGCCCCCCAAGGGGAGTATTGAACGCCTCCACCAGGCCGCATGGGCTTTTTTATGGTACGAACCAGGCCGAACCAGCGCTTGATGCGAGGAAAGAGAAAAGAAATTGTTCGACATCCACCTGTTGGATGGAGTAACCAGAGACTTCTTCCTGCATGGCCGCCCCGCTCTATTTCGGGGGTACGGACGCTCTTTGACTGCTAATCTCAGAGGGCAGACTGCTTATTTCTTACCCCTCCAGCATGGCATCCGGCAGGGCCCTTTTTTTTGCACAAATCCACTTCTGAATTCTCGTTTAATACCCTTTTTTGCCGCATCTTTGAAAACTGCCAGAATGGGGGTTGAAAAACACGTGAGCGGCCGCCGCGGGTGTCTCCAGTCCAGACGCTCTCGAATCATCGCAGCCATTCTTGGTTTTATTGCAGTTTGCGCCGTCGTTATACCTCCGGCAGTGGTGATTACCCTACGCAAGAAAAACAGTATGGGGCCTAAGTCTAAAGTCTTCGTCCCTCTTTACGTATATCCTGCCCCAGGGGCTTGGGATCCGCTGGAGGAGGTGTATGTGTTTCCTTTCCATTTACCCCCTTTTCCCCAGTCTACCCTATCTGTCTGTTCCTGGAACATGCCACCCGGAAGACAATGACAGCAGTAAATCATACCTGACATGTTGCTGAACGCCACAGGGTCTCTGCACACCCCAACCTCAACTTCACCGTCGTGATCAACCCTGGCAGCGGACCGGGGCCTAACGCCTTGCCTGATGCCAATTATACCCGAGAGATTCCCAAACTTGGATCTCACGACAATGTGCGTCTGTTGGGATATGTCGCGACCACATATGCGACCCGCAACATGTCGCTGGTGCGCAAGGACATCGAGACGTATGCGGCATGGCCGACCAACAGCTCCAACCCAGATCTCGCCGTCCAGGGCATCTTTTTCGATGAGACGCCGCAGCAATACGATGCTAATGCCTTGGCATATTTGAAAGATCTTACTACGTTGGTGAAGAACACAACCGGCCTTGGTCCAGACAACTTTGTAAGTCTTGTATTACCGTACCAGTATTTTTCTGCTTCGGACTACCCCGTCGACCATCGGTCTTTCTTACTATGTTTGACTTGTTATAACCTGAAGCTGATGATATTGTCAGGTTGTTCATAATCCCGGGACGGTGCCTGACTCTCGCTACCTGTCGACAGCCGATTCGACGGTGGTCTTCGAGGCAACTTACAACACATTCCAGGAGCGACAGGGAGTCAAGTTGTTCAAACAGATTCCAGACAGCAACCGGGGTGAACTGTGTGCGGTCATCCACTCTGTTCCGAGCAATATCCAAGGCTCGAAGCTGAAGAGTCTGGTGAAGCAGACTCGGAAGGCGGCGGATGAAGTGTTTATTACGCATTTGAGTGATGATTACTATGCCAGTTTTGGGGGAGGATGGGTTGATTTTGTGAAATTGATGGCTAAATGATGATATGATTAACGATGTATGGATTCACTTACTGTATGATACAAATACAGTAATAAATATATATAAATTCACATACAATACAATACATAATACACCTAATAGAATACCTACAGCCCACTAAAGCATCATATCTGATCCATGTAGAATCTTTATGATGTGTCTTTGTTTCGGGAAAATCCCGACTTTGCAGCCAGAGGACATATTCCAGTCTGTATGTCTGAAACTTCTAGAAGTCCCTCACCGACCTAAATATAGTATAAGAAAAGTGATGTATGTACTTTGTAGACAGTAAGACATACATATGTACAGTAGTAGGAGGGTTACATGAAATGACCAGATAGTAGTCATGTTGAAGATTTGTCATTGTTGCATTGCATTGAATACAGAATACTAGGGTGGGATACTCGTTTAGGGATTCCGAGTTACGATCTTGACCCATCGAATATGCAGTATGTACCTAGTGGGTGTATACGAAGGAGTAGTAAAGTTATTGTGATCGGAATATTTTATACCTAGAGTGTAAGCGATATTTCCGATGAAATCTCCGAATGTACAATACAAATACGGGATATGTGTGACAGTGACAATTCAGCATTTGTTACACTTCCACCATGCAAGGAATATGACTCGAGTATGGTAGACTGGATATATTAATACCAAGCGAATTGAATAGAATAAAAATATGATAGACCGTCTAGATAGTATCAAATGGGAATAGCAGGGCAGAGTTTTTTTCTTTCTCGTCATCCGACAGACAGACAGATTGAAAATATCCTCACCTCCTTACTTCATACTTGGTATTTATTTCTTCACTTCCAGAACCAGAGATGATCTCCGATGTGGGACAAGGAAATATTCACTCTTCCGCTGATATCCATGGTTCGTCCAGGAACACGCGAGGGTTTCTCCTTTTCGCCACTCAACCTAATCTACACCTAGTTTTACACGATGAGAACCACCGGTTCCAAAGGGGGTAATTCAGAAGATGATCATGATCTAGTTCAGCTTCAGCTTCAGTGTGTAGGTAAATCGGCAATCGGCATCTGGGTACCAGAGCCGTAGATACGCTAATTCTTTCTGCCCAGGCTAAAGAGTTGGTGAAAAAGATGGAACGAACCGGTTGATCATTGCCTATTGTGGATGTTTGTGATGCAGAGTTTTCAGCCAGTCCTGTCTGTCTACAGTCTACGGGATATTCGGAGTTTTGTCGACTAGGTAGATACCTATTTTTGAGGAATCTATCACCTCTTAGTAATTTAGGATGATTTCTATGACAACTGAATATTGAATAGACTGTAATATAATGTAATGAAAGAGTGTTGTCAACTTAATCCAACCTAATCTGACAGTCAATTCAGTTAGGAAATGATAAACTGTTGATCATTGTGTATTGTCGATCTGTATTGTATGTTACCATTGTTACCGCTGCAAAATACGCAGTGGCCAGAACTCTTGGCGTTTGACGTGGCAGCCTCACAATCACCAAGGCAAGTACCTATGAGGGTGTCTATTAGTGAGATTCGGCCGGATTGATTTCTTCCATTTATCCAGAATCTAATTATATGTCTTGACTCTGTTCTGTTCTATTATGCCAAGAGAGATAATATGGTTGATTGGATTTGTATCAGAGCAGAAGAGACTAAAGTCTTACAATGCCCGAAGAATATGAAGTGGAATTAAGTCAGATATCATCATAATCAACTAACATGGCGTTCAGATAGTACAAGTCATTAGATACTTATTCTACAGATCAGATACCCATTCTATCAACATGTCTCAATCCAATTATCCAAGTTCATATTCTTGATCACCGTGGAAAAGTTGCCAGACCCGGTAAAGTCACACGCACTCTTCTTCTGTGCTGTCGTAACGGACAATTCATTGTTTGTATCATCGCCCTTGGGATACTCAATGTGGAAGACCGGCTTGCCTGCCTCGGTAAAGACAGCGTAGGTATCGCACTCCTCGTACTGCGCACACTGTTCATTCACACTCCACTGCATGTTCTTAATCACCGAGTCGATGATTGACCCAGCATTCTTGAGTCCAATCGACATGTTGCGCGAGTGTGCCTCGTTGGCCATCCAGTTGACATAATCAATCGCATCGTCCTCCGTCAACCCCAACCCGTTGCTGTTATCATATCCATCAACATTATCCGGATCCACGCCATCGCAGCCTTTACTCCGCGCCAGATCAAGACGCTCCTGCATGATCTTGCGCACATTCGCAGAGTTGGTATCCAGCCATTTCTCCCCCTCCCAGCCATCCAGCTTCGAGCCTAAATCCGACGACTTGAACTCGTCTTTATCAGATCGCCAGTCTTCATAGCTGCCCGCGGAGAAATAGCAGATGACTTTCCGGCCGGCGCTTTGCAAACTCGCAATCATGGACTGGTTGTTGTTGAAGAGGTCGATGTCGTAGACGTCCGCGTCGACAGAGGTGTCGTTTAACGTGTAGAGGAGCTCAATCTGCCAGCTTGTCCCGACGTCTGGCTGCCATTTCGCGCTTGTGTACGTGCCGTTCCATTTCGGTGCGTTGCCTTCTTCTCCGCTGCCTTCACCTTCACCTCCTCCAAGTCCCACGCCCAGTCCGACTCCAAGACCGATGGCGATGGCGACGATGACGAAGAGGATGGAACCGACGACGATGATCTTCTTCTTTGTAGTCCATGCTTTCCAGCCATGGGGGGACGGGGCTTTCAAGCCCTCGTCGATGTGAGTTGTCATTGAATAGATTTGATGGAGATGGAGATGAAAACGTAAGGAGATGAATGATTATGATGATGATAAGATTAGGTCAGTAGAGATGATGAAATGGTGGACCCTGAACTGAGGATGGGATATTATAGGATGGAGAAAAGACGGTTGTGGTTCTGTCTTGCACCTGCGCCTGTGTCCATTTCTGCTGCCTGGACTGTCACACAGACTGATACTCTTTGTCTCAGTCAGTCAGTCAGTCTAGTCCAGCCCAAAGACAGAGAAATAAAAAGAAGGGGAAAAGACCCTGTAGCGCTGTGGCTGAAGCGAACACAGTGAGAGGCCAAAAAGAGGGGAAAAGAAAGCCGACAGTGCCTGGCCTTTGCCAAGATGTGGCTTTCGCTCATTCTTACAAAACATACACAGTCTATGCCTTATTTTAGGTATCAGTTTGTTTGAAAATGCTGAAAGACATGGATGCTCCTCAAACACAGCCAATCATTTTGGCTTTCGGCACTGGGTTTGGTTCAATCGGATCGATCCACTTTGGTTCCACTGGCTAGCAAATTTAGTTTCGGGCGCTAGTTTAGTGCCATACCTACAAGCATACATTACATAACCTTACAACATACCATACCAGTATTGAATATTAAAATACATAATACAGTAAGGTACTATCGTTCTTATACTCCCAATCTAGTCCTACCAGTATCCTGTATACCAATAGGTACATACATAGAGCCTCTCATTCCCATCCCATCCATGGATCCGACCAGGATCTGATCTAATTTGTATTATTAATGTTTGTTTGTTTGTTTGCTTTTCTGCCTTCTCCACAGCCACGTTGAATTCTTCTGTCTGTGCCTTCTGTAGTGTTGTTGATGTTTGCTTTTGCTGCCAACTCACCTCGCCCTGGCCCTGACAGATTCGAAGCTTATCCAGTCAGCGTCTTACGGCAGCCATTTGCTGCAGGGGTAGATTGGCTGATGCGTGTTTGCTTTTTGAATACGAGGTTGAGGGGAAAGGAGTGAGGGGAGAACTCAATTCGTTGGGTATAATGATTCCATAGTGTATACGAGATGTCTTGAATAGGGTGCTTTTATTGCATGTCTTAGTGATTCCTTGGTTGTCAGATTTAATTTATATCCCCTCTTTAATATGGATTATGGGCTTGCCACGCGATCCATGGCAAGGCTGATGTTGGGGTTGGTTCGTGGATCGCCGATTAGATGGGTGAAGTGGATGAAAACTGGGTCTGGCTGGCTTAGTTCGCCCGGTAGATAAACACCGCTATTCTTCTACAGTTTTCGGTGTGATTATAATGGCTATGTAATAATAGTATGTGATTATCAATATCATTCGAGCTAACTAAGTTCTACTCCATCATTATCCATTACAATCCAAGGTATCTTGAACTATGTGCATCCAAATATTATAACATAGTTTACAAGGCAATCGGAGTGGACAGGGTAAACGTGACTGGCGAGCCAGACAGCGTCACCCACACGGTCAGAGGGTCGCTGCCCAACTGCTCGGTGGTGAAGCCCTGGGTGCTGGTCGGGGCAACCGGGAAGGTCACCGGGATGGGAGTGCTGCAGGTGTTGCCAGTCGCAGACACAGTCACGCCAGTAATCTTCTGGTTCGAGGTGGCGTAGCTAAGAGCGTAGCCGCATGCATCACGAGTATAACGGGCAAGGAACGCCGCAGACATCTACTATGGTCAGTTTGGTTTGAAATGTCTAGGGGAATGTAGTACTTACGTCCTGGTGCTTGAGAGTGACAATGGGCCAGTCGACAAGGCGCACAAATTCCTGCACTTGGGTTTCCACCCACGCTTGGAAAATAGAGTATTTGCCGCTCACGCCGTTGATGGTGATATCCGCAACATCTGCATTGCGCAGGTTGGCCTGGTGGAACATGTACCCGTCGTGGTACAGTCCAAAGAGATGGCGCATGGTGTCGGCCTTTTCGGTGGCGAGCAAGTCGGCAAAGGTGCCGCTGCCAGCAGAAGTGTCAATCCACTCCTGCAGTGTGCAGTCTGGGGTGTCGCAGTTGTAGTAGATACGAGTGGCCCAGCGACCGTTGACCTGCATGCCAGCAAACCCATCACTGTCAACAGTGGTAAAGTAAGGCCACATGGCGTTCTGTGTGTTCAAAAGGACAGACCGGGTATTGTCACCAACGCAGTTGGTGATTCCGTTGTCCCACCAGGCCTGCAGAGCATCACCGTTGTGCAGTCCAGTGATGGCAGGGGGAATGATACCGTTGGAAGTAAAGTGCGTGGCTGCATCGATGCCAACCTGCTTCATCCAGGCTTGGTTGAACGAGATCTCCTTGTAGACATCCGAGTAGGTGGCGTTGTTCTGTTCCTCGTGGGTGAAAGTGTGTGAGATGTGACCAAACTCGTCCTGGTTGCTCTTGGTGGTCCACCAAAGCAAAAGGGGGTCAAGCTGAGTGCATGCGCTAGTCCAATCATAGGTAGCTGGTGTAGTTGGCCAAAGATCAGTACCGGTTCCAAGGGGCTTCTTGAACTCAAGGGCAGTATCGGGAGGGGAGTCGTATTCGATACCACCGCCGTTGCAAGCAGTCGCACCGGCGTCAGTGGAGCTGGATTTTTCCATGTTGCCGTTTCCGTTGTAACCAACCTCAACAAAGTAGCTACTGCCAGAGTTCATCTTAGCCCTGATTGTCGGAAGCCAGTTGAGAATGCCATTCATATCATCCGTGGTGATGCGGAAAGCAGTTCCATTGGGCTTGTAGATGTCGGTTTCGAGCAGCATGTCGTCAATCTGGGTGTTCAGGTTCACGCGACGGTATCCGGCGTAGAGACCACGAGTCAACCATGTGATCCAAGCATGCTGCAGATAGTTGGAGGTAGCACTCCAGGTCGTGTCAAAGCCAATGAAGAACGCCATTTGCTGCCTGCCATCAAAGTTGTTGATGACGGCAGCAGTGTTCGAGCCCGAGGTTCCTGCAAACTGGGCAATCTCTTTGGTAGTGGTCGTGTTGGTGATTGTAGCCGGGTAGTGCCAGAGACCTTCCGTACTGACTCCAGCACCGGTCTTCAAGCCAGAGGTAGAAAAGTCACTGATATCCGAGAAAGAAATGAGCTGTTCGACACCGGTAGCACAGCATCCATCACCGACGGCGCTGGCGCCATAGCTGGGACCCGGGTAGACATCATATTGCACCATGCGCACACCGTACTCGAGCTGGTACGCATACAGCTGGTTCCACTGATCTGTAGTGAGAGCACTCTGGAAACCGGTTGTGCCACCATAATCGTAGCTGACTTCCGACGCAACAACAATACCACCGAAGTTTCCTCCCGAGGAGCTGTTCAGTGCTGGAAGAGCCACACCGGCTTGTGGGACAACCAGAGTAGTAAATGGGATACCGTAGCCATTGAGACCGGACGAGGCCACGCTCGCACTGGCAGAGTCTCTTGCGATGACCAGAATGTTAGACAAAACAGATGCCTGGCTAATTGCCGTCGCAGAGACGGATGCAGTCGGTAGAACGACCGACGAGTTGAGAGACATGCTGCGCGATGGGGTCACTGATGACGAGGCAACGAGTGTACTAGACAAAGATGTAACAAAGGTTGAAGCCCCAGTTGAAGAAAAGCGAGTGGAAGATGGCAAACGAGTGTCTGAGGTAAACGAATGAATTGAAGAGCTCCCAGTCGCGGCGCCTGAAGTGGCACTGGCAATAGAAGTCTGAGAAGGAGGCACAGTGGCAATCACTGTTGGGCTTTCTTGAGGCCAAACACCGGGGGGAGTGTTGCAGGTTATAAGGCCAAAGTAACAGCCGACCTGGAGGATCCAAAAGGGGAACATTCCAATGCGGCCCAGGGGTCAGAACGAATGACGAAGTGGAACTGGATCCAGAAAGGAGAGGGATTGATCTAATCAGGTCATCTGGATAGCTGCATGATCACACTGCAGCGAGGTTTATATACCCGATGTTGACAGCTCTTCTCCGCCATCCATTATCGAGGACCAGAGCTCCATTCCGGCTATCTGCCTCGACGATTGGGTCGCTTTGACAGCCCTTGTCGCCTCTTGAAGCCAAAGACATTAGGCCCATATGAAGGAATCAACAATTGCGCTAGCCCACTTGGAATGGCTGGGGTGGTGGAAATTGGCCAAGTTCAAAGAGATGAGCTAAAGGCCCCATCTCTGCAGCCTCAGTGCGAGCAAGATGACAGGCAAAGAGAGAAAAAGTCCGAGTTGGGATGGAGCCGGGGATGGCAAACTCGGAGTGTCGGGCAGAAGCCGTCGAGGGAGCCCATGCCAAGTCATCGAGAAATGTGATCGGGGATACCGATTTAGATACTTTAGACACTTGGAATTTTAGTGTCTTGGAGGAATCGAAAGGATCGATCGTGAGGTGGAGGAAGAGAGGGAATAACTACTCGTAAGAGGGGAAGATGGATGGTGTAATGCAAATACGGTACAGTATTGAAAGAGTGAGATGAAATTGACGGTATTGTATGGTATTGTCATATAACGGAAGACAAGCGAGATCCACGAACAACGAACACCATCAGTCCCAAACCATGTGACCGACCTCCTCCAAGTCAACGCACCTCATCTCAGTCTCGACTGCTGGTTCGCGCTTTATCCACTTTTGTCCCGGACAAAAAAAGCACCAGAAAAAGAAAAGAAACAACCGAACTCAAGACAGACAGCAGAAACGATGCGCGCTAACGCACTATGGGGGTTGACGGCAGCTCCTGGTCCAATCGACCAGGGCCTAGAGAGCCGCTCTCCTGTCGCTCTCTGTCGGTCTTGCAGCGCCAACCGCTTCTCCCCCCAGCAGCCCGGCTGGTCATGTCGTATGGCAGAGTGCAGAGTGTGATTATAATGGCGAGGATTATGCATTTGTCTCATTTGTTGGTCAAGATGGCAAGACTCAAGTCTGGGACTGGCTATACTGGGGCGATCCCCCGATGGCTGCCACGCTACAGAGGACCCCCTCCGGCCTTGCCACAAATAATGGCACGCCGGTGCAATTGGTATCCACCCGGTCTCATCGAGTTCAGATCCATCATTAATATGATTCCCATGTTAGCGCCTGTTTAGCTCAGCTCCAAAGCTTCGGGCGATTCGCTATTTTTGCCCGTCTTTGTTTCGGGTTGTTGTCTTGTGCTAATTCTAGACCGCCACCCGTCGAGGGAAACAAGTGAGAAAATAAAAAGTCATATTGCTTGGCAGGTTGAATTCTTTTCGACTTCATTATACGGAGGAGTGGCGTCAACATCGTGACGGGCTCATCGGCCAGATTGTTTCCTACCCCGGCTGGCTGATTGTTCGCCGTGGTGTCGTCTATCTTACGAGTGATCTCACTCCTATCATCATTCGTTTCTACATGAGCCTCTGTTTTCCACTTTCTCATTAGATGAGAGTGCAGAAGACAGTCATGGTCTTTTAGAGAACTATCGCTCTTCTCAGCAACTTTGGCCAATAGGCCGTTTGGGGGACTCGTCTTTCCTCCATTCTCTCGTTAAACAACTACTTCCTTCGTTTATACGGCAGATCTATTGATCTTAATATCTAATCACTATGGCCAAAATCCTCGACGTCGAGCCCTTGGGCCAGTGGAGGTATATGACAGAATTCTGGTGGCAGATAGTAAGTGATTTGATACTCGAGAATAGACTCTTCACTGACAGTCATAGGTGTTTATGGCTATCTTCTTTGCCTGTGTCGCCAGCGGATGTCTGTACCTCTTGTACGCCGGGTCCAAGAAAGCTCTCAGGTACTATAAGGTAAGACAGAATTGAATTTCTATAACTCAAATTTTATCCTAACAGCTACTATAGTCGAGGCCACGGTCTCAAAAAGTGCCTGAAAAGGTCTCTCAAAGGCTGGACGCACTCTCCAATCATAATTTCACCCTGAGTAACACTCAGACGAAGCAAAAGCCATCGTCGTTTGGAGTTTACCTAGGAAGCTTCAGCGAACCTGTATCTCAATCTCAGCGCAAACTTCTGTCTCAATGGGATTTGTTGATCGTGGATCCGCTCCAGTCTGGTGTCATCAACGCAATCTCCAACCTCGATAGAAAGCAGGTCCTAGGAAGAATCGACCTATCTCTTATCATCTCCCAAGACTCGACATTGGCCGCCATCGAAAATATCGAAAACATCTTGACCCGGAAGTTCAACGGCACAGCGTTCTCTGGGGTCTTGCTGGCTAACTGGGAGGACAAATTCACCTCGACCACCCAGAAGAAACTTGTCGAGGCGATCCATAGCCTAGGGTTGGCCGTCTATCTGGAAACATCAGCCCCTGAATTCTTGACAGAGCGAAATGTCCTGCAAACCGATGCTATTTCAGGTCTGGTTATCAGAAATGTCAGTATTCTTCCAAACGGCGAGAAACGCGATTATTTTCAAATGGAAAAGCTGCAGCCGACTATCAAAGCCTTTGTCTCGGAATCTTGTGTACGAGACTTTGTGGTAATGGCATGGGAGACGGTTGATGACGATGTTTCGGTATCAAACGCCGTCGTGCGACGGTCGCTGCAGTGGTGCAACTTTTACAGCGCAATTGCCTCCATCGGTTCTGAATCGGCTCTTCACGATGCAGATCTCAATGCTCGAACTGTAGAGCCCCTCCCCGCATTCGGATGGCTCAAGGAAAGCGAAACCATGAAAGCCCATGATAATTGGCGATTCAACATGAATGTTGAACAAACCGCCATCGACAATGAAGCATGGAACACGCTACTTCCGCTTTTTCCATCTCTTCAGGATGTCCTTGAATCCGCCGAGTTCCAACCAGATGTAAAGGCTAAGTTGTCGACGAGCATTCGCGATCCACCCGAATGGGTAGCCCAGATTAAGTCGCAGGGTAGTCCGCTGTCCATCTCCATGTCTGGTGTCGAGTATAAATCTTTTGGCTGTTTCCCTCTTGGTTCCGAAGCCACCGCCGTTGCCTTTGCCGAAATCCTTCAGTCCCAGCAACGTCTCAAATCTCTCGGTCTACTTCACCCTGTTCCAACGGATAAAATTCAGAATATCGGTACCCTTCTCAAGCAATTCCATGAAGGCTTCGTTCTGTCACACTGGGCTGGTTCGAGTCAACTTGCTGCTGCAATCAAAGAGCTCTCTACTCTCGCATGCAATGAAGTCCTTCGTGTAAACCTGGGACTGGATTCTGGATTGCGCAAAAGCGCCGATGTCCGCTTTTGGGCTGTTTATCAAATGGACACTGAAGGTATTGAAATATTCGCCTCAAAGAGCGCCCAAGGATTGGCTGGAACTGTCCTCCATACATTCCTTTCCTCCAAAGGCTTTCCCCGTCATGTATGCTTTGAGGCAGAAGTCGCTTTGGCGAGTTGGTCGAAGGGACTGGCTGAGGACATTGTGCTACCGCGCCGACTTGTCCAGGATATTGATGTTCTTAGCCCAGAGGAGCGTCTGCTTCTGTTGCAACACTTGACCCTGACAGACGCTAAGGATGAAGTATCTGGGACCATCTGTGCTTATATCCGCCGACAGCTCATTGACGCACCGTCTCTTGCTCAGCTCAAGGATCTCAATACGTTTGGCTATCTCGGAGGTTCTATCTCTCCTGAAATGCTGGTAAACAGCAGAATCAACTGGTATCAAGAGCAAGGATGCCAGTATCCGTCCAACGCATCGTGTCTTGCCTTGTTTAATGAAGTTGACTTGGTCTTCACCCAGATTCTGAGAGAGCGCCGTGAAAGTGATCTAGCTCGCATTACTAAAGGTCTATGTGATCTTGCTCAAAAAGATAGCATTGACTGTTATGTCGATATCTTGGCACTGTCGTTGTTCTGTGCTGCAAGAAAAGGTGCATTCGACGAAATCTACGCGGAAGTCACGGATCGAAACCCGTTGTTCAACAACCAGTCCGACCAGGCCGCTGCTTTTGCTGAATCTTTTGCCCTTGGATCGCGCTGTGAAGCTTATTTCGATGTTTCGCCTAGTGTATTTGGAAAACTATTGTCGGATCGCTTCAGAACATACTACAATGAACACCCGCCACCGAACTGGGTCAATGGCGCCCCGCAGATGGCTACAGCTTATGCGGGAGCGCAGATCGATGTTAACCCCGATGACAAAGTCAAATCGATGCCTGGGTACCAACGCTTCACTTTCCTGAGTGTCTTTGCTATTCCGGCTTTGATTGATATCATCCTCCTTACTATTATCGGTCGTGGGTTGTACCTTTCAGCCTTCATGACCTTCGAAGAACAACAAAGTGCCACCATAGCCCTAATGATCTCCCTTTTGCTGTCCGGTGCCATCGGGACGTGGATTGCCTGTGGAGGCCCATACTATCTCATCTCAATGGCTTTTTCAGCGGCGAATATGTTCGTGTTCATTCGACTCATTGCCGGTATTGCCTTCACCGTTGCAGGTGGTTTGATCGGATTCATTGCCATCTCAAGTGTCAACGGACCACGCGCAGGAATCGTTTTTTATCTCTACCTGATCGCCTTGACAATTTACTTCTCTGCTTTCGCTTCACTCGCGAGTTTCAGCTATCCCGGCACTGCCTTCTTGTCTGGACGCAAGGTGATTTTCCTTTGCCTTCCGATTCTTTTTGTTTCGCCTATCATCACCACGTTCACAGGGCATGATTCCGCAATCTATCTTGCTATCCTTTATGTCTTTATCGGCATGTTACTACTCGGACTTCGACATGTCGCCTCCAAGTGGGTTACTTGGTATCAGAAGCTTCGAAGAACAGATGACACTGAGATCCGAAAGTGGTACATTTCGACCTACGGTAATAACGACGAGAAGGTATTCGGCAATTTGAGTGATCCAGCTGTGATGAAACTATCGAGAGAGGCATTGCTGAAGGATATTCTGGCTGAAAAGAGCCGATGGTTTTTCTCCAAGCAAACTTCCGACAAACTTGTTCTTGAACTTTCCAGCGACTGGGAATCGACTAATTTCCTCCTCGACTGGTATTGCAGATATGCGGATGTCCCACGCCCCATTCCGTTCAGCTCATCTTGGAACATCCAAACCAAGGTCGCATTGGATACACTGCGGGGCTCTCAAAAGGGTCTACGCCTACATAATGCTTTCATCCATTGGCGCCAGTCAAATAGGGAGATGGGATGTGGAGTCTTGTACTTTGTTGTGGCCCTTCTTGATAAGTGGGTGGATCTGCTGACCGGTGGTCATAACGCTGGTCTTGCGCCATCCTTGACGGACCCATACCGTATGGCCGTTGGTTTTGGTCTGGTATACTACCTGATCGGTGCTGTCCTTATCGACACCAAGGCCCAGGAACTTCACAGCCTCATCGGCGGACAAAAACCTGTGGCTGTCAACACCGCCAAAGATATCCGCCTCTCGCAGAAGAGAGATGTGAGGTTCAAGCGAAAGGTGTACTGGAAAACCCTTTTCAAGTACTTCATGTGGCTCGTATGGAGTCTGGCCTTTGCCACCGCTCTCATTTGGACTTTCCAGATGTTCATGGAAGCCATGATCATGTTCTACGCATATGTCCTCGCGTACACCGGTCTCCTTTGGTACCAATATACCAAGATTTTCGCCGGTCCTCACGCTCTGAAGCCGCTTCTGATCGGTATTGTTGTTGGCCTTCCTGTCGGTATTGCTCTCAAGGTCTGTCTACCCAAATTCTTGTACTCTGAGGTTATCGGCTTGGGAGCGTGTGGTTGGACAGTTGCCATTCTATCAATATGGACGGCAAAAATGGGCATGCCACAGAAGGTTGATTCACCCGTCGAGCTCGGAAGGACATTCCACGCATACACTACCGCATGGGCAGACCCCGAATGGTCACAGCAAGAACTCCAGACCTTCTTCGAGAATATGTCACTCATTCCATTCGAATCCCGTCTCAAGCTTGATCCCAACAGTCACCCCGGTGTCGAAGTTAAGAACATCCTACTCTCGCGCAGGGAAGAGCCAAGGATCGAAGAAGCGTTTCCAAGTGCCAAGGAAATCGTCAGTAAGGCCATTGGGGCATGGGAAAGGGGCAATATCTTGCTTGAACTTGTTCCACAAGGCTTGCTCGGTCCTGGAATCCGAGCTCTGAGCTGTAATACCGAAAGCCAACTGAAGCTTGCCATTGGGGTAGGACGAGGACTCAACCAGAGGATTGATGTCAGTTCCAACTGCCAGGTCATTGCTGAGACTCTTGTCCACGCGGTCTCTGAAGCCATCATGGGAGTTCCCCACGAATATGCTGTCTTTGCAGAATCGCTCGTCACCGCAGGTGTGACTGAGACCATGGCTCGACAGCTCCGTGAAGAGTCTAATGCACTGGTTGTCATCCGCTGGGCCAAAAAGGAATTACTGCGACAGTTATGTCTAGGCTTTGAGTGCGACACTCATTGGGAAAAGCTACCCAAAGAGATTCGGAATGCCCTGCTAGACCGTTGCTTGGGACGTCCCTGTCGACTGTCCGATGTTCAGGGAAAGTGGCTTCAGAAGAAACTCTGTCGGTTCGACACCAATGATCTCAATGTGCATGTTGCCCGGTGTAATCTTGGAGCGGCCTCAGCGGCCAGCATCATTGACCACGCCCATTACGGAACTGGCGAAGGTGCTGTCCCCAGAGACCCGGAGACTTCGCCTTACATTTCACATGTTCCAAGGAGTCTTCCCGTTGTGATATCTTTCGTCAAGACCCCTTTCAGCTACATGTACCACACCCTTGGTGCATTCATCAAGTTCATTGTCGTTGCCTTGGTCGCCGATCCTGAGTTTCAAAGAGAATTCGACAATGTCATGAGCTCCCATCCTACGATCGTCCGTGTTCCATGTATCTTCATTATGAACATGATCTGGTACTATGCCAAGATAGCCCAAGACTTTGGCCTGATGCTCTTTTTGTTCCACGGCCGTGACAACGTTAAACGGCTCTGGAATGAAACCAAGGGCATGACTATCAGTATCAAGAAGAGCAGATTTGCGGTGCAAGGTCTCGACGGAACATTCACTGCTTTCAGACATAATGAAGCCGATGGTGGTTTCAAAGTGTACTATTACACCGGTGAGCATAAAACAGAGCCTGAAGGGACGAAGCTACTCAAGTACGTCAGCACGTACTCCAAGGACATCTTCCTCCATATCAGACAAGATTTCAAAAACGGCAAAGTGCTCAACGAATACCACTACGACTATCGTGCTCCGGCCAAGAAGAATTTCAAGTTGACCAAGGGCATCGATACCAAAGTTCCCATGGGTCGGCGTTGTGTGCGTGGAGAGAACAATCTACAGAGCGTGCAGTATAATCGAAAGGGGCTTATCGAGGCAGGATCTTACATGAAAGACGGCAACCTTGTTCGTTTCAAATACCATTACCGCAAAAATCCCCGGTTTGGAGATGAACTGCTTCGTGCTGAGTTTGTGCTTTCTCACATCACTTGTACTGTTTCTTGGTGTGCACCGCCTCTTCGTCACCCGGAAAAGATCGAACGATGGATTCCTCATTCCAAGGTCACAGAGGCAACTTTCGTCCAGGGGGCTGATGTCTACGAGAGTCGTTGGCTGTACGATCACAAGTTCCATCCTACCATTTTCACGACTCTCAATGGCCAGAAGATACAGACTCCACCAATGATTGAACACGACTTTTTGGGAGTTCTGGAAAAGCCCAGGTTCACCAGCTTCGTGCATGACAATCCTTTCTTTTACTGCGATAGTCTCAGTTCAAATGCCGTCACCCGGTTCTTGGGGCTAGCAACGCAGCGCTTCCCTGTGTCAACCTCGGGTGGTCGTTCATTGATGTGGAAGGCTTGGAAGGACAGAGTTGATCTTGATGGAATTATCGTCCGTTGGATGGATGATCGACTCCTACGAAGAGATAAAACTCTGGCTCCCTACTGGCGCTGTCGTAACCGCGGCGATCTCAGCTCAGCAAAGAAATACCTAGACCTGCGTGCAGATGCTGTCATGGCCAGTGCGGATTTGGACGACAACATCTCCAGTTGGACACCACTCGCGGTTAAAGTCAGCGATCTCTTCAACTTTGGTCCTGGTGGTGATGCAGTGGTGCATACCCGATCCAAGGACTTTGGCTCTGATACCGACAAGACGCTACATGTGATGGCCGCTGATACCGGAACCTGGCCCAACGAAGGTGGTGGTGTCTCTGCGTGCCGTCGCGACATGATCAACTCTTTGCGAACCATCAAGTGGCATATGATCTGCGAGTCGGCCAACGATTTCGGCGTCCCCAAACACCAAACTGAGCAAAATATCCAGTCACTGAAGATGATCCCTCTCTGGGGTTTGGATTTCCTTACGCCTACCCACGGTCTTTTCAGGAACAAGCTGGATTCTGAAGTGGACAATGTTACTTCAGCCAGTACTCTTGACATCAAGCTCAACTTCATTCCGATATTGACTGCATTGGTCAAGGGTGCTCGTGCTGTGGATCTTTCCAAGGCCGACATCAATCAAGCGACTCGAGCGTTGGTGAATCTGAACACATACTTCCAGGACTCCCGACATTGGACGCAAGTCTGGAACAGCGAAATCGTCAAGGAAAGCTGGCGAGATCTATGGCTCACCCAGGAAATGCCCAATGCCATCCCATCTTCGCAGTGGTTCGACACCGAGCTCCCTACTCTATCGTCTCTCGACATTGCTCTGGAGCTTTGGTACCGGTACTTGTTCATCTTCTCGATTCCGGTTCCTGATAAAATTCCAGGCGTGTTCCAGGCATCGCACCACAGTGTGAGTGCATCCTATGGCGTGGTGTGCAAGATCAAACGAAAGTGTACACTGCAGATTTGGGACCACGCCATTAGCTGGCGTGAAACTAATCTCTGCATGTCGTCTGCACTTTGCAAGCTGTCTCCCTTTGTCCGAAATGCTCTGCTTGGTTTGATGCGGATCACCTCCGTCCTGACCTTGCATCATGCCGATATCATCTTGCCGTGTGCGGATTTCTTCAATCCAGGCTGGGAGGTCGAGATCGGTACCTCGCAGGGAGCCATTGAGCACCGCAACATCTTCCGTCGAAAAGTTGACCCTGTTGTCAACGGTATCACGGACATGCAGAAATTTGCCCCCGTCAAGGAAATCATGTCCCAGCGTCCTACGGTGACCATGTTGTCGCATGTGTGGTATGCAAAGGATATTAAAACCGCGCTACTTGCTGCCGATATCATCATCAACCAGTGGAAGTTTGACGACTACCACCTCGACATCTACGGAGCCATCGACAAGGCCCCCACCTACTCCACGGAATGTCAAGAGATCATTGCCTCCAAGGGTCTGCGCGGTCGAGTCACCCTTTGTGGCACTGCGGACCCGATGAAGGTTCTGGAAAACACCTGGCTGTTCCTTAACTCATCCTTGTCGGAAGGTCTACCCCTCGCTCTAGGAGAGGCTGCTCTAACTGGAGCTCCTGTTGTCTGTACCGACGTGGGCGCTTCCCTCCGTGTTCTTAGCGACCCTGATGATTTCTCCCGCTTCAGTGCCGTGGTCGCGCCCAACGATGCTCTTTCTCTGGCAAAGGCCCAGATTGGAATGCTCGCGATGCTTGGTGAATGGAGTAAATATGCCGAGGACACCGTGCCTCCCCCGGTCCTTACCTCGTCCCCTACTCCGGAGGAAGTGGCCAAGATCACCCACCGCATGTATGAGAAAAGTGAACACCGTCGAAAACTCGGTATGATGACGCGCAAGATCGTGCAGAAATCATTTAGTGGCGATCGTTACCTCCGCGAGCACGAGCAGATGCTCTGGATCGGAAAGTCGGCCAAACTCATGGCCAGCCGTCCCTTTGGGGATATGGGCGCCGAACCCGCAGATATCGCAACCGCCATCCAACAAATCATACCTATCGAGGAAGAAGTCATCACCATCCCTCGTAGTGCCGTCCACTCATGGCGCTCCTCCACTGCGTCAGGCATGTCCACCCTGTACAGCACCGTGTCCAACTTCCCCATGCTCAACGGCGACCAGCGAGCATCATCCATCCGCTCCGGTATCAGCAACGTCTCAACAGACACCGACTCCTTCCTGCGTCTCCCCAACGCCGCCTCTCTCCCTGTCTTCGCTCCTCGCCAATCTGTTATCTTCCCCCCGTCCCCGGGTAGCAAGTCACCCACAAACCGTCGGTCTCACTCCGGACACTTGTCACCCTTGTTCACGCGCAGTAGACACTCTCACAGTCGATCCATTTCAACGGCAGGCCGGGAACAGCTACGCGGTCTTCAACGCGAAGACCCGCATCCGTATCGCAACTCCGATGTGAGCACCATCATGCGAGACGAGTTCCTCCAATCAAGCGTCTACAGGGGACTAGAAGTCAACAACAGTAGTGTTTCGAAGAATGAGTCTTTGCCTCCTTATTTGAGCTGAGCTGATCTGAGCCATTTCATTCACTGGTTTATATTTTGTCATTCTTTTTTTGCTTTATTTACTTGCGACCCATATATTTAACAGTCTGTATAACCGTTATGAAAGCGTACATTGCTATTTTTTGGTTTGCATTTACATTTGCATATATCACAAATTGCACTGTACAAAGGAGTCTGATGTTTTGTTTCTTGCTTTATATAAAATAATACTCTTGCATTCGGTTAATAGCCACGCTATACCATTATAACAAGTATCAAATTATATGCTTAATGCTTATGAAATTCGAAGTAATGAGTCTAGATGCCATTCCAACCATAATTAGGCTAAGAACCAAAGTACACGATTTATTCAAACCGGATATGAAAAGACAGAAAGGAGAACACGCTATTTAACAAAAGATGGAAGAGAGCGCTTGAAGCGCTTCCAAATGGATTCATCAGGCTTGGGGTTGGCGATACGGTGCCATTCACCGTTGAAGGCATTGATGAGCCAGCTTGAAAGACCTGTTTATACGGTTAGCTTAAATCGTAGATAATGAGCTGAAGGGATTGACTCACGATCATAGACAATCTTATGTCCATTGTGGAAGAAAATGCTATGGTCGGAGTCGGGGTAAAATTGCAAGTCGTAATTCTCGACGCCAGCCAAGTCCAGCTTGTCGATCAGTACCAAGGTGTTTTGCAGGTGCACGTTATCATCGCCAACGCCGTGCTGAATGAAGAAGCGCACGTTGTTCTGCAAACCGGACATGTCGGAGATGGAGGAATTGTCGAAACCGGCTGGGTTGTTTTGGGGAGTGTGCATATAGCGCTCGGTATAAACGGAGTCTAAAAGAGAATGTGTCAGTATTTCCTAATATTGAGGATAACCAGGATGGAACTCACCATAGAATCTCCAGTCGGTAACTGGAGCGACAGCCATTCCATACTGGAAGGTCTCGCCCGCATCCAGCTCAAGTGTCTTCAGAGTCATGAAACCGCCATAACTCCAGCCCCAGATCGCCATGCGAGTCTCATCGACATACGGCTTTTTACCCCAAATCTTCGCTGTCTCTATCTGGTCCATAGCTTCATAGTAACCCAGATTGTCCCGAACAATGGTTCTGGCTTTCCTTCCAATGAACCCGGTTCCCCTTCCGTCGACAGTCACAACAATGTAGCCCAGGTTCGATGCAATGTACGCCTGGAAGTCGACAGTAAACCTGCGGTCGACGGTTTGAGACCCAGGACCACCGTACAAATGGAAAAGAACAGGATATTTCTTGGCGGGATTGAAGTGAGGTGGGCGCCGCTCAACGACTTGGAGCGTGTAGCCATCAATAGTCACGTTCTGGTAGATTTCGGTAGGGAGTGCGCTTCCCTCCACCATACGAGCCAGGTCCTTGTTCTCTTCGATTATTTGATCATATACTGCTTTATCACCTTGGGTGTTCATGATAGCCTGCCATGGGACAGAGGGTCCTTGATAGCTAGTCAAGGCATACCCAGCCCCATCGGAAAACGATATGGAGAAGTAGCCGGGATTCGATGTATCAGTCAGAGGCTGAAGATCAGATCCATCGAGCTTCACTCGATACACATGACGCTGAGTAGGTGCCTCTTTTGTGGCCACGAAATAAACCAGACCTCTTTGCAGGTCCACGGCGGATGGCGCCTCCACCACTTCCCATTCCCCAGACGTGAGCATAATAGGATCGGCATTGTCAAGGGGAGTGAAATATGCCAGATGATCATAGCCATCATGAGGCACCGTATCAAGATATCCGTCGTGGGGCCGTCCATTGCTGGGATCCGCGGGGATAAACGTCGTCGTTTGCGAGGGCTCAACCCAGCCACCATCCAGACTTGCAACATCTTGCTTTCTTACAAGCTTCCCAGTTCTAGCCTTTGTGTCAATCAGGAAGATCTTGAGGATGTCGCTTTCACGATTGGTGGCTCTGACAAGGACATTCTCATCGGATGCCCAGATCACATCAATAATAATTCTGTCGTTAACTTCGAAATCATCGGACACGTCAACCGAGAAAACTTGATGCTTCTCGACATCGTAAAATTGAATGTCGACAACTGGGTTTGGAGCTCCAGACTTGGGGTACTTGATCTCTCGAACTTCGGGGTAGTTCTCCAGCCCGGGCACCGGCTTCTTGCCCGACGGTCTTGACAAGAAATACTGGACAGGGTATTCGGGAACAGTCGACTCGTTGGTGCGGAGGAAGGCAACATATTTACCATTGTTCGCCCACCAGGTCGCACTATTGCCGGCCAAAACCTCCTCTTCATATACCCAGTCGGGAACACCGTAGAACAAGTTTTCTCCACCATCCTTAGTGATCGGGATAACCGTCTCCGAAGACAACTTTCGCAAATACAAGTTATTGTCCACGACAAAGGCAACTGCATCCGAGGTAGGAGCCCAGTTTGCAAGCTGCACTCGGGCGTTGGGTTTACTCGGATACAAAGGCTCTGCTGTCTGGGTAGCAACATCGAAGATCCAGTATTTGCCAGTGTATGAATGCCTCCAGTTCTTCTCCTTGTCGGATATAATCAAGACTTTGTTCAAGTCCGGGCTAGGCCAAGTGTCACCGGGAACAACGACGTTACCATCGACTTTCACGAACGGCTTCTTCATCAAAACCCTGCTCTCCAAGGCATTGACGTCCCCCTTACGATTCCGGATATCATCGACCGTCAGGTAACCATTCTCTTGACCCTCTCCTCTCTGTACCAATAGACCGTCTTCACCGTTGGGGCCTGCAATCCAAGAGATGGCATGCGATCGAGGCGACCATAAGCCCTGGAGAACCTGGTCGAGTTCAACGGGCGTTCCGTATTTCGCTCCTCCTGCATCATATCCGGCTTGATTTGCTTCAGTCGCCAAAACTGCATCTTTGTTGCTGGGACGTGGCTGCACCAGAAACAGCACGAGCGCCAACACCCATCCTCCCACGCAGAGCGATCCAAGTATCCAAAACACCCGCCGTGTACGACTCGTAGACGAAGTTGCTTTCTTCCGTCCAGGAAGAAACGGCTCTTCCGATCCCATTTCCCCGTCTTCAAGATCCCGGTATCTTTCGCCTTCAGCCATTTTTGTTGTTTCTCTTGACTCGGGGCCTTGTTTATCGTCTCCCAGGAATGTCGATTCAGCGGATAAGCTCGAGTCGGAGCTCTGGGATGCTGATCTTGAGCCGTTCTCTCTGAGGGAATCCCGACCCCTTTCGTCTTCAGGTTTCCCCATTGTCACGGGCCCTTCGACAAATACCGGTTCTAAATGGCGGTCGGGTACATACACGAAAGATGCGATAACGTGCACGTCACCGGTCGATCGGAATTGGAGATCGGAGGTAAGGCGTGGAGTGGACGGGGTATCAAGAAGGTTCGCAACGAAGGAGACCAAAAGGTATTTGAGCCTTAATTAGTAGAATTAAAGTAGATCACCATTCAGCAATCCACATCGAGCTCTGTGAGAATCTGCGGCGAGCGAAGAAAGGCATTCGAGGCGAAAGTACGCAGCTCAGCTAAGCCCCAGCTGACTCGCAGAGGGGAGTAGGAGAGCCTTGGCATGGCAGATCTCACGATCGGAGATCATCGAGTGTAGCTATTCATCCAGAACGATTATTTCCATCCTGATTGACGAAGGGCAATGGCTGCTATTGAGAGCCATTTTTGATGGTCTACTATGAATAAACGCCGGGGTGGTCAATAAAAATACCCACAATAGTGTGTGTTTGTGGTTCGTTGCTCTTTGTCTTTGTTTATCGTATCTTAGCATAAAGTGACGCCACGACTTGTAATTGGCAATTTTATATTTAGGCAAGCTGATTACTTGAATTTATGCAGTAGAAGTAATACATTAATGTTGTCTCTTTTGTTTCCTTTGCTATCAGGACTATGAAGCTTCAATATATATCCCGGGGATATCCCACTAAAGACGCCAACACTAGAACTATGACAGATTTACTCATACTGTGCTCTATAGCGTACATACTATCAATATTAAATCTATGAAATACCAATTTGATGACTTACAACACTAGCATGGATTGCTAGTGCACAACAGTCAGGGTTTAAACGACCTGAAGATCCATGACTATGTGCATTGATACATTGACAAAATCTATCTTGAAGTCGTTCTGAATTTTTAGGTAGAATTATTCGTCATAATAGACCACCAGATATACACCTTCCAGTCCTGCTGCGCAACCATCCAAATTACCTCGACAAAGCAATGTCATCAATTCTCATGATCATTTTAACAGTCTCAGCGGCGAGCTCAATCGCGCTGGTGCTAACCAGAAGAGGCTGCAGGATGTTTTCCTCAGTAATGTCATCCTTGACACCTCCGCTGCGGATGCTGACACCGGCGTTGTGCTGGCCCTGTGCATGGCGGTGGCGCAATTCAGTCACCACCTTGATGGAGTTCAGACCCGCGTTCTCTGCGAGGGTGGTCGGGATGACCTCCATGGCATCTGCGAAAGCCTTCCAGCAGATGGCCTCAGTGCCTGTGAGCTCACGAGAACGCTTGGCGAGTGCGTGGGCAACTTCAACTTCGGGAGCACCACCACCGGCAATGAGAGCGCGCTTCTTCACCAGACAGCGGATGACACACAGAGCGTCGTGCAGAGAACGCTCAGCTTCATCCAGAATGAGGTTGTTAGCACCCCGGGCAACGATCGACACGGTCTGGTTGCCGGAGGTAGCGGGGGCCTTAATGCCGGTAATCTTGACATAACGGGCACCCGAGGCCTGGACTTCCTCGACGAGATCGGCGGTACCGAGCTTGTCCTCTGTGAAGGAGTCGATATTGGCGACAGGCTTGCAGCCAAGACTCTTGCACAGGAATTCGACCTCATCACGCTCAATGTCTTTCACGACAGCAATCTTGAGACGCGACAGGAAGTGCAGAGACAACTCGTTGACGGCATCACGGAGGATCGATTTCTGGATAAGGAGGACATTGCACTTGGTCTTCTGGATCTTCTTAACCATGTTGAGGAGGTATTGGCGCTCTTCCTTGAGGATCTTGTCCATTTGACGGTAGTCGTTCACCACGATCTGGTTTTCCATCTGCAAGTTTCCATCAGTATAATATCCCAGCAATAGCATGGAATCAAGTGACGTACATCAGGCTTGGGAGGGCTGAGCTGGAATTGAATCAAACCTATCCGGGCCTTTTCAGTTCTTGTGGGGCCACCGCTGCTCTTGACGACCGGCTGGTTCAAGACCAGACCATCAACCATCTCGCTATCCTCAATTGTACCGCCGACCTTCTTGACTATCCGAATATTACGCAGGTCCACGTTCTCTGCAGTCTTAGGGTCGACAACCTTCAGCACGGAGTCAACAGCCATCGGTCCGAGAAGGCCAGAGTGCTGAGACACAATCTTCGAGGAAAGGGAAGTCGAGGCAGCCTGGAGGAGAGTAGACCGGTCGGCCAGATTGATCGGACGAGACATGTTGTGAAGGATCTCGACTGCGGCGGCAGCGGCTCTTTGGAAAGATTCCGAGATGACGGTGGGGTGGATGCCCTTTGCCAACAGGCGCTCAGCGGCTCCCAGCAAGCTACCTGCAATGACAACGACGGAGGTAGTTCCATCACCGGCCTCAACATCCTGGGCAGCACTGAGATCGACCAGCATCCTGGCGGCGGGGTGCATGACGCTCATATCCTTCAACATAGTGTTTCCATCGTTGGTCTGCGGGGGGTCAGTATCGAGCCGGAGAATATACGGATTGGGTTCGTACGATGATCGTTTGTCCCTTGGGCGTTTGGATCTAAGGATATATTAGAATCAAGCAGCAAAAGATGTTTGGTTGAGCTCCCTTACCATCTTGTCCATGCCTCTGGGTCCCAAAGACTGTTTGGCCTGTTAGCCCCTCATTTGTGATAAACTATGATTCCCTGAGTATGCATACCGTTCTAATGGCATCGGAAACGGCTGTTATCAAGTCAGCAATCACACTATTTACCTTCACAGGAAGTGATTATACCTCTAGCTGCCAAAATGTTGGATGCTCGCACCGCCATAGGCTTCTCCTTGTCCTGCGAGACTATCAGAAAACGGCCCACACGTAGTATTTCTGGTCGGTCAACGCACCTTGAAGGAGTTGTTTCCAGGGGGGCCCTGGGAGACTGCGGTCGCCATATTGAAGATGTCTGTGATTCAGACAAATTAAATAAAAAACAATAATGAGAAAAGAAAAATGGGCTGGTGGTGAGGGGGAGTGAATCGAGACTCCGGAGGCGGCTCTGGGAATTTCTTTGAAGTTGCTTTGGCGGTGCTGATGCTTGGCGGGCACTAGCGTCGACAGCTCGAACCGACCATGACAGAGCAGAGCAGGGCGAGAGAGCTCGATCACATCACACACCTCTCCCAACAGCTCCCCCCATCCATCCATCTCATTCTATCTGCTTTTTTAAAGCGTCCTTCTTATCTACGGAACTTCCTTAGACTTATTTAACTCTCGATCGTTGTTTCCCTGATTTTCCTGCCCGGTTGTCTCGCCGCCAACTCTCACCATGCCTAGCGCCACTGGAGAGAACTGGGAGAAGTACAAGAAGACCTACGCGGATGAGGAGGAGGAAGAGAAGAAGATCGCACCTCTTACAGATGAGTAAGTTAATGCCCTTGTATTTAAGGAGCGTATCTCGCTCGGCGTGGATATGGTGGCTGACTGTACCCCAGTGACATCGCAGTACTCAAGACCTACGGCGCCGCTCCTTATGCGAATGCGTTGAAGAAGCTTGAAAAGCAGATCAATGATAAGCAAGCAAGCGTGAACGAGAAGATTGGTGTCAAGGTATATCTCGCCGACTTTAGGCTTCATTGAATAGGTCTGACGTGTTTAGGAATCCGACACCGGTCTCGCACCTCCACACCTTTGGGATGTTGCCGCAGATCGACAACGCATGGCAGAGGAGCAACCACTTCAGGTGGCTCGCTGCACAAAGATTATCCAAGACGAGAAGGATTCAGACAAGAGCAAATATGTGATCAACGTCAAGCAGATCGCTAAGTTCGTCGTCAACCTAGGGGAGCGAGTGAGTCCTACGGATATTGAGGAGGGTATGAGAGTAGGGTGGGTTGCTTCAACATTTGTTTCGATTGTTGCCCCTACGTGCTGACTGTGTCTCCAGTGTCGACCGCAACAAGTACCAGATTATGCTGCCCCTCCCTCCCAAGATCGACCCCAGCGTGACGATGATGACCGTCGAAGACAAGCCCGATGTTACATATGGTGATGTTGGTGGATGCAAAGAGCAGATCGAAAAACTGCGAGAAGTCGTCGAGATGCCGTTGCTGTCCCCGGAGCGCTTTGTCAACTTGGGTATTGACCCGCCTAAGGGTGCTTTGCTGTACGGACCACCAGGTACTGGTAAAACACTCTGCGCCAGAGCGGTCGCCAACCGAACAGATGCTACATTCATTCGTGTCATCGGTAGTGAGTTGGTTCAGAAGTACGTTGGTGAGGGTGCCCGCATGGTCCGAGAGCTTTTCGAGATGGCCCGGACTAAGAAGGCATGCATTATCTTCTTCGACGAAATTGACGCGGTCGGTGGTGCTCGATTTGACGACGGAGCTGGTGGCGATAACGAAGTCCAGCGAACCATGTTGGAACTGATCACTCAGCTGGATGGATTCGACGCACGAGGAAACATCAAGGTCATGTTCGCAACCAACCGACCGTCGACTCTCGACCCTGCCCTGATGCGCCCGGGGCGTATCGACCGTAAGATCGAGTTCTCGCTTCCTGACGTTGAGGGCCGTGCCAACATTCTCCGTATTCACGCCAAGAGCATGTCCGTGGAGAGAGACATTCGATGGGAGTTGATCTCTCGACTATGCCCCAACGCAACTGGTGCTGAGCTGCGGAGTGTTGCAACAGAGGCCGGTATGTTTGCCATCCGCGCACGACGGAAGGTCGCGACCGAGAAGGACTTTTTGGCGGCCGTGGACAAGGTCATCAAGGGCAACCTGAAGTTCAACTCGACAGCGACATACATGCAGTATAATTAGAGTGGTGCGGCTTCTTCTGCATCTTGTGGTTACATTGCATGGCTGGATGGATGTATGATCATATTTAGCTTTACTGCAGTCTATGAATGGTTTTAATATGATTCCCTGAATACTCCTGGTTGTAGATTGATACTTCGTATTCTGTAGTGGGTGTACATACATCCCCCTCCGCCTTCTATCCTCAGGCATCATCAATTGCCGAGTCCAAACCGTCATCGGCTCACGTGACATTACACGGTGACAGCATCAGATCCGATCAATCACCATTATTTCCCTTATCGAGTCAGGAAAGACGGGGCCGATCAAGCCGGGGAACTCGGTCTTCTCCATCTGTCCCAGTCGCACATAATATATTTCCATCTGCAATGGCCTCATCGTCAGTTCTGCCGTGTCTCTCCGGAACTCTTCGCTATCGCCGGGTAAACGAAGACCGGCCACGTGCCTTGCCGCTCTCGGCCAATCATATTTTCCCGGCTGCCCGAGGTGATTACCACTACACCGCCGTTGATTGGTTCCTTCGGCCCCGGTCCTCCCCGTCGGCAAGTGAGAGAATGCTTATGTCAGCCATTCTCTGCTTCTGAAGCAGAGAAAGACGACGATCCAAAAGTGCAGCTCGCGAGCAGGAAAGCCTCCAGCCTCAGAAACCACCCACCCTCCTCCCACGATCCTTCTGTGCCTCTCCTCTCTACCCTCAATTCCTTTCTGGACTCACTAGGAGAGTGTTTCTTTTCTTTTGATCCGCCATCATGAGCTCCCTGAGCTTGCGGAGCCTAGCTCCCGCATCCAAGGTCAGTAATAGCCGTTCTTCCTACTTCATTTTTGGTCGCGTTGGTTACCCCCTCTTTCGAATTGTGTAACTGACTGGCATCACCTCGCAGATTTCCCGTGCTTTGAGGGATCAGAGACGTCTATTCTCTTCGACTCGGTCCGCAGGTACGCATCGCAGGTCGCAACGCTTCTGCATTCCGCATTCAACTAACCCACTCTTCCGCCAGCCCGGATCTTTGCCAACAACCCTTTGCGCGCTAAGGAGGCCAATGGATACATCTCGGACAAGTACCCTGTGATTGTAAGACAATAAAGATGAATTGCTTTTAGATGTCTACGGATTCTAATTGTTTCCTCAGGATCACGAGTACGATGCCGTCGTCATCGGTGCTGGAGGTGCTGGTCTCCGTGCGGCTTTCGGTCTCGCTGAAGCCGGTTTTAACACTGCCTGTGTTTCTAAGCTCTTCCCTACCAGAAGTCACACTGTCGCTGCCCAGGGTGGTATCAACGCTGCCCTTGGAAAGTAGGTTATCTGGCGACCCGGCCGTCGGTATTTGCGCTAACATATTGATGCGTATAGCATGCACGAGGATGACTGGAGATGGCACATGTACGATACTGTCAAGGGATCCGACTGGCTGGGTGACCAGGACGCCATTCACTACATGACCAGAGAAGCCCCTGCTAGTGTTCGTGAGCTGGAAGGCTACGGATGCCCCTTCTCGCGTACCGAGGATGGTCGCATTTACCAGCGTGCCTTCGGTGGTCAGTCCAGAGAGTACGGTAAGGGTGGACAGGCCTACCGTTGCTGCGCTGTTGCGGACCGTACCGGTCACGCTCTCCTGCACACTCTCTACGGACAGTCCCTGCGCCACAACACCAACTACTTCATTGAATACTTCGCCATGGACTTGCTGATGGAGAACGGCGAGTGCCGCGGTGTTATCGCTTACAACCAGGAAGACGGTACCCTGCACCGTTTCAAGGCCCACCACACCGTTCTGGCCACTGGTGGTTACGGACGTGCCTACTTCAGTTGCACTTCCGCTCACACTTGCACTGGTGACGGTATGGCCATGGTTGCCCGTGCTGGTCTGCCTAACCAGGATCTGGAGTTCGTCCAGTTCCACCCCACTGGTATCTACGGTGCCGGATGTTTGATCACTGAGGGATCTCGTGGTGAGGGTGGTTACCTGCTCAACTCCGAGGGTGAGCGTTTCATGGAGCGTTACGCCCCTACCGCCAAGGATCTTGCTTCTCGTGACGTCGTCTCCCGATCCATGACCCTGGAGATCCGCGAGGGCCGTGGTGTTGGCCCTGAGAAGGACCACATCTACCTCCAGCTCAGCCACTTGCCCGCCGAGCTCCTGCACGAGCGTCTGCCCGGTATCTCCGAGACCGCCTCCATTTTCGCCGGTGTCGATGTCACCAAGCAGCCCATCCCCGTCCTGCCTACCGTCCACTACAACATGGGTGGTATCCCCACCAAGTTCACCGGTGAGGTCTTGACCGTTGACGAGCAGGGCAAGGACCAGGTCGTCCCCGGTCTGTACGCTTGCGGTGAAGCCGCCTGTGTGTCTGTCCACGGTGCCAACCGTCTCGGTGCTAACTCCCTGCTCGACTTGATCGTCTTCGGTCGTGCTGTTTCTCACCGCGTCAAGGAGATCGCCACCCCTGGCGCCCCTCACCGTGAGCTGAGTGCCGACGCTGGTGCTCAGTCCATCAAGGACCTCGACTTTGTCCGTACCGCCGACGGATCCAGGACCACCTTCGACATCCGTAACGACATGCAGAAGACTATGCAGTCGGACGTCAGCGTTTTCCGTACCCAGCAGAGCTTGGACGAGGGTGTCGAGAAGATCGACAGCGTTGACAAGACCTTCGACCAGGTCGCTACCAAGGACCGCAGCATGATCTGGAACTCTGACCTCGTCGAGACTCTCGAGCTCCGTAACCTGCTGACTTGCGCGTAAGTACTTTCTGACTGAAGAAAGCGAATAATTTTGCTGATGTGAATCTTTCTAGTACCCAAACCGCTGTCGCTGCCGCTAACCGTAAGGAATCTCGTGGTGCCCACGCCCGTGAGGACTTCCCCGACCGTGACGACGAGAACTGGATGAAGCACACCCTCACCTGGCAGAAGGAGCCCCACGGCAAGGTTGAACTTGGATACCGTGCTGTCGAGCCTGGCACTCTTGACGAGAGCGAGTGCAAGCCCGTGCCTCCTTTCAAGCGTACTTACTAGATGCGTTACCCTGGGGACGGGTGCCAGAGGCGTATATTTAATACCTCCATCGGAGATGATATTTCCTGGGTCTTCATCTTGTGGCGTTGGCTATCACCAGGCTCCCATCAGTCCCTCACCTCCCGGGCTGTAGACCTGTGATGTCGCCCAAGAAGAAAAACAAAAAGGGAGGTGACCCAAAAAGGAGCCATGAAAATTCGGACCATGTTTTATTTTGTGTGATTTATACTTGTATATCCATTTTCCTTACCGGCGATGAGTTAGGTGCACTCACGTTAGTCGTGTTGTCTCTTATAGCAGTTTTTCTTTTTCTCATTATTATACAACTGGAGTTTTCTTTTGTGCTGAGAGCAGATTTCCACGCAGTATGTCGAGTATAAGATCTTAATTGTTGGGTTTTCAAGTAGAGGCACGGGATTGAAGAGGCCTTAACCGGAGTGGGTGAAAAGCACAACCCTTGAATAACAACGCTTGTCAATGACATCCATTCTTGTGGCTTCCTTTCCTCCTTAAAGCTGCATGACAAATCCAAAGAGAAAAGAATTTCTTCTATAATGCCAAATTAACTTCCATGCAGAAGTACCAAGTCCTTCCATGTTCAACCCAGTGTCTTTCTTGCTAACACCACGGACTTCTTCTAGCTTTCATCAACGCCATCGACAGGCCTATCACTCTCTTTCGTCCCTAGAACCTGTCTGCGTATTTGATACGAGCTTCATAACGGATCGCTCCTTTGTCTCCCAGACGGAAACGGTTCGGGAGGACAAAGAGACAGCAGCCTCGACCTCGAAAGCAACAGCCACCGACTTGGCAACAAGGATAATGGTATAGAAATAGGATGAAAGACTTGGAATGAGCAGGACTTCATTGAATCCATGGTACTGGATGACTCTGAGACATATGAAGATGCCATCCACGTTTTCTCGGTTGACCTCATGGCTGTAGACAAAGGATAGCAACAGTGATCGACAAATCTTCATTTCGTCATAGCAACAAGAGCTCTAAATGTCTCAAGCAAAAGTCCCACACATGGCCATCGTTTTGTTAGTCGGTCAATGGGATGATGGGGTTTCTCGATGGCTAAAGACGATATCCAGGCGTAAGCATGGTGGACAAAGAAGATTGCCACCGAATGCAACCCTCTATTGCGAGCTTGAGTCGTTTGAGAATCCATTTTTATACTAATGATGAAGTCTTGTTTCATCGTGCATGGCAAAAGAACATGTTCTTCTATAGCACGTCCTTGTGCCTGCCGGTTCCTGGGGATCAGACGCTGTCTGGCTGTTAATGTGACTTCATGGGAGCTCTTCTCGACTTTACACCTTGAAGACTTCGATGCTTCGTTCGCTCACTATTCTGCGACTACCACTCGTTTGTTTCTTCTCCTTTTGTTTCGGTTATACCAACTGTCGCTGAATCCAGGATTCTCAACTCTTGATCATCATGGCCCAACTTCTTGTCCGCGGAGAACTTCCCTGCTATGACAATGTGGCCTATTATGTTTGCTCGAAAACCAATTTCATGGGATGCTGCTCGGTTGATCCATGTGCTTCTGGAATCTGCCCTGATCATACGAACATAACGACCTCCATGACCACAGCGCCGACTAGAGCGACGACCAAGGCGGGCGTAACAGTTACGAAATCAGCTGCAAAGATAACGTCCCTTATAAGCTCCCAGAGTATCTCTTCAGCTGCTCCTACATTGTCTTCCACAACGACAGCAGAGAGTAGTTCTGCAGCCGCCATGGCCTCTCCAACCGATAATTCGAGTGGCAGCTCACACCGTGGCGAAGGAGCGTTGATAGGGGGGCTTGCTACAGGGTTTGTGGCTTTACTGGTGATATCAGGTATCCTATCATTTTTCATTGCTCGTACTCGCAGGAGACGGGGGAAACGGTTTACTCTTCTCGACTGGCATGGCCCTAATAACCAGGATCAAGATGACAATGGTACTGAGAGGGTTACTCGGAGAGACATTGGGCCAAGTGTATACGGAAATGATGAGGGCTTGTTCAATGGTGAGAGGACATCCATGCTTCCATCTACAGGCACTAACGTACAACTCTCAACTCCAGCTCCAACTTATATCGCCTACCAACCACCACCCCCATCCACGCGATCAAGATCCAGCTCCCCTGCCACGCCCAAGAGATCAAAACCAATAAACACAGCATACAGCCCCTACTCACTAGTATTGAATTCAGTCGATTCCGTCCCCAAATCAACAGTCCCCCTTATACCCTCAGTATCAACTACCTCATCCGCAGACTCCATCCAACTCACCACCTCCATCCCCCCAAAACGCACCTTCACCCCGGAGCTCCCAGATACAGGCTTCTACCGCCAACGAGCAGAGCTAGCAAGCTATTCACAAAGCGAACTCATCAATATTCCCCTCGACCAACGTCAACGCATCAAACCCGTAGAACAGCATCAAAAATCAATCACCACCCCACCTCGCACAACATCAACCCCACCAATCGTCACCTCTGACGGGGCCGTGCTGGGAGCGAATCTTGATCAGATCACACCGGCTTATGACTCGATATACCCTGAAAAGGGAGGCGGGGAGACCCTAAGCCACGTTATGAGTTTCATGCATTATGGGAGTGGTTCTGAGTCTGGTCGAGGGGACTCAAAGGAGTCGCTTGATGTTATGAGAGAAGTGCCGAAGCGAAAGTCGATTAAGCAGAAGGTGAGGTCGAGGTTAATGTGAATGTGAATGTGAGCTGTTCAATCACCGCTGGACGGTGGCGGTGAGAGTGGACTTGGAAAATGATTGATTCTAAATATTTAAATGATAATGGCGATCGGAGATAATGATTTGGGTTTCTGGGTTTTTGTGGTATCGTTTTTGGTTATTGTTATGTGTACTTCGGTGGGTATCGTCTGCTCGTTCGCTTCGTTCTTCATATAGATCGATAGAAGAAAAAAATCGATGTAACAGCTTCAATAAAACCGTCTTCAACATGACAGAATCCGTAAATCATTCTACATTAAACTATCATGTTCCATAAATGTATATGCACTATCTATTTTGTTTTGATATACTTTTTTTACCCGAAATCCAGCATAACCCATTTAAAGCAGACGTACAGCTGAGACAGTTTACAACAGACTCTTGAGGACAGAGGTCTGCTCCAGAACGGCCCGGCGGCTGGTACCACCGACAGCATCCTTGAGCTCGACGGCACGGTCGTAGTCCAGACAGGCCTGGACGTCCTCGCCGAAGCGGGCGTCGACGGTCTGGAGCTGCTCAAGCGACAGGGTGTCCATGGGGACATTGGTCTTTTCGGCCAGGGCGACGACACGGCCGGAAATGTGGTGGCCCTCGCGGAAGGGAACGCCCTTGCGGACGAGGTAGTCGGCGATCTCGGTGGCGAGCATCTCGGGGGCCAGAGCGGCGGTCATCTTCTCGGGGATGGTGGTGAGGGTGGACAGGACACCGGTGGCGATCTGGATGCTGTCGCCGACGGTCTTGATGTGGTCGAGGAGGGGCTCGACACTCTCCTGCAAGTCCTTGTTGTAGGTTGTGGGGAGACCCTTGATGGTGCACATCAATCCGGCCATGTGGCCGAAGGCACGGCCAGACTTTCCACGCAGAAGCTCCAGGCTGTCTATTCAGATGTTAGTGGTGTCGAAACGGGGGAGATGAAGGAAAAGGAAGCTTACCTGCGTTCTTCTTCTGGGGCATCAAAGATGATCCAGTCGAGTAAGCATCGGACAGACGAACGAATCCGTATTCCAAGCTGCTGTAGATGATCAAGTCCTCGGCCCAGCGAGAGATCTTGAGCATGAAAGAGCTACCCCACTGCATGGTCTCCATGGCGAAGTCACGGTCGCCCACCGCGTTCATCGAGTTGTACAACAAGCCATCAAAGCCCAGCTCCTTAGCCATACCCTCACGGTCAATGTGGAAGGGGTTTCCGGCCAAGGCACCGGTACCCAAGGGGCTGCGGTTGACACGCTTGGTCACCTCACGGAGACGCTCGAGCTCGCTGGCAAAAGCGGTGGTGTGCGACAGAAGCCAGTGACTCCAGCGGACGGGCTGGGCCTTCTGCAAGTGGGTGTATCCGGGCATGATGTAGTCAATCTCACTCTCGGCGCGAGCAATGGAGACCTTGATGAGGTCGCACAGGAAGGCGTCCAACTTGCGCAGCTCATCGCGGAGCCACATGCGCATGTCGGTAGCGACTTGCTCGTTACGGGAACGGCCAGTGTGCAGCTTTCCACCGATCTCCTTGCCGATAATCTCGGACAATCGACGCTCGTTGGCGGTGTGGATGTCCTCGTCGTTCTCCTTGGCGACAAAAGTGTTGGTGCTCCATTCCTCTGCGATCTGCTTGAAGCCGCGCTCGATCTCGGACAACTCGTGCGGGGTGAGGATGCCACCTCTGGTGTTGGCGCGGGCAAAGGCAAGCGAGCCAGCGATATCCTGCTTCCAGAAGATACGGTCATAGGGGAGCGATGTGTTGTATTGGACCATGAGGGGGTCGAGGCCCTCTGAATTGATATGTGCGTTAGTCGGTGACTCATGGTGGGAGAGGGAATTGCACATTGGAGGGGTAACTCACGGGTAAATCGACCTCCCCAGAGCATGTTCTCGGCGACCTTGTTTCCGCTCATCTTGGATAATAACGAGATGAAGTGGTGGACTGGGAATAGGAAAAGACGTGGTTTCTTAAGCAGGAGGAATGGATCGAGTCGAATTGTCAATCGTCAAATCGTCGTTGATTCACGCGGGGACCCGACATCGGGACGCTAACCGCATTGGGCGCCACAATGAGCGATTAACGATGAGGAAATTCTGCAATATGAAGATGAAGAAGATGAAGAAGATATTGATATAATGGTAGTTGATATTAATGGCATTGCTGAATTAGTGGTAGATAGGTAGATAACTGTGTGGTTTTGCTGCGAGTGGATGGCATCACCAAATGGCCAATCTATTCGCTGGAATAACATAATATATTCGTCAATGAGAATGCTGAAGTCCATTCGAATATCAATCAATGCTGAAATTATGATTATGGCGATAAATCACTGCATTTAATAAAACTCGGGGAGCTGTCCGAGACACGGTGATGCTCCGTCAATGGCATCATTTAGCAGGAATATAAATGAAAGCGAAACTATTGCAAACAAAGTGTGATATGAGCATAATATATTGGCTTTTGAATACTAGGGCAGAAATGGAATACCAAAGACTGGGAAACAGCGGACTCAAAGTCAGCAAAGTCATCCTGGGCTGTATGACCTTTGGACGACCAACCTGGGAGGGCAGTCCATGGGTGCTGGATGAAGAACAGGCATTGCCCTTGCTCAAGAAGGCATATGACTGCGGGATAAACACCTGGGATACAGCCAATACATATTCAAACGGAGAGTCAGAGACCATTATCGCCAAAGCCTTGACCAAATATAACATCCCCAGAGCCAAAGTCGTGATCATGACCAAGTTATACTACCCGGTTCTCGAAGACGACCTAGATTCACGGCCCAGTCCGGCAGTTAACGATGGACCCCTCCTCAATCAGATGGGATTAAGTCGCAAGCATATCTTCGACGCCGTGGAAGGATCACTGCGTCGTCTGAACACAAAGTACATCGACGTGCTGCAATTACATCGACTGGACGATACACCCCCAGAGGAAATTATGAGAGCTCTCAATGATCTTGTTCGGATGGGCAAAGTCCATTATCTAGGCGGATCGAGTATGCATTGCTGGGAATTCGCACGGTTGCAGTATACAGCCAAGATGCATGGCTGGACACCCTTTACCAGCATGCAGGGACTATACAATCTGCTGTATCGTGAAGAAGAGCGAGAAATGAACCCGTTCTGTCGTGCAGAGGGGATAGGATTGATTCCTTGGAGTCCATTGGCACGAGGACTGCTGGCTCGACCATGGCATGAGAAGACCAGTCGGGGGGAACAGGATCAGAAAACGAAGAAGTGGTTTGATGGCTCTCACAATGAGGATATCGTGGAGAGAGTCGAGCAGATTGCAAAGCAGAAAGGCTGCAGTATGAGTGCCGTGGCAATCGCGTGGCTGCTGGCAAAAGGCGCCTGTCCGATCATTGGACTGAACAGCGAGAAGAGAATTGAGGCTGCATCAGAGGCGTTGAATGTGAAGCTGACAGAGAGCGAGATTGAAATGCTGGAGGAGAAATATCGACCGGTGAACGTGCAGGCAATGTGAATAGACACAGTATTATTCCACTACTTCTGTATGATGATTTTTCGTCGCCAACTTGTCAATTGACAAATCCCAGTTTCAATGTCCTCCAGAAGGTCCAGTAATACGTTATTTGGCTATCAAAAACAGCTGCAGTGAGAGTGACAGATTGATGCCTGAGGAATACAGGAGGTCAACACCAACGCGTTCCTCTCTTCTTTTTTTTCATTTCCAAAACACTCATGCAAATCATCAAGCTACATCATCATGAGGAGAGATTGTCTATATTCTCCTGAGTCTATCCAAAATCATGAGAAAATACTGTTCATCAAAATCGCGCTTCATATTCTATCAGCTAACATTAAGGCATGAAATTAGACATCATCCCAGGGAAATTAAACTCGCCAAAGTCAGTCAACAGAAAGTCGTCAGCAGGAGTGACTAAGGAGTCCCCAGAGAAGGAGAAAGGCCCTGATGACGGTACCTGCTGAGCTGGCCTGTGATATTCCACTGGCCTTTGAAGATCCGGAAACGTGGAAGGTCGAGATTGAAGGCTGGCAGCGCAATCGAAGAGCTTCCTGTTTAAACCAGGCGTCATGCGACAGATAGGATGCTGTGGTACACACGGGGTGTTTTGGAAGAGCGTCAAGACCCTTTGGATCAATGACAAGTTCTCATCGGCTGTTATGGATAGCTGCACGGCATACGTTTTGGTGACCTCTAGGAGGAAATGACCAGCAAATGCGATCATGATGTGAAAATAATGCGGCATTCCGACCAGATTTTGTTGTAGCTGCTCATCCTGCAGGATCATTTCGAAAATGGCAATGGCTGCATCATGAGCCATGCTGGCTGCTGTCATAAATGGAGGAGGGATGGCTTCGCCTTGAAGGCCTTTGAAGATCTGATGTCCGAGATACAGTTTGCCAAATTGGTAATGCAGCTGGAGACCCCGTCTTGGGAAGTCCCCGATGCAAGGATCTGGTTTGAAGAGTGCAGAGAACCTGGTGAACCACTTGTCGAGTTGTCGTGAATAGTGGACAATCTGGTTTGCCAGTGTTTGCGGCACGCGTGTCTCTTGGTCTGATCCCAGCAGATCTCGAACCTGGCTCATGATCAAAAGTAGGGCTACTTGAGAGACAATGCGTATATCAGTGTCTTTTGAGTCTTCTCGTTTCAGGTACGCCTCCCAGCTCATCGCAATTTCTTTGTCGCTGCGAAGCAACGGGTCACGATTGTGTAGGATGGAGAGATGCTGATCGCAAATGAATAACAGATACCACAACCGGACTCGGTCTTTCATCTCTGCCATAGAAGGGGATGGCCCATGAGAAGTACTTCCTGGCGTTGTGACAGGACCTCCATTTGCCATGTTCCATATGTGGCCAAAGCTGCGATGAAGATGGATGTCTGCGGACCTTCGCACCGCATCGCTCAAGAGGATCCTCGATGCATCAGCAAGCCAGAAGCTGCTCACAGTCAAAGCACGTAAGTACTCCAGACCGTGTTTCTCAAACAAAGACCGTGACACTCGACGACGGAACTCGCGATTACAGACTTCATACAGGGCCTGGCTCTGTGGGTCATGTATAGCTGATATTGTGCAGATGGCAGCAAGCAAGGTTGGACAAGATGTCCGCAGTTTCTGCAAGTCATAGAATTTACTGCTAGTGCCATACAAATATGAGTCGAATCGGGTGAAGTACCGTTCCACCAGGATCCCAGCGTCGGTTGCGCTAATGATTCCTTTGCTAACTAGATCCTGCGATCCAGCTAATCGTCGATGGCGTGCGCCACTCTGAGATGGAGTATCTGCTGAGCCAGGACTCCCTAGCTTAGCGATGTCCAGGAATGTGTCGATGGGTGCTTGAACAGCCGAGGGAGTTCCTGGCGGCGAGACCTCGCAGCCCGAAACAGCGTCATCTCGTTCATTATCGCTATTGCTATTTTCATAATGGTGTATATCACCCGTTGAGACGGAAAGAAGAGGCTTTGGTCGATTCAGATTAAGATGATCGCAGATGGCACCGAGCGTACCGTGAATCTCGCGTACATCTGCCTGTAGGATGTCGGTATTCCTGCGGCTAAATTAGCAAACAGGCCAGGATGAAATGCGAATGCAACCTACTTCGCCTCTTCAACCAACGACTGCAGGCTCTTGTTCAGCACACATGTGAGGGATCGACGGCGGCAGCGCACACAAGGCGGAACACCCTCGGGCATGTCGCATCGTATCTACACATTGATTAGACCGATGATGCAATCATCACACACCAAACACACCTTCTGCTTCCTACATGCTGCACAAGCGGTGATCTTGCGAGTAATCCCCGGCAGAACCTCCACTGTCTTGGGCTCTTCCGCCGTGCTCAGACGACGGGACGAGATACTCAGGCCTGCAGCATCTGAAGTCGGCACTGTATCCGACGGATCCTCGGGGCATGACCGCTTTCTCTTCGACATATGGGATAGATGATCAAAAGAACCGATTCAATGGGGACAATAGACAGTGGTTTGAGATGAATCAGGGCTATCGGCGAGCTTCCCGACTTTTATTAGGATCGAAGCCAAAATGCGGGGAAAGGACTGGGGCACGATGTGCGCTCCACACGAGCTTGTCATTGTCAACCAGCCATTCATCATTGGATCAATCAGTCTACGAAGAATGTCGCATAAGTCCCCGCTGGATGCGTGAAGAGGGGCTCTTGACGTGCAATTCCCGATGAATAGCCGGCTTTCGGTGCATCGCCGAACGAGGTCGGAGCATACAAGAGTGATGATTTCTTTCAAGCAATCACTTCTACTTACTATTTATTATAAGAAGACATTTTGACAGAAAGAAGTACCAAGCAGTATCATCAGCATTATGACGTCTACAATTGCCGCCAAAGCGAAACAACTACCACCAGGCATTTACTGCCCTGTTATCTCTTTGTACAAACCTACAGCCAGACAAGAAATCGACCTCGATGCCTCGTACAAATTCTTCACACACCTCATCCGCGGCGGAGTAGACGGCCTAGTCCTAGCAGGAACAACAGCAGAAGCAGTTCTACTGTCGCGGGAAGAACGAAAAGAACTTGCGCAAATCGCACGCAAAGCTGCTACTGATCTTGGAAAAAATAATTTCCCAGTAGTCGCTGGGATCAGTGGACAGTCCACAAACGAGTCGATACGTCTGGCTGAAGATGCAGCCTCATCTGGCGCAGATTTTGGTCTGTTGCTGCCCCCAAACTATTGGGTGAAGGCTGTGACCAAGGATGTGATTCTGGATTTCTACCGTGACGTAGCTGATGCCAGTTCGATTCCTATCGTTATCTACAGTGTAAATTCTTCGTTCTTCTATATTGCAGCCTATCTAATGCAAGACCAGTTCCCAGCCATGTGCAACGGGGTCGACATGAACTCGGACGTCCTCTCAGAACTCGCCCAACACCCCAACATCGTCGGCGTGAAATTAACCTGCGGCAACGCCGGCAAGGTCACACGCTTGACGCAAGAATACGACCACAGTCAATTCGCCGTTTACGCCGGGTCCTCGGATTGGCTCATTCCCTGCTTGAGTGGCTCGGGAAGTGGATGCGTGACGGGCATCGCCAACGTATTCCCCAAATGCGTGTCAAAGCTTTACACTCTGTGGACAGATGGAAAAATTCAAGAGGCACAGAAGCTGCAGGGGTTGATTGCGCAGGCAGAAAAGGCGTGTAAAGAGGGCATTTCGCCTACCAAGTTTGCCACGGCGCACTTTGTTGGTCCTGCGGTGGGAGTTGAGGATGAGAAGGCGTATTGGCCCAGGAAGCCGTATAAGCCGGTTGGAGCAGAGAAGCAGGCGTGGGTGATTGAGGTTATGAAGCATTTGGTTGATGTGGAAAAGTCGCTTCCAGATGCTGTTTAATCTATTATGCTTAAAGAACAGATGTTTAGAACAAGAATTTCTGCACTTGGGTCATTTGTAAAACAGAAGAGGTCATTCACATCAATAAGACTTGATTTTTCTATACCAGACAACGATTATCCTGAATATCTAGGCTCCGAATATCTTGCTTTTGTCAGGCGATCACATTAGGAAGTAAAAATGACGCCTCTTTCTATACTCGTGCGACCAACTGTGTCATCTATACTCGGCATAAAGTTGAGCAGAATAATCTGTCCTACATTGCCAATAAGTTGACCATCCATTGTTATTGTTTACGAGAATACAAGGATCCTCGAGTATTCGAATCCATACAAAGGGCCAGTTTGGTTACACGATATAGTCTTGGTCAAGCGTAAGATCGTGTAGAGCATCACTTGATGTTGACAATATGTCTCATAGATACGTTGGATATATAAACATTCTATATCTTGCTATCCATACGATGCATTCATTCAATACCAAATACTATCTATTATCGAGATGTCTTCACCCTGGGTCCTCCTCGACAACAACCCCAACACCACCAGCATCTTCACAGCCGGAGGCCAACTCTACCAACTCCATTCCAACGGCAACATCTACCAATGGAAGGGCGAAAGAGACTGGGATCTTCTCGATTCCAACCCGAATACCGTTCAGATCACCGCGGGAGACGGTCTTCTCTTCCAGCGACACAATAACGGGGCTATATACCGCTGGAAAGGCGTGCCTTATTCTTGGGAATTGATTGACAATAACGCAAACACGGTGCAGATTGCAGCTGGTGATAATAAGCTATATCAAAGGCATGCGAATGAGTTGATTTATCGATGGAAGGGAAATGCGTATGACTGGGAGTTGTTGGATGGGAATCCAGGCACGGTCAATATAGTCGTGAGTGACAATGGGACGATTTACCAGCAACACAACGATGGGGGAATCTGGGTTTTTGAAGGAGGGACCTGGGAGAATCTGGATAATAATGCAAACACGGTCGAGGTTGTTGCTGGTGATGGCCATGTGTATCAGCGTCATGCAGATGGGGGTGTGTATAGATACTCCAGCCAGCTTCAGCAGTGGGAATTGTTGGGTTCGAATCCGGCCACGATCGGACTGGCTGCTGGTGGGAATACGCTGTACCAGCGTCATTCAGATCGGATTTATCGGTCTACTGGAGGTGGTTTGGAAGAGGTTGACCATTCGACTGGGTCCGCAATCGTGCAGATTGTGGCGGATTGGTCGATTCTGTATCAGCTTCATGCGGATGGATCCATTTGGAGACGCGTTTTCTAGTTATATTCATTCATATTGAGATCCATCAATCTAGTCTAATTGTCGAAGAAATCCCCCTCCAAACACACGTACTTTATTGTTTGTCGCCAGAAAGTGAATGCCACATGCACTTTTTCCCCCTCCACCACCATGCTGGGATACGACAACTCCCGGTTCAACTTCTTCTCGCTGTTGTTCGTCATGCAATATCCATCGCCTTCTTCCAATACACGATGCTTCCACGTCTCTCCTCCATCGTCACTCCAGGCCACGTTCAACGGTGCTCGGGGAGACCCCCAAAACGCCTCTTTGCCGGCGTGTTTACTGCCCTGGTTCTTGCGCGCGTCTCCCGTATCCCCGATATCATCGTATAGTCCATCGCGTCGTCCTTCTGCGTCAGCCCGTGAGGAGTGGTTGTACACTAGTACCACCCGACCAGAGGGAAGGACGTCGAAGCAGATACCCGCGTTGGGGTTGGGAAGAGAGATGGGCTTGGGTTCAGTGAAGTTGATTCCGTCAGAAGAGACGGAGGAATAAATGTGGTCTGCCCAGCGACTGCGATAGAGAGCGAGATATCTACCATCACGCAGGCGCTGAATCTCCATATGCACACAGCCATAGCTATTCGGCACAATGGTTTCACTCCACGTGGATCCTCCATCTCGCGAGGCGCGCACGCACGAGACATCATCGTTCCCCAACCACCGTTCCCCGGGCTCGCTGCGACATTTGAAAATGGGAATAACCCACGTGCCGTCATCGAGGAACAGAGGAGGCTGTCGAATGAACGTCCCCGGTTCGGAGAAGAGAACACGTGGTTCTCCCCAGGTTCGTCCGAGGTCAGGAGACACGCGATGTTTCACGACCGCTGAGTCTTGGTTTCCGGCATCTTGGGAGGTATACAAGAGCCAGAGGTCGTTGGAGGGGGAGAAGCAGAGGATGGGGTTTTGTTCGCTGCGTGTGCTGTCGTGGGTCATTTTCTCTGCGGGCAACCAGGTCGATTGTCCGGCTTCAAGACGAGAGAGATAGATGGAGATATCAGGGCGACCTTCCATGCTGCCTCCGAACCAGACACAGAGCAAGTCGCCATTGGGGAGGAAGAGGAGGTTGGAGGCGTGACATTGTGCCGTGGCAGCGGGAATAAAGGCTTCCCGGTATGAATACGGCCTGGGAGGCGATTGCAGGGAGGGTGAGAACTCCATGTTTACCTTGATGTGATACTTGCAGTGACAAAACAAACTCTCTTATTATAAAGAGTGACCAAAAACGATGAAGTCGATGAAGTCATATCGGTTGTCTCTCCGGCGATATAAACGAAGCACTAAAACTCGGCGACAGTCCGACATCCATCGATCTTCACTCCGTAACTCCACTTCCCCAGATTTTGGCAGGAGTCTGAAGAGAAGACCTTATTGTGCGTTTTGCGGGGTGCTTGAAGCTTGGTCTTTGGCTTTGGTCTTTATATAAGCGTACATAGCTCCGTTGCTTTCAAAGGTTTGACTTGACTCCATCTATATTCTGTCTATCTATATTGACTTACATTATGGCAGGCGGAACAAGTATCTGGGTCAGCAAAGACGCAAAAAACGACCCCAAAGAAATCTTCAATCTCCGTCTGCTTTATCTTCTTGTATCCCTCGCATGGGCGGGATGTTTCTACGGTTTCGACACGGGAAATATTGGAGGAATCCTGACTTTGCCATCATTCAAACATGCCTTTGGAATCAGCGATGAATCCGAAGCAGAGGCTGATAATCGCAAGGTTTGTCTTTCTGTCTATCTTTATATCATCTTCATCTTGACTAGTATAGGGCACCATCGCAGCCATGCTCGCAGGGGGCGCCTCGGCAGGTTCCATCCTCGCCGCACCAACATCCGACTACATCGGCCGAAAATGGTCTGTATTCGGCTGGGGTTGCATCTTTGTGATAGGAGCCATAATGCAGATGATCGCCAACTACGAAGTCCTCATTGCCGGTCGCTTCATCGCCGGAATGGGTGTCGGGGCGAGCTCAATGCTCAGTCCGCAGTTTCTGGCAGAGAACTCACCCAAATCTGTGCGTGGGTCGGTGACGGCTTCGTATAATCTGATGATTCTGTTATCGCTGATGCTGGCATTTTGGATCAACTACGGTGTTTCGCTGTGGTCGTTTCCTGGTGTGGAAACGGACGATACACAGTGGCGGACTGCGATGGGGATTCAGCTGATCCCTGGTGTGTTGATGTGTTTGATGATTCCTTTTGTGCCCGAGACGCCGCGGTATCTGTTTAACCATAACAAGGCCGAAGAGGGATTGAAGAATCTGTGCAAATTGCGCGGTCTGCCGGCTGATCATCCTTTTATCGTGACTGAATCGCAGGAGATCATGGCACAGGTACGACACGAACAACAATGCTATGAGGGCCATAATTACTGGGTCGTTATCAAGGATATCGTCACCATCCGGAGTAACTTTCAGCGGTTCTTCTTGACCGTCATGTTGTTTCTGTTTCATAAACTCACCGGCACGGATTCTCTCAACGTATGTCCACCAGCCAACTGACCGATATATGAAATACTAACATCGCTAGTACTACGCCCCTGAGATCTTCCAACTAATCGGAGTCAACGGCAACTCATCTAGCCTCCTCACAACAGGAATCTACGGCGTGGTCAAATTCGCCGTAACCATCTTCTACGTGGCATACCTGGTCGACCGCGTCGGACGTCGTCTCCCTTTGATAGTCGGCGCAATCATGCAAGCAACCGCAATGCTCTATCTCGCTCTCTACCTGCGCTTCGCAGGAACAAACACCGACAGTGTCGGCGGGACACCAGCAGGCGGAATTGTAGGAATAGTCTGGATCTACATCTACGCCTTTGGATGGTCCTTCGGCCACAGCGTCGCGTGCTACATTGTCGCTGCTGAAATCTTTCCCACTAGAATTGTAAGCCCTCCCCAATCCCCTTACATCCTATTCCATACCAGGGCTAATAATGTACAGCGCTCCTTCTGCATGTCCTTCTGCTTCTTCGTCAACTGGATCATCGACTACGGCCTCACCCGCGCAACACCCAACATGATCACCAACATGGGTTGGGGCGTGTTCCTCTTCTACGCGATGCTCACCTACACCGGCGTGGTATTCATCTACTTCTGTCTGCCGGAGATGAAAGGCCGCTCGATTGAGAGTATGGACGATCTCTTCCAGCGACCGCTCTGGACGATGTGGCGCCATGCGTATCCGACCGAGGAAGAAAAGACGCGGCAGGAAGTGCGAGATTTGATGGATAAGAGTGATGGGAATGAAAATCAGCATGAGCGTAGAAATGGAGACGAAAACGAAAACGAGAATGGAAAAGATGGAACGGTCCATCTGGAGAGGGTGTAGATAGGTAGTGTAGTGTAGTCGGTGATGCTCCGGCGGGATTCTCTCCGACTGTTTTTATATGAATGACTTATAAGTATCTACCTATCCAATAACAAATTCATCAATTTACTCAAGCCAAATAAGAAAGAAACAAAATGAAATCCTTCACCCTCAACACCGGCGCAAAAATCCCCGCCGTGGGATTCGGGACCTGGAAAGCTGCTCCAGGCGAAGCAGCAGCAGCCGTGGAAGCGGCTTTTGAAGCTGGATATCGTCATTTTGTACTCCTCACTCTTATATCCTGAATATACTGATAAGATATTAATATGGAAGTAGGATTGTGCCCCTCTATACGGAAATGAAGCGGAAATCGGACAAGTCTTTAAAAAGACTCCTATCCCTAGGGAGGAGTATTTTGTTACTACGAAATTGTACTCCTTCACTCTCTCTACACTCTTTATACTCCATACTAATATAAGCGATAGATGGTCCTCCGACCACCGCCGCATCGAATCCGCCTTGGACAAATCTCTCTCCGATCTCAACCTCACCTACATCGACCTATATCTCATGCACTGGCCCGTAACCCTCGATCCCAGCGACGCATCCACATACGGGAAAGAAAACCGCAAAATCCACGCCAGCGGCTGGGACTTCCGGGATACATGGCGGGAGATGGAGAAACTGATCGACACTGGAAAGGTGAAAGCGATCGGCGTAGCGAATTTCTCGACAGTCAATTTGGAAAAGCTGCTGAGTGGTGGTGTGAGGATTGTACCCGCGGTGAATCAGACGGAGATTCAGCCGCTACTGCCGCAGAGGAAGTTGAATGCGTTTTGTGTGAGATGGGGCATTCATCAGACGGCGTTTGGGCCGTTGGGGGGGAGTGGGAGTACGCTGCATGAGGATGAGGTTATTCGGGGCATTGCGAGGGAGAGGGGGACGGGGACAGGGAATGTGATGCTCTCTTGGGGAGTGCAGAGCGGGTGGAGTGTTATTCCGAAGAGTACGAATCCGGTGAGGATAAGGCAGAATCTGGAGGGGAATTTCGAACTGAGTGAGGAGGAGATGAAGGCGATGGATGGGTTGGTGGTGGGGAGGGCGAAGAGGTTTAATCGGCCGGATTGGGGGACTGTTATCTTTCATGATGATGATGAGGACGTGGAGTAGATATAGTTATACAGATAACATCAATTCATTATTCATTCATACAATACATATAGTCATCCTGGTAACAAGGTATCCCTCAACGCCGCCCTCTTATGAATCATCTCCATCATCTGCACCTGGTTCAACGGCTTGGGCAAGTAATCATCCATACCAGCAGCGATACACTTCTCGCGATCCCCAAACATCGCATGCGCCGTCAACGCAATAATCCTCGTCCTCGGCAACCCGTGAAAACTCTCGTACTCACGGATCTTGGCCGTCGACTCGAACCCGCCCATAACGGGCATCTGCACGTCCATAAGCACCACGTCGTACCGGTTATTCCGGAATGCCTGCAGTGCTTCCTGTCCGTTTTCGACGACGGTGATGTGGTGGTGGTATTTTTCCATGACGCGGACGGCGACTTTTTGGTTGACTTCGTTGTCTTCTGCGAGGAGGATGACGAGCGGGTGAGCCGGTTGGGAGAGAACGCCGGATGGGCGGCTTTCCAGCGCGGGGAGGAGGCCGTTGACGAGGTCGATTGTGCGGTAGGGCGTCGTTACGTAGGAGGTGATGCTGAGGTCGAGGGCGGCTTTCATGCTTACGGAGACTTCTGGGAAGACGAGGACCACGGGGAGATCTCTGAATTTGTTGAATGCGCGTATGGTGGCCGCGGAGGCCATGTTGGGGACGATGACGACGTCGTCTATTTGGTTGGGAGTTTCGGATACGTGGTCGCCCTCGACGAGTTGGACAACTTCGGCTTCAAGGCCGAGTTTGCGGAGAGTCCGTTTCATCGCTTCAGTGTCGTAGTCTGGGTGGTTGGCGTGGTTGGCCTGGACGATGACCCGACGGCCTTGATACGGCGCGAGGTGCTGGATGATATCGCGGAACGGGGGATGAGACAGCTGCACCACACAGGTGAAGTGAAAGGTGCTTCCAACGCCCATCTCGGACGTCACCCAGATATCGCCGCCCATGAGATTGGCAAGACGTTTGGAGATGGACAGGCCCAGGCCAGTACCTCCGAACCGACGGGTCATGGAGCCATCGGCTTGTTGGAATTTATCAAAGATCAAGCCCAGCTTGCTATTTTTGATGCCGATGCCGGTATCAGACACGGAAAATTCCAGTTTGTATCCCTCCATAGAGGTATAACGGTTAGACTTTGCCTCGTGGACGGACAATCTGATCTCGCCACTTTCGGTGAATTTGATAGCATTCCCGAGCAGATTCAATATGACCTGTCGCAGGCGGAATGAGTCTCCGATAACGTGGTCCGGCACTGAGTTATCAATGTGATAGACGAGATCCAGTCCCTTTTCATTAGCTTCCACGGCCAGCGTCTTCAAAGCTTTGAATATAGTCTGTCCGAGACTGAACGGGACAGCCTCGACATTCATATGGTTTGCCTCGATTTTGGAAATGTCGAGAATATCATCGATAATGACCAGTAGACTATTGCCGAGATTCTGCACCACGTTCAACATTTCCCGGGTATACGGTTTGAGATCTTCGGTATCCAGAGCCAGCTGGGTCATGCCGATAATCCCGTTCATGGGGGTGCGAATCTCGTGGCTCATGTTGGCTAGAAACTCGGATTTGCTTTGGTTTGCCAACTCGGCTGCTTCTCGCGCTGCGGTATTGCGCTGGATGCTGTCGCGGAGATTGGAGATCATCTTGTTGATCTTTTGTTTCAGTTCGTCCATCTCGCCGCATGCACTGATGGTGATGAGCTTGCTAAAGTCGCCGTCTGTGGCTGCGTTGGTGATTTGCCCGAATGCTCGGACCTGGGCTGTGAGGTTGTCGGCCATGATATTGACATTATCGGTCAATACCCTCCACTCGCCTTCGATGTTGGCTACGACAGCCTGGCCTCCCAGTGTCCCATCAACTCCAACGCCGCGAGCTACTTTGCTCACTTCAAAGGCGAACTGGTTCAACCGGCCAACCATTCCATTGATGGTTTCCTTGAGGTCTAATATTTCGCCGTTCACATTGGCCGTGATGCTCTTGGTGAGATCTCCTTTGGCGACAGCGGTAGTCACGTCGGCGATTTCACGGACTTGGATGGTGAGATTCATCGCCATCCGATTCACATTCTCTGTGAGGTCCCTCCAGACTCCTTCAACGTCATGCACGGTTGCTTGGCCTCCGAGGACCCCATCAGTGCCGACTTCTTTTGCAATCTTGGTGACCTCCTGGGCGAACTGTCGTAGCTGATCAACCATGGAATTGATGATGTTTTTCAAATCGAGAATCTCCCCTTGACAATCTGCCTGCACTTTCTGCGTCAGGTCTCCTTTGGCAACGGCAGTTGTCACGGTGGTGATGTCTCGAACCTGAGTAGTCAGGTTGTTGGCCATGGCGTTTACATTGACCGTTAGCTCATTCCATGCTCCTTGGGTGCCATATATTTGTGCCTGTCCACCAAGGACGCCTTTAATCCCCACATCGCGAGCGACGCGATTCACTTCCATAGCGAACGTCCGTAGCTGATCAACCATGACGTTCATAGTCTGTTGCAGTTGGAATATCTCCCCTTTGGCAGGTCGTTCAATCTTCTGCCCTAGATCCCCATGAGCAACTGCCGTCGTCACCGATGCGATTTCTCGAACCTGATCGGTCAAGTTCGACGCCATAATGTTCACATTATCAGTCAATTCCCTCCAGATGCCATGCATCCCAGCAATTTGCGCCTGGCCCCCTAGAATCCCCTCCGTCCCAACTTCCCAGGCCACTCTCGAGACTTCACTCCCAAACACGCGCAGCTGATCCAGCATTGTATTCATGGTGATTTTAAACGTGATAATATCCGAGTCCATTTCGAGCGGATGGATCGGGACTTTGGTCGATAAATCGCCATTTGCGACTTGGGTGATGATCTTGCCGATCTCCTGTAGTGCTTTTTGGAATGCCTTATTCATCTGCTGGTGTTTGTGCAGTTCTTCTTCGAGCTGGTCAATCTCCACCAATGCGCGACGGTGCAGAAGCTCGTTTAATAGGCCGGATACAACTTTGCGGGGAAGTTGAATTTCCTCCCCTTCCTCTTGTAGGGCTCGCTTTGTCCGCGCCAGGTCGAGTTCACTCGCGACCACCATTCCGGGACTACTGTTCTGGTCGCTTCCATGTTCTTGATCGAACCTGTCACTGTTAGCATATATCATGCTAAAAGCGTCAAAATCAGTTCGGACGTACTCTAACTTCCTCTTCAACGCAGGCCGAAACTCCAGCTCCCTTGAGGGCAATCCCGTCGCCGTCGCAGGCCGACAGAGCAACTCTTCCTCCGGCACCACCGCTACCACCTTATTCTGCACAGGTGAGCTCCCACCACACTGGAGGAGATGAACATGACGGACCAGTGCGAGTAACTCCGTCTCAAAGGCCTTCTTGGCGTCGCTGGGATCACCCGGAAGATGGGAGAGGTCGAGATTGACGTCTTCGGGGGGGGAGTCGGGGACAATGGGGGAAGCTGGAGGGAGACTTGCTTGGAGGGTAGCCGCGGCGCCCCAGAAGAAGTCGTCGACGGGCGAATTCATTGTGGCCATTTTATTTGGAACGATATATATAGGGTGAGGTGAGATACATTATAGTGGGGGGATATAGTAGATGGATGGAGAGGATAGAGTAGAAGACATGGAGATGAGGGGGATGAAAGATGAAAGATGGAATATGAGAGATGAGAATGAAAGTAATGAAGGATGGAGGATGGAGAAGATTTGCCTCCGCCACAGAGAGATTCTAGAACAAGTCTTGAAAGGAAATCCACGTTTGGCGCGATGAAGGTTCAGCCACGCCACAAAAACTTCATGGATATATATTATGTTCATGAAGATGAAGAAGATAATATAGTATAGTATAGTAAGTATATTTAATTATAATATTCTACATAATACTGATCTTATTCACAATTGTTCTGTCCATCTCTCTCTATCTTCATGTTGTACTGCAGCCAGCTCAACCATGGATCGCGTGTTTTGGACTGATGACACATTCAAGTAGATGAAGCGATCCATGGATCACCCTCTTCTATACAGATAGGATATGATGCTTTTATGGCTCTGGATGGTGGATAGACCAATGTGGGGCAGATTATTAGCCTTCATGAATCATCATCTTTTTTTATCGCTCCAGATCGATCGAGGATTGGTACTTTGATAATATTGTCTGTGTGGTTATTATGGATGCAGCGATGAACTTTGGATCAAATAATTAAAAACCCACTTTAATGCCGCATATTAAACACATTTCCCGACAAGCGATCGAGATCATCCAGTCTCTACAGACAGTCGACTTGGTCAATAGTGCAGAATATCACGATAATGAAGCCATCCAGCCAGCCTCACCAAAACTAGCCATGTCCACCACCAACTATACCCCATAAGTCAGCTCGAATAAACCCGGAAATAAAATGACAGTCAAGTGGACTGCAAGTGGAGAACCGGGATATTCGTATCCAGGTTCCTGGAATTCAGCTCCAGCTTCACTTTAGGTAGACTCGATAGTCTGACTGTCTAGGGAATATAACCCGCTGTCAGGACGAGCTTAACAGGGACTAAGAACAATAGATCCATGAGTCGGATGGAAAGGGGGATCTTCATTTCATTTTCATGTCTTTATGATCGTATCTTTATAATCATCGATCGCGTGTTGGATATCACTGATGGGCTGCATTTATTCGTATTTTGTTATTACTATTCTTCTAGAATTATCTGTGGTGTTGACAATATGACAGCTGTCAGATCCACTCAATATCATCGCCAACAGCGGCACAATAATAATATTTCCACTCAACATTATCTAGCTAGTGGACAGCCAGTGGCTGGATGAAGAACATACCCGAACACAGAGATCAACAAGAAAAACCCTTGCTCCGGGATGATCGAAAAAAAATCGAAAACACCAAAATGATGCATCACCGATCGACACTGCAGCTGCTCCACCCAGCCTAGCCTGTATGCGAGCTAAATCCGTCTCGGACTCGGAGTCTCCGTGTGGCGGTGCAGCCCACGCTATGAACTATTTGCTCTATTGATATCATTCCGTGTCCGCTTTTAGATCAGCCTTACCCGGTTTTAACTGTTCTGCAGGAAGATTTTTCCAGTGAAAATTTTTATTCAAAGTGTAGGAAAGCGTGTAATAGAATTAGATAGCTTTTACAAAAGAAAAATCAAATGAGTGACTCATGATCATGTCGCATCGCAGTCGTAATTCCCAATTTACCACGGACTCCGCGGTCCGACCATCCAGTCCTCCATCGCTAACCATTCGCTCCATCGTGTTTCCGCTGATCGTAGTTCTTCTTCACTCGGCTCCCGTAGTGGTCGTAGACACGGTGTCTGTTGGTCTGGGAGAATGTCATAGGTCGACTTGGTCGCTGCCCATCCGCTACTCTTGGCTGTAAACAAGTAGTTCACCCGCTCCTGCTTGCAGATGCATCCGATACCCGTTACCCAATCACCGCCAAAGAACGCATGCAGGACCGTTGGCGTGTCCTGGCCTGTCACGATTAACCGTCGCAGATAAGGCCGCAGTGACACATATGCCGATGATGTAGGGGCGGCGCCTATCACGGAGGTTGAATCGACTGGCTGCGCGCCAGAAAACCGCCAGACTGGATCGGTGGGCCGCTGGTATGGCAGTCGGATGTTGATAAAGGCGGCCACTGCCTGGACCGGGGCGGAATGCTGGGCATGGTCGAGGAAATGTTGCAGACAAGCCGTGTAGTGAGGGTACCATGCGTTCAAGTCGACGTTGACAAACTCCGTCCCGTCCATTGGGGGAGTAGTGACGCCCTGGTTGGTGCTTAATTGCCAGCCAGAGGGAAACTCATTGGCAGAGACACTCTGGGGAAAATGGTTCTCGGGTCTACCGGTGTGTTCAGCTTCCCGTCCCATGAATTCTATACAGAATGTCTCAGAGAAGGTCTTTGTGAACGAGGATGGAGTCTTACTTGGAGGATGAACGAGAGGTTCGAGAGAGCAGGGATCGTGCATTTCCATACACGGCGAGCTTTCCCAGCACCCTTCTTCGGAAGCTTGCACGTTCAGTGGCATTGTTCGACATGTATGGTATTCAAATAATATAGGATGTAGGGAGTAGTAATTGTGTAGTGGTTTTGATGGATTGAGATGGATGGATAGACCTGAAAAATCAGGGAGGAAGGCCAGCCTTATAGAAGCCCCAGCCATGGGGATGACGGCCATTCCGAACGACAAAGTCGGTGTGATGCCCAAAAGGACCGAGCAAGAAGATCAAAGCCGGCTCATCCATGGTTCGAGAACTGTCCCTCGCTCCCAGGTCGACGCGGTGGTGGAGCAATGCGAATGAAGCTATTTCCAAATGGCTCGGAGACAGACGAAACTAGCCACAAGGAGCGTCAAGCCACAGATCTTAGGCAAGCCACTGCAAACTACTGCGCCATAGTTGCTGGCACTACGTGGCTCGTGTCTCCTGACCTTTCCCAAAACAGGTTGTCTGTGTGGCTGTGTTTTGCGCTGCCTGAGGCCCACTGCACCTGACCGCTGACTCAGCCTGTGCGTGTTTCCCCTTTCGGCCGATCGTCTGCAATTCCCAGGAACCAGGAACCAGCAGCCATAATTCCATTAATTCCCTTCCCACATGAAGCAATTTGGAAGCCTTAGCACCCTGGGCCACCTACTAGCCGCCTAGTTGATCCATCAGTGCTCTCTCCTGGTCCTGAACCTGGTCCTGAACCTGGTTTCTCGCGATCGATCGTCAATAGTTTGGCTCGGACTCTGCCCCAACCCCGCAGCATTGGTAATAGGCGTGAGTTTCTTTACCCCCCTCCCGAATAATCCAGATGATCCAGGAGTGAGGAGGCATCATGAGGGGAAGCAGTGGAACTCTTACTCATGGTATCACAGAGCAAACTCATAGTCCAACCTACTGCATTATTGTCATTCAGGAACGGTGAAACGTGATGCGGCAAGAACACTGCCAGTCTAGACGATCGAAGCGTTACAACTCACAATTCCCACGCAAGGGAGAGCCTCACAGAATGCCGATCGGGCACCCCGGCAGCAGATCGAAAGCAATCTGATCAGTCATACCACACTACTGGAGTGTAAATCATATTATCAGGACATAATGGGATTGCTAGTCTCCCTGAGTGGTCAGTGAGCGTGTCTGGCTCGGATCGACGCTTGGACTGGCTTGTCTGACTGACTCTGACTCCGCCGTCTAGTTTGACACTCTCTCAGGCACTGCCAATTTCTTCCCTGATCGGACGGCCGCTAAGCTACTAGTTCGTCCTTGCCATGAGATCATGGGCTCTGTCAAATCACCTTGTGGGCTTTAGCTAGCATTTTAGCTTCATCTCATCAGACGCGCCAAAAAAAAGAAAAAAGAAAAAAGGGAAAAAGCAAAGAAAAGTAAAGCAAGCAATCCAACTCAGCAAAGAAAAAGAAATAATCAAATTAAAACAATGCAAATCAAGGGCTCCATGACATCGGGTGGATTTTCCCCGCCCCTTGTCAGCGACGGGTGGCTGACTGTCCACCATGCTTACTCTGTCTGATCTGATGATATAAATCCTTTTGAGATCCTGGCTTTGAATCGGCAATCTAAAGTTTCATCCTTCAAAGTTGACTGGCGTTAATCTTCCACTACAAGTTCTACTCTTTCATCATGGGTTATCTCACCAACTACGAGCCTTATGTATGTTCATCATGCGAATACTCTGTGCGATAGCCACTGACTTCCTTAGACCAGCCAAAGTCAAAGCTTCGATCTTAAACGACGAACACCTTCAGAAGAAGTCATCAGTCCATTGCGAACACTCTATCCACATGTCGCTGCTCTCCAAATACGATCCGATGCAAATGCCGGCTACTTTACCGGATATCAAGATACCGGCTACTGGGCAGATGCCTATACCACCCAGCCTCCAGGCGAGGACTACTCTCGACCAATGACCGGTCGCCGACACAGTGGTGAGTACTGATGAATGTGATTTGCACTGCCTTGACTAATCCGGCGAACAGATTCCACTATTTGTCGCGTTGTTTCGAGAATCAGGCGATTCCTCGGCCGAGACGATATGAGAAGACGAATCAATTCTCTTCCATGAACATTCCTTCGCTGTCACATCATTCTTTCTTTTCTTTTTTTGTCTAGCGTCATAGCATACATAGCGGGATACCCTGACCACCATTTCTTTTGTCGATTTCGGAGCATTTCTCAGTCTCTCCTTGGGCTTTTCCTTTCTTTTTCTGTGCTTAGCGAGGCGTTGATACTACATGGGCATATTGGACATAGCATACAATTACTGAGTATATAATGAGACAATATCAAATCGTCATCATCTTCATCATCATCATCGTCATCAAGATCAAATTATTATCACGCACAAACCTCCTGTCTAACTCTATGAAAATCCCTCGTTGTGGTAAAGCCTCGTGAACGACGGCAGTAACCCAATTTCAATTTCCCCTATAGACATACATATGATATCTCATGCAATCCTATCTTCCTTCCTTCTTCCTTCTTCATTCTCTTCCTGTTCCTGAATTTCGAATCCCGATTTCATTTTTAATTCCCTCGTCGCCTTTGCTTTTTTTTTTTTTTTTTTTTTTTCTTCCTTTTTAATTTCTTTTTTCTGATCTCTCAACCGTCAATCCTTCACCCCGCATTCTGTATCATAATCACCTGCACCGGTTCAATGCAGGTTTACACCAATAGTCACACACTTGATGATCACATCCCACCCCGCTGGACTGGAATCATTCTAAAAACCAGTGCTAACAACCAGTGCTAGACTAGACTGTGTAAATCCTGGATTTAGACTTCTGGGATTTGGATTAGGGTTTTGCGTCTGTGTGTTTGTGTAGGGTTGTACAAGAAACCAGAAATAGTATGTCGATGCGTTCGACTACCGAGGACTGAAACTAGTGGCGATCAAACTTCAGGTGCGTAGTTATCTGCGTAGGTTGGTTAGTTAGTAGACTAGGCAATTAGGAGGTCTATTGTAGACTTGACAGTAAAACTGAGACAGTAAGTAAGAAAGTAAGACATCGATATGATATGGTGGGGTAAAAAAAAATTGTTACTATGTATGCATGTCTATGCATGTACAGCGACAATCCTAATCTCACGAGTTTACGCACTACACAACGCACACTACTCCATTCTCCATAAGACACATAGCGTAGATAGAATAGATCTGTATACGCCGTTAATATGATGTAGATTTTTTCTGATCTGTATTTATCTATTTGGCGCGCATGTGCCGCCGAAACCGATAGCCAACTTGGACGGAAACCAATGCTATCGTGGACGAGGCATTCATCAGGACGAGAGTAGCTCCATAGCATAGCCTAGGATTGAGCAAGTCACTACTGACTATGAAAGATTGTTTAGGGCATAAAAAGCAATTAAAATATATTAAAATAAAATAGAGGATCCACGGCTATTTGTAATGCGTGTTGTGATTTGTCGATGCATGCGATGATTTTAAATCTGCTAAACCCTAGTTTCTGTATACCCCGCTGAGAGGGATTGTAGAATACTCTGGTTATTATTAGGGATATTATAGGGTTTGCTATTATCATGATTAGGATTATGATTATTTATTCAGTTTCTTCTATACTATTGTAGTTGGGTTTGTTGACTGATGACGCCATAGATAGGATATTCCAAATAACCTCAGGACTCAGGAGATATGATGAACTGCTGCATTTTGGCACGGGTCCAAGGGACCAACCTAATAATCATTCATCACTTGCAGTCTTTCTCAGGAAGAAAAAAAAAACAGGGAATTAATTATCTGAACATTTAACACTTGCATATTATTCCTTAAACTGGATATATGATATAATATTCAATATATACTTCTGCAGATAGCTTCACTTTCACCATTGCATTACTCATAAATTGCCTATTCAGTTGCATTTCACAATAGAAAAGGGGCTGATTCAGCCAGCCAACGCTCAGATACATCGAATGATTCGTGGATAATAAGAGCCTTAATTAAACCAACTACTCCTTTTGATTATCGACAAAGGGAATTCCCGCAGAATAAAAAACGTCATGATTAGCCCTCCCCATCTTGATCTCACGCCTTATATTTCCCGTAAATTCAACCCCCAGATCAATATTCCCAGTCATATCCATGATTTCGTAGTCATCATCAGAAAGAAATCCAAACCCCGAACACCTTCGCAATACAGAAACAAAGTATGAAGCGCCTTGCTCAGGCGATGATTCCAGATGCCGATGCTGCAGACCCCCAGCGTAGTCGCTTCAGACTGCCTTTGACAGCCTCCTGTCCACACGCTGCTGACGCACGGCCATCGGAAATTCCCCCTGCCCCATTGCCTACCATCCCCATACCCGTCCCCATCTCGGTTCTTCCCACCTCTCGCCCCAGCATGTACCCCGCCGAAAAGCTGATAGCGGAGAATATGACCACAACCCCTGCACTGATCACCCAGGTCATGATGGTCGGACTCGCTGCTGCTGCCGAATCACTCATACTGACTCGACGGCCCTTCTTGGATGCTGCGCTACGATCTTTGGATGGACTCGATCGACGTTTGGTCTTTGATGAAGGCGCCATGTGTGGCGGATAGGCAGGCTGAGGATGTTTCCTTGACCGCTGCGGCTCTGTGGGCGCATTGGCCTCTGCAGCCGATGGGCTCTCCTCTCCGCTCTCTTCTCCCATAGCTACGGACTCGGAAACTAATCGGAATGAGGAAGGCGGTTGCCCCCTGGATGGCCCAGCTGGCGAGGGTCGTGTTTCTTGCTTAGGTAGACCCCGCGCAGCAGCTGCACAAGACAGGAGAGTGGAGAGACTGGCACGAAGGGCCGCATCATGGTCGGCATGATGGGATGGAGAAATCATGTTGTACGGGCTGTGCTGCTGATTTGGTTGTTGCCTCCGTGTCGAACGTATACTAGCTTGAGAGTTGCGTCTGATCGCCGTTTGACGACTAGAGTTGGATACCACACTAGGTTCAGAGCGGGGTGTCTCAGTCGCCCTCGTCCACGATGGATCTTGCGACACAGGTGGGTGCGAAAAGACATTTGGCTGCGGCACAAAAGGAGACGAACTGATACGCATCCCCAGAGCAGTGGAGCTGTCATCCTCATCGCTCGAGGCAGCGTCCGATATAGGAGGTGTCTGAGACAGTAGTGGCCCCCTTAACGGTTGGCGGGTCATTTCTTCGTTTGAGCTACTGAGGACCCGGTCTGACTCGCTCTCACTCTCCTCGTATTCATCCTGACTGCTACTGGTATCCCGAGACGAATAATCAACCTGTGCAGTAGTGGAGGCAGTAAGACGTTGCAGACGACGTCGCCGATTACGTTGTTGGTAGGAGCTGGACTCCACCCGAAGGCCAGTAGTGATAATATCATCGTTGCTTGTGGAAGATACGGACGAAGAGGACGGTTGGGATGAGACCTCGATCCACGAATCTATATAATACCGAAGTGAGTACATGTTGTCTGAAAACAAGGTTCATATCTAGATGAGAGTGAAATTGCATGCATGTTGGATCTGCAGGAAAATGCGAAGTGCTAGAAAGAAAAGGGATTTGGCTCTTAGTGATGGATAACATACCCTCTGATCTCGTGGGCGCGACACCCGATGAGGATCGTGACTGCAGTGGACGCTCTCGAGGCGGCTGATGGGCATCGCGCGTCATCCGGCCGGCACTACGAGGCTCATCTCGCGCCTGACCCAAAAGGTCGTAGTGATTTGGTTGCATGGCTAGCTGAATATCAGGGGGGGCGAGAGGTGTCGAGAAGATGTATCCAAAAGGCGCCCAAGGGAGAAATAGATAAATCAGACTGGGAGGGGCAGGAGGGGTGATGGATCAGACCACCCGGTGGACAGCAAAGGGAGGCAGCGATTCCGGTGTGAAGCGGTCAAGGGAGATCGACAACGCAGTGAGATGGTGGTGGGGGTTCGTGGGGAAGAGAACCACGGATAGCACAGACTGGATGAATCTTATCAACAGTAGCAAAAAGAAGGACGATGAACGACGTCAAGATGAGCCGAAGAAAGTCTGGTTCTCTGGACGAGAGCTCATCGTCTGCTTGCGGCTGCCTGGGGAAAGAGGAAGAAGAAAAACGAGGTTGGACGTTGAAGTCATCAGCGGATGCGAAGATCACCGGACACGGAACAGGTGACTTGGGGAATGTGGCACACGACAACGACAGGCACAGGACAGGAACAGTATATAAATGGGGGAGGGAAGTCAAGAGAACAGAAACAAAGAGAAAATAAAACAGTCTAGCATATCTTAATGAAACAGTGACCAATATTCTTTCCAGGTTGCAAGTGTTGAATCATGAGCAAAGGTGAGGCGCCAAGACCAAAGCCACAGTGCGGGGAACAACCAAGACTTCGTATGCCACCAGATTATCAGAAAGGAGATCAGTAGAAGAGAATAAAAACTCATATTATATCCATGGATTAGATGGATCTATCTGTCAATTCGTATCAACACATAACCAAATACACAACTTTTAAGGACTAATAGGGGAATCCCATAAGAGTTACACATAAATCATGCAAACGCCAGCTGTTTACCCATGCAGAACACTTTTTTAGAAGGAGATCTTGGTGCCCTTGTACTCGGGGATTCCACCACGAGCACGGTTGGGAGGGCCTCCGGCACCGCCGCCGCGTCCGCCAAAGCCGCCACGGCCACGGCCACCACCGCGTCCACGGTCACCACCTCCGCGACCACCACGGCCACCACCACGACCGCCGAAGCCACCACCACCGCCGCCGTTGTTCTGGCGAGGAGTGCTGAAGTCCAGGCGGACAGCGCGACCGTCAATGTCGACGCCGTTCAGGTCGTTGTAGGCCTGGCGGGCCTCATCAACAGACGAGAACTGCACGTATCCGAAACCCTTGGGGCGGCCCGACTCGGGGTCGGTAGGCAGACGGATGCCCAAGATGCTACCCTTCTCACCGAAGACCTCGGACAGAGAGTCCTCGTTGGCGCTGAAGGGGATGTTGCCGACGAACAAAGTGTCACTCTCAGGGCTGGCCTGGTCACCGAAAGAACGGGCACGAGCCTGGGCGCGGTCCTGGCCACCAGCAGCGTTGTTGGATGGGCGACCGCTGGCGTAATCAAGGTTGATCTTGCGGCCATCGAGCTCAGTGTCCTTCTTCTCGGCGTAGGCCTTGGCAGCATCGGCGCTGTTGGTGAACTCGACGTAGCCGAATCTACGAGAGGCAATTAGTATTTTTCTTCAGACATAAACATGAATTTGTTGCAACTTACCCACGAGAGCGACCAGAGTCACGCTCAGTCACAATGCGAGCACCAGCCAATTCACCGAAGCTCTCGAACTCGCTGCGGAGCCACTCCTCGTCAACGTTCCAGGAAAGGTTGCCAACGAAAAGGTTGGTGGCTCCAGTGTCAGCGGGCTCATCGGTCTTCGACTTCTTGGGGGTGGAGGTAGTCTCCTCCTCAGCCTTGCGCTTCTTGGAGGGCTTCTCGCTCTCCTCAGAGTCGGAGTCGGAGTCGGAGTCGGATCCAGACTCAGAGTCAGAGCTGTCAGAGTCAGAAGATTCCTGATAATGTTAGTGACAAAGCTTTCGAGAACCATTACGCAACACATACCTTCTCAGCCTTCTTCTCCTTGGGGGCCTCCTCGCTGTCAGAGTCAGAGTCGGAGTCAGAGTCAGAGCTGTCGCTAGACTCCTTGGCGGCCTTCTTGGGGGCCTCCTTCTCGTCAGAGGACTCGGAGTCAGAGTCAGAAGACTCAGACTCAGAATCGGAAGAGGACTCGGCCTTCTTGTTGTCCTTCTTAGCGGGCTTCTCATCCTCAGACTCGGAAGACTCCGACTCAGACTCGGACTCGGAGGAAGACTCGGCCTTCTTGGCCTCCTTCTTGTTGTCCTTCTTGGTCTCCTTCTTAGCAGGCTTCTCATCCTCACTCTCGCTGCTGCTAGAGGCGTCCTTCATGTCCTCATCGCTGTCAGAGTCAGAAGACTCAGACTCGGACTCGGAAGAAGACTCGGCCTTCTTGGCCTCCTTCTTGTTGTCCTTCTTGGTCTCCTTCTTAGCAGGCTTCTCGTCCTCGCTCTCACTGCTAGAGGAGCTGGAGTCCATCTCCTCGTCGCTGTCAGACTCGGACTCGGAGCTGCTAGGGGTAGGAGCCTTCTTCTTCTTGCTCTTGGACTTCTCCTCCTTGGCAGCGAGGTCCTTAGCAATCTGCTTGCTCTTGGACTTGGAAGCAGATGCCTTGGTGACACCAGAATCCTTAACCTTGTTCAGGGTCTTCTCGGCACCCTTGGTAGCCTTGGTAGTAACCTTAGTCTTCGACATTTTGAACTAGAAAACAAGCTGCGTTAGAGATGGTTCAAAGAGGATGTGACATGTGCACATACTAATTAAGTTTTTGTGACGTGAAAGATATGTGCGGCAGAGCCTTCGATCCCACAAACACCCGATTTGAAATAGAAGAAAGCCAACTGATTTCAAATTGCCAGGAGTGATTCAATCACAGCTGGACGTAAATCTCAATTGAAGAGATTTAGCACGAATACCCACAAGTAACCCACAACGACAGTGTTCAAGCCCACAGAGACGATCGGTAAATACACGAAAGTCTAATATGAAACCCACGAGGAATAGATTGCAGTATGCCACAGCCCACAGCCCTCAGAGTAATAAGCCCACAGGATTGTCTGTTGAAGTGTACTTTGCAAAGTACGGCCCACGCTGGTTAGTGAGTCTATTAGGGATCAGAAAGACTTCTGTTATGATTATCTTTTCACTGGAGTATATCCAAATGAAGAAGATAGAATGTGATAGATAGAAAAAAGATGTAAGGGTAAACAGGGGTGAGAGGAAGAAGGAGAGAAGAAAAAAAAAAAAACTCGAGCTGGGGGAGCTTTGATAAGGAAGAGAAAAAAAAAAGTTCGAAGGCTGGCAAAAAATCTATGACACCGCCTGCTATATCGGCTCTAGTTGAGGCACCTTGTGGGTACATTGTGGATACTTTCCCTGCCGCCGCAATTGGCTGGAGATGGATGTCACTCCGCCGTACCGACCACTTTCATGGGCAATCCTCCGACGGTTCACCAGAGCTTCACGACACTCTGTCCGCACCCCTTGGATCCAGAGGTGTCTGATATACTACATATCGTTTCTTTTTCTTTAACACTGATGGAATTCAATTGACGTTTTTCTTTCTGCATCTTTCGAAATGCCCCCTCCAACGCCCTCGTCCCATCGCCCGCGGAGAAAGAGAAAGTACGCCGCATCCCCCGGCTCAAACAATAACCTCATACTGGATACTGGAAACGGCAAATCGTCGCCTGCATTTCCATTGGTTTCTTTCTTATGGGCTGCTCGAGCAGGCGTCTCTCAATGGCTCATTCTGCCTTTAATTCTGATGACCGTGGGCCTGTTTCGTTGGGCTGTTGGTCTATGGGGATATTCTGGTAGGAACAAGGACCTCAGTCATATGGAGATGAATCAAAGTTACTCATTGTTTTTTCAGGTTTCCAAGTACCCCCGATGCATGGTGATTATGAGGCGCAAAGACACTGGATGGAAATCACGAATCACCTGCCCATGTCGAAGTGGTATACATACGACTTGCAATACTGGGGCCTCGACTATCCGCCATTGACCGCATATCATAGTTGGTTTTTGGGCAAGATGTATGTTATAATCTGGCATTATGTCTCCCGAGGGCCTCTTTACTAATAGCTGGTAGTGGTTCCTTGTTTGACCCTGCATGGTTTGCCTTGGACGCATCCCGCGGTATCGAAGACCCTCATTTGAAGGTGTTCATGCGTGCGACAGTTGTCGTCTCCGAGTATCTTATCTACATTCCTGCGGTTGTCACTTTCCTTCGCCGATACACCAGGATGCAAGATGTCCACGTGTGGTCTTGCTCGATCGCCCTCGTTGCGGTTCTCATGCAGCCCGCCACCCTTCTCATCGACCACGGTCACTTCCAATATAATACTGTGATGCTGGGTCTCGTGGTTGCGAGCTTGGATGCTATCCTGGCCGGACGCATTCTTTGGGCATGTATCTTCTTTGTGGCTGCCCTAGGATTCAAACAGATGGCGCTCTACTATGCACCAGTCATGTTTGCTTTCCTTCTGGGTGTCTGCATTTTCCCCAGAGTGCGGATCCTGCGTCTCTTATGCATCTCCCTCATCACGATTGTTGCATTTGCGGTGCTTTTTGCACCCCTCATCATTGGTGCATCCAGCGCTGAAGCTCGAAGCATTCTTGCCTCTGTTGATGAGCCTCCTCTATTGCAAGCACTCCCCATGAAAATAGACAAGAGCTCTCTATTTTATGCACCATTGTTTCAGCTAATGCAGATCATTCATCGAGTGTTTCCCTTCGCTCGTGGCCTGTTCGAAGACAAGGTGGCCAATGCCTGGTGCGCTATTCACACGTTCTACAAGCTCCATCGCTTCGACTCGAGCCTTCTCCAGCGGGTATCACTCGGCGCCACCTTGGCCTCAATTTTGTTGCCCTGTGCCATCATCTTCCGCCATCCACGCGCATCTCTTCTTCTTCCAGCTTTGTCCACTACAGCTTGGGGTTTCTTCCTATTCTCGTTCCAGGTTCATGAGAAAAGTGTCTTGCTTCCCTTGCTCCCCATGACTCTGCTTCTCGCGGGCGATGGCGGACTGAGCAAAGAGACTAGGGCCTGGGTAGGATGGGTTAATTTGCTCGGATCGTGGACAATGTTCCCTCTTTTGAAGCGCGAGGAGCTCCGAGTTCCGTACTTCGTCGTGACATTACTCTGGGCATATTTGATGGGTCTCCCCCCAACGTCTTTCGAGACCTACCGGAGCCGAGTCGAGTCGGAGGAATCGAGTGCAGGATTTGAGCCTCATATCTTGACGAAGCTTCTCCATTTTGCCTTCTACATTGTCATGATAGGATGGCACGTTGTGGAAGCCTTTGTTCCTCCCCCTGCTGGAAAGCCCGACCTGTGGGTGGTTTTGAATGTGCTAGTTGGAGCAGGAGGGTTTGGTGTTGCTTATTTGTGGTGCTTGTGGAGGTTGATCACGCAATGCCGAAAAATCGATTGCCGGGCGGCTGAAGAGGATAGCCGGAAAAGGAAACAGTGATGGTGCATCGAAGAGCATCTGGGGCGCAAATTAAATAGGCCATTGGCTATTTCTTGAACTGATACCCATCTTTCATTCTAGTATCTACTTTATTTCGTGAACATCATTTCAATGCCATTCATATAATTGGTTTCATGCCGTATCCCTCGTTTTTGGAAGGGATGAGAGGTTCTTGCTATTAGTACACCTGTCTATACCTAAGTCCTCCAGACACGTTCATGATTTACATTAAGACCAGTAACTCCAACAGATGGATGCTAATATACAGTATAACAGTGGTGCCCATGCCCTAACACCCGTCGGATATTACAAATGTATCGACCATCGACGTCAATATCGGTTATATTGACAAGTTATTCAAACCTTGAAGCCAAACCCGGCCATGCAGGTCTTGTATTGCTCGATCGTCGACTTGCACTCAACTGTCGGGTCATCGGATTTCGAAAAGAGCATACAGTCATCGCGGGCGGTCTTTTCGGGCTTGCAAACGCAGCAGGGCTATTAAAATTCGCGTTAACCATGATTGTTCTTTTGTAATTGTAGTGCCTTGTTCGTCGGCAAGAATATTCGGTGTTCAAGTCGAACCTACCTTGGGCTTCTCAGTTTGCGATGCTTGGGCAGGTGCTGCGGGCTCGGGAGCCTTTTCGCCTATTTCCATGAGGAATCGTTAGCATTTCTATTTCTCCAATGTTCTGTTGATTCGATGCAGTATCGGCCGGGGATAGATGCGGAAGTCCGGACAAATGTATGGAAGGGAATCAATCACTTACCGCTGGAGGAACCGAATAGCCACGACATTTTGATATAAGAAAAATGAAACAGAATAGCAGCAATATGCAATTTAATAGATGCTGGGATAATCAAGCTGGAGATAGCCAGGAATTCGTCGGAAGAGAAATATGGGCAATGCTGATTAATGTCGTGATGCGCCAGAGATAAGCTGCGCGAGTGGTCGCTGCCACCTCCCGCAGCGGCGATCGGCGATTTTCCCTTTGTTGATGTTTTATCGTTGATGGCGGTTTTTTCTCTTCCCCTCCACGGTCCTGATATTCGAATTGAATCCACCACACTCCTTGTCGTTTTCCTTTGATCTCGTATTGAGATTTTGATTTGGGTTACTTTTGCGATACTGTATCCTGATATTCTTTGAATTTACCTTCCTCCCTTCACATTTTCCTCAATTGCCTCTAATCTGTGCCCCCCTGAACTACCCCGCCATGGCCCCTCCAAAGGTCTTTTCTCTCGAAGGCAAGGGCCTCAAGCTCGACACCGCAGAGCATATCGAGGCCCAGATTCAGCCTCTTCTTGAGAGCACCGATTTCACTGAAATTCGCCTCGGTGGTAATACTTTGGGTGTGCCAGCCTGCGAGCGCCTCGCCCCCGTTCTTTCTGCGCAGAAGAACCTCGAAGTCGCTGAACTCGCTGATATTTTCACCTCCCGTCTGCTGTCCGAGATTCCCCAGGCCCTGACCTCCCTTTTGAACGCTCTCCTTGAGGTCCCGACCCTCCACACCATCAACCTTTCCGACAATGCCTTTGGCCTCAACCTCGCCGCGCCTTTGGTCGACTTCCTCGGTCGCCACATCTCACTGCGCCATCTGATTTTGAACAACAACGGACTGGGTCCTGCCGCCGGTACCCTCGTTGCCGATGCACTTACAAAGTTGGCGGAGCGCAAGGAAGAAGCTCGCAAGGATGGCAAGGAGGTCCCGCTCCTCGAGAGCATCGTCTGTGGACGCAACCGTCTGGAGAACGGTAGTATGGAAGCCTGGGCACGTGCCTATAAGGCGCACTCTAAGGGCATTCGATCCGTCAAGATGACGCAGAACGGAATCCGACAGGAGGGTATTTCGCACTTGTTGAAGGCAGGTCTGAGTCACGCCAGCGCTCTTGAGGTGCTCGACCTGCAAGACAACACCTTCACCATCATGGGATCGACCGCCCTCGCGGGAGTCCTGGCGGGCTGGCCTGCCCTGCTCGAACTCGGTGTTGGCGACTGCCTGCTGTCGCCGCGTGGTGGTGTTAAGGTCGCAAAGGCCCTGGCTGAAGCCAAGAACCCCAAGTTGCAGACCCTACGTCTTCAGTACAACGACATTACCGCCGAGGGTGTGAAGGGATTCCTACACGCGACAAAGACAGCACTGCAGTCCCTCCGCCGCATTGAGCTGAATGGAAACAAGTTCATGGAGGATGATTCCAACGTGACCGAATTGCAGGAAGTCTTGGAAGCGCGCAAAGAGGAGCACGGTACTGATGACGACCCAGAGGACATGTGGGGAGTCGACGAGCTCGACGAGCTCGAGGAGGAGAGCGAAGAGGAAGAAGAGGTCGAGTCCGAGGCCGAGTCCGAGGAAGATGAGCACAAGGCGGACAAGCTTCTCAAGGATACTATCAAGGCAGAGGACGAGAAGGTCGCCCAGAAGGAAGACAGCGATGTCGACAAGCTGACCGCCTCTTTGGAGAAGACGGGCCTGTAGGCCCCATCGGAGAAACTTTTGGATTTGTTTGTCTTTCATAGAAGAACTTGTTTCCCCCTCCCCACCCGTTTTTCATCATATACCCAATGCGACAGCAGGTCAGGTTGTTAGCTACTCGCCTGGTGGTGTCTGATGCTATTCGACATACGTCCAGTTTGGCTTTCACCAAGGGTTTACACGAACCGACGCTCACTTTGAGCGGGCTTTACAAACCCCCGACCGGATTGGTTTTCGGCCATTCCCACTCTCCTGAACATTATATCGTTTCTACGAGTGTACGTTGGACAGGATTTTTGTCTTGTTTTCTCTTTTCATTTTTATGCCCATACATGGATTTACGAATTGTTTTCTGGGGTTGTTGAACATAGACTCATTCAATGGTCTTTCAGCGATCATCACATCTTACCCCGCCGATGTATATAATGTTAAAAGCAATATTGATGTCATTAATTGTCTGGACTGTCTTGGAATAATCGAAGCCTCAGTGATGCTGTATACAGAAGAGGCTAAACTCAAAGAGGCAACTCACGTGCTTCCACATGGGGCATTTCCTAAAAGAGCATCGCGGGCTTGGCGCGGAGCATCGAGGGTCTCTTCCTCTACGCCTTCATTTGATCCTCTTCTTCACTCTCTGCCTCCGCCAACACATCTCGTCCTGGCCGGTATTTTCGTCATATATTAAAAGTCGCTCATATATAGCGTCACTCTTGCCTTACTTTCGTCTCTTACCCCGGCGCCATCGGTTTCCTAGGCCTCGAATCATCGCGGTGAGTGACCCCGTACGCCGCTCCCTTCCCCTCATCCATCATCCTGTCCTCGCTTCCAAAGCCCCGATCATCGCAAAGTGCTATAGGTCTTGGTTATTAGTTGCGCGATATTTGTTGGGTCTCATTGGGTGTTACGACTGGGATTCGGTTGGCTAAGGCAGCTTGGTGGACTTTGCGACCGCCAATTCTGGCCGGACTTTGCGCGCATTCCGATACTTTCCTTCATCGATTTCTCACATTGTCAGCGTGGCTACAGACATACTGATCATTGCAATAGACGTCATTCTCGGCAATTTCCGTCGATAACAGTACACCACGTTCCGAGAAACCATGGCTATGGACGCCAAAGAGATCGAACTCAAGACGAAGGCCTTGACCAAGGCCGCTACTCAAAATGAGCCCGCGGCTAACATTCTGGCGCTCCTCAAGGAGCTCCAGAAGGGAGTGAAGGCTTCAGAGGATCTGCTGCGGTCGACCCGGGTGGGAATTATCGTCAACAAGTTCAAGCAGCACAAGTCGGCCGACGTCGCCCGTCTATCCAGCGAAATCGTTTCCAAATGGCGCAATGAAGTCAACAAACAGAAGGCCAGCGGATCACCAGCAACAGCCAGTCAGCGGTCGAGCGGATCGCCGCGACCGGCCCGTAACGGCACAGCATCACCGGCGGCCGCTACGCCTTCGGATAAAACATCTAAGCTGTCCGTGCCACCGGACAAGAGAACATGGAAGGCGGACAAGGTGGATATTAACCAGACCTCAAACCGAATCCGTGATAGCTGTATCGGACTTATGTATGATGGTCTGTGCCTCGGCTCGACAGAGATGCCTCGCGCGGTGCTAGCCAAGGCATCGGCCGTGGAGGCGGCCGCGTACAATACCCTGGGACCTGAGACCAAGGAACAATACCGTACCAAAATGCGCAGTCTGTTCCAAAACCTGAAGAACAAGTCGAACCCAACTCTCCGTACACGCGTGCTCAACAACGATGTGTCGGCAGAAGACTTTGTGCGGATGAGCCACGATGAGCTCATGTCGGCCGAGCAGCGCGAGAAGGAACAGAGAATCAAGAAGGAAAACATGGACAAGGCCATGGTTGCACAGGCAGAGCGCAGTATCAGTACCAGTCTGCAGTGCGGCAAGTGTGGCCAGCGCAAGGTCACCTACACCGAAGCGCAAACCCGCAGTGCTGATGAACCGATGACATTGTTCTGCACTTGCTTGAACTGTGGAAAGTCATGGCGACAGTAGTTTTACCTTTCTTCACTGTTTTACTTTTATTTTTCTTTCCCTTTTTTTCCCTATGTATCATCGAGATTTAGGCTACTGCCACCAGGCATGGAGTTTCGTGGATTACTTAAAAGACGGCCTTGCTTTCTCTGGGGAGTTGACCCAGGGTTTTTTTTATTTCAGAAGCGCAGATAGATGAATGAATGTTGTATGGAGTACTCGACCACCTATATACTGTAAATCAACAACATCAACATAAACATTAACGTCATTGTTATGTAAGGTCTGCATGACACTTCAATAACCCCAACCTCACCCAAACACATCCACCACATCTCAAACTACCCATCAACCAAATCAAAATGCATACAAGAACCACCCTCCTCGAACCCGCCCAACGCCTCTGCAAGGCCTTCTCAACCGGCGCCCCAATCCCCACCATCCTGGCCTCCTTCACCCGCAACCCACTCCCCCTCGTCCACGAACACGGTCTGCCGAGCCTAACACCCTTCCTCGGGCGCACCTTCACCGGCACAGACGGTGTAGGCCGGTACTTCGAGATCATCGCCGACCTCCTCTCATTCGAGAACATGACCTTCGACCCGGAGGAGCAGTGGATCGTGGATACGGTGTCGATGGCGGTGTCGTTGCGAGGGCATGCGAGGTTCGTATACAAGGAGACTGGCGAGGGGTGGGAGGAGACGTTTGCGTATCGGTTGGGGTTGGCGGAGGATGTAAGTGATGACACTGACGGGGGGAGGGAGTTGAAGGTGCAGGAGTATCGGGTGTGGGCAGATACCGGGGCGGCGTACTTGGCGAGGATTGGAGGGTTGAAGGGGGTTGAGGGGGAGAAGGGGGAGACGAGGAAGTCGTTGGATAGGAAGGCGAGTGGGTGTGGGGATGTGTTGGGGAGTGGGATGAGTGTTTATGGGAGTTGTGCTTGATATGCAGGATGTTGGAGTTGTTGATTGTTGTATCTTGTGTTATGTCACATCCAATCTATCCAGTGGGTATTTCCTTCTTTCCCATCTGCTGTTTGGAAGACTTTCCATGGGGAGTCATAAGGAGCGTATTCTTTCCCGTTCATGACGACGTCCACTTCCCCCTCTGTACGTCCCGTAGCATTGAACCCAGGCCCGTAGGCCTTGTACTCTGCCATGACAGTGTCATTGGTGAACCGACTCACCCCATCCACAACCCAGTCAATATACCCACTAGCCTGGATACTCCCATCTTCATACGTATTAGCAAAGATAGACCGGTGCAGCGAGTTCCACGGCCTGCCCAGAGCACAGGATCCTGCGATTTCCGCAGCCACGGACGAATTGGCTGCCTGCACAGTCGAGCCGACAATGTACACGCCGTATTTGTTTTCAAAGGTCGTGTTTGTCCCTTTCCATGCTGTGATGCCTCCGCCACAGTTGCGGAGGAGAAGCTGCGATGATTCAATCCATGCTGTGCCGAAGCCGTACAGAAAATCTGTCTGGCCGGCGATGATGTTTTTGTAGAAGTAGGCGTTGCCTAGTTTACCCACGTATACCTGGTATAATTAGCTTATCGCTTCATTCCAGCCCTTCAGCCAGAACATACTGTATCCTGATAAGAATAAAAACCACAATGATAAAACCCCCCATTCGCACGACTCAACCCAACCGCCAACGCCGGCCCATCTGAGTTCTCCGAGAACGTATTCCGGAAATCAATGTTATACGCGCGGAAATCAACGTTCCCAAACGGTGTATCCGCGGGCACCGCGTACCCCGTCGTCCCGGAGCCGGTCAGACTGGCTTCCAGCGTCGGAGCCACGGTGAGGACGCTCGTCAGAGCATTGTCCATGCTGGCGCCTGTGCTATCATTGTTGGCGGAGGCCCAGGAGATGGTGACTTTGTTCTTGGAGGCGTCGGTGAGATGGTCTGTTTGGCCTAGGAGGGTGATGGGGCCGGCGCGGGTGACGTTGACTTGTTCTGTGTACTCTCCTGCTAGGATGAGGATGGTCGCCGTGGTGTTGTCGTTGGGGAGAGACTCGATGGCTCCCTGGATGGTGGAGAAGTGAGCATTGGAGGATGATTTGGAGACGATGATTGTTCCTTCAGGGCAATACTTCAGAGAGGTCTGGCAGAGCTGTCTTGAGGGTTGCAGAGCAGCCGCATACACAGACACTGCGTAGAGCAGAGCGAGCAGAACGAACTTGGCCATCCTCAACATGGAGACAATTCATCAATTAACAACTTCATCCATCTCCATCATCAACGACAGACTACACTTAAATACTCCCAGCATCGGGAAATCTTCCATCAACCAACGACCTGGAAAAATTGCGCAAAGCACATGGTAGCGGGGGATATATCCAACACGACAGAAACCAAGCATGACAACCAAGTCTTAACTCGTCTTGATCCAATCGCAGAAAGCAGAGCCAAAGCTGGAGAAGAAAGATCCCCCGCACTGCGAGATGGTATTACCCCAGACGGGGAAATAGAGATGGCGCCGGAGAATTGTAGTCCGCCTGTTAGGTGCGTTCGTTCTTGCATCTTGTAAGTTGTGCTTTTGAATGTTGAGAGTATGTGCATGTGTATGTGTATGTGTATGAGATATAAGCAGCTTCCTATTTCCTATCCTGACCTGATTTGGGTTAGTCAAGATGTAACTGTAAGCAGGGCTATCTTCCAGGGAAGTGAGTAGAGCAATCGGCAGCACATCAGTACTACAGCATAAGCATTCATAAGCCTAATCAAGTCATTCATAGTAATGCAACAGCAGATTGCATAGTGAGTGAGCAAAGCAAAGCCCATAACTATCGCAGCCACATGCTGGAATCACCAAACTCACGGCCGATAGCACATAATCACCGATGGCAGGGCAAGACAAAGCATATCCACTGACCACGCGTAGAGTAGACTGATAGTCGCAACCATCGCCAAAAATGCCCAGTCCAGAAGAGGATCAGACCATCTGGGCCGGAATGACGATAAGCAGGATTGAAAGTCTGGCCTAACTCGCAAAAATCAAACACGGACGAAGATGGGAATGGAATGTGGACGAAGAATTCCCGTCGCGCCAAAAACACACGGTAATTGCCTGAGGCAGTACAATACCGGTAATTAAAGAGAAACGAAATACCATACGATAAAATACGGTAAACAAACGCAGTAAGTAGACACGAATCATCGCATGATCAAGAAAAGCCAAGTTATGACTATTAATTATCCAGTGTCGATTATTGCACAATATATCTCTTCGTCCGCGCAAGAACGAGAACGAGGCCGAGCCAGCGAGGTCAGCGATTGAGCGAGGGAGTCGCCAACTAGTACTATGCGCAGCTCACGCGAACAACTGTGGAGTCATGACGCTGGGCAAGACTCAGGTCAAGTCAAATCGCTGCGTCGCAAGTCGAGGTACCCACCACAGCTATCGCGTACCTGCATCAGCCAAGAAAGGCGAAAGCGCGAGGAATTTCCAGGTTTTCTGTGCTGTCAGGTACCTCGGCCAAGTGGCCAACGGAGGATGCGAGACTGCGAGACGGGGCTGTCGGGGGTGGTCCGACGTGAAGATTGTTACTCGAGAGAGTATCGAGGCAAACTCAGCAAGAGGCGGTGGAAGGATGCAGCAGGCGAACTAGTTCCTTAGCTCTGGAACCATTCCGGGCCAAAATGCGCCGTTCCTGGCTAGGAGGATGTTCGGTGGAGTTGTAGGAGATTAAGTCAAGTCGATCGAGGAAAAGGGGGAGGGGTTGTGATGTGGTGAACCTGTGATTGCAAGGCTGATTTGATTATGGTTATGAATGTGATTATTGTAATAGTTACGTAGAGTTAAGAAGCAGTTCATTGAAATCCCTTGATTGACTAAAATTTACCACTATTAATGACATACATACATGTAAAGAAAAGAAAATTGACTCTATCAACTGAAGAGATCAAGGTAATAAGGGAAAAAAAAAAGTCTATAATACTGTAAAGTAATAAGCCGGGTGAGTAACCAGCTTAATGCATGTATGCAGGAGTGATATCCAGTGCGGAAATTAAGTAAAAGGAATGAGTGCACTCAAGCAGTTTACTCATCCTCCTCAGCCTCAGCCTTGGCACCAAGGGTGTAGCGGGACTTGCCGTGGGCATCAGTCTCGTGCTCGATGGACAGCTTGGAGAGATGGCCAAGCAGGTTCTCGATCTTGGTGTCAGCCTTGGAGCGGGTCTTGCGGCCAAGGTTGTCGAGGGCGGGGATGATGGTGAGGAGGTAGTACACAACGGCAATGATGACAGTAACACCAATGGAGTAGGCCCAGATGACAACGACGGTGACAATGTCAGTGTCGTCGTTCTCGGAGAAGGTGGCGGGGTCCTTGGGGCTGGTCTCATCGTAGCCGGACAACCATCCGAAAACACAGAAGAGGGTGGCGAGCACATCGACAATGAAGATGGCGCCAACCAACTGCCAAGAGGGCCAGGTCTTACCACCACGGGTGACGAAGATCAACCAGTTCTCAGTAAGGGCAACCTCAAGGAAGAGGATGGGCTGAGGAGAACCGAAGTTCTGGATGATACCACCGTTGGTCAAGAAGAGCGAAGCACGGATGATCCAGGTGGCGGCAGCAAGCAAGATACCAAGGACGACGGAGATAACCCAGATCTTGGGCAACTGCCACTCGACGGGACGGGCCTCGAAGTGAGCATTGTCGTAGGCAACGGCGATGGTGGCCAAGTCAGCGAACAGGGCGATGAAGACGATCAGGTCGGCACGCATGGTCTCGTTGATGATGATCATGGAGGTGACAAGGTAGATTTCCAAGTGGAGACACAGAGCGATACGGTACTGGATGTAGGCCTTCATACGCTGGAAAATCTGGCGGGCAAGCTTGATAGCATCGACGATGGTGGAGAGACCGGGGGCGAGGAAGACAATGTCAGCGGCGGCCTGGGCGGCCTCGGTGGAACCTTCGACAGCGATACCACAGTCGGCCTTCTTGAGGGAGGGAGCGTCGTTGACACCGTCACCAGTCATGGCAGTCAAGTGACCACGCTGCTGCAACATCTCGACGACCTGGTACTTGTGCTCGGGGAAAACCTCAGCGAAACCGTCAGCCTTCTCAACGAGGTCGTGCTGGGCAGAGCCGGCAAGACCACCGTGGATGAGACGCTCGGAGTCGTAGACCTTGGTAGAGAGGGCAAGCATCTTGCAAGTTTCCTTGGCGATGGCAATGGCGTCACCAGTCAACATCTTGACGGAGAGACCGAGAACCTGGGCTTCAGCGATGGTGTGGGCAGTGTCCTCACGAGGGGGGTCGAACATGGGGTACATGCCCAGCAATTGCCAGGGCTCACCCTCCTTCTGGACAGCAACACCAAGGGAACGGAAACCACGGCGGGCGAACTCGGTGGCCTTCTCACGGTAGAGGTTGGCCTCCTCCTCGGAGCACTCGGACATGTTGAGGATAGCCTTGGGGGCACCCTTGGCGCAAGTGTAGCGGACACCGTCGCAGGTACAGATGGTGGTAATACGCTTGGAGACGGGGTCGAAGGGAGTGTACTTCTCGGTAACCCAGTTACGGGCGAGAATCTCACGGGCCTTGGGGTAACGACGGAGAGTAAGGACGGTGACCTTGTCAATGGGGTCGAGGTTCTTGATGTTGTGGTTGGAGGCAATAGCGGCGACAGCCATCATCCAGTTGACGTCAACACCCTCAGAGACGAAAGGCTCACGGATGGACAGCTGGTTGGCAGTGAGAGTACCGGTCTTGTCAGAGCAGAGAACATCGACACCAGCGAGGGACTCAATGGCAGTGAGCTTCTGGACAATAGCCTTCTGCTCGGCGAGGTAGGCGGCACCGACAGCGAGGGTGGTGGTGGTGACAACGGGAAGACCGACGGGGACACCAATGATGAGCAGAATCAAAGTGTAGTGCAGCAAGTTGTTGTCAGAGTCCTCGGGGGTGGCGATCTTCAAGTGACGGTAGAAACCACCAATCCAGGCGGCGACAATCCAGAACATGACGAGAACGAGCAAAGAGGTACCGATGTTGTCCATGACAGCCTTGAAGTGACCCTGGTCCTGGGCACCCTGCACCAGAGCAGCGGTCTTACCAACGAAGGAGTGCTTAGCAGTAGCAGTGACAACACCGTAGGCCTTGCCACGCTTGCAACCGGTGGTGTAGTAACAGGTGTCGGCCATGTACTTGTCGACAGCGAGAGATTCACCAGTGATGGCGGACTGATCGATGGCAACGAGGGAGACACCGGTGTGGGCCTCGTTGACGTCCTCATCCTCCTCATCCTCCTTCTCCTTGAGGGTGTCGTCGTTGGCGGTAGCGAGGTATTCCTTGTAGCGCTCGAAGTTTTCGGGCTTGTCGTAGTCACAGATCAGGCGAACATCAGCGGGAACGACGGTACCTTCCTCGATAATGACCTAAAGAAGCATTGAGTTAGATGTGGTCGAAGGTGACTGGGAATCAAGGGATGCGTACAATGTCACCGGGAACGAGCTCACGAGCCAAGATCTCGGATTCCTGGCCGTCACGAATAACAATGGTCTTCATAGCAATATCACCCTTGAGAGAAGCGACAACGTCGGCAGCCTGCTTCTCCTGGTACCAACCGACAACAGCGTTAAGCATCAAGATACCGATAATGACACCCAAATCGATCCAGTCACGCAGACCAGCAGCGAGAAGGACAGCCAATTCCATAACTGGGAAGACGTCAGAATCAATGCTGCAGACACCAATTGAGCCAATTGCAATACATACCATACAAAATAGGACCACGGAAGTAACCAATGAACTGGATGAAGAAGTTGGTCTTCTCAGTAGTCAACTCGTTCCATCCAGCGCGCTTGCGACGAGGCTCAACCTCGTTGGAGCTGATACCAGAGCGGATGTCGGTCTCAACCCACTCGTCGGGGCAGACGAAGCCATCGGTGTTGCCCTCACCACCCTTCTTCCAGAAGGCGTACCAGGGCTTCTTACCACCCTTCTCGCTGAGAGCACCGGCACTCGAGGTCGAGCCACGGCGCTTGTCACGAGCGGTGGAAATGTAACGGTTCAACGCGGCATACTCGTCGAGGCCAGCGCCATCGTTAAGATCAGGTGCAGGTCGAGAATGGTCACCATTCTCCACGTCGGGAGCATAGGAGATCCTCCGCTCCGCCATTGTTGCTTCGGCTCACAAAGCCCTTTGGAACCCAACGATATGAGCAGACGCAAACAAGGAATGACAGAAGGATGGCAAGAGTCGGAATATTCCTATGAGGAGGAAGAAGAGAGAGAGAAGAGGGGACGAAGAGGAGGGAGAATGTACTCTTTAATATTTGGGAGGGGGGGGGGAGGGAGAGAGAGAGTGGGCAGGCCGATTAGCACGGGACCAGAGCAGAGCAAGTAGACAAACACGTCCCAAAGCTGTAGTCTTGCTCCAACGGGCGACTTTCCCAGTGCGTGTGGACCCACTCTTGGTTTTTTTGGTTTTTGGTTTTTTATTTTTTTATTTAATTTTTTTTTTCCTTTTTCTTTTTTCTTTTTCTTTTTTTCTTTTTAATTTTTTTTTCCCTCCCCTTCCCTTCCCTGGCCGAGAGCAGCAGCCACTGACACAGTCCACAGTGAATTCATGGCCGCTAGCCCCGAGAGGGTCAATTCCCTCCCACACACACATTTTTTGCTTAACGGGACAGCGGCTAGTCTGAGTTTTTTTTTTTTTTTCCTTCTTTTTTCTTTTTTTTTAATTATTATTATTTCATTTTTCCCACCCTTCCCTTCCTTCCCTCTCCAGACAAAAAGTGGATCCCCACCCTACTGGATGCAGTTTAGACTCAGCATGCGGAAAAACTCTGACCTTTTATTATTTTACATTATTATTATGTATTAGTATTATTTTACAAGAGTATGGTACCGATAGAGAGACAGCAGTAAAAGGGCGAAAATAATAATAATAATAAAATGACGATGATAATGGGATGGATCCCTTCTCCATAATCGGCAGAGCTGTGCCGAATATTTGCCCCCATAGTATTTGGGGGAACGAAGTTTCGTACCTACGGCTAACTACTACACCAGTACCTCTGTACCTGGCCCTGGTAGCATTGGCAATGTTTACCTTACTCCTTGGTATGTATGTAAGTGGACGGTAAAATTACAACGGGAGCTCGGCCTGGTAAGGACGCATACAGGGAAAATGGAAAGGAAAAAGGTAATTTATTTTTTTTTTCTTGTCCGCCCCAGCCCAGCCATCCCATCCAGACAGACACAGAGAGAGAGATAATTTTATTCATTACCGCGTGCGGGAGTTGCGTAGTTACCAGCGTTTAGTTACTATGCGCGATTTTCGAATTGGCTGGGATGGGATGACTTTGCAGCCCCCTCTCCCCCCCAGATTTATTATTATTATTATTTCGTTTCTTATCCTATGAAAATGACCTAGTTAATCAGAAAGGAAGGCGAAATAAGAAGGACAAGAAAATGACAAAAAAACACTATATGTCTATCATCAATTCATTGGCAGATGGTGCATATCAACTACGTTAGTGTGGTGAAGGACTGGTATCGGTATGTCGCAGCCAGTCCTTGCAGAAGAATGAGGATGGAAGCATACACATGTCTAATTAACTCGAGCCCGGAATTCCAAAATCTGGATAACTCCATGGATCCGATCGCAAAGCTACCCATTGTTTCAACCAGAAGCAGAACCAAAGCAAGACTGCAGGGCCGTCCGACCCGATCTCAGCACGAGTATGGAACAACGGAAACACCACGCAAGGGATTGCGCCCCCAAGCATTGTTGTTGGTTGCCACATCCGGTCATGCAGGGTGAAGAAGAAAAAAGACAAAACAGATGTCACCGGCGATTATCTGGAAATAGTCGACAGTAGTAGGTCGGTTAGTTGGTAGACAATCGTCATAGATCATGTAGGGGATCGCAATCGCAGCGGCTGCAAGCTGCAAAACAAAAGCAAAGAAAAGACGAGAAGAAGCGAAAGAATAATATTAATTCCCCGATTGAGCGTGTATTTGATGTAATTCGTATGTATCAGAAACCATCAGTCATTGCCATTATTTATTATCGTTATCTGGGTCTTTGCGCCACGCACTTTCTGTCGCTTTCTTCCACGCCCTTTTCTCCGACCGGTCTCATTTACGCTTAATCTGGAAGTCCTCGAGCTGTTCTTTGTTCCGCCGGAGCAGCAGAGCTCGTCGAGCTCATACGGATTGAGTTTCGTGTTTCATCGTCTTTCATTTCCTGAGACTACAAGTACTCCAAAGTCTCCATCGAGGACAAATGATTCATACGGTGATCCGTGATGGTAGGATTGTCTTAGCTGTTATAGATTACTTCTCCAAGTCTCCGCGGACAGAACGGCCTAACGCCCGTCTTCATTTGCGACTTGACTTGCGACATTTGCGACATTTTACGGCAGACATCGTGGTTGACAGCTCAATTGTATGCAGGTGGCTGGTCTTCATACCGCATACTGTACATAAACCACGAGAGCAACTACTCCAGATGAGCAGACCGAAAGATCGTCAATCCTTTCATTGTTATCCTAGCAGGGTCATCCTTCCCAGCCCCCATCAAGCTTCATACCGCGCATAAGGCTTGAACACATCCTATCCCGTGTGCCAAGGTTACGTATGTGCAGTCCTCACGAGCGACTCTCCACAGCCTCCTATCCTAGTCGAGTAGGAGGTGACAGGAGACGAATGCACAGACCGCATCACTAACTAACTGCTATTGAAGAACCTGGAGTACTGGAGAGAAGTCTGGAGAGAGGCCGGAGAATGGAGAGAAGTCTGGAGATGTCTGCTTGGCTTGCTAAATATATCTATTCGCTGTTGCATGATTTTCTGAGTCTGAAGTCTAATTCAACTGTCCAGGAGGTATTCTCCAGTGAATATCTGGAGTATTCTTCTGCCTGTCTGTCGTCTATCTTGGGTAGAAGTACCTATGGTAGTAACTATCGTAGTATCAGCGTCAATTGCGGAATGTCAGTAATGTAATCGACAGGGATGAGATCATCGAGTCCAGATTAACTTGTTCGGTGACAGTTCCCCTGAATAGACGCATTGAACGTGCCTTTCATTTCTCCAGATTATGAAAGAATTAAGAACCGTGGAGGAATAGTTGGTTAGCTGGTTAGTTGGTTACTCTGGGATATCCCGCATCTAGCAACGCAAAGCACACACCGTGGCTAGGATGGGGATAGTCTGCCTTGTGTCCAAAAGTACCCGCAGAAGTACGGCAGGGCGTGGTTTTAATCTCGAATCCTTATACGAATACGTTGCCCGACGGTTTCCGCGTATGCGTATTACACAAATACATACATACATACCTGGGTATTATGTTCTCAAAATCTAATTGCGGCAAAACCATCTGACAGACGGCCTCTCAGACGGATTCTCATAGACGGATTGGTTTAGCGAGTAGTGACAGATAGCCAGCATAGCTTGATAAAACATCTCAAGTTTGGTCTGCCTCATTCGTCATCTGGAGACTGGGAAGGAAGCGGAAATGCGACGGTGTTGGCGCTGCATCCTCTTGCAGCCCCGTGCACCCATCCTCCAACCACCCCTGCCAGCAGAGCGACATCACGATCGAATTCCGGGGGATTCTCGCCGTTGCCGGTTTGTACTGTGCCTATACGTCAGCCAAGACAGGGCGAGTCGATCTTTCTATTTATTCATGTTCATTCATGAGTATCATTCACTGGAGAGTATTTACTACGTACGTAGAATTGAAGATGAATTGAACATAAAATATGTATATGAATATGAATATGATAGATATTAGGGCTGACAGCTCCCGGAGACGAGGATGGAGTTAGACTGTGGAGAGAAATCGTTCCCAACATAAGGTACTCCGTACAAAATCCTGAATCAATCCACCAATACATATTCCCGAAGGCGTCTCGAATAATAAACTGGGTCACTCAACCCATGGAAACCGCTTCAAAATATCCGCAATTGCCTTTCTATCCGTTTAGTTTCAGTTGTGTGACACCTAGCCTTGCATCCATGGTTGACATTTTAGCCTCACGTGGAAAAAGGCAAAAAAGGGAAAGATGTGACATTTCCAATGCCACGGTGGTTTGATGCCGATCGAGTCATCGTCACTGTATAGCTTATTATGGTAGGTTCTATGGTAGGTTAGTAGGTTGGAAAGGTAAATCCCTCATAGATGATATCAAGACTACAGTATCAGTACTAAACCCAAGAATAATAGAATGACATGCCAGGTCATTCTGCAGTAAAGTGAGGCGTGCCGTTTCCCCATTTGGGGAAGCTCGACAGTATGGAGAAATACTATGAGGACGGCCGTCCAGCGAACAGACTGTCAGTGCATCTGTGCAGCCGCCATTGCCACCAGTCGGCCGTAGTAGCCGGTCATCTGCAGCTCTGGCGAGGCTATCATTCGCTGTGAACCACCGAGTCGACATGGTATGTTCTGGATTTTTTCTAGAACGTGTGGAACTACCTACACGAAGTAGGTACATACAGTCTACCTAGGTAGGTACAGTCTACACTGGTAGGAGAAGAGAGTCCTCCGTGGAGGTACTTGGAGGTACGGACAGATCTCGGATGTCGGCAGTCATCTGAAAAATCTTCATAGCTACTGATACCCTCGCATCCGACATAACTATTCAGTGCTCTGGATGAGAATTTCCAGACAGGGCAATCGCACAAAGAGGAACGAAATACCCAAGTCGGCTAGATCTGACGAATTGACCAATCAGATAATTCCTAATCGCTTATTCATCTCGCTTACTTCCCCGAGACATTATTGATTCTCTTACCATACCATACCGCGTAACAAAATGTAATTAAAATACACAAATCCCACTAAATCCACTAAAGCGACTTAAATGAAGTTAGCCTTTCCGATGGATCCCCGCCAAGAGACCATAGCGAGCCTGTTTAGAATATCTGATTGGCTGGCCTTCGGCTAGGCCGAGGCTAAAAGCGCCATTGACCTCTTGGCTTTCTCTTGTACCTACAGTAGTCTCGATACCGCTGCGATATTTTCGATATCCGCGGAGCGTGAGTGGTTGGAACTGGAGTCTGCCCCCCACTGGACGATCGCCTGCCAAGCTGTGTCATCGATATCATCCTGGTGAGGGATTTTCTGTAGTCTGTTAGTGCTGCTCTGGTCTGGGGCGTTTGGGCTCGGGGTCTTACAGAGGTGAGTTATATGGATGCGTTGGTCAGAATAACTACATGCATTGAGACGGAATCATCCCTCGTGAACCCCGCCAAGAGCCAAGATACTTGGAGAGGCTGGTTCCGCTCATTTATCGTGGGGATACGGAGTAGTACATAGTACGGAGTAGACAGTTGACAGTACACGGGAGACTGTAGACTGGAGAGCAGACTACAGATTACAACGACATCATCATCGTCAGTCGATTCATGTGTTGTCATGCAGTAGTCTATACCACCTCGTATACTCACATGATCTCCAACTCGGAGATAGCCAGGGCTCTCCAATCTGTAACGACCTAGACCAGGTGCCTTTTGCACAGCGGCTAATTTAGAGAAATTTGGCTAAACTACGCGAACTGTCTGGATGGCCATAAATCGCTCTTCGGGATTCCAGTCGGAGGGCGTTTTTTTCGGCCAACACGGCAACGCGGGAATCGGCACGATGCCGACCGATATTATGTCCTGTCACTACGGTAGGATGATGATATTATCAGGATGAGGATAATAATATTGTCATCAGATAAAGATATACATAGTACAGACAGTCAGACAAACGCCAAGGATCATCTCATGGATATCCCAATGCTAAATGCGTTTATTCCACGACTGTCTTCGTCTTCCCTTGCCTCCGATTTGAAACCCTGACCGGTTTCATTCCGACGATCTCGATAACGTCTACGACAGCGTTTCTACGACAACTTCCCTTATACGAAGACACTCCCAGGGACATTAATCTCACGTCGCATTTCGCAACGGTCGAACATCTCTAGAAGGCGATATCCTCCGAACCACACACATCGTACATGATATCATTCGCGTCCAATTTCCTGCTCTCAGACATGCGATGCGATCGACAGCCACCAGCTGCCACTATTGCCGTAGTGTGTAGATCGCTATTCTGTTCCTGAACACATACAACACAATCAAGGAATCTGTTCACGAATTAATTCTCTGGTTGCCTCGCCCCCACGAAAGTATGGGGAGAGTTTGTCTGGATAGTATCATCCCCTGAATCGGATGATATCATTTGTATTGGTTCAGGGTCTCAGCCAACTCATTCTCACAGCCATGCAGATCTCTTGGCTCCCCGCTTGGACTTAATAGCGTCACGATTCAGGAGGCTGGGATGTTGGGGTTGAGTCTGGAGTATGGGGTCTCCATATTCTGATGGTATGAATTATGATATTATGAGGTTATTATGATATTACCATGAAGATATTCAGATGGCTGTGTGCATGCAGATAGGCAGATGTTTTTTCTGTCAATCATGAAGAGTCTATGAATAGATATTCTACTGCCTGCGATCAGATTGCCCGTATACCCCGTAGACCGTCTGTATAGCCTCAATGTACTGTCGAATACGATCATGATAATAGAATAACATCACATAAATACTTCATACAAAGATAAGAACATACCAAGCCAATAATTCCGCCAAGCATATTTACTGCAAACCACAGCCAACTACTCGTATCTCCTTCATTGTAGAACCTCTTGGCAAAACAAACACTGCCTCGCGATAATCCTCCTCCTCCCCCTTCGTCTGTAACTATTCAAACTCAATGCAATGCATGTATCACCCTGACTCTCTTTTTCCCTTATCACTCAAATACATCCCTTCCCGCCAAGATCTGCCGTGCATTCATTCTTTGTTTTTCCCCCGATTATTGTTCTCGCGGGTCTTGGCAGTGTTTTTTTTTTACTTTTCCCCAGGGATGCGATGCGTGTAAGGGCTTCGGGATCTTCAGGATGTGTGACAATCTTCTTGGCGGGATTTATTTTATTATAGAGGACTCGTTTTTGGTTCTGTTAATTAACTCAGTCTGATAAGAAAAGGGGGCTTGGCTGCTGTCACTGGAAAGACACATCGTTATTGTGTAGATGTCGTGGGATGTGGGATGATATTGGTGGTGTTAAGAGACTAGTTTGGTGGTGCATATTTATTGGCCTATGTGTCACTTGATCTGTCAGAATGAGGCTGTAGCTGTTATGTATAAATTGTATGTGTTGTAGATTGCTATACTGATATATATCTACACTGTCACTGTTCACTATACTACACTATAATATTGTATGTCTACTGTATATCTGTCTACTCAGTACTCAGATATGATCTACCCCCACGACCACTCCATAGCTGCAGATATATTAAGCACCCATGCAGATCCCCCATAAACACAATATAAGCTTCATTTTCACTCCCACCCCCATCTGTCTCACTCTATCTAAGCGACGTTGTATCCTGACGTGGAGGACTGATCTCCATAGCCGCCGCCATGGAGATCATCTTTGTGTATGTGTAAAGGGTAAAGGTGTGTGTCAAGGTGTGTCGTGTCACTGTCTTGATCTTCATGTTGGGGAGGTCGAGTGAGGCTAACTGGTCTAGATGCAGAATGGGATGGATTCAAGTGCATCTATCACGGCAGAGACGACATGATCACGGATCTTCATCGTCCGTTGGTCTTGAGAAGCAGTCATTCAGCTCAGCTCATCCACTATCTGCACTGCACTGACAAATTTGGTTGACACCTATCATTATCCTCATCACCATCGCCATCACCATCGAGATATGCATCTGCAAAGCTTCGCACAATTTCAAGCTTAATCCCTCTCTCAGCAGAAACTCTATCATTTACCATCTGCTATTGGTAAATAAGATCCATTGTTGAAGATCTTGACAGAGAAACTATCAATCAATACATATGCAGTGTTGCACTGTCAGTCGCTGAAGATCTAAGCCACCCTAAGATTGATGAATATTGGTTGCTTGAAATTCAGCGATGCGACTATCGTTTTCTCGGTGAGTCTTGATGGAACTTGATGAAAAGCAGGTTTGCCTCGTGCTATCCTGTCGACATAGCCTGGTTGATTGGCGGGCCCAAACTTATATTCGAATAGTTCGATGATGTCTCATTAATGGAGCTGAAATGCTGAATCGATCCAATTTTTGCTCATAGCTGAATGATCGCCGACGATACCTAGATAAAGTCACTAGTCTGTGAAACACGGATGTCACCCGGATATGCACACGCGGCGATCATAACAACTAGTCTCAATAACCGGACAATAAAAAGAAAAAAGCCCATCAGCAATACCGGCGGAAATCCGGTATCGACATGGTTGTATCTCGAACAGTCCTGATAAGTGACCCGACCATTGAGATTCATGTGCGGCCGAGGCGTCATCTTCATTTGATATGCCAGCCTGCCTGCCTGACCATCCATCCGGTTTTTGTGGATGGCGAACAGGGATATTCATGATCGTGCGGAGAACCCCGCAAAAAAAGCAATTCTGTTGGACAACGCAGCAGGCAAGTAGACCATGCTTGCTCTGGCTGACCAAAGACACTTCACGCCTTCACGGCCTTGATGTGATAGCTACTGCATGTCTAATCCTTTGGGCTGCCCATACAAGGTTTGGCGGTCACCCGGACATCACATCCTGCCAGTGGAATACTCGGACGAAAGATGTCATTGACATTGACATTGACATTGACGTTTCTATCATTCCTAGAAAGTGATCTTGATGCCCACGGTGCAGGGAACCAGCGTCCCCGGCATCCGTCTCTCAATTTCAAATTTGGCTCTCCAGCCTGAACAATGTCCGGGCAGGAGAACCGCCGGGTCTAATCTCTTCAGATCTTTGACGGTGCTCTCTACTTGGTCGCGTTCGCTCGTTGCCAGATGAAAGCCACCAACGACAGCATGCAGGGGCACGGATCCACGTAAAAGGTCTACTGCATGTTGGGCAGCGTTGACCACGCCAGCATGGCTGCAGCCAGTGAACACGACGATTCCTTTTCCTGGCGGATGTTAGCCATCGAACAATGACGCCAGCTTGCCTTGCATTGCGCGCACCTTTGATGTTACACATCAGAAACCGCTCGTCGGCGATACGTTCATCAGAGAACCAGTCTCCCTCGTCGCGGTCAAAACGCATCGCACCCTTCAAACCGGTTTCATACGGTGTCTGGCGAGGAATCTCACCCGAGATGAGAAATAAATCATCAAGAATGGTGTGCGTCTCGTCGTGCTTGCCCACCGCCGCACCGGCTGACTCGATCTCTTCAAAGGTAGGATCAGCCTGGAGGGAGATGATCTTTTCGCCTACTGCGATCCCACGATAGTCCGGACGAGCAGGATGAACATCCACTGTGAGATCCTGGGGAAGACCTTTGGTCTGCTTGTCACTGTTTATCATATGAATTGCCTTTAAAAGACCACCTGCAAGAAATCAGTGACAATCTAACAAAATCCAGAATACAAACCTGAATGGTCGCGATGCCAATGAGACAGCTGAATCACCTCCACGGAAGCAAGGTCCGGCCGTAGCCGTTTGGCATTTCTCTCCCATATATCTTCTTCAGGCCCTGCATCAAACAGGATGGAATGCTTGATATCTCCTTTTGTAGCCGTCTGCTCGATTTAGCTTCCCTCGTCGTACCGGACCAGTACCCCATACCACAAGAATAGACAACCCATGCGCCGAACAGCAAATATCCTCCATCCGTAGCTCCTGAGTAGCATCGCCTCGATCGTCGAGTTTATGCGGAGAGCCCAGAGCAAGAGTGCCCATGAGGCCCGACACCTGCACCGTGTCGGGGGCGGCTGGGGACATGGGATCTAGCTCATTGTCGATGATGATGGTCGCTTCGAGGGAGTCGATTTCTTGGAGATTGATGCTAGACATGATGATGCTGTTGAGGAGAGAATATGAATTGATGAAGAGGAATTGTCCTTCTTTTGAGAATTGCGAGTGGGGGCTAGAGGAGAGAAGAGGGGGTGATTGTTGCCTGGATATTCAGGTATCAACTATATAGCCTCATTGATATTACTTTCTGGTAGAAAAAAAGATGCAAATAAGAAGTATCTGTATCAGTGTTTACTATTTGGCTGTATTAAGGTAGCTCTTTGTAATTGAATATATGCGTTGTATGTTGTATGTCGAAGGGCTTGTCTGTATCCCCGTTGAGATGCAATATCAGATAAGTACAGAGTAAAGGACGAATGAAAGCCATTGATATTTCTGTTTTTATATGATATATAAATACTGCGGATATAATTAACTGATTTTATGTTGTGCTACCAATTGTTCCTTCAATTCTATCCTCGACTTCTTCGTTATATATATCTACATCATCTACAATTCTATACCGAAACACCATACCAACAAAACTATAACATGCATTTCAGTTGACAAATTATTGTGTTACATTCCAATCCGCCCAAGAACCATGTGCACCAACTGATTATATTGATACATTATTTCTGCGGTGAAACTTCACTGGGATAGTGTTCTATCCACATCCTGCTGTCGACGTGTTGGAGGCTTGAGGCCCCTGGCTTCGCGTGTGCATTGTGCTGGGAGTTTAGATACTTGTCATCTCACCATTGGATATATATCCGTGGCTGCTAAGAGTCTGTTTTCTGGAATACTGTGTCTCTATGTTACCTGTCGGCGAGTACGCCATAGTTGGGAAGCGTTGCAGGCGAGATACAGATCGAAAGATGACTGCATCCTGTTCAATAGGCAAGTTACTCGTCACGAGACAAACTGAGTACATCGTGAAGGCCAGGAGGAATACATGCGAAAGGCAATAGTTTCTTGGTGGAACTGCCTGTTTGAATTGTTGGGAATGGACATGAAGGGTGGTATGGATGGGAATAACCTCATTATTTCCATATTAGGTCATATGCTACCAGCATCTGTATAAATTATAATGCCATTAGACAATCTCTGAATGATATTCGACTGCGATAAAACAAGTCGAGAGAATATACTCACTGCCGATCATGCGGGGAACCCCAATTCTGGTCTGAATCCGAGACAGCCTCAACTGCAGATCCTCAACACTTTGCCATCTTTTCCCCTTCATCCATCCATCTTCATATCATCTTCTTTCATCTTCAATCTCTCATATCTCTCCATCAGATTCACCATGCGCACTCTCTTTCTCCCCCTCCTCTCCCTCTTCTTCTGCCAGCTCGCCTCGGCGGCAATGGGCACCTCCTGTCTCAAAGTCATCACGGCTCTCGCCAGTCGTCCCAGCGATATCTTCGAAAGCTTCCAATCCGAAATCTGCGCGCGAGGCTGCAAACCAACCGTCCCTCACTGGGATCTCTGGACGCGCAACAACTCCTTCGTCCCCGCCGTCCACAGCATCACGAAGCGCCTCAACGCCCCCGGCCAGGAAGCGGCACTGATCAAACTGGGCGACGAAGCCGCAGAAACCATCAAGGCGCGCTGCGGACCGATGATTGAAGGCAAAGATATCTGTACCGATGCAGAGACGCTGGCTGGGTTTGGGAATTGCTTCAAGCGCCAGTTTGTCCGGTCGGCGATTGTCAACCTGCACGTCCTGCTGCCCATGGCGTCGGAGGAAGCCTGTCGAGAACAATACGAATACCTCAAAGACGACCATTTATGGACTCAGATCATCCCGAACAACATGAGGGAATATGCGGGGGCTTGTGGGGGACTGGGAAAGACAACGATATCGCATTCGGAGCTTTGATTGTGCTTGGATATGGAGTTTATGGATATATTCTTTCTTTTGTACAATGTGTATATATACCCGGATATTCTCAGAATACCATCAATTGTCGTCTCATCTGGCTTCCATTCTTCCATTATTTCATGATGATATCTTCAATGAAGCGACAAAACACCGCCAAGCATCGCGGATGACGACAATCACTGCCGCTTCTCCATCTCACTTCATCCCCTCATCTCTCTCTCTCTCTCTCTCTCTTTTTTTCCCATCTACCTGTCTTTCATTGCATCCAGCTACTGCATCAAGCATAATGATTCATCTTTCAACCTCTTTCTAATGCATATCTAATTTATGGCGTCCCTCGTGACCCTCCGCTGCTGTCAGCGGCCCATTCATGCCTTCAACCTCAGATCTCTCCGGCCCTCTCCGTTTCGTTCTCCTCGTCGATATTTCCATCCTAACGAATTTCAACCTCTCGTCCCTCCATCACCTGCTTCTCTAGGCAAGCCAACACCCGCAAAAACCTACCCTCGAACCCGCAAGTGGCTGCGTCGTCTTGTCTACCTCTCTCTGGCCACCGGTGTCGTCTATGCGATCGACTCTCAGTTCTATGCCTCCTCCTTAACTCGAACCGCTCGCACCTTTTCTCTCGGTCTCTTCGTCGCTCTCGACTATAAAATCAATTTCACTCCCAACCCCCCTCTGGCAAGTTCCATCACTGCCGTCCATGCCCGCAATGCCGAACGACTCTCCGACCTGCTGCGTCATAATGGCGGCCTGTACCTGAAAATCGGCCAGGCGATCGCCATGCAGTCGGCTATTCTACCGCCGGAGTTCCAGAAGATGTTCCACCGCATGTTTGACGATGCACCGCAGAATGACTGGAAGGATGTGGAAAAGGTCATCCGGGAGGACTTTGGCAAGTCCGCCGAAGAGGTCTTTGGTGTTTCGTTCACGGGCGATCCGTCCAAAGGTGTCATGGAGCGCAAGGCCAGAGCTAGTGCCAGTGTAGCTCAGGTGCATTGGGCCCGGTTGCCCGATGGCCGAGAGATTGCGATCAAGATCCAGAAACGGGAAATCGCCCAGCAGTTGGCGTGGGATTTGTGGGCTTTCAAGTATGTCGGACTTGCATGATATCTAGGATGTGTGCTAACCGAACCAGAGTGGTATCTTGGATATATAGCCGTGCGTTTGATATCCCCTTCTATAGCCTTGTGCCCTACGTCACCGAGCGTCTGTCGCTGGAAACCGACTTTGAAAACGAAGCGAACAACTCCGAAAACATGGCTAAGCTGGTCGCGGGCGAATCACGCCTTCGCGGCCGGGTCTACATCCCTAGGGTATATCGCGAGCTCAGCTCCAAACGTGTCATGACTGCCGAATGGGTCGAGGGTGTGCGCTTGTGGGATAAAGATTCCATCACTCGGTCCTGGCGGGGAGGCTGGCGACAGGGTACTCCGGGCTGCCACGGCACTGCCCTTGATCCCTCGAATATCGAAGATGCTTCAGCCAAGGTGGCTAAGAATCCGAACCTGGCCAAGATCAAGCCCGAGCGCGAGCACTGGCGTGGGTGGAATGGCAAAGGCGGATTGGGCCTGTCGCTCAAGGACGTGATGACGACCATGGTTGACCTGTTCTCTGCTCAGATGTTCCTCTGGGGATATGTACACTGTGACCCCCATCCGGGTAACATCTTCGTTCGACGTACACCCTCTGGCCAGCCGGAACTGGTCCTTATCGATCACGGCTTGTACATCCACATGGAACCTGAATTCCGCCACCAATACGCCCGATTCTGGAAAGCCCTGCTAACCTTTGACAACAAATCGATGGGCGAGATCGTCAAGACCTGGGGCGTCAAAAACGCCGACATCTTCGCATCCGCTACCCTGATGCGACCGTACGGCGGCGGAGACCTGACCACCCGCAAGAGTCTGGAAGGACTCAGCAAGTCCGAGCGCGCTCAGCGTCACTACGAAATGCAACAGAAAGCCCGACAGGGCATCCGCGAGATCCTCGGCGACGAAACCAAATGGCCCCACGAACTGCTTTTCATCGGTCGCAACCTGCGCATCGTCCAAGCCAACAACCAATTCCTGGGCTCGCCTGTCAACAGAGTCAAAATCACAGGTACCTGGGCGTCTCGCGCGCTGGTCGAGTCCCCGGATCTTCCGCTGGGCGAGAAGATTCGGAACTACGGCCGACATATCGTCTTCCGCTTGGTGTTGTTCACGACCGATATCTTCTTTTATTTCACCAAGATACGCCAGTTTCTGCGACTGGGTGGTGGCATGGAGGATGATATCGAGGCGCAGATGCGGAATGTGGCAAAGGATATGGGGGTTGAGTTGAATCAGAACGTGTTTGAGGGGTGATCTTTCCCTGGTGCTACTAGTCTACTATGTTTTGGGAATCTCCTCTCTAGAGTACTCCGTATATACTCCGCTTTACGACTTATATGGTCGGATAGATATTAGATAGATCTAGAATCAATCTATGGATAAATGATGTGATTGAAGAAAAGTATTATCATAAATGGTCTCATTAATATATCATTATTCATGCATGTCGCTCCAACGCAATGCTTCAACAGAACAAACAGAAAAAAATCAGACAAAACAACAAAAATCAGGGTATCTAGTGAATTCTAATATTGCCATTCGGACAAGCCCAGCGGCCTCCATTCCTGACCGGGATACGCAGTGCTGGACATGACAATCTCTTCGCTCGAGTCGTCCGCCGGTAACTCAACAGGCGATCGGACGGAATTAATCGCTCGTCCCTGGCCCCGATGAGGGTGGTTACTACTGCTCACCACATCCTCAGTGACAAGAGGCATGGGCATCGCGGGCGCGGATCCTCGGTGCGGTCGCGACATGTCCAGACCATACTGGTAGTCACCACCCACACCACCGTAACGAGACGAGGAGGCCGCCGCGCGCTCCTCCGCCTCGCCGGGGATAGTTATCTTCCAGGGTAATTCCTGATCGCCGAGACGACTTGTGCGAGGATTTGAGCGGAAGATGCCGAGATGGTATGCAGGGTCTGAGAGGTCGGTGCTGGACATTGTTTTTTCCTCTGGGGAAGGGGGAAAGTTCTTTGGGCTTCGGGAGCGGAGGTGGAGATCCTGGGCGTAGGTCCGGCCGCTGGAGCGACCGCGGGAGGTTTCACTTTCTCGACGAGAGGGTGGAGTGTGCGGGAGGGAGGAGGCGGAATATCGATAGGGGATGATGGGTTGGGAGGGGGTTGGTTGGTAGGAGTAGAGACGGGAGGACATGGTGTCGTTTTGAGTGTTATTGATATTTGTATTTGGAGAGTTTTCGGGGATGCTGCTGTTGCTGGCAGTGATGATCTTTTGGCGCTGGCCCGTCAACTTATGGCCGCCGATAAAGGCGTCGTAGGATTCAGGAGCGTAGTAGCCTTGCGGCGGTGGAGGCAATCCGCGGAATGAAGGGAGATGCTCGGAGGAACGATTCTCACGCGATCGGGGCCTATCGGTTTGCAGCGTCAGGGCTGACGCCGAGGATTGTTGGTGTTGGTGTTGGAGGTCAAAGACGCGGGGCTGGGGCGGGTTGGTTGGGATCTGGGCATTATTTGTACGACCAAAGAGTCCCTGGACGATGGTTAGGAATGAAGTCCATCCCAGAGAGAAAATGGATATAATAAATAGACATACGCTGAACCGGCTAAAGGCCCGCCTGTGAGGCACAGCCCGCGACAGCTGAGGCAGTTTTCCGACCATCCTTAGCTTCCTCATTGCTGACGCCCTCTTATGCGCCGAGTATCCCTGCTCGAACGGCCCCCACGCCGCCGCGTCGCTCAAATCATGGCCTGACGTGGCTGGGTTGACCTTAGTGCTATCGACGCTGTCAGAGTTGGGTTGACTCAGGATATCGTGAAAACTGCTTCTCGTGCCGGTTGAGTTGCCGGCTTCGTTTCGCAATGGGCTTTGACGGCCATGTACTGATCCGGGCTCACTGACTGATGCTCCACCATGGCCAGGCGCAAGGGCACCATCCATCGACCTTGGTGGATCACTGAGGGAACGATAATGACCTTCGCTATTATAGTCTGATGGCAGCGATACTGCCGAATAGTTTCGTTCGCCTTTATAATTATCGATCAGCATGCGTCCGCTGTAGTAGTCTATGCGAGTACCTACCAAGCCCCCATGCAAGGTTTAAATTCTGATAGTACTGCCGCCCTATACTACCATCTTGCGCCCCCAATGATGAGACCGATGGCATCTGGTGTAGTTGGAGTGGGGCACCAGAGCCCTGTCGATGGTGGCTCTGTTCTCCCAAGGGCGCGTACGGTGATCCGGCAATGTTGTCCGTTTGAAAATCACGGGCCTTGGGGAGATTAGCATCTCGGGCAGATGACTGTGTCGATTCGTTGAATGGCCGCATTGCTGAATGACTCGACTTGTTAGAGACTACTGGGGCATCGTGGACTTGTTCTTCGGTGGTGGTTCCTGGCGAACGGTGCGACCTGATACTCGGTGCCTGCTCGGCTCTGCAATCACCGCATTTAGAAGCGTTCGTGAGGTTGCAGGCCCCATGAATTGATCCTGGACTCTGCTCACTTGCTTCTTCGACTGGGGTCATTAGCGGTGCTCCGTCGTTGAGGGTTAAGCGAATGGGATTCGTGGTTTTCAGCCCCGTCGCGCCGCATAAGGCTGTGCTGCTTGAATCAGCCTGATCGGCAGGTCCTGGAAAATCCAAATGCTGATGCTCCAAAATCTGACGCTGTCCTCCTGAAACAGATTTGGAATTGGTACCTGATTCTAGGGCTCGAAGAGTCGAATCGGTCAATCGCGAGTTTTGGTGTTCAACGTGCGCCGTTCCATCGTTTTGTGTCGCCACGAATCTGTCAGATTTATGCGAAGAAGCATCTGCAGTGGATACAGTACTTCGTGCATTATCAATTGGCAATCTCGATGCATTTGCCGGGTTTCCAGGCCCCTGGAGTGCAGATGTTGGACGAAGAGATGCGAGACTTGCAGGCTTTCGCAGCTCACTTGGGTCTTCCTCATCGAGGCGCAGGGCCTTGACAATCTCTCGCTCCAAATCTAGCGCGTAACTGCCACGATCCATATGTGCTTGTTGCTCTTGACTTCCTTCTGGCATCCTGCTGAAGTGTGGGATTGCGTCCGTAGATAAGGACGGCTGTCGATGCATCTTGTCCACAGCCTTGCCTTTTCTGTCAATGGCCCGCCACTGTGTAACATCATCTGCACTTGTGGCTTTCGAGTTGCGAATGGAGCCTCGATGCCCGGGTGCAAGGTGCTCAGGCGCACCTGGCATTTTTCGGTTTGAATCCAGACTGAATCGAGTGGGCGTGTCGACATTCCGCGAGTTTTTCATCCTCACGGGCAAACTTCCAAAGTAACCAGATGGTCGCTCTGAGGATCGACCGCGAGTCTCCCTGCTGGGAAATATAGAGGGCAAGTTTTTGTAGCGACTATGCGTCGATTCAGAATCCTACAGCAACATTACCAAATTAGAGGCAATTAAACCAGAAATAGTTATGCAGATAATCCAAGAGCAAGAGACAAAAGGCATTGATCATGTCAAATTCCGAAAGTTATGTTCATTTACACCATGGTATCAAAAAATCGCGTGGCCCAGAAAAAAAGAAACCAATAAGAAAAGACAGGAACACAACAGTTGCAGCGATGGGATGACAGGAAATATGATAATACCACCCGCTTCCCATGCGCCTATTAAAAAAGAAATATGTCCATTAATGAAATTAAGGCTCTACCTTGTCGTTCCCTCCAGCTTTGAGCTTACTTCGGCCTCTAGCAAAGAATCCCTTGGCTGCTTCGCCTGCCTTGCCGCCGAGGACTCCTGCAGTGTGCAAAAGGTCTTTACCTCGCTGTTCCACTTGTTGCTTGTGCATCATAGCACCAAGAGGAGCCGAAGATCGTCGGACATGGCCGTGACCAGTGGGAGAGCCTTCTTGATGCGATGTACCAAAGTTGCCAAGAGATGGCAGCTTGGGGAATTTGCTTTTGGTTACTGCCAATCTGGGGCCACCAGCTCCACCTTTCTGGCTCTTCTCAACAAGATCCATATGCTCAGGGTGATCATGAACGGTCACTTGAATCCAGTTGTTTAGACCAGTATCAATCTTTCCAAATTGGTCTCTGGTTCGATTGAAAGCCTTTACTCGCTCATCAGAGGACTTAATTCCGAGGATGTCGCGGAAGCCCAACAGAGTCTGCCCGGGAGGGCCTGGGAGCGCGCGTACAGGAGATGGAGCGTGCTGGATATTTGACGGGGAGTTGCCACCTTCGGGACCGCGCACAGGTTGGCCATTGTAGACTTCAGGGAGATGTTGGCCTGAAATGATGCTGTTGTTATCCCCGGTAGACGGGGGGATGATGGTAAGTTTAGGCTTTTCGGGCTTCTCTACTTCCCCTTGTTCCGCCCCTGTAGGTGCCTTTGGAACATCACCGGTCTCTGTCTCTGTACCCAACTGAGATGTACTGTTGTCAGGAAGAGGACTCGGCCCAAGCGATGTTGTACTTTGTAATAAGTCCAATCCCGCTGTAGGCGTAGGTTCGTCAGATGAAGAAGTCGACGACTCCCATGAAAACCGCTTCTTCAATTTAGGTCGCGAGTCCTGCCCTGTTGCTAGAGGAGAAGAAACATGCGAGTCGCTAGAATATAAGCCCCGCGAAGGTGGCTGAGGATTGTATTCGGGGATTGAGGGCCTCGGCTGGTCATTAGGGCTGAGGCTTGCCTCTTCATTCCAGTAGCGTTCGTATTCACTAGGAATGAGACTGTCTTCTCGACGAGTCTGTGGTCGTGACCCATCCGGTTCTGGTTCATCGGATGGGGTATTCTCGCGGCTCAAGGATCGGATGATCTCCTTTCTCAACCGGTCACTTTCGGTGTCCTGGGGTGAGTTGTCGGTGCTCATCGAGGGGATAAGTACTGGAAGTTCGCTAGATGCATTCCCACCCGTCACTGGGCTGCTGACCCTGAGCGGTGGTATGTCTTTTGTGGGCATATTTGGGGGTATTTGCTCGGACGAATGAATATCTGACGGGTCCACCGAAGACACCTGTGCCAATGCGGATGGAGGGGTTTGCTCGCTGGTGACTATAGGTTTTCTCGAAGGGCTGTTACCTGGGCTGGGAAGGCTCAAGTCTCGGCGATGACCAGGCTTGAACACGATGCTATTCCGTTCTGAGGTCGGGGGAGTTGCGGCCTCAGGCTCTTCTGTAATCGTGGGGGTTTTCTCTTCGTTAAAACCGCGGTTTGCTATTATTGGGCTGACCCCAGATGTGCTGTCACTATTCGACCGCACAACACTGTCCACGGCAGAGCTAGGAGTCTCTGGAACATCGAAAGCCTGATGGACTGCTGAGCGAAAGCCGAGCGAAGGGTTATGTTGCAACTGAGGTTTCTGGGACTCGGGGCTCTGGCTAGTCTGATTATCGGGGCTCGACGCTAAGAAGTCTGTGCCAAAGCCAGACACTCGGTCAACTTCTGGCAATTTGATAACCGGGGTGTTTTGCGTAGTTGTAGAAGTGGTCGAGTCCTGGGGTTCCTCCTCATTATCTGCCTTCGCCACAGGTTCCCGGGACATGTGGAGTTCATGATGATCGCTCCCAGCCGCAGCCGCAGTTTCATCTCCCGGTAAGTTCTGAGAGACGGGATCAGTGCTGGATCGACCCACAATTGGGAAATACTCGTTCGGAGGACCAGGCATAGAAGTATCAGTTCGGGAATGTCGTCGTTCTGCTCTCTCATCTCGCATCCGTTGATAAATATTGGCTGGACGTACAATCGGAACCCGACTGGAGCCCGGGGGTCCTTGGGGACCCTTATTCGCCATGGGAAGTTCTGCTGCTGTTGTGCCATCCGCGGATATGCTGCGAGCTCCCTTCCATCCGTCAGGTCCAAGCGTAGCGACATTATCCATTGATCGTGAACGATCCATCATGGCAGGCGAGGTGTTTGTTCTCGGATTCAGATGCATCAATGGAGGAGCAGGCTCCTGCTCCTTAACGTCGTATTCGTCATATTCATCGTCTCCCCAATCGTCACCATCGTATGAAACCTTTTTCGCTTCTACCCAACGTCGTGTTTTTGCCCGATTGACATTTGTTTGGAACGAGAGGGGGGTTCCGCCACGGGGACCTGGAGTCAACGGGCTATTGGAACCAGGGGAAGAGCTGTAGGAGAACGAAGTAACCGTCAGCACCTGCATAAGTCTGGAAACGTGTTGATGCCTTACAGTTTTTCAAGCTCTGGTTCGTACGGGCGGAATTGAGCCATCACTGGCAGCGGTGTTGATCGAGCGTATACACTCGACAACGAAGGTAAACCCACGAGGATGCAATATTGATCGGCACGTCAACTTTTGAACGTGATCTTAAAACAACGCGGGTTTTATAAAAAATGATGAACTAGGAGTCGGAGTGCCGGCCGTTCGCGTAACTAGCAGGCAGCCCCGTAAATGCTCGTAAATGACGATCAAGAGGGGATGTTTCACAGTGATGACGTGGGTGGGAATGAATGGCGACAACCCAACAAGGCCGTGTAGAGCAGATGATTAGGGGATATTATTACATGAGTACACTGGATATTATTAGAAGATAAACACAACGAACGAGACGTTTCTTCGGGCCTTTTTTTCCCTTGTGACTGTCTGTCTGTCTGTGTCTCTGATCCGATCGATTCCCCTGAATTGCCGCTTGCAGTAAGTGTGGCTGGGGGAGGCAGGCGGTGGCGAGGGCATCACGTGGCACCGCCCCAGGCTAGTCCTTTTTGGGAGCGAGGACGAATCCCCTCCACCTGCCCCAGAAAAGCACGGTTTCAAGCAACTCTTCTTCCCCTGTGATGTTGACGACGAATCCAGACCCTTGAAAATTGGAGTGGCATGGGCGCTATTGATAGCTCCCTGATTGAGCCTGTATCACTTTCTTAATCCGCTCGTTTTGATTTTTCGTTACACGGCTTCCGACGAACGGACACGTCTACATTTGCCTTCTGCCTTCTCTCCTTATCGATTAGACCGACCTCAGAGCAGTCGAATCGAAATCCTAATACGACATACCGATTAATTTGATACGTTATCCCAAGTCTTGACGACCGTTTCTTTTATCGCATTATCATATTTCCTATCTCAAATCACATTCCACCAAATCGCAAAATGACGGGCCCGTCGATTCAGGATCGCACGACTGAATTCCAGGCCATCTTGGGCCAGGCCAAGAAGCGCATCAACACTTCGAAAGGATCGCAGCGCCAGGCGCTGCTGTCGGATGCCCAGCGGAGACAGGCCAATGGGTATGCTGATGGAGCGCAAGATGGCAAGAGAGCTAGGTCGGAGTTTGCCAAGCGGGCGGCGGAGATTGGACGGGGTATTACTGCGACCATGGCGAAGTTGCAGCGACTGGCTGAATGTGGGTATAGACTCAATTTTATCGGTCGGAACATTGCTAATTTATGGTAGTGGCCAAGCGAAAGACCCTCTTCGATGACAGGCCTGTTGAAATCTCTGAATTGACCTATGTCATCAAGCAAGACCTTGCATCGTTGAACCAACAGATTGCCTCGCTGCAAGCACTGACACTATCGCAACACCCCAAGTTGAATCGATCAAAGGCCGACCAAGAGGGAGAACATAATGACAATGTATGATGGATGATTGGATAATTTCGATACATTGCTAATATGTTTCAGGTTGTCGTTATGTTGCAAGGAAAACTCGCAGATGTCGGCGCAAATTTCAAAGACGTTTTGGAAGTTCGAACAAAGAACATTCAAGCGTCGCGATCCAGAACCGAGAACTTTGTCTCATCAGTATCGTCCAAGTCTCAAACGGCCCTCGATACGCAGCGGTCAGACTCTCCCTTATACAACCCATCTGGAAGAAGAACGCCACAACCGGGATTTCAGGGTGGTTCTTCGGATCTCCTGACTCTCGAGCCCTCGAATCCATCCCCTCTTGGAGGGCCATCGATGCAGACGGACCAACAATTATTGGTCATGGAGGAGGCTCAGTCGAGCAACTCGTACATCAATGCCCGAGGAGAGGCGATTGATGCGATTGAAAGGACGATCAGCGAGTTGGGTGGTATTTTCGGGCAGCTGGCACAGATGGTCAGCGAGCAGTCGGAAATGATCCAGCGGATCGATGCGAATACAGAAGATGTGGTGGACAATGTGCAAGGTGCACAACGAGAATTAATGAAATACTGGACCAGGGTATCTGGAAACCGGTGGCTTGTTGCTAAGATGTTTGGAGTTTTGATGGTGAGTGTCCTCTACAGCTTTTCGCGTACACGTCTAACGATTGCAGATTTTCTTCCTTCTCTGGGTGTTGATATCAGGATAGACACGCCCACCTTCTCTTCTAATGTATTATTATTGAATGGCTTTGATGCTTGATGGATTATGCAGGCTTCGTATTCCAGGTGCATTTCAGCTTTCGGCATTTTTAATTGGCATAGCTAGAGTTGAGATTGATTATATTGGTTTGTTTGTTGATTAGTGAAGTAAATATGATTAATAGATCTGCATATTCGACGTCATATCATATATCATATATCATATCTCGTCTCATCATAGAAGCTATTGCGAACAAACACCCTCCTGCTCACAATAATCACAGTTCAAAACAACCACCGACCCATGAAGAATAGGAACCACATCCTCACAATCATGCGGAACAAGCCCTCTATCCTGAATCTCCCTTTCAGCAGCCTCAAACCAAACCTCCCTCAACCCAGGCATAGCCGCAATCCTCTCCCCAATCCCATCTCCAACATCAGCCATAACCTCGTCCCAATCTCCACGCATCTGCCACATGAATTCCATCCGACGGGACCAGGTGTGCGTATGTGCATGCCCATGTCCATGTCCATGCCCAGTCTGCTCCTCACACACCTCATCCTCCGCAATAGCCGTGAAAAACCCTAGAATCCGCTCGAGCGTCGACGTGGTCAGGAGCAGACTGAGCCAGTTCTCGGTCGAGGCGTAGGAGATTTCCGGGGCCATGAGGTGGCGGACGATTTTTGTTAAATGGCGCATGCAGTGATGTGTTGAGAGGAGGATGTGCGGGTTTGTAAAGGGGCATTGTTGGAGGATGGATTGTTGGGTTTGGATGGGGGTTTCCTGTGCTTGTGCATGGTTGCTGGTGGATGGAGATGAGGGTGGGGGTGTCATGGATGCGTTTGTTTCGAGAAAGAAGATGAGATATGCCCTGCATGTCCTGTTAAATTGACAGCCTTGTTAAGAGGACAGGGAGGACATACATAGGATGTAACAGTTTCGCCTGGAGCAACTCAACACCCTTACTATACGCAAACTCCTTTTCCGTCTTCGACGACGCCCACGATGTCCTCGCGGTAGCATCCGTCTCAAGATGATGCCGGACTGTATGTTCAGCTAGATAATAAGATAGCTTGATACACGTTGTCCAGCAGCGGTTTAAATCCGCCAGATACGCGAATGAATACTCGGGTTGGTCATCTCGAAGGCTGGCCCCGTTCACGTAATGCGGTGGAGGGGGCGGGAACAGATACGAGATGAAGGTGAGGTCGTCGCCTGGGGAGAGAAGATCTTCAATCAACGGTGGGGGGTCGTTGTCGTGTTCATCTTGACGCTGCTGTTGTCGTCGATGAAGATATTCCTTGGCAATGGCATATTCGTGCTTGGTGATTTGCCGATGCAGCAGATGGCATGTTAGAGAGAGAGCGTAGATATCGAACAAGTCGCACTGAGCCAGGATGTGAATTAAGATTGCGGATGGGATTTTTTCCCAATTGGGTTGGGGATGTCTAGATGCATTCATTCATCAGCTGTGATCTGTATAGTGAGATGGGAAGACCGACGACGCTCTTGATTTTCTATGTCTGACTCTTTGAACAACGGAACGGAGCCGCTCAATAACAGGACTCATGATTCAGACATGATGATGGCGATGGGAAAAATCTTCGTGTTTTTAAATCTGCGTTGGTAGACTTTATTTATGACGATGATTATTCAGCCACATCTGTCACATCCACTAACCGAGATTAATTCAAAATTATTATTTTGAATAGATAGAAAGCATGCTATCTATACCCAATATGATATGATGAGATCGATGCTCAAACCCACCAATCTGCATCATACCGCATATATTCATCTTCCTCATCGACCACATTCTTCCCCGTATTCTCCGCAACATAGGCTAGCAGATTCCTCAGATTATACGTGGACGGTGCGTCAAGCGGGTAGAAAGATTCAACGCAGTCGATCGTATCGAACATTTCAATGATGGATGCGTAGACGATCTTCTTCTCGGGGTCGTATTTGTACATGCACGGGATACCGAGATATTCATAGCCTGCTTCGTAGAAAGATCTACATCACCACCACCACCACCACCATCAGCACCCAATCAAACCAAAAAGACAAAGGCAGGGGGAGCAAGACTCACGAAAACATCTCCACAAACTGTCTCTTAATCCCCTCCATCTCAGTTCGCGGAATATCCAAAATCGCTTCGTCAAAATCCACGTCCGGGTACCAGCCCAGCGCCAACACATTCAGATAGCCACCGGGGTATTCATAATTCTCGTCCTGTGTCATTTCCGCATGCGTGATGTACGCTGCTGTGTGGCCGGAGGGAGAGAGGTCTTTGAATGTGTTGCTTTCATTGTTGAAGAGTTGGATTGCGCGGTGGTGGACTGTGGGGGGTTGGTCGGGGAGGGGGGGGATTCTATATCGTTAGTATTCTTGCTATGCTTTATATAGAGGGAGAGACGAGATGGAAGACATACTCGACTCGGAAATCAAGACGGACTGTCTCTCTGGTTCTTACATCTTCGGCTTGGAACTCAGCCCGTCGTTCACAGAAGCACACTTCGACGTATTCGGATAGAATCGATTTCAGGTGGAAAGTGTGTGAGTTGATGGTGATTTTGCTGCCTTCTAGTCTTTTGAGAAGGCTTCCGTTGGGGAATTTCTCGTCGGTGGGGGCGTCCATGGTGAGTGAATCTGGAGAGGAGGAGTGGTGGGATGTTTACAAGGTGAGCAAGGGGGAATGCTGTAAGTCGATGAGGGTCACAGGGTGAAAGTCTTTGGTAGAGCAAGTCAACAAGAAAAGAATAAATCCAACCAGTGAATCATATTGAACAACATTTCTATCATCTATTAAAATTCAAAGCAGCCACCCATAAATTACAACCCAAACACCAAATATCGACCAGCGATAGAGAGAATCGACCAGCGATATCTAGTGAGACTTGGTCTTCTTCGAAGACTCGGCCGTGGTAGTATGGGTGCCAGTCTCCTCAGCCGAAGAGCTATCATCAGTTGCAGTCGAGGTCTTGTGAGCAGTGCCAGTAGCTGTAGTGCCAGTCGATGCGGTAGGGGTGACATGTCCAGCGTCAGCGGATCCAGTGGGAGTGGCAGTTGCGCTGGCACGGATCGAAGAAGGCCTGTGATAGCTGGATGATGCATGGTGACCACCACCGCCGCCACCACCACCAGCTACGCGGGATGAAGTAGCAGCGGCGCCAAAGGGGACGCATGTAGAGCCGGTAGATACGGTGGTTTCCTATGTACTGTGTTAACAGTGTGTATAAAAGACAGAAGACAACTACTTACAGCAAGCTGGGTTGAGACGATGGGATCAGCTGCCTTCTTTGCCTTTGCGAGCTCGGCATTGATAGTGGCACCAAAGTCTGGGTCGATCTCAACTCCGAATTGCTTCTTGTCCTCGTCGTCTGGACAGGCGCCCGACAGTGCTGCTTGAGTTAGTATCGATATATACCTGTATGCATGGGATACGTACATTGAAGAGCATTGAGATTTGCTCCGACAAAAGGCTCCACGTTGACATTGACCTCGTATCCCTTTTCTAGATAGAAGTCAGTGGACTATTCGACAAGAAGAAGAATAAGGTATACTTACTAACGACCTCAGCAGATAACTGAAGGGCAGCCTTTGCGTAGATCTCAAATTCACCATCAATTTCCGAATCGATAGCCACCGGGATAGGAGAAACCTTAGGCTTCCATCCTGTTGCAGTGATATTGGGATCGAAGAAATCCACATCGATCGAGGCGGAATCCTTGAGATCAAGCGCCACACCGGCAGAGACGGTCCCCTCCCCATCGATATCATTGAGCTTGTATCCCAAGCTGAAGACGATCTGGGGGCCGAGGTTGAGAATGCCACCGGGGATGGAAATACCCTCGACCGGGATACGGGCGAGGACCTTCTCATTTTTCATTTCCCCCTTCAAGGTACCGCTGACGGAGAGACGGGGCGTGATGCTGAACGAGACGTCGTCGGGGGTAATGCTCATCGTGGCGGACTCGGGGATAGCGCCAAACTTGGTCTTGATGTGAAAGTCAAAGTCGAACGATCCCTTGGTTCCACAGTCATCGCAGTCGATGGTGATGTCGATCTTGTCGTTGGGGATGGTATAGCTATCGAGCGGAAGGTCACGGTCAAAGTCAAGGCTGAACGAAGGACTCCAGTTCCGTCGGTTCAGCAGAGACCGTCCCTGGCCAGCAGGGGGAGGACCACCGACGGAGAGCTCGTAGTCGCTCGCAACAGCCTCCCAGTTTGAAGGGCGACCGATCAATCTTGCCATCTTGTTAGCGCCAAACTGCACCCGGGAGACGACAAAAGGAAGACGGTTCTCGTTCCATCCACAGTCGCCGGCTCCAGCGACGACGGTAAAGGTGTGGTTGGTTCCCCAGGCCTCTTTCGACCAGTCATAGATCTGCTGGTCCTTGAATCCGACAGTCATGGTGTTGTTGGTGCACTGCACGGAGCTGAGCAGATTGCGGAACTTCTCCATGGAGAGGAGGTGTCCGCTGTGTCCATTGCCGGTGACGGTGAAGTTGGCGATGGCAGCACGGCCCTGGTCGGTGACACCACCCCAGTAGAACGACTCGACCTGTCTGGGGGCGAGGGTGGTGTTGCAGGCGGGGTGGTTATAGTGGTCCGGGTCGGAGAGATCGCCAGGCCAATTGTTGTCCCAGCCTCCATCGCTTCTGGTGAGAAGGTGAGGCGTATCCTGAGGAGGAGCGATTTCACGGAGCGTAAGAGACAGACATTGCTGGGCGAAGCCGGCAAGGAAGAGCCAGTAGAGACGGTTCATCTTGGAGGTTGGTGCTGAACGAGAGTGGTTGATGGTCTGGAGCCATTGAGAGGATGCATGTCTCTTCTTTATAGAGGAGATACTCGAGGAGGATTGTTATTTCATCAAAAATCTCACGGCATGAAACAGATGCTATACACTGCCCAGGGAAGACACAGTCAGGCTGATCTGACAGATGATGGGGCTGTGTATAATCATGATAGGTTGGAGTATTTGAGCTTAACAACAGTTCCTACTCTGTTGATTAAAACGTTGTGTAGAGTATAAAAGATATTCAAGATCATAATGATATGGATTGATAGAAGCGGTGATCTTGATCTGAAGTGGTTGCATTGTACATGAAGCTATTCATCTCGCCTTAGTCAGATATCACATAGTCAATGTAGGAGTCTTACTTGACTGACTCGAGATCCAAAATTCAGCACGATCTAACCTGGAATCCGACAATTTTATAATATAAATAATTAAAGGATAGACTACTGCTTAGGCAGGTCGCATTCAGACTTACATGAAGTCGAGAATAGATCCTGAAACGGTCAGCGCTGCTATCCCAAACATCAACCTTGAAACACATCTGTCAGCACTAAATATAACACTAAATATGACTCTCCAAATAGAAACAAATAGCAGAATAATATCTCCGAGCAACCCTTTGGCCACGGAATTTTACTATCCTCCGGCTTTCTGAAGAAAACGCGGCGAGAATTGTTTATCTGATTGATTCAGATTGACATTCGGATTGACTGTCCGCATGCGGTAGTAGATTCTGGCGATCCCCGAGGCCCCTGGAATATCTTCATTCTGGAACAATATGCATTCTCGGTGTTAACGATGCGATTCGTCTGGATTCTGGTTTATTGCGTTGCGCATTGCGTGGTCTGAAGATTCTGGATCTATATCCGAAAATGGACTCCATTAAGGCAGGTATTTAAATCCTGCGTATCCTGACTTTAATGACATCAACATCAGTCCTTCGTTAATTCAAGTTAATTCAAATGTTGTATCTGTCTCTCCTTACCGGCCTTTTGGCTGGGGCTTCAGCTAACCCGATCGCTCGATCGTCTCAATACCCCATCGTCAACACCACGCAGGGAAACGTGCAGGGAATCGCATCGCCTTACCGCGATGGAATCACCGTGTATAGAGGCATTCCCTTTGCCGCACCACCAACCGGTTCCAAGCGATGGACACCTCCAACTACAGCGAAGCCTTGGTCTGGTGTCTTCAAGGCAGACACCTTTGGACCGCAGTGCGCCCAGACAACCTCCTCCTCGGCCGGTATCTTCAACATCGCCTCCAACACCTCCAGCGAGGATTGTCTTTTCCTCAACGTGTGGACGCCCACATACAACGACACATCAGATCTTTCGTCCAAGAAACTGCCCGTGTATGTCTGGATCTATGGTGGTCGCTTCACGGGTGGCTCTGGCGATGTCATGACGTACGACGGCTCCGGTCTCGCAAGCAAGGATATCATCGTGGTGACGCTCAACTACCGTCTCGGTCCATTCGGTTTCCTGGCGCACCCTGGTCTATCCGCGGAGTCGGGACATAACAGCTCTGGAAACTATGGAATCTTGGATCAGCAGTTTGCCCTCAAGTGGGTGCAGGATAACATTGCTCACTTTGGTGGAAACCCCGACCAGGTCACCGTTGGTGGCCAGTCGGCGGGTTCTGCCAGTGCGCTGGATGTGATGTGGAGTCCTCTTGCAAAGGGTCTTGCTCACGGCATCATTGCTGAAAGTGGTGCCCGTGGTCCCCATGATCCAGAGACTGGCAGTGCAGCCACCAGTTACCGTACCAAGGCTGCTGCTGAAGCTGAGGGCGTGGACTTTCTGAAGAAGATGAACGTCACTTCTCTTGCTCAACTGCGTAACGTCTCCATGGATGCTCTGTTGGAGTACGACTCGTTGAGCGACACCACCTTTGAAGGAACGCAGTTTGAAAACCTCACCACCCAGTTCATGGAGCCTCCACTGTGGCGACCCGTCATTGACGGCTACGTCCTGACACACAGCTACGGCGAGGCCCTGAGTCTCAACGACCACGCCGACATCCCCATCCTCACCGGAAACAACAAGGACGAGTCCGGCGCCAGCACCGACCCGGGCCTGACCGTCTCCTCCTACAAGACCGACTACACAGAGATGTTTGGCGCGTACGCCAGCGAGTTCTTCACCCTCTACCCAGCCACCAACACCAGCCAGGCCAACGACAACAGCAACGAGCTCTTCCGCGACATGAGCCGGGTCGGAACCTGGCGCTGGGCCCTTGACTGGGCAGCCGGGGGTGCAAAGAGCAACGTCTACACGTACTACTTTACGCACACGCCCGCGGAGAACCCCAGCTCAGGCGCCTACCATGGGTCTGAGCTGTGGTATGTCTTCAACAACATCCCATATACGGACTACTCCAACGTCACCTGGACGCCGACCGACTATGCGATCGAGCGCAAGATGTCGCAGTACTGGGCCAACTTTATCAAGAAGGGAGACCCGAACGGAGAGGGGTTGGTTTATTTCCCGCCGTCCAAGGAGACGAAGCAGACTATGTGGCTTGGGAACTCGTGGGGGTCAGGACCGCTGTCCCAGTCTGACGAGCGCATCAGCTTTTTGGAGAAGTGGGAGGCTAGTCTGGAGGAGTGGTAGTGTATAGTAGTATAGTAGAGTGTGTTAGATGATGCAATTCGATATTCCGTATAGGGTATCTTTTAGCCAAGAATTAGTTAGTAGAGTACTGTAAGGATGCATTCAACGGACTTGACTTGCTTGTAAAACTCGACTGATCTGACTGGTGGACTCAGCCAGACAGAGAGAGAAGAGAGTAGAGACAGAGACAGAGACGATGATATCAGAACAAAACAACGGAGACCAAAACTCCACAGTGAATCTGACAGATTCTCTCCGAAGATAAGCCGGTGAATAATGGGCGTGACAAACATTCGTATCCTTATCTTAACCGTTTCAACAGACTATTGGATTCCAGCCACTCTGCCTGACCGTCTTGGCGATGCTGATCATCTGGATATCTGAGACTGATGAAAGAATTCAAGGACAATGCCAAGGGAGGAGGATTGGGTGCAGCCTAAAGTGATATCTGGAGAATTGAGGCTGTGTTGCGGAGATGATAATTGATATGGCCGTATATCAGTGATCTGCGCTGTTAGTTGAGTTTATTTTAGTGGGCTATACACCTGCACTATCTCTACGGAGTGCACGATTTGAATACTTGTAGGATGCTCTGTACATAATCCTAACATAATCCTAACAGAATAATAGAGAATAATATAAGATGCATCTCATCTGCAGCTGAAACACCGGCCCTCTAGCGCCGTCCAATTTTTGAGTCTTGATGCTGAGAATGACTCGGAAGACACTAGAAGACTAGAAGCATATCGAGCATACTCTGTAGGCAATCACAGCAAGCGAAACGATGCCACCTCATCTCTCCTTGAATACATCGGCTGTATTAAGATATCTAGATTCTCTCCACTCTCCTCCTGGATCCACTCTCTTCCACCATCTGCCGATGCCGTTGCGGAGAAACACTTCCCAACGGCCCAAGCGAAGTGTCACTGGGACGCCGAGAAGCCCAGCACCGGAGAGACACCATGTGGGAACAGACAACATGCAGGCCTGACAGAAGATAAAACTGGTTTTAGCAGGGTTCAGCAGACTGTCTTGACCCTGATGGATTTTTCCACGACTGAGGGATGTCTGGTTAAATGTGAGTTAATACTAGTTGCGCATAGAGATTCCTGATGCAATTACTGTGTAGATGACATATGTTAAGTGAGGGTATTGGTATACTTGGTTACATGGAGTACTGTCGGAGTAATACAAACCTTAGCTACCTATCGGATAGACATACTGTAGAAATAGACTAGATATGTTATTTAGCAGATAATAAAGTATTCTATCAGTACAATACGATATTTATCCTACTTATGCACAGAATATATTATTTATCAGATAGTATAATACTATACCAAGTGATGCTATAATATACCAACCCTACGACATATTAGGTTATTAAAGATGGCACATAATGGCTTGCCGCGCTTCTTGGCCAACTTTGTTTTTTCCATGGAACCCAGCTTTTTGAGTCCAGATGCGTCGGAACTCTTCCTTCCACTGCCGATTGACGATATGATGAAAATAGAAGTGGTGATAGGAGGCACTGGTAGGCACGGATAGTGGAGAGATTGTGGGGTTCTCCCATCTCCATTCAACCTCACCATCCAACCATCCAGAACAGAATATTCATCATGACATCCCGGACTTCAGATTCCAAATAATTCTATTGCCTACTGCCACCCCTCCGATCAATCCCGACATCGTCACTTCCAAGAACCTCAGCACTGCCACTTTGGGACAGTCAGAACGGCCACGCCTATCTTCTTGTCCGCTGGCGGAAATGCCTTCCCTTGGCATCTCCACCGATCTGCAATCCTCATCGCTCCTCCAGTCAGCATCACACCTTCACCATCATCCCCAGGAAAGTCCAGATGAACCGCCGGTGACGACTTCCTGGTCCCGCCAAGGTCCGCCAAGCTGAGGTTTTACGGCCGCTGATGATGAGTCCATTTCCGCCCGTATCATCGATCTGTCCCTCTCGCGCCCTCTGTTCATTCTCGTCTTCCCTGCAGTGTAACAAGGAGAGAAAACATGGCCGCGCGAGGGTTCGTGTCAGATCACACTGCACTCTCTGAATATCGTCTTGGTTTCTCTTCATCTGTCGGGTTGTTCCGTTGGGCTCACTCCCATCTACCGACTGCCCCCTTGGCACGCTTCTATCCAGCTCTTGGGTGCAAAGACGTCTTGGTATAAAACCTCCACCTAAGACCAAGATGGTCAAGATGAACCCACCCAAGAATCAAAGCAATCCCCCATTGCAGATCACTGATAACGGTCCCGGATGACACCATCTCCCTCTATTTCCCCGGGTCCAGTCCGAAGCTTTCTTTTATAATCCCAAGACCCAAGATCTTGATTCTCTTATCTCCATCTTCTTATACGAGTTGCATCTCTATTGTGTGTTTCTGTCTGGATCTTCTTCAAAATGCATATTCCAGGGCACCATCAGCCCTCGCCTGTCGAACAAATCCAAGGCACTGCGCCCCATGATCCTCCCTCTCAGCTGCGTTTCAACGATGAGCGCAAGGAGGGGGGCCAGTGGTCCGTGGCGGGAAGCACAGATGTCTCCCTGTCAGGGAACCAGGCCACCTCCGAGCAGTTTTCCTCTCGCTCGGCCTTGTTCCGATACTTTGCTGCCGAGATAGACCCTAAGCGGACTGATCTCATCCTCATTGCGTGTGGTTTTGTCGGTGGTCTAGTCGACGGTCTCTCCTTTAATGCCTGGGGGAGTTTCTCCAGCATGCAAACAGGTATGTTCTCCAAAATAAGATATCTGCAGCTATACTGACGAACCAGGAAACACCGTCTTCATTGCCTTGGGTGTCTCCGGACAGCCAGAATACCCCCAATACCTCTGGGCGAAATCCCTCATCGCCCTAGCGACTTTCCTCACCAGCAATCTCTTCTTCATCCATGGCTCCCGACTCCTCAACCCCCTCAGACGCTCAACAGTGATCCTTTCCTTTGCCATCCAAACAGCTGCCATCCTAGCCGCTGCCATCCTCGTCCAGCTCGGCACCATCAGCCCTAAGCCCGAAAACCCCCGAGCTCCAATAGAATGGATGCAAGTCCTACCCATCTCACTCCTTGCCTTCCAGGCGGGAGGGCAGATTGTTGCCTCGCGCATTCTGGCCTTTGATGAGATCCCTACTGTAGTCCTCACCACTCTTCTATGTGACCTGCTGGTTGATACGAAGCTCTACGTCCGGCCCTGGAAGGCAAACCCCAAGCGGAACCGACGTATTGGTGCTTTTTTGGCATTGTTTCTGGGTGCCATGACAGCCGGTGGACTGTCCAAGGTAACAGGACTGGCGAGTAGTTTGTGGTTTGCGATGGCGATAAAGTTGACCATGACGCTGAGCTTCTTCGTGTGGAGAGTTGACAAGGCCTCGATTAGGAGGAAGCGTGACGAGGAGAGTGGTACTGAGTAGTTTTCCTTTCACTTTCTTTTTTGACTTTTGCTTTTGTTATTGTTTTGTGAAGCGCTTGTTGCAATGCGATGATTAGCGAACGATTAGACACGACATACCTCCAATTCATCCATCACTTGAAGCACACTGTATCCATACCCAAACCACGTACATACAAGGATCGGAAGCCGAATAGGGATTATCCCAGTTCAATACAGAAAACACGCGCTGCCCAGATCTCGACCCGTATGCAATGCACTGCACTTCTGACTCAACTGCGGGTGTAGGATTCTAGACTCCTATGTAGGAAAGAAGAGTATATTTAGATATGAAATGGTTCTATGCCAATTTGACCTGTCGGTTTCAAAGTTTTTTTTTCAAGAAATACCCCGTCTGTTACTGAGTAATTGGACTGCCTGATTGATACCCCGTGATCGCCCGTGACTGGTTTTCTTTCTTCTCCCTTCTGTCTTCTCCCCCTGAGGATCTTTCTTTACCATCGTCCACCTTCGACTCTGTTTGAAGGCCATCTCTATTCGACAATGGTACTCAGGCACACCTGATCTACAGACTACTATTTTGAATCTGTTAATTATTTACCTCAGGCATCAACCCTAATAGGCTAGGGCTAGGTGAGATCGTGACATCCCCTTCACTCAGATTTAACCCATAATTTTAATAGACACTAATTATTATTTTGTCAACAGATAAAAATACATATACATATACATCTTCAAAGTATAGATAAATCGATACTCTGTCTCCAGTCAATTCACCAGTACAGTACGGTGCAGTCACAAGCAGCCCAGAGCCACCGTCGTTGTCGAACCGACCACCAAAACAAATCGGCCTTCATACAGTGTCGGGAAGAGTAAGACAATGCTTGGGTGGCTGTTATTATCGAATCTGCTGAGTGCGATATGTGGTCGGTTATTTTAGGGAATACTATACACAAGTTTGACCGGTTGCAATTTACGACCCTTGAACTCGACAGTAATTATATCCTCTCATTTACTTTCCCCAATCCCTGAAGACAATTAGCTAAGTTAATTTAGCCTTCTAAATCCCACGCCCACAAGTTCTAGGTTCGTCACGAACCTGGCAATAATCCGCCAATCAAACACACCCCCCAACGAAGCCATTACAAATGATAATCGCCAGATCGTCTGATCTCATTTCATTCCATTCCAGCAATTCGGTTCCTGGCCCTGCAGGTCTAAATGCCTAGTTAGTGCTTAGCAGTGACGCTGGCTTTGTGATACCGTGGGTTTTCTTTTTGTCTGCTGTGTGAGGGCAGAGTATTACGGGGATACCGTGGCGGGAAGAGTTACAGTTACACCCGTGTTTTCACGGATTATACGCGTATTCCCGGAATCTGGGGTATTGCGGTTGGACTGTAGGGGTTGGGTTTGTTGGGTATATGTCTATGCTGGTATTTCGTGTGCTGGTTTCGTCGATATAATGGATTCTAGAGCTGTCTAGATCTCGACAGGATGAGAAGATCACAGTTGAGCATCGTGAAGATGAAAATGAGAGCGGTAATAATGCCAAGCGAGTGCAGGCCGTGTCAGTGGCAGATGCTTGACATTACACATTTATACTATATAAAAGCGAATACAACATGTCTGGCATTAACCACCATCAGACTGCCCAGACTGCTCAGGCGAATGAACCCCCCTACTAGCCTTCCTCAACTCCCTTTCCAACGCCTCCGTCAGTGCCTCCAAAAGCCACTGCACCTCCGTCTTCTCCCCCAATAACGGATTCTTATAATCAGCCCAACTCCAACTTCGACACCCATTCTGCTCCTCTGCCTCCGCAACCGGATGTCCTTCCCCCGCAATGAGATTCAAAAAGTATTCCCATTCTTGAAAGTCGAATTCCTTGGGCAGATTACGGGTAGCGTAGTCGATCATTCGACGGACTTCCCGGAAGAGAAGGTAATGGTAGTGGTGGATTTGTTCGGCGGCGATGTCGCCGCGGGCTCGTGCCGATTCTTCCTTTTTGTGTTCGTCTGCTTCGATTGCGTTACGGACTTCTTCTTCGTAGGGCAGGTTGACTTCTGCGTCTCTGTATCTGTCTCTTTGTCTGTCTTGGTCTTGGTCTCTTTCTGGTTCTGTTGGTTCCTGCGTGCTGTCTTCGTCGGCGGTCTCTTTGAGAAATTTTTCTTTCCATGAGACTTGGAAGATGTCGCGGATTAATTCGCGTACTGGCTTTTCGCCTGGGAGAATAGTCAACGCGCCGATGTAAATGGTGATATCACGGATTGAGCGGACGACAGTGTCGCCGACATTGGCGATGAGAATCGTCACGGTGGGAACGGCAAGGAGCGTCCAAAAGACAAAGAATGACGTCTCCCATTCAGTGGATGGATGAAAGTCGCCGTATCCAATGGTCAAAAGGGCTCCGTAGGCGAAATACAATGACTCGAAATATGTCCATTTCGTTTCCTTTTTTGAAGCCCAAAAGGCCAGAGCGCCGAACAGCCACATTATCGTCCATAGGGAAAGGGATATGGTCAGGGAAATCCATTTGCGTTGTAACGTGGCTATCTGGCGGATCTGTCGCATCACTTTGAACTCGCGGATGCGTTTTTCGCGCTCGCTTTCGTCCGGTCTGTCCTTGTCTAATGGAGGAATAATATGGTGGACAAAACTATGTTTAGCGGAGGCTTCTTTGATCAAGAAACGACATGTTCTCTCCGTGATCAGCTCAGCCATCTTCTGTCGGCCTTTCTCTAACATCTGCGCTCTGATAGAGCTGATGATCAAACCAAGAATGAGAATGCCGCCGACAGCATAGGGGAAAAGAAAACCTCGTCCTGTGTGAGTTTTTGGGACAACGTTGCCAAAACCAATTGTGAGTAATGTGCTATCGGCGAAATATACTGCGTCTAAATAGTCCCAGTCCTCGATGGCTGCGTACACTCCGGCCCCGCCAAGAAGGTATACCAGGAATGAAATAGTCTGCAGCATAAGTGTCCGTTGGTTGGTTGTGAGCTTGTATTCACGACTATAATGACCCCTGTGGGCGCCGTATGTCGTAATCAGAAGAAGAGACGAGACAATAAAGTAGAGAATCGCCGCAAAAACACCGTAGAAATATGCTTGACTGAGATCATGCCGTACTTCCTTGTCTCGACTAGCTGGGAAGACCGCCAGGATAGCTACCAGTAAGAGCGAGGAGATGTACCATCCGATGATGATTATAGGTTGCGCAACAATGAATGAAATCCGTCGCGCCATGCTGAAAAGAAGCACGAGATTCGCCACAATAGCAACGCCCAGCGAAATCGCATTGACTCCGACAACCCTATCATAAACTCATTAGAACTAAATTCCCACCGAAGTGTAACGGGTTTTGTATACCATGCAGGGTCCGAAGAATTTTTCTCGTGCCTAAGCGGAACTCTACTCCAGTTCTGAGCCAACGAGCATATACTGAACGCGCTGGCCATTGGCCCCAAGGTACCCTATGGTGAACGAATTGGTCATGATCAAATAACAAAACTCGCGACAGGACGGTTGTAGACATACAGCTAACAAGGGGTACGCGGTACTTGCAAGCCACCACCAAGCGGAAAGAGGATATTTTCCTGTTTCCTGGGCCGGTCGTTTTTCACTTGATGCTAACGTACTTTTATGGTGTCGTTGAGCCCCGGTATATCGATTAGGGCCCAGAGAATCTTCATTAGAAGGCCGAGATAACTGGTTCATGTCGAGGATTCTGAGGTCTCAGTCAACAGTGACAATAAGATTTGTTGAACGCCCAAGTATTATGAGAAGGCGAATATCTATCACCCATCGCCGTCTATACATAACGAAACGGCTGGAAGACCTAGCGAGGTCAAACGAATCAAAGTCGCGGTTTCGTGAAGCCAAACCCGCAAATAGTAAATAAGCAGGCTTGACAATTCGAAATTAGACATCCAACCAGCCTGTCTATCATCTGAGACAGAAATTTGTGCTGCCGTCATTCTGTGCAAAATCAACACGACGTCATATCACGTGGCGGATGGCCCTTGGGTCTAAAGACTGGAACTGTTAGAAGTCTTTCAAGGGCGATGGTACAAGTGCATGGGGATTTCCAAAGAATAGTAATCGAACATATATAGCCTGAAATTCAAGTTCCCAGCCTGCTGAATAACCTTCATTCCTGCAGGTAGGCCAAAAAGTAATCTAAGTCGTGAATACATGGACTCGCAAGTCCCTGTCTAGAAGTAGAAGAGAAAATAAACAGTAGAAAGAAAAGGACCCCATCATCACACCAATCAATGTATGAAACATGGCTTCTCCAACAGACAAGGAGTCCAGATCAATGTGTTTGTACATGGTGCCAGCCACGCGAACTTGATCCAGACGCTGGATCATTCAGTGCGTTGTGGCGAGAAATGGACAGAAGGAAATACCACTTATGTGCATCGTCGTGGTGTGGATGAAAAGAGAAACAATATAATCAAGGACGAGGAGATAACCACCATGTCAGGAAATAAACTCCAAACTCCCCACCCCAAAACTCATGTCCAAGCAATTATGGTCGTGCATAAATTGTCGGAAAAAGGGTTTAGAAGAAAAATAAGTCGAAGGAAATCAATAAATCGTCGTGTTCATGGTATAGGGTATCTTGAAGGTTCCCGAGGTACGGCCATGGGTGGCATGCGTCCCCCAATGCCAGTGCCAGCACCACCACGTCCCCTGCCGGCTTGCAGATCAAAGTCTGGATTATTCTCCAAAAGTACGTTGGTCCGCAGCTGACCCATATTAGGTCGTGGTGGTGGTGGGCGCCAGCGTGGGTTTATTGGGCGCTCAGAAATGGAGGTGAAATGGCTTATCTCGCTAGAGGTAGGTGAGCTGGGGCCTTCCGGTACATCATCCACAGAATCCTTCGGTTTAGGCTCACCAATAGGGCCCGGCATCAAAGCGGATGGCAAGCGGGGAGACGGCACTCTGTCATGCATCTCATCCGCAAAACGAGGATCCACATCTTCATAATAATTGTCGGATCCAGAGCGAGTATGATGCGGTTTCCGATCCATAGCGGGCGATCCGTAAGCATGGACTGGCGATGGTGACGGGGCGGTATGTGGTGTATCATTCCAACCAGCACGCGCCGGGATATAGGACCTAACGAATGTCTATTTAGCAACCAACTATTATAACGGAGTAGGGAAATCACGCCTTACGGTGTCCGGCTGTAGAGACTCGAAGGGCTCACAGGTTCCGAATACCCGTCTGCAGACAAGGCATGCGGCTGCACGCCAAGCATATTGTGAGACTCTGGCTCGACAGAACCAGCTCGTCGAATTTGAGGAGTCATTTCAATGGCTTGACCTATTGGGGCGTCTGGCGACACAGCCATGCCAATGGGACCAGGAGATGGTTGGCGCAAGCCCACTGGTGAGGGGCCTCGCTGCTCGTAGCCATCATCTGCAGGGGGTGGTGTTGGTCGCGGTGCAAGTCCCGGCCCTGCGCCATAAAAGTCAAACCCGTGACTCTGCGCCGCAGGTCCTGGGCCATAGGGAGCTGGGGGGCCTCGCTGTCCTCGACCCATCATCCCGGGTGGCCCTCCACGCATTGGACCCATGGGTCCGCCTCTTCCATTTGGAGGTGGTCCTCTAGGTCCTCCGTAAGGACCTCCACGGCCATAACCGCCTCGCGGGGGGTAGCCACCTCGTCCGCGCGGACCAAAACCTGGCGGTGGTGCACCTCTTCGGGATCCCATACTACCGTCGGAATATTGATTACGCAATCGGGGGTCGGACGGATTTGTTCGCATTCTCGGTGCAGGCGCATATGGGCCCGATGGAGGAAGAGGGTTGCCAGCTTCATCACGCGCTGCGCTGTATGGAGCGGGGTACTGAGATTCGGGCATTGGCACTTCATTGAGGGGCGTGTGCGAGTTTAGAGGCGTGCGGTCATCGTCACTTTCGCGAGTTGTGGTGCGGAATGTGGCAAACGTCGGACCGGATTCGAATGTGGGAGAGCCCGACACCACGGGTTCTTTTGTATCTCCATTCAACGGGACCGGTTTGGGATCATCAAGAGCAGCGGCTGCAGCGTTTTGACGGTTGTAATAGTTCTCGCCACTCATTTCCGCATTCTCCGCGATGCGCTTCTTTCGCGCCTTGCGGCTAACGAGGGTCCGACGCATAGCACAGGTGACCACGCCACAAGAAACGAGAATGATCGTCGCAGCCAGTACAATCCAACCACCCCATTGCATATGCGGAACAAAGAGCAGAATGTCGACAAGGAAAGCGAGCAAGCTGACCAGAAGGGTGGGAAGTAAGAGGATCAACAAGGCGAGCAAGAAGCGCGGAGAATGCGACGGCCCGTGGAAGTGAGCGGCGAAGGCTAGGCAAAGGCAGATGAGCGTGAGCAAGGCGGCCACGGGGTGAACGATCAGGATAGACGAAAGTGAGCGTCGAGTACTGGTGGGAATATCGACATCTGAACCGATGTTTGAGATGTCATCTAGAAGAAGTCAGCAACGGAGATTGCAAACTAGAAAGAAGTCCCTAGAGTAGACTGACTGGCTGTGTATCCCACATGGATATTAGTGCATTGATCGCCTTTACAGTAGCCAAAAACACCATAGTCGACGCCACCATGTGTGCCCAGAGGAATTCCTTTGATAATGGGCGTTGACAAGGTCGCGAGGAGCAGGAGAGCAAAGGCGACCAGCAGCAGGATGGTGAGAGGGGTCGCGGGTTTGAGAAGCATGGCGGAGAAGTTTAATTATGGAAAGAAAAGGAACGAAAGAGAGACGGTTGGTAGGTAGATAGACAGATAAATGAATGACTTGAATGAGAAACGAGTCTCAAAGACAGCGATACACGCAGTCGAGTATAATTCAGGCCAAGGCCATTGCTTGGGGATCTTGATTCTTTGTCTCCTGAAAGGCTGAAACAGGTCGTGGTTGAGGGGAAGAACCGCCGACCGTGACGGAGGAGAGAAACAGAGAGGAAGAGATAACGAAAGACGACTTGTTTCTCACCACCAGCCTATCTCGAGATGATGGAGATAGAGATGGAGATAATTCAGATAGATAGATGGAGGAGGAATAATCTACGGGTGGGTTTGGAGGGTGTTGAGCGAAGGCGACGGCGTTTTGGAAATTGCAGTGAAACGAAGCGCTGATGCCTGAGGTGTCGACGTCAGCAGCCCTCCACTTTAGGTTGACAGTTTTCTATCTCCATTTTATTATTCCTACAGCAGACTCTGCATCAACAAAACCAGCAATTTCATTCTCAATCAACTTTATTACTGTCTTCTGCTACCCCTTCATCATATTCACTTCATCAAGGGACACTCCAGCGCTCAATTGCACATTCAATCTCTTCCGTGGCGGAGTCATTTTTGCGACCCCATTTTTATCTATCCCACACGGGAATATTTCTTGCTGATTCGCTCCACCATAAGAAACAGTGGTGGATAGTTCCACGCAGTGACCACGGGCTATGTTGCCCTATTGCCAAGCCGTGTCTCCTTCCGTACAACGGCTCAATTAATCTGGTGATAAGTGGTAGAACAGTCTTATGCCTTATTTCTATGTGGGTAGATGCTGACTGGCGTACTAGTATTCGACAGACAGCCCGATTGCTTTCGATCGTCAAAGAACCAACCCGGCGTTATTTACAAAGATGCGGACTGCTCGGACAGGCAGGATTTACTCCGTTAGTCCGCATCCTTGATCCTTCCAGCGGGCAGCGGCCAGCCTTGAGCAATGTCGGAACTTGGTCCGCCGTAACACTACTTTTCACTATCCTCCCAAGGTTGTCCCGACCCTCAATCACCTTCGAATTTTCTATAAGCATTCCCTTTTCCAAGGTTTTGTTCCAGGGGTCTCGCCCTCCTTGGACCCTTTGGCTGTCGGGAAGTTTCATAACTTGGAATCCCTTGCATTTTTGCAATAGGTTATCTGGGTATCTGAGTTTGCAAATAAATGAAAGGGAAAGACATAAGGGACCCATGGTGAAGATAAATCAAGCCCTTTCAACTGAAATTGCCCCTAGCGGCCGTGACTCCGCTTGCTAGTGGGCATGGCAGGCGGGCGATGGCATCATGGCACACGAGTCTCGCACACGCAATGGACGGAAAGCAATCAGCTAAGGATCGACGATCTATTTTAGGTGGATCTACCCCACACTAAGCAGATACATCAGTCAAAATTCGGCTGGCTTTTATTGTCACCAGCGGAGTGGTGTTGGTCTATGCTGGACAGCATTAATTGGGGCTTTGCAGAGGCTGGTGGAAGAAAGGTTTAATCCAGAGTCACACTGCAACGATTCAACTGGTGTCGAAACCCTGATACCTCGGTGGGGACCGATCAGCGTCGCCAATACAAGCGAGCCGTCGATCGCATCCCTTTAGTATGCACCCTTTGGCAGAATAGGACACCTATTGCATATAGGGAGCAGGTGTCCAAGCCTGTGAAGCCTATGAGACCTGGACCCGAAGATTCGAGTTCGAGGAGGGAGGACAATAATGCGAGTCGTCGCAAAGACTCAGGGGTATTTTTTGACACATCAAGGTGAAAGGATGTGATGACAACGGACCAAGAAAACTTAGAACAGGAGATTTTGGGATGACAGTTGGCACTAGAAGGCAATACCCTTCAGATCCGCTGAAAAGAAAGTATTCAATAGTGTCGAGAATAGCCTCTGTTGAACCTTTCTGTACCCCGGATTTACAGTACAGCATCACATGCAAACTTGTACAATGGCATTATCTCTAGCACAGAACAAAGCAGTGTAACACTCCCGGACCTTTCAATCCATCCACATCGGCAATATGTTGTACATTTTCTTGAAGATTCTCAGATATCTAATGTGGGGATTGAAGAGTTGCAATTGACGTGGTTTGGTCGTCGGCCTCATGTGACGCTGCACGGAAACATCACCATGCAGACTGCCGCTGCAAAACCAACTTTTTGGGTTCTTGTGACACCCGAACAAGTAGCATTGTCCATGATGATCAATAGCATGGACGGCTATTAATTGCCTGGGTTCCCGACAACTAGGGTTTATGTCGTTTTAAAACTGAAGAAATATCAACAATTCGCTAGAGAGTTCCAAAATTGACTGATTCTAGGCAACGCGCTTAACGTGAGTTAAGGTGATGCACTTACTCACTACATGCTGATTCACTCAAGGTGATAAATTCAGCGATTCAGATAACATAACGATGCTCGAGTTCTGGAAAGGTCCCGCGTGGCTCAAAACCAGAGGCACTGAAGGCGACGACCGATGTGCTCTGCTACCGAAGAATGAATACTCAGCCAGACTACCGTGGCAGCCTTCGTACGCTCATCCACAGAAGACTTCAAGGTCCCCGTCAGGGCTTGAAGAACGCTACATCCGGGTTGGAATTGGGGGTGCTGGGAATAAGCGCAAGTCCTGCTCTCCTTTCCTAACTGCACTTCAAGCATTGTCTGACTGGATTGAATCGGCAGAGTTTGGATGCGTGATGGCCGCGTAGTCCAAATGTCTCCACGGTAGCCAAGATACGCAATACGCATTCGTTTCACCGCGTGATAATTTGATTATAATTTAAGGTGCTTGTTTGTCTTGAGCTGGATTTCAAGGCAGCGACTAGCTGGTATTTATGGAAAAAAGAGCCGAAGCATGGAAGCATGCTTGACGGTAGGGCAGAGATGTTCTATCCCAGATTCGTCAGATTGATAGAGTTTTCCTTGTTATGTGCGCCTGACGACTCGGTATGTGGGAAGACAGCAGCAGCTTCTCCGTACTGTCAAAGATATTGAGGTTTATGAAGGAATTGCAAATCGAATTTATGAGTGAGTGGTGATGATAATACCCAGAGGAGTCTATCCGACGTCAACCTATACCAATATTTACTTGTAAACAACGTTAAAAAATCATCATGATATTCAAGATACTATATTACTCTTCACTATCCAAGACGAACAAATAATTTACCTCACTGACGGATGACAAAACGCCAGGCAGGGCGGATTCCAACCAAGGCTGTTGTCGCGATGGGTGATAAGGAGTGACTTGGCCTGTCATGCAGGGCATGCAGGGCCAACCCCAGGTATGTATCCCATCAGGCAGTAAATTGTAAATTTAGAAACTCATAAATAATAATTGACGTCCACGAGGCTCTCTGCCATTTAATTTAGCCTTAGGGTGTTTTCTTTTCTTCTTTTTTATCTGCGCGCTGGGTTTAATTGTTGGTTCTGGCAGTCTATCCGAGTGGTTTTGGTCTGTTCTGTTGATCGATATCTTTGATTTAACGCTCATGACAGGGAGAGGATAGCCTTCTTTCCTCGTCCCTCAATAATTCTCAGCTGTCGTGGTCTGTTGAGAATGGCCCCCTTGTCATGGTTTCTCTCTCTATCTTCACTGCTACTCTCAACACAGGCTCGACCGACTGTCTTCCACTCGAAGACATATAGTAATACGTCCAAGACTCCAGCTCAGTTCTTCCCACCACCAGATTATGTGCCTCACCCTGTGTACGCAGTTCCTGCCTTCGTCTCCCAACCCCATTGACGTATCGCTGACGAGAACAGAGGAATTCCATTCCCTCTCCAGGACCACTCTGCCACACCATGGCTTCGCTTCGAAGACTCTCATATGAGCGACCCTCTGGGCGGCGTAGCCCATAAGATAGCCACAAGCCCAGCATGCTCGGCTCCAGAGACCGGCTCGTCGAAGTACTGGTACGAAGAGATTGAACACGGTGGGGAGTCGTCGTTTTTGGCCACAGAATACAAGAACAACTACAAGGTGTTTCGCAATGTCGTGACCGATTTCGGGGCAGATAATACGGGACAGAAGGATTCAAGTGAAGCAATTCAGGCGGCTATCAACGGTATGCTATATGTGTTCAGGTTTTATCGTGGGTCGTGCTAAAATAACTATAGTCGGGGCATCCAATGGACCGAGTCGCAGCTCCCAGGTTATGGGAACAACCGGACAACCAGTTATCGTGTATCTGCCTGCAGGAACATATCGCCTCGATAAGGGCTTGCAACTCTGGGTTGGCACCGTCATCGTGGGCGACCCTACCGATCTCCCAGTGTTAAAGGCGTCATCTGGTTTCCCGCACGACCATATCATCTTCGCCAAGGATCCTAACTTTGGAGGAACCATAAACTTTTATATTGGTTTGAAGAACGTTGTGCTTGACTCTACTGCTGTGGCTTCGAATCAGGATATTGGCTTGCTGGACTGGACGGTCAGTCAGGCGACGCAGTTGACGAATGTGGAGTTCAATATGCCCCTTGGGTCTAGTGGGCACACCGGCTTGACGACTCAGTATGACTACAACAGTAATATCATTTTGGTGAGTCGGTCTGGAACTAAATTGAGAGACATGCTGACAACATAGAACGATCTGAGATTCAACGGTGGTGTTATCGGAATGAACCTGGCTGGCCAGCAATGGGTGTTCAAGAACTTGAAGTTCACTGGGACTAAAACCGGTGTGATTGCCGGTGGGACTGATATAGTCTTCGTTGGCTGCCAATTTGACCAGGGCGAGACTGGAATCGATGCTAGTGGGACATCGGGATCCTTGACTGTCATTGACTCCACTGCTGATAACTTGAACAACTTCATCACCTCCGGAAATTCACCTAACGCGGCCAACTCGATTATTCTGGAGAATATTCAGAGCGCTGGTACTACGGTCAATCTCGGTGGACAAAAAGTACTAGTTGGGAATGTACCAGATACTTGGGTGCACGGCGATCTAGTAGGCCACAATCTTATGGGTTACAAAACAATGGCTAACTGTACAAGTACGCACGAAATGACCCCCATATGCAGCATGTCACAGGACAGACGGTCACCACTGAGCGCTCCCAAAGCCTGCTGTCCGGAAATAAATACTTTACCACGCCCCCGCCGACATACCAGGAGTATGCAGTCGATCAGTTCATCAACATCAAGTCGGTTTCCGGTAACCGTGTTTATGGAGATGGAAGGCAGGATGACACGAAGAGCATCAATAATATCTTGGCCGAATATACAGGGTGCAAAGTCATATACTTCCCTGCTGGAACTTACATCGTTACCGACACAATCTTTGTCCCTGAAGGTACCCGCATAATTGGCGATGCCTTCGGGTCTGTCATTTCTGGAGCTGGAAGCAAGTTTCTCGATCCTAAAAACCCAAAGGCGATGATCCGAGTGGGATACCCGGGCGATACGGGCGTTGCTCAGATTAGCGATATGATGTTCACCGTGGCCGACGTGCTTCCGGGGTGTAAAATGGTAAGTTATGCCTAAACTCCTATGAGAAAAAGCTGACCATTCCTAGGTTGAGGTTAATATGGCCGGCAAAAGCCCAGGTGATGTTGGGTTCTGGAACAGTCACTTCCGCATTGGAGGCGCTGTTGGCAGCAAGGTTGAAACAGAGTGTGGTGGCTCTGTTGAAAAATGCAAAGCTGCCTGGGGTCTACTTCACCTTACCGGCACGTCGTCAGTCTATATCGAGAATATGTGGGGATGGACAGCCGATCATGATCTGGATGGCCAGAACAAGCAGAACATCGCCACCGGTCGAGGTTTATTGGTGGAAGCCACCAAGGGTACCTGGCTAGTCGGCACAGGATTCGAACATCACGCCCTTTACCAGTACAACTTTGAGCACGCACAGAACGTCTTTTCGGCCCTGCAGCAGAGTGAGACGCCTTACTGGCAAGGACCAGGGAACGCTCTGGCACCCGCGCCTTGGGCCGATTCTCTGACCTCTAGTGACCCCAATTACTCAGGCTGCGCAGCAAATGATGCAACCTGCCGTATGGCCTTATTCGAACGCATCCACGGCTCGTCCCATTTGTTCTTATACGGAGGATGCAACTGGGTCTTCTTCAACAACAACGGAGGATGTAATGGTAAATGTCAGGAAAATGCCATCCAAATCTTGGAATCATCACATCTATATCTCTACGGCACCAACACGAAGAGTACGACGAACATGATCATCTACAAAGACGAGGTAATTGCTTCGGAAGATGGGAACGCAGGCGGTTGGGGAGGAGTAATTGCGGCTTACTTGTATAATTCTTGAAGCGACACAGGAAGGGGTATATACTTGTACTGTTTTCATAATCTGTGCGTTTATATATCACGACATATGTACATGAGCGGATCCTAAGTATTCTGAGGTTCACGGCCTGTCAAACTGGTTAGTTCTAATAGATAATGAATGGTTTTTGAGTAGCCTTTTCCTTGGCCATTTCAGCTGTTTTTGACCGTGCTTTCTTACAGTCCTTTTTAGAAGTACTATTCGCCGTTGAATAGGCATCTAGTAAATCTCTCTCGAGTCTGCTCATAGTTGGTGATGGTGGAAGAAATATATATAGAACACAGGTAACCAAGATCTAGTAATACTATTCAATGGTTGAACGATAAAAGTTGTACGATCGACACTACCTAATGTAGGCATCCATGATGCCGAATACTTCGAATAATATGAGTTTCTTTTATTCTATCTACCTCGTTCCTTTCTTCACTTTCTGTCTTCCCTTAGAGTATGTAGACTTCTGTACTTTGTTGACAGTGAGTCACAGATAGTCAAAATAGAATTTTCAGACAGTCCCCTGTCAATGACTTGTTCCTGCATCCTCGTATGAGTCTGTCTTGCATCATTGGATACGAGTCGATGGTGTTGTCGGTGTGATTGTGACAGTCCCAAGATGAACATTGAATATTATTTCAAATAAATTAAATCTCTCATGATACGAGGACGAAGCCTGATAATTTATACTTTACTATTTAGAAGAACAAAAAATGGGTCGCACGTAAAGATAGAATAACTTCAACTCTCTCGAATCGGGATGGTGGATTGGGCCGCAACGGGGCGTCTTTTCTGCTCTCCTGCCAACTCCTCTTGACAGCGCATCTCGCGCGGCACACTTGAGACAATGCATCCAACCACGTCTCCTTTCTGATAATTATGATAAATATACGGAATATTTTAATCAAATGAGCGCCATCATGTTAAAATTTAATCCATTGGCCTGTCCGTTGGGCGACCACACTTGGTGGCTGGTAAGAGGAGGCTGGGAATCCCCTCCAACCACCTCACCGAGGCAACGATAGCAGCCCATCTTTGACAGTGTCGAGCAAGGGACTCTGATGATCTTGCATCTTCTCCCCTCCTCCCTCGTGCTCATGCTCTTCCTCCCCTTCAATTAATACTACAGACCCGGTCTGTGCCTGGGAATGTACCTCTCCTAGCAGTGGCTGCAAGTGAGATCATCCCAAACATTCCCGGGAGAGTCCACGACCGCCGCCATGAATAATTTGCGGCCAAGCAACCTGAGTCTGAGGACTGTGAGCTGTAAGTGAATCAATATATCCCTTTTTTTCGATTTTGTCGAATATAAGTAATCCAGACTGACAGTGAATCAACAGCAAACAGACCTCAGCTGCACCACACCGAGGATCAACGGTCTGTCGCAGCTTCGGACGACTACTACTCTTTCTCGGATCATAACTCCAGTCGAAGCCCAAGTAATGGAAGTGCAGCTACCGTGATGCGGTATGCGACTCCTGCGTCATATCCTCCTTCCCGCACGGCCTCCCCTCACATTTCTCGAACGCATCTAGCCCCCGACATGGCTGCACCAGAAGCAGAGCGATCGGCTCCTCAACAAGACGGAACTCCAACGTCAAATACTGTGCATTTTGGCCAGGATAGAGTTGCCTGGATCAGCCCCAGATCGGATCACGACAGTCACCAAGATCAAGATCTTGGAGAGTACAGCGGAAGACCTGATACTCCCGGCTTGGACGATTCCCCGTATGTTCGATTCGCCATCAATCAGCTTACGCGCGATGAAGAGACAGCTAGCCTGAGCCGAAAGAGCTCACTTGAAAGCGATGAATACCCGGCCGATCGTCTCGTATGGGATGAAGGGTTAGGTCAGTTTACTCGTTCACCACTGCCTTCCAAGACACCTCCAGCGCAGCAACCGCGGCCACTGTCCGGGGAGCAGCAGCAACTATTGCCGCCACCACCGCAGAGCGTGGAACCAGAGTCGTTTGTTGCTGTGGAGCCCCCCGAAGAAAGTCTGCTGTATCCTGCACTGGACTACGTGCCTGTCGTTTTACGACCGTGGGCTCTGGCTGCCCTAATTTTCTGCTGTCTGCTCATGATCGCGGGAATTGTGTTTTGCAACGTCTGGTCTCGACGACACTCAGGACTCTGGTATTATGATGGCCAAGGTGGTTCACAATATTTCGTTTTCCAGTTTCTCCCACAAATCTTAGCGGCAATCATCACCATTTGGACCTTTGTTGTTCAGGCCGCGATTTATCGCATAATGCCCTTTGCGACTATGGGATCAGAACGCCCCGTGGACCATGTCTTGCAGAAACTTCCAATTCTGTCGCAGAATTTCCTCCTTCCGGACATTTCGCATTTTCGACATGGTGAACCGGCGATCGGCATTTCTCTGTTTGCAATCTGGCTTTCCAATTTCATCTCGATACCCCTTCTCAGTTGTCTTTTCCAAGCAAAGTGGTATGATATTGACGGACAAGGCACATGGCAGTGGGCGTCGGTTCTCGCAGTTGGCTGGACGCTTGTGGCTATCTACGGATTGCTGGTAATCGGGTTGCTTATGCTCATGCTGCGTTTCGCTCGCACTTGGTCTGGCTTGATGTGGGATCCTACTAGCTTGGCCGATCTGATCTCTATCATTCAGAGATCTAACATCTTACACGATTTTGAATACTCCGAGGTCGTGCCTCATGTTGGAGAGACGCTGGATCCTCGAGTTCTCCGACTGGGCTATTGGCGGTTGTCGAATAGGGACGAAATCTTCTATGGTGTTGGTGAAGTTGATGCTCCGATACGCAGTCCGTCTTTACACCGTACGGAAAAGACCCGAGGAAAACAGCCACACGGTCTATTGAGGGTCTCCTTTGACGTGGAACAGCACGCTGGCTTTTCGAAAGAGATGGATGATCATCCTTTGTATTCCAAATCAGCCCGTTATCGATGGACACCGTGGTTTCTTCGGGACACTTGGGTGGTTTTGTGGTCGGTAATTGTTTCTGCCCTATTCATCGCTTTCGTGCTGGCCAGCTTTATCCATGACGCGATCAAAGGAGGATTCCCACCCCGACTGCCAACTCTTCCCTCGACTGGTGCATTTTCATCATCCAACTTCTTGTACAGCTTCATTCCCGCTTTGATCGGAAATGTACTGTTTTTGCTTTGGCAACCCGTAGATGTTTACTTCCGTGGTCTGCAGCCTTTCGTCGAGCTCTCCGCGCCAAACGGGGCGCCAGCCGAGCGAAGCCTTCTGTTGTCGTATCCGGCCCGTCTCCCATTCGAAGTGACTGTTCTGGCGATTCTCAACAAACACTACAAAGTCGCCTGGATCTCCCTGATGAGCGTGGTGTCGGTCGCTATTCCCATTTTGGCTGGTGGAGTTTTCATTGCCCTATGGTATCCTTCACACCAAGATATTCGGATTGCGGCCCTGATGCCTGCATTCTATACGCTTGTGGCATTCTGCGCTTTGTACATGGTCTCATTCCTGTGTATCTGGCCACGCCGTTGCAGATATCTACCCCATGATATCAGCACGGTGGTAGATCAGATAAGCTTCCTTTACCAAAGCCCTTTGCTTTCCGACAAGTTGTTGCGGGAGCCCAGAAGCAAGACCGACCTTGTCACTCGACTCATTATGGCGCCTCCGGGAGAGAGAGACTATCCCATGTACGGTTTCGGGATCTACATCGGACGAGATGGGAAAGAACACCTTGGGATTGACCGTTTCCATCGACCCGGTAGATCTGATATGCTGATTACCACGGGATCAATGAAATGATGCTTGTCATTGCATGACTTCACTGGCGATGTATCATGACCTTTTACGACGACATCTTCTCCTACTGTTGTATATCTTCTTGTTTTACATACTCCCTATAGCGAATTGTTTACGAAATATGGTGTTATGACGGCGTTGTGATATCGCGATAGAGATTGCACGTCTGCTGATACGTTTGATGCATGATATGATCTACTGATTTAATGATACCTAATGAGATACGCGATATGCATTTTATTGCTTTTATTTATTTATTCCAATGTTTTATAAAACATTCAACATCTTTAGGAATTTGTAGAGAGAATCTTTGTTCTTATGAAACTCTTCTTTTACTCGGCGTTGTACAAACCTTGGGATGACATCGACCTGATATGGGAAAAGCTTAATGTTAATGATTCGGAGTCGAACTGGTAAGGTCGAGAAAGAGAAGGGGAGGATGGGCAAAGCACCTGACTTGACTTCCTATTCGAGCGAATGGAATTCCCCCGACTTCCCAGCATCAACCTCAATTCCACTCTTCTTTCAATTTCCAAAACAATCACCTTTCTTTTCTCGGATTTTTCGATAAGCTCAGCATCCCTAGTCCGAGATGTACGACTCACTTGGACCTATCTGGTCCATATTGATGATCTATGCCACCTGTGGGCATTTCCTGCCGGTGCATCTTTCGGCTCAACAGTTTCCTCCTATTCCAGGTAAGCCTCACTGCCAGCTAACATTTGCCTTGATTTAAATCACTGAGGTCATAATATTACCGCACTTCTTTCAGGCTCATGCATGATACTTGGAGGCTGACGTGTTCATCTAGATAGACTTTGATATGCACTACACCTACTTTACAATGACTACGCCCAAGTCAATCTTTTTCTCAGATATTACTATAATGGAACGTCTTCATTCAATTGATGAGAAGTTCATATCGAGCTTTTACCCTGCGGGATCGTTGAGTGCCTTTTCCCGGGTCAGCTGGACCGAGCTGGAAGGAAATTAGCCTTTGGCTGCATGTGTACGCCCACTTCTAAAAACAGCATCGCCAGCTGTCCGACGCCAGAAATAATAGAAAAAGCTCCTCATGGGGACCTTTCTATTCCTTTTGGTCTTTTCCGAAGTTCGTTCTGTGTTCCCAATTCTTCATCCTTTCTTGTCGACTTGGCTGCTTGGCCTTTATCTGCAACTTCCTCTTCGAACATTACATTGCCATCATCATTTCAACCACGTCACCACTCTCTCAAGCCTTCGAAAATGGAAGGTGGCCCATGCGATACACCACCAGCAACGGAGAAGCGAGCTTCTGTTTCTGATGACCCTCCCATCGCAATTGACAATGGTGTGTTCTATACATCATCCCCAGAAAAGACATTGCGGAAAAGGCAATCGGATCTCCTTGAAGCCATAGTGTCTGCGAAAGGACTGGCCAAAATCCTCAAAAAGAAAGGTAACACAAAGCAGGCTCGAATTTTCCAGCACATGAAACAATTTCTAGAGGACGATCAATCGGATCCCAATTTCCTCGAAAACGGATGGTCACCCCTGTCAGCTTCAGCGCTAAGTCCCTCGACCTTTCTGATGCTTGATCTGCTGCTCAAAGATGACCGGACTTCCGTTGATATGTGCAATGAAAAGGGCCGCACTGCTCTCTCTTATGCTGCCGAAGCTGGCAATGTTGATGCCGTCAGAGCTTTACTTGAGAAGGCCGACCCTAATATCAAAGATCAAGAAGGTTACACACCGTTGTCATGGGCAGTTAATACTTTTTCGTCCACATCACATTCGAAAGTCATTAGTCTTCTGGTGGACAAGGGCGCCGATATAAATACTGAGGACAACAAGAAGCTTACGCCATTAGCAAGAGCCGCAGATGAAGGAATCAGTGATGCAGTCATGCATCTTTTGTCCTTCAATCAAATCGATAAAAACCATAAAGATATTGACCAGCGGACTCCATTGTCATTGGCTGCAAAGTCCGAGCACATTCAGATTATGGAGCTTCTACTCGAATCAGGGGCCGAGGACAATTGCTACGATAACAAGGGGCACACGTGTTGGTGGTGGCTACTACAGGCTAGGATTAAAAGTCGGAGCAGCAGTATATATGGAGAAATCCCTATAAACCACTCAGCCGAAAGCACTGATTCCCTTGCTGCTTATTTGAATCCCAACCTTGTCGATTCAAGCGGTCGAAATTTACTTTCACTGGCTGCAGAATACGGAGATTCTGAGTTTGTGGAGGTGCTTTTGAGGAAAAAGGAAGTCAACCCAGATCACCGAGATCCGGATCGAACACCTTTGATATGGGCACTGGAAAAGGAGAGATGGCAGGTTGTGAACATGCTCATACCCAGAGACGCCAACTCATTACACATATTGATAACTGACTATCACTGGATTGGGAGGGAAAGGGCATTGGAGTTAGTAAAAGCTCTTGTCCGAGAAGGGTATGATGTCAATAAAAAAGACGTCAAAGGAACAACCCCTTTGCACCTCGCAAGCAACCAGCTAGACTTTGCTCGAAAGCTCGTCTCAACTGGTGTAAATCTTGATGTACAAGATAACATTCGAAAGACCGCGCTTCAATATGCTTTGGGATATCGCAATACAAAGGTCGCCTTACTTCTACTGAATCACGGAGCCGATATTCAGGCATCAGATTTGAGCGAACTACTTGCAATTGCTTATCGAAACGGATTATACGTGCATATAACACAGGAAAGTGGAACTGAAAGACCAAAATTTGATCTAGTGTCTAATTGCAATGACAAACATGAAGTAGCATGTACTCCTGGATACACCCTGAAGTAAGGATATCCGACTCCACTGCTATTTCAAACCTACTCACCTCCCATAGCCTTTATACAGAAAGCGAATTTAGGCCAGAATTGCTACAAAGGCCTGGCTTTTTAACACTGGACGGATCTTATTTGACGGGGGGTCGTGTCATATCGGTATCCCCATCTGGGATATCTCGTGCAAGTTACATATCAACTTCCTTCCCGAAGCACTTTTACAAGCAGGATGCCAGCGAGTTGCTTGGTATTGAATGGGTTGTAGAAAGCAATACATCCCAGAAGTGTTCCTACAGGTTCGTCAGTACGCTTCCAAACCATCATATGCCCCGAACCCCTATGGATCTTTTCAACCAGTTCCTTGCGCACCTACAAAGAAAGTGGGGTACTGTTTGCTTGGATGCCAGTAAAAACATTGAAAAGATTGTGAGTTTTCCTTTTTCTTTTTTTTTTTTTTTTTCTTGCTTATACCCGCATTTTTTTATCAATAGGAAAGTGGAAGTTAACCTTTTATATCAAAAACAGCGAAGTTCCCAACTTCAAATGCAAGGCAAAAACCGCCAAATACTCGATGCCCTTGCTGCCGATGCATTGACGAGAACAGAAGCTCGGAGATGCCTGGTGTCACAGGTTGAGGAGCTTGGAACAGTGGTAGATTCGGATACTTGCTTTGCAATTGACGAGAAATCACAGATTATGGAGCTAATTGATCATTTGAAAAAAGCTATCACTGGGCGAATGGACCGCTTGGATCAGATCACTCATGATATGCTGCAAAATGTAGGTTTCTCCAGGATATTGCCTCAGCGCTTGTCTCAATATCTTGGTGGATTTCTCGGCTAATATGAGTTTACAGGAACTTGCATGGGTCTCAATAAATGAAACGGCAAGCATCAAACGTCTTGGGTTTATAATAGTAAGCTCCAAATATCTTTTGGAATATGATAAATTGTGCTTGAGTTCCGTACTAATTTCTTTTTCGTATAGTCTATATTCCTCTCCATGATGTTGGTATCTGTCAGTATTCAAAGACATAGTCGCTAGTGCAAGTTCTCCCAAGGGAAGATGGCTAACACGAGGCGAGCATATGTCTATTTCGGAATAAATTCAACCCAACATTCGGAATTTTGTCACTCACTCTTGCTATGACTATCGCCTGGTTATTGCACAACAGACCAGGTTAATGGCGGATCGGAGCGCTACATTATGGTATGGATGTCACTGGCAATGGTCTCGTCATATCTCGATGATTTGACCTATTCAATTACCAGCAACTCGTAATAAAGAGCCAAGTTGCATCCATGTGATGCTAGTTTGAAATCGACAAGGGAAGATTCCAGCCCTGATATAATTCCAATGATATATTTCCAAATCGGGATAGCAGGAGATGAGAGATAAGATAAAAATGATTACTCATCGTTCACGTGGGGGTTTGACAGTCACAGCTAGCCTGTTTAGGAAGAAAGTGGAGAATGACTCCGAGTCCTCCATGAAGTCGCAGGCTGCAACTCTTCTTCCATCATATCATCGGGCTGTTGATAGTCTCTCTATGTCTAATCGGGTACATCTTTTGCATCTGCGTGGCTATGGATCTACGTCTGCCATACTGTTGTAGCTTTTGGCCATCCAAATACCATATGGATCGGACTTGAGCGTTCATTGCTATGGTTGACTAGAAGATCTTCAAACCTGCCCTTCAAAGGACATCCTCCATCATGGTATACGGCGGAAAGCCAAGTACTGGCTGTCAGAACTGTCGAATTCGACGTATAAAGGTGCGTCATCTTAGAATTCCACTTGACCCCGAAGACTAACTGCGAGAAGTGCGACGAAGCCCGCCCTCATTGCGGGGCATGCGTCCGAACAGGCCGAGAATGTCCTGGTTATAGGCATCCACTTGATGTTATGTTGAGAGACCGGACAGCTTTTAGTCGGAAGAAAAATGCGTCGCCGTCTCATGCGGCAAAGAAAAAAGGGCGGTCTTCAAAAACAAACGAGCCCTCGCCATCATCGGAAGAGTCGGATACTTCTTCATTGGATATCGTTCCAGCTACAAAGCCTCAGAAGCCCCCAACACCAACCCTCGACATCATCCAGCCCATTAATAGGAGTCTACATCTTCCGTTGGAGGATACGGTAACCTCATTCTTCTTCAACTCATATTTCCATCTGCCTCGAGATCCCCAATTTAACAATGGCTTCATGGAGCTTCTGCCTCGATCTTACTCTAACGCTACGTTCGGCTCCCATGTACATCTGAGCACATTGGCCGTGTGTTTCTTCTCCGTTGCTGCTTGGACCGGTCAACGATCTTTGCTTCGTACATCAGAACAGTTCTTTGTGAGGGCTCTTCCGAAAATCCGACAAGCATTACACGGAGATATTGATGGCAACTTGGAAGATATCCTCATGACTGTGCTTTTGCTTTCTACGTATGAGGTAGGTATAGCTCGGACGTTATGTCATCACGTATTATCTGACGAGATTACGCAGGAGCTTTCTGCCTTGAAAGATCGGAAGATGCCACAGAAGGCCCATCTTCGTGGGGCAGTCGCATTGATTAACAGCAGGAACCCTAAGCGATTACAGTCACCCTTATCGACTACAATGGCGTATTCAGTTCAGACTCAAATTGTGGGTTATATCCCGGATAGATTCATTCCATGATTCTTAACCTAACCAACTGTTCTGTAGATTCGAACTTCTCAGGGCCTGTCATATCCTACTGTACAAACACCGGATGTCTGGCCGTTGTCTCCGCCAGTGCAACCCTCAGTTCCATCACGGTTATCAATGGCTGCTACTGGACTGGTAGATCTTCGATTGACATGGGAAAAGTTGACAGCAACTCCAGAGCCACCCGAGAAAGAAGTTATGGATGTGTTATCTAAAGCTCGATCTCTTGATAGCAAACTTCTAGCCTGGGCAAGCTCTGTTCCCCCGCATTGGATTCCAATACCAGCCTCCGTCATCCCCCAGTCAGTGCAGGAGACTGGGATTTTCAATGGCCGATGCGATTGCTACTCGGACATGTGGGTGGCTTCTACATGGAATTCTTACCGTGATTCCCGAATCGTGGCACAAAACATAATCTTGGGTTGTCTGCGTTTTTTGGCCAATGGGAGGTCCTCCAATGATGTCCAAGTTGCTGCATCTACTATTCAAAGTCTTGCAACTGATATTTGCGGAACCGTGCCTTACTATATTGGGAGTCAACAGAGGTCTTTTTGGGCGAATCCGCAAAAGGTGGAATATCCCAAAGCAGATGAACGGCCTGTTAACCCTGCCCATCAGCAGATGGCTCCGCTACTGGGCGGTTGGTTCGTCTTGTCTTACCTGGGCAGTCTCTGCTCTCCTGGTCTCTGTTTGAGCGATAAACAGCTGGGTTGGATCAAGAAACAAACTCAGCGGATTTTGCAGATTTACACTTTCGGTGGACATATCGGGGTATAAGCATCTTCCAGGTGGCGCAATCTTCGTGCTCGGATGTTTTAGCAAGGCTGAACACCGACATCTACTGTCGCTCCCTAGTTTGGGGATTTTCGCAAGATACCCGCCTTGCTCACTCTTATGAATCAAAGCCGTTCAGTTGGGACCGTCCATCCCGACTACATATCTTCCTGCAATATTGGGTCTTATTGCCAAAGGATCGAAAGATGTTCGATTTATGATTTAAGATTTATGATTGAAATCTAAAAATACGACTCCGAGATGGCTGCTATGATGACTTGAATTAATTCTACTATATGCTATGACAAACAAACAACTGAACCTGCTTCCATCAAGGAGGACGGGGACTGAGGAAATACTTCCAAATTATAGAACTTCAAAGAAAGAATAAGAACAGTCAAGTCAAATACTTTGGACACACACCGTAAGGCACCAAGGCATAAACAATCCTTGTACAGAGCCACGTGATTTCAAATCGGGGTAATTCTCACCTCCGAAGCAACAACCATCTGCTATAGAACGAAGCATCAATCATTTCAACAGTCGTTATCTCCTTCATACTTCTTGGGAATTCCGCGGAGAGATTATCTGAGAATCAGCTTGTCCCCGCGAAGAAAACCTGAGCGATCAAGCTGATCCCCGAAACCAGCCTTGACAGCCGCGAACCGCCAGCCCCCTCACTAGAAAACTTCCTATCCAACTGAACCAAACCCACCAAAATATTCAAACAGAAACGAGAAAAAAGGAGACTCGAAAATGCTCTCCTATTTCGGCTGGGGCTCAAAGTCCACTTCCACCCCCTCAGAACAACAGCAACAACCTCAACCTCAAAATGACCCAATCCCGCCCCCGCCCCAGCAACAACTCCAACAACAAAGACAGCCCCCATCCGGCATCCCGACAAGCCTCAAGCTCCTTGCCGGTGGCATGACCTTCTTCGCCTTCTCCCTGCTCATCACCCGCCGCTCAATGAACAAGAAACGTCTCGCCTCGATCCCGCCCTACTACACCGGCGCGATGTACCACAAGCCCAACGTCAACGGGGCAATGGAGGCATTCGAGGCGCTGAACCTGGCTACAATTAACGTCATGTCTTTCGGGATGATGTTCGCCGGGGGTGTGCTTTATAAGTTGGATATTAATGGGATTGAAGACGCGCGCACGTATGTGCGGGCTGGGTTGGGAGGTGGTGATGGGCCGGTTAAGTCGGATGAGGAGCTGGAGCAGGATATCGGGGAGTGGATTATGAGTGTTATGGGGAAGAAGGCGCAGAAGGAGTTTTTGGAGAAGAAGGCTGAGTTTGAGAGGCAGAAGCAGGAAAGAGAGAATAGTGTTGATGAGAAGTAGGGTCTTCTTCTCTGGTGGATTGGAGATGGAGATGGGACACGAGATACTTATTCCCCCCCCCCCTTGCACATACTGCTCAAAATTTGTACAATACTGGAGTCACGGACGGTCTGATGATTTCTTGCATAACGGCATACTATACATACACTCTACTATCACATGTTGCGGTCTATCCATCCATTCGCTCATACCGCTCCCGAGCGGTTTGCCTCGTCTTCTCCAAAAACTCATCGTAGCGATTCCTCGTATTCCGCCCAGCTTCTTCAACTGCATCTCCCAGTTTACCACCCTGTGCGCCTAGCCCAACACCTTGCGCGTAAACCTCCGTAGCAATCGGTGCTGTCATTCCGGTACCCTGAGCACCCAGCCCTGACCCGGCTGACCAGCCCATCTTACTGAGAAGAGAGGCTCCCTTGGACGTTGTCTGGGCCGGTGGCTCTTCAGGTTCTTCTTTAGGCGGAGGCGCAGCTTTAGGCTTGACTGGATTCTTAGAGTTACCGAAAGCCTTGCGTCGTTCCCTTGCCCGGTCTCGGTATTCAGACAGCTGGACAATACCATGCTTCACAAGCTTGCCCATCGCTTTGTTTGTTAGCTCTTCGTTTTGCAAATTTCCCCGATGCAGTTGACTGAGGCGCTCGTGTCGGTTTACTTCGGCTGCGTTCTTGAACTGTCGCATACACAGATAGCAACAGTTCCTGTTCAAGTCCGCATAGGATTGGGAGGGTGGAGCGGCAGAGTCGGCCAGTGCACCGCTAATACTTGGCGATTGATTGGACTCAGCTCTCTCCTCGGCATCCTTCTTTTGAATGCCATGCAACTCGGCGTGGCGGTTACTCCAGAATTGCAAGTGCGAAGGTGCTGCAACCTTCTTGGCCCCAGCGCTTGCTGCAGCATCTGCTTTTCTTTTTTTGCCTTTTTCCGCATCCTTGTTGCTTTTCTCCAGACCTGTTCCGGGTCGGTCGTTCTTTGATGCCTGTCCGCTCTCGAGATCTGCGGACGACACTGTAAGCTCCGTAACATACGCGTCTTCGTCCCAGTACATGAGCTTCAAATACGGGTTGTTCAAAGGGCTAAAAGTAAACCTCTCCGTGCTGGCCGTGGAGTTCATCACTGGGACGAAGACACCAGCGTGGATGTAGCTAACAAGAACCGGTCTTGATGAAATGGTAAACTTTTCAAACGAGTTGAGTCGCTGAACAGCAGCTTGAGCATCCTGGAAGACAATGATGTCAGTTTAAGGACAAGAGGGGAAGCATAATAATTAATACCTGAACTGTAGCAAATTCAGCAAATCCATAACGCCAGCTTTCGTTGCTTCTGCGATCTCTCACGAGCAAGATACGACGAATGGATCCATCTCGAGCTCCCAGGTTAGAATCACCGGTGGTGGAAGCCACTTTGGCTCCTTTCTTCTGACTTGCAGATGACCCATCAGATGTACTGTTTGCTGGTCGATACAATTTGGCAACCCCTTTTGCAAAGAGCTCTTCAGAAACGGAAACCTCCAGTCCTCTAAAAAGAAGAAACTGCGAAGGTTGGTTCTCGGGGGCAGCGTCATTATCACCGTGGTTTTCCACCTTAGGTGCAGCTATGCCGGGAGGTCCTGTCGGTCCAGCGTCTGGTATGTTCAATCAGCAAAGGTTGGTTAATATTGCAACAAAGGAACGTACCAGGCCGGGGAGCTTGGCATCGAAAGCACTTTTGACGAGTAGAATAGTTGACAATAGTACACTGATCATGGTCAAGTTAGATATAGCTTCCTTGTGTGTTCTTGGTCGGCTTACCATCTTGCAAGTCCAGTCGCTCTCGGCTCTATTCCGAGCACGGTCTTCTCGTTCACGACTGTATGCGATGCGGACCTTGGTGCCACGGTCATTTCCACTCGAGTTCGGCCCGTAGAAAACAATAGAAGGAAAGTTGGGTTCCAGGAATGCACGCGAGTGGGCGATACTTTGGAATCTAAGGAAGCCCAACTGTCGCGATACCTCTGCGGATGCGTCAGAAAACACAAAGGAAAACAGACCAACAGGTCACTCACTCGTTTGACGGTCACGGATGACTCGAACCTCTTCCAAGCCCTCAATATGATAAAATTGTTGGAGTTCATGCGAAATCTGTTTTGATCACGTCGACCGGAACGAGGCCGGCGACATGGACATCTCAGCCTCTTGCCATAAAGAACGGTTTTTGGAAGTGGAGCGCAGCTCTCTATATCTCCCAGATGCAGTGCAAAAAAAAGGTCAGGGAAGGTGTCCAACGTCTTCTTCCACCATGTTCACCGGAAAACCATCCATCATGACTTCTCTGCTTTCTTGTCCGAAATGTGGTTGGCGACTCCGTCGAGGGCTGCGAGTGCGGCTGCGGCTAAAGCTTCGACTGCGACTGTAGTATCCGGGCGAGCGATAGCCCTCTCGGTCTCGGTCTCTATATGCGGGTCTCCCTCGTCGGGGTGGAGGCGACCGTGATGATCGACGACGATAATCATCGCGATCTCGACTTCGGAAACGGGGTCTGGAATCTCTTCGGTCCGCAGCCGGACCTCGTGGAGGAGATAGCGGAAGATCTTTTGTCCCAAAAGAAGAAAACGGAGATCCACAGTCAGTAACAGCTCATTGTAGGAATGAGAACTTGGTCTTGTGTTTTTTTATAAACATGTCCATGGCTCAACGCCATTGTTGATGCGGGGAGGAGCATAGTATACCGCCAGGCGAGCGTGATCGGGAGCGATCGTCGTACATGCGGCCGTCTCTGTCGTCGCGGCGCGGATAGGGTCGATAAGAGGGACCCGGGGGATACCGGTTATTGTCCGGGTAAAAGTTAGACATGATGATCAGGCATGAAGATAGAAAAGAAAACGAAACTGGAGATGAAATGCCGTCCGATGGAGCGTTGAAAAGCGAAGGAGATTCGAAAGAGGGCGATGGAGCAGCGGCAGAATCCCTCACCGCCTGTCGCCAACAGTTCCCAAAGAGGATAGCTCCGGGTGGGTCCCATGTATCACGCTATACCGGAATAAGCGATATAGATCAGTGAAGCCAGCAACTGCGAACGGAAATAGCTCCAGAAAGGCACATTTTTTAGGGGGTTTTGTTATCTCTGGATTTTATTTGGGGACGAAGATAGGATGGCCAATATCCGCTACAATAGCATGGTTTCAACTATGAAAAGAAACCAAAAAGCGCGTGAAACACGCTAAGAGTATCAGGAGTTAATATAGGACCGATGTAACTATACACTTGTACCCACTGCTAATATGGTTAATTAAATAATCAAATGCCCCTGAATGCTATTTAGCTACATCTTTAGAACCAGTGATAGAGAATGTTGAGATTATAACGCTTGCGAGGGCCATAATTAAATTCTCCTATCAGGCTACCCATAATTAGGAACACTTTTACCCGGTCATCCGAGCCAATCTTACATATCATCTGTTCGTATAATCGTATCCAGTCCTCAACAACTGCCTGTTGTGGACTTCAAAGCTCGCTTAATGGCCATCTCTGCGGCTGCTCGATGGCTGATACAGTATTGAATTAGCTGGTCTATACCGGGCCCAGCATTGCTTCTGGATACGGCGAAAAAGAACTTCTCCACATCTTTCATCATCTCGATGTCCCTTTTGGGATTGGCAACAGATGGATCTTTCACAATAAGGATAGAAAATATCACCAAAGCAAAGACTGCAAAGTACATCAAGGTACTATAGACGAATAAGCGCTCTGGATGAGCAATGACAAACAAAGCAAGTGGCTCGACTCACCCAGCACAGATGATATTATCCCCCGGGATCTCACGGACCAACTGCATCGAAGCCCGTGCAGCTTGTGTGCATAGCGTGGACGACTGTAGGGTTCTGGGATTCGGCGACCGAACTTGTGGGAACTGGCTGCGACATGGGTCAAGAGACATATTCCAATCTGCCCGCGCAATAGCTTTCCTGTGGATGATCAACAAGCAATTGTAATAGCTCAAATGTATATAGAGAAGGATAGGGCCGATTTCATCCCTCGAGTCGCTGTATTTGTTAAAGTGACCAGGCTGATACTCATGAGGAATCTCATCAACCCAGTCTTGAAGTTTAACATCAAGCTCGCCAACGGTGTCAATCACTTCCGCATCCCCTTTCTCAGAGCCCAGTGTGGAATAAAGTTTCTGATATATCTGGTTCTTGATGATCGTGAGATGTCTCACTGAGTCATATATATTAAAAACGCCATTCTGGTCGATCGGGCGATGGTAAAACGTCATATCGATAGAATGTTGTATCGGCGGAGTTCTAGAGCGAAGGGCTATACTGTGGCAGATGTCAGCGCTGGCCCCAAACCAAAAGTCAAGTGACATCTTACTCAATATCCATACTACAGCAAACTGCAAGCACCTTCCTAGACTGTTCAATCTCAGAGGCAGTCTGCGTAGATAGGTCTGTTGAAAGGTCTAGACTGTATGCCATGCACATTGCCAATGCATTCAACTCGATCGAAGGTCTGAGACTGAAAGTCCCAAGAAAATAGAGAGCCTTTTCTATTGTGAGATGCGGGCCACTATGGGTAGAGTATCGATGCTACGTACCATTCCAAGAACTGCTTGTACCGAGCACAGTTGTGGCCGTCCAACGTAAAAACCGTTTAATGAAAGCATAGAGTTTCTCAGATATATCCATCCGTGCTGGTAGTATCGTGGATCAAGCGTATATGCCAATGCCAACGTGACACTAACACAGGCCCACCATTCTGGAGATGACTGTGGATGAACAGGGTATTCTTGTTCAATGCGAGACATGAAGTCACGTTCATCAAAAAGCGGACAATAATGGTTGATCGTCCTGAAGTAAGCGTTTAATAAACTTATAGCGGCTTCCTTAGAAGGCAAAGGTACAAATCCTAGGTCTGAGTATATGTCCGCAGGGGTTTGCACACTGTAACCACCCCGTGAGCCGTGGAATGGGGGCGTGGAAGGTTCCTCTTGAAATGTCTCATGACCAACCTTCTGGTTTATCCATTGGATCCCCTCGGGTGAGATCATTGAGAAGGTCGATGTACCTGAGAAAATGAATTAGAACACAAAAGTGAAACGTGGGATGGTGATTACCAGGCCCAGGTTGGTCTATTAGATATTTTGGGACAGCAAAACATGGCAAATTGAGAAGATCGTCATCGCCCGATCTCGAGAAATAATCAAAGACTCTTCCAGGCGTTGGTTCTGAAGGGTAAATTGGACTAATGGGATCGGCAGGATAAAATTGGGCATTAAGCCCCGCTAGAGTTGGCAAGTCTGCCTCGAGAATAGTATTTCCTTCTGGCCCCAAGATAGACTGGGGAATATGCTGATCGGCTGGGGTAAAGCTGGGTTGATAATCGAGTTCTGTCGACAAAGGTATCAAACTCAAGCCAGATGATTGCACCTGCTTCTCTTCTATATATCTGTATGGTTAATTTGAAATTCGCGGAAACTGCACAAGGAGAAACAAGATACCTGGTGGGCCTCTGCTGCGTGGAGCCCTTATATACACAGTTGGTATCACGTTTCTCGCAAGCCAAACACCTGGCCCCCATAATAGGAATGTCACATCTCGTTTTACGACAGCGACAAACCAGACAAGCCTGAGATTTACTTAGTGTGTAGTCTTGAGAGTGGAGATGATGAAGAGCTGGAACTCACTTTTGGCACACGATGACGAGTTCGCTTTATCCCTTGCATTTCGCTTTCAAGGCAATGCGGAGGAAATCAATGTTGTTGAAGCGAACCTCGCGAAGGACGAGGGACTCTCGACAGCCAAGACTCCACTCGGGACTCGGAAGCTTGGCGCATCCGGGGGGACAAATCATTCCGCCCGGGGTAAATTACATGCTCGGATAGGGTGATATTACCGTAATGATCTCCGGTATCATGCATTTTACATAGAATATTGCGTAACGTATGGTATTCCATCTATGGCACCTTATACAAGTAGTTTGTCAACTTTAATATCGAATCAGATATAACAGATAGCTTTACATATCAGTAAATGTAGTCCATACAATACATTTTGTATGATAACGTATTGTGAACTGCTCCGTACCGGTTTGAGCTTGTGATAAGCAGTACCCATTATGCGGTCAATCCACCAGGCGGAGATAAATGTGGAGATGATCTTCCAATTCTACGGGTTGGGCTATCCAGTTCATCCGAGTTATTAATGAATTCGCAGTGAATGATGGATCATCTGTAGTGCGTATTGGGCATCACAATCTGCTCCAGCTGCAGGATTCACTGTTTCTCATGGACCAGAACCAGATATACTCAGTATCAATTTGTAGATCATCAGATACTGCTGCAATCGAATATCACCATCTCGATCTGAGCATGCACGCCATAGGCTCCTATATATAGTGCTTTCTAACCGTCCAACCGGGAAGACGTGATGATTCCCACTCTTATCTCCGTATATGATGCACTCTTTCCATGGAAGCCGAAATCCATCCTTAAGGGGCCGGATAGCGAAATGAAGTATATATAGTCCCTTTTACCCTCCTACGAACTGCTTTGATTCTAATCTCAAACTGGTACTGCCAGATCCTTTTAATCATGTCGGTCTTCGGAGGGATTCCCTCAAATGATGATCCTCAAGAACACTTCGTGGGACATGGCCTGGAGGACCCTGACGAAATATCGGTTAAAACAAAAGTGGATGGACTCGATGACAGCGAGCGCGAGAAGGACATGGAGGAGGAGATCGAGGAGATGGCCCGTCAGCTGACCCGCCATTCAACCCACTTCTCTTCCACCAATGCCAAAAACCCCTTCTTCGAAGACGACAAGGAGTCGACCTTGCACCCAGACAGTTCAAATTTCAGGGTCAAGGATTGGATTCGATCCTTGCTGGCAGCCCAAGCAACCAATCCCGATCGATTTCGACAACGCAATGCCGGCGTTGCATTCCAAAACCTGAACGTGCATGGCTTCGGCAGCCCAACAGACTATCAGAAGGACGTGTTTAATTCCGTCTTGGGTATCGGTAGCCTAGTTCGCCGGGTAGTTGGTTCAGGGCTTCAAAAGGTCCAGATACTGCAAGGCTTCGATGGATTGATTCGGAGCGGCGAGATGCTGCTTGTTCTCGGTCGCCCGGGCAGGTACGTCTCCAGAGAGAAAGAAGCCAACGAGCTCTTCTGCCATGATCTTTATTCTCTAACCATGTTTAATGATATACAAAAGTGGCTGTTCGACCTTCTTGAAAACCATTGCGGGAGAGATGAATGGAATCCACCTCAGCGATGACAGCTATCTGAACTATCAAGGTATGCCCATGCCTTCACAGCCCTTCGAAGGAGGGTCCATCATCTGACTTCCATGAAACAGGTATCTCTGCCAAAGCGATGCAAGGCCAGTTTCGTGGAGAGGCAATCTTCAGCGCTGAGAACGACGTGCATTTCCCACAGCTCTCCGTGGGTGATACTTTGACCTTTTCTGCCCAGGCGAGAGCACCTCGCACTCGCTTCCACGGTGTTTCTAGACATGAGTATGCCAGCCATGTCCGCGATGTGGTCATGACAATGCTGGGTCTACGCCATACATTCAACACCCGGGTGGGAAATGACTTTATTCGAGGTGTCAGCGGCGGAGAGCGTAAACGAGTGAGTATTGCAGAGGCCATGCTCAGTGGAGCTCCTCTCCAGTGCTGGGACAATAGCACACGAGGTCTAGACAGTGCCAATGCATTGGAATTTTGCAAGAATCTGCGGTTGATGAGTCGATATGCTGAGACAACCGCATGTGTGGCCATATACCAGGCGTCACAGAATGCGTACGATGTAAGTCATCCTCGATTCCGTGGTGCATCTATTTATTGACCCAAATTCGATATAGACATTCGACAAGGTAGTCGTTCTATATGAGGGTCGTCAAATCTATTTCGGCCCAACGACGGAGGCCCGTCAGTTTTTCACAGAGATGGGCTACAAATGTCCAGAACGTCAAACCACCGCCGATTTCCTGACTTCGCTCACCAGCCCCAGTGAGCGGAGAGTGAGGCCTGGGTATGAAGACAAGGTGCCTCGAACACCGGATGAGTTCGCCCAAGCATGGCTCAATAGTCAGGCTCGGAATCGCCTGATGAGCGAGATCGATGCCTTTGAAAAAGAACACCCGGTTGGAGGAGACTCGTACACCAAGTTCGTCGAGGCACGGCGTTTGATGCAATCTAAGCAACAGTTAGTCTAGTCCTTGGTTTCTCTGGTACACCAGTTGTTCAATAGTACTAACCAGAATCTCAGACGAATCAAATCGCCGTATACACTATCGATTGTCGAGCAGATTAATTTATGCCTGGTGCGCGGCTTTCAGCGTCTCAAAGGGGACGCCAGTCTCACTCTCACGGCATTATTCGGCAACTTCTTCATCTCATTGATCATTGGAAGTGTTTTTTATAATCTCCCGAAAACCACCGACAGCTTCTACTCCCGGGGTGTTTTACTTTTCTATGCGGTCCTGCTAAGTGCGTTTAGTAGTGCTCTTGAGGTATGAACAACCAGGCCCTGTCTGCAATTCGATAACCTGTTTCCAAAAGTCAAAGAAATTATTGAACTGGCTAAACATTTAATAGATTTTGATTCTATATGCACAGCGCCCTATTGTCGAAAAGCAGTCCCGGTTTGCGTTCTATCATCCGTTCACCGAGGCCTTTGCCTCCATGCTTTGTGATATGCCCTATAAGCTTCTCAATTCGTTCACATTCAATATTCCATTGTACTTTCTTGGCAACTTGCGTCGTGAAGCAGGGGCCTTTTTTACATTTTGGATCTTTTCCCTGATTACCACATTGACCATGTCTATGATCTTCCGGACGTTTGGAGCTACATCTCGATCATTGGCCCAAGCCCTTGTTCCGGCGGCACTTTTAATTCTGGGTCTAGTGATTTATACTGGGTTTATCATTCCGACAAGAGACATGCTTGGCTGGTCACGATGGATGAACTACCTGGACCCCATCGCGTATGCTTTTGAGGCCTTCATGATCAACGAGTTTTCCGGTCGAAATTTCACCTGTACCTCGTTCGTTCCATCGGGACCTGGCTATGAAAACGTACCACAAGAGAACAAGATATGCAACGCTGTTTCGTCAAGTCAGGGAGACTTGGTGATCCATGGAGAAGCCTACCTAAACACAGCATACTCTTACAGTCATGGCCATCTCTGGCGCAATTTTGGCATTATTATCGCCTTTTTGATCTTCTTCATGTGCACTTACCTATTAGCCACCGAATTCATCAGTGAAGCCATGTCGAAAGGAGAAGTATTGGTTTTCCGCCGTGGTCATCAACCCAAACAGACCCAAGATATCGAGGTCCCGTCAGAAACGAAAAATGAGCAGAGTCAGCCCAGGGATGGTGACGTTGGTATCCAGCGACAGACTGCTATCTTCCAATGGCAGGATCTATGTTATGACATTAAAATTAAAGGGGAGCCCCGACGTATCCTTGACCATGTCAATGGATGGGTGAAACCTGGGACGGCTACCGCGTTGATGGTATGTCCCCTGCTCTCGAAGCAATGCTTGAACTAAGGGTTGCTTTGCTGACATCTACAGGGTGTTTCTGGTGCCGGAAAAACGACTCTTCTTGATGTACTCGCAACCAGGGTCACCATGGGTGTGGTCACAGGCGAGGTCTTGGTAGATGGTCGCCCCCGGGATGATTCGTTTCAGCGCAAAACCGGCTACGTTCAACAGCAAGATGTTCATCTACCAACATCGACAGTCCGTGAAGCTCTTCAATTTAGTGCTTTGCTCAGACAGCCAGCCCATGTTAGTCGTGAGGAAAAGCTCGCCTATGTTGAAGAAGTTTTGGATCTTCTAGGCATGCAGTCGTATGCAGGTGCTGTGGTTGGTGTACCAGGACAGGGTATGTCAATATGCTCCCTCATATCTGACGTACATTGCTGATATTCCATTTTCTAGGTCTCAATGTCGAGCAGCGAAAACGATTGACAATTGGTGTTGAGCTTGCTGCTAAGCCCCAGTTGCTTCTTTTCCTTGACGAGCCGACTTCAGGCTTAGATAGTCAAACATCATGGTCCATTCTTGACCTTATGGAAACTCTCACAAAGCATGGACAAGCCATTCTATGTACAATTCACCAGCCCTCCGCAATGCTCTTTCAGCGCTTTGACCGGTTACTATTCCTCGCCAAAGGGGGCCGAACGGTCTATTTTGGACAGATTGGGGAGAACTCTTCGATTCTTGCTGACTATTTCATGCGCAATGGGGGAACCCCTCTAAGGGCAGACGAAAATCCCGCGGAATGGATGTTAGATGTCATCGGTGCAGCACCAGGCTCACATAGTGAGATTGACTGGCCAGTGGTGTGGGCAAACAGCCCAGAGAAGCAGGCTGTGAGTGACCATCTGGCAGAGCTAAAATCGACTCTCTCTGCAACGCCAAAGGAAGCATCAGGGAAAGATGAGTACAGGGAGTTTGCTTCAACGACTGTTACCCAGATGCGGGAATGCTTGTCTCGAGTTTTCTCTCAATACTGGCGCACTCCATCCTACATCTACTCGAAACTTGCCCTGTCAACATTGACTGCCTTGTATAACGGGTTCTCTTTCTTCAAGGCTAAGAATTCTCAACATGGCTTGCAGAACCAGATGTTTAGCATTTTCATGCTCATGACAGTCTTCGGCAATTTGGTCCAACAAATCATGCCTAACTTTGTGATCCAGCGCTCAATTTACGAAGTACGTGAGCGTCCATCCAAGATGTATTCCTGGCGTGTTTTCATGGGTGCGAATATCATTGTAGAACTGCCCTGGAATTTTCTCGTGGCCGTCCTCATGTTCTTCTGCTGGTATTATCCAGTAGGCCTTTACCACAATGCTGAACCGACAGGTGCGGTGCATGAGCGCGGTGCTCTGATGTTTCTGCTCCTGCTTACCTTCCTATGGTTCACATCGACTTTTACTCACATGGTAATTGCGGGTGTGGAAAATTCAGAAACAGGAGGTAACATTGCCAATCTTTTGTTTGCTCTCTTGCTGCTCTTCTGCGGGTTTGTATATCCTCTCCGAGATTTCCAATGATTGAAACTGACCGTGATTACCAACGTAGTGTCGTCGCAACACCACAAGCCATGCCAGGTTTCTGGATATTCATGTATCGCCTCTCGCCCTTTACATATCTCGTGTCAGCCATGCTATCTACTGCTGTCAGCGGCACCGACGTGACCTGTGCCTCCATTGAGACGCTCCAGGTTGACCCGCCCACTCAGCAGACATGCTCTCAGTATCTGGACTCATTCGTCACGATCAATGGAGGGTACATTCAGAATCCGAATGCGACCAGCCAGTGCGAATACTGCCCTATTGCAAAGACTGATGTCTTCTTGGCCTCTGTTAACAGTCACTGGGACGATGCGTGGAGGAACTTCGGCCTGATGTGGGTATACATTGCGTTTAATATTGCCGCGGCTGTGGGAGTATATTGGCTGGCTCGTGTGCCCAAGGGCAGTCGGATGAAGGGCTCATCTTGATCACAATATTAAAGTGCCTTCTCAAGGACTGATGTTGTGTATTATCCAATATTGGGGGTTAGGGGATGCTACAGCTTTCTTTCAATTATATCTATAGCGTCATTTGTTGGCTGTTATCTCAGAATGTTCCATAGTACAGCTTATACTTCTATATAGTGATTTCACCAGCTCTGGTTTAGTACATAATAAAGCACATATTCCAGTAATAAGCGAACCTACCCAAAGCCATACAAAGTTGATACCACCGTGTCAGGCCGATGGTCGGAATAGACTCCCGCCAGGGGGAACTCCCTCCTTCCACGGAGCATCATCATACGCTCACAGTGAATTGCCCAGTGGAGATGATTATGTATTTCCAACTGAGTCAAAATGACGGACTTTTGGTCGGAACCCACAGACTGGACGATCAGCGTCCAGCACTGCCAGCAGAGAGCCACCGATAATTTCTCCGCAGAGCTGCTTTGCCCCGCGGCGTTGAGGAGGGGAACCAACACACGCATTCAACAACAACAGCTGTTCTTTTTCCCTCTTTTCCCTCTCCTCTTCCTCTGTAACTGACACCTCCAAGTTGATCCAGATCCTCCTGTCATGGCTATATCCAGCCAAAACGTCCACCGTGCCTGGTGGAAAGAATGCTCTGTCTATCAGATCTGGCCTGCCTCGTACAAAGACTCCAACGATGACGGCATCGGCGATATCCCCGGCATAATCTCCAAGCTCGACTACATCAAGAATCTAGGCGTGGATATTGTCTGGCTCTGTCCATCATACAAATCTCCACAGGTGGATATGGGATATGATATTGCCGACTACTACAGCATTGCCGATGAGTATGGCACGGTCGCAGATGTCGAGACCCTGATTAAGGGCTGCCACGACAGAGGAATGAAACTCCTCATGGATCTCGTGGTGAACCACACCAGCGACCAGATTGATTGGTTTAAGAAATCGCGAAGCTCCAAGGATAATGAGTATCGCAATTGGTATGTCTGGAAGCCTCCTCGCTATGACGAGCAGGGTAACAGACATCCTCCCAACAACTGGATCTCTCATTTCCAGGGTATGTCTTTGACAAAATCACTTGGGTAACAAGCTAAACAGTATGCTGATCATTATCTATATAGGTAGCGCTTGGCAATATGACGAGTTGACTGGTGAATATTATCTTCACCTGTACGCAACAGAGCAACCGGATCTGAACTGGGAGCACCCGCCTGTCCGCAAGGCAGTTCACGATATTATGCGTTTTTGGCTGGATAAGGGAGCTGATGGGTTCCGAATGGATGTTATCAACTTCATCAGCAAGGATCAGGCGTTCCCAGACGTCCCTGTCAAGGATGCTCGCAGCCCATGGCAATGGGCTGATAAATACTATGCCAATGGACCTCGACTCCATGAATATCTGCAAGATCTAGGCAAGATCCTCAAGGAGTACGACGCATTTAGTGTCGGTGAGATGCCCTTCGTGAAGGATACCAATGAGGTGCTCAAGGCTGTCCGTTATGACCGAGGCGAGATCAACATGATCTTCAACTTTGAACATGTCGACATTGATCATGGAGTATACGACAAGTTCGAGCCCGGTAGCTGGAAGCTCACCGACCTCAAGTCCTTCTTTGAAAGATGGCAGAAGTTCATGTACGAGAATGGCGGCTGGAACGCCCTGTACTGGGAAAACCACGACCAGCCGCGGTCGATTGATCGTTTCGCACAAGCAAAGGAAGAGCACCGTTTGATTTCGTCCAAGATGCTGGCTACCAATCTTGCGTTGCAGTCTGGCACGCCTTTTGTATACCAGGGCCAGGAGATCGGCATGAGAAACGTGCCCCTTGCTTGGGGAATGGAAGAATACAAGGACATTGACTGTCTGAACCACTGGCATGGGTGCGTATTACCCTCTCCTTGTATATCCTCCCTTCAATGCTAACGACTCGCAGACTGGTGAAGAACAAGCACTTCGACACCAAGGCCCAGGAAATTGCCCGACAGGAGTACCAGAAGAAATCCCGCGACAACGGCCGCACCCCCGTGCAATGGAGCTCTGCTCCGAACGGTGGATTTACCGGCCCCAACGTGAAGCCTTGGATGTCTGTCAACCCGGACTACGTGCGTGTCAACGCCGAAGCCCAAGTCAACGACCCAAACTCGACCTACAACTACTGGGCGTCTGTCCTTGGACTGCGCAAAAAGTACCTTGACATTTTTGTTTACGGAAACTGGGAACTTGTAGACGCAGCGAGTCAAGAGATCTTTGCGTATACCCGCCAGTACGAAGGTCAGAAAGCCCTGGTCTTGTGTAACTTTACCGACAAGTCGCTGGAGTGGGATCCGTCTGCCAACGGGGTGAATGGTATCAAGGAGGTACTGCTGAGCAACTATGAGAGTACACAGGAAGCGTCACAGCGGATCTCGGGGGCGAAATGGCCTCTGCGTCCGTATGAGGCGCTTGTCGTACTTGTCTAACGGATAGACTGAATAAACCTATGGTCTACGAAATTTAAATAAATACATGAACCATTCTAGAATTATTCAATAGTGTAAAAGAAAATATGAAAAGTATAGGTTGAAGAAACGATAGTAAGTTCAAGTTTTAATGATGTGTATAGCTGGGCGGTTGTATATAAATGAAGCACATCTGAACCATATAGTCGTAGGTGACGGTGGGATAGTATATATTAATATGCAGTCAATAAAAAAGCTGCTATAATCAAACTCCCTCCATTTAAGTACATATATAATTGAAAATAAATAACTACATATTTAGCAACATCTCTGCCCATATCATCTGTTGAGGATAATGATGTCGACATGGTCTGTTATCACCCACGATAAAGATAAGAGGGGCAACAATCAATCCATCCCAACTTCAACTTGACCACTACACCATACCCCAACAACACCTCCAAGATGTCCTCCCAACCAGAACAACAACAGCAACAACAACCTCAATCCACCTCCAAACCTCCCCATCTCGATCCAGCAACCTACCCCCGCACCCTCCACCTCCCCGCCCAAAACATCCACCTCGAACTCACCTACAACCCGCTCGACCCCTCCATCGCCCTCTCCCAGACCTCCTCTCCCAGCGCCGGCGCAAACGTTCTCTTCCTCGGCACAACACGCGATACGTTCGAGGATCGGCCCGTCTTGCAACTAAGTTATACGACGTACCCGCCTCTCGCGCTGAAGACGCTCTCCGCGATCGCGGAGGAGGCGGTCTCGAAACATGGGCTGACGGGGGTGAGCATCGCGCATCGATTGGGGGTCGTGCCGATTCGGGAGGCGTCGATTGTGATTGCGGTTAGTGCGGGCCATCGCGGGGCGGCTTGGAGGGCGGGCGAGGAGGTGTTGGAGTTGTGTAAGGAGAAGGCGGAGATTTGGAAGATGGAGGAGTTTGTGGATGGGGGTGCAGAGTGGAGGGCGAATCGGGATAGAGATGCTGAGGGGAGAGCGGTTTGATTGTGGTGAGATGAGATATGGTATCTGATGGACGGTGAGATGCTGAGTGTACCAATATATATGATGGTCGATAATACAGACGAATCCTATTTCATACAGATGTCGGCTAGATACTTGAGTAGGGTATTTATCTATTGTACAATCCATCGCGTCGCCTACTCCGTCTTCAACGGTCTTCCCTCTCTCTTCCAGTCGTTGATGTGCTCCATGATCACCTTTGTGGCCGACTCGGGTGTGTCCTGACGTCCGATACATTCAACAAAGTCACCCTCGGGGTCTGAAGTAGTTAGTAACATGCCATCCATTCCAACAAGAACAAGACTCACCCATCAGATAAAAGTAGATACTGTGATCCACCAAGTAATCTTCACCAGGCTTCACGTCTCTCGGTGTGCTAAAGTACACCCGATACTGCTTGCAGACGTTCTTGACCTGGTCGTATGTTCCTGTCAAACCAATGATGCCGGGGTGGAACTCTTGAAGATATGTCTTGAGCACTTCGGGGGTATCGCGGACCGGGTCGCAGGTGATGAAGACGGGCAGGAAGACGCTCTCGCCCTTGGTCGATTCGTTGACCTTGTCGATAATCTCGGCCATCTTATCCAATTCATCGGGGCAGATATCGGGGCAGTGGGTGAAACCAAAGTAGACCTAAACAATCAGCAACGATTCAATCATAAAATCCATCCTTATCCAATATGAGTTCAACTCACAAAACTATATTTCCCCTTGAGATCCTCCGCCGTAAACTCCTTCCCATTCAAGTCCTTCAACGTAAACGGTCCTCCCACCTTCGGCCTCCCAACACCCTTGCTCATCTCAGCAATCCGCTTCCGCTCCAATCGCTCCTTTTCAACCCGGAAATACACCAACATACCACCACCGGTCAAGACGAAGAGCAACGCCGCCTTCCACGAGAACGGGCCCGTGGAATTCCGCGCGCGGAGCTGGCCCATCGTCTTGGCGCGGGACCGAAGGGTAGTCGTCGAGAAGCAGCGTCTGGAGGGAATGGCATTGAGGAGGTTCTGGGTTTGCCGGGCTTGGACGGGTGTTGCGCTTTGCGATGGGAGGCTGGTGCGGAGAGGGAGGATGCGTTGGGTTCGGGTGGTGGTGTGCTCGATCGAGGCGAGAGGGGAGCGGGATGCTCGGCCCATAATTCGGGAGACGGATCTCATTGATGAAGCCATTGTTGATCTGGGCTTGGCCTGTGGGGTTGACTTTGGAGGGGGAGTGAGAGGAAGAGAAGTTCGGCTTTTGAGGTTTTGAATCCATTCGAGCTCCGGATCTACATTGCCAGATGCGGTTTAGTGTGTTTGTGCCTGAGGCTTACAGAGCTGTCATCACGTGGAGTTACACCTGAGGCATCTACGAATTGTTAATTCAAATGATTCCCATTAAAAGACGGTATATCCATTGCCAAACACTTCCAGTCTAGAATTACAATGTTGGGAAACCTGTAATTATTGCGTACAAAATTCTATGAACAAGAATGGGGAATCGTGGCCGCCGTGACAATATTATGTGCTGGATTGAAGGTACCGTATCCCCGAGACAACCATGACCATGAAAAAGAAGAGGTATTCGCATATTGACAAACTTGAGTGGAAAAGAAAAGAACAAAAAAAAAAGATAAGAGAAAAGAAAATGGGAAAAAAGAATAGCAAAGGGGCAGAAAGGGTAATAGGCTTTTTTGACGAAGAACATGCTGTATGTACGCCTTCATCAGAAAGAAAATAAATGACCAGAATTGAAATATCGAAAGCCATCATTGTGGCAATTTTGATATCAAGTCAATGGATACAGATTTTACTGCATACTTCTGCTGGCTTGACTGGCACGGCTGGGGGTGGTCCTAGGTTCTTCTTCCTCAAGAACGTCGCTCAAACGAGTGGGATGGCGATGGCGAGGAGTCATGGATTCCCATCCAGTTCCAACTCCCCAGTCAGAACCGGTATAGTCAGAGGAAGTCGGAGTGTAGCCAGTGTAGAGGGGTGCCGAGGTTGATGCCAGGGTGCTAGGGATGTACTCGGCTTGAGTCATGTCGTGGATGTTGTCATTTTCGTCACTCTCTTCAGACATGGGGCGAGGGTAGACAACCGGGCGGCCCTGAGCATCACGACGGTAGCTGCCATACTCCTCATCACCATGCTCACTGCTTGGGGCACTGGGCACGAACGAACGGTCATCCGCGTCGTCGAGGGTTTGACCGGGGTACGTGGCGCTTTCATGTTCGAAGAACTGGCCAGCGTATTGCCCCGAGGATTCTGGGGCACTAGAGACTGGTGGTTGCCGAGAGCCATAACGTTGTGCCTCTGACTCATTCCTTCGTTCGGTAAATGGGTCAGAGCCGGTGGGCGACGGAGCATCGTCGTAGTATCGGCCGTCTCCTGTCCGTCCAGGTTCGCTTCCCATAGAAGCCCCATGATAGGAAGTGTCATCCCGGGTTGAGGGACGGTTCGAAGTAGTTGACCGATTTGGCAATCCCTGGACCATAGGCACCACCTGCACACCCCCGACCAAAGTGGGCTCACCGCTCCGAAGCGAAGTAGTACGGTCTCTCTCTTCCTGCTCGCGTCTACCAAGTTCTTCCCAAGCTCGACGGGCTTCCTCTTTCGAAATTTGGAGCTCGCGACGCATTTCCTTCAGGAGATCCTCGGCTCGTGCCTTGTCGCTTTCGGCCTTTTGCAACGAAGCAAAGGCTTCCGATCGTGCCTGGCGTTCCGTCTTGACCTGCTTTTCTAAGTCTCCTTGGAGTTCTTTGGCTCGCTCTTGCTCAGCACGAGTGTCAAAGAACCACCGTTGAAATTTCCGCTCCGATGACGCTCGCAATCGCTGTAGCTCCACAACTGCATGGAAAAGATTTGCACCGGCAGCAGAGAGATCTGTGACTTGGCGGGCCATTTGCTGACTGAGAGTGTCGCGTTCGAAGGCCTCATTGTTCTGCTCGAGCTTCCGGATCCAGTAGCCCGTCAGACCTTCCCAATGTGAAGACAGTGTCTCCCATCTCTCAAATGCATGAGGGAAAGCCACACGGCGTTGTTGCTGCTGTGGGGGTTGCGAGGAGCTAGATTGACTAGGAGGAGCACCTTGCGCAGGTTGTTTAGGGAATGCACCTGGCCCTGGCGCACCCTGGAATTGAACGTGCGGCGGCTGAGAGTTAGGTTGAGCCTGAGGGTCTGGTCTTCGCTGATATCCGGAAGGTGCTCCTTGAGCGCTGGCCGTTCGAGGGTCTGGCTGAATCTCAGGCCCCGTTGGAGCTCTTGGGGCAGCTGATCTTCGCTGGGAAGTTCGATCACCGGCAACGCCAGCGGCATACTTTTGGGACTGCTGCTCTTGTTCCTCCTGCTCCCTAGCTTCCTGCTCGGCCTTTTTGCGGGCCTCTCGATCCCGGCGCTGTCTCATGATATCCGTTGGTGTTCTGACACCACTTGCGGGGTGCGGATTGACGGGCACGGGCCCCTGGGCTGCACGCGATGCACCATTCTGAGTCCGGCCATTTCCTCCAAGACCAGCAGAGGCCGTTACACCTACCATGTCAGACATGGAAGCGTTCACTTCTTCCCAATCGGTGGTGAATGGAAACGGTTTGCGAATGGCTTCTTCAAGAGTCCAGAGGATCGCAGAAGCTGTTCGTGGGGAAACACTAGTTGATCTGCGAGGCCAGTATGATTCGCCAGGTGGCTGTTTAGAATTGTCCGGCGAGGAAGAGGCGTTGTCTTCGGTTTGTACTTCCGAAAGCGCAGGACGTAGGGCAGCGACACCAGTAGCACCTGCAGAGGGTCGGACCGTAACTGGTATCGGGTGTAATGCCTGGCGAGGATTCGATTGAGGGCGACCCGATGCGTCTACCGAGGCGACTCGTCGATGAGGCAAGCGCTGAACTTCAGAGGGACGAGGTAGTCGTCGTGACGGACGGGAGCTTCCAACGGAACTCAAAGGGCGGGGCGGTAGATCTAGAGAAGATGGAGAAGCAGGATTCGGAGGAGCAGCCTGCTGCTGGCGTTGCCGTGAAAAGGTCGTAAACGTGGAAGGGTCGTGAACTTCGTAGGTCTCGTCAAAAGCGTCGGGGACGTGGTAAGACACTGCTGAGGATGTTGGATGAAACGGAGAAAAATGAGAAGACAACGTGAGAGAGGAGAAAGCCAAGTACAAGCAGGTCGCAGAGACACGCGTACTCGGAGCTTTATGCCAGCTCTTGACAGCAGCAGCTCAAGCAGGGTCTTCGTATCCAACAGCGGTCTGAAGCCCGACAATTAAAAAAACAGTAAAATAAAGATAAAACAAGACAGGAGAATTAATAGATCGGAATGTGGGTATTAAACAGCAAGAATAAGCAGCAAGAAAAAGGCGAAGACAGTTCAGGGTGCGAATGAGGCGACTAAAAGACAGGATTAATGGCCCAGTTGTGGCTGGTCGAATAAAGAGTGTCCGCGATGGGGATTAAATGGGATGGCTGGGAGGAGTTGCAGCGCAGCAGACTGCCGGACGGCCACGAGCAGCGGAGAGAGCCTCGTAGCAGTCATTGGAGAGCCAAAAAGCTCAATTGGCTGCTGGGCAACAAGAAAATCCCGGAGAAGAGGCCTCACTTTGCCCAAGAGACGCCAGAGGTGGGTGTTTCTGGAAGAGAATGGAGAGCGCCAGCTGGTGCGACGATGACGCTCGGCCAACAACAGCGTTGGGTTTTCCGACCTGACGGTGTTTCGCCCTCCTGTGTCCACCTCACAGTTGCAACAAACGACAGACTCCGCTTGACTTGGCGGTCTGGTATCCTGAAGTAAGGATATGATGATTAATTTGAGAGATACTGAGACTGATGAATTGCTGGTAGCTAGGTCTTTCTGTCCACCGTCAATCTATCTCCTACTCGCACGGATCAAGGCGCGACTAAGTCCTGCCAAAACACCAGTGAATCATCACGTCCAATTGCGATTTTTCACAGCAGATAGAAGCCTAGAGAAGGCGATGGCTACGACTCTTATGGTTCAGGAGATGGCAGAGCCACGGAGAGAAAAAAAAAATACTCAACCAATATTGGGCTGGGGCTATTGATGAACTACTGAGACCCATTTCCCACAATCCCATCACCTACAATGCAATTATCGCTCTAGAAATCCTCCATCAAGCAGCACACAAGGGAACACTAATCGTGGCTATTATGTCCTTTCCATGGTCGGGGCTCCGGCTAATAATGGAACACCAGCACATCGCGGTGCGTTGGCAGGCGCTGCTTGATGGGCTTTTGGGCCGACCCAACCCCTGTCGACCGGCTGTGAAGAAGCAATATATTGTGCCTGTCCCGCCGTCATGTATGTCATTGCTGCCATGAGTCTTCAGGGATTTACCGATGGCGAGTCCTTTGTTCCCAACCTCGAGGCGCCAATTTGCCATTTCTTGGAACGAACCACTTGAATCTTCCCCACACTGGATCCTCCAGGAACCCCGATCCAGCCAACTCCATCAGCCCGGGCACGGACAGGGTTCGTCATAATTTCCAGCTCCGCTAAAATGGTGGATGAGGCGATAATCGCCCACTGCGATCGATGATCTCTGTTTCCCTGCCTCATGTGAGAAAGGGGTTGAAGAAACTCCTTCCTGGGGGCTGAGATTTTCCTCCTGATTCTGGAGTTTTAAAGTACGATAATTCGACAAGTGACGACATTGAAATTGAGATACGCGGGCGGTATACCGAAACGACAGTTTATTTTATCGTCATCTAGCAACCGTTGATTAAGTTCGAGACAGAATATAAGAAAGGAAAGAAAAATCCCGTACAGAACAGGATTTATATGCAAGGGATATTTAATCGCCGATTGTTCTTCGGTTCGTTCCTGAAGGAGCCAGTCTATCCGTTCCGGTTTCAGAAATATCGATATACCTTGCAGGCGGTTTCAATAACCTCATCTACAGTGTCAACAGTACACATCTAGGATGTGCATTGCTTGTCATCCAGCCATAGGATGAACTTAGTCGAAATTAAACCAGGCTCTTTGATTCCTATTCTTGCCCCCTCCGCAATTCGAAACTCATGAGGCTAGCCGGAGAAACAAACCAATTCCCTTTGTCGCCTGTTTTGGGATATCGACCGCTGCCCTGCCTTGTCCAAGGTCGAGGCCCTAGTTTAAGCTCATCGATCGATCTCTGGGATTATCGTGATCGCCCATGCTTCCTGAAAAATGAGACAAGCCAAGGCCAATGCAGGTTAATCCCGAGAAAAGCCCAGTCGCCGAGTCGGGGACCAATGGCTCAACTGTCAATAGACAGTGGTAAACGAATATTTACGAGAGTAGCACGCATGATCATGTACATGCCTACGAGGTGCAGGTGTAGCTCCACTCACGAGGGCTGATTGAAAAGAAATTTTCCAGATATAGCGTGATTCGACAATTGGAAAGACGAGGTACATACAGAACCGCTATCATGGACCGTACATACATATATACATCTGGACGGTGCATCCGACTCCCGTGCAGTGTTTCTTCTCCCGGGGATTTGGTCCCGACTTAGACTGGAATGCGGGCCATGCAGACTGTTTCTTCCCCAAGCCTGCAACTCTTTCTTTTCCCCACACTTCGTGCTTGTTCTTCCCATTCCAGCCAACTTCACCATCTCGAGCCCAGATCTGGAGAAAAATCCAATTGCCCGTGCATCAACTGGCCCCACCGAGATGACCCATCCTTGTTCCTCTGTCCCAATGTCTGACATTTGTCCAGCCTGATTTTGTCGTCGGAGCTCACCCAGATGGTAGCACTGACTATCTGCGCATGGAGGTGGATCAAAGATTTCAAATGATATTGCATTTCGTAAAGGCTAACAGATACGAAAGAAGATCATCCTAATCGAGCTTCCCACAGAAGAATGGATTCCACGTATCCCAGGGCCCGTCTTCATAATGGGAAGAATTTTCCATCTAGTAGGCTGGCACAGGTCTCATCCTAAAACACCAATGGAACGCGAAAGGCTTCGCTGTAGTTTTTATGCTCAATATAGTTCAATCGCCATGCAAATGGATGAACTATGATACCTTTCACAAGCATGAAACTGAAATCTCCAGGTTCCCATCTATTCTGGATTGTTTACATGCACACAGGAGCACCACTCTGTATACTCCGGGGTAGCCGGTCTATTCCGCCAGTTATCGACTGGAATCGACAGCAAGGGCAGCAGTCTCAAGAAGTACCACCAGCCCCTGCTGGGTTAATTCGGTGGTGTTTACATACAATTGATCAACTTTGGATCAGCACACACACACACATACACACAGAATTCAATAGAACCTGCACATCCTCGACAGTACAGATTTCCAACAGCAGCATTGTTTATCTTTTGCGCATTTTAGTAGTCGGAATGGCCCTCCGGAATGCGGGGCTAATGGCAGCTCTTTTGCACAGCAACGAGCATGGAATAGGTGGATGCGACGCTGTGGCCGATCCGTCCAAGGTCTTTGGCGAATTGGCTCCTTGGATCAACCCTTTCTTTGAGGCTTATTGTACTGAATAATTCTGGGCTGATGGATCGACCACCATTCTACCCCAGCGGAGCATGGACCAGCATTAGTGGACGATCCGGGAAGCCATCCGCGGGCAAGTGCCAATGTCATAGCGCATCAGACTGTTGATATCTCACATTCTGGACCAAATCGAGCTGCCGACGACGACCAGGTTACTGGAATCACAAGGCCCAACCTCCCCGCAGTCTCTTTGCTTCCACTATCTGCAGTCTACCAGTCGTCCGGCTGGTACGGGGTACGGGGCACCTTACGCGACTACGTAGTCGGCACTGAGCACATCGATTGATCAGACGTACTATTGCAGCCCTCAAATCATCTGGCTAACTGCTCTGTACTGCCACTAGGATTGTGGAGATGTGGCGGGAAGATCAAATCTCCTGAAAGGGACTGCTGGGCAACAAAACACTCCGATGATGTTATGACTTGGCCCCTTGAACAGCAGCTGGATCAAAACAATGACTGTTGATATTATTCCGTGCTGGGCTTATTGACATTAATATTTCAAAGTCTGACTTTAAACACCCGCATCATCTCGCTGGCGGATCAGTCCCGGGACCCTCCCTTGCTGCAGTCGAGATGGCCTGTTCGCCTTGCAGCGCCATCCATCCCTATGAAAGGGGACTATGTAAGGTCTGATAGGCCATTGGCGTCTGTGCACTCGGACGATTGTGCTTTGTTTACATGATTCTTGCATCGGCATGCGTCTGGATTTTCCTCCCCGACTAGCCACCATGTTGCCAGCAGCCCGGGTCTGATCCAGGCGTGCTGGGGTATCAGAGTTATTTTTGGGGAGCTATGTATAAACATATCCCTTCACCCTTGTCATTCTTTCGATCGCTGTGTCTTCATTCATTCATTCATTAATTCTTCATTCCAATCGTTCGGCGCCCAACGACCCTTAGTCTGTTGCCATTACTTCCCATGCCCCTCTCACTTCTTTAGACTCATCTTGTATCGATATCGTTTGTGGCCGTTGGAATCATAGCCCATGGCTAACGGATACTCTCACCTTCCCGGCGACCTGGACGTTTTGCAGAGCGACGGGAACAGATCGCAGACGACAATTCTTTTGCCATCGCCATCGCCATTGAAACGAGTATCGACCTACTATCCGAAGAAAGGCCCCGAGGTGCTGGAGGAATCGAACGCAGATCCCTTCTACCTCGAACAATCCTTGACGGATACCGGTCACTGGGACTCTCTCAAACCGGAGACTCGCGATGTCAGATTCAACGAAGACGCTAATCAATATTTCATGCTATCCACCGTGAATCCTGCGAAAGACTACACATTCCCTCCTAGCCCTGTCCGTCGCAATACCTTGCGATCCCGTAATATCAATCGGTCAACCCTCTCTGTGGTAGAGCTCGAGAACGACTTGGGCTTCCAAGAATTTGCAGCACAACGCTGGGAGAGAAAGCCCCATCACTATAGCAAAGGCTCTTTCGGCTCCATCCAGAGCGAGGCCACCCCGGATTTAACCCCGAGTAGCTCGTTTTCATCGAACTACTCAGCCGCCCCATTGCACCCTGATCTCGTCTTGAAAGCGACAGATCAGCTGTCACTACAGGCTCACCAGGCTCATTCCGAGACTGGTAACCAAATCTATCTCACGCCTTGTACCCCTCCTCGGTCTCGATCAGCTGTGTCAACACAGCCATCGACACCAACGCGGAGTAGCAGGTCCAACTTGGAAACCCTGAACGAGTCATCAGACACTCTCGTTATGAGTTCTGGAGACCTTCCTCCAGCTTTATCCCGCCGTGGGAAGCCTCTTCCTACGCTCCCCAATCTTTCTCGCAATGCGAACTCTCTTCCAAATAGGAAAGGACCAATCCAGGCCAACCGCTCTCAGATCGAGCCGTCAATGATCTCACCTCCAAGCCTGATCAATCCAGTAACAATGGAACCACACACATCACATTTCGACCAGGCGTTTTTCATTCCAGCTCATTCGTGTCCTAGTCCTGTGCCTAGCCCTTCGGCGACTTCCCCACCAATCACCAGACAAGGCACGATCCGTTCGTCGAGGGATAGACCATCCACATCGACATCTGATGTGTTCTGTGAACAGTCCGTTTGGGAATCAGACTCCGATTCAGAGTCTGTTGGACCCAAGTCCCTTTCCCGGAAGCCAATCGACACCCTTCGGAAAGTTCGCAGTCGAGTGCATTTGCGCGTTGCCAAGTCGGCACCAAAGCTAAACTCTACTTCACAGGAACAGCCAGACATGGAAGCGTTCCCATCGATTGAGCATCACGGGGGACATCGTTTCCCGGAGCGTCCAGCTACCATGGATCATCCTCCTTACAGCAGAGATGCCCTTCGCCCAGCGGGCCACCAGACCTTGCGGCTTGTCGCCCCCTCTACGACGTCACTTGTTCGACCTCGTTCCAGAAGAGACAGCCAACCTGCGGAATATGACATTGATCGATCTACTGCCGCCGCTATCCAAGCCAAATCACGACGCAAACAGCGCTCAACCTCCCCCGAAGAGGTTAGCATTCAACATGGCGAGAAAGTCTGTATGTGTCACGATGACCGATCGCATAGCACCATTCACGACAGCTTGACTCTAGCACGCCCGCCATTGTTCAAACGGATTTGGGAATCACTGCGGGTTCTGGGTTGTCACAGTGACATGACAACTCCCAAGCCTTCTCGCAAGTCCTTTTAGTCAATTGATTCTGCATCGGAGTTTTACAGTCACAAACCGGTACTGGGCTGTCGGCGTTTGGTTTTTTCATTTACGAGACCGTGTTGGAACGGTTTTCATGGTCGCTACATTGAAACGATTTTTTCTCTCTTTTATGAAATCTGCATACCTCGTCGTTATTCGGATGGTCTCAAGAAATTGGATCATCCTGGAAGTAATGAAGACGATGAAATGACTGCATGTGAGATGGATCTTATATCTCCATGAATCCATATGACCTAATGAACCTGGGGGACACCCTCGGGCTATCTACGCAACAATGTTCAACGACGCACTCGTTATGCGCTGCTACGAACGATCTTTACGCATGAATTTATGAGGCAACGGCTGGAGTTACTGACTTGGTCCCGCTGCTATCACCCCATTCTTTTCGTTTCACTTACCCTCTCCCAGGCAAATCTGTGCCGAAATTTCCTTTGGTTTTTGATATCGACCCTCTTTCCCATCGCACTCGTACTCTGCATTCTCTGACTCATTTCCTTTTTCTGTTACAGTCCATGATGTGTACTGACATCTGTCACTCTTTACAACTAATCCTCGCAATGTCCATGACACCACAGTCTTTCTGTTGTTTTTCCTTTGCAAATTTGTATCGCACTATAAAAAAGAAAAGCCTGAAGATACATATGGCGCAAGCCCACTGGACAGAAACCAATCCGGCAGCAGAAATTAATGTTTACCGCATTGCTGTGTTCAGCATGCAACCTCAACCAACCTCCCATCAAAAACATACAAAAAAGCTGGAAAGGAAAAGCAAATCATCAATTATTCGTTTTTTGGCAGAGCAATCTTGGAGTTCTTCGGGTCAAACAATATGATACCATGGGAATTGTTTTACGTATCATGCATGGTGGCAAATTCTCTTTTTGGCCAAAAGTTCGCCAGTGTTTCATTTGAATAGGTAGATACAATAAAAAGAGTTTCTTCTCGAGTTTCAATATTTCATGTAGATTGATCAATTTGTCTCATCCAACCACACACAGGCACAGTGCACCATCTCTGACATTCTCCGTCTCAAAATCCTTACATCTACACACCACCACCAGACATGACACAAGTACTACGGAAGCCCATAATCCTTCATGCAGATCCTTCAATACTATCCCCACGTTGGTCAGCGACAAAAGTACTCTGCATCAGGACGGTGAAATTGATCTATCATCCCTCGAGGGTCCGATAAGGTTTCGCGGCTTTAGGATGTGGGATTCCGCGTGGGAATTGTTGTAGATGCGGAGGTTTTTTTTTATTTATTATTATTGTTATTCTTCTTGCATGCTGTATTTTTGGGGAGTGATGATCCCTTGCTTATTTTGTCTTTGTGGGGGTACTTTGTGTATATGTGTGTCAATTCATTCTTATGTATGGTGTACAGGTGTAAAATCAAGTTTTTCAATGTACTCCTATCGAGTATGAATATAGTCGTTTGTTTACTTTGTATACTCTGTTTACTGCACAGGAGGGCAACAGAATACGCAAGGCATGAGCTCATATGCAAGTGATTTGAATAACAGAGTACAGTACATGCGCCATCGCATCACAGAGATCGCTGTTTGTCTCTCATGTCTTGCCTTTGCATCTGCATGGACTCGCATAGTACATTTACTTTCTGCTTGATCCCGTTTGGGGATTGGATGCCAGGGTTGGTTACACGTTCATGTGTGGAGAGAATTTCAGTGGTATTTGTCATTTGTTGTTATCCCTTCATTTGGCCGGTTTGTTTGGCTTTGCAGGTTCTATAGCTATAGCATTGTTATCTGGAGTGAGGTCTTGTCGAGAATATAGGCTTTTATGCTCATCAGACAGCGGGCGCGGCGTATCGTCAAAGAGGTAGCTGTAAGCTGTATTGTCTGCTTCTGCTTTGACAGTCCGTGCTGTATGCTTTGCATGAAGAATTGAATCGTGCCTCGGCTTGTACTAGAGTATTCCAAATTCTTCCTTGCAGCCCCGGGACAGGCAGCCCTAACCCGGCGTTGGGAGTTTGGTGCTGCGAGGGACTGGGGAAATCGACGGCTTCCGCCGAGGTGCTCCGGCAGAGGCGCTGTGATTCCAGAACCTCCAATGGCCAAGGGCGACATTCCTCGTATGCAGTGTATCTTGTACCTGCAGGATGTCTTGGGTTCGACGGGACCATCCGGATTGGCAGCAGGAACCCGGTTGGCAGGCAGAATCTACCGGAACAAGGAGATGGAGAAGCAGGGACGGCGAGTTCAGCTCTGCTCGTTGCTCTCATCCTCTCCTTCCTTCTCCTTCTCTTCGAGGGCGTCCATGTTCTGTTCCCAGTGAGCCACCATGACCCTATCCTCCCATTGTGAAACCACCGGACCACCTTTTCGAGCGAGCTGATCCTCAGCACTTTCCTCCTCTCCTTCATTGTCCCTGGGTTCTTGCGGCTCCATCATGTTCCCCAATGTCCCACCCATCCCCGCAAAGACAGCCTGCACATCCAGCTCCTTCACAGCGCTTCTGTACAACTTCAAAATCTGCTCCCTTTTCACCCGTCGTGCCTCGATAGCCTCTTCGGACTCCTTGCCCCCAGCAGCCCCACGCTGGGGTTGCTTTTTCACCACCGCGGCCGAGGCCCGACTCTCATATCCGCGCAACACCCCTTCCATTATCCCCAGGACAGTCCCGGCTCTCATACCCAATTGTGCTCCGACTGGAAACCCCGCATCAAATCCATTTTGAACATGTTCTCCTTTTGATGCAGAGATTCCATCACGGTATCCGGCTGTGACATGTTGACGGCGCATGGAGGGGAGATCGGACGGCTCTTGGCCCTTCATGGCCTCTGGCTGCGTCTCTTGGACAATTCTTGCTGATTCATGGGGTGGTGAAGAGCCAAAGATGTCGTCGAGGGTATTGTCGACTGCTGCTGGCTCTTGCATCGTCACTGGGTCGGTTTGTGTCGAGCTCATCGTCGTGGTGGGGTAGCGGGGTAAATTTGCAGTCGTGGTAAAGGGAGACTCTCGATATATTAAGACGGTAAATGCTGTATAATCATGCAGAAACCTGAGATATTCTGCGATGTATTTAGACCGATCGAAGAGAAATTCTGACGTGGTGGTCGAATTGATGTGGAGGAAGAAAAAAAGTTCGGAGACGGCGGGGAAGAATTGGCAGTGGAGCGAAGATCACAGCGTCGTTGAAAGCTGCATCGGTGGAATTCCGATTCGTTCCATGATGCTACTCATCGAGGGATCGACTGGCAATCTGCAGCGTCTTTCTGCTCTATCCTGAGCACTTTATAATGCATGGTGCATAATTCCTGCCTCGGAGCCGGGGTAGTCTGACCCTTTTCTTTTTTCGGCCCCCAGTTGGGTTCTTTATCTCCACGTCACGCCATCAACGTCAGCTTTAAAATGGACCTGTCGCGCTGTTTACAGGTCGTCTTTGACGAATATCCTGATCTATAGTCCTCACTGGATCATCAGTCAACCAGTCATGGCTTCACGATCCAGGTCACGTCTTCTCTTCGCTCTCGCCCTCCCGCCTGTGGCTGTCGGATACGGCATCCACAGAGGTCTAACCACTCTGGAGACAAAATACCCTTCTCTATCTCCCGAATCTACGACTAGCCAGGCTTTGAGCATTCCTCGACATCTAGGGCAGCAGCACTGCCCACATATCCACGTCCATGCGGCTCGTGTGCCGGTGTCAGCACTCCGGCCATACGCCGACCCAGCACGAAAGGACACAAGCAAGTTGACCAGTCAAGATCTACAATTTGCATGGGCCCGAGCACTCATCGGAAGTCCTCTCCTGCGTAATGAAGCGCGCATTGCTGGTCTTTTTACCAATGGGCGTATCTCTCTAGGAGATATGGGTCATACTGCAGGGGGATTTTCTCTGAAGACGGAAGATGGATCCCCACGTCAGCTGCTGAATGGCGTCATCGTGGTTCAAAGACCACCCGGAGAAGAAGGTCTTCTTGGTGCTTGGATTGTACCCGATGGACCGCGGGAGCTTTTCGAAAAGATTTCACGTTGGGGATATTCCTCCCGGTTGATGTCGGGTGGTCGACATGAGACCAGCGTATCCGAGCCATTCGAAGGCGAAGGAGAAGATAAGGCGAATGGACCTTTTGTTGAAGTTCGATTAGCCTCAGCGCATGATTACGAAATTTTCCCCGAGGAGGGGAATTTGCAAAAGATGATTCCGGCTTGGTTGGACAGACTGCATCGTGGCTATGCCCGGTGGATACTTCATAAAGCTGTTTGCGAGGTACAGCAAAATGCATCGGAGAGAGGATCATGAGAAGTCTGATTGTTTAGATATCCGGTCTATCCATATGAAATTTCTACTGATGCTATGGTGTACTTCGGCATTGATTATCTTGGGAGCAATGGAACCCATTTGTGGTTTCAAAAAATTGCCTGTTTCTTCTTTCATTCGTGCAAGTTCTAACTGCAGTACTTCCAGAATTCCTGGTTATCTATATGTTAAAAGAACTTCTTTCTCTCATATCTATTTACTTTGTTTGCCATCTTCATTGGCTTCTTATGTTATTCATCTGTTCATTCATCTAACCTTTCGCATTTCAATTCATTTACTTCTGAATGTTGGCTTATTCACCATTCTGGGAAATTTAAGAGCCGTCTCTTACCTGGTGAACATCCATTTTTTCTACATACCACTTGCTCATTATACCTTGGATGGTTATATAACCTATAAACTCCTATGGACACAGCCTGATACACTCATCGGATCTTCAAGCAAGCTAATATAAACTCGGGAAATGTCCGTTAATCTTCCTGCCGCAGATGGGCAGATGGGATGATACAACAAGGCATCATCCAGGTGACGAAGCAATAGTCAACATCACTTTGATCATATGCTTACAGAAGACGGCCAGTATATGAGCCTGGTGGGCGTCTCTACAAACCAAAAAGGTCGGTTCAAAATCTTACAATCTGCCCCGAATTTTATGTCCCATAGCTTACTCTCAATATCAGTCATGCTTTCATCTATACCAACTGCCAACAGAAACATTGGCTTTTCCCAAAGCTTACCGATAATTGGAGAATGTCTTCGCATTTATACAAATACGCTTCTTCCTTTGAATGAGCATTGTTGAGCCAATCCATGAGAATCGGCCTTCAATAATTCGAAAATTATCGCTCGCCCAGAATCTCGTTGAAAAGTCATTGGATGCGAATCGAGTCCTCTACATGAAGTCTTATACTTGCCAGCAAATTTCACAGGAGATTTTCCACCCCAGAATACTCGTTCTGACATTCCCATCAACTTATCATTGCTGGCTGATGGTAGCAACAAAACGCCGGGTTTGCTTCACGCTCGTCACAGAGTCGACACTGCTAAATCAAAAGAGGACAAATCCGGGATGACAGGTGGAATGTTATGCCACCGCGCCCAAACGCATTTTAACATCGAAACCATCACTCACAGAAGACGAATGGAAGTAGCTTGACGACGAACTGGCCTGATGACTTGCGTTGTCGCTTCGGGTTCTATACCGCATTCCACAAGACGATAATCGTCATACGGCACCACAGTATCATATCAATTAACAGAAATGCATTTTATAGAAAATTTGAAATGGCGGAGTTCCACCAAACTGAGCTGAATAACTGGCTTCGTGCTGTCGAAGAGTGCCGAAAAGGTAGGCCACATCAAAGAAGTAATATAATTACTCCATATTGCAGTTACTGACTGAGAAACAGTCCACTTTACAGTGTTCAAGCCGATCCCAACAAGTCGGGGACAAAGACAACTCTATCGATTCCGACTTTCAAAAGACTTACGATGTTGACGAACTGGAAAAAGAACTAAGGAACTGGGGGGCCTCAGGATCAAAATAACCCTGACTTATTCCACTTCCAAACAGACGCAAAAAGATAGCATATCCAGCATATCCAGCTTCAAGATGCCCAGGACAAAAGCCAAGATTCCAGGAAACGAAGACGAATGGATCGATGCGGCCAATCGGACGGGACTTGAGGCGAGAAAGGTTCATGATCAGGGACTAATCCTCGAACCGTCTTTGGGAATGTGGAAATTATCACGGCAACTCCTTTGCAGATTTATGGAGAGGAAGCAAGGGTGACCGAATTTCGACTTCACCAGGGATTTTTTGTCCAGGTCAGGGTTCAAGATGAGGTGAACTTCTACCTCTTTGTATATGATGATGGCGAAGCTGTCACTGCCATATAGGTCATCCCGATACGCACAGTGTGTCGCTCAGCATCACTGGGAGGTGACTTGGGACCTTCAAGTCTCTACCTTTCCCATACTCACTCTGGGCTTATTATTTCAACATTGTTCATAAAAAGGCTTAGACCACACTATACAACAGCATGTTTACAACCTTCAAATCCAACTTATAAACTCCACCCTCAACACCCATTATAAAATCAACACTCACTTCCCCCAACTACAACCTTCCACCCCTTCCACCCAGTAAACGGATAACAAACCTCCCAACCCCCCCTCACAACTTCCACTGGCTCACCCCCACAATCCCCCTCCTCATACACACAGAGATCATACGTCGTCACTGGGCTCTTCCACGAGATACTCCCCACCGTAGTCGTATTATACAAACTCGAGTCCAGCGCTGAGCAGTTCCTCCCGTGGAGTCCGGAACGGTGGAAGACGGAAATGTCGATGTTGGATACGTTGGGGTTGCAGTTTGATGGTCTTGGTGTGAGGAGGCGGAGGTCCCACTGTTATATTGATTGTGTTAGCATTGGGTGTTCCATATTTGGTGTTGGGGAGGGTATGTACGTTTCGTGGTTTGAGGATTTCTCGTTCGAATTGGGAAGTTGCGGAGGCTGTGAGGGCGAGGAATGGGATGGCGAGGAGGGTGAAATGCATTTTGACGGTATTGACGTCTGTGGTGGGTGATTATGTGCTGGGGATTCTCCAAAGTGAGGAGTAGAATTATAAAGAAGAAAATGTCTTTGACGGTGGGAAATTCAGATCTGGACTGGCGTGTCTCGGCGATTCAGGAACATCGCGAACCAAAGCAGAGCATCAACTTTTAGCTAGAATTGCTGTGCGCGTAGTCGGTCGAAGTGATTGGTTCAGCATCTGCAGTAGTACAAGTCGAAATGCAACATCATACGGAAGTTTTGATGGGTCAAAAGGTCAATTGATCTAGACTTGAATAGTCTCAAATTTACTCCATTGGAGAAGGAAGACATCTAATATTTAACTTTATTAATACATCTCAACATGAAAAGCGTTCAAAATAAGCTACGCAAAGTCTAGTCTAGTCATCCAGCCGTTTATGATCGGTTTCCAGACGCCAATCTCCATGCCCGCAATGGAAGGTCCTGAAGCTTATAGGCTGCAGGTTTGATGAAGAGCAAGAATGTGACGGTTCCAATGAGAACACACAAGATGTTGGTGGTGTAGTAACCGTCCTTTAGAACATTGCACGTACCACCACCGTTGTGGCAGCGGTTCTTCTCCGGCTCGAGAGCACAGGAGAATGCCTCGGTCACCAATGCACCCTTCAGAGAGTCGGCAGCAGGTGGAACCGTGGGAGGAATACAGGTGGCCTCGGTGAACAGATCGACGAGTTTCATGATGAAGAATCGAGGGAATGTACCTCCCAGATTGGACACACTGGAGAATGTTAGCAAATGAAGCGCAAAAGAATGAGAGTGTAGACTTACGTTGCCAACATGGTCATATAAGTCCCGCCAATGACCGGATCAGCAATGCGCGCATGGAAGGCCGACACCGCGACAAACATAACCGTGTTCATGAACGTCGAGATAACATGTTCTCCAATGACGGTCAAAAGATACCAGAAAGGAACCTCAGTGCTGGCAGGGTAGATCATCACAGTGGCCTGGGCCAGTACTGCGGCAATCAGTCGTCCTATAAAAGCCCAGCACCACAGACGCATAGGAGTGTATTCCGTTGACCATTTTCCGGCATAGTAGCCCAGGCAAATCTCAAAGGGAAAGTCGATAAGAACCACCAAAGCCATATTGTCCTGTCCGAAGCCCTTGTCCAGTAGCTTCAAGCTTGTAACACCATCATTGGCCTGGAATCCGATCTTGGCAATGAGATGGACAATAATGATCGTCTGAATGTTCTTCAGCTTCAAAATATTCCACATGCTCTTATAGACATCCATAATACTGTCCCGCTCCTTTGTCTTGTCTTCTTTCTTCAGGAAAGCAAGACCCGCCGTCACGCAGAGATACGCCCAGCCCCAGAATGTCAGATATGTGCCCAGAGAAAGCAAACCACCCTCTGCAGGTACAGCCCGGAACCAACGGTTGGCAAAGTCCTTGGAGTTGAACGCCAGAAAGACGGTATAAGACAGGAAATGTCCAGCTGTCAGTCCCACGGTCTGGGCCGTCGAAGCGTAGGAAATATTCGGAGGAGACATCAGCGAAATCGCCCATCCGTCCACAGCAATATCCTGCGTGGCGCAGAAGAAGACCAGCATGAACCACCAGTAGGTGAAGTTCCACACGCCGGCTCCGCCATTTGCACCCGCCTGCTCCATCATAGGCTCAATGCGTCTGCCAAGGTAGATCATCGCCAGTCCAGAGACCACCTGCACGGGTGTAATCCAACTCTTCCGCCTGCCAAATCTCGGGCTCCATACTGCATCGACAATAGGACTCCACAGCAGCTTGAGCGAATAGGGATAGGATGCGAGTGAGAAAACGCCGATTTGGCCGTAGGAGAGGTAAGGCTTAAGCAGGAACGGCACGGACCCTGTAGCCAGCCCCATGGGGACTCCTTGCAGAAAGTACAGCAAGCATAGCAGCAGGAAGTTCCTCCGATCAGCTGCAGGTAGATTATGGAAACTTGTGTTGGTAAGAGCGGGTGTTTGCGGTGTCGTCAAAGGGGGTTCTTCGTCCAAGGTAAAGTCCGAGCGGGACATTAACCGGGCGGCCTGGTCAGAGGACTCGGAAGATGATGTATCTCTCTTGCGCATTTCAATATTGGAATTCATCTCGCCGTTAGCATAGCCGTTCAGACCGGTCGCAATTGTCAAGTTCGGCTTAGAGCCTCGTTTGGTGACGGTACGGCCCTTGCGCTTCATCGGTGTGCGTCCAGTTCCACAGTAGTATGAGTCGCCGAGCAATCGAGTGGCTTCGACGGTGTTTTCTTATTGAATTGGATTTGAGGTTGGTAGAAAAAACCGTTGTAGTCGTGCGGGGGGTGGTTGATCAGTGCTATTTCCGCATGCTAGCTAAAGTTCCACCTGGTTATAATTAGACCGGAATTAGGGATTGGGAGGATGTGACAGAGGAAACGTACATGGAGAGGGAGAAAAAAAAAAATCAAGGTCAGAGGAAAGGGAATTCATCCAGATGGTGGAGGATGGCGAACGGGATGCTTGGTGGAGGGATTGAGGCAAGCTGGCCTCTAGTCAGGAAGAAGATCCTCACTGCCAGAAGGGGGCGAGTTTGGGAACCAATAATACAGGCGACTACGGACTCCTGATTACAAAGTGCGTATGTGGCATCTCGAGATTAATAATGATTTATGCGCAGGATGGAATATGATGGATCGATGTTCTCTGGCTTGAGGAATCAATTCACGAAGAGAGGAAATAAGGATCATCCTGCAATCCTGTATGCTTGTTGATCCCAGAATCATGCTGCTTCTCCACGTTTTTTCAGGGTCTGACCATACCCCATACTAATGTATATCCAAAAAGCTATTAATATTGACATGCATCGAAGGAATTGATGGCACAATTATCGATATTTATGAGTAATGTTCTTGGATAGTGTCTGGCTCATGTTTTAAATCATTTAAATCATGTCTGGAGGATATTTACACCCCTGAGATAACATACCAAGAGCACTCAAAAAACACGAAAGACTTCTATAATATCAGCAGAAAACCTAAATCCAATATATTGATTTTAGCAATTATTCCTACCATAATAAGTGTAATAACATCAATGCTTTTTATAGTCGAAATAGAAAAAGAAAAGAAAAGAAGCAACATGTCACGTGCCTCAAATGTGTATTGTACTGTAATCTGTAATCCATCACGCCTGATATCATCACCACTACAACAACAGCAACAAAGAAGCAGAACAACTTACCCCTGCTCTAATCATCATGGAACCTACAGAGCCCTACCTGGAGGAAGAGCTGGACTCTGATATATCCTCAATTCGCGCAGAGAGTAAGCCTATCTCCACACCAACCTTTGACCTCATCTAAACAAGCCCCCAGTCCGAAACCTGCAAAAACGACGACGATTCCTCTCCTCCAGCCTCCTCTCCTCCGACTACATCCAAAAGCGACTGAAATCTACACCCACTACCGCATCCCTAAGCGATAATATCTCCCCCCTCGTCCAAGCCGCCGGAAACCACGCCGAATCGAACCACCACCGCGTCGCTTTCTCCGCGACAACCTTCCCCTTCAAAGATCCCAACCCGAATTCCGACTCTCCAAATTTACTCGGCGTGCGTATCGATGTATGCGCCAGAAATGGCCGATTCACGAACCCGTACTATGTTCTTTTGAAACGGATCCCGGGCGATGGGGAGAAGCGGTTGCGCGTTCATCGGCATACCATTCCGGCGTTTATCTCGATGGAGAAGCTTGAGAGGAGATATCTACCTTCTCCTCCGGTTAGTGAGGATGATGTGGTAGAGGCGGAGCTGAAACCGTGGAAGGCGAAGAAGCAGGACCTGCGCGCTTTGGTTCGGGAATTAAGGCGGGAACTCGTCGCGTGGCATCTGAGAAGGGGTGCGATGGATTTGCTCAGGGAGAAGTTGGGTGCGGGGCGAGATGATGCGTCAGATGGGAATACATCGTCAGAAGACCAGGGGCAATTGCCGATAAACTCTATGGGGATAGTATCGTTGTCTCCGACGACTCTGGAGACAAGATACGTCCGTTTGGAATGGGAAGACGGGCGCGTCGGAAGGTTCAAAATTTCCAGCACTGGCAAAGTGGAACGAGCTGTCGTTATTGGTGATCAGGGTCGGGTTAAGGTGTTGGAAGATGCCATGACTGGCGGGGATGGGAAGGCAGAAACCGTCCTCGACAGGTTGATAAAATATCAGAATACCTCGCAGACGCATGTGCGGTCATGATTTTAGACAAGACTGAGCAATATTTTGCTAATGAAAGACCATCAATTCGCTTCTAGATGACGAGATATGAGACTAAATACATCTATTGAAAAGAATGAACACCAAAATACCCAAAAGGCTATGCACAAGAAATCAAAAGGCCGCCAGATGCGTATATACAATGGCTGATTCAAGAACAGAACAAAAACGCATCAGCGCGTAATTAAGGTAAAATATATATCAAAAGATGGCAATGATAATGAGGGTCGCAGGGTGGGTGTGCCATGCAAATTATGTGAACCAGAATGAGGCGCAATAAGAGAAAAGGGTATCACTTGGACATCAAATCATAAGTTGGGGCACCGTCCCACCTCTCACGGTCTCTTCTGGTGCATTTGTTCCTCATCGCCTGCGTGTTCCGAGACGCAAATCGCCGAGTCCCTCGTCTCGTAGATGTGACCATCTGTAAACGACAATGGTGGAAGAGGCCCGTACGGCTGGCCATATTGCATTTCAAGCTTCTTCCGGAGAATCGCCTCTTCCAAATTCCATCGATGTCTCATCTTGGTCTTCTTCGCGTCCATGTTGTGCAATACCGACTGCTCTTCTTTCCGGTGGTGTCGCTGCAAGTCGGTAAACTCCATGGTGTGCTTGTTTATAAGGTCATCGAGCTCTCGTTCCATCCGTGCAATAGCCTCCTGCAATCTCAACTCTTGTCGATCGCGGAGGACTTTGATTTTTGCTTCGTGAAGCTGGTCCATCGAGTCGTGATCGCGGTATTGCTGCGCCAGCTGCGCCTTGTTCTGACTGGTAAATCTTCGAGCTGGCGGCGAAGTTGCATCGGAACCCGAATCATCGGGTTGGGGTGTTGGTGGCGGACTCGAGTTTCTAAAGTATCCTTCCATGTATTTAATTCGTGTGCGGGAGTTGACCTTGACTCGTTCAAAGTCGCGTTGCTGGTCGATTTCTAAGGCGAGCTGTCGTTCTTCCATGCGGGACGCATCGACGATGTTCTGATCTGGTTAGCGGGGGCATGTCTTGGATATGAATGGATTTATAGCCTACCCGTTCGCGCTTCTCTTCCTGCAATCGCTTGTTCTCTGACAGCTTTTCGGACATGGCAGTCTGTTGGTTGGACCTTAACCGATCTAGCAACGTATCTTGAAATGCAAGAAACCGGTTCTTCTCCAGCCTATGCGATTCACGCATCCGAATCAACTCCTGGTTCTCCAAGCTTCTCTGCAAAGTATCATGGTCGAAAACCGGGATCTCGAGCTTAAGATATTGATCATCGTCTCTCGGGGTAGGTGTATCAGGCGCATCATTAGCCTTTGATTCCACATAGACCTTATCCACACCACCCTCGCTCTTTGTGACAGTTACTTGCGCAGCGGGCGGGAGAAGAACCGCAGATGGTGTTCTCTTTCTTCGAAAAGGTAGTTTGCCAATTGCGCTTTTCAAGCTTGATCTCCGTTTTTCTCTTTTCTCCGTAGACCCGACGCTCAACAACGAAGTCCGGTGACTGGCTTTCCTTTCTTTGAGATTATCGTTTCCATGAGCGAACTTTCCCTCGCTAGAACTAAAGGACGTCGGTCGGGTGGACAGCGAGGCAATCGATCGGGTGCTCCGGGGTTTAACTCGATCGGAAATATTAAGTTCAGAAAGAGAGGATGCGACTTGATCCAACGGCAATGTTTCTGGAGAATGTGACACTTCGCACACGGAGTTCCGGTCGGTCGAAGAGCCGGAGGAAAGGACGGGGGAGGAGAGATCGACCATCCCGGAGGCAATCGATGCGGCTAGCGATGCAGCAACCTCAACCTCGGAAACATTAAGGCCCAACTCGCGAGCCTCATCGACTAACTTTTGCCCCAAAGAGGTTTCTACATCCTCAGAGGGCAGCAGAAGGACCTCATTGCGGTATTGGTTGTCATCAACACCGATGTGTTTTGACGGATCCATGATGCAATTGATACCAGGTTAATCTCCTAGCGCACACAAAAAAGGAGGGGTAGTCCGTTTCAGGGGTGCGCGTCAAGAAGCTGAACGACTCGTCCACAGTACCAGAAGCACAGTGGACGAGATGGAGGCGCTCAAAGGCAGCATCCGACTCTATTGAGGATGCACTGGGATAAGGAGAGGAGGGAGAGAAAGGGGACGAGAGCACCGTTGCAGGGGGGGTAAAGGGAAAGCAGGGCAGCTCTACTAACGGCCTAAAAAGGCTAAAAAGCCATGATTACTTTTATTTATTGCGGCCGAGAAGCAGAGCACTGGAGCAGCAGGACAAGAAGACTCATTTGCGGTGACCCACGGACCCGCCTGACCGAATCATCGCAGACAATCATGGCGAATGAGACCAATGTGATTCTGTTCACTCTGACTGGGACGGTGTATGTAACGCATTACACGACGGAGTACTTGCGGAGAACAGGCCAGAGAACAACAAATTGCCCCTGTCCCCTGACCTCCTGACCGTTCCGTTGTCCCGATCAGGCATCTAGGGCTTAGGGCTGGGGTGACCGGCTCGCCCCGGGTGACAAAGCCATGGTTATTGCTCTGGGGTCTGGTGGTTGCAGCCGCTGCTTCACCATGGCCCTGGATCAGGCACCGTGGCGTCAGCTGAATGAAGGCAATCTATGATAAATGAATTTCTCTAGCAAGAGTCTATCTCATTTCTTTTAAAAAAGCAGTCTATCGCATACACATCACAGATATCGTCACATGGCGTTCATATATACAAGACAACAACAAGCGCAATTCTCGCCTTGCGCAGATGACCAGTTACTGACGCAGTAGCATCGCAACTGCCATTGCATAGGCCTTTTCTTTCGCATCACCCTGGACGGTGCCTGCCTTGGCCCCTTTATCCCAGGCATGGTCACAGCCCTGCATGCGTTGGCAAACCACCTGTCGTCCAGGTAGCTTTCCCACCCTAGCCGCTATGTCTTCAGCCTCATACGCAAGATTGTCACCAGCTCCAGTCACAATCATAAGGCGGTCAGGAAATCTCTCCGCCTGGGCAAAAATGGGTGAGATGCGAGGGTCCCTGGCGTCGAATGAGGAAGGGACATAACAGTTGTCGAACAAACGCGCCACCGTGACGGGAAGGGGCTTTCCTCGGGTGTCCGGTGCTACCTTGGATTGTGGTCCTGAGTATAGATCGGTCACTGGGTAGAATGCGAGAACGGAGCGGAAGGTCTCGCGAGGGAATAATGTTGATGAAGCGGCCAGCGCCAGGTTCCCTCCGGCACTGAACCCCGAGATGGCGACTTGGGATAGGTCGAACTTGTCCGATTGTTCGAGAACCCAGTTAACGACATCTTCGACATCATTGAGTGCTGCCGGGAATGGATGTTCTGGTGCTAAGCGATACTGGACATCCAGCACGGTGTATCTGGTTTCTTGGCTCACTTGGCGACAGAATTCATCGTCACTGCCATGCAAGGGGATCAGGAATCCACTTCCGTGGAAGTTGATCAGAACTGGAGAGAGCTTTTGCTCAGAGGCCGATCTATAGATATGCGCCTTGATCGTTCTCCCAGCATCTCTGGATTTGATTTGATAGACGTCATCGGGCTTGGCAGAGATGCGTCTTCCACGAGTGACAATTGTTCTGGTCAGGAACGCAAAGAATTTGTAATAAATATAGGTGAAGAACATGGTGGAGTGTAAAACAGCAATAATACACAGTATTAGAGTGTCCACTTTAGGGGAAGAGAATGATGATGGCTCGGAACAGGCGGCGGAGGAGATTTTCAGCAGTACTTATTTAGCACATTTTGGTGATAACGAGATTCCGAGACTTGGACAAGTTCTGAAGCACGGCAATTCAAAGGATGATAAGAATCCGAAATGCCCAATTGTGCCGAGGAAGATGCGCTCACCATCATGATCTTTTCTCACCAAGTGAGTGGCTTGGAGGCTTAGATCACATCCTGAGAGGCCTTAGCTACAGATCGTCCACGCGTACGCGTGGTAAATAAGGTACATCCTTGGCTCTGTAGTGGAGAGTCTCCAGTGTGCCGGTTTCAACCTCAAACACACTCGTTCTCGAAAAACTGAAAGAATTCCGTCATTTTCATGCTACCCCTGGTACGCAGCCTGTGATTCGGACAATTTTCCAAAGAATAACAAGTCATTTTCATGCAATTCGACGATCTTGTCGGGATAAAAACGCAAATCGCAAGCTAGGAGCAGTCGGAGTAGTCACGGGCCGGCCACGGCAAAACTGACTGGGATTCACCGATAGATGTCTGATTTTTGAGAATATAACAAACATTTGGCTCTGATTGATCTAAAGTCCTGGTGCTGTTTCAGGTGTACATGAGATATCACGATGCCATCCTGGCTGGAAAAGTCGCTGCTGTCACGTGATGATATGTGGTGATTGTCGTGGCAATATGCCGACAATTCGCCGATACAGTTCTTATCAGTAAATACCACGCCATGCCCCATATCGGAACGCACCTTCTGGGGTCATGGGATGGCGAGATTCCGTCACCTTCAGCTTCATCTCCAAGTGCACACCGCCATAACAAACCAGCTCGCCATCACCATCAATTCTGGCTACAGGTGATCTGCTTAGCCTTTCAGTATCTTTAGTACCCTACCTTGCTTGAATCTGCCATCTAAATTCGACTGTATTAGAGCTTCCCTAGTTTCCAGGAGCTCTACCTACCTAGCTATATCACACTAACTGACAGTTGCCACCACTCTCTACACTGATCGTACTAGTACAGCAGAGAGTACAATAGCATAATGGCTGTGCAAAATGCATCTGGGGATACTAAATTCACAGTCTTCATTCGTCTGCCATTCCCTAGAGGCGATTTTGTGGATCCTCCACCTGCAAGTGCCTACGGTACCAATGTTGCAAAAGAATACGCACTAACTTCTCCAGGTTGAGTGGGACGCAGCAAAAGATCAAACCCTCTGGGATATCCTCTCACGTCCTTCCAAGGGAGATGACATAGATTGTACTACTGTTCTGTTAATGTCTCTAGACCGTATGCTGACTGCCTCATAGGGAAAGCACTGTAAAGATGCCCATCAGTCCGAGAACACGCTTTCAGACTCCTAACTCCTTATATACAGGGCCGATAAATTTGATGTGACTCTTCAGTTTCTACTTCAGCAGGCAGCATGGCTTTATGACCGGCAGTTATCCCAGGTCCGCGCCCAGATGCGCAAAGTGCCAATTCCATCAAATTCGCCGTCTCTTATCCCGGGCTCAGCATCAGGAAGCACGGCTCTAGGAGGACAACCAATGAAACCAACTACGAGTACAGGTACCATATCACTGCTTCTCGGAATGGAAAGAGCATAAACTCATCTCTATAGGATCCCGTGCACCAACCCGACTCCCCTCTCACCAGAAAGACACATTACCACAACGAAGTAAGTAATTGTCCTGGTTGCTTTTTTGTGCTTTGCGCTGTAGAATTTGTGATGGATCGACAGTGCTCTGACAACCTACAGCCGTTGGTCCGCGGCGCGCAAGCTCGAATAGTACGATAAACCAGGTAAAGGCTCGAGGAGAATCAACACGAAACGATACCCCAACCGCAGAAATAAAAGAACCGAGGTGGGAAGGCTTCGCTCAACGGTCCTCGGCAACCCATCACGCGCCTGCCCCAGCTGCTCCTATTCGCAGGTCGCCTACACTGGAAGAGGATGATATGTCCTCAAGCTCGTCCGGGTCTGAATCTGATGAAGAGGAGGATGGCCGGCGGGGTCACAAATTCAGGCATTTTGGAATGTACTCTATTCAAAAAGCCGGCCCCAGAGACGACGAGGATGACGATGAAGAGGATTCGCCTGCATTTCTTCCCTTTTCCCACGGAACCGAACATCAAGCGCGCGAGAGCTCTGGACAAGATCTTCATGAAACCCTTCGTTTGAACGAGCAGGCAGGGTCACAACGAAGGCGCATGGTAGAACGTAACCCTCCCCCCAGAACTCCGGTTACAGAATCATCGACGAGCTCGACCAGCTCTGGAGTTCCAGTCAGTCTACCACCATCGGAGAATCGTCGTCGTGTCCATAATTTCCCATCAACTCTGAGTCCTCGACGAGGCCCTCGCCTCAGTCCACGGAGGTCCGTCATATCTGGCAGAGAAACTAGTGATGGTACTCCTAGCATGGGCAGTAGCTATAGTGATCTGGACGGTAAGACCACATTCATATAATCGGCCAAAGACTGTACTGACAATGATATGCCCATATAGATACCAGTGTTACCCAATCCGCACTTGAGGAGGCCCTTCTAAGTAACATGCAGCATGGAGGAATGGCGAGTCGGATGAGCACTATTAGCCAGGCTCTACGAAGTCGCGTTTTACCATAATAACAAACATCCGACACCTTATCTTGAGCCAATCTGTACACTTAATCCGAATAAATAGGATGAATTGATTCAATCATGAAGGGGTCACGTGCCACGAACCGAGGCTGTCAAACTTACTGCCTGTATGGCGCTAGTACCAATACAGCTTGGCCGACGTCAGACCCCGCCAAATCCGAAAGCGGTGAAGACCGAAGCCCCTCGGCATCTCAACGGAATGAGGGAGAACTGGACAGATGGGCCATGCTGGATGCCGGCCTGTCGATTCGATACTCTGGAATGTCTATAGCGGCTATACGGACCGACAAGCAGTATCTGTTGGGACGTGGTTGGATCCGATCTGTGGATTGATCCTGCTCTTCTAAGCACTCACCGTTCAACATTCCACTAGGTACTTGCTACGACTAAGCAATTGAGGGGTATCCCACGATCAACTTCAACTAACCGTTAGACAAAGCTTCCAAAAACTGACAGCATCCTCGATCATTTTTATCATCCGGAGGATATTCCATTACTCTTAATATTCGTTGCTCTAGCTTTTATAGCATCTGATACTCTTTATTGCTTGAGACACAACGCCCTCCTTAGTCTGCTCTGTGGTCTAGTGGAATTTATTGTCCCCAGCAAGTTTTGAAGAAGGGCATCAAGAGACTGCCTGCACTGCATTAAGTCAATAAAAGGCAACTATAGTAGGACAGTAGCGATTCCGTTTCTCGGCTCTTCGTTATGGCGTCTGCACCAACCCAGGACATGTCTCACGCAGAGGCAGAGTCGATCTATTTCAACGACTTCCCTCCACCCAAGGCTCTTCCCAAACATGAAGCGCTCGCCAGAGCCTTCGTCGACTTCCACGTCGAGGAGAAAAGACGCCTCGTCCTTGTCACCTCCGGAGGTACAACAGTCCCCCTCGAGAATCAAACGGTGCGTTTCATCGATAACTTCTCCGCTGGAACGAGAGGAGCAACATCTGCGGAATACTTTCTTCAGGAAGGATATGCCGTGATTTTCCTGCATCGACAGTTTAGTCTGCTCCCATACTCTCGCCACTACAGTCACTCAACCAATTGTTTCTTGGATTTCATGGACGAAGCTGCTCCATCTGCCAACTCGAACTCCGTCAACCCAGACCATGGTCCTATCATGGTGCGCGACGAATACCAAGACCAAATGCGAGATGTGCTGCGCAAATACCGCTACGCGAAACAAAACAACCGACTCCTACTGATTCCTTTTACCACCGTGGCTGAATATCTCTTCGAGCTGCGGTCACTGGCGAAAATCATGAGACCTTTGGAATCGAATGCATTGTTCTATCTTGCTGCAGCCGTCAGCGACTTTTTCATCCCGCGTGACCGGATGTCGGAGCATAAAATCCAATCCTCTGAAATACCGGCTTCTTTCAGCAAAGAACGCACCATTACTGAGTCTGATATCTACACAGGGGAGAACGAATCTCAGCCTCAGAACCACAGCAAGAAGCTAGTGATTGACCTTGACCCGGTTCCCAAATTCCTCCATAGCCTGGTGGATGGCTGGGCACCTCAGGGAAGCATGGTTGTTTCGTTCAAGCTGGAGACCGATCCCAATCTGCTAGTCTACAAGGCGCGAACTGCATTGGAACGATACTCGCACCACTTGGTCATTGGAAACCTTCTCACCACACGGAAGTGGGAAGTGGTCTTCGTCACACCTGATGCCCCCTACGAGAAGTGGATTCGTGTGCCAAAGTCCAAGCGCAGCAAGAGTATCTCCGGGGCGGAAGAACAGGTTGGGCTGGCAGAGGCTAAATCGGCGGCGGAGTCCGGGCGCAGGGCAAATGATGATGGACGAGATGTGACACAAGAATACGACGATAGAAGTCGCGATGGAGTCGAGATTGAGCGTTTGATCATCCCCGAGCTGATCCAGTTGCACTCGAAGATGATTACAGACGGAGGCAAATAATAGAGTGCGGTGTATGTGTATAAAATAAAAAAATTCCTAGAGTTTTTGGCTCATTATTATAATCAAGCGTTTCTATGATCTCTTGCGGTTTAATAATTAACACTACTGTCTTCGAATGCAAGCGGCATAGATAGAGATGCCACCTCGAGTATACACCGATCATCGCCGCTTCTGGACGGCCATTGCAACGGTCGACACACGTTCAAATCGAGATTTGAAGCATGCTGGATTCCATTCAATTGCAAGACTAGTTGGCGACTAGATGCTTTTATTGCATATCGAGCCATGATCAGCCCTGTCATATGCATGCATTCCAGATGCAGCCAGAGAGCCCCATGTAGAACAAACCCATCCCAATCCATCCCCAGGGGTTCATTTCGTTTCGTTTCGCATTCAGTGGCACCAAAAAACTCGTGCCCATCGCCCCCATGAGAACACGCGTCATTGATGCTTTTTACCAGCCTGGAGTGGACCGACGATCTCCTCATTCCTGCTGCGTCGCCTTAAAACATGCCGATCCCCAGTTGGCTTTTTCCCGCCCGTGCCTTCGTCTTGTCTTCTCTTTCTCTCCACCTCCCCTTTCAATCTCCCCCCTTCTCTCTCTCCAACTTCCCGGGAAAGGTGTTCTTTTTTTTTCTCTTCTCTTCTCTGCAGTTGAGAAATCAAAGGCATCAGATAACCAAACCTCGCAGAATTCCATCTTCCCGGGGGAAGAAAATGGTCGACTTCCCTCCACGATCCTCAGTCGCTGTTTCGCCCCGTTCTGTCCCACTCCGCCGCCTGACAGCTACACAGACAGCTGCCAGTCTCGCAATCGCAATCGCAATCGCACCCTGAGTAACATTGCCTCGAGGATGATTACTCCGCGTCGCTACCGTCGTCGCATCACCCTCATCTCGGCCGCGCTGGGCCTCTTCGTCCTATACCATTTCTTCTCGTTCGGGTCGGACTCTCAGCCCTCCGTGCTTGAGGATGCGAACCACCGCTCTATCTGCCCGCCTCTGCCAGGCATCGAGGATGTCCTGGTCGTCATGAAGACAGGCGTCACAGAAGCGCTGGATAAGGTGCCTGTGCACTTCCAGACAACCCTCCGCTGTATCCCCAACTACGTCATCTTCTCCGACTACGAGGAGGTCGTGGGCGGGGTGCGCATTTACGATGCTCTGCGCAACATGGACAGCCAGGTGAAGCGCAACATCCCCGACTTCAACATCTACAATCGCATACAAGAGCTGGGTCGGGACGGTCTCAAGACCGACGACTTCGCCGACGAGGCAAATACAAATCTCGGGAAACCCAACAATCCAGGCTGGAAACTGGATAAGTGGAAGTTTCTCCCCATGGTCCAGGAAACCCTGCGATACAAGGACGATGCCAAGTGGTACGTCTTTATCGAGGCGGATACGTATGTCTCTTGGACCAATCTGCTCGAATGGCTCGCGCTCTTCAACCCCGAGGAACCACACTACATTGGAACTGAGACGCAGATTGCAGACGTCGTCTTCGCTCATGGCGGGTCGGGATTCATCGTCTCCCAACCGGCCTTGGAGAAAGCGTCACACGAATACGCTACCAGGACCATCGAATTGAACGACTACACCAATGGTCACTGGGCTGGCGATTGTGTGCTGGGCAAGGTCCTACATGACGCTGGTGTGCCCTTGTACTTTTCCTGGCCAATGCTCCAAAACACGAACCTGGGCGAGCTGGACGAGTTCACAGTCGACTTCTACCGCCGTCCCTGGTGCTTCCCAGCCGTCGCATTCCACCATCTCTCCTCAATGGATATACAGGATCTGTGGGAGTTTGAACAGCACAGATGGCAAGAGGTTAGTACTATTCCCAACCACAATCCCTTATACCCAATTAAATACTAACACGGCCCTAGTACAACAAAACCATCCTCCTCCATGGCGAAATTTTCGAAGAACGTATCTACCCCGAACTCTCGCCGAGACGCCCCAACTGGGATAATCTCTCCGGCGATGAACAACCCTCCATAACCACTCTCGAAGATTGTCAAAAATTCTGCAACCGGTCCGCCGACTGTGCGCAGTTCACCTTTAAATATGATCAATGCTTCACTTCCAAAACCCCCAAGCTTGGAAAGAAGAGCCCCGGCATGACCTCCGGCTGGAGTATGGCAACGGTCGAGAACATGATGGATAAAGCACCATCGTGCATTGGGCCGGACTTTGGACGATAAACCTTTGATGAGAAAAGTAGCGAAGCGATTTTTGTATCATTATATAAACATATATCTTTTTTTGGCATAGAAAGGTCCCGGTTGACTGGTTGGCGTTCATCTGGCATCTATTGCATAGTACGAATTCAGGAAATAACAATTTTTGCATTCTTTCTGGTTGAATTTAACCTCGAGCCCTTAATTTTCAAAAAAGCGCACCCAAACTCCCGTGCAAAAGACCTATTGCGCGCCTATCGTGATCTTCGTGTCCATGTCTTTAAACGATGTATCCTGAAATTGACGGAACGGGGAAAATCATTCAGTTTTGATAATGATACACTGGAATGGCCTATCTTTAACAATTTTGACACGAGTAACCAACTAATCAGACTATTCAAATCCTCTCCAAACAGGCTGAGGCGCTCGCACCGGAGGACTGTTGGGATCTTCAAGGCACTAATCGATTCGCATTATATCCACGCCAGTGGACTTGACAAACCGAATGATGTCTCTGAAGTACCTGACGGTCGACGGGTGGAGATAATGCATGACGACGAGGTTGCCACCCTTTTTGACATCGCGAACAAAGGCGTCGACTTGCCTTTCCGGTGTCTCAGTCTCTGCCCAGAGCCAATCTTCGATATCCACGCTCCAGTTGACGATATAAGGATCAGGAAGCAGTGCAGCCAATCGTTGCCGTGACCTTGCACCGATAGTTCCAAATGGGGGACGGAAGTATCGAGCTGCGATTCGTGTCAGTTCGAATAACGACTCAACATGCCAGGTTCATCACGTACATTCGGTTTCAAGAAATGTTTTGAAAACCTGGACATTTTGAGCAATCTCCTCGTCCATCTCATCAACCGTTTGCAGTCCTTCCATCCTTGTGTGAAGTCAGCTGGAGATGTCGGGACAGAAGCAGCGCAGAAACCTACTTTTGATGAGTTGTCGAGTGAAGCGCGATTTGATGTCCTCGTTTGAGCATCTCCCTGTACACCCGTGTGAAGTTGGTCTCCTCATTTCGCAGACCGGCCCCCACAACGAAAAAGGTCACTAGGATACCTTCTTCTTCGAGGATTTTCATAACCTCTTGGGCAAACCGCGGCTGTCCATCATCGATACCGAACGCAAACGAGTTTGGTCTGCTACAACGGAGGGCCATCTGTCCACTGGGCAATTTGCTGGGAGTTGGAACGCTCTTGGGGAGGTCAGGAATAATTTCCACCTTGTACAGGGTCAGGCTCTCCCGGGAATAGAATCCATTAAACGACACCGAAACAACTCTGGACTGGTCAATCTGAAAGTGCTCAAGGGGCACATAAATCTCATTTCCCCTCGCATATCGACCGGCTTCCACCGTATCCCACGTAGCCGGATACGGATTCTGGCGAGGGTTGCACTCCTGATTATGCTGGTTCAACGAGATACCAAACTTGAGAGTTCCCGAAAACACAACGTGCAAGTGTTTGCCCCTATACGGGAGCAAGCTGATGCACTTGTTGTCTGCGAGTTGGGTATGGAAGTTCTGGTCCGGATCTGTGGGAAAGAAGCGCACATAGCCAGCTCCGTATTCCACGCGTAGGTCTTCGCCTGCTCCGTGCCAGAATCCAAGGTCATTTTTGTCCTTTTGGCGGAATGTATCGATTACAATAGTGTCATTTTTTGCCCATCTTTGGAAGGGAGAGGTGATGCTGACGATGCCATCTTGAAGGGCTGCGGTGGTTAAGGTGAATAGAGTCGAGAGAGCTGCCCATATGATGATTTTAAACGGGATACGTGATCCCATGATGAAGCTTCGTCTGTCAAGAAATGATACACAAGATGAGTAATGAATAGAAGGATAGAAGAAGGGTCTCTCCACAGTGGATTGTATGCACGAGAGATGGACGTCAATCAGGAGAACAATATTGCAACATCTGCTTGAGAAATATCGTGGGATAACGACATTAGGAAGGCACGATATACGAAGTACGTTTGGAGAATTGGCGGTTGGGATACAACGGGAAGCCTCCTTGGGAATCAGTTTCATGGCACCTTCTCTACTTAACACCAAGGGAAATGGATACTTGAAATTATTTGATTGAAAAAAGAAAAATCGTCACTGAAGTATGATCATGTCAAAAAGGAAGACGCCAGCTAACCATCTCTAGGCCTGTCTGCCCTCGCTACACAAGGTAGAAACAAAAGTCAAGAACCCAACGGTCCGGTAGAGAGCAGAGGCCCAAGATCAAGGACAGTCTGCCGGTATCTCTCCTTTTCTGAAATCATATTCGAAGAAATCCACCATGAACCTTTCCTTACATGCCCCGAGATACCTGATCTGCACGAATATGTAAAGTCAACCAATCAACCCTAACCGTTATGGGAGACATATCTCGAACGGTCGACTCTATTCCATTTTCTCTCTATCACACCAGTCAGGAAGCAAAATGCATACACGATGCTTCGACATTCATGTGACCATGAAAGAGAAGAGGAAAATCAGAAGTCCCAGTCGGTGTTCTCAGCAGGAGTGTCGCTGGAGGATTCCATAGGAATACCTCCCCAAGCGCCGTTAGCGTCCACATCATCGCTGTTGGCACCGTCCGCTTCGTCATCTGTATCGTCCTCGAAGTTCACAATGGCATCATCCGGCTTGTAAGACTCGAGGAACTCCGGGATCTTCTGCTGGCTTTCAACGAGAATCTTGACAAGAGCAGGAGCGAGGTCACAGTCCCTGTCATTGTAGAAAGAGGTTGCAAGACCCTCGTTTCCGATACGAGCAGTACGTCCTATGGCACTATTAGTGGTAAGTATGTGGCTGGGGCGGGTTGCAATTACCAATTCGATGAATGTATTCGGTGACACCACCGTGGTCCGAGCGAGGAAGGTCAAAGTTGATGACATGCATGACATTCTTGATATCGAGACCACGAGCGGAAACGCCAGTAGCAACAAGAATCGGGCATCTCGCGGTGCGGAAGGAACGCCTGTCCCGGGAGTTAGTGGATATCTATCTTCTGAGTACGATCAACTCACAAGGCATCTTCACGCTCACGCTGAGTGCGATCGGAATGAATCGAGGTACTGGGAAGTCCCATGTTGTAAAGGTAGTCATCCAGGAGGTCAGCCTGGGTCTTGCTGTTGACGAAGATCAAGGTGCGAGAAGGTGGCATCGCGAGAAGCAGATCGTAGAGGCACTGCTTCTTCAAGTGGTCCTCGGCAAATATGACCTAGAGGAAAGTTTAGTCAGTGAATTGTAAGTAATACTCAATAATCTTGAGGAACTCACGTTCTGGTCAACGTTGATATGGGTACTGCCAGGGCGTCCAATGCGGACACGGACATGATCCTCGGCAAGGAACTTGCGAGCGAGCAAACGGCAGTCCTTGTTGAACGTCGCAGAGAACATCAGGTACCGGTGGTCCGCATCCTCGTTTGTGTCTGTGTTTTGTCAGTACCCCACACGGATGGGGGTAGGGTTGACCATACCTCCGCCAGACATGATCTTGGTGAAGTCCGACTCCCAGTCAGAAAGGAGAAGCTCATCGGCCTCATCAATGATGGTGTACCTTGGATTAGAGGTCAGAAAAGTGAATTGTTTTGGGCAATCAAGCCTTCTTACTTGACACGGCGAAGGGACAGAATGTGAGGCTTGTCCATGAAATCAAGGAGTCTTCCAGGAGTACCGATGAGGATGTCACATCCCTTCTGAAGTTCATCGCGCTGGTCACGCACAGGAGCACCACCATAGACAACACAGGGGCGCAACATGGAACGATAACAGAGACGGCGGGCCTCGTCGAAGATCTGAGTCGCAAGCTCTCTGGTAGGGGCAACGACGACCACGAGTGGCTCGGCACGAACAGTATCAACGGCGGGGTCAAATCCAGCACCCAAGTTAGGACGAGGAGCGGCCAACTTCTTTGCCTTTCCCATCAACTGAGAAAGGACAGGGATAAGGAAAGCGGCAGTTTTTCCAGAGCCTACTATGTTAGCTTAAGTATAATAAACTGCAGCGATTAGTCCTTACCAGTCTGGGCAATGGCGATCAGATCATGACCTGTCAGGACGGCAGGGATAGAGTAGGCCTGAATTGGAGTGGGAACTTCGTAGCGGCACAGACGAATGTTCTCACGCATGACGGGGTGAAGACCAGCATCGTCAAACTATTTCATTAGCAGGAGTTAGCACAGATCAGGAGCAGAAAGAATCACTTACGCTCCTGACGGGGCTAGGACGCTCTCTACTCTCCGCAATGACCTCAATGTTCTGCAAACTTGATAGGGTCAACAATCGAATCTTCCAAGGGATGAATTTTATCACTTACTTGCCAAGCTTGAGACCAGCACGGTTGATGAACTCGCTTCGGAACAACATCTCCTCGAGTTCAGGGATGTGAGGACCGACATCACCAAACTCGTCCTTCCACTCGTACTTGGTTGCTTTGGCGGCCCATTCGGGAAGCTCGCCCTGTTCGCCCTGCTCCTGTTCCTCAGCAGGCTTGGGGAGCGGCTCGGCAGTGTACTTGGTGTAGTCGTATCCCTCTGGCGCGGTCCATCCCTTTTCACGGGCAATGGTGGCAGCCTCGGGGTTTTTGTTATTCTGCTGGTTGGTGACGTCTTTGAGCGCAGTGCTCATCTCCGAGACGTCGAAGTTATCCATGTTGTCTAGATACAGAGAAGCTCCGATAGTCGTGAGGCAGATGAGGGGTTGGCTGCATGCAAGAATGCGTCAGCAACAGACAGGAGGTAGGAGACACAGAAGGATAGAGAAGAACAGATCAGAAAGGGAAACCCACCAGGTGAGACGAACGTCCACTTGAAAGCAGTCTGAAGCCGGAAGGTCAGTTAAGAAGACCAAGAGAACGGACAGAAGACAAGACTCTTCTCGGATAGAAACCTGGAAGCTTGCAGAATGAAAGGTAAGAAGAGGGAGAAGAAGGAAGACTGACAGGAAGAAAAAGAAGAAGAAGAAGAAATCAAAACCAATCCAGGCAGGAAAAGGTCCAGAACGAGGAGATGGCAGAAAGACAACAGAACAGCACGGAAAACCCACGAAATGCAGGGAATATCAGCCCACAGAAGAGAATTTTCTGCTGTCTCCGTTTTTAATAAGAAGAATTTTCCATTCACAAACAGAAAAAGGAGATGCGGAAGCAGACAGAAGAGCAGAGAGAGGGAGAAAAAGAGACCAAGCGGGTCAGTCACCCAACCTGACGCATCCAGGTGATGCGGAACCTTTCCCTTTTGGATTATCTGCGTCGCCTTTGGCTGGAATTAAATGAGAGGACTGGCAGTGAAGGAGAAGAGGGAGAAATCTGCTCAAGTGAAGGGGAATTCATGGCAAGAGAGCGTAGATCCTTTGAGGTCATTGTTGGATATAGCCGGGAAAAGGCAAAGAATGGCGTATTGTCGTATTCTTTGTATACGAGAGCCACCAGATATGTTTCTGTCATATCATCAGTAATTTGGCCATTTGATATGAGGTGAATCTAACCTTATTCATAGACATCCAGCAATATGAGATAGGTAACAAACTGGATTGATATATCGAAAGCATGAATAGGTAGTTACGTGGCCAGAAATTTCTGTGTCCTTCCCCAGCAACAGAAACAAGCCGGGCTTTGTTTGTTCCAATACATTGTGTTCCATATTGATATCGACGTTTGCCATCGTTTCGATGGCGTTGAGCTACTGCAGGGGCCCAATGCTATGGCAATGGTGTATTTCTTTGTTTGTAGATACAGATTCATCTCTTATTTTCTCAGCACTCAGTATGATTTGGATTTATTATTTATTTTTCGTAGCAAACAGACACTTGACGATCTTGGGATAGAGATGATGTTGGGGTTGAGGTTGAAGGTGGAATCCAACGGAGTACAACAGGAGATAATATAGAACAAAGTAAACGGGCATAAATATGTATGCTATTTAAGCCAATAAAATGTATTCTTCATGCGGTATGAATCGTTAATTAAATAGTTGGCATGAAATGCAGTTGCCATGTCATTCAGGCACATCAGCCGTGGCGACAGCAAATATATATTCATCTTCACTTTATCACTTTCATCTAGTTAAGCAACAAAAAGATACTTGATAACAAATTCGATAAACCAATAATAATATTCTCTGATATAGATTACGTTACTAATAATTCTACAAGGATAAATCGGAGTACCCCAGGGGTCAAAGGCTTGTAAGCAGGGGAACGGAGCAATGGAGATCCTCTGCGGAGTTACTCTGTAGGAAGTCGGAGATGGAGTAGTCTGGAGTACGGATCAAAGGATCAGGAAGCGAGGAGAGTCTGAAATAAGCCACGGTGATACAAGGGATGAATAAGGATCTTATGATGTTATCCAAAGGTTATTCTGACGGTATTTGGAATGTGGCACTATCATCAGGTCGTGCTGTTGGGATAGGTGGGTTGCACAGGATATATCGGATACAGACAGTGATAAACGACAAAAAGATATTGCATAGAAACGCATAGTAAAATAAAGAAAGAATAGCTAATTAATTGATCTAATTGATACGATCGATTATGACAATCCAGATTGGATATTCCTGAAGAATGAAGATGAAAACGGATGCCTCGGATGCCTGACAATCCGCCGAGGCTCGGCCTCAACATACTCTGTAACGGTTGAGCGTTTAACGCCCACGTCATTTGCGGAACATCGAAGATCAATCCAAGAGCAAAGCAATGCGATTGATCCAGAAGCTCCATCCGAAGATGACATGCGGTGCAACATCTCCAAGCTAACAGTAAGCTCGGGAGTTGTTCTGATGCTCTCCAGATCCGCCGGTGAAGGCTGGTTCCACCCAACGGAACCGAGCAGAACCGCAGAAGGAGATATACGCGGTAACCGTGAGCACAGCGTGCGATCCATTGCTCCGAAACAACCACCACTTTAAACTACTTGACCCCTCGGCTTCAATGCGACTTTGTGCCCTGTCTAGCCATCCTCTATCATATTTCACAATTGACATACACTATGACGCCTTCCTCTCACCATTCCACGGAACTGGACACCCGCCGGGCCGTCAAGTCCTCCCACCGTCGTGGTCGCCTCGAAGATGCCATCGCCAACCCCGGAGCTGTCAATATCAACGTCAAGGGAGCTTACATCGTCGATGAAGAGCCTCGGTCGAGGAGTCCTATCGAATCGGCTGATGGTGTCTACTACGAGAGTCAGGATATCCGTCTTCCTCACCACACCGGGGTCGTAAGCCATATCGCTGCCGACGTGAGTTTTTCTTTTTCGTCGCCCCCCGTTCCCCGCAATGATAGCTATCCCCGCAATCGCAAAAAATACCCAGACCCAACAGCAGAACAAGCAGTGTGACTGACTTGTTTTCTACTTGACAGATTGGCGGATCGTTGGCGAAGCTAGTTTATTTTACACGGGAACTGAATGCGAAGGACAATGGCGGCCGACTGAATTTCATCAACTTCGAAACCCACCGGATCGACTTGTGCATCGAGTTCATCAAACAATTGAAAGAAGAACATGAGAGAGCCAATGGATCTTCTCGTGATGAATTATGTGTGGTGGCGACAGGAGGAGGCGCCTACAAATATTATGACAAGCTGAGAGAAACGTTGAACATTGATATTATCCGCGAAGAGGAGATGGAGTGTCTGATTACTGGTATGCTCCTTTATTTTCTCTGCAATCTAGAAAAGATAACTGACATCATTTTACTCAGGTCTCGACTTTTTCATTACCGAAATCCCGAATGAAGTGTTCACCTACAGCGATGACGAGCCGATGCAATTTGCCGAGGCCCGACCGGACGTTTACCCGTACCTGCTGGTCAACATCGGATCCGGTGTATCGATGATTAAAGTGTCTGGACCAAGTCAATTCCAACGTGTAGGAGGAACACATTTGGGCGGTGGTACCTTTTGGGGCATCATGTCGTTGCTGACTGGTGCCCCCACCTTCGACGACATGCTGGCCATGGCGGACCGAGGAGATAACAGTGGGGTGGACATGCTGGTCGGGGATATTTACGGCATGGACTACACCAAAATTGGACTGAAGAGCACTGCTATTGCTAGTACATTTGGCAAGGTCTTCCGTCTGAAGAATGCTGCTGAGCAGGGCGCGGAGGACGGTGAAGGTCTTGTCCACGATGATTCCAAACCCGCCAACGGCAATGCTGCATTCAGCCATGAGGATATGAGCAGAAGCCTCCTCTACGCTATCAGGTATGTTTCATTTGTCCGAGAATGCAAATATTGGTCTAACTTTTCTAGTAACAATATCGGACAAATTGCGTATCTGCAGGCCGAAAAACACCAGATCAAGCACATCTATTTCGGCGGTTCATTTATCAGAGGCCACCGACAAACCATCAACACACTGTCTTACGCTATCAAATTCTGGTCCAAGGGCGAAAAGCAGGCTTATTTCCTGCGACACGAAGGCTACCTCGGTGCCGTCGGTGCGTTCCTTCGCAGACAGCCACAGAACTGGGGCCGCAGGAACAGTCTCGATGATGCGAACCGACCGCAATCCGTCAAGGAAATGTTCCAGAACATCCAACAGAACGGCCAGCCGACATCCTCGTAACCGCCTTGATCGTTCGACAAATACGCCTTTTATTTCTGCATTTTATTCCAGCGTTCGATACCCTTTATCAGACGATGCCTTGATGCATTTAGACCCATTATTATTACGATACTATAATTACACAAACACGCCATTCTTCAGCAACGTTGCCTTTCTTGATGATAGATGGCTTTGCTTTCGTTACCTACGACGCTCACCCTACAATCTTCATTGTACAATTAATCCACCTCTTCTCTTCTTTCTTTTTGGGTCTCTCTTTTGGCTATACCTACGCGCTGTATTTCGGAAATTGCAGTTATCTACTCTTGAAGACTAAAAGCTGGTCTTCAGTCTTGAGGCACCTGCTTCATCACCTACCGGCCTATCATGATTCAACATGGAATTTCGGGAATAATTAGCAGTGTATATATACGAAGCATGAATTAATTAAACATCCTCAAAGAACTTGTCTGAATCAGTACTGAGTACGGAGTACTCCTTAGTTATGCGTGTCTCGGGTAGATGCACGGTAGCCCAACTGCTCATCACCCCGTCGGCCGTAACGAATAATGAGCAATTGGCTCTCTAAACCAAAACGAAAAGAGGTTAGGGGTTGGTTCGCGGCAAGAAGTTGATACATCGATTTTGTACTACGTGCTAAATGAGCCCTAAATATTAGCGGCGGGGATCGCAGTGGTTCGAGCAGCCATATTTTAGGGATAACCTCGTGCCACTGGACATTGTTGTAATCATATTGCAAGGCTGGATTGTATCCTTAGGTATTATTTTTGCTTTCTAAAATGCAATTCCCCTAGCCAGTGTGCCTTTCATACCGTAGGTCAACTCCCAGACGAAAGTAAAGCTGCGGTGATAAGCTTGCAAGCTAAGCAGGGATGTTGCATCTGTAAATCCTGAACGACTTGGCCTCGATGTTCCTATTGTTATAGTGAAGAATCCTATATCAGTACCGGACATTCTGGTCATTTTTCGATTATGTTTCACCTCTAGGTACCTTGTACCTATGATTATCATGTACATATTAACAGAAGAAATGTCTGTGTTTAGGTAGGTTATTTTCTTGCCTGGACATGACCAATCAAAGCGGTACCTACTCCCATACCCTCCTCACCCCATCCCCTCCTGTGTTCATCTCATTTCAGAAATTTCCCTCTTCTTTCCTCTTCATTCCATCCCGATTCACTATCATCATTCCCGGATAATCATCAATTGATTATCGAAAGCCATCCAACCAGACCAATCTCCGCTGCTTGAGACATTCACCATGGACGACAAGTACTTCTCCATACCCAGCTCAGTGTTGTGACCAGCAGACAAAAAGACTAACACTCTCTTCTTTTCAGCTTACATGCACACCCTGAAATGAAAGACAACGACGTCGAACTTTTTCCAAACATGAATTGGGAGATATCTAATCCGTTACCACCAAGTCTTGAGATGAAAGTCGAGGACGATGAATATTCGGGCGAGCATCAAGAAATGACGATTCCACCACTACTTAGCCTGGAGCCCAAGATTGAGGACGATGGTATTTCGCCAAAAGAACATCAAGAGATACCTGCCGTACCGCCAACGCCAGTCATGCCATCGCCGAAGTCTAGGGTTGTAGTACGACCAACCCCCATCAGCGGCCGCAACATCCCCTTCCCCTATCATATCCTTGAACTTCTGGAGAAGTGGCACGAGGAGAATGGCAATAAAAGACCACCGCCATGCTCACAACGCGATAAATCGGGCTCCAAGCGTTTCAAGGTCTTCAAGGCCTTTGACAGGGAGAGTCAGGAATTGGATCTTATAACATATTCTATTCTACAACCCATAGCATACATTGTTCGGGTATTATATCAAAATGGAAATGTAAAGATAGTCGGCTCATATAATCACACAGCAAACGCTGGCACCTTCCTTGCAGTGTGGGATGGTACAGAATATGTACCGGGAGGTTGTGCAGTTAAGATCTTTGGAGATGATCTTGAGAAAATAGAATGCTCTGATGAGATCTGGAAACATGCCCCCACTGATCTAGAACCAGTTGGATCCAAGACATCACGACAGTCAATATCATCACAGACGCCATCAGAATCGCAACCTGAAATTCGCAAAAGAGGATTCCGACAGAGCACACGTTTGAGAGAAATAGCCACCCCTGAATCCTCATCTACAACAGGCTCAGCATTTTATGTCGATTGGCCAGAAAGAGACTATGAAGATTATGAGCACTCCGAAGGAGAAGACATTCCGTTTCTACCAAGCCTCCCCAAAAAGCGCAAGACGGGGAAAGATGACGATGTTTTCTTCAAATTCGTCAAGCCCAAATCAGGAAAACAAACAATTGTGGAAGTGTTCACTCTAGAAGAATGTGGGACTATCAAGGGACTTTTCTCCAAAGCACAAAAGTTTTTTCAGCCCGGTAATAAAAATGTCGAGGTATCTGATGTTTATTGCCAGATACCTTCCCAAAGCGAAGTGCACAAGATTTCAAAAACCAACAAAGCCTCATTGGATTTTTTCCTTGATGATGTGAAACAGTTTAAATGCACCCAAGCTCCTGGGAAGCTAACAGTTGACGTCGTCGACCATATTGACTGATTGGAATGAAAAGCTAACAGTGTTTCTTTCCCTCGTCATTTCTTGTTTTTTCCTGCAGGAAGTGCTATGAGATGGCCCGGGGGTGGCTGTGAGTTTAATGTGACATTAGTATCTATTATAAGTACATCTTCTTTATCATCAGTTTACAATGTACAGAGCAGAGGAGATGAATACAGATATGAAGTTATGGAAATTAATTCCTATTGTTGAAATACCGAATGGAAATCGAATAGTCCTATTGATTGAGGAGAAATGAAACTACGCCACACGGGTCGCCAACCCTCCATAGCCTTGTGCATTTGGTTCTGGCCAAGGCAACAGTTTACAAAGGAGACAGGTCTGGCCGTTGGAAAACTGGCGCAGCTAGTAGATTGTACTGGATGCTAAATGAGCTAAATATTTAGTGGCGTCAATGGCAGTGGGAACAAATCCTTGAAGTTTAAATGCAAAGATACCCCATGTCAATAGATATTATTATAATCACATTGTAAAGGTGCATTGCCTCTTGGCCCTTTTTCTTTTCAGAATATAAACCCTCCACTCTGCTGCAGTCAGTATACCTTACACTGTAGGTACTGTCTCAGTAAAGAGAGACTACAGTAATAAATCTATAAGCTAAGCCGGGATGCTGCATGCCATCCCTAACCATTAATTTAGACTCTCTGCCAGTGCCCAGTGGAAGACAGAACTAACTGCAGATCAGGGCCAATCCGTTGTTTCTTTGTTCTGTTATCATGTGAGCAGGGGGGCTGTTGTTTTTTTTTTGCTTTCCCAGTCAAGTCAGTAACCCCCTCTCCCCTCTCTTCTTTCTCTTAAATTTCTTTCATCGACTCTCTTCTTTCTTTTCTCCATTCTTTGGTATTTGGCGAAAGCTATTCTTGAACGTGATATTATCTGATTTTGCTGCTTGAGGCAATGATTATGAGCGACAGGTATTAGTTCTTACCGCTTTTCTGTCCTGGCCAGACAACAAGACTAATACTCTCTTTGTTTACTATAGACCACGCCCCGAACCGAGTGACAAGGACGCTGGATCTTCATCAGACGAGGACCAGAGCGAGTCCTATTCGCCACAATCGAGCTCCAAGATAAAAGGCGAAGACGGCTCGGACGACTCAGAGGATTCGGACGAGTACACCACCGACGACGACTCGTCAGACGAGGACCAAAGCGTATCTGCTTCCCCACCACCAAGCCCCAAGGTGAAAGAAGAGGGCGGCGAGACCGGCGAGGATACCTCAGACGATATTCAAGAGATACCAGCCATGTCTCTGTCTGCGCCTCGGGTTGTAGCAGAACCACTGCGCGAAAACGACCGCGAGGTTCCAATTCCACCCGAAGTACTTGAAATTTTGGAGAAATGGCACGAAAATAATGGCAAGAAAAAACCACCTCCATGCCCCGGCAGGATAGACTCCAATGACAAGAGCTTTAAGACTTTCAACAAGGAAATGCAGGAAGTCAGGCTTTCTACATATGTCATCCAAAAGCCCGTAAAATACTGCGTCAGGGTTCTCCATGACAATGGAAATGCAAAGATAGTCGGCTGTGTTGACATCCATAACCGGAAGCTTGGCACCTTTCTCAGAGCGTGGACTGATACGGAGGAAGGATGGGAGTCTGAATGCTGTGCGGTCAAGATTCTTGGTCCTCGGTCAGAGAAGATCAAATGCCCTACCCAAGTCTGGAAGAAGGCCCCCACTGGCAAACCATCTGGGGGATGGAAACCACAAAAACCGCAAAAACCGCAAAAACCGCAAAAACCGCAAAAACCGCAAAAGACATCATCACAGCCGAAGCAATCGTCACAGACCAAGAAATTGTCGCAACCAAAGAAACCGTCGCAGCCAAAGAAACCGTCGCAGCCAAAGAAACCGTCGCAGCCAAAGACATTGTCACAACCAGAGACATTATCACAGGCGACATCGCAGCAGCAAAGTGCAAGGCCAACAAGAACAACCCGTCAGATCATACGCTCACAAAACCTAGTCACCCCGGAGTCCTCTGCTACAACAGGCTCACCTCGACCCTTACCAGAAGACCAAGATGCCAGGAAATCTGTAGGGAGATCAATTCCTGCATCCAAAAAACGCAAAAGGGATGATGAAGATGATAGTATATTATTCAAGTTTATCGACCCTAACTCTGACGAAGAAATACGTGCCCAAGTGTTTACTTTGGAAGAATGTGCTACCATCAAGGATCTCTTCTCCATAGCACGGGGCTTTTTCCAATCCACTGACGATGATGTCGAGGTATCTGTACTTGATTGTAAGATATCTTCCAAAACCAGACAACGCTATGAGACGCAAACGATGCGGGAAACCAGTAAAGGGTTTGAACACTTGCTTTGTGCTGCGAGAGAGTTGAAACACCCTAAAGATGGACAGTTGATAATCAAAGTCTTCAACCGCGGTAATTAGATGGAGGACCGGTGTGCTTTATGTATTTAGTATTTCTCTTCATGTTTACCGATTGTATGGAGTATGGAAGCGTTTTTGATGTTTGTAATTTGGTTATCAGCTTGCAAATACATTTCCTTTATCGACTGAATATTGATAAACAGAATATTCTTGCTTGATGATAAAACGATACATCTAATGGAACCCTAGTCTGTAGTGTTCCATGAATCTTCGATTCGACCTCTCTGATGGAATTGCTGAACATTTTGTTTCTATTTACTCCAGAGAATTCCCTTTCCATACCCACGTAGACTCAAGATACAAGCATCAGATAATGTTGACTGATCGACGGTTGGGCTCTCCAGCGGCTAAACCATGAGGGGAAATATAGGGTGTCACACCCAATTTCGCGGTCAAGGCTGCGTCTGTCTGGATTGTTTTTTGACACCGACGCTTTATCTGACCCAATTGATCTCAACCAGGATTCTCGTAAATCACCAGGTGATGTAGCACAGAGCTGCAGAGTGACAACTCAGTTCTGCTTCTCTGTTTTTGTCAATATTGGATTTGGCTATCTGGCTGGATTGCCCCTGCATTAAGTCTGCAAACGAACGCCCCTCAGCTCCCCTCGTCTCGTTGGGTTTCTTCCGCCAATTCTTCCTATCCCGGCTCACTCTCTTTTCATCTTATTTTTCTTTCTAAATTTCTCGTAATAGTTGTCGCCAGGCGTCTGAAAATTGATGCCTGGCAGTTTTGCTGTCTGTGGAAGCTATGCGCGAAAGGTAGGTATTCCATGCCGAGTCTTGACTGCTTCGGCCGCAGAAAATCTGATGCATCTTAAGCCCAAGCAGTGGCCTCAACGAGAACGGTTTCATTTCAGACGAAGATAGAAAGGTCCCCATAGAAAGCCCGAGCAGCGCATTTGATTACTCTTCGGACGAGGATACGAAAGTTCCCATTGTGTCGCAAAGCCCCGAAATGTCGCCTTCCAACACGCAGATTGTCGGTGTCAAACCGACTCCCAACAATCCAATTCCTCAAAACATACTGTCTATGTTGGAAGACTGGCATAAAGAAAACGGACCAAAACGACCACCGCCTTGTTCTTGTTATGACAGCCATACCGTCATGTTTTACAAGATCTTTGACAGAAATGGAGAGGAATTGATTCTCACCAATTACTCCATTACTAAACCCACACAATACAACGCCCTGGTTCTTAGCATGGGTGACAAACCTGCGAGATTGGTCGCTTGTGCATCTGGTCCAAGGAAGTTTGGGACCTTCCTTGTGGCCTGGAATGGCAATGAAAAGGGATACGAGACTGAATGCTGCGCTGTCAGGATCTTTGGATGGGATTCGTCCAAGATCAAATGCTCAAAGGAAGTGTGGGATAATGCGCCAGCAAACCCCACGCCAACCAGATCGAATGCACCGACAGGAGCACAACGGGAAAAATCACAAGAGACACAACCGCAGACGCAATCGCAATCACAAACACAATTACGGCCACGACGCGGACGTGAGAGATCTAAAAGACCTCGGCATAGCACTCCCGCGAGAATGCCGGCCAGCTCGGAATCTTCCTCTACCTCTGATTCCTCCTCCGAGGATGACGACTCAAGTGACGATGAATCGTCTGAAAGAGAGAAACCGTCTGCGAGTGCTTCCAAGAAGCGCAAAAGAGACGAACCAGAGACGAAACGAACCGTCAAAACTGAGGGGAATGCCATTTTATTCAATTTTGTCAACTATCGGATGAACGCGATACGGAAATTCCCTTTGGAAGACTGCAAGACGGCCAAGGACCTTTTTGCCAAAGCGCAAGGATTCTTTCCACTTTTCAGCAAGGGTGCAAAGGTGTCTGTGCTGTCTTGCCAGATACCCACCTACTCAGCTCAACACTATCTATTTGAAAATAGCGGAGGTGAATTCGAATCTCTGGTCAATGATGCAAAAAGCATTGATCGCACTGATGATGGGAAACTGGTAATCGAAGTCGTCAATCATGTCGTTTGAACTGGGAGAACCATTTGCTTTCTCTGTCATTTATTTCTATCTATTGCTTTTATTAATAGCGGGACATTCGATGAGCGTGAATAAGGCCAACAGTTTAATATCAGCTTAGCATATGCCTAGGACTTGCATATAACAGATGGACATATAGGAATTTAGTTCGATAGTTTATAAATCAGTGAAATAACCACTACGCCTTTGTTGTGCAAATATCCGATCTGCAAGATTGCATCACTTGGAACTCAACTAGTGGACCGTAAAATCTCATTGATAGAACCTCAACTTGACTACTGCCTTGATATTGTACTTATGTAGATGTAGATGATTACCCAAAAGGGTGATGACTAACGACCCACGTGTTGCGCGTTTTCGGCCAGAAACGAGGATAACGGAGGTGAAGCATCATCGCCGACAGATTGGCCAGATTGACACTTCACCGTCGCTTCAGCTACTAAACAGAAAGAACAGTCACTCATTTGGACCATTTCCAGCCATGCTCCGAGCATGATAGCCGCGTCTGCTCGATGCCTTCTCCGCCCGACTCGCCTCCCCTCCCTCCACCAGTCCCCGTCGAAACCCATCCGTACCGAGTGGGCGGGTCACCGTCTCCTCTGGAGCAGCGAGCTCTTCCGGACCCGACCCGGCTCGCGCCCGAAGATGCCTACTTTGCTCCATCGCTTCTCCGGGCTCGTTCTGCCCATGCGGATTTTGATGAATCGCTCGAATCGCTGAATGATGGCGCCCCCGATAGTGTTGCGGACTTGCGATCACCGCCCGACGCACGCAAGGTGAGGGGGACAAGCCGACGGAGGAGAAGAAAGGGGGCGTGGAAGAAGCTACTATGGGTGAAGCAATCATGTAGGTATCCTATCTTGATTTCTGGTACTGGAATTGCGTGGGGGTTGCTGACAGGACAGACCCGGATAATTACACCGACACTGAGACCTTTCTTGACCACCTTCAACGAAATCCGCGAGTGCGGCCCTACGACTTTTGGCCATTGGTGGCGGATTCTACGGTGATTGTACAACATGTCTGCTCGGTGGCTATCTTTGTGTGTTGTTTTGTCGGGATTGTGCAGGGGAGAGTGAGCCCGGTTTCGGTCGTTTGTTGGAGCAGTTCTGGGACGGCCCTGGGTTGGATTCTGTGGGACTCATGGGCTTGGAAGGAACATAGGGATGGTTCGCATGCTGCTGATGCTGTGGAGGGCGATGATGGTTCCAGTTCGAGCTCCATGGCGAGCTCGGTCAATCCGTCTGCTGCTGGATCGCGGTCAAACGTTCAGAAGGAGGGTCAGGTTCATGGACTTGGACTTACAATGAGTGAGCCTAATGAACCGCTGCGAGGACGTGCAGACTTTAATGGGGATAATGGCATGCTGGATCCGTCACCCAGCGCGACTCATACGGGTACCTCCCACGAGGCCAGATCGTTGCTTCTATCTTCGCGGAATCGCCAGAGACTCACCACGGTCAAGTCGGCGTTTCTCATTTACTTTGCGTTGCTTGGGCTCAGTCCGATTCTGAAATCCCTGACCAAGTCCACGGCCAGTGATTCGATTTGGGCGATGAGTTGCTGGCTGCTGATCATGAACATTTTTTCCTTTGACTATGGAAGCGGGGAGGGCGCAGGCGCCACCAAGTTCCCAGCTTCTTTGTCTACCAACGCAGCTGTGATGGCGTCGACCGTGCTTGCGTCTCGGTTGCCGTCGACAACGCACGTGTTCAGTTTGATGCTCTTTTCGATGGAGGTGTTTGGTTTGTTCCCGATCTTCCGTCGACAGCTGCGTCATATTTCCTGGACCGGACATGTGCTTCTGACTCTGGCGCTGGTGATTGCCGCCGGAGGAGCTGTTGGGACGACTCTGCGCGGAGGATGGGCAGCGGCCGTTGTTGGCTCTATCCTGGGCAGCATCTTGACGGCTCTGGCGATGGGAGGCTGTAGCTGGTGGTTGATCAGCCTTCAGAAATACAAAAACGTGGTAACGGGGCCTTGGGATCCAGCGCGCCCTATTATACGGCGACATTGGGATTGATGATTGTGCACTTGATTCTGGAGAACCTTTATCTTCACGATACCCCGTTGTTGTTGATATCTGCTATCTAATATGTATATCTTAATTTACTGATCTTATGTCTTCCAATTGGAATCTACCTAACTGTCTGCGTATTTCTACTGATTCTGACTCAAGCAGTTCGTATCTACGAACGCCGAACAACCACGAGTCAGTCACCGGGGATTCCCATCAGGTCGGACTCAATCGCTCATGGAATTCTCTTGAAGCGGGTACCTGGTGCCTGACAGACGGCGAAATCCGGACTCCTCACCAATCAAGTCTATGATACAGAAGGATTTAATTAAAGTTTGAGTGAATGAAGCTCAATATCCACTAGTTGAGGCTGGATTCTGGAGTGGCTTGTCTGGATGGCAGGCGTTATCCTTAATCAGGTCAAGACTGTTAGGTGAATGAAGGAGATCTCCTTAGGGTAGAAACTACTAGACAGTAGGAATTTCCTGTCTAGTCTTGCCTGAGGCTATTTAAGAATATAAATAAACCTATTCTCACCCCTCTAAACTCCTTTTCTTTCTTTCTCTTTCACTCCTCTTTAGAGACAGTGATCTAGCAGTAGGAATAGTGCTAGGTCTATCTCTTTCTTTTATCTCCCCTCTGTCATCGACTTCTTTGATTCTCATTTACGATCGACTTCCTCACTTGTTTGTCAATCTATCGTGACCATGGAGTTCAAGCATCTCCTCCTCGGCCTTATGGCTGCGCAGCTAGTCGTTGGCATCCGATTTGCCATGTACGTCGACCAGTAAGTATCATCTTGACCCTCTCCAAGTGCAATGCTAACACTCCAGATACCACACGACCTTCCTCCCAAAAAATGACCAGACGTCCGACATCTCCCACGCCATCATGGCGTTCGCGGAATCGACTCTTTTCAACTCGAGCTCCCCTCGTCCTTACAAACCATTCGAGCCCGTTTCCACATTCAAGCAGCGTTTCGGAGCAGATACAAAGGTGATGGTGGCTATCGGTGGATGGGGCGGTTCTGAGGGTTTCTCCATCGGTGCTAGAGATGAGAAGACCCGCGCTCAGTATGCGAAGAACATTGCGTCTATGATCAAGACTCACGGGTTTGATGGCGTTGGTACGTGGAACCCTTACCTGAGTCTGCTCAAACTAACATCTCAGACATTGATTGGGAATATCCCGGCGGCAACGGCGCGGATTACAAGAACGACCCCAACTCCGACAAGAAGGAAGAAGTCCACACGTTCCCCTTGTTCCTCGAGGCTATTCGCAACGCAATTGGAAAAGACAAGGTTCTTTCCGTCGCTGTGCCCGGAAAGACTACCGACATGATTGCCTTCACCAAGGAGACTGGCCCTAAGATCTGGAAGTCTGTAGACTTTGTCAACGTCATGAGCTATGACTTGACCAACCGTCGTGATAACGTTACTGGTCACCACTCGAGTGTTGCTGACTCGCTCAAGTCTGTGAAGCAGTACCTCGATATTGGTCTTGAAGCTTCGAAGATCAACTTGGGCATGTCGTACTACGCCAAATGGTTCAGTACTAAGCCTGGTTCGGACTGTTCTTCTCATCCTCTTGGTTGTGAACTTCTTCCTCTCGAGAACGCTGATGGATCGGACAATCATAAATCTGGAGCCTTCACTTTTGAGAAAGGAAACTTGGCCGCTCCTCCCGCTAACCTTCCCATCTCTTACGACGGTACCTGTGGCTTCGCAAAGGGCGCCAAGTGTCCTCCTGGCTCTTGCTGCAGCGCAGACAACTATTGGTAAGTCTCCTCTTCTTTCTACTTTCTTTACACCTATTAACCAATCCTAGCGGCACATCTGACGAACACTGCATGTCCGGCTGCCTCTCCGACTACGGAACCTGTAAAGGCATCTCCCTCATCGAGTCCTGGCGCCGCGCCGAAAAGGGCGGTATCACCGACCAGTCCGCGGGAGGAAAGTACTTTTGGGATGAGAAAGATAACTTGTTCTGGACGTGGGATAGTCCTGAGATGATGGCTCGGAAGTTTACTGAGGTTGTTGATGTGGAGAAGGTTGGTGGTGTTATGGCTTGGAGTTTGGGAGAGGATACCTATGAATTTGCGCATGTCAAGGCGATGCAGAAGGGGGTTGCTTCTCGTAAGTAGGGGTGGGATGGTTCATGGTCTGAGGAGTATCTTTTCTTGTTGATAGGTTACTTTCGTCTTTTGAGGGGCTGTTATCGTGACCAGTGCGTTTCTTAGGAACTGAATTACTGTCGTTCACTGCTTCCAAAAAGAAAAGTAGACTTATAACTACGTCAACCAATACCTCAGTCCATCTATCTAAACAATAAAAATAAAATAAAATAATAGTCATTATATCGAATATCTACGATAAAAAAGCAAAAAGCTGACCTATCTCCAGCATGGAAGCTGGGGGCTACGAAAACCAGTTACCCAGTTTTTGCAACGAAATCCGCGCCGCAGCAGCCCGGACTCGAACCCAGGACTTCCAAGCAGTGGGAGAGTCCCTTCAAGGCTCCTGCTTCTCTTAAACAGTCATCGCCTCAAGGAACTAACCCGCCCGTCGGTTACCCTGGATTTATTAGCAGATCCTATCCTGTGATGGGTTATCTGTTCACTTTTGCTGGTCTTTTGCCTGAGTTTTCAGGCTGGATGGTGTCCTGAGGCTTCAACAGATTCAGCGTTGACGTACCAGTGACTTACTCTGTAGGTAGGCCTGGATGATATACAAGTGGGGCTAATCTCCGATACACTGCCCAACCACTAGCGTCAACGTCTATACAGCTATTTATGGCGGAACGTGACGAAAAGAAAACCCTGGGATTGTTTTATTATTAAATGGTAACAGAATGTTTCAGTACTAATCTCGATAAAAATGACGGCCTCCAACACAACACAGCTTCGCATTGTACAACTTGTCGTGTTGTACCTTGTGACTGTTTCCTATGGTGTTATATCATCCACCGAATTCTGCTCATCTTCATTCGATCTTTTTATCTAATTCCTTCAGATAAATGAGGCAACCCCATATCCCCGTCGACCGGTCGGCAATTGACGTCAGTTCAATAACCCCATATGAGCCAATGTTTGGAGCGGCGGCGGCAGCAGTAGGCTGCCAGGGAAATCCATATCCTTATGGACCTCACTACCTGGTATCCAATTGTATGTCCACCCCTTCGATATTGTCTACCAAGTGTTGGTGGCAGCAGCAGGATCGGCAGCAGCATCAGGGGAGCAGTGGGGGCGAGGGCTGCGAGAGTGGCGTTGTTCCGGCCCTGAACAGGACCACGACGGCGGTGCTAGTGATTATATCATGGTCAGGCAAGGTATACTTGAATTAAGGATGAATACTTACGAGACGAGAGAAATATCGTATAATCATGTTTGTCTCTGCGCAATTTACGGCCTTATGACCGCGCTCCCCACACGCGAAGCAGGTGTGGGTATCCTATAATTCGTTAGCATTAATTGTACCCTTGATTTGAGATATTAACCTACCTTGGGCATTTTTTAAAAAGAGTTATCAAATGGGCCCCGGAATATCAGGTACCTGGGAAAATCTTGTCCATGAACAGAATCACAAGCACCAGCCATAAGCCAAAGGCTGTTGCTCCCTTTGCTTAACAGAAGCTTCTGCTCTTGCCATGTTCGAATGGCGCTTTGCCAGCAGTCACGGAAGGCACGAATGCGTCAATGGCACGTAGCCCTTGAATGCCCCATTCATGCAGCGTCGACGAATCTGATGTGATGCTATCGTCAGTAAAGGTATACTCGGATTAAAGATGTATACTTAATGGGCGAGAAAAAGCCAGTTTGCCGCATTTTCACAGGGACAGTTGACCTTCAGATGGCCTCGCCGGCCACATGCAAAACATGTTCTCGTTTCTTTCTATAACTCTAGGTTAGCATTGATTCCACTGTTAATGAATCTGACCGCAAAATGGCTGCAGTTGCCACATGCAAAGCATGTTCTGGTTTCTTTCTATGATTCTGGGTTAGCATTGATTTCACCCTGGATCTATGACATACTGGATATTACATACCGACATAACACAGGCGGACACAGAACGACCGCTAAATTAACCATCATGCCAGGGTACCTATCTATAGCTATCAGTTCATCATTAGCAGATACATCAACCGAACAAGTGTCTTACTGACTTGACCCCTTGTTGGAATGTATGACTGTGTCATACAAAAGCTGTGCCATACAGGCATGCCATGATAAAAGATATGATATATAAGTGTGGAAATTGTATATATATGAAGACTTGGGATGGATAGAAGAGTAGGTTTACGGTGGGATCAGAATGGGTATTTATACCTTGAATTCTGTAGCCTAATGTTGATTTGTGAATAGCTTCAAGGTAGATTACTATGATGAAGGTGTATATGAATGATAATATCTTCACTATCATAATGACTCATGTAGATAACATCAGGCATCTATATTATTGAATATCGAATATTCATCAGTGTCTAGACTAAGTCTAGAATTTAGAATACACGATGCTATGGCAAGGAGATCATTATTCAAAGCCGAGTCGAAAGACTCAAATAGTATATATAGTAGTCGTAGAATTCATTAATAGTGCAATAACAAGGTACGCTATGAAAGAGCAGTAAAGATAAAATAGATCTAGATCTTGCGTTCTATGATACTCTCAAGGTGGCTTAATAAATCACCGCCAGCACAAGTGAGATCATGTTTGACAGATCATAGATGAAGAAGAACCCATAGTCTGTAATCGGTACAGTTCTATGCAAAAAATTAAATGTTGTACTCCCGTATGTATGTACATAATAGTAGTAGCCTGCTTCTCAGCTGATGGTGGATGAAGGAGGGGAAGAGGAGCAGTTAGGATGCCTGAGGCACAATACTTAGTCATCAGTGTTCCCCTCTTCATTAGCCAATCATATCATCGGGTCGATCGCTGCACATCCTTGCAATTTTATGGCACCGGGGTTGTTGGACTCGGGCATCGTCCGGATTGTCTTTGCCCGACCGTGGGAGCTGGAAAGTTATTTTGAATATTTTCTCAATGAATATGGCGATACTCCGAATCATATGAATTCATTATTTTACGACTCTGTAGTTGCTGCTCTTGAAACTAATATTCATAGAAAGCGATGGGCTGTTCTGCAACCACACCGCCTCCAAATGTAGTTAGAGCCATTGTAGTTTAATTTGCCGGGCCGGTCGCTCTTCAGTGTCCTTCCGGCTCGAAATGGCCGGCAAAAGAATCGATTCCCCTCGTCCTCGTCAGGTATTCATCTCATTTGTCGCTTGCTTTGGCCGTTAAATCAGGCTTTCTGTTCATAAATTCATTCGACCATAATTGTTTCAGATTCGTCGCTGTTGACCAATGTTGATCGACGCTGGTATCGATCCGCCGTGGTGATCTGCCAATAGCCCGAAAGTGGCAGGCATCCTGGCATCACTAAGGTATGCCAATGCTACACGCCAAGTAATGTCTGCAACATTTAACACTCTCTAGGTGAAACGATAATCATCATAAATTTAATAATATCTCATGCATCATACTTTGTACATTCGTGCCAAGTAGCCAAGGTGCTTGGCTGCCCACCCGGGTTGCTTTAAAAGCAACCTTAAACCCGCTCCATCTGCTGGACCTCCAAATCTTTCTCTTTGTTGCCTTCCAACACCACCTCTGTCGTCTCTCCCTCTGGCAAGCTTCGTGCCATGGACACAATGTGCCATGTTGTCGGCGCATCTCGGAAAACGTGGTTGATCGACTCCAGGTTGCGGTTCTTCGTCTCGGGGAAGAAGATATACACCATGATCGGGATACAGCCCGAGAGGACAGTATAGATGACGTAATATCTCCAAGAGATTGTATTGAGAGCAACTGGGGTCACGAGTACGACAACGAAGTTCCAAAGCCAGTGGTTGGCAGTGGACATGGCCGACATGGCGACGCGCAGTCTCACCGGGGCCACCTCCGTACAGTACAGAAAGTTTCCGCCCAAGAAACCGATCGGATAGAACGAGTTAAAGAGGAAGATGAAAAGAGCAGACACGATGGATGCCGACTTATTGCCCTCGCCGAAACTGTTGGTAACTGAGAGTGCAAGCATACAGCAACACATGCCAGTTCCACTGATAATGAACACCTTTCTGCGGCCCAGTCGGTCGATGGTGAAGAAGGCGATGAAGCTGCAGAGGAACTTCCAGGTCAATGCGCATGCTGCCAGGATACTGGATAGGTCGGAGCTCATGCCCAGATTTTCTTTGAAAATCGTCGAGGCATATACGGAAATCAAGTTTCCTCCGCAAAGCTACTTAAGCTGTTAGCAAAGCGACCATGGCACAACCTCGTTATCTTGGGAAAGTCAACAACATACCTGTTGGAGACATTGAAGCGCCATGCAAAGGCAGAATCGGTAGAATAATCGCTCCTGGTCGTTGCCAGAGAGCATCTCCTTCCACGACACGGATTCCGCTGTGACCTCTAGCGATGTCTCAATACCCGTTACTTCCATCTGAATCGCCTCATCCTCCTTAGAGAGGCCCTTGTATGCTGCCAAACTACTGGCCGCCTCCTCGATGCGGCCCACGCGTACCAGCCAACGGGGGGATTCCGGAAGAAAGAAAACCGAGGCAAGCATGACAACCGAAAAGAAGAATGAGATGGCTAGTGGTACCCGCCACTGTGTTGTGCCATCAGCCTTGCTCAAGCCAAAGTCAATCCAGTTACACAGGACATAGCCCAGGCATATGAAGATACCGTCGGTGACAACATGTTGTCCACGATTCTTGGCTGAAGAGCATTCCGACTGCCATACGGGCACGGCCACACTCATCTGGCCAATACCGAAGCCCAGGATGATACGGCCAACGGTGAACTGGATAATATTGTAAGATGCTGTCTGCAGGACCTGGCCGATAACACTGAGGATGGCTCCAAGGAAAATTGTTTTTCGACGACCGAACTTCTCTCCAAGATATGAGCACGACAGAGCGCCGAACAGCGCACCAATCTGGAACGAAGCAATCACGGCACCCTTTGATGTGGTGTTTTTCTCCTTGGTCGCGCCCTCGGTGTTTAATGTGTCGATGTCAGGAAAGGTATGGACCCAGCTCTGGAGGGTAGCCAGGGGCCCTAAACCAGCCTGGTTATAACCAAAGAGAATAAAGGCTGGGGCGACAATGAGGGCCACCTGGGCCAAACGAAGCGATCTTCCGTAAAAAACCCCCATATTGACAGAAAAAGAGCTGTGATTTGATTTTTTGGCTAGAAGAAACCTTACGATCCAGGCGACTCAGTCTTATCTTATATACTGGGATTCCTTCTAGCTGGCCCCAAATTCCAACCCGGTGAGCTCACAAATGCGACGAAACAAATGGAAAAAAGGAAAAAATCTGTGCCGTGGGGACCCCATTCCCCGCATCATTATCGAAACACGAGTGTGGAGTACATACGGTGATTGTTATTACAAGGCCCGTGTCCATTTCCCTGGCCTGTGAGTTACTGAGACTAATTGTTATTAACTCACGGTTATTGATTTATTCGGGTTGGCCATCAGTGGTGGGGGAAGTCAGACAGCCAGCATCGGGCGACTTCCATATCCATGCGATATGCCGATGTTCTGATTCGCGGCACGCCTTCGGATCGACACCGAGACAACGCGATGGATGGAGCCAGTCGGGATTTTGTCCTTGAGGCTGTCGGAGTTTTTTTAATTATTAATTAGCGGATTATGCTACACCGAAACAAGAAATACTCGGTCTGTTGGGAAAATACCGCATCATGTCGTGTGATGCATTGCGGAGAACCCCAACTGGAGTCGGAGTAAGTATGGTCCTGACACATGGCCTAACACTTCATATTATGATGTCGGACAATGAATCATGATGCATTTTCCTATCTCCGAGCATATGCATTGTGGCAAAATCATGAGCTTAGCTATCTTGTGTACATGCCCCGGACTTACAGGGAGTCGATGTTTTCGCTTTCCGCGATCAAGCAATCTAAGAAAGGCGCCGGATCTCCTCCACCACGGCATCCGTCACTTCTTTCGTTGTCGCTTTCCCTCCTAAGTCGCCCGTCAAAATGCCCCGCTCGCAGACATTTTCAACGCAATATAACAATTTCTTGGCTGCCGCTCCCTCACCCAACCATTCCAGCGTCTCGGCCGCCGTCCAAAAAGTTGCCACTGGATTAGCTACGCCTTTGCCCGCGATGTCGAATGCGGACCCGTGGATAGGCTCGAACATGCTTGGGTGCTGTCGGGTGGGATCGAGGTTAGAGGTCGGCGCGATACCAATCGACCCAGCCAGAGCAGCTGCGAGATCGGACAGAATATCGGCGTGCTAGTGATATCATCAGCATATTTCTCAGGTAAACGGCATAGGAGAACTAACCAAATTAGAGGCAACGATGGTGTCAATTGATTGGGGCTTCAAGACCATCCTTGTAGTCATCGCGTCTACCAACATCTTGTCCACCGTCACATCCGGGAATTCCTTGGCAACATCCTGAGCCACTTCATCCCAAAGCACCATTCCATTCCGCTGCGCATTACTCTTTGTCACAACAGTAAGCAGCTTTCTTGGTCGCTTTTGCGCTGTCTCAAAGGCGAATCGCATAATCCGCTCCACACCATTTCGCGAGAAGATGGCCGTCTCCGTGGCCACCTCCCAAGGGAATCCGCGGTGTGAACGACCTCCTTGGCCTGCATACTCTCCCTCACTGTTCTCACGGACAATTACCCAATCGAGATCCCCAGAGTCGCAATTGCGGAGCGGGGACTGCGTACCCCGGAAAATTTTCGTTGGACGCACGTTTGCATATTGCTGGAAAGGCTGACAGATGGCAAGGCGGAGTCCCCACAAACTGATATGATCTGGGACGTCCTCAGCCCCGACTGCACCAAACAGTATGGAGTCGCTCTGCTTGAGCTCTTCCAATCCGCCATCAGGAATGTATTTTCCGGTGCGTTTGTAGGTTTCCGAGCTCCAGTCGTAATGTTTAAACTCAAGATTAAAAGTTTGAAGCTTCTCGCTGAGGGCCTGGAGCACCGTAATTCCAGCGCTCACTACCTCCGGCCCGATACCGTCGGCAGGAATCGATGCAATGTTGTAAGTTTTGGTCATTTTGCAGGGTTGATCTTTCTGGGGGGGAGAGGGGGTGTGTGTCGTCGGGATTTGGCTTTGCGTTGACTGATCGACCGAATTGATTGATCGTTTGATTGCTTAATTGGATTGGATGGACTTAGATTTGACCTGGAAATAAATATGGCAACGTCACTTATATATTCAGTGACCTCATGAAAAATTTTTCCTATTTTTTCTCGACAAAAGGGCTCTCTAGGAGAAGAATCAGACGGACACGGTCTTCGAATGTCCGGGGTAGGCGCTGTGCCCCTCATCGGACAAAGACATCACCGTGTCAGCCCTAAATCCAGTCGCGTGGCCCGGATTGCGGAGACCCCGGAGAGACTCCGGGGATCGGCTGGAGTAGCATCATACACTAGGACCCCTGCTTAGTCGGGAGAGACAGGGAGGAAGAATTATCGGAGTATTTTCAGTAGAGTCTCTTTTTCCAGGAGTTTTTTTTTTTCGCGGTTGAAAGTTCAGCTTGAATGTTCAGCCTATGACGATAATAAACCTACGCAAAGCTTAGCTCACCAGGACAGATAGGTCATAGGCCATTTTCGTGAAGCAGCCACGGGCCATCAGCCACGCTCCATACATCGCTCGTAAATATGCTTTCCAAATCAACCCCCGACAATCCTTCCTGTCCGGGAAAGCCGGGGTAAGATGAGAACCCGGAACTGTCCCCGAAGATCAGCCCGGCTGAATTATACCCGTTCCAATTGCTGTCCAGTGCTGCGTCTGGTAAAGCGATACCATGGCTAATGTGACTATTTATTTGCCCGTCTGTAACAGACATTGTTCCTGGATCAAGTCTGTGCGTGTGTAGATTTGCTGTTTCGAATGTTGTGCTCTGTCCTTGACCGTGGTCACCGGAAGAAACCGGAGGTGGACGATCCAAGGCTGGCCGATCGGACGGGATGTCGCGATTGCCAGTGGCGTTAGAAAAGTCCTTGATAGAGGAAACCATGGCTGTTGGATATCTAATTGCCGGATCCAGTTCAGCCACGGTTTTGGAAAGAGCAGACTCGAGGTCCCGAATTGCTTCGATACATGTTTTTGGCCAGCTACTTCCGCGCAATGAGAGGTTCTCTAGTATAGACAAGCCTAACTTGGCATATCTGGGCAAATTAGCATAACTCTAAACACCCGTTATCAGGAAACTCTATACCTTAAAGCTGCGTTTACGGGAAATTCCCGCTCCCAAGCAGCGTACATCAGAATTAAACAAGCCATCCAGACGGCCCAAGTGAAGGAGGGCCAGACCAAGGGGATAAGTTGCGCAGAGTCATTTGGTTGCGATTTTGTGGGCCCAGAAGTCATATATCCTGTTAGAGCGGTAATAAGTGACCTCGAAGACTCGATGCATATTTGCAACGCGGTTTCAGACTCAGGCGTAGACCCCTCTGTGGCTAAAAGAGGCCGATTCATTGAAATTATGGACTCATGCCGAAGGACAATCAACACTAAACGATGGAATGGGCTCAGTGCCTCCCGTGTGTCTGCGTCTTCGAAACCAACAGGGTAAACATCGTCGTATACCTCGTTCCACCAGTGTGCCAGTGATCCATTGACCTGCGTGGCCCCCGTGGGGTTGTCTTGGCTGTGGAATATCGATTTATTGCGGAGTTCCAGGATAAGACCCCGGACCTTGGCAAACTTTGCCAGATGTTGGAGGAGACGTAGTCGATTGTCATCTATATATGACAGATGTTAATATCGATTGTGACAAATATTTTGAAATAAACAAGATAAGTCATACCGCCAGCTACTGTACAACCTTCCTGCTGATGTCTTTCAGCCCCGGGATAACACACGTCAATGTCGTCATCTTTGATGCTAAGCGGAACTCCCAATGCTTGTGAAAGATATCGCTCGAGACAGTATATAGACCAGAAAAGGCGACGTCTAATAGCTATATCTTCCTGGCTGAAGCACGAAAAGCGTGCAGGGCAACGATGAAGCCCAAGATGGAAGGCGTTGCGAGTAATGACACCCCCAATTCGCGACGCAGCGTTAAGACGTAGCAATGATGCAAGAAATAGCTCCACACTGAACGCGGCCTGTAAGAGCTGGATTGTAGTCGGTTCGCTGAATAAAATTTGTAGACTGTCCATCGCTTGGCCTACCGTCCAGAACATCAGGTTTGACGGTACGGCCTCTCCGGGAGTATCCATCTGCCTTCTATCTACCAAGGAAATAGAGACAATTGATCGGATGATGATTTTGTCAGTCCGGCTGATACCTGCAAGGCCATTGTGACTGACCTTTTCGAGAAGATGCAGGACAGTCGGGGCATGCAGGAAGGGAAACATTGGGTGCCAGGTCTCAAAATAGCTCTTCGTCCACTGAACAAGTTTCTCAAAAGAAGGAGGGCCCCTAAAGGTAGGATCAAGCTCATCCTTGGCCCAGAGCTCGCTGTTTATCTTATTCACATCATGGTTACTGTGCAGCTGGTCATCTTCCCCGGGAACAAGATTCTCGTTTCGCACTTTGGCCTGGTTCAAATCTGCAGAGCGACGGGCAAAAGCATTATAGACAGTCCGTATGAAGTGAATCCCACTAGAGCTCCCTAGAAAGCTAGCAGACCCATCTATTGGCTTTCTCATGATCCCAATCTCACGAGGGCCTGTTGTCGACGCGCGTTTCCGCCGCTTGACGGGGTGGACATCTGGTTGAGAGGTCTCATCATCGTATCCAGGACTAGATATAACTGGAGATCTGGTGCTCATGGTTAAAGATGCAATTGAAGGCTTTTTTTGCTTTAATGTGGTCAGACGATGCGAAATGAATGTGTCGAGACGAGGCAATTCCGGGGTAATCACGTGGTAAGATATGGTTAGTCAGCGTGTGTCCTCTTTTCGCCCTTTTCGCTCTCTTCTGCTTCGATTTTTAGAAATATTGTAATTTTTGTCCGAGTTCTTCTGTATTGTGCTCTTCCAACATTCTTTCCTGAATTTTCATGGTGGCTATTTGATTAGATCTCATTTCCCCGCGGCGTGTCATTCACGGAACTCGGCAAGTGGATGGATGCTCTTGACTTTCAAAGCTTGGATAACTACTACAATTGAATGATTTTATCATTCAAGTCAAGATCCAACGACTCGTCAAAATATATAGGTATCCCAAAGAGACAACTAATCTCTTGAAACCACATTTTGCTGGGGCTCATAAGATCCAGCAGCCATTCTCATAAATATGTCATCTGGTACTTCTCCTGTCAAACATAGTACGTCGATGCCTAACACGGACAGAGCTCAGTCCTATATCATGCGAATCATGCAGACAAAAGAAGTGCAAGGTAAGCATCACCTATTTTTACTGTACTGTATTTCAATTAACTTGTTAATAGTGTGATCGAGTCCTGTAAGTACCTCTATACCAGTTATCGATCAACCACTAATAAACAGTCCCTTCTGTACACAATGCAACACGGATCCATCAAGATGCACGTATCCAGAAAGTGGCAAACGGTAGTCTTGTCTAATCCACTATGTAAAAAGAATAACAACTAATTCATATCTAGGGGCCTACCCCTTGGCTATCTAACCCAGCTTGAACACCGACTCGAAGAAACAGAAGCGGTTCTTTTCTCTACCTTATCCACTCTCCATTCTATCAATCCCTCTTTTGCACCTTCAGACACACACATCCCGCCGGATCGAAGGGAGAATAATACCAAACCGGCCAAGATGGACGAATGGAGACGTTTGCCACTGACTTCGCGAAAAGTGGACTTGATGCGGTGGTGGGAAGAAAAGGGTGGTGATAGCTCTAGTATTCGCTTTGGAGAAAGCCATGAAGGGCTATCTGGGGAGAGTTCGTCTCATAATCTTCGCGTTGAAGGAGAATATGTCGGTCTGGATGAAAGACAGGGGCAGGATGGATCTGCAAGTCTTGTGCCTATGGGAGATATTGGGGGCAAAGCAGAAGAGTTGGCGAAGATGGAGTCGACGATTTATTTTTGATTATATCTCAATAATAATAAACTCATCGTGTTTAGATTTCTGAAGGGGGAAAGAGATTGATTCTATCTAGGGTACTGTAACTACGGCCACCACCACCAGAAACCATGCCCATATATATAGCTATGGCTGCCTTACTAGTATTTCCGTATATAATAAGCCTGGTAGAGTAGCTGATTTAATACTATTAATATCTCTTCAAGAGACAGCTCCTGTATCTACTAGGATATAGCAAGTAGAGTGAATGTATGTATAGTGAGTCAGTATGGTGTGTGTAGTGTTACTCTCTAAAATCTTCATCTCTTCGTCTCTTCTTCTATTTTTCTTTTTTTGTCTTCCCCCCTCTTCTCCACTACTTCTCTTCTTCTTCGCCCCTCCAGTCTTCTCGTGTACCTCCCATTCCACGCCACCCCATCTCTTGCCCAAATGCCTTCTTCTGTAAGCATCTTCCTGCCACTCAGCTATAAACCTAACAACGGATCATACAGAACAGCCCCGAATGTTTCTACTGCCACACCTCTGGCCAGATCCAGAGGGGGTGCCCGCTCCGTGCTGCTGTGTTCAGAGTCTTCTCCCAGCCCCTCGAGATAATTACTCTAGAGGCTTTCCAGGCTAACAATGATAACTTACTGACTTCTACAAAGCCCCGTCGCATCGCAGTAGGTTATATTCAAATTACACCACAAATACAAATATTGATAACGTCGTCATCGTTGCCCCCAGCCCCAGAACCGAAACCAGCAGCTCCAGCAAGAAAATCAAACACAACAAGAGCCAATCGATGAAAATCTTCAGGTGCAGTTTCAACTGCTTCAGCAACAGGACGAGCAGGGGCAGCGTCATCTGGCCTTGGAAAGTAGGATGCGTCGAATGGAAAGAGAAAATACAAGGTTGAAACAAGAAAACCAGGAGCTTAAGAGACGCCTACAGCAGGATGAATCGGGCAGGGAAAACTAGACGCGCCCCCCTAGCCCCAATCTTTGATTTGTTAAATGTACCGTAAGGAAAATGTCAATGGTTCTTTGTTCTCGATGATGTAGTAGAGTATTTTTACGGTATTATCTAAACTTCTCACTAGAAGGTGAGAAGAGGCCTAGATAGTATCTGTATCTGACTTGGGAAAGGTGGAGGTTTCTTTGTTTTCTGTTATGTGGCAGATTGTGTTTCTGTATAATTATCTAAACTGCCAAATAGACGGCCCGAGGGTCTATAGATATTCGTATCTGACTTAGGGAACGTAGTAGTTCTTCCTCTAGATCTTCGATTTCTACTATGTCTCGGAATGGAAATGCCAATGGAAGTTTCTTTAGTTTCTATGATATGGCATACTGTTTCTGCTCCGGCGAGAAGAGGCCAATCCATCTTTTCCATCATTCTGCTTTCTGGCACCAGTCATCTTGTAGTTTGTTTTAAATATAAGCCAGTGATACCTTGTTTGTACTAAAATCACACCAAGTAGTAAATTCCAATGTAAAATAAAGCGTAGGCAATGCCTTTTTCGCCTTGTCTGATAAGCACAGATATTTTTTTTTTTTAAACGTCTTTTCCTCTACTAACGCAGCTGTTCATCAATCATGACTCCTCGAGCTTACCAACAATCTTCCCCTCGCGCCTTCTTCTGTTGCGTGAAGTCTTTCTCCCCACCACCCTGTTTCCTCTTCTGTGAGGAAATAGGATCATAGCCAAGGTCTTCGACATTTTTAAAGCCCAAGCGACTCCGAGGTTGGCCCAGAAGTTTGCTTAACTCATGGTCTGCCCATGCTTCAACTGGCATCTCGGGTACGCCTGACCCAGTTCCGGCAATGTCGCCATTTTCTCGGGTCTTTCTAATATCGCGAAGCTGAGAGGCCACATGTGGCAATGCACATATGGTATTCCTGTATTCTAACCACCTCGAAATTGTGTGATCTTGGAATAAAATGAAGATCTTCTGTTTCTCGCCTTGCCCTGGACGGTGGACCTGGCCGATTACTTCAAATAAACTCTTCATACCAAACGTCGGTTCCAGGACAATGACCCTGGAGCAGTGATGGTGGAGGTTAAAGCTTAAGTCACCACAACTGAAGGTCGTGATGAGGACCTGGCAATGATTATCTTTGCTTGTAAAGTGTTCGACAGCGTGCATTCTTGCCCTCGGAGACATGGATGGTGACACAGTGGCATATTCAATCGAAAGTGCGTCGATGAACATTTCAACTATATACTGAACTAGGGGCCAATTCACAAGAATCAAAAACTTCGGCAGCTCATGCATCTCGGAAACCTCAAAAGCACCCTCGTCAAGCAAGATTATGGCAAAGTAACGAAGCTTTGGACAATCATGCGCCAGGTAGTGTGCCTGGCCCAAGCGCGTCTCTGGCGCCATAGCTGCTCGATCTTTGGATACACACACATGGAAGAATGAAAACCCGCGGTCATCTCCTTCCACGTATTTCTTGGCTTGAGCGAGCAGAGCCTTTGAGCCGCCAACACTCTGAACGAATTGGTCGAGCTTCGGAAAGAAAGCGAGATGACACAGGCGCTGAAGCACTTCCTCGTCTATGCATTGCTTCTCAACTCCGTCTGCGCCAGAATAGCTACCACCGCCCCTCTTTCCTTTGTGCAGTCGCGCCACCAAACTTCCGTATAGCAGGTCATGTTCCTTCTGCGCTTGTTGCGAATACTTGAGCTCTACTGTCATGATTCGAAAAGGCGGTATATCATCGTCAACGCTTGCGTGTATATTATACGAGTCGTCCACCCCCCTCTGGAGACAAATTAACCGCATTATAACGGGTATCGCGCCATTCCCGTCCCTTGTAGTCAGGTGGCCTCCAGTTGCAAGGGCTGCCAATCGATGTAGGGACAAGTGTAAATGAAGTTGGCGTTCCGATAGATCAGTCATATTGCTCCATTTGCGGTATTCTTCAATTGCCTCTTTGTCGACACCAGTACAATCAGCCCCGTCTCCAGGGGTAGCTTCGTCAAAATCATCACGACAGAGCAAGGAACTATAGCCACACAGGTCCAAGGCAATATCTCCCAATGGTTTGGGGCTCAAGAGCCACACATGCTCTGCTCCAATCTGACTCAACGATCGATGTGTTCGTGTCCATGTTTTTCTGACGTCGTCGCTCTCGTCCGCGATCACTCGACTAAATAATCCAGTTATCTGCGTTTGGTAAGTCAACTGTCGACGCTGATGGATTACTCGCTTCCCGATAGAACTGGTATCCTCGTCGGCTTTTTCTTGGGCATCTCTCAACGTGTTAGTCGCCTGGTCAGTTTTCTCTAGCTTCTCGTCTTGGTCACCACTGGCGTATTCGTTCGTGCCTTTCTGAACACCCCCGTTTCCTTGCTCATTTATGCAATCGATTTTATGAGTGGTTAGCTGAGCCCACGTTTCGTATGTCGTCAACACAATTGTCCGGGATGTGTCTGCACTATCAGAATCAAGACTTGAGAGTGTCTCACGTAGCTCTGCCAACGTATTCACTGTCTGACACTTCCACCATAGATTCGGTCTCGGCTCGCCCAACCCATAAAACATAATTATGTCCAGCTTGTCACTAAACTGCTTATGCACCTCCTCCTGCCAGGCGTCTATTAGTTTAGGGGGGCATACCACCAGAGTGGGTCGGTGGAAATACCCAACCAGTTGAGATGCTCGCTGGCTAGCAAACCAGACCAAAGCAAGTGATATCAATATCGTCCCCAATTCTCTTGCATCCGCAAGAATACCACCCTTTATTGGGGATTCCTCCTGCTGCAACATCCAAGCCAGTCCCGTCATTTGCAAGGGCTTGAGCATAGTTGGCTCAATGAATGCATGCCCTGGAGGAATCACCGGCCTTTTCGGGTCTAATCCCAGGGTGGCACAGGCTTGTTGAAAACCAGGTGCCTGTGCCGAGACTATACCATGTCTTTCCATGTCAGTTGGATTCCAGTCCATCGCAGGCTCCGAGTTAGCCATGAGGCGCGCGAGCACCCCGTCAGAGCTCAGCTGCTCCGAGATACTGGTCTCTTTCGGCTCATATAAGATACAGGTCTGACTGAAGTTGTCACTCTTCACCAGATAGTCTATCAGTAATAATCGGTGCTTTTCCGGCATCTGAGGGCGGATAATGCCTTTTTCAAACCTATAACAAAGCGCTGCGCTGATGCCGGATGAAACTTCGTGGATGACATTCCGTTCGGGGCCATCTTTGTTGCTCTCGTTGTCTCTGTCTCGACGCGAGCTCTCGTTTAACTCGTCGTGAAATGTTGTCAAGTCTTCTGTCGTGAGCCCAAAAATCTCGTCACTGGTTTGCGGAACACTCTCGTCTATTTCTGGCTCTTGCGCCGTTGCTGACTGTTGGGTAGATGGTGTTTCCTCATTTGACTGGCGATGATAAACAGGAGCTGTAGCTTTATGGCGTCGTGCCGTGCTCGGTATCCTTTGCGTATTCGACATTAACGTGAATAAGGAAAGCAACTTCCAGCCCTGGAGTACATCGTATGGGTCTAGCTGTAGTGGGCCAGCACCCACAGTTGATCGTGGGAAAAGTGTCGGTTTTGCCTGTATGAGCTTCAGAACGTACCAAAGGCACGTCAACGGGGCCAATGTATCTTCTGTGACATTCTGGACTCCGACTCGCGGGCGGTTCGAAGCGGTCATGACGATATGGAACGCTGGGTTGAATGCGCAGGTCAAAATCGCCGACATCCGGAGAATCAGTTTACCACTCTTAATACCTTGGTGGTCGAATGAATTTGCCCGGTAGGCAATCCAATCCTTGATCACGTTCTTCGTGTCGACATCGTCGAGATACAACGCCCACAGCTTATCCGTGGAGGGAAGAGCCAGAGCACCGGCCAAGGACGCCGGTTTTTGGTCTAGCATCTGCACGTATTTCAAATCATATTCGACTCCTGGAATTCCGCATGACTTCCTTTCGTACTTGGCTGTCATGATTTGAGTGATATCAATCGATTTGGTCGACTAGGGCTTTATACGGTCGGTGGCTTCCTTTGCCCCTGTTGTTCAAAGAGATAGTGTAGAGGTGGTATGTCTCTAGACTTAGAGCTGATATGAGGTATGACTACTATTAGGTGGATGTTGTTTGTAGGAAGGAGAGAGGCCAGAAGCCTAATTTATAGACCTCCCCCACGCAGAGAGATAGGATCGAAGCGGTAGTAAGTGAGAGGAATATAAAGTGAAAATATCATATGAAGCCTTAATTGAGTGGCCAATGTGACTGGTTGGTGGGTTGAATGCCGGTTGAGGTATGTCAGAGTGTTGTATAGGGGTATCTTTATATATGGTTCTCATAGAAAGCGTACCTGACTACTCTATAGTAGTGAGATAGAGTTTTGATTATCAGTTAAACCTCAGATAAGTAGATCATAAGAAAGAGGTAAAAAGTAGTAGCAGAATATCAAATGATCAAAACTCCCATATCTCAGTAGTATAGAGAACCAGCATGAATTTTGCCTGAGATGAGTAAGACTTCAACCAAATGAAATCTGTTCATCCTCTAGGCATGATATGATAATCATTCTAGCGAGGTCAGTTTGGCGTAAAGATAGTGTATGCTTTATAGACCCCATCAATATTATTATTCCAACATGTATCATTGATTATCTTTGTAATAGTGTATCATCACGTGGTATATGCAAGTCAAAACTTTTTAGGGCCTATACCCGACGACATAACCGACCATTCTGATCAGGAAGATTGTCCAAGCTCTTGACCACCCAATCCTCACTTCCCACGGCTGTAGGAGCGTAGAAAAGACCGGACGGGTCAAACTTTTGCTTAAACTCATAGAGACGAGGGTAATTGGTTCCATAGAATGCTTGCTGGAAGTGAGGTTCCAGAATATCCGACTCGGACATGTAAGCCCCAGCCTCGGGGCAGGTAGCGCGCCACTGGCCCAGAATGTCATTCGTGAAGTGGTCCAATTCCTTGCGGATCTCTGTGTTGGAGGCATTGGCGGACCAGGACGTCGAGGTGATGGCGTGCATGAGAGTGTTGCGGAAGGCCGGGTTAACCGAGTTTTCGGGAATGTTGTCGAGAAGGTCAGCTTTCATGTTGAAGGCGAGGAGGGGGTGGCCGGCAGTGATGGTAGATTGGAGAGCCTCGAATGTCTTGTTGAAGAGGGAGGGGTCTTCCCAGTTAGCCCGGGGAAAGAGGCGCGATCCCGTCATCATGGTCGAGGAAGCGACTGTTTCGAGTGGGAAGCCGGCGTCCCATCCGTCGTAGAAGTTGTCATAGTAGGTAGAGTTGGGGCTGTAGGAAATGCCAAGACGATCGAGCTCGTTGAACCAGGGCTGCATGAGGGTGTTAAACTGGTCAACAGTGTGGTTGACAGCAAAGAAGGGGTTCATCAGGAAATGGAACGAGCTGGGGCCGGTCGACATGACCCAGAAGTAGGCATATGTGCCAGCATCAGCATTGACAGCGAAACGGTCGAGATAAGCACGAACACCAGCCCAGAAGGTGTCAACGGAGACATTCTTCCCACTAGCAAAGTTGAAAGTCGAAACGGTTACTCCAACCTTGGGGTAGACGCGCGAGATGATAGAGGTTACCACGCCGTAGGTACCACCACCGCCACCACGGAAGGCCCAGAAGAGATCAGGATCGCTCTCCTCAGTGATTGTCACAAAGCGACCGTTGGCCAAAACGACTTCGAGAGCGAGAACCTGATCTGCAGCCAATCCGTACATGCTAGACATCGGAGAGTGACCGCCACCAAGGACATAACCACCGGCGACACCGACAGTCTAGATAATTAGCGGATATTCTCGGATTTTCATGCTGGGCGACTTACTTTGCCTTCACCACCGATAGCAGTAAAGCCCATTTCCTTGGCTTTCTCGTAGATCTCGAACGCCTGAACACCAGCACCCATCTTGACAGCGGGGCCGTGATAGCTAGAAGTCTGGTATTTCTCGACGTATTTGATATCCTTCAGGTTATGCGTCCAGATGCCCAGGGCACCAGCGCCAGTAGATTTGCCATTGAAATCATGGCCGGTGTTCTTGACTACCAGACGGATGCCAGCATTACGGGCAAAGTTGACGGCCAGCTGGACCTGAGCGACGGTGCTCACATTGACGGCATAACTGCTGTATCCGCCGACAGTGCAGGAGCCTGAAGAATTGGTGGTTGGCAGACAGCTTCTGCCTTCGAATAGCGGCCACATTACCGAGGCAGGATCGGCATCGCTGATAGGGTTAGCATGGGATCATTATTATGTGGATAAAGATAGGTAGGTAGCTTACTGTAGGTAGGAGATAGTCCAATTGGATGCGATGGCTTTACATTCTGCCGCATCATATTCAGGCCATGAAGAATAGCACGGAGCAGCAAGGGGGGCAGTTTTGATGAGAGAACCGCCTACAAGACGGTCGAAAAGGGACCAAGTAGAGGGAGAAGGCCAGTGAGCATCACCAGGAAAGACTTTGCACGCGCCCGTGGAACGATTGGAGGGAGGGTGGTGATCGTGAGCAAAGTCGAAAAGATGCGACTGGTTGTGGTTGAAAGAAGCGCTGAGGTTGGCGATGACGCTGTCGGTCAATTGAAAGGATTCACTAGGGAACCAAGGGACACCAGCAGAAGAAGTGGAGGGGGAAACGTGATGACCAGCGATGGAAGACGCCTCAGCCGATAAGGAGAGGGTGGAGAGGAGAGAATTGAGGAGAAATGTCATGGTGGAAAGAGGAGAAGAGATGAGGAGAAAAGAGGAAGAGAATGACGATCAGTAGATTTCACACAATAAAATAACTTACAGTCAAAATAGTCGAAATTAATAGCAAAACTAGATTAATTGACTGTCTGTTGCAATATATTAGATACATTAACTAAATCCTTCTAGCACCGCCACCTGAAATAACGTGAATGCCAGAATCACCAAGTGCGATGGAAAAAAAGACGTTGAATCATTGACCCACTCGATCTGATGAACAGAGAAGAATAAAGATGGACGATCCATGGATCTGTGCAAATCTTGAAGTTGAATTCTTTCCCGAGTGGCAACCGAGGTAGGTATCTTTATTCTGTGTGGGTGAGTTCTCCGTCAGTTAGAGAATGAATTATTTGATGTTAGAAATAGAGATAGAAAAGATACTACTAGTAGATAGATAGAATCTCAAGATCTGATGATCGCCTCGACTTTCCTGGATGCAGTAAAATCACCGTTGATCATCCCCAGACTCTCTCTCTCTCTATATTCACTGCTTCCGCCTCTAACCGCGTCAACTGCCGATTGTCCTGCTGGTTCTCTCATCCGTGGATTCAACATCGCGAATTTCAGTCAAGCCTCGTGGTCTCAGTAGATCATCCCCAGATCAGTGCGTCTCAAAGCCAATCCCCAACATTTCTTGAAGTTATTCCCACTTTTCCCTGTCGATCACCAGGTCATTCTGGTTCGCCCTGAGTAACCAGACTTGCGTTTCTTCTTCAGGTCTTCTCTGCATCTTCTTCCCCCTTCTCCGACTGGATCATCCAATGGAACCCACGATGAAGCCTTATCAGGAACGACAGAAATCCAGAAATTCAGAAATCGGCAACTCTTTTTTGCCGATTCCACCGATTGCTTGGACCTGACGACGACAGATGTTAGACAGCAGGCAGAAAACGGCTATAATATCCATCATGCCCCCCAGATCAACAGTTCATCTTTTTCTCACACCATTCATGCTCCATCATGATCGATGATAGTCAACAGAATATAGCCCTGGGCGTGATTGTCGCCTTTCCCATCCTGGGAGGCATTGCAGTTCTCCTTCGCCTCTGGAGTCGTTATTTGGCGCGCTCTGCTCTCACCAGTGGTAGGACTCATGAGATCAGAGGTTCTTCACAATGCTAATATTTCCAGATGACTATCTTGTTTCTGCTGGATATATCCTTGCAGTCATCCAGTCTCTCACTTCGTGGTATTGTAAGTTCTACAACCCCTTGTCTTATACAAAACATCTAATTTGCAGACGTCAAAACCAACTACACAGGAATTCACATCTGGGATGTTCCCAAAGATTTCAATCCTAAACAAGGACTCATCGTACGGTCCCTCTCCCCTATACCAAAGTCATACTGACTGCTTCAGTGGAACTTTGCCAACCAACTCCTCTACAACCCTGCCCTGACCCTAGTCAAAGTCTCTATCCTCATGTTTCTTCGTCGTCTCGAATCCAAATCTCGTCTTGTCAAATCTCTCATCTGGATCTCCCTCGCCGTGACTATCGGTCTCTGTATTTCCGTCCTCCTCGTCGACCTATTCCAGTGTAGTCCTGTCGCCTTTGTGTACGACAAGACCGTTCCTGGAGGGAAATGCATCCACCAAGGAGCATTCTATGTCTCCACTGCCGCCTTTAACCTCTTCACCGATCTGCTCGTCCTCTCCATTCCCATCATCATTACCTGGTCTCTCCACATGCCTACCCGCCGCAAGATCGCAGTCTGCATCATCCTCTGCATGGGTGTGGTCGCCACCGCAGTTGGAGTCTGGCGCATCGTCATGCTCGCAAATGCCTTTTTCCCTGGCACACCCAGCAAAGACCCAACTTACAATATCGGATTCTGCAGCTCTGCCGTCGAGGTCAATGTCGCTGTCATGACTGCTTGCGCTCCCTCCATGAAAGCCATCACCAGCAAATATCTTCCTCGACTATTGGGAACATCCCGAAACGGCAGCTCAGGCTATGGAGCCAATAACTCCTCTAGCCAGTACCGATCAGGGAAACCCCAGCTCTACTCAAACAACACCGATGACTATGAAATGGCGGATCCGTATCGAGCAGATGTGGATATCAAGGCTGCAGCAGATCGTGAAATGAAAAAGTACATACGGGGAGATAGTCATAGTTTGACTAGTGAAGAAGACGCTGAAGGGAGACTGGGAATCATCAAGACTACCGATGTATCGGTTCAATATGCAAATGAAGAGCGCCAGGGAAGTGGTTCAAGGAAATGGTTTAATAGGAGGGCTATCGTCGCTAGCATGGATAGTTTTATTTAGCTGCGTACTGTATATAAGACTGGTTATGAATTATGAATTGAAAGGATTGTCATCAGCTGTCAAGTAAATCGCAACGGCCGAGATTGCCAGTGCGGGGCTGGCAGATAAATGCCGAATACTTAAACTTCCCCTCCTTCCTTCTTCCATCATTCATTCATCAAACTTCTTCATTGTCAAATATCAGAAATAACTCATCCACCATCATGGCTAAGCAGTATCAGTTGCCTTTTGAGGTATGTTGTCATCCTAGCCATCGTCTGATCTGATGTCTTGGGTCTCAGCCCCGCTTCGGCGAGATGTCCGAGGTGGAGTGTATAGCTTCACTGGCCCCTGAGGCTAACAACATCACCAGCTGGACGACCCAGAACTCCTCCATTATGACTCCTTTGTCGGCAACAAATGGGTGCAAGCCAAAGCAGGCGAACGATTCGAAGTAGTCGGTACGACACTCATCCCCTCATTCCCACTAGATAGCTAACATATCAGACCCCGGCACCGACATCCCCTTCGCCAGCTGTCCCACCAACACCGCCCAGGACGTCGATTCCGCCGTGGAAAGCGCCCACGCCGCATTCGAACAATACAGAAAAATTACCCCGCGCCAACGCGCCCAATGGCTCCTAAAATGGGACTCGCTCATCCGCGCCGCCAAACCCGACATCGCCAAAATCCTCACCTACGAGACGGGCAAGCCCCTCGCCGAGGCGAACGGCGAGATCGACTACGCTACCAGCTTCACCTGGTGGTTCGCCGGTGAAGCGGAGCGGATTCATGGCGGGATTAGCACGGCTTCGGTGCCCAATCGTCGTATCTTCACTGTGAAGCAGCCGATCGGTGTCGCTGCGGCGTTGGTGCCGTGGAATTTCCCCATTGCCATGGTTCTGCGCAAGGCTGGCGCTGCGTTGGCGGCGGGGTGTACGATGATTGTGAAGCCCAGCCCCGAGACGCCCTTGTCGGTGTTGGCGTTGGCGCATCTGGCGCAGAAGGCCGGCTTCCCTGCTGGAGCGTTTAACGTCCTCACGACGGACTTGGAGAATACGCCTTCGTTGAGTGAAGCGCTCTGCAAGCACCCGTTGATCAAGAAGGTGACATTCACCGGGTCGACGAGAGTCGGGAAGCTAATTGCGAATCACTGCTCGCATGGGTTGAAAAAGGTCACGCTGGAACTAGGCGGGAACTGCCCATTCCTGGTATTCGACGACGCCAATCTCGACCAAGCCTTGGACCAGCTTATGCTTCTCAAGTGGCGCCATGCCGGTCAGGCGTGCATCACCGCGAACCGGGTATACGTGCAGGCAGGTGTCTACGATAAATTCGCACAGATGCTCAAAGAGCGCACGAACAAGTTGGTGATCGGACACGGGGCCGTCGAGGGAACCACGCTGGGCCCTCTCACCACGCCCCGCGGCATCGGCAAGGCAATCGAACAAGTGGAAGACGCGCGAGGAAAAGGCGCGGACGTCATCCTGGGCGGCGGCAAAGTAGCCGGCAAGAATGGATATTTCTTCCAGCCGACCATCCTGACAGGGATGACGGCGGAGATGCTCGTCTCGCGAGAAGAGTCTTTCGCCCCCATCGCGGCATTGTACAAGTTCACCACGGAAGAGGAAGCGGTGCAGCTCGCCAACGATACCAGTATGGGTCTGGCTAGTTACGCATTTACCAAGAATATCGACCGGATGTGGCGGATGTTGGAGAATCTGGAGGCCGGTATGATTGGCATGAATACAGGTAATCAATCCATCGTTTTACGAGATAAAGCCAGAAACTGATAAATGTAGGCAACTCGTCCGCCGCGGAATCGCCGTTCGGCGGAATTAAGGAATCAGGATACGGCAAGGAGAGTGGAATGGAGGTGGCTGTCAATGAATACCTGGTTACGAAGACTGGAACCCTTACCCTGGAGGGACACTACTAATCTTGTATTTTTATGTATCAGTGGATGGATGGATGGACTTGATCAACAGTCACCATTTATGAGTCAATCATAACAAATCGAATAATAGTCCAAAAATAACCATCCAAGTCATTGATAACATGGCATGTATCCCTACACTCTGGCATGTTGCCCTGAGTCATCTCAAGAATGTGGAATGTTTACCCCCCTGTTATTCCTTCACACGACAGCCAAACTTGACAGCGACAGTCATGCCAATTAAACAGGGCAAATAATTGACACAAGTCTAATCGCGTGGAATTGAAGACATCCGCCAATAGGAGCAATCATACATTTCCACTTACATACCTGGACTGACAGGCAGATATTCAGACAGCAACTGTCTGTCATTGTTTACATGTCACCCGTAGACAGGCGTAGCGTTTATATAGGGATGATAAACCTAATTCCTCCCCAAACTGTTGTCATTTCCGCTCGTGCGTTGGTGCTTTTTTTCCGGTAATTGAATCAATATGACATCCTGGCGGGCCCTCGCATTCGGGATTCTATCCTGTTCCCTTGTACAGACTGTTTTATCACAGAGGCCGCATCATATCAGCGCCCCTCGAACACCGGCGCCGCATCCGGGAAATGGGTGGTGGGGATACCCGTGGCCAGTAGAGTGTGGTGGTACGTTGATTTGATGGAACTATTGGAGTAAGCGGATTATTGACGTGGTAAACTACAGCTGGAGCACCGCCGGGGCAGGAAGAGTGTCCGTTGAAGCAATGTTGTTCGAAATGGGGGTATGTGCTTTGTTTGCTTTTTTTTATGCCGCATACGACATGATGGCCGATGAGCTAATGATGAGTGCAGCTTTTGCAGTATGGAGAGGGACCACTGTGGGGAGGGGTGCCAGAGTAATTGTCACAAGGTGGAACCGAAAATGTGAGTCTTCCTATCCTGGGCATCTAGACGATGGTGATGGCGGTTCTGACTATACAGTGTCTGCGAGCATAACTCGACCCGTTCGGTGGCGTACTATGAAAGCTGGGCGACAACACGAGCGTGCGACAAGTACCAGCCCGAGGACATTGACGTGAGCGAATGGACGCACATCAATTTCGCGTTCGCCATCATCGGCGATGATAGTAAGGTGGCCTTGTCTTCGCCAGATGATGTGGATCTGTACAAAAGGTTCGTGGGGTTGAAAGAGAACAACACCGAATTGGAAGTATGGCTCGCAGTTGGTGGATATGGAGTGGGCTCCAAACCGTTCTCCAAGATGTCCGACTCCAATGACACGAGGAAGGGCTTCATCGATTCTTGCCTAGACTATATGGACAAATATGGCTTTGATGGAATTGATGTTGATTGGGAGTATCCGGCCGCGTCCGAGATGGGGGGCACCGAGGCGGATACGAAGAACTTCGTCACGCTGGTCAAGGAGATGAAGGAAGCATTCAAAGAAAAGGGCAAGGGGTTGAGTATCACTATTCCCGGCGGTGCCTGTACGTGTTCTGTTCCCGTGTTATGAGATGATGAAGCTCACCGGTGCAGACTTCCTAAAAGGATTCGATTTGGAGAAGATGGAGCCTTATATCGACATGATCAATATCATGAGCTACGACTTGCATGGCCCTTGGGATCAACCCTTGAAGGCATTACCACACACCAACATCACGGGTGAGTCACCTTTTCTGTCCACGACGTATGGGGAAGACTTGCTGATCATCATAGAAATCAACACGTCGCTGCAGCTGCTGTGGAACGAGGGAATCCCAACCGAAAAGGTCAATCTGGGATTGGCATACTACGGCCACTCATTTACACTCAAGAGCAAGGACTGCGCGGAACCCGGCTGCGCTGCCACCGCAGGAGGCGAGGCCGGACCCTGCTCGGGAGCAAAGGGAGTCTTAAACAATGCCGAGATCGAGGATATCTTGCAAAAGAGGAATGTGACAGCCACACTAGATAAGGATGCGACGATCAAATACGCCTCTTGGGACGAGACCCAGTGGTACGTTTGTTTGTCCGAGGACCCTGCACAGACAATGAAACATGCTGACCGATTTAGGGTATCATACGATGACGACGAGACATTCAAGCTAAAGAGGGACTTTGCTAAGAGCAAGTGTCTCGGTGGCAGTTTTGTGTGGGCAGTGGATATGGAGCCCAAGAAGGATTCTAACAGCACGACAAAGCACTAAGCAAGGATAAAGAATGATAATACAGAATCGGAACCTGTCATTTAATAATAATAGTTAGTTATAATGTACCTTAAATCAACCTAATCGAAAGAAGAATAATGGGTATTGGGTTAAAAATACTACCGTAGTCCAACCGTGGTTGAGGTTCGAGCCCTGTGCTCTGAAACGCCCCGACAGAGGGAAAAGGAGCTCGTGGAAACTACCGCATTGCGTATGGTCGACGACGAGCAGTGGCGGACAGCGAACGAGAGTGCGAGAGGACGATGACCGAAAAAAAAGAATTTTCCATCGAAGGCGCAGAGCACGAACCATCTCCACCGGTGGCCACCCTGTGTCCTAACTCTCTCCGTATCGACAGCATGATGATTCTATGATCTCTATCTCTGGCAGGCCGTGGAGGACGCGTTCCGTGTTATTGGATCGGCAGGAGTCAGGGTACGAGGAAGGGATTGGAAAAAAAATGGCTGTGCTTCTAGGCCTGTCTCTACCTCATCCGTTGTCTTCCACGATCGTGGATCTGCCTGCATCTGCTTGATGATATTCATGTATCAGCTTCATTCTGTTCAGGTAATAATTTGCAATCTCCAGGATGAGAACTGACCTGTCGACTTGTCTGCTGTCGTCGAATCGAATCTTGACACAGCCTCCTCCTTCGACTGACCGAAAGAATCCATGCAAGCTCAATCCCTGATGGGCCAGTTATTCATCATCTCGCATCATCAGCATATTCGGAGTATCACAAGTAAAAAACAAAAAAAAGGAAGTTTTATTTTATTTTTATTTTATTTTTTGGAGTACCACCGCCAAAGGTAAACACCACGACAGAACAGAGTAAAGTAAACGGTCGCGGGGTTGCGCCGGTAGTAGTTATGATTCGGTCAGTCCCGCCAACAGCAGCACAGAACGTCGCAGTCCCGTCTTTCTTTTTTTTTTCGCTTTTCTTTTTCTTTTTTTTTAATCGTATTCCTTTTTTTTCGTCTCCGATCATTACTATTGCCTGCTAGTTAGTTCTTTTGCATGGAAATAACTGGGCTAAGCCAAACTTACCTGTCTGTTGGATACTCCTGAAAGGTGGTGGCATCAAAACTGCAAAGTCCTCGAGCTGCCCGTTTGGGTAAGCATCTCCTTTGGGGACTAGTCCTCTCTCTCTGTCTGTCTCTCGTCGTCTCGTTGCCTCTTATGGATCAACAGCTCGTCGCCATTCATAAAACATCTGCTTTCCCTCCCTTTCCTACTTTCTGTATCTCATTCTCTTCTTCTTGTTGATTTTATACGATATTATTTTTATATTCTTTTCTACGTATCCCTTCTTTCCTTATTTCTTAGTATAGTACAGCAATATACCCCTCCATCATGGCTACCCTCGATACCCTCAGACATCTTATTCAATCCCACCCCATCATCGATCACCACGCCCATAATATCCTCTCTCGCCAGTCTGCCCAAAACTATGCTACATACCCCTTCGAGCAAATCACCTCCGAAGCACAAGGCCCGGCCTTGTCGAGTGCACCCTCGACGTTGCCTCTGATCCGGGGAGCCAACCAACTCGCAGAGCTCTACGGTTGTGCACCGGAGTGGGAAGCTGTCAAGGTCGCTCGCGATCAATGGGTGGAGCGTGACTATGATGGCTTGGTCCGTCGTTGTTTGGAAGGGACCCATGCCTTGTTGCTCGACGATATGTTGACTGATGTTGACGTCGAGCCTTATGACTGGCATGATCGCTTCACCGTCTCCGAAACCAAACGTATTGTGCGAATCGAAGCCCTGGCCGCAAAGATTCTCTCCGCCATGCACGAGTCGTTAAGTACAGGTAGTGTGGACCAAGGCCATTTTGACCTGTTCCGCGAGAGCTTCAAGCAGATGGTGTCCTCAGCCATCTCCGACCCCGCCGTGGTGGGGTTCAAGTCGGCAATCTGCTATCGTACAGGCTTGAACATCCCGGTGAATGTCGAGCCCAGTGCTGTCCTTGAATCATTTGCCCGTACAGCTCAGCAGACTGGGGGTACTTACCGGGTGGAAGACAAGCCCTTCAATGACTGGTTGGTTCTGCAGACCCTGGACCTTCTGAAGGCTGCCCGAATTGAGACCGGTGTGATCGGGAAGCCATTGCAGCTTCACACCGGTCTGGGAGACGCTGATATTAGTCTCCTGTTGTCCAACCCTGCATACTTGCAGCCCGTCATTGCTGAGTACCCCGAGGTCGACTTTGTGTTGTTGCACTCTTCCTACCCATACACCCGCGAGGCTGGCTACCTGGCCTGTGTGTACCCCAATGCCTATCTGGATCTCGGAGAGGTCTTCCCCATGGTCAGCCGGGATGCTCAGGAGTCCATCGTCCGACAGAGTCTTGAAATTGTGCCGACCACCCGCCTGCTGTGGAGTACCGACGGCCATTTCTTCCCTGAGACCTTCTGGTTGGCCAACAAGCAATTCCGCCAGGCTCTCGAGAAGGTCCTCCTGAGCTATGTGAACAATGGCGACCACACCGTCTCTCAGGCAATGGAGGCAGCAGCAGACATTCTTTTCCACAACTCTAACAGATTGCACAACCTGAACCAGCAGCCCCGTTTTGAAACTTCTGCCCTTCCGGTGAGGTCTTTGGAATCCCTGTCGTCTACCTCCTCGATCGAAGCCTTCATGCGAAGCAACCCCGACGTGAAATACATCTGGATGCAATGGGTTGACTATACCGCGACCGTCCGTGTGCGCATGTTCCCCATCCTCGAGTTCGCAAAGATTGTCCGCAAGCAACGCCGAATCGGCATTAGTTTGGCAGTGTTCTGGATGCTGAACGATGACACCGTGCTTCCCGAAGGATCCACCACTGGCCAGTTCTACATGGAGCCCGACCTTACCAGTCTCTACCGAAACGTGGGAGTCGACTCGAAGAGCGCCAAGGTCATGACATACTGGCGTTCGGAGGAGGGTACTGAGCTGGAGGGATGCCCACGGACAACCTTGCAGAACCAGGTCAACAGACTCAAGGCCGAGTATGGAATCGACGCTACCTGCGGGTTCGAGGTCGAAGTTGTGTTCCTAAAGCCCATTATCAACGACAAGGGCGAGCAGGAGTACGAGCCGGCAGTTAAGAACCACTCGTGGTCTCAAATGACTTCTGACACCCGACGCATGGTCCCAGTGCTGGAGGAAGTCGCCGATGCACTCGCATCGATTGGAATTAACCTGGAGCAATTCCACTCGGAATCCGCTCCTGGCCAATTCGAATTCATCCTCCCTCCCGGCTCCCCGGTCGCCGCCGTCGATACCCTCATCACCGCCCGACAGGTGGTTACCAACATCCTCGAACAGCACGGCCTTCGCGCCACCCTTCACCCACGCCCATATGCCAAGGCTGCCGGCACGGCCTCGCATGCCCATATTTCCATCTCCCCTGCTACTCACGAGGATGCCTTCCTTGCCGGTGTTATGGAGCACTACCGATCCATGGCTGCCTTCACACTGGCACAAGACACCAGTTACGAGCGCGTCAAGGCTGGCATCTGGGCCGGAAGCGAATGGGTTACCTGGGGTACACAGAACCGTGAAACTCCCATCCGAAAGATCTCCCCGGGACACTGGGAGATCAAGTCCCTCGATGGCTTGGCCAACATGTACCTGGCCATGGCTGCCTTCCTGGCATCTGGATACTTGGGTCTGAAGGAGAAGAAGGAATTGACCCAAAAGGACTGCCTATGTAAGTGCACCTTTCTTATCACAGGTGTGTTGAAGATACTAACAAACCAACTAGTCGACGCCGCAACCCTCAGCGATGCCCAGCGAGCCGACCTCGGAATCACCACCCAACTTCCCAAGTCCATCGAAGAGAGTCTCAGCGCCCTGGAAGCTAACCCGGCCCTTCAGGAACTCATGGGCCCGGACTTCGTGAAGAACTACGCTATCACCAAGCGTGCGGAAAGCAAGCGCCTAAGCGGAATGGAGCCAGAAGCACGCCGCAAGTGGCTCGTGGAGCGATACTAAGCTTGGCATTTCTATCTTTTTCATCTTACATATTTTTTCTGGGATATTACATAGTACATAGACTAGCATTGCGCGTATTCTGCATATGGACCTTTAATGATACCTGATACCTATCTGTTGCGTGACAGGCTGTGATAATCATAAAACATCCAAAACCAAGTCGTAATTCGTGTACCTTCGTTCTTCCTATTCTTGCACTATTTTTTTTAATATTTAGATAAATCAAAATAACAACCATGGTATCTCATAATGCATATACCCAGACACCAAACAAACCAGCCCAATAAAAAAACATTGCCATCATGCATGCAGAGAAAGGGGGGAAAGTATAGTATAGGAAAATTCAAATCAATCACAAGCGGAAGAAGACCGCTTCAGGCCCTTCCCCTCCCACTCATCAAGTAGCCTCGAAACCTCCTTGAAGGAAACAGGCTTGGTAAGGAACAAATCCACACCCGAGGCTAGGGCGTCGGTTTCATCGCGCGGGCTGCTCAGTCCCGTCAAGGCGATGATAGTGGCGGGACCACAGCCGTCGCGTTCTTTTTCCAGAGCGCGGATGGCGCGCGTTGCTTCGAATCCATTCATAACGGGCATTGACATGTCTATTTATTCTTCATTAGCATGATACAAAGTATGATTTCTGTGTAAGGGGGACATACCCATGAAGATAATGTCATAGCCCTGCTGCATTTGCTCTACAGCTTCAACGGCCAACTTTCCATTGGCTGCTGACTCCAAGGCAAACAGTTTCCGTTTCTTCATGAAGGTTAACATGAGGTTAAGGTTGATCGAATTATCATCCACAACTAGAACACGCGCATTTCGGTCTTGGGAAAGGGTGGGTTTGATCTCTTGGGGCAGCGACGGTGGGGGTGAAGACATAATAAGTTCAGCTTTATCTGATGTTACTCCAGAGGATTTGGTAGACAGACCATCGCCGGAGCTCACCGTTGACTGAGGGGTGAGCTCCGAGGTGGTGTCTTCGACGAGATCGGAGGCGTGTTGTGAAGACGAAGAAGATGTTCGCGTCTCGACTGTTGATGAAACAAACAAGGGCCCGGGACCAGGACGAAGGGGGAGCTCAATGGTGTTACTTTGTATGGTACCCACTTTGTTATTATCGAGACATTTGCGCATACTCCGGGCAAGTTTATGTGGTCCACAGGGTCGGCGGATAATCTCGATGAAGCTAGCAAGGGGCGACCACTCAGATCGGGCAGTGTTGTAATCCGCCGACTTGTTGCAGAGGATGAGGAGAGAAGGAATTGTAGTGGTAAATAGTGATTGGTCCTTCTTCGATTCGATGGCCATGACCTGCTCGTCCGCTAGAAGAATGTCGATATGGTCTGCCGACGGCCAAGAAACCAGCTCCAAACCATACCACTCGGTTAAATACCGTGTTATATTGCTCCAAATGTGATGATTAGCTGCCTTGGCTGGGTCGATGCCCAGAATAGCGGCACGCTTGCCCGAGTGCGAATCTCGAAGTAATCGAGTTGGACTGAAATTGTCTCTTTCAATCGTTTGAGATGACAGTTGCAGCGGTGGTGGAGAGGTTTCTGTCACTTCATTCTTCGACGGACGCATCAGAGGCAGTGATACTTTGACAATGGTCCCCTCGCCCGGGCGACTGTGGATATTGATATTTCCATTCAATGCCTTCACCAGACTCCGAACAATCGATAAGCCCAACCCGGTGCCTACTGCCAGTGTATCTTCTTGGGCAAAAGGGGTGTACAGGCGTCCACGAAGGAACTCCTCTGAAATACCTTTTCCTGTATCCGACACAGTCAGAGTGATTAATTCCTCAGGCACATATCGTCGTGACCGGGGCTCGGATGATTCAGTCACTTCTAGTCGGACGGAGACACGGCCCACTTCGGTGTACTTCATTGCATTCCCAAAGAGATTCATAATGATTCGACGTAGAGCTCCAGGCTGTGTCTCATAGACCCAATCGTTTTGGGCAATATCCATAGACACCTCAACTTCGGGTCGGGGACTCGTCTCCTCGTGCGAGTCGGGGTGCACACGGGATGCCAATACCGGTTGATCGACCATGGAAGTGGCCTTTTGTCCGTAAGCATGGCCCAGACATACGCCCTCAACGACCTCCTCGGCCAGTATGGCGAGATTAGTCGCGACAAAGGTATCGAGATGCGAAGAATTGACCGATTCCATGCCCTTGAGCTCCATAGAGGATCCTTTGTTTCGTTTAAAATGGCGCCACGTTCTCTCCAACGAGACAATCTTGCTGAAGTCCAAGACCTGGTTCATTGTGTCTAACAATGTACGGCCACAGGCGTTGATGGTTTCGAGTAAAGAAGTCTGAAATTCATTAAGATCGCTGCCATTCAGGAACTCCGCAGCTGCCAAAATTCCATGAAGTGGGCTTCGCAGTTCGTGTCTAAACTTGTTAGGATTCTCATTCACAAGCCCAAATCCAGAATACTTACGAAATACTTCCAATAAAATCTCCTTTTTGTCGATCGGAAATAAGCGACTCCACCCGACTGCACTCGGCCATGATAGAACTTCCAAAGCCCAAAAGCGAGCTCAACTCTACCGACGGACTGAACACATGCGTTTCGATCGTGTTCCAGCAGAAGCACCCAGCATACCACTGCGAGCTGGCGGGGTTCCACAAAGGCACAAAGAGAACTTGGCTGGCGTTGGGGAAATATAAATTCAACATGGAATTTTCGTTATCTTTCCGCTTCTTGCTGCCTCTGGGCATTTCCATCGGCTTGTTGTTAGGTAATCTATTCCGGGAAGGCTGGCGCTCGTCTTCCGAGCTTGACAGCATCCCATCGCGATGAAACGACCAGAGCTTGCCCTTGCTATATCGACGTATCAATTTTCGCAGGAATGTGCGATCGAGATTGACGGCAGGGTAAAGAACTCTCGATCCGGGTCCGGGAGCAAAGGGTTCGTCGTTAGTGGAAATCGCCAACACGGAGGCTGGATTACCACCATCCGCGGAGCAGTCACTGCCCGAGTCGACATCTGAGACAGGGCCATTGCCAGCCTCGAGGAAGACGACACCACCATCGCCTCCTAATTCGAGACTTTCGCGGATGAGGTTTGCTGCTCGCCTAAAGGCCCAAGAGTTGCCATGTGTCTCCTCCAGGGATAGTCCTTTTCGCCTACTTCCAGACCACCAGTCAGGAAGAGGCGTCTCAGGGCCTGAAGAAATCCCTTGCTGGTCAACTTTATATTCGGATGCAGAGCTGAAGGAGCGGGTATCAGTGCTGTGGGATCGACGCGAGGGTGCATCAAGACCACTGTTACATGAGCCAATGGACAGATTGGGTCTGAGGTGAGTGGACAACGACGGGCTGCTAGTACTGGCTGAATAGACAGAAGGATGACCACTATCCACGAAGCTAGAGCTTCCCTCGACAAAGCAGCTGAGACCGCGAGACAAACGAGCGGCACGACGACCTTCGGATGCCTGTCGACTGACCTTGAAATAGTCCATAATGAGCATGCCCAAGGAGCCCATCATTTCTTTGTCTTGGTCGGTCAGACCGTTCCGGGGGCGGTTATCAAGCACAAAGAAACAACCAATATTGATGTTAGTTTCGGTAGTCAAAGGAGTCCCGGCGTAGAAACGGAAATGTGGATCTCCTTGAACAATGGGGAGATGCTTGTAGCGGTCATTTTTGCTGAGATCGTTGACGATTAGGAAACGGTAATCCCCCGATGACCTAGCCGATGGGGGAAGAGCGACAGTTTCCTGGACTTATTAGCAGAGATAACCCAAGGGAAGAAGAAATGCGCACTCTACACATGCTCAACGTATTCTCAATGGTCGAACAACCAGCCCAAACTCCATCTCCAGCATTTGCATGTTCGGTGTGGTTATTGACATTTAACGACTGAGTCGCTTCCGCTAGAATAAACTGTGAGTCGCGATCCGAAACACTACACCGATCAGCATACAGACAAACAGGAAGATGGAGGAATGGGAGCCATCTACCTGATCAATACACGCTGCACATTCAAACGCAACGCAGCCAGCTGCGCAAACGAGTTCAGCGTCGCATTCGGACTCCCCAACGTTAAGCCATCAGAAACCAGCACGTTAGGAGTCGCAAGAGAAGGAGGGACAGGGGGATCGAGAACTGGAGGAGTACCAGCAAAGGACGTTGGAGGGACCCCCTCCTCTAGGGATGACGATGAGGAAGCAAGATTGTGGTCTCGAGGGAGAAACGGAGACGGTTCGGGGCGGAAATAGCGATAGAGCTCACGGACTCTGCGACCAGCATTATGGTCATTGTCGCGAAGGGCTTTTGCGTCCATGATTTTTGAGGAGAATAATCGAATAAACCCAAAGGACGATAGGCCCTAATCCATCTTAGAAGTAAGTCGTAGTAGATTTTGACGGTCGAACGACGGGTGGAAAAGAAAAGAAGACGGGACGAAGGAGGCAACCGCCCCATGGAACAGAAGACGGAATCCGACCCTTGAAACAAGAGGAAAAGACAGGATGAGGCTGTGAAACGCAATGGGGAGAGAAAACGGCGAGTTTATCTCTTGTCAAGCGGCAGTGGAGCAGGGCAGCGATGCCAACCACGGAAAACAGGAAATGGAAGGGGAGGACAGCCAATCAGAGCAGGGGCAGCAGAATGAATGTGTCCCCTTCATTGATTCACATAAGGTGGTGGGATTATTATCAGCACTGCGATGCTTGCTGTTATTATATCTGGCTTAGCCAGATAGAGCATCTCAGAATTGATATCATCCTGAGCTGTGAATACCTTATTTCAGCTCCAAGCGAATGATCTCATGCTGTTGTTCCTCTGCCATTCGCCTTTTCCATCGAATAATCCGGTTTCGCCTCCTGCAGAAGACTCTTCCTAATTAGGCATGGCGCCCACCAATGTGACTCCTTTGGCAGCCCCTGATTGGCGGTATCCCGTCCCGGGAGATGCAGGCCACCAATCAGGATTGTCACGGTCCGACATGGATGCATTTGATCAAACCATCTTGTTTGCTTGTGATGGTTAGTCTAAGTGAATGTGTCTGTCTGCCAGATCTGATTGATTGAACAGATTCCGATGAACTGCCCATCAAGAAAAGTCATCAACTAGCATGAACATCTCCAGTTTTCTATCATTCGAGGGCTGTCTTTCCGTAAGGCTGACGCAGATTCTAGACCAAAACATGGACCTGTGGCGAGTGCTCACGTGGCTGACGCGGCTTCATGGTACACTTGATGCATTCGTACTAAGGAGTTTCATGGCCTCATTATTCTAATTCACAAAATCATTAAATCAAAACTTCTCCATCAGTCGCTTTCGAACAGTCCACATGCGTGCTCGTTTCCCATAGATATACATCGGAATCGTAAAAAGCAGACATGCCAGCTGGATCCCTCCAAGTGCCAGATACACCGTCCGAGATCCATCCGAGTCCAACCAGTCCACGATAAACAGTGAAAACACCAGTCCGTGGAAAATATCTAATCGATTAGCATCCTTCAATTCAGAATCCAGGAAATAGAAGAAACTCACTCTTGCTAAAATTCAACGTCACCAACGCCTCGCCCGCATACTGTCGGTAGCTGTCCACACAAAACGTAATGGCCGTCGTACTGCCCAGACAGCATCCAAACGACACCATTCCGAAGAAAACCGTGGGCACAATCCATGCATCTCGCTCCTGTGAACTCCATCCAAACGCCATCAACCCCACGGTAGTTGACAGCGCGATGGGGATCGCCATCACTAGTCGAAACTCTGGCTCATACACGCCCCCGTTTCGTCGAGTCATGAACCGCACGATAATGTCAGACACCTTGCCTGCCACCGCCGTACCCAGCAGTCCCCCGATGAATGGCGAGAGATAAATTAACCCCGTCTGCAGGGCCGTGAAGTTGTAGCGTGAGTGTGACTCAAAGATATATGCCACCGACTCCGAGAGCACAATCAGCCAACCAACCGATAGTGCGTACACCGTCGCAGACCAAAGCACCGCCGGGTAGGCAAACAGAATAAACGGCCGGATTGCCACGCGCAGCCAGCTGTCGTGTGCAATCCGTCCATTCCAAGGAGTTAGATATTGCATAAATGAAATAGGACCCCGCTCCCGCAGTCGGTTCGTGTATTGCATTGATCCAGGCACCGGCACCGATGGATCTACTGATTCACTGCGGGCCGGAGACCGTGTCCCCTGTCGGCCAGCTTCGAGATCAGTCGGGGTATCATGGCCTGCAGGCTGGTGTGTAGCAGCCGGAGCAGGCACTTGAAGGAATGTGTCTGATTTCTCCAGATCCGGCGTCGGAAATTCCATCTCAACATGGTTTCTTGGAGCTGAGCTCGGCAATGGTGCAACCTCATCTTCGCCTTCTCTCTTTTCGTCACTGTTCTCGTGGTCATTGTCGTCCTGGCCATCAACAAACCCTACATGGGTGTTTTTGTTCCTCTTGGACACAGCATTATCAGACTCCTCTATATCCGGGATTTGTTGCTTGTCGTCATTTTCGTCCTTGTCATCCCGATGCTGGACGTAAGGGTGACGACCTCGGAACCCGTGAGAAACCATGTCCGACACACTCCGATACAGATTCGTCGGGCGCTTATGCGAGTGTTGGCGGGGGCGAGGGGTACGATCCCAGAATGTTTCGGGGACAAAGAAAAAGAGCAAACCCAGGCAGCCCCCCACAATAATGGCAACTACCCAGAAGACCCAGCGCCATCCCTTGGCCCCAATGATGGCGGCACTCACCAACGGGATGAGATTCTTGCCTCCCAACAAAAGGAGAGTGTAAATGCCGACTCGATACGCTCGTTCGTGCAGGAAATAGATTTCTGCGATGGTGGCAGAAGGAAGGCATTCAACCGGACTGACTGCGATACCTTGGAAAACACGGGCCACCACCAAACTCGGGTAGTTTGGAGAAGCAGCACACCAAACCGCAGAGATAATAAACAGTACCGCCCCCAAAAGATATACCGGTCGTTTGCCGAACAAGATAGCAGTGGGGGACATGATCACAGAGCCAACACCTAGGCCCATCATGTACAACCCAGTGGTAAAAGCGACCTTCTGGGTCGTCACCTCATAAGTTGCGGCAACCTGATTAAAACCCGCAGCTAGAATTGTAGTCATTCCACCTCCCATCAGACAATAGAAGCCCAAGGAGATCAAGGCTGCATCTCGGCGCCAGACCGGCCAGTTTAGGGGGTCATTGATGGAATCATCGGGCTGAGGGTCAAGCACGATTTGACCGTCGGCAGTTCGTTTCTTCGATGGAACTGGAGTACGAGAAGAAGAGCGAGAAGGAGGATATGATGTTGGTAGTGATGAAGCAGACACTCTTGGTGGCTGGTGTCTCATTCCCAGCGGCTCATTGCGATCCGATGCGAGTAGAAGTACCGTTCCTTATGAACTATCAGTGAACCTAGTCTCAGCTCGGGACTCATCTATACATACCAGGCACTTCATCTGTATGTTTATCACTCAAAATGCCCAAAGTTCTCTTTGAGCGATAGCCTGGATTTTCATCAGATGAACCAGAGCCCTCTGATACCCCGAAAAACTGCTTCCACCGGGACATGGCTGGCTGTTGCTGTTGGACATTATTTTCCGACTCCCCATTCACGGCGGCAGAAGTCATGATGTTTGTCAAACTAGTTTCTCAGCCTTTATAAGATCCAGCATCAGTATTTTTTTTGTCAAAAACTTGGGTTGACGGTAACCCTGGCGGCATACCTCTATAGTCAGCATGTCACACCGCCTGAAAATGCAGCTAACAGTCTAGAACAGCGTCTATGACTGGATGTCACAGCAGATGAGCAGGGGATAAAAAAATAAGAACAAGAATAAATCGACGATCTAGATGGATTGTAAATCCGATTGCTCAAGACGTGACGGTAACCCTAGAAACCCGGGACCGTAATCACGACGCAGCGCACACAAGCAGCAAGAGAGCAAGGCTGCCAGGGGGAGGCATGACTGGAAGAAATAGGGAAATTAGGAGGCAAGGAGAGAAGCAGATAAGCAGAAGATAATAAAAGGTCGGTGAACGCCAACACCGTCACGCGGGTCCGAAGGAGGAGAGGATTGGAGGAATTCGAGTCATCAGCATCAACTCATCCAGAAAGAAACGGTTTTTTGCCCAGACCCCGTGCCGGGCGGTGGGGAAGTCTGGGTACTTGAGGGGTACCTGCGGGTCCACGCAGTTTAGGCGGGTGCAGAGGTACTTAGGCGGTACCTACGGGCAAAGAGATAAGCAGCGATCGATGCTGGAAATACTGGATGCCGTTAGACTTGATGTTCTTGATCTTCATCTTTTATCTTTGTCTTGTTTTCGAAATTTGCTGAGAGTTTCAGTCTCTCCACTTGGGTGCAACCAAAAACCAGTCCATCACCTCGTGTCGGGCGCATGACAGCCTCCATGATCGCATGCAGTCGCCAAGGAATGTCTCTGATGCAAATATGCTAATCAAGAAACACTCTGACATGATGGCTTTGAATTCCAGTTTTGATTCTCTGTTTGTTTGTGCCATGCCAATATCCATCACGAAGCTTTACGAGCTGGGGTGTATCAGCGGGGCTCAATTGCGTCGATGTCAAGCCTGTGGAGGCGGGCTGCAGCGATCGGCATCCCCAAACACCAACGATATGCAAGCCGTCGAGCTGTACGTCGAATCGGGGCCATATGGCGAAAAGCACGTCTTGCACGAGTCCTATCATCTGATCCGCTTGCCGTCATCGTACAGACGGGCGATTGATAGGTATATTGACGGTGTAAGGTCCTCTAGTGCGGGTGTTGAGCACATGGCCAGTCCTGGAACGGATGATCTGGAGGATTCGCTGGCTGGCTGAGCTCAGGTTGAGGGTTTGAGCGTCGTGGATGATCAACTGTCGTCATCGTAGAGGAATTGAAGTCGATGAGCAGGTGGAATCGTACCCCCTATTGGATAATTCGTCTGTAAAGGCAATAAATTAGGTATCTGTCCAAAGCCCGTGCCATGCGCAGCACGTAGACCTAGCTGTCTAGACAGTTGTGCATGAGGCATCTCATGTATCGAGTCTGACAGGTCATGTGCTCTTCTCCATCCCAACTTCAACTTCAACTTGAACCCCTCCATCAACTACCATCCATCATCAAGAATACTTCTGCAACATTCAACCCTTTTCTACTAACCAATAGCTATCTCCAGGCTAATCACCCCGATAGGTACATTTATGGATTTACTGACAAAATCCAAATGCGAACCAGTTTGCCAGCGAAACAAGGCAATCGAGACGGCAGCCTCTGCAGAAGCAAAGCAGAAGCAAACGCAAGTAAACATCTGCAATGCATCCAGCCTAACCCCATTGCCATAACCGTTACCATCACTAATCAGCACAGAAAAAGCAATTGTCTTGACGCCCCGACCGCAGTGCCTGCACGTGGGCCCGTCCAATGCATCAATTACTCATCTCATAAGATGCTCAGATACCAAACATCTGTCGATCTAACGTCCTTTTGTCGTTTTGATTCCATGGATCATATTTCAACCTTTCTGCCCTGAAACATGTTTCATCTTCAAGTCCAAATTTACAGTTTCGGCAAGTGAGGGGCAGGCCCGATTGAACCATGGGTGTCACAAGCCATGATTGTTGAGATTTTACCAGTTGCCTCCCTCGTCCCCATACTACTAAAACATCATCATTTCTAGTAATACTGGCTCTATCCTAGTACCTTCCAACAAATATTCTGGAGAACTGCGTCCATCCACCTCACCGAGATATAATGTCGGTATCTATCATAATATAAGTCTGGTCTCGAAGCCTTCAACGCATGCGTCTGTCTGCTATTTCATATAATGTGTCCCGGTGTCTGGTGAACAGATATCTAGCATTCTATGCCCAGGCGATGTTGGCAAAAGTGGATTCCATGACAAAGAACTTGTTGGTGCTAGGTGCAGTTATCGTATTTTTTGTATAGTCAACACAGATCATCTCCTATGCTGTCCCGTCTCCACTGTCGGGCATTTTCATCGACGTGTACAACAAGACTGGTGGTGAAGAGACATTTTACAGGGGTATACAGAGCATGGCTGGGTATAGTCTACTATTATGGCTGCGTTAGTACTGGCTGCCAACAACATCAGTTTCATGGCTTCTTTGGCACTGAGCTCCAAGATGCTTTACGATGGGGACCTGAAGGGGTCATATCCAGGGATATTGTGATTGACAAAGAGCGTAGTAAAAAGTGCATAATACAGCAAACTATAGATTATAACTTGTCAATGATAAATGCTAACATGCAAAAACTGAATTCTTTATTATTAGGCCTTCTAGTAAAATTAGCAGTAATAGTATACTAGAGACTATAAAAGCTAGATTCACCTCCTATGCTCTACATGAGGAAATATCGAATTAGAAAGTGATGATTGATTTGGAGATCGATACTAAGTATGATCTAATTTCTTTTTGGGCTCCTTGCCAGAGGACCGCCGAGCACGCCTCTTTGCATCAAGATTACCGCCAGAACTACTCTTAGAATGCTTATCCTGCTTCTGTTCACCAGTCTCCAAACCAGACTTACCCAAAGAGGCCTTTTTCCCCATCTCCTCACAGACCAACCAAAAATTAAAATTCAAAGTTGTCGGGAACATCGGCAGTCTTTCCAATTTTCCGATCATCTCTTGCTCTAAGTCCAGCATCTCCCGTATCTTCGCCGGGTTACCACCTTGAGGCAAGGGTTCTGGCGATCTATTCCCCTCATACACCCAATCCAAGGAGTCGTCGAAGTCGACATCATCACTTTCTGAATCGCTGCAATCCCCAGTCCGCTTGTATCCGATTCCACGGAGATACTCCCGCTTTGCTTCTTCCTCTTCATAGCAAAGCTCATACCAATGGCGCAGTTTGCTTATGGTCAGGGCGCAATCCATGGGATCTTCATCCCAGTCCTCGGTCTCGCTCAGCAGATTCCCTGATCCAATCTTCCTCACTAAGAGTTCTGGATTCTCTCCGGGTGTCCAGTCGATCGATTCATCCTCGAAATCTTCTTCACCGAGCAAGGACAGGTCCGTGTCAGGGTCTAAACCGGGAAAGACCAATCGCGAACTCGGTGGGAGCAGCAGCTTGACAAATTCCCGGGCTGCGGTGCGAGCAACTTCTTCGCAGATTGTTCCACTTTCGCAGATTGGGACGGCAAAATCAACGATGTGGGCGTCGAAATCGGGCTCCGTGCCTAGGGCAGCGTTCATCTCGGGGTATGTCCAGCGACGGTCGATGAACTGGGAGAATCGCATTATAAGCGGTCGTAGAAATGTCTCTTGAAATCCCCTGAAGCTAGTTCGAATGAAGGCGACAGGGCGGTGGACTAGGCTTCTAGCAGGGACTGGATTGGGACAGACGGCACAACGATGATCTGCGGATTCGAGGACGTGCTGCTCGTGGAATCCTGCGATACGACAGTAATCAATTGCATCGTCGGCTTCGTTTTTCGACGGCGCAGGGAGGACGGATGGAGGCCATGTGGATGAGAGGACAAGACAGCTGATTTGGCCGCGTGGTGGATATTTCTTGATAGACAGACTCGGACGTCCCACGAAGACTGTGGTTGCAATTTTGTAGGATCTGTTACTGTCCGAATCACTCAACTGCACCGACGTCGGTGGGGTATTGTTTCCATTGGTTCCATCAAGGGTTGTTCTTTCGTCACGGGTAGTCGCAATGCTTGAAGTTGGACTCTTCAGTGCGATCGGGTTGCTTTGGCGAGAGAGATTGGTATCACTCTGCAGGGCGTTTGGTTTGTTCCACCACGACATGATCCTTTCGATGTAATTCTGTGTTCGCTGAGTCGCAGTCCGGTGGCATTCATATAAAGAGCATATAGGAACAGTCAAGAGACAGAGATACGGCCTGTCGCTCAAGATACTCCCAATACTCCAGTCCACTTCTTCGCAGCTTTTGAGATGTTCCGTGTGAGATGCAATAGTCGACATCAACTGGTGCATCTCCTCGAAATCTGCCAATTCAACATATCCAGACTTTGTAGCGCACAAAGGACGATGCACAAGAGTCTGTGCCAGCTCCTCCTTACAGACTGCACACAGCTTACCGCTCACGCAGCTCAGAATCTCATCCGTGAAGGCCAGTGCCAATGCCACGATAGCACGAAAGACCGGCAACTCGTCGGACGAACCGTTCGGCAGGGAGAAGTTACTCGCGCTGGGAGACTTTACCACACTGTCTTTGGATTGACGGTGATCAAATACCTCTTCAGAGGCTTTCGCGTCGAAACGAGCATGGTCCAGCTGTGGTGATTCCGGGTCAGGATTGCCAAAGAACACGCTGAACCAGATCGGGATCTGTTTGTATTCGGTGACGGTGGTTGAAGGAGGTTTTGCGCTTCCACTGAGTCTGGAGCTGTCTCTCTTGGGGAGCGAGAAACTGAGGTTAGTGGGACTTTTGAGGCTTTTGGGACTCAAGGTTGAGATGCTTGGAGCCATTTTGTTTCAGTCTTCGTAGGACAGTCTAGTCAAATCATGATGAGGAAGATCCAAGTTGGATGAGAAGATGGTGCGAGCAAGAAGCCATCCGGGATGGTTGAGGAGAGTTCCAGGAAGTTGGCTGGATTCACTGAAGACTGTGGCTGGAGTTTCGTGGCAAGGTCAAAAGTTGATCGATATCAATATCGATATTTGGTTATTTTCAAGCATGCGAGGTGGTTAGTTCAAGACACTCGATAGATGGCATGCCAGACATCATCAAGCATCTGTATGCTCTTTTATATTCGTCGTTTTGATTCCATCGGGACATTTACCCTTTGGTTCTACTAAAGTCATGATTATTCGATGCTTTGATGGTTGTATTTCCTCCTATGCAACAGTCGACCTGATCAGCATGAAGCCATTAAACAACATACTCGACTTCAATCCTCAAAGCTCGTTTTTAAATTCCACCGTATCAGGGGTGATTGTTTACAATTCTCTTCTTTGTCTGAAACGATAAAAATAGAAGAACTAGTAGCTTTAGTGGTGGATCTTCGAGCATCCTGGTTTCTGTAGATGTAAGCCGTGCAGCAACCAGACAGCCAGGAATCAGCGGATATCTAGCTGTATATCGACTAAAACTTTCAATTATTCCTCAAGAATTAATTGCTTATTTATTCATCAGAAGAAAAGCAGCAAAAAAATGAAGAAAATATGCCCGTTTGCAGTGCGGAGCTGTGATATGTGCACGTGATGCGGAGATTCCCCCTTTGCAGCTCGACGGTCGCTTTTGGCTTGTCTCGTGTCGCTCCAAAACACACCAGAATTCATTGATTTCTGGCTTTTTTTTCTTTCTTTCTCTGCCCCAGTTTCTAGTTCAGCACGTTCTGTTTAATCACTTTTTTCGAATTTATCTCTTTGTTCGATCATTTGGTGTTCAAATTCGGTTTGGCTATCGTGGCTTCATTGAGGGATCGCCAGGCCTCGTCCTAATCTTTTTTGTTTTTTGCCCCCTCGCTTCTTCATGAGTCTCAGCCCACCGTGGACTTCATTCCTTTCTTCTTCATTCATCTTTCATTCTCCTACTCTCTGTTTTAATATACTTTTACAATGAAGTTGCACGCCCTCTCGTCGCCGTTCCTTCTATTCCTTCTTCCAGCCATCTCGACAGCCCTGGCCAACAACAGCGCCGCGGATATCGTCGAACGTGAACTTCCTGACTTCAAAGCAGGGCCCAATGCGATTGCAGCAGATATAGATGGGCTCGGTGCCCCCAAGGCTGCTCCCAAAGGGACGCTGGACGCCCCGGTCGATGGCAAGGACGGCAAACCACACGCGGGTCCGTGGGTGGAAACCAGTGCGGAGCGGGATCGCAAGAAGACAAACACAATCAACACAGTGGAGGGCAAAGAATTGAAATCAGATAAATCGGCTTCTTCTGGTCGCCTGGGAGCGGATGGGAAGCCAATTCCAAACTCGAATGATGGTGTCATGGATGACCCGTACAGGTCAGGTCCGAAAGAGGGCACTCGGGGTACCGAAGGCGGGGTGTCTGAGAAGATCAAGGGGGAGCAATCGCCTGGGGAGAAGCTTCCAGGTAGTCCAAAGGAGGCGCCGCCGTTGCCTCATAGCGAGCAGAAGGTGACCACATCCGGTGGGGAGACCACCGTAAAGAATGGCAAGGGCTCGGATGGTCAATCGAACCTCGGAGTTCTCGAGGTACTACATAGCTTTCCTCTTCCCTCAGCGACAACTAACTAACACGATTCTAGAAACCCGCTGACTTGCCCGAGAAACCGCACGATATCCCGCATCCTAAGTCCCCCGCTCAGGTCAAGGATGACCCAGTTGGCCTTGAAAGCCCCGGTAAATCGACCGGCGCTTCCTCCAAGACCACCAGCAAGCCAGACGTTTCACAGGAGGCGGTCGGTACACCTCTACACTCTCTCGTTTTCTCGTTCACTATGATCGTTGTCTCCGAAATTGGCGACAAGACCTTTCTAGTGGCCGCTTTGATGGCCATGAGACATCCACGCCTGCTCGTCTTCTCCGCAGCTTTCTCTGCCCTCATCGGCATGACCATTCTCTCGGCAGTGCTGGGACACGCCGTGCCGACACTGATTCCCAAGTCCTTCACCAAGTTCATGGCAGCTATTTTGTTCGTCGTTTTTGGTTTGAAAATGCTCAAAGAGGGACGCGAAATGTCACCGGATGAGGGTGTAGGCGAGGAAATGAAAGAAGTCGAATTGGAACTGGAGGAGAAGGAGCATGAGCAGAGGCGCATGAATCGCCGTCGCTCCTCGGTAACCCCCCATGCATTGGAAGCAGGCCGTATTACCGATCGCAAGTCCCGTTCGTCCAAGAACCGTCTCCCATCGCCTCCGGAAAGCCTTTCGTCGTCGTCTTCGCGTGAATCGTCCCCCAGTCCCGGCCGGAAATGGAACGATGCTCTTGTCGGAATGAACAACCTTTTTTCGCTGCTCCTCAGTCCCGCGTGGGTTCAAACATTTGCCATGACCTTCCTTGGAGAGTGGGGTGACCGTAGTCAAATCGCAACGATTGCCATGGCTGCCGGACAGGATTATTGGTACGTCACTGTTGGCGCGATCACTGGACATGGGCTCTGCACTGCGGCCGCAGTGATTGGTGGAAGTGTTCTTGCTGGTAAGGTCAGCATGCGAGTTGGTAAGTATCTTCTTCCGTGGTGTAATCGACCACTGCTAACAATGTGTGACAGTGACCCTCGGTGGTGCAACGGCTTTCCTTATCTTTGGGGTCATATACTTGATAGAAGCCATTTACTAGAATGGCGCTTGCTTTAACTTGATGGTTTTTTGGCGACTGGTGAATAGTACTATAGAGATGCGGGTAATTTCCAATGTAAATTGATGAACCTTCGACCTTAATATGTTTTTAATAATGATATTTTATGCCTTCGATCTATTATTTCCATTCTGCCTTGTTTTAGACAGCAGTTGTAGCTATTCCTTGTTGATAGAACGAAGCCTCTGTTCCGACATGTATCTACCCCGAGTCTCCGTAGACAGAAAAATATCATATCATGCCTTCGTGTCATTGCCAAGCTAAAATTATAGTTGTAGGTAAATTTTGCATGGTTATTCTGGCTCTTGCTCGTTTTTCTATGCGAATAAAAGGCTTTCTAGATTTTTCCGGTGTTACTCTACCATAGTCTTGGGGGAATGCCGTTATGGATGCGAAATATACATCTACCGGCATACAACAGTGTTTCGATTTTTCTGCTTTTAATCGTTGTTTTTTTTTTTGGGGCCTCTTGAGTATATTTCGATAATTCTTGAACATTTCTCGATCTTCCCACGTCACTTTAAACTTCACTAAAAGGCTGCGTTGTTCTCTATTCCAATTAACCTGGTTCAACCCCGATGCTTCGTAGAGCTGTTTCTGTACGAAGAATTTGATTTCCTTCATACCACCACCACGTTTTATTTTTTTATTTCCTTTTATTTTTTCTAATAGATTTGCATCATTTCTATTTGATCTCCCATGTTTTTAGCCCAAATAAAGCACGAACTGAGAGAGAAATGCCTCTGCAAGTTATTGTAGGGTTAGGGTTAAGGCTAGGGTAATGAGGGGTTAATCATGCTGACTAACGTAACCCTATACCCAAACCCTCCCGCCTTCCAACGCAGAAAAGCCCAGATTTTCCTGCTTCGTGGCGCTTCCCAGTTTTTTTCTGCCTCTTCTTGCCTTCTCTCCTTTTGCGTCCATCAACCTCACCATTATTTTCCATCCCCAACCTTGTGCTATTGCATTGATATCTTCTATCAAACACGGCTTGAAGCTATAGAGCTTCTCTCCGCCTTATCCACCGCCCCAGAGCAATGCGATCGGTGTAGATGTCGCTCTCGCGGTCGCATTCGGTATTGGCGGGTCCCTCGAGAATCAGCAGGGGTGAGGAAATGACTTCAACTCCTCTCTCTGGGACTACGCATTTGCGCAAGTTTATCCAAGAAAGTCACAGTCCTAGCTCGCCTCGGAAACGCGTGACAAGAAGTCAGAGTCGAGAGAGAGAGTTAAGCAAGGATAATGGCGGTGATGGCGACCGCAGACGATGGGGACAGCGCAAAGGCAGAGCGCGTCAGAAGCGTAAGTTGTGATGTTTTCATTCTTATTTTCTCGTTAAGTTATTTATTTATTTATATGACCATTTCTTATCTGGCGCTCTTTCTGGTCATTTGAAGATTGTTGGGGATGTTGACAGGCGCGCGTGGCGTTTGTTTACATCGCTTCATCCGCTCACTTGGGTCATGGTCAAGTCATTGCATGATGCTTTCCTTTGATTTGATGGGCTTATTACTTTTCTCACTCAATCCTCTTTCATTTATTGCTATATCTATTTCTTACCTCTGATTTGTTCAACAACTCCCCGTGTGGTCTTCGATCTTGCTTATCTAACTGTAAACAGAACTAGAACTGGATGCCGTGGAAGAGGAACCATCAATCACCTCTCCCCAAAAGACCAGGGCTCAACAGTACAACCGGGAAGTTCCAGAGTCTCCTGAAGATGTAGGAAACATGTCTGGAACAACATTTCTGCCCGCCTCAGAGCCGGATACAGATGTTAATGCAGACATGATGATTGAATCGCTGCCGGATCTTGAGCGAGCAGCCAAAAATGTCCTGGACTTCCTAGTCTTGTCGTCGCCAGATATGGTGACAATCGTCAACGTGGCCAAAAAACTTGGGGATCCCAAGACCAAGCATCCCCAGCGAAGAATGCTTGAGCGCTCCAGGTCTAACTTGATGAGCAACTCCAAATACTTCACCAACCAGACATACATTGATGTTAGACAGGTCAACCGCTTGGTTTTGCCAATGTTGACAGAAAAGTCTGCCGTTGAGGAAAATTGGAGTATTGACCCTATCCTGCACCGGGCAAATTGTGCGCGCTTTGCCCATCAAGTGCTCCTGGCCAGCGGTGATGCTAGCTCGCCCAGGCAGGCAATTATCAACCTGGAAGGTCGATTTCCATCGCCTTTCATGTGTGACATTGTCGGTAATAAGCGGAATGGCGATCCGGCGAAAAGTTCCTTAGAAACGGAAACCCTAAACCTTGCCCTGGAGATCAGAACCCAGTTTCTGATTCATGAATTAGAAAGGCGAAAAGACGATGATCAATTTGATGGCAAGGCTATTATGAATGGGGTATTTTTTGATGACATTATGCCCGAAGAAGAAGAAGAAGGGTCCGGAGACGGGCAGACATACCTCCGTGGCTTCAACCTTGGTTTGTTCGAGGATGAGAATGGGCGTCTTCCTGAGTGCTTTAGAGATACCGTATACTCTAGGATCAGCGAAATCCGTATGCTAACGGGCGACCTGGAAGACTCGGTAAATATTGATGTGCTGAAAGGCGCCTATCGTTGGGAGATGTTTGCCATGCGGGCCGCTCAATGGGTCCGCAAAAGAGACGAAGAGATTAATCAAGTGCTAAAATCGCAGCGGGGCGCGGAAGACGTGCGCGACGACTACATACGACGTGCCGCCAGCGTGGTCGAAGATGTTGATTTATCTCAGGACGTGACGGCTGTTCATGATGAAGAAGTTTTTGTTTCCGCACCGGAGTCTACAGCGCAGACCGAACAGCCACCGCCAGCATCAGCTCCTGAGAACCGTGAGCGGCGAAAATCTGGCAAAAAGTGAGTGATTATATGCGTCTCCGACACTATCCCAGCACACTTGCTAATATCTCCAAGATTTCGCAACCTTCAGGCAATTGGACGCTTAGGTGCGAGAATGAACTCTGCCACTGTGAGCCCGGCGCCGCGCCGACACTCGGAGTTTGCTGTACCGGCACCACCACAGGCTAGTAAGCCCTCCGCGCCGGCGCCTCGTCGTGAAACATTACCTGCGTTGCCCGAGCCTACGCCGCCAACACCGGAGCAATCTCGCAGAAGATCGCCATCCCCGGATAACTATGACACCTCTCTTCGTGAAGAGGAGGAATTGACGTTCGACGATAGTATGGCAACTGCCCCGGAGAAATCTACCAGTCCGACTATGCGTGGAGTCATGGAGGAAGCGCTTCGACAGGCCGGTCCCACGCAAGCAAGCCAGGCAGCCGAGGAAACAACCGCCCCTTCTTCGTCGGCCCTGAAGGTGTTTGAGTCGATCAAATCGGGACGAAATCCTAGCACCCCGAGACGCCCTAGAACAAAGGGCCCTGCCCATTTCATTGACCGCCAAGTAGATGCGCACAGAGTCTCACCTATCGGGCATGAAGCGGAAAGAGCCAGCGTTGAAAAGCATAGACAGACGCAGCAATCGCGAAAGCGGACACGAGTGGCATCGGATGATGAAGATGCGAGCGACGACGACTTTGCGCAGGACGAGCGTTCTGTCGATGTTGCTGCCAAACGAGCACAGAAACCTGAACAGCCTCAACAGAAGCGGCAGAGAATAGTGGAGGATTCATCTCGGTTACTGGGTACCCTGGCAGCGGGGTTGGCTCGTGCATCAGAAGCCGAGAGCCCTGGTCGCCGGCCAACTGCCGGACACGAAACCCGCCCCGAACCTTCTCCCCCCAGACCTACTCAAAGACGCAAGCCTTCCCTCCATGTGCCCGCTACACCACGCACATATACTGGGGGTCGAAGGGGCTGGACAGAAGGCGAAAATGCTCGACTTATCCGATTGATCGAGAAGCATGCCAACAAGTGGGCGCAGATCGAGAATTCGAACATTGCCGAGAATGTACCAGAGGGAGAGGAACGAATTGATCGAAACCAGGGACAATTGAAGGATCGTGCACGGAATATGTTATTAGAATTTATTCGGTATGGTGCCCTTTATGTTTCATGGATTATATGCTAACAGTATTGATAGGAGAGGAGAGCGGCTCCCCAAGAATTTCGAACTGGTCACGATCAAATCGAACGACTTTAAAACCCTTCAAGAGCAAGGCTATGACATCCCTGCTGCGATTAGCGCGAAGATGAATAAGTCCCACCGGTAATAATGCTTTTCTTATTTGCTTGAATTGAGCGTGCTGGTCTTTTTCTGGGAAATGATACCCCGTTGCAAGTCATGATTCTTGTTTTAATTGCTTTTTGGCTGAATGTATATAGCCCCGGCTTAATGAAGCGGGCAGCCTTTCGGTTGAATCTTTGACGATTCGTCTATGTCTATGTCTAGTGTCTAGTATACAGGATTAACGCATTACTGGTATCCAAACGATTGTTAGCAGTACTGATATTGTACATGATCGAATATGAATGAGTAAAACGAGCGAAGCATTTGTAGATGAATGATATCAGCGTTGGAACCCGACCCGCGGATTCGCACTCAACCCAAGCCCCGACAATGAAGACATTATATAGTATTCGCGTATACTGAATATTATTTTTTGTGCATCGTTGCCAACCCTCTCTCTTTTTCGATTAACGAAGATCACTGCATGAGAACTCCCTGCAGAGGTAAGAGCTCAATTACAGCAAAGCGGCAACGAGCGGCAACATGGCAGCCACGACACCGGAGCCAACCTGAACGGAACGACCGGCAGCACCGTTACTGGGCGAAGGGGTAGCGGCAGCACCAGACGAAGAGGCAGCGCCAGCAGCCTTGGAAGCAATGGGCGAGGACGAGGCGATGACGATGCCGCCGGCACCACTCTGGGAACCCATGGAGGGAGCGGTCAGGATGGTGGTGGGGATCTTGGTGGTGGTGGGCTCAGCAGCGGCAGTGCTGGCCGAGGAAGCAGAAGCCGAATCAGTCGCCTTGAGGATCGAAGTCGCCATGGTGGAGGGGACGCTGACGGCCGTTGTGCCGGAGTATTCAGAGTCGCTGGACGAGATGCCCTGGTTGTTGATGTCGATGACAGAGAAGGTTTCGGAGCCACCGCCTGAACAAGATCATTAGCATGGGTTTTCATGAGAGGATACATCGAAGCAGGATAGACATACAGGTGTCTTGAGGCCATCCGGAACATTTCACATTGCACTTGCCGTCATCGACCTTGGCCGACGAAGGGGGCAGTTCGTTTCCGCAGTAGCATCTGTCTCCGTCGGTCAAGGCCGCGATGGAGAAATCGCCCTGTTGACAGGTTTGGACACAGTAGGCGTAGTTCTGGTACGTGTAGGTGCCCTGGTCTTTAAGACTACCAGCGTCATCAAAGCAACCTGAAGTTCTGAAGCTGCGGGCAGAGACCGAGGCAGCGGAGAGGGAGAGGAGGACAAGGGATTTGAGCATCATGTTGACTGATTTGTTGATAGTAATGAAAGTAATGAAAGTAACAGAGAGTGATAGAGTGAATGAATGAAGCAGAGAACGAAGAGAGAAAGAAAATAAAAGAAGGAAACGATGTGCAGCTGTCAAAGAGTGTCAATCGGGGCGTTGCAGGATTTTTAAGACATTTCGCTCCTTCGAAATCCTCCAACGTCCTCCACTGCAGCTTCAACTCACTGCGCCCCGCTGACGCAAATTTCAGACTGAAACATCACCTCCAAGTGCTGATCCCAGCCCTTCCCAGCATTATGGCATCCCATTCACAATGATCACATCCCGATCGGGCGACAACTCGCTCCATCTCCAGATTCCCAGTGCCTGACCGGTTCGTTTCGTGGCGATCGACAGATCCACGCCTCGGGGCTGATCCCTTGCTGGTTTCTCCCTGGATCGAATCACAATGGCTTATTTGCGTCAATTGGCCTTAGCTACCGTGACTATCGAAAACTAACTCCTACGCGAGTCGAGATGGTGTGTTTGAGGTTTTTCTAGTTGGTGGAGGTTGGCCTCGCTTCTCCCCCCCTGAGACGATGACGATGAGTTCTTGGGCTGACAGTGACGGTTCTTTTGGCGCAGATTCCAACGTCATCTTTTGAGTCTGATATCTATTATCATCTGCCTTTTGTGTGACCATGACAGCATGATACTATTTAAACTGCAGTCCTCCTGATCGGCACTGACCAGGGCTTTGGGTCAATCCCTCGGAACTTCTCCTTTTTTTCTCTCCATCGTCTATCGTCTATCGTCTATTCTTCAGACTTTCGGAATCATCTCCGTTCGTTCAGTTTCCAGAAAAGCCGTGTCGATTGTTGATCATGTCAGCTTTCAATTGACTCATCAAGTCTTAACAAAAGTACCTGCAACTGCAGGTCGGCAACCCTGCACACGACATCCAATGCACTGATTTCGAATTGGAGAAGTCTTCCCTTGCACCATGCAAATACCTTCCTGCTCCGGCAATTTGACGCCATCGTGGGCGGTTGCGACCGCCTGTGTTGTCCGAGGAGAGGAGATAAGATAGCTGCCGTCTGGGGTTGTTGTGCCGTTATCCTGTCACTACTTAATGCCGTCGAGGTACGGAGCACTCCTGAGTTTATCTCGACTTGGCTTTCTGTCTGGTATCCTGAAGATTCGCCAACGAATATGCGTGCAGTTCAATTGCCTGCTCTCGGTTTGCTGGCCATCTCGGCCGCCGCTTTGACTATCCCTTCCCCGCAGCAAATCCTCAATGCTTTTTCAACCCACGAGTCTGACATCTGCCCTCTGGCACCTAAGGTTGAAATACCTCAGGATGGTCTGCATTCGGCCTTGAGATTTGTCGAGGATGAGGCATATCGTCTGCAGCAGGTTAAACGTCTCTCCAGGGCAGTTCAGGTGCCCACGACGGTCAGCGACTACATGACTGATCCTTACGACGACGGATTCGCGCCATTTTTAAAGTTTCAAGAGCTATTGGAGTCGTTGTTTCCCCTCACGTATGCCAATCCACAAATCATCCTCATAGTCTCACTCTAACAACATCAGCCACTCCCAAGCCCGCGTAGACCATATCAATCGTCTCGGTTTAGTCTTCACCCTCAATGGCACCGATGACTCTTTAAAACCTATCCTGTTCATGGCCCACCAAGACGTTGTCCCCATTGATGATGCATCCGACTGGTCCCACCCCCCTTTCGCCGGCCATTTCGACGGCCAATGGCTCTGGGGTCGCGGCGCCACTGACTGCAAAAATGTCCTGATCGGTCTTCTATCCGCCATCGAAGATCTTCTGCAACAAAACTGGCAGCCGGCACGCACTATCGTCCTGGCATTCGGTTTTGATGAAGAATCACACGGCTTTCTCGGCGCCGGCGCAATCTCCAAAGCTTTGGAGGAGAAATACGGTCCCGACAGCTTCGAGTTCATCCTGGACGAAGGTGGAATGGGTATCCAGCCTCTCGGCGATGACGTTGTCTACGCACTCCCTGGTGTAGGCGAAAAGGGCAGCATTGACATTATCATCAACCTGAATGTCACCGGTGGCCACAGCTCCATCCCTCCCAGCCACACTGGCATCGGTATCATCGCCGAAATCATCTACGAACTTGAACGTCAAGACCTCTTCCTCCCCGTCCTGAGCGACTCCCACCCATCCCGTCGCATGCTCGAATGTCAAGTCCGCCATTCCCCAGATTACGTTGAACCCTGGCTCGCCTCCGGCCTAAAGTCAACCGACCACGTCTCCCTAGCCGAGGCCATCGCCGTCTCCCGCGGTGAGAAAGTCCGTTTCACCCTCCAAACCTCGCAGGCTGCAGACCTCATCCACGGCGGTGTCAAGACCAACGCCCTCCCCGAGAAGATTTCCGCAACAGTCAACTACCGCGTCGCTCTGCACCAAACCCCAGACGAAATCAAACAGCGCGCCATCGCTATCATCTCCCCCATCCTCGCCAAATACAACATCTCCCTCAGCGCTTTCCCCGCCTCCACCGACGGCCTCCCAACAATCAACCATCTCACCCTCATTACCCTCAGTAAACCCCTCCTCCCGGCCCCAGTTAGCCCAGTCGATAACTCCGTCTGGTCCCGTTTCTCAGGCGTCACCCGCTCCGTCTTCGAATCCGCCCCCAGTCTTGCCGGTAAGAAGGTCGTGGTTAGTGGCGATGTCATGACTGGTAACACCGACACGAGGTTCTACTGGGCTCTGTCGCGGAACATCTACCGCTGGGCCCCGGCGCGTGTGGGTCACGCATTGAACATTCACACTGTTGATGAGAGGGTTGACATTGATGTGCATCTTGAGGGTATTATGTTGTATTACGGTATGTCCTCATATATTGTCTGCAGCTTATAATTCTGTTTGCTGACTTGATAGATCTCATTCGCGGTTTTGACGCGTGGAGCGACGGCGCGGGAGGCAACTATGATCTGTAGGTATATTAATGTCTACAAGAGAGGGTTATGAATGCATTATGAGAAATGTTACCACGTCAATCATGCAGACTGAAGAAATGTACATGAGAATGTAGTCTGTGGATCGAATACTTGCCAAGAAAAGACGGGTTAAATAGTTACATTACGCCCAATTCATCTACAAAGTTGAAAACTGCTGAATAGTCATTAACCAAGTCGTATTTGCACCTTGCACACTAGTGCAAGCAAAGATATATATGCACACATGGTGTTTGTTATGCATGATAACCCAGTGGCAGGTCGACATATACTCGGTCTAGTAAGGATAAATCATCCCAAACAATATTACAATGAACAGTGCCCCGCACGTCTGTGAAACGGGAAAGAAGAATATAAATAGCATCGAATACCGGATATCGACGGAAATCAGATCCCTTGATCAAGCAGGAGCAAGGAGAAGGCGCCGCCCATAACCGGACGTGCGATAAATGTGATATGAGGATAGCTATTTTGGTCAGCATGTTCCGAATATAATGATAGAGTGCCACTCACTCTCCGTTCGTAGTGTTATACAGGTCTGTTAGGGCTAGGTTGGTTGGTGTCTCGTTAATCCAAGTGGCCAACTTCTTCACAAACATGTCCCTAGTCTCGGTAGACGCAACCGCGGCTGTGAAGAGTTCCCAGTCACCTACAAAGCAATGTTAGAAAGCCATTTTCATACAGAAGAAAGGATTTTGTTTACTCTTTGTGTATGGGTGTCTGGTGTCAAGTGGCACGCCGTATTTCTCCTCTACGGTAAGGTAGAAGGCACTCTGCATGTCATAGACGGATTGGGGGACCAGATTCAAGCCCAATTCCTTGTCAGCAAAGAGGTTGTAAAGAAGACCTAGAGATACACATTAGTATACGAATTAAAAATACACTAAAAACATAGACGAACCATGGGAATCGTTGGATCCATACGACAGGGTCGTGTGCGGAGGGTTAGCATCATGGGCAATTCCAAGAGTCTGCCATCGGTCAATGTAATCGTGAGCAATACGCGAGTTGTTTGCAGCTTGGTCATCGTGGTCTGTCATGTTTCCAATGACCGACATAGCTTCAATGCCAATGATTCCCTTGAGAGCCAGGTTGGTTTGATTCCTAATGTACCAATTAGCAATTGCCAAAATTTTGTTAAAGAACACTCACGCCAAAGCGCCGGCAAAGTCATCTGTCGAGATCTGGTTCGCGGGATAAATTGCGTCATCTACTAAGTATGTCGTCCATTGCTGAAGCTTGTCGTAGTGCTGCTCAAGGTAGTTGGTGTTCTTCGATTTGAGGGCATATGCCAAAGCCATGATGACCATGTTTCCACATTCCTCAAGCGGCATTGCTTCATCATTGCCGTCAGGATGACCAGTTGCATTGGGGTAGTGACTTCCAATGTCGTGCATGGCATAACTGTTGGGGTACAACCCAGATTCCTGGAGCTCATAGTAGGGCTTCAGAACCAGCCGGAGGAGCTCTGGGTTGGTGTAGAGGAAAATGGGATGAGCAGGGAACACAACATCCACAGTATTCATGTTGCCATTGGAAGAGATCTCCTTCATGAAAAGGTAGACATTGTCCTGAGTACCACACAGCTGAGTGGCCGCAAAGGATTGACGGACGGTTAGCGAAGTGATGATCAGGTAGTCTTGTCCAGCAGCAGCGACAGAATCCTTAGCAATTTGCTCGTCCAAGTCCCCTGAGAGGGAAACTGATTCCGAGTAATCACCGTGGAAGAAGTCGAGCTAGAGAAACAAAATATTAGTCTAAAATCAATAGTACAGCAGAACCAGTCCTCACCGCGTCTAGATCATTATTGTAGTAGCTCTTCCACAACGAAGGTACAGCATTGGTACCGGAAGGTCCACTGTACTGAATGGCATCGTTCTGAGCCAAACCGATAGTGAACAGCGCACTCGCAGAAGAAGAGCCGACAGAACCAAGGTTAATGGCAAAACCAAACACGGGCCACTCGCTTGAAATGGCACGATAGTTCTTGTCCTCGGAATCGCCCAGGGTACCGTTTTTGGAAAACGCACCCCGAACTGTACTATCAGATCCGGATTGGTAAGTCAGGTTGTCCGCATTGTTAGTCGCCCAGTACCAGGACCCCCATTCTGCTTGATCTCGGTTCTCAGAGAAAAGAAGCTGGGTTTGGCGGTAGACCTTGTGGTATGCAATACCGCCATCGGTAACACCATAGTCCCACTGCGCAACAGCATTGCGGTCTCCTGACACCCATTCTGCAGACAGTTAGGCATGTTCAGACATGTTTGTGAGATTAGCAACTTACCGGCTGAGATGTCAGAGTACAATTGCACATCATGAGATTTACCATCAAGAGATGCGACATCCACATGCACATAGGAGAAGGGAAGCGATTGTCTCTTAAAGTCATTTGGCGTGATGGGTGAAAGGAAAGTGACATTCATTTGCACCGCATTGCCAACATGCAAGGTAAAAACACTCTTGGTCGAAGTATATTCATAGGCAGTTTGGTTGACCAATGTCCCTCCTGGGTTACCCATCCAGGTGTAAACAGCACCATCAACACGGATCAAACCAGTCCAGCCAAGTACTTGACCTCTGTCATGAAAATCACAGTTAGTAAATACCCTAGTAAATCAGGATATATAGGCAACTCACGGCCAGAAACTTGGCCATTCGCCAGGCAGGTAACCCCCATTACCACCATCACTCCCAGCAGTCAACCAGGCACTGACATAGGGTGATTTGACAGCCAAAGGCAAAGCAGGAGGTCGAGCAGGAGAGAAGCTCGACTCAGCCACAGCCAAGGAGACCAATGAAGTAAACAAAAGACCAAAACGTAACAAATTCATGGTGACTCTATGGTATATCGAAACACAACAAACCCAGGATCTTCTCTCTGTGATGTCGTTTCCCGCGCAAGACGGGAGCCAGAAGACACCGATTGTGGGAAAGGAAGTGAAGATCTGGTCTGTTTACAGGAATGCCAGGGGTGCTTTTATAGGCAGTTGAAAGCCAGCATACCGGACGAGGGGAGGGGCGGAAAAGAGAGACAGAAGGGGGTGGGGGAGAATAAACACTCCTTAACTAAAAGCCAAAAAAGATTAGTCTAGAATAGTTGAAGAGAATGAATGCATGGCGAGGGAAATGCTCCGAGACTGTCGTCTGACCTGTCAGTCTCTCTGTGGAGAGAAACCTCATGCGGTATACAAGACACCATATGGCCAGGGGATGGGCACCGAAGTGAGGGGGCACAACAAAGAAAGCAAAGCAATAATAATAATAAAAACGAAAAACGAAAAGGTAATATTACAGACAAACAAGACAGTAGGATCCGATCCAAGCACTAAACTAGTGTGAATTTATTTTCTGATCGATGCGCATGAGTGTGGAGGTCCGAGGGAATCTACCAAGTCATAATGCATGATTAGTTGGGAAAACAAGAGTCATAAGATGGGCTTGGGGCCTTGCCTGTGAGGGAGCAGAAGTATGAACGAGAGTGGGTCATAATAAGTGATGCTGGTTGATAAAAGAGCGAATGGAGGATGAAGCTGAAGATGCAGATTGCAGATCCTAGTGAGATAAACGAGTGTGAAGAGAAGATGAAGAGAGAGAGAGAGAGAGAGAGAAAGAAGAGAAAAGGAGAGAACGACAGAAGGAGAGGAGAGAGAGAGAGAGAGAGAGAGAGAAGGAGCTTCCCAACACGGAAACCGCGAGCCATGAGGAAGGCATGACGAGAAGCGTGACCGACATTTGTGATGCCATCAGGTGCAGAAAAAGACCAGGAAACACGGAGAAGGGCCCCTACAGGAAGCGGCATTGATGCAGTGTGACCTTTTTTGAATCTCCGAGGATTGCGGGGAAAGATGGTGATGATTTGATGGAGAGAGCGCGATGGTTGGGCAGACAAGGCTGGAGACATCGGGAACCATGATGGTGGATCACAGGATTTATGGAGACGGCCGATCTGCAGCGATGATCTTCATCTAGATTGATGGCAATGACGATGGAGAAAAGTTAGATGGAGAAGATGAGCCGAGTTGAGCTGAGTTGATACTATCGTGAAATCTCCTGGCTTGTGATGAATCACATTTTGGCTGCAGGAACGGAGGAAATCTTTCAACGCCCAGGGCCAGGACTCCCCCTTGCAGTGGTCAAGGCATCACCACGTCAGCCATCGAAGAGAAGTAATTAATCAATCACCTTAGCAAATTCATCTCGAGAACCCTGTCAATAGACGTGGATAGAATGAGGTTTTGAGGCAGTGATAGGCCCAAGATCTCCTTGCATCTCGGGCTGTCAGTCAAACAGCAAGGAATATCGCGACTGGATCAAACTTCAATTCATCAATCCTGATCAACTAGACGATAGTAGATGGTGTCAAGCGGTGGAGGAATGAGGCAAGGTGGGGGTTTCTAATTCTATCCCAGATGGAATTAATCACGCAATCCAGCTCTTATCAAGTATATTAATTGAAGTACGTATGTCTCCTGCAATGAGGCCTAATGGTTTGGATGTCATCGAAGTAGCAGTTACCCATCATGGAATTGTATACAGATACTAGTCATAACGCGTTACGCATCCCAGAATCAATCAGGAAATAGAATCTCATCATCATAACAATCATATCATCACAAAAGAAACAAAACAAAACACAAGACCATCACATCAAGCCTTTCGCACCGATGAGCTTCTCGCCAACTCGATGCAAAACTCCCCCCATTCACTTCCCCCAGTCGTACCCAACACCTCCACCGCAATCGCCTCCTCGAGTCGCTCCCTGTATCGCTTGCGGAACTCGCTCTTTACCCGCTCCAGATGTCGTGGTTCCCAGTGGAGTCGGACCAACCGCGAAATCAACAGCTCGGAGCGTTCCTTGCCGCTGCGGGACTCACGGAGGGCCTGGTGGAGGAGAAGAGCGTCTCGCATCGGTCGATTGATGGCGCCGTTGAGAATGTGGGCCAGTGTCTCTCCCTGGTCTCGGGTTAGCGATATCAAAAGAATGCAAGATAGGAAGGAGGAAGAACGTACAACAAGGTTTCGTGACTTGGCAATCATCGCCTTTGCAAAATTGTGCTTGTATATCCTCTCATACACCCGCAGCACTTCCCGCAGATGCGAATCGCTCCGCCGGACAATGGTGTGAATCATCGCTGTCTCTCCGCCCTCCCGCGACATCAACGCCCGGTACAAATCCTGGACATCCCGCTGCACCAAGTCTGGATTCACGGGTTCCCGCTCACTCTGTCGTCTCCCTTCCAGGGCAAGCAGCACCGCCACCCGGAACTTGTCCGCCTTCAACTCGGCCTTCATGCATTTCTCCAGGTCATCCATGTACCGCGAATCGCGGAAGTCCTCTTTGATCTCGCGGATTTCCATGTTGGTTCGTCCCATCAGAGATTCAATCAAGAGCTCCCGTCGGGAAGTACTGGACTGGTAGTAGCAATTCGCCCAGTATGCCTCGGATTCGAATCGGCCCAGTGCAGTCACATAACACACCTTACCGAAGGTGCTGTTGCCCAACTTCAAGCGGATGTGCTTAGCCACGTTGATTCCCTTGCCGTGTAACTTGACATGGTTCTTGTACTCCTTGCGCAGGTCCAGAACTTCATCGCTGTCCAAGTGCGGCAGAATGCGAATCAAGGTTTTCGTGTCAATGTTACGCGTGTGTGACAATGCTTCCTGCATCGCTATCGCATCGGGGGCTGGGTCGTAGAACGACACTCGCTTGCGCCCGCTGCTGGGCGAGATCAGAATTAGGGACTCGGGATCATGGGATCCGTGCCGTTCGTGTCGGACACGACTACTATCCCTCTTGGACCGTTCACTTCTTCGCTCCTTGTGTTCCCTGTCATCCTTGGACCTCTTTCGAATGTGCTTCATCAAACCACGGTCCATATCAGAAGGCGCGTCTAGCGGCTCCAGATCCGACAACTCGTCGTCCAATCTGGGAGCCGCAATAATCGGTGAAGGCATAGGTGAAATAGACTGATAAGTCCCCGTGTATGGCTCCAGCAGAGGGCTGCTCGGACGATGACTTGGGTCAGGCACTGCAACCGTAAGGTTATTCGCAGACGACACGGAATGGCTGTGGGAACGACCGTGCGTCCGGTTCCCAGGTGCAATCTCAACGAAATGCTGCTGGTCGCGGCTTGGAAGGGGAGGCGGCCTGGACGATTCAGGCTGAGTTGTATACCTGACCTCTTGATGCGGCTGGCCAGCCTCGGTTGTCGAGGGCCGAGAGAGTTGAGCGCTTGAAGAGTGCGTATGCGGCTTGCCTGCGGGCTTGCTTGTGGCATATCTAAGGCTGGGATCGATCTGTGCATACTGGAATGCAGGCGGGTTCGCATACGCTGGATGGATGGGTGAATCGCTCGAGGAATGTCTCTGGTGATTCGGCGAGCTCACTGCCGGGGCATACGCAACGGTGGTAGGGATCGAAAGCGGGCGAGGTGCATATGGGTTATTCGGGTGTTGACTAACATTCATATACTGAGGCACCGCATACACGGGCGCAGATGCAGCAGACACACCGGGTTGACCAGACACGGTGACAGATGGAAATGCCCCCGGCATGGTCTGCGCTTCGGCTTGTGATGACGGTGGCACAAACCCGGGCATCTCGCACTCAGGAATCGGCGGCCAGTTCGGCTGTAAAACCCCAAGCTCTGCATGAGGAGATTGCACCGGATCCGCGTATTTAAACGGATGGTGCCTTGCATAGCCAGGGTGGCTGCCAGGTACCTCAGGCGGTGCTTCCTCAGTAGGACGCGATGACCCGCGCTTGAACAACCCAGCCAATTTAGAACCACCCGAAGACAGCCTGTAATGCTTTTCGCGCTTCCCAGGTAGATCCCCATATGCGAGGTCATCATCCGCCGAGGAATCAGAATCGCTCGAATAGCGGTCGCGGTCGTACTGAGAGGGATGGCGACGATGCGATCGGGAATCGTAACCTGCAGTCCCACTGTATTTAGGCGCCGGACTCTTCAAGTCTTCCTCCCCGACATCCGAGTGAGCATAGCGATCACGACGATGCCGGTGCCTGTCCCTGTGATCATCCTCCGAATCCTCTGATTCCTCCGACGAGACATCGTATCGCGCATTGCTCCTCGAACCTCTACTCCGAGGATTGCGCGACGCGGAGCGAAGATTCTCACCTGCTGACTCGGAATCGGAATACTTTTTGTTGGTTCTCCTTCTCCTGCTTTCTGGGGCCGGCGAAGGAACCTGACTGCGAGATCTGGAACGGTCACGGCTGCGCCCGCCCGGAGACTTGGAACGGCCACGCGACCGTGGGTCGTTGACTTGGAGGGACATGGAAAGACTGGGGCTGCTTTATTACGGTAGGTCTAAACGAATGCAGTCGTTAGTTATTTATCAAGGAGAATAAAAGCGATGAAGGAAAGCGGGGATATCAATCGCATTCCTGGTTGCGACAGAAGAAGCAAGGGAACGAGACCAACGGCTTCGGATTATTCAATTGCACATACAGCCGTTGTAAAGATTGATGACGAAGTGTAAATTATTCGGAGATTAATGAAACAGCAGTAGTAAAAGAGTAGGGGATAAAATAAAGACGAAAGGTGGGATTGTGCTATGTTTTGGTCGTGGGAGAAGGAAGAGGCACAGAGACAGACGGTCGCTGATCGTCGTCGGTCCGCGTCAAAAAGCGACCAGCTGAACAGAGACAGCGCCAGTTCTGGATGCATCTCATCGAGAAGAGACACGGAATTATCCGCCCTTGGCTCACGACTCCAGGGATATCTAACCATCTCCTACCTACTAATGGCTGAATCCGCTGGATCATCGCTGGATCAACGCCGCAGCAACAACTCATTGCAATCCAGACTCACTCGTCCAGGCTCCAAGGCCGATCGACATATGCACTCGCTATTGTTGACTTGCAGAACGGGTTCTCAACAACAATGACCATCGTTGTGGAAATATCCACCATAAGCACATGCATCTTCGTATTGCTCCCTGTTTCTAAGCGAATAGTCAAACCGCCGTCTCCATATCGCGTCATTCGCCCTCGTAAACAGACGCTGGCGAGACGCCTCAATGGATTTCAGCCTATCCGATACTCCGATTATTGGCTGCTTTTCGTTCTGGTCTGCCGATCTGGCTTTCAGCCTCAGTCCAAGATATCCTGGTAGGGCAATGGGAAACAAGAACCGAGGCTGCAAAAAGGTGGCGATTGGCGCACAAACAGCTTGCAAGTCCTCAGTCATTGCTTCAATGCAGGATTTTCAGGGTTTATCCCAATAAGTTCGAGGTCAGCAGGTGATTTAACATGCTTCCAAAATACAAGTTCTACTTTTATCCAGAATTCGGTTGGAAAAGAAATCCAAAGGGTCAATAAGTGACAATTTGCTGTGTTAGAAAAATAGAAGAAACAGTCGGTGGAATTCGCCATGAGAACAGTTACTAAACCACAATCCTATCTACCATATAGGACAGTAGGAGACCAGAGAGAAAGAAGAAAACAAATTGCAGATGAGGGTACTCGTTTTGGGGAAATGAATCAAGAATACAAGGTGTTGAAAATAAAAATAAAAAAAAAGGACAAGGAGGAATATTATCCACAACCTGTGAGGCAATGCGCTGGGTCAGACACGCAAAGAGCATATCCGACAGGGCGAGTGGGTGCTCAATCAGAGACATTTGAACATCAAAAGTGTCAAGAACGGAAAGTGGTATAATGAGAGTCAAGAAAAGAGCCAAACGAGTCAAAATAAGCAAAAAGAAAAGAAAAGGGGTGTTGTGTAAGCCGTACATGGTGAGAAAGAGAAAACAGCAACAAGTTACTTTTCCAAGCCAGGAACAGACCCCAAAGGGTTCAAGAACATAACCCCTGACATGAAGCATTCTTGATTCAATCAAGAAGTTTCATGCAACAGGGAGATGTTCTTGTTTCTTGCACCAGCCCAGTAGTCGTCACGTTGTCAAAAGGAGATGATAGGAAAAAAGAAATCGGATCGAGGATCGTACATGAAAGAATACGTGGTGAACTGATGGCACCTTGAATATGATTACATATCCAAGATTGCAAGTGAGTAACGGCTTCAATAGGGCACTGATGGAAAGGCTTTCGCGGGTGAGTGTTCGTCATCAAATGACGAAGCTCAGTGACTGCCAGCAGCATAAACCATGCAGCCCCATCACCGAACTCGGCGTCCATCATTCATAGGACCCATTCTACCACTGTACGTATTCCTTTGAGGCCTCTTCTGTGGTGGAGCACTGAGGCCATGACGGTTCAAGCGGCTTGTTCTCCATCTCTCATACCAGATCACACGACTGGCCTCACGCAATTCAGTTCGCCAGTCACTGAACACATTATCCTTGAGCCTGACAAAGTCGCAATGCTCTGGGTTGTATGGATCGGCGAATCCCCAAGGGAACTTACGTCCAACTGGTTCATCCCCGGCCTCCAGGGAGTAGGGGTCAGGTGACAGAATTGAAAAGGGAAGATGCTGGCTCGCAGCCAGTGATGCTGAAGACTTGCGGGTACTCTGGCTTCGCTCGGAGGGGGAAGATGGAACTGGGGTCCCTTCATCACTCGATGGAGCCGGCTCCGAGTCTGCCGTAGCTGAGGCTTCCAGGTCTTTATTCTCCTCAGTGTCCTCTGTAGCCTCGGGCTTGGCAACCTCCTCTTCTTCATCGGCACTTTCTGAAGAAGTATATTCCTCCTGGTCTTCCAAAGTAAGAACCTCGAGAGGGTCAATGTTGGCCTGCTTCAAGCTATCCCAGACTGCTTTTCTCAGGTAGGTCATGTGCGCAGTAGTGATCGTATCGGCTTTGCTGATAACAGGAACAACGGTAGTCTTGCCCAATACGGTTCGAAGAACTTGAATGTCGAGGCTTTCATCTAGGATGCCAATGACCGAAGTGTCCGACGCCTTGGCGGTTCCATTGGCGGCTCGTTCAGCGACAGCCCTATTCTCGTCAAGGCGAACGGGGTCGAGAATTAAGAAAGTGCAATGAATGTGAGTGTCTCTAGCTCCAGGAGAGCGAATCACCTTCATTTCCTCGGTCAAAGTCTCTTCGAATTTTCCTTCCAAAAATCCAGTCACACCACGTAGCTGAATATCGGCGATGCCTTTCTCCAGGCCCTGCGAATCCCACAGGGTGAGTCCCACGCGCTCCCCGTCGATCTCGGTCTCGAGGAAGTGAGAAGTGTAGCCTTCATTGGCAGGGGATTGGTGGTAACTGTATTCCAGATCGTCAGGCGATCGGGAGGGATGCTTGTGCGGGGGCATGGCCAAAGATTTGCGAAGGAAGTTGAGGAACGAGGTCTTGCCAGAATTTCGAGCACCAAGAACAAGAATGCTGGGTGGGATGTCAGAACGTCACTCCTTTTCTTTCAGTTTATAGGTATTCCACTCACTTGTACGGGGTAGGGTCCTTGCGACGACGCAGTCTGCGTGGGTTGTTAACGGTGCTTACAGCACTGCTGGCGTAGCTATAACGACCACGATGCGCCATGCTCTCTGCTCGTGAATAGGGATCAGGGATTTCAGGGTTAGATGGCGAGCTCAGGGCACTGTTAGGCGCAACCTGGCGCAGCGCCTGGCCAGAAACAATCGCGACACTGTCTGGACGTTCATCACCTCCAAAGGTTTCAAGTACTGGAGTGGGAGAAAGGTCGGGGAGACGAGGAGGCTGCTTGGGCATGGATTCGCGTTGACGGCGCTCTTCCTCCAGCGCTGCAGCCTTGGACATCCTCTTGCTGCTCTTTTTTTCACTGAGTGGCTCCGTGGATTTGGCGCGACGTAGAAAGCCTAGAGACGATGTTCTCTTCTGGTTGACCTGGGTATTGCCGTTCTCTGTGATGGCAGGAAGGTCCATGGAGGAAGGTTGGACCCGGCTGGGGGGTCTGGACGATTGGGTACTGGTAGACATCGCTTCTCGTTTCCAGTCAAGTGGCACTGTAACACTGGAACGTTCTTTGATTGAAGCGGGGTAGCAGTGTGGTGAATTGATTCAAAACAACGGTTCTGGACAACAATCGAATTCTATCACTAGCAGTGGGGAACTCGAGTGAATGTGAGGACGAGTTTAATTCCGCGAATCGCCTGTCGAATCATCAGGCCAGAAGTCAGCAATTGCTCAGAATATTCTCATTTTATCATCCATCGCATTTAAAAAGGAGCTGATTTTCCTTTGCATCCAGCACTTACAAATTCACTGTCTAGTGGCTGCACTCGGACAATGTAGCTAGCTACAGTGGACACCAAGGACGATATTTTTTTTGGTCTTTTTCTTGATTTTTCTTCTCTTAAAATTGATCCAGATATCCCGTCTGATGCGAAATGGAAAGGGGTGTCAGCGAAACGATGGCGTCTTCGCGATTGATTGTTCTGCGTCGGGGACTCGACCGTGATGAAACAGCCGGGAGATCAATCAGTTGGTCAGATCCAAAGAATCCGCGACAGATGAGACGATCGATCAATGAAGATGAAGCTGAAACCAGCAATTGAAGCAGGACAGAAAGACAGAAGAAAAGACGACAATCACAAGCCCAGCAAGCGGTTTGTCGAAACCAGTCCCGAGTCACTGCTAGAGGACGACGGGAGACGACAAGGAAACGAGTGAGAAGAAGAGACCAGGATAGATCCCTAGAGAAATATTTTTTTTATTATTATTTCTTGGATTTTCTTTAAGTGAAATGACCTGTTCACAGCGTCCGACTGAAGCGGCGCATTAATGAGGAAAAGGGAGAGGTGGAAAGGAAAGGAAGAGAAAAACGAAATGAAAGGACGACGGCGCTGAAGACTGATGATGATCGGCCTCGAGGTAATATGGCAGAAGAGCTGGGCAGACTACTGCCTAGGTATGGCTGGCTGGCAGTCTGGCAGTCCGGCAGTCTATCTGTCTGTCTCAATCTCCAGTCAGCTCGCAGTCTTTCTTTTCTTTTTCTGTTCTTTTGTCTCTTCTTTTCGCTGGAGTCTGGCGTCTTCTTTGAGCTGTTCAGGGGAAGTCAACAGCACCAGGGGTGACCTTTGCTCTCCACTCCGGCCAGGCGAGATTCCATTCGTTCGTGCGACTTTTAGCTCTGGAGGGGCACCGAGTGTAATTTGGGACTTCTGCATCTCAGACTCATTGGCATTCTTTTCTTATTTTACTATTATCTTATTGCTATTATTATTGAGTATTTACATCTATATCTGATATACTCCGAAGATCTATTAATACCTTATCAATAACGCTCATGCAGCACACTCCATCGATCGTACATACAATAGTCGGAGGGCCGATCCATTCCACGTGTGGCCAAACTGACACCCAACAGTGGAAACCCTCTGCTCTAAGTCTGTTGTGCATATCCAACGTCCTATTTTCCAGTCTTTATTTAACTTCCTCACTTTCTATTTCCGTCGCATTATCATCACATTTAATCTTACTCATACCTTCTGCTCGACTGCTTGTTTTTCTCCCCAACGCGTTGATCCACTGCTTCCACTCTCTGGGTCTGGTTCGCTCCCGAACCACTCCGACCCCTGAGTGGTGTGATGGTCGCTGGAGTAGCCGAACATATCCATCACATTTACTGCTCTATTCATTTGCAGAGTAGTCTACTGAGTAGACGAGTCATTCATTTGTAAAAAGTCCAATCACAAGTTTAGCTTTCGCCGTTGGAATCTGCCTCTGATCTCAATATCCCCACATCCACTTACCGAGCCACAGCCACAAGTCCAGACACGAACCCTTCTCCATCTCATCTTATTTATTAATGCTGTTCCGTCCAAATACGAAACGGCAGGACAATGCATGGCTTGCTCGGGCACACCTGCTCTCGATCCAAACTTTTAAATTTAGGCCCGTTCGGTCCGGCCGCATATTTCTTCTGGCCAACCAGCTCTGGTCCGCCGGGCAGTGCATCGTCTCCCCATTGTCCATTGAAATTCAGCCAGTTGACAGGATGGCTTGAGTCGTAGGGCTGGAACGTTGCTTCCGATGGGTCATAGCGGTATGCATATGCGCTCAATGTTGGGTCCCATAGCACTCCTTGCTCAGTATGATCGACGACAAATCCGGCGGGCAGGTTGAAATGAGGGATGGCGTGGTCGTGGTTACTACACAACAGGATCTTATTTAGTATTATTTCTCCATCCCCGTAGTGTTGGACTTACCCAGCTATAGCATACACCGCATGAGTGCCATTCCCGGAGTAAGCATACGGCCGCTTACCCTTCTTCTCCGTGGCGGCGTATGTAAAAGCTTGTCCGCCTGCATGCTGACTATACCAAATGGCTTGCGGCGCCCCATGCAGGAACCGAATCATATTGTGCTCCCTAGCGCATGTTAATTTCGATCTCATATATCACTGTCCCGTCCCACACGAACCAGTCACCAATATGGTTACCAAATTCCATGCCCAAGACCGTGTTACCCTCATTGTACCTGATCCTGTTAGTGCGTACCCATCAAGTCCCGTCTGATTGCACCTACGCATAGAAATAGAAGTAAAAGGCATCAAGCGTCCCATTGGCATGATCCCGAGTAATAATAGCACAAGACACTGCATTATTCGTTTGGCCTTTCTCGTCTGGAGTGGTTCCGTGAAACCAGGCCGGCTGCGGGTCGGCATCGATGCCTTCTTTCGATGTCAGATAGACGCTAGTGTTTCCAAGGTTATTCAGTTTGTCGAGGTTATCCAGCGTCATTGGCGATGGGGCGTCTTTGGTTGATGTCCAGTTGACCATTGGGGTAGTATGTACGAGTTGCTGCCCAATATCCGAAGGTTGATATGATTCCTCGCTATGCAGCCACACCAGTGGTGCTATCAACGGTCAGATCCTTCCATCTTATCAAGATAATAAGTTGTATCATCTTACCGTATTCCAATACAAAGCTTGGTATACTCGTTGTGGTCAAATCTGCTCGGTCTATACTCGGCTGTGTATCCACCAACGGTACAGATTGTACCATAAGAGTGGATAGAAATGACCTTAACGAGAATCCAGATGTTAGCATTCTGATGTACTGGCGATATTTATCTTCATGATAAAAAAAAAGTCTTACCAAAGGCCTTCCGACCATCGTCTTTACTTAATATATACCTTCCATGATATCAAGGATGCCAAAGTCATAGGAGGCAAACACGCAAACAAGCATCTTAATCTGAACTTTCTTTGTCTTCTGACCTTTGAATGGACTGATTTACCATCCAAATTGACCATACTCAGCCTTATCACCAGGGTTAATGGTGAGAAACATTCCGTCTGATGAAATTTGAATAAATAATGGTGTGTACATGGATCGAAACATTGTCGAGTATTCGACCTCGTGCTAGAGCGACACGATCCAGAGGACTCGACAGAAACCATCATCTGACGAATCTTCAGGGTTTAAAGAAACGAGTTAAGAGAAGGTAATATCGGTTAGTATGAGCAGATCACACTGGGATTTTCCCTGATGATTTGAGCGTGGTTATGATCGACGGGATCGTGTCGATTGCGGTGGTTGTTAATGGCTGCAGGGCTGGATCCCGTGATGTTGGTGAATCAAGAATACCCTCAGATGACAAGAAAACACGCATGACTAGGTACGTAGTACAAGCAACAGCATAAAATAAATCATGGCATTTCATTTCAATCATACCTACTCTACTACACCCATTTGATTCCATCATTTGTTTCTACCTAGCAATCCGCATACTCAAATTAACCGATTACAATCTTCCCTGCTGAGCACGCTCTGCCTCCTCTTCCTTGCTCTTCTCCTCCTCCTTCATCAGCTTAAATATCCGCAAATCCAACGGAATCCTATCCCCTAACCATGCAGCCCGCTGTGTATGATTTCGCTCTTCCTCAGACTCAACCGTGTTGGGGTGAATCAAGGCACTCAGCGGTCCCCGATTGATAACCAGCCATGGAACGAAAGCACCAAATTGAGTCGGGGTGAATAGGTTGACTTCGAACATGGCGACGGGGTGAGGGCCTACTGGCCCATCGAAGAATCTGTAAATGCGGAGTTCGGGGACTGTTTGCAGGCATTAGTGGTGCTTCAATAGGCACGGGCTTTGGGTAAGCGTTGCTCACATTCACGTCTGATTCTTTCCCAAAGTGCCTTTGCGTAGGTGGCTTGGTCGGGGTTATTCTATAGTTGGTCAGTGCTATCAATCTTCCCAGATATACGACAGGATATAAACGAACCTGATAGTGGTAGATATGAATATCAAACCCTCCCCGTCGATCTTTCGCTAGAGGATCAGGAAACTCCTCATACGCCTTACTCAATACCCCATGCTGAGGGTTCTTGAGAGACTTGCCATCATCGTTTCTCTCCCTGGGAGCTGTTAATATCAGAACTTGAATTGGGATATATAACTTACTCAGAAAGTGGCTCAAGGTTCTCATAGCCTTTAAGTGGGGAGGGGTATGAGAATGCGAATTGATCAGTCATTTTGTAGATCGTAGGTAGAGGATAGATAATAGGCGGGGTAAGAGAGTGGCAGTAGTACCAATATATATAGCAGCTTTCTAGATATCAGATTAAACACATTAGCAATCAACAGTAAGAAACGCGCATTTTTATCAATCAGCAACAAAAGATGCGATCCACAATAATCGCCACAATCTTGTCATCCGCGTTGCTTTCCGCGCTCTGACAAAGCGCGGAATGAGAGCATCTGTTGCTTGGCTGAGGAGAATATTGCACGATAAAGGCATCATTTTAGCAATTGTGATGAAATGACTAGGATTACACATATATTTGTCTCTTACTCTGCTTCGTGTATTATACGATAAAATTGATCGTTCAGCTATTGAAACATCTGTAAACTGAAATATATATCAACATTCTATATTACTGTCGTCATAATTCATGCCATGTATATCTGGATGACCAGCAATCCAGTTAATTTAGATACTACCAAGCTGCCTTAACATCAATATGACCGTCATCATCAAGGAATTTTCCTCGATCCCATTCACGACCCTCCCCTTTCTTTGACCATTTCACATCCTCCGGTCTGCCCTCCGTGTCACCAGGTGCGGCAAAGGCCGGGTTACTCTTCCATCGGTCTACAGTATCTTGGTTGAAGCCCGCCTGACGTAGTCTCTCCTCGCCCTTTTGTCGCCAACGGGCACGGTCACGGACCGCCTCCAGGGCAAGTTCCCAGTCATCATCTTCAGCCATGAGACCTGGGACGGGCCGACGGGTAGATCTATTCCCAGTGTGCGTATCACCATCTTCCTGTTGGATGTCGAGGGTAGGATCATAATCCGGGGCAAAATGTGCGTCAATATTGCTTAGATTCGGTTTGTAAGCGCCTCGACCACGAGTAAGAAGTGCCCTATCCCGACCATCTTCCCTGGGTGGTAGTGGTCCGACGAGGTCTTCGAGAGGGTCCGATTCGTCTTCCGATTGTGGATTTTGTAGAGTTGCACGAGGCGGGGAAGCTTCTTTAGGTGGCGTGTGTCGGCGAGAAGAACGGTGCTCACGGGAGCTGCGATGGTCACTGCGTGTATCCTGCTCCTTGTAATTCCTGCTCCTGCGGGACTCATATTTCCGTTCGTCTCGCGGGGAACGACTTCGTGATCTGGAATATGATCGGCGACGCCTCCGGTGGCTACGCTTATCGTCGCGTCGACGGTCCCTCCTGGAAGATCGATGGCGGTCCTCATCTGTGTCATAATCCTCGTGCTTTCGCCGGTGTTTCCTGGAGGAACCTCTATCCGTAGATGCCGAGCGACTTCTATGTCTTCTTCGGTGCGACCGATGTCTATCTTCGCGACATTCCCTTCTATCTCTCTTAGGTTCCCGATCGTCGGATACGTGTCTTCGAGCATCGTGTGACGAGGATGAAGCAGCCTGTTCCCGTAATTGTCGCATTCGTTCCCTTGCCTCGCTTTCTTCCTTTCGCTTCAATGCTGCATTGTGACTGTCGGTTTCTTTGATAATATGACGTAGGAAACGAGTATTTGGCTTGGGCGCAGCTCCTGTAGGCCTAACATTTATCAGCACCTGCTGCGTCGGGGGAAGAGAAAAGGAAGATCCACCTTTTGGGCACATATGCCCCTAATCCCTCCGTAGAATATTTAATAGAGCTGTCCCGCGCTTCATTTGCGAGCACTTGCGCAACATAGTCGTCGTCGCTGGGGTCGCCAATCGCTCTCCCATAATTAGGAGGCATGGTGGGACTGGACAGGTGGAACAGATATGAGGTTAGAAAAAGGTTGAAACAAAGCTTGAATAAAAGAATCGGCTATCTTGATGACATGCACTCAATTGAATCTGGGCCTGATTGTTCTGACAGATCAGAACGCAAGGGAGAGAACTTCATCTAGAAGAATCTCGCCTTTGTCCAGCGGCGACACCGCCCGCCGCGAAGCGGAGCCGATCGATCGGCGGCGTTCAACATGTTTACCTCCGCATGTTTCTGCCACGCGCTGGACAACCATTCATTTCTCAAGTAGTCGAGGATATATATCGATATTAATTTCTCATCTGCTGATTTCTCGATAACTATCAATTCCCGCGAACTAGGGCGAAGACCAAAACCGAAGACTGAAAAATGGCAGACACGAACCCCGCCGAAGCGCTCAAGCAACTCCAGAGTCTAGTGGAAAACGGCGACTTCAAAACCCAACTGGCAATCTTGCGCATAAGTGAGCCTATCTCTGCGATAGGAGAAATCACAGACCGGACCAATTCGCCTTCGAAACGTGGCTCAGATGTGTCGACACTCGACAACCCCTCACCTGCTTCTCTCGAGGCCGATTTGACACACTACAAGGTACGAAATTTGTCTACCCTACGGATCAGGATAGTTTGGTGACTGATTGTTGTCAAAAGGAACTCTTCTCAAAGCTACGATTTTCCTACGTGGAGCAAGTGACAAAGGAAAAATTTCTCCGTGCGATCGTGGGCGACCCGCCCCTCGTGGTGAGCCACAATGAGAATGTCGAGCTGGAGACACAATTGGCGGAAATAAAGGCAGAACTTCGTGGGCGCAAAGAGGATGTTCGCCTCATGGTCGAGGAGATGGAAAAGATGGGTAGAAGTCTTGCAGAACGTGGGTGCTCCAACGACATGCTTTCACCGTTTCCGAGTGTGCAAGGCGAATGACTGATTTTGCGACAGGCTACAATAATGTTTCTCTCCAAATGACGCAGCTTGAGACCCTTCCCGAGTCTATCGAAAACCTTGAATCTACGGTCGCTGGATTACGCGCGAAGCAGGTAGCCAATATGGATGTTTCGGCTTCTCAGAACCTTCCTCTGCCCGCGACCCTGTCCCTACTGTCTGAGCGTGAAGCCGAACTTGCAGCATTGAATCGGCAATTGGCTGCAGCGGAGAACACCCTGCCCCGGAAGAAAAGGGATGCCGAAGCCATGGAGCGAGAGATAGGTGTGCTGGAGAGACGAAAGGCCGAAGCAGTCATACAAGCTCGGGAGGCCCAGAGAAAGAAACAAGAGGGTGAAAGTGATGGACTTGAGGAGATGGGAAGATGGTACCGAGGCGCAGAAGAAACCCTGAAAAAGTTGGTGGGGGTCTAAGGATAGTTTAAGATATCTCGGATGATTTATGATGGAATTATGGGGGATCGGCGTTTAGGATAACTAGTGAACTACGAATTATACACATGGGAATACAAGTAATTATGGATTGAGAATTCGAGTTTCGAATTGAAGCCTTTTTTTTTGGCTGTTTTTATTCATTGAATCGCATGATCGTACGACATTAGACGCTATGCTGCAGTCACAATGGAACCCCGTTTTTATTTCCAAAACGAAACCCGTCCGTACTCCCGATTTTAATAATCTATTCCTCTTCCTCCTCACCCTCGTCGTCACCACCGCCGGCGGCAGCAGCGGCCTTCTTGCGCTGGACACGTCCAGGGCGGCCACCACCGTAGGGGGAGGTAAGGGCGAAGTCGATGTGCTTCTGGGAGTCGAGGCGGACCATGTACGAGGGAACGTTGACGATCTGCTTGCCGACGCGGATGTGACGCTGCTTGATCAGGACACGGGCGTGGTGGATGGACTTGGCGAGACCGAGCTTGTAGACACAGGTCTGGAGACGGCGCTCCAAGAAGTCCTCAACGCGGAGGGCAAGAACGTAATCGAGCTTCATGCGGGACTCATCGAGCACACCGATGCGGACGAGACGGCGAATCAAGGCATTACCTTCGAAGAGACGCTTGGGGTCCTTCTCGTCGAGGGTGAGCAGCTCACTACAGTCGCAAAAGGTTAGTCTTATCCTCCATATATAAATCCGATCCCCGCGATTTTCCTTCAAAGGCCGGCGATCGAATTTCAAGGGTGTGCATACCGAGCAGCACGACGAATCTTGGACAGGGTGAGCTGGACACGCCACACCTCACGCTTGTTGCGCAGGCCGTACTCGCCGACAACCTTCAGTTCCGAGTCACTAGGGAAAAAACCGTTAGGAAACAGGAACACACGACATAAACAGAAGCACGCTTCTGCTTAGTGGCCGGAGAGTACTAACAGACGGGCCGACTCGAAAGCTAGAGATATGTTAGCATTTGACGCATTCTGGATAACTTCTTCAATTTTGATAAAGGTCTACTTACGACGACGAGGGACCTTGTAGGTCTTGGAGTAGACGCGCCTGTTTTAACAAGACGGTTAGAATTCATCGACAGGGTAAACTGTCATTGCGACGCAGTATACTCACGGGACGGGGGCCATGGCTGCTGATTGCGCGTTGTCGTGAGGTTGTCGAACACACCAAACTTCACGAAATTCGCAGAGGATCAGAAGATGAAGATGCAGTTTGGATAATGAAGCTAAGCGAGCGAAAGTGGGGCCCGAATGCGGCTTAGTGCGAGGGTTAGCCCTTTCTTGGCGGGGACCAGCGCACTAAGCACCCGAGCAAGTCTACACCATCCCGAAGTGCGGCATAGAGGCACTTCTTCGTTGTCGACAAATTCCCAACTCCAGCACACCAACACCGCCGTCATGGGTCACTCGCACGGTTTGAGATCCGGCACTCGGGTATGTTTCTGCGCAAATGCGACATCAATGATATTTTTTTCGAGAAAAAGGAAACCGGAAATGCTGATGGATTTGTGAATACAGTATGCCTTCAGCCGCAACTTCAAGGAGCACGGTAGCATTCCCCTGTCGACCTACCTGAAGACCTACCGGTACGCAGAAGATTTCCCGCGATTTCGATATGACGATTGTGCAAGGATCTAATGGATATATAGGGTTGGTGACATTGTGGATATCAAGGTCAACGGTGCCGTCCAGAAGGGGTCAGTAATATCTCCGCCCGCTCCATTTTCGAATAGCCCCGATCATGGGGGATTCTGCGTGATGAAATTTGTGTGAAGGAAAAAAATCGCTGAGACATTGAGAATAGTATGCCCTACAAGGTCTACAACGGAAAGACCGGTGTCGTCTACAACGTGACCAAGTCCGCCGTCGGTGTCCTCCTCTACAAGATGGTCGGCAACCGCTACATCGAGAAGCGCATCTCCGTCCGCATCGAGCACGTCAAGCACTCCCGCTCCCGTGAGGACTTCATCAAGCGTGTCAAGGAGAACGCCGCCAAGAAGAGCCAGGCCAAGCAGGAGGGTGTCACCCTTCACCTCAAGAGACAGCCCGTCCAGCCCCGTGAGGCTCACACCCTTGAGGGTACCGCCCCCGAGAGCATTGCTCCCATCGCCTACGACACCCACATCTAAACGAATGGATACGGTCTATGCGGTTGTTTGGTGTTTTCTGGGATTTTCCATCTAAGGGTGGACTTTGCATGAGATGAAGCGATAAAAAAAGAAGGGCTCTCGGATAGGCACATCTTGTGCATAGATTCCCCTGAATGAGAAAAAACAAAAATTCTCAATTTCCTTTTTATATTCAAATAATTACGATCAGAACTCTGCCACGATTTGATCTTTTTTTTTGGGACCATTTGGCAGTTGTCATCCGACAATCGTTCTGAGGGATACGCTTCGAGGGACTGGACATGTCTCTGGAGTTACAATGGCATCTGTTCGTGGAATTGAATGGGAGTCCATGCAAGGTAACGAAAGCCTTGGTTTATCTCTAGATGTAGACTTCCATAGATCTACCATACAGCTGAACCTTTAACTGCTATCTCCATGGACTTATCAAGAAAATTACTACATCGAGCCTAGTACTGTATAACTCGATCGTACCTCATTATGTACTCCGGTACGTATGAGCTGAGGCGTGCAGAGTCGTCCATCAGCGACGGGACAGCAAGGCTTGTCACCACTCGCACCAACGCCAGTAAGAAAAATTATCATGGACAATCGAGGTCAGACTATTAATCCTTCTAGAAACCAATCTAGAAGCCAAGTCAGCCAACAATAATACAACTATTAAATCGTCTGTCCCTGATCTGTCCTTAAAACCCCGGAGTCCTGCAGCAGCCGGCTTCAGCCGCCGTCTTCGATCGGCGCAGGAATTTTCCCAAGCCCAATCGGCGGTGCCAGAGAGTTCCGCCCCGAACTCCGCGAGAGAGAGAAAAAATAAAATAAAAAAGAAGAGCTGAGAAAAGCCTAACAAAACATTTACCAGATAGACCTGATCTGGCCTTTTTTCGTTTTTCTTCTTCGTGTATACTTTATTATTATATTATTATTATTATTTTCATACCATTGTCGTTGGAATAGATGCTTTAATTCTAGTGACTCTTTTTCCCTCTCCCCAGACCAAGTGATCTTGACACGGAACCACCGACTCGACCAGCGTGCAATCGTCAAGCTTCGTTCATATGACTCTCTCAGCGACTTCTCGGGCCAGTGCGCAGGCGCACTTGGCAACTGATAATGCTCCCACACATATTGGGGCAGGTGCTTTGCAGTCGAGAGAGACCGGCGAGGTCATGCCTCAACCGAAACAGCCGCCCGTGAACCAGAAGCCTGAAGCGAAACCATTCGCCCATTTTGTTGCTGGAGGGTACGTGACGAACATTTGTGAAGCCTGGTTGATATGGAGCTGACTTGAATTTCTCAGAATCGGTGGCATGACTGCAGCGACACTTACCTCTCCTCTCGATGTCCTGAAAACCCGGTTACAGTCCGACTTTTACCAGTCGCAACTCCAATCCCTTCGTGCTTCTCATCCTATGCCGCCTTCTTCGTCGCTTGCATCCCTCCCGCGGAGTGCTATTATGCATTTTAGTGAAACATTCCAGATTCTCCGCTCGATACACGTCCACGAGGGGTGGCGCGCCCTGTTCAAGGGTCTGGGTCCGAACTTGATCGGAGTCGTCCCTGCACGAGCAATCAACTTTTATGTGTACGGAAACGGCAAGCGGATTCTCAGTGAATATTTCAACTACCATGACGCGCAAAAAACACCGGTGGGCGTCCACCTGACGGCTGCCGCAGTGGCAGGAATTGCCACGGGAACTGCCACCAACCCGATCTGGCTCGTTAAGACCCGGTTACAGCTCGACAAGTCCAATGCGGAGATTGGCAAAGGGCGCCAGTATACGAACAGCTGGGATTGCATCAAGCAAACTGTCCGCCACGAGGGCATCCGCGGCTTGTACAAGGGTCTTTCTGCTTCCTATCTGGGAGTCACGGAATCAACTCTCCAGTGGGTAATGTACGAGCAGATGAAGATGTACCTGTCACGCAGAGAGATGGCCAAGCGTGCGGATCCCAACTACACCTATGGTACCTGGGATGATGTGGAAGTGTGGGGTGGCCGCATCTGCTCTGCGGGTATGGCGAAACTGGTGGCTGCAGCTGCCACCTACCCTCATGAGGTTGTCCGCACCCGTCTCAGGCAGGCTCCGACCGTGGCCCTTGGCGATGGCAAGGTCCAAATGAAGTACACTGGACTGGTACAGTGCTTCAAGACGGTGTGGGTGGAAGAAGGAATGGTCGGACTGTACGGTGGACTGACCCCACACTTGCTCCGAGTTGTTCCCTCGGCCGCCATCATGTTTGGAATGTGAGTTGTTCTATTGTTTCATGTTTCGTCTCGTTGGGTAGGATGATGATTTGACTGACTGTAATGAATAGGTATGAGTTGATTTTGCGTGGTTTCGGGACGACATCATAATTTGGATCCCAACTGACTGAACCTGCACCACCCCTCTCCCACCATGCTCCTTCTAGCGCAACTGCCTGTATTATATGACCCTCCTCCCACTTATTTCGGATAATCTCTGCTGTTTAGAAGGATCGACTGCATGTCCACGGCGCACAGTATGGGTTTTCATGGCTTTGGAACGGCGTCTGCTTGTTGAATTTGACTGATCCATATGGGCTAGATGATCGGGAGGATACGGATTTCAATGTATTTAACTGTGTCCATGTTTGTTGATGGGGATTATATGCCACCCAAAAATAATTGTGGAAGATGTAATTGTATGGAAATGAATAAAGCCTGTGAAATGGATTTGGGTATTACTGCTTGTGTCACTTGGTGTCACTCACTTGTCTCAAGTCACCCTGGTAGTTGGGTAGATCTGATGATCCAGATGACCGTTCAACTTCCCTGCCACCACATCGACTTCCAATCTTCAATCTACCGTGGCGAAGCTGTACCCAACTGCGTCTAGTCCCGAGTCCTGCAACAAACCACATCGATCGGAGGCGGAAATGTGGTGGTAGATGATGTTGATGATGCTGGTCATGGAGATATATCCACCCCAAGGCTTAGCAGTGGATCTGAGCAATGCCACTGGGGGCCGTAAAGCAATACACAGTCAGTATCGTCATGATCCATACGGTAATTAACCTTTGCTCCCTTTCCTCCTGGCTCCTAAGTTGGCTGCCTCTTTTCCCCTCATCTGAAGATGAATTTTGCTTGTTGATGAAAAGGTTGCCTTATCTGGCTTCGGCGGTACCGACGGGAGGACGATAAGGCGTAAATTACGATGTGTTACAATACGCAGACTTCCTGAGGTTGACCAGTGCTCCACAGGGCGGGGGTCTGCCCGGCATGACTGGCTCCACTTGATCAACATGTTCTGGGTTGTGATAATCCATAGTAATAATAATTATTATTATAATAACAGGAAAAGAAAGTAAGGATTGACACAGTCATTAAGGCTGGATCGGACGGTGTTCATCAGTGGCTTGTTTGTGTGGAGAGTTGGAAATTTGGATCTCCCCCATCCTTATGATGTACAGGATGTACGCACTATGCCTGAAAATGGGTACCTTACATTGCAGGAAGTTAATCAAGAATAAGGAAATACTGCGTCATCCTCTTCGAAAGACGGGATACATCCAATATTCTGACTATTCCTCTTATCCTATAAAATAATAAGCAGACATGTTGGAGCAAAACACTGCCTCTCACCGCTACGTCGACGGTTGCCCTCTTGCATAGTTGCAACGAACCTGTCTACAGTAAGCAGGCTACTGAGCCCATGAAACGCCCCGTTGGGTGCTAAGACCGTACATCATCGCTCGAGTCCTGAGGTTCTATTTTCTCTCGTGGGACTTTGGGCAGATCATCGCATCCTATAATTGCCAGCAGGAAATTAATTATACGGGAGGGACCTACATTAATTAGCCTGCACTTTGTAGGGTCGAATCACTGATCGACCCCCCGCGCCAAAAGCGACATAAGGCTAGACAAAAGTCCCCTATTGTCTCCATCCCCCATTCTGCTAACGATACGACAACTATCCTGATCGGATTGGGCATGGAAACTACTAGAGTGTTCGGGTTGTTTGCGCGATCGACAAGATGTACCAGCTGAATACCACGAGGCTCACTCACCACTTACTCGGGATCTGCCCAAAATAACAGACTCTCGTCCTCTCGCGTGGCTTTTTTTTGGCTGCCGACCACCAGAAGGGATTAGTGATTTCTAGAATGCCTCCTTCACCGCACTTTTTCTCCCGCTGGACTGATATGATTTGTTTTTCGTCCATTTTTCTTTTCTTTTTTTGCTGTCTAAATCTCGTCAAGCTCTGAGAATAACCTTGTGGGACTGCTTTCCAGCCTGCCATGTCGGACTGGTCTCCTCCTCCGACTTTCCTCTGTGCGTATCATCCGTGATGATTCTTTTGACGCGGCGCCAAGGAAATCATTCATAATCTCCTCTCCAAATGCGCTGTACAGCCATGCTGAGGCCATGGGAAAGTGCCTTGATCGTTCAAGGGATATCATATCCTCCCCTCCCCTCCTTTTCGACCGTCAGAGCTCATTCGTGAAATTACAAGTGTGCTGTCCATCGTGGTGATGGGGCTCTTTGCCCTCCCTATAAGTAGACACCTAAAGTACCTCGTTGACTAACACATCCATACTATTGCCTTTCAAGCCTGTCGCTCATTAATCAACGCGCTGCACTTGCATTGCAAAAGCCTACCAAATACCTTTGCTGAACGTACCTGCCTACATTACACTCTTTCATTTGTCACTTCATCCATCTTTGTGTGTTCGACTTGCTGTCCAAGAGCCTGTTGACTTTTGTTACTGCGAGGCTGAGATGATAGAATGATCATCGCTTCTTCCGTCTACCTGGATCATACCATACTCAACTATACTTGACTCCTATTTTGCTCTGTTTGCATACAACATACAAACATGGCTAGGCATGTCTATTGTCCTCTTGCCCAGCATCATCCTTTGGCCACTGCTAACACATACTCTCTTCTCTAGTGCCACACCCACCTCGAATACAAACACCGATCAAGAAGCATTCCAACACATTGGTGCTTGGGTAACCGATGTTCCCCAGCCCAAAACAGCGATATCAGACGCCATTAGAATCCCAGAAACAGGAAATCCCGTATCATCGTTGATAACAGAGCACAACACTGGCACTTCTCCCATGATGCAAACCTTCCTGAATGACTTCACCAATGATCAGCCATGGACACTGGGTACAAGAGATCGTAACTGATGCCATGAGGCTGCACCTCGATTTATTTCGTATTGCGTCCGAGTCGACGAGAGAAGATAATTTTTTATTCTCCCTTTTTCAATCATTTTTACATCTGGAATATTATAAACATATTCCCTTTATTCCTTTTTTCAAGGTGATGATTAAAATTCCCAAGCATTTCGATGCGATTTGATCTGCATATGTATTGTTATGGTGGGCCGTTCATCATACTATGGGGAAGGCTTAGCTCTGGTGCCTGAGTCAACTTATGTCACAAGACGGGACCAAGAGTTTATTCCTCCCATCAAATGCCTTCTATTTGAAGAGGTGCATATCTCCGAGTAAAGCCATTGGCGGATAGACAAGGATGGAACAACCGAAGGATTGTGTGTGTGTGTGTGTGTGTGTGTGTGTGTGTGTGTGTGTGTGTGTGTAAAGAATAAAGAGCCCCATGTATTGTATCTTGAATAGTGATTATCTGTCTGGATGGAGACTTCTGTCATTTTTTGTCTCAAATAATTTTACCTTTGTACTACACTACCTGACATGGTGGGGCAAGAGAGAAGATCTCCAAGCCAAGTGCCTGTTTGGCTAGACTGTTCGATGAACTCCGAACCCCCGGCCCTAACAAATTACATACGTCGTAGATCAAAGGGGGAATTAAAATAAAATAAAAAAAAAAGAAAAAAGAAAAAAGGGAAAAGGAAAAAGAAAATAAATTGTTAGAATGATCAAAAACAGTTTAGCCATGGGACCCACTAAGAACCTTACCCTTTTGGTGGCTTGATGCCCCATCCCATCAGCCGGGCACCTCTCTACCAACTCAGCCATGGGGAGGTCAAGACTGAGTGTATCCAGTATGAAGTGCTTATGATTTTTGATGACGTTAGTATAATCCTGGATATAATCTAGACTTGTCGATTATTTATTAGTGCCATAGTACAAGGGCATGTACATACCTAGTACTCGTAGTCTGACATGATATCAAACGCTGATCTAGAACCGACAAGACACATTGGATAATGGCGTTCCTGGCACTAATGGTTCTCTAGACGAAGAGCAGATAAAGTACAACAAACTAAACCTTACCTTAAGTCTAGATTGCTGTCTACGGGGGGATTTCCCGTCCGAGCCCAAGTCGAGTCTGGACTCTGGACGGAGATAGTACTCCGTAGGTTACTCAGGAGGTTATCTGTGAGGATGGACAAGGGACTACGGAGCACATACTTTGTAAAATGTAAATCTTCTATCAGGTGGATACCTCAAGATTTAGCAGTATTGACTCCGTTCTACCCCGTAATAATATCGCACTTTAATACTTGACACAGTTGACAGACTGACAGTATGGAGCCGTGGCTGTGCCCCCGCCCGCATGAATCGTGGCTGTAATAGCAGCAAAGCCATGCTGTTTTGAGTTTACCGTCTGGCGGAGAACACGGAGTACTGACTAGTACAGCTACTAATACCGACGCCCCGATGCTCTACAATCGACGAACACGGGAGATGTTGGATGCTGAAACTGGATGGTTGGACACGTGTTTAGCCCCTGAGGCTCAAAGGCACAGCAGGCTCAGGGAAAATTGGAATTATCTCCGTCGTGCTCGAGGGTCGACGACTTCGATAGTCATGGGACTGTACACGGTCAAAGCTACAGTTCGATTAATGTCGGCGTCCGCAAAAGTATCGAGATGGAAGATCATGATGGCGTACGGAATATTACGGATACAGTTCCGGATGCCATTTAGCCTGAAACATACAGATGCTAAAACGTGAGGTACTGTGGTAGGAGGCTAATAGTATTAGATGTATATAGAGTGGAGTAACACCTTCAGCTGGCATGTAGTAGTGTTCTGCATCGCCCAGTTATTTCAGTAAGATCTTGAGCCTCACTTTTGCTTTTGGGAGCTTCACTCTCACTCATACCTCGGTCTACTATATAGCAGCATCACATATAGGTGTCTGTTTTCTTTTCCCCACCCCTGCGCTTGTGACCACTGCTATACCCAGCAGATGTAATAATACCATCATAGGAAAGGTTATGGTCGGATAATCGGATGCTCATAGCTTTTGAGCCCCATGCTTTGACTCATTCCAAATTGACTTTTTATTAATCATCATTATTGGAGCTTGAAACATGGCATTTTCTGTTGGGGCTTGGATTGTGTGGTGGTACAGACCGTAATATTTTAGAATGATGTCTGGCCTCATTGATCTTGGTGATGGTGTGTACCTAGTAGGTAGTAGACTGTTGTAATGGATGTTTGGATCGTGCAGATTATGAGCTGATGAAGATAGGAAGATGAAGATACCATTGCCATGGACCTGGGGAGGAAGCTCTGGCAAGTAAGGTAGGCCAGTTGGACTAACCGTGTTCTGTTATTACTTAGTAAGAACTATACTATTCCTGTTAACAGCCTTCTCACTGATAGGACTAACGGATCTTGCAGAGCCTCATGCCCCCATCATCCATGTAAGAAAAACGGTTATGCCTGATGTGGATATATGTAAGGTCTGCAAGAAGGTTATGGGAACGGCCTGGATTATGCATCTTCTTGTGCTTTATCGTCGAGTCTACTTGATGTTGGTACTCTGTCTGCGGAGTACATTGATCATGATATAGTTATGTGCAATCTACAAATGGATATATCGACAATAGAATACCTAACAGACATTAGCTACAACTAATTTATTAAATTCAAAGTATTTCTATTTATTTACTTTTTTTTTTTTTGAATATAGTTTCCGAAAATTGTTGCCTGCAAAATAATCAAAAAAGCAACAACCATGGAAATTGAAACGAGAGCTTCCCAATGGAAGCAATACCTGGTAATACCATACAGTAAGGTAATAATGGTAACGACCCACAGTGGCTCTCCCGCCCGTCCCGCTCCCGGGAATTTTAATGGCGGACCATGGATAGAGAGGAACGAAAGATCCGGGGATTAATTAATTTGGCAAAAAGAACACATAGGAACTATTCAATATTTGGCAACATGCTGCAATAACCTGAGGAGAAAGTATGATTTATCGACTAGGAGAATAAATGGAAGAAGCAGACTGGGAAGTGACAATAGTTATTGATTCAACTGGTCCCAGGCAGCAAACCTAGATGACGTATGCAGTATGGATGTATTATTTTGTATTATGCAGAATTTCTACAGTAATGGTAATTCAAAGATGAGACCCTTGAGATCTTGGGCCATAAGGACCGAATTTGGCAGACTTTTTTTTCTTCTTCTCATTGCATAATGGCCATCACTCACATTTTATTAAGGCTGTCGCTTGATTGACATTGGTTTATTATTGATTTATAAAATATTTCTTTCAAAACATATCGGTGGATTACCAACTAGTGGATACTCTGTTACATACAAAATCACCCTCCCTCTGCAGGCCGGGTGAATTTGCTGATGCTGGCTGTTGGTGCAATCGATCTGCTTGCTCTTATACAGTCCACTACGCCCTCCCCCCCCAAAGAATTCTTACACTCTTTTTTACCCTCTGCCATTGCATCGGAGGAGACTGAAAATATTTAAAGAAATCCTTTTGCCCCCTTCCCCCTCCTTTGTTCTTATCCTCAAACTCCCACCCCCCTCTCGTTGGTAAGCTTCCATCCATTGATCGTCGATCGTCATACCCATCTAGCCTTGTGTTCATCGCCGCCTCCCACCCTTGGGCTTTCTCTTTCTTCTTTTTTGGATAACTCTTTTGGTCTTGACTTTCTCTTTTTTGAATTATTTTCTTTGTCTCAAATTTTTTTTTTTTTTTTTTTTACCTTCCCCGGCTGCTGCCATCATGGCTGAGGTTGATGACCTGAATGGTCATTCTGGGGACTACTTGCTGCCAACAGGATACAATCCTCGCAGACCATCCATCACTATTGAACCACCACCTGGTGGTTCAAGCGTTGGTACCTCGAGAGTTCGTCTCTCAACACACCCTTCTGCCCCAAGGATACTATCTGACACTGCTGTCTTTTAGCTCTTCTCACACCCATCGTCTCACATGCCCCCATCGCCTTCGAGCCATACCACCAACGCCGAACAGTCCTTCTCAGCGTATGACCTTCACGATTCCTTTACAGGACCAGTGGCAGATTATCTAGGAGTAGCGGACCCAGTAGATTTACTGGGAATTGGGTATAACTATGGAGACCCCACTATACACCCCGACAACCTGGATGGCATCAGCCCAAATACCATTGTCCCAGATACTGGGCTGCTTTCCCAACGTGCCCCTAGTGTTACCTACCATGACAGAATGTGCCACCTGGAGAATGAGCTCGAAAGACTTAAAGGGACAACACAAAACAACATTTCACATCTCAATGCAGATCAAGTCAGTGAAATGTGGAGTCTCTTGAAAAGACATTTCGACGCAATTGAAGGAATGGTCCACAAGAAAGTCAATTTCTGGGGTGAAACATCGGCGCCTGCTACACCTAGCAATGTTTCTTCCAACGCCAGGGCCCAATACATTTGCAAGCTTTGCTCTCCTGCCAGACGAGGAACCTTTCTGAACCGTGGCACCTTTGCCCGCCACATTGCACATAAACATGCTCCTCGATCTAGGTACCATTGCTTTTTCCCAGAATGTCCATGGACCGGAAGCAGAAGGGACAAGATCCACGAGCATCTTCGAATGAGGCACAGATACTATGAGAGCTTGTCGCCTGCGGTTGTCAATGGCCTGAAACGACTAATGCAATCTCCAAGGGAATGTGCACTTTGCTCAACACCAGTCAGCTCCTGGGAGGCGTACTTTGAATGTGTTTGCACTCACTGCCATATTTCGGAAGACGATGCCACCGAAAGCAACAGCAGTTTGAGCAGAAGAGGTAGTGGTGGCAATGGTGGTGGCAGCGGGAATGGCTATAATGGCCCACCCCCGGATGGCTATGGTGGAGGAGGAGGAGGAGGCTCTCAATTCCCACCCCAAAACGGATACTACAACAACCCCTACAATGGAGGCTCTTTTTTCCCAAACCAAGGATACAGCTTCGCCAACGGAAGAAACCCCAACACTGAGCACAGCCCCATGGATGCCACCAATGACGCTGGTCTGAACTCTCGTTTTCCTTCTGAACCGAATCCTTCACACAGCCCCAGAACGGGCAACGGTGGCACAGCGGTCCCGTGCAAAGAGGAGGAAATATCTCCTCTTTCACTCACCCCACCTCAACCAAGGTTTTTCTCCGGCTCAATGCTCCCTGGCGAAATTCACCCTAAAAAGGCCAGACCTAGCCCCGTTGAACAGCGCCCCGGGAAAGACCCGAAACATGTTCTAAAAGAGGATCCCCAAAGGAAACGCAAGACCTGTGGCTATGAATTTGGTGGCTGCTCAGAGGGAAAGTTGTCAAACCAAGCCGGAGACACACGCCGCCAGTCGGCTCAGAAGAAAGAAGCGCGAGCAAGTTTCCCCTCGCATGGCTACAGTCAATTCCAAGGTTCTTTTTGCGAAGTCACCCCAAAACGACCTATGCGAATGAACAATTCAGTGGGCCAAGCTCCATCATTTTATGGCCCAGGGACCGGCGGATTCAAAGGCCATGTAAAAGGCCCTAACTCTTGCCAAATCTCTGCGCGATCCTATAATCAGAAGAAGAACTTGGGACAATGGACAGCGGGAGCTATTCGCAATGTCTGGAAAGATCCAATGAAAAATGCCCAGCTTACCTCTCCCACTGAGGACACCCAAGCCTTGGTTGCCTTGAATACTACCGCGACCCCGGGCAAGGCATCTATATCACAACAAGCCTTCACCGAGGCTGCAATGGCTCTGCCAATTCGTTTGAATGGGCTTTCAGGACCTGATTCAAACGCATCAACCAGTGTCCTGAGCCCTAGGAAGCAGATGGGATCGATGGGGTCAGTTTCAAGTAAGTTTAAATCGCCTATCCGGTCTTTACAGGCAATTTGGTTTGTAGTGCAGATAGCTAATTTCGCTTTCTTTAGATGACACCCATTCCAAAGTCAACAAGCCCACACCGAAAGGATACCGTGCGGTCAAGAGCTCTCCGGGCACTAAGAAGAACGGAAATCCCTTCACCATAGATTTGATTGCTTGCGTTGATGTATACCGACCAGGAAGGTTTGAGAAACATCCTTCTCTGTGCCTAATATTGAAGGCCATCATTCAATTCCGCAGATTGCGCTCCAAAAGTACAGAAATGCATTCGGCGATGGAAATTACGGATGGAACCGATTTTGCAGATCCTAAGCCACAGGATATCGACTTTTCCCAGGTGCCTCTTGACCTTAGCTACGAATCGATGCTTCTCGGGTCACTTGACGCAGGTATTATGAATGGCCTGTCTTTCGGCAATTTATCGGAACTCGACCTGCGGGGTGATGATGACCTGCCACAGAATGCTATGTTATTTGGATGTTGATCGGTGCTCCAGCTTGGAGATAGTATTTGGTCAACAAACCTATGCGCTGACGACCAAGTGTCTTTGATGATCTACGACCCCATTTCTTTAGTTATTGGATTGATGTTTTGTTTCTCATGTCGATTTCTATATTTATTTCTTCGGTATTTTCCCTTTTCTTCACGTGGTATATACTAATGACTATTGGGAACATCATGGAAATGATTCACGGTGCAATGGATATGAGGGTATTGCACCAGGCGTATGGTTTTATGTGCCTCTATACCCACCCACCTTTGGCACATATTGGATTTTTTTGACATGAATTCTTTTCCTGTACATGTATCGTTTGGATGATTTTCCAGATATGTTTAAATTTATATTTGATGCATGCCTATATTTATTGAAATTTAAGTGTTGGTTCAAGACCAGCTCGGCTTTTGTGCTTTGGGCATTTTTTCTACTGTGTTATCTGGCATCTAGCCAGGATCAAAATAGGCACCCCTGGAATAATAAAGCTAGGCAAATGGGCTATGGTAATCTCATAGCCTTGTAATTTGCTAATGTCCTAGAGATTATGCGGCGATGGATGAAAGGAGACTGGTTTCTATGCAATGCTCCCCTAAAATCCATCCGCTGGTCGCTGCATACAGTGAGATACATTAGGACGCTACAAGGATACATCACGACCTGCCATTTATAGGTAGCTCCATGGGGGATACTGGCAAATAGAAGGGTGGTTGCTGGGAGCGTCTGCATAACCTGCCGCAGGACGTTTGTTGTCCTCCTCATGCCCCTCCCCCCCCACCTTTATTTTTTAGCCTTCTTTTATCTTCCATCCGCCGACTTCTCCTCTTTCTCTTCTATATTCCCCCAGGCAAAATGGAGAATTTCGAAGCCTGGTATACCAATCTTAATAGTCAGGTTCTGGACCTGATTAGCGACTATGCTGGGCAAGAGCTTTTCTGTCTCGAAGGAGATTCAGTCGTTCTGGAGTGTCTCGATGATCCCGCGCTAGACTTTCAGAGTGAGCTCCAAAACCAAAGATGATATGCGAGAGCTAACATGCGAGAAGATGGCTATCAAATCCTACACGCCGTGTACAAAGTGGAGAGGTTTCTTTCTAGACTACTGTCTACGAAATGTAACTTCCACATTGTCTTCTTCGATGGTGAACTTTACCCGACACCTTATTGGTTCTGATTCTGATTGAATGTCTACTTTATAGAAAATCGAGACATCGCCTCATCCACAGCTCACAAGGACCTGTATCGGTCAAAATACAGTCTGGCCAGAGAGATAATCGTTCAGCACCTCAAACATGTCCAGGAGAAACACCCAGAGATCAAAGTAAATCGGTTTTCTTCCGCTTATTCTACTGAGTTTCGGAATTATGTTCAGATGTACAATGTTTATTTCGTCATGTGCCATAATGGAGCGCTTCGAGAACGCAAGGAAGCTACTTTTGTTGAGGCATCTCTGCGTGTGATTTGCAACATGATGGCCCTTGGGCTAGATGTTGCGATCATGAATGAGATTGAATGGAGTGATAGCAAGGTGTGTTCCTATTACCACATTCGACTCTTTTCATTATTTCTGACATCTGTTTGAAAATGTTAGGTGATGACACGAGTGCTTCAAGCAAGCTCTTTTCGACGCTCTATCGTGGCAACCGAAGCTGAAGAGTGTGAAGTGGAATCGATTGCTCCTTCCACAATATCCAAATGTCTCCAAGACCTACAGTCACTTGCAAAGCTTAAAGACGAAAATCCTAGCTTGGCAATAACTGGAAGAGATGCACTTACTCTGGCTATCGCGTCAAGCTTGGTCCTAGAGACGGAAGATGAAGACATGGATGATTCTGAAGCAAGTCGTATGGTGATCGCACTTTTTCTTCAACTTGCCTGCCTGAAGAGCTTGTCGCTGGGTGAGCGGAGAATCAAAGTACGCGATATACCTAACCCAGAAGTCTACGACCGATTCTTGGATAGATTCTGCCAGGTCGCAGCTGCCATACTTCAAGCTCCTGAGTGGCAGAGTCTCGATTACTGCGAAAACAACTACTTGTATGACCTTGTCGACGGCAGGGTCCTCCGGTCTTGTGTCGCTTCCGTATCAGAAAATGGAATGGCCAAAATTAGCAGCAAGATTGGCGATAACTGGGGCAAACTCTTGGAGTTATTCCAAGCAATCTCGAAATATGACCTCCCGAAGGACTTGTTTGAGAAGCACAATGGTAGTTCTGAATTGGACCTTCGAATGAGTACACTTTGTGTCAAAAATGATGCCCCCAGAATGACTCTACTACCGTTCAAGCACAATGTCTTTGATAAACACTTAGAAAGTGTTCATGTGGATGTGGAAAGCTCAGATGACGACGAACCTATCGTTAATGTTGTCCAAGACAACAAACACTGGCATAATAGCCGCCCAATCATACCAAGGCGCTCAGAGGCCGATAAGAAACCACATACAAAGTGGAAAAATCCTTTCAGATTCAATCAAATTCTATCTCGAGATATGGACAAGTACGCCGCAAGTCTTACGAATTCTAAAGGGCATATGTTCGAACGCGAAGTGATAATATCGAAGAAACCTTCTCAAGGGATATCCAAAGAGAAAAAGATCTCAGGCACGGCGAAAGCTATTGTTGAGAAAAACAAAGCCAGCCAAGCTAAGAAGGAAGCTTCATTCCTGGAATCCTGGAAGCAGACACTAAGACAAACACAAAACCTGGACGTTCGTAGTCAGATCAAGGAGATCAGATCTTTCCTGGAGAAGCTAAAGGATCGAAAGCGGGAGGTCCTGGAGCCAGAAGTGCGTGTCTTCATTCTGACATCCCTCGTCACCCAATATCAGAATCCCAGAATCGTCGCAGGCGAAAATGACCGGAATAGCCTGGCACGGGAAATCTGGGATGAGATTAGGATTCTGCGGCAAATAGTCAATGGAATGACTCAAGAAGTCTTCCAGACTTTCCAGAAGCTCTGCCAGAAAATGGGCTTATCTGATGTTCCCCAAGCCTCACCTACTCAGCGGAGGCCACTGTCATTTCCGTTTGACATTAAAAATGTTAGACCGCAGCAGATAGGTGCGCCTTTGGACTTTCAGGCATTCCAGCTAATGCATTGTGGACCTTTCATGGACCGCCAGACCGGCGCAAAGGAGGATAAGCGTGTTGCCTTTAAGCCGGATAAATGGCAACGGGACGTCCTCGACGAATTGGATAAAAACCATAGCATTTTCGTCGTTGCCCCAACAAGTGCGGGAAAGACCTTCATCAGTTTCTACGCGATGTCGAAAGTTCTCAAAGAAGATGACTCTGGCGTCTTGGTATATGTGGCACCGACCAAAGCCTTGGTGAATCAAATTGCGGCCGAGATCAATGCACGCTTTGAAAAGTCGTATCCTAAAAGTGCTGAACAGACAGTCTGGGCTATTCATACTCGGGATACACGTATGCACAATCCGATGAAGTGTCAGATATTGGTGACAGTTCCTCATATTCTTCAGATAGTAAGTGAATATCGTATCTTAGCAATTGGGTTCACACTAACAGGCTTTGAAGATGCTGTTATCGCCGGTCAACGCTAGAATATGGGCGCCACGAGTGAAGTGCATCATATTTGATGAAATTCATTCAATTGGACAGGCCGACGATGGCCTCGTCTGGGAACAGCTGCTCTTACTAGCCCCGTGTCGCATAATTGCTCTCTCTGCAACCGTGGGAAATCCGAAAGAGTTTGAAGAATGGCTCTCGTCAACACAGCGATGCCTGGGTAATCCTTTGAAACTCATACAGTATGGACAGAGATACTCCGATCTTCGAAAGTTTCTCTATTACCCACCCAAGGAGTTCAAATTCCAAGGCCTCTCGCGGCCTCAAGCCAAGGGAATATTAGAGTCTGAATCCATTGAAGGGTTGCGAGCCGTGCATCCGATCGCTAGCCTTCTTAACAAACGGCGTCAGATGCCTGAAGATCTTTCTCTTGAACCACGAGATTGCTACCTCCTTTGGAAATGTATGCTGAAGTACGCTTCCAGCAAGTTCCCTGTCCCGGAAAAGCTCAGCCCAAAGAATGCCATGGCATCATTCATTCGGCGGAGCGATGTATCCGAGTGGGAAGCCGATGTGAAGGAAGTCTTATCTAAATGGATGACGGACCCCCAATCTCCCTTTGAAAGCGTCCGAAAAGAGCTTGGATCAATATTCTCACCTGAGCACAATAAAGAGGGAAGCAGTGGGGAGAAGGGTGACCAAAGCCTTGCAGCTTCTCCTGCCAGTATGCGAGCCCTCAAGAAAGAAGAGCTGTCAACTTCTGTGTTTCCGCTTTTGGTCAGCTTGCATAAGAAAAATGCTTTACCCGCCCTGCTTTTCAATTATGAGCGAACTACCTGCGAGCAAATCGCGGAAACAACACTCAAGCAACTGCGTGATGCTGAGAACGAGTACAAAAAGGGTGCTTCTTGGCAAAGAAAAATGACCGAGTATAGACAGTACCAATCTCTATTGTCGAGACAGGCTCGAACTGCAGATAAAAATGGGAATGGCAAACGCAAACAGAATGGAGACCAGGGAGAGTCATACCCAGACCCGGCTGAGAATGAAATCCATCCTTTGGAAGGATTTGATCCTGAGAGACCACTGGAAGAGTTCTCCTTTGCCGGTACTGGCATATTGACTAGGGAAGACCTCCAAGAAGAAATCGAGACTTTGAAGTACAGGAACGTCAAGGATTTCTTGTGTGAAGCTCTTGAGAGGGGAATAGGAGTGCACCATGCTGGAATGAACCGTCAATATCGTCAGTGGTAGGTGATCCCCTTGAGGCTGGCTACTAGGAAATAGCACTAATGATACCTACAGTGTTGAGCGCCTCTTCCGTGCAGGATTTCTTCGAGTTGTCGTGGCCACTGGCACACTGGCCCTGGGAATCAACATGCCTTGTTCGACCGTCATCTTCTGCGGCGATAGCGTTTTCCTGACAGCGTTGAACTTTCGCCAGGCGGCAGGAAGAGCTGGACGTCGAGGATTCGATGTGCTGGGAAATGTTATTTTCCATGGGATACCTCACCACAAGGCGTTCCAGTTGATCAGCTCTCGTCTGCCGGACTTGAATGGGCATTTCCCCATCACAACCAGCTTAGTTCTCCGACTGTTTATTCTTCTCCACAATTCACAAGAATCAGAGTATGCTGTGCGAGCAATCAACTCTCTACTTTCCCAGCCAAGACTCTATTTTGGGAGTGCAGAGTCAAACGAGAAAGAAAAGGTTCTGCACCACTTGCGATTCTCGATTGAATACTTGCGGCGTCAGCGCTTACTTGGACCACATGGAGAGCCGATTGAGCTGGCATGCTGTATTTCCCATCTCTACTATACCGAGAACAGCGCTTTCTCCTTCCATGCCCTTCTCCACTCGGGATATTTTGAGAGGTTGTGCGAATCCACTCGATCCAACACGGAGAATCGAATGAAGACGTTGATGGTTGTCCTATGTCACCTATTTGGTCGGAAGTCTCTCGGTCATCGATACAAGACAGACCAGAAGTCACCATCTATTGTTGTTCTGCCAACAATTCCAGCCGAAGCAGCGGCAGTTATTCGCGCCCATAACAGCGATATCCTCAAGACATACACAACATATGTGGCCACGTACATAAACCAGCATATGACGGAATCTGAGCGGGAGCTGCCACTCAGTGGAATCTCGGTCACAGACCAGGGTAATCCAGAACTGAGCCGTCTCCTGGGTGCGATGGAGGCGAATAAGACGTGTTCCCCGTTTGTTGGACTGTCTGGACACGATGACGAGTTCGAATCCATCAAGGATCTCTGCCAGACAGTTCGATCTGGGGTATTTCTGGAAGAAGGTGTTATTCCGCACCTTGATATCTACCCGGATGGGGGAATGGCGCCGTTGAACGCTTATCTTTACGACTTCTTCTGCCATGAAAATCTGGGAGCCCTTGAAGATGCCAATCACGTTTCTCGCTCTGAAGCATGGTTTCTCTTGAACGATTTTTCTATGGTTCTTGCTACTATAATTGTTGCATTGGAAGGTTATATTAACCCGGACAAAGAACAAGATCCCCTAGATATCATGGCAGCTGGGGATGAGATGTCGGCAGAATCGGATAGTGACGATGAATCTGATGAGGCAGTGAATGAGTCCAACACTGGAGAAACCGAGTATTTTAACACACCCAAGAAACCTAGCACCCCAGCCGCTAAAGACGAAATACTGGATAATTGGGATGATATGAGCGATGCCAGTGAGAGCTCAGAGGACGAATCTTCCGAAACATCCTCGCAAAACGATCAGAAACAGGGATCAACAGTGTCTGTGGAGGTTCTCAATGCCTTCCGCCAGTTGAAAGATGAATTTGATGAGAAATTCCGTGCTATTTTTGCATAAGTGGTTTGGATATTGTTTCTTACTTGTTGTGGATATCATTTTGGATGTTGCCATTAACACAACCTAGAGAATCAAGACATCAGAATATCAAATTAGTTTGTGAATTGTATATATGGCACAGTAGAATCATTTCCCTGATTGCAGCACCACGGAGGCTTCTATCATCATGGTGGAGAGATTGTCCTTTTCATCTCTAAACAACAACCCACAATGCCTCACATGGTCGACTCCCTCGAAACGATCCTCCATGACAGCCCCGGTATCTCTCATCCGAACATACTTCATCCAGTAAAAGATGCAATGCTCGAGATGCCACGCCTGCGTCACCCAGAACGTCCCATTCACATCTGCCAACGCCGCAATCTGCGACTTATTCATAGGAATCGTGGCCGCCTCGTCCGCGAAATACGACCACGCCCCATTCGGCCCCGGGCCGGACCGTTCAAACTCGGCGGTTAGTTCCTCGTCGCGACAGTAGGGTGGCAGCCAGGATGTGGCGAGGATGTCAAAGGTACAGCTCTTTGAGATGGCTTCACTGATGCTCGAGCCGCAGTCGCAGAAATTCAGAGTCGGCGGGAGTGTCGATGGACGGTAGACATCTGGAAAGCGGGGAGTCAAGACGGAAGGGCGAAAGTGCTGAATGAGGAGGAGAACCAAGGCGACGCAGTCCCAGATAGCGAGGAGGACGATGAAGATACGGATACAGAGCGCGATGTAGTATTTCGATGGAGGATGTCTCGTCGACGATCGAATGATGCTTTCGGGTGGTTTCTCGAGGGGTTCTTCGTCGACGGGTTCAAAGTGAGGGCCGGATTTGACCAGGAAGGGAGTCCGGGGGGAGTCCATTGTGGATGAAGATGGAGATGGAGACATTAAAGCGAGCCATTTTGATTCAGATAAAATTTGTCTTCTTTAATATTATAAGCAGATGGTTAGATATCGTCGGCTGGGTTGGATGACCGTTTGGGGGTTGAATAGGAGCGAGTAGGGCTAGCAAAACAAGCCCTGAATAGCATGTCGATCGCGGCGGGTTTCTTTGTCTACCTTCACCTCTTGACATCATGCAATCCACCTGTACAATTTGAATTATACTCTACAAGAGAGCCAGCAGTATTAAGAAATTACTGAACTGTGACGAATGATCCGATCAGCATGGCTGTTTCAGAGCCAATCTGATTATCGCGGAGATCAGAGATGGAATCGGTGCGTCCGTAGCAAGGCTGGCCTAGAATTTGGGCCAAGGAAGATCCCAGTTTAGGTCATTCATGTTTGGCAGGATGTTGGAGATGTTGGTAGAAATGAAGATTAAAACTGTAGGATTCTATATGCTTATTATGTATCATAGCTGTGAGATGAGGATTCTGGCTACTTAAAGGCCCTCGGAGGCTCTCTTTCTTCCAACCCGCTTCTTCACCATGTCATTCCATTCCTCATGCAGTTCCCAACCGACTCCCACCATATCCCGTCTACTCCTCTATTCCAACAAAATGGCGATGAATGTCCAGGCTCTGAGTCTCTGCAACGCTCTTACCATCGAGCCAGAGCTATAGGCAGGCATTATTATGAGTGTTTCCTCCAGCCCATACCGAAACAATGCTAACTAGTTAGGACTGACCATGCAGGATGTCCTCGACAGATCCCCCAAGCTCTGTCAATTATACATGGACTCCATTATCTACAGAGACCTTCCAGCTTGGACTTGTCTCTGATCTAGTATAACCTCGTGGTGGGGGCCATTGCCCCCTAAGCTCTTGAACGACTGCTACCCTGCAGCCAGATGGTAGCTTTATCCTGCACACTTCCACTCCCAGGAGCAGCAAAGTAGGTTGAGCTAGGTACCTTAGGTGAGATGATACTGATCGATCCAGATTCATACCATCATCAATGCCAATTCCGGGTATACGCCGCACTGCTATAGTTATGGCTTGCTTTCTAGTAAAGGGGGATGACAGAGGAATTCGCCCTTTTCTGGCGGCCCTTGCTGAGGGGACTGAGATGTGTAAAGTTGTGATATCAACGCGTGTGAGGTCGAGACAAAGGGATTTGAAAAATATCACTAACTCAGTTCCATCAGTAGAACTTTTTCTTGATTTCCCGTTAGCAATTGGGCGTGAGCTTTCGATGTCCCTTATATAGGAGGTAGATGCTGTCTAACACTATCATATCTAAATCCGACGCAACAACACAGCCCACCATTAAAACTCATCACCGAGATCCTGATACTCAGCCCTCATGCTCCACGCATCCCTCGCAGCCCTAGTCTCATTCTTCCCCGAAGTCCGAAGCCCCCAGAATTCACAATCCTCATATCCAAACGGCAAAAGACCACAAAAACTTCCCTCAACAGAGCCATTTCCTAGAAATCGAATCTCCCCCGATCCGCAGCTCACATGGTCCATTTCTGTGTCCCGCGCACGCCATTCAAAGAAACAGCTGCCCTCACCAGCGTACATGATTTGGTAAGGACGGTTGGGCATGAAGAGGATACCTTCTATTGGGCCGAGCTGGAATTCGCCCCAGATACTGGATCCGTCGAGACAGAGTATCATACCCGAGTTGCGGGTGTCGAAGGCTTGGGAGTCGATCTTGTAATTACCATTAAGAAGGCCTAATGTGACGCGTGAGGAGGGTAGATTGCTCGGTGGCTGTTGCTGCTCCTGTTATTAGCTTGTGCGTTACGCGTGACATGGGAGTAGATTTACCATTCTATACCCATGTCGCCCAGGCCTCAGTGACGATGAGTAATAACCATGAGGTGCCACCTCTTCCTCCTTCACCATCACCTTCTTCTGATCCCCCTGCCCAAGACGAAGGTTGATATTCAAATTCAACCCCGCGCAGGACACGGCCACCCCCTCATCATCAATCTTTCTCTTTACGCCCTTAGTCCCAGTAGACTTCTTCTTGGCCTTCTCCTTCTCTTTCACCTGTCTCTCCCACTCCCTTTTCATCTCCAACTGCAACACGTCCACGTGAAACGGAACCTCTAGTTCGTCCCGATTCAAAGCATCCAGCAACGGCATCGCCGCGGTGCTCTTGTGATCTGTGGGCGGGAGTCCATAGTGTAGCAGCTGTGCCTTGAACCAGTTAACCGGCTGGTCGAGGATAGAGGCTTTTGCTCTAAAAAAGGTGCGGAGCTCGTCGATGCTTGCGCGGCGATGACGGGTGTTTGGGGAGGGGAGGGCGTAGAATACGTTATTTTCGTATTGAAAACCCTTGCGACATATTGGGTCCATTTTGGCAGTTGAGTATCCGAGGTTGTGGTTGTGTTTTTCTTTTTTGGGAGGGAGTGGAGAGAAGAAGAAAGGTGATGATGGGGGAATGAAAGAAGATAGAAGTGGAAGGATAATCATGACGAATGTACCAGCATTTTATTCAATCAATTGTAAATATCTGTACAGGCCAGCTAGACTAATATTATATCGTTTACAAGCAGGATATCAGTACAGCCCAAGAAAACATAAAGAAAAGACATTTGATTCGTCTAATACACCCTGAGAAAAAGCCGAAGCTGAAACAACCAAATAAAAAGACAAGCCAGATTTCCCCCATAAAACCGTTAGATAAAAACAATCAATTAAACAATTTCGAGAGTCAAGACCAGCAAAAGGACGATGAGGTAGATAAAACACGTGCAGAAAAGTAAAAAAAAAAAAAAGGTCCGAAGATTGCAGACGCTGCCCAGTGTCAACAGAAATTAGTGAGATAGATTTTGTTTTACTTGATATTTGTTTATTCAATCAGTAGTATCTTTACTCCTGTCGACTGCGCTTGGCACCATGGGGATTCCACGATCCATCGCCGACCCCTTGGTTTGGAGTGAAGAAGCCTTGATTGAATGCAGGATTCGGGGCTTGGAAACCGCCTTGACCTAGCAAGAACCGCAGTTAGAACTGGCTTTACACCGGTTGATACTCTCTGAATATCATTCATCTCATGACATACCTTGCATCCCCATGTTGGCTCCCATGCCTCCCATCATCGGGTTCATTCCACCAGACATCGGGTTCATTCCCATGCCTCCCATGGGGTTCATAGCTGGCATACCCATCATGTTCGGTGTAGCCATGCCGCCGCCGCCACGGCCACGCATGCCCCCAGGGCCGCCTCGCATCCCGCCGCCCATCATGTTGCCGCGGTTATTGAAGCCATAGTTTTGCATGCCACCCATCGGGGCTCCCTGGAAGCCGCCAACCATCGGCCCACCTTGGAAGCCACCGCCCAACGGGTTCTGGAAGTTGCGGTTGCCCCCAAAGCCCATGTTGTTGTTCATTCCGCCGCGGTTGTTGAATCCACCACCTCGGCCACCACGGAAACCTCCGCCCATGTTGTTCATTCCGAAGTTCATGCCCTGGTTCGACGAGTTGTATCCACCGGATGCTGCTCTAGCCTGGTTATCCTTGCGCATCGGCGCATCTTTGGGAAGCGTACGGAATGGGTTGGTGTGAGGATTGGTATAGTGAATCACGTGCTTTCGGCCTGCCTGTCCTGTTGCGCTGATATTTTCAATCTTATGCTTGGCCGCTGTTGCTGCCTGAAGGGTTGTGAATTCAATAAATGCTTGCCTATTGGGCAAAATCCTGTTAGCAACACGATGACTCGTTAATAGACAGCTTGGAGAAGCATACCCTTTACTCTTTCCATTCACCTTGTGCTCGCTGAATGTTACATCCTTAAGTTCATCTTCAGAGTTGGCTTCGTGGACCCAGCCACGGATATCATCGTCAGTGGTCCACCAGAACAATTCGGAGAGCAGCAAAGCAGTTGTGGCGTCTGGGTCTGATGGACGATCGTCATGTTCCTTGCGCTTCACGCCCTGCTGGGGAGCTGGGATCTCTTTTGCTTGGGTGTGTTGCTGGGCAGAATCTGGGCCTGTTACATGTTCGCCATTCGCACTGGGGCCTTCGTTGGCATTGGGCTTCGTTTCCGCAGAACCCTCACCATGTGATGGACCGTTTTGGTTATGATCCGGGGCGTCTAGGATGAGTTCCGAGTCGTCGTGCTTAAAATCACCTTGTTCATTGGCGTTATAGCCACCGCCATCACCATAGATGTCAATATCGAAGTTATCATCTTCAGTAGCCATCGTGCTTAGATGAGTATCGTAATCTCAAGGCAAAAATTGATTGCTTGATTGTGAAATATACACAGTCCTCTTTCTCTGTTTCGATGATTCAAGGGAAGTACATGTCTGCAGACACAGGCCATTCATTAGCAAGAAAGAAATTGTCCACATCTCCAAAAAAAGAACGGATTCAACAAGTATCTGGAAGATCGGGTCACCTAGGATATCCCCAGGAAGAGCGTTCAAAAACCGTATATAACTTTTGAAATCAAGAGAAACACAACGCAGAACCATGAAATGAGACAGGAGGATGAAAAGAAGGCTCGATGATACGTACAATCCGAAGCGCAAACAGCCTCAATATGAACACACTCTGCGCCAGCCAGATAGCTCTGGAACGGAAATGCGGGGCGCAGTTAATTCTTCTTTTTGCTTTTGGAGATTCCAAGTACAGGTAAGATGGTAATGGGAAGATTTGTTAAATGAAAAGGACGAAGAAGAGATTATTCCACAGAAGACGCGGCGCCGCGCGAGCTCTTCTGCCACAGTCAGGCAGAGGCTTTTGCTAGAGACAGGTCTGACAAAAACTCTCGGGATGAGAGGACAGTAGAAAGAAAAAAGAAGTAATATCAAACAAAGGTGTCAGCTGAATCAGTCAAACCCCCCAACAGCGTTGTAATCCAGGATGTATACAGGATCTCCGCCCAGTTTGTATCCCCTGAATTCGTTGCGGCGAGCGCGGGAGCCCGAGGTACCTAACGGGGGTGACGGGGGGTGACGTTGGAGAGGGAAATGGGGTGAAGACGCGACAAATTTCAAGAGCAATTGGCGACGATCACGAAAAGATCCCTTGGATGATGTCGGATGAAGGAACCGGATGGGAATAGAGCGCAGTGGAGAAGGGGAAGTGAGGAGAAACAAGAGCTTCGATCTCGAAGTTGGAAGCTGAGGCCGGAGCGGCAGAAACGTATCTCCGGACCCCAGAAGGCCAGCTCTCCGTTACGGCCTCCTCAAGACACCGATTAATTGTCCAGATCATCCTCTTCTTTCTCCTCGAATTCGATTTAATCAGCCAATTCTCCCGTCACTCTTCCTTTCGATTCTCCTTTCACGCTTTTTCTCTCTTCCCTCCTTCTCTTTATTCCTTTAATTTCTTTCTCGCCATCATGTCTGAAACCTTCCAGGAGCTCGCCGATATCCCCAAGGACTTTGTCCGCGAAGGAGGACTATTCATCCGCAGATGCACCAAGCGTACGTGATCCTACGATAGGATCCCTAGTACTCGACCCAAACTGACTCATTTCATCTACAGCCGACAAGCGCGAATTCATCAAGATCAGCCAGGCCGTCGGAATGGGCTTCCTTATCATGGTGCGATTTCCCTGATTCAATCTCCACGTCGATCGATTACCATGACATCCACTAACACACGTATAGGGTGCCATTGGCTACTTCATCAAGTTGAGTATGTACTAACCTGTCCGACTGTGGCGTGGAGCACGTGGGCGATTTTTGAATGACGATCTTGAGCTAATCGTGTCTTCAGTACACATTCCCGTCAACAACATCCTTGTCGGTGGAGCATGAGAAACCAAATCGAGTCAATTTTTGATACCAAAGCGAATTCGGGAGTTGAAATACGCCAGGGGATATAATATCACGTGTGCATTGCGCGAAGAGATTCGACCGATGTGCTTCAAAAAGAAATACCAAAAAGCCCCCCCTGGTGGAATTGCAGATGTCTGCGCGGTGCAGGCAATTTTATGGACACAATATGCGACGTGTGACAGGACGAATCGCCATCACATCAGATATCACAGCTATGCGTTGCTTTTCTGTATAAATATCGTTTTTATGAAGTTTTCTTTTTTGTCCCAAGAGTTATTAAAAGGGCAGGTTGCGACTCTTATTTTTGTCATCCAATACCTCTGTTAGTCGCGAATATCAACATCTAAACCTTGACAATCATATATTGGCCTCTGTGTATACTAAATTTTTAGATTCCAGCTCTAAATGATTGGCCATCCCATATCCATGCTTATATTACCATTCATCGTCCTCATCATCATCATCCATATATTGCCTTCTTACAGGCCGACTCCTCAGTGAGCCTCGGGCGGTGCCAGGAAAAGAACCACGGACCTGCCCCGACTCCCTGTAGAGGTTGAACTCAGGGATCTCTTCTAACCTACAATCGTAGCTCTTTCCCATCGTCGGGTCTCCTTCATCATCCGCGGCAGAGTCGTTCCATGAATGCAGGGTGCAGGTACCAGTCGATAAGCCCCAGCCGTTCCATGAGGTGGCTGTTTAACAGAATGATCAGACCATGCCTACTGATCGGTGGTAGATGCGCGCCGTGCACGACTTACCTGCTAACACTGGGGCATTGGGATGCCAACTTGCGTCTCGAACACACGTCCTCCACATCATTTCCCCCCTATTCCTGACTTCGTACGCAGTGGTGAATATATCCGGATCGCGTGGACGGGAGTTTAAAGTCGCAACGCCAACATCGATCGTCCCTGCGAGAGTGGCGTCTAAGTTATATACATATACTTTGCCATCTTCACTCCCAGTGTACACATATCTCGAATTGGTGCTTCCCGGAGGTGAGAAGTGACACCTGATCAAGGTTTTAAGAACACGGTGGCCGCGGAACGTGACAACCGAACAGTCGTGCGGATGTGGTTCGTAGTAATCATCGGGGTAGGGTTCGAATCTATAGTCAAATCCGGTCGTGTAGCGATTCACGTCGATCGTGTCGAACCTTGCGGTCGTCATCATCTTCCTCAAATCCCATAGCTTCATTGTCTGGTCTTTGCCGTTGGACAATATATAGCGCCCGTCGCCTTTGCTGTCTATATAGGTAAGACCTTCTGTATGCCCCATAAACACTCCTGCTTCACGTCCGTCACCCATTGAGCGCCGGTCCCAGACTCGCAGGGTAGTGTCGTCAGATCCGGAGTAAAGAATATGAGGCGACGATACATCTCCAAAGCATACGGCATTGACATCGTCTTCGTGATTTTGCAAGCGAAGAACGGATTGTCGCGTCTCAAGGTCATAGACAATAACGGAGTTATCAAATGTGCCAGCCACGATTTCACGACCGTCTCCTGAAAATCGGACTGACCAGATCTGTCATAAGGTCAGTTGAATCAATCCTTCTAATCAAGCCACAGCGATACATACTCCAAAGTGTGAGCTTCCATACATCCCTCGATCTCGTCTCCCTCCGGGCATTGAGGATAAATCCAAGATAGTTGGATCAGATTCATCGGCCGGATCGGTGGGAGCAAGACACACGAGATTGCGGATTGAACTATATGCCAAAAATCTGTTGTCGGGGCTCAAGGTAGCATCCGTGATTGTCCACTGCCCAAAAGGATAATCCACTGTCTTATAGTATTTCCACTCGAACGGGTTAGATGTGTCGTACATTCTGACCTTGAAATCCTGTGCGCAGCAGAAGAAAAAATTACCATCATCAGAGAATTGTCCCGAGTAGCATCGTGAGTCAAAATGGATGATTTTGTCTGCGACTGATTCAGGGATCAAGCCCTATATCCAGATAGATATTAGTATGGAGCTCGCCGGTGCTAGTCACCTTGTCTCGGTACTTACCTGAGAAATGGATTGTGCTGCCCTCCTCTGTGCCCCAGCAACATCAATACCCAATTCCCGCCACATAAGTCTCATTGCAAGCGCCTTTTTGCGTTTCTTTAACTCGTCGACAAAATGTGAATTGCTCCCGAAATTTCCGGTTCCCATCAACTCGGTGCCAGCATCACTTGGCACCTTGGGAAATTGATCACTTCCTGCTCGACGCCTGTTCCTCCTCCGATATCTGAAAAACCCAAGATCATCGGTATCGTCAGCGTCTTCATCTTCCTCCCCTAAGGGACCCGTTCGCCATCCATTAGAATGGAGAATGTGTCGCAGGCCGTTGGAAGCTAGGAGGTTCAGCAATCGAGTCGCAGAAACTGCACGCCATCAGTACTTCACATTAGAACTATATGGGAGTCGAGCGTCTCGTATTACCTCTTGTTCGTCCGTCACCCTGACCTTCTTCGGTATTTTCGTGGTCGGAGTCCATCGCAAATTCGATCTGGATATTTCCTAAATGCAGTTCCGGGTCTTCCGCCATATGAAGGTTGTAACATTAGCATTTTATATAACAGGTAGAAAAGAAAAGCACGGCACAGAAAGGTGGCTAAATTACCAAATTGTGCACCAACATCTGCGTCGTCGTCGATCCCTTCGTCCTCTGAATGCCCAGATCCGGGTACATAGTCCAGGTCCAGATCCTCGCCATCCTCGTCCTCTTCAAGCCATTCCCTAGCCGGATGCCATATAGTCGCAGACCCCCTTCGAGATGAAGGCTCCGGTCGCTCACCACCGGGTGGGGAGCCAGACGAACTCATGACCAGGAGGGGCTGCAGTGAGGGGATGGACCACAGGCGAAATATCAGATAGACATCTGTCTTCCAATGATAGACAATGGTATGCGCCAGGAGATGCGGTCACTGGGTGGTACGAGCATCCCCCAATGGACCTGGTGGTTTGGTTGGATTAGTTGGTGGTCGTTGCTTACCTTACTACCAACCTGCTTATCGATACCATCCTATCCCGGTTATGTCATCCGGGGATTCTCCGCCTTTAACTCCTATCCCCGACGATACTCGAATATGAAGCTGAACTTGATTTTATCGTCAGTAAATGCTCAGCACAATTGACGAGAAACTTGTTTACCCGATTAATGCCTGACTACTCTTTCGCATTATTGCTTTCTCAGATAGTATTGTTATATATATCCCCGTACTGTTAAGGGTGCACGAGTAGCCAAAGTCAACAACTTGCTTGTCCTTTATATTCTCTGCTCTTCTCTTTCAGACAAAATGAGCCCCTCTTCATTCAGCTATCCCCATCATCATGCTCCCTACTTCATCTCCCAACTTCGAGAATCAAGATATCGAATTGTCCGTATCGATAAGGAGATAAGATCTACGGATCAATCATTGACCGGTACGGGAAATACAGAAATACAGCGTGACCCGTAATATTACCCGCCGCCGTGAAATGCATGCGACCCGTCCGCATCATCGTCCAAAGCCCAAACTGCCTCTACTATCTATCTGGCAGCTACACGTCCGATCATTGCGGTTCTCCTATCTCCAGCCAGGAGGTATCTTTCATCAATATCTACCTGGCAGATTTGAAGTCCTTTGAACAGCTTAATCAGTTCTACCGATCAATCTCCACCGCATTTGCCGGAGGTCGCAAGCTTCCCCGCGGTCCCCCACCTCATTTCTTTATCCCAGATACCCCGACCTTTGATCATATCACAGCCACGCAGTCCACAATGCAGGCCGTTCCGGAGTCGCGACAGCAGACCTTTGAGGAGATCTACGGGCCTCCCGAGAACTTCCTCGAAGTTGAGGTAATTCCATCACCACTTCCCCCTTGTCTCATCGTCCCGCTCGTCCGCAGTTTGATATACCACTTGAAAAACCGGTTTCGGTAGCTATTAACCACTGTTCAAATTGTTATACAGGTCCGAAACCCTCAAACGCATGGTACCTCCCGGAATATGTACACGTCATACGAGATCATCTGCAGAACCAATATCCCCGCTTTCAAGTTGAAGCATTCTGTCGTGCGCCGGCGCTACTCCGACTTCGAATACTTTCGGGATATCCTGGAACGTGAAAGCACGAGGGTAACAATACCGCCCCTGCCGGGCAAGGTCTTTACCAGTCGATTCAGTGACGATGTAATCGAGCATCGACGGGAGGGACTCCAACGGTTCTTACAGATTGTTGCTAGTCACCCTCTGCTGCAGACGGGTAGTAAGGTGCTGGCAAGCTTCATACAGGGTGTGTTATACGCTATGCTCCAATTCAAGACAGACTGGTTCTGATACTGACTCGCAACCAACCAGACCCGAACTGGGACCGTAATGCCTGGTAAATTTAGGGGTTTCTTTGCGAGAAGGCGAGCGTCCCGCGAACGACTCACTGTCCCAGAATACTCAGTTATGAATCCTCTCGCCCCACGCGTATTCCTTGAATATATTCACACTCGAATCACCAAACCATGAATGGGTATTGATCGATCTTTGTGACCATTTGAGAAGCATCCCTCGTTCCCTTCTGAATGGCCTTGGTCCGCCAAACGGTAAAAGTAGCCGTATATCACGCGCTTTGGCTTGTTTCTTCTTTTTTTGCGATGATTGTTAATGATATCTTGAGGTGGGTAAGCAGCGTTGAATGTTCTTTCGAGACTTCTAGAAGGCGCATCTTTTATCCAGTTTTCACGATCGACTTCCTACCCCCTTAGTGCTTTGCATGCCTATTGTTTTATTCCTGTGTTCCACTATTCCTTAATTGTTCAATTCCCTGGTTCTCCTTTTATGTTTGATAAATCCAGTCTTCGCTGCATAGTAAGCGATTTGGTGTTTGCGAAATTGATACTTCCTTCTTCATCTTGGGTTGAGCAGGCTTTGGTTCCATTTATACTGAAGGCTCGATTTATCTGTGCCATAGTTACACCTTGTTTACTCACTGTTATCACTGCTCTCAGCACAAGGTAGCACTCTTATCATATTGTAATTTACTGTATGAATGCACTGTACGAATGCAATCCCTCCGTATATGACCTTCAGCTCTGTGGAATATATGACCTTTTATTAAGAATGTGTAAAAAAGACACATCGTCAATGACGAAAACTAATAAAAAATATCTAAAGGTAATTCCACCATCCAATATTATGTTGGGGTGGATTATGGAAGACATAAAATCTGGATTACAGAAATATGCACAAAAAACAGAACCATCGTGTACTGAGGGGTATAGCTAAAAACGCTAAGTGAGTTGCAAAGGGAAAAGGAAAATCCGAAACAAGACAGAGCTCTACAGAATGGGTCAAAGAAAGAGTGAAACCCCCCAGGACTGGTGATCTTGGGGTGGGAAAACTGAGGCCCAGGTAAAAGAAAATGACAAGAAAGGAGGGGGAAGAGGGGGGAACATGGGGGAGAAGTAAAAACCTGTATCGAGGAACCCTTAGGCTAACTCATCCCAGACCATTGGGGCAAGTGTATTGTCTTCCCAAGATGCATCGACGTTAGAAGCACCGGCCGAATTTTCGTCCAACGGAAAGGGGAAAACTGGCGCTGTTGCGGGTGCATTTGCTGAGGCCTCGAGCAAACCCTGTGGAGGAGCAGGGGGTGGAAGGGCTGGGTCAATAGGACCTAATGTGGTCTGATCTGTAGTGTCAGCCTTACTATTTTGCGAAATAGATGAAGACTGTCCCGCTGGTATGCTTTGATTGTTGCCAGCAGCGGTAGGCTTGCTCTCATCTGCGGCAGCTGGTTTTCCCGTCTGATTACGAGATGTATTCCCACTAACAGAGCCCCCATCGCGGTATGCATGAGGAAATTTGGTCCTGAATCGATCTCGTAAATCAGTGGCTTTCCGATGGCTAAGGTTCAGGCGCTTATCCTGTTGAATGAGTGTCCATTGGAATCCGTGTACGGCATAGCCTTTGAGTAAGGCCTCATCCTCGGTAACAGTGAAAGGGCGACGGGATCGACGTCGAGACTTCATAGTAAAGTGTGGTTCTGGTATACCAAGAGATGCCAGGGTGGACTTGGACCTATTTGAGAGAGTGGGTGTAGCCTTGAATGATGGCGGGTATTTGGGACGCGATTTTGAGGTATTGTCATCAACTTCTATGGTTGACAATGAACTGCTTGATGAAGACTGCTCCTTGTTGAGATTGAGGCCCAAATTTGCTCCGTTGGTCTCAGATCCGGAATTGGCTGGTCGTGGATGTGGAAGAAGGATTTTCCCGGCAGTCCCATCCGAACCTTCTGTCTCAGCACGTAGCAGTGCATTGGCAAGGGTATCATGCAGTTGTTTTGTTGCTTCATTTGGGTCAGCGGCCCTGTTGAGAAATTAGAGCTCGTATCAACCAGAAATATCATGTGTGTATCCTTACCGATAAGCCCATGGGCAGCAGACACGAAATCTTGGAGAAAAAGCTCAGCAAAATCCAGTTGATAAACCTTCCCATTCCATACCTGTCTTTCAAATTGGAGGCACTCCTCTTATTAAATTTCAGCTCAGGCTGCGCTAGTATCGCTGTCCAGTTGCCAATCCCACATTTGACCACGCCCCGCAGGAGAGCAGTTGTCTCCTCCTCAGTCCATTTCCGAAGATTCTTGCGCGAGCGGCCTCTAGTTTTAGGAGATGGGGGCTCATTACTATCCTCTGTTGGTGATGGTACAGGCTCCGTATCCGTCTCGGGCTTCTCCTTTTCCAACACCGGTTGGTCAACAGCCGCCTTGTGTGTTGACTCGTCCACTATATCAACCTGGTCGCCATCCCCGGCCTTGTCGTCAACGGGAGAATCCAGAATCTCTTCAATCCTTCCTTCCCTTTTCTCAATCTGACTATCTGTGACCGTATTAGCAGTCAGTAAAGCGGGCTCGACAACGACGTGATCTCTTGTGGGTTTGGTCAGAAGTTGTGTGATCGAGCCGGCTTCGATGGGCGGAAGAAGGGCAGCGTTGGGCGGAGGCTCATTTAGTCCATTTAAAATAGCAAAAGGCCCAAACGGCGGTGGTCGCTGTTCTTTTTGTGCCTGGGGAATGGGTAGTTGTAAATGTTCACTGAACGAGTCCGCTTGGACATCCAGGCGCCGACGCTTGCGAGCATGGGACGAATCATCATCAAATGAGGAAAACGGAAATCGCTCGAGAGCACGGAGGTTGACAAAGGCCGGCAGGATAGGCCTCGGAGGAGGCTCAAAGCTCAAAATCGAGTCCACCGAGGCCGAGGGGTCGTTCTTCTTGGTCCGGGCAGCATTCAGGAATTCAGTCACCGTCGGGAGATTTGCGGGTATGTTGCCACCAGAGGGGTTGGCCTTGGAGATGGTGTTGGATTTTCGGACACCACTGGCATTGGGTTCTAACGGTGAGGGAACGTTCAGAATTCGAGAAGAGACTGGCTGTCGAAGAGGGGCAATGCGAAGGCCTTGAAGCTGAGGGAGTTCGCGAGACTCATCGAGGGGCCGGACGTGAGTGCCGTTCGGATCCATTGTTGTCGAAACAGGATCACAACCACACTAAATGGTGAGCACCACAGAAGACCCAGAGGTATATGCTACACAGCCCATCTTGTGCAGAATTTATACCGCTAATGTAGAATGATCAAAACCGTTGCTGATGGAGATGTTGTGGTGATCGAGGACTGCCTTGAAAGCGATGGAATGACTGTCTGCAGTAGGGGTGGGTTTATGAGCCATCAGTGCATTACGGGTACGGTACGGTTATATTACATACGGGGCAGGTATTTATTGCATCATGCCAATTTCTTAGTTTGCATTGTTCAACTTCATCGCCAGCAGCTTAGGATATAATTTTTAGCTGATTTGATATTTTTTTTCCTGACCGCTAAAATATCTAGAATTGAGATTGGGTGCTGTCTGCAGTTAATAATCAAAAATTTCCCGTTGCACTGTCCATGGATGGATGCTCTTTGAGCTTACTACTACGGCCACCTCATTTCTACCAAGTAAATAGAGACTGACCTGACCGTCTCCATATCTTCCACCCTCTCTCTGAGTTTTCCTTTCATCTTCTTGATCAAAGTGGTAGCCTTCTGTCTTTCATATTACCTCGCTGTCCATTGGCCCAGAAGTAACAGAATTCATCACGATCATTTCCCGCATCTCCTTTCTGACAATCATGCCGTCCACGATTTTCCCCAAATGGCCTCATATCCTCTTTGCAGTGGTAGAGCCCATCTCACTGTAACAACTCCCATCGCCAATTCCTCTCCAATCTTCAAACTAATAACTCTCTCGCAGAATTGCCGGATGGTCAGCTCCCATTTTCGACTTGCGTGGATTCATCCTTAACCAGGCCCCAAACACCATCCAACCGCCTGCCGAAATCCATAATAGCAGCATAGCCCTCGCCTACCAACTCGCCAACGTTTATGGCCTTCTTTTCCTCCTGGGAGTGGGAATCTTGCATTCTACCACTGAGCCAGCTATCCTTAGAAACTACCTTATCGCTCTCGCGATAGCTGATGTCGGCCACGTCTATGCCACTTATCTGGCAATGGGCACCGAGGCGTTCCTTGATGTTGCATCCTGGAACGCTATGACCTGGGGTAATGTTGGAATCACCGCGTTCTTGTTCATCAATCGCATTGCGTACTTTCTGGGTCTTTTTGGCTATGCAAAGGCCCCCGAGGCGGCCAAGTTGCCCAAGTCGCCAAAGTCACCTAAGGGGAAGGGTAAAAGCAAGAGGCACTGAACACCTGCTTATGTATCCACGTGTATACAAGTGAATTGTTTTAAGAAGGATCGAGAGATGTTTTGATGAAGGCAAAGGATTCCTGTTTAAATTTAGTTACTTGCATCTGCTTCTTGTATCTAAAGTTGTGATTATGGCATCACTGCTTATCTGGGATGTTGCAAGTTTGAATAGACAAAATCCATTGGATAAGGGTATAATTTCGACGTAAATGCAATAATGAATGAAGAGACTAAAAATACAAGCCCAGATTAAACCCATGCTCCATCACTGCCTTATATGAGAAATGAGGAAATGAGCAAGACAGAGAGACCCGCAACAATATACCCCAAACCCAAATAATTATCTATAGTCTTTATAAAAAATTAAATCGTCCCTCAACCCCAATTCGTGTTTTCATTCTAATAACAATCAATATGTCGAGTCCACCTTGCATTTGATTCGTAGCCCGTATAAGCACCTGACGACTTCTCGTTAAGAGATAGAAGCTTGCATGTCTTGGAACATTTGGTGTAATGCTAGCTCTCCGTTCTGTTTGAAGTCCCGAATATGAGGTAGCAGGAAAGGTATTCCAGGAGCTTCGTGAAATTGTTGCCGGTATGCGGCGTAGTTTTCGAAAGAGTCCAATAGGTAGGTTGATTCGGGAGGAAGAATTTGTTCGATTGTAACGGTGCTAGTAGTACCGCTGGTAGTGCCAGATGATAAAGTAGAAATGCTATACTTTTGAATACCATTGAGAATGGCTGTCAACGAGTGGTAGTTCCGAATCATAAATAAAGCCTAGATTCCGGTTAATCGACTCCAAATTAAGGAGTGGATACATGCACTTACTTCCAAACACTCCAAAATATATGGCGTCAGATCAGGGAGAGCAGAGCAGCACTCCCAAACTGCCATGCTCAGTGAATCCCATTGTACAAGAATGCCCTTGACAGCTGAGTTGTTGGTGACAATACTTTGTTCGTTCAGCTCCGCGAAAGTACTCTCGTCAAAGGTTGTCAACGTGCGTCCAAAATCCAATGCCGAAGTCGAGGCCAATAAATCTTCAATAAATGTAGCATCTGTGTCAAAAGCTTTATTCCAGTTCATTTCCGGGGTGTGCACGTATGTTCGTCGAAATCGGGCCCCCAATACGGAGAGAACCTTCAAGATCGACTTGAGACTTGGTGGTGAGTTCTTGAATAGCCTTTGAATTGGACCTGCGATAAAATCAAATCCCGGGGCGGGGGCCAAGGGCATGTCACTGCTTCCTTCAGCCTGCACATGGAGCAAACACCGAACTAAAGCCCGGTGGGCAAAGGGACTTCGGGTTCGTAGGTGCTGATGAAACAGTTAGTTTGAGCCATCCGGTAATGTAAACAGTCAATCAATGGAAACGAACCTGTTCAACCTCCACGTACCTCCCGACTTCCTCGGGGAATGAATGCAGATAATTGAGAAGATGGATGTAGAATGCTGTGTGTTGCTGGAAAAACCATTCCACGGCAGCGGCAGAGTATCCTAGGGAGTAACGCACCCACTCCTCAAAGGAGATTCGATTGAAATGGAGATGGCTTTCACTATCAATCGCCACTGCAATCGCACGAGGGTCTAGTTCACTGTCCTGCAGCGATGGAAACCAGCTCCAGGCCATAAGCGGGGAGCTGGTCACACTGGTTCGACGGAGAATCTCCTCAACCTTTTGGACATGAGACAGATTGGCAAGGAATAGCCGCTCATGAGGTTCAACAAGTGTTAAGAGGAAAGTATCGATAGTGGTGGCGTTGCGACTCTGGAGAGCCGTTCGCGGGAGACTCCCATCGCGAAACAGTCCGTATCGGATCACCCGTTTGATCTCCTGGACATCAAATGCCCAAAGAACTGTGGTTGCTTCATCCTCCCACCATCTATATGCCACAAAGAAACGGGGGATTTCCACGCTAGAACGGAAAAGAGACGGGTAGCTCGATTGCTGAGGGATTAATGGCGCACCGATCGAATCGTCCGGACTGTGATGCGGCGAGAAATGAGACATATCACCCATGCCCGGTAGATTATATTGATTACCATCCGGAGAAGGAAACATCAATTGAGGTGAAGGTTCAAAGACTGCCTCTTCGAAGGGGCTGACAGAATGCATCTCAGTAAACCGGCCACAACGTCACCACTCACGAAACCAACGAATCAAGAAAAATCAAACATTAGAAGATCATCAGATCTTTGACCAAGGTCTTATTGTTTAAAATGATGTCCCGACCTGCGGAGACCAAAAAAAAGGGTGTCTGCAAAAAAAGCAATAAGGTTAGGGAGGGAAGATCGGGTACCTGGAAGATCAGATATGATGCCCCCCAAGGCACAAAGATGGGTCAAGTGACAAGATTTCTTGAAAATAATAAAAATTAAAATAAAATAAAATCCCTACGCAGGTAAAAATAATGCGGAGAAAGAGTATTTTAAAACCAAAAGATTAGGGATAAAGCCAGCAGTGGCTTTACTTTGGAGGGGGAGGGGGGAAGCGAACAATGCGACAATAATGATCTGGACAGGCAGGCCTTATCCTTGTTATTGTTCATTTCATTTAGCTTCTTCTTATCTTTTCTGCAGAAGGTCTTTCGATGGAAACGTTTTGCCACGTTGGACAAATCACGAGGGACCCAAAAAAAAGGGCCCCCTCTTATGCCTGTAATAATTGTCTTCTGTATGACAAGATGGCATGGCAGCAAAGTGGCGCTGTGCAAAAGAGAAAGGGAGACCGCTGATCCTGTTCCAAACCACTGGGTCCCGAGAGCCAGGTTACTGAGGTTAGGCTTGGGATCAACACGCCTTTAGGGGGGGGGGGGGGGGGGGCAAGCCTAGGAAAGGGCCGCAATATTGGATCGTTTGGGATAGATGGCGTCGTCCGAAGCGTGTAGTTAGTGGGTCAGATTCGGAAACGCCATTCAAATCATCAATCAAGATTCACGACGGTGCAAAGAATAGCTGCCCAGCCTGTCAATCCTTTTCACACGTTGGGCTGGACGTTGGGAGATGTCCACCTCCATAGGCAAAGGAGTCGCCATCACCACCCTTGACCTGACAGTGCAGCGTGACTGCATGCAGCCGATAGACCGTCCGCAGCCCATTTGACAATAATCATTCTAATAATTGAAAAGCGCCAGACCAACGGGCAGTTGGCAGTGGTGTAATAAAAAAAAATAGTACAAAAAAAATAAACATAAATAAAAATAAAATACAAGGAGAGGCGGTCAACATGGTGTAAACACCATACCCCGTACACCCAAAAGGGGGTGCATCAAATAATTCTTGAAGAAAATCACCCGAGTTCGGATATCCATAGCTGCTACCTTGAAGCTACTGTGTCAGTGTCTGAGCTGTAGCGGTGTACGGACTCGTACGGAGACCGCAGCTGGTAACAATCCTTGGTTAATGTCTTGACTGTTGAGAAATTTCGGCCGATCATCATCAGGCTTTCATCGGATCACGATGATCGATTTGGCATGTTGGCCACTTCATAGTGTGTGCTATGAAGTAGTCTCGGGATTCAGGAACGGATTCGAGAAAGACCTGGAAGTTAGGAGCTGACTAGGTTATTGAAACCCTGCCGAGTGAGTACACGCGGAATGGGTCGCCACCGTATAGCTGATTTGCAGTTGGGATTTGATACGTGATACTTTTTTTTTCCGTCTCATTTCATTAATTGCTCGCGCCGCAGTGCTCCGTACTCCGTACGGCCGTACGGAGACGGGGTTGAGCATCATACTTTGTCGGCTCCAGACTCCAAGCTCCAAATCCCCTCCTCCATGTTCAGAGAGTGCGGTGGACTTGTGACTTGTACTGAACCATCTGTACCATTCATGGCGTATCGCCGGTAGGGGCGTGACGATCCGAAGCGGTCCCGTCTGTTGCAGCCCGTGGATCTCACGCGGTGTCTCCGTGGGCTTCCACCCGTTCCAGCATTTTCCAGGCCCCATTGTCTCTCCCTAAACCGAAGGGGTTCTCCATCGCCCTAAACCATCTTCGACTCGCAAGTCGCAGTCACAGGCCGAAAAACAAGATAAAATACACCACCAGTCAAGACAATTGCATGGCGTTACGACGGAGAACAGTATATAAAATAGACTCGTGTCCGGTGGCAGCCGTCGAGGCAGTGAAAAAACCTAAATGCGTATTCTCGTTCCACGATCAACCAATCGATTTGGAGAGGCAAGTCGTCCAGCAGAAGGGGGCATAGTCAGAGATGCCTCTCGATCTCGACTCGACGGATCGGTAGATATTCGCGACCGCTCTACTACCTAATCGCATATATTCTCATTCTGCAGAGTGTAGTGCCCTCAAATCAGCCCAGCCCGCTCAAGCACGTCGGCAGGTGTGGACTGTGGTGGCAGTTTCTGATGAATTTTCCTTGGCCCGGTTTGTAATTTCACGGATTCTTACGGAAATCCTAGCAAGGTGGAGCTTATTCCTGCATGAGGGTATCCGCACTTCTTGTCCGTCTACAGCCCAGAGGAACTGAGCAGGAAAATCGCCGGTCCTCCAGAGATGCGACGGTTTAGGACGGCAATTCGGCCGTAGGACCGCACCCGTAGAGGGGGAAGAGAGGGGGAATATACCCACAGTTCGCAGAACCCACGAGAAAGATGGCCTGAGTGGGCTGAGGGGGGGAAAAAAGTGAGCTATCTACTCCTGTAGATCGAAGACAGACAATGGTTAGCGGAATTAATGTAGCAACACTTGCTAACAATCATTTCCTTCCTCGGTGAGGCCGGACTCGGAAGAGGGGATGGGTACTGGCATGATCCTTGGAGATGATTTCATCCAACAAGAGTGAGTGGCCTGTCGTGCTCCGTCCATACAGTAGTACTAGCAGTACTCCGTCCATAATGCAAAGGAAAGAAAAAAAAAATCTGCAGTAACTCGCTGGCCATCTGCGGGGTGGAGGGAAATGAAAGCGAGCGAGGGAACAGGCGAGTGGCGTGGCTCGAAGATGAGGATCCTCTTGGGAGTGAGCGTTGGCTACGGACTGCGGGAGAGCATCATTCCCATCAGCCAAACTATAGCATCATACATACAGGGAAATACAGAATAGAAGCAGCCAATATAACCACATTATAGGATCGGGTTCTGCATTCGACATCCGCTTTCGGACCTGATTTGTTTTGGCAGTTATTTCCAAATCCCTGAGATGCCTTGAGCCGTTGCTGCAGCAGGGAGTTTACCGGAGATTCATCGATTGGATGCCCCGTACTGTGTTCGCTGTCAAAAGATTACTACATGTGCAAGTATTCCAAGAATATCTTCCCCATGGGCTATCTATACACGACATAAAGGTATACATAGATCCCTTCCTTCATACTTGTTAGAATCCCGATCAGCAATATGTATGCCCTTGAGATCCGGCATCCGTCTGTGCCTTCACTCAATCAACAATTCCCGGGAGTCAGCATGGTCCCCCAACAGAGGTGTGTAAAATGACTTGTCATCGATCCCATCCAACACACACCCCCAGGAAACCGGTCTATGCCCGCGGTCTACGGAGTAGGTACATGATAGTCCCTGCAACGTGATGTCTAGCCCTGGCGACTACGGAAGAGACACAGTTCTCATTCGACGATGCGCGAAATGAACCTTGGTTGAGCGAAGGGCTGAAGGTAAGAGGGATCACTTTTTCTGTGTTCTGGCTCTGTTGTCGAAAAGAGTATACGAAGTATCCGTCAACTGAGCTGCATGTGAAGGATGGGCGAGTGAGTACGTGTTCGACCCCTACTCGGGGAATGGTAGGCCTGTGTTTTTTTTTTTTTTTTTTTTTTTTCTGACACTTCTCACATCTGCTGGTTGATAATCAGATGATGTATGGTACAAAGAGCACATGAAAGGGATGGGATCTCACCAAGAGAGTTTTCCGGCGTGGAGTAACCGGGATGACATCGGCTAAAAGAGAGGAGTAGGACAGGAATGGATCCATGCCTTGAATTGTGAGATGTATCAACTATCAGTTCTTGAACGGATACAAGCATGGATGGGAGGGCGTAGATGATGGAGTGGAGTGGAGAGACAATTGACTCAAACGAACTTTCGAGTCATGCTCTCCGTTACGCGAGGCAGGCTTCTAGAAGACTAGATTGACTGAGACGGGATATGACGTTCGCAAATCTAGAAGAAAAACGTGGTAGTCAATAGTCTGGGGAATCGAAGAATATATTACAAACTACGTCACTTGACGGTCTACCCAGGTACGATGCTGTACTACGAGTCAAGATCGGGCTGAATATAGACACAGCCAAGAAGAGAAATCATTTTGCAAGTCGCTCAAAGAAAATAAATCGAAATAGGTATCATATCACAAGGTAATGAGACACTTCGTCCCTTATTTGCTTCCTATGGAACACTACGGAAAAAGGGATCTAGAAATGATCAAACCCTATCATGCGTCCAACGGGAAACTTTTTTTTGGGTGCGCATCATAGAATCATCTCATAAGCCGGCATCATATACGCCCACAAAGCAAGACAAGAAGCAGTCTTCCTAGCGGATTTTTGATTGCTTTTTTTTATCGTTACCGAACCACGCTTAGTTGGCAATGGCGTGGGCACGGCGGCGGTCACGCTCCTCAGCAATGGAGAGCTAGATGTCCAGTTAGTATATATTCAAGCTTCAATGGATAGATCTATAAACATACCTTGACACCCTTGCCCTTGGGGAGGGAGATCCAGGGCTTGTCCTGTCCAATGACGAAAACGTTGGACTCACGGGTGGCGAAGGTGTTGTCAATGGCGTCCTTGATGTGGACGACGTTGAAACCTCCGTCGTGGCGCTCACGGTGGGTGACAACACCAACACGACCCATGTTACGACCACCGGTGGCCATGACGACAACACCAGTGTCGAAGCGGACGAAGTCGGAGATCTTGCCAGTGGCAACGTCAACCTTCACGGTGTCGTTGACCTTGATGGCGGGGTCGGGGTAGCGGATGCTATATTGGAACTCTCGTTAGCATAACCTGTTCCAAGATATGGGATCTTACTGTTTCCAGCAAAGAAATCATTTCAAGTTCTTTCGTCCTCCGCCGATCAACCAAAGCTTGGTCCAACGACTGAATGACACGGAACTTTGGAGAGTATGCACTCACGTTCTCGCATCGTGCGTAACCAAGAATGGGATCCCGCCCTTGCCGAGCTGAACACGCTTGACCTTGCAGAGCTTGAACTCAGCCTCCTCGGCCTGGATACGGTGGACGGTGAAACGGCCCTTGGTGTCGTAGATGAGACGGAAGTTCTCGCCGGTCTTCTCGATACCGATGACGTCCATGAAGCCAGCGGGGTAGGTCTGGTCAGTGCGGACCTTGCCGTCGACCTTGATGAGGCGCTGCATCATGATGGCCTTGACCTCACGACCGTTCAAGGCGTACTTGAGACTAAAGGCGAAATTCGAATCAGTCCAACCATTCCAACTCAAATTGAGTTTCCATATACGGATTTCTCGTACCGGTTGCGGATGAAGACGATCAAGGGCAGGCAGTCCCTGAGCTTGTGGGGACCAGCAGAGGCCTTGGGAGCATAGGTTCCGGACATCTTGTCCAAAAGCCAGTGCGAGGGCGCACTAAGGCGCTTCTGGTGCTTCTTGCTGTAAAGGCATCTCAGTCAGTCTTCGATTCTTTGGCGGAACGTGCTCATGAAAAATTCTCATCTCATCCTCGAAAGGACGAGTTCAGTAGACATTCATTATTTGCACGCTGTAATTAATCATTAGGGTATCAAACTCACATTCCGCGAGCCATCTTGTCTGCTTTGTCGACTTTGACCGGTTAGTTGTCGAAGTGTCGCGTAGGAGAAGAAGATCGGGAGGTCGACGGCTAATATCCAATCTACTGGCAAAATTCGCTTAGCGGCTGAGCCGTTGTGTGAAAAGCCCTAACACTAGACCTGATCCGCTTTAGCTGTTAAGTCTCTCACGTGATCATCTAGTTTATTATGTAACATGGTCTAGAATTTATGTCCAATTTTATACTTATGCACATTGCCATCATTGGTTAATCATTTTATGAATAACGCTACATCATCAGTTGGGCATAATGCTAGTAGAATCAAAAGTGGTATTTGACGCCCTCTATAATCGCTCAATATGTTCCTGTTTTTTTTAATACTCTTTCGTTTAGATGTAGCCCTTGATCACAGCGACCTCTGCGTTGAGGATAGAAGATCCTGCAGCTCCGATAACAGTGTTATGAGACAACGCAGCAAATCTGAGGTCAAAGTAACCACCCTCTAATCCATCACGGACTCGTCCAACACTCACAGCGTATCCGTTGGAAATGTTTCGGTCGAGTCTGGGCTGCGGTCTGTCAGGCTCATCGAAGACCACGATGGCGTCCTTGGGCGCAGAAGGGCAACCCAACTTCTGCGCCTCCGACTGGTACTCTCTCAAGGCCTGCTTAACTTGCTCTGCGCTGGGAGCTGGGTGGTTCTTGAAACGCAAAGAAACGAATGCCATGTGGCCATCTGTAACTGCGACACGGGTGCAAGTGGCTCCGACTCTAAGACCAACTTGCTCGTCGAAGGCAGTAGCATCGGCGTTGAGGGTTCCCAAGATCTTCTGGGCTTCGTTTTCCAGTTTGTCCTCCTCACCGCTGATGAAGGGGATGACATTGTCCATAATGTCAATGCTTGGAACACCGGGGTAACCGGATCCAGACAAGGCCTGCTCAGTGAAGACTTCGACCTCCTCGACGGGACCGAACTTGGCTTGCAGGGCAGCAAATGGAATGACGATGCCAATAACAGCGCAATTGGAGTTGCACACCAAGAATCCCTTCTTCAGACCGAATTGCTTCCTCTGGTGAGGAATGAGGTCCAAATGTTGAGGGTTCACGATGGGAACCACCAAGGGAACAATGGGGTCCTTGCGGTAGTTCTTAGCGTTCGAGAAGACTGGGATCTCCGCCTTGATGAATTCCATTTCTACAGAAAATGCATAAGTAATTGAAAAATCATTTTCTTTGCTTAGTCTAAACTTACCGAGTTCACCAGCAACATCGCTGTTCAGTCCGGAGAAGACGAGGTCACAGTCTCCGAAGTTGGCGGCCTTGCAATCCCGCAGAACAAGGTTACTAAGTCTGTCAGACATGGGAGCAGCCTGCTTCCATTTCACGGCATCCTTGTAGGCCTTGCCAGCAGAGCGCTCCGACGCACCAACAGCGTGGAGTTCCAGAAAAGGGTGGTCTGCGAGCAAGAGAATGAATCTCTGGCCAACGGAGCCTGTGGCACCCAGGACACCTGTTTTATCATCAGCACTGCATAAGGTCGTTGAGGGTATTTGAGTGTGGGCTTACCGCACTTCTTCTTGGGGTATGAGGCAGCCATTTTGCTCTTGGATATAAGACTCGTGTCAACCTATACACGAGTCAATTGATTTTCTGGATATAAAATAACAATAAAATGAACAAAACATAAATCAAAGATTTTCTATCAGTCATAGAAAAGCTCCCGAAGGATGCGGGCAAGAATCTGAACAGATGACTCAAAAGGCATCATTCAGAACCCCACACAGGACCTTCAACAGCTCCCATACCCCACCTATCCTGATAGATAGGCAAACCAATTCGCCTTTAAACATGACGTAGGATCATATGCTACATAATATCTGAAGATTGCATGTACTTACCACTTCAATGCTGAGTTGAGGTTGTTGGAAAGGGATGCTGTGGCGACGGACCTGCAACAGCGACATCGGTCTTTTCTTGCACCCCGCGATGAGTCAGCAACGGCTCTCTACAATGGGAATACAAACAATGCCATTGGTTGGAATGCCCCACTGCTTTTGTATCACAATCGGCCCACCAGATCTACTTCCATTTGTATCTTGCTTTTTCTTATGCCAGGTCTGTTAGATCAAGTTTATTGTCTAGAACTTTGCCAATATATCTACTATTGATATTAAGGTACAAAATAGCACGTAGCGGAGATCCTAAACAAGGTGGATAGCAGCCCTTTCCATGTCACGAAGATATATATATATAGTCAATATTAAAGCAGCAAAGGCCCAGGATGCATGGAAGACCACAAATCATCAGTGCATCAATAGATCGTGATATGGAGGTGGATCACATATGCCGTACCCCTCGTTGTGATCAATTTCAATGACTATTCTTCCTTTTCAGCGTCGAAGATTTTACCAGGATTTAGCAACCAATGTGGGTCAAGCGCCTTTTTAACGCTGCGCATCACATCGATGGTACCTGGCCCAAGCTCTTTGCTCAGAGATCCCTTTTTGCCTAGGCCAACACCATGCTCGCCCTATCGAACTGGAGTCAGTCGCCTTTCATCAAGTTTAGTCTTGGGTATCTTACAGTGCAGGAGCCTTCCATCTCAAGAGCACGATCCACCATGTCATATACAACCTTTTCTACGCTTTCTTTTTCTGATGGGTTATTCCGATCGTACATGATACTCGCGTGGAAGTTGCCATCACCGATATGCCCTAGGATACTAGCGAACAATCCAAGACTATCAAGTTCTTTCTTGGAAATTTCTGGATTTATCAACAGATTAATCAAAGGGCTTCAAGAAGTGAAGGAAAAGGGAAGTTACCAATAATATCGGGCAGTTTGGAGATTGGAACAGCGACGTCTGTTGACCATACTTCGGATCCTCCTTGTCGCAATGCCATCATACTCCATAAAGCTTGTTTTCGTGCAGACCATAAGTCGTGTGCTTCTCGCTCATCTTTGGCAAACTCAAATGATTCTGCATTGTTTTCCTTGGCTAGTTGCCTGGTCAGGTTGATGCTGTCGGCAACACCAGCTTTTGTACCGGAAAATTTGAAGAAAAGCGTTGGCAAGACCTTCCAGGAACGGCCAGTACCACCAGCACGGTTGATGACATCCATCTGCACATCGTCCAAGATTTCCATGCACTGTACAGGGATGCCCTTACGAATAAGCTTCATGGCAGCTGATGCAGCGTCACGCATTGATGAGAAAGGAACGACTCCGACACGGGTCTCTTCCGGAATCGCAGCCAACTTGAGAGTAATTTCGGTGACAATACCAAGTGTACCCTCGGAGCCAACAAACATGCCGGTTAAATTGTATCCAGCCGACGTCTTACGAGGACGTCTTCGTGTTTTTATGACGCGACCATCTGCCAGGACAACGGTAAGGTTAATGACCCAGTCCTTCATGGCTCCATACCGCACGGCGTTTGTCCCACTGCAGTTTGTACCAACCATACCACCAATCATTGCAGATGGGCCGGGGTCAACAGGGAAAAAGAGGCCACTGTCCTTGATTTTCTCGTTCAAATCCATCCATTGAATAGATGGCTGAACCACAACATCCATATCCTCTGGATGCAGGTCCAAAATTTCGTTCATGAAAGCAAAGTCTATTGTCAATCCGCCATGAGGAGCTGAAAAATTGGCTTCGAGACTGGACCCTCCGGAGAAAGGAATCATTGGCATTCTATATTTGTGGCATATTTTTGCGATTTCCGAGACCTCGTCTGTGTTTTTGGGATAGGCAATGGCAACTGGCAACCGATCTGCATTTATACTCGACCATTCCGAGAACCCGTGTAGGTGAAGCTCATCCTCATCTGTGCTTATTGTATCGTCGCCCAGCTTAGTCCTTAATTCGGCAATAGCCTAGTTAATCAACCGATTAGCAATAGTACATGGTGAAAGCCGGGGAAACCCATTCTACCTTATCAAAATCCTTTGCAGAGCCATATTGAGGCTGCTTAGAGCTTTGTGACTGCGACGACTGGGTGGAGGCAGCATAGCCGTAGCCTAATCCACCAGCAAAAGCAGAGGCAAAAAGGACTTTGCCAGAAGTCCAGAAAGGCGAGGAAGCACTAGCAGATGGCCCTGTTCCTGTAGATTCACCCTGACTTTGATTGCCATTGCTACTGGCATTGGAGCTGTGCAAACGGGCAGTTCTGAGTCTGGTGGGTAGGGAAATTTGGGGCTGCGACTGGCAGAACTGGGGTCGTCGATGGAGCACGCGGGGGTGTGCGGGGAAGCCCCGAGGCAAGAATAAGGACGATCGCATTGCTTCAATGGCAGAGAGTGTTGAAGCTTCAAAAGAATGTCATCAAGCAAAGCAATTTGTAGAATTGGAATGAGAGGAATGAATTTAATGGGCGAAATTTAATTTCTATAGCTGGCCACGTTATGGTCTTGCACATAATACGCTGACTGACCGGCTACTGATATAGTATGCACACGCCATCGGGTCTAAGGATGGTGAACACGGATTTCGGCCGATTGAATGAGGGGAAAGGAGGCACAAAACCTTCCCAGCGTCAATCTATATCTGCCATCGCTATGATTGCTTGCATTTCGCTTCCCTGAGCGGCTGAGAGAGATCGTCCCTAGGAATTCGGGGAATTTGGTGCCGGGAGAATCGGGCAGAACTCCGAAGGGCGGAATTCTTGATAGGCTCATACTTTTCATCGTTGGCTCTTTTTTCTTGTATTTTCTCATTTTGCCCTTGTTAATTCAGTATAAAGTAGTCAGGCTAAATCTACTCTTAAACCCGCGTAGTGCAAGGCAGCTTCTATGTGAACGTCAGTCTTGTAGTCAGCCTAAGCTGGATCGTTGAGGGGGCAACCAGCGGCAGAGACCATCTTTTCCACCACATTTTATCCCATGCGCTATCATGACCTCGTGGATGAAGCATTGACCTATTGTATCTAAACAGCATTATAGTCGACTACGACGGGTTAGGAACTGACACCATGCCAGACAAGTTAATCCTCCTTGTACGCGAGGTGGAGCGTCTTGTCACAGCCCCATACGCGCCCTCTCTCCAAGTCAGTTTACTCGCCCCGCTGTCAACACGTCACGACTAACGGTGCCCTAGGATCTCCATAATATTGTTCAGCATACATCTTCTACTGTGATTTCATCATGGGCATCCTGCAAGTTATGTCAGGTTGGAGCTTTGGTAGACGTTCTTGTTGATGGTCTATCTCGCTCAAGAGTCGCCCTACCGCTGCTGCGCGCTTTCGGTGAGTGATACCCTCCTTGCCGATACAGGCAACTCTGATAATGTGTAGCACCAGTACCAGCATTTCGAAATGCTTTGTTGGAGCGTTACCCAGCTGTTCTGGATAACTTTCTCGAAAAAGCCGTGGAAAATGAAGAACCCGAGGTTAGTTCTACCGCAAGTCATCGCTTTGTCTATGTCCCGGTAAACTGACTATCGCAGCATTTCTCGGCATGCATTGCGTTGCTTTCTTCTCCGCTACCACCGGACTTTATAGCCCCAGCGCGTCTTGCCCCCTTTGTCATGAAGTTAATAGTCAAGATGGGAGAACGGCCATGTGCAGAGACTATGCTTCCACTATACCGATTGATGACGGGCCTACAGACATCGCCTAGGACTTTATATGATGTCCCATTCGAAATCTTGTCTAGCCTTCAAATGGAACTCACCAAGACGCTGCGTAACCTTGACGACCACATGGGGAACTTGCTTTGCCTCGCTACCTTCGCCCGCATTGCCTCTTCTCAGCAGATTAACTCTGAAAAAGAACACGGACCAGATTCCCTCTACTGGAAACTTAATATCAACCATCTCTTTGGACCAAGACGCGGCGCAAAAATACTAGACCTCGTTGTGAAGCGCGTGGTTTTTGCCTGCTCTTCCGGCTGCAGCGGTTTCACTTCTAATGAGGTAGCAGAAAGCGTTCGACTAGCCATCGAGATCTGCGATAGCGTGGAACCGGAACAAAAACAGACTTGGATAGCAGCCAGTTCTTCTAAAGTCACGATTGCTAAACTTTTCGAGAAGGTGACAAGGGACGGGATTGACCATGGCGTACAGATGATGGTATAGAACCTTTAGTTCATATTTGGGTGAGAGTGACTGACCTTTTTAGGGTGTGACATTTCTTGCTTCTCTGCTACCACCAGCTTTCTTATCTCAAGAGATACTAGCGCTTGGTTTGCAAGGACTTCTATCAGATGATAGCAAGCATGTGTTGGAGGTCATCCCATGTGAGCTTATTCCACGTCTAGTGGAAGCAAATGTTGTAAGTCTTCTGCGCTTTCCATCTACTTGGTATCTTTAACTAATTGCGCCAAGATTTATTCCGGGGAGCTTATAATCTCCAAACTTTTTGACTACGTATTCTCTGCATTAAAAGTCAAATCTTCTTCAAGCAGCGGCTCCATTGCAACTGTTCAAGTTGCTAGCTCGATAACATTTGCTTTGCAGCGCTTACAGTCACAGCAGTGGGCCAGCGTCATCCTAGAGGTCGCTCGTTCACAATATGCGGAGCGAATAGGCGAGCTGCTGGAGACGTTCCCCGAGCAGTCATGCCAATCGCGTTGCGAGAGTTCTAATATATGTCACGCCGCCATGTCCATGCACGAGAAAAAGCTACTTGTCAATTTTATTGGGCTTTATTCCGGTGCACTTCTGCAGCACAACGCGGAAGATGACGTTCCAGATCCTATAGAGTCTAGGATCCTGACCTTTTTCATGAATCAAGTCAAAACCAACTTGGCTCAGAACAAGTGTTCTTTCTCTACATCAAAACCATTTGATTTTCGAGGCTCCTTCTCCTCGCTACAAATCAGAGAAGATTCCTCGGACAGTTACCAAAGACGTGACTGGAGAACTGGGATTGCGGATACTCTTATGCTCAACGCACGGGCTTCTCACAAGAACATGATGAAGAAAGTTGAAGAAGTTTGCCAGGACCTTGAAGATCGTTGTTACGACACTGAGACTCCTTTAAGAATAGTTGTAGAAGAGCGTGAGCAGCTATCTGTCAAAACAGAGCAGCTTAAAAATCGGAATCAAGAGCTGGAAACTCAAACCCAGCACGCATCGATTACTATAGCTAATCTTCAGCAAACTATAGCGCAGCTCGAACATCATGCAGAGATTTCATCAGCGCAGTTCGAGGAGTTATCGGCAACTCTTGAAGCTGCTCGAAGTGAACTGGAAGAACAACGGCACAACTCCCAGGAGACTACCCAGAGTGAAAGAGAAAAAGCCAGAACAAGAGAGCTGGGTCTGATTGCTACAATGGCGGAAAAAGACCAACACCTTGAAGAATTACAGGACGAAATCCGCGAACAAAGAGAGGAAAATGACGAGACCAGAAGAATTCTTGATACTGTTTCAAAGGAGAAAGCTGCCTGCCTTGAGGAATCTGTTTTGTTGAAACAGGAGATTTCCAGACTTGAACAGTCGACTGAAGCAAATAGGCTAATTTCCGCCCAAAAAGATGACGAGATACAACAGCTATTGGCTGATAAAGAATCATCAATCATGGAGATAAAAGCTCTACAACAAAGGGTAAGGATATTCGGTGCCAAATACCCATGAATCGTCGTTCTGACCTGTCATACAGGTAGACGGAGAGATGTCGGAATCCAACAGTGTGAGATCTGCACTCAAGAACGCCGAGGAGAATTTCAGAGCGGAGACAGACTCACTCCGAAAACAAAATGAGTCAGAACTTTCACAAGTAGTTGCAGAGGTAAATCTCCATACATTTTACATGAAGTTGGAATTTGGCTAATTTGCTTTTAATGTGCAGTGTGCCAAACAAAGGGAAGAGAACAAGGCCCTGCAAGCCACCATGCAGACAGCCGCGTCCAACGCCACAAAGGAACTACAAACAAAGGAAAAGCGGATCCAATATTTGGAGAAAAAGGTAAGCCAGGATAAAGTTCCACTTAGTTTCTGAGTCGCCGTTTGACCGTATTTCTAGGTGCAATCTATGCGGGACGAGCGAGCAGCCAAAGCGCGAGAATTTTCAGAAGCGCAGCAACATATCAGCCGACTCATGGGCGTGATGGGCTTCAAAGCCAATCCTGTAGAGCCAGAAGCTTCAAACAAACACCAGCGGCCTAGGTCAAACTTAGGACCGTCCCAGGCTGCGACCATGCGGCAGAAAGCAAATGCAGGGGAAGACGACGACAACACCCAGGCCCAGGTCGAACATTCACCAGCCGAGTCGTTCGAGCCCAACACACCTTGCTCTACTGGTCGAAACCCCAAGAGATCCAAGGGTAATCCTTGGTCACTGGATCCATCACCGGTATCTCATAAGGCTGGTGACCGAAGGTCAAAAGACTTGTCTTCCCCAAGTCACACAAGGCAGCGCCCGGAACGATATCCCCTTGGAGATGCAGACCAGAATAGCCAACTAAGCTCGCAGCAAAGCAGTGTCTCAAGCCACAGGCAAAGTGGAATTTACCAGGAGAGCCAAGACTGCACCAATCCAGATGAGAACCGTCTCCAGGACATCGACTTGGATATGGATCTGGAATCTTCGAAAGACTTTATATTCACGAGTACCTCCCTGTCAGAGGCGAACGACCATCTGTTGGCACGGGAAACCCAGCAATAATACATACGTAGATAAGCTTTTTGATGTACTGTTACGAGTTATGAAAACCGATATGACCTTGTAGGTAGTCTAGGGCTTGCCAAACGGAATTTTGAAAGAAATATCTTGTACAAATGACCACTTTGATGTTTCTGCTTAATTACTGCAGGTTTTTGTGTTGCTTCTGAAAGATTACCATTACTCTGGCATAGATGGCTGCTATTCTTTTCTGTCTGGATTTTTTTTTCAGGCTTGAAACTTGATGACTTCAGTCACCGTGGGAGACAGGGCCCTTTGACAAAGCGGTTGCAGTGAATGATCCCTCTCCCTCCTTGTTCTTCCCTCTTTAATTAGGGCTAACTTCGATCAAGTGATTATTTGATATTTTATTTTCCCTCTCTTATGGTCTCCTCCTATTCCACCTCTTTTTCTGACTTTAGATCGATCACATTTTATCATCTGTTTTGATCGATCTGAGACTGCATCTAAAAAATACACCTTGTATGGGTATATGCAGCAGAAGTTCAAGATCTAATGCAGTGAAACAATAAACAAGATCTGTTTAAAGAAAGAAACTCTGCATGGCCCCATCTTGTCCTTGTTGTCTTGACCCTTGTTCAACGGTTGTTGAAATGCCCAGGTATATCCAAAGCCACTGACTCCTTTTACGCTCGTATGTTTCTAATATAGCAAGTCATGCTCACAGGAAATTCCGGCTCCCAATACCTTACCAGCGATATCGTGATTGAATAGAGCTACACTGCCAGCCTAAAAGACAAAGAGAGAAAGATTGTTGTTGCTACGAAGTCATACGAGATCAAAAAATGCAGAAGGAACGAGTCGAGCGATTCTATCGAACCAAACACCAGAAACGGCAACAGCAGTACAGAGTGAGAACCAACAGAGGGAAGGAACAACTCAGTATGCGCTCGATTGAGGAAAGCGAGACTGTCACGATGTCCTCCGAGGAAGACAGTCGCACAGATGACCGTTCTCTCTCTTGTCACCTTCACTTCACCTCAGTGAAGGGAGTCCCTCCAAGCTCTGAAGAGACCATGGAGATTCCCCGGTCGTCGCTCCAACCTCGACCTCGTCGCTATCGACAAGCGAGCTTGCTTCACCGGTCGCTCAGAGCTACCTCTCCTTCACCCTCTGCCTCGTCTCCTTCTTCTCCCCTTGATTCCTCATCGCCCTCTTCACTCTCTTCTTCTCTCTCTTCTTCGTCCTTTGTCATCCCTGCTCCCCATTCATCTCAAACAAGGATGCCACCCCCTCCTCGTCGTAATTACGTGGCTTCCAGGAGGAGAGGGTATTATAGGCCTGCCCCTCCCCCGAATTCGTCGCTGCCACCTCCGCCTCCTCAGATAATTCCTCCATGGAAGCATTGGGAGTCTGTGGCTGTCAACATCGCAGATGTCCCCAAAGAGGCCAATACGTTCATCCTTTGGCAGGCCTTCTCCAAGGAAGGACGCATCTTTTCTATTGATCTCTTCGAGGATTTCCACGGTAAAAGAGAACATCGAGGGAAGCTGCGCTTTAGGTCGGTTCACCATTCTTCATTGTCACTTCACACTTCTAATCCGAATCTTTGACAGACCACCCCCACAGACAGCATTTTGGGCAAGAGGAACCTATGTTATCACACTTACAAATGGCCAGACAGCGACTATTGCTCTTCAGTTGGACAAGAAATGCCAGAATTCTGAGATCCCAAGTCCTGTCCGTCCTAATGTTTCATACCCAGCAGAAGTCGTAAGTACTACAATCTTTTTATGCTAATCCTCAAGTTCTGGTTGTGTCGAACTTATAACAATAAATGGCTAATATGCATTTTTCATAATAGAAACTGCCCATACTTACTATGGATATTGGAGTTATGTTTGACGAAACAACAATGCTACCGATGCGTACTGTCGGCGCTGGAACAGAAGAGAACGCTTCCTTGGTTCTTGATCTGAAAAGCAAGGCAATGTTTGTCTACTTTCAGCTTCCCATTTTCAACACGAAGCAGAAGCCCAACACGACTTCCCAGCTTTACCACGAATATCGTCTTAAAATCCCTTTCACACAGTTGACTCGGATCTTCCAAACGCGTTGCTCCAAATTAGGAACTACATCTCACTTGACATTCTTGAATTCTCCTCCCATTTATCATCGACGTATCAAAAACATCGCTAGTACCTTTATTGACGAGAATGCTTGGAGGGATTCCGACACCTGGTTTCGACAGACATATATCGTTCACAATCCACAAGAATTGGCGACCCTTCCCGTCAGTCTACGGAAGGCTAAGCCAGTCATTGATATCGGTGAGTGCCATGCTGTCCATTTATTCTGCGACCACCAGCTAATAAAACCATATACTTAGGTCGTTGGAACACCCTTAATGTCACGTACTCGAAAGATACCAGTCAGAAAGGAAGATTGGCGTTGCTGTGTGAAATTTTGAATGACTATAATGTCACCATCGAAGACACAGATCGTTTCGTTCAATGGGATGAAAGCAAAGAGCGGATACCCCCAGTCTGGAAGTGGATTGATCAATCCTCGACCAGCTATTCCTCTTCGCTAGAAGATCTTATGAACGAAACTTATGTGAACCTTCCTTTCTCGGTTCGTTATCAGCTTGAGGTTTGCATATCCAATGGATACCTCTCTGAATTTACCATGACGCGTGAATTCCCCATAAAGCTCTCTGAGATCGGAGAGACACAAGCCAAAAAGCTCCTCGAATATGTGGCATCCAGGAAGCGAGTGTATTACGACCCAATGAAGATCTTCAACCTTGAGTTTGTCAAAGGAGTCACCGATGCCAAGATACCACCTTACTGCTGCTACATGCGTTCAGCCAGAATAACTCCGAGTACAATTTACTTCAATAGCCCGTCAGTGGATATTTCAAACCGTGTTATCCGTTACTTTATCGAATATGCCGATCGCTTTCTTCGCGTCAGTTTCACCGATGAAAAGCTGCTGGGTCGCATCAATTCCACTGCTGATAACACGATGAATGAGGTTTTTACTCGCATCAAGAGAGCTCTGGCAAATGGTATTGTCGTTGGTGATAGACGTTATGAATTCCTTGCATTTGGAAACTCCCAGTTTCGTGAGCACGGTGCTTACTTTTTTGCGCCACTTGATAACCTCACAGCTGCCAATATCCGCGCTTGGATGGGACACTTCAATGATATAAGAAATGTCGCTAAATATGCTGCCAGATTGGGACAATGCTTCTCAACCACTCGGGCAGTGGTTGGTTCTCCTGTGAACATTTGCAAAATTGGCGACATTAGACGAAACGACTACACATTCTCGGACGGTATTGGTCGGATCTCGAAGTTCCTTGCTCAGATGGCAATGACAGAACTTAAGATAAAGACACCGACAGGCGATCCGCCCTCCGCATTCCAATTTCGCCTTGGAGGATGCAAAGGGATGCTGACAGTTTCGCCCGAGGCCCAGCGTCAGGAGGTGCACATCCGCAAAAGCCAATACAAATTTGCAGCGACTCACAGTGGGTTGGAAATCATCCGCTGGTCTCAATTTTCTATGGCGACTCTGAATAGACAACTGATCATTGTGTTATCCACACTTGGAATTCCAGACGCCATATTTCATACTAAGCTCAAATCCATGCTAAAGGGTCTGGATGAAGCCATGGAAAGCGACTCAAAGGCCATTGAGCTCCTCCAAAAATATGTGGATCCAAACCAAATGACCCTTACTATCAGTCAAATAGTTCTCGATGGCTTCCGAAGATCAAAGGAACCGTTCTTGACGTCGGTCCTAACGCTTTGGAGAGCGTGGCATCTCAAATACCTCAAGGAGAAGGCTAGAATTGCCATTTCTCAAGGGGCATCTCTGCTCGGATGTATGGACGAGACTGCGACTCTAAAGGGCCATTTCTACGATTCTATACCAAAGGAGGGCGCTTCCTATGAAGAGAAACTGGCTGCATTGCCTGAAATCTTTGTTCAAATATCTCGTCTCGAAAATGGTGGAAAGTACGAGGTGATAGAAGGTCTCTGCCTTCTGGCTCGCAATCCTTCCCTCCACCCCGGGGATATCCGTGTCGTAAGGGCAGTCAATGTTCCAGAATTACAACACCTCCAGGATGTTGTCGTCTTGCCCCAAACGGGTGATCGAGATATCGCAAGCATGTGCTCCGGCGGGGATTTGGACGGCGACGACTACCTCGTAATATGGGATCAGGATCTATTGCCAGAAGACTGGTTTACGGTGCCTATGAATTATACGAGTAACAAGGCTCGGGATCTTGACCATGATGTCACGGTGGATGAGATTACTTCCTTCTTCGTTACTTATATCAAGAATGACTGTCTACCAAGGATAGCTCATGCTCATCTTGCATGGGCGGATCGACTCGAAGGTGGTGTTAATGAAGAAAAGTGTATCCGACTCGCCCAGCTCCATTCAGATGCGGTTGATTATAACAAGACAGGCAATCCTGCAAACATGACGCGAAGCCTCCAGCCCCGAATGTGGCCTCACTTTATGGAGAAAAAGAACAAATCCAAAGACCAAACATACCGTTCCAGCAAGATACTTGGACAACTTTATGACGCCGTTGAGCGCATTGATTTTGCTCCCAACCTCGAGATGCCCTTTGACAAACGAATTCTAGAGTGCACTATTGAGGTTAGCGAAGACTTGATCCAGTTCGCCAGAAACCTCAAGCAAGACTACGACTCAGCAATGCGCCGAGTGATGGCCCAGCATGAAATCAAAAATGAGTTCGAAGTCTGGTCTACATTTATCTTGAGCCATGCCAATATGAGCAAGGACTACAAATTCCATGAAGAGATAGGCGGAATATCCCTATCACTTCGAGAAGGATTCCGCAAGCAGTGCTACGAAAAGGTCGGCGGACGAAGCTTTGAACTATTAACACCATTGGCAATCGCCATGTACCGTGTCACGCACGAGGAAATGGCCGCAGCTTTAAAAAAGTTCCATGAGCAGAATCCAATGGACGCAAAGTTCTTTCACAAGCCTACACCAAAAATGGAGCAATTGCCTCTAATCAGTTTTCCGTGGATTTTGCCCAACATCCTCGGGAAGATCGCGAGAGGTCAATACGAGGAACCGAACGCCCCAATTAATACTGTGAATCAAATGAAAGTGGACAGCAACATCGATGAACAAGCTTCCGAAAAGCATGATGGCAATTCTGCTGAGTCTGGTAACAGGCCCGCATCAAGTTCTGAGCGCACAGGAGCAACTCAAACCAAATTGGTGGATCATTTTGATCTGTTTACAGAAGATCTGGAAACCCAACGTTCCTGTCAAATCGGTCCAGGCCCAGTCGACGAGGCGAGTCCCACAGGAGAAGAGAGTGTTGAATCCTTGGATCAGCTCGCCGATTTTGGCTTTATCGAAACGCCCAAGTCCTTACCTTCTACCTTCACATCGCCATCCACGGATGCAATTGACACTGATGTCAATTTACTGGATCTCGATGAGAGCCCCAAAAATGCTGGATCTGTCGGACAAGAGAAAGAAAATCAGAGTCCGAATGGGGTGGATCATACGATCAATGGCGGAGACGAAGATGCTGGGTGCCTCGATATGGTTGAAGAGGAAAGCGATGTGAAGCCCAATGCTCTCGATATGCTCAACAAGCTGCTCGGGGCCTAGGGGAGTGAGTGTGAGGTATGAAAGAGAAAACGGGAAAATATCAAAAAATGCAGATCAGGGAAATATTTGCAGACATTTTTCAGCATTCAATCTTCGCATTTAGCTGGAGGAAGCGTTGCTTTTTAGTGATTCAAATTTGGTGCATAGAAGCCTCATTTCCAGATGCATCGTGTCATTCCAAAGACTGGTGGACAGGATCTTCAATTCCTATAGCACAAATAGTGATACAATAGTTCTCCAATATCAGATTTAGCTCCGATACCAATCCCACCAAAGCCACTTTATCATCCAAAGAAATAAAAAAACGCCAGCCGCCCAATGTTCCGTATGCTTTTCCCCCGGTATTTCCGTTGACTCCATTAACCAAAATAAGTACAGTAAATTCACTGTCTGAATTGTCCATAATGCAAAAGGTTACCAATCTAGTGCACTCTCGCTGTGGTCCTGGAGAAATTGAACAACAGGGTCCAAAACAGCCTTGGTATGTCTCCAATTCGCCATGTGCCTAGTGCGGGAGTAGAAAATAGGACAATCTTTGCTATCGCAATTCACTTCTTCGCCAAAGGGCACACCCATACAAGAGCGACAGATGTTTTGAAAATCGTTGACCGGCTTCTCAGCCTGCTGCTGGCGCGAAACTAGGTTGAGCAAAGAAATATGCGGTTGCTGCATGCACCCCGTGCAAACCGGGACATCGGTGTCGTCGAGTTTGGCCTTGCAAATAACACACGCGGAAGACTTCATGTATGATTCGAGGGTCTTTTTAGCTTCTTTTCCTGCGAAAGGGGCGGTTCCTTCGATGCGGCGGATTCGTTGGAATTTGGGCATTTCCTCGTACCACTGGCGGACGTTGGCACCGACGAGGTTGAAGATCCGTTCCAGGGGCGGGATAATGTTCTTGGTGATATAGTATTCGGCATCGAGTTCCAGTTGAGCGTCGTGGAGAAGGACTTCGGGGGGCACGCAGCGGTCGACAAGTCTTGACCCGGGAGCACCGGTTACCACCACGTATGGCACACGCTCTCCGTATTGGGGCTCTAATCGAGGATCCTCGAGCATTTTCTTGGTGCTGATTAATGCTCCTGGGGGAGGCAAGCCCCGTTCACTGTAGGTGCCGAGCCGTACTTCCCTTGCGAAGCAAAAATCTTGGATTGAGACGGTTCCTTGTAAGATCTTCGAGCATTGTTTCTGGAAGTAACTCTTAACCAGACTCAGATCAGACGTCCGGAAGAGTATCTTGAGAGCCTTCTCTTCGATCTTTTGCTCCGCTGGCGTACCATCCCGTCGAACTGTTTCTATGCCCTTGGCGTCGAATTCTGGTTCTTTCTGATCCCTGTGCTCGTACTTAAAGCCGACATATCGTTTCTTTGCTAGAAGTACACATGGATGGTAGACCTTTTCAAATTTGAGCTTCACAGGACGGGGGTTCATATCAGTGACGGCTTTTGCAATCTCTTCGCCAATGTCAAAGGCCTCGTCCCGTGTTCGCCCTTTGAGATACACAAAAAGACTGTCGGTGTCGCCGTACACTACCTCAGCACCCCATCTTTCGACGGAATGGATAAAGGCAATGGCCTTTTCGAGTGTTTCTCTCCCTGTTTGGACAATACTATCCGCTATCTCCGAGCAGGGCATCCGACCCGAGAACGAAGCAGACGTGTAGCCATAGGTCACATTTGCAATCAATTTCAGAGCAAGTTGCCGGTTGTTAAGAAGACGTTGTAGAGCCTTGTCATCCTTGTCCATTTTCATGCCAGTCTTCACCATCACACGAGTTTCCAGTATCTCCGTGAGCATTCTTGCAAGCAACGATTTCCGTACTTCCGGTTTTGCATACATCATGCCATTAGGCGCAATGTTGATCTTGTCTTTGAGCAACCCTAACAATCCCGGTTCTCTCTCGTAATCCATAAAGCCCATTTTATTTCGGCCCCGCCAGCTTGCTGCCCTTCCAAGAAACGTGGAATAGCAGTAGTTGTATGCTATCATCACACTGGGATATAGTGATTGAAAATCCAAAACAAGGAGAGGACTTGTGTAAAAGTCGCTCTGCGGCTCCATAACCAATGGGAGACATTCAAGGGCATTTTGCTGGCCTACCTGTTTCTTACTTGGGGAAACCAAAAGAAAGTTCTCAGGCTTTGCGATTCGAAACATCAAAGATTCAACTTTGAATTGAGATCCTCGGGAGAAAACAGAGAAGAAATCGATCCCGAGTAGCCTCGCTTGTTCACTAGTTCGCGGAACCAGCTCGTTCGCTTCGAGTATTTCGAGGTTCATTTGCACACGAGACACATAGTAACCGACCACTTTCATTAGATTACGAGGTTTCCCGCTCTGATGCCACGCAGTGAGGTCCCGGAATGAATAATGAGGTATCCTCCGATGCAATAGATGAAAAACGACATTTTCCATGGTGTATTGCAACAAGTTCAGCTCGCCTCTCATAGCTCGCCAAATGTTGATCATGTGTCGACCTGTCACTCGGATGGAAGACGTATGGTTAAAACCCCAGCGATCAGAATCTTTGCCAAATCGTCCATGTGCTTGCGATTTCACCCTCGATAATTCATCACACAGGTCGAAATCGTAAATTTTCCGAGCCCTTTCAATCAAGTAACCCCAAGAGCTGTTGTGGACCTCATAACCAGTGATAATATCTGGGTCGTGAAACCTGACAAGATCCACCACACGGTTCATCAAATCAAGCTCCGTTGGCTCATGCTCTAAGTCAACAGTCAAAGCCTTAGCGATTTTACCCTCTGGCCTGTCGCCCTCTCCTTGGAATATAATTCCCACATGCACACCGGGTATATGACTATTGCACTCAAGATCCTCGGCTTGCGACTGGATGCACCAAAAAACGCTGGAGATTTCATCCTCCTCTGGATTTGGCGATAATATTCCACGCGTGTTCACATGGACCTCTAAGCTCATAATACTCATGTGCTGGGCCTGTTGTTCAACACTGGTGGATTTCATTTGTGAGTATTTGAAGCCATAATCGTTCTTCTGCGTGGGACCCTCGATTTGGGATAGAACGTTGGGCTTCGTATCAGTTTGGGGGAGACGTTCTTTTGGTTTCTCGCTCTGATTTTGTAGCTCCAATTTCCAATTCTCAAACCATTCCACGACTTCTGAGCGGCTTGGTGGTACAGGGGCAAACTCCCACACTCTAGAAGTAGTTGCCTCTCTCAGTTGCTGGTCAAGTTGCTCTTGGCGATCACGATCAAAAGATGCAACAGTATCCTCGCCAAGAATTGCAGGCGATTGCCCTGTCGGATCAAAGTCGGGGAGATAATGGATGGTGTTGCCTTCCAGCCGGAATTCCCGGCCCGCATATTGTCGTGGCCTATCGGGGACATCCTTTTCATCGCTATAATAGGCTTTTTGGTAGATTACAGGCGGATAGCCATAGGTGTTTAAGGTTGTAGAGATATCGCTAGGAGGTGGGCAAGGAGCTCGCAGGCAACATACCCGTCTGTTTGAAGGTATATTGAATGATCCGTAAATCGCAGGTGCCAATTCAGACAAGTGCGTATCAGGGATAGGTGACCCGAAATCCGTAGAGAAAGACTGTAATTGTAAAATACTATCGGCTCCCTTTGTATCGCTTGAAGGCTGGTCGATGGGTTTAGAAGCGAGAGAGCTGGTCATTTCAGGAGCGTCAGGTGTAACCTTGGAAGAGTGGCCACCGTCTTGACTGAATCGTAAGATGGTCATAGGATCATTAGGGTCCTTCACGACAGGAAAATTAAGCCTGCTATTTTTTCCGTCGACTTTGGGGCGGATAGTTGCTTGGGAAGATGGAAGACTCGTTTGAGAAGATTGACTTTCAACTCGGGCCTTAATAATTTCAGCGTTGTCTTTGCTTTCAATCTGCGCATTTCCATACTCAGCAGCAGATGAAGGATGCAAATAGCCCTGTGAGCGACTAGTGTGGCTTTCACCACCGTACTTTGACTTTTTCCTATGATATTCTTCATTTAATGTTTCACTCTGGCGTCGCTTAAGAGGTCGAGTCGCAGTTTTTGATTCGGTCTCTCGGCTTTTGCTGATGCCATCTTCAATTGGTAGACGGTCATCGGGCTTATGAGTATCATCCGATTCATGCCCTGGGTGGTTTTTAAAGCTATTTGCTCGGATGATATCGTCGTGCTCATTGGCATTCGGTTTAGGAGAGCTGTGAAAGCTCATGTCAAAGAGTCCATCCCCAGGATCATTATCCGTTGGATCACTAGGTTCCTCTTCATCGGCCCCAGAAAAGAAATTGCCATAATCATCATCTGGATCATAAAGTTCACCACCTGCCTGAGAGGATAAAGCTGCATTTTCGTTGACTTGTACTTCTGCATCACTCGGTTCGCCTTCGAATTGAGGCCCACGTATTTCGAATCTGGGTTGTTCAGGTTTATCTGGGAAGAGATCTTCGACGCTCTCCAAAGATGTCTTGATAGTTTCTTGGAAGGGAGTTTTTTCTGGGTAGTTATCAAATGTCATATCCTTGCGATTACTTTTGCTCTTTTCCTCGGCGACAGTCTCGAGTGCCATCTGACGATACTCCTCTTCATGGATCCAACCTCCCTTGGCATCGTTTCGTGGATCAGCAGACATAGAGATCAGATCCTCAGGGCCAAAGGGACTGCTTCCGGGTTCAGTTACCCCTTGCCGTTTCTTCCGCCTTCTTGTTTCATCTTGCCACAAGCCAGCCATGCTAGGAACAAGGCGCTCGCTAGAAGAAACCGGCTTTAACAACTCCATGAAGTCATGGTGCGTGGATCGTTCCCTTATGTCCACTCGATTCAGGATATCCTGCACACAAACATCTGCTTCCAGCTGGCAGTGGCTTTGTTTTGGAAGAGTTGAGTCATCTGGCATGGAATCAGGCAGTATAGATCGATCATGCCACCGATGAGACAGATCAGTGAGTTCTAGATACTCCGGAATTGGAGAGCGAAACTTGACCTTGCTACACTTCATATAAGTACAACCATACAAGTTATAGTCACACATCCATTGTGGAATATACTGCATGTGACTTTCGTATGGCTGCAGTGGACGCTTCATCACAGCCCCTTGGAGCAAGAGATCGGCCAGTCTTGTCATGTAAAGTGGGTTGAGCAAGTATATTTTGAAGAAAAATCGATATCCAACGTGATATCCATAGAACGGAACGCCTTTGACCAACGTGATGTGGGCCACGAAAGCGATCTTCTTATCATAGGCATTACGCCGATAGCTGACAGCCAGGGCATGGTCAATAGAAAGGTGCAGAGTACGCGCCGCAGATCTCACTAGATAGTATTCAGCCAACTGAAATCCCATGGTCAAGATACAGTTCACGAACCTTCTTCCGGATTCAAAGGGCCTTCATGTTCGACATATAGATATGGAAAGGCACCATGTACATGGACGCAAACCTTTTGACCGGTCTCTGTAGCCCCGAATATTCGAATTACGGGCACTTTGTGCCTGTCATCCTTTTTGGAAGCCTCATTCTTGTATGGTAGAGGGGGGTCGAGTTCAGATGGGTTTGCTTGGTAGTGATCCACGCAGTTGAGGCGCACTTGAAAGGGCTCCATTGGTCAGTTTCGGAACAGTTAAAGCTGTCTGCGACATAGCGCGAGAACACAAAATCGCGTTCATATCAGTAATTTTAAATGGTCAGTTTCGCCAAAATCTCGCGTTCATCTTTCTTTCTCAACAGAGTTGGTCATGACGTGAATAGTTATCAACAATGCTTACACGCGCCCGAGCGCGGAAAGGAACGCCTGGTCACGTGATAGACACCGAAGCTATCTCCGGCTGCAAGCACTTCGGGCTCAACTTTCTCTCAACGACAGTGCTTCGCTGTGTCCGTGAGGTATTTCTATCTCATTTTAAAGGGCACTTTTTCAGTATCGCCTTGGCCTCTTTAATCTACTCGGCTTTATAATCTGCCGTAAAACCATCAACATGTCGCGAAAACCTGCCGATGTGGCGTCCAAGGAGCGCAACGAATATATTCCGTCTTTCATCTCCAAGAAACCGTTTTATATCGACGACGATGATTCTGCCAATGACTATCTCGAGCATCAACGTCTTCAGAAGTCCGCATCTGCTGATCAGTCAAAATGGTACGAGCGAGGAAAGCGCGCTGGCCCAGCCGCCACCAAGTATCGGAAAGGCGCCTGTGAGAATTGCGGCGCTATGACCCACAAAACGAAGGAATGTCTAAGTCGGCCTCGGAAGCAGGGAGCTAAATGGACCGGAAAAGACATTCAGGCAGATGAAGTGTTACAGAAAGTGGACCTAGGATGGGATGCCAAAAGAGATCGCTGGAACGGTTACGATCCCACCGAATACCGACAGGTAGTGGAGGAGTATGAGGAACTGGAAACTTTGAAGCGGAGTGCTAAAGGGGAAAACGGTGATGGGGCTATCACCCAAGGTGGCGAGGTTGATGAAGAGAAGGCCCGGGATGATGAAGTCCGATATGCAGAGGAATCCGACATGGGAAGACAACAAAGCACGGCCACCCGTAACCTACGTATTCGAGAAGATACAGCGAAATACCTTCTGAATCTCGACCTTGATTCAGCGAAGTATGATCCGAAAACACGACGAATGGTGGATATGGGTGCTCAGGAGGATCAGGCTGCGGCGCTCGTCGCTGAGGAAAACTTCGTTCGCTCTTCGGGTGATGCTGCAGAATTTGAGAGAGCACAGCGCTATGCTTGGGAGTCTCAGGAGAGTGGAACTCAACAAGTGCACCTCCAGGCAAACCCGACATCCGGAGAAGTTATGCGGAAGAAGCAGAAATCAGAAAGCGAAGCTAAGCGGCAATCACAGCGCAAAGCCTTGCTGGATAAGTATGGTGGCGAGGAACATCTTGCACCAACACCGCTGCGCGATACAATAGTTGTTGAAAACGAGAGGTTCGTTGAATACGACGAAACGGGTGCTATCAAAGGTGCACCTAAGAAGGCTGCAAAATCGAAATACCCAGAAGACATTCATCCAAACAACCATACATCCGCTTGGGGAAGTTGGTGGCACAATTTCGAGTGGGGATACTCTTGCTGTTACTCGACTGTGAAAAACAGTTACTGCACAGGGGAAGATGGGATACGGGCTTTCGAAGAGGCAGATAACTTGATGATGCTACCAGAGCTTGATCCCGAAGAAATGCCGCCCTCAAATGATGGCGAGCCAAACGATACGCCTGAGTCCCGGGAGCAACCGAAGGAGTCTGAATCTAACTCAAAGAAGAGGACACGAATGGAGTTACAATCCGGGATCACAGAAGAGGAATTAGAGTCATTCAAGCGGAGCCGTCTTGACGCCGAGGACCCGATGGCTGCATTTGCGGGGAAAGACGACCTCGCACCGTACTAGATATTCCATCTTATTGTCGCTTATCGATACGCATTGCAGCAACATGAGGCGTTTGGTGCAATTGATGAATACCCTATTTAACATGTATATATGGAGTTTTGACAGTCAACTTTACTGGTGTACTTAAAAGTTGCTGCTTGATCATGAGTAGTCTGTACAAAAGTGTTACCAATGACAGGTATTATATTCTCTTACAATGTTTTATATTCATCTTGACAAGACATCCAATGAAATTGAAGATACAAAGTAATTTAGAGGAACACTTGTAGATTCCCTTGAACAGATGTTCTCACGTCAAAATCGACTACCAATGAACGCGACAGCTCTAAATGCCAAAATGGAGCCATCTCGATGTTGATGGGCGCTAAAGACAGAATAGGGCTAGTGTCGGCGCTAAAACGAGGTGGAGAGCCGCGATGCGCCACAGTCACCTGACCCGAGCCCTTGTTACTTGTTAGGCTGAGCGGATCACGGGACAGGGCACAAGCCCTGAATACCACAACTCGCTAAGCGACAACCCCCAGAGCTCAGCGAACTTCCGATACGCCCAGCGACGACGACAACGACAACCAGCCCTTCAACGGAATCGCCAGGTAAGTTGCTGATCGACGTGTTGATGGGATGCGTTTAAATTGTTGCGTGGATTTTTTGTACTAACGTCAAATTTTTTTTGGTTGCAGTTCCCTAATTCAAAATGAGTATGTGCAAACTCGAACCTACCGACCGCCAACGGCTTCATCGTCAAGGGATCTTTGCAGACTGACAACGATTATAGCGAAGGGTACCTCCAGCTTCGGCAAGCGCCACAACAAAACCCACACTCTCTGCAGACGTTGTGGTCAGTATTACACTCCGAAAAATGTTCACCCGACGGGATTCACGGATTTGAATGCGGAAAAGAAAATCTGGGGAATTGGGTGATGGAAAAACAAGACAGATGGGCTGACAGTTTGCGCTTTTTCGATACACAGGCCAGCGCTCCTTCCACATCCAGAAGTCGACCTGTGCCAACTGCGGCTACCCCGCTGCTAAGACTCGCAAGTGTACGAACTCCCCGATATAAAACCTATGCTTGGTCGATATGGATTTGATCAAGCACACCCTTGCTTGAGATTGGAATTGTTGGCTTACGATATTCTTTCTGGAAACAGTTAACTGGGGCGAGAAGGCCAAGAGGAGAAAGACCACTGGCAGCGGCAGAATGAGGTCCCTCAAGAGCGTCCACCAGCGCTTCAAGAACGGATTCCAGGTCGGCACCCCTAAGGGCGCTCGTGGCCCCGAGAACCACTAGATTAATTTCGACGTCGCGTTTTCGTTCCCGGAGGCTGGAGAGGGCTGGTATGATATGGCCTGGCATTTGAAGTAGCCGGTTTCAATGCAAGGCGAAATGACGCTTTCCCGTGGAGTTGGTGTTGCAACGGTCTTTCTTTTGCCGCCATAGCATTTCAAAAAAAGAGGGCACAGCAAAAGGAAGACGGAAAGGTCACGGAGTGTTTCGGGGGGGAATAAAAAAGGGAAAGCATGCATGAATTTCCTTTCTTGTTTATGGCTGGCGAATATCCCATGTCGTGGCAGATACAATGTCGAGATATTCTTCCAATGTGATCTGTCTTACTGAATTCAAGCCTTTCTCCCAATCATCTGATAACGTGTTTTATCGACAAGTTCGTTATATTTTCCAGGCCACGGCTGGCCCGTGGGCCCATTCTATTCTATCTATCCCATTGCGCCTTCCAACGCCATTGTTTTGAAGGAATGGACTGAATATCTACAAGCCCGAAAATTTTTACTCCCCTCTTCCGAAAACACTAACACCTCCATCTCGCTGAATGAAGTATAATACTTCTTTTTCCTCCCAGCTACCCTCGCCATTATCATGACTTCCGCCCCAAGCGCCACCTTTACTGATCCTCAGCACACCACTAACATCTCTCGCAGCACCGGTTTCTAGGTTTCGAAGCTGCATCACCCTTTCAGCCCGATGAGCCGATCCGACCGCAAATGCAGCATGTTCTGTTTCCAACGGGGTTGCCTGGTAATGCGAAAGTGCCGGTGTATTATGTATGAGGGGGGAATCGGAGGAAAGAGTCAACAGTGTTGAAGACACGTTCTAGATGAAGACTCGGGGTTAGCATAATGTAACTTTTTGGTTGAATAAATTCATCCGTATCTGCAGGATAAAAGCCGTACCTGTTGTAATCCCATAATCCAGTCTCCCATTTCCGTGGCGCCGATGCCTTTACTCGGTCCAGTTGCCGCGAGTAGTAGATCCGGTTGATCGACTATCAACAGTATCTCGGAGTCCTCTTCATCGCTTCCCTTTGTATTCTTGACTTGCTGGATGACAGCTGCGATATCCTTCTCTAATGCATCGAGAGCCGCAGTTCCTCGACCTGAGAAATGCAGGTGCTTCGCGGGGCCTATTCCAGTTGAAGGTCTGTTCAAACTGCCATTGCTTATTGGTGCAGCAGGCTGCGGTGATCGACCCGGAACAGCACCGGGCTGTGATCGAACGGGGAGGACTGTCCGTGGAGGGAGAGCACCAGGCTGTGCGACTGGTGCGGCGGGGGTTGTCGTTGTTGCGGGAGCGTAGAAAAGTTCGGAGAGGCCATCAACGAAAGCAAATTGGCCCTTGTCTGAGAGTCGCGCAAGATCCAGACCCTATTAATGTCAGTGCGAGATACTTGTGTACAAATTTGTAATAAATCCAGTAAATGAAAGGTAAAATAAGATCACATTTGTATAAATTTAAATTGAGGGAGGGGGGGCATACCAATCTTTTCGCCTCGCTCCTCCAAAACTCCCAACCCCGCAGGAAACTCACAAACACGACTTTTTTCTTCTTCCCACCATCGGCGCCCACGGATGCATGTGCACCAGACGATGCGCTCAGTGCCGCATAGAGGAAGCGCAAGACCAGCCAATTCCCTGTCGCCCCTAGAACGGAGGATAAGACGGTGAGAGACGACTCGGGCAGCGACGATACATATGGTGCGAGGAGGTGCGGTAGTGGGGGTTGAGTGGGCATGGTCGCAGGCTGGAAACGATGTTCAATGGTGTCGCAAAGCTGATGTGTTGGATATGCTGGATTGTGGGAGCCCAAGCCAGGATTTCGAGCTCGTTACTCTCTGGGTATTGGAATATTTGGATGGTGGTGAATCGATAGTGTACTGTGTCGAGAGATGACGTTGTATCTAAGAAAAAAAAGTCCTGCGTGTGTCTGATTGGTCGACACTATTATTTTCCACGTGCCAAAGTTGAGAAAACAAACAGAGCAAGGTATTTATTTATGGATATGGATACTGGATTTATAGTATTATTTGAATGATGTTTTCTATTTTAAAGCCATTTTATCTTTGTTGGCAGCTGTTTTGTTGGAAGAATAAAGGTTGTCGATGGTTATATATATGCGCTCGAGCCTATTGAGCATGAACACAGCATGACAGCAAAGGAAATATTTTATAAATTAATATCAATTTAATTCAGCCATAATATATACTCATTTATCTACCGTCATCAATACAATTTAATAACTCCATGCTGTTGACTTCATTATCGACATCTGCCTGTTTCTGCCTCAGGCACCTGCCACCCGAGAAATTTTCCCGCCGATCACCTGACTCCGCTCCTCTTCCCCCCACCACTCACCATCCCATCCAGCCCCGTCCAGCCATATCTCTACAGGGTCAAAAAACACGCATCTTCTCTCTTTCTGATGGGTTCGCAAATTGCGTTGGTATTTTGAAAAGCCAGCAGTTGATCCCAGAAAGCGTGGATCGTTTTCCGTCGCATGCCGATCGTGAGTTGGCCCCATGACCTTCCAAGATACCCCTCAGAAGCCTCTTCATATATCTAGTCTACTTCTACATGTGCAGCTGAAAGCTGTCGTTGTTGCATTCATCTTCTAATTGGATGACTCTGATGTCTGTTGAATCCATTTTATTTTGTTCTGTTCTGTTTTTTCTGTCTGTAAATCCAAAGCTACGTCCTACGGCAATGTCAATTCTGCTGCATAATAACACTCCATATTTATCAACAAGACTCAATTTACCATGATTGCTAACTGTAACTTGCAGATGTTATCAGTCTTGTGTGGGAATCAACATACACTAGACTTCCAGTACAAGGAAACCGATTCTCGATAAAATGGCTTCTAGTACTCGCGATTCTCACTCTTACGCCGTAAGTCTTTTCAAACAGCAGCATAAGAAGTGTAAAATCAAGTCCACTCATCAAATCCATACAGTGCGATGAGTGCCGTCTTCGAAAGTCCAAGGTGAGAACCGTCTCCCAAAGCAGTTGTCTGAGGTACTAACCCCATGCCAGTGCTCTAAGGAACGGCCAACCTGTGCACAATGCAAGCAGCTGAACAAAGAATGCAAATATAGCCCGAAAATCAGCAGGAGCCCCCTTACACGACAGTAAGTTTTCTAACATTGAGTTATCGACACGGTAATGCTCACCAATCAGACATTTGACCTTTGTCGAGGATCGCTTGCAGGCATTCGAAACCGCCCTGGGAAGATTGTTTCCAGGCGGCGACTTGGATGCGACTGTTCGTTCCCTGTTGCAGGATCAGGGTGCGCAGTCAAAACCTGGTCCATCTTCTAAATCTTCTAAATCCTCTTCAAGGCATTCAACCCCGGGCAAGGCCGAGGCTGATCGAACTGAACCAGCCCCAGAAGCTCTTCCGCAGCAGGCGGATGGGTTTGACTGGGCTGAGAAGGAGATTGTGCTTGGTGACTTGACGGATGGCATGGCTGCCTTGTCCATCAAGCCAGAGGGCGCAGGATACTTTGGTTTGTATATGAATGATATCGATGATTTCGCCGCTAACCGTATGCAGGGGCATCTTCAAGTGTGGTGCCACTCCGTGCTTTATTGAAACATGGCTTTGACCTCAACATCCCCGCTGGTTCAGGAAAGTCGAGTGTCACAACGGAAAGCGTGCCGTTAAAATCACAGCTCCTGAGCACCGCGCCGTCTGGCCTGATCGAGCAGGCTTTCATGGATGCCTTTTTCCTCAACTACCACAGCAGTTATCCGTTTGTTCACGAGCCCTCTTTCAGGGCGCAGTTTTACGAGCAAATTCCCCGTCCACATGGCCAGGCATGGCAGATCCTCCTAAACACAATTTTAGCACTAGGGGCATGGAGTATCGGAGATGACAACTCGGATCTAGACATCACTTTTTACCAGGAAGCTAGAGGTTATCTGCAGAATATCTCCGTCTTTGAGACAGGAAACTTGACCCTCGTCCAGGCCTTGCTCCTCTTGAGCAACTATGCACAGAAAAGAAATAAACCGAACACAGGATGGAACTTTCTCGGATTAGCAGTCAGGATGGCCATGAGTCTCGGTCTTCACAAGGAATTCCACGGGTGGAACATCAGCCTTCTTCAGCGAGAGATCAGGAGAAGGCTATGGTGGGGTGTTTATATTTTCGACAGTGGTGCCGCCAAAACCTTTGGACGGCCTATTCTTCTCCCAGAGGATAGTGTAATGGACGCAAAACATGTTCTCAACATCCATGACGAGGTAAGCCCGTGTCCGAGTATGAGTCTGGCCTGTTATTGATCAACCAAAGGCTCTTACATCAACAACCACCACCCTCCCTGCCGAGGCCAACGGTCCAACTCTATACTCGGGATTGATCGCCCAGGCTAGATTCCACCTCTTGACGAATGGCGTTTATCAGCGCCTGATTTCAAGCCCAAGCCTCACACCGGAAGAGACATTAAATCTCCAAAAACCAATGGAAGAGTGGTACAATGGCCTTCCTTATTATCTCAAACAACCCGCAACCACACCCGAGTCGGACTCGCTTGCCCTTGTCCGCAACAGGCTGATGTGGCGAGACTGGAATTTGAGGATTCTCGTGTATCGACCGATTCTTCTCCGCTGGGCCTCCAGAAGATGGACCCCCAACACCCCTTCTGAAGAGGAAGACCCCCTTGAAGCTGATTGTAGGATGTTTTGTCTGCGCAATGCGAGGTTGACCATCGGTTCGATCTCGGACTATGTGAATAACTATATTTGCGCGAGATTAGGAGCGTGGTATATGCTGTGCGTCCTCCCTTTTCTTTCTGGCCAATCCGACTGCTAACCGTAGCCGCGACAGATACTTCCTCTTCCAAGCCGGTTTGATCCCCGTCATCCTGCTCATGACCGATCCTACCAGTGCCGATGCCCCGAGCTGGCTCCAGGATATCGAGACCACCAAAAAGCTTCTCACTCACCCTTCTCTGAGTAACAACCGGCTTTCTACCCGCTGTCTGGAAGTCATTAATCGACTCTGTTCTCCTGCATATGCGAGTGCCGATCCCAGCAGAGCGTATGGACACCCGCCGATGATGATGAACTTTCCGGATTCACTATTCAACGATGCCACCTTTGGTAGTATCTTCCAGGGCGTTGACCAAGAGTTGAACATAGGAGGGATGGATTTCTCCGATTGGGTGAATTTCACGCCGCAAACCGATCTTTCATGATTCAAGCTCGACTGTACATATTGGGGTTATATCAGCTGGCGTCACAGCTTCGCCACTTGATGGATGCATTTCTCAGAATTGAGAAATGCCTTCAGAAATTCAAGCGGCATTCTCCTCCTGTTGCACAAACGGCTCGTCGAATGTATCCTTATTCAAGGTCCCAGTACCACGCAGCTCGGCCTCGATCTGAACAATACGCTGCTTCTCTTCGTGGGCTGCTGTATCCCCGAAAATAAGATCCATATCTTCGAGAGTCTGGTCACGATTAGTATACATGCATCGCTGGGCGAGAGAATAATCCAACCTTTCCACGAGTCTCGGGGATGCAGAAGAAAGTGAATCCCAATGCTATCAGGCAGAATGCCGCGAAGAAGATATATGTGCCCCAGGTGATGGATTCGAGCATGTTCGGGGTGACCAAGCCGATGATACTGACGAGGAACGAGTTAGATGATGTGATGATGTTCAATTGAATGGGATGGGTTAATTCATACAAATTACACATCCACGTTGCCGAGGTAGTTATTGAAATCGCCTTGGAACGGATAGAAAGATTGAAAATTTCCGAAGGCAGAACCCAGCCGATTGGAGCTGGAAAGATGATTCTTGTCAGATGGGCACAAAAAGGAAGGGATTATTGAATATTTGTATATAGTTCAAAGGAAAGGGAAAGGGAAAGGGAAAAAATGGACACAGACCAAATGAGTAGGAAAAGTTGATGTCGTAAATGAAAATAAAGGCGATTCCTGCCCACCCGGCAGATTTATGATTTATCAGGGTTGATCCGTAGGCTCCGATGATGCCTCCGACGATGACTAGTGAGATGCAAGTGCCTACTGCGCCGGACATGAGTAGGACACGACGGCCGAGTTTGTCGATCCAGAAAAGAGCCGGGAGGGTACTTAGGCAGTTGATGATGCCGTATACACCGGTAGCCAGGAGGGATGTCTAACGGAATTAGCCGCGCTGATGGGGCAAGGCCTAGGTAATTCATAATACCGTATTTCCATCAAGTCCAAGTTGTCCAAAGATTGTCGGGGCATAGTAGATGATAGCTGTGGATTTAGTACATACTCTATACAGAGGAAAGTATCAGAGCATACCGTTACAACCCATAAATTGCTGGAAAAACATAACACAACACCCAATCGCCAGACGCTTGAACCGCGCCCATGTGGTAAAGAAAGACATGTACTATGATCAAGAGTTAGATCGAATTCGACAGTGATGAATGGAGTGCATACCTGAGCAGCATGTAGCTTAACCCCAGACAAGTTGGGAAAATTTTCTCTTGCGAATGTATTCTCCAGCATGATCGAAGCTTTGATTTCTAGATATTCATTCAAGAGCGTAGGTGCATCTCGGGCCTGTCGTCGTAGTCTGGATAATGCTTTTAGGGCATCGTCGTCACGCTCCTTCATTAGGAGCCATCGGGGTGAATCAGGGAAGAAGAGCATCCCCAGTCCTAGAATTATGGCTGGGAGAATTTGAATGGCTAGTGGTAATCTCCATGATGCTTCGGATTGACCTGTGCAGCCGCTGGATGGTACATCGTGGTAAGGATCGAAGGAGGGAGATGCGCTTGTTCCACCGGTGTAGGGGATATTAGGGGCACAGTGTGATCCTCCAATGTAATTTGTACCGTAGTCGATCCAGTAGCTGACTAAAATTCCAAAAGTGATAGAGACTGATCCAATTAGCATGGTATTTCAATAACAGAAGATACATACGTTGTTGTAGAACCACCAGCCCACCGCGAATCTCGGGTATAGAGACCTAACAAGTGAGAATGTGAAATGTGAAATGGCATTACCTGACATTGCATACCTCGGAAATGTAAAGAGGTACCACCATAGTTAACTGGCCAATGGCCAGCCCAGCAATGGCTCTGCCTTTTGGATGTCAGTACCTGTAAGCCAACACAAAGTGTGCATGTCTTGTACATACCAACGAAAAGCATCGCCCCATTCTTAGCACCGCACTGGATAGCAGATCCGACAATGAAGATCAAAACCGCAACATTGATAGACAGTTTTCGACCAAGTCTATCAGCAACAGGTCCATTGACAAGCGACCCAAACCAAGCAGCTACAATATTAGCTATCAACAGTATAATAAACTAGAACAAGATAATATGATAACCCACCAAGAAGAAGAGTAGACACAAACCACCCTTTAAATCCGCTATCCGAATAAATATGAGGGAAACGCGCCCCGAATGACTCCATGGTCAGGACACCTGAGACCACGCCCTGATCATAGCCAAATAAGAGGCCACCAAGTGTTGAAAACTACTTCGGTCAGCTTCAGGCCGATAGTGGGACGACATGGCATTCGTCCAAGCACAAGTACCCACCGATGCAACCCCAAAAAGATAAGGATTCTGATAGACAAGAGCAAAACTGCCCTTGGATGTATGATCCACAGCAGCAGCAGCAGCAGCAGAAGAGGAAGCCATCTTGCACGATCTGGGATATCCCAGACACCCAAAACTAGGCAGAGAGATGCATCTACTTTATACTGGTTCTGTTGAAAAGATTATTCCCCCGCGCAGCTTATCATATGCTCATCGGTACGGAGTAGATGTCCAGTATTCATATATGATAAAGCAGTCGGAGTGGTGTCCTCCGATCACTGCACCAATAGAGACAATCCATGCCAGACCATCTCCTGATGGAAGTCGGCGTTAGTGCCGAATTGGTTCGAGATGTGATGATCCTGAATGGAATGCGGGGGAAGTTGGACGGCATCAGTGATCAGTTGAGATCAGTCAATTTGAAGTAACGATTCATGATGAAAAGGGACAGTGTCAGACTTATCCGAGCCAGATTGTCACACAAGTACTCTTCTGTACAGGAAGACAGTGTCAGTGACAGGTAGCAGATCAATGCGGAGATCCCCAGGGTCAACCCAGCTCGGGAAGAGGCCGACTGTGGATTGTGGATATGTGGGGTAAACTTTGGAGACATAATGATTTAGACTTGATGTTGATAGTAGCATCATGTATAGATGGCTTATTCAATGTCAGTGTCAGCCTGACGCACCAGTTTTCAGGATAGCATTGAGAAAAAGAGAAGAGAGAGAAAAGGAAAAGGAAAAAGAACTGGGGGCTGGAAAGGAAGACTGGCAGGTTCCACGGCATCAAAACAACCACGAATCAAACATCTTTTCTGCTCATCCCGCAGCCTTGCTATAAATCATCCATCTCTTGATTCTTTTCATCTCACCACCATCAACATCAACTTGAACATCAACATTAAAATCGAAATGACCTCCCAACCCCTCCGCATCGGCGTCCTCCTCGTCGACTGCGTGCAACTCCTCGACCTCGCCGCAATCGACCTCTTCAACATGACAACCCCGGAATACCTCCAATCCTGCCACCTGCCCCAGCCCCTCATGAATCTCGCCCGACCCTGCGAAATCCACTACATCGGCGCCCAACCCGCCGGCACAATCCAACCCACCACGGCCCAAATGTCTCTCTCCCTAACCGCGTGCGTGTCTGATGAGTTCGTCGCGCCGGGGAAGCTAGATGTCCTACTCATACCCGGCCCGGATCCGAGCGTTGTACCCCCCGAAACAATGTTGGAGTTTGTAAGGGGTCATGATGAGGCGGGCACGACAATTTTGAGTATCTGTACTGGTATCTATGTTGTTGCGTATGCGGGGCTTCATAAGGGGAGGAAGGTTACGGGACCGAGGTTTTTGATTCCGCAGTTGAAGGAGAAGTTTCCTGAGGCTGAAGTTTGGGATTCGGAGTTGAGGGTTGTTAGGGATGGGCGGTTGTGGAGTTGTGGTATGTATCTCCCCTCCCTTCCTCCCTTGCTCATGTTGGAGATGAGATACTAATTATATGTGGTGTGGTAGGCGGAATTACCAACGGGCATGATATGGTAGCAGAATATCTCAGACAAAATTACCCCGATGCATTGGTGAATGCTATTCTTGCCATGGCTGATGTGGAAGATCGCGGTCTACACTATAGCAGCAGCGTGACTCGTGATAATGCCTTTTTCGTCTGGCAGATTGCCAAAGCGTTGCCTGCTGCTGTTCTAAAGATGATTACAGGATAGGATAGACAGGCGGATTTGATGTTATCATGAGAAGAAGAAACAAGACAGCGGATAAGAAAGACTCCACTCATTCAAATGATAGATCTAATGCAATAATTCCTATCTACCTTATCTATTGGCGGTAAGTACTAGTGCAGTCGGATACTCTCCGAGGTGGAGAGGATGTGGATATCTAGTCAATATCGTCCCAATTGCCAATTTCTGATAATGGAATCGCTCAACTGAAGGCGTTACTAGCTCTAAATAAGGGGCGCATAATCATGTATTCATAGCCTTGGCTCAACTGCCAGTCCAATCTCAAAATGGTCGAATGATCGAATCAAAGAACCTCCCGAAACCATGTTGCAATCTGAACGAAAAAACGCAAGGACTCAAAAAAAAAAAAAAAAAAAAAAAAAACGCTCGCTCATACTTCATGCAACGCGCAGCATAAACGCTAATCAACATACACAGAACAGAACGGATGAATCAATTGACGTGACGCAAAAAATGAACCAATGGGCTTCTTAATTTCATCAAATGCTAAAGCGATAGACAAATGCGGTTCCCTCCGAGTACTCCTAAGCCAGTGGCCTCGGTCTTGACAGGTATTCCGACCCGAGTGAACTTCGAAAATCTGATGGAGCGAGCGTAGCACATATTCATTCTTGACGGTAAATGAAAGAAAATAGTTCATTTGGATATGTGGCCAACTTTTGCTATGTGCGTTTTATTTCCGAGAGTCGTGGGGTTCCCAGTGGATCGGTTCAAAGTCTTGGTTTTGGAAGTGGGCTTGATTGTAGGGGGAACTGCCAGAATTAAACACCTATCTAGGACTTCCTTCGGGAAACTTACTTCTTGAAGGGTGTGGTGACGGGGAGGGAATGGCTCAGGTTGGGTTTCATGACCAAGGGATTCAATCGAATCCGAGGCCCTTCAGAAGGAGGTCGATTCGGCAAAGAGCTCATCGGTGGTGGCGCAGAAGACATCCTAGAAGCTGACGGGGACGGCATAGAGACAGGCGGTGGCGGTGGCGGGCTTTGAATAGGAGGTTGGTACACTTCCTGGGGCGAAGGTACTCGGTACGGACTTGGAGGGGCTGGAGGCATGGGTGCGGGAGCAAGCGCAAATGATGGATCAACCATTAGGTTTGGAATTGACATCAAGCTGGAATTTACATCGAATGAGAAAGCACCTTGATCCCAGGGGGAGTAGTTAGAAGTCATTGCGTATTGGTAATTGACCACGGGTGCCATATTCACAGTAGGTTCGGGCCGGTACAGAAGATCATAATGGCCCCTAAGCCGTCAGTATCTAATCGACGATGCAATGGGTTCAGACTTACGGGCGATATAACAGTCGAATGGTCGAAGGGCTGCTCCGAGTAGCGTTCAGGATGTGAGGCGTCACGGCCTCGCCCTCGCTTCGATCCAGGTACAGGATTTCAACGGCAAAGCCAGATTGGTCGATGATTCCATCGACCAGCGCTTGCAGGCCGACTTCATCAATCTCCGTGCGGACTGTCTCTACCCGCGTTGCGCAGTATTGGTCCAAGGGCATGGAAAGAAAAGCTTGGTAGCGGTGGGCATTCAGTCTCATCCACGCACTCGTCAAAAGCTAAAGAATTGAAAGTGAAGTTGTCAGTGGTAAATTCCTGGCCTCACGTCGACAGGTAGAGACCGTCAAGGATTGAAATGGTTACTAACTCTAAAGTGAGTGATGATTGCGTTTGAATTGTACTCGTTGTTGAAAGCCTCCACGAGGAACGAGTCATCTCGGACCCCGCTTTCAATGGCCTCTGATATTTGGTTGAAGACTTCTTCGGTGGCATCCACAAAGATCTCGTACAGATGCTCCTGCTGGCCGACCTGATCGAGAAGGGTATTCATCGACTTGATCCGGAGTAATTCGCGATGGATCTGGAGCGTGTCACGGAGGTTGAAAAGGTTTTCAAAGTAACCGAATGCGACCGCTAGATAGGTGAGCAAAGCATGGATAGATAGAGGGGATAGATGGAAGTGGGATAGATACCTCTCCAGCCACAGTTTCCATCACCTTTCATTGTACGTGTGAAGGGATGTGTGATAGCAAGTGTCTATTAACTGTCAGATATGGCCTTCCAAGTGTGAGGTGGATTCCTACATTGGTTTTTGTGGCAAGTGTAGGGTCTGCGTTCGCATAGTCCACTGCAATGGAGCTGCTATTTTGCTTTGCAGATACCAGAGGGCCCTACACAGATCAGCTGGATCCATGGCGATAGAACATGTAGAATACCTGAAGCTCGGGTTGGTACTTGTTGGACAGCTGCTGGAACCGCTCCATTTCGTCGGTGGATAATGTGTTCATGTTGCTGCTGCTCATCCTGGAGGTGGCGGGAGTACCGCTGTAGAAAGCACTTGATAGCTGAGAGAGCCCGTGGGCGATAACGGCAGATGAAGGGGAAACCTGTGGATAGAAAGTGGTGTGAAGGTCTTGCCTGTCCGGAAAATGACTGTAAGAATTGAACTGATGATTCCAGGGGATATCCGACAAGGACATCGCATAAGAAAGTTGGGTCGTGGTGTTGGATCTGGGTTCACAAGCAGAAGGCCTGAGCACGGTTAGTATCATTCACTGGACAGAGACGACCGTGAGAACACACAGGACAAATGATCATCATTAGAGTTGATGATATTCCCTTAGAATAAGACAGCACCAGTCGACTGGATGTTCTTGATATCAAGACAGACAGGTAAAGAGGCCTACTATCGTTTAGCTCGGCAATACTCGGATAGATAGGCAGATGATATAGGGATAAAAGAAGCAGAGCACGACAAGGCAAGGACAGGAAAAGGCAGGCAAGGAAGGAATGATATGATATCAGAGCCGATCAATCAGAGGAGGCAGTGATCTGGGGGAACGAAGGAACTAAAAGGCCGCCACGATCTGGAGGGAGTGCATGGGTAACAGCGATGGGGCGAAGAAACCCAATAAGAGGAGAAGAGGGCGAGAGGAGATGGATGAGCGGCTGAAGAGAGTCCAGGTAGCCGGAGTCACTCTATCTCTGGACTAAGAAAGTGTGTGTGCACAACAGTGGAGAGTGGAGAGAGGGGAAGGATGGAGAAGAGGAGGACTTATGGACTCTCCGCTCAAGCCGTCATGGACAGAGCAGATGACGAACCACAGCTAGGACACGGACAGACCGTCTTACAAGGATGGCCAACAAGAGAACAAAAAAGGAAACGGAAAACGATTCCGCGCAGCTGTAGAAGAACACCAGTGGGCGAAGTGCAGTTGGTCTGATGCTGGAAATGCATCAGGAATGTCGACCGATTACTGACACATTCCTGAAGGCGATTTGACTTTGGCACAGCATCAAGTAGGGAGGAGAACAGAAGAGCAAAAGAATATCAAATCATGAGACAAAAAAAAAAAGGATAGAAAAAGAAAAGAAAAAAAGAAGAAAGAAAGGATCAACTCAGACCTTTGGATGATTGTTGACTGGAATTTTGCTTTTTTTTTTTTGGAGATTTTGTTTTTTACAGCAGGGATGCATACAAGCTCACACGTGCCCTGATGTAGGAAGATCGGTGTGAAGATATAATAATAATGTAGAGATGGAGATGGAACAGGGATATTGGATATAGTAAATAAGGGAAGGGGAGGGAAGAGAGATATAATAATTAATATAGCAGCACTTGGGGGGGGGATGTGGTGATAGTTGGACAGAATGGGGGGAGGGGCGGGGTTTATTTAGTTGGAGTTTGATGGTGGATCAGAATAAAAAATAAAATAAAAACAAGATGCCTTTTTGCAAAGAAGAAGAATGATAACTCCCGAGAGAGGGGGAAATCCTCCTCGTGCAGGAGCACGTCAGGCAATAGGAGAGAGGATAGGAGAGAGGAATTTACGACAGGGAAGGGAGAAGAAAGAAAGAAAGGAAGAAAAGCAGTGGTTGTGTGGATGCGGGAAAGTCGGGGAAGCGTCAGATGCATCTGGTCGGATGATTTTGATTATATTGATTTTATATTCATATTTATATTTATATTTCCTCCGTTTATTGATTATTATTGTGTGACGAACTTACAGAATAAACGAAAAAAGAAAAAAAAAAAAGAAGAGTTATCGGTGCTCAGATCGCATATCAAGTCAATATTCATGGCAATAATACCACCATACACGAAAAAGAAGATCCTCGATCGACCACATGTCCCGGCATATCCAACCAACAAACAACTTGTTCGACAACGGCGAAACGCTTTGTCTCCACGTCCTCTTTTTTACTCTCTTCTTCTTTATTTTTATTTTATTTATTTATTTAATTTTTTTTTTCTTCCTGCATTTTTTGCCCTGTCCTCCGTGCAAATCGGATGCCCCATGAGTGTCAACCACCTCTTTGGGTGAACGGGTAGCTGTACCTACATATATTTCTTCTTCGGGCCATCCCATCCAACGATTCCTCAAGGCTTTGTCCAAGGCTTCCAATAATTTATTGTTATTACAGAGTATTTCGTATACGGAGATAATCATATTATTGATCCACAAACCAGGCACCGTGGTTTGACCGACTCTCCATAATTGGTGTTATGCCTACCATATGGAATCATAATCCAGACCACCTGGATGGAATATTCAATCAATAATCTATGTTCAATAATCATAATCTAATATGATATTAATCTTAATACTTCGTATTAAGATCCACTAATACTTATATAGACACCACACATCAGACACCAAAAATTACTGTATCTGCTCTATCACCTCCATACAAGGCAACTAACAGGGTCTACGATAATAACACCTACTAGGCAATGTCACCATATCATCTCCCGCCTTTCTCTTCCGATTCGTCTCCATTTACCTGGATCTTTTCCGCTCTTCCCAATCATCCTGCTGGATATCGTCTGGGGTCTGTTTGTTTGCTATCTCTAGGTGCTCTCTTAGTTGCTTTTCTCATACGAGTTGGGACACGGACAAATTGAGAGAAAAAAAAAAAAAAAAAAAAGGAAAAAGAAAAAGAAAAAGAAAAGAATGGAAAAAGCAATAAAAGTCAAATCGAAAATCAAAAAATAAATCCCTTGGATCTTCGGTCAAAGCATCGAATGCGGAGCTTCCCCGAGAACCGCTACCCTTACTCTTCCTTACTCTTACTTACTACTGTAAGTACTGTCAAGTACTCGATGCCTGGTGTGTGCTACGATTAGTACCTAACCTGTACTTCTGCTTGCTCAACCGCTCTTTGTCTTCTCCCTTGCCTCTCCGTATACTTACTCTCTATGTATGATCGGCCATTTCTCGGCCGTCAGGTACTCATACTCGCCCTCTCCAATTGCCACAGAGCTTCTTACGATCGAGTCATCGATGCAATCATGGTCATCTTATCATCACATTCATACAGAAACTAGTCAACGCCAATTGTCAAAAGTACTGGTGGCGCCCTCTGACCCAACGACTTCCTCCCTGAGCTAAAATTCCCGACCGGCCCAATTGTCCTCTCCTCTCTGACTCCACTGGCAGCTCTTCCTCTCGTACAGAGTAGTTCCTGACTCTCGCCCTGATTGTTCTTCCCTAAGCGCGCGGGGCCACCTTGCTCAAATTCTCCTGCCGGGGTGATCCTGTATCCTGTTTTTCCTCTTCCAGTCTGTACTTTTGCTTGGTTTTCTTTTCTTTTTTCTATCCCGACTATCGTGGCCGCACTGCCGCCAGGAACCCTGCTCAATCGTACATCCTTACGGTTCGTTTGTCAATTCTCCCTGTCCACCCTGCAGTTTGCGTGTCCCAGACCCCGGTTTGTGCGGTGGTCTTGCAGCCGTCTTCGAATGATCTCTGCAGAATATTACGGACCACTGGATGACGTCTCCCCTAATACACCACCCCCGTTCCTGTCTTCCCTCCAGGCCCAGTCGACGCTTTGCCCTTCCACCCGCCCCGTCGGGGATTGCCAGCTCGCATACCCACCGGGGTCTCGTCTCCAAACCCCGATTGGAACATGCCTCCTGCTGACATCCCGTGAAGTTGCGAGGCCTCATCGACCTTGAACCCGTCCCCGTCGTTCAGTGTCGTCTGCCAAAGCGTTCGTAGCGACGAGCTCCACTCCTGGAGAGATCGTAGTCGATCCACGTCGCTAGCACTCTCAACCACAACGGTCCCACTCTCTTGGTCGATTTTAGCGTTGAGCTTCTTGTCGAGGATCAGAAAACTCAGAATGTCCTGCACCTCCGGAACGGATATCTTGATGTTCTTCGAGATAAATTTCAGCGAAAACCGCGTGTATGGGGCGATCAATTTGAGAACCGCCTTGGTCCGCATGTTGCGGCTGACCTCGTCAATGTTCTCCGCAATAAACGGATCCGCCAGTACATCCGGGTGTTTGCTCAGGATCGCTTCGTATGCATGGATATCGTCACGCTGATATGCATCCACTAGATCGGTCATGGCAGAAATGCGGGGGTCGCTCTTGTACGGCTTCGTCTCTTGCGAGTCAAATGGGTTGATATCCGACTTCATTAGCATCGTTGTCAGCACAAGGTACTTGAGAACCTGGATCCGTTGCATCGATCCCGCTTCATCATAATTGCGGAATGACTCGAAAAAGTCACTCTGCGCCTCCTCCCAGTTCTCCTCGCTCATGTGCATTTTTCCTCCACACTCGCGGATGATTCCCATGATTTTGGGGTGTGGCACGGCCGACCGTACACGGAGCGCACGCTGGTACAAAGCCTTGAGTCGCTTGTTGTTTTTCGTCTGTGCATACATTTGGATTTCCAGGGCGTATAATTCCAGTAGATAGGTCCCTTTGCCGGGGTCGTCCGAACCGTCCTCCCGTTGACATGCTTGGTGCAACTCTCGCACCTTTTTGATCAGCTGGTTGAAAGCCTTGCGTTCTAACCAGAGGCGAGCTAGTTTGATATTGGTCTTCAGCCACAGACGCTCGTTGTTCGTATTTTGGAAGGAGTTGAGGGTCAGGGAGTAGAATTCCTCCATGCACTGATAAGCCTTGTCGTCGTCTGAGCCCTTCTCTATGTAATCAAGCATGTTATTGATCGACTTTTCGGAGTAGTTGCGGGTGACGGCCGACTTGACGTAGGTGAGTAATTCGCGATAGTGTTCAACTGCCTAGGGGAAATGAATCAGCATGGCGTCGACACGGGCGGGAATACAGGAAGCTTACATCTCCATATCTTCCAAGCTTGAACTCGAGTTTGATGGCTTGTTTGAGTCCCTTGAACCCCCTATACGCATGTCAGCATCCAGCCTGACACCACGAGAAACCATAGCCGCATTTACCAATCGCCCTTGTCCTGTTCTAAGGTAGGTACCCCCAGGAATTCATCGATCGCGTCCTCCGGACTGTCCACCTTTATCTGTTTGGCATTATAGTATTTATTCTCGATTCCAATATCGCCAGACTCGTCATCCTCATCGGCATCCTCGTATTCGAAGTCATATCTGTGATCAACACCAGTCAGTTCGAGTCAACCAAAAAATACCAGGCGGAGAAGGGAACGTACTCCTCATCACCGGAATCCTGCATGAAATCATCGTCGTCAGACATTTTGAAGGGCTGTTTTCGCTTTCCAGGCGTGTACTGAATCTAGTGGATGACTTTTGGTTTAATCTGAGATGGATTTGTCGCTGTTCACGAGAGTTGGGGGGGAGAATTCAGAGCGTTGTTGAAAGAGAGAAAGAGCTTCTGGTGTTCTCCGGCCTCGAGCTCCCTCCCGCACCTATCGGGGCCTGGGGCCAACTCGGTCTCCCCGCGCTAAGGCGGCAGATGGGTCTGTAGTTAAGACATTCCACAGTCAAACATCTACTTTTGAGATTATTTCTAAATGCAATTTTACGGGTGGTTTGCCATTCTTTTTTGGTTTATTTGAGTCAAGATAGCCTTGGATGGTGATATTTTGGCGTTGAAGGTGCCTGTGCGCCTGTCTGCTGACGGCATGAAACACCAACCAGACGATGCCAAAAATACTAGAACTGCTTGTGTTCATGGCCTTGCAGTGGAAATAAGAGCCTTTTCTCGAGAAGGAATAACCACTTGAGTCAGTTCAACTCTTACGGCCGAAAGTAGAAGAAACTAATATGCAAGTAGATCCTTTGGTGAGTTTTCACGGCAGCTGGTCAAGGGTATTATGGAGTATCTGAATCAGGATATCCTGCCTGATATCAGTATTGAGAAGTTCAGATACGAAGAAGCCATTGTGCACGCGAAGGGCCATGAAGGATGAAACTGTTCTTGCAGACAGCGTCTAAGGGCTCGTGCCTTTCTGGAGACCTGAGAACTCTGGATCTCCGAGCAGCATCAAATGCCATTTTGAGCATTTTCTCATCCAGAAACATGGCCTCTAACTCAGGTGCTCACTGTTCAGAGTCGTTATCAACCTCTTAGCAGAGATCATCGTCACTTCCGCGTACTCCGTAATCCATGTTGACACTGGTTTATAGCGTAAAGCCGGTGAATGTAGTGAATATAAACGGCAACTCGAATCCGAAGACATTTCATGAATTATAATACGATAAGTGACGCTGTTATGGCAGGCATCTGGGCCATCGGCAGTTAAACATCACTGTGGAGATTGCGACAAGTCCGGACCACCAACTCGCAAAACACCAGGGCAAGACATGCGCGGCAGAGAACTGCGCCCTGTATAAAGCTTCATTTCGAAGAAACTCGAGAGTCAGGACGGACTCAGGCACCGCGGGAGGCGAAAGGAAATGAAGACTCTGTCCCCTTGGCCGATGGAGATTACCCTATTCGCTGATCCTTTTCAGGATCCGATGTCATCGACTCAGCACGGCCCAGGGACTCGCGCTGCCTTGCCTCTTCCAATTAATTTACTTGGACAACACCCACTGCCTCGCCGTGAAACCTTTTTCTTTTTCTATAATTATACACCCTTCCAGACTGACACACAAAATATCCGATTATATCTCCTTATAATACCCCTTTGCCTGCCTCGATCTCCGCATTTAACGGAAACCGCCCCCTCTCGAGATCGCTGGCCCTCTGTCCTCACGCCACCTAACGAACAACCCGGCAGTCTTTTCCCACAATGGAGTTATGCGGGCGTCAGAAAGTCGTTCAGCGCAAGATGGTGCTTTTGTCAGTGTCACCCGAATAAACTACGATAATACTTGTTTTGCAGGATTCTGACTGCTGGAGATAGAGGTGACGGTGCTTGCGGCAAGACTTCGGCCCTGAATGTGTTCACCAGAGGGTTGGCAGCCTACCCCGTATAATGATGACATCCCAACGAGACCACTAATTTTTGACTGCCAGGTTCTTCCCAACAGTCTAGTAAGGACGGATTCTGTGTCTAGAGTACTGCAATGGCAATGCGATATTAACCTTGACTTTTCCCCTGTGCTTTAGTGAGCCGACTGTCTTTGGTGCGCGCGCATTCCCCCCCCATTATGAAGTGATGATGTATGCTGACGATCCGCCTTTCCAGAGAACTATGTCCACGGTAAATTCTATTTTCTACGATACCCCTCTTTCGCGTACTGACATGTGACCCAAAGATATTTTCGTTGACGGTACACACATGGAGTTGTCTTTGTGGGACACGGCTGGCCAGGAAGAATTCGATCGATTGCGCGCGCTTTCATACGAGGATACCCATGTGATCATGCTTTGCTTCAGCGTAAGCACCGGCGTTCTGTTTTTTTTGATGATCGGCATTAACGACTATTGGGATATAGGTCGACAGCCCCGATTCATTCGAGAACGTGGCGAGCAAATGGACGGAGGAGATCTCCGAGAACTGCCCGGGCGTGAGAATGGTCCTTACGGCGCTCAAGTGTGACTTGAGAAAGGACGAGGATCTGAACGACAACACGAACACCATCACATTCGACCAAGGACTAGCCAAGGCAAAGGAAATCGGTGCCGTCAAGTATTTGGGTAAGAGTGGCAGGCCTTTTGGTAGACAGTTGGAGAACTAATATACTTTCCATAGAATGCTCTGCTGTCCAAAATCGCGGTATCAGAGAGACCTTTTACGAGGCAGCCAAGGTCGCCCTCGAGGTTAAGCCCCCAGGATCCAAGGGATCCAGTGGAGGATGTGTGATCCTCTAGAGGTCTCCGCCCGGTGGGTGTGGACACTATTCTGCTTCCTACGCCTTTTCATTTGATATCCTTTTGCGTTTTCTTTGCATTCAACGTCTGAGATCAAGAGCCGCACGACGTCCCCCCTGCGGCGACCACGAACCATGCGGACATTCAAATTGCTGCTTCGTCTACGGCTACTCCAGCATTTCAGCGCGACCATTTTTCACTTCTATTCTTCTATATATATATTTTCTAGGTTGAGGCAACCTCTTTTGTATTCTTCCTAATGCCTTCGATTTGAGTCCGTCACTGCTCAGGATGTCAAGTCTTTCGAGGGGTCTTTGCCATTCAATTGGCAATTTTTGATATTGCCCATCTTGTCTCATTCTTGCGGTGCGGATCGAAGAATCTGTTATTATTTATCCTCCATTTACTATAGACGTACGCACGTGTACTACTTATGATGATTTTGTTGTTATCTACCTGAAAGGGCTTTGAATCAATTGATACCTGTATTGTATCTCCGTTTGGAAGGCTTTACGCCAGTAACCAGGATATTAGTATGGATTCGATCACCGTAGATGATGTATGTGATGCAAAAGTCGAACGCCAGTCAACAAATGATTTTTATATACCTTGGTCTTCATGCGGTACGGTGTCACCCGATGAACATGACAGCATTGTCCCCGCATCAAAGCTTTATCCTAACTCTATACCTCAAGATCTTTTTCCTGGACACTGTATACCGAGTCAATCTTCTCCCCAGTTGCACCCTCTCCATAGGCAAAATCGGCATTCAGCCTCTGCACAAAAGCATCAACAAACCTCCCCGCAACATCATCAATGCTCGCCCCTCGCACGCCCTCGCCCTCCAAACTCGTCGTCTCCCTCCCTTCAAGCCCACACGCCACAATCTGCTGAAAATACCACATCGGCTCCTCGGTAACATTAAACCCAATTCCATAGCTACTGATATTCCTGCGGAGATGCACACCCACCGCGGTGACCTTCTTCGGCAACAGCCCGCTCGACGGCGACGACGGAGGCACCCACACGCCCGGATCCTCAGTGACGAGACCCTTCACCCCAAACCCGCCCAGGACGTCAATGACGCTATTCTCGAGTAACCGGATATGACATCGCGGGGTGAGGCCCAGACGGCGGAGATCAAGAATCGTGTATGCGACCATCTGGCCCGGTCCGTGGTAGGTTGTTTGTCCGCCGCGCAGGGTGGGGTGGTACTCTGCTATCGGGGAGCCATTGGAGGAGGAGAGGATGTGTCGGATTGGTTCTAGCGCTGGGGGGAGGGAGAGGGTCTTCGATGGAGGCGATGAGGATTGCGGAGAGGTGTTGGAGGGAGGCAGGTCTCGTCGGCCGGTTGTGTAGACGGGGTTTGGGGTGAAGGTGATGATTGTTGGATCGGGAGGGGGATTTGTAGCAGAGGATGCGGTAGCGGTAGGGTCTATTTTCTTATGGGCTAGGAGACGTGATGTGAGGGTTTGTTGGATGTTGGAAACGCGTGTGAATGGAGTGATGCTGGGGAAGTGAAGGTGTGCGAGTCTCATGATGCCGGCCGGATTGGTGAAAGGGTTCGAGGATGAATAGAGGTTAAGAAGTGATCGCACTGTTCATCGATGTATAATATGCACCATAGTCGAGGTGGATTTGGTCAATTGGTGTTGTCTGTCTTATTCGAGGCGGATCATCGGGTTGAGGCTTGGTGAAGACGTCAATTGCCCGCGGAATACGGAATACGGAGCAGCACAAGGCGAGTTATCCGGAAGCGATAAGCGTCGATGTCACTCCGTCAATAGCCGTTGCTTACGTCGATCATGTGACGTAGATTGTAGAATCGATTCTTGATGGTTATCTTTGTGAATAGTATACAATTAGACAAAGGTTGATGTGTAGTCCTCAAGTATTCATAGCTGACTTTTTTAATACGAGAGATTCATGCATCGCCTAACAGAAACAAGGTTTCAACGTAGAGCAGTTGCTCGTAAATCATAGTTCCCTTTTATTCATGAAAAACAAAAGAATGTACTGGGATCATAAAATCCAATGGAAAACTTCAACGTCACGGGGTATCGCCGTTAACCAGACCAGAATGTGGTTGTTCTTCACCCTCCGTGACCACCGTCCAGTCCCGTACACCACCCTTCCAGTCTGCGATACGGCCTTCGCGAACCCTGACAGTAACAACCCGGACATCACTATCGATGGAGAGACTGGGTCGTCTTTGTCCAATTTGCTGCTGCTGTTGGCCGAATGTGTTCATCTCTTCCTCCTCAAAAGTGTTATTCTCCAAATGTTTCTCCTTGCACCAGGATTCTTCTTCCGAGCCAGCTTCCAGGAAACGGGCTGTGCCTGTAATGGTCGTAGAGATGCTGGATAGGGCACTCGTATTCAAATTCATCAGCAAGCTCGCCAGCGACGAACGGGTCGCAGCAGGTGGCGGGGAGCCTTCACGGTCTCCAGTCGGCGCCCGGGTAGGTGGGCGATGGGACACCCAGTCGTGAACCAGAAGAGATACTCGTGGGTTAGTCAAGAGATGGTTAGTTTTTCGGGAGGAAGGATTGGTGGTCATGATAATTGTTGGGTGCGGGTCAAAGGGAGTTGAGGGCAGATAGGTGTAGGACATGAGAGAGATATGGGGAGTTAGGTCATCGCATGTTGCTAGATGAAGCTAGAATGAAGATCAGCGTCAATCCTAATCACAGAAATGAGGACAGGTGATAACACATACAAAACGTGAGTTCTTCAGGCACGAAATGACCTCCGAAGGCAAAGTGGTTGCGACGTGGGGGTGAGTGGTGGTAGCAGAAGCCTCGTAGGAGAGAGGAGGGTTGAGCGAGTCCGTCATAATGGGCACTTCTTTCTTTCAAGTTGGAAACCGAACAATGAAACTATCAACTTGATGATATCCCCAGTACAACGGTGAACAGAGATACGTAGCGGTGTGTGTGCTCGAAAAATCTCTCCGCTGCCAGGACTGCTCCAGCCTCGACCGACCGTTTACGGCCGGGCTCGATCGGATCGCCGCCACTGGATCCATCGACGTCATCAGACACTGCGATGCACTCGACGGAGATAAAGAGAGAGAGAAGGGGAAGGCAAGGAATTAAGGAACAAGGATTATTTATGGGGCTATGGGAACAGCATCTCAATAATCAAAACTGAAGAGTTAGTGATGCGCAATCGGCGTGGAGACATTGAAACAGCTGTCGTCATGATGGCTTCAGGAATCAGGGTCAAAACAGCGATGATCGTCTGTGCAAATAGGCAATGGCGGCAAAACCGTAGCATCAACACGATCAACAGCTGGATTATCATTATTAGACCATGCGTAAAACCTCAGCTGCTCTCCCTAATCTTACTAGTCAACTAGCAGTCGTATTCCTATATAGCCTGTGGTAGCCGGCCCAAGCTCCCTTCCCCGCACTCTGTCGCTTTCCCCAGCTTCTTCTTCCTCTTCCTCTTCTCCATCTCCCCTTTTTCTCATCCTGAAACAATCATACTGCCACGGCCATTCGTGTCCATCTGATTATTCCTGATCAACCGTGATTCGTACCCGAACTCCATCCTCTGGGGAGTTTGTCTTCTCCGCTTCCCTTGGTCCTGCTAAACGGCTGCTACCTGGTCCTTCTTCCGCTGCAGCTTCCCTTCCATCCTGTTTGGTCGTGTGTCCATCTGCCAACCGACCGACTTCCCTGTCCCTGCTCTTTCTCCTCCATCAACCCCCTCTCCCTCCTCTCTTCTTCATAACCCCTCCTACGTTTCCTTTTAACTGTCTTCCTGCTGCTATCCATCATTTGCATCTCTTGCATCAATCTTTGTTGTTTGCCGAGACTCACTACCTCACCCCTTGCAAACCTTTCCTCTCCCCTTTTTTTTTTATCTGCAGCGTTTCTGTTGTGTACCACCCAACATGCTCGCACCACGCTATTTGCGCCCTGTTTCTTCACTGGTGCGGCCTTTTAGCTCTTCCACCACCCTGTGTCGTGCTCCCTCCATCCGTGACATTACCCCCGACTCGGCTGCTGAGTTCAATGCCCGCCAGAAAGAGTTTCGTGAGAATTTGGAAGTAGCTCGCAAGAAGAAGGAACAGCAAGAGAGTCAGTCTGTCGATGCTTCTGCCTCTGCCTCTGCCTCATCATCCCCTGCATCCCGTGATCGTCTCCGTGAGTACGCTACCGCTCCCACTGCTCCGCAAGCGAGCAATGCGAGCAGTAACACCAGTCATGTTTTTGACGCCGCTGCAACTCTTGACAATAGGTCACTGGGCTTACTGTCCACGCATCGTTCTATAGGAGAAAAACAACTGCTGGACGCTAACCAGTCCCCCAAACGGGGTGCTCTTTCGTCGCTCATCTACGGAACACGGGAAGGCCAACAGCTTGATAAAGATATTGAACGCTCCTTTTCGCAAGTCCTTGCCCGCGGAAAATATGTCCATTCGATCGTTTTCCACGAAGTAAAGCCCGACAAAGTAGACGAGTATGTTGAACTCGTCAGCAAGTGGTATCCCCGTATGGCGGGGATGGAAGAAAACCGAGTGAATTTGGTTGGAAGCTGGCGCACTCAAGTTGGAGACAATGACACATTTGGTATACATAGCCATACAGCTCCCCTGTTCCTTTGAGCTGTTTCCATGCGCGTTTGGTATGCTAACCCTGCGCCCACAGTCCACATCTGGGAGTACCAACGTTATGAAGGTTATCATGCCTCACTTCACTCTATCTCCCAACACCCAGAATTCCCCGAGTTTGACCGAAAGTTGAAGAGTTTGATCAAGAGCAAGAAGACGTCGTTGATGCAGGAATTCTCTTTCTGGCCAACGACCCCACCGCGCCGCCTTGGCGGACTTTTCGAGCTTCGATCCTACACACTTCACCCTGGAAACTTGCTCGAATGGGAGACACACTGGCGAAACGGTCTCAAGGCGCGCCGGGAAGTCATGGAGGGAGTTGGCGCCTGGTTCGTTCAAATCGGTGAATTGAACACCGTGCACCACCTGTGGCAGTTTGCAAATCTCGAGGAGCGCAAGATTCGCCGTGAGCTGTCATGGGGCATCGAGGGTTGGGCAGATACTGTTCACAAGACAGTCCCACTCATTCAGACCATGCAGAGTCGGATTCTGACCCCTATGCTTTGGAGTCCCGTGGGTTAAAAGACGTGTAGTTTGAATCCCACGGAGCTAGCTCCTCAAATTGCTAGCGCAATCTCATATTAGCCGGCCGGTTAGGCAGGCAGCTCGGATTTTTTTTCGGGAAATCGCTGAGCGCCATGGATGTGAGTGGACAAGACCAAAGGAGCAAGTGCTGGTTGTGATGGTGCTGCAGTTGATGAAGCATTGGTGATTCATAAGTGATCTGGGGATTGTTTTGAATTGTTCTGACGGTCCTTTTAAAAGGAAGATTGGAACAAGCATTATTTGGTCTACCCACTACCCACTACTCTACTGTATTAGGCTATCGTACCACTTTAGTGTATGAGATATGGCATTTCATCACTTGTACCTATTTACCATGAATCAAATGCGCTGTTTTTCCTTTCACTCTTATCTTCAAGTAATCATTCAAAATTCCCACCCTTCGAAGCAAATTTTTTAGCGACTCCGATCCCCCAAGTCCACCAATCCCAATCCCAGTCCCAACTCTCAACTCTCAGCTTTCAGCTCGCTCAGACACTACCCCACTTTTTATCACGGCTTCTTCCATGGCGATCAGTAAATTAAACCACCATCACAAATCGTCTTCGACAAATGACATCGTGTCCTGTGCGATGCACGTGGGCCGCCGTCGAAGAGAACCGAGCCCGGTTTGCCTACTGTGACGAGTGTTCCCCGCCTTGCTAAGGAAACTTTGGCATGTTGTTTTTCCGGCAGAAAAAAAAATCAACAGACTTGCGCACCAGCTGCTTGTTTTCTTCCCAACGAATCTTCCCCTCGCAGCTCTGGGTTTCTGAATTCAAAACAGCCCAGATAACCGTCAATTTTCGCTACTTCTTTGACTATTTCCATCTCCCTCTGCGAGCATCACCCAAGTTTGCAGCTTCTGACCACCCCCTGTCTTGGTCATTTCACCGCCAGGTCGTATCAGAAGAAAAGAACTCCGAAGGAATTCTCCACAGCTTCTTCCCCGTAGACGGGGATTGAGAGGAAGGACAAACCATAGAAAAAGCTTAAGATGGTCTACATTCGCCAACATCAACTGCCCAAACTCCGGGAATACCGGTATTCTGGGGTCGACCATTCGCTTATAAGCCGTTATGTCCTCAAGCCGTTTTATAATAAATGTGTGATCAACTGTTTTCCCATGGGTATGGCGTAAGTAGAGTCCCTTGAAGAGGAACTTGGTGCTGGCTAGATAGTTTACTGACAGCATTCTCTCTTTAGGCCTAATGCCGTAAGTTCTCTCTAACTGCTTCATTTCCCTGGTCCGGTCAAATTGGAACAGAATAATAATGAGCGGAATCATTACGCCGGTAGATTACCCTGACGGGATTCTTATTCGTGGTATTTAATCTCGTCACCATGCTATGGTATAATCCAACGCTAGACCGTGATTGCCCGCCATGGGTTTATGCCAGCTGCGCTCTGGGGCTTTTCCTATACCAAACTTTTGATGCCGTAGATGGCATGCAAGCGTAAGCATCCGTGATATCCCTTTTTGCGCGTCTATGGACTAAATCTGACTGAATTGTTTTGTATCTATAGCCGGAGAACAAGACAAAGTGGTCCTTTGGGTGAATTGTTCGATCACAGTACGTGGAATGCTTCCTCGAAGAGAAAATAGATATTGACCTTTGTTTCTTTCAGGTGTCGATGCATGCAACACTGCCTTGGGTGTTTTGATTTTTTGCGGTACGATGAACTTTGGCCAGTCATGGGCAACTATATTGACACTTTTTGGATGTATGTTGGATCCTCTGCTATTTCTGGAGTATATGTGCTGATATGGTTAGCGACCATGACTTTCTACGTTCAAACTTGGGACGAGTACTACACCCAGGTTCTGACTCTGGGTATTATCTCAGGTCCCGTTGAGGGCGTTCTCACCCTCTGCGTTGTCTTTGGATTTACGGCCTATGTGGGTGGTGGCAGTTTCTGGCACCGGGCCATGTTCGAGACAATTGGCGTTCCCAGGCTGGAATCCGTCCCAAAGGAATTGTACGAGATGCGCTTTACGGACTGGTATTTGGTGTACGGTGGAATCCTGCTCTTCTTTGCCACCGGCTCAAGTATCCTACACGTCATCCAAGTTCAAAAGGAACGTGGCCAGGATCCCATCAAGCCACTTTACGGCCTTCTTCCTCTTGTTGCTGTGTGGACACTTGTTCCAGCTTACCTTCACTTGCAGCCGACAATTTTGGAGAACCATATTGTTCCGTTCGTGCTTTATGTAGGCTTGATCAACGCCTACGCTGTGGGGAGAATGATTGTCGCTCACTTGATCAAGGGCGAATTCCCTTACATCAACATTCTTCTGGGGCCTCTTGCTTTCGGCGTGTTTGACAGTGCTGGTCCCCTCCTTGGTCTCTGGCCGAGTCTCATCGGAAACGGGGCGTGCCAGGTTGGATTCGTGTTTGTCTGCTTGGGTCTGGCGATTGGTGTCTATGGAAGTTTCGTGGTAAGTTTAATCCATTTTGCTTTGAAATTGATACCTACAGCAGTGCTAATTACTTGACAGTATGATGTGATCACCACGATCTGTGACTACATCGACATTTGGTGCTTAACCATCAAGCACCCGCACGTCGAAGAGAAACCAAAGATCAGCGGACAGGCTGATGGTGTCTCGAAGAAGACGCTTTAATGATTGACAATCTTCTCGGATGTTCCACTTGCATATAAAATATGCGACACGATCCATGAATTATGTACGAGCGTGGTATCTTGTTCATTTACTCCAGAGTGGGTATTGACCTACTCCATTTTTTTTTTTTTTTTTTCGGGGAAGAGATTGGTTGTAATGTGTCTCAGGAGCGATCGAGGAAGACTTTTTTTGTTTTGAATTGGAGCTACGATGTACTCCATACCATAGACTATTTATGCATATACATCAGTGCATACATGCATTGCTGGGCTGGAAACCCAGCATACGATCATGGATGATTGTACTGCCTTAGAATATTAGATGAGAATTAGCAAATAGAAACAATTGTATTATGATATCATCAGATCTTACTTTGGACAATCTTCCATCCACCAGCGACTACAAATCACAGGTCTCACGACTCTTCTAGATGGTCTGACTGAGATCATGAAGTCTAGATGTAAATGGATAACTAGATCGATCCAGCATATACGAGCAACTTCGATCAAATCCTGGCCGCTGATTGGCTGCATCCCGGGCCGACATGGGGTAAACGCACGGGCCAAGCAAAGCCTACTGGAAAAGGAGAGCTTAGCGAGGGTTCGAACCCTACTCTCCCCAAACGGGACGGTTTGGGTGTGACGCCGTCGACAATTCCCTTCCATCTCCACGAGACCACCTCTTCCGCTTCACACCCTCAAGCAGGCCATCTCCATCAGCGCTCCATTCAACCTCCTTCGCTGATCGACTTATAGTCTCGTCAAGATGGTGAGTTTTCATCGCCTTTTTGCCTGCTTATCGGGCCTTTGACGATGATCCTGGATAGTCGGGCCTGGTTGCACAGACCTGGCATGTCTACCTTCGGGGGTCATCGTCGCCGTCGCCGTCGCCAAATTTTCATCGGCCTTGAACGGATGAACAACTTGTCTAACATGTCCTTTTTTCCACTATAGGTTCTCGCGATTGACCTCCTCAACCCCTCGCCTCAGGCTGAGGCCCGCAAGCACAAGCTCAAGGTATGCAAATTTTGGGCTCATCGATACACAACCCCGTTCCTTCCACCAAGATAGTTTGGATGACTGACTTGGACCTTTTCTCGCACCACAGCAACTTGTGCCCGGTCCCCGCTCCTTCTTCATGGACGTCAAGTGCCCCGGCTGCTTCACCATCACCACCGTCTTCTCGCACGCCCAGACCGTTGTCATCTGCGCCGGATGCTCCACCGTTCTCTGCCAGCCCACCGGTGGTAAGGCCAGACTCACTGAGGGATGCTCTTTCCGCCGGAAGTAGATGTCACGCCGTACCGAGCCGAGGCGATGATGAAAGAAATGTGGCGTTCTTCTTCGACGATGGATTAATATTTTTTGAGGGAGCAGATACAGATAGAAGATGGAATCCTCGCCCTTTGCGAGAAACCCAAAAAATTTTACAATGTTCGAAGGCAACCCACAAAACAAAAAGCGTGACAAGTGTGTTCTAAGCTTATTTTTTCCACATGGAGGGGAGTTCCGGATATCTGCCACATGAATCGGTCCAACTATATCAACTTGTTTTTTTCTTCCTTTTCTTGCACCCTAACGTTCTTCCATTGTTCCTCCTTGTTCTCTGTGCACTGGCTTTGTACGACGTGTTTTCGGATGGAATGTATCTCAACGAAAAAAATCGGACGATGGGATATCTAAAAGAAAAGACATCTGCATGAGCCTTGCTGGATGATACAGGAATCCGGATATCAAAAGACAGCGAACTACGACTTTTGACGATGTGAATGACTGGATTGGCTGGCAATGTGCTAGGAAAGCGGTGCCTTGGATAACCTTGGATGTGCTTGATGGCAGACATACTTGTGCTTGGTTGCAGACCGTGTAGCCTATGGATGTATGCTAAAAGTGAATCCAAGTCGATATCCAGTCCCTCCCATCCGTCCTCGTATGAATAGTTTATGCATTGTATGACGTATGATATTTTGAAGCAGCACTCCGCACCTGTAGCATCCGTCTAGAATATGTAGTGTATTCTCATTATGCTTGGAACATCTGCCATCACATTTAACTAGGCACTACATATCGTAGAGCCTCGCCCTTGAAGGCTTGACATGCCCATTTGCCCCACCTGGTCATAGCCAGCGTCTATCGATAACATTAGTGCCATTGAGCCCTTGTATGTACGAGCGGTGAGACATCTATGTCCTGCATAATCTGAAGGATTCTGGAATCGAAATCGGACAATTCGATGATGTGTGCTGCATGTAACATAGTCCAATAGCTGTGTATAAATGACAATGCCACGTCATCTGAGCGAGAGCACTCATATTTATTCTCTATTTCAGAAATGCAAGTTCTATACTCTTGTACACAGGATACCCATCACCAATAGCATATTCAAAACCAGCTTCTTTTCCTGAGTATATATAGTCCACGCCGTGTAACTTTCCCCACACAGACCCATTGGCTATATGCCTAGCTTAAACATCACTCAATGCCTTAGCCTTGCTCCGAATATCATCACCAAAGTCCACCGGGTTGGATGGGTCACCGCCCGTAAGGAGGGCCAGTTTGCCCGTCGTATCATTCACCAGGATATTGGCAAAGTTGTTTCGACCATATACCTCCGAGACCTGATCGCGGGCGGCCTTGTCGCCGGATGTGTGCTTTTCAACGTCAATGTCTTTGAGTTGCTTGTAGGTGTTGCGGACCAAGTCGTAGAGGAAGAAGAAGGTTGGGTGGGGGCTTGGAGGTTGCATTTGGGGGATGTGACTCGAAGGAACTTTAAAGGGAATTGTCAGTTTGATGGCTATTAGGATGATAGGAAGTGATTTGATTCATTCCACGTTGTGGGAGAGGGTGGACGTACTGAAGCAGCTCGGTCATGGCAGTGTCGGCCTTGGTGAGGTCGAAGTTCCAGGTTTCAGACGCCATTGTGAAGTATTAATGGGGATATAAACTTGATTAATACTTGGCCAAGTGTAGGAATAGATGCTGATGGTTCTCATAGATGGATGTTTGTTGTTGACAGTTGAGCTCATACTTTGAGGGGAGATGACTACTCCGCCTTTGGTTATCTTATCAGCGATCCCACTCGAGTAATCAATATCTTCACATTCGCTCTTTCTCTCTCCCTCCCCTCGCACCAGTCTATTTTATTCAATCGCTGATGCAAAGGCCAGTCCTGCTATCTGAATTCAATCGTCTACTCAGCAATCCGTTTTATCGATCTCCCTGTCGCTTCCTATCCACCATCATCATGACTCCCCGCCAACCTCTCAAACTCCTCATGCTCCATGGTTACACCCAATCTGGCGCCCTCTTCCATGCCAAATCCCGCGCCTTGATCAAACACATCACCAAGGCTTTTCCCCTCCACGAAGTCGCCGCCATCTACCCCACGGGCCCCATTCATCTCAACCCCGCCGATATCCCCGGCTACGAACCCTCCCCAAACAATGACATGGACGAAGCCGTCGAAGCCTACGGATGGTGGCGCCGCTCCAACACTGCCGACCCACCCCTTTATCTTGGTCTCGAGGATGGTTTGGATGCTGTCGCAAAGGTTCTTCGCGATGAAGGCCCCTTTGATGGTGTAATTGGGTTCTCGCAGGGTGCTGCCTTGGCCGCGATGGTGGCCGGCTTGCTCGAACCCGGACGGAAGGATACCTTTGCCAGGGTTGCGGAGCAGGATAAGGGTAACAGTGATGGAGTTACTGGATTTTCTTTCCCGTCGGGCTTTGACTCGCTTTCGCATCCGCCTCTCAAGTTTGCGCTGTGCTATAGTGGGTTCCGCTCGCCGGGTGCGCGGTACCGGGCTTTCTACGAGGATCCCGCGATTCAAACTCCTGTGCTGCATGTGTTGGGTTCTTTGGACTCGGTCGTGGATGATAGTCGCAGTCGGTCGTTGATTGAGGCCTGTGCCGGTGATCCAGAGAAGGAAGATAAGGTGGTTTGGCATCCCGGTGGTCATTTCTTGCCTAGCCAGCGGCCGTATTTGGATGCCGCGGTGAGGTTTATTAAAGAGCGACTGGACGGTCAGGGTGGTAAGGGCCAGGAAGAAGAGGAAGATGTTCGAGACATGGATTTGCCATTCTAGAGTATTGCGCATGGTAGATACCTCCTGTTTTATATATACTACTGCTGCGTCTAGCGTTTTATCGGCATCTTTGGACAATACAATTGACGATTTATACGATAGAGATAACTAATTACCATTTACACGAAAAGCATGCAATGGTGAGCATTATTCAATGTGGTCTACCGTAGATTATTTTACACGCTGTTGAAAACATCCAGCGCCAATTCATTCATGTCCGCTATCCACATAAAGTCCTTGAAGGTAGGCATTTTAACGAGCCTTGCCCTTCTCGCCCCGGGTCGGAAGGATTCTGGCCATCATCTCTTCCTTGGTGATCAAGTGATCGATGCGCTCCAACAGACCCAAAAGGCTCTTCATGTCACTGCTCCATTCGTTCAACACGTCATCCGCATCGCGGGGTTTGGAGAAGCTGATCAATCGAGCAGGGCGGTCAATCTTGGCGTAAATAGTCTTCAACATAACCAGTTCGCTAATGTACTTCTCCGTCTCTTCTTCCGTCAGGTCCAACAGCTCGGTGAGGCGGCCCATTTGAATGCGAGTGTAGTACTTGGCCACCACGCGGACATTGTGCTCGATCACGCGCTTCCGAAAATCTTGCCATCTCTTGTGTCGCTGGTCATCAGTGGACTGCGCGGGCTTAGCATCGAAAACATCGGTGTCACATAGATGAGGTCCGAATTGCTCCGCAACAACCGGCCAGCGCATGAGCTCATGAATGGTAAACATCTTAACCAACCGACTTTCCATGGGAACCACAGAAAGTCGGCTATCTTGTTGGATGCGGTGCAGCAGGTCTGACTGCTCATTGTCATAGGGCGACAGAACGATGTAGTAAACAATTCGGGCAAGCACCTTTATGCAGTGTTAGCGATGGGAACGAGCCACAAAAAAAAATATTAGATGTAAATCTTACTGCTCGCAGTTGCTCTGGGTTGTTTTCCACCGACTCTGTGTCCAAAACCTCTCTGTAGTGTTTGCAAACCTCGAGGTACTTGTAGTCATGGTTGGAAAGGACGATTTGTTGTTCGTAGTAGCGAAGCTTCAAATCCGTCACATCATCATCGACTTCCATCGGGGCTTCATCAGGGCCACGAGTCTTTTCTCTTTCCTCAGCCTCCTTCTTGAGCTTCTCAATCTGTTCGGGGGTCTTCTTCGGCTTGCGGTTAAAGTATCGCTTGTTGATCTTGCGGCTCAGAATGGTAGCCTGCGTCCAATCGCCTCTTTCTATGCAAAGAGAAACTTGTTCCAAGATGAACTCTGTCTTTTCTCTTCTGGTCATGGAACCAAAGGTCTCCACCTGCAACTCGCACAAAATGTCGGCAGCGGCGTTAAGGTCGCCTTGGGACTTCCTGATATTAGATAGGATGCGGGTGACACGGGCTCTCTCAACTTCGACGAAGATCTGCGAACCACATTAGAAACTGCACCGAAGCTGTACAAGGGAAACGACCAACCTTTCCCTCAGTCACTGTTCGCAAAGTTTCAATGACGGAAAGCTTAACATCCAAGTTAGGGGTTTCGTCAAGGAATCCCATAACCGTCTGCACCATCCTTGTTGTAGCCTGCTTAAGCTGTCCATGTTTCTTGGATAGAAGGAGCACTTGGTCGTTGAGGAGGTTCCAATCGCCGGAGTTCTTGCTGAGTGTGACGATAGTGATGAGGAGTCTGGATGTGGTGGGCAGATCGGAGGCCTATATTTCAAATCAATATTAGACACAAAACCGTGATAAAGAGACAACAATAAGATGTCATACCTGTCTTGCCTGCTTCTCCAGCACCAAGAGCTTGTCAATAGCACCCTGGACATCGGTCTGCCAAACCATGTCAGCATTTGATTTGTTTCATTATCGCAAGCCAGTTCGCACCTTTGCCAGCGCCTCCGCCTCTGGGATCAGCTTGTCAGCATCCTTGGTGAAGTCCTTCTCGGCCTTCAAGATGCCGCCGTCAGACATGGTGACGAAAGCTGGTGCGTCACGTCGTTGAAAGTTGGAAATCGATAGGTGTAAGAGGGGGGATTCAGTAAACCAGGCAAGCTAAGTATGCACTAGCCTGAGGTCGAATTAGGGTGATGTGGAGGGGAGGTTTTGGATGGGAATGGGCATGAAGCTCTGACGAGGTCTACGCCCTTCTGCGGAGTTGCTTCGAGCTGGCTGGCGGAAGCTGTCCCTCACGTGATCTGAAATCAGCGACGGTGAGTGCAGCTGGACTTGCGATGGTCAACAAACACCCTTTTCTACGTGAGATTGCAGCAGCCATCCTGCTTTTCTTTTCTTCCTGCTCTCTAGAAGGCCATGTATCATGTAGCATGGACGACCTGTCAACAATTGAGCAAGAATGCTCTTCATTCTATCATCAATGCGACTGAACACTAACTACAGAATGGGATCGAAGCCCACACCACACCAGATGCACTGTCCATGATGAAACCATAGCCGGGAATCTAGTCTGAATACCCTCAAAAACAGCCGAGAGCGTCTGCTGGCTGGCACTTCTGCTTCTTTCACGGCAAACCCGTTCAGGATGTCAACGTTCCCCAGGTGCTTAGATAAGCGGCACACCGCGATCACGCAATCACGCAATATTGCATTAGCTGCATCGGGATTTGCTGAGAGGATTGTATAAAATAAAATCCCACAAGGTGATGGGGATGGTATACCAGCTTTTTGCTTGTGTTTCCTGCGGCTTTGGGATTTATTAATCGCTTCAGATAGGCTTATCAGGCCTGTTATTTGCCTCAAATTCAGTCCTCGGAGACGTTTTGGTGTTATCTGGAACTCGCCGCATTTGGGTTTGGACTTTTTCCGCGGAAGTTGGAAATCGCAAGCAGTCAAAAGAGTCACATTATCCCACTTATCTTTACCCGTGGCTCTTAAGGGAGCGAAAACCTGGGGATCATTGCTTGTTGCAATTGAAACCCTCCGTGCATTTCGTCTCATTTCGTCTTATTCAATATAAAGAAGCAAGGCATTCGAAGCCCCCGGATATTGAGCCGTTGTGGCAACTTGACACGATGAAGGATGCGTCGTGCGATAACAGCCCTCGGGCACCTTTACTGGCAGCAGTAAATGCAGATTCTCAGGTGCATTTGATTGTCGGTTCAAATCCTCTTGCAGCAGCTCGTTGTGCCAAAAGCCTCGAGGCTGGTGCGAAGCCAATCATCATTGCTCCGGAAACAGAAGATTTGCAATATGCATTGTCTGAACGTATCGCAAATGGATCAGCACAATGGGTACGCAAAGAATTCCACGATGAAGATCTAACGAGTTTGGGGCGAGAAGAAGTCGACCATGTCGTGGACATGGTTTTTGTCACACTAGGCGGAAATCACCCACTCAGTATGTATTGATCGCTGGACATGTTCAAGAACACTCAAACCCTAACCTGCCTCCTTAGGCTCTCACATCTCGAAGCTCTGTCGACGTCTAAGGATTCCAGTCAACGTGGCTGATGCTCCTGATCTTTGTACATTCACCTTGCTTTCTACATACTCGGATGGCCCTCTCCACATTGGCATTACTACATCAGGACGCGGTTGCAAGCTTGCATCCCGTCTACGGAGAGAGATCTCTGCTTTCTTACCACCAAGCCTTGGAGCTGCGATTGACAGGCTGGGTGCAGTCAGGAGACGCTTATGGGCCGAAGACCACGCTGCTGGACTATGCGGCGAGACCTTTGAGGGCGAAGATGATGATTCCACAGGCCAGAAACATACATTCAACACATTGGTCACCCAAGATGACGTTTCAGCAACCAAAACAAGACGCATGCGTTGGCTTTCCCAGATATGTGAATACTGGCCACTCCGCAAACTCGCGGACATCAGCGATTCCGATATTGATGTTATCCTCGAGGCTTATTCGTCTGGAAAGAATGACGCTAAAGAAATCAACGGTGCTGAGTCCTCGCCACGGACAGGGAAGATTGTTCTGGCTGGCTCCGGCCCAGGACATCCAGACTTATTGACCCGAGCAACCTATCATGCAATCCAGAACGCCGACATCATTTTGGCAGATAAGCTTGTGCCTGCGCCAGTTCTGGAGCTCATTCCTCGGAGAACAGAGGTTCACATTGCACGCAAATTCCCGGGCAACGCAGACCAAGCACAAGAGGAGTTCCTCCAAATGGGAATAAAAGCTCTTCGTAGCGGACGACATGTGCTTCGATTGAAACAGGGAGACCCTTATCTTTATGGTCGTGGAGGAGAAGAGTTCGAATTCTTCCGCAATGAAGGATTTGTCCCTGTTGTCCTTCCTGGAATCACAAGTGCACTGAGCGCCTCACTATTTGCAGATATTCCAGCAACTCACCGGGGCGTATCTGATCAAGTCTTGATTTGCACAGGAACTGGCAGAAAAGGCGCGGCCCCAGAACCTCCTACATATGTACCGACGCAGACAGTTGTTTTCCTCATGGCATTGCACCGATTGTCAGCTCTCGTGGAGTCTCTCACTACACCAGCAGCAGACAATAGCAGCTCGCGCCCCAGGACGCCCTGGCCAAAGAAAACTCCTTGCGCGATCATTGAGCGGGCTTCTTGTGCAGACCAGCGAGTAATTCGCTCTACACTTGAGCATGTGTGCAAGGCATTTGAGACTGAGGGGTCACGGCCGCCCGGATTGCTGGTGGTTGGAGCTAGTTGCCACGTCTTGCACCAACAGAAAGACCAGAAATGGGCTGTCGAGGAGGGATATCGGGATCTCGATGAACTGCGCAGCAAGATCGACGAGCCTCCGGTGATTGGAGTGAAGAGAAAGTGCGCTGAATGAAGGCTATCCACAACATGGAGACACGACGATTAAAATGATGATCACGATGATGGAAAAAAAAAAAAATTTCAGCCTAAGAATGGCGTTGGATATAAGAAAAAAAATAGAGATACCCATAGACATTCAAACAATTTATTGCATTATTTGCATTCATTCTCTGAGTAGCAATTGTAGTTCTAAATTCTCTGATTGCCTTTAAAAGCCACGCGAGTCACGGGTTACGGCTGCCACCGAGCGGATCTCAGACCCACAGGGGCAAGTGTCCCCAACGACTTATTCTTATCGCAAAGTCCAGACTCGCTGCATTTTCAACTATAGCCAGCGTCAATAAATCTATCACATTGGCATCATACCCATCATGTCTGGAGACAATAAGACATATCTGTCCAACGGGCAGGTTCTTGGAAAGTGAGAAGACGGCTATCCTTTATTTCCCCGCACCTCAGTGATAGTGCTAACAACCGACTTCTGCGCATCAGTCCCCCATTCTCAGTTCGCGTTTCTCGGGCGTTCGAAAATGTCTATGTCTTTCTGGGCCTTTACTTCGTGAGCCTCTTTTCGGTACGTTGCATTGCTTTCATCCCAGTATTTGGTACAATCAAGGGAGAAAGCTACATATCCAACCCCGCTGTGATGCGACATTGCGCAAATTTGAGGCTATCCACACTCTCCCCCAACGGCTAGACACCTCAATACTATTTGCTGCCGAGCTATGGCTGACATCTTCTTCTTCCAGCTTGATCCATACGCCGCTGCCCAGAACTCGCAATTCAACATCTCCAATCCAGGAAACAGATCCAGCGCGCGGCCACGATGGGGAGGCGGTAGTTCCGGCTCTGGAGGCGGCGGCGGTGGAGGAGGTGGTTTTGGTCCTAGGAGAGTTGGACGGGTTGATGATGTTCGAGGGCCGGAATGTGGCAGTTGTCGTTGAGGACGCAAATGGTTGATTGATTGTCACATGTCACATATTGGGTTTATTTTTGCCTGGGAGTTTTATGTACAGGAGCATTATTGATTTGGTATCATTTTGATGGTTTAATATGAGATGCTCTAGCCGTCTTTCTCTGGGCGTCTGTTGTGCTACTGCATTTACATACTCCGTACCTGGACCTCATTTGAAAGCTAGAAGGCTGGTCTTGCGACTATCTACCAGTCGTACACTGTGTACATATGGAGTCCCTACATTTTCATCTGCAAAAAATACCATTGTCAAGTCATGAATACATCAGCGCCATCCAGCACATGATGATGCAGCCATCCATACCATCACGTGATGGTGCTTCTCCGCAGTTCGAGGGGAAATGAATCCCATCGAGATGAAGTCATACCGATTTCAGTCGTCCTGGGAGAGAAACGTTTGTTGCACTCCATCTGAACCTGGTAGTCAACCGGCGAGTCGTTGAAGTTGAGTCGCCAGTAATCCTCTATATTTGAGTGGAACCGGTCAGTATCTCGGTTACTTATGTGTATATGTCTGATGTCGCTTGCATGATTCGCATCCTTCCAGTATCGATATGTCCTAGCTGACTCTGTCATTTCTATAGAGTACCCTTAGGTACTAACATTCTGACGACCATGCCTCTTCCAACAAACGATGAAGACTGGGCAGATTTGATCGCCAATACCAAAGAATCACTTCCCGAGACCTTTGTCGTGCACCATTCTCCAGTTCCCTCCGCCATCCACCGTCTGATTGACCATACCCTGTTAGCGTTGTCTGCCACTGAGGAACAAGTAGAAATCTTGTGCGCAGAAGCCTGCCAGCACCGGTTTGCCTCGGTTTGCGTCCGCCTAGAGCACGTCAAGCTCGCAGTGGAAAAGCTCAAAGCATGTTCAGATGTCGCGGTAGACTGCGTCGTCGGCTTTCATGAAGGCATGTACGAGACTTCAGAAAAAGAGCAAGAAGCAGCAAAGGCAATCGAGCTGGGGGCACGGGAGCTGGATATGGTGATCAAATGGCCGTTGTTGAAAACAGGCAATTACAGCGAAGTCTACTCGGACGTGCTGGCCGTACGGAGAGTGGTATCTCCGCCGATCAAATTAAAGGTTATCCTAGAGACGTCGCAACTCACTCGTGAACAGATCATCGCGGGCACAACCATAGCAGTGATGGCGGGGGCCGATTTCGTCAAGACCAGCACGGGGTTCAAAGGGCAGGGAGCCACCATCGACAACGTAGCTCTCATCCGAGCCACGACCGATGCAGTCGGAGGAGGATGCAAAGTCAAAGCCAGTGGAGGCGTGCGGTCGGCAGAAGACTGCGTTCGAATGCTCAAAGCGGGCGCTCATCGAGTCGGAACAAGCTCGGGAACGAGAATCATCCAGGAGCTGGGCGAAGAGGAGTTACAGGAACAAGGAGCATCTCATGCCGTTTACTGAGTATGACTAGTGATAGATTTAGCATGATGGCAATAATATCTTTTTTTTTGAACTGTGCTAGAATTAAGAATGGTACCTTAGCTTAAGGCTTGAACCCGACAGGCGTGGGTAGTATATCCGGTGGTATCGTGACATTATTGTGGATGCGTCGGTTCGATTCCGGATAAGGAGCAGTGGAGCACTACGTCATCAGGAACAACACTCAATGGCCCAGGGATTCTCGCTGGTTTCCCAGTTCCATCCATTCCAACCACCACCGAAAAAAAGATCTGCACCTTCATCGCAGGCCAAACATCTTCTCCCATACCCACCGATCTCTGGCTTTCTTTGTCCTCTTTCTGTCCTTTCTCGTGCCCTTTTTTGCTCCACAGCTCGTCCCAGAATGAAACGGCCCAGCCCCAACTACAAGGTACATAGCTAGCTACTCCTCACTTCCACCGATCGCGTGACGTTAAATGAGGGGGTGAGCAGGAAACTGACCTCCCACAGAAACGAAAAACCCTTCACGAACACAGCCCAGGTGGTCAACATGGAAACGGCGATGAAGTGTTCACTTCCAAGCCTACTGCTGTCTTTACTCCCAGTGGAGGAAGATCCCATACTCTAAGTGTTGCTATTCCTGGTAGCATCGTGGGCAAGTAAGTTGACACGCGGGGCTCTACCTCTGCTCGAAATTCTATCTTCATGATGAATTCATCTAACAATATCTCTTCTCTGCAGTGCCAAATCTATCGAGCAAAAAACTCTCCTCGCAGGTGCCATCGCACGTGCTCTTGCTGTCTTCTGTGTGGACGAAGTTGTCGTCTTTGACGACGACGAGAGTAAAGGTCATAATGACTATGATGAACACGAAGAATATGAATCCACTGTAGCCGATACCAACAGCCTTCTCAGTGGGAACTACGTCCCTGCGAAAGGCTTTACCGCCTACTCTGACCCGTCTCACTTCCTGGCCCATCTGCTGGCGTACCTCGAGACACCACCTTATCTGCGCAAACACCTCTTCCCTATGCATCCAAATCTTCGCACAGCTGGTCTGTTGCCTAGCCTGGATATGCCCCATCATCTTCGCGCCAATGAGTGGTGTGACTATCGCGAGGGCATTGTCGTCTCTGGCGATCAAAAGGGCCACGGGGGTCATGGCAACGGCAAGATGAGCCGACGTCATCGTAACCAGGAGAACCACGGTACCGTTGTTGACACTGGCCTATCCCAAAAGGTGGTTATTCCAGACGCCCAGCTTCCTGAACACGCACGTGTCACCGTGCGGTTTTCACAGCAAGGTGCGGACCAGGCTGAGCCTGTGCCTCCTTCAGCGCCCCGTGCCGAGGCAGGGTACTACTGGGGTTACTATGTGCGACGTTGCAAGTCACTGTCCTCTGTTTTCACTGAGTGCCCCTTCGACGGTGGTTATGATTTGTCGTTTGGTACTTCAGAGCGAGGAGCACCTCTCTCGCACGTCCTCGAGGAGGAGGAGCCTACCCACCCTGAGTACAAGCATCTTCTCGTTGTCTTTGGTGGTGTGGCAGGTCTTGAAAATGCGATCCGAAATGACCGTCAGCTCTGCGACATGTCCATCAGTCCAAACGACGCGGGTAAGCTGTTCGATTACTACGTCAACCTTCTCCCAGGACAGGGGAGTAGGACAATCCGTACCGAAGAAGCAGTCTGGCTGGGCCTGACAAGTCTTCGAGGCTTGGTCGATGGCTCTGCGCGACCCAAGAAGTGATATTTCGGTTCTTTAGCGGTGTTTTCTGTTACATTCCCAATTCCTGGTGAAATTACATCTCTTCATAGCCACAGGAGTTCTTGGGACTGGCGTCTGCGTGGGGCCTTTATCAATACTATCTGGCTGATAGTATCATATCATCCCGTCGTCGAATCTGTCCACTATCGGTAGTAGGAACGGGGACCTCACGTCCTCCGGCATATTACGCAGATATCCTGGAGTTTTCTTTTCTTTTCTTTTTTAATTTTCGGGGCTCATTTTCACTTATAATATAACTATTCCTTCTTCTCTTCACCTTCTTCGTGAGACCGAGCGAACTTTCGAGTTTGCATGAGTGACAAAAATCTGGCTGCCAGACTGTTAGTTAGCTTTTCCTTTGATCGATAATAAAAAGACTAGGAATCTATCCTACTCAGTATTGCTTAGATTTGAAAACAATCGCAATCATCTTCATCCACTTTCTTTCGGTATTGGCCTACATCAGACAATGCTATGTCTGCACGTACTTGGGAACACCTTTTTTGGAATACTATTATCGTTTCATTTCCATATATACAGTCCACTATCCGATACTAGTAGTGGCTTAATCACATCTATAAATCAACTAAACTTTTTATACCAACTGCGCCAGAGTCCATAACCCAATCAATGACATAAATGCATAAATGTGACTGGTCAAAGGAAACATGTCATCGGGTAAAAGAAGAGGAAAGGAAGATGGGGTCAATATCCAAGATTCCCCACGGTTATTGCTCATCGCTACTTTGATCATCTGTATCACTAGTCTGGACATCATCATCGATTTCCATCTTTCGGAGAACAGCATCGCCCTTTTTGCCCTTCTTTTCGGCGGCAAACCAGGCTTCGCGCTTCTTGGCTTCCCGCTCCTCCTTCCGGGCCTGTCGGAGGACCTTCTCCCGGTGACCCAGCTCCTGTTTTTGGTGTAGCTCATTGATGTAGTTTTGTAGATTGGAGAGGTCGGATCGGAGCTTAGTGACCTCATCTGTCGTGACCTGTCGGGCGGACTCGTTGATGGATGCTTTCTTCTTGAGTGTCGCGATCTCATCCTCGAGCACTGCAACTTCCGCACTGTTGGTGGGTGTGTCTTCTGCCGGTGCTGTGTAGGATGCGGAGGGAGTCTGTGCCATCACGTTGCCAGCGGGTTGTTGGCTCATGGCGGCCAATTCGGCAAGACCCTCTTCCATCATTGAGTCTGGGAAGAAAGCATGAGTTAAGGCTTCGGAAAACTCATTTGATCTCCCCTTCGACTCTCGACTCTTTCTCGTAGGAGCGTTGTCGGGCGATACTGAGGCGAGCATGTGTGTGCTGAACATGTATTCTGCCGGAACTGCACCAGGGGCATTGGATGAATCCGACAAAGCTTGGTCATATCTGGGTTTAACGATGGTGTGCGCTATCCTCTTCACATCGAGAGACGGGTGAGGAAGTCCAGACAAGGGAAGCATGAGCAGATTTGTGATGGGGTGGGTGTAATCAGCTATAGTCGAAGCGTATTTCCGTCTGGCAACGTTCCAAGAGAATACCTTTCCATTCTGCTGACCAGAAAGCAGAGTCATCCCATCGTACGAAACAGCAAGAGCCTGGATTGCCCCCGAATCCCCGGACGGCGGTAACCATCTATCTTCCGCTGATGGTTGAGCCGGGGTGGACTGTAATGAAGGATCGTGAAGAGGGTGTTGTATAGATTGGTTTTTGTAAAGGTCGATCGCCTGGACACTTCCATCCTCGTAGCCGACATAGAAAGCACGATCAACGGGGTCCAAAGTCACAGACAACGCAATCGAAGGCAAAAGGAAGGTCCGCAAGACCTGGCCGGCATGATAATCCCATACAATGGCTGTATTGTCCTTGGAGGTAGAAACAGCAATATTGTACCTACCAGCGCTGTGGCCTACTGCGAGAGAAGTGATGGCAGCGCGATGGTTCGAAAACGTACGAATGGGCGAGTTTGGTTGCTGTCGATCCCGACCAGACGGGGGTTTGGTGAAAGAGAGGATTTCAACTAGCGACCAGACATGGACACTGGCGTCTGAAGAGCCCGAGAGAATGAAATTAGACGTGGGGTCGACCACGAGAGAGGTGACTGGTTGTAAATGCGAAGCTGTCGTAGCGACTTGTCGTCCGGTACAGGTCTAACCAAGCAGTTGAATTAGAACCATGTTATCAAAATCAGATTTCTTCTCAATTAGATACTTACCTCCCACAAGATCAACCGCCCACCCTCTGTGCCCAAAACCAAGATATCGCCATTCTTGCTCCCCGCAGTCGCAATGCTGCGTATCCGTTCCGGGAAGGGAACCGTTGCTTCATGATTCCCTTTCTCTCTGCTGTACACATGGACGATGGCCTTTTCCGACTGTGCTGCGAACACATGCGACGGGCTCACGGCCAGGCAATTGGCTGCTGTCGAGCTTTTCTTGAACACGGAGCGCAGGTTGGATGAGGGCTGGAATTCATGCAGGCAGATTCCAACATCTCTGAGCGTCGCAGATGACGGCGCCTTGGCGGACGTCAAAGTCGACGCCAGGAAACACTCGGAGAGCATGAGGAGATGTGAGAAAGTGAGACAATTGTGATGGAGGAGTTGGAGGCGATCGAGAGGCAGCCAGAGCGTCTCATCTTTTTTTCTGATCGGCGATAAAACGATAAACGGTGTTTGCACTGTTTGCCTGGCTGGATCACCGCACCTCTCAAGGCTTTAAGCTCTGTCCCTATTCGACTTCATTGAATCAATTAATGGCTACTAGTCGATGCCCTGGATGATCTCCCATCAAGCTCAGACGGACTCTGAGTTTACTTCCTTCGATGCGATCCTTAATTGTTTTTCCTGCATGCTGGTTGACATTTTGCTAACGAACTGTTATGGCTGACTCAGCATCTACACTGGTTTCACTCCCAGTCGACGACAGCATCAGCGCAGATCGTCCTTCATCAACGCAAATTAGAGAAAACTGTCATTGTTCATTTCATCTCCAAGACACCATGAACTGCACCTTGTTCTATTTCAAATCTCTGTCACTTCAATTTCCCTCTGGCACATGCTAGTCTTTAGACCCCGAGCATGAGATGAACCTGCATCTCCCTTCCCAAGCAAGGGGGACCGTTTCTAGGGGCCTCTAATTGCCCATTGCAACCGCACTGTTGTCTGGACAGCGAACTTTCCAGAGGGACCGTGACACTCAATATTGCCCTCTAGGGCCCTCGCCGTGTCTCATTCCTTGAATTATGACGAATTTCAGGACCTGGCAAAAGCAACATCGCGGTGTCGCCCACGTTGTGCTGCTCCTGCAGGTGGTGCGGATCGAGAAATTGACCCAATGGCTACTGCCCAGGCACTCGTTGGATCTCACCTCCTTCAGGTATGCAAGGACGGTGGGGGTAGTAGCTCGCTGCAGCTCGCCCATGTTCCAGAGTGTGTTGTTGTTGCTGCTGCTGTTGTTCTGAATTGTCTTTGAACGACCCTCGCGAAGGGGTGGGTATACATACAGGCTCAAGGCATGGTGCTTTTCATTCCTTTTTTTGACACACCAGGAGCAGCGTCAAGGGATGTTTGGGATGCATTCTCCTTCGTAGGCTGTAAGTATAAGGGCCTGTCGACCCTTTCGTAAGATCATATCCGGGGTTTTTTCCTTCTCTTTTCGCTTTCGATACATCTAAATTCTCAATAATCCAGACTATCCACTTTTTATTTTCTCCGTCACTCGTTTATACGCCCTCGTTTTTTTGTCAATATACATGGATAATAATAATAGGTCCTCGATGGACTACAATCCCCCAACAATGCATTCAACAATGCATCATCATACCATGTCTGCCAATCCTGACCCGTCGTCCTATGTGACGAGGAATGTGCCCTCATACTATGGAGCGGCTGAGGACTCTATAACCTCAGGTAACAACAGTTCTTCATCGCCGCGATATTCACCGAACTTCCATCAGTCTTGGAGGAGACAACATTCGCAAAGCTCTCTTTCTTTCATGCCTTCCGCACCACGTCCAGAACACTCCGAGTACACCACATCGCAATCGAGGCGACAAGGTGATCGAGGTCCAATCTGTATCTCGCCATTCCGATCAGTGCGAAGAATGAAACAGCCCTTCCAGCTGGTCCTACCGACGTCTCCATCTATTGACAGTAGCCCATCCCTTGGAAAGGAAAGCCGGACATCAAGACGACTATCCGGAAATCCCACCTTGCGAACGTGGCGATCCGACGGAAATCTCATGGTAAAAGGCCTGTTTAGTCTTCTCCCAAGTCCTCCTCTGTCAGATTCGCCTGTATCGCACCCATCGCCTTGTCCCTCATCCACATACTTCTCACCAAAGCCCGAATCAGAACCTGAGAACGACGAGGTGGTTACAAATCCTTGCGGCTGCAGACCAGAAGCAAAGCTGTGCGATACCTGCAGCTCTCCACAGCCCGAATCCCAAGTGGAAGACCAGAAGACAAACGATACAACCAACGTACAATTAACCCACTCAACTCTTGTTGAGCAGTGTGGCCCGGAGAAGTCGCAAACTGAGCCCACTCAAGACGAACCTGTAATCATGGAGTCTCCTGTGATTCCCCCAGGCTTGGAGGCCCCTTCAAGGAGAAACATCTCTGGTTCATATTCCCAAACCCAGCGGTCAAGGGCTACGACAGTGTCCAGCGATACAAGCTGGATGCCCAGCAGTTTTTCGAACTGTGAAAACTGGCTCCAAGGCGTGCCCATCGAGAACATGGATGTTGAAAAGGGGTTCAACCGAAGAAAGATCCAAATTGTTGAAAAGAGCGACCGCCCTCTAGAGCAGAGTTTTGGAGAAAGCTCAATCAACACTGGATCCAGCTTGGAGAGCGTGAGCGAAGTTCCCCTTGACGAGAGGAGCCAGTCGACATCCAATAACGGTGCCCAGAAGGCTCCTGATGAGCCCGTCGTAAGTTTTCTCCACGCATTTCCCAGGCTTCCAAGTACTTGTATTGACAGTGAAGTAGAAACTAGCTGTTGCTGAAAGAACTGCTGTTCCCACCAGAACAAAACCCAAGCTGGTCGATATTTCACGACAATCATCCCCAGGGATGAGCTATTCGATTCCCACGCCTCACCATACTGTCCCCTCTACACCAGATCAACGTCAATTTGAAGTCTCTGCTTTCAGCCCTGATACACCATTAGAAATGTCGGACAGCGGCTACATCACGCACCACTCCTTCGATTCGCCAGGTGACTTCCCGGAGGACAAGGTCGATGATGCATCCACAGACTCGGGGTCTTTAGCCTCTGAGAGTGTCAGCTCAACAATCGTCTGTGACAAACAAATCTTGACACCAGAAACGCCATATTCCCCGCCCAAGGCCAGTATTCAGCCGACATTCAGCCCAGTAATAAAACCTCAGGCCTCTCCAGGGTGCTCGTCGAATATATCAGAAAAGGAGCAACTTCAAAAATGGTGGGATCATGAGTGGACAATTGACCAGCTGGAACAATCGGTCAGGGAGTTCCCGCGGCAAATGCTGCGATTGACCTCCCCTGCCATTATGTTCCTGCGCGAGAACAACGAGAAAGCACTCATTCGGCCGTTCCGTAAGATCTTCCCTGAAGGCGCGGAAAATATGCTTGACTGTCTTTGTGCCACCTTGATTGCACGCAATTACATCGTCTCGTTGGCAGCTTCCAATCGACCAACCAACAATTTCTCGCATAAACCGACACTGTCTCGTCTCGATCCTGTTCCAGAGAAGGCATCCACATTTGGCATCAAGTTCGCTCAGCCAACTCCAAACCAGATCAAAGATCGAGTCTTGGGAACAAGAAGTGTGAAACTTCGCAAGGACTTGGACCAGATTGTCGACAACTTGCTCGTCGCAATTTGCGGTCATTCCGACGAAACTCTGAAATCAGCTGTGCTGGTTCTCGCTCAGGTCCTTGAAAGCAAGGCCTAATTTATATTCATGTTGTTTTCAATTCGTCAACTTTCCTTAACTTTTCCATTTGACAATCATCTTTACTTTTCCTTTGTTCGAGATGTTTTTTTTTTTTTCTTTCATAGAAATGTCTGCACTGCTGCAAGTCGCTCCTTCCTTCTCAATTCTGTCTGTCCATTTTTCTTTCCATATGTGACTTCCTCTTTCTTCTCTGTCATACCCAAGTTGCATCCAACATCTCCTTGCCCATTATACCTTATCAACTGTCTGTCGAGTCGGCATCATTTTCCTTGAGTGCTGTGTGTGATTTGCTACTGTGATTCCAGTATGTTTGAGATAGCAATAAATAACTTTTAATGATACTCTCAATCACAATAAGAATATCTCTAGAAGAGCCCGTTGAGATGAAGTGTTGGGCCAGTAGAAGCCAGTTGATCCTTAGGCAAACACCCATTCCCCTTCTGGTTAGTCTATCGGAGTCCGGAGTAACTCTGATCCATCGGGTGAGCAGCCTCCGTTATCTTGCGCCATAATGCCTTCTCGGTCTTTCCCGCGGAATTCAACTCTTGCAACATTTTGGAATTGAATACCCTCACAATGGCTGCGTCTACGAGTCGACTGCGATTTCTCTATTCCTCCTCAAAGACTGTCCCTCAGTCTGGAGTTTTTGCTCCTATCGGCTCTCGTGGCTATGCTACAGCAGACCCCTCGCCGTCCGCCACAAGTTCCCCGACGCCCGCGCGCAAACGGACAACCTTCAAGGATAAGCTGAACGCAGGCCCTTCCTTTGCAGATTTTGTCTCCGGAGGAGGCGACAATGCTCCCCTCGATCCGTCTGAGGCGTACGCCTTGAAGACTGCCCTTGTTGGTCCGGCCGGCCGCAAGAAGGAGATGACCCGTTTGCCGTCATGGTTGAAGACTCCGATTCCCGATTCCAAGAACTACCAGCGTTTAAAGAAGGACCTGCGAGGTCTCAACCTGCATACTGTCTGTGAAGAGGCTCGCTGTCCCAACATATCCGACTGCTGGGGTGGTGGTGATAAGTCGGCTGCTACAGCCACAATCATGTTGATGGGTGACACTTGCACCCGTGGTTGTCGCTTCTGCAGTGTGAAGACATCCCGAGCACCGCCGCCTCTCGACCCGCACGAACCGGAAAATACCGCTGAAGCTATTTCGAGATGGGGCCTGGGATATGTTGTTTTGACAAGTGTTGACCGAGACGACCTCGTGGATGGTGGTGCTCGACACTTTGCCGAGACTGTGATGAAGATTAAATCGAAGGCACCCAACATCTTGGTCGAATGTCTGACGGGTGACTACGCGGGAGACTTGGAAATGGTTTCTCTCGTTGCTCGATCGGGATTGGATGTATATGCACACAATGTTGAAACCGTCGAAGCCCTGACTCCTCATGTTCGTGACCGTCGCGCCAAGTTCCAACAGTCCATCCGCGTCCTCGGTGCTGCCAAGAAGGCCAGACCAGACCTCATTACCAAGACTTCCCTCATGCTTGGTCTTGGAGAGACAGATGAGCAATTGTGGGATACCCTCCGCCAGCTCCGCGCCGTCAACGTGGACGTCGTTACATTTGGTCAGTACATGCGTCCCACGAAGCGCCATATGGCCGTCCACGAGTATGTTACACCAGATCGATTCGAACTCTGGCGCCAGCGCGCTCTCGACATGGGCTTCCTCTACTGCGCATCAGGCCCACTTGTCCGCAGCAGCTACAAGGCCGGTGAAGCCTTCATCGAGAATGTATTGAAGAAGAGACGGACCGGAGCGGGAAGACCGGAGTCGGTCACGGATAGGACAGTTGCGGTGGATGAGGCAACGCGCTGATAGGCAACTAATCTTTTTTTGTTACATTTTTGTCATATTTTGGGGTTTTGTCGGCGTTGGTTCATTCATCCGGTCGTTATCTGGTTCGGTGTATAATTTCTAACCTGCTATGTCCTCTCTGTCCAAGATTGCATTACTAAATGACGGCCACGAAGTCGTCTTGGGTATAAAACTGAAGGTCGAGACGCGAGTCTCGGGTTAAATGATTCTCGAAAAAAAAAAAAAATCCGAAACATAGATTCATCCAATAAATAGCATCATCACACCCTCATCAATAAGATCCTAATCCAACGTGTACCCGCTTTGCCGGACCCCTACGCCTGCATATCATGCTACCCGCTAGAACATATAAATTCTCCTTTTCTCGTGCGTTGCTCGTTTGGGAAAGAAAAAAGCGGTAAGTTTCTTCACTTACCATACGCAGAAGTTCCGGATACTAGATGAAGAAAAGCAGCAGCATCAGGGCCCTCGACCTAGGGCTCCCTTGCAGCTTCTGCTGGCAATATTGATTGATAGGCAGCAGGGAAATCATTGTCTGGCAGAGCTTCCGGAATTTTCACACTTTTCTCATGGCTCACACCTATCACCAGCCTGCTTGCAGCAGTTTTCTACGACTGACTCCTCGAAATACCTTCATGCTACGTCGGCAGCCAACTCCTTAATATCTTGGTTGGAGAGGCCGAGAAGGTGAAGAACGTCAACAAGACTTTCGCCATTGAGACGTGTGGGTGCCTCGAGTTGCACCTTGCTCTTCGCGCGCCAGGCAACTCCAAGGCCAGCGGCGTGGAGCATGAGGAGATCATTGGCACCGTCACCAACGGACATCGTCTGAGAAATCGGGATGGAATTTTCGGCGGCAAGGGATCGAAGAAGTGTGCGCTTCTGGCTTGCGTCAATAATGGGCTTCGAGGGGACAAGCTTCCCTGTCAGCGTTTGAGATGCAGTGTCGACCTCCAGCTACGAGAAAAGATCAGTAAAACAACATTGCCAGAGACCTGTACAATATAATCGAGTGCATGGACAAAACAGGGGGCGGAGAACATACATGATTGGCAAAGGCATAATCCAGTCCAAGCTCACCAGCTAGCCACTCTGCAAGAGGCTGGAAACCTCCACTCAAAACGGCAAGCTTAAAGCCAAGACACTTCAGGGCTTTGCACAATTCGCGTGCGCCAGGGGCAATAGTAATGACTGACTTCAGTTTCTCGAAGACATCTGCGGGAACGCCCTTGAGCAAGCCGACACGCTCCCTGAGCGAGTCAGAGAAATCAAGCTCGCCGTTCATAGCACGAGCGGTAATTTCCTAGGGTCTAGTTCAGCGCTGAGCGGAATAAGATTGAAATCGTCCTTGGATCTTACAGAAACCTCCTTCTCCACGCCAATAAATTTGGCAATCTCATCAATGACCTCGTTCTTAATCAAAGTGCTGTCCATGTCGAATACAGCCAGTCGCTTGTGTCGGCGGAACACACTCTCCTTCTGGAGCACAACCTCCACATTCCACTCACGCTCGAATCGCCAGATGCTCTCATGTTTGCGCAGGTCGGTGAAGGTAAGATATTCCGGGTTGGGGGGTGGTGAGAACGTGACTTCAACGACACGAGGCTGGTCATCCCGGTCGAGGCAGCGGTGAGAAGTGTTCATGCGCTGATAAGGTGTTGGAAGGGATTCGATAACCTGAAGGAAGTTGGTCAGGCACATCTGGGACACATAGGGTCCGTAAAGATGGTCCAGCGGCTCTGGCTCCGGGGCAGGAGGCTCCCGTGGGATTTTCTCCATGTCAACCGTCGGGGCGGAGCCCACGGGAACCGTAGGGGACGGAAGCTTGTTTCCTGGGCCAGCATTTGAAGAGGAATCGGGATGGAGATGCGGGTGGATAGGATCAGAGGATTTATAGTATATGGTCGCGACCAATTGCGTAGTCCCGGTAGCAAGGGGGTTTGTTTGGTGGTTGAACATGCTGTGGATGATGCCGCTGTCGGTGACTTTTTCGGGATCTGGACTGATGGGATTTGGGTTGAAAGAAAGAGGACCCCGGGATTCAGCTGAACTACCAAGTACGTCGCCGATGTTCTGATTGATAGGAACTAGAGGCTTGTATTGTTGATGATCGTGAATGAAAGAATTTCCTGAGAAGGTTTGTCGCAGCGTAGGCCGCGTTGGAATAGTAGTGGTGGTGGGGTTAGGTGCTGCCATTGTACCGCGAGAGTTATTGACGGTCGCAGAGTTGAAAGAAAAAGACAGGAGAAGGAGAATGAATTAAAAATGTACCCAAAATAGTCAAATAGCGGATGTTCAGCCAAGCGCGCCCCTCGAGGATTGTGTCTTCAACAGACCTGCGAATGTGGATAACGACAAAGGCCTTTGATTATTTGCGTTGCGAAAATGCCCTGCGTCGATCGCCGGTTGATGGCACGTGGTGGGGGAGTCCCAAAGGGGTAATCGGAGTCATGTGAACAAATCCTTTTCTGCCCGGCGGTGAAAGGCGCGAACTTCGAGCGGAGTGAGACAAACTAACGACGACTCCATCGATAGCGATGCCTGGTTGCCTGAAGGAGCAAGCAGCAGAGGGTCAACGATACCTATGGCTTCGATAGAGATGATGCTTATGCAGTTACATGCTACAGTTGACCATGGATGAACATGGTCAGGTCGAGGTAAATGACTGTTTGATCAATCATCTCTTGTTGTGGTCGGAAAGATGGACTGCTAACCCCTCAAGGAATAATAATCCAAGTTGGATCATCCCACGGACAAAGCTGGGAAGCATTATTGCTATCTGACTATGCATGCTCCGAACACCCGGTCTTATCACCGATCATAACTCCTCATCCGGATGATTGTTCTTTCGCGCATCTTCTTATTCCTTCGAGGGGGAGGGATTAAATGGATTTATCAGCCCATTCCCGGGAAAGCCGCATGACTAATGCCATTCGGGCGGACTACGAAGACCCAAAGCGCAGGTATTGCGTGATTTCCCCAGGACATGAGGGAATTGAATTTTTCAGCAGGAAGCCCCGAAGTCGCAGGCGGTGACAGGCAATGTCGTGATCGAGAGCGGCAGAATGGGGGGGTTTGATGGACGAGGGCAGCAGCAGGAATTCATAGCCGAATGATGTCGTGATTGCCCCTGTCCTTCTTTTCTTTTTATACCAGGCTTGCCATTGATCTCCTCGATCTCTCCTACATCATTGCTTCTTTCTCTCCAGTTTGCCTCCTTAGTCCCAAATCTTACCTTACCTTGTATCTTCAAGTCTCTTTAGTCCTCTTAATCTTCCACACTTGGGTCTGACTACCTTTTCTATTGATTACTCTGGAGTTAAAGCATCAGTCAAGATGCCTGCGAAGATGCCCCTCAACTACCCCTCTGACTCGGAGGGGATCGACTCTAGAAACGCCAACACCGACTCTGGCTATGTCAGTGGCGGTTCCAGTGATGACTACTTGCCTGAGATTGTCTTCACCAAGCCTCACTTGCAGTTCCTCAACAGACAGTTGCAGTTCCTCGAGCCTCAAGGTCAGCTAGCCTGCCCCGCTATTCCTGGGTAAAGTCCATGACTAACTCCCTTGTAGATGTCCTGAGATGGTGTATCACTTCGCTTCCTCATCTCTTCCAGACCACTGCCTTTGGTCTCACAGGTCTCGTGACCCTTGACATGCTGTCCAAGCTTGATGTGCCCCGGCCACAGATGGTGGATCTCGTCTTCCTCGACACCCTCCACCACTTCCGTGAGACCTTGGACCTTGTTGACCGGGTCCGCAAGAGGTACCCTTTGAACAACGTTCATGTCTACAAGCCTGCCGGTGTCGAGTCTGAGGAGGAATTCGCCAAGAAGTACGGTGCCCGTCTCTGGGAAACCGACGACCAATTCTACGACTGGGTCGCCAAGGTCGAGCCTGCCCAGCGTGCCTACCGGGAACTCAACGTCCATGCCGTCCTCACTGGACGCCGCCGTAGCCAGGGTGGCAAGCGTGGTGACCTCGACGTCATCGAGGTCGACGAAGCCGGCCTCATCAAGATTAACCCCTTGGCCAACTGGACCTTTGACCAAGTCAAGCAGTACGTCAAGGAAAACGATGTGCCATACAACGTGTTGTTGGACCGTGGCTACAAGAGCATTGGCGACTACCACTCCACCCAGCCTGTCAAGGAGAACGAAGATGAGCGATCTGGTCGCTGGAAGGGTCAGGCCAAGACTGAGTGTGGAATTCACAACCCTCGATCGAAATACGCCCAATACCTCATGGACTTGGAACGCAAGAGACAGGAGGAAGCCCTCACATCTGCCTTGCAGAATCAACTCACGACTGCTCAATGAGCCAAGGCTTCTTCATAATGTTGATATGCATTCTATGCGGCGTTTTTGATCGGGGTTACCACATTCAGCGGAGTTTTACACCAGCTTGATATCACTTTTGTTTCTTTTTTACTCATGCGGGCACAATACTTGGGAGGATTTCGGGTTACGACAGCGGATTATAATGGTTCAAAGAAGATTACTTTTCACGCCAATTCCAACCCCAAACAAAAGGGGATTGTTGTATATAGGGAATTGGCAAAAAGTTTCGATCAAAAAAAAAAACATTGGTATATGTTTTTGAATAATGATTAGCATGATAGACAAAATAACCATACATTTTTTACTCCATCGTTTCCATGACGCTTAGGATGTCACTGTGTGTTCGCTTCTTAGATTCAAGGTTAATTCTCGATATGTGGGGGCTTCGGGCAGACAACGTCAGCCCTAGGTAATCGCCCTCTAAGACAGGATTATTGTCCAAATTCTTTCATAGAGTAGCTAAATAGATTAACAGATTGTATGAGATGACAATAAAATTATGTCGTAATAGTATCACTTTATTCTTAGTGACACACCCTCAGCCCCCACTGCTGAGTGAACCCTGAAGCTAAGCTCTTGGCCTCTTCCCCTCTAGTGATCCACCTATGCTGACAGGGTCCAAGAATAGTCGATAGGCACAGACTGCTTATCTGGATTCGTAAATTCAAGCATTAATTCACAGTAATGTGGTGTTTTGTTGATGAAAGTCGCCTGAGTTCTAGCATGGCTGTTCTGTAGCAGTCGATAGGCCGCATTCGGAATGCCGACATCGGCATCGGCATTGATGGAAATAGTTATCTTACTTGGCAAAGGCATAGTTAACCACCACGTTGTTATGATATTTCCATTTAAGTTCATTATAATATTTTTAATAATTTAAATAATATACATTTCGATTATAGTCGATGTATGCATTTTGAAAGCATCGCACTTATTTTTTTTAACGCATATATATCTGGCAAAGTATTTGCTCAGTTGTTTAATAGAGATCTAATAAATATTGACCACAGCATAATATCGAGTAGTAAACCTCAGCATCTGATTTTGTCATGTATATGCAATGATTGAATATCATTAAAAAAAAAGTTGTAAAACTGCCTGGATGGAAAAGCAGAGGCTAACAAACCCTGAAGACTAGATCGACTAATGCACGTAATCTTATCAATCTTATCTATGTCGATCTTATCGCTAATTCTGTCCTCGTTCGGTTGGGCTTCGGATTTTTGATTTTTGCTCTGGGTCTATTGCTATCGCTCTATTGTATAGAGTATGATTTCTAATGATTCCCAAGAATTCATTCTATCGAGCTGGCTGCTCTAATTTAGATCGTAGGTAGCCCTAAGCCATGCATCGATCATGGGGAGGGTGGGAATTCAAAAAGGATAAAGCACACATGCATAGTTATTTGATCCCATGGAATGTGTTTAAGATAGTTACACTGAACATCTGACTTGTTTGTAGTACCTGTCCTGTATGGATTCTCTATATCTGCATTATGACCTCTTCCCTCGTGTCAGCCTCAGTCCCATTAGAACCACGAAGTCTATCACTCCATAGCAACCTCTACAAACTCCATAACCTCTATTTCAATGTTATTTTGAAGTCATATATTATGGTAGTAAGTGATGGAGAATGTCACGTCAATATTTTGACTCTAAAAATGTAGCAGTCGTTATCAAAGTTCGATCAATATGTGAAACAGAGCTACTGTTTCTATCTATGCGTGATACGTCATACTTGAAAGGGTCATGTTCTGTCTGTCTCAGGTATATCGCATCTCAATATCAGTACTTAGACACATGTACAAATGAAGTGGTATATGTGTTCTTTTGAAGAAGGGATAGATATTACCAAATTGTAATCAGTAGCAAAGGACCACCGCATGGCAGATCAGATACCCCCCATGCTGTTTCAATGCAAATGATAAACGCTCCGTCGAGGCATCGTACGCAATCCAATGAAGATCCCATCTCCTAGCAGGGGTATGAGGGGACAGACGTTTGTTTTGTAGCCTTGCCTGACTCGGAAATGGGCGATGAAGGGGTGAGTCTGGGGTTCTCCTGACTGTTTGGGCTGTATGGCTAGTGTATAGGGGATTAATGAGCGGCTTTGGTGTGTTTAGCCGACAAGGCTGATCAGCGTGTTCTTATTGTTCCTGGTCTATCTGTCACATTAGTTTACTCTCAGTTTACCAATATTTACTCCAAATCAGCATTTTCTTAAGATATAGAATAACAACCAACTTATATGGATATATTTGACACTTTAATTGAACTCCTGATAAATAAAGTATATACTGACAGTTTACTTCTAGCCTTCTAGGGAATGTCCCTGTGCCAAGACACTGACGAGTGCCAAGAAAGTCTAAATCCGGCCGGCCAGCCGAAAATCACGCAACTGTTGCGGAGGATGTCGTGATGCCGCACCACGTGACACCCTGCGTTTCATTTGCCCAAACGCCGCTGCGACAAGGCAATGCGCTGTTCTAGAACTGCGAGGGAATGTCCGCGATGGATGCAAGACAGGTTCATGAACCCTGAGATAGATAGATATTGTTGTACAGTCTCGCGGCAAGATTTAAATGCAGACACTCCGCGGAGTTCCACTCCCCTGAAAATCATCGCTTTTCTAGGAGTGGACGATCCGGTCAATTTGGATATTTCCACGGTTTGCCTCGTGGCCTGCAATTGCCGGCCCTGCAGAGATGGCGACATTCAGATATTGACGGCCATACGAAGATGCATGAACGCCATCTCGTTCAGACCCTCTGTCGTATTATCTATTTTAGGTAGTCAAGAGCAACCATGGTACGGATGAAAAATCCATCAGAATCCCAAGCCCGAGGAAATCTGTGCCTATCCAGCCTCTGCGGGGTGTCGTCTGTAGCAGGCGATGAAAATCATCATCACCGTCGTACGTAGACAGCAAACCAAGACTTGGACCTGCTCCACAGCCTGACGACTCTCCAGCCATTCTTACGGGCAGAAAGCGATTATATTAGTATCCGTATTGGCATTGGATGACCAAATAAGTAATCCTTGGGTCCCTCCAGCGATCACGTCTTTTTTTTTTCTTTTCTCTTCTTATTTCTTCCCCTCCATCCCTCTCCTCTTCTCTTCCTTCCCACCCACTCTCTCTGGTCTATAAATTTGACCATCTCCCTTTGACTTCTTGTTTATACCATCAAAAGTTTTTTCTGTTTCATCTTTCACAATGGCCAACACTCCCCACGGTGGTGTCCTCAAGGACCTCATTGCCCGCGATGCTCCCCGCCACGACCAGCTCGCCGCGGAGGCCGAGTCTCTCCCCGCTGTCGTCCTCACTGAGCGTCAGTTGTGTGATCTCGAACTGATCATGAACGGAGGTTTCTCTCCTTTGGAAGGTATGTTGAGTTATCCATCATTTTCTTCCTGCTTGGATGTCCGCGCAATCGTCTTCACATAGTGACGATCGTGCTGCGCTGAGTGTTTCGCGGGAATTAAGAGGAGGGGCTTTTGCTAACGCCGATCTCCCCGCGCAGGTTTCATGAACCAGAAGGACTTCGACAGGTATGTTACACATGCGATTGTCTATTTTATTTCCTACGTGGGAATAATTTCGGCTGGAGAAATATAAGAAAAAGAAAAGAGAAAAAAACGAGAAAAAGCAAGAAATCGGACATGTATCAACTAACGTTCTTTTTTTTCCTGCTAGCGTCTGCGAGAATGTCCGTCTGGCCGATGGCAACCTTTTCTCTATGCCCATCACCTTGGATGTTTCCCAGCAAACCATCTCCGAAGGCAACCTCCAGGCCGGTTCTCGTATCACTCTCCGTGACTTCCGTGATGACCGCAACCTGGCCATCTTGACTATTGACGACATCTACCGTCCCGACAAGTGAGTTACGAAATCTTTTCCACCTCAATGTCGATCTCCGACCCCCACGTGCGATGATATCCGACCATCTTCCATGAATTGTTATCTCCGAAAGGGAACATATTCTTGCCAAGATCTGGCTGGCTTGATTCGTCACGGGCAATATGTCAGGGGTTTATATAGTGGGTCAGGCTGACGTTGACACCCCTAATCTAGGTTGAAGGAAGCCAAGCTGGTCTTTGGCGGTGATGTTGACCACCCTGCCATCAAGTTCCTGAACACCAAGGTTCAGGAGTTCTACATTGGTGGAAAGATCGAAGCCATCAACAAGCTTAACCACTACGACTATGTCGCCCTCCGCTGTATGTCACCACTGGGATCCAAATGAATGCTTCTAGGATGCTAACAATATCCAGACACTCCCGCGGAGCTCCGTATCCACTTTGACAAGCTCGGCTGGAACCGAGTTGTCGCTTTCCAGACCAGAAACCCCATGCACAGAGCTCACCGTGAGCTGACCGTCCGCGCCGCTCGCGCTCGCCAGGCTAATGTCCTGATCCACCCCGTCGTCGGTCTCACCAAGCCCGGTGACATTGACCACTTCACCCGTGTCCGTGCCTACCAGGCCCTCCTCCCCAGTTACCCCAACGGTATGGCCGTCCTGGGTCTCTTGCCCTTGGCCATGCGTATGGGTGGTCCCCGTGAGGCCATCTGGCACGCCATTATCCGTAAGAACCATGGTGCCACTCACTTCATTGTCGGACGTGACCACGCCGGTCCCGGTAAAAACTCCAAGGGTGAGGAGTTCTACGGCCCTTACGATGCCCAGCACGCCGTCGAGAAGTACAAGGACGAGCTCGGTATCGAAGTCGTCGAGTTCCAGCAGGTTACCTACCTGCCCGACACCGACGAGTACAAGCCCAAGGACGAGGTCCCCGCTGGTGTCAAGACTCTTGACATCTCCGGTACTGAGCTCCGTAACCGTCTGCGCACTGGTGCCCACATCCCCGAGTGGTTCTCTTACCCCCAGGTTGTCAAGATCCTGCGCGAATCCAGCCCCCCTCGCGCCACCCAGGGTTTCACCATCTTCCTTACTGGTTACATGAACTCTGGCAAGGACGCTATCGCCCGTGCTCTGCAGGTCACTCTGAACCAGCAGGGTGGACGTTCCGTCTCTCTGCTGCTCGGTGACACTGTCCGCCACGAGCTCTCTTCCGAGCTTGGCTTCAGCGCCGAGGACCGTCACACCAACATCCAGCGCATCGCTTTCGTCGCTGGTGAGCTCACCCGCGCCGGTGCTGCCGTTATCGCTGCCCCCATCGCCCCCTACGAGCACTCCCGAAAGGCCGCCCGTGAGGCCGTCTCCCAGCTGGGTGGCTCTTTCTTCCTCGTCCACGTTAACACTCCCCTCGAGCACTGTGAGAAGACCGACAAGCGCGGCATCTACGCCAAGGCTCGCAAGGGTGAGATTAAGGGTTTCACCGGTGTCGATGACCCTTACGAGGCCCCCACCAACGCCGACCTCACCGTCGACGTTTCCAAGCAGAGTGTTCGCAGCATTGTTCACGAGATTATCCTCATGCTCGAGAGCGAGGGCTACTTCGACCGTGCTTAGATTAGCATAGGCGCTTATGGGAATATTTTTGGATTGAATTTTGTGGCATAAAGAAGGAATCGCGGATTGAATTCGTATGATGGATTCCCTGTGTCTATAGAATGTATGGGATTTTTGATGTATTGCTTTGATTCCCCTGATTGAAGAATTTGATTACTGGACTTTTCTATTCATCTTAATCTCTATTGTCTGTTCTCTAAACGTTCGTAACTTGAATCTTGTAAAATACCATTGGTTATTTCAACCACGTGGTAAATAGGCAAATTAGACAAACAATGCAAACCTCACAAACTACCAACCAAGCGGATTTCATCGCTTCCATTGCATGATGATGTTGTAATCCTTCGAGATCAACACCAACAGAGAAAATGTTGCCCCCTCGCAATTCAACCGGACGAATACCGCGAGCTACTCGGTTGCTGCGCCCACCTGGTGGCTATGGCTATTCCAACCCATCCCATCATCACCTTCGCCAATTCACAAGCAAGCCACAGCTCCATCTAATCTCTCCCCCGCTCGGTCGCCCTCAGCTACCTTTCCTCTCGCCATTGACCGGTCGTCGCCCTGTTCCGCCGTTATCGATCCATCTTCGTCAGCACTTTGCTCGATTGATCTCGACTGAGAGCCGGGAACATTATAAACGCCGTCTGTCGCGTGGTCTCCGCATCGGATTGAGCTTTTACGCCATCCTGGTTCTGTTTCAGGTTATCAAGCTGGGTGTTTATCAAGAAGAGATTGAGCATAAATGGCCGACGCCGCCGGAGTGGTCGTGGAAAAGTCGATGGTGTTTGCGATCTGCGCAGGCGCTCCAGAATCCAGAGGAGATTGGAAAGTTGATGGCCAATTGGCCCATGGTTGCGGGGTATGTGCGTGAATTGCTGGAGAGGTTGGAAAATGTCGAAGGAGAAGGAAAGGGCATTGTTGAGCAGGGTGATGGAGGGTTTTTGGTTGAGGGGCTTGGGAAGACTGGGTTTGATATTTCGGCTAAGAGCGAGCCGTGGAGACGAGGATACTTCCAGGCTCTCATGGGTGCTGCGAAGGCTGCGGAGAACCTTGAGGGATGGTTGACGGATCGGAAGCAGCGTCTCTCTGCTCCTGCTGAGCATTTTGTCGGCCCGTCAAATCCTAGACCGAAGCCAATGCCAGCAGGCCACAAGCAGGTGCTGCGGGAGGAGGACAGTGAACCTGCTTCTCAGAGCCCGGAGGTCTTTTACATGAAGATTTTGACGACAAAAGGGTTCGACACAAGACAGAAGCTTGATGCTGCTCTTGCGTATGCCGATTGGCTTGACTACAAGGGCTTGCAAGGGACGGCGAGTGACATGTATCGGTGGGCAATGGATATCGCGGCAGCTGGATCGCCCGTGGATGCTGCGAGCATCGTGGATGTGAATACTGGGGTTCTCAAGAACAACAACAAGGCTACGCCGTCCGAGAACATACTCCGCGTTTCAACTGCACTTGCCGTACACAATGCCCGACAAGGCAATCTCCCTACCGCTCTATCCATATTTGCTTCCGTCTTGAAAGCTCGCCGTTCTCTCCCTCTATCATCATCGGACACTGCCTCATCCCTCTTCTTGTCCACTCCCAAGGCCAAAGACCCCTTCTCTTCCCTCTTCACCACCCTCAAAACTGTCCTCACTCCAGTCGAATACCCAGCGCCCCTTCCATCTGGAAACGATCCTCCTTCCCGCACTGCCAGCTCCATCTGCGATGAGGCAGGACTTATGACATACATTGGCGAAATCATCTTCTCCTCCTCTTCCAAGGAAACCGGACTCGCTTGGACCCGCGATGCAGTCGACACAGCCGAAGCCACCATCCTCGAACTAGGCGGCTCCGAAGACCGCGCTCCCCGCCAACGCTGCGCCGAATGCCTCAAAGTGGGCTTCGAGAATTGGAGAACAATGGTCTCCCAATTATCCGCCAAGGCCGAGAAAGATGAACTCGAGAGCATAGAGAAAGCCAAGACGGCTTGGATCGGTGGCCAAAAACAAGTTCAGGCCAAGGCTCTTGAACGTAAGAGATGGGACGCTGAGATAATTATTCTCGATGATCGTATCCAGAGAGTCTGGCCGATGATCGATGGTGAATCGGGTCTCGATGGTATCGCACCGGGTACTTCTCTGTTTGTATGATCTGGTTTTTTCAACCCCTTAAACATCACTATTTATCGGAGTTATGGGGTATTTTTTATAGCATTTTTTGGTGATGATTCTGTGGATGTATTGTACAATATTATTGAGAATGATCCAGGCTATAGCGAGGATTCGTTGACATCATACAACACTAACTCAAACCCCTACTACAACTCACTGGCTGAATGATTCATTTTCTCATTCGTCTTCAAATTTAAGCAGAGAGTGCTGTATAAATCAAATGATACATTTGATAGCAATGCAAAATCGAAATAGATACAGGAGTAGGAATGGGGAATCTGAATAACCAGCCAAAAAGAGATGAAAAGAAGCACACCCAAAACCCAGAATCATTTTATATAAAACAAGGATAAGGATATAATGAAAATAAAGCACATCCAGAAAAACCCCTCACAAATAGAAGATTAATAAAATGACAAAAAAATCGGACAATTATTACTTTACTTCCTCCCCTTAGTTCCCACCTACTGCAGTCCCATTAGACATGGTAATTGTAAACTTGTTAAAATCCAAAACAAAGTCGCCATCTACCCCAGAGCGGCTGAGGTTTAGGGTATATTCCCCTGAGTTGGAGCTTGAATACGACCCTGTCAGGTAGGTCTGGACGATCCCTTCTGCCTGCAGGGCTGCGTCCAGTGAGCCGGTCTTCTCGAAGATGTAGAGGACGACGATGCGCGAGAAGTCGAGTACTTTAGTGGAGACAGCCGTAGATGTAGAAGTGGGCGTGGGTGTAAACGTGGATGTGGATGTCTGCGTGGTTTTCGTTGCGGATGTGGTTGCGGCCGCTGTAGGGACGCTCGTTGTTTCTGAGTTGTCAAACACAATGCCGTTCTCGATACCCATAGAGCCTCGAGCAGCGAGAGTCTGTGCGGGGGCTTCTAAAGTGGAAGTTGAAGTTGCTTGATCCAGAGTCGATTGCTCGGCTGGTAGTGCGATGGGGAAAAAGCGGCGTTTGTTGCTGCTGGAAACGCCTTTAAACGATACAAGCGCATTTTCACTTGTGCATGAAACGTTATTCTGGCTAAATAGCGCCATGATGGTGACCGAGTCAAGTGGAATGCTGAAGTTGTTCTGTGAGTCTTCGAATAAGCGTGGAAGCTCACTACCCATAGTAGCCTGCTCGGATGTTGAGCCATGGTTTATTTGCGTAGTGATGCAGCCAGCATCACCGGCGGTTGCGCATTGCGAGCCAGTGTATCCATTGGTACAGACACAAGAGCAGATATCGCCACTCGAGACGCTGACACCGCCATTCTTGCATGGCGTTGTCTTTTCGCATGTTGACAGGTCACTTGCGTTCTCCCGAGGAACCACGATAAGAAAGATGGGTATGAGAACGGCTGCTGCGATGATTATAATTATCACAACGCAGACAACTATGAACAACCATAGGGGCATTCCACAGCAACGTCGCTGACGGCGCTCAGGCTTTTCCCCATGTGCATTATTAGACTCATTGGATACTATATTCTGTAGCGTGGACCTCCTGAAGAAAATGGGCCAGGATGAATGTCCCTGTGTGGATCTCGGTCTCGGGGGAGGGAAAGATGATATGATGTCGTGGAGCGACCCAGAATTGCGAGGACGATGACCGAATGGACCTTTTGGGTCTTTGCCACCGTTAAGAAGGTCATTCCTACTTGCCGTTCTGCCGTGTTCCAGATTTGTTGCGAGCTTCGTGGCCCGTCGGATCAAATCAGGCAAGCTAGTGAGGCTGCCTCGAGCTTCGGCGTCACGAACAGCATTCATATCCAGGCGAGGTGGCCTCCGTCCTCCTGGTCTTCTATCACTCATCGTGGGCGCAGCTCTGGGCAATCCTCCCAGATCATTTCCATAGGCGGGAGTATTGAATATAGGGTGTGACTGTCGGGTATCTAAAAATATCGGTGCCTTTTCAAAGTCATGTTCACACGATTCAGCCGACGATGTGTCAAATGAATACCTTGGTCCCTGGGTTTCCTGAGTCTGACCACTTGGAGCTTGACTCACGACATGCGCGGGAAGCACGCTTCCAGCCATAGCTGCTCTGGTGTTCATAGCCCGTTCCTCCGGTGGGGGCTCTGGGGATAAAACATTAGGCTTTGAAATTGTACGCAAAGACGGCTTGCCCCTGGTTCCAACGCTGGCCTGCCTAACAAGAGCGGAATTGTCCTCATGGATGGACCGCCTAGGTTCTTGGCTATCATCGGAATCGACATCCAGGTAAGCTCCAAAAATTTCCGACTCAGCCGGTGCAGAGCCCCAGGATGGAATCACTCTGCTGGACGCATATGATCCTTTCAAAAGGGTAGGGCTTTCGGATAATTCTTCTGGGATTGGAGAGACAGAAGACCTGCGGTTGGAAGATTGCCCGTTAACGGATGGCGGAGCAAGACCGGCAACCTTTCTCAGTGGGTAGTTTTGAGTTGCACCATGTTGAATAGGGAAAGGAAAATCGGGAATCGAAGGCATAGAGCCAACAGATGAAGCGGCAGACTGTCTGAATAGTTCTTCAGTAGTAACGGAAACACGTGGGGTTAGGCCCGGAGGACTCGAGGGGCTATAGTAAGGGGGAGGGTCCTCGATAATACGGCGTGGTGGTTGCTGGTATTGTAAAGGCTGCGAAAATGATGGGAACGGCCGCCTAATATGGAGTGGGCTGGGTGCAGCACCAGGGGCACTTCTTTCCGAATAAACTGATGGAGATGGAGCGTCGGGGCGAGGTGGTCGTTGAGGTGGAGGTCCTTTGGGAACGAAACGTCTTCCGTGGGTTTGCAAAGGGCTGTCATCTGGCAACGGCCATTGGGTTACATGGGAACTTGATGGGCTAGGTAGATTCAAGCTAGGCACTTCGGGGAAGCTATTCGGGTCGGGGATGATGATTTCTGGGGGGCGTCTGCCGGACTGCATCATTTCCCTCGCTCGTCGAACAGAGCCCTTTCGTTGAGGGTCTTCCCCGATTGAGCCGGGTCCAAAGCCTGGTCCAGTGTGCATCGTGATCGAATGTGACGCGAAGATCGAACGATTGGATCAATTGAATGGGTTTGTCTTCGGTATTTCCGAGGACGTGTAGAAATAGAATATCCAGCTCGACTCGAGTGTCGAGAAAAGAATGAATGAAAGTTGAAGGAAGATGGATAGAACTGAGACTCCAAACAGTGAATATCAAACAGACTGCAAGCAGAGAGCAAAGATGTAGCAGCTTGGAATTCACGAGTCCAGTTTGGCAAGAACGAGGGCGACAGAAGGCTGAAATAGCAATCAATGCCTCTGTTGGGTAGGAACTGAAATGAGCAGATAGCGCATTGTTGATAGATAGGAAGACATACAAGTTCAGCGACAACTGTTTGAGAAGGAAAAGAGAGAGGAGTGAAACCCAGTTCACAATATCGCCAGTATCAAACCTGCGATGTCTTAATGAAATGCTAGATCTCCATCAATACCAACCCCTAAAGGCGATGTTAGCCGGTCTGGTCATATACGCACGATTCCCCCGTTAACCTACGCATTCATTACGAAAAGGGAGGCAAAGGAAAGCGAAAAAAAAAAAAAAAAAAAAAAAGAGCGTCGAGCCCTTGTAGCAAAAGAGAGAACGACAACACAGAAGTGCAGTGAAGAAGAGAAAAGAAGAATGCCCGACAGCAACACCAGTCAGGAGGTGGGTAACAAAAAGACGAAACAGAGTCAGGGTTTTCCAGCAACCCGAAGCTCTCTCGCGTCAAAATTCAGATGTTGATATTAAAAGGCTTCATAGTGCTAAACACGGGCATCGAACAAGCGCGCAAATCGTTTCGGAACGGTCCAGTGTAAAGCCCAAGTGGAGTATGATCCAAAGCAAGTACGGACGGTGGAGGCTGGTGAAAGCCCGGCACGCAGGGACGTTTTTGATAGTGCCCTCCGTAGTGTAGCATCAGAAATATGAAAGCCATCGCATCATTTGCGTGGAGGACTAGTGTAGCAGTCTCTGATCATGGTGGATATAACTGTAACCATCACCGTGACGGCCAAGATGAGCTCCCACGAGGGGTCGAGTCCAGAGAAAAACAACACAACTCCATGGGATTATTACTATGGTCGAATTCCATCCAACCAATCTTATTTCATTTATTCATGCTTTTGTCTTTTTGCTTTTTTTTTTTTTCTCATTGTTTGCGGAAAGGAAGTTGAGTACCGCGAGTCGAGTCACGAGTACGGTGCTGCGAAGGAGACATGGTTAGCACTGAGATCGGAGCAAAGTGAATCAGCTATTATCTAGACCAGCGAACGAGCGAATAGGACTCACTGATCTCAGGGTCGTTAAGTGAAGTGGAGAGCATCCAAGAGATGGCTGTTGACGCTACGTCTCAAAGTGCGCCGAGGTGGATTCGTTAGTGAGCGGCGCTGCTGGGCCGAAATTTCAACCTGAAACCGCATGGCCCATGCAGGATGGGATTGGATGGGGTTGGTGAGGAGTACAAAGTTATTTTTAATTGTATTATTAGCCAGCACTGATGGGGTGGGAGGGATAGAATGTCTGATGGATATAATCAGAATCAAGAGTGGTGGAGGATGGAAAGTAGTGGAGTTGTGGTTAGCAGGAAATCGCAGGACTTTAGGAGGTTTAGAATAACGCGATCAATTTAAACAGCCTCGCTTCGATGGATTGGATAATAAGATAGCAGTAATAAATAGTAATATAATAACAGGGACTGATATCATAACAAACAGGGTTTATAGTGAGACAACAAGGACCGTCTGCTCAATTAGCATGGAACTGTTGTCCATAGCAGATCCTATTATGAAGCCATCAGTTTGACCATGAATTCTCATTTTTGGCTCTGGAATCCGGATAGTCTATTATTAACTGCATCAATTGCATCGACTGCATCGATTGAGGTATTTCTGTTCGTCATCTAGTCTTTGTTTCTATCCAGATACTCCACTTGGTGGTTCTTCGGGTGCTTTATATCCCACCCCTTTAAAAGTCAACTCTTTTCTATTTGGACAATATACGCGTATATCTTCTTATGTCTGTCCGTGTATGTTGCCTATATAAACTGTTATTTTTAAATTATTATCAAGTTGCCTGTAGTTGCAAGGGTTGGCAGTGAAAGTCAAAGTATCACTGCAACCCCAGAAAAGGGGGATTGAGAATAAAGACAAAGCTTCCTGACAGAAGTCAATGACCCTAATTAAAGATCTCATCAGACAGGGATATTGATGAAAATTTCTGACACATGGAAGCCAACAAGATAGCTTGTGGCATACGATGCATTCCAACCTTCAGGCTGTATACCTGCTGGCTTCTCTTGCGGTACATTTGCTTATTTCTTACAGCCTACCCTTCCTGCTTGGTATTCTTCGACTACCCATTCATCAATTGTATCATCGCATGGCCAGTGAGGAAGATATAGAGCATTCTAAATTGAGCGTATACTATTCGATCAACCTGAGATGTTGCAAGCTCGTGAGGATCGTCGTGCTTCGTCTACTATGGTAGACTTCTTGTTTAGCGGCTTCTTGGTGGGGCTGGGTCGTCCGGCTTGCTGATGACATCTGGAGTACTTGAATTCGGCCTCCATTATTATTCTCTTTGGAGAAACAAGTGAAGCTGAAGACATAAAGTTGAAGTTCTGATGAGGTGAATAGGAACCAACTTTTACTCATCTTATGGGTCATGTGATGTGGTATACCCTCTCGTCCTCTTGATATATGATAGAGACAATGAGATCCAAAGACCTGCCAGGTTGAGAAATACATAAGAACATGTCTATCAACGTTCTCATGAAGAGAATATTTATACACACTAGCAGGCCATTAATGCAATTGATGACCTACCTAAATCCACTTTAACTACTACAATCCATTCAATAAACGCATAATGCTATCCCGAGGGTAATGATCTATCTAGAAGTGAGCCAATCGCTTGGACGACTTTGAAATAAAGGGTATAATGCCAGCAACAGAGAAAACAAATCGCACAGTTGTACTGGCTATGCCTGACCCAACTCGCTTCGCACTCTTTCGACTTCTTTTTCCACGGCTTGCATTTCAACGACTACACTGGCCAGCTCTGGCAATTGGCCTTCGACTGCCTCAGTGAAGGACATCTGAGCGCTGCGAAGGGATGGAGGTACCAGGATCCCGTACCACGTAATCGGGTTGGAGGACTGGAATTTCTTCTTCGAAGCTTTGGGTTTCGCGGGCTCAGTAGAATCTGCTTTCGAGGGCTCTGGGGAATTTAAAGAGTCTGTCTTCTGGTTTTCCGTGCTGCTATTCTCTTTTGAACTGTGCTTCTCTCCTTCCTGGGGGTCGGTGTTTGACTGGTCTTGTTCGGCTTCCTTGTCCGGTTCAGTCTGTTCACTGGGCCGGCTGTCTGGTACGGCCTGAATTGCAAAAGTATGTTTGTAATTGTCGGACTGGTCTTGTTCAGCGGAATCGTCATTCTTTTTAGCGATGCACTCGTCCTTGTCCTGACTCGGGGTTGACTGTAGTGACCTTTTTGTATACCCATGATTAGGAACGTATTCTCAGATTCGGTAAAATAAACCAGTGTCTGGGACGTACATTTTTCTTGTTGCTTTCATACGCTCGTCATAGTAATCCGCACCATACCGTCGACCAGGCGGGCAGGTGTAATTCGCATGTGCAAGAGAAAAGAATCCCTATTACTTGATATTAGAATGTTTCCCTTCGAGCACGATAATTCAATTCCAGACACTCATACCGAAGATAGTCGTTTCCCCAAATCTGCCTGTAACTTCTGATGCCGATCGAGAAGACAAAGATATCGCTCTAGAAGAGTATCCAACGACTGCAGTAGCTCCGCGGACGAGTCGACAACTGGTTTCTTCTGCTCGACATCGGGTGATTCTGAGCCATGACGGGAAGCAGGGGGAGTAGGGACCTGAGCCATTGAGAGATAACAGAAAGAAAATACCGGATATAGCTCGACTGACTGAATTGGTTACCCAGAAGTTGTGCAGAAAGAAGACAATCGGGAAACACTGGAGAATCTGGAGAAGCGCAGGTGTTCGGTCCGGGCGCCCGATAACTCCGTCATCGCGCCTCCGAGAAAGCAAAAGAATTTCCCGCCCTAGGCTTCATCATCGCTGAACCTACAACTTTCCTTCCATCCTCCCCTATCAGGAAGTGTGTGTGATCCTGTGCGTTTAGAGTCTTTTCTACTAGTACCTGTGAGTCTGGTTGTTTTCCTTTGCGGAGACACCGTCTCGTTGCTTCGTTCTATCTCCAAGCGCTAACTTGCCTTCGGTTGCGATAGCGAACAAGACAACCAAGTCTCGGGGACGATCGGTGTCTAGACTTCCTGACACTATCAAGTCTTCACTTTCAAGTCGTTGACCTGTACATTCCATCTCCATCAGCGCTCCTTTTTTTAAAGATCATCTCCACTCTCAATCCCAACATGTCCGTGGCAACCTTTTCGCGGGACACTGCCTTTCAGGCACGGTCTTTGGTATGCATTCGAGGCCTTTAGGATATTCGATAGGATATTCGACTAACGTCTTAATTCCGCTTTACAGCTCCGTTCCCTGCTCCGTCAGTCATCCCAGTTCTCGAACTATAACTTCCGCGAGTACGCCCGCCGGAGGACGAGGGATGCTTTCCGCGAACATCAGAAAGAGAGCGAAGAGAGGAGGATACAAGAGTTGATTCAGGATGGATTGCAGAACTTGCGATCGATGAAGGTCAGTGATGCCAAACTACGGTTATGATGTTATTTTGGAAGGCCAGAACGAGAAGGCTTTCGTCGATACAGATGCATCTTTTTATGTGCCACCACACCAAATGCCCAGATTACTGATTTCCATTTCAGAGACAAACTATCATCAGCCAGTTTTACCAAATGGACAAGCTGGTCGTGGAAGGCCAGAAGACAGTAAGTCCAAATCCATGACATCCTGGTATACAAACCCATCGTCCAGAAACAAGTCTCACATGTTTGTCCAGGGAAAGCAAACTGGCTCAGAAGGCAACATTGTCCGCCAGAAGGATACCGGGTAAGTTTTTCTGACTCAACCCCCTCCAATGCCACATGGACCTTCCAGGCTAACCCTGTCACAGCTGGGATTAAATCGGCCATTCGCATCAATTGAAAGTTGTTTAAGAGTGATTTTGAAGCTGGATTTCATTATATTCCATTTTTGATTCTCCTACTCGTTGGAGTCCACGGTGCAAGCGAATGAGGTGATTAAATAGACCCGAAGTGCCCTGTATTTTTAATGGACCTACGCTGTAGGTACGCCACTTAAACTCATCTGCCAAAAACACAATATTCTACTCTTTTTTTATCCACTGCATCTCATTTTCAATAGACATAGTTTTGTAATAGTCTCTGTACGCATAAACCCACTGCAGTCACACTGTAGTCACGCCCTCTGATCGCAGCTGCGGTCACGTGATACTCCGCTTCGGCGTTCGTCCTCCATCGCAACGCGACAAAAGACATCGAGAACAATCGCCCTCCAGCTTGGTTCATTGGCTGCGCATTTCTCTTAAACGGGGTACGGTGTTGAATCTTTACTTATAGTGCCACCAGGGCACTATCAGGATCTCTCTGGGACTGGAGTGAAGACTGCAGGCCAGCTGCTCACCATGCCACCTACAGTACGTTCCCACTCGGCCTCCTTAGAATCAAGAAGTCACTGGAATACACAGTGGGGTTTCTTTTGCCTTGCTGACCTATTTAACAGTTCAGGGCCTCGCGCTCTGGTCGACATCTTGCCGAAAACAACACCAACCGTACCAGAACGGGCCAGATCGACCACGATGTCTTTGAAGGACTACCAGTTCGCCGCTGGACGCGCCAGCCGCAGACTATATCTCAAGAACCCAAGGCAGAGGAAACGCAATTGATCGTTCAGGGGCCCGCCGGAACGCAATCTTTGCCGGAACACCCCATGCCCAAAGACAGCCAACTTCTGACCCCAACAAGCAGGGCTCTCTTACGTGCAGCTCGCGCTGGATGCATCTACATTCGCCATGCCCCAAAGGAGCCGGAGGAAGAGAAGGAAGAAGCTACGGATGTGGAGGAACAGCAACCAGTGTACAGGGCAGAGCGCAACTTTGTGGCGCGCAAGTGGTCGGCAGTCCCCAAGCATATGGAGCCTCCAGAAATCGAATTTCTTGCCAAGAGGCGACCGGGCCTGCCCTCATTGTACGGTGCAACTGCTGCTGCATCTGATGGTGCGACTCACAATGCTGCGCCGATGAGGAGGACGCGCTTCAGGAAGGTCGACCCGGCGACTGGAAACGTTTCGATCTACGAAGCGTGGGTTCCGGAAGGACACAGAATTGAAGGCGAAATCACAGAGGATGCTCCAGTGGTATCGAATAATGGTGAAGTGACCATCACTCCGGAGGCTCCGGCTCCCGGTACTGTCGTCGAGGGTGTTGGGGTCGTCAACGGTGAAGGTGTGGTTGTTGCAGAGGCAGGCTCCGCGGCCGTTATGACTCCCCCGAGAAGGCGGCCGCCTCCACCTAAGCGCAAGGCCAAGGGCCCTGGAAAGGGCAGGAAGAAGAAGGTTATGTTTGCTCCTGGTGAGGGAGCAGATGCAAACCAGGTACATGGTGCTGGAGCAGGTACCGCTGAGAATGGTTTCGTCAAAGAGGAAGATGTTGATTCGTCCCGTATGTCTGTTGACCAAAACGGTCAGGATGATGAGGATGACGATGGTGAAGATGGCGAGGAAAGCGACGAGGGGGATGAGTCCATGGTGGATGCTAAAACCCCAGAGACTCCATTGCCCCAAGTTCCTTCCGATGCAGCAGCCGATCCTACCCCTGAGCCTGCAGCGGAACCTGTGCAGCCTCCTCCAACAGCTCCTACGACAGAAGCACCAGTTGAACCGAAATCTTCGGAACCAGAACCTTCATTAGCCCCAACATCCGAACCTCCGCAACAACCAGAACCATCACAGACGGTGCAAGCTTCGGAAGAACCAGCGTCAGCGGCAGCTAATGAGGCTGCTTCTGCTGCTCCGGCTCCCTCTGCAGATAAGCCGGTAGAAGAAACTGCGGGAGATAAGATGGACACGACAGAAGACGGGCCTTCTCACCCTACCACTGATGACAGTGTTCCATCTGCACCCCCTGCACCATCTGCCCCGGAACAGGCTCCGGAGACCCAGCATTCAGATGAACCACAAAATGCTGAAGCTGTCCCTGAAACTGCTCCCGAAACCTCAGAACCAACACCGAAGGAAACTCATCAAGACACAGAGCAAAGTTCACTGGCACTGGCAATTGAAAGTACGGACCAGGTTGCCCCTAAGGAAACAGCAGAAAAGCCGTCCGATGCAGGACCAACAGACCAAGGAGAGGCATTACCCCAGACGACAGATGGCGCCGAAGGTGATGCCATGGACACATCGGCAGATCACGAGCAGGCCCTAGAGCCAGAGCCAAAGCATGTCTCAGAAAAGGAGAATGCACCAGAACAAACGAGCGCACCGGAACAGGAACAAGAAAGGGTCCCAGAAAAGGCCTCTCCCCAACCTGCTCCAAGCACTGGTCAGAGTAACGACTTCGACCTTCTTGGTAGCCTCGAAGCAAGCTTAGGAGGTACCAATGGAGAGCAGCATCAACAGCAGGCTGAAGTCCCAGCAGAGGAGCCAAAACAAGTGGAGCCTGAGCAAAACGCTGGAGAACAAGCCGCGGAAACAGAGGGCGAAACCGTCAAAGAACAACCCGAAGAGAAGGCAGAGGAACAAGTTATGGAACAAACAGAAGCGCAGACTGGAGAACAGATCGAAAAACAGGCTGAAGAACCTAGTACAGCGCAAGCTGCGGAACAGCCCGCTGAGCAGCCCGCCGAGCAACCTGCAGAACAACCCGTGGAACATCCTGTTGAGAACGAGCCAGAGCAGGTACAGGAACAGCCCACGGAGCAGACTACCGAACAGGCCGAGCAACAGGCCAAAGACACAACCGTGGAAAAGGCTGAGGAACAAACTGGGGAACCGATTCCAGAACAGCCAGCTGAGAAAACCACGGATGAAGCCACAGTGCAGGCTCCAGAACGACCATTAGAGCCAGCGCCAGAGCAAGCGCCAGAACCAGCGTCAGAGCAAGCACCGGAGCAAGTGCCAGCACAAGCTAGCGATCAGCCCGAGGAACAAGAAGCCAAAGCAGATGAAGTGGCACCCCAGCCTGAACAGCCCGAACAGTCTCAGCAACACGAATTCGGATACGAGCCCCAAGCTCCAAAGGACATATCTCCGCTTACACCAGCTGCTGATGAAGAGATGCTGCCAAAACCCGACGAGACCACCGAACTTACTGCTCAAGAGCCTAGCCTCAACCCCGAGACCGCTCCCCAACAAGAAACCCAGGGAGAGCCAAAAGACCAGGTAGAAGAAAAGGCAGGAGAGGGAGAAGCACAGCCAGTTCCCCCACCAAGCACGGATGCGGCTTAAACAAACCTAGTTATGTCTACTGTTCACATTTGATACCTGTTTCTATTTCTTTTCCTTTCTTAATCCTCCACTTTGACGATTGGTTCGCTTCTTATCTCAATATTGAAATCCAAATATGTTGATTACGTGTTTGTTGGTTGGTTCTGGGCGCAGTTGGTATGGTTATATTGGCGAAAGGTTGCCCATGAGGATTGTTGTATAATAGATCCTTTGTTTCTTGTGTAGGTTGAATACGGAGTACATGGTTTGTATTTCTCATTCTATTCATTATGATTGTCAGATCCCAAGCTTCATGGGCTGTTCTAGGGCTCAAACATTCATTGACCTTCAACAGATATATATATCCGGATCATCATAATTCGTAAAAGTTTCTATCCCAGTCGGCATCGAAATTCATTTTAATAACGATGAATTACTTATCCTATAAGTATTCCTAACTAAAATTCCAATTGTCCATTCAATCCTATCCCATCCCATATTCAGTCACTTCTCAACATGACAAAAAGCCCACCGTCCACAACTCAACAATAATCATGATTATTTCCAAACAAGGCAAAAAAAGGGGGTTAAAAGTAACATTCAAAAGAATAGAACGCCGTCATTGGAGCCAAAATAATAATAGTGCATTCAGGGTGAGGGAATAATCAAAAAGGGGGAATAAAGCAATATTGGTTGGGGAAATAAAAGGTCAAACTGCGAAATATCCATATGTTGAGCAAAAGTATTGCAGCCCGTGCAGGCCAAGAGCAAGGAAGCCAAAAAAGAAAATACCCGGAAGCAAAAAATAAAGAAATGGAAAGAAAGAAATGAAGGCAAGGACATCCAAAAGAATCCCCTAAAATGCCACTTGGTGGTCTATCCGCGCCACATAGGGCGCGCTGAAGTATCCAAGATCCAGTCCAATGGATTTCATATATATTATGTGCTGCTTGACTGCTATAGGCCGGAAGACTTCAGCAGAAGCTAAGATGGCCATAGCAGCTATCAATTCTTCTTTCCTTTGACTGAACGCACCGCGCTCTTGGCTGCATTCTTGGGAGCTTCCTTAGGGGTTGGCTTGCTCGCTGGTTTGGCTTCGGTCTTCTTTTCCTTTGTCAAACGTTTTCGAGCAGGCGTACCCTTAGCCGCGGCAAGTATTTTTGCCTTGGTTTCTGCGGATGGGCGGTTGAGCTTAGATGGTGATTGGGAAGTCGTCGGCTTCGATTGAGCTTTTCCTAGACCCGTCGCTTTTGTAGGGCGAACTGTCGCCTTCACTTTAGCTTTCGCTTTAACCTTGGGCAGCTTGACATTGTCCTTGAACTTGGTATTTTTCTTTGCAGGACTCTTGGCTTTGGTACTCTGTTCTGCAGGCTCTTTGGTTGCCTTTCTTTTTTGTTTGGTAGCTGGCTGCTTCTTCTGTGTAGTAGTTGATTTAGAAGCAGAGGGACGTGCTCTCGAAACCGCCTTCTTGACTCCGGACTTGATCGACTTTGGTGTCAGAAGCTTACGCTTCTTGTTAATCCGCGCAGCAGACTCGTCGATTGCATTTTCAAGTTTTCTCTTTGAGCCGGTGGCCTTCGCATTGGCCTTTTTAGTGTTCGAATTAGACTTTTTCTGATTGTCACCCTTCGACTCCCTTGCACTTGCACGTTGATCCTTATCTCTTGGTCGCGGTCCTAGAATACCACGGCATACTGATGAGCCACACCGGCACTGCTGGACATTTTTCTGGGAATAGGGGCTGGAGATTGTCAGTATCGAAGCAATGAGATCTAGATAAAAAAAAAAAAAAGCTTACTCAAAGTTATAATCATAAGTCAGTTCTTCGCCTGTCATAATCCCACGATCCCCAGCAAAAAGAGCCATGCGTGGTTTGCCAGCAACTGTCCATTTTTCCATTCGACAGTTGGGTTCACAAGAGTGATTCACAAAACGAGCAATGGAGCCCCGGGTGGCATCGATGATCATGTTTTGGTCGAAGTACATCAGATAATAGCACTGATAGGCCGCGTTAATAAAGACTCTCGAAAAGGGCAAAACTCGGGGCAAACATACCTCATTGTTTTTATAGACGGATCTCATCCGTCTTTCACATTCGTTTTGGGTGACGATCTCTCCAGTATACTCGACAATGATCTGATTTGGTTCGAAGGTGCGGTTGCTGCGAACACCATATCCACGGTCCGACGTTTTGATGACCTCGACACCAATGTTGTATTTTCCTCCCGCCTTGGTTCTTTGCTTAAGTTCGTCAAAATTTCGGTTACCGCATTCTGGGCCTAATGCACAGTTCCCGTTATCACATTCGTAAAACATGTAGCGGTTTTGACACTCCTCGTCACATCCTGTGTCCTCAGTACACAAGCATTTCGACAGTTCCTCGTGCTTGTTAGCCCTCCAGATGCTAGAGGCCTCGCCAACAAAGACGTTTTTGTTGGTTTTCCTCCACTCGTCGGGTTTAGGTTGACCAGGAGGGAGAGGAGAGAAGATATCATAAGGCAACTGGAAGTCTCTTCCGCTTTTCAAAAGTCGATCGCCTGCAAACATAGGCATTGGAAGTAATCTCCGCTGGGGCTTGCTTTCACTTCTCCTCTTGGTATTCCTGTTTCTGTTCTGACTAGGACGAGCGTCGGTGTGTTCTTGTCCCGTGTATAGCCCATGAGCGAGCCAGCGCTTTCTTTTGTGTTCCAACACCGGCTTTGGGGGAGCATCCTCTTCAATTTTGGAATCTTCCCGAGATTTGGACTTTGACAGCAATTCGCTGTCAGAAACACGCCGCTTCTTCGCTGCAGGAGGCTCGTTGGCGGCCGAAGTGGATTCCTCCTTCGGCGTGACAACATTTCGAGGGCGTAGACTGGCCCGTCGGCCAATTTCCTTTCCTTTATCTATCATGTCTCTGGAGCGTTTCCCTAACACACTGCTAGCCCGGTCGACGAGGTCCGATGCTTTCCCCAAAATACTCAGACGAGACGAGCGCCTCGGAGGTTCTTGACTGTTTGCTTCCGGGGTCGTCTTTGCTTTTTCCTGATCCTGGTCCTGGTCCTGGTTTTCTTCGTTGGTTGATGGCTGTTGCACACGCTTCCGCAAAGTTCGTTGCGGAAGTGACGAACCGGACTCCGATGGCTGTGGTTCTTGGGATGATTTCGAAACAGGCGTATCGGGGGCCTGTGGGTGGTCTTCAGCCTCCGTATGATCTTGACTGAGCGCTGCTTCGCGCCACATGGTCTTTTCCATGACCGCTATGCTGTGCCGCGGAAGAGAATACTGCGACTTCTTCCCCTCTGAAACCTTGTTGACCGAGATCTCACCAGGGACCGTCCGGTTTTCCTCTCCGGTAGAAATTGTAACTTCATTATTGCTCTCTAGAGCCAGATTATCCAGTTGTGCAGCCCCCCGTAAAGAGGCGCGTGTCACCCGTGTAGATGTCCGCCGCACCGCCGGCTTTTCCTCGTTCGACGCGTTTTCGTTGTTACTGGAGGTCTCGGAGCGGCTGTTCTCAGGAGTGAGTAGCTGTTCCGAAAATTCAATGCCCATTATGTCTTTGGCGTGCTGGTGGGCGTGCTGGTTGAGGTCAGGAAGGGTTGGGGGTGTCGCGGCGGACGCGACGGATAATCTAGTTCGAGTTTCCATGTCAAGGCTTTCTGCAAATTAACTGGCGGTAAGTGCGGTATTTTTAGTTGACACAAGGATGCCGGAAGAGGATTCGGATATATCACCCTCTGGTTGTCTTAATTGCCAACCGGTGAGGGGGTGGATGTTCGGTCAAAGGCTGACCCTGTTGCACGTCTTCTTATCAGGAGTCTGCGCTATACTCTACGCGTAGAAGAGCATATTCAAAACCCGGAGCAGAATGCCATGACACAAAACATATAATATAAAAAGGATGGTGGTGGAGGGCTGCAGGAGGGAGGATGGACAGGCAATGAATGGGAGGGGGGAAAGAAAGAGGGAAGAAAGAGGGTTGCGGAGGTTTGGCTTGTCTGGAGAAGGAGGAGGAGGGATTATCGTCAGCAGAGGCACACGGCCGCGGAATGCAAGAGAGAGCGCCAAAAGACCAGGCGACAACAAAAAAGCAATTCCACGCCTATAGGTATTATGTTTTACCCTCTTATATCAAGAGTCTTTATTGTCATCTGGTGGTATACTATACCTGGTCCCTCGATAGGCCAGAGCAAACGGTTTTATATTGTAGGCCTGTACCCCGTAGACAGAGACACAGCCCCCCGAAAACTTCCTGCATCTCTTCTTATTCCTCGTGTTTATCTCTTGTTGGTGATAAAATTATCCATTGTCTAAACTAGAAGTACTATCTGCGGTCCTGAGCTCAGATACTCATACATATCCCATGTTGCGTAAGATCCAGACCAATCCAACATTTCTGATAGCAAACAAAAATTTCCCTCAAAAAGTAAGAGATGACTGGATGGATAGACATAGCGGTAAAATAAATAATAGAGTGTGTTCATGAGAAGAGAATGAAGATGGAGGTTGCCCCGAAGGTCTGCAACGCTCCTAGACAAGAAAGAAAATGGTATGAAACAGAGAGTGCATGTACATACATGTGTACGTAATGTGTGCATGTGAGATTCGAAAAGAGAAAATGGACGAATGAAGGCAAAGGTGGTAACCGTTATTATTAAATAAAAGAAGTAGACGTAAGACGCTCCGAGAAACAAAATAATTGCCCAAAGTTAAAGGAAGAAGAATGGAAAATGATCAATGAGATAGGACAGCGTAATATTCAACTGATTCTCAAGCCTGTTGTTCTTCGGGGGAGACATGTTGCATTTCAATACCAGTTTGAGCTTCGATATCTCGGGGGCGATCCTTTCGTTTCAGTGTGCTCAATCGTTGGTCTCCCTCTTGATAAGGCTGCTTGAATTGCATGTAGGTCGGTGGGCGTGGCCGCATAAGAACGGATAGCCAATTGCGTACAGCATTGCCCTGTGTAAAGGGTCGATGGCGATCTGCCTTCACAAATTTATGGGAATTCAAATATTCTCTTGTTGTCTCCCCGCGGCCGACAAGGAAAAGATGGTATGCCCAAAGAGACGCTGGATACGGCGCAGCCAGTGCCCCATAAATTACCATGGCCCAAGGTACTCTCCACTTGTCGATTGCGGTCCCGAACGAGATACCTTCTTGTGACCGATAGACCAAAATATGCGCAAGACTGGCGCCAACCAAGAATAATGCAAGAAGCGTGGAAGAACTAACAAAGGTGAAGAAATACCGATAGTTACGACGACCGACACAGTTATTGAGCCACACACAGTGATGATCGAGCGTTTCGACACAGTTATCGCAGACACGGCAATGGTAGCAACGTGGTGGGCGCCAGATACAGCACGTCTTGCAGTATTTCACAGGGACATCCATTGCTGCAACTTCTGAAGTTGCCAACTTGACCATGACCCAGTCATTGGTTGGAGGTCCAATGGCCAACGGATCATCGGAGGGATCTGGTGGAGGCATAGAATGGAGATTTCGAGGAATGATCTGCCAGACATGGATTAGCAAACAGCAGTAGGTCTATAGTCACATTCTATCTTACCCCAGGATCAACTACCGAGGCGTGTATAAAAGAGGAGAAGCATATGTAGAAAAGGTACGCAAACACGACGGGAATAGCTGGCGAGATGTTATACCATAACCAAGGAGCCCTTTAATTATCATTAGCCATTGACCACCAAGGAAAAAATGGATGGGAGCCATACGAAAACCCGAAGAATAACGCGGAAGGTAAAACAACAAATATGCCTGTTAGGATGTTTATGGGCTTGTCCCGGGAATTCTGAAATCTCCCACCACCGCAGAATATCGTGTTTCCTGTGAAATATTCATAGTTTTTACCCGAAGCCGCCCCTTTCATCATTCCACTTTTCTTCGGATCGAGAGATGTGGGAGATGAACCTGCTGAAGATAGTCGTTCATGATCTCGATTGTCGCGATGTTGATGCCCAGTAGTTCTATTTTGTAGCGAGAGAAACGAAAGAGGTGACCTTTGGGGCGGATCTTGGGTATTCGACCCGTTATAATCGACTGATAGATTCAGATGCGGCGGGGCAATTTTGTATACTCTATCTCTGTCGTGCAAAAGTTTGGCACTTTCACCTAAACTTTTTGTTGTTGTATTACCAATGGGGCTGGCGTTCGATGTGAGTCGATCTGGGATTATTGGATCTGTGTATTCTGTGCCTCGCGATGGTGGGGCTTCCATATCCATCTGGGGAACTGATCCTTGGGGTATTGTGCTATTCGAAATAAGACTCCTCCTGTTTTGACTTGACTGGTCGTTCCAGTCCTCGGAGGAGATCGACGTTCCTTTCGTAACTGGACGGCCACGGTGCGCCTGGAGTCGTTGAGATGACATTGGTCGAAAGAAGCCTTGCGCAGTCAGGGAGGGGATATGGGATCTGCTAATTCGACTTGCAGAGCTTCCCGGTCTGCTTGCTACTTGGCTGGATGTTGTGATGGAGCTTCTCGCAGGTGGGGGTCCTCGTCTCGATACAGAAGGCCGTGACCGGGGTGGATGCGACGACGACTTCCCCGTGTATGTCTGCGATTGTTCTCCATCTTCTGACGTCACATCTGTGACCCGGGACGAAATTCCTCCCACGGAGGGGGGACGAGGTATACCCAGCGCATGGTTCGAGGGTGGGGGGTTTGTCGCATCGCTGGTATCGGGGGTATCTGGTGGAATCGCCATGATCGCCAAACAAAATATGATCGAATCACTCTATTAGACAATGCACATTATCAATTTGTTGCTAATAAGGCAGATATTGGCGACTTCGAGCGAAGTGCGATGGTATCAGGGGTCGTATGTATATCACGACGTGAATATTAGGCGGCTATTAATAGCCGGTCGAGTAGTCGTTTAAGGAGTGACAAAATAATGGGCATAAAAAGCACCGAGGGTATGGATAAAAGAGAGATAAAGTAAAATAGCCTAAAGCACCCATGATTCAATTAGTTTTGCTCTTTGATCCCCATCTTGAATGCAGGAACGCGCCCCCTCAGGGCGACGAATGCGATGGCCGCTGGGGCGGAAATGATACGGACCTGTTGGTTTAGATGCGGTACTGGGCCAGTCAGTCACACCACCGGGACAGGATGATCATGCTGCTGCTGCTGCTGCTGCCCGATAAAAGTAGTCAAAATGAAGGATCGTATGGGACAACACAGCAGGAGAACAGCAAACCCCGATAACTCCCAACGCTCGACGGGCATCAAACCTGAGTTTCTTGTTGTTCTTCCCCTTCTTTTGTTCGATCAATCCCGAGCCCCCGATGACTCAGCAACCAGCTGCAGCCAACGGGATGTCACCTGATGATGCGCCGGCAACATCATCGCTTCCCGACCACCCAAGGATTCTCTCCCACGCCCCCCCAAGACCTCCAGTTCTCGCCGCAGGCAGTTTCTTGTCTCTTGCAACCACTCAAAATGTCTTCAATTGCTGCTATGGCCTCCCGTCGGGCCTTTGCCCGTCAGTCCCTTTTCCGGGCTCCCCTGCGCCGCAACTATGCCACCTCCAAGATGGAGGAGGCCAGCCTCGACAAGGCCCCCAAGCGTGACCCCGAGCTCTACGTATATACACCATTGAAGCCATTCGATCCATTGATGTCTTGTCTAATTGCTCATAGGTCCTCCTCGGTGTCATGTCTGGTGCTTTCTTGATCGCTGGATGGTAAATGATCTCCTCCCCACTTTGAACCTTTTGACACCGATCGAAACCCGCAAAAATTCCGATATCATTCAATCCCCACGCAGACGACAAAACACAATGCAAATGCTGATGGGGTTTTCTTTATTGAATAATAGGTACTTCGGCAGAAAGCCCACCTCCGTCAACTCGGAGAGCAACGTCCGCATTGGCGAGAGTGCCATGCCCTGGCACGCGGCCGAAGAGGATGGCAAGGTCTACAAGTACCAGTACCACCCTCACGGTGACAAGAGCCAGCCGCTCAGAAACGCTCCCAGCGCTCTGAACACCGTTATCGTTCCCAACGTCACTCTCCCCGAGGTAATTTGCGATTCCGGATTACTCCGCTCTTCGACCCTTGATATCAAGGATTATCTAACATGGCATCCTTTCTCTCTAGGACCTCCACGAGCGTTTCAACAAGTACGGAAAGGAGGAATGGGACTACTAAATGTTCGCCTAAAAAAATTGGAGCTGAAGTAGAGGCGAATCCCGATGCTGGTTGCTGTACACTAGAATCATTGTGAAAACTAGAGTATGGGGTGAGCTTTTCATTGCGGGAGCTTTGTGCATAGTATGTTTTTTGTTTTGATGAGAATCAATTGGGGTTGTTTTCGTTGCGCTACAATCAAGTTAAGTTGTTTTAACAGTACACCACTCAAGTCTAGGACATAGTAATCATACACAAGGTCATATTTCGTTAAAACAAAAATTATTATCAAGAAAGTACATGAAGCTTTGAGATTTGTCAATTTCAATTCCCCGAAGAAAACAAAGAGATGAGAATATAAAAAGAAAGATAATAAAAAGCTATCGACACCTCGTTATACATGCTTCTCTTCTTCGCTTAGTGTTGAGTTGCTTCATTGCCCTCACTGGCTGGTTTGGGCTCAGGAGAGTTTTGTTCCTCCACCAAGCTCTCGCCTCCGGCCACAGAAGCTGGGTCGACAGGTCTTTCTTCATTGTCTGCGGTCTCCGGGTCTTGGCCTTCTACATCAGGGTGCGGCGGCGCAACTTTACCGTCGACCACGTCCACCTCATGACCATTTGCCAAGCGGGATCGGGTCTCATATCTGGTTTCGAACTGAATTTTTCCATCCTTCGCAAGAGAAGCAACCATTTCCTCATCCAAAATCTTTCCGTTTTGATCACGGTATTCCACTCGTGCCTTTTTACTGCGGAGGATACGTTCAGGCTCGGGGGTGACACTAGCCTGTTGCTCTTCACCATCCTTGGGAATCTCTTGCACAGGCTCCTCACGTACAGGCTCCTGTTGCACAGGAGGGGGCTGAACAGGAGGGGCCTGTACAGGGGGTGCCTGTACTTGTGTCGTGGGGATAGGTTGGCCGGAGTTCATGAACTTTGTTGTATATTGGTCGAGCTAATACCTCCTTGTCAGCTGTCGTGTTGCGATTTGCTTAACCCTCGTAGCGGAGGTTTCCATTCCGGAACACTTACGTCGGTGTAGAAAGTGTTGCAATCGAAGTCCCAGGAGTTCAAAAGCTTCACCTTGTTGCAAGCATCCCGTGTCCAGGGGTTGCCGTAAATAAGTGGGGAGTAAAGGGTAAACGTGAAGATGCTCATGGCAAGGAATCCTGCCATCAAGGCTTTACCAATAATAGGTTTGGATGGCAACCCGAGCTTCTGGATACGGTTTGTCAAGAAATCAAATTCCTGGCAGAGCGTCATGACAGCAAAGTAAAGGGCAGGGAAGTAATGGTGCAGGAACAGCTGACGAGCCATCAAGAAGAAAGGGAAATAGTGGAAGAACCACCCAAGCACACTGGTTCCAACTTCGTAGTCAAAACGCTTGAAGTTGACATTCTTATAGTCACCACAGTTTCGTTGCCACCGAATAATAGAAATGCCTTTGAAAACAAAGTACACGGCGATTGCCACTGTAGATGACCACCAGATGAACGGATTGCCGAGGAGGTACACCTGACGGTGATCCCTGCCCCAGAAGTTAATACCGCGCAGTAGCGTTGGCCATGATGGCGGGCGAGAATCCCAAGCGTGAGATTCGACCAAACCAGCGTTTGTTGTCCACATAACCTTCTGGAGTTCCCAGAATTTACCCAAGAATCCAGGGTGCACATAAGTAACCTTTTCGGTGTCTGCAGGGAGCGCTGGATGAGCATTTGACTCAATGTACCACACGCTGTTAGGAAGGGTGCCGCCTCTTGCGCAAGTCACTTCCTGCTGATCAAATCCCCATTCAGGAAGCTTAACCTTGTGCGAAAACAAAACACATCCGGTCATGATATGGACCAGTCGGAATTTCGTCTGAATTGTTCGCAGCCTTTTCTTTGCCTCTTCTCCATCGGACATCGACTTGACGATCTCAACCTTGAAAAGATCGTTTGCGTCACCGGCGAAGCCCTCGTACCCATAAGCCGATACCTCGAATTGCCAATCAACATCAGAGACAGGAGGTCGCTCATCGTGCGAGTGAAGCCTCCTGTGAGTCATCGTGTGGTAAAGTTTGATAACGGCGCCGTCTTCAATGTACTCAGCGGTCATATTGTCCCAAGCAAGCGGGCCGGCCACTTCCCCATAGGGACCGAGAGGCTGGGTCTGATTTTCAAGGAGGAAGAGATTATTTTCGTCCTTGTGGGGGTAGAGAGTAATCTGCTGCTGCTTGCTTCCTGTGGGGAACATGTGATTGTGGGAATGAATGTAGCCACCTTGAGTGTTAAGATGACGGATGCTGACGCGGGATCCAAAAGCAACATCCGCAGGAACAGCTTGCATAGCCTTGGAATTCAGCGTTGCTTGGAACTCGGAGGACATGAACCCGTCGCCATCACCAGGGTTTACTAGGCACATGAAATGGATCGCAAACATTCCACAGTAAAAACCGACGGGAATGATGATGAGACAAAAGACTCGCGCGAAGAAGTGCTTGAACCAAAGACGCTAAATAATAAGAAATTAGATTCCATCATACCAAACCACTCGAGATGACACATACCGGTGTGACATTTTTCGAGTCACCGAGAAGCACCCAAAGTTGGAGAATGGTAATGGATCCGACCCAAGCGACTGTGAAAAGTCCAACCCATTTGACACTCAGAGTAGCACCCAAACACAAGCCTGTTGCGGCCAACCAAAACCACCATGCTGCACCAAAAGCTCCCGACGGTCCCAACTCCTGCTGGTTAGTGAAGCATGTGAACGACAGAGCTGTGAGAGCGGTGAAAAACACAAGCGGCGAATCGAGAAGAATCAAGCGCGATTGGGTGGTCAATCCGTTTTCTGCAGGCGATTAGTATAAGGTGGAAGTCCTGCATCAGAAAGGAAAGCAAGAACATACCAAAGATGACGGCTCCGGCTCCCATTATGGCGGACGAGGTCCGACATCCACTCGCCTTCAAGGTCAAGAACATCAGGGGCACTGTAAGCACACCCAGAATAGCGGGAAGCAGTCGCATGGCAACATATGGCACATTCGGTTCAAGATAGTCCTTTCCAATCTCCTTGAAATCAAAGCTTCCATCAAACCCAGCAAGCCAGCCCGCGAGTGTGATTAGGAGTTTGGCCAACGGAGGGTGGACGTCCATGAAGAATCGGCCCTTGATGTATTTGGTCGCGAAACCGCCGAAACTATTCCACGCAAAATCAGCAAAGACATTCTTTTTTGATAGCAGAGCGCGAGACGAATAACAGGAACGTACTGGACTTCATCGAAAACGACACTGGTCGGCTGGTAGATTCTAAATAAACGAACAATCGCGGCAACCAAGGTGAGAAACGCAAGGATTCTGTAATCCGCCGAGGGAAGCTGAAAAATATTGATATTCATAACACCATCTGATGCATAACTCGAAGCTGGTGCTGGTGCCTTCTTGCGATTGTTCGGCTTGGGGGAGCGACTCGGGGACCGCGCAGCCTTACGGGGAGGGTTAACCTCGAGGGCATCTTTTTTGGGCGCCATTGTGGCCCGAGATTTCGATGGAATAATTAAAAGAAATAAGAAAGATAGCGACGGCCAGTGAAGATGAAAGGTGCCAGAAAAAGAAAAGACAATTATATGCCGCGGGACAGCAGTCTCTCGCCGACAGAGAGCGTAGAGCAGTTGTAGAAGGCTCCGGCGCCAGAGGGAGGAGCTCTCTTTCAACAACCCAACGCTCAATTAGCAAACACGAATAATTGACTGTTAACGAGAGTAATGATAAAGGAAGACAGAACACGCCATGACACGGTCACAAACAACAGCGCAAAAAAAAAAAAAAGGGTCTGTTTTCTGAGGGGGCGAGAGACTGAGACCAAACACGTGTGGGACGATTAGGGAGGTGGACGAAAGCGTTCTTCCAGCTGTGGTTAGTCCGCTTTGAGGCCAGATCGTCGACTGCGGAGGCGGACAAGGCGAGGACGCTGGCAATAGCCCAAGAATCCAGGATGGCAGTGATTATTCCACCACGTAATGGAAATAGGGTTGTGGACAATGGTGCATCGCAGCTAAGGGTGCAGAGAATTGATTCTTGACGGCAAAAATTAGCTATATAATGCCATGGTTTGTCGCTGAAACGTCATTTAATCTCCGCTCGTTCATGGTATCTGGCCTTATGTATTGCCAGTCATCTGGCCAATCACCGTTGAGTATCAAATTACGCGCGCGTCTAGTCTAGCCGCCACTTAAGCGCCAACGACCGCGCCAAGGCTCGTTCCAATGAGGTGAAAGAACGGAAGAAATGATAGGACCTCAACTCCGTTGCGTCTGAGATAGCCTCTTGTCTACCTGTGTGTCAATATGGCGTCCGCTATGTCAAATGGAAATAACACTCCTACCCTCCCAGAGGATGTGAGCAAGCCCCCTGAAGGCGTCGTGTTGCCCCCAAAAGATATCCGAGGTTGGTTTACTTCACCCTCCAAGCTTCTCTTTTCCCCGACGGACAGGCATTAACGGTCCTTTAGCAATTGTGGAAAAGACCGCAGGCTACGTGGCGCGCAATGGTCTCGTTTTCGAAGGTACGTATCAAAGTCATCTTGCCCCTCGGTCGCAGCTCACCAAACCCGTGTTTAGATCGCGTGCGCGATAAAGAACAAAACAATCCCAAGTTCTCCTTCCTGAACCCTAGCGATGCATATGCAGCATTCTACCAGTGGCGCCTTGTCGAGATTAAGGAGGGCAGAGGGACTGCTGTGTCGGCGGGCCGGCCAGGGGAGCCCACGGCGGCTGCTGAACCGGAGGTGCCCAAAGGTCCAGAAGAGCCTCCGGAATTCCACTTCTCTGCTCGCATGCCTATAATCAACGCGCAAGATCTCGAGGTGGTCAAGCTTACTGCGCTTTTTGTGGCTAAGAGAGGAAAGTCTTTTATGACGGCACTGTCTCAACGAGAAGCTCGGAATTTCCAGTTTGACTTCCTGCGTCCACAGCACAGTCTCTATCAATTCTTCACCCGACTTGTTGATCAATACACTATTCTGTTGCGACCAGAGGGACTTGATGCTGCGACATCGGAGAAACAGAGGTTGGTGGAACTGGAGCACAATGCGCGAAACAAGTTCCATGTCTTGGAGCGAGCCAAACAACGAGCGGAGTGGGTGAAATTCCAGGAACAGCAAAAGCAGAAGAAAGAAGAGGAGGAGGAGCAGGAGCGGATATCATACGCACAGATTGACTGGCACGACTTTGTTGTTGTTGAGACTGTGCTTTTCACCGAAGGAGATGACCATGGCGACCTTCCTCCTCCAACATCTCTCAACGACCTCCAGTCTGCTTCTCTGGAGCAAAAGGCCATGATGTCCCTCAATCCGATGCGCATCGAAGAAGCTATGCCCACGGAAGACGAAACACCGGCATACTACAATGCCTACCCAGCAGCGCCGGAACCAATGCCAATGGTGCAGCCCGCCGCATATCCTTCCGTATCACCCTACCCTCAGGCACAACCGCTTCAGCCCGTTCCTTCTCCCGCTGCTGCTGCTGTCGCCGCCCAGGAAGAAGAGCAGTATATCCGAGAGCGTGCCGAAGCACGTGAACAAGCTGCTGCGGCGCAGGCTGCTGCGAAAACCGCACCGGGTCAACAACCAATGCGCATTCGCTCCGACTACGTACCGCGTGCTCAAGCACGCCGTCTCAACACTGCTGCGGCAACAGCACTCTGTCCCAACTGTCACCAGCAGATCCCCGTTGCCGAGCTGGAACAGCACATGCGTATCGAACTGCTCGATCCTCGATGGAAGGAACAGCGTGCTAAGGCTGACTCGCGGAGCGCCACAACCAATTTGTCAACAGCAGATGTGGCCAACAATCTCAAACGACTTGCAAGCCAGCGTAGCGATGTCTTCGATTCCGCCGCCCTTCCTACCACCGCTGATGCCGAAGAGGAGGCCAGGAGAAAACGACTCGCTACAGGCATCCCAGGTTACGATGGCGCCCCCGGTGGTGTACCCGCGCCGCCAATGGTTGGACCTGCAGGTGGACCAGTCAACCCTCAGAGCATGAACATCGAGGAGCAAATCAGGCAGATCCATGAAAGAGCCAAGCATGATCATCGATAAACAACAGATTCATGAAAAGATACAACGATGGAGAATCGACTGGCATTCGGACATACCTAGGACCATACAGGGAGGGGAAGGCGTTCCTTTGTCTTCGGAGTTGAGGCTCTTTTATGCATTTAGTTTTTGCGTTCTTTTTTCATGCCAGGATATGTTTGGTTTATGTTTGTATAGTACTTCTGCTCCGATATCTCCTGCATCTATAAAAAGCGGATATGGTTACCAAAGACGGTTGTCATTCTTTTATTGAGTATGGATTATCCTACATTGGTATTGTTGCATCGTCAACTAAATTGTGCCTATATTTCAACTACAATTCTGGTTGGATGCAATTGCTTCTCGAGCGTTAACAAGCGTCTGGAGAAGACAAATCAGCGGGGGTCTTATACCTGAACGGCGTGGAACTCCGGTGTAAAGCTGAAGTTATATCAAATAAAGCAAATGTACTAGGATATTGAGAAATCAATTTATTTTGGCATTAACGTAAATTAGCGGTATATGTATGGTATATGTGCAAATAACCGCCATATTCTTCCACTGCATCATCGACTCCTCCAATTTTAGGCTTCCTGTCATCCATATCAAATAGCTATAAATAAAAGCAAATAGAAAAGCAACAACAATGTAAAAAGCAGAACGCCAGATCAAATTATCAAACTTGTCAACGCAAAAGGGTAATTGGAAACTTGTCGCACTAGATAATGAAGCTTTGCCAACTCGCGCAATGTGCCTGAAAGTTGAAAGGCGTTGGAAGTTGGCATCGCCATTCAGAAAGCGCCAGATATTGCAATCCGCAAGAAATTAAAAAAGAAAAACAGAGTGAAACAAAAATCGATCCTGTAAGTATACAAGGATGCGGGAATCAAATCGATCATAGTAATACATGCGGCACGCCGCTTTATAGAAATAGAAATGCGCAGAAAATAGAAAAGGGTGTATGGAGGAAAAGATTATAGAATAATCAGCCATGTAAAAAGATTAATGTAAAAGGCGAAAATGACTGTAGTCGAAAGTGATGGATGTTGAGAAATTAAGAAATCATGGTTGCGTATGGAGCGGTTTGTTGTCATCTTCAACCGTATGGTTGACATCGGTGCTTTGCATTGCAGTTTGGCCCACTTGGGATTCCTCGGCATTTGGTGCAGCTTTTGGCTCTGCATTATCGTCAACAGGAGTGGTGGTAACTGTGTCCGTCACAAAAATGGTGTGTTCAGAAACTTCGTCTTTTGCAGAATCGAGATTTTGGGGTTCGATTTCATCAAGGGGTGTTGATTCCGCTGCACTGCTGGCCGGAGATTCAGAGCCAGCAGACACAAATGGATCCTCATATACGGAAACATCATCGTCGTCATCGTCCTGTTCGACGTGCGCTTCAATGCTATCGTGCTGAACTTGGTGTTGCGCATGGCCATCGTCTCGCTCTGCTGTTGTGTTTGGCTGCTCTCCCCCAGGACTATTGACCTGGGTAAATATGGGTAAAACACCGGCGCCAATTCGAGACCAGAACATTCTCTCTCTCAGGCGAACTGTTTCTTCCCAAGCATCCTTCTCTTCTTCTGTATCACCGACACGAAGGTGACCATCGAGGATGAGACGTAGGTAGCCAGTAAATTCACAGCACGATCGTACCTTCTCCAGACAGAGAATACACAGAGGGTATCGTTGAGCTGTCTCGCTGTCTGAGGTCCGGAAACGGTGGGTTCTCTCGCTCTCGGGACTGTTTCTGCGCTCACCACAAAGAGAGCACGGAAATTCGTACTTTTTTAAGGAGGGTGGCATTGGCTCAACCAATAGACTACCATCGCAAATGCCACTCATAACTGTACGCCGAGTAAGCCATGAGATACCGGGAGCCGCATCAAGTCTGAGCGTGGGCTCGATATCCTCCACAACTGCCCGCTTGTAGAAACGCGTTTCTTTCAATGGGATGTGCGGGCCGGAGGGTTGTGGAGAAGACATGCTGCCATTGGGGGAATGAGTCTGGGACTTGGCAGGCGACGAAGACGTTGAACCGAAACTCGACCCAAATCCACCACCTCCCAAGCTAGCAAGGCTCATGACGTTCAGTCCAGCGTATGAGCCGCTAGCGGCTCGGCTAGGAGGCTTTGAACAGCTTGTTAGATTGAACAAGTCGCGAAAATCGTCATACGCTTGTAGGTCCGTCCGACACACAGATTTGATCAAATGTGGGAAGCTGGTGGAGGGACCCGGTACAAGATCCTCAGGGAATGAGGGTGTCACTTCCGAGACACCCGGGGTTTCGATTGTCTTGGTAATTCCAGGCAACTGCTGTGGCCCAGCTGGAGAGGATGGCGCGGTTGAGCTGGTTGTCCGCGCCTCGGCGTCATCCTTGGCTAGATTCATTCCCTGCATGACAGCCTTGAGTTCCGCCAGTTGATCCTGATGAGATGCCAGGAGCAGCTCGGTGTCTTTGACTTGGGAGCGTAGTTGCTCGTTCTTCTTTTCAACCGCTTCTCGTTCGAGCTTCGCGGCAGCAACCATCTGAAAGAGCGTTAGCTTTTAAATTGATTATTTGAGCTGTAGTGCAAGATGTATTACCTTGTTGGCTTCCTCGAAGAGGGCTGCAGTAAGGGTCTCAAGTTCCTGTTCAATGGTTTTCTTTCCTTTCTCGACGAGAGCACGCTGCGCCTTCTCTTCCGCCAAAGCGGCGTTTAAACGCTGAATCTCGCGATCTACATCAGCCTTCCTTACCACTACCTCTTGGTCTATATCTCGCCGATACTTTTCATTTTCCAACTCGAGTGTCTGAATATTAGACTGGGCGTGTTCCAGCTCCTGGCGAGTGGCAACCAATGTATCGTCGAGGTTGGTTTGGTTATTTATGGCCTGAACGAGTTTTAAACTCAGCGCAGCAACTTCATCGTTGAGATCTGGGTGATGAGACGGGGGTGAGGAGGATTCGGAGACTTCCGAGTCGTTCGCGAGCCGCGGGTCTTTCAAAGTGCTGAAACCACTCTCGGGAAAGCTACCCACGCTCGAAGATAGCACATTTGCGGACTTATCGGTCGCGCCTCCGGCAAGGTCATTGGTGGATTTGGCTTTTGTGACGGTTCTATCGGGAGAGAGGGATCTATGGCCGGAAGAGAGAGATCGCCTGTGACTGCTGGGACGAGGGATCATTGTGGACGGTGAAAGGAAATTATGATGTGAATAATAGGTGTGAAAAGCGATTAGACTATATATAAGTATGGTTAGATTCAATTGCTGGGTAGGGGTTGTGGTAGGGCAACATACTCGGCCATGATGGTGAAGGTAAATGGTGCCTAACGGATAGACGAAGGTGACGAGAGATAGGGCTTCTAAGGAATGTATATAGCTCAGACCCGCTCTTTTATTCGCATCCAGAGAATCCAGCAAGCAAAGAGTCGACAGAAACCTGCAGATAATAGACACAGACAGGGCTTTACGCAACACCCCCGCCAGCGCGCAGACTGGAGATGGTCGCTAACCGGTCGGGAGAGCAAGCATTGAGTCGGGGGGAAAGGAAAGGAAGCGATAGGAATGAAGCAAAGGTGCAAGATAATGAGAGACACGACAGCGAGGCAAGAAAGACAGGCAGACAGAGCACACGAGATGAACCAGTCAATCGGAGTACCCCTCTCGGCGAAGCAGACTAGAGAAGGAAGAGAATAATGAGACTTGCGTTGCGTCGCTTTGGGCGTCGGAAGACTTGGAGAGGCGAACTGGAGGCGCCGGGGCTTAGTCAGCGGCTCCGCATCGCCAGATTAGGCAAGCCGTTTATGCACCTGGCTGCACTGTAAATCGATCCAGATGCACCCATTCACCGTCTGCTATCGTGATCTTTTTTGTTTCAATCGAATATCTACATTATTCTCTACTGCCTTTCACCAAGCAACAGCTGGAAAAGCTCAATCTGACACCTGTTGTCTGTCGTTTTTGCGGGTGAAACACCGAGGGAAGCTCGGACGCAAGAACATGTGGTCGATCTACAAGCTATTTTTATAGTCCATAACATCACGATCAATTTTTTTTCACCCCTGATATTTCAAATCATCTCGCCAAACTATCCGCGGAGAAATTATAACCTTTTATCATTAGCTAAATTATGCTCGGTGAGATCTGAGATTGATTATCAAAGGCGTCATTGACGTCGCATACTTTTTGGCGACGCCTGGCCGTTCCTTCTTGGCGAATCGGGCGATGACGACACATGCAGCAAACAAGGGACTTAGGGAGGAGGTCGCATCCGGACCTATTATTGTGACTGAAACACACACCGGGCGATCAGCATCACTGGTCAGTTTGAGCCTCTGAGGGCATTTTCCTGCATATTATCATTGACTGGGCCTGTCATCCTCGTAGACATGGTTGCAATTAATCTCTCCTTTGCTAAATTACAGCAGATAGCGTAACAGTCGCGGTCATAAAATACAATAATACCCGTTTCGGCTTAGTCCATCGTCACTTTGGATGCCCCACCTGACAAGTTACGGCCTGAGAATTCAGGTTGTAGTGGGGTTGTGGAATTTCTCCATTTGCTGCGCATCACGAGATATTCATCAGCAGTGATTTGCTTCCTCTTTGTTAATCAATCAGCTATCCCATACGCAACGCGAATACCACGTCTAAACCGCGTGTTTTTTAAATCTTATAATCATGGCCGACGCAGAGTTGGAGGAGGTTAGTATAGGAGCCTTGCCATGACCGAGAAATGGCCTCCAGTCAAGAACCTGCAATGTCTTAAGACATCTGCTCAACGTCAACACAGATCAGGCGATCCCGTCTTGCACAGCTGCAGCAGCAAGGAGGCTCACGAGGAGCCGGTTCAGAGGGTCAAGATGAGCAGAGAAAGTAGGTGTCACACGGTTTCATCCCCTCTCACTCCTTTCCTTGTTGAACCTATACCTGCATTTGACGTCCATCAAATAAAATCGATCTTTTACTGACCGACCTTTGTAATCGACAGGCAACTTGAAGGTATACCAATGATTCCCTCGTTTTCAATAATCCAACATCAAATACTTACTATCGCGCCTGTCAGCCGACCGTCGCTCGTCCATCCTAAACCAGATCCTTGAACCTGCCGCCGCCGATCGTCTGGGTCGCATTCGCCTCGTGAAGGAATCGCGCGCAGTGGACATGGAAAACCGGCTCATCATGCTGGCTCAGACAGGCCAGCTCCGCCAGAAGGTTACCGAGGAACAGCTCAAAGACCTACTGAACGCTGTTGCGGAAAACCAACGCAAGGATGAGGAAGAGCATAAGATCGTGATCACTCGGCGCAAGGGTGGCTGGGATGATGATGATGACTTGCTGGATCTGTGAAAACTTTCTGCAAGCTCCTCAACAATTTTCTTTAGCATTATTGCGGCCCGTTGATACCTCTTCCTTTCCATCGCCCTGGATAGGCTCCGGGCGTTGCGGCTTTAATTAAGATACGACCGGTTTCTCTCTAGGATACCTGAACCGGCTTGTAATGCCGTTAGCTTAACTGCTGGCTATGCCACTGGCTTTGGTAGCCACTGCTCGCTGCACGTTCAGAATCTATTTAACAATACATGTCGATTCTACGAGACTCTAAACAGCCTGAGCAAGAACAAAGTTCTTCTCTGGTATCGTGTCATGGCTACCAGAAGCCAGTCAAGAATATATTATACATATTTATAACACAAAAGGGCTTCGGACACTCGCTCCATGGTGCAGCTTTACTCTGCGTTCTGTTGCTTCAACCTCTCTTTTTCCCGCTTCTGTTGCTGTCTGATCATTTTGCGGATCTCTCTCAAGTCCGGAGGTCTTTCAATTCCCATCTCTTCTCGTAATTCGTCGACATCCTTCTCCAGTATCTCCTCCCAGTAAACATTGATCATTTCTTTACTAGCCAGCCCACTACGAACTGCCCATGGAAGGTGTATAGAGAAGAAGCGCTCCCGCTCTGCGGGCTTCAATCGCACAAAGGCAAAAAGACTCAATCCCGTCATAGGAATGACAGTATTCAGGAACTCAAATGCCTTCAGTGCCAGTTCTCCTTCAACGAAAACAGGCAATCCTGTCACGGCATGGTAGAAATCGTGACACTCGCGATACCGCTGCATGACGTATGCGCATTCTTCGTCGTCGATATATTGAACATTATCACGGGTGTCTGGGGAAACACCTTCACGATCTAGCCACGCCGCATAAGTACGACCGACTGAGTTCTCGGGGAGCGAGCGGAGGTATGGTAGACGAAGGGTTTCAGAAGTGATACGGGGACGGTCCCGGAGGATACGGCGTCCAGTTGGGTCTGAAAGCATGGCATTGCGAAGACGGTAAATAAAGTAGGGTGTTGCGGTAGCTTCGCCCAGGGCCGCAATGAGATCTAAGTAACAATCATCGGGTTAGCTTGCTATTCAGTGGTCAAGTGCTTTCTTAACTCACAGCCCAATTATCTAAGGGCTCAGATAGAATCGAACATACCTCCTCTTCGAGGATTCAAAAGAGATCCCACCGCAGAGCCCACCGCCAGGGCACTACGTTCGACGAAGTTCAACGGAACATGGCCAGGATACTTGGGCGGAGGGCGGTTGAGAACGGAGAATGCGCGCACAGCACAGCCAGTCCTCACAGGCGTTGATAAATTCAATGCACGAGCACCAAGTGCTCCACGACTCCCTAGGACAGACATATTGTGTCCAAAGAGCACGTTGGGCTCATAAACATGGGAGAATGGATATAGAGGTGGTATGACATTGAAGTTCTGGAGGCAGCGGAAGAGCTCCGGGTGGCACGTGCGGCGGACATGCGATGCCACCACCGATCGATATCAATATTGTCTTCTTATATCGGGGTCGAACGGGAAAACAGCAACTGGAATGCGACAATTCACAATACCAGCATGCTGTAGGAGATATTCAATCACTATAAGAAAGCAGCTCTGGTCCGGTATCGCAATCTCAGCTACGACTACTTGTTATCAATCTAATCGCTGTTGTGGGATATATAAGAGCATAATCTGCTAAAAAATCAGATCACATTCTTTTACCGATTTTTTCAATTTATTCTCATCTTCTGCAAATTCACAATTCTAAAAATCAATTCATACCAAACTCCAAAATGCAACCAGACTGGTGGCCCGGAGAGGTTCATGATCAATTCACAGAATGGGCCGCTTCCCAAGGAATTGTCATGAATGGAGTCGCCCCGGCGAGATTTCCAGGTCGCGGCTTGGGAATGATAGCTACTCGTAATATCATGGTATACCCAACTGCTATCTGGTTGCCCGAAGGCTCATATGCTGATTATTCTGCGATATAAGAAAGATGAAAAGATAGTGATAGTGCCATTGGATGCCATGGTGACTTCTCAATGTCTTCCTGAGGCATTTCGCAGGAAATTCCCCGAAGGGACCTCCACCCATGCATTATATGCTGCGTTTTTCACCCATGGGGACCCAGAAGATCTCGAAAAATACGAGCTCTGGAGAAAAACTTGGCCTCACCCTCAAGACTTTGAAGACAGCATGCCCATTCTGTGGCCCCAGGCCTTGCGAGCCTCCAACTCGAAATATGACAGCCACTCGACTCAGTCAGTTCTTCTTCCTCCATCAATATCCGGCTCTTGGGATGGAATCCCCAAAAATAGGGGTGGGCATGAATACGACACTTTCCATCAAAACCTGCTTCCCCAGCAAGAGAAGAGACTTCATGATGCGTGGAGTACTGTTGTGTCCGTTTTTCCTGATACAGATTGGGATACCTTTGCATATCACTGGCTCATTGTCAATACGAGGAGTTTCTTTTATCTGATGCCTGGTGACGAGGCACCAGAAGACCGCAATGATGCCATGGCACTATTGCCATTTGCAGATTACTTTAACCATTCAGATGTGGCAGTAAGTCGCCTTTTTCTTGCTGATCTTTCTGTCAACTGCATTGCTTTGACCCAAACAACGTTTCTGACGTCGTATAGTGTAATGTGAATTTCGATGGTGCAAACTACGTCTTCCGGGCTACAAAGAATTATGGTATTGACCCATCTTTGAACATTCTTTCTCATTTATATCTAACATAAGTTTACAGAACAAGGAGAAGAAATATACATGAGCTATGGAGCTCACCCAAATGATTTTCTGTTTGCTGAATGTGAGAAATATATAGCCCGAAAGCCACTATTCTGCGTTGACTGACATGAGTAGACGGGTTTTTCCTCGATGATAATGAATATGAATCATTATATCTCGATGATATTATATTCCAAGATTTCGACGCATCCCAGCATGAGGAACTGGATTTACAGCAATACTACGGGTATGTAAGCCTTTACTGATTTGTTTTTCTTTCGATTGCTCATCCATGAACCACTAGTAATTATCAATTAACTGCCACTGGCGCCTGTTTCCGCACTGAAATCGCTGCCTGCATTAAGTATATGACACGCAGAGACTGGCGGAATTATGTTCTCGGCCATTCCATGAAGGGTGTTGACGACAATAAGACCCAGGCCACTATCCAAGAATGGATAAAGATTTATGCCAAAGAGGCGGATAGGAAAATCGCCACTTTGGAGGCTATGAAATCCAGCGGAGAGAACCAGATACATAGCGGAAAGATTGATATGCTCCTGAAACGATGGAAGCAGATCAAGCATCTCTGCGACGAAGCCTTGAAAGCTGATTCCTGCTAAAATACAGGGAAGGACTTGTAGATTGAAGCTGGTTACCTCTCAGATAAGGAAACCCACTGTCTTGTCAGGAGATAAACACATCAACCATCAACCTCAGAACTCAGATCCACCGGAATTGCCCCGGATTCTCTCTGCTTCAACATATCTTGTTTGGCAAGCACCATTTGCTTGATCATGTAATTGACTGCGCATTTGATGCCAAGTTCCTCGCCCCTCTGTATGATGTAGCCATTTATATACTCGATTTCCGTTACTTTCCGGCCCTGAACGTCCTGCAGCATCGAGCTGCTATTCTTTGCAGTCTTGTTTGCGAGCTGAACAACCATTCGTCGCAGCCTTTCAGGAGAGAAACGGAATTCAACTCCAGGAATACCCTGCAATTCAGGCAATGCGCAAATTACACTGGAGATTTCAAGGAGAAGAAGCCGCATCAGACGGGTGAAGCTATAATTGTAAAGAAGCTCGCCGTTTCCACACTCCAAGATGGCTGTTAACGGGTTGATCACGGCATTCATGGCCAACTTCTCGAGTTGATATTGCAGAAGAGAGGAAGGGGTTTCTGCGATAGCAACAAGCGGCGGTGTCAATGTCAATGTGCGCAGCAAATATTTTGTTGTAGGAGCCCAGTCAGTCTTTTCATCCGCTACTACTGGAGAGAGAGAATCACGAGATGGAACAGGACTTAGAATCGTCGTGCCAACTCCCGTGTGAGCCACTTGGAACGAATCTTTGCGCAATAACCCATGTGAGAGAACACCAGACATATAATTAGGACGCTTGAGTGGATCTGGGAAGACCTTTTTATTGAGTTCTTCAATCGTCCCCATGCCGTTTTGAAGAAGGAGGACCGTAGAGTCGCGCGTCAGTCGGTGACTGACAGAACCCAATGCTTTGACAGTCATGTTCGCCTTGACGGTAACAATCAAACACTCGATATGCTCGTCATCTTCCTTTGATTGGGCGAGCGACTGTTCGGCCTCAGCCTTTAGGGCCTTTTCGCTGAGGTTGTTCTTATCCTTTTTTGGGGTGCCATTTTCATCAAAGTACGGCAACGAATGCCATGTTTCACTGTTCAAAACATCGATATCAAACCCCGTTTTGATGTCGTCTAACCCGTTTGTATTGATTGCGAGACACTTCTTCTTCGCTAACCAATGCCGGTAAAGGTTCGGATTATGTAGCAAGAGGGTCATAGGCGGAGGAGATGGTCGCGCGGCCAATGAGTGGGCAATGAATGTGCCTACATTCCCAAGCCCAAGTATATGAATTCGCCCTGATAGCCGACTTCCCCCAGCTTCTTTTGATATTTCTTCTGCATCCTGCATCCATGTTGATCGGGATCGAGTAACAGTCCATCGGCCCAGTTTATTCCCTGTCGGAAGGCATAGTTCGTATACACCGGTCCGCAACAGCGGACGGCGCCCTAGTATGTACAACACTTTGAAGGATTGACGGGGAAACCCCGATAGATGATGCGATACGTGCAGTCGGCGTCGGAGGAACAAGATATGGAAGGCACGGTGTTGATTAGATTCGCATTATGGAGGTTTTCAAAAAGTCAAAAAAAAGCAGCCCAATGTAGTAAAATTCTAAAAAGCTTGCACGAAGCAAGACAACAATGCTTGGAGTGACGATTTATTTGGATGCAAATGATGTAGTTTTAGGAGACGCAGGATCGAAGCTGTAGACCGCCCCACTCACCGCCCGAAGATAAAAAATCGACATTATCCGCCAAAGAATTTCTGAGGAACGAGGATCCATTCATCATCACTTGCAACTTTTATAACAACAATGGACCCAGTTGATTTAATGCCGCTGCTTGAGCAGCTGGACGATAATGTCGACGATTTGGAGGAGGCCCTTCAGCCCATTCTGGAACGCCAGGTGTCTGAAACGTCAAAGAAATTGCCTGTTCTAGACAAGGCGAAACTTCACGTTTTGGTCACCTACGCGCTGGAGTCACTTATCTTCTGTACGTGTACTTCTGAATATGTCTGGGGGTTTCTGATTTGCTAACTTTTGTCAGCTTACTTACGTCTCCATGGCGTGAACGCCAAGGAGCATCCGGTATTCAGAGAACTGACGAGGGTGAAGCAGTACTTCGAGAAGATCAAGGCATTAGAAACAGAGCCAGAAAAACGAACTATGACACTTGACAAACAGGCTGCTGGTCGATTCATTAAACATGGTCTTGTAAGTTTGTTATAATATCCTCCTTCAATTGGACTGATCGCTCATTTGTCTCAGGCTGGGAATGATAAAATAGATCTGGAGCGGAAAGAACGGGAGGCAAAGGAAAAGGCACGCGCTCAGGTCAAAGCGTCGTTGCTAGCTAAAAAAGCGGCATCTGAGAATTCTTCCAAGGATCCGTCCAGTCACTTGGGCTCAAACTCAGAATCCGGACCCGATAACGGTGACTCCGACGATGAGGAGATGGGCGTAGACTCAGCACCAGCTGCTCAACCTACTGAAGCAACTCAGCCAACACACTCTGAAAAGAAGAGGAAAAGCAAGGCAAAACATGAGGGCCCAAAAGCCCCTAAGCAAAGAAAGAAGCAGAACAAGGAAGAGCGACAAGAGACAAAGAAAGAGAGAAGGCAAAAGAAGGAGGAAAAACGAAAGGCCAGAAATGCGAAATGAAAAGGGTCTGGATAGTACTTAGGACTGTATGCCTACGAAGGCAACGAACAGGTTTCTTCAATATGATCGGCTGGCTCCGATCTTCATGGCTTCACGTTGGACTGCCGCCAGCTGGGGTTTGGTAGACTGGCCGATCTGTCAGCTGCATCAATCACTGATACCTCGAAGGGTCTCTCGACGCCTTGTCCATAATCATGGCGATATGAGGTCATATATTGGTGATTGCCAGCCATAACCCACTGCGCTGTTTCAGCACTTGACAACGTGTATACATTATTTTTCTCATTGGATACCCTTAGATTACTTTGGGAATTGGGCGGTTAATTAAATTTAGATAAAAGTTGCATTCTTTACTTTGGTTTCTTCGTATAGTAAGCATCGAGCATCGATAAAGTCAACTTTAGATATCAAATAGAGGCCCACAATCAAATGACGACATATGCTGCATGTGATGACATGATCTTATTTTAGATTCAGGATAACTGAGGCATTAACAAGCAAATATCCATCCTTATGAACAAGTGACTCATAGTTGATGTTCTTCGGACCGGATAACGGAGGTCATGGGGCACTGCAGGCACTATATCCAATCCACATAGTGAACTAGAAGCATCGAAAACTCAGAATTATTGAACGAGACTAAATTGGCAGAGAATATCTTTGCATGTCGAAAACAGCACTGGAGTTAAGAAGCGAAAAACATGCGATAAACCGTAAAACTCAGGCACCTCAACGGGGATATCCAATGTCCGGTATCTGTAATATCCGTAATCTTCCCGGTATTATAGCCGAGTTTCGCTGTGTAAGTTATGCACGTATTGTATTCCCCGGTAGTTTGCTGGTCTGATTACATAACCCTGGCTTTCCACCAATCACAGCCTGTATATTTAGCAGCTGCATCGGAGTTTTCGTCCTTCTCCGCCGACATTTCGAGCTTCTTCTTTCTTTTGCGCTTCCGACATATATCAAGCCCCAAATCGCCTTCTTCAACTTGATCTCGCTACTATCCACTTTTCATCAACTTCTTATCACTTTTCTCCTCCTACCATACACCCATAACCATCATCATGCCTCGTCAACGCCGTGGTGCGCCTACTCCTGCCCGCAGCGCTCCCACCAGACCTACTGCTGCTCCCGCTAGACCGGCCGCTTCTCCCTACGGCCAGCAGCAGGCGCAGCCTCACTCTACTGCTGCTCACCCCCCTCCTCAGGCTCAGCAGGCTCCTCCTGCCCAGTCGCAGGGCCCGGGCCTTTTCGGCCAAATGGCATCGACCGCAGCGTAAGTGATGTTCCCCCCCTCTTGATCTGGATATGGTGGCAACTACCTGAAGAAATGCGGGATTTTGGCATCTACCAGACCACGTTTACAATGATACTAACTTTCATGTAGTGGCGTCGCTGTCGGTTCCTCTATCGGACACGCCATCGGTGGTATGTTCAGCGGTGGCTCTAGCGCCCCTGCTGAGCCCCAGCAGGCTGCCCCTGCCCAGCCCATGGACTCTGGACTGTACCAGAGCAACGCCGCCAACAGCTCGTACGAGAACCCCGCCTGCCAGACCGACGTCCTCAACTTCCGCAAGTGTATGGATGAGCAGCAGGGCAACATGAGCATTTGCGGATGGTACCTTGACCAGCTGGTATGTTGACGAGTCCTATATATCCTTTTCCTTCTTTGCAGATGCTAACAAACCGAACAGAAAGCCTGCCAGGCTGCTGCCAAGCCATACTAAGCATTTGCTCTTATCTTTTTCTTTGTTCAATTTGTACTTTGGGTGAAATAACGGCTTCGGTGCAATGATGGGTTCGAAACAAGTCCGGCTGGACTTTGCGACGATGGTTGAATTGTATTTGCATAGCGGCACTATCCCACTCTACTGTATACCATTCTCCCTAGGGAGTCACGTTTGATATTATAATTGGTTTTTCGACCTCCCATATACTTAGGGTTGGTCTATGATATCTAGATGAAGAAAAAAAATACTTAAAACAGACGACAAAAAATAAATGGCCCCATTCCACTCTTCCTTCGTTGCAGGCTCGTAAAATAAAACCGATCCTCTTTTTCAAGGACCATAATTTTCAAAGCAAAGACGCACGTGTCTCACAGTATTCGAACTCCAGGGATTAAAGAGTAAAAAGAGCCATAAACGCCATACTACATGGTTTCAATCTTATTGGCCGTCGGGCCTATTTCGAGGCTCGAAATTCAGCTAAAATAAGAGCTGTCAGCAAGTTCCAAGACGTTGGTGAAACACCATAGATTGCCTACCTGGTTCCCGTTATAAAATTCATTGTCTTTCTGCGGTTGGTCCCTCAAAGTTCTGATATTGGATCCTCGAGAGGCAGCAGGACGCGGTCTCCGAGCAGCATCACCAGATAAAGAGCCAGTAGCTGCCGTAGTTTCAGATGAAGGCGATGGTGCTGTTTGTCCATACCCGAGGAATGAGCCTACCAGCCCTGTCGCGGTGCCGACTGCAGAGGAAACGAGATCGTACGTGGCATACGCAGCTCGCGCGGGCAAGCTAGATGATGATCCAGTATACGCCTCCGTATAAGACTGAATAGGGATCATGACCAAGTTTGCCGTTGAACCTAGACTAAGATCCTCAAGAGTTTGCTCCTCTTCGGCAATAGTGAGAGTTCGATTTGGCAGTGGCGTTAGAATGTGCTTCAAATTATAGGGGCGTGTTTCGTCCCCCATTTTTTCATCAAGCCAGGGCCGGACGTGGCTTCTGATCGTCTGGGAAGGGGTGAAACTAGACCGGACAGAGCTCCCATCAAATAGTCGGACTTGAAGACGATATTGTTTGGGAAGCATTGGCGTGGGGGCTTGACGAACTTCTGCAGGTTTGCTGGTGTTGCTAGCAGATCGAGCAGGTTCTGAAGCCTTCGATGTTGGCTTCTGCTTCTGAATGGGCGTTTTCTTAGCATTCTTCTCACTCTTGCTGGCACCCTGGTCCTTCTCTTCTTTCTGCTGCGGACGCTTCTGTGGCAAAGAGCTCGTTGGCTTGGCTCGAGGATGGGAAGGCTCCGCAGACTCTACCCGTTGTTTCCCAGTCCGTATACTCCCATCACGCGGCCTCTCTGTGGATTCTTGTGTCGCAATATTTTCTGGCGCAGGAGTAGCTGTAGCTGGAGAGGGGGATGTAGCAGGTATAGGTGCTGGCGCTGTAGAAGCTTGGGTTGTACCACCGGTCTGGGGACCATCCTGTGGCGGAGCTGTTGAATCTCCTTGAATAGATGGTTTCCTATCTTCGAGAACAGCCGTCAACCGCTCATGAAAGTCCTCCTTGGAGATTTCGGGCACAAAATATTCGCGTAGCATGCCATTTCTATAGCACCATGAATTAGTTCTACTATACTAGATTCTAGGGGCATGCGCCACTTACCTAATAACGACAACAGCCGGAAATTTGATAATCGGACAGAAAGAAGTCAAGAAGCCGGCTTCCTGACTCCCTGCCGTGAGCCGCAGCAGGACAGATTTGGCCTCGAGTACTTGCGCAAACTGCTGGCCACGTTAGCCTAGAACCTGGGCAGCAAGGATTGGACTTTACAATACATTCTCATCTGCAAAGTACTCATTTTCCCATTTATCACTCTCTGGCGTATCATCTATTGCATCCGATGGTGGTTAGCCCCTAGATGAGACAAAAGTGGCAAAGATGTAGAGCTGTCTGTACACAGGAGCTAGGTGATGATGCGGGGATCGACAGACAAACCTCGAACGAAGCAGATGACGGCCTTTGCTTGATTCAGAGCGAGAGCAATGCCCTCTTGAAGGCTTCCCTGAAAGAACATCATGATCGCCTCATATTTTGGGGGAAGCACAACACCAAGCTTGTAGTTGGAGAAGTACAGCTTGCTTGTCTTCTTGTCGGAGCAAACCGTTGGGTCCTCCGATCACGAGCCAGCGCCAGTTCCGCCGGAGGAAACCCCGTCAAGAATAATACCAAAACCCCCCCCCCCATCGCTCACAATTGAACCAAAGTGTTCCCATTGATCTCGACATTTTGTACATAGACCAGGACAGGTCTGCGATTGACCATGCGGTCTATCTTTTCTGTCCTTCAACGGACTGCAGCAACGCCGTGGCAGTCGTCGTCACGGACTGTTCGGAGTCCTGCCCTGAAGCTTGATTCGATTTGCGCCAGATGTCGTCGACAGCAGATTCGCTTCTACAATGGCCAGCAGATGGCAGATGATCCCAGATGGCTCTCTGTCGTGGATAACCCCGCAAAGATTGTCCGTACCGGTCGGAAACATGGCCCGGGTCTCATTATTCTCGGTATGGTTATACCTGTGTTGTTGCGCAAATAATCTGCGATGGATGTATTAACTAACATGGCTATCTATAGCTCTGATTCCTATCATTTCCTTTGGTCTGGGTGCCTGGCAAGTTCAACGTCTCGATTGGAAGACCAAGTTGATCGCGAAATTCGAAGACCGTCTCGTTAAGCCTCCTCTTCCATTGCCCCCACGAGTCGACCCTGATGCGATCTCCGAATTCGACTACCGCCGAGTCTATGCTAAAGGTCATCTGCGCCATGACCAGGAGATGCTTATTGGGCCTCGCATGCGTGAAGGCCAGGATGGTTTCTTCGTGATCACGCCTCTTGAGAGGGAGGGGGAGAGCACTGTACTGGTGAACAGAGGCTGGATCTCTAGAAAATTGAAGGACCAGAAGGATAGACAAATTGGAGTTCCGCGGGAAGAGGTGATTATTGAGGGTTTGCTACGAGAGCCTTGGAAGAAGAACATGTTTACACCGGACAATAAGCCCGAGGAAGGAAAATTCTATTTTCCTGACATTCAACAGATGGCTGAACTGACGGGCAGTCAGCCGGTGTGGATTGAGCAGACAATGGGTAAGCTAATATCCTAGCAAATCTAGTCGACATGGCTGACCATCAATCTATCAGTTCCCGACATGCTCGAGTTCATGGACAGGGAGGCCAAGGGTATCCCCATTGGTCGTGCGCCCGAAGTCAACCTGAGAAATAACCATGGCCAGTATATTCTCACATGGTAAGCATATTCTTATACGCGCAAATTCCATCCATAGACCAGCAAAGTCTCAATGCTGTTGTCCTTGGTAAAATTCTTGCTGACCCTCAACAGGTTTGGCCTGTCCTTTGCGACATCAATCATGCTATGGATGATTATCCGGAAAAGACCCAATGAGGCTACTCGCCGTGTTCGTCAAAACCGGAGCTGGTCCTAGGGTCTTACTGCGCATTGGTTGGCGGCGTTGGGTGTTCTTGTTGGTTGGTGTACGATAAATCAGTTGTTCATGGTGGCATTGCCAGTCTCATGTCCTGTAGTAGTTCCTTGGGCAGATGCTTCTGCGCGAGAGAGAAGATGGTGGTTGAGTTATTGACATGACGTTGTCTACTTTTGTTAGCATCGTGTCTGGGACCAGAAAGGATCAAGCGACTCACCTTCTCATCAAAGCTGTAACATCGTTTTCATCGATGGTTTTGCGCCCTGCGTGCTTGGAATACGCAGTCAGGTCTTCACTCACTTGCTCGAAATACCACGATGATGCTTGCTCAATTGCAGCCAATGTCGTCTTGTTGATCTTTGCCTTCGATCCGGCTCTTGCTCGCGCAAATCGAATAGCCATCTTTCGGACCACCCCGGCAGGCATGTTAGGGACAGGGATGCCATGGCGAGAGAGTTTCTTCTGCTTTGAGCCTGGAGTAATGCCTTCTTCCTCTCGCAGCCCACCCCCGACGATCCCGGGACTTTCGCTTAGTGAAGCACGACCTGGGATATTGAGATCCAGCCCGAAATCTCCAGCAACAGCATGGTCGTCATCGTCATCGTCGTCGGAGGGCATGCCATTTGCCTCCGGTTGTAAATCCATTGCAGGCAGCTCAAACCCTTCGTCGTCATTTAGAACAACCTGGTCCGCATCATCGGCACCGGGAGGCGGAGGAGAGGGGAAGTTGAAATCAAAGTTGAACCGTCCCAAGTCTTCGGTTTCTCCTCTGTATAACATTAGCAAGAGTTGTAGATAGGAAACACAAGATCAATGTACTTACCCTCTATCGAAAGCGCCTTGGCTAACGACGGTATCCTCACCCTCGTCGCGTTCCATAGCCGTATCATCGCCGCCTTCCGACCCGCTTTCTAGCCTAGTTGAGTCGCCAAAATTCTCACTGAGTCGTGGACCACCATAGCTCATCATGGATAATCGTGTCTTGTCACTCTCGTTGGCAGCCCGGCGAGGATACTCGACCGACACCTGAGTGAGGTCTTCTTCCTCAAATGCTAACGAGAGTCTGGGTGGCGGTATGTCGGGACTCCCTTCCTCAACCTCCTCTACATCTTCCAATGGCAGGGATAGTCTTGGTCGTTCTAATGCAGGCTCGTTGTCTAGCTCTTCGATCTCATCCCTTTCTTTTTCCTCTTCTTCCTCTTCGGGCTCGGGCTGTTCTTGTGGCGACGATTGAATCGGCTGGGTTGTAGGGGCGAGGGCTATTTAACACCACTTCCGTTAGCAAAAATTTCTCCTATAGCACGAATCTCATATGCATGCATTGTATTCATCATACTTCTTCCTAGATTCCGTAGGATGTCAAATGTAGTTTCCCTTTGTACCCGCCCGCTCCTCCGACGGTCCCGCCCTGGCGTGTTTGCTGCGCGTCGCTGCATTGCACGAAGTCCGTACGGTGTCGAAGGAGCAGCACCAGCTCGATTCCGTGGTGTGAATCGCGAAGCAGATCGGTTTCCGGATGGCGTGGTCGTTACATTTAAACGGCTCGGTGTAAGAGGGTATCGCGTATGGCCGGGTAGACGCTGAAGCTGTACGTATATTTAGTTAACATGAACATATCGGAAATTGAGAGCTACAAACCCCAGTGAGTGTTGTGTCTCCTACCGGGGTGTTTGCCCCAGAACTAGAGTCTCGAGGTGACCGACGGCCACGCGGTTTCGGGGTCGACATTGTGCTAATAAAAGGCCGACCCGGGACAATTGAATAATATGAACAAGATTATTAGAGTCACATGCCACTGTAAATCAATCGAGCATTCGAACAAAGAAGACGGAGATTGGCATGAACGGTGATGGTTGATGGAGGGGTTTGATGGAACGGAGAAGAGCGCGTCTCATCGACCATCGTCAGATACGCAGTCTTGGCATTGCTGCTTTTAGAGATGATCCACAGCATGGATGCTCATTCAAATGCGATTCATACTAAATTTACAGCTGTTTATTTGGATCAAATATAGACTCAGAAGCACTCATAGACTGATAGATATTGCCCAAGTGATATTGAATTATATTGTAGCCCTAATGCTGTTCTACTCCGTACATACAGGCGCATTTGCGGTTTAGATGCTTTGCACGACTATGCGAACCACTACCACTGGCTAACCAAGGTTCATAGAATGTAATAGTTTCCATCAAACAAAGATTATTTAGTATCCATAACTTCATATAATTCTTAAGCTCGACAAGATATTCCCAATGAACAGTTCCTTTGCATGCTGCAAATGACGCTTTCCCCAAAAAGGAAAATTGTCAACGACCGGCTGTATCCACTCTCTGATTGGCTTCTCCTTATCGATAAGCGCCGCTGATTCAGCGAAAAAAGTTGCTCCGCGCAAACTTGAGGATATCAACGGAGGATCTGGATCGCCATTATTGTTCATTCGAAAGACTTTTTTTTATAAATCCAAAATGGCTGAAGGTAATAACACATCTGGTCTCGCTGCCAAGGTGGACAAGAAGCGCAAGAGGCAGGCAGAGCAGCCATCGAAAGAAGAGCCCAAAGCTGGCGCAGACCCATCACCCGCCAACAATGCGTCGGAGGGTCCCAGCAAGAGACAGAAGATGAGGGCCAAGCTGAAGCAGAAGCACAAGGCCAAGGCTGCCCTAGAAGTCGATGTTACGCAACAGGAGCGCAAGGATGGAATCGATCAGTCCATTGGAAAGATGGATGGTCGATTACTCGCCGATTATTTTGTGCAGAGAGCCAAAAAGCTCAACAAGGAGTTGACGGCTATGGAATTGGAGGATCTTTCTGTTCCTGGTATGTGAGCCCTTGACTTGGAATTGTTATCTTGGGAATGTGAACTGACAGATTGCAGACTCCGTCTTTTTCGATTCATCATCCTTCGACTCGTCGCGGTCATTGGAGAAGCTCCCCGACTTTCTCAAGGCATTTAACCCCAAGGGGATTGATCTGTCCAAAGCCTCGGAGGAAAAGGGTACTCCGCATACCTTGGTGGTTTCCCCTGCCGCCCTCCGAGCAGCCGATGTAGTGAGGTGAGTAAACAGCCTGCAAAGGCCGTCAGAATCCAACAAGCAAATTGACGGTTTAAACAGATCTCTGCGAGGTTTCCAGAACAAGGAATCTACAGTTGGAAAGCTATTCGCAAAACATATCAAGCTGGAAGAAGCCAAGCAGTTCTTGCAGCGAGCACGGTAAGACAAGCCCTGTCCTACTACAAACGTGGAGTCTAACATGATACAGAATGGGCCTTGGTGTTGGAACCCCTGCCCGACTTTCTGATTTGATCGAGTCTGGTAAGTTGCTCAACCTACGTACAAAAGACTCTGGCTAACCATACAGGTACTCTCAAATTGAACGAACTGGAACGCATTGTCATTGACGGATCCTATATCGATCAAAAGCAGCGGGGTATCTTTGACATGAAAGAAACACATCTCCCACTGCTGCAGTTGCTTGCCCGGCCAGAGCTCCGCGAACGGTATGGGGCGAAGCAAAAGCCAGCTCGGATTATTGTGTTTTGATTGCGGTTTAAAAAAAAGAGTCGGCTGGCGTAATAGGAATTGTTTATAATGATCTACCCAATAGCATATCATACATAAAATAACATTGCTACATCACATATCTCCTACATCACATTTCTCCTACTTAAACAGTTGAACTCGCATGTGCTGATAAGCCGATCTCCGCCTCACCGCCTCGAATCCGCCCGGCAGAAACTAATTTTGTCCGTTTCCGCCCAATTTTTCAGCGTCCCTCGAGATTTTTTTGTTTTGGCAAGAAACTATTCAAACCGTCAATTTCCATTTTCTCGTATTCGATCCTTGATTATCTTTACCCGATAATACAATTTTATACACCCTTTTCAGAAAACCCGGTTTAATCGGAAAAAATGAGCGACAAGAAGCGCAAGCTCGCTGAGGAGGGTGTGGCCGAGCCTGAGGGCAAGAAGGTCAAGCAGGACAAGAAGGAAAAGAAGGAGAAAAAAGAGAAGAAGGAAAAGAGCAAGTCGCGCGATGTTGAGGAGGTGAAGCCCGAGGTTGAGGCTACAGAGGAGAAGAAGGAAAAGAAGGACAAGAAAGAGAAGAAAGACAAGAAGGATAAGGAAGAGAAGAAGGAAAAGAAGGACAAGGAAGAAAAGAAGGAGAAGAAAGAAAAGAAGGTGAAAAAGGAAGAAGAGGTAGAGGAAACCAAGGAAACACCCGCAGAGACACCGGCCGAAGACGCAATGGACGTGGATGTCGAAACCACCAAGGAAGAAAAGAAGGAGAAGAAGAAGGAAAAGAAAGACAAAAAATCCAAGAAGGAAAAGAAGGAAAAGACCTCGGAAACCGACACACCCACCGAACAACCAGCCGAGCAGCCTATAGAGCCTGAGCAGAAGCAAGCCAGATTCATTGCTTTCGTTGGTACGTTGGAAGCTGCTTCTTCACCGTGCCTATCTTCTCGACCCAGCTAACAATCATCCAGGTAACCTGCCTTACTCCGCCAACACGGAGTCCATCACGAATCATTTTGCAAAGAACCCCCCAGCCTCGGTCCGTGTGGCTACCGAGAAAGACAAGCCCACCAAGTGCCGTGGCTTTGCCTTCATCGAGTTTGACAACTACGACCGTATGAAGACCTGCCTGAAGCTGTACCACCACTCGACCTTTAACGATGGCAAGTATCCTCCCCGGAGGATCAATGTGGAATTGACGTGAGCATACCCCCGTTACACTTCTTCTGAATACAAAGCTAAGATACACCCAGTGCCGGCGGCGGCGGTAAATCCGACCATCGCAAGTCCAAGATCGAGGCCAAGAACCAGAGACTCGAGGAACAACGACAACGCTCCGCCAAGGAAATCCAAAGAGAGAAGAGAAAGAACTTCGACAATGGCCCGCAGGAGAACGGCGGTGCTGATCACGACCCCAACGACGCCTTTGCTGGAATCCACCCCAGCCGACGGAATCAGTTGAGATAGATGATGTGACGTAGAAAGTGGTATTTGATGGTTTGGTTTTTAAAAAGCATGTGACTTTTGAATGTATTTTGACTTTCGTACATACATACATAGAGGATATCCCTTTTTTTTCCTTCTTTCTTTTGTTTATTTTCTGATGTGGATAATTGGATCGATTCATGCAGGAACTACAAACGTGATGCGGCGGTATCTAATCATATATCCAGTGGTCAACTTGTATTTGCTCAATAGATACATGCATTCCAATGATCTTTAATTACGTCTAACTAATTCAGCAAAACCAACTCGCTTGAAAGCCAATCTGGTAGGAGGTTTGGTCGGCGTCACTATAACCCCGTCAAGAGACATTCATTGCGTCATATTGTATGGCATGTTACATGTTTATACTGGATTAAAAAAAGAAAAAGGGGAAAGGGGAGGAAAGGGGGAAAAAAGGGCATCCTGGCCATGCGAAATGAGACACCAGGACCGCAGAACAGAAGATGGGAGGGAGGAAACGGCGCAATAAACCAATCATGAAAGGAGGCGACAAAGAGAGCCCCAGCTACCCAGACGCCGTATTAGTTGTTTATATTATAGGTCGGAACAGAAGGAAAAGGTCTACAGAATCAAGCATTTCTTGCTCTTCGGTTTTGCTGCGGGTCGGGGGTTAAGAACGGCACTGAGAGGTTAGTATACAGCTGTATATACCGACGGAGCTCTCCAACATACCGAATAGCCTCGTCGAACACGCTCTTCAAATTGCGTTGTGTGAGAGCAGAGCATTCGAGGTATTTGTGTGCTCTGATTTCCTTGGCCACGGTAAGGGCCTGCTCGTATGAAACGGGCTCCATCTTTCTTGCCCGGAGGGAATCGGCGGTTGCCCGGTCGTCTCTCAGATCGAGCTTGGTTCCGACGAGAATGATGGGGACATTGGGGGCGTGGTGGTCGATCTCGGGGTACCACTGTAGAAATGGTCAGCTACGGGAACGAGACAATGCTGGCGGAGATAAGCACCTTAGCCTTGACGTTGTCGAACGATGGAGGGCTGACGATGGAAAAACAGATCAAGAAGACGTCGGTTTGGGGGTAAGACAGCGGTCTAAGACGGTCGTAATCCTCCTGACCGGCGGTATCCCACAAACCTAAGCTAATAGGTTTGCCATCCACCATCACACTAGCCGTGTAGTTGTCAAAGCTGCAAAGTCGGTCAAAATACAGGTCCCAAAGCTGCACAAGCGCACACGGGGCAAGGTCAAACGAACACGGTAGGAATATATTCCCCGGGGAAAGCGTTGGTTGTGTAGGAGATGAGCAGACATGTCTAATCGCGGGCGGCCCAGGTTAATGTCCATTCAATCCGAATAGGGAGGGGGAGGAGAGAAAGGAAGCCACTGACTTTGCCCACTGCACCATCACCAGTCACTACACACTGTACAAGGTCGCCTATTAGCCCGGGGTCTGGTCAATCTAAGGAGAGGAGAGCGCATGGAGGGGAGGAGCATTAAATGCGGACCTTCAACGATTGAGTAGCGGGACCTGACGCCATTTTCTTTGTAGGGTATCAAGCCAAAGATGTCCAACACAGGAAGAAAGAAAGCAATTGCGACGTGAACGATGAGTGATAAATACGGTAATCGATCGACACAAGTCCAAGGAGATTTGATTTGATTACGGGATACGCAGTGTCGATTGGGGGCGGGCGGAATCACAAAAGGGTATCTGCAAAGGGGAATGATAAAAGGATTAAAGTAAGTCAGAAGAACTCTACTGCAGAGGGAGGAGAAAAAGAGGAGAAAATAAAGACAAGGTCTAGAACTGAAGGAAAGGAAGAATTGAAGCAGGAGAGATGAGGTGGTGGTGCGAGAGACCAAGTGTGTGAGAATAAAGAGGGGGAGAGGAAGAACAGAGGTTGGGGGGAGCAGGAAATGGAGAGCTCACCTTGTATATAAAAAAGAAAAAAAGCACGTCGCTTAGAGCCTGAACCGGGGGGGTAGGATAAGAAGGAAGGGAAAGAAAATAAATATGGAGATCAAAGCAACAAGGAAGAATGATTGATCTGATGAGGGTTGAAAGAGAGGGAGAGGGAGAGGGAGCGAGAGAGGATCCAAAAGTACTAACGGTGGTCGTAGGGGGCACTAAGGGAAACGCCCAGGCGGGGGAGACAAGAAGATCGGCCGATGAGTGACAGAGAGAGAGGAAGAGAGAGGATAGTTTGGATGGATGATGAAGACGATGGCAGCAGAGGAATCGATCGAAATACGATGCAGAAAGAATCAATAATGCGACGACTTTTGGTGGTTTAGCCGTGGTTGGGATAGAATCAGGGGTTGTGGATAGACTACGATGATCTTCATTTATCCATCTCTACATCTACGAATATCTGTCTGCAAAGTGTAGTGGAATGATTCATGGCTATTATACAGACTATAGAGTAACCGGCAATGATAATTAAGACTCACCGTCTGAAGAACTGGATGGATCGACGGTGGAGCATGAAGCTGTCGGTTGATGACCAGCCTCCATATAATAATTGACGACATACAGGAATAATATTAAATAACCTCACCCATCGCCCTGTTTGTTCTATTTACAGAAAAAAAATAAAAATAAAACCAAACCTCCATCCCATCGCCAACTAGTCCAAGCACGAACAATAAATAATAATAATACCTCCAACGCATCTCCAGCTCTGCGTCTCGTTGGCCGCCACCGCTGCTGTCCATGCGCTGTGGTGTTCCAATAATATTTCTGGATCCCACGCGATTTGATGCTCCATACCAACAGGGATATAGAAATAAAATACATTTCCAATAAAGCATCCTATCCTAGATCCTGGCAACCCCCACAGATAAGGGTAGCAATTCTCCCTTCTTGATCTCAACGGGCTTTGCCATCATTCCACCCACTTTGCTGGCAAACGCCTTGACATACGGGCTCTCCATGTGGGCCTTGAGGGCTGCCTGGTTTTTGTACCTGGGATTGTTAGTACTGTTGTAGATATTATAGGAATATCAAAAATATACTTCTCAACCACCACGAATTCATTCTTCGCCTTGTTATGAAAAGAATGGTAAATCAGAGTGTTGGGTTCATTCGCGTTGACCTCTCGGGTTAATTGTGCCAGGTGGAATGAGAGCTTTGCCATCAGCATCAATATACTATAGATAAATAAGCGAAGGTGGATTGCTTACTTCCTCAGCCTTATCAGGCTGGGGGGACAAAGTAGCCACGAGGTTGATTACTTCGGATGCCATCGTACCAGTCAGATTTGGTCTGTTTTTGTAGATGAAAGATATGTGAAGAAGCAGAAATCGATCCCACTAAATAACACTCTGGAATACAGCTCACCTTCCCTCTCGATTACTAACGGCGTTGTCTACGGGCGGCAGGGATTGAGATAGAATAATCAAGGTGCCTCGGCATTTCTGCAAACCTTCATGGTTAAATCATCACCGCCATTTCGGTCTCTTGCGGGTATCTCTGCCTATGTACAGGTGCAATAAACCCCACGCATCAACAGTCTCTCCGGTTCTGTTTGGTGAACAAAGCATGTTGGGGACCAAAGAGCCATCCGGTAGAAAGACAGCCGAGGTCATACCGGAACCTCGTGTGGAGTATGTCGTTCATTCAAATCGCCAACTGAGTAGATGACATCTTGAGATCTGCGTCGTGTGACAGATCAACTGTATCGCCGCTGTGTCTGCAAACTCAGAGCAGTCAATGTCGCATGCTGCACGTGATAACCCTTCCCAGCTGGCCAATGCCCCATGGCCTACATGACCGGAGGTGCAACAAAAGAATCAGGAATCCCGTCAAAGACCCAGTTGAGAGAGTCGAAAACTTCGGAAAAGCCCGTTTCGCTGAGAAATCCGCCTTGGTCAAAATTCGTTGGCATTATCAACCCTGGGTCATCCAATGAATTCTCCTGCTGTCGAGAAAGGGGACCTGCCGCCGTCGACATGTTCGGATTGCCCATGGTAGCTGCTTCTGGTCAGTCCTCGTCACTCCATGCATGTTGATTAACTTCTGAAACGTACATTGCATATCTTCGATGCTTTTCACGGGTCGGAATCGTTGTCGCCAACGCCAAACAGTGTCATAAACGTGGCTCATACTCATCCGACATCGTACCTTGAGTTGCAACATATCCTCTCCGATGGTAGCCTCTGAGCTACCCGTATTCCACATCTGCGCCAAAATATCGGCCAGACGGACCGGTCGATCGTGGTCCATCACACTAATCCTTCGGATAGCCGAAATAGCCCCGTTGAAAAGTAACTTTCCATGGTCAAAATCGATATGGCGGCTAAATGTACTCTTCAGCAGCTTCATCAGCGCAAAGGCAGCGGACACTATCATCTGCAGGATATAATTCGTGGCATGCCCGATCAGTTCCCCAGGGGACGTTTCGAGGTCGAGCACACGGCCCAAGAATGATGTTGTCGCAATGAAAAGTTTCGTTAAATCATCGCTTCGTGGGTTGGAACCTAAAAATACAAAATATCTCAAATGCAATTCGGCCGCTCGTAAATGGATCATGTTAATATCTGATGACCAGTTAGCTTGACAAGGAAGATGGTCCTGAACCCAGGCGTTCGTACGGGAAATGTCTCGGCCAAAATCCATTTCCATCTCCTTGAGCTCATTCTCGAGAAGTTGCACAATCAAAAGCTTCTCTGAGCTGATGAACTCAGCAGGCTCTGGTTTGCTGCTGTACAGAGCCTTGGTCACTCTGTCACAGAACTTTTCAATGCGTAGGCGAGTATGTAAGTCTTCTGGGAGATGGTAGTCGGCATCTCTTAGAGAGGCAGGCTCTAATGCCCAATCGTAGATCGTGCCCGGGGGCTGTCCATATCCGGTAGCAACACTAACAAGAACTGTTGGTAACCTGCGTATATTATAGGGTAAATCAACTCACTTCTGGGCCACTATGTTGCAGATGACCCAAGTCTGTAATCGGGCCTTGAGGGCTTCCCCTTGCACTTCCATCCGAAAAGTTGTGAATTCTTCCGCTTGAACTGGACGATGCAACCCCAATTGCATGGCAATCTGCATCATGAGTCCGCTCAGCATAAAAGTAGCATCAGTCCTTTGGCTGGTTGTAGGAAGTGGCCAAGTGCATAGAAGACAAAGAGCCTTGACCACATGGTAATCCTGGGGAACACCTGTGATGGTCGACCAGAGAAGTCTGCTGAAGGGGCCGGAGAGTGAGCTAAGGAGACCTGGTTCTGATGGAGCTCGTCGGCTAGCAACACAAATGATAGTCCATGCAAGAAGGGAGGATCGATGAAGGTATTCATCGGGACCCTTGTGTGGATCCAGGAGAGGAAGAAAAGGATGATAGTACTTGAAGAATCTACCAAAGTCAGATGTAAATGACTATATAAAGCGGGACTAGACAGAACTCTTACTGTTCAAATAATCGAGCTACCCTTGCTCTTGATAGGGAAACATCCTCCAGTTTCCATGGACTATCTCCCGGTGAGACAATGGATCCATCTCTCTGCACAGTCAATGGGGTTGCCAACGACTGAGGCTCCACAGGAACAGAAAGGGGTCGTCCTCTATTAGACACCGCGGAATCAGGCTCACAGTACGAAGCATCCTCAGAACACTGCGACATTTCGTCGCTAACCTGAGGCTGCTCACCATTGGCAAGTCGTCGACGGAGATCCGCAATCTCCCTTTCCATCTCAGCATTTCGTCTGTAGCAGACGTGTTAGACACATAGATACGGAAGCCAGGGGCCGATGGCAGGCTTACCTTCGCTTGGAGATCCGCTTGAACGACGTTTCAATCTTGCATTCGATTCCAAGCCGCATACATCGCGAGCATGCTTCCGCAGGTGTTTGGACAATGTCACACCGAAGCTGTCAAAAAACCAAGGACCCATGTTCAGCGAGATGAAGCAACGACTATTTTTGGACTGTAGACTGGAGGGGGAAGCTCCAAACACAGGTGCAAAGCAGATGAGACCTACCTTTTGCTGCTTACATTCATTACACGCCTTCCTATTGCCCCCCCGCCGCTTGCCAGTAATTGGCGGGATCTTCTCCATTATCTCGCAGGGCTCCGACCTTCTGCTGGATAGATCAAAGGCCGTCACCGGGCCGGGACCAGGAATTCTGGGGTTGTTCCGAAGGTCGCTGTTGCTGGCCCCCGGCGGTGTCAAAAGGGTTCCCTGTGGAGGTAGCCCACGTGGTGCCATGATAGTCCGATATTCGAACTCCATCAGTATTTAATCAGAGCTAACCCACCGGTATAAAACGGTGGGCTTTTGCAGACATGTGAAAGGGAAGTTTGAAACAACACGCTGGGATGTGCCGGAAATCGGCAGAAAACTTTGGATGTCGAAAGCGGTTGGCGAAACTCGGCGGTTGCACGTGACACATAGTCGATTTGAGCTTTGATATTCTTTAACATCGATCGATGATTAACATAATGTTGAACTATTTTGGAAACTATTTTGATTGTAAAAATTGAGTTTCTTGTTCATTCTAAGATGTGGATATTTTAATTGTAAGATCAGAGGATGGCTTGTGTATCCGTACTGGCATGTCGTAGTAGACAATACAGATAGCATCTAACTGACCCTACGAATAAATTGATATTTCAAAAGATGAATGAATACAATATAGCTATAAAAATGTTCATCGTCCATACTATAAATGATAAATGATAATTAATAATTGAGATTGACAGGCGATAGACTGCGTGAAGCTGAAGAACCTCGCAGATGAATGACGCAGTATGTCATACAGCTTACGATGCCCAAGTGCCGCGCAGTTGGCATCGATCGGGCATATGACAGACAATCTAATCCTTCTGATCGAGTTAATAGTTAATATCGGATGAAGCTGGATAGACCTGATCAACGTATCGAACTCTTCAAATATCCATCTTGCTACTATCCCCTTTCGATTAATACTTTGTTCCTGTCGCCAGACGCTCATGGCAAAACCTCCCCACCGCCCATACAATTAACTGTTAGGCTCCCGCAATCGATGATCAACGACTATCGTACAAGTTACATGCCAACTCCTTGATTAACTCCCCCCTCAACACTTCAAGCTCCTTCATTGATAGCAGGACAATACCCTGTATTTTCATATTTTATATCTTCCACCGATATCTCCATGTCGGACATCCTTTATGATGCACCGCCTGGTGCGTCTTCGCCCAGGGATCCCGATGCGCCACCTTTAAGTGCTGGTCGTTCGTCGGCCGGTCAGTCTGGGGGAGTCGATGCCCACCCAGTGCCCCCGCCGATTTCAGATGAGGTGAAGGCTCGTTTGGACAAGGTCGTCTACTCAGATGTATGTGGAGATGCAAAGTGACATGGATTGATCGATGCGCAAGTGAACACAACTGACCAGAAAACCGTCACCTATAGATCGGCATTACCACACTCCTGACCCGCCTGAAGCAAAGCGTCGCTTCCGCCAAAGTTCGTCCACCCCCCCTTGTGGAAATAGATTTGAAAATCGCATGCGCTGATTGAGTATCACAGGATTTCTCTTCATTCCTGAAAAAGAGGGCCTCCCTGGAGGAGGAACATGCTCAGGGGCTTAGGAAACTGTCCCGTTCTCTCCATGACGCCGCGCATCGCTCCGAGAACCGTCAGGGCACTTACGGTCAGAGCTACAATGAACTCAATGGGTTCCACGACCGTATGGCCGACCATGGCTCCCAATTCGCCGTGTCGCTTCAGCAGATGGCCGATGACCTTAACGAGCTCGCATCGAACATCGAACGGGGTCGCAAGCAGTGGAAGCAGACTGGCCTGAGTGCGGAGAAAAGAGTTTTGGAGGCAGAGTCAGCGGCGGAGAAGGCCAAGGCTAAATATGAATCATTCGCGGAGCAATATGACCGGGTGAAGACCGGAGACAAACAAGGCGGCAAGTTCGGGTTGAAAGGCCCCAAATCGGCTGCCCAGCATGAAGAGGAATTGCTACGAAAGGTGCAGAATGCAGACAGCGACTATGCATCCAAGGTGTTGGCTGCACAGGCAGCACGACAGGAATTGATTTCCACTCATCGACCTCAAACAGTCCACAGTCTTCAGCAATTGATAGCGGAGTGCGACTCTGGTCTTACGTTGCAGCTGCAAAAATTTGGTAGGATTGCTCTATGCAGCCCTAACTTAATGACCTTTTACTAATGAGCCCCAGCAACGTTCAACGAGAAACTTCTCCTCGGCCAGGCACTCTCCATCAGCCCAATGAAGGAAGCGGGAAGCAATGCTGGACCTAAAAGCCTCTATGAGGTCGTGCAGCAGATTGATAACGAAAAAGACTTCCATGATTACGTTCTTAGCCATTCAAACAGCCCAGGGGCAGTGACTTCGGAGCAAATTGAATATAAACGTCATCCGGTAAGCTTTCTCCCTTTTGTTTTTCATGTGCTTATACCTCCATTAGACACTCGCAGGGTCATCTGGTGCTGTTGTTCCGGCGTCTCAGACAAGTACACAGAACAAGCGGCAGTCTACCATGCTACCTTTATCTTTCTCCCAACAGAATATCTCCCCTCCTCAGCCGTCCTCTCAGCCATCAGCACCCGCACCCGCGCCTGCACCTGCACCTGCACCTGCACCTGCACCTGTGCAGAACCAGAACACTGATCGGGCACCGCAGTTACCATACCCGCAGAAGTCGGATGCATTCGCATCGCCACCACCGTTCCAACCCCCCTACCCTGTTTCAGGACCACCTCCAGAGCAGCATCCTCTGCCTCAACTGGCTTTGGGGGCTCCCAGTGGCCCGCCGCCGCCTAGCAATGGCTTCCACTCACATCTACCACCGCTGAAGCCAGTATTTGGAGTTTCCTTGGAAGACCTGTATGCTAGAGATGGAACTGCTGTCCCCATGATTGTATACCAGTGCTTCCAGGCCCTGGAAATCTTTGGATTGGATGTGGAGGGCATTTATCGGCTTTCGGGTAGCGCTACTCATATCAACCACATGAAATCACTTTTTGACAACGGCAAGTGCATAAAATTACCCCCTAGACATGGGTTATCTCTAACTTTTGTACACAGACTCATCACAAGTCGATTTCACTAACCCAGAGAACTTCTACCATGACGTGAACAGCGTTGCGGGAATACTGAAGCAATTCTTCCGGGACCTACCCGATCCTTTGTTCACTTCGCAATACTATTCGGACTTTATCAACGCAGCCCGTAAGCAATTTTCATCTGCATTCCGAACAACCTGTGACTAGTTGGCTAACGTTGGATTTATAGGCATTGATGACGACATCCAACGCCGAGATTCATTGCATGCTCTCGTGAACAACCTACCAGATGCCCATTATGCTACGTTGAGAGCCTTAGTATTGGTATGCCATCCCACCAGAAAGTATATTGAGTCACTGCATTGACTAGGTTATCTCTAGCATCTCAACAAGGTCCAAGAACACTACAGCCAAAACCGTATGAATGCTGGGAACATTGCCATTTGTTTCGGGTAAGTCATGCCATGCTAACATGTTTTCGGTTCAAACACTGACAATGGGTTTTTCAGACCTACCCTTATGGGAGCCAGTTCCGGTGGTAATATCGCAGACGCCGGCTGGCAAGTCCGGGTCATTGAGACGGTCCTGGTCAATACATTCCAAATCTTCGATGACGATTAAATGCGCGTAGTTACCGTGGTGTTTTGATATTCGACGCCGGGTATTGCGCAGAATTTCGTTCACATCCGAAGGAATTCCTGAGCTCTCATGACGATTTCTTCGATTGTATATGCCCCTTCCCCTGTGTTCTGTACTTTTTTCTTCTTGCTCCTTTTATTTTCCCAACATGTAAATAGTATCGCTTGCTTTGGGCCAGTATATTCCGTGGACGAGACATATACCGCTTACACTAGGTAATCTTAATCTTCGATAAGATGCGAAGTGACCTATTTTGGTACATTTCATTTTTTCCTTTTCATTCGAAAATTGGGAACATATTCAGTAATTACAATGGTCAAGATGCTAAAGAGATGGCAGATATAGTACATAATAAAACAACTAGCCATAGCTTCCTTCCCTTTATCTGAACCAGATGAAAAGGACGCTATGCGAATTGCGCAATCTTTATAGTTAAACAATTGGGAGAACCGAAACAGGTCAAATCGTGGACAAGGTATGGACAATCCAAAGCCAGAAGAAGACAGAAGGCGCTTGTTGTACTTCGTAATCGGCGTTTCGTATTTGCAACCCTGATCTCTTTTGTTTCCTGCCTCTCGGATCGGTATAGTTTATGGAATATCATGAAACCAGGGGTTAGTCGGGATTTTGGTCGTTTTCCATCACGTCCATCCCTTCGAACCCCCGAAAGAAGGGAAGAAGCAAGTGGTGTGGATGATCAATATGCAAACAATATCTCAGACACGGTGCTTTTACCTCCTTCCTTGCATTGTTTCCTTCATGGCATCCAGACGCTCTGAAATAGTAAGTCCCGATGCAAAGAAAGGGCTGTCAAGATCCTCGACAGTGGTGGGAGTGGCATGGCCCCAAATGCGCCAGTCCTGTTCATCACCAGCCCAACGAAGCTTCTGGATGACGATATATTCGGTGCAGTCCTGCTGCTTCTCCGGGGTAGCGTCCTCGACCGCAGTGTTTGCATCACGGCCGGAAGGCAGCTTGCTTTTACCGGTAGACTGTTTACTGGTGATGCGCACCACAACTTGTCGGACAGTCGAGTCAGGAAGATCTGGTATTTGAGTTTTACGGTCCGCAACGATACGGGCTCCTGTGAAAAAGGTTGCGGGTGACAAGATGTATTTATCCAAAGTCCAGGTCACCTTCTCATTTTTCGGGCGGTTCTCGATGCGTTGAATAAGTTTGTTCGCGAGGCCATTACAGCAGATTTTGCGCAAGGAAGTGACGTCCCCCCTACAAGAAGACAAGACAACAAAGATTAACAAGCCATTGGACAGGAAATAAGCAATACCCAAAACTCACCCTGCGAAAGCAGTATACATCTTCTGGTGGAGCTCACGAGCTATTTGTCGTCGCCCCTTTAGTTCCAGCGGCACATTATTGTTGCCCCATTTGCAAAGGACGACAAGGCTAGTGAAGAATTAGCAAATGATTCGATTCTCCTCTTCAATGAAATTTCCTTTAAGAGCATACCCCAAGAAATTCTGGACTCCACCCTTCAACCAAAGCCACTCCAATTGAAGTCGTTCTCGGGGGTGTTGGAAGATTGACGGCATATCCCTCCAAAGCGGCCGAATGAATGTACCTGGCAGCAATCCAAGGTCTTGAGGCAAATCGCTCTTAGAAAACTCTCTTGTTCTCGTTTTCATACTTGGCTGAGCAGGCTGCTTCAAGGCGATATTCTGCGGAATCCCCCGCCCGTTCCGCTGGGAGCCTTGAGAAAAGTGCCGGCATTGACATGAGACCGCAGAGGCCGCCGAAGAATTGGCTGGAGAGAATCGAAACACGACATTGTTGGTTCTGGCAGTGGAAAACAGGGATCCAGCCGGCATTCGCAGCGAGGACGCCATTGTGACCGAATCCAGTAGGAGAGGAGGACGAAGTGGCTGCGCTCTGAGTGTTCGTCGCGATGCAATCGACACTTCAGATCGTCCAAGGAAAATAACGGGAGTAAGCCGGATCTTGTCACGTGACCTATATCCACCGGTCTTTTGGGCATTTCGTCTCGCCATCAACAGACAACACCACCTCCTCTCGCTTGGTCACTCACACTCACATCCAGCTCTGCATCTATACCATCAATTTGCCATTTCAGTGTAAAGACCTTGCTTAAAGTCATCATATTGACCGGAGCCCTCACATTGTGTTGTTCCGTCACAGGGCTGAAGTGGGGAGCCGTCATCATTATTCGTCGGGCTATCACTGCTCAGCTGTCAGCCAGCTACAGAACACCGCCAACTCGACACCTCCTCGAATATTTGAGAATTTAATTCCTTTTTAGGAAAAAAAGAATTTACTTCTTGCATATTTTACTTTTCCACCGCTCCCCGGGTTTACCTTGCGCGACGGCCGCATATGCCGTGGATTAAGGCTGGCTCCTCCTCGTCGTGATGCCGCTCCTCCGCCCTTCTCTCTTCACGCCCGGTCTCCTCCAGAGTCTGACTTGATTACCTCTCGTCTGGATTATAGTACAACGGCTTCATCCTTTTTTCCTCCGGCCTTTGTTTCATCGGCGGATTCCCGCAATAAAGACGTGGCTTCTACATCTACCGTTGACCCGCAATCCCCGGCCCCCTCCACGTCCCAGACTCACAGTAACAATGAAGTCGGTCACACTCCCTCGGCCTTGCATCCACGTGTGGCTGTCATCTTGGGAGTGGACCGTAAGTGGTATATCCCTCTGCTGGTCTGTCGCGCATTGAGCACTGTGCCCGCTGCATGGTGGGGACTACGATGCGCCTTTACGTTTCTGGCCGAACTGCTTCACATTCGGCCAGGAATGGGAAGTGAGGGGTGGGCTGCGGCGATTGTCGGAAGTATTGGACAAGATTGGGATGTCGAGAGAAGATTTCGCGTGACAGAGGTGGCATTGGCTATCGTATGGGTATGCATAGCTATTCTCCGACGACCCCTTCTCAATCCTTGCGTAGAGGATATGGAAGGCTTATGCAGAATCAAACTTTGGATTACTAACTTAATTCTCCATAGTGCTGTGCATCTGCTTATCTTTCTTACTTTTTTGCTGATTGTATGATGTCTCGATGGTCAGTTATCCTTGCTTGGAAATGATGCAGCTTTGTACTAATTCATCTATAGGCTTCTAAATTACACCCCGCCGGCGGTTGTAATTCGTCTCTTAACAACGAATGGGTTAATTGCGTATATGACTTCTTGGGTTCTCTATCTCTCGGGTGCATCTTATGATCCTCGCCTCCTCTTACCCGCATGGATATCCATTACAACTGTGAGTCCACTCTCCAACATACCACACCCCACTAGAAGCAAAAAGCCATGTGGTCTGCAAATGACTGACTCTGGTTTCGCAGACACTTACTTTCTTATACTCTGCAACTCAAAACCACGCCACGATCAAACGCGAGAAACGGGCTTCCCTCCTAGTAGTATCCGTCGCTAGCTTCGTTAGCATGTCATCCCTCCTTTTACAGTTGCATCTCACCCGTGAAAATGAACCCGAGGTACCTGTGTTTGTGATCACACGGAAATTATGGGACTGGGCAGTCGCGATTTTCCTTCGCATGCGAGTCGCCGATGATAGGGTAGAGCTATAAATCAATCGACAGACTGGCGTGAGAGTTAAGTGTTCTTTTCTTTTCGGTAATTTCTGGACAAAATCCTTCTTGTTGGCTTTGCTTTTTTCATTTGATCGTATTAGAGTTATTTGGCTGTAACCTTTGATAGGCAGCTTGTTACCACAATTCCCCAGTTGATTATTTGTAAAAGCCCAGAGTTGAATTTATTACTTTTGAGGTCCTTTACACTCGTCTACATCTGATTATCGATGTCCAATTTGGCTGTAGTAATTCTTCTGGGAGGAAACACTACTGAAATAGCAGCTCAAACGAAAAGAAATATTAAGGATGGTAGACAGTTGGAAGAATGTAAACAGAAGAGAACGGATAGGGCGGTTTGAAAGTCACGCCTCCATCTCAACCAGATAAACTTCGATTGACTAAACCGAGATGTCCATTTGTAATGATAACCTCCAGTATGCCATCCCACGAAGACAAGCGAAAATAAAGAAACATAAAAGAGAAGCAGTTTCGTCTATGCAGATAATGGGTATCTACCAACGCCTAGTCCCATCATAATCCCATCCTGAGTGTAGTAGTTGAGTCAAAAGAGACCCGCTATCCTTTGAATCGGTCCATTCACGATCACAAAGGATCAGTTAAAACAGCGCATCATTTCGACAAAAGCCCAAGTCCAGTAAGCTGGGCACAGAGGGTTTTAAAAAAATAGAAAGACAAAAGGAGGTTGACGGATCGATCTGAATGCTGCCATTGCCACTGGTGCAACGCAAGGTCAGATGGAGGGATAACAAGCAAACATGCCTCCTATCAAACCTCTCTGAGAGCAACATAGACTGGGAAGAAGGGACCGGAACGTGGCGTGGCGTCTAGCCTAGAAACCGTGGACCTTAATGGTCTTGACATCCAGCTCGAGACCTTCCTTCTTGTCGGTCAAGAACTCCTGAACATCCTTACGCTGATCTCCTTGCAGCTGAATCACATCACCCATCTCAGTGTCACTGACGATGGTGCCATTGCACGCTGAAGATTATTAGCTTTTGTCCAATATCTCAACCCCGATGTACCGGTAAACGTACCGAACTTCTTCTTGATCACCTTCAGAATCTTCTTCTGGTCGAACTTCTTAGGAAGACCCTGGACCGTGGTCAAGGTCTTTCGGCCATTGCGCTCTATAAGCCAGAACAGTTAGCCATGTAATTCGATCAAAGTACGATGGTGTCGCCGATAAAAGGGGGCGCGTGGGTAACGACAACAAAGGCAGCAAGGGTAGTAAAACGTACGCTGAATCCGTATATGGATATAATTTTGAGACTGTTTAGTCTCGCCGGTGTCTTCGTCAGCTTCGGCGAAGGGGTCTGTGTAGGAGCACGTGTCAGCCTCAGGCCATTGCCAAAATCTACCCCGCCATGCCGATCGGTCCTGGACAAAGCCAGTCATGCGACCCCTCGAAACAATGATGACCCCTATCTATGGCCAAGAAAGCACAGACGAGGCCATCATGGAAGGGGGTGACAATGACTTTTTTTCGCTCGTAGAGTCCAGGTGGGAGGGGTGACCCAAGGAGGGGAGGTGGCAAAACGACTTACCGAAGGTCTTGAGGTTTTCGATGGACATAAACTCGGCCTTTCGTCGTAAACGGCCCTTAAAAGCGGTATGTAGTAAGTGAGCGGGAGGTGAGATTAAGATCTCGTGTAAAATGTGAGCGATCGCGAGTCGAAAAACTGGAGTAGGGACAAAGTTGGAGGCTGATGGTTGGTGTCGGGAGGGAAGCAGGAGGAGGAACAGAAGAGCCTTTTGAGGGGCGCGCCTCAGGTTAGTGGCCCCTGTGGGGGAAGGCGGTGTGTAGCCCTGACTAAGCGGCCAGGCTCATCTCGTATCTTCTTCCCATAACTGGGCATCATTTGATATCAATATTCTACCGAGTGCAGCTGTTGAAATAAACTGGTTTTGCAAATCTCTTAGAACCCTTGCATGGTCTAGATTGAGGCGCGGGGGGCAATGCTGCCAGCGTTGCGCTCGTTTGATTCGATCATATTCCGGCAATAACTTTGCCGCCAGTGAAAAATATAGTACTATTACAAGAACACAGCAGATTAAAATATTGGTACAACGCTACAGCAATCATGATTTGTGCAAGAGGAAAAGCCTCCGGAGCTCTGATCACCCCGGATCCGAGACGGCAGATACTTTGTTGGCAACCCAGCTTTTCTGACTGTATCTCAACCGATTGCTAGCCCTGGGTCCGACATGTCGGCGTGCCGAGGTATCGAGATATAAATTCACGAGCAGGCCATTTAATTTTCGCGGGTATCAAAAGGCCGAGGCATTTAAGGAGAAGGCGAAGGTGTAGCAGCGGCGCCGCTGCGTGCGGCCGGCGGGGGAATGAAGATGGGGAAGTATGTCTGCGAGTAGGAATTTAGGATGAGAACTCAAGATACCAGACAAAGAGTCGATGCTCATAGCTAGGAGACGTACCACAACCAGTGCCATCACTGAATTCGATATCGCGCGGTCAGCCACTTCACTTGTAGAGAATTGGGTTTAGGGGATGACAAACAAGACATCAGAACCGACATGTATCCCGGTGTCGAGGCGTTCCTCTTCTGGGCAGGAGTTTCCGATAGCCAACCTTGAAGCGAGAGAACGAAAGCAACCCTGTGCGTTGTTTAGATAACGGGCCTTGTGTTGACAGAAAACTAGCAGGCTTACCATCCGATCATCCTGTATGGGTGGCGCGTGTAAGAATCCGAGCGCATAGGAAACACAGACAATCAGCTAGAGTTATCTCACCTATTCCTCGTGAACATCTACCGAATATCAGCGTGTGTTGTACTGTAGCTGTTCGAAAAAGTCCTTACCGCAGCCATGGGCATCGTGCTAGACATTGCACCTGTATCAAATGACCACCCAATTAACCATTATTTCTTCCAGTAACTGCCAATGCGACTAATGTCACTTATTTACCGGTCATATCCGCCTCGTTCTTCTCCTGGGGCGGGTCGATGTAGGGGATAGCTAGATTTCCTTCGAGTTAGCCAGTGTGCCGGAGAATGAGCAAATAGAGAGGCAACGCACCAAGATCCAATCTCCGCATATCCTTTTTAGAGGCCATCTTTGCAATCAAAAGTCTGTTCGAATGGTACAAGCTCAGTGTTGCGATGGATGATACGAGATGACGAGCTGGCAAATCCCAAGTGATCGTTGGCGCCAAGGCTAAAAGCGGCAAGGCTCGATCCCTAGATCGGATCACTTGCTGTCGCTGATAACCATGGAGGCCTCTTCAACAACACCATATCTACACAGTGCAGTCAACAGGACGTCATGGATAAAAAATATCTCAAAGACCATCATAGGTCTTCAGGGTTTCCATACCGACTGTATCTTACGTCAGTCAGTCTACTGCGTTTGCTCTAATTGCCGATCCCGGTAGACACAGTTAGCAGTGAGTTGAATTTGAGGGGTTAATAGTCCATGTTTGGCTTTGTCTAATTGACTTCATGACTCAGTTGATACTATGGAGTCTCCAAATGGTCGTATTCAGCGAATCAATGCTCCTATCTGCAGTAATACAGGTCAAGAAGTCAACGTTGGGCAGCAGATTCTGTCCCAAAATTCAACGACTGTATTTTAACAAATCAAACCAAACGCCATGATGGAGTACTTTGAGCAGTGCCTCGCCTAAGACTCTAGGCAAGCTGATATTCCGAAAGCGGACTTGGAACTTGCAAGCCTAGAACTATCTGCTGTACTACCCGGAACTCAGGGCTTCCTATCGACCCTTGCAACTATATGGATGCTTTATTTTCAGGCCAACCAACGGATACTTGCTCATTTCAGTCCAGGCCAGCATTGTGGCTTGTTTCTTATCCATGGTTATTTCTTTGTACGCCAGCTAGAGCACCTGCGGCTATTGCTAGCTAGAGTGGGATGTTCCGTGCTAGGTGTTTCTCTGCCTGAGTCCGTACTGTGCAAGCAGTAGGCCTAAGATCAACTCGCAAGGCTCCGTACAGCAGGCAGTTTGCGGATCACTTATAAATCATCCAAGAAATCCCACTTAATCATGTTCTTTATGGGTTGGCATAGATGCAGGTGCAGGCGGTATATCATACAGCACCGCAAGTGTCATGCCATGCTCCTCCGTACGAGGCATGCCTCCAGATCCAAGACCCCATAAACCCCCATGAAACAATCGACTGGCTAATGGCAAAAGAGACATGGAGATCTTGATGTCGGAGTGCCGATGTTAATGATGTGATTGATGGCCCGAGGATAATTCTTCCAATAGGCAATGTTCAGCTACGGAGCACATATGACCGAGAGAGATAAGGTGATGAAGTGGGAGAGTAGAGTCAAGAGGACAGGCAGAGTGCAGACAAGTACGGGGTAAGTAGCACTTCATGCTATGGAGCGACTAGTTAATATAAACTATGAATAATAATAATCAGAATAATCATTCCAGGTGGGAAAGAATTATCCCCTAATACTTCAACTTGGCCTCAGATCTTACGAGTGTGACTGCAGCAACCCCTCATGGAGATCATCCAGCCCATGTTTGTTTATGAACAGGCAACATGGATGATGGAAACAACAACCACCCAGGGCAAGAATAAGAGATTTCCCAGTGGTGCCACAAGCCAAAAGTCCCTTTCTTTTCTTTTTCTTCGTCGGAAGACGTAGATTTGGTGTCAGATCATGCCAAGTGTTAAGAAACCCGCTGGTTCTAGAGGGAAAATTGGAGCAATTCCGCAGATCCGATGGAGTGCTCCGACCATGATAGACCGAAGACGGAGTAGGCAAGTCGCATGTATCATGATCCAACTTTCAGGATTATTTGCCCCTATTACGATGGTGATGATTCCGGAGATAATCATCTGATGGTCTTAGCCCAGGTGAATGGAGGAATTGGCAGGCCTGAATAATAAGCTGGATCACCGGTCTTCCTCCATGTATTCCGGAGGAAGATCCCCAACAGAGACAAGTCAACCAAACCGAAACATTAATAATAATGCCTGTCGGCTACTATCTCAATGATTGATGTATCTAAAATCACAATGTGAATAAATAATGCATGATAGGCCACTTTCTGCTATTGAATCTTCCGATGATCTGCGGATGTATTCTTCGTAACGTACCGTATCATTACCGCACAGTAATGGTAACATCCACTCAATACCCCCAATTACTCCGTATTACTCCGTATTTCCCCCCAAAAGGCCGCTTCACTCTCCATCCTGGATATTTCGCCCTTACGTTATCTCACGATTCTCTATCTCGCCGCTCGGCCTCCGCACTCGGCTTTTTTGGTTTGTCGTCTTTGCCTTCCCTTTCTCGCATTGCTTTTTCCTCTTGTCGCGATCGCCTGCTGGGCTCAACTTCCTCCCTTTTCATACTCATCTCTCCTTCGACGGCGCAACCCTCTATCCTCAGTGTTACGACCTCCTCCCCAGTTTTCCATCCATTCCGCGGGTTATTTACCCTGCCATACCGTCCTATCCGCTTGTTCCCCGGTCCTCCGTCAAATCACCCCTTCGACTAGGCCCCTTTATATATAGTATATAGACGGAGATAACCGACAATTCTCTTACTAACCTGGGGTTCGATATCCGGGGTTTCGTCGATTCATCTCGCGGTTGGAACTATTCCGATGACCAGAACTTCCGGTGCTTGGATACACACCATGAACCTGAGATGATACCTCATCCTTCTGCCGGCGTCCACCCGTGGGGTCATCCCCTGCGCGCCGTCAATAGCGGCTCTGGACGTGTTGATGTCTCTCAGGGTCTGAATCAATCCGACTTCCTTCCTGAGAAGCCGTCAATGCCCGTGCCGCAACCGCAAACCAGATCGCCGGCAGTCATCGACCTTACAACCAGCAGCCAGGATGCGCAGGAGAGGGAACCGCCAGCGAAACGACAAAGACTGGATGTGCCTTCTGGGTCTGCGATTGGGGATGCGAGCCCGGTCCCCGTGGGTGGTGGGGAGTTAAAGAACACTGCGGGATCTGCAAGTTCAAGGCCACCTACGGTACCGTGGCGTGGTCGGCCAGTATGGTCCTTTCAGGCATTGATATCAGAGACACCTGGAGGCGGGGAAGTCCATGGGGAGACTACGGCGGCGCTCGCGCAGGGCGAGAAACCCGCATCACTGCCTCCGTTTCCCACTATGCCTTGGAAACACACCCCTCCGGATTCTTCAGGATCTACCAGGTCGCGGGAAAGCTCGCCAGTGAAGGATGTCCAAACAACCCCATATCGCATCGAAGTGCCTTCCAATGCTCCTGCTCTCAAAGGTGATAGTAAGTGGCCCGGGTGGACTATATACGAAAGAGTATCTGACTGAGTTATAATTAGAAGTTGCGGATTTCTCGCCATGGACTGGCAATCATCCGGAGGATGTGCTCAATGAACATACGGCAAAACAGGGGCATTACGATCGTACCCAGGTCTCCCAGAACGAGTCCAATACGGCGCGTCCATCTTTGTATGCACAGTTGAAGCATCGATCCGGACTACAAATGCTTTCATCTGTTTTCGCAGCTGCGCTTGAGAAACGACAAAACCACAGCATGGTCACCAACCCATCTACATTCAAGCCACCTCCCCGTGTTACCCTGACGGATAATAAGCGCGAGGCATGGCTCCGTGACCTTGCCAATCCATCCGTCCCGTTGCGCAGGCTGAGCCGCACAATCCCTCATGGCATTAGAGGCAAGGTTCTTTTGGACCAGTGTCTAAGTAAATTGATTCCTGTGGGCCGTGCTGTATGGCTAGCCAAGTGTGTCGGTGCCAATGAAATCCGTGCCTTTAAAAGAAAGGGCACAAGTGGCGCCTTGGCCATTGGCTTAGAGGCCAAATGGGTCCGGGATTGGACCACAAACGTCCAGCAATTCCTCGAAGGAGTTCTAAGTAGTTGTGGGACGACAGACTGGAGAATGAAGGTGACCTATGCGTACGTACCCTGCTTGTTAGATTTCTGGTTTGATTGCATTTACTAACCTTCCGCAGTGTCAGCTTAACAGCTCGCCTTTTCTTTGAGCAGCTGCTCGACCACGATAATTTCCTCGGGTGGTTTCTGTCTTCGATGGAGTCAGCGCGTCTAAATACCATGCCCGTCTGGCTCTTGATGCTTGGTATTTATTGGGAAAATATCATGCGATACAGAAAGCGGGGACGACGGCTGGCCGAGCTGTTACTTCAAAAGTTAAGCCAGGTACGTATTATTAGGCACGAACCCTATTAATTGACTCATAGCTAAGAAATGATAGGCCATCAAGTCAGAGCAGGCAGCTTCTCTTCAACCACTCACTGATCGCTTGTCTCTCTGCATAAAAAAACTCGTCCTTGAACATACCTCGTCGGCCATACTCCCGGCTTCGTGGGGCAGCTACAAAGACTTAGTCTCATCTTGCCTGAATCTAGAGGAAAATGTAGACAAGACTATCTTCCAACACCTTGCGGAACGTAATGCACGCGTGCAACCACCCAAGAATTGCCAACTAACCGCGCAACACTCACCGCAACAACGCATCATTTATCTTTTCGATTCTATGCGCTTTACACATGACATTTCCTCTATCTCTGCTGCATGTCTGACCAGTGTTGACGACAGAACTGCTCTGGTGTCTAAACTTTTAGAATGGACCGCAACACCTTTTCGGTACGGCCTATGTCGGGTATATGCAGGTGTCCGCCTTTTGCGAAAGTGGAAGATGTCTGGTGTTGATATAGACTTCCACATTCTCGCTTTTCTTACCGAGGCTCGCGGCGACGCCCAATTAAATATGGGCAACATCTATCATGCTATTTCGGAACTCGTTCGATCCCAAACGTTCTCCGTCGGTAGGTATCTCCAGTGGCTTATGGCGAAAGGAGTCACAAATAGTCCCCAAGTAGACCAGCATACGGTAAGTCATTACATCCCAGCCATCTAGATGAGACTACTCACACGCCATAGTCCATATCGGGTGAGGTTGGACTCTTAGCGCAGCTTCCTGTGAGCCGTCTACCCGAGCACGTACGCAACCTTCGCCATACCCTGTTAGCACGTGCTGGGGTTTCGACGTTAGAGGAGGCATCAATCATCGCATCAGTCAAAGCATCTATTAGCCAGCATCTTCCTAACATCTTTGGTGTTGATGTGCACAACATCGTGCCTTGCGACCTGTCACAGCCGAATCTGACGTGGGCAGTCAAGTATGAGATCGGACAGTGGATTCGACGTGGAGTTAATGAGCATTGTAGGATTTCAAACAGGTGCGCCTCGTGGGAAACTGGTTATCATGACTTTGCTAATGGTCTCAGGAACATACCTGGAGTGGACTTGTCTGCTGATATGAAGGTCTCTGCCCTTACTCCTAGCGAATTTTACCATATCCGAGACATCCTTGAGAGCTTTGGTGATCTGTCTATACTTGCAGATGTACTCAAGCAGGCTGCGAATTGCGACGACAATACCGTGTTGGCCTCCGCTGCTGATACACTCAACTACCATTTCGATTCTTTCTGCATTATCGGTGCTACAACGGATCTATTCAGAAGACTTGTTGAAGCGTACGCCCGTCTTAAGAGGCTTGGCACAACAAGTCTAGACTTGGTCTTTTCGCTCATTGAAGTCGGCCTTCAAGTGCCTAATGAGTCAAACACTGTGGCTCTTCTTCGACAGGATCTTTCCCGAATTGAAAGCAAGTCAGCTTTAGCAGCACCTTCGCCTCTCTCGGACCACATACCTGAAATATTCAGCGAAAGCGACCCGTTATTCCATGAAAAGTTGAACCAGCTATTGTCGTCTGGTAGTGGTATCGACGAATCCACATTAGATACGCTGTTCAATGCGCTCACCAGGATCCTACTATCTGATGATCAAGGAAAGCTGACGAGGAATGATGCTTGTCGGTACCTAGCTCACCTGAGACCTTTCTACCCCAAACATTTCGATGCCATGCTAATTCGTTGGATCTGCTGTGCCTTGAAATCTGCTACTCGTCCCTCCTTGTCCAAGATTCTTCCTCCACTCATTGGTGTTGGCTGCGTTACCATTCAAGCATTCGTATCATTGGTAAAAAGACTCTCGCAGTCAGAGACAATGGGGCCGACAATTCAAGATATCGCCGCACTGCAGATGGACATCCTTGAGCTCCTTATCCCGCCATCTCAAGAGCAGAGAAGATACTGCGACCTCGTTACCTATCGCTTTCATTTGGCGCAGCAGGAGTTCCTTGTCAAATACCCTGAAGAAACGTTTGGCATCATTCACGACGCAGCAGCCTCGATGAGTGCTCAGAATCTTGAATCAGAATCTAACCCAAGACGAAGCGATCTTGCAAACTATATGACAATTCTGCTCTGTGATTTGCTCACCCAACATCCCGAGCGTGCCGCAAAATATTGCACACAAAAGCTTATCGATCAACATCCAGCATCTATTGTTGCTTTGCAGAAGGCACTCGATTTTCTTCTTGGCTTTGACACCCCCACAGGTTCGTCGTGCTGTTTTGGTGCTACTTCGTTCTTTAGCTAATGATGAATTAGATCCGGGTTCAAACATGTCCGAGGCTGAAAGGGTCATCAGCATGACCAATGACTTCTCACTCCCTTTTTGCCAGCTGAAGCTCCAGGTACTGTTCAATGCGGAGTCTGGGGAAGAAATAGGGAATGGTATTGTGGATGTAATGTTCAAAGCTGCAGTGGCAGACTCGCGGGCAAAGAAATCCAATTGGGCAGGTCTTGTTTCTTTAATGAGCCAATCTGCTGTACGACAGGTACGAGACGTCCTCAATACATTGGATGGCCCAATACTGACTGGTCCAGATTCGTGAACGGGCAGAGAAAGGGTTCTTTTCGGTCCCTCTGTTTGAAAACTCGGCTGACGACCATTCGTCAAGTACGGCTGATAACTCAAGCTCGCTCGAAACTGCAAAGCTTTACTTGACTATTATCGAAGAGCTGGCCTATAGCATTCCCGAGGCTGGTGTGAGCTCCATCGCTCCTATTCTCGTTGAGAAGATGGATTTTCTACTCCACAGACTCATCATTATGCAAACGAATTTCAGCAACTTTGCGGAGAACAGGCATGGTGTGGCAGCAGATAAAGCGATTCAATCTCGTTCGAATTTCGAGAGAACATTGGCTTTCTGGTTCTCTGCCCTGCTTAAAATGGTGGTCATCCACCGTTCTGCCTTCAACACGTCGCCGTCCTTGGCGCCTAAACCCAACAGCTTGCAGGATCAATCGCGTCTTTTGATATCAATATTTTGCATATCACTGTCGCGTCTTCCAGACAATGCGTTGCGTCTCTTTCCTACTGCCAACTACTTCCCCCATCCTGTCCAGCCCGAAAGCTATCGACCCTGCCCTGGTATTCTGTTGCAGACGCACGCGCTGGACGTTGCAGCGTCTTTGATTGATACGTTCCCTGACGAGGCTCGGCATCAATGCACACGTTTCCTCAAAGAGAAGTGTCCGCCCTTTCTTCAGCATCAAAATGATTCTCGATTCCTCTACCTTCTTGGTCCTGTGGCGGATACTACATCCCTAAATCCTTCACAGCCTGCATCTGCTCCCTCTCCTGCTGCTTCTGGCTCTGCATCCACTCCAACACCGTCGGGTAATCTCCCAGGTGGCACATCCGCTCTTCAACAGCCTGTTGCGCCGCTTTCCGGGATGTCGGAGACCTCAAACTGCGTTGCTAGTCGTCTTCGTCTGCAATGCCGTGGACGTGTAATCGGAGCATACCCAGTCCGTCCTTGGGAGCTTCTGGAGGATGCAGCCCCAATCATGGGGGCAAATGATACAGCAGTCAACCTGGGATACTTTGATGCAAGACGCATCAGAGCCTAGGCATGTAACCCGAATTTTCTTGGGTATATGAACGCCATTTATCATCACTGTAAATAATTCGCTTCTTTCTTTTGTCTTTTGTGATTGTTGTCTTTCTCTCTTTCTTGCGGCTTGATACCATATCCATTTGCATGTATCTCTCATTTATTCCATGCTTGTCAAGGTTCCAGGCAGAACCTTTGTTGCCACCTCTCACTGCAGCCTACGCCCAGTTCAGCCCGCCTTGCATATTTATCATTATCTTGCTATTGCATTTGCCGGTAATGATGTGATTTTATGAGATTCTATTATTAATGCTGTTATTATTTTTGCATCTTTGGGGGGGGGGGGGGGGGGGGGGGGGGTGAAGGCATGTTTCTGTTGAAGTTGCTTTCTGGCATAAGGGCATAAGGGCATAAGGGCTGTATATATAGGGCTCGGCGTTTTACTTTTCCAAGGGGCAGTCAGTTCATTCATAGCGCTTCGATTAGCATATATTCATGTTATGGCATGGTATCAAAAGACTCAGATGCATGGGAACGGTGTTTGATAGTATTCTACGTATAGTTATGAAGCATGGGCTCTAGCTAACTACTCGCCAGGAGAGCGATCATACCTATTATACAGGCTTTACTTAATCAGAGTCATCCTGGTTGTGTACCTAAATCAAGTGATAAACAGAAGACTCCATAGGAGTCCAACTTCAAATATATTAATAGCACTCAATTAAAAGATTGCCTAGGGATTAATATATTAAGAACTAAATTGAGGGATACAGAAGTTCATTTGTTTTTGGGTTGTACAAAATAAAACAGGACAGGATAATAACAAAAGACGTAAACGTACAAGGTAGAAGAGACAACGTTGCAAGATATAAAAAGAATATAAAGAACAAACAAGATATAAGTAAAAGACATACAGAACATAATAACACAATACAAACATACAAAATATAGAAACAAAATAAACACAAAAACTTTTCCCGCAATTTTTCAAATCCCAACCCTAGCCAGAGCACGATGTTAATCGCATGGAGCTATCATCACCTGTACCTTAATTATCATCATATGAAGTAGGTTCAATTTCAGATTCATTCTCGTCATATCCAGAGTCAAACTCCCATACGAGAACGGGTTCAGATTCAGACTCATATTCAGAGTCGTCGATAGTGGCCGCCAGCTCGAACCATTCGGCCATGTCGTGCTTGGCCTTCCAGGTTATCTCCAGGTCCCTGATGACCTCGTTGACGGCCACTGGGTTCATATAAGTCTGGCTCTCCTTGACATGAGCCTGGACGTATTCTTCGATCGTGCGGCCGGTTATAGGCTGGTACTGAGAGTCGAGTGGTTTTCTGACAGGAGGGTTGTCGCGCATGGCCTCCTGAACAGCCTTTTGGCGATATCTGGTAAGGGCAAAGTTGTTGTCGTATTGGTTCGGGTTTGTAGGTGGCACCATGGGACTACCGTCGTCGTCGAGCAAGACGACGTAGTATCTTTCATCCCATAAGAAGCGCTTTGGAAGGGGAAGGGGATGTCAGTATTATCTTGGGAGGAATGAAGAAGGGATATTAGACAGCAAAGGAAAGAAACTCACCTTGACCATGTCTTTGCAGTCATCGACATAGGCAAAGGTCACTTTGGCAATGAAAGTCCAAAACCACTCATTGATCACATGGGGCTCGAAGCCGTAGGCTTCAACAGGGCCACGTCCGTTGAGAACAAACGCCAGGTCTTCATGGGACATAGGGGTCATGCAGCGTAGGCCAATAACGGCGGTTCCTAGAGGGTGGATCATCAGCATTTTGCATGGAATAGACAAAATCATACATACTTCTTCCTCTGGCTCTTTCAACTCTGAGCCAACGATCGTGCATCACGGTGCACTCATTCCAGGCCAAGGCAGCGCTGGCAGCATCAACTTCCTGTATGCATCTGGTTAGTATGAATTTACATGATGAAGAAGAGATAGTAAAGGCTTACCTCGAACTGCACAAAAGCGCCAGGCAGTCCTTTCTTTTTGTCCTGCTTAATCTTTACATGGCATCGGCCAAAGCAGGAAAATTTGTCCCCCAAGTCTTCGGTTAGGGTGTCAAGAGAAACTTTGATCGAAAGACTGGCTATAGTCAGTACATGATATTCTTCTAGAGGATATAGATGAAATAGCACTCACTTGCCAACGAAGACACAGGCATCTGGGGGAAACAGACCCTGAGCATTTTTGGCTGACGGTCTCTCGTACAGTCTATCCTCACGTGGGCTTCTTCTGTTGTTGCTGTACATATCTCCGATAACGTATTGGATAGTCATGATGGTTTATACAAAAATGTTTGAAGGCTTGAACGAAGGACTGATGTATATGTAAAAGGTATATATAAGACGGTTTGAAGTACTTGTTGCTGTGAACGAGGGTGGTGGTAGAGGAAAGAAAACACCAGAAGAGAACGCACAATCAGATAGCAATTTATAGTGCAGAAAAAGATTTTCCAAGGCATCCACGGATTGATTTCTGGTAGCTTAGGCTGTCGGACTCCCAATCGGGGATCATGACGCCAGACAACGGTCAATATGTGAAGAATTTTAGGCGGAGCATACGCGGCCCTCCAGGTCTTTGAGAGAGAGAATGGCCTGCAGATAAAGAATTTGATGGAGAAATAGGTCAAAGAATAGGTTCCTATATGATCATTGATGCAGGCAGGCGGTTTATAGAAGTAGCTATATAGCTCTTGTATAGGAGCCTTAGACGTCATATTTTTATCTTTTCATAGTATTCACGAGAATACTAGTGTTTGCCAAAACTGTCCATATAGGGATATACAGAGATAACACTGTATGTCCACAGTGGTATGAACGATCAATCTGATGCCCAAATCGACAGGAGTTGGATGTATTTTGCGATGTTTGAGAAAGGCTTGTATTTGATGCAGCCTCACCTCCATGCGTGGACGTCATTTTTCATCATGGTGTATAAAATCAAGATAGGTGATTCTGACCCAGCGAAAGAAGTCAATTGCCATGATTCAAATTCAGATCAAAATATGCCTATAAAGCCAGCCAGAGTCAGCAAGACAGACAGACAAAAGACGACAGAAGAGAGAAAAGAGAAAAGCAGGGGATCACCTTTGGAATGCAGATTCAAGCTACCCTGAATAGCCTGCACAGCCTGAATAGAGCCAGCCATGTCCAAACCTCAGATATTCAACGCGGATGGCGACGATGAAAGAAACATGAAGCGCTTTCGCTCTCGGGTTTATCGATCTTATCATCGGCTGATCGCCGATCAGTCCGAGTTGGCGCCACCAAAAGGGCGACATCATCCTGCAGTCAACGCTTTTTTCTCCTCTCTCTTACCTCATCATCCTTTTTTTTTTTTTTTTTTTTGTTTCTCTGGGACAATCGACTCACGTTCGTATCATCCACGGTTGATTAGCTGTTGAATATGTTTCCTACCGCCAGGTGTCTGGCCGCTAAGCCCTCGGGGTTCATCAAACGCAGCGCAGAGGAGCTCAGTCGCCTATCGAAAATCGGTGTGCATCCCCTCCCATGTCCTATCTTCCCACCCTCCCTTCACATCTGCTGACCATGCTGGGTATATATAGCATGGAATTCGGAAGGTCTTCACACGCCCACCAAGCCTTTCTCCCTACTCGATTTCGAAGATGACGCGACGGTCGCGGGTTGCAAGACGATGGCCGACCGTGCGGTAGGAGGCCACAGTACTGCCAGTCTCGACTACGTGCCTGAGGATCCGTCTTCGAACTCCCCAGCTCATGCTCGATTCCATGGAAGCATCTCGACAAAACTTCCGAATAACTGGAGGATTGAGAGGACTGGTATGTCCACTGCTTTAGTTGGCGTTGAGACAGGTGCGACGGGAAATTGACCATTCATTCGTGGAAAATAGGATACGCAGCATTTCGCAACAGAGATCGGGGCCTCTGGCTTTTTGGACGATTGTTCTGGGATGTTGACCCCTACTCTTACCTCGCTTTGCGTGTCAAGTCCGACGGTCGGCGGTATACCGTGAATATCCAGACCGATTCGATTGTCGAGACAGACATCCACCAGCACAGACTGTACACAAAACACCACCGCATTAACAAACCCTCTCGTTACAATGACCATCTTTCGCCACATGCAGCGGTTGAGGCATCCGAGTCGCCGGAACTCGCGGAGACACTGTATCCGAGTGGAATCCCCCCTGCCCTTTCTGAGATTCCCCCAGAGTCGACCATCATGTCCTCCGCTAGCGCGACTACGTCCGGTTCAACAGGATGGGAAACGATCCTCCTGCCGTTTAACTCTTTCGTCCGTACCAACCATGGGCTTGTCGTTGAGCCGCAGACCTCTTTGCTCCGTCAGCGGGTGAAGAGTATTGGCATTGGTATTACGGACCGAGTTGAGGGTGCATACGACCTGCGAATCCACCGCATCTGGGCTACAAATGGAATGAGCGAGGGAGAAATTGAGGAGGAAAGACGGATCTGCGGTGCTGACGCACTGCCTGTTGACGAGGGCGTCATGTCTGGCTGGACCAAGGAAGCCCAGGATGGCAACTCGAAGAAAGCGGATGGACAAAGAGAACCCAAAGAGAAGGGTCTCAAAGGTCTGCGCTCTGAGTGGGATTAGATGTTGACCATTTTCGCATGCTGGCCAGCCCGGGTATTTGTACCATATTTAATAAAAAAGCACCCGATCTAAATATATCCAAGGAAAGATACTATACAAAAAAGTATTCATATATATGTTTATTGGTTTAATGTCTCATAAGGCATGCGGCAATAAGTTCATAACCACTTGGTTGAAGCTCCACCCTAGTTACCCCCAGTGATCATCTCCCAGGCCTCCTTGTACTTCTCACTGGTTTTCTGTGCGATCTCATCGCTCATCCGGACGCCCGGCTTGCCCTTCAGTCCTTCCTTGACCAACCAATCACGCAGGATCTGCTTGTCGAAGCTTGCCTGGCCACGGCCAATCTCGTAGGTGTCCTTGGGCCAGAACCGCGAGGAGTCCGGTGTCAGGACCTCATCAGCCAGCACAACCTCGTTGGTTTCCTCATCGAGGCCGAATTCGAATTTCGTGTCGGCAATGATAACGCCACGCTCGAGACCATAGGCATGGGCGGCCTTGTAGAGCTGGACAGAAAGGGCGGCAATGGTGGACGCAAACGGTTCGCCGACAATAGCGGTAGCTGTAATTGAGAGCGAGCATTAGCTATCTCCAGTAAAATTGACAGCAAGTCACTATGAGATGAACGTACCTTGATCAGGGTGAATGTTTTCATCATGCTCGCCTTGCTCAGCCTTTGTGCTTGGTGTATAGATCGGGCCATCGGGGAAGGCCTCGCTCTCCTTCAAGCCGGCGGGGATCTTGATTCCATGCACGGTGCCCGACTTCTGGTATTCCTTCCATGCGGAGCCTGTGATGTATCCGCGGACAATGGCCTCAATGGGGAGAATCTTAAGCTTGCGGACCTGCATGCTCCGGTTCTGAAGCACCGGGCGAAGCGAGGCGGGGATTTGAGGCGGAAGGTCGAGAGTGAGGAAATGCGTGCGCAGAGAGGGAATGGCCTCGGACAGAATCTTGAACCATGTTTGCGTGCAGAGAGTGAGGAGAACACCCTTGTTAGGAATGCCCTGTTCAGAATCGCTGGATTAGCAAGGGAAGAGACAAAAAGGGAGTGCCATTGAGACCGCGGGGAAGTACATTCTCCATGATCACATCGTAGGCGGAGATGCGATCAGTTGCAACGAAGAGCAAAGTCTTAGCATCCACCTCGTACAGATCACGCACTTTGCCCCGGGCGATGAGGGGCAATGCGCCCTGAAGGTCTGTTTGTGCGAATGCCTCGGCCATGTTTGTATATGCGATTGAGTGATGCTGTGAGTCATGAGAGAAGATGATGATGGACCGATAATCGATAAGTTTTTTGGCGGGGCATGTGTCTCTGCCTGAGGCATTAGTAAGGCACCAATCTACGCCCACCTGCCAAACTCCGCGTTTCTTCCTCCCCTTGGGTTGTTGATATCGGTTCGATAGAGTCGCTCAATGGGTTGATTTTGATCATACAAAGCAGTGTGCATCTCGTCAAGCACTGTGCCTACTAATTGTGCTTTTGAACTGGAAAGAAATTGTTATTTGACCTGGTTTTCACGCGTCTAGCTTCACCTATCCAAGGGAGCTTACCTTTGACCCACTCACGTCTTCTTCGAGGGAAAGAAAGAGAATGTTGATTTTATTCCAACAAAAATGAGTCGCTATTTGACCCCTTCCAAGGTTGCTCTGTTGTGTATCATTTCGATCTACACCGAAGGAGTCGTTCTCAATTCCTCCGCCATCCATGTCCTCTCATTTCTGGTCGCGTCTCTTTTCCCCATAGATTCTGCGGAGTCGTCAGCTTCGTCGCGAAAATGGGAGAAGCAATGCTCGGTATCTATCACAGACCTGGAGGAAGCTCTTTCTGTTCATCCATCTTCCATTCCTGGTCGTTCGGTTTGGGATTTATTTCTCAAGAAGATCTGGTCTCTTGACTCTTGCGATGCACTCGAGATTTTCTTCAGTGAGATATCTGAGATGCTCGTGAAGACTCGCGAAGAGCAGATACATGACAGAGACAATGGTCTTGCTCTTGAAACCGGTACTATGCGCCTTTCCAGGTGCTCGCCTTTGGGAACGTTTGTGAGAAGAGCCCAGCTTGAGTTTACACGGCTACAGTTTCATGATTCAGTCAAACTCTGGAAGGGATTTGTCAAATACCGTTTACCCACATATCAGATGTGGGCAAGGAGGAACCCGTCAGATGAACAAACCCCTGTGGATATCAACTTATTTGAGCTTGATCTGGACCCCAGCAGCGAACTCGCCCAGGTTGTATATGGAAATATCGAAGATGACTCGGAGGATGAGCAATATGTTAGTACGAAAGATGTCGAACGACTACTGGAGTTTCAGGTTGGAGAGCTGCAAAGTATATTACTCACCTTCCTCAGTTAATGCCCATAACTAACCCTAGATAGGATTGGGTGGAAGAGTTCCGGATGGCATGAAGAAACAGCTGGAACGCATCATCTCATCTGGCGTGACTCTTCCAAATCTGGCGCATTACCTCAAGTAGGACTCCGAACTGTGCTATCAGTTATCAGTGTTGCTGACAATACTAGATTCCTCGATGCCTGGAGGGCGGGTGATTATCCCTCGTCGTTCGACAATCTCCACCGTTATTTTGACTATACTATGCATAGCCGTGACCGGAGCTCTTACCAATATGCCCTCCTTAATCTTGCCATTCTTCAAGCAGATTTTGGGTGCCACGGAGAAGCCGTTTCCGCAATGCAGGAGGCTGTTTCAATTGCCCGTGAATCTCACGATATGAACTGCTTGAATTTCTGTATGAGCTGGCTATATCATTTTGGGAAAGCCTTCCCCGAGCAGATGAAGGATGTCCAGAACACGGGCATGCTTGGGAACGAGAAAGAGGGTCTTTCATTCTTAAAGGCAAAAGCCAAGGAAACAGAGATGTGGAGTCTATTAAGCACCACACTATTGAGTGAGGCCAAACTCGAGTTACAGAATGTAAGCAGACCTTTTGTTTCCCCTGTCTGTTCTATGTGGTCCTGACAATTTCCAGGGTGAAAGCCTTGCCTCCTCTATTGAGAATATAGTCCGAGCATCGCATCTCAATGTCACAAAGAATCTTGTGAACTCAATGGGACCGCAACTCTTGTTACAGACTGCACTTTATGCCAGAATAGGTATTTTCTTCTCGAGGTAGACATTCGTATTCTAACACTAATATGTCTGCAGGAATTACACACTTGTCGTGGTTGAGCAGCGAAATATTTCGTGAATGTTATGCAAGTAAAGCACCGTTCGAAGACTTCCTCAAGAGCACGTTTCGCAACTGTCAATTGGTAAGTATATCTAATAACCAACGCCAGACAATTTGCTTACAGTTACTTCAAGCTTGCTCAACAGGGTCGTTATAAGGATGCCACGGCCCGTATGAATCAAATTGAACCAGAAAAACTCCGGTCACTCAAAGCAAATCAACACTGGACTTTCTTTTCAGGGTTTCTACAACTACGACGACAAATATATCGGTAGGACAGCTTCAATTTCATTTAAAATCAGCTTCTAACATAACAAAGGGATGACAAAGTAGCGGCGGAATATCTTCTATCACAACTCCAAGCCATTCAGCTCCTCGATAACGATATATCAGTTTTATTGTCTTTCATTTCGATTGAATTTATGATCCGCCAGGGAGATTACGGCCGTGCAATGCGCATTGTGGAACAAACAGCCAAATCTATCCACCAAGATAATTTCGACGTTCACTCTCAAGTGAGACTGTTATGCTTGAAAGCCCGTATTCTTGAAAAGTCCGGCCAGCCTCAGCGTGGTTTCTCCTTGGCTATGCGGGCAGCCAGCATTGCACACCGGTCGAGACTACTCCCCGGTCTCTGGGAAGCAATCTGCGTGCTTGCCGGAGTTCTACTCAGCCTTAATGAATTTGAAGCCGTTGGCGAAATGATGGAGAGCATCATGCCGCAGATTCTGGAATCGGACGATTGTGAACTCGCTGCGCAAGCATATTCCCTGCTTGTAGACGCGAACATGGGCGTGGCGGGCAAGTTATGGAGTCAGGGCCAGAATACACCCGTCAGAAAGGAGTATATGAACCGTGCGTTGGGATACATTGACTGCGCATATGACCAATACGAGGAGATCGAAGATATCAAGGGACAATGTGAGATGATGGCCAAGAAAGCTACGGTGATGCATCTGACGGGCGATTTGGTACTTGCCAATGACTACGCTGCCAAATATTTGGATCTCCAAAAACAGGGTGGTTCGTGGAGATAGCTGCAAACCATGGTGTATAGTAGTAGTTACCAGTATTTTGACATGCTTTCTCAATGATATATGCAATAATCAAAGCTTCTTCATATTTTAACCTAGCTGTCATCGATGAGATTTTTCTACCAGTTAAACGAACGTAGACATAGGTGGAGAGCAAACAGAGACGGTAGAAATTGATATAATGCTCAACCTTAAGGAAATCGACTGCATTTACGAGCGACAATAGCAAGGCAGATGATTTTTAGTATGCTCAAAAAAGGATTTATATTTCATGGTGATTAGCCAAGTGATGGATAAACCCAGAATACAACAAAGGAAAAGGCTGGTAGTGAAGTAAGTTCGCTTTGATTCGTCAACTGGTCCCCGCACGACTGCACGCGCTATCTTTTGTCTGAACCTTTGCAATAAATATACATGTCTCCCATGGTCTCCGGTAATGACTCGAGATGAAGAAAGGCGCCGCTATTCCATTTCTGCAAGAGACAGCTTAGGTAGCCTTGTCCTTGTTGTGGTAGTTGACGTCGGAGTTCCAGCTATATCAGTCAGTAATTGTTCTCAAATTTAAACAAGCCGAAGGAGACAGGGTCGGGAATCCACTGTTCAACTTTGGGGCTACCGGCAATCGGCTGAAGACGGGACAGGTGGGAACTTACAAGATGGTCTAGTAAAAACATATTCAATTAGCAAATCTGATAAATATGCAATGTCAGGATGTAGGTCTCACCTTGTCGCCATCTCCGAAGGGGAAGTTCTTCACACGGATGTTCTGGTAGGGGTACTCGGTACGCTCCTCGAGAGGGGGCATGTGAGCCCAGTGCTCCCAGTGCTCGGTCCAGAGGTTGTAGGAGTTGACACCGCCAGCAATGAGGATAGGGATGACGGCGCTAAATAGTTGTGAGTACGAATTGGATCCAAAGTCGTCGGGTAGCAATTGCCCCCCGGCAATGTACATACTAGATGGAGAGCTTCCTCCAGAGGTCTGGAAAGCCATTGAGTTAGTATCACATATTTTCTAGCACCCAATTTCATATCCGAAGCCAATTTGCTGGCCATTGGGAGGGTACGCACCACTGGTGGAAGCAGCGTGGTGCTTGACGGCCTCTCTCTCACGGTTGAACTCGTTGTCGACGGCCCACGAGGGAAGCTTGGACTCGGAGCTGTTGAAGCGACGCTGCACGGCAGAGCGGACGGGAGCCGCACGGGAAAGACGAAGGAGGCTGCGCTGAGGGAACATAATGGCGGTTTGGAGACTGCGTTCTTGCGATGACAGACGGTGGGATTATCACGGAAGTCGGACGTTGCGGTTTGACGAGCAAAAGACGGTTTAGCGCGCCCCGTGATTCGCTCGCCTCCAACCACAGGGAGCCCAGCATTATGTCAGCAGGCTAGCGCGTGATGTCACTCCGCGATAAAATCACGTGACAACCACGGGTTTAGATGGCCGGACTGCATGGAGGTCAACAAGAAACATTAGGAGGAGCTTCATATCAACTCAGGATACCAAGGCAGATTAGACATCGATTCTGCTCCTATCTGATAGGGCATGCGCAATTTGGGTCTATAGTGGCCGGGATGGGGTTTCGTATCACAACATGGAACGGTAGGTCAAAAGAAGCTTGACAGGCCCTTTCATGAGGATTCGAATAGCTAATATATAGAATAGTGAACGGAATACGGTATGGGATACTGTTTGAATACACTTATATTTAGCCAATTCTGAGCTTGATATGCAGAAATCCGTTCTCGTATGAGCCATGGAGGGGAAAGCGAACCTTCGAAGTATGTTCACCCTAAGCTTCTTTGTCGAGCCTGTCTGATGATTGTTCCAAGGCCATGTTCGAAATATTGCAAGCAGATATTGCTGTTCTCCAAGAAACCAAAATACAGCGAAAGGATCTTCGGGATGATATGGTACTCGTGCCCGGATGGGATTGTTACTTCAGCCTACCGAAGATTAAAAAAGGTTGGTTATCTGGAATTGGAGACTCCTTCCTAGCTGATGCATTTCAGGATACTCTGGAGTTGTGATCTATACCCGTAATGCAACGTGTGCTCCCATCCGTGCTGAAGAAGGCATTACTGGAGTTCTTTGCCCACCAAACTCGTCTGTTTCTTTCCGTGATCTTCCCGAAGAACAACAGATTGGTGGATATCCGACATTTGATCAGTTATCTCAGTTTGAGCTCGATGCTGCTACCCTCGACTCTGAAGGTCGTTGTGTAATTCTCGAGTTTCCTGCGTTTGTTCTGATAGGTGTTTATTGCCCTGCGAATCGGGATGAGAGTCGTGATTGTTTTCGTGTCAACTTCTTTGACGCACTAGATTCTCGCGTTCGAAATCTTGTTGCCATGGGAAAGAAGGTTTTTGTCACGGGCGATATTAACATATCGAGGGCGGAGATCGATTCAGCGCACGTGGCAGATGCCATTCGTAAAGCAACGACGACGGAGGACGAATTTGTATCTGCACCTGTACGGCGTCTCTTCAACCAAATGTTAGCAGGTGGAAAAGTCCTAGGGGAGCGGGATGAGGGACGGGAACGACCTGTTCTTCACGATATTTGTAGGTCATTTCACCCAGATCGTAAGGGCATGTATACTTGCTGGGAGCAAAAGCTCAATGCTCGACCGGGGAATTTTGGCTCGAGGATAGATTACGTGCTGTGCAGCTTGGATATGCAAGACTGGTTCAACGAGTCCAACATACAAGAAGGGCTTCTGGTAGGCATCTCCTTCATCCTCTGCACCAGCGACAGCCGCTAACCAACATCTAGGGATCAGACCATTGCCCTGTTTACGCCGTATTTAAAGATGAAGTAACCATCGATGGAGAAAACACCAAGATACTGGATATTATGAACCCCTCTGGCGTGTTTAAAAATGGGGAGCGACAACAGGAGTACTTGACCAAGTGTCTTCTGCCTACGTCTGGACGGTTGATACCGGAGTTTGACAAACGGAGAAGCATCAAGGACATGTTTTCTCGTAAACCAGCTAGTTCGCAAAAGCCGGCTCCATCAGTACCAGCACTGGGACGATCTTCTTCAGCCCAGCAAAAGGAAACCCCCTCAACGGTCCCGGAAAGGTCCTTGAGCGGGACAGTCGCCAGCCCCCCAGCCCCTCCACCCGGCGAAAATACAGCCACCAAGGGAGTTACCCGTAAAAGACCGGAGAAGAACGAGTCCTCGCCGTATATCCCGGTCAAACGCTCGAAATCGGTGGCTGGGCAAGCCCCGGCAAATTCCGCCCCAGGACAGAAGACTCTCAGAGGCTTTTTCAAGCCGAAAATTACGGCCAGTGACCCGTCCAGACCAGATCCCCTCGAGACCCCCGAGCCGATTTCTTCGCAGACATCCGACCAAGTGGCTGGGTCACCTTCAAAACCAGTTGGATCATCGGATCCCAGCCTCACGGATGGTACTCGGGATGAAGCTGGAGCTCATACTGCAGAACAGTCCAGTCCATCAGCCACTGCGACCCCAGCCGCGCCCCAGGAGGATGAATTTGTCCATGACCCTATCGTCAGCAAAGAGGATTGGTCGAAGCTCTTCACCAAGAAACCCCCGCCACCCTGTGACGGCCATCAGGAAGCGTGTATCAAGATGACGACCAAGAAGCCGGGTGTCAACTGCGGGAGATCATTCTGGATATGCCCACGACCTCTGGGACCAAGTGGAAATAAAGAGAAGGGGACGGAGTGGCGATGTCCAACATTCAAGTGGACCAGTGATTGGAATCCCTCGACACAGTGAGCATGGCCATTTCGCCTGGTTTTTGTTATATCTCTCTTGATTCTAGAATGATACCCCATTTCCTGTCTTGAATTGCTCGTGTAGGCTTAGGATCTGCTGTATCTTTTTCAATCAAAGGTTTTCTTCGCGCCGTTGGGAACTTTTATATTGCCAGCGTACAGTATAGGGTTATGATTTTTGTTGACCTACACTACTTCCTGAGTAAAATTAAGATGTATTAGAGATTGACATATCACCTAGAGATGGTGTTCTTCCAAAGACATCATCACCATCGCTCTGGAGCAGACACGCCAGGGCCTTCGACACCACTACCGCAATCTCGAAAATTCAGGTATGACAAGGACCATCTCATAAAGCCTTTCTCTTTATGCAGGAACCCGTGCAGACCACGCGAGCCAGCATTTATCCACCTTCGAGAAGCTGCAGGGACACCGAGGAATCTCGTACAACCGGGTCAAGGGTGCAGTGCAACAAGCTAAAAACATTCTACGACCCGAAATACAAGTCCTCATGGCTGTAAATATTTAATCCATTGGTATTTTTCTCTCTAACTACTGAAATTGGATAATTCAGTGCGACAAACGACTTTCAGTCGAGATGGATGCTTTGCGACAAACCCGTGATATCCACCAGAAACTTCCTTCGTGATGACAACAAAAAAGAATCGAGAAACCATATTAATACACAAATAATCGGAGAGAATATCATGATAGGGAATTAGCGTAGTATTGGCAGTAAAGGGCCACAGGGGACATGTTCATTGGGCTCTAGTGATGTTCATTTAAATGCAATAAGTATACAAGGGAAAAGGTATCTCTCGGGGAATAACAGTAAGGAGACGGAAGGACAAACGAAAAAAGAAAAGAAGATCGCTTGATGAAAACTTCACGATTGCTTGGTTGCGGTTCTTGTAAACCTGTAGCTATCCACATAGGCAGGGCAAAATAAAAAGAAAGCGAAAAGAAAGAGACGCTGCATGGCGGGCATTATTTGGTCCCAACTCAGTAGCAGTCGGTGATAAAGTCCGAGAACTCAAACGAGTCCCCGACTGTTTGCGGGGGGATCTCGAACTGTTGATATGGCTGATACATAAGGGCCTTGTTGTGGTCATGGTGCACCTGCTGGATCATGGAATCAAAAACTTCTGCGTTGAAACTGAACTGGTCGTCTTGCATGTCATTTGGACTGAGAACGAAGTTCAAGCCCGCCAGGTCCTCTACAGGCCTGTTGACTCCGAGTTCTCCCATTTGCATGCCGGGGTACATCGCCGGTGTCGATACGTTGGATGGGGCTGTTGTCGAAGCTGGAGAGTCTGGTAACATAGGCGGCTGGGTGGATTTGACGTGCTGGCGAGATGAAGCACGACGCTTCTTTTCTGATGGCTTGCGTGGTGCATACTGGTAATCTGGATGGATCTCTGCGTGCTTTCGCTTCTCTTCGTTGGCGAGAGCTTTGTAATACGTTTTGACCTCATCTGACTCGGCCTTCCACTGTTTCCCTAGCATAATGGCTGACATAGTAAGTTAGTCTCAAAAGAGTGTAACAAAGGCCACCCAAGCTTACAGATGTTATTATTTTGGAGGTCAGGATATGCCGCTTTAATAAGAGGGTGATGATGCTGGCGGTAAAGAATGAAGGCATTTGGGGGTCGCGGGACTTTTTCAGACTTTGTTGGCCTTGCAGGCTTTCCATGTGATTTCACAGATCCCGTAGCAGCTTTACTTCGCATATTGGATCCCACAATACCTTGGGACGCAACAGAAACTGCGGAGCCTGAAAATGCGGGAGTGCGCATAACACGGAGAGCGTTGATAGACTCATCGACGAAGGCCACAACCGGGGCTCCAATGAGGGCACTGTCGTTTCATGTAAGCTGAGATACCTGAATAAATTTTGCCGATTAACATTACCAGAGACGAGACTTAATCTTGTCGACATTGCTCTGGCCGATCATGTCGATCACGTTAGTTGGCAGAAGCACTTCATTATTTGTAGCGTCGAGGTGTCGCAAAGCATCTTGCCAAAGCAGCTCTGTAGCTTTGTCCGAGGACTCAGAGCTCGACTTGATAGCGATAGGTACAGCGTCCATCTTGATGTTTTAGATCTCAAGTGTGGGACTTCGAGGAAGACAAAGAAATATTGCGGTCAGGAATCGAAGCCCAACGAGGTTGATTTCGGAGTATCAAATAGCAAACGGGAGAAGGTACCTCGACGACAGGGTCAAGAAGTAGGATTCCAGAGAAAGTAATTTTTTGAAAAGTCCAGTGGGACATGGTGGATGAAATTGTGTTCCTCTTACGAGTGGGAGGCTGGTACATTTCTTTGTTTAGTACTTTAGGCGAAAGAGTGAATGTTGGAGTCACTTCACTTCCAGACCCAGCTCCCTGTTGACGAACTAGCCACTCCTCAGAAAAGGAACACTAAAATTCTTTCTTTCTCCTTCGACCTCCCACTCTCTTCAGACTATCTCATGACCCCCTGTCTTTCAAACTTCGTCAACTATTGATACACCCCCATCCAAGACGACTATCTCAAATCATCTCAAACCACGCCTCGCGTCTCAGAATTGACTGCGCTTTTGCCATGGATCAATACGGAAATGCTCTTCTAAGGTACCTTGGTACGATGGCACGAGATGCCAGATTTTCCTCTGAACAAAGAGAGCAAGCCACATATATGGCGATCTCATTCCTCACCCATAAGAATACTTGCCGGCTCATGGCCCAGATTTCTGCTCTTACCAGCGATGAAATGACAATCTATCCCTCTCACCGAGTTGGAGCAGATGATTCAGAATCTCCCGTTCGTCGCCATGGGAAATACCTACAAGCTATCATGACTGATTTTCGAATCATTCCAACCATCGCTGATTTCGAAGGGCACCCTATTGAACTCATCAGCATTCTGGATCCAGCCATTGAAAATTCGTTGAAAGGCGAAAAGAAGTTCCGGTTTCACCAGGAGCTTCTGTCTATGGAAAAGAAGGCGAACGATGATCTTGCTCGATGCACAAAGCAATATGGCTACCACTACATTTTCAGGGCTGGTCTCCAGCAATACTACATGACGTAAGTCTATCTTAACAATCTTGTTCGATATTTGCTAATCCGAGTAGGAAAGCTGTCGTCGAAAGAATCAATTTTTGGAGACCGGATCATCGTGGCGATGAATATCGTGTTCATGCTCAGAAGCTGTGCTATGAAGCAATGGAAATGCGAGTCATCCTAAACACTGCAGAGAAAAGAATATTGGTACAAGCCACGGCTTGTCTTCCAGATGACGCGTTGAAGTTCTGTAAGTACCTCTCGTCTTTAAGTGTCGATTGATCTAACATTGGGCCAGGGAAATGGTTGGAAAATAATCGGGTAGCTTACCACGCAATGAAGGTTTGCATTGCGATGTTGAACAATCTCAATTGTAAGGATATTTGAAATCTATAACTCTGCAGTGCGCTGACAATATTTCAAAAAGAGCCCTCACAGCCCCCGAGCTTGCTGTTTTTTGCTTCTCACTAAGGATTGTCTTTCACGTCCCACTCCTGTCTCAAATCTATCAAAAAAGTAACGCCCTACCGAAGAGCATCATTCGATAAATCCGACAACGCGCCAGCTTCGCCCACATTTACCTACCAATTCTTTTCTCCGGCTTGTCCGGTTTCATTCTCAGATAAGGCTTTGAACAAAGGGTGGTTTATGAAATAAGTTTTGTTTTAATCCATTTCACAGGCGAATTTTACAATAATGGCGTCCGATACCTCTTTTGTCTCATTTCATTTCTTTCTTCCTTCTTTGCTTTTTTTTTTTTTTCGAGCGGCCGAATCATCCTGTTCCAATACCCCTAGGAAATAATGTTTTGTTTTGCTTTTTATGCTATTCGGTGGCCCCTTCAGCATAATGTCTACGGCAGCTGCATGTTGCTTTCTTCTTTTTTTTCATTCTACCCGTGTTTATTTTATACAAACGGGAGGATGATTCAGACTGTAATTTAGCTAGAAAACACTCAGTGCAAAATACAAGAAAAATCATCCAGTGAGAAAGGACATGTCCGTTTATTCTATTGCCGTAGACTGCCCGTCGTATTTCTCCCTTCGTTAATCTGCGTAAAGTCGTCGAGGCTTTCTCGTCCCAACGAGTAGGCCGCCTTCCCCTCCCAACTCGAACCTCCCAACTTGCCTACGCAGATCAAAAGCAGGGTATATTCCATAGCCTGGGGAAACCCACAGATCACTACAAGCCACAGCGCTACCGTTTCTTCCCTAGCTATCCGTGGATCCAACAGGATGGGGTCTGTGTTATGTCTGTTGCAACAACCCGGAAGGGGCAAACGCTCGACCAGACTACAGACAACAACAAACGACTCGGCAGCGAACGAGTCATCTCCATCTTCGGCCTTCGGTTTTTGGTCACGGAAGTGGCTAATTCTGCTTTCATCGCATTGCACGCATAGACCATGCGATAGAGAACCACGTTTTGGTATCTATCGCTGCCAGTCACGCGTTGAATCCAGTTATAAGTTTCTACAACGATCTCAGACTCCTCCTGCCTTTCACCCAGCTAACTTTCCATGACATCCTAGGAGACAAGGTAGGAGACAAAGAACCAAGCCAACATTGACCATCTTCTACAATCCTTGCTAGCGGATCATCCATGCAGATAACACTTGGACCCTTTCTGCCCTCTTCCTGACTCAACCCCAGACAAGGCACGCCAACTCAATACTAATCCTGTCCCAAGACCCAGAGGATGGGTGTCTAGGTTCTCTCTAATCTGCCCTACTTGCAGACAAAAAGACCGTGCCCAATCATCCCGTCCAATAAGACAAACCACGTACCCGGAACCGTCCACGATCACACAAAGAACGCCCTTTTACGTTATCTCTCTTCGCGGTTTTGGGACTAGACTCAGAGCTGAACCAGAGTCCGATGGCATATCCTACCCGCCGGATCAGGCAACGGACTGGGATCCGCGTAGACGATCGTGCTGTTTTTGGGCTGTTCGTCTTACTCCTCGACGTCATGGGGATATTGGGACAACAAAGAAAAACGTCGAGATAAGATTGGGGCGGGACATGCCAAGAGGAACCGTTGCATCCGCTAAGAAGTGCGGATCATGGGATTTAGGGGTGAAGACCGAACAGGTGTCGGTCGGGAACTCCGCAGTCATGGACGCTGGATGACAGTCCTTCAATCCACGGTTCATCTTCATACCGTTCATTGTCTTTTTGTGGGGTTGGACTCCACTGATTCGAGATAAGGTGTCCGAGTTTATGTGGGAGCGTCGATCATAAGAGCATCACAAAGATATGCTAGGCGGGAAATCGAAGGGGGGAAACATTACAATTGCTCCTACTAGTTTTGGTATATCCAGATAGATACATAAGAAAAATGTAGCGAAGGGGAAATGGCAAGAGACCAAGAGAGAAAAAAAGTAATAGAAGAAAAAGGAAGAAAAGAAAAGGGAAAAGAGAGGATGCAGAAAAAGATAGATCGTGCTATGTCTATCCAAATACACAGAATTAGACAGTCACATCGACCCAGTTGAGGGAATAACACCTTTGCAAAGTCACCGTCAAATAAGCCACCAGCCACCATTGAAATCCCATTGCGCGGAGACGACACGCTTAAATGCAAACACCAGAAATAGCAAGACTTTAGTCTTCCTGGTAAGAAATCTTGCGCATCTCTCCCAACCGCTGGCGTGCCCGGGAAAGGTTGTTTTCGAGCTGGAGAATCTCGACCTGCAAAAGGAAAATGAAAAGTCAGCATCTGTAGGCAGGCGATGTTGAATGACCGAAAGAAACAACATACCTGCTGCTCCATCTCTTGCACCTTGAACTCGTGCGAGCTGAGCTTGGAGTAATCGACAGTGTCCGTCTCGTCCCGGTGCTTCTCCCGAATGATGTCTTGCACCTGTCGCACCAATGTCCGGCAAGCAACCCCGACAGCTTTGCTGGCAGTCTCCAACCGATCCTGGGTCTTGCTCATAAACGTGGCCTTGACACGACTGGCGGCCACCAGCTGAGCGGTACTAGCCGCCACGTCATTACTGGCAACGATCAGCTGCTCTGGAGAGTTGCGGCCAGAGATAACACCATCGGCCGTCTCGATCAAGGTGTTAGTGGACCCAGCAACAGCCTTGGCAGCCGAGATGAGACCCTCTGTCCATCGGTTGTTCTTCTTGTAGAAAGCAGTCTTGGACGAGCTTCCACGACCCTCACGAACAATTTCCTGCTGAGATGCAGTAGCAGCCTTGATTAATTCAGCAATAGCGGTGGTGACGGCAATAGCAGCTTCAAGAATAGCATCATTGATACGCAGTTCGTAGGTCGAATAGCCATCACGAGGCTTGTTCTTGAGCTTGGCCAGGCGCTGCGCTGCTGCGTCAATTGCATCGGCGGCCTTGGTAAGCTCCTGATCCACAAGGTCTCCCAGGTCTCCATTGGTGCTGATCTTGGAGTTCTTGGGAGCAAATGCGTCAACCAACTTTGACAAGGCCTGCAAATCTCTTTGGACTTCCAGATTGTTGTTGATGACGACATCAGTCTTCTGCAGAGGTTCCAAGCCTTCCAGACGGAAGGATTGAAGTCCTCGGAAAAACCGGACAGTTGCCTGGGCGGACTTGCGGGCTGTGTTTGCCATTTGGTCGGCGCTCTTGTCGTCGTTCGCGAACCGACTCAGGCCCTTGATGTTACTCAGGACATCGGAGACGGAGCCAGCGAAGATGGAAACGGTACGGATAATCTCCGCATGAGTGCTGTTCGGGCCGTCCGCGATGAAGTTGTTGAAAGCCGTAGAGAACTCGGTGGCAGAAGCAGATGCCTTTTCGATCTGGGATAGTACGTAGGGGGGAGAAGCATTCTGGTTACCAGCTTGCATGGAAGAGTCCAACTCGTACAGTGCATCATCGACACGCTGCACACCAGTCTGTAGCACAGAATCAATAATGTCATTGATCTTTGAGACGGTGCTGTGCAACACGGTGTCAATCTGGGAATCCAACGCAGTGTCGGCATCACCCTGGTTCTGTTTAAATTGGTAGTATATTAGCATCCTTCAAAATACTCTGGCTCCAGTTGTAGCAAAATAAACAACGTACCAGTTTCAGTTCCTCGAGTTCCATGAGTGCCTGCTCCATTCCAGACTTGTAGACTTCAATCTCTTCATCCTTTTCACGCAGGGCAAGGTCCTGGTCCCCTTGACGTTCGGATGTTCGGCTGGACGCTTCTTCCAGCGCGCGATTTTTGTTCTGGGTGGTCTATCAGTACAGCACATAAAAAGAGAAAGGGGCAAGTTGAACGAACCCTCAGTGACTCTTCCAAGTCTGCCATCTCACGGTTGTATTTCGACAACATCGATGAGATCTCGGTGCCCTTGGAACGTTCGGCATTCTCAGCACGGTCAATGGCAAATCGGAGTTCTCGCTTGATCTTTTCCAATTCATCCTTGTTGCTTCCAGTCAAGCGGTCCCTGTCATGGAGAGCGCGGTCTCTCTCCCGAATCATATCGGCGAGTTCCAGGTTCTTGGTCTTGAGCTCGCGCTCCAGCTTCTCCCGCCGGTCAATAGCCTCCTGCGCGGACGCAGCTTTCAACTTAAGGCTCTTTGTAGTCTGCAACAGGTCAAGATGCTCTTGACGGAGCTGAGAATACAATTTGGCCAAAGACTCATACTTGGATCGCCAGGTATTCACTTGCTCCTGCAAAGAGCGGATCTGGTCATCTCTTGATGTGTTCTGCTGGTTCATGTTAATGCTGAGCTGATTCATCTGCTCTTCCAGGTCCTTCACACGGCGATCATATTGCTGCAGCATCAATTGGTCCTGCTCGTACTGGGCTCGAGCATTCAAGTTTTCACGCTCAAGCTCTGCCAATCGACCCTGGCTCTGTTGTTGATACTGGTCACGCATAAGCTGCTCCTGGGCAAGTCGCTGCTGCTCCATTTGTAAACGCTGCTGCTCCTCAAAGTCTAGCTGAGCTTGTTGCTGTGCAAGAATTTGCTGTCGTTGCTGTTCCTCCCACTGCTGCTGCAGACGCCGTTGCTCTGCTTCGAATTCCTCTTGCTGGCGCTTGGCTTCATTGGTCCAGAAGTCATTGATTGGTTCCGGTTCAGGCGCTGTCGCCTTCGGCGGTGGGGTCGGCTCGGGTTCAATTTCTCTGGCAGGCCGTCTTGGTAGAGCCGGGCGCTCATCGTCTTCAGCCAGCAGGTTTGGTGGGTCTTGGGGTAGCTTGGGAATAGTAATAAGACTAGTCAGGTAGCGCAAGTTTGAACACTCGTAGTAGAACCGAACGAGGCGATAATGCTGAGCATCATAACGTCCACGAAGCGGCTCCAAGGCTTCAGCCTCACCCGTAGCTACGAACAGAAAACAGGTCAGCCAGCTCGACAAGATAATGAGAAGCAGTAGTCCCTACTTGTGTGCATGGCTCTCAACATGCTGGTAATGAATTTGTAGATGCCATAGCTCTCCTGCACCAAAGGAACCAGCGCAGAGATTCTGCACTCGTTATTGGTACCGGATTGGAAATGAGAGAAGATCAGCTTCTGGAACGCATCAATCTGATCCTGCAGGGTCATGAGATCGTTGATCGTCTCGTAACTAGAATGTTATCAGCAATTGCATATCTAGGTAATTCAAAGTTTTCCAATTTACCCCTCGTTTGGATCGTTGATTGTTTTCAAGCTGATGTACTCCTCGTATTCGAACAATCCTGCAGGCATCATAAGCCACTATGCGCAAATCCGACATAAAAGATATATTACCGTTGAATTCGGGATGGTTTCGGTGGAAAGCCAATTTCGATTCGAGGAAGAAGACGTATTCACGAATAAGGGGGCCGTATCCTGTCAATTAACGAATCAACATTTGATAACCAACATGAGGTAGCTCCAAATTGTAGCAAAGCATCGTTCGGGGAAACACCGAAGCAGAATCAAGCTTCCCATACCTCGAATACCATCTCCTGCAACACCTCTCATCAAACTATCCACCCAATTGGCATGGGACTGCGCCTCCCTAACCACAACCGGGTGTCCTTCTTGTAGAACCTTGTGTATCGTGATGAGGGCTTTAAACGTCTGAACCTCATCGGCAAGAACGGGCTGTCTGTATAAACGAAAGAAAAGCGCACAGGTTAGCCAAAGGGCCCGATAGATCAGGAAACAGATGGTATCTCCCGTACACTTTCATACCAGCCCAGAAGGCGGCAGAGGACTTGTGGTCCCAAGTATAAACGATACAGCTTCGCACATGCTTGCCTGGGGGGTTATCAGCGGGACATTCCGAGATTATGCTATTAGAGCCAGAGAACTAGCAAGACGGGGCGAGGGGGAGGGGGAGGGGTGCGACTAGATCATACGTTTAGGAGCGGTTTCCTCTATCAATTGCGATATAGATTAGCATAAATCATCATAACCATCGGGGTACAACTGGTCACTACTCACCAATGCTAGTGGCTTTGCGAATGTTAATCGCCAAATCCGCCTCGGTACTGCATGTTCATGTCAGTCGCATGTTTCTCATGCTTGGCATTTAGCTGGGCGAATCTCTGCAGAAGATCTTACCGACTCATCGTGACGGCTGATGTGAGCTCGATCCGTGAGGGTCAGGGGAACTGAAGGCCGAATGTGGCGGAAGTTGGGGCAACAGACCGGACAGCGCAGCAACACTAAAGAAGAGCTGGCGCTGACCGGGAGAAAAGAAAGATAGACTAGACAAATTAAAAACTTCAAAAAGAGGGACAGAAAACGAGAGCACCGCGATGCGAGGGGAAGTGATTATAACGTGCAGGAGACAGCAAGGCAATGACGTTTCGGTGGTCTGGCCGGGAAAGTTGGCGCCTGCAAGTGCATCGCGGGTCTTGGCAACGGCCCAACTCGACTGTGTTGTATGAGAGAGGGGAAGAAAGGGATGCTTAACAACTGATAAATATTGTGGGAAAGGGCTCTTAATGAAGTTTTATGGTTCTAACAGGGTCATAAATTATTCAAAGCAAATAAAAAAATCCACAAGTTGTGCTATTGAATTGAGGAATAATGCGCTGTGCCCGGACGCGCGGCATGGGTATACTTTGAAGCTGCCTAACAAAACAGGAATATATCTCGTCGCCATACCCCGTACACTACCACAATGGCTGAAAGTCTTGACTTACAGCAAGTCTCAGTGTTCACAATCACCCAACCAAAGACCGTCCATCGAAATGGCCCACCGGAAATGTGATCGCTGACGAACAAACTGCAAATCATGGCCGGTAAAAAGGAAATGATAACGCCTGCCCTGCACTGCAGAGCTATTATTAATGATAATATGAATCAATAACCTGTAAGTAAGATTTCTGTTGTTTATGCCCAGGGTATCAATATCATGCAGATGCGTCCAGTCAAGGAATAATCCCGTCCGTGGGTGAAAATATCTCCATGCCATGTTTTGTGCTTGGACTTCGTGGCACAGAGTTCTGGTCAGTATGCCGGCGATCATTCTCTTTCAAGGGCTGATTATCTATATTTGCATGGCCCTCCATTGCAGGGCTAGGTTCCCGGTTGGTACTCTCCTCACGAAAACCTACATTTGAAGTAAAATCAGCAGGACTGTTGGGCCCCGAATCGTAAGGCGCCTCGACAACCAGTAATTCATCTTGGAAATCCTCTTCTTGTTCCAAAATAGACACAGTATTCCGCTTCGGTAAGGGTGGTTTAGGAACGGGTCTCTTGTTCAATTCCCTGTTGCGCTCTGGGAGTGGCGGCGGCGGCACAGGCTTTCGTTTCGGAAGAGGTACGTTATTCTTCTTGAAGCCACCAAAGTTCTCAGGACGTGGTAATGGAGTGCCAGGAGGAGGAAGGGGATGGCCCCGCCCCATCGGCTCCTCTGGAGTACCAGCAGGTCGAGGCCCTGAGTGGCTAGCATTCTGATCACCCTTTCCAAACATGTTCCAACCCCATTTCTTGGCCGCAGCCGTTGCTGTCCCTAAAGACATGCTTCCCTGAGGTTTGTCGCCAGAGGAAGTTGTTGCAGAGGTAACTGATCGGGTCAACGTCTCGAGTGTGCTGCGCCGCCGAGATTTATCGCTCCCTATCGATGTGCTAGAGCCGTCTCTGGCGCTTCTCATATTGAGAGAATCATTGCTTAAATGAGCAGAAGATGGCCGCTTAGGAGACCCACTGCTGTGTTCCTCAATGCTTTCCATAGATTCTGCAATAGAGGGTTCCCGGCTCTGTGATACACTATCTGGGACGATAAGACCGTCCGTGAGAGGCGATCCACTAGGCGTTCTGTTTGGTGAGCTAGGCTGAGAGCGACTTGAAATTTCAATCATGGCACTGGTAGCACTGCTCTTCTCATCACCCTTGCTATCATACGCAGCTTTATCCACGTTGACGTTGTCGGCCGTAACCACAGGATCAGCGGCATTGGAGAAAGTCTGTGAACGAATAACTCGGGGTGGCGGGGAAGATTCTCCTGACTTTTCAACGCTTGAGGACAAGGCACTCAGATTGCTCTGAAGATCCACGATGGAAGATTTTGAGCCCTTGCGGGACTTGAGGGGATTGGGTACGGATTCTGAGAGCGCCGGCATACTCATCGTGCGATCATCTTTTGTCTTGAGCATTTCGATCGAGTCGCCTTTAATAACACCGCCTGCTGGTACTTGAGGCTGTTCCCCGGATTCATCAGGGATTTCGGCTTCGGAGCCAGGCTTGGGGATCTCCCGCTGCCATATGCCTCCACGGAAAGGCTGTGAGGACGTGTCCATAAAAGGCATGTCGTCCCAGAAGGGTAGAACAACACTCTCGGCAACAACTTCTCGGATCCTACTTTCGATGGCACGAAGGATCACACCATATGTGATTTGTTTTGAGCTGACAATAGGTTGAATATCCATGACCATATGTGGCATTGTTTCAAACGAGATCCAGGCCCGGTTGCTCGGGGGAGGTTTGAAGCGCATCAATAGGTGACCTTCAAGCTTTTTCAGCACCACTGCGAGAACAATATCAACTTCTCTCGCCTTAAAACGCTGTCCTAGGTCAATCCGCACGGTGGCCGTGATTTCCACGCGGAAGTTGCCAGTATACTGGATATCAGTTTCAACACAGGAATTCCCATCGACTGTCAGGTCTTTAAGCCTCGGGTTGGTGATGAAGGGGGCACCCTCCCCCATGTCAATCTTCTGTAAGCCGATTTTGCTGATAAAGTTGGGCTTGTTGACTCGAGAAATCTTCTTGGTGATCTTGCCCCGCACAAACTCTTCCATTTCTGGTGTCTTGTAGAAAGCCAGGAACAATCTTCCCAGCACGGCATTGATCCATCGCGTCTGCAATTGTTTCTCTGACGAATGCAGACGCTGGACAAGGGTGACGATATGCTCAACGTCGAAATTCTGGGCCTTGGGCGGCTTATCCGGCGAATCCCACAGCTTCGTCTGGTTCTGAAGCATGGCGAAATAAAAGTCCTCCTTCTCTGATAGGTTTTCTGAAAAAAGAAAGAAAGGAGGTGTTGGTCCGCCCAGGTCCGCCAGCGATTCCAGCCGACGGGAAAGACAGATGGCATTTCGTTTCAACCAAAGCTCACCTTCAGGAATATCCCCTTCCCCGCCGTGGATTTTCACGTCATGGTGTGCGAGGGAAATGACATATCGTACCTCTACCTGATTTGCATCATCATAAAGCATCAGATGGCCATGCCTGCAACCCCCGCCCTCAACCCGTTAGCGCATTAAGCTCCTCCACGACAGCAAAGGGAAAGAAGTCAAATAAGTACCGGAGAACGATATAGAACACATTCCTAGCCCTTTTCCCATTCTTCCCATTGTTCTTGGCCGGTTCAATACTTGGTGTCTGCTTTCGATCGAAAAGGCTTCTGTACATAGTCTGGTAGACACTAGGGCTTTCGGCGGCGATCACCTCACCAGCGGGGGTGGTTCTTTCGGGTGGCTTTCCATTGACTCCACCAGGAACGTATTCACGACAAACAGCAAAGTATCCGGCCGCGACATCGGATTCATGATGGATACGATGGAATTTCTCCGCCAGCTCATCCGTCCCGGACTTGAGGCTGTATTGGTCATCGGTCGGGCGGTGAATGGGGTCATCCTGCGTCTGATCGCATGTTTTGTAGGAGGGCGGCGGCGGCGGAAGGGTTAAGTAGGCATAGAGGAGGACCAGCGACAGGACCAGAGGGATGAAGGTGAGTCCGCCGAGGAAGTATACGAAGAGGAAGCTGCCGAGAGAACCCATCGGGGGCTGGTGGATCAGAGTGACAGCAACGAAAGCTCCATCCTCACAAGAAGAAAAGACAATGAGAAAGCGAGAGCGCGAACGCTTGGGAACGTTACCCCACGAGACCAGCTCCAAAGCGAGAGAAAACGTGCGAGATGGAAGAGGATGGAGATGGATGTGACTGTGATCGAGGAAGTTATCCAGGGCGTCAGAAAGGTACAGCCGAGTGGCCGGACTGGGTGGACTGATCATACATCATACGTAATAATGGAGGTACCAATAATACGACCGCACCAGCCACATGATTTCCCAAAACGGACTAGCTACTGGAGACATTCTCAAGTATGAGGCTGTAAGCCAGTCGATATTGCTAGTGAAACGTGTCCATAATACGGTGTGATGATTAGTTTAATCTCGATGACACTCTGCATATTCTATGATGAGTTCTATTCCAGAAGTTCCAACCAGACTAGCATTCAACGGCGTCGTGTCCACATCAATGCCAATCAACAATCGCGATTCGAGCATGAGTATGAGCATGGGCCCGGTGCCATATCATAAAAACTCAAACCGTAGACATAATACTGATTCGAATACCTCATCAGAGAATACTTCAATCATTTCCTGATTCCATGAATCAAAATGAGCAGTATCGTGTCGCCAAACTACCGAGGCCCAGCATCGACAACGTCTTATCTTATCTTATCGAAGATTCAGTGTAACAGCAAAGTGATACGATGCGAGTACTCAACTGGAAACAATGAGCAGATTGTTGGAGAGAAGGTATATGATACTGAACTCTAACTGCCACAAGTCAGGAAAGAGGAGCATGTGATAATCATAATGGTTTTACTGAAATGCACAAAAGAAATCAGTCAAATATGTAGGCGAAGCTAGAAGTCTATAAACAAGTCTTATGTATAACGTTAAAATCTAGATGATCAGAAATAAATGAATAAAGATTCATCAGACCATCGAATACACCGAATACACTCTCCTAATGGCCTTGGATCCCTTCCCTGGCTTCAGCAAAGCATTGACTTCACTCGGATGGATCCACGCAAAAACCATCATCGTCGCAAGCATCAGCACCGCATCAAACAAATACAAAAATACCTCATGTGACACGATATATCCATCATTCCCCTGCGCATACTCAATCAACCGGAACACCGAACGGACCAGAATCAGGATACTGCCACCGTATAGCGCGAATAGATGTTTCTCCCAGGGGATATCGGGTCGGGAAGCCGAAGAGGTGGGTTTTTCTCGCATGCGCAGGTGGAATATCAGCGCTGTGATGAGGAAGAGAGAGAAGAAGAGGAGTTGCACGACGAGACCACCGATGATGATGTTTTCGCCTGTTGACATTGAGCTCGCGCTGCCGGATGACATGATGCCGCCGCCTACGGTGATAACCCTCAGTACTGTAGATCTAGGTCGTGGGCAAAGAATACATACCAGCGCCTTGCATCATGAAAGAAATGACATCGCCCAAGACAAATATCTTGGTCAACCACTTGCGTCGGATGATCGAGTGAATCTCACCGTCCGTGAGCAAGATCAATCGTCCGAGTTCCATGTAGATACTGGCCGCGAACAACGTTGGGGCAATGAGAAGAAGCATCGTCTGCTGGATATATGGTCCTAGTTCATAGTTGGGGCTTTGGGTTCCAGACATTGCTCTCTGTAAAAGAAGGATTCCTGTTAGGATTCGATTTGGCTGTGTCGATCGAGAGGATGGAGTGAATGCAAAAGTACATACCCCGATATAGCCAATCCATTCCACTAATTCATTGTCAGCTCTGTTCTCAATGCGATATCAATTCCCTGGAGACTTACAGTATCCGCCAATAACAAATGGAATGAAATACCATGTTCGAGTCCGGATCAATTGGTATGTATGAAGACCGGATGCCACAATGAAGAGGATCACAAACAGGACCGCAGCGGCAGTCGATGGATCGTATCGATATAGCTGGAAACTGCTGGGATCTCCCATCTTGGATAAATGGTCTAGAAGATTTCCAGATTTCTTGAAAAGAATTGAAGTGAGAAAAACATGATGGAGTTAAGCGTTCGACGTTTTAAAAGTCGCGCTGTGTCTGCCTGCGTTCGTTTTCGCTTTCAACGATGATAGCTGGGCTCCACATAGCCTTGAAATCCTTTTGATATGAAACGGATTCTAATGAGCTTTTATGGCATTAGATCTAAGAATAACCAAATTAGTGGAGTGGACTGGGCTTAGTCTTGCTTTGCTAAGATGTGGATATCTATGGACTTTTCGTTGAAACGAACACGAGAATAACGAACACGCGAGAATACGAGAATACGAGACTACTGGAAAAGGGGAAGTTGGAGGCATAAATCAAGGATTATTATCGAGCATTATTTATGGCCATAAAATGCAAAGGAAACTGTATACAGCATTGATTCTATAGTCTGTTCTACATTGATTCATCTCAACATCAAAGCATATGTATATAACCGCCTTCCAATGCCGAGCAACAACGAACAGAAAAGAGAAGAATAACTAGAATAATAGCAATTATACACGATAATGATACATGGACATTCGATAATGTCGATAAGCACGCAATACTCGTGCTTATCTGCGTAATGTCAAATACAGACTGATCCATGGCTAGCAAAGGACTCCATCCCAGTCCAGCCATTCAGTTCAAAACATATTTCTATATGTCGGCTTCTTCTCCAATCGTCTTACTTCCTCCGGTTCATCGCCTTCTCGCACATTTGGACCAAGCCAGTCTTAGCTTCACTATCGGGGAAGTCGCTAATGGCGGCAATGGCCTTGTCGGCGTACTCACGGGCCAGATCCCGGGTCTGCTCAACACCGTTGCTCTGGTAGACAAGATCGCGAGCCTAAATATGACGGCTGTGATTAGCACTAACTCTTTTTCTCAGAGCCGCGTCAGAAATAAGGTACGTACCCTCTGTACATCTCCCTCCTGGCTGAACTTCCGGCCAACCAAAGGTCCCAATTCAGGGTTCTGCTTCCAGGCGAACAAGAGCGGGGCAGTAGCAAGACCCAGTTCCAAGTCTGCACCAGCAGGCTTTCCCAGTTCCACTCCACTCACAGTATAGTCTAGCATGTCATCAACAAGTTGGAATGCCAACCCCAGATTGCGGCCGTAGGAGTATGCCGCTTCAATCACCTCCGGAGAACAGTGACCGAGCACTGCAGTAGAGCGGCAAGACTTGCTAATCAGACTTCCAGTCTTCAGATATGTCTTTTGCAGGTAGTACGAGATAGTCTCGTCGGTGAAAACCGGGTTTGATTCATCTTGGGCGGTATTCTTCAATTGCATGAACTCTCCCTCGACGAGATTGGCAATCACTGTGGCCATAAGCTCCGTGACCTCGGGGTCTCTCAGGCGTGCCAGGGCGACTGAAGCTCGACCCAACATGAAGTCTCCGGCCAGGACTGCCATCTTGTTACCAAACTGCAGGTTCGCGGAGCTAGACGAGCGGCGAGTAACGGCGTTATCAATGACATCGTCGTGTAGGAGCGAAGCAGTGTGAATTAATTCGGTGATTTCGGCCAGTCGTCTCTGAGTCGGTAGGATATTTTCGTCGCCTGTGAAGTCGTAGCTGCCCTCCGCCGATTTGGCCACAAGCGGGTTCGTATCGGGATTCGCATCGGAGAGAACGGAATGGGAGGTGATGGGATCATTGACCGTAGCTGAAGTATTCATTCCCGGACGGTGCTCGTGCGGAGCCAATGCTGTCGCTTGGGACATGAGTAGTACCAGAAGCGGCCGCATGTGTTTACCTTCACTCCGCGTGTAATATTTGGCCACTTTGTCAAGTGCCGGATGCCCAGATCCCAGCAATTGTCGAATATTCTTCGTCAGGAACTTGAGCTCCTTGCCAACCATCCTCAACGGGTCCACCGAAATACCTGGGGGCGCCTTAGGTAGACCTTTGAAGATGGTCTGAGCGGCGGAGACCGCAGCACCGAAAGGAGAGGCATCTTTCCGTCGGGAGGGGTGATATTTTCTGATCTGCGGTTGAATCTGGGCGGCGAGGATGTCATTGCGAAGGCACTGATAGCAAATCGGGGTGGAAGAAGGTGTGGTTCGTGATGCGAGCATCAGCCCCGAGGTCGACAAGGTTCGAGCTCTCATGCTAAACGGAGGACGATGGTGACTCTAAATTAAAAATACAAAGTAAATGAACAGAGCAGAAGCAATTGCAAAAGCATTTGCCAGCCAAACAGCTGGAAACTTGGCCAAGTGAAAAGCAGGTGTTCGCGTGCCTCGTCTGGCTGGCGGTTGACAGATCCGCAAAATATCAAACCGGATGAAAGATTTCGAAGCTGGCGGCGGAGCGGCGCTCGGGCCGGAACGGAAACCAGCCCGTCTGTATATGATGATTCTATCATGACTGGTATACAGGAAGCAGATCATAATTAAGCTGTTAAATACTAGATAATAATAATGATCATAAATAACGTATACAGGGCAGATATCTGCGCGTCTATGATATGGATGGAGATTACAAGAGATCCAGCATCAACCCCCAAAAGAACCAGAGCATTCAAGCTCGACGGACAACACCTACAAAAACAAACTGTCCTGCCAAACCATGGATAGTAATAATAATAGGAGGTAATTCTGTTGAAGATAGGAGACATGAAATATCACGCCACCCAGCTCAATCCTGCACATTTCCCCTCATACACACCCGGAACGACGAAATCGCAGAATAACACAAAGTTGAAAAGACCCCGGGCCTAACAACATCCTTGGTAGGACGGGCAGGAGGAGAACTGTATGATTAAAGCTTTCTCGGGCCATTAGATGGCATCGAAATCCCCACCGGCATCCTCGTCATCCATGTCTCCCTCCTGGATTTCCTTCGCCAACTCTCTCTCACGTTCCCGGGCCTCTTGGGCACTCTTGAGCTCAAGGCGGTGCTGGTTCATGGGGAATCTCATCGCCTAGAAATCATAATGTCAGTATTTATTGAAAGGGAAACTTCTCTTTCTTTCCGAGAAAGCCTACCTTGACACTCTCGTCGTGAAGACCAAGACAAGCCCTAATGCGCTCATGGAACACCTCACCAGGCTCCCTGGTAGCGTAGATGTCTCCAACTTCCTTGCTCTTCATGAAGCCCCGCTCGTGGTCCAAAGTAGCCTCGATGACACCGTCCCGGATCGCCTTGGCAACAATGTACTCCGCTGACTCCTCGCTGTCCAATCTCAAGCGGAGACAGATGTCTCGCAGGGAGATGCGAGAGTAAGACAGAGACATCATCCGGATACCCGTCTTGATGACATTCTGCCTCAACCGCAAGATGAGGGTGTAAGTGCCATCTTTTCTGAAGGTTGCACTATGCGTATTTACAATGTTCAAGAACCCATCCAAATCACCCACACTCACAGCCTGGACAAGCAAGAAGTAGGGGTGCATGGCACGTTCAAGGGCTGGCTGTCGGAAAATCGCACGGTCGGGAATATCACCCATCAGTAGCTCAACCACCACCAACAGCTTGTGGGATGCTTGGTAGAATCCCCGCGCGCACTGGCTGGATGGCGACTTTCGGGTGGCTCCGATCAAGTGACCGTGGGCATCGGTGTATTGCAGTTGGATGGCACGGATGCGGCCCAGGTAGTAAAGATAGCGGGCGATCTGGTTGTTCGACGCGGAGGGAGGGAATCGGTTGTGCGAAATAAGCAGGTCGGCCTGCGAAATGTGGGATGTCGACAAGTAATTGCGCAGCAAAAGCGTGATCACTGTAGCTTGGGTATCGGCATCTTTCCGGAGGACTGCGGTCCTCAGCGCGGTGAGCAACGGCTGGCGGATTGAGGTGACCGTTGCAGCGGGCGATGGGGGAAGGGGAGCGATTTGCTCGAAGAAGAGGGAGTAGTAGAAGTACACGCGAGCAGCAAGAGAATCGAGAGTACGGCGGTTCAGAGTCCGCAAACGCTCAATGACATTTGTCGAAAACTTGGCACCGTCCTGGACGTCCTTCTTGTCGTAGAGATAAATCTGAACCAGAATCGACAAATAGGTGTCAACCTCCGGCAGCACCTCTTTGGAGGAAGACTTGGTCTTCTCCGAGTCAACCTCCATCTTCGAGCTCGCCGTAGCGCTCTCGAAAGCACTCTCCCGGTCAATTGCATTGAGCAAGAAAGAAGCGGTGAGGCTTGATGCAGGATAGGTCTCTACAATGACTTCGGCTAGAACATCGGCGGTGATGTGCTTGCGCATCGAGGATATCGACCGCAAGACACGGAGGGTGAATCTAGGGTCGAAGTGGGTGACAGCTCGTTCGAGGAGTGTGAAGTTGGTCTTGATATCTGCATTCATACAAAGGTGCTTCATTAGCCAGAGCTCCCAGTCCCCGGTGGCAGCTGGGATCGAGTACGAACCTTGGATGGCCTTAACCTTGGGGTCAACTTCTGACTCGGGCTTGTGGGACTCTTCATCCTCTCCATCCATAGTCACATCACCCTCCTTATCCTGACCTTGATCGCCGGATAACCTCGAACCCTTAGTAGGGGGCACTACAACAGTCATCTTCTCGTCACCTTTCCGATCCTTGCTGTTGTTGAATGAGGATGTAGGCCCACCTGCCGTATCCTCTCCCATCTCAACATCCTCAGAACCGTTCACGCCATTCTCCACCTTATCGGAGCCGTTGGTGTGCGGCTGGTCACGCTCGCCCATACCGGAGTTCGAAGCGTTATTCGTAGCAGCACCTTTCTTAGTAGGAGCCGATTTGGCCTTGTTAGCAGCGGCGCGGGTGGGCGCGGGCTTATCCTTATTGGAAGTGGAGCTCTGCGAGTTGGAGTGCGCTTTATCACCGTTAGCAGATGAAGAGGTGTCTGACTTGCTGTTCGATCTCAGGGAACGCCTCTCGGCCGGCATCTTTTTCCAAGCTTGGAGCTCAGCTAAGTAACAGCGCGAGTAGCTGGGGCAGAAGAAGGGGGGTGACAAGTACTGTCCAGAGGCACAGGAAACGACTTCAAAGAAACCGTCCAAAAGGCAGGGGAATGCTGAAGGGATCAATGAAAATGAAAATGATGGGGAGAAGGGTATTGGGGAATGTGATGAAGATGGTTGATGAGGTGGTGATGTGATGTCAAGGCTGACTTTGGGGACTCAGAGAGAACCAGCCCAAAGGCTTAGTCAGTATCAGCAGGAGAGAGCTTACTGGGAGCAGCAACTGGACTGGTCAGCTGCAGAAACGATTGAACGCGCCTCTCGTCTGGAAGATTCCAGAGTTCCCGATCAGAATTTGAACTGCCTTTCGTGTGACCCGAAGGAAGAATCTGAGGTCTGTCTGTCCGCTTGTCTGTCTGTCCGTTCGTCTCAAGAACGAAGATAGTTTCCAACAAATCTGGCCGCCCGTTGCTCCCAGGCGGTTGCGTTGCCACATCAGGTTTTATGCCTGAGGCAACAACAAGCTTTGGAGCTGTGTCCGGGCTTGGCGTGTTTGACAAGACAACAAACACAACTGTTTATGCCAAAGCCGTCGCGATAGTAGGTGCAACAGCCCACCATCACTTCTAACAACACCAGTCTATCGGTCGCAGTCATGTCATTGCTTGAAAAACATCTGGAGCAGATTTTGCTCTCGTCCAATGCTATCGCGGATTTGCAGTACGAAGAGACTTTCCAACATTTGCTCTGATAAATGCTGATGGAGTCTAGTTTCCCCCCACCACGGATGTTCACCAATGCTCTACTGGGTCCCCACGACATCACCTCTCTGATTCGCGATACGGAGGCTCATGAGCGTGCACTTTTCCAAACTGATCCATCCGCGAAATCAAACCAATCATCGCGGAGGGCAACCCGCAGAGGAACAGTGTTCCAGCCCGAGGCGGAGGGAGAGTCGATGGCTAGTCGAATCTATTCCGCCAGAAATAACCGGAACCAGTCTGCAGTCGCCAGAGTTCTTGGGTCTGATATGATGGAGGAGATTAAGCGATCAGCTGGTACCTCCACTAGAGGACCTCGTGGTGAGGTCAATATTGATGTTCTCCTTAGAGGCGCGGAGATTCTCTGCAACGTCTAGTAAGCTATATTTCTCTCCCAACCCTTTAACGCTCATGTTTCTAATTTTTGAGGAAGCCCTGTTCCCGGTGCGCAAGAGAAGATTGCCACTCTTCGATATCGGCATGAAATGATCTCCGACTCGCTCGTCGGCTTAGAAGACCGTGTCGCAAGAAACACTGCTGAGTTGGAGCAGATGAGCCACTCGTATGGCGATGATTACGACGACTATTATAACACAGGAGTCTTGCAACCTGAAATTCCGGATGTGACAGACGATGATATTGAACGGGAACTAGAGGAAATCAGAGAGCTGGAACGGAAAAAGCGCGGCATGGAGGATCGTGTGAGAAACATGGAAAGGGACCTCGGCGGCCTACTGGGATAGGATAATGTAATCCCAGTCTAAAGAAAACGAGAGACGAATGACGATCAACTCGTCGTCGACGTCTCGGGCAAGGACACGGCCACTCCATCACAAATTTTCTCCCGGTTTGGCGTCAATGCCTTACTCATGATCGGCCCTCAAGGAAGATACTTTCGCCAACAGCCCTTCAGCGACCCTGTCTAATTGTCAGTTCAAGAATGTGACAGGTCTGGCTGGTTGCTGTCTACGCGGGTATTCATTCCAGCACTGGCTGGCATATTCTCGATCTTCTACCTTTGGGGTTGATCTTGGATTATATGCGATAAGCCGCTTCCAGAAAACAAATCGAAGCTCTGCAAGTGCAAGGGAAACCATCATGCAGGCAATGGGGAGATCTCTTAGTGTCTCGGTCCCTTGCATATACCACCCATGTGTACAGCTACAGGTGTCTTGCAGACAGGTTCCAGAGCGCTGGCGATTCCATCTTGCTGATATCTTGTGTTCATCGTTCCAGGGGACTGCCACTGCTCAATTCCTAGACTATGCATATCTACGCTGGCGGAACTGGGAAATCTTGTCCAGATGACTCAACGGACATCACTTTCAACTACCATTACTACGCAGCATTTCCGGTGAAATTCATCATGTATTCGGCTCTAATAGGTTTGAATTCTTGTGTTTCCTGCTGCTGTCTTTATAAAAAATGTTGATTTTAGTCGTAAATCAAAAGTGGTTGAGCCAGTGAGGTAGGGATTGGATTATGAAATGAAGTAGCAGTGAAGACAAACATGCACAACCTTGTGCTAAATAAATAGCCCCCAGTGAACTGACTCAATGTTTAAAAGAGAGATAAATCAGCCAATATCACAATAATCCTAAATCCTTCAAGGTAAAGTGAGAAACGTACCTTGCAGATAGTATCCTGTCGTTACAATAAGGCGGTGCCAAGCCTGAGGCTCGCAGCGAAGTTCCGCAACCTCTCCGCGTCCATCGAGCTCCATCGATCGATCAATCAGTCTCTCCTAGCTCGCTACGCTGTGAGTTTTACCAGCTGCCTGCGCAGGATTGTGTTCTTTGGTGGTTCTTCCAGTGAATTTTGCCCTTTTTGTCCGTACCTTTAATCCCGTGGACGCCTCGCAGCTCCGAGTCTTTTTCCCCCTTCGCCCAACGTCGCCTTTTGCTCCCCTCACCTCCGACTGCTCTCCATCACCGATCCAGCTAGCTGTGCAAAACTATTTCGCAATCTGGTTTCTCACTGCGTAGAAGAGAGTCGTCGACAAGATGGATGGCTCCCAGGCCCCGGTTAACCAACCCATGGTTGCCCCTCAGCAGCATTCGAACCTCATTCGGACCGACCAAGTGCAGAAACTGCCGCATCTCAATGAGCAGCAAAAGGCTCAGCATACACAGCTGGTGCGCAGCCTCTGGGAACTGCTGAATAGCAGGGATCCCCAGAGCGCAGAATACCAGAACGCGCACATGAAACTCACCCAAATCTCCCAAACTTTGATGAAGGGCATGCGACTCTTCCAGCAGACTCGCCAGCAGCAGGCGCTCCAGCATCAACAAGCCCAGGCTGCTGCCGCCGCCGCTCAGGGCCAGACACAGGGCCAGACACAGGGTCAGCCAGTTCAGCGATCTCAGTCCGCCAATCCTCAGTCTTTCACCCAGCTCCTGCCTCAGATCCAGAATAAGGTCCAGAACCTACAATTCTTCCTCCCGCCGAACATCAGCAAGGAGCAGATACAGACATGGCTTCCAGAGGCGAGGTTACGATACGGGATTGCTCTTCAGAAGCAGGAGATTGGTCGCGCACGTATTGCTGAACTGCGTGGGCAGTTTACTCAGCGTCAGGGCGCGGGAAATATGAGCCAGGAGGAAATGCAAGAATTCAAGAATCGCCAGCTCACGGCTGAGAAGCTTTATCGCGAAGGTAGCGACTTTTTGACTAAATTCAAAGAGCAGCAAGAAACCTTCAAGGCTCAGCAACCGAATCAACAAGTCAACCGGGCGGGGGTTCAGAATACTCCAGCTCCAGCTCATCCCCAACAGCCCAGTGCTGAGCAGAGTGCTGCTGCCACTCCCACCACCACTGCTGGTAATAATCAACTTCCAAATGCTCCAACTCCAATGCACACGGGGCAGACGCCAACTCCTGCTCCTCATACCATCAACTCTGCGGTCAGTGCGGCGAGGAATCAAGCAGGACAGGCTGCCATGTCCCCCTCCACTTCCCAGCCTGGCCAGACGCCTAGCGTGCAACCCCCAGTGACGGCACCTGCCGCTCCAGTCGCGCCTCCTCAGCAACAGCAGCAGCAACAGTCACTGCCGCCGCAACCGCAACCACAACCACAACCCCAGCAGGGCACACCAGGCACACAGATTACTTTCAGTCAAACCCCAAATCCTGATGGTTCTACCCCTACACCAACTGCTCCTCAGCCTGTGAACCAACAAGGCCCACCACGTCCTTTATCGCATCAAGCCGCAATGGCCCAGGCTGCTCAGAACTACTCCAATAACAATAATACAAGCAATGCCAACAACGTGAACCAGCAAAACATGGCTCAGGCAGCAGCCAACCCTCACGCCCACCCCCAGGGTTACAATCCCAATCGTGGCTCTGACAACTCTGCGCGCAACATCAATATGGCGATTCCAAAGAATCTCAACGTCCCTCCCCCAGAGCCTGTTGCGATGGCGCCAGCCAGACCTACCTTGTCCGGTGGTCCCAGTCACGGTGCTATGGGAATGATGGGCCAGCCAGCCATCCAGAAGCATCCTGGTTACGTGCTTGAAGGCGAAGGTCAGCGCGTTTTGAGCAAGAAGATGCTTGATATCTTGGTCCGCCAGGTCACTGGAGGTGGCGAAGGTGAGGGGCTCACTCCAGACGCCGAAGAGGTAAGCAATACCTATCCCCCACTATACTCGTTTTCAACCTTCTACTCCACCTTATCCTGTAGGTATGCAGCAGCTAACAGAGAAACAGTTCATCCTTCAGATGGCTGACGATTTCGTTGACGATGTGATCACCGCCGCCTGCCGTCTGGCCAAGCTCCGCCCATCCTCCACGCTTGAAATCCGTGACATCCAGCTCGTCCTTGAACGCAACTACAACATGCGTATCTCTGGGTTCTCGAGCGATGACCTCCGCACCGTCAAGAAGCCCCAGCCTGCGCAAGGCTGGACTCAGAAGATGTCTGCTGTGCAGGCCGCCAAGGTTACCCAAGGAAAGGCCGAATAATCACCTTATCCCATTTTCATTTCTCATGTCTAATTTGTTCTACCGCGATATCAGCGACGGATTTCTCACGGCTTTTCTATTTTCTATTGTCTTTTCCTATGGAAACCCCGTCTTGAGCAACGTATACATACTATCACCGGCGTCGATGGGGAGGCTCCTTTTTAAACTCATTTTCTTCCGTCTATTTTCTTTTTCTGTTTTCTTAAGTCTGGTTGTATCGGAATCGGCATGTTCATACCATACTGGCGTTTGACTCGGAAAGATATCCTACGCAAAGAATCCCACAACGGGGTCGGTTGGATGCGAAATGAATCATTTTGGTTGGGATGGGGCATGCAACGAAATTTACACTCTTAGTGGATGAGATTGTCATTGAAGGAAAGGTTATTTGGCTTTTTTTTATTTTCTTTTTTCTCTTTCTTTGCCCCAGAGGAATGTGTAATTCTATCTATTTTCTTGGATTCAAAGTCGGTCTTGTGAGAATGAATCTTCTTCGAATTTACAACTTCTGGAATGAACTTTGACAACGCGATATCGGTATCAATTGTCTACTTAATTGCTGGTGTCTTCTATCAATTTCTAGAGTAAGAGAGACAAAAGTAAATAATCAAAGCAACGCTCAAAAAAACACTTTGCTCTCTCCCATCCATGAATGCAATACAGAACATGAGTGGAAGCTGACAAGCTGAGATAAACATTCGCCATGGCTAGGTATGATAAAACTTGAAACAGAAAAGAAAGGAACAAGAAAGGAAAAGGAAATGGAGCATGGTGGCCCAAGGACTGGAGTAGAATGAACAAATCCAACACTTGCATAGGTCGGTTTGACAAAGACAAAGTTAATATGTGGAGAAGGTATGTGATACAGGGGAATTAAAATAAGACGAAGAAGAGAAGAGGGAAAAAAAAGACGCGTTCAGGGACCAGATCCAAACCAGTCTGCCTGGGGGGATAAGAAATCCTTCAGCAGTCAAAGTAGGCGACTTTTTGACACAAAGTCAGAACAATGCAGTGCAATGCACAGTAGATTTCACACAAGAAAAAAAGAAAAAGGTAAACAAAAAGGAGATATAAAGAGAGTAAATAAGGGAAGGGTTGCAATGAAAGATGGTCCACATGATGAATGTTTGCTCCTCATGCACAAGAGAGCAACAAGAAGAAAAACGCAAAGGAAATGAAATAAAAAAGAAGAAAAAGGAAAAGTAGGGGTATCTCATTTATAAGACACCGATCGTCCAGAATGGGAATGGATCCAAAAAAAAAAAAAAAAAAAAAGAAGGTTGTGGGAATATCAAGCGGACAAGAGCTGTCCAGTTGAGTGGGCGAGCAGCGCCCAGCAGTAAAAGGAAACGCACGTCAATCATAGTAACATGAGCACTCTCTGCAGGAGTGCCTTCTGGCTAACTCGAAAACAGAAGATACGTTGCGCAGACCATGCTGAGGGGAAGGAAAAGAAATGCGTAGCGCCCGGATATGATAGGAAACGATGCGGTGTCAATTGCGAATGGGGAATCATGAAAGAAAATCAACCAGGAAACGGCACCCTAGTAAGCGTTGAGGTTCGTATAATTAAGGGGATCATTGCTGGACCCAGGAGAATCTCCGGTCGTCCTGAGCTATCTCCTTCCCTTTTTCACTCTGTCGTGGACCATGGCCATTTTCATGGGGAAGTGCCGGAAGATCTTTCTCTGGAACCGGAGGGCCTCGTCGGCTATGTTGACTGTGCCCTCCCACGCTGCTAGCTTCACCCGCCTCATCTACGATTGGTAGAGTCGAAGTAGGGCCGGAGCCATTTGCGTCTGCTGGGTCTCGGACGGTTGATAATGTCCGCGGGTGTGTAATCGATACGTCTTTGGATGCCTCCTTTTCCGCTGCCTGCATCGTTCTTTCGACGGATGAGGACCGTTCCGCGGATTCTCTGCCCATTGCTCGAGACTCTCGATGTCGTTCTACTTCCTCTTTGGACATGGTGATTCCTTTGATGAAATGGATAAAGCGATCTCCGTAGCTTTCAGGCGGGACGGGCGAAATTTGGGTTTTATCATTGGAAAGTCCCTTGAAAAAGTTTTCTATTCGTTTCACCGTCCCATACTACTCAAGTTAGTGAAAATAAGTTCGTATCCAAGGGGAAAAGGGGGGGAGGCAGCTTACGTGTGTCAGGCAGTCAATTATACCGAGATAATAGATCTCTTCTCCTGCCTGCCCATTCTCATGGGTGGCTCGGAACCCTCCATCGTCGGAATAAAAGACGTGATACTTTCTCTCGTCCAATATCTCCTCAGGCATTTTTGCGGTGGCTTTGTCGAGGGGCACCGGTCGCTCTCGTTTTATGAGCTGCCGAAGCTCGCGGGCTTTGCGCTCGTTCTCCATCTTCGAGGGTGTGCGCATAAGCATGTTCGGGTTGTTCTCCTCCTCTCGGTCACCTCCGGGTGAGAAAACTTGCAGTGTTTTGTCACGAAGCTTCTCCTCATTTCCCCTTTCAGAATCGTGGATACCCACCAAGAGAGAGTAGTCCATGATCTTGAGTCTCTTCAATAGCTCGACATCGCGCTTGAGTTGTTCAATAAAGAACTCTCGCTTTGATGGTCCACACTGCAAGTGTCGATCTCGGCGAACCCAGTTCAAATCCTTCAAGGTTGCCCTCGGGTTCTTTTCAAGGTCTGCCTCGTGCAAGTCCCGGCCAATAGTAGAACCCTTAAGGTCAAAGGTCTGGTGGATATCGCGGTGGGGTGGAAATAGGTTGTTCATGACAACAAAGTGAATCTTACGGCCATATGCCATCTTGACGCGATGAAGACCGTAGAATTGCGATATCAACGTGTTTGGGTTTTTCTCGACATGCTTGTAGTACTCGGGTAGAATCTTGCGCAGCAACTTGTGTTCGGAGTGATGGATGGTCTTGATGATGTACTTGTAATCTCGCGAAAAGTAGAAGAAACTGCCACTTTTTCCTGGCGACCCCAGTTCCGAAAGGATATACTTGCTCGTAAGGGACATCAGGTAATCGGCGGGGTCAAGTCGGAATTTGGTTCGCAAATGTCGGAAAACCCAGGGTGCATAGTCCTTGAATTTGAAGTCGTACTTGGCAGACGGTGTCAACTCGTTACCAGTACTGTTGAAAAGTTAGAATACATCAACAAGGGAAGGGTGCGTACTAACATATCAAAGGAGAATTTGTGTTTGGCTTCGAAATCTGCGGGTGTGAGCTCCCGGGGCATCTTCGCATTAATCCTCGACACAGTGAACCGAATGCCTGTAAGCATGTTATAGGCAGTGACCCAGTTCACATGGTTCTGATCCACCTTTGTTCCAACAATGACACGATCTTCGTCGTCCTCGTCGCGACGCCTTCTCTTCGAAGCTCTCCGCTGCTTTATGGCCTCCGCAAATCGGGCTGCAGAATCATCATCAGGATTGGCATCATCGATGAGAGAGTCCGACTGGTTAGTCCTCGTGGGCCGTTTTGTCAAGCTCATCGATGTGCGTCGATTGCCTGTGGTCGGAGATAACCGACCGGTGCTGTACGCATCCTCGGATTGATCGCGACTGCTCCGACGACCACTCGTCGTTCTCGGGACTTGAAGGGTATGTCGTTGTCGGAGACTTGACGAATCTTGTGTGTCGATGCCCGAGGGTAAAGGGGGAGACGAATAGCGATGGGCCCCCCCTTGGACAGGGGATAATCGGTCGGTGTCCGGAGAAAGATGGCCAGATTCCTCTGGCTGAGAGGTCGACAGGTATTGTCCCGGTGCGTTGGCAGCCGAGTCCAAAGACGCGATTTCATCGACTGATAGACGGTGGTGATCCCCATTGACCATGGGTTTCCCGTTGACTGACCGGTTGTACAATGACGTGCCATTGACCTGTTGGCTGGAGATGGAAGCAGTCGCTGAGCCAGCGCCAGCGCCAGCATCAATAGACTTGCGAGTAACATCCCTATCCAACGTAGTCGAGGGCCTTCCACTTTCTCGCAGATCTCGAGCCGATCCGTTCCCTAACGAATGCATACTTCCGTCTTTAGATTGCGGCGGTTCTCGAGTGTAGGAACTCATGCTCGATCGGGGACCGTTCAGGGAATAGGCACTACCATTCTTCAGGTTGGTGAGGACCTGGTGGTCGGGAGGAGGGGCATCAAGATGGTTTGAGTCGCCATTGGGCCAGTTCGTCCACAGAAAGGTGTTACCCACGGGGGCTTTATCATGTGGTTTTCCCTGGGGCGAATCGAAGGAGCGAGGATGCGTAGTGGTAGCCGTAGAAGACTGATACGGGACGTCGTTGGTAAAGGAGGGCATGTTCGATATGGCTCTGGTAGGTGAAGGAGAGTAGGTAAGAGAGCGAGTGTGTGACGTGAGGTCTGCGTGTCGAGATTTGTCGGAGACTTAATTGAGCCGTCAAGACCGAGTGAGGGAGAGGGAGGGCGCCACGGAGGTAGAGAGTAGACCGATCAATGACAAGAGACGAATAGAAGAAGAAAAAATTCCCGAATTAAGCTGTAGCAGCCAGCCGGGGAGGGCGTGGCAGAGTGTTTAGCGACCGATAAGCATGTTAAGGAAGAAAGTACGGGAATCGGCGCTGTGGCACAGGCGACGTGTCCGTGTGGGGGGAGAAACGGGGGTAAGGAGGAGAAAAGATCGGATAGAAGAAAAAGATTAGAGAAGATAGAAGAGGAGGAGGGGATGGAGGAGGATAAAGAGAATTGCGGTTGAAGGGGAGGGGGGGAGGCGGAGAGAAGATAATGGAGGTTGGAAGGATGGGAAGTTGTTGAGGAGTTAATATTATCTGCAAAGAGGGAAAGAGAAAAAGAAAGAGAGAGAGAGAGAGAGGGAGAGGGAGGGAGAGAAGAGGAGAGGATTTAGTGGTACGGGTACGGTACGGGTACGGTATGGTAAGATACAGAGTACGGGTATTTGAGTTACCGGGAGAGAAGAAGAAAAAAAAAACGAAAGATCCACTCTTCAACTTTGATCATTTAATGGTATTAACTATTATTGTTGTAGTCTATTGTGGCTAAGTCGGGTGTGTTACTTATGAAGGCGTCAATTTTTCTGCTGACCATGATTGCAATTGTCTGACTCCTAGGAGGTCGTTCCAAGTTGAGGAATTACCTCGATACTTAGGTGAGGATTGGATGAACAGATGAGGATATCTGACAGTCACGAGTATTACAATACTGCAAAATACACATCCTTCCACTGATAACCATCAAATGGACACGTCCAGTGCATCTCGCAGGAGAGCTTTATTTGATGTTACAGAATAGAATATAAGATAATCGTAGGATAATCCTATGTGTCTGGTTATGAGAGTATTAATTTCTATTGCTGTAAGACAAGGCAAGTGAGGATGATGTCTCAGATCTTACTGCATAATCTGATACAATGCATAACTATGCTGGAATTGATTCGATGCTCTGCAAGGAGGTCGAATCACGATATCCAATGCACAAAATAGCCAAGAGCACGAAGAATGTTCTCATGAGATACTTCTACTTCATCGTCTATAATCATCTCTACTCAGCGTCTCAGCAGTATTTCATCTGACTCGATCGGTGGATTTGTACTAAAGATCGACAGCTGCCAACGTCACTCCCAGACAGTCTCTCGTGAGCCATCCTCAATTTGACGCAATGGTCGACGCATCAACATGAAAATCAATAAAAGGATGATCAGGGAGTCAATCGAATGTTATGGAATCGTAATTATCATCATCATCAGTAATTTATCGCAAGTGAGGGTCTTGAAAATACAGCAACAACAAAAGAGGTTGGATCTGGGGCGAAATTAATTACGCTCTCTCGATCCTTTCCTGCTTTGCGGCGCCTATTTTTAGTATCGGACATAATGCTCGATGCTGGTGCTCAAATGTTTTGCAGAGCTAGGCGGGATAACTATGGAGTATGGACCCTGCTAATAATAAATAAATCACTTTAAAGATATAAGTAGAACTCCATCACACTAACTGTATAGCTCTACCCCTGATTAACATGCACCATCCAGCTCAGATCCCCTCCGTTAGACAAGATCACCGTACCACGCAGCAACACATGGTCCTCCCACTGTCCCACTCATGATTACTCGCAGATAGTCTAATTCCCTGCCATAAATCACTACTCTTTTCAATCTACGAGTATACGCAGTTGAACATGATAAACGTTTCATTCCACTCAGCACCCGTCCGTTGACGGGTGTACCCAACCAGATAATAAACAATTCCCGTTGCAAAATCCACAGGACGCCATCCCTACCGACATTGCATAAAAAAGCAAAAAAAGGAAAAACGACAGTCAAAAGAGATATCCCAGAAGCAGTCACAACATCGAAGAGAAAAAGAAATAAGAGGTAGCAAAAGAAAATTACAACCGAAAGAAAGGAAAGGGGGTACAACCCAAAAGATATCACTCGATGCGCACGTCACAAGAAAGAGAAACAAAGGGAAAAAACGATATAAAAGATCAGCTAGATGATGTCTAGGCCTTCTTTGCTGCCGGCTTCTTCTTCTCGGCAGGTGCAGCAGTTGTCTTGGTCACACGCCCCGACTTGGTGGTGCTGATAACCTTGGGCTGGTCAACGACAGCAGGTGCCTAATAAGAATGTCAGTAAACAGAACGGTCAAGGAACAGTGGATTCAACATCACATACTGCACTCGAGGCCTTGCGGGGCTTGGCAGTGTTGGCCTTGGGTCGTCCAGCGGCCTTCTTGGTGGTAGTAGACTTCTTAACTGCGGCCTTAGCAGGCTTCTCGGCCTTCTCGGTTTTCTCAGTCTTCTCGGTCTTCTTAGCTGCCGCCTTCTTGGGAGCGGCAGTCTTGGGGGCGGCAGTCTTGGGGGCGGCAGTCTTGGGGGCGGCAGTCTTGGTGGCGGCAGTCTTGGTGGCAGCGGCCTTGGGGGCAGCCTTCTTCTAGATGCAGGTCAGCGATGTTACTCATTTGCACCATCTCTATCACGTAGAAAGAACAATAACATACCTTAGCAGCGGGCTTAGCGGCCGGTTTGGCAGCAGGCTTTGCGGCGGGCTTAGGAGCAGGCTCCTTCTTGGCAAGCTTCAAGGGGCCAGAAGGACCTGGAAAGAAGAGACGCGTCAGTTGTTATCCGGCAGACTGAATACGGCGACAGCATGATTGGCAGATTACTTCTAGAGAAAGCTGAATCTGGTGGAAATCATGCCAAATGGCTGAGGGAGAGAAAAGCGCGGTTGCTCTAGACTTACCCTTGGGCTGGGTGAATTCCTCCTTGTCAACACCGGCCTTGATGGCCTTGTTGAACTGGGCGTCAAAAGCGGCCTGGGAGGTGACAGTGATGTTGTTGTTGGCTCGAACATATTTCTTGATGGACTGGCGGCTGTAAAATATAATGTTAGCATGGAAGTCTTTTTTTCCCCAAAATCCACAATCCAAAACAACACGCAACACGAGCATGAGATGCCGGGATGGCCACGGAAGTCGGGATTGTATGCAGGGAAAACAACAAGGAAAACAACATACCTGCTACCATTGCGCTCTTTCAGCTAAAAGGGAAGAAGTCAGCGACCATTTTAGAATGAAAATTTTCAAGTCCCGATGGGGGGTTTGAAACCGTTGGGCGCCGTGCAGACGTGTCACGGTCGGGGGGGGGTTCGACCGCCAGCGCCCGTCACCCGAATCGACGAGAAGTAGGACGTGATCCACTCACATTCACAATGGCATCCTTAATCATATCTATATCGATGGAATCAGCAGCTGCTCGCGACTAGAATGATACCAATTTCACCGCGACGCGATGTGGTGGTGACGAAAGATCAGTAGAAACTTACCGCGGTAGGAGGCGTGAGCAGCAGTGCCGGCCTTCTTGGTCGCGGCAGCAGTAGCTTTCTTGGGAGGCATCGTGATGAAGAGATGAAGATGAAAAGGAGTCTACGGGAAGAAACAAGAGGAGCAAGAGACGGAGATGCGAGTCGGATGCGAAAAGAAGCAGTGGATCGAAGGTGGGAACAGATGGAAAGAAAAGCAGTCGACAACGGAAGGGGTGGAAGGGCCGCGGGGCAGCGCGATTTATAGGACGGCGGGTGTTGACACCGGATCACTCGCCTTGTTGCAACACGTCAAGGGCTGCGATTTGTTTTGATTGCAGATTTAGTGGTTCTGGCAGCTCTCGTTGTAGTGTCGTTTAATATTGTTCAGTCCAATATCAGTGTAATATAATACTGTAGTCGTAGTTCCAGCACGCGCATCATTCGCTGCCTGGCCTTCTACGCGTCTTCTCCCACTGCTCCAGCTCATTCCCCTTTCCATCTCCCTCTGCCTGTTGGAATCACTGGTCTATGCGCATTCCTCGCGCTGCTAGACAGGTTAAGCGATTCTTAGCTTTCGTCTCCTCTTTTTTTCTTTTTTTTTTTTTGAATCTCTGTTTTTTGTGGCTTTTGACTGTGGATCATTTGGTCTGCACTGCGACCCGTCGTCACCCTGGATGCTCCATCTCTCGCTTCATTTCACACTGTGTGTTCATTGATCTTTGTTCATCAACAGCAGTTGCGATATATAGAATGAAGTATATTTCATCTTGATATACCAACGCTCTTCTCTATCGACATACACATGTCTAGATGACCAAGACATACATCCGTGCAGTGCAATCAAGCTCCCACCTTGCGCAACCACCCTGGCCGCATCTGCCATTTGAAGCTTGACTATCCATCTCCTTGTTTCATCCCACCCTATCGCAAAACAATCCTGATTCTCCGCTACACAATCGAAGCATCCAGATCTCCTGCTCCCTCGTGCGGTGATTTCCGGGTCACGAGGACCTTCAGCTCTGTCTTCTCCCCATGTGCGCTTCTGGTTCACAATGGGCTTGGCAGTTCCGAACCAACAATCCATGATGGCTTGACTTTGGGCTTCCGTCATTGAAGAGTCGATCTGTTCTCTGATCGAGGAATTGTCCGTCACGCTTTAGTCTGTCTACCTGATCCAGGGCTGGTTTGTCCATGGATCAGATAGCGCGTTAACATCCGATCAACAGGCAACAAGCAGCTTCAAGGAACACCTAGGGGATATCCTTTTCTAAACTGGGCCAGACATCATCTGCTGTTCGCGCCATTGGTTCCTATCTACCTGCTCGATATTTATATATCAGTGGATGGATGTACAGTCGATATCAGCCCGGATTCTAGAAGCAGTATTTAGTAGAGTGGTGCTGCCACCAGTAGATGTTTACCGTAGAAAATGAAGTAGATGAAAATATACAGCGCATGATCAAGAGCAAAAGATCAAACATCCATACCACCCATCTATCATCAGATATCAAACTGACAGCCAGAGGAATGCTTGGCTCGGGATCATCGTGAGATGTGGCGATGTTCGAACGAGCCATTCGGGAGTCATGACGTTGCACCCCGGATTACTTTAGATGCTCTGATCTTGTGATGTACATGCTTTACAGTTATACATGAAGTATGGAATAGGATTTGTATTTACTTTATCTGTAGTTTACTTGTCTAGATTTAGAGATTAATACATGGTTTATGTTTGTTGTCTGTTTAAATATATTCTACTATCCGCATCGGGCATCAAAATATATTCACACCCAGTTTATGCCTAGTAATAGATGTCAAACATAATATTTAGTAAACAACACAAATATACCCAGAGAAATTATTCTCATTTGCTCTAGGTATCTGTCTGAATTGATTCTGATTAACCCCTGGCATTGGAAACTCCGTGGAAACAACCAGGTGTAGGTAGACAGCAACCTAACACCAAACCCATCCAGAACTATTCTAGTTACTACTAAATACAGCTTACCAACCTGAGAATATCACATAAGCATAAAATAGCCTTGATGTCTACAAGAGGAAAAATCACGCAATAATCGTTCTCGATAGTGTATGCCTTGGGCGATCTCGGATCCATCGAATGATCCCATTGAGGGTAATAGTAGAATAGTACTCCATACAGTTGCTTTCATTAAAACACCAGGTTTCAAATATCGCAAACTTCTAGTACCTAAAGGCCCGCACAACGCCGACGCCAATGTTACATTTTGAATTATCAGTCCATGCCCTTGCCAGTATCCATGTGGCTTTTTTCTGTATTGAATAATCCTCAAAGCTGGTAGACATACCAATTAACCAGCACCGCGAGGCTTGGATTTGGCGTCCTTCTTGGCTTTGGCCTCGTCCTTCTTGCGCTTCTTCTGCTCCTGCAATTTCTCGTTGTGCTTGCGCTTGAGATTCGCCTTCTCCGCGTCTGTCCGTGCCACCGGCTTGAAAAATCCCTCTAACCGTGACTGTTGAGCGGTCTTGAGGTTCTTCTGGAGACGGGCAGCCCCGTTGCGTACTCGGTCCTCGTTGAACCCCTTGTCCTTCACCAGGAATTCCACCAGATTGTCAATGTCGGGGGCCTCCCATTTGAAATCGCAATCCGGGTGGTCGGCTTCCCGCACATCTGGATGGAGAAAAAGCTCTCGTGCATCTTGGTACGGCCAGTCTTCTGGAACCACGTACTTTTTCTTGGGGTCCTTCTCAATGTGCTCAATCACCTTCTCCAGACTACCGTGGTCGCGAATCAGCTTCAGGGCAGTGTTAGGTCCGATTTTGGGAATCGGTTCTAGGTAGTCGCATCCAAGCAGAATGCAGAGATCAATGAACTATACCAATGTCAGCTTGAGAAATTCGACTGAAAATAACTCTGGAATCTACCTGTGCTCGTTCCATGCCCAGTCCTTCAAGGGCACGGTTCAGATGGATCTCTTGAATCGGTTCCTTCCTCTGTTCACTAAAGGTAAGGTGTCTTAGAAGAATCGGTGTCTCAAAGCATAGTGTGTCCATATCCTCCGATGCAGCAGCATAGACCTTCCCTGCCCGCGCAAGCGCTGCGCATTGTGCCTCTGCTTCTGTCGGAGCGTCGATGTACGGAATCCCCATCAACTTCAGCAGCTTCTTACAGTCGGCATTGTGTTCCCTCGTAACTCGTACTGTGCGCCGCGAGAACTTTTCCACATCCTCCGCAGTACCCGTCTCCTTGGCCTCCTCGTGAGCCTCGGTAGCTTCCGATTTCCGGGCCGTTCGCTTGGCCAACTCGCCGGACTTAAGTTTTGGTGGAGCTCCGTCGAAAACATACAGAGGTTTGATGCCGTTATCGACCATCCGCAGAGTACGGTAGAACATGCCCATCAAGTGTGATGTCGTCTCGCCCGAGTCGCTCATGAGCTGCTGACCCTCGGAACGTACAGCAATAAGGAAACTGTATATACTCATGGATCTGTTATAAATTAGCAATCGGTTGTAGGTCTACACCTTACGAAGACCAAGTGACGTACGCATCCTGTAAACCAGTGACAATGTTAGTTTCCACTGCGACAAAATAACGACTAGCTTTGATGCGAATTTGCACATACAATAGCGACCTTTCGGCCAAAATGGCCCTTGATATCTCCATTCTTAATCGCATCGGGCGCATTCTCAGAAATCACTTGATAAAGTTCTGGTAGAGTCAATATTTGCAGAGCTTTGCAACGGGTAGGACACCAAATCGCATAAAATTTGAATACGACAGTAAGAAACAAGTACACTCACGTTTAATACCCATTGTGACCTGATTGATGCCTTCGGATACCTTTCACTGAGTTTCTTCGTTGGTCTGGGATAGAGAATCGAGACTGCTCCTGACTTCGCGACAGCGACGCGCCGCGGAACTCCAACGCGCGCCTACATCATTTAGACCGTATCGGGACTAGCGCGGAGCTGCACCTGCCTCAACCCACGTGACTCTTCCCCGCTTATAGCTCCCCCCACCGCCAAGGCCCAGACCCAAACAGGTAAGGTCCAGTAACGGTGCTAGCAAGAGCCAAGAGGAGCCCCATCTTCGGTAGAGATTCTTAGGGATAAATCACAAGCGCAGTAATCCTAATCGCCCGTCTGCTTATCAAGTAGGGTTTACTACCGCTGAGTATGGGATAACGAAAAAAAAGGGGTTGAAACTATATATCGGTGGGTGTGAGTCAGGCCTCGAAATGAAGCGAAATCGCATTCAATTCGAAGCCAACGGCGATTTGTCGTCGGATTCTCCTCAGAGCGCATACCCGCCCGCCGCAGCGGAGGATGACTCGCAGCAGGGTCCGAGACATATCCCCAAGATATCTCGAAAAATTCGGGCGTGTACAGAATGCAAACGGCATAAAGTACGGTGTGACATGAAGGCTGGCGAGTCCATGTGTAACAGATGCCGACGCATGGGCCTGGAATGTGTTGTCAATAAGAGCCTTCAGACTTTGTTGGAGGATGAAGCGGAGTATTGATCCCGATTGAAGCTTTTGGGCCGCTTGATCTTGATGCTAATATGTTGATTAATTAGATGGAAGACCACGATGGAACTTGCTATGGCAGACTTGCTCAAGAAAGCTCAATTACCGGACCTCTCATATTATCACGCTGGCAGCAGACAGACCGAAACACCCTCGAGGAGAAGAGATCGCAAAGGGTCGACGGTATCTACAGAGGATAATGGCATTGGGGTGGGTCATAGTAGAAGAACAGAGTCTATTGATACTACACCGGGCGCAGCAACGAGACCGAGTCCATCGAATTATGCATTTCCCCGACAGCAGCAGCAGCAGCAGTATTCCCTCGATAGGGAAGAAAATGGAACATCGTCTTTGGTTACCGCACCGATGGGGAGCTTGTACGAAGTGACTCAGTTGAGTGATATTCCAGCAGGTTCTCCAGGGCGTCAACATGCTTCAGATCTTGTTACCGATTTCATCTCACGGGGAGTCATGGATTTGCGAGAGGCAGAAGAATTATTCTATTTCTTTGACAATGTACTGAATCGCTACTTATGGGATGGCATGACATTGGTTCACAATGATCTTGCCTCTGTTCGAAATTCATCGTCAATGCTCGCTGCCGCCATTCTGGCTGTCACGGCGCTTCATATGCCTAACAAAGAACGCACTTTTGATACCTGTTATAACGAATTCGCAAAACTGGCGTCGGAATCCATGCTTGATCGACATCATACTATGGATGACTTGCGCGCACTATGTATCGGAGCGTTTTGGCTCGCGGATGTCAGCTGGAAACTCTCCGGGTACGCAGTCCGGATCGCAACAGAGCGAAATCTACATCAGTGTTATCGTAAGGCTGCGCAAGGATCTCCAGAACATCAAGACCAGGCCAGGCTTTGGTATCTTCTATATGTAAGTAAAGTCCATTTAAGGCGCCGTCTCGTTCCTGATATATTGACTGGTCTAGACCTTGGAGCACCATTTCTCCATCGCATACGGGCGGCCACCGATAATCCACGAAGATTCGACCATCACAAACCACAGTGCTCTTATAATGCATCCGAATGTGTCACAGGGAGATCTCCGCTTGCATAGCCAAGTTGATTTGTTCATCATTCTTACTCGTGTCTATCACGCTTTCGGGCCTGATGTTGATTTGGAGGTTCCGGAGAGCGATTTTTCGAAAATAGACCGCTTCGACGCTGACCTTGAGGAATGGAAATCCGATTGGATCCCTCGTTTAGGTAAGAATACTCTATTATCGCGCCACAAAGGAAGCATCTGACTGGATGAAAATAGTTGGAAGTCGGTATGTTGGCGCGTATCCTTACAAGGCCGTTTATCTGCACTACCATTTCTGCCGATTACAGCTAAACTCGGTCGCTTTGCGAACCTATCACTCTTCGTACTCCACACGCACAATGTCTCCTGAACGCAAGAAACGAGCAGGCTTGGCCATCGATTCCGCTATTGCAACGCTCCTTGTTGTTCTTGATGAGCCGGACATTCAGAGAGCATTGGTCGGAGTTCCGCTATATCTTCACAGCATGATAACCTTTGCAGCTGTATTTCTCCTCAAAATTGCTGCAAAGTGTTGTTCGAGCGGTATCCCTGGTGCTCAAGGGCAGCAAAACTCCATTACATCGGCCGGCCTGCTCATTGACGTTGCTTATGTCCGTGACTTGGTTGGACGCATTATCGACCTAATGATATCATGCAGTAGGCGAGCCAGCGAGCGCCATCTCGTCCATCACATTGCTCGTGGGTTGAGAAAGATGCTTGTTGGACTCGAGGAGTGGGAGAAGAGAAATTCCGTTAACCAGCAGCTCCCGGGGCAGCTTCCCTTCGAAACAACTTCTATTTTCAAGCCGATAATCATTCCTGGAGCCCAGCCTCTGGGCGAGCGAGATACTATTTTAAACCACCCCCCTCCGCTGTTAGGAGTAGCTCCTCTCTCCGCTGAGCGGAGCAATGGATTTGAACCCGCCCCAGCACAAGGCAAAGATGAGACTGGTCTTTCCGAAGGCTCCGTCGACCCTATGATGGCTGATCTATGGGGCTTCGACGAGGAGTATTTCCCGACAGGAGTCTTCGACTTTCTCCAATCTCAGATGCCCGCTTGATGTTGCGTATTACACTTCGCACAACCTTCTGCTCTGCTAGGAGACAGGGCAGACTGCACATCTCTCGTATAGATACCCATTTCGGATTCAATTGTTCTTCTCTCTTCAGTTCTGAAGCCTAAACACCTACGAAGCCATGAAGATGCTTATATGCTTATCTCATGGCAATGAGTGTCAGATATCACAGTTGTACAGAGTGCTTTTTGGAATCATTTACGGTCATCATGTTGGTGATTTTCCAATGAGCGCATGCAACCGAAGCAAGGCGTATTTTTTCGACATATCAAAGCCAATCCCTTGATTTGAACATGAACACCTTGGAGATACCTGACTTCTAGTACAGTCTAACTTCAACTAGACCTATATCCGAAGCAATTTTCTCTTTGGTACTGTGTCGAACAAAGAGGAGCCCTTTTCTGGTTGATTGCGGTGTGTTGATCAATGCACCTCCGTGTCGCTGTCACTGATTCCTTCCCTGAATACTGCCTGGGCCAATCCATTGTATATAATAGACGTATATACATTGACGGAGCAGGGTATATTTAGAAACGAATAGATGCTATCTTCATCTTTCATCTTTCATCTTTATCTTTGTAACATTTCTACTGCAGTGGGATATAGCCGGAGGAGAGGAGCACAGAGCGGTCAGAACATATCAAGCAAGCGTAACCGATGTATCACAGAAAGAATGATCATCTATGGACCAGGGATTCCGTTTGTACCTCATACATACCAATATTCTATATCCCCATCGAACCCGTTATTGGACAGCAACGCCGAGGGAACGGAATCTGATCCGAGGTTATCTCAAAGCCCCGGATTTCGGCTGATGCTTTCTGACCAGGGGATGGTATAAAGTGGAATCGATTGAACTTATCTGACTCTTATTTATCTTCTACAGTATCTGCAGTTATCGTTCTTTTATACTTTGTCTCTACCTGGTTGCTGTACTAGTGGCCACTAGGTATCCCGACCAGTGCCGAGGTCAACCTATCGGATTCGGAAAGCTTCCCCGCAACATTATTTTCAGTGACGCAGTTTGTCTATCGGAGAACCGAGCCCACCTTTTTCATCTTCACCTTCCTTTCTCTTCAGCAATTGAACCAGGAGGTCTTGTTGAAAGAGATAGTAGGAAATAATCCAGAGATCAATCCCTCATTACAATCCCTTGTTTCATTGCTTCATATAATCCGGTCATGAACCGATCCCTCTTCCGCGCGGCCTCGCGCCACCTTCAGACGGCGAACCGCCTGCCCGTTTCCTCTGGGGCTTCGCGTCTATCATCCGTGCGTGGCTATTCGACGGCCTTTAACTGGGAGGATCCTCTTGCTGCGTCGGAGTTGTATACAGAGGAAGAGTTGGCGATCCAGGATACGGCGAGACAATACTGCCAGGAGCGATTGCTGCCCCGAGTTCTTGGTATGTGTTGGGCTTGATCTTCAGGCTTATATTTATTTCTTGTACCTCTATTCGATACTAAACTGACCAATTACTGTTCTAGATGCATACCGAAATGAAAACTACGACCGCAAGATCCTGGAGGAGATGGGTGAATTGGGTCTCCTCGGTGCCAGTATTGAGGGATACGGTTGTGCAGGTGCCAGCACGGTTGCATCAGGTCTGATCACCAAGGAAGTTGAGCGGGTAGACTCTGGATACAGATCAGGCATGTCGGTGCAGAGCTCATTGGCGATGACGGGAATCTATGAGTTTGGTACCCAGGAGCAGAAGGACAGATTCCTGCCTGAACTGGCCAAGGGCAAGATGTCTGGCTGCTTTGGTCTCACAGAGCCTAATCACGGCTCGGATCCGGGATCCATGGAGACGACTGCGAAGGAGCATCCTACCAAGAAGGGCGTTTACTTGTTGAATGGATCCAAAACCTGGATCACCAACTCGCCCATTTCCGATCTGATGTTGGTTTGGGCCAAGTTGGAAAGCACGGGTAAGATCAAGGGATTCCTGATAGAGCGCAGTCGGTGCCCACCGGGAACGCTGGAGACACCCGCGATCAAGAACAAGACCGCTCTGCGCGCGTCGATCACGGGTATGATTCAGATGGACGACTGTCCCGTCCCGGCGGAGAACATGTTCCCTGATGTCGAAGGTTTGAAGGGTCCCTTCACCTGCCTCAACAGTGCCAGACTGGGAATTGCTTTTGGGGCCATGGGAGCTCTCGAGGACTGTCTCAGCCGTGCCCGCACATATGCGTTGGAGAGGAAGCAGTTCAAGGGCAACCCACTGGCTAAGTACCAACTGATCCAGAAGAAGCTGGCCGATGCCGCTACCGATGCTGCATACGGAACTTTGGCTGCCACCCAGGTGGCCCGATTGAAGGACGAAGGAAAGAGCACACCAGAGATGATCTCCATGGTCAAGAGACAGAACTGTGACCGCGCTTTGGTAAACTCTCGAGTGTAAGCCTCTTTGTCTATATCACTCTTTATGTGTTTAGACGATACTGATCGATTTGACAGGCTTCAAGAAGTGTTTGGTGGTAACGCCGCCAGTGACGAGTACCACATTGCACGCCATGCGGCCAACCTGTTTGTTGTGCAAACCTACGAGGGCCAGAGTGATATCCACGGTGAGTATCCGCTGTGTTGCTACTCGCCCGAGACATGGCCAATACTGACAGTTGATAGGATTGATTCTGGGACGTGCCATCACTGGAGTCCAGGCATTCGTTTAAGACAATCGACAGGTTTGATATGTAGACATTTTTTGTCTGTCAGCCTACATCCCCAGACCGATATTTGTATATACATAGATACTATTACCGGAGAAGAAACTGCAATCAAAAGATATACCCAAGTTATTCCATGTTATCTATCTACTGGTATACCTAATTGAGTGGGTAATCTAGGCCGGGATGATTTGTCGCTCACGTGACCTTCAACTGGCGATGTTCCGTGATCAGGCAGTCCTCGGTGAATGTCGAAATTCTGGTTTAGTGAATCATCTATACAGACAGTTCTCATACAGCTACGATTATATTCTGTATGAACCAGCGAATAGAGAAAACTCTTCCATGACAGCCTGTGGTGAGGGTTTTTTTTTTTTCATTGCAGACCCGCCACCACCATCATCGGGTGGAAAAGGCTGTAAGGTACTGTACTGTATCCATGTTATGTAAGGTATGTAACAAAGGTAATCTTGAAAACTGATATGCCAGTCAGGATGGAGGAAAAAAGAGAACCACATGTCGGAAGTGGCGATGCGTGGCCCTGAGATCCATTGCTAATGCTGATCAATATTGAATAATATTGCTGAATTATCAGTCCACTATTTGTTTGAGGGCATTGATCATGCTTATTCCATCCGCGTGAAACCGCCCCCTGCCCCTAATCGCAGCCCAGCGTATTCTGGCAGTTTCTACCCCGTAGTCAGAAGACGTCATTCCTGATCGGTCCCTGAGACTAAAATCGATGCCTGAAACTGTGGCTGGTGGGTGGGACCGTGACCATACGGTACTGTCACGCCAATACGCCGGCGTGACTACTCCTTCGCTTCTGCTCCTCTCCTTCTCTCTTCTTTTTTCGGCCTCTTTTCCTCTCTTTCCTCCCCCTCCCCCTCCAAGACGTAATCAAACCGTCCTCACTGTGAGTCTCTCCCCTCTCCCATCCTGTCCTTTTGGCCTCCCTTTTGGTCAAAGCCTTTTGTCTCTTCCTTTTATATATCCCCTGTTCGTTGTCTTCTTTTCTGTCTTTTCCCTTCGTTTTCTATTCTTTTCCCTCTTCTTTTCTCATACCTCCCATCGCTGACCGTCAGATTTGTGTTGTGCAGATTCCCAACTTCGAATTTGATACCATCCACGCATATTTTTTCTCGTTAACCAAGGAGTTCTCTCCTTTCCCCTTTTTTCACAACATCTACAGTCAATATGGCTCTCAAGAGAATTAACAAGGAACTCACTGACCTCGGCCGGTAAGAGAGTGATCCCCTCCGACCGTCATTATCTTCGCCTTAGCCGTCAACCCCACTACGCACCATTTGCGGGGCGTTGTTGTGTCGCTCATCTGGATGATATGGCCTTGCTAACGCATTCTTCTGTATTATAGTGATCCGCCCTCCTCCTGCTCTGCTGGTCCTGTAGGAGAAGATCTGGTACGATTTCAAACCCTTCCCTGGTTACACTCAGTCGCTGTTCTTTGTCCATCTGCGGCGGGGCAGACCGCAAATCCTTACCTTCTACGATACTCCCGCAAACCTTTTCTACAATCGATATAGATACTAACATGATGCTCTTTTCCAGTTTCACTGGCAAGCAACTATTATGGGTCCTGTAAGTCTTTCTGTAATTTTTCTTTGTCGGTCGCATTCGGGTGGGTGGTCTTTGAAAGAGGACCCTGCAGGCTGCATCCTGCCTCTGGACAACGAATCATCCACCCAAAATAGCACCAGAATGATATATCAGGAATTCTTGCTGACACAGCTGTTGACAGGGTGACTCTCCATACTCGGGCGGCGTTTTCTTCCTATCGATCAACTTCCCCACCGACTACCCTTTCAAGCCCCCGAAGGTCAACTTCACCACCCGTATCTACCACCCCAACATCAACTCCAACGGCAGTATCTGTCTTGACATCCTGAGAGACCAATGGAGCCCTGCTCTTACAATCTCTAAAGGTGAGCCTTTTACTGTGCGCCACAATCGTCATGCTTGGCATGCTAATCTTGCCTCTAGTACTGCTCTCCATCTGCTCGATGCTCACAGACCCCAACCCCGATGACCCATTGGTGCCCGAAATTGCCCATGTCTATAAGACTGACCGTACCCGGTACGAGGCCACCGCTCGCGAATGGACCCGCAAATATGCTATTTGATCTTCGCAATTGAATTTACACGGCCGCCTCGGTCTTCTCAATACCTTCTGCGTCTTCTTTCGCTCCGTTAGATCAGATCCGAAGCCTGGCGTACCGTGATCGTAGATCCTTTGTCTTTTTTTTTGTGTGGAACATTTGCGAGTCTTAAACTTTTTTTTTTGCCCTCTTCCTTTATTCCGGCGGGAAATGTCATATCCAACGATCATTATGACCAATTCTCATCATGCATTCATGGCATATCTATTTTTTTTTTCTCTATCAAATCGGGACAAACTACACTTATGAACAGGAGTCTCAAGAATGTTTTGTTCCTTGGGTTTGGGGACAGAGGATGTTGCTCGTACGGTCGTGAAGGTGTGCCTGTGGTGAAAGGGGGGAAGGACATTGCGCAGGGTGGGGGAGACCAGCGCGTGGTGATGTTGCTGGTGATTGCATTGTATCAGATAGCAGCAATCAAGTCAATCCGTTGACCGGTGAAGCGTGTTTCGTTTTTCTATACTTGTATACTGTAGCGTGTAGTCGAGGGATTAAGGATAGGCCTTCCCTACTTCTATCCGGATTTACATGCAGATGACAAGAACAAGATGCTCAAATAAAACGTGATTTATCAGGAGAATGATCGCCATTAGAAAGTAAAATAGAACATATTTCACATTCCTGAAAAAATGGTATGCTGGGCCAAAAATGAGGCTTTATACTGCGCTCATTTTAATAATCTGGACAATGTAGCAATAACTCAGACCGCCGTATATGAAATATGTTCACAAAAATGTTGTATTTCCTCGTAGTCGATCCGTATAGAGGTGTATGTATGTATGTATCCCGAAAGAAACGCCTGGTTCCGCTGTCCGAATGCACATGAATATATCACAAAAGGGATGAGATATGTAATGTTATGGTAAACAAGAGATAGTAAGAATGATAGAGAAGGGTAAGGAGTAGAAGGAAAGAAAATAGAATGTCAAGGATAGAAGAGCCCAGCGTATTGTTCACGCAACTTGGCTTCCTCTTCGGCTGCTGCTGACTTTCGAGGGGGCCTTGGAGGCACCTGCCACACTGCCACCAACCACAGTGCCACCACCCGCTTTCATAGTCCGTTGAGATGACTTAGAGACGTTGCTGGAGACTTGGCTGACGCTGTCACTAGGTCTAACGGGCTCGTCGAACTTGCTAGAACGCTTGGAAGTCTGTGAGGCAGCTTTGGAGTGGTGGGATCGTGCCGCCGAGTAGGATGATCGTCTATCATCAATCTGGCTGATCGAGTCGTCGGGTGTAACTTGCGTGTTAATTTCGAAATCATCAATGACGCTCTCTGGCAGAGGAACGTTGCGGGCAGAAACGCCCGACTTGGAAGCGGAGCGGTAGGAAGACGCCGAGACCACGGACCCTTCAGGGAGAGGGATGTTGCGTGCCGTGCGGGTGGAGGAAGCGGTGCTGCCGGCCTGAGACTTGGCTGCGGAGCGGGAGGAGTACTGCGAGCCATGAGCGGATTGGTTGTCCTTGTAGTCGGCCTTGGACTGTTTGACCGTCGATGACGAGTACACACTGCCCTTGTCCATGCTCATGGCTCGTGATTTGTCGGCAAAGCTGCTGATCAAGGTGCTGGCGTTTTCTGGGTACGTTCCAGCGCGGGATGGCGGCGAGTATTCGATGGCTCGCAGGGGCAGCTCACCCGTCGAGTAAACGCTTCCCTCCGAGGCTCGGCGACCATTGTCATCCATGTACACGCTGCCATTTGCACCAGGTGGGAAGTACTCAGTGGCCTCATAGATGGTGCTCGCACGTGGGTTCTTGGAACTAACACTGCGGCTGACAGACGATCGTATTTCCGACGGAGCGTAAGAGCTCCTTGGAGGAGGGGCCTCGATAGCTCTGTACCCCTGCGGCTCCTCGGCTTGCGAGGGGGCCTGCGAGGAGGGAGACAGCAGCTGCGGGATGTCGCGAGGAGACCACTGCTGTTCAGGAGAGTACTGCGGAGGGGGCGTAGCTTCCGATTGCGAGTCGCCCCCTTTTGTCCATGCATATGCAATAGCTGCACCTGCTGCAGCACCGATGAGAGACCCGACAATGGTCTTGGCTGTGGTGCCGCTATCCTCGGTTTTCTGATGAGTGTGTTGTTGCGTTGTGTGATGCACGACATATGTCGGAGATGGTGCATGCTGGATGTGATGCGTTTGCTGGGAAATGACGGAGGGTGCACCTCGCCCTGATGGCGCAGCTCTCTCCAGGGGCATACTCATACTCCTATCAGATAGTCTAGGCCGTTCCATGGTAGAGCTCGCCTTGGAAACGTACGACTTAGCTTCTGATCTGGGAGGCGCAATGCTCTCAGACTTCACGGAGCTGGCCTTGGAGCTAGCCCTAGAGCTAGCCTTGGACACCACAGAGCCACTCTCGAGCATGCCCATTGCTGGTGCACTGACTTCTGACCTGGTACGTTCTTTGCCTGGGCGGTATACCGCCTCGACGCTGTTCCCATCAAAATCAATGACTGCTGCACTGTAGTAGCCGGACTCAGAATCGCGACACTTGGGTTCGCCGTGAATCTTCCCTCCCGACTTCAACGCATGGATGAAGAACTTGCCCACCGCCTCTTTTGACGGCGCGGGGAAGGCGACGTGTGCAGCGCCAGCCGGAACCCTGCAAGATATTCAAATTAATTCCTGCATTTTATTCAACAGGCGGAAAGGCGCAATCACATACCCTGGCTTCTGTTCTGTTATCCAAAAATCCGCTGGCTCCCCAGACTTTTGACCAAACCCGATATAGTCATCATGGCGACCAATGAATTGATATCCCAAGGGCTGAAGGCAGGAAAGGAAGAACGAAGTTGAAGTGGGGAGATGCGAAACGGTCAAAGTGAGGTGGGACAGAGGCATGTCTGCAAGATGGCGAGTGATTGACTCGCTGGGTCAAATCCTCAGCGAGTTCAGGTAGAGAAATTGTGGCCAGGAGTGGAGGAGAAAGTGGATAGACAATGCAAAGAAGACTGAGAAGTATGGATGTCTGAAAAAAGAATGACAAGTCGGCTGCGAGAAGTATATATTGACGATACAGATTATGACACAACAGCAGTGATTAGGAGATAGGATGAGAAATGGGAATTAAGAGGAGAAGACCGGCGATATTTCAAGCAAAGTCCTATTCCGAGTATGTAGATGGGTTCCCAGAGAATGCCCAACTTGCATCCAAAAGAGCGGTAGGAAGCTAACAAAAAAAATATGTAATTATCTCTTAACGGTAATGAGCCCCTCCAACCATACCCCGTACGGCCTATCGTAAGATGGTCAGTCTTGCATCGGTTCGCAAACCATCCGAGGGCATCCAATGATATGCACGAAGCAGCGGAATCACCAGCAGAGTCCGGGCCCTGCAAGTCTGCCCCTCTGAGGCAGATGAACCCCTATCGGGATACAAGTCAAGAGACCCATCATGCTACGTACGTTCTTCTCTCCCTTTCGGTGAAGCTAGGGACCAAAGAGATTAGCAAGGCCAAAAGCCAGGTCATCGCGGGGGGAGCTGGTGGACGGTCCTGTCAGTGGTCCTGCGAGGTCGGATGGGGCGCCTATCAGGAAACGGGTGGACACTGCACATGAGATGCGCTCCATGAACAGACCAAGCCAGCAGAGGGGGTCTGAATTCGGGTTGGGCGAGGCAAAGAAAGCAAAGACCAAATTGTCAAGGTGGACGATGGGGATTGGTGGTGACTGGCGACGGTGGAGGGGACGGAGAAAGGCAGCGCCAGTCAGTAGTCATTTGGGCATGGCGGTCACCAATGGTGGAAACAATGAAATGATGCCCGGGACCGAGAGGGCAAGTGAGCAAGCAACAGTGGCCACTACGACTGAGGGGCATCCTACATCTTGCATTTCTGGCATTATTCTTTGAAAATCCGAGAAATCCTAGACGGCCCATTGTTGTTCCTGCCTTTGGGCACTTCTGCTGCTGTTAGTCGCCAGAGGGTGCTATCTGACCGCCAGACCGTCCTCCACTCTGCTTCTGCGTCGTGGATCAGCCACGGGGATAAAAATAAGCCTGACAAAAGGAGTCATCTTCTGGAACGACGGAGAAATGGCCGGGAGGAGGTAGTCTGTGTGTGATGAGCTCTGGGATTTCCAAGTCTGTACGAGCGGCGCTCTGATCATCGGGAATTCTCGACGGGCAGAAGGGCATATCCTGTGATTATCGACATTATTAATTAGCCATGTAAGCGACAAGGTGATTCCGAATTTCCCTAACTCTTGTCCTCCACTGCAAAAGTGAAGCGGGCGATCCACCCTCGAGAAAGTGTCAAAATACTGGGATATCTGCATGCCACGTCGAGCATGAGTCCCCAGCCACCGGGGCCACCTGCGAGAATTTGCAGGATGCTGACTGGATGGCCCATGATTCCTGAGACTGTGGATGAAACTGTTGTTCAGTTAGTCTTGGAGCTTCAGTATGAGTCAACGCAAGATGAATGCAAAATCAAGGAGAAAGGGAGGAGGGAGGATGAGGGGAGGGGGTGATGATGCCTTGTTGCTGCTGCCCCATTCAGGCAGACAAGAAACCCCTCATTGTCAAATCTCACCTCTTGGAGTCAATCGTCTTTTTCGCACTTTCACCATCGTTCGACTGTTCTGCGTCATCCTAAACTATCTTGATTTCCTTGTTTTGCGTTCCTGGCAAGAGTACCTCGAGTCGACGAGAACATTACAGGAACAACATCACACTGCCCAAGCAAAGATCAAATCCGACCCCTCCCCTCCTCCAATGGAAGAAACACCAAAGCACTAAAATACGAATGAACAATGTTGCTTCAATCCAGATTCTACTGTTTTATGGCAAGCCAATTGAGAAACAAAAAAATATACATATAGATTATTCAAAAGAAGTTGAGCGTTTTGCTTGAAGAAAAATCAACCCAACAACTGTCACTCACTCTATCCTATTTCTTTTTCTTTTTCTTTTCTTTTCTATTCTTCTTTCCATCGTTCCTTAATATGTGGTACAAGCTCCCAGCGTTGTACATTCGATGCGAGTACGAGACCAGCAACGGAATAGAGAAGAGAAAGTGGCCCATGACCTAGGACCTGCCTCGCAGGGGTTGAACCTGGAGGTTTCGGCGGTAAAAACTCATTCAAATCCGCACAGTATCTCAAAACGAAATTAGAGTCCCCTCCGTCTTGATGGAAAGAGCGAGAAGTATTTCCCCCAAAAGCGACTGGACACCCCGAAGAGACTTTGATATTGCAAATCTTGGTCCTCGAGATGCTACGCGGTTTCAACGTGTTCCCAGTCGCACCAAGACAAAGAGAAGGACTCCAAAAAAACAAATCAGAGACTGTAGACGCTGGATCCAAAAGGCAGGTAAGGCCAGACACAATGTCCCGAGAGACAGACTCTTTTTTGATATTTTTTTCAGTGCTGCCATGCGCAGCATTTCAATTTCGCCAAGGGTTGAATTGAATCATCGCAAGAAAAATTCGTGACCTCGTCAAATTTCTCATGATTGTGGTGGAGGGTTGAGCCTCCGGGCACTACAGAATCAAAGGATATCCCACGCCTCCTCGGCCGCGTGGCAGAACTTGCTGCATGCCACACTAGCACTCAGGCTGTAGTTACTGATACTGATTGCGTCATCTTTGAAGGAGTCGGCAAAGTCATCGTGACCCTTTGCCATGGCTCCAACAAAGATACAGCAGCTCTCCTTGGGTCCCAAAGACTCAATGTAGTCCCTTGTTCGCACCACGGGCGCCTCAAAACTGAGGGTCACCTTGCGACAGTTGGGGGGCAGGTGATCGGTAATGGGGTTCTTGATGACCTTGAGCAGCTTCTCCTGCGAGTTGGTGGAGCGGATGGAAAGGCGATGAAGAAGCTGGACCATCAAACCGGCGAAACGCTTGAAGGTACGGGGAATGCGAACGGAAGGATTCACTTCGATCAAAACACCTTTGGCGGTGTGGATGAAAATTTGAAGCTTCCCGGCCTTGTTGACGGGAGAATCGAGAAGAGTAAGAAGACACTGTTGAAGTGAAAACTGATAAGCAACCCGACAAAACAACAGTTCGATATAAGAAGCTAAGAGATTCCAACCTGATGAGTGATATCTGGTCGAGCTTCACTGATATCTCTGTTCATCTTGCGCATCACTCCGATATGCTCGTCGCTGTTAAGCAACGAGTACTTCTCATCCCGACCGGGACCGCTGCGACCGCCATGGGCAGCACGGTAGGTCTCCAAGCTGGCATTGGAGAGAACGACAATCAGACGCTGGGTGTCCTTGTCATATGTGGGGATAGGAACATGCTGCTCCGCGACAAGCTGGGGAAGCTCGGGAGGCGGGCAAGACTGAGTCCCTGTCAATTCACTTTCATTAGCCATGATTGCTATATTTATATATTTATATTGACTATTGCTGCTGAGGTCTAAGAAGAGGCCAGAGAAGGTCAAAAGAGGGGTAATGATCGACCGCGGGAAGCTGTCAGAATCTGCGGCGGTGCCTTCAGAGGAATGCAGCTGTCAAACAGTTGAATGTGATATCCAAGAACAAAAAAATGACAGGAGCTTTTCACAGCTGTTGAAACGCTGCCGAAAAGCGACCGCAAAAAAGCCGGCCAGAACGGGAAGAAATGAAAGAGAAAGGATGATGGAGATTGAGGATGGATGATGGATGGGAGGGAGAGGGGAATTGGAAGGACGGAATTGACCCAAAGGCAAAAAAAAAAATATGACCGAGTCAAAAAACCACTCCAATTGGGTACGTACTGGCACGCTTTCTTTTCCCGGCCACTTGAGTCGTGTCCGACATGACGCCCTAACTGATTAAAATATGATTAAGAATTAAGTGAATGAGTTGTCTTCTTGTGGGGTGAGAGAAAAACAAAAAAAGCTCCCAAGTCTGATTCGAAGGGTGAAAAAAAAAATCTGAAGGTTGAAGAAAAACGGAAGATGGAGAAGAGAAGAGAAAGAGAAGCGGAGGCCTCAGGCCAGCCAGACACCGAAGGGGGGTAAGCGACCAGGCCTAGAAAAAGTAACTAAAACCAACGCTTTTAGGACGGTTTTTTCTTCCCTTTTCGCCTTCAACTGCTCTCTTTGCTTTTTTATTTCTCCTCTTCAGAAATGAAAAAGAATTGGGGGCTTCGAGCGGTTTAATCGTATCCCTTCAAGCCTCGAAAAAAAAACCGTTCCAAGGATCGCTTCGAGTTTTGTTCATCCCGCCCCGTCTAAGGTTTCTCCGCATTGGCTGTGCTGCTTTATATGAAACCAACATCTCATGGGGTGGTTCAACATCAAGTCAGATCATAGAACTGGGAAAGCTGACATGTTTCCCCCCTGAGCTGCAGCTAATGGAATGTCACATCGGTTCGAGGCTCACGAGGTAATGGAATTTGATTCTGTATCCGGTCGGAGTTTTGTTCGTCTCCGATAGCTTCATTGAAGCTTCTGAGTCTGGAGCAGTGCTCGGAACTATGTACTCCGTACTATCATATTGCTGAGATGATTGATTCCTCGAGATGGACGCCTTGGACCGGGTTCTCGACGTGATGACTAAGTACAGAGTAGGTGATGAGACCTCTTGCATAAGACCCATCACCTACAGAAAACACAGAGCTATTTACACAGTATCGCAGGGAAGAAAGTGGCAAATCATGATACTGGTCTTGTCTCAAGGATTTGATGGAGGAGATGGATCCAATGAGACGGTAACTCGAACAGGCCTTGCTTGGAGATCGAGCAGAGTGATTACTGGAGCAAGTGAACAGCTGGGAAGGTTACACAGACACAACCCGTCTCGAGACAATGACATGAATGGCTTGTCGATGCCGCTCAGATGACTTGATGTGTAACTCAATGGACGTGGGGAACGGGAGGATCCTTATGTGTCTGTTGAGCCTGGCAAAATCATTAAATGACTGATGATGACACTGGCGAATAGACTCAATAAAGTAGCGTAAGGTTCATCCTGGGACACGGTGATTTGATTTCCAGGAACAGTAGATATGCAAATTGAGGCCAAACTAATCTCTCCTGGGGAATGATCCGACTGTTCAGCTATCCACAAAACGCCATCCAGAGCTGCGCCGGAGAGTAAGGATGAACCCGCTATATTTGCAGAGTACATGAGGCAGCAGGCGATATATCACCTCGAATTCTTTCGGTCTGTTTCAAATCAAGTAATACCAGTACGATCCAACCCAATCGACTTAGGCACCGATTTTTTCTGGTTGTATGTGCTGGCAGACTCCATTCCTTGGGATCATTTTCCAGCCCGGTTTTGACGTTGATCAAGACGTCAGAATTCCGACCTGAAGCCTGGAGCTGTATGTCGCAGGAGGTGTTGTACTCGATTAAAAAAAAGAAGAGAAAGCCTTACAGCGAGGATGTACGATGACACGGCAATAGATGTTGGCGATCCAGTTATCCTATGATCCTGGGGATTCTTCCAGCAAGGGCTTGAATGAGGCTGGGGGACGATTGCTAGATTACAGCCCAGCAATAGGTATGAATATTTCCGCGTGTATACGAAGATGAATATGGAGCTGGTAGCCTGGTATGCTGCCAGATGCCATCAAAAGAAACAAAAGCCTGCCACCTCAGTCAGTAGTCATCATCATCATCATCATCATCATCATCAAGTGGCCACTGCCCACCACTAGTCAAGGGAGATCGACTGCGTAGACAGCTGAGAGTCCCACAATCTTCAGCAGCCCCAAGAAGCCAGCGGCGAGTATTTGATCGAATAAAGTTTCATCTTCAGCAGAAGAAACGAGAGACACGAAGAGGCTAAGAGACAAAAGAGAGAGAAATCCCCCGATCAGATCAGCTGGGATTCTTCGTCTTCTCTCTCACATTTTTGATCTTCCAGGACGACCAGATGTTTTGAACAAGACTTTTTCTCATTCAAATATCGTCGAATATCGAATACTGAATATTGAATATTGAATATTCAAATCCCAAATCCCAAATCCCAAATCCCATCCGCAAGAACCAACAGTGAGTGAATAACCCAGCGATGATTTGTCTGTCTCTCCAGGAGTAATATGACTGAATGGGGACTAGTTCCTGGTAACGCGTTCCGTCACTCGATCCTGACTCTTGCCTTACGTACTTGGCCGAAGCCCTCCGCCCCCCGTGTGTGTGTTGGAAAAGAAAAATAATAAACACCATCCCCCTCCTTCAAATCCACTGCAATTCCTCCCTTGAAATTATAAATGTCTAAAGGTGTCATTTGAAAGGGAGATGCCGTGGACTGTAACAAATTCATTCAAACGGTAAGTCCCTTGTTCATCCTCTCCCCCCCGTCCCTATGTTGAAAGTCCGCCACTCTGACCGAATAGCTCCAGAGGCCTCATGAAAACTTACGGAAGACCTTTATGGCGCGTCTACGACGATGACCAGCATCCTGCCGCGAAAAAACGACGCGTCTTGTCCGGCAATGAGTCTGATGAAGCGGAGAGTAATCTGCAATATGCCATCCGCGAGTCGTCGGCCGCCATCCTGTCCAGCCCGTCGCGTCGCAATTCAGTCGTCCTCTCGGAGGACCCTCACGATGATGACCTCTCGACACCACCTTCGTCGCCGCCGCCCAGGTTGAGTCCTCCACCGGCAAACACGCGAAAACCGACCTTTTCATTCCTGAAGCGCAAACATTCCTCGACCAAGGAGATCAGCAATGGGACTCCACTCACCGAAGTCAATTCCAACAGTGTTCGGTCATCAGCGGACCCCCCGAAGAAGAAGACGCAACAGCAGCAGCAGCGACCGCAACAGCAGCCGGTGTTGAAGCAAATGCAGATCGATCTGGGCCATGAGGTACGCAAGACGTGCGCTACTTGTGGGATGGAATATATCCCATCGAATACGGAGGACGCTGCGTTACACAAAAAGTTCCATGATATGAACTCGAATGGGGTGGATTTAGGGAAAGCATTTATGAGAGCCAACGCATCACGTTGGGTCTACGAGGCGACTCGGTTTGATGAAGGGTACGTGGTGATTGTGGATCGCAAGGCATCGCCGACCGCGAAGAACCAGGCGAAGAAAGTGTTGGAGGTGGTCAGCAAGGAATTATCATCCCCGGAGATTGAGGACGATGTTTTATGGAGTCAGACCGAACCGCCCAAGCACCTGGATCAGAACGAATCGGCAGAGAAGATTGATCGCTACAAAGTGTTTTTGCACATGAAGGATAGCCGGTGTGTTGGGCTCTGTCTGACAGAGCGGATCTGGGAATCAAAACCAATACAGTCACCATCGACCGGGAAGGACGGGACCGAACAATCCAACGATTCCTCCATCACCGTTCGAGATGAGATTCGTCCAGCTATCGTGGGAATCTCGCGCATCTGGACCTCAAATTCATCCCGCAGGAAAGGGATTGCCATGGATCTCCTCGACTGTATAGTCAGCAATTTCATTTACGGGATGGAGATCCCCAAGGAACAAATCGCCTTCAGTCAACCGACCGAAAGTGGGAAACGATTGGCCCAGTCATTTTTTGGGCCTGATGAGCAGTGGCATGTTTACAATGAGAGTTGAATACGAACAGAATGAGGATGGTTGTCACAGCCCGGAGCGATCCGGCTTGTTGAACTGTTTGACAAACGGGCAGACTGATACCCTTCTTTCTCGAGCTTTGATACTCGGGTTGGAAAGATTATTTTCTTTATATTTGTATAATCCCAAGGTGTCTGAGAGGGTGGTCTTCTTGATTGATTTCTTTTCCTTCTTTCCATCTTTTGGGTAATTCCCCCCTTTTTTTTTTTTTTTTTTTTAACCTTCACTGTACCATATAGCTTCTCTCTCTTTTTTTTTTTTTTTTCTATTTCCTTTTTTTATTATTTTATTCTCAACATTCTAGACGCAAGTGCATGGACCTAAGCAATCGTTATTCTATTTTATTTTGTTGGCTACAATCTGGATCAAAGAAATCCTAGAAAGTGATGCTAGTTGCATTTGCGTTCGGAAGCGGCGCGGATGCCAACAACAACAAGTAATCGCAGCAGCTTTTAAACTCCTGGTGTTTACCTCCTCCCAAACCCCCCCACCACCAAACCTCTTCTCTCTTGCTCTCATGCTTGTCAGATTCCATCGTTGCGATGTCTGGATTAAATCCTTTCCGCCCTAGGAAGTCCGAGAGTAAGTGAGAGATCTACCCGTCTAACCCGACGCTTGGACTAGATGGAATGGCCTTCCAAGTTCCAACACGAGGCTGTTGTTGTATTGTTTCCTTCAGGCACTGACAATTGCAGACATCCCAGGCCATCATCATTCATCGTCTCCGTCCATCACCACGAATTATTTCTCTGCGCCTCTGCCTACTGCCGCTCCTGTTGCCAACACTGCCTCCGTCTCCAAGGAATTCAATAGTTCCACCGTTACCCCTCACGAGTCCCTCGCCCGCGATGTCGATGATTCTGACTCCTCTGATGAGCAATCCGTATCGGATCCCTTCCATCATGATTCATACGCAAATGATAGCGATGATGATGCGACCCAAGACAGCAATGGGCCTCGTTATGGGACATTAAACCCATCCCCTTATCCTCGAGAGTTTCCCGAAGATGATCGCCCCCAACTCCAAGCACCCGGCCGTGCTGCTCCACACCCAGCTCCATCATCGAATTTATCACCTCCCACAACCGCCACTGCGCCATCTGCAGCCTCAGCTGTAGGAATAGGCAGCAAAGAACACCCCGATGAATCCGAGGGATATTTTGGGACGTCACAAAACAGTACGACGGCAAACCCTAACATCCTTGTCCAATCATTGGGAACCCGTACTGCTAGTAGCAGCAGTACTGATGTATCTCAATTTTCCATCCACACAGGAACATCCAACCATCCTTTGACGGATAAATTTCATTCAAACGTCGACGTAGAGTCCAAACCGTTCACTAGCCGCCCTAGCAACAGGGAAAAGAAGCCTCCGCCACCTCCTAAGAGCCATCATGGAAAACGCATCATTTCAAGCCCTGTTATATCGCCTTCCCCGCTTCAAACAACATCCACCAAGCCCTCAAATCGCTTTTCATTCCATGGATCTTCGCCGGAGAGCTCCTTTTCCCACACACCTGCTACATCTTCTCAGCCCAGCAGAAAGTCTTACCAGCCGGGGACGGGTTACTTTCCCCCGGTTGCGAAGAATCATGAAACGCAGCCATCTGAATCTCTCAGGCGCAGCCAGTCTCAATACAAACGGCCTCCCACCCCGCCGCTTAGTAGACGGCACAGTCAGATGAGGAGGTCCAAATCAACATTCTCCAAGCCCAATCCATCTCGGCTAAGCTTGCCACCGGGTAGCTTGGAGGTCAATGCTGGTCCTCCGAGCCCAATTATCAGATCCTCAGCTTCATCGCTACATCGGAACTCCAGATCTAGTATGCAGTTTCAAGATGAAGATGCCATGGATTCCACGAACCTTTCAGCAGCGGAGCCCTCCAATTCGACGTCTTCGTCGATTTCCAGGATAAATCCCGTGAGGCGAGTATCTCAGACAAGTTCCCTGACAGCATCTGCGGCACCACCTCCCCCACCCCCTAGGCGAGTTCGTGGATCGAGCAATCACAGCAACGACAGTGCTCGACCTGTCAGCATTTCATCGGAGAAGAAGGCAGATGAAGAGTTTGTTCCTTATCCGTCCAATGCCTATGATATCTTAGCCGATTTGTCACGCTTGCAGAAAGAGGTAGATGACCTCCGTGGTCACTTACGAGACTGAGGTCAGTCACTGACCCGTGCTAAGTACTCTGGATGGTTAATCCATCCCCATTAACATACCGTGTACTGTCTATAACCATGAATTGGAGTTGGACTGCAGTTTTCTTTTTTTGGGATGGATAGTTTGTATACTGCATGTGAAATTGAATGACTGGTGTTTAGTTACATATATAGCTATTAACATAGTATGAACCTATGAATTACGATTGACCCGATGCAATCATTCTTTAATATTAGTGAACACATCCATCGAACACGCCTGCAGACTGATCATCGGCAAGGAGAAATCAGCGCGACGATCTGCGGGAGACGCACTGCGGCCGCTGATTGGCTGTCGCGCCTCCTGCCGCGATAATGACGTCGCCTCACTTCCTGTTCCCAAAGAAGTCGAACGGCTTGGATGGTTGAGAATCATCGATCGAGTCGCCATCCATCGGCCTCACTTTTGTTTCAGCCCACGATCTCACTAATTAATATTGGTTTGTTTCTCACTTTTAACCCATTCTGGCCTGGTGGTATTATTAGGTATTGGTTGAGAAGACTCTCCACCAATTGCCGTGCATCACCAGTGGGTTTTCCAGGAGACCGTTCTTGGACTACTCCTCCGTAACGCCCATCCAGCCGTGCCCCTCGGTAGTCTGGTCGTTTTTGTCTGAAACATTGATCATTGGCGACGACTGGATAGCCTCACTTTGTACTGCGATTGTTCTTTTTATTCATTAATCTCGACTATTGCTTACTTTGCATATCTTTGTCTTATCTGCTGAGCAAGGACTCCCACTCGCATTTCGAGACTGCCTTGGTCCTTTGAACAATCCCATCAATCTCTGATATACATAGTACTGCTATTTTCTTATTTTGGCACTTGATCAAAGCAACTCACAAAAGCACTCAAAATGACTACCCCTACCTTGATAAATCTGCCTCCCCCACCATCTGAATCGGTCACTCCATCAGATATGGGACCGTAAGAACATCCCCCAGGCTTTCCCGCCTGTTTCTGGCTTTCCTGATTTCGAATCATACTTTATTTGAAATGCATTCCAAGACCTCACTGACATTGTTATCCTTAGAGGAACCCCCAATTCTGGCACAACATCACTCTCTGCGTTGTCAACCACAGCCATCAAAGACGGTCATCAGGGTCAGCCCCTCCCCCATGGGCGCCATGCACACCATTCCTCGTCAACCTCTATGGCATCTACCAACACTTTGGAAGCGGAGCGCGCAGATCGCATCTCTCGCCTGGCTGGATTGGAACGGGTTGCAACCGCTCGAGCTGGTGGACAACCGCCATCCGGAACTTCTGTCCCTGCAACATATACCCCTGGCTACTTTGACAGCAACTCTGGAATGAAGGAGAGGAGCACTGTGGGAAGCGCCAGTGCGACAGGAAGCGTAGGTGGGCGTACCACCTGGGCCAGCGGGAGCGATGCATTTGACGCCGACAAGATGAGCGAGGACCCGGATGACGGGACATCCAGTGTGGGCAATATAAGTGAAGGAGACGCTAGTCTGGTGGGCTTTGGTGAAGGCGCCAGTACACTCAGTGGACCGACTTCTCAGTATTCGGGCCTGAACAGAATGTCCTCTGGAGGAGGGCGACCCAGTTCTCTGGGGAGCCCTCCCATAACCCGAGCAAACCCGATCGCATCATCTCTGCAGCATAGCGGTGATGGCCCGAATATGGCGCTTTCGCTGTCGCCTGCCGGATCTAATACGCCTGAGGCTATGGCGGAGGATGCTCGAGTGATCGACGGGATGACTTACGATGAGGGTGTGGTCGACACAACCATGAGAACTCCTCGATTGGCGACGCCAAATGATGGTAATGATCTTCCTGAGAGGTAACAGGAAGAGAAAGAAAAAAAAGAAAGAAAGAAAGAAACGGAAAGTGAACCGGGCGTTTGTACTGGGATATTATCTGATTTACTCGGGCTGTAATTTATGGAGATATAGTAAGTGGAGGCGTCATTCAAAAGCATCTGCTGGATGTGATACTATCAAAGAACCCGGGGATATTATTTGGAGGCTTTCTTGCTTGGATCTCGTTGTATTGATTCGAATCATTTCACTTGGTTTGTTTGAATATCAGCACAAACAATGTACTTTGAGGACTAAACCCAACACCATTGAACATGAACAATGAACAATGAATTTGAACCAGAAGCAATTAATTAGACCGATACTGACTGAACAGCACTTGAATATCAAAACCAGTAGTTGTGGTTGACACAAGCGCCGCCCCCGACACTTTCTGTCGCTTTCGCCGCAAAAACTCCAAAATTTTCCCTCGTCTTCCACTTCCGCTTCCACTTCGCCTCTCTCTTCTTCTCTCTCCCCCCCCGCAACCTCAACCACCCGCCCTTCAGTGCCTCATATTTCATTGCTGGCATTGACTTGTCAAGCAACGAAAGATCTCTGGACTGCAGATCCGACAACGCTTTCCCTCCCTCAGAACCTGTCAAGCTTAGCTGCCATTTCATCTGTTCTTTGTGTCTCTGTTTCGTCTCTGTTGCTGCGTCAGACCAAACAACAGCCTGCCACGCATAACTGCGGCACCACACACACCACACCACCACCAAAAGCCTTTCTTCTTGTGCCTCTATATTATCTGTTGATAGCAGAGAATTCATCTGGGTATTTCCAGTGCTTCGTTCTTGATATTTGCTATCTTTCCGAGAAGGTAAATCAATTTCCGACCAAACCTGTTGGAAAGGAAGAAGAGAGGGGCAGAAGTATATCGATCAGAATTCTAACTTATTATCTTAGAGAAATAAATCAAAATGGCAACTCCTTCACAGCTTGCTTGTGGGTCTTGCCTTTCTTTGCGTCTTATCGCGCACCCGAATCCCGCATTGCTGACTTTTGCCACGCAGACCGAACGGTTAAGGGGATTGGTATCTTGGATGCGGCCCCGTCTTATGAGCCCTTGTCGGGATTTGCGAGGTATGCATTGTTGTGTTTGGTTACTCGAATATTTGTGTGTGGATGCTGACTGGGTGTTGTTGCTCTCTGCAGACCTGAGGGGAACCTCCGCTGTAGCGCTTATTCTCCATGCGGTCGATACTTCGCATGGGCATCACCAGACAAGTATGTTGCCGGATATATGCCACTGGAATTTGAGTCGGGATGTTGATATCCTACAGAGTTACCATCGTTGATCCCTCCGCCGGTCATGTCGTTTCTACCATCTCCGCCGAAAATGTCTTCGAATTGGGATTCTCGCCGCTCGGTACTTACCTGATCACCTGGCAGCGTCTATCCAAGGATGCCAATGGAGATGCCGTCAAGAACCTCAAGGTCTGGCGCGTGGTCGAGTCCGATAGTGGAGATGAGCGCGCTGTTGTGGGCAGTTACGTCCAGAAGTCGCAGACAGGCTGGAACCTCCAGTACAGCCCTGATGAGCGTCTCTGTGCTCGTGTCGTCACCAACGAGGTCCAGTTCTACCAGAGTGAAAACCTGTCGTCGGTCTGGAATAAGCTGCGCGTGGAGGGGGTGGCAGACTTTGCGCTCGCGCCCGGGAACTCTTCATCGATTGCTGTGTTCATTCCTGAGCGGAAGGTAAGTCTATCGATGGTCAATTGGCTGGAATACCCGTTGCTTATACCACTTCTTTATATAGGGACAACCAGCTGCGGTCAAGGTGTTCAATGTGCCTCAATTCGGAGCGCCAGTTTCGCAGAAGAACTTCTTCAAGGGTGATAAGGTCCAGCTGAAGTGGAACGCTTCAGGAACTACCTTGATTGTGCTTGCTCAGACCGAGGTCGACCGGACTGGTAAGAGCTACTATGGAGAGACTACTCTCTACTTGCTCAGTGCCAGTGGTGGCTTTGATTCCCGCGTGGAGCTTGGTATGTTGTGATTTCCCTAAAGGCCTTAGGCCGCGTACTGATATTATTCGATAGACAAGGAAGGCCCAATTCACGATGTGAGCTGGTCTCCCAACTCCAAGGAGTTTGGTGTTGTCTACGGTTACATGCCTTCTAAGACCACGATCTTCAACTTCCGGGGTGTCGCCAAGCACACTTTCCCTCTGGCACCTCGCAACACCATCATGTTCTCCCCACATGGACGCTTTGTCATCGTGGCAGGCTTTGGTAACTTGGCTGGTCAGATGGACATTTTTGACGTGGACAAGGACTACTCCAAGGTTACTACCGTGGAGGCGTCGAACTCCAGTGTTTGCGAATGGTCCCCTGATGGACAGTATATCCTGACGGCCACCACTAGCCCCCGGCTGAGAGTGGACAATGGAGTTCGCATCTGGCATGTGGGTGGTGGGCTGATGTACAATGAGGATATGCATGAGCTCTACGATGTCTGCTGGAGGCCTCAATCCACTACCCAACACCCGCTGGGTAACCCCCTCCAGTCCCTGCCGACCCCGCATCCATCTGCCCTCGCATACCTTAGCACGAAGAAAGCTCCTGTTAAGCCTGCGGGTGCTTACCGTCCACCGGGAGCCCGTGGCCAGGGCACTCCCCTGGCGTTCAAGCGGGAAGATGAGGGTGGCGCGGCGTTTGTTCGCGACGGTGCCTCTCCCGGCGGCATCGCCGGCCTTGTCGCCAATGGATTTGGCAAGCCCCGGAGACGCGATGTGCCCGGTGTTGACCCCACTGAGGAGTACCTTCCCCCCGGAGCCGCTCCAGGAGGAGGTGTTGCTCTGCCCGATGAAAAGCTCTCCAAGTCGGCCGCGAAGAACAAAAAGAAGCGTGAGGCCAAGAAGCAAAAGGAATTGAATGGCGAAGGTGAGCTGGCGCCGGCCCCGAATGCCGGTCAGCCGACACGCAGCCCGGACCGTCGCGGGGACAAGGGCCACGAGCGTAGCCGATCCAAGGCCAACAAGATCAACGGCAACCAGGCAAACGGTGTCCCCACTGGGCCCAAGGCTGCCGCCCCTGCCCCTGCCCCTGCCCCTGTGCCGGAGGCCGATGTGAACCCCACGGCCCAGGAAAAGAAGATTCGGGGATTGCTCAAGAAGATCCGAGCGATTGATGAGCTCAAGATGCGTCTGGCGGGCGGAGAGAAGCTCGAGGATACGCAGATGAAGAAGATCCAGACCGAAGACTCAGTTCGCAAGGATCTGGAGGCATCGGGATACACCGGATAGCTTTGAGATAGTTATTTCTACAATATGAATTTTGGACACTGAAGAAACTGCTACGTAGATAATGAAAAACACGCTTGTGATTTAACTATGTATATGCGTCTAGTTAGAGAAAAAAAGAAAGAAACACCACTTAGTCAAGCCATCTACCTAGTATCAAAGCTCAATATCCATCTGTAATCCCCCGTGCTCTTTCTATTTGCTGCCTCTCTCTATTCGTTATCCACCACCACCTATTTGGCTCATCCGCCTCAGCCGCCTCGGGTTCATGCCACGGCTTCTTCGCAAAGATATAATGCACATTCTTGACCTCCGCATCGCGCCAGATGGCCGAATGCACACCTTCCCATCTCAAACTCTTGAGCGCATTGTACACATACGGCAATTCAGCCCACCTCCCGCTAAAGACGTCACTCAGAAGGCCTTGATCGGCGAATTCGTACTTTGCAATACGCGACGGTGTCTGAAGGGCTTCTTGGACCTCGGCAAAGGAAACCTCGGAGGGACGAACGACGATGAGACCACTGTTCAGCATTCCAACGCCCGTTGAACATGATGCGCCGTAGAGTTGTGCCTTATCCGGATTCGAGTGCTGGGATGTAAAGGCGCAGTTTTCCGGGCTCCTTTTATACGAGCCGATCATTAGCCATTTGCAATTGGAAATAATCCATCAAGATGGACGGGGAAATAGGGATTCAGTACCAGTTACTGGGGTAATAGTCCTTCTTCAACGGATTGCATGCACATGCATGACTGGCAGCAATAACTCTCTTCTCCAAGTCCAGCTCGACATCCATCAACTCATCCATGTTGCGTCGCACCAGCATATCCCCATCCAGCAGAACGATGCGCTCATATTCAATCAGTGAAAACACCACCAGTTTCTTCCAGGCTTCTCTGAAGCGGAGATCCTCCTCGTAGGCCCGTCCAACGGTGGGGGTGACTGTGGGCACAAGCTGGGTCGTGATACCGCGAGACTTCAAAACATCGACACCTTGATCGGGGAAGGACTCGGTGTAGAAGGCGACAAAAGGATATTTAGTGTTTGCTTGTTGGAGGGAGTAGGAGAGGGTGAGGAGGCCGGGGACATAGTCGAGGTTGGTGATGAGAGAGGCCCAGACTGTTTCCCGCCGTTAGTTATACATGAGAATCAGAGTCACCCTTTGCTCACCTTTGGGATTGGTGGTAGTAATTGAACCCATTCGCGATTGTGGGATAGATTCAACACAAAGATCGGATTGGGGAATTGTCAATTTTGTTATTTCCAAAAACTTGGAAAAAGCAATGGCAGATAAACCCCGCGCCGAGGCGTGTGAGCTAAAAAAAAAAAATGCATGATGTTAGAACGGAGTAAATCTTCGATGATCTTCTATTCTAAAATCTATGGACTTGGACATTGGGTGAATAGTATGAGTTAATGCACTTCAAACCTATTGGTCTATAATATCTACGGTAGATTAATGTCCCCATCGCCCTGTTGATAACCCCATCCCAATCCCTGGCTGTCCGTCTGTCTCTGCCACTGACACCGATGTAGAAACGCCCAAGATGGAATGCAAGAGACCCCTTCCTATAGACAGATCGGTACCAGCACAGAGATGAAAGACTAAACAGTGAATCCAGGTGATTGAAACGAGGCATTGTGACATAAATGCCACAATTATTTGAGACGGGCCGACTTCTCATCCAGATGGGTCGTCAGAGACTTGTCGATATATCGCAGCCGATACAGAGCTTATTCTTTCAAGAAGAAAGAATTTCAAGGCATGGTCCTCGCCTTGCGCTCCACCTTGCAGCGCGAATGTGAAGAAAGCTATGTCACTCCATTATTGTCGCTATGGTAGTCTGAACATTGGGTATCTCTGGTCCATTGAGACGTACTATCTCGAATTAAAATAAGAAAACCGAACTGTGCTGAACATTAGGTGAAGATGCGCGCTCTCTTAATCGGGCTGCCCATTCGAAGGGACTGGTTGCCATTCGCCATCCCACTCAATAATCGATCCATTCCATCCACGTCGAGCTCCCCCCTTCGAAGCATGAGCTGATCTGTCTCCGCTGTTGGTGCCTCATTCACTGATTGTCGGAAAGCCGGTTGCTCCTCTGGTTCCGTAAGTCTTGGAGCCAGGATCATGACTCGGTGCTCTGTAGTAACGAGGATATCGAAGTCCCGACGTTCGGTATCTCTGGTGCGGCGAGCTGCAGCGGGAAGATGTCCGATCCCTGTGAAATTCTCTCCCATTAAATTAACGTCCTGGATAGTCGATACTCGGCAGCGGTTGGAGGCATCAAAAGTTCCAGATGCTTTGACGGCATTGCGCCATAAAGATAGCAGACTGGGTATAACCGCACTCTGATCGCCGTGTCGCAAGAGAATCGACTCATCAGGCAAAACATCCCTTGACGAGTTGATCTGGAAGACTGAAAGTTCTCCGCACATGGACGGCCTGGATAGCCCCATTGACCCCTTGAGCAAGGTGTCTTCTCGCACGCGTTTCGTAGATGGGGTCATGGGTGCGAATTTTGGCCGTTGCTCAACACTGGCCAGTTCCGGCTTGTTGTTTCCTGTCAATGGGCTAAGGATTCGACCACTGACAGAGAAAGCTGTCAGAGATCCGCCAGTGACTCCTTGAACGCTGGACTGGCGATGGAGAGGTCCTTTGACGGTACCAGGACCAGCCCCTTCGATATCCCAGACTCCCCACTCTCCGTCGGCCATGAGTACCATAACGGCTCGTCCACCAAGTACCCACTTAGAATCGATAATGGTTTTCCGGTGCGCAAGTCCCGAGGCTGTTTGGTCGAACCCTGGATACAGGCTGATAAGCCACTTCCCTTCGGTTTCAGTGGTCTCGAAATCGCTCTGAGGGCCTGAAGACCTCCGCGAAACTTTAGATGGTCTTGTAGAGAAACACGAGTATATTTTCACGCATCCGCTATGGAATGCCACAAGCAATGTTGAGTGGCGTGTAGACGGGTAAGAGGACGGGTTGAAGGCGATGGTCTTAGCCGGGGCTGGCAAATGCCGTCGTTTGGCCTCAAGAACTTCAGACAGGCTATAAATGCCTTCATTTCCATTCGACTCGTCCACTATCGGAATTCGATGAAATAAGAGCAGGCCGGATGCCTCCGCCGAATGGGTTGCCACGAGAAGGTCCCATCGCTCTGCGTTGCTGGTGTCAAGGTTATGCGTTGTACTCCGACCCCGGGATTTGCTCAATTCCCGGTCTTCCTCACCTTCTTGACACGTGAAGGTAATAGAAACACCTCTAGGGATCTCCTGGTGAGCGCCCGCAATCAAGAGGCTTTGGATTTGCCACGTCGAAGGGTCGGTTTGGGTAGGGTGAGGTGGAGTCAGCGGCAGAGCTACAACTCGAGTCGAGTAGTCTGCACACACAGCAGAGACAACAATAGTCTTTTTTAAAATAGGCGGGAAAGGGTCGAGTGGTGAGCGTGCCGTGTCAGGGAGAATGCAGGGAACTGCCAATTCGAGGACTTTGCTGCCCAGTGGGATATCGATCTGACGTAGAACGTCTTCAAAAGGATAGGTGGGGTCGACCTCAGGCTCCTCAGAATTGAAGCTGTATCTTAATACTTCATCTATCGGTGGTTCTGGGGAGTCCTCCTCATCCGAGTCGATTATCATCACAGCGTCGTCATGGCCGCCGTTTGCCTTCTCCTTGGGTTTGTCCTCCTGGGTCGTAGTCTTTTCCGCAGAAAATTGTCGTCCACCCCTCCAGATAACCTTGAGTCCATTTTCATATCCGTATATTATGATTGAGGAGCCATTTGGGGCGAGGACTGGATATCCTTTGGCGGCATGGGCCCGATGGGGAAGTTGGTAGCTAAAAATCACTCAGTGAGCGTTGAACCTTCTAGCAGAGCCACAAGTTTATATACCTCAGTTGTAGACCATCATCTCTTGGCCTTACCAAGGGTCTTGTTGGAAAGGACGGCATTGCGCCCAAGTGGTGACGATCGTAAAGGCGACGAAGAAAGAACCGAAAGCTGTAGAAGCTAGGTCCGACCACGCATTTGCGAGGGAAAACCTCGAATAATAATTAGCTCACCAGCTGAAATCGTGATCAGTCGATGGAATTAGGCGTATGTGATAGATTGGAAGAAAACAGAGAAGGGTGAGTGGAGATGGTGGTGGAATTGAGGGAGAAGAAAGAAGAAAAAGAAGATGTTTTGGTTTGTGTTGGAGAAAAGCAGATCGAAGTTGCCGCGTCCAGCGCGTCACGGGCATATTTCAACACTTCCACCACCACTTCTGGCGCCCACGACAGGTCTTTGACTTGGTTCAAATCGCCCTCAAGCTGCCTGGATCGATAATAATGGACATGGTCCAGCCAAGGGCTTCTTCTGCCGGAAATAATACTGCTACGGCCTTCATTTCGCATCGATAGACAGACCGACCCTCATACCATGGCGACAGTCCGGTCGCTCGGCCTTCACGAACCCTCGGCCCTACCTTTCTTGATCGCAGAGAATTTCCTGCCTCCTGAACCTTCTGAAGATCTGTACACGTGGAAAAATAGCGTTGATCATGGACCTGAAGGCCCCGTTGATGATGAGATCGTCTGGACGAAGACCTGCGTGGTTTGGTCTAGGGCGGGGGTCGTGAAGAGAGTGTTTCGGCTGGATCTCGAGAAAGAAAGCATCCGACATGCTCTATTTACATATTTTACAACCGGGAAGACCAAGAGATCTGAAGGAAGTACGACTCGTGAGCTGCCCGGGGAACAATCGCGGGGGAATGAAGCCGGCCGGAATCGAGGTCCCCAAAGCCAGTCGCAGCGTGGAAATGAATCGAAACTTGCAGCTTCAGGATTGACATTAAATCTACGCGGAGGAGATATGCTGGGAAGAGATGCGAGTGCTTCCCAGACAGACAGTGGACTCTCTAGAGCTTTGGTGGTGGTTCTCAAATCCCAGGCCCATATATTCTTCCTGTCTGGGAACAGCCATGCGATTCCCTTGCCTTTTGAAGTTGACTCGGTGTTTGCTACTCCACGGGGTCTCTTGTTCCAACGAAAGGTTCACGAGGAAGATACCCCTACAGTTTACCCAATGGCTCCTCCCAATTCGTTCATGTCCGTTCCTCTGGACTTTCGCGCATCCCAGTCGTTGGAGATGTCTTCAAGCCAAACCAAACGGCCTTCTTTGGCATTTTCCCCAGCCCCAGGTCCAAAGTTGAAATCGCAGCCTAAAAAACATACCGACCTTCCTAGGGTATTTTCCCTCATGGACCCTCATGCTGAAATGGGCTTGGTTGTGACCAGCCAGAATTCCCGTTGGCTGCAGAGCAGTACCAGCAGCACAAGGCCTTCTGGGTTGGATGCTCTAGATCCATCTGATGAGATAATCTATGTTTCTCCAACCGATGAACTCTCAGGTTCCAGTCAGATGCTAGTGAATGGCCCCTTGATACTTGTCCTGACCGTCAACAAGAACACTGGACTGTACACCCTCTGGACAGCGCGCTACAGGGATGAGGAGACTGGCTCTTCTTCCAAGAAGAAAGGAAGACGAGAAACCGGTGGCACTCGGTCTAAACGGCGGAGTTCACATTTCGGAATGGCAACTGGGGCAACGACCCCCGCCGCTCGTCCGTCTGCTACCAGGGAGAGCTTTGGCCCAAGGGGAGACAACTGGAATAATTCCGTCTTATCGCATTCCCAATATTCGACGGATGGGAAACCGGATGAAGAAGACTTCGCGTCCAAGTTAGGCCAAGACTTTGGTGATATTGGCGTTCCGCTCAAAACATCAAGACGGGTCAGCTCTTTGCTCGCTCGAACCGACCTTGCGGCCAGCCAGGATAGAATTACATTTTCAGATCTTGCTACAGGAAGCCAATCGAGTTCAGCACCCCATGGAGGTCTAAGACAGTCGCTAGGTGGCGGCAGCACTCGTGGAAGCTTCGGGTTTAACCCCAGAGGTTCTTTACCCCCCGGGAATGGCTCCGTCTACAGTACTAGTACCTTTGCCGATGGCCCAGTCGACAGGCTTCTTGAGGAATTGAACAACGAGAGTTTATTTGAGGGGTTTGAAAACATGGATCTCAAGGGACCAGCATCGGGTCTTCCCGAGGAAGTGATGCTTTCCAAAGTCGAAACCTTCTCTTCGAAATTCTCCGGTAGTTTCAACACGCCTGTAAAGTCAAAGCCATCCCGAAGACTCAAGATCTCCACATTATCTCCTGGATGCAGTAACACCCAAAACGGAAACTCGACTGTCCTAGCGGTTTGTATTGTGGACCAGGAAGCAAAAACAATGACCATTGTCAATCTGCGGGCTGATCGAGTCGCACTTGGAAAGAAGGATAAGGCAATATCCAAGAAATCTAAAAAGAGCGGCACTTCAAGGGAGCGCTCTCTACTAGTCCAGGCAACTGGGATACAGCACTTTTCGAATATTTGTGATGCTTGTAGGATTGTTGATGGGGATATTGCGCGTATTTTGACATTGAGCGCATCGGACGACGGAGAACGCGAGTTATCCCTGCAGTCTCCATGGAGCAGCCCAACCACAGTTGAAGTGCCCACTAAGCTGATGCTCTATGAACCATACGGAGTATCTTCCAGTGCATCTCTAAGTCGCCCAAGAGAGAGCGGAATGAACAGAATCATGATGGATTCCTCCGTCACGATTACTGGTATAGACCATCCATCCATTGATGGCAAGGTAGACGTCATCGATACAATGAGGAGAAGACACAGGTTCCAGATCGGGATGGAGCCCGACAATGAGCTTGTACGGAAGATCTTTCGAGTTTGCAAATTTGCTCTACGCGACTCAGAAAAGGCCGGAGACGGCATTTTGGTTGGGTGGTGGGAGACTATGAAATGGCTTCGCTCCAGGGAAGCAAACGAGAATGACCTGGAATGGACGGCCATGATCGTTATATTGTTCGCAATGGCCGTGCCATTCATCGACGGCGAGCAGACCCGGACACCAGTTAAGCAAACTCGCCGGAAAAAGGGTCTCCTGAGGTCTAGTAGTGGTAGCTACGTCGACCTGGAAAGTTGGAAAGCCATGCTTGACCAAGAGTCTGGCTCTGCTGGTGTTGTGGCGCCGTGGATGACAAGTAGCTCATGGGGGTGGGTGGTTGAGCAAGATGCTGAAGAGGATCTTGATGGACGCCAAGGGAAAAGGTTTTCGAGGATTGAACAACCTGACTCGAGTCGCTCGACTTTCCGTAAGAATTCTTACTTGCTTCGGTGTGCAGCTTTGGCCCGAGAGTTCTTGCAAAGTCCTCAGGGTACTGAGGCCTGTGGGCCCGATGGATACCTCCCCATTGCAGGCTCCTACAATGAGAATTCACGACGTACTGCTTTATGTACATTGTTGATCGGCCTGCACCTTCTTCGCGAGGAGCAAAAGCTTTCAATCTGCGAGGCGGAGCAAGCGCACCGGCCTTTGGGATTGTTGGCCCCAGTGCTGGCTCAGATCGGAAGATGGTTAGGATGGAGGTCCTGGACATGGGAAGAAGGCTCTTACTTTAGCATGGAGCTAGCCAGTATGGATCGCTGGCAATTTGAGGACTCTCAAATCTCGATGCTTGATCTCCCCTCGGAACCATTCGCACCTCCTTCGATCTTTTCCTACCTGGAGAGTGCTTGGCGCCAACCACCGGCGTCCTATTTCACTCTGCTTGACCTTGTGGCAGCATCAGATCGCACCCCCGGAAAGGGAAGGGCGTGGCAAGAATGCTTTGCTCTCACCCCGAGAACGTTGGCGCTCAATGGTTTCCTCTCTGAAATGCATCGGTACTCTGCATCACTCGACAAGGTTAAGCTTCTGCATCGCTGGGGTCTCACCAGAAGTGTCATCGAGACCTTCCCCGAAGGTGTCGGAGCACCGCTGTATGAAGCTATTATGCAGTCTCAAATCCGAGCCTCAACGTCTTGGGACGCAGCTCTTCTGGGGCTCATTGACCGAGAGGATCTGAATATGTCGATGAATGTCAACAACTCTCACCCCTCGTCTGCGTCACCGCAACCTGCAGTGTCCCATGATGCTATACGGGACTTCCACCACATTGGTACTTCTGCAATGGACATTGACACAATCAACTCGTTCGAGGCTTCCGCAGAAGCGGACAGGTTCTCTGTCACACGGCTGATCTTCCGAGAAGACAAGCGTTTCATGGAGGCGGCCAGGCTACTAAACCAATCCAAAGCTCCTGCGGCAGAATGTACCCCGGAGCCAGATTGGACTGATTCGGATCTGCTCGAGGCACAGAAAGAGGTTGTGCAGCTCGTGACGCTACGAACACTGTCTATTCCTACTGGACGGGCTATGCTGGCGTTCAGTGGCCGACTGCCACTGTTAACCGAGAAACTTCCAATTCCCTCCTTTTCTCTGCAGTGCGTTATGAAGCCTTCTAACGTGACCATCAGTGCAGACCGGGCTGCATTTAGTGAGGAGAAGGTCTGCTGGGCCTTTTTCCATAATGGTGTCTCCACTGGTCTCGCAATCTCAAAAGCTTCAAAGGGAATCGACACTTCGTGGATTCTCTTTAACAAACCCCAAGATCTCACCAATCGGCACGCTGGCTTCCTACTGGCTCTGGGTTTAAATGGACATCTGAAGTCGCTCGCTAAATGGGTGGCTTTCAAGTACCTAACACCCAAACATACCATGACATCCATAGGTCTTTTACTTGGTCTCTCAGCATCTTACCTGGGTACGATGGACACGCTTATTACTCGACTGCTTTCAGTGCATGTAACTCGGATGTTGCCTCTGGGTGCCGCGGAACTTAACCTATCGCCGCTGACGCAGACTGCTGGAATTATGGGAATTGGCCTGCTGTACTGCAACTCTCAACATCGGCGGATGAGTGAGGTGATGCTGTCGGAGATCGAGAACACGGACCAGGAAGAGGGCTCTGCATTACACGAGGACTTGCGTGACGAGGGGTACCGCTTGGCCGCTGGGTTCGCTCTTGGATTCATTAACTTGGCCAAAGGAAAGGACCTAAGGGGAATGCGAGACATGCATATTGTGGAAAGATTGCTGGCCATCGCAGTGGGGACTAAGAATGTTGATATAGCGCACGTTCTTGACCGGGCCACAGCAGGTGCTACAATTGCATTGATGATCATTTTCATGAAGACCAACGATGAAGTTCTGGCACAGAAGATTGATATCCCCGACACCTCCGTGCGATTTGACTATGTTCGACCTGATCTTTTCCTTCTCCGGACACTCGCCAGACATGTCATCATGTGGGACAGTATCCGACCCACTGACGAGTGGTTCGTACAGAGCCTTCCAAAGATCTATCGCCCTCGATACCGCCTGACAGGAGTTCGTCGGCTGAAAAGTGATGACATGCCGTTCTTCAACATCATTGCCGGTCTGTGTCTAACCTTAGGGCTGCGTTATGCAGGCTCTGCGCAGGCACAGGTTCGCGATCTCCTTCTTTCTTACCTGGACCAACTCATCCGGATCTGTCGACTCCCTGTTGTGAACTATGACGGCAAGCTTGCACGGAACTCGGTCCGCAACTGTCAGGATGTTGTTGCTCTTTCCGTGGCTACAGTAATGGCAGGAACCGGAGACCTGGCGTTGTTTCGGCGACTGCGTTCTCTTCATGGCCGTGTTGATGCCGATACCCCGTACGGCAGTCATATGGCTGCCCACATGGCAGTGGGAATGTTGTTCCTGGGTGGAGGTAGCCATACGCTGGGCACGTCAGACCTCGCCATCGCGTCCTTGCTTTGTTCATTGTATCCGATCTTCCCGAACACGGTACTCGACAATAAATGTCACCTGCAAGCATTCCGACATCTATGGGTTCTCGCAGCAGAGCCGCGCTGCCTGGTGCCTCGAGATATCGACACCCGTCGTCCGATTTCGATTCCAATCACGGTGACGACCAAGAACGGTAGTGGTAGACGTATCACGGCACCATGCCTTCTTCCGGATCTGAGCAACGTGGCCAAGGTCGAAGTGCACAGCGCCGACTATTGGCCGCTGGTTCTGGACTTTGGCCACAAGGATGGACTCCGAGAGAAGTTCCGCCATGGCGATCAGTCAGTATACCTACGCCGCAAGACGACATACAACCCATCCGGATCGTCGGTGTTTCTGTCTACACTATCGGGGCTCAGCGAAGCCCAAGATGTGCTTCCAACGTCGACATCCGCATCGAACCACGGCAAGGGACTCCCGGCGGCATTGTCGAGTCTGGATGCACTCCTTTGCTCAGGACAAACTGCCAACCCGACGTCACCATCACAGAGCATGTGGGACTGGATTTTCAACCTGGCCTCGCTTCAAGGACTCGACATCCGGGAGAGGTCGCTGGTGATGCCGTCGTCGCCGGCCCGAATGCAGAATTCATTCTCGGACCAGAGTGCCTCTTCATATGCACCATGGCTTCGTCTGTCTGCTGTCGACAGTAAATTAATTCTGGAGCACAGCGTGCAGAACGCGATCAAGGCCGCCGAAAATGGTCGCGGGGCAGATGCCGACGAGATCCGGGATCGACTGTGGCAGTTGCGGTTACTTTTCAACTGGATCGATCGAAATGCAATGGAGGACCAAGGCGACGAAGAAGTCGAAGGGGAAGATATGGGGCCCACTGGGCCTGGGAACGGGTTATGGTTACGGAGGGATTTCATCGAAGAAGCACGGTGGAAGATCTGGGGAATCCAAGCGGGGGACTATGAATGAATGCATTTTAGCCCAAGGCATATTCATCCAAGCATGATATTCATGATGTGATTCGTGATGGAATGGGGGAGTTTTGCTATGAGTTTGTTTATATAGAATTAATGTTGATTTTTATTTTCATGGTTTTTCATGGTTTATGGACGGACGGACGTTATATATTTATCTGGTATTTGATGACGTGACATCGTAATATATGCAAGAGTATTTCCTCTTTTTTTCTTTTTTACTTTGCTCCACCCAAACTCCAATATATGCAAAATGAATCGACAATTACTGCGGTCGGACGGCGCCTTCTTTCAACACACCCCGATCTCCTGCTCCTCCCATCTGCCATAACCAGACACCTTCCACAGCCCAAGCGGAGGCGCTCGCATGACGTCCAACGCCACCGGCCATGGTCTGGGAGGGGGCTGAATCGTTTTTATCCTTATCTGCTGTGCGTCGAGGCCCGGAAGACTGGTTTCCATCGGCCTCGGCCAACATACGGCCTACAACGCCCTCGCGTTCGATGACAAACCATAATCCTTCGACGAGGGTACTGCCGCGCTCACCGAATTGACCCTTACCCAGACGAAACAGGATGCGGCCTAGGACCTGCCAGGCGATACAGCGTTGTGCGGGGAAAGAGGAACGACTGAGGATGGCCAGTTCGGGGATGGTATAGCCGGCGGCTTGGGGGTCCTCGCCGTGATGATGGAGGCCTAGGTTGGTGGGGAGAGAGAGCGAAGTAGAAGGGGAGAGAAGAGTTCCAATGAGGGAGAAACGGATGGCAGAGGGGTGGACAGCATCGGCACTGCTGGCGGGGTGATAGGCGGACGAGGAGTCTGGGTCTTCGGAAGAGGAAGAGGGGGGTTTGAGCCAGGAGAGAGCGGAAGGGTCGTGGGACATCTCGGGGAAGTAATGGGCTTGCAGATCGGAGAGGAATGAGGGGGAGAACGGGTCGAGATTGGGCAGGGGGTTCTGCTGATGGGGTGGAGGAGTCGGGAAATGGACGGAGTTGGGAGGAGGCAATTCGGCGGCGGGATGGAGATCGTCGGGGACATGAGAGGGAGGGAGATCTTCGTTGACGGGTGGCGGGACTGGAGGTGCTGATGATTGTGACGGAGGATTTGCTGGTGGCTTTGTGGATGGTGGTGATGGCTCTGGGACATCAAACGAGACGGATTTCTTTTGAGTCTTGCGGTCTTTTTGATCGTCCCGTGGCGGCTCTTCGGGGGTGGGTTCTTTAGCCTTTTCGTCATCGTCAATCTTGGCTCTCCGGAGGAAGCGTTCAAGTAATGAAGAGTCCATGGTGGACATCAGTTCATCGCGTTCTTGCTGAAGCTGTGAGGCAGACATCGACTCGATCTGACGACGATTTTGTTCATCGATGGACTTTTTATCATCGTTTAGGGTGGGAGTGGCGGAAGTGGAAGCGGAAGCGGAAGCAGTCGAGGCTTCTGCTTCTTGCTGCTTCTGAGCTCTTCGCTGTTTGAAAGAGGACTGGTTGACGCGACGACGATGCTGGGGAAAACCGGTGCCGGAGGGAGGTTTGGGCGCGGGGGGCACGGCGGCGGAGGGAGCACGTTCACGGATTTCGCCAATGAGGCTGATGGAAGGGAGGGGAGAATCATCGACGGGGGTTTTATTGACGTCGATTTCATCATCGTCAAAATCGACGACGAAACGCTGGCCTGGGAACGCCATGATGAGAGTCGGATGGAAATGCGTTGGAAGAGAAGAAGAAGAAGAAGAGAAAATGGCGGGGAGGAAAAATGAGGCTCAAAAGCCTAAATTGGAATGCAGGAGAGACTAACCGGATTGGGAATAGAGCTGGTAGATGGGCTAGTCCAGATCGGGTAACTTGCTATACATACATTTTCAAGATATTTACTATACGAGGAAGATTGTTATAATGATGTGGTTATCGATGGTATATTGTGTATTTGATATAGAGAAGGAATAGATGATCATATCAAAAGATGTGATAGTGTTGAAGATACGATATAGAGTGAGTTGGTATAGCGATATAACCGATATAATATGATATCAAGATATGATGAATGCATGTATAGATGGATATAAATATATGAGAATAAATATAGGTTTAGCAGATATTATAATGATTGTAAAATCAGGCATGGTTGATTGTACTGATACGGTCCCTCAATTGTATACCAGTATGCTGTATGATCTCATATAAACTGATAATTTAAATGATAAAATAGCGTAATGTAAAATATGAAATAGAGAATATAAGAGAATAAAATAACAGAGACTAGATATAGTATATGTAGTATAAGATTGTATTGGAGAATAATAGTCGTATGTATAGATGTCGATCATTGATATGACTTTGGATCAATCATGGAGAATATCAAATGCCAATCAATCCAACAACACAAATAGTGGAAGTATTAATAGATATAATACTAAGTCATAGTGACAATATACAAGATATAATAATATAATATCAGCATATATAAAATAGATATAATAGAATATATAACACAGAACCATCATATAATATCATATCCGTTCCGCCTTTTGCCCTGTTTTTCTTTTTCCTGCTTTTTCCCCCTTCGATTCCCCCGTTTTTTTTTCTCTTTCTTCCTTCCTTCTTTTCTTCTTCTTTTCATCCCCACCAGTTGACTTTTGGGCCTCTTTCCATCCACCCTTTCCATCTTTCTTCTTCTTCTGCTTCTTTTTAATTCTTCCTTTCTTTCTCTTCTTGTATCTTTCTCTCTATCATCTTCTCGTTTTTAATCCCCCTCTTTCTTCTTTTACTCTCCACTATACATCATCCCCTCGATGACCTGATCAACCCATCATCGATTATTCCTCCATCCTCTCTCCCTCTCCCTCTCTCCTCTTTCTTCCTCTAATCCACCATGTCGACCGATCCTCCGAATGGTGTTTATCCGGCCAAAGAGGAAAACGACTCGTTGTCCTCCATCGATTCCGATGCTGCTGCGCGCGACAAGCCCGACGCCAGGGATTCCCGACGACGTGCCTCTGCTGGCACCGCCACTCGGCGGTCGCGTCGCAAGAGAGACGACGACCAGGACGACAAGAAGGACAATCCCAAACCCACCAAGGCTACAAAGGAAAAGGAGAAGGAGAAGGAGGTCAAGCCGCGTGCTCGTCGTCAACGGGATAAATCTTCCAACAACAACAACAACAACAACAACAACAACTCTCCCTCTACCAACTCCAATGCTACCAACTCCCGCAAGAAACCCAAGCTGGAGCCCAACGCCAATCATGAGCCCCCCGTAGCCCCCAATCTTCCGGGGCCTTCAGGGGCGCCGCAGCCGAAAAGCCCCCAGCCAACTGTCAGTCCTCCGGGCGCATCAGTCCCCGCATCGTCTATTCCCCAGCATCAACAGCAACAGCAACAACAACAGCAGCAGCAACAGCAGCAGCAACAGCAGCAGCAGCCCCTTCATCCGCATCATCCTCATCCTCACCAACCTCTTCAATCCTCGTTGCCAGCCTACTCTAATCCTACTCCGCCTCCCCCTGCTGCTGCTCCTTATCCCCTGGCTCAATCGTTTCCTCCCCGACCGCAATCCCAACCTCCGCCGCCCGCCCCGCCCCAGAGGACCAGTGGTCAGAATTATGATCCCATTCGATCGGCCTTTGGCACTACATCTCCTGCGCCTACTCCCTCGGCCGTCAGTCCACCGACTCGAAACCTCTCTCCGCGTAATACGTTCCGAGCCAGTGCCAGTGCCTCTCCCGCTATTGCCAGTATCATCGATCCACCCCAGCAGAGTGCCTCCAAGACGACCGTCTACTCTCCAATTCCTCCGCGCACTTCGCCGGGTCATATCTCTTCTACCATCTCTTCTCCGGCGGCTCATCCCATTGCTCCGACACCGCCTCATCATTCACTAGCTCCTTCGCCGTTACCGGCTGCCTCTCCCCATGGAGGTCCTCTCATGTCGCAGCAACCGCTGCCAACACACTCATACGCCAACCACTCCCCCTACCAACCTCAACCTCAACACCAGTCACACCCTTCAGTACCTCCCCCTCCGCAGCAACAACATCGGCAAGAAGAACACAAGCCAGAGAAGCCTGCTGCTGCGTCAACTCCACCAGAGTCTAAGCTGCAGTCGCAGCAATCTCAGCAGGTTTCTGCGCCTGAAGCTCAAGAACCCGTGGCGATGGAGGTAGATACAGAACAGACCACTCAGTCAACCACAAAGACGTCTAAAAAGGAGAAGACCGGCACCACTGCTCCGTCTTCTAAACCTCCGTCACCCAAACCGGCCCGGACCATCAAGGAGGCTCCTCCCCCACTCCCTCAGGGCTCCGGGCTGATCTCCAACGCTCTGTTCGGTACAGATGACAGCGGTCAGGCGTCTGATTCTCGCACCACCCCGAACATCATCTTGCACATCCCACTGCAGGGCACGGGAAACCGGATCGTCAACTTCGCTCGTTTGGCAGAAGAGCAATATGGGTTTGCTGCCTTGCATCCGCGGCTGGCCGCACACAAAGAACGGCTGGCGCGCGTTGCAGCGGCCGGGGCCGCCTTGGAGCGGAATGAGAAGGGAGCCAAGGGGTTTTCGGCTGGGGAAAGTGCCGACGAAGATCTCAGCTTTGAGGTTGACCGTGATAGCGACTTGGACGGTGATGTTTCCATGGGCGGCATAGCTTCGGGCCTCGCTGCGAGCACCAATGGTGCCCCGACAGACGCAGCCGATGGAAAGAAGAAGCGCCGCAAGAAGAAGATGGAAGAGTACGACCGGGACGATCCGTTTGTCGATGATAGTGAGATGGCCTGGCAGGAGCATGCGGCTGCAAGCAAGGATGGTTTCTTTGTTTATAGTGGACCCCTGGTTCCTGAAGGAGAGAAGATACAGGTTGAACGGTACGTTGTCTTTCTGTCCTCTGCTATATTAATATAAATCACTAATGATTCTCCAGGGCCGATGGAACCATCAAACGAGGCCGTGGTCGTGGACGCGGTGGACGAGTTCGCGGACCTTCGACTCCCCACCATCAAGTACCTATCGCTGCAGCTGTGCCAATCTCACAAGAAACTGGCCTGCCACTGCGTGGCCCTGGTTCTCGTGGTGGCAGCACCACTCGCCGTCCCCGTGTGAGCAAGGCAGCTCGCCAGCAAATGGAGCAGGACCGACAAGGATCTACCCCCTCGACACCCCAGGGACGAGGCGGCGGCAGTGCCGGCCGTGGTGGAGGTTCTGCAGGTCGTGGAGGCAAGACTCCCTCAATGGTTGAACTCGCTCCGGCTCCCAAGCCTAACCTGGCACCTGCACCCCAAGGTCCGAGTCCTTTGGCAGGACCAGAGTTGATGATGAAGTAATTGTGTTCCCCTATATTTTGAAACCATTGTTCTGGTGTCTGGGTTTGATTCTTTTCTTTTGGCGTCAAGGATATGATGTTCAGACTCAGATGGAAACAGGAGACTAGCAAGTACAAGTCCGACCTGATCCAGATGAAAAGCGATTGTTGTATGTAATGTATCATTCCCATTGCATGGCAGTCGATCGTCTGGTGTTTTGCTTACTCTGCATTGATTTATTGATTTATCATCTCCTTTCTTCGTTTCTTTCATGTTAACTGGGTGGTGTCTTATGGTTTTCGTTTCTGATGGGGTTAGGAAGGGTGTGAAGGAGGGTTCTTGTTTCATGTCACAATATTTTATTAACTTTATGAAATCCATCGGATATCGAGTTGTCTTTTTTCAGTAGTCACTGTTCACCATTACGCAGACAGACTCAGTACACTGTTCAAAGTAGTAGTAATGGTGGATATGAAAAATATGTCCATTCCTCATTTACATACATAGTAATCTGCAACAAAGCAACATTCGCACAAAGGGAACAAAATGAAGAGTCCCAGCCTCAAACCCAACAAAGAAACAAAGTCACAAAAGAAAGGGAAACAAACCAGGCAACCAGGCTATCAGTGTCAAAAAAAGGGAAAGAAAGTGGAAAGAAACGAAGAAAAAAGGTACGCCTTGCGATGCAAAAGTCGTAACATGTAGTCAGTCAAGCTAATTCCATCATCCACGGAGTTCAGTTCGACGTATAGAACGACATGATTCAATATGAGATACCAATCAATGTAAGTAAAAGAGACGTTGGAATTGCCTGTGCGCCAAGTCGAGTACATCACATCACATGACAGAAAGAAAAGAAAAGAAAAGAAAGAAAATTGTTCAGCATGGCAGATTGTTTTTGAATGCATCTTGGACATACTATATGCAGCGGATGTTTAATTCCGTGGTCCCCGCTATGTGGTCACCACGCATTTAATTCGGTTGGCGCCGCCACGATCCTCCGGCCGACACAGGAGCTGCAGGCGGTGGTCCACTGGGGGGAGGAGGCGCACGAATCGGCAAAGCTGCCGATTGAAGGCCTGTTCTCGATCTGGTGTTGTTTGAGCTGGCAGAACGAGAGCCGATGTGTGGTCGTGTCGGCGCGTCCACAGCCGAGTACGGGTCACCCAAGTGGTGTCGCGATGGACGGCGGCCGTATCGATGTTCGTCATCGGTAGTTTCCAAGGACAAATGCTCGAGGGAAACCGGTGGGGGCGATCGGGTTGATCTGACTGGGTCTCTCGGCGATGGGTGGGAAGAGGTGGGATAGTACCGCTGGTGGTGGTTGTGGTGGGAGGGCACGTCGTTTACAATATTCAACGGGATTTCTCCAGTAGTTGGAGTGTAGTGCGGGGTGCGAGACGGCTTGCTGGGAGCGGGCTTCGGTGGTTGGTTGGGATGCGACGATGATGAAGTGCTGCTGCTCTCCTTCTCCTTGTTCTTAAAGGACCTGGCAGGTGGAGGTCCTACCGGTCCCAGGTATGATTTCCGGTTGTGTCGCTCCATCATGCTAACAGCCCATTCATGGAGATCAACTGGGGTGCGCTTGGCAGCCTGCAGGAAGGCATCCTTGTCCTAGATAGAGGTCAGTAAGAATAGATGGATATTTGGGTTGTAACTTCTCTTACAAAGAGTTCACGCGGGGTCGGGCGCTCCTCGGACTTCTTCAAAAGACACTTGGCGACGAACTCATGCAGGATAGGAGGAAAAGCATCGCTCTTGGGCAGCTTCGGGGCCGGCTCATGGACAATCTGCTGCAAGAGGTCCAGAATACCCATTGGGCCAGCGCTGGCACGGTCTCCCGCGGCGGAATCAGATGCATCAAAGGGAAATCGTCCGACAGCCAGCTCCATAACCGTCAAACCCACACTCCATACGTCCGACCGCACGGTGTAAGCGCCACCTTGGATTCGCTCGGGTGCCATGTAGGTGGATGTGCCGACGAAAGTGTCTGCGATCGAGTTGACCGTCTCTGTAGCGACACCAAAGTCACAGAGCTTGATATTTCCCCGCGAGTTGACAAGAATGTTGGAGGGCTTGATATCACGATGCATAATGCGGTGGGTTTCATAGAGGTAGACCAGACCAGCCAAGATCGATTCAGTGATCTTACCGAGAACATCGACCCGGACAGGACCAAAGTCTTTCGATATACGGTCGAGAGAACTATATCAGAGACGAACAGTCAGACCATGGCGGAATGACCCGGACAACTAAACACCCAACATACCCACAATCCATGTATTCCATACACAACACAATGTCTCTCGCTTCGTTCTGGAACGCTCCGTAGAATGTGACGATGTGCGGGGAGTTGCAGTCATGCCCGACTTGGAGTTCACGCAAGATCTGCTTTCTCACCTTCTCCTTGGCATCCACACGGATAATCTACGAGACCATCGTCAGTCATGTTAATCCGGATAGGGAGGGTTCAAAAGACTGCACCTTTCTAGCCATGACGACCTTGGTGGAGGCGTGCATGACCTTAGAGACTGTGCCGCCATTTCCAGCACCCAACTCCTTGAGCGTAACCAGATCCTCACTGCGGAGATCCAAGCGGAACTCCAAACCAATCTCGAGAGTATCAGTGCGGGTGGTCTCGATGCCCCCAATGGCACCGGGGGCCTGGGCATTGCCGTCGGAGGGTTGCGCGGAGGGCTTGGGAGCGGCATTCAAGGCGAGGCCCTTGACGTTCTTGCGTTTCAACGTTCGAGCCTTAAATTGATCGGCCATGGCTGGCGACAGAGCGACACTGCCGCTAGGGTTATAAGAATGGAGATGGATGAGAAAGGATAGGCCAAAGAGGTGAAAAATGCAGGAGGGGCGAAGGAAAGGACGTCAAATAACCCCGAACTAATTCCAAGGTCGCGTCTGTTGATGATAATCGATCACTAGTTAGTCGGAGTGGTGGGGAAACGGAGAACAGAGTGAGACAGAGGGGGAGGGACAAACGAGGCTGTAGAGGCCGCACCAGCAGTGTCAAACTCCAGCTGGAGGATGATTCCAGAAGATCTATGGTTCCTGATGCAAGTTTTGTTTCCGCTGGCGCAAACAACGAGGGTAAAGAAGAGACTGCCAGTCTGAGATCAGCAGGAGACCAGGGATTCAGGGACGGATTGGGCGCCCAAAAGATGCCGGCAGCAAGCGCCAATGACGAGGGGCAGTGTATGGCCGGATTCCGTCTGTTGGCCTGTGAATTATGAGCTTTCAGTGGCCTTTTAATGGGCAAATCATTTGGAAAATAATGATAAAGAAGAAGGCATAAACCCAGACAGACCCGAGTTGGTGGGAATGAAAAAAGAGAGTTGAAACGATGGTTTGTAGACTGTCTCGTCAGTCTGTGGTGGGGGAGAATCACGTTGGCTTTGATGAAGACCAGAACAGACAATGAAGATTTATTTTCCCTGATGGAATGATGAATATTAACTACTAGTGCTTGATGCATTTACAGTAAGATTTGTATATTAGTTTTATATTGAGTCTCTTGGTTGAATGATATGATCTAGAGGATCGCATGTCGTATTCGTTGCAGGCCGGCAAGAAAGTTCGCTCACATTTAATTAACAACTGACATGAGATTAAACATAGAATGATAATTTCATTAAAGATTCCTGGACATTACGAAATATTGAATTTATCTTCATCTTCATCTCCAAGTCAACATGGAGTAATTCGATACCCATTACACGTGACACACTCAAAAGCCACATACTCTAGCCTCTTCTGACTAGCGTGCACCTCCACAGTCACGAGGCGGTGAATAGCAATGGCACCGCCACAGCGTCTCTTTCTCGCCGTCCATCAAGTCCAGTCCAGCTCCAGTTCAATTTCAACCTCAACTCTTCGAGCCCAGCTGTTTCTGGCTCTCTCTGGTGTCGTGTTTCTCGTGGGGGCTGATTCAATTCTTCTTTAAAATTTCGACTCACTTTTTTTCTGTCTTTCATATAGCCTTCAATCCTTTATCCCCCTTCCAGCACCAGTGTTGTAGTGACCTCCCTCCCGGACAAACAAGATGAGCGCTCGCGATTTTGTGGTGGGAGAGGCCGAGCTGGATGACGATGATAATGAGGAGCTCGTTGATGACTATGATGGCGAGGGTGAAGGCGAAGGCGAGGGACAACAGGGAGCTGGAACGGTGAATGACAACAACGATTCGAGTGAGGAGGACGAGGATGAGGATGATGACGAGGAGGCAGCTCGCGCGGTAAGTCTTCCTTCACTTCATATGCGTTCTGACGGGTAGAAGCAAAGTGCTGATTGATGCTTGAACCAGGTCCGAGAAGGCTTTATCGTCGACGAAGATGAAGATATGGAAGAGCGCGCACAGCGTCGACGGGATAAGAAAAAGCGACGACGGGAGGATCGCGAGCGCGAAGAGGAGCATCTAGATGAGGAAGATTTGGAACTCATTGGCGAGCATGTCCCAGGTTTTCAACCCCCGGTTGCGCCGGAGGTATGTTGACACTTTTCTTTTCTTTTGATGCGCCTGCCTCTTTTTGATGCGAGACAAAAATGTTTAACCGATTTCTCTTCTGCAGCAATCGAAATTCAAGCGTTTGAAGCGTGGTCACAAAGACCGTGATCCCCGACAGCCATCCCGAGGCATTGACGACATGTTCAACTCGGATGAGGAAGAAGAAGCGGGCGACTATGGTAGACCCGTCGGCCATCGCAGACACATGCATGATGAAATGGATGATTTCATTGAGGAGGATGTTTTCTCCGACGATGAAGCGCAGCAAGAACGTGAAGATGTCGAGATAGCCGGCCCTGTCTCGAGCGGCATGACCGGTCTAGGAGCTGCTGATGCTGCTGGATTAGACGAAAATGCTCTAGAGGACATGCGCGCCGCATTCGGAGATGGAAACGAATACTTGTTTGCCCTGGACATGGAAGAGCAAGAACAGGAACAAGAAGTCGATGAAGAAAAGCACCTGGATCTGAAGGATGTCTTCGAGCCATCGCAGCTGGCGGAGAAGATGTTGACGGAGGAAGATAACCAGATTCGTCTCTTGGATGAACCCGAACGTCATCAAATTTCCCGAAAACCATACCGCCATGTGGTTCTAGATGAGGAGCAGTTCCGAGAAGAGGCAGTCTGGATATCAAACCTCATGCTTCTCAAGAAGCGTATCGAGCCTGAGTTGCGGGAGCCGTTCCAGCGTTCTGTAGCCAAGGTTCTAGAGTTTCTTGTGACAGATGACTGGGAGGTTCCATTTATTTTCCAGCACCGCAAGGACTACATGATTCATGCCGTCAAAGCCCCCGTCGATAGTTATGACGATGCGTCACAGTACACCGTTAAGGCCGAAAAGCTATTAAACATGACAGATCTCTGGGATATCTTCGATCACGATCTCAAATTCAAGGCTTTGATCGACAAGAGGAATACGATCCAGAAAACCTTTGACAATTTACAGAGTCTATTCAACCTCGATGACCACATTGTGGAGGAGATGCTTCCGGTGGCTGTGACCATGGAAGAGTTGCAGGATGTACAGGACTACATTCACTTTCAGTACGCATCACACTTACGGGATATGACAATGATGAATGGCGAAGCAAACGGCGATACGCACCGACGAAAGGCTACTGGTAAGTCCTTCTTTGAGCGTGTCCGCAACGGTAAGGCATATGGGCTGGTGCGCGCTTTTGGCATAACAGCAGATGCCTTTGCTCAGAACGCCCTCAAAGAAGGCCGCCGTCAGTACACTGAAGATCCTGCCGATCGACCAGATGAGATGGCGGATGGCTTCGTGGACAATGACTTTTCCAACTCGTCGCACGTACTCAAGGCCGCGAAGACCATGTTTGCGGAGGAACTCGTCATGAGCCCTAAGATGCGCAAAGTAATTCGGCAGGCCTATTACATGAACGGTGCTGTTGATTGCTTCCGGACAGAGAAAGGTCTGCGGCGGATCGATGAGCAGCATCCGTACTACGAGTTCAAATACCTGAGGAATCAGCAGCTCAGCGACATTGCCCGCCAGCCCGAGCTGTATCTTCGCATGCTGAAGGCCGAGGAGGAGGGCCTCGTAGAGGTCAAGGTCCGCTTCGAGAACTTTGACCACTTCCGCCAGCGTCTCTATCCGGACATCGAGTCTGATAACTACAGTGAACTCGCTGATGCCTGGAACAGAGCTCGTCGTGACGTTCTGGATCTGGCCCTGGGTAAATTGGAACGAGTGATGAACCGCAGCGTAAAGGAGAACATTCGCCAGGAATGCGAGAACCACGTGGCCAAGGAGTGTCGGGAGGCATTTTCCCAGCGACTAGATCAAGCTCCTTATAAACCCAAGGGCATGGTTTTGGGTACCGTCCCTCGAGTTCTGGCCTTGTCAACTGGCTCAGGAATCGTCGGAAAAGAGCCTATCAACTGGGCTTACATCGAAGAGGATGGACGTGTACTGGAAAATGGAAGGTTCATGGACCTGTCCGTTGGCGATAGAGACCGCGGCATTGCAGATGGCAAGGACGTCGAGGCTTTTGTGGAGCTGGTTGACCGACGGAGACCGGATGTCATTGGTGTTTCTGGAATGTCTCCGGAGGCACGCAAGCTGTACAAGCTCTTAGCCGATGTTGTGGACAAAAAGGACCTCCGAGGAGCTCCCTATACGGACGATCGTGATGAAGAAGTCAACGATCCCTTGGAGGTGGTGATTGTCAACGACGAAGTAGCTCGACTGTACCAGCACAGTGAGCGGGCGAAGAAGGACCACCCAGGTTTTGCTCCCTTGACCCATTACTGTGTTGCGCTGGCCAAATACTTGCAAAGTCCATTGAAGGAATACGCGTCACTGGGTCGGGATATCGTCTCGATTCAGTTCAAGAAGGGACAGCAGCTGGTTACCCAGGAGTTGCTCTTGAAACAGCTTGAGACAGCGTTAGTGGACATGGTGAACCTTGTTGGTGTCGATATCAACGAGGCAGTCACTGACACGGCAACCGCCAACCTCCTTCCATACGTCTGCGGTATGGGTCCGCGAAAGGCAGCGCACCTTCTAAAGATTGTAAACATGAACGGTGGCGTGGTGAACAACCGCGTGGAGCTCTTGGGAGTGAACGCCCAGTACCCGGCGATGGGTGTGAAGGTATGGAACAATTGTGCTAGTTTTCTGTACATCGACTTCGAGAACGCCGACCCGGATGCCGATCCCCTGGACAATACGCGTGTGCACCCCGAAGACTACGATATTGCGCGTAAGATGGCGGCGGATGCCCTGGAATTGGATGAAGAGGATATTAAGGCAGAGACGGATGAAAACGGACCCGGAGCGATTGTACGGAAGCTCTTCCGGGAAGAAGGGCAGGACCGTGTCAACGATTTGATCCTGGAGGAATACGCGGAGCAGCTGGAGAAGAACCTCAACCAGCGCAAACGAGCCACATTAGAAACCATCCGTGCTGAACTGCAGCAGCCCTACGAGGAGTTGCGAAAGCAATATGTCTTCCTCAGCTCGGACGACATCTTCACCATGCTGACGGGTGAAACGCTGGATACGCTGGCCGAGGGCATGGTGGTACCGATTTCGATCAAACGGATCACTGATGACCACATTGATGGCAAGCTTGACTGTGGCATCGACGCCCTGGTGCCCGAGGCAGAGCTCACGGACCGTTACGACATTCCGGTACGGGCACTCTACTCGATGCACCAAACCGTACCCGCCAAGGTGCTGTTCCTCAACCGCAAGAGCTTCATGTGCAATGTGTCGCTGCGGGAAGAGCAAGTCAGTCACCCGTCGGCTAAGCCTCGCGACCGACTTGACGGGGAATGGGATGACAGACAGGAACACCGGGACCGAGAAGCGATGCAGGAGAAGACACAGAGTGGCGGCCGGGTGATGCGGGTCATCAAGCACCCGATGTTCCGACCATTCAACTCGACACAGGCAGAGGAGTTTTTGGGATCGCAAAGTCGGGGCGACGTTGTCATCCGACCTTCGTCTAAGGGACCTGACCATCTGGCAGTGACTTGGAAGGTGGCCAACGGCATCTTCCAACACATTGACGTGTTGGAGCTGGACAAGGAGAATGAGTTCTCTGTTGGACGGACATTGAAGGTTGGAGGCCGGTACACATACAGTGACTTGGATGACTTGATCTTCAACCATGTCAAGGCGATGGCTAAGAAGGTGGACGAGATGATGTTGCATGAGAAATACAACGAGGGTACCAAGGAGGAGACGGGTAAGTTTTTATTTTTATTTTTTTCATCGTCTTCTTCTGTTTCGACATACTGACGGACGCAGATAAATGGTTGAATACATACACCAAGGCCAACCCCCGACGGTCGGCATATGCATTCTGCATCAACAGCAAATATCCCGGATACTTCTATCTGTGCTTCAAGGCAGGCGAGAACGCACAACTGCACAGCTGGCCAGTCAAGGTGATTCCTCTGGGCTACGAGTTGCAGCGAAACCCCTATCCGGACATGCGGGCGCTGTGCAATGGATTCAAACTGCTGTTCACGAACATGCAGGCGGGCAAGCGGAGATGATGTTGATGACGATGGAAAGGATTGGGATTTTTCGAACTGTCTATTTGTATACTGTGTAATATCATTTATATTATTTCCACTGGTGTTTTGCTGTTTGTTATTTTTCTTTGCGCAGTGGACAGAAAAGATGGCATTTGCATGGACGATGGCTGATTGATTGGATTTGGCTTGGTATTACTTTTTTTTTCCCTACTCATATTATATCCTCCATACCATTGATTGATTGACTGGCTATTGATTCTCTCTTCTCTCTTTGCTTTTTCTGTCGATCTTGATGCCAGATGTACATGTCACCAGGAGAGACTGGCAAATCTACCACAATTTGGGACCATTTTCCAGCAGAACCATAATCGATAGCCTCCTCGTCCCCTAAATAATTAATTCCACTAGACGAACCGTGAGTTCGATCCCGGGGGTTCATGTGAAGATGCGATGCCATCCTCGGTGTTTTTCGGCGCCCCCAAATAATCAGCCCTGTCCGCCTTCGTGCTCTCTCTGACTTTCTTACGTTGGCCTTTCCCCCTCTTCGCCAGCCTCACGGTGCGTTCTGCTTATTCCATCTCTCTTTTCTGTCAGACCCAATCTGTCCATCGCTGGGAATAGTCTCTCCATCAATTCATCCCCAAGCCCACTTCCCAAGCAGATTACCAGTTCTGGTCTGACTACCCGGGGACTTCCATCTAAACAGCCCACCTCCTTCAACCTACCACCACCCACTACTGCTTCTTCAATCGTCATCGTCGGAATCAAAACCACAATCTTCGTTTGTTCTTGATCTTTGTTTCTGTTCGTTTAATTCGGTGGATTTCCCCGGCCTTATCTCTTCCCCGCAATCATGGCGGGATTGGAGGAGTTGGAGATCCATAGCAAGGTAAGGGATGGGCGATGATGCATTAACCCCTCTGCTTTTCTTTTCTCCATTGCAAACCCAGCCAAGGTCTGCGCTGACGATTCTTCTCTTCCCTTCCAGTCCTATCTTGTTCGCTGGATCCATGTCAAGTCCAATCACACCATCTCGTGGAGTCTTCAGCCGCACAAGAAATCCCTCAACTTCGGCATCTTCAAGCATCCCGGCCATTCCGCTGGCAGTGCCAGCTCCAGCAATCTGCCCGCCTCCGAATTCCACAACAGTACCGACTCAAATGAAAACCTCCCAGCGACCGCCGTCACTGGCTCGCGACACACTGCTTCAATCTCGGTTACCGAGAAGCTGACGGGGATTGGGCTCAAGCAGATCCGATGGGTCGGCAAGTGTGAGGCGGACAAGATCGCCCAGGGGACTTACGATGTCCCCGCTAACGATGGTGGAAACTACGCCCTCGTTTTTGATAATACCTTTTCGAAGCAGATCTCCAAGACGGTAACCCTGGTACTGCTCACCTACCCGACTGCCGTACCCCCGCAATCTGGTCTTGCGCCTCCGACGAGCCACACCATCAACAAACCAGCCCAGGACGGCGATTCCCCCGAGTCCCTGAGGCCAATGTCACGGAGACGAGGCAATAGTATCAGGGCGCCACCACCACCGCAGGTCGTGGAAACGCCTTCTTCCACCGTTCACATGGGACTCCTTCACAAGCGGCGGAGAAAGCGACACCAGGGATGGGCTAGGCGGTTCTTCTCGCTGGATTTTACCTCAGCCACACTGTCTTACTACCATGATAGGAACTCTTCTGCTCTGCGGGGGTCTATTCCACTGTCTCTAGCAGCCGTCGCATGCAATGAAAAGACACGCGAGATATCCATTGATTCCGGTGCGGAGATCTGGCATCTTCGCGCCCACAATGACCAAGATTTTGTTGCGTGGAAGCGTGCACTGGAGAAGGCTTCTTCCAAGTCTAAAACATCTACCGAGGACATTCAGTCACCAGATGTATTACTCCGCGTCCCATCGCAGCGCCCCGTGTCCAATGGTGCAGAGGAGCGCGAATGGACGCAGGTTGAGAAACTTGTTAGCCAGATATCTGGATCGCGGGATGCAGTGCGCCGTCTCGCCAGAGACACAGACCCCAAGTACCTAAGCAGCATGCCTGCTGAGCGGCCCCGAGGTCGTTCGCCCAGCCCTCATGCCAGTCCTGCCGAGACTAATGGCGACGAATCTTTTGAGGCACGCGATAAACGCCCGTTCTGGAAGCGAAAGACAAGTGGTAACTCACAACCACTGGGTACCAAGACCCCCAACGCTGATTCTCCAGCTACACAGCTGGCAGTACCTAAGCCTGGGTCCGACGCCGTTTCAGTGGCGCGAGACCGTAAGCCCAGCAGCATCAAGAGCCACCCGGATCAGGCGGAGGAAATGCATGATCATTTGATGGCTCTCCTGCGGGATCTGGATAACGTTGTGTCTGAGTTCACCTCGTTGATTTCCCAGAGCAAGGAACGACGTCACCCACCTGGAGCTACGATCCAGCCACGACGCAGCATGGAGTCTGATATTTCACAGGAGTTCTTCGATGCCGTCGACGGTGGCAATGACTCACTGCTGCTGACTATGCATGGGGACAGCGATGACGAAGGGGCGGACAATGCTGCCGACGCGGCTGCTCGGCAAGCCGAAGAGGAGGTGGTCGGGGATGACGTGCCGTCAGACAGCGAAGATGAGGCCCCCGAGGCACCCCACGACCAATCGACATTGTTCCCATCGAAGCCAAAGTCCCTCATACCCCTACCATTGGACAATGTCAAACGTCGCACAAACATCTTGGCGCCGACAGTCCTGCCTCCAAGTTTAATTGGGTTTCTCCGTAAGAACGTTGGCAAGGACCTGTCCCAGATTTCGATGCCTGTATCTGCAAACGAACCACTCTCCTTACTTCAGCGAGCGGCGGAAGTCCTTGAATACTCTACTCTGTTGGATAAGGCAGCTAGCTCCAAGGACCCCGTCGAGCGGCTCATGTACGTGACAGCGTTTGCGCTGGCGCCGCTGTCCAGCAACAGGGTGCGGGAACGAGCCATCCGCAAGCCTTTCAATCCCATGCTGGGTGAGACGTACGAGCTCGTGCGGGAAGACCTTGGTTTCCGTTTCTTGGCTGAAAAGGTGTCACATCGACCAGTCCAGCTGGCGTACCAGGCAGACAGCAAAGACTGGAGTTTGGCACAATCTCCCATGCCGACCCAGAAATTCTGGGGTAAGTCGGCCGAAATCGTCACAGAAGGGAAATTGCGCCTTACCTTGCATTCCACGGGAGAGCATTTCAGCTGGTCAGCTGCCACCTCCTTCCTGCGCAACATTATTGCTGGCGAGAAGTACGTTGAGCCGGTAGGCGAGATGGCGGTCGTCAATGAATTAAACGGCCAGAAGACAGTGTCGACTTTCAAAGCGGGCGGGATGTTCTCCGGTCGCAGCGAGGAGGTCAGCACTAAGGCAGTCGATTCGTATGGCAATGAATTGCCCCTGGGACTCACTGGTACCTGGACATCTTCACTGCAGTTTACCAACAACGGGTCTTCAACGAGTGCGGCGTGGACGGCTGGACCATTGGTGCCCAGCGCACCCAAGCATTATGGATTGACGGCATTTGCTGCAACACTGAATGAAGTCACCCCAATTGAGGAAAAGAGGATGCCCCCAACGGACTCGCGGCTGCGCCCAGATCAACGGGCGCTCGAGGACGGCGACCTGGACGGAGCGGAAGAGATCAAGGTGAAACTGGAGGAAGGACAACGGGCACGTCGTCGCGAGTACGAAAGAAGCGGGGAGGCGTGGACACCGCGCTGGTTCTCGCGGGTGGATGATGACCAGGCAGGTGGAGGCGAAGGAGAAGTCGCCTGGCGACTGAAGGGTGGCAAGGAAGGATACTGGGAAGAGCGATCAAGAGGGAACTGGTCCGGAGTGATTCCAGTGTTCGAAGCTTAGACAGCAGATACTATATCGCGTGAAGAGTATATTCGGTTATATAGGCATTATTGGTAGGCATACCGTGTTCATTTCTATTACTGGCTTTCCTGTCGTTTACGAATTTTTCGGTATGAATGATGTACTGTAGTCCTACGTAGAGATTAGATTGAGATAAGATTAGATTGGTTGATGATCTGTCAGTGGTTGAGGGGGGCTATGTCTCCACTTTCAGGAATGATTTTGTTGGTCAATGGGAACGTGCAATGTGTTGAAAAACAATCTCTCCAGTTGGCTACATGCCCCACAGACATTCGATAGAAAACATCACTATATTGATATACACTGTACTTGGAAGGCCTAGCTTTCTGCAGAAGAACAGTGAAAAATTTTCATTCTAAATGATTAAATACAGTCAAAGACATTGAGTACAGGCAAGACAAAACCACCCTAATAACCTTGATAGCACAATACATCCTCAAGACTCCGCGGGTAAAAAAAAAACAAAGCAATAAAAATCCCCCTAAAACCCATTTCCAACTTTTCAATTCTGGCGTATAGCGTCGTGCATTCAATGATTCAAATACTATATAATCGGTCGATTTATTCCTCGTCGGATTCGTGCATGGCAAAATGGCGTGTATTCCTTGATCTGGCACTCTTCTTTGCTCCAGATCGATCACTTGGAGTTTGCATGCGCATGATCACCGGGAGACTGTCGAGAACTGCCCGGTTACCTTGGAAATAGTGTACCGCAAAACCACCCTGCAGCATGCGGCGTAGCGCGTTGAGTCGGATCCATTTCCACCAGCGATCAATGTTCATCACACCTTCGCGTCCAACCTTGACGGTGAATTTGCTACCATAGTGGCGATTTGTATCCTGGTCGATCGCTGTGTTGTACATCGGGCCCCGACGCGGGTTCTCCACTGTTGTGAGGATGGAGGCAAAATTGCTGTGCAAGCTCTTCTTATCCCGCTTGCTAATGCGTTTGCTATGCACCGTGGCGAGTGACTGCAGCTGTTGTTGCAGTTCATGTGTATTGTGGTAAGGTTCATAGCGCTTGACGAGTTTAGGGCCGTTTGTCTCGGCCGTTTCATCTTCCGAATCCTCCTCGTCTTCCTCGTCCTCGGCCTCATCATCTTCCTCTGGGGTGTAGCTCTTCTCATATAGCAGGGCAATGTTCTCTCCTGCTGCAACCTGGACACTAGCCTCGGAACTGTTTAGCTGGTCCATAAATATCTGGATCGCATCTTCACTTTCACTTTCGAGATCTTCAATCTCTGTGGCCATAAAACCCCACTCCTGTAGAGCAGCAGTAACACTGCCAGCGTCGTCTGGGGCATCGATGGACTGGCCGTCTGAGGCCACAATATCCAGGAAGAAAGTCATCTGGTCCATGATCCCATCCTCACCAGCACCACCGAAAAGGGAGCAAGTACCTAAGCAGTGAATCGCCGCTGCCTTGATAATGTTGGAAGTCGAGTCTCGAATGGTGCGCGAGAGTAGTGGCTCAGCATTTTCAAAGATGGTGTTGTCGAATGCGGTGATGGCGAGGAACTCGAGGGCTCGAAGGGCCAAAGTGGATTCTCGCACGCTGGATTCGAACTTAATACTCTTGCAGAATGCTGCAACGAGGTCATTGACGCGACCGCGAATCTCTTCTTCGATGTAGTGGAACTTGGCTAGGCGGCAGAAGGCAGCATAGGTCTCTTCGCGACCTTGTACGCTGCTTCGCTTGCGATCCAAGATCTCCTGGATGCGATCACCGAGCTCTTGCGCCCAGTCACCATTATCTTGATCGGGATTGTCTGTTAATTCATCGAGAGATCCAAGACTATTCGGCAGCCAAGTCAGTTTCTATTGCTATAATCAAGATTGCGAAATAATTTTCCAGGCAGCCAATCAGTGACGTCATTCCGCCACAGATAACTGAGTGAAAAGGAGAAAAAGAACAAGGGGGGAAAGACGCACCTCCAGGCAGTTTCGTCGCTAAGATTACCTGCGTCTTCATCGTCATCGGTAGGGTGTCTACTAGTATTTCGAGAGGAATGACGAGAGTTCTGGGTCGAGTTGGTTCGCGAAGTAGGGCGAGAGCTTTCACGAGAGGCAGCTTTGCGAGAGACGGTTTTGCCGCTCTCAAAGATCTGACGACGGAGATCAGGCATGGTGAAATTTACTCTTGACTGGAAGAGGCAGAATCGATGTAGAATGTAAGACTGTAAGAAAAAGGAAAAAAAGTTGAGGTCGAGGTCTGAAATCCTGAAGGTTCTAGAAAGAAGCAAGGAAAATTATATCACAAGGTGGGACTCGGTGGAGTAGGAGACAAAGAAATGTTATTGGTTATCCTAGAGAAACAGAGAGGTTGAAGAAAAGAGTCTGTCTGAGAGATGAAAAGCATAATAGTAATGCTGTCTGGAATGATGCCTATTAATCGAGAGAGTTAAGACAGTGTGTATATCTAGGCCCCAGAGGGATGAAAAGATGACGAAGGAGAAGGGAGGCGATGATCCTCAGGCGGTGACCGGATTATTAACGCAAGCCATGCTGTTGAGCGCTGGAATGCAGGTGAAACAACACGAAGCGACGAGATGAAAGAATAGGCATGTCGACTGCTGCAGCCATTGAGAATCGACTTTTTATTCAGAGAAGAAGGAGAAGCAGAAAAAATGAAGAGGAATCGAAAGCCAATCCTATCGCCACGTGATGCGGGGTTGTTGAATCTTATCATTGCGATGAGGTCAAAGTGGACAGCGACGTGAGGATGAGGATGGACGGGATCAGGACTGATGGATCGGCTGAGATATCCATGAATGGGAATGGATATCAAGTATATCTAGAGCTACTGCATAACATTCATGAGGGGTATCTTATTCTTCTAGTCAAGCACGTCTGTCGAACCCTTCCCCTTATCTCCGTTCCAGGACCAACTCCAGGATCCTTTGTGCCTTGTCCCCCTCGAGATACTCTCTGCCTTCCCTTTTGCCATCTTCATCTTCGTCATCATCGCCCACCTCTAGATCCACCTGTAGACTGGCCTCGTACGACGACATGACCGTCTCCTCATCCACGGGCACCCCGCCCTGGACAAGAACCCGGATGCTCTGCGCCAAACGTGCAATTTCACGTCGTGTTTGCGGTAAGATCTCATCGTTCTGACTTGAGTAGATCGAGCTCGACACCATCTCCTCCATTCGGGTGATAGATACACTGTCCGTTGTAGACGATGCCGCCGCGGTGCCGTCGGTGTGTTTCGCAATCCAAATGTACCCATTGACTCCAAGAATGACGTTCACATCACCACCACCATTGGCAGTACTGATGGTCCAAACTTGTCTTCGTGACCGAACCACACCTCCAGTGCCTGTCGTACCCACCGTCCCTCCGGCGGCAGATCCAGGCCCAATTCCGCCCTTGACATTCGAGCTCGATGCGCCACTTCCACCTGTGCCCGTCACGGCAAGAAAGACACCATTTCGGAGCTTGCCGTATTTCAGCGACCGTGTATGTAATGATGCCGCACCATCAGAGTGCACGCTCTGAACTTCTGCCACCACCAAATCACCCTCGCTGAAAAAAGTTCGGATCTGCAATTCATCCGCGCTCGTTCGTCGACGCAGAATGCCACCCGGCAGATTGATTGCGGAGAGTGGGAGCTGCGCCAGTAGAGGGGCGGCGACATCGACCTTCCACCGTCGGGACTGGACCTCCACGATCCGCCCTACCACCAGATCACCGATTTCCGGGGTGTAGCGGGCGCGAATAGGGGTCACGGAGAGCAACTTGTTGGTTTTTTGGACAGTACCAGCGACGGTAGCGATGATAGAAGTTGACAGAGGGTTTGTGTAGGTGCCATGACCTCTAAGTATCTTGGTCAGTATACCATCGGACGTAGATGAAATAAGTCGCCATGAGCATAGAAATAAGAAAACTGACCTCATCCATTGTGGATCATCCGTCACCACTTCTCCCGGCGTCACAATCCCTGCCCCAATTTTGTTGCCTCCTGCAAGACGGGCTCGTTTGCCTGGTCGAGAAGCTCCTCCGGCCAAATCCACGCCTCCATCCGAGTCGACCGACATGGAATCATCGTCGGAATCTGCATGGGAGATATCGACATCCTCCACCACTGGAGGGAGAATGGTGATGGCCATTTTGAATGTTATGCACGAGATTCTGTACAATCCAGCAATCACAAGATTTATGAAGCAACCCGGGAATGTAGAAAGTTGAAAAGTCGTAGATGTTAGATCTTGCGCCTGCAAAAGACTTTGGGACTCGAGAAGGCGAAGAACAAACAGAGCAAACAGCTGTGGAGAGGCACGTGAGTTGATGATACCCTATCCTCTTTTTATATCTTCACCAGCTGGGATTCTAATCTTGTTTAAAGGGATTATTCTACATTTATGATACATGTGTGAGCTGAAGGAGGTAACTGCAAACAAATTCTTTGTTATCAATATTTTTACATCTGTTAGGAAAGAAGCGAGGGAAAGAATGCTGCAAAGGCAAGAAAAGCAAAAGACCCAGGCACATTTAATATAGCATAGGGCTCTTTGAAGTACATTCGAGTAAATCTGAGAAAAGAACACTGCCTTCACATTGACATGGGAGAAATCGAATAACAAGGCATCAGACTAAAAGACCGCTGACTGAATTGGACGTCCACAATGACCTCAAGGTAGTGCAACGTATACCAGCACCAAACTCTGGACCAAACCGAACATCCGAGCATTAAAAGGGAGGGGAAAAAAGATGTCTAGTAATACAGAAGGAAGAAAGGACAAAGTTTCAAATCGTTGTTTCTCAGGCACCGATACCCGACGACCTTTTCGAAGTACGTCTCCCACCGGAGCTTCCCTCGTCCTTCTTCTTGCGGTTTGAACGGCTGCTACCTCCCTTGGGTCGATATCCGGTATCTTCATCGCGCTTGCGCTTGCCCTTGGTACTTCCGGGGGTAGGCCCGCTCTCCACCAGAATACCATCTTCATCGTACACGTCCTCATCTTTTCGCGGCTGGGTTGTCGGCGCTCGTTTTGAGCCACGTGGGTTTGATGGTCGCGAGCCAGACTTCTCTGAAGCATTCTCGTTGTCCTGCAGGAAGATGTGTGGTTGGTTCCTCCGCAGCCAGTTATAGACGGAAACAGGGTTTCTAAGCGAAGCATCTCTTTCCCGGTCGGCAAACGAGGGCTTGTCCGAAGTGCGACTTAACTGCAGAGCCGCTGACTCGTCTCCAAGCCTAGCATCCATAGCCAAATAATATTCGGTTTCATGCTCCGGCGTGAGAAATCCCAGAGTGTGTCCAAATGTACTTTCCGCAGACAGACTTTGTTCCTCTGGATGTGACGTGGTGTGGGGAAGCTTTGTCAAAGACGAATATTGCATCTCCGGTGCGAAGGCTGTGTCGCGCTTAACATTTCCTTCCAGGCCGCGATAATTTTCAGGCACTATCTCTCCAGCTGCCATTCCTGCACTAGCTTGCTTCAATGCCGAATTCGCAACTGTAGCATTCTTGTGCATTGGCGACAGTTCCCTGTCTGGGGTGGGTAAGAAGAAGTCGTCACCGGGGGCACTTAGATCGTATCGTAGGCTTGGAGAAATATGAAGGCTGTCATTAAATTCAAGCAAAACTTCAAGAAGTTGACTGGAGTAGAATTAGCATTTGATGGTATCCCATGCATGAGCCAGATTTCGTACTCATTTTGCTCCTGAATCCTCTTCGAAAGGTCTTCGATGCGCAGCTCTTCGCGGATGAGCGATTCACTCTCTCTCATTCCGAGTTCAAACTTGACCTTAAGCTTGGCATACTTTTTTCTGTAATCAAAGACTCATTAGTTTGGGTTTATTATTAGACATCGTTGAGATCACGCCTACTTGAACGACCGGTAGGACTGTTTGGCAGGGGTCGCCGCAGGCGCATCTGGCAAGCTCTCAGCCATAGACTGAGACTCATCGTTGTCTTGCACCATGATGAGCGAGATGGGATCGAAGCGATGTAGTAGGTACGATACACCTGTCAAGATGGAATTGGGGGTGGATTTGAAAGAGGATGGAGCAAGGGAAGTCAGGCGTTTGCTAAGCGGCACGTCGATCGCGATGGATTTCCGCCAAGGCTGATTATTGAAGCCGACGGACGGAACTGCATGGATGGAGTTTTTGCCCGCCGTAAAAAGTTTCATCTTCGATAGTGAATGGAAATCGGGCCGTCTTTTTTCTTGGTGAATTGAAGCCCACTTTTACTCTTTTTAATTCTACATTCACATTTAATTATTCCTCCCTTTCACTTCGAGAAAGACAAGAAAGAAGTCAAAATGGCTGGTCTTGGTGAAGGAAGCGAAAAGAAGCGAAAGCTGCACGACGGTCCCGAGCTCGAGATCGACGTTTCTGCACCAGAACCCCCATCGAAGAAAGCTTTGCGAAAGGCCAAAAAGAAGGGAAATGAGCCTACAAGCGAGGGCGCTGCGGAATCAAAAACTCAGACCACAGATCAGGAGGCTTCTACAAAGCAGCAGCGCTCTGATTACGGTATCTGGATTGGAAACCTGGGTTTCAACGTCAGCAAAGATGATTTGCGCCAATTCTTGACAAGCAATTGCTCCTTTGCAGAGACCAGCATCACACGTATCAATATGCCGAAAGGAGCGGAGAGGTTTGGTAGGGTCCAAAACAAAGGATTTGCCTATGTCGATTTTTCCAGCGCCAAAGCTCTTAACGAAGCATTGGGCCTGAGTGAGCAGCTCTTTTCGGGCCGCCGCGTGCTGATTAAGAACTCGAAGAGCTTCGAGGGCCGGCCAGAAAAGTCCCAGGATGAACAGAAAACCGGCTCCGCCTCGGGTCATGCACCTTCGAGACGTATATTTGTCGGTAACCTCGGCTTTGACGCAACGAAAGAGGTTATCGAAGAACACTTTGGGCAGTGTGGAACGGTGGCACATGTACATGTGGCCACTTTCCAAGACAGTGGAAAATGCAAGGGCTATGGTTGGGTGGAGTTCGAGGAGCTTCCAGCAGCTGAAGCAGCGGTGAAGGGGTATGTTTTTGTCCCAGAGGACGATGAAGAGGAGGAAGAAGAAGAGGAGGATGAAGGGGAAGACGCGGATTCTGGAAAGCGGAAGCCTGTGAAAGCAAAGAAACCGAGACAAAGAAAGATCTGGGTGAACAACCTGTTGGGTCGGCGCATGCGAATGGAATTTGCGGAAGATGCAACAACCCGTTACAAGAAGCGTTTCGGTAAAGAAGGGGAAGGCAAGAGGCAAGATGGTGCAGACATCGCCGAAGTCGATAACTATCAGGATGCAACCAGGGAGCAGACTGCACGGTCACGACCAGAAAGGGCCAGGCGACAAAAGCCCGAATACACTCGATACGACCAGGAAACCGTGCAGAAGCTCAGTGGTGCCATTGTTGAATCGCAAGGCAAGAAGACCACTTTTGACTAAGAGGCCTAAGGTTTCGTGGTGTCCCAGCAAAGAATGGTCGGGGGTACCTGGGTCCTCCCCTAAATACTTGTTAGAGTGAAAACCTGATGCTTGGCCTGTCTTTTATCGTTGGGAAGTGATGTTGAAAGCCTGCATGGCAATGATCTACGGATATAGATTGCCCGATGACTGGCAACTGAACCCGAAGGCTATACGCTTACCCTTGGTTCGCAGATACCCAAAAGTTACTACCTTATTAAACATATCTATGATATTTGTCACTGGATACTATTTTGTCTTACGAAAGACTAGCAAGCCCAACTAGCCCTTCAAGTTTAAATTGTAAATGACGGGAAAAAAGAGGCGAAAAAAAAAAAAAGAAGCAAATAAGTAATTTATATAATAACAGTAAACTGCAAATACTATATTAGCCCAATACCCCCAACATCATGGTGGTGAACGTATTATTCCATCATCATTGTCTCTGTCAACATCCACGCAGTCTAGAATCGCTGATGTGGTTTGGAAGCGCGCTAAACCCGATCGGGGCGGTTGACATCTCTCTCGATGTCATGGCTCAAATGCTCAAAGCCATCAATTTTGTCCTCCTTCGAACCTGTCCATCCCGTCCGGACCTCGCTCTCAAGCTGTTTATTACTTCTCATCTTTCTTCTCTCTCCCGTCCATCGGCCCACCTTCTCAACCTCGTTGTTATTTGGCTCTGTTTGAGTTCAGAATTCATCATTCCGCCCGCCACAGTCCTTGCACACTGCTGGCCCTGCCGCAGTTGTTCCTGGTCGGTGCACCCGCACCTTGGAACTCCTTCCTCGACACACCATATCGTCGAAAGACGGTAAACTCGGCCTTCAAAATCTGCAGCGTCGCTACTTCGCCGTTAGCATGGCTCCTCGTAGCCGCAACATCGTTGCTAGCCGGAGAAGGAGGAGGGACGAGGAAGGCGAGGATGAGGGCTCGATAGATGGAGAGTTGGAGGACGACTCGCTAAGTGAGGGATCGATCATCAGTCATCAAGACGACGAAGATGCCGATGGAGAAGGCAGTGATGAGAGTGATGATGAGGCGCCCGCCTCCCCGCAGAGCAGAATCAACGGGCATCAAGTTAATGGACGGCTGCCCGAGACGAATCAACAGCTGGGACGACAGAATTCCGTTTCCCCCGGGAAACAAGCCATGCAGTCGGCGGTATCAGATACGGAAGCGATGTTAAATGGGATGAAGATCTCCGGTGAGACAAATGAGGTGGCCGAAATCCATTTCGATAACATGGAGGAGCCCAATCAAGCTGGCAGGACACCATCGGCGCCACCTACAGAACCGAGACGGGAGACTTTTGCAGAGAGGAAACGTCGTGAACATGAAAAGTACATCAAGGAACGGGATGAAAATCCAGCCTTTGTGCCAACACGAGGCAGCTTCTTCCTTCACGATAAGCGATCTACGGAGTCGGGGACAAATGGTTACAGGCCCTTCAACAAGTCGAAATCAAGGCCTTACGGCCTTATTGTGGATGGCAACACACGCAGGTATGGCTTTGTATAGCCAGCTACAATATGATCTGTAGATTACTAACTATCACCAGAAATCTTTCCAAGTCCGATGCCAGTCAAGGCCAGTGGACTCATGACCTTCACGATACCGTCGCCGGAGATGATTCGCCTGCCCTTAATTCTCCTGCCGCACCGAATATGATGCCCAACCCCTCCAAGCCAGTACCTACAGCCCCCAGATCGTCTCCTCCCAACCGTTCTTTCTCTAGCACCACCCTGATAGGAAATGTGCCTGTCGTGGTATACCTGCCGGGTATGGATCGTCCAATCCCGCACCCCACTGTCCAGAAGAGGCAGCATACTCGATTGCCTCAGCATCGGCCCCCTTTGCGTCGGGACAAACCTGTTCGGATTTCTCTTCCTGGTCAACCTCCAAGATACATATTCCCGTCTACAGAGCGGTCTTTCATTTTCATCCCACGAGCATTACGGCCCAACCAGCAGGCTTTCCGTGGTAGAGGTCGTGGTGGATTTTATGGTGGAAGACGTACCAGTATTACCAACTCTGCATACACACCTAGTGTCACTATGAGCCGGAGATCGTCGTTAGGAAGAGCAGGATCTCAGGAAGGATACTCACCGGCCGGGTCCATATTCTCCCGGCAGACGATGGTTACGACGGAGAATGGCAAACCAGTTGTTCGCCTTCCACCACCTGTTCGACCGCCTGGAGGCATCCCTCCAGTGGCTGCCGGCCCTGTTGCACCGGCACCAGCAATGCCCCCATCTCTGCCTCCACCACAACCTCAACATCCCCTCTATCGCGAGAGCCGTCAGGCTCCGATTCCCATGCATCAGCCCCGTCCTCAAAAGGCCGTATCTGTCGCAGACATCGAAAGTCCCGCGAGTTTTGCGTTCAACCCCCCACAACCACAGCAGGAACAACCCTTCCATCACCAGGTTCCGGTACCCAATGGCTTGTATGGATCGGACGTTGGCCACCCTCAGACGTCTGTGACACCTTTATCACACATCCCGGAGCGTGTCATTCATGCACAACCGTTCCAGCCGTACAACTTCCAGCAGCCTCCAGGGTTCTACCCAGCAGCATATCCTCCGGGTGCCATGTATTATCCCGTTTCTGGCAACGAGTTTCCACCGTATAATGCTTCCGGTGGCCCTGGGGCGTCTGTCCCTCCATTCCCACCTCCCAGTCAGCAGGTACCATATATGATGCCGGCACCGCACGCCTCATCAGCTGAGCAGCAGTCCTCGCAACCCAATACCGTTGCACATGAGGCAGGCGGTACGGTATATTACTATGATGCCGCACAAATGTATCCGAACCAATCGTTTCCGATGCCTGCCCCCGGGCCTGGTGGAGTTGTGGGGATGGGCGGGATGATGACCCCTCCTGGTACGACTTATTACTATCCTCAAGCACAAGGCGTTTACTATGCCTCACAGTGAGAGGCGCATTGCGGGACTTATATTTTTCTTTCATTTCGTTTTTCTTTATATTATATTATACGCCCTTTTCTCTTTTTGCCTTTTTCTTTTCTGGCATCTGAAATTTTTCTTTTCACTTCCCTTCGCCATCTTTCTATCTTTCTATATTTCTTTTCTCTTCTCTTATCGAGATGTTACGTCTTTCCTGATTATTCATCTTCATGAGCTCTCATTATCTCTCAGCTTTCTGCAATGATGTTGTTCTTTTTCTTCTTCGGCTTTTTATTCCAATTCTGATTCCAATACCGTCCCGCCATGCCCCTCCCATCAGTTCTATCTTAGTCACTAGATTAGGATTTGATGCATTTTAGCGATTTTCTTTTGCACTTTGTCCTGCTGCTGTTATCTTGCCCGGAGATGCCTCGCATTTGTATGGGTTCTCTCCTTCCTGCATTGACGATTCCGGAGGTGGTGGTCTGGGAGGTCATACTTTGACCTAGCGCCATCCCCGTGTCTGATGATATATCTCCATAACCTTCCATACACCCTTGAGAGGCGTTTCCGGCGAAGTCTTGTCTTTGCGCCTCATACTGCATGATTATCATTGTTTTATTGTGATGTGGATTCTCTGGCCGTTCTTTACATCCTGAGAGATCAGTGATTGTAGGATGTGGGCATGAGGGTTTTAAAAAAATATAAAACTAAAAGTAATTGAACAAGCATTATCTTTCCATATTCCTTCCAGCAACCTGACTGTCATGAAATGATTGACAATTGATGGTGAGGCTGAAGATCAGTGGATAATCAGTGGATAATCTCCCTAACTATGTACCTAGGTACTCTATACAAAGCAATACGTAGCTAGTTTCCTTTATTACAGACAAAATAAAACATCCACGCTCTAGACGTATCAATTCTCCCCCCTCTATCCTGCCACCTTCATAAACTCTTGTAGATACGTAGACATCCTCTCTGTCGATTCCATGTATTCGCAATCCTGACGTTGTTCCCCACCCATGCTTATCCCCAGTCCTTCACCGCCTCCCATTGCCGAATGCAGATGACCTCCAGGCAGCGCCTCGCCTTGTCTTCCATTCCTAATCTCTGCGCCCATCTCTTTCTTCTCTCCCTTTCCCACACTCGTCTCCTTTTTTCATCTTCTTCTTCATCCTCCTCTTCTTTTCATCCGTTTCACCATCATTTTCCACCGCTTGAGGGATATTGTTGTTCCTTCCTGGTCTATTTCTAGGGACGTCTCTTGCGAGTGGAGTGCCCATTAGCATCTGACCGACTTTACCCTCTGTCCCCCCCGGCTTTCCTACATCATCATCACCGCCATGTCTGCTCCATCTCCCCAAACCGAACGAGTCGGTCCATCTACCTTGATTACTGTCAAGGTGGTTTACAATGATAATACTCGACGGTTTAAAGTCCCTTTGAGAGATCTCGGGGCCCATGTTCTTCCCCAGAAGGTATGTCTCCACCCGAGCTCCGACCGGAGCTTAACGCTTCCCCATACTATGCCGTATGATCGATCATGTCTTTTGGTCTTGCATCCACGCTATCGACCATTATCTCATGCCATTTCCTATTGTGTATTATCTTATGAATATTTGACACATCTGCCTTCGCTCCTCCATCCCTTGGTCTGCTGTATACTGATAAGTATTCGCGTAATAGCTCCGACTGCTCCTTGGCGTCCCGGCGGATGTCAACGTCATCTTTGAACGCTATTCCGACAGCGCCGGCTGCTTCGTTCGTCTGGACTCTGAGAACGTGGCGGTCTACAAGCAACTTTACCGCGCCGCCAAAGCCAAATTGAAAATCCGTATCAAAGCTACTGCGGAGAACGACACCTCATCCCAGCCAGCACCACAAGACAACTTCGCAGAGGAACCAAGCCCGGCGAGATATAGTTATCTGGAAACAGTTTTGAGCTCTCCACTCCCTGTAGCTCAAGACGAAACCATGCCCAGCACCGCTTCTAGCTCGTCCCCAAGTCAAAATGACACTAACCAGGCTGCTCTAGCCGACTCCCACCCTCGCTACAGGGACTTTATGTTGAGCCAGGACAACCTCAGCCTCCCAGTTGTGTCGCATAAGTCTCCCAGTGGATTGTTCTGTATTGACTGCAACCATTGTGGTCGCTCTATCCCCAACGAGCACTACCACTGCAGCATCTGCGCGGATGGCGACTACGACTTGTGCCTGCAGTGTGTCGACGCAGGAGTTTCATGCCAGGGTAAGGAGCATTGGTTGATCAAGCGACTCGTCGACGACGGCGTGGTCACCAACAGTACCACCGAAATGTTTGTTTCCCGGAAGCCTCAGACTCAGGAGACTGAGAAGCCTATTTCCGAGCCTGTCCCCGAGCCTGTTTCGGAAAAGGCCTCGGAATTCCCCGCAGCACCCTTTCCCAAGGTTGAAGAGCGCATCTGCAACTCCTGTCTCAAAGGTAAGCTCTGTTCTTACTAGCGTTGCAGCTCAGATTCTAATGAAGCTTAGATTTTGATGAAACCAAAATCGTCACGTGTGGTGACTGTGAGGACTATGATCTCTGCATCACTTGTCTCCTTAAGGATCAGCATGGTCATCATCCTGGCCACACATTTTCGCTCCTCTGCGATCGCAAGTTCTGCTTGAAGGGTCTGGTTATGGCCCGCTGCAGTCCAGGCCGCCGCCATCAACATGCGGCCATTTGCGACGGCTGTGAATCCGTAAGTTATATGCGTCCTGATCGTCCTAGGTTGCCAACTAATCCGTCTTTAGGGCATTGTTGGCGTGCGTCACAAATGCCTGACTTGCCCTGATTGGGACTACTGTTCGGAATGTGTGACAAACTCCTCGCAAAATCATCCAGGCCATCGGTTTGTTCCTATCTTCGACACAATTTCCGAGCCTCCTCAGCAGCATGAAGTCCACTATGGCATCCTCTGTGATGGCCCCCTTTGCAAGAACAGACCCGCCCCTGGATACATTTATGGCACTCGCTACAAGTGCTCCGTGTGTTATGATACCGATTTCTGTGCGAAATGCGAGGCACTTCCAAATAACACGCACAACCGCACTCACCCGATGGTCATGTTTAAGACACCCGTTCGCAGTGTGACTGTAAGCACCGTGAATGAGACTGGCCCTGCCGGTTCGTCGGTTGTGCTGGGTGATCCAGTCCAAAAGTCTACCTCCACACAGGTTTATGCTCCAGTCGAAAAGGAAGTGCCAGAAGAGCCAAGAACGGTGGCGGTTGAGCCAAGCATGCCAGTGGAAAAAGCTGCCCCGGTACAGGAAAAAGAGAAGCCAAATCAACCCAAGGCCATGCCGGTCTCGGAACAGTCAACCGACTACCAGGCTTTCTTCATTCGGGATACCGTTCGTGATGGGAGCATACTACCCCCGAACCATGTGTTCCAGCAGACGTGGACGCTCTACAATCCGGGACCTCTTGCATGGCCCGCCGATAGTGAAGTACGTTTCGTAGGCGGTGACTCCATGTTCAATGTGGACACGGAGCACCCCTCCAGCCTTGCATCAATCACGGCTGCGATGAAGAGCAACGGGCTGTCGGCTCCTTTGGAACCTGGACAGAGTGCTGATTTTACCGTAACACTCAAGACACCCAACCGGCTGGGGGTTGCAATTTCATATTGGCGACTCAAACTCTCGGATGGCATGCCTTTTGGACATCGTCTCTGGTGTGATGTTCAGGTGCAGACTGATGCACCTGCCCCTACCGCTGTTGAACCTGAAAAGAAGGAGACCCAAGAAACTCCCAAGACCCAGGAGGCTGAAACCAGTCGAAGCTGTATGATCTTCCCTACATTGGACAAAGAATCTCCCGTAACGAGCACTCACGAAGCGATGGAAGGTGCGCCATCCGCTCCGTCTGTGACCAACCCATCCGAGGGAGACATTTTCGAGGACGTCGAGAGCCTCACCCTCGAGGACAACGACACGGAAGCTGGTTTCTTGACTGACGAAGAGTATGATGTACTCGACGCCAGCGACCAAGAATTCTTGGAGGCTAAACAGGTAATGAATTGATTTGTACTTTGCTTTCTTGGGAACACGACAATACTTAATGGGAATTTGTGATTGATTTCGGGAAGCCTTACTTGATACGTTTGTGATTTGAGGATGGAGGAGTTTACGGCAAAGGATCGATATTGTCATGTCTTCCAATTCCCTGTCTGGCTTTTGGCGAAATAACGAGGCATCCCTTGACTCAGATGGGAATGGAGGAAAGGAAAGAAAAGAGGGAAAACATCCAATCTGTTGTTTTAAAAATGTAGCACAAACTAGCTTTTGTTCTGTTTTGAACTCCATTTCTGCTCCGGTAGCATACACTGTAGTTCTCTTTTACCTACAAATAACAGCACTGGACTTGAATAAATGCACATCCTTGAAACAAGTACTCTGTACTAGCCACGATCAGAATAATTCCCCTTGGCGTGATCAACTTCCATACCGAATGCGATTGATCTCAAATAGCCTCGGCTGTGACGATCGCCGTTTGCTGCTCCATACTTGGTTAACTACCCATTCCCACCAGAATATGTGATGACGATCTTTTCCTCTCCCAACAACAACCAGCACGATGCTACGGTCTCCACTCTATCATGGAGCACAATTGCACAAGGTTGTTAGCATCGCGATTGGGTAATTTATGGGCTGAATCGCTAGGCCAAGGATGAGAAGGGGAGGTAGTTCTCCCCCCTTCATTGCTCTTTAAATTCTCTTCTGTTCCCAGTCCAATTCGTCTGTCTACCAAACGCAGCAAAAGACACCACTTCTTACCAGCAGCCACCATGGGAGGCCTGTTGAAGCTCGCCATCGTGGCTGTCCTGGTGGCCACGCTGTACCGCCCAGTGTCCTGGCGACTGACCATGACAGGGATTTTCAACAAGCCAGCCAAGATGATGCTTGTGGAGGGCCAGAATCTGTTCAAGATCGAGGATACGATACATTGTGAAGATCTGCATCATTATAAGCCTGCCAACAAACTTTTTACCGCTTGCGAGGACTCGATCGTGCCTCGTTTTGAATGGTTCCCACCTCTTGCGCTTTTCAAGAAGCCTACCGAGACAACCGGTTCGATCCATGTTATTGATCCCAAGGTGAGCATTGAGATTTATGGGCTTGGTGTATTTGTCCCATTGAAGAGCTAATTTATATGTTAGACGTTGAAATCGACCCGACTCGCGTATGAGAACTTCGGGGGCCCTTTTGTAACACACGGAATCGATGTCATCCAAGACCCTAACCAGGTCGATGCTGTTTACATCCTTGCAGTCAACCATCTTCCTAACCCTGAATACTATCAAGATGTTCCCCGTGGAGGAGATGTCCCCAAAGCCCGCTCTCAGGTCGAGCTTTTTCATCATGTCCTAGAGTCAGACATGATCAAACACGTTCGCTCCATCCGTCATCCGTTGATCACAACGCCCAACGATATCTATGCTGAGAGCTCGTCTTCTTTCTACGTTACAAATGACCATGTATACCGCGAAGGCATCAAACGTAAGGTCGAAGATTATATCCCATTATCCACATGGACCAACATCATCCATGTCGAGATGAACAGCCTGAGCTCCATGGATGCAGTGTCCGATATTGATGCTTCAGTGGCCTTGACCGGTTTGTACAACAATAATGGTCTCGGACATAACCCATCAGGAGAGATTATCATTACTTGCGCGATGGGGGGTGCCTTTTACCGTGCGCAATCAAACAGCAACAACCACACGATCTCTATCCTAGAGAAGATTCCGCTGGACCATGCGATCGACAACCCTACCTACTACGAGGATCCGTATCGCACTGAGTCGCACGATGCAAGTGGCTACTTATTTGGTGGACTTGCACGACCTATCGATGTGGCCAAAACCGTCACTGATCCGGCGGGAACGGAATCAGTGATGGTGTGGCATGTACAGCCCAATGGAACGGACGAAAAGGGGGTCACCAAGTGGAAAAGACGCCTGATCTTTGAAGATGATGGGTCAACCATCCGGGGCGCCAGTGCAGCTCTTCTGATCCCGATTGAGCCGCAGTCTGAGGGGGAGAAGAAAGCAATGCTTTTCGTGACGGGATTCTTGTCGGCAAGTATGATCGCAGCCGAGATTGATTTGTAGTTTAACCAGAGAGGACCGTCAGAAACTTGTATAGAATGTAAAATAATGATGTGCGATGACATCCTATGATGTCATAGATATACAATCTCAGTGCCTGAGGTGTCATTTATGCCTCAGGCATCTGTATTTTTATTTCCCACTTCTGGCTTGTTTCGGCCTTCACCTTCACGTCCAACGCCGAATTGAATCTCGTTTCCCTCTATTATTCGCTCGTTTCCATCAAAATAACATCGTCTATGCATCCTGCATGATGCCTGCAGTTCTCAGTGGCCATCGGGCCCTCCTCTCTCGTCGTCAGCCTCCGGCTTTCACCTCCGTCCCGTCGTGGCTACAGTCTTACTCCGCCTCCAAAACATCCAGAGGCGCCATTCAAGTGAATCTGATTGCAATCTCTAGTTCCTCGTGTCGATATTCCTCTCATTCTTCTCACTCGTCCAAATCACACACCCGTCCGTCATCCTCGGCACAACCAGCTTCGTCTGCCATTCCCTCCACCTCCTCGACAGCAACCACTTCGCTTGCCCACGATGTCAATCCTCCCCCGAGCACACGACCAGCCGACCTCAACCAGCCGGATCCTATCTCACCATCTGCTAGTGCGTCGGATAAACTCAAACGATATGTTGCTCTCGGTCGGGCCTATGTTTCTTTCTACAAGACGGGATTGAAGAATGTCTACCACAACTATCGTGCTTCTTTGCCAATCCGAGGCTCCCTCGGCCTCCCCTCCTACCTACCGACATCTCCTCCTCCAGCTCCCCCATCCTCCCAGAACAATGCCTTTCGCAAGGCCGTTGAGTCCCTCAACCTCAGCCGCTCCAACTTTCAATTGGTGCGCCGGGCCGCATACGATGTGCGCCGAATGGTCCCATTCACGCTTATTCTCATCATCTGCGGAGAATTAACTCCTCTAGCCGTACTTGCTTTTGGCACAGCTGTCACACCATTTACATGTCGTGTTCCACGACAGGTAGAGAAAGATAGAATACAAAAGGCCGCACGAAAGCGAGCTGCGCTCATATCACACCAGGCCAAAACATTGGGATCATTGACGCCCTTCGCGGTAGGCTCAGAACAGGAGCTGGATCTTCTGGCCAACGACTATGTCAATCCAGAGTGGATCGAGACTGCTGCAGCTGAAGATATCCTGCGGGCCTGTGCCGTGTTAAATCTGGCCAAGACCCATACCCGACCAACTCTATTGACTTCCGTCATGTATCGGCCTCGATTGCGGCGGTATGCGGAATATCTGAGCTTGGACGATCAGTTGATCCGTAGCTGTGGTGGAGTCAAAGCCATGGAAGCGGATGAAGTTAGAATCGCGGTTGATGAGCGCGGAGGCGTGGAATTGGCTGAAGGGAAAGAAGGTTGGGAAGCGGAGCGAGATGAACGACGGTGGTTGGAGAGGTGGCTGGAGCGGAGATGAACAGCTAGTTGTTCCCATGTACATTAGACTATTGCATTTTAGTTGTTTTTTGCCTATAGAATATTAGTCTAGTAGCATTAGATCCAATATTGAATATTCCTTTTTGGACCTTCAAAGTGTTGGGGTTTCTTTGACACAAAGAAAAAAGCACTATCAGGCTTCGTCACACCTTAGATAGCAAAGAACCAAAAGCAAATATAAATCTCAGTACTCATATTGCGGCTCTATATAAAACAAGAAAATCCCAGTGCAGCAAGCACGAGGGACCCCCCTGAACTCTTCTTTTCATAGATTATTCCCCGATTAATGAGAATGACACGCACGGAAGAATCCATCGACGTCATCATCGTTGGTGCAGGTCTCGCCGGCATCAACACTGCATACAGAATCCAAACTGAACTCCCTCACCTCCGCTATTCAATCCTCGAGGCTCGTGGCTCTCTCGGAGGAACCTGGGATCTTTTCCGCTACCCTGGAATCCGCTCCGACTCGGATTTTTATACCCTCGGCTTCTCCTGGTATCCATGGACGGGCCAGCCCATTGCCGGTGGTGCCTCGATTCACCAGTATATGAAAGAGGCAGCAGCTGTTTCCGGAGTTGATCAGCATATCCTCTACCATCATAAACTCGCGGTCGCGGATTGGTCGGATCAAACTCAGTCGTGGTCGCTGGAGGTAGACTGCAGTAACAGCGACAGCAGCAGCCCTAAAAAGCTCGTAACAGCCCGGTATCTGGTATTTGCCACGGGATATTATGATTATGACACACCTCTTGAGGCACGTATCCCGGGCTTGGAGAAGTTCCAAGGCCAGGTCATCCATCCCCAGTTCTGGCCCGAGGATCTGGACTACACGGGCAAGAAGATCGTCGTCGTGGGCAGCGGTGCAACGGCCATCACGCTGATCCCCAGTCTGTCCAAGAAAGCCTCACAGGTCACCATGCTGCAGCGAAGTCCAGGATACGTCCTTCGTACGCATAACAGAGACCGTTTCCCTCTGATGCCTTATTGGTTCAAACGCTTGTGGTGGATCCTCATCACCCAGCTCATTTATTTCGTCTGCAAATGCATGCCTAACATGACCAAACGGCTCTTCTATAGACAAATGGAGCGTCAGCTACCGCAGAATATCCCGTCCGATCCGCATTTCAAACCTCGATACAACCCATGGGATCAACGCCTCTGTGTCTGTCCAGATGGCGACTTCTACACGAGCCTTCGTGCGGGTAAAGCAAATGTCAAGACATCGACAATCAAGACAGTCACCCCAACTAGCATTCTGCTGAATTCGACCGAGTCCCTGGAAGCGGACATTATCGTCACTGCAACAGGGCTTAAAATCCGCTTTGTTGGAGGCACCACAATCCTAATCAATGGTGAACCCTGCAATCCGGCCGATAGGTTTATGTGGAAAGGAGCAATGTTGCAAAATATCCCCAATCTGTTTAACGTCATTGGCTATCCAAACGCCAGTTGGACACTCGGAGCAGACCTGACGGCATCGATGATCTGTCAAATCTATCAGCACATGGAACGGTCGAAAAGAACGGTTGTTGTGCCTCGTATGAGCACGAACGACAGTGCTGTGATACAGACAAGGCCGTTTTTCAGTTTGAGTTCCACCTATCTGACTGTTGCATCCAGGGAGCTGCCAAAGACTGGCAATCTTCGTTCATGGGCGCCCCGCCAGTATTATCTCTCTGACCTTTTCCATGTCCGGTTTGGACGGTTATTCCAGAATCTAGAGTTTGCCGGAGATGTTTCCTTTCAGAAGCCACATGTTGAGTGATGTTCGTTCTATTCCCTTGATGTATTGCAACAAACCTTGCGATCGAAGTGCTCTTTCAATGGCAAAATGCATGGATATATATTCGTTGCATGTGATCGAGAATTTTGCCAAAAAGAAAGAGAAAGAAATTAGATAGAAAATGTACCCAAAAAAAATCTAATGTCCAAGAATATACTCATGATACTCATGATATACATATCAACCTGGATGATTGGCTTCCCCGTCTATCCCTGTACGCCCCGTACAACATTCCCAATCGCTAGTTTTCTATATGTCAAAAAAAAAAGGCACATTCATTATTTGCCGTCAGTGAAATTGTGCCCCTCTAAAAGCCGTATATTGCCTTGAAATATAACAAATAGTATCCCAATACGGAGCTCCGTAGATACTATATATATATATATCCCATGCAAGACACATAGAGCAGGCTGGCTCAGGCTGGCACTGATTTTTCCGCAGGCTGTGCTGCACGATTCTGCTTGGCCCAGCGTAAACCACAACCGTTGCAAAGATCGCGATTCCCACTTGGTCCCCTTCGCCACTCGGGCGTGTTCTTAGTCTGACACATAGCACAGTTCTTTTCCACCGGTGCATTGCTCTGCTTGCGCTTGCGCTTCTTCTTCCGGGTCAGCAGTCTTTGGAGCTCATCGGAGAGGGTGCGATTCTGCTTCTCCAGTTCACGAAGTTCGACTTGCCAGCTGGAGCCTCGCGTCGGGTTGAGCTCTGTAAAGACCGTAGGGTTTCTGACTGCTGGTACATATTGATTTCCTGACGGCAGTCTGTTTGCCCCCATTATACTATAGTCGAATGGCTGGGGACCCGTAGCAGCCATGCCCCTTGTTCCATTAGACCCGGTCTCCCCAGTGAATAGGGCGACAGCCGTATCGGTCGGGGCTGACTCCTCATTGCCCGCCATGCCGGTTGCTGGCTGGAGTGACTTTGGAAAGCGCATCTGAGCAATCAGAAAGGTTGGTTTGGTGCCTTCTTTGGTGTCTCCAGGGAACAAGGTTGTCTGCACCTGCAGCATATGGCCCTTTCGATGCCGCATTTGTTGGCCAAATGTGGTTTGCTGGCCGCTTCTCGCTATTTCCAATGCCCGCTTGGCTTCAAGCCGGGACTCCACCGCCATAAATTCTTGTATACCTTTCCCAATGATATCCTCCGGTGCGCGACCTAGAACTGGACGAGATTTTGACGAGACAAAAAGGATCATTCCAGACATGGACAATTTAACCCACAGATCATTTTCTGCCAGCTCCTCGCCTCCGATGTTCGCAAGCTGATCAAGGCAGAACACTGGACGCTCTCTCCCAACCATAACCAAGTTTTCTCGCCCCCTTTCGCCAATATGCCACGAACCGTGGCTTTCAAACCATATGTACCCGCTGCGCTTCTTACGCATTCGATACACCACGCTCACCGGATCTGTCGTGGTACTGGCTCGCAAATCACGAATGGCCGGTCCAATGTCACTAGGATGGCAAACTGTTGAGAGCATCTTGCCTACCAGCTCAAACGCATTATATTCCAGGACTTTTTGGCATGAGGGTGATAGGTAAAGGAATTCGCCTTCGAACGACAGCACGTAGATGACATCATCCGTATTCTCGACGACAAGTCGGTTAAGATATTGTCGATAGTCGGACATATGATTTTCATCAATTGCGTTTAGAATGTGAGAAATATCATCATGAGTAAACTGGGGTGCTAAGTCGGAGTGAGAATCATACATCTCGGGGGATGGCACTATGTAATGAGGCAATTGATTGCGTTGATAATTAATCATGTAGGTGCCATCTGGTTGCCATTTTAGTTACAAATTCAATGGACCTTAGGGCATAAGAGACTTACTCGAGTTTTTCTTGGTGACGGCGTCTGGCTTCTCAACGAGATCGACCTGGAAACCAACATAGAATCGGTAGTCATCCGAGTTCCACCGAATGGGAATCATCGTAATTAGATTCATGAAGGGTTGGCCACCCTTTCGGTAATTGATCAGACTAGCTTGGATCTCAGTTCGTTCTTCAATGGTCGATCGGAGGCGAAAAGCGGTTTGTTCGTCAACGAATCTCCGCTGTGACCCCTGTTGGATCAAACCATCTGGGGCCTGAAGAAAACGGCAGTTCCTGCCAACAATCTCTTCCTCAGTATAGCCTGTCAACCTTTCGAACGCGTCGGAGACATAGACAATGGGATGATCCTCTCGAGTGATATCACACAGTACGAACGCGCACGAAAGGTCCACCGCACCGATATTGATTTTGGGGTCTGGTCTGGACACCACACGAGCCTAGCCAGAGGTCTTAGCGAAATCCAGCAGCAATGCGACGAGAACGCCAGGAGGTAGTGAAATGCCCAGAAAACATGGTTCACCCGAAAAATTGACTTACCAGAGCACCCATCATGTCAAAACCACTGTTTGAGTAGACATTTGCATATGGGGAGCTTTCGCCACTTATATCCGATTTCGTATTATTCGACGATGAAGATGTTCCTTTTAATTTTATCTTTGCATCAGTCAAATCCTTATAAAAATCTATAGGAGGGGGGAAAAAAAGGAAAAAAGGGACAGGGTAAACTCACCCTTCACGAGCGATGGCCTTTTGGGTTGGATAGCTCTGGGTTGTAGTGACCGCTGAGAAGGTGCAGAAGCATAGGACTGGGGGAAGGACTGAGGGTCCTGCGGTTGTCTCTGCATCCCGCCTTGATTCTGTGGGGGAACTGAATGTGTATACTCAGATGAAGAGGGCTTGTTTGCTGTCTCTGAGTGAATTGTAAAACCGTGGGGAGTGTGATGAGGGGGCCAATATGTATCTTGAAAAGGTGGCTGGGCCGGCAGGTTGGAGTAGGTGGAATGATCCAGGCTCAACGTTTGTGATTGTATGGACGTGTGTTGGCGCCTATGCAGATTATGTTCTAGCCCCGCAGTAGTAGATGGCGGGTAAGCGGACGAAACCTGATAAGCAAACGCATTACCCGCATCCATGCCCATTGGCATTGAAGTTCCAACGCCCGATAGCGGATCGTAAGACATCACGTCGCTCACCATTCGGGCTTGGGGATCTCCAGCCCCCATGGGAGCGGACACTTGCAGGTGCAACTCGTCGGCATGAGATGAAACCGGTAGCACAGAACCTGAGGCACTGCTGGACAGCATGGTGGGTTCATGTGAGGGATGGTGAAAAGCAAAATGTCCGACATCGCCATGGTTGTTAGACGGTTGAGGTGGGTAGGGCATATAGGGAGGCGCCCTCATCTGAGCATGGTGGTCGTGAGACGACTGAGAGTCACCCGACGGGCGATTCGATGGAGCCATTGGGTATTGCGAAGCATACAAAGAACCGTCGAAGCCACTGGTCATCTTGAGATCGCACCAGATCGAAGAGAGGGCAAGGCCCAGATCATCGAGGGAACATCCACGCGGCCAGGAGAAAGCGTTGGGCGAAGGGAAACTGCAGAAGTCGAAGCAGAAACCGGTCGTGACAAAAGTAAAACGCTCGAATTAGTGGGAGGGAGGCAGGGCCTTGTGTGCCTGGAGAAGGAGTTGTGCAAAAGTCCCAAGGCAAGTAAATAGTTGGACAGGGACTCTAACCGAGCGTCTGGAGACGAACGGGGGGCAACTTATGGGACTCTTCAAAGTGAGGCAAGAAAAAGCATTAAAAAGGTCGGACGAGCCAATCCGTGGAGGGTTGAGGGCGCCTTGACACCCTCAGGGAATTTTCTGGAGTTTCTCAACCTGCGGTGGATTGACGATCCACGTCGAACTGTCAAAAAAGCGCGGGACGGAAGACGAGCCGTGGAGAACGAGGGCCAATGGGAGGAACAGCCGGGAGGGGTCAACGATGCGAGGTTCTCTTCGTGTTTTTCTCGTGAATTGTGATGGATCCAAAGCCGCAAGAGGGGATGGCGGAGGGATGGCGGAAGGAATATTCGACAAGTGGAGGACGATCATCTTGAGAGAGTCTGGGACGGGGAGATGATGCCATGGTGCGTGGTGAAGCTTTTTGATTGCGCAGGAAGTTATCTCCAGCTCATGTGACGGGGCCAGGCCAGGAACATCAGGATTTCCAGCAAAAGTACCATAACACGACGACGATAAGAATTGGATCGAGTCCTTCATCGTGCACATACCGATGCTGTAGTCTGTACACTCTTCAAAGAAACCCCTGCACATGTCGATCTTGGTGTCCTGATTATCTCCCCCCCCCATACCACGCGTCTTCATCGGCTGCCCATCATAGTTAGGGATAGCTTCGATAGCTTCAAGTTATAAATGGAGCCCCAAACGTCTAGTCAAGGCCATCTAGACACTATGGCGATAGACTGACTCGCGGTCCAGAACTAATTCAGAGGCTACTATTAAGGATGAGAGTAAGACAAGATGATCGCAATCCCGTCGAGGATCTTCAACTCCAGACGCTCTCAAGGGGCGCCGTTTGTCGCACCGTCCAACGGCTGTCTTACTCTGATTCTGTCGTATTTTTTTTTTTTTATTTTTTTTTCTTCATCCCATCAAACTTCAATCTCTCCAAGATTGGATTTTAATTACTCATACGCTCGTTTGGTATACCTCACACATTCCTTGCCATGAATCTGGCCAGTTCTTCACGGTCTTAGTCTGGATCTGGATTCTTCTCCATCAATCACACCAAAACACGCTTCGATTCTCTCGCCCGAACGAACTCCCCCTCGTTTCGAGTCGCTCCCCTCGTTTGAATTCACTCTTTTTAGATATCGAAAAAAATTTGGAGAATCCGATCTGAACCGTCTTTCCTTAATAATTCCGATCCACTCTTTTTCTGTCTTTTAATCAATTTTCTCTTTTGTTTACCATAGCAACAACTGCCTCGTGCGATTCGACCCACTGCGCTCACGCGATGGCGGACAAGATCTCCATCACAATATGCGGGGATGGTGGTTGTGGTATGTTCATTCATGTCGCTTGTTTTGAGGGGAAACTGAGTTCAATATCTTGCTCATATCCAATTGTCCGAGGGGCCATCTCCTGGTGCTGATTTTTCTTGCGCACAGGTAAATCCTCCATCACGCTTCGACTAGTGCGTAGTCAATGGATCCATGAGTAAGTGCCGGTCTGGAGATTGCGGTATTAGTTAGGCTGACTCGAGGTTGGATAGATATGATCCCACAATCGGTATTTGCTCCCCAATATATCATCTTTCAAGATGATCGCATCTAATTTGCGACTCGAAAATGTACAGAGGACTCGTATTCAGTTACGCGCACGATCGATGGCCTCCCATACTTCTTGTCTATCACAGATACAGCGGGTCAGGAGGAGTATCGTGGGCTATGGACAGCTTCCAACCTGAAATCAGATGCCTTCCTGCTCGTATACGACATCACCAGCCCGTCGAGTCTCAGTGCATTGGATTACTTTGTCGAGATGATCGACATGGAGACGGAATTGCGACACGAGGACACAATTCGGCTGAGGAAACAATTTGGAGGCAGCGGGCAAGATGTCGGCATGCCTCCTCCGATCAAGATCGTGGCCGGTAACAAATGCGATTTGAAAGATGCCCGGAAGATTGGAGCTCGAGAAGGGTTGGAGTACGCACGAAAACACGGCTGTGGGTTTATGGAGACGAGCGCGAGGGAGATGGTCAACATCGAAGAGACATTTGCCCGTAAGTCCCTATATTAACTTTCTTCCTTTCAACGAAGTCTGGCATCTCATTCTCTCGCAGTTCTGGTTCGTCGTGTGGTAGAAGCCCGTCGGCAGCATTACGAAGAGGGCGAATTGATGGCTGGTCCCCGAGCTACGGGATCTTCCACTGCGCAGACCCCGGCTCTAACAAAGGCCGAGAAAGAACAGGGGGTGAAATCGAACACGCGCAAACGAAACAGCCGGGTATTAGGGTTTGTGAAGGGAGTTCGTAAACGGGGGGGTAAAGGAAAAGAGATCGATGTTTCAACCAAAGAAGCACAGCAAGATACGGCAGAATCGACGGCCAAGGAGCGGAAGAGTCTCTGGCGGCGGATGCGATGCTGCTGATCGAGGCGATTGTTTTCCAAGTTATTTCCATATACCCCTTCTTTTGTTACATATAGACATTCTTTTGCATTTCTTTGCTTAGCTAGCCTGTATTATTTTCCCACTAGGCCCGATTGTTCTGGGCCGATTGTATACTGTACTGTGTATTAATTCAATGTATTCTACTTGTATATCGTATGATCTGTCTGACATGTGACCTGTTACAATCAGTAGTGAAGTCATCCATATGACCCTGTATAGATCTACAACCGTGGTCCTCGAGTCTAGAAGGTATCTTGGAACATTTCAAAGCCCGATCATCCTCGATGGTGACACAGGCGTGGGTCAGGCACTGAGGAATGCGGGATGACGCTATCACAACCCGTCAATTATTGGAACAGGGCAGGATCTTTGACTGATGGGGTGATGGATATAGATGATAGAGCAAGAGAGAGTTGAATCGTGCCTGAATGAATGCGTCTGACCCGACCAAGACCGGTATGCTTCTGAGTTCTGGTGAGAGCAGACACCAGAGCAAAAAGTGCTTGGGTCATTGATCGCAAACCTAGAAGTTTGAGTCAATGAAGGAAGTCAGTGGCGCAAGAGTGAAGTCAAATCCGGTTCTGCTTGATAGGACTGAGAGGGGTAGGATGAATGATGATGGGATGATCTCTGGGTGGTCACATCAACGTCATGACTCTGGATGGAGAGCTATCACGATCAACAAAGTTTAGCACTCGGGAAGCAACAATTTTCTCAGCACTTCGGACACTTTTCATTGCGATCTCAGCCAAGCTTTCAGGATGCAGCGATGATTGATTATTGATGCTTCTCTCTCTCTCTCTCCGATGAATAAGCGGGAACATGAGGCCGAAAGAAGCCCTGGACGGACGGCAACGAAGCCGTTCAATGTTCGGCAGGCCTTTGCCGAGTCATTTGTTGACTGCTGGATGGACCCGCTGCACAGTTATGCATAGTGGATTAGGGCGATTGCCTCGGAGTTCTGTATTTAGTCTGGGCCCAGGTCGTCAGGCAGCCTGTCAGGATTTGTCTAAATCGTTATGATCTCGATGATCTCGATCGGAAATACTGTATTGCAATAGCATTAGCAGTCAGTTGGAGCATAGGTAAGTCATCCATGATCCATCATCCAGCTGGGCACGACGGATATACGGATGCGGATATGGGATTAAGCCAAAGTTCCAGAACAAGTTAGCGTGGTAAACAGACATGATTCAGACGAGCAAATTACCGTATGGAGAAGTTTCTAATCAGGAAATTTCCACACCGAGGTCCGACTAGCGCTCGGAGGGTTTTTCTCCCTTCAAATTACGCATCCGTATTTCCGGGCGTTTCAATACAGCCCAGCTATAGGTGTATTTTACCAACTCCAGTGCAGCTATCGTACATAGTAGCTACTAATGATTACGGATTAGGCTATGACAAGAAAAGAAAAAAAGAAAAAGAAAAAAAAAACTCCACTGGATTAATTACAGTAAACTAAACTCGATCCAATGAGCTGGTCCATCGTGGTTCCATCCACTCGTACACTGCATGGTTAAAGGACTAAGAGCAATGCATGATGGTTAAAAGGCAGCCTTTCTCCCTCCATCATCTCCAAGTTGATTACCTTGGAAAGCATCGATCTAAATTTCCAACCATCCTTGGCTCCCTGTCGTCGGCTCATCCACTCTCCTACGTTGCATTCCTCTTCCAAGTCTTGGGTCCATCATTACTCATTACTACTCATTGCGTCTGATGCCACTATAACTTTCTTCGACATCTTGGTTATATCATCGATTAACCTTGCGACTACTTACGATAGGGTGTCTAGGCTTCATATCGACTCTTCCCCCCCCTCCCTCTTACACTCTATCAATTTCTCTCTTTCTCACCTTTATACATCTCTATACACAATGACTGCTCGTCAATCATCGCCAACATCAGATCACTCGCATTCGGACAGTAATGTTCGCAAGAGGGTATGCAAGGCCTGTGATCGTTGTCGCTTAAAAAAATCCAAGGTAAGCAAATGAAAACCACCAGCGCAAGCATCAGCGCGTCTTCTGATGCACTGACACGGTGTAGTGTGACGGTGCCAGCCCATGTGGTCGATGCCGAGCAGACAATGCGATCTGCGTCTTTGGCGAAAGAAAGAAGGCCCATGATAAAGTGTACCCCAAGGGGTGAGCTTGCACCTAGATTATACCTTACCATTATTCATGTGTACTGACCAATATTGAATCTAGATATGTTGAGATGCTGGAGCAACAACAAGCATGGCTAGTCCACGGCCTTCAGGAACTATATCGACGAGCCGCTGAGGGCGAAGGATGGCCAGGCGAACCATTGAAATGCGAATCAAACGGCCACCCTCTCACACACGACATGCTCACCCGATTAGGCGCATTGGACCAGAGCAAAGGCGAACGTTTCGAGGAAAACCCTGAGAATATGCAGCAGGATCTATGGAGGCAGAATTCAGGACATATGCAGCGCCAGGAGTCGTCGGACGGTAGCTCAGAAAGCCCACAATCGCCCGTTGCTCCCTCGCGCTTCCCAGACGCCTTTGCCCGACATCAACTACCTCCTACACCTCCCAGCTTCAGCCCGTCGTCTCGCGCACAACATCTGTCTATCAAGCAGGAACCCCAAATCACACCGAACAACCCTACCTTTGCGCCTCAGCTTTCTATGCCAGGCGTGGTCAACCCTATTGCGCTTCAAGGCGGACCACAGCACTGGCCCAACAATGGTTTTGGGGCTTTCGATGAGATGGACTTGATGGGACCTGCAGATTACGCCAATTTGTCTTTTGATGATCAAATGTCGTCACCGATGTTCAGTCGCCAGATTCCTATGAACTGTATGACATCAGGGTACATGGACACCAAGAGCGATTACGAAGACTTCAACCAATTCCTGAATCCGAATCCAACAGAGATCACATCGATTTAGGACCAGCGAAAAATAATAACAAAAACAGCAAAAACGACTCGTCTCCCTTCGACGTTCTTTGTACGCCGTATGACGTGACGCACATATCCTATACGTTTTATTTCCTTCGACACCATTTGGATTTGATGGGTCTTTTATTTGGGAATTTTATTTTCTTTGGTCGACATTCTTTGGACGGATCTACAAATGTACAGTGTCTAGGGGGCTATCGGGGGTTTCTTTTCTTTTTTCTATATATTTTTTTATTTATTTTCTGGGCAAGCAATGGCCCTGGTGCCAGGAGTTGGGGTTCAAAATCACTACAAATGGGATGCAGGACCCAGGGGCGTTTTGGATAATTACTTGATTTTTATTTTCCTGGGGTCTTATTTAATTGACCTTTCTGATGCCTCTTTGCAGGTATGATCTCTTTGGATGGTTATCACTTCCGGTGTCTGGTCGGGGACCCTATGTCACTGTTACACGTTACACCGTAGACCGGTAATCATCTGAATAACAAGAATTATTATTTCACCTGATTTAACTTTCTTTTCTTTTCCTGCTGCCTTCATCGTTTCTTTTTTCTCCAGACTGACAAATATACGAGCAGCTCCAGGTGGAGATGTATCGGCCAGCCTGAGTCCGAACGCCGAAAGAAAACATAAAGAAAACATTAAAAAAATCAATCGTGTTTGACTAATCAACCCGATGGGGAAAGAAACGTCATCCACTTCCGTCTCTCGCAACCATGGCTGGATTTGATGATATTAAGAGTCTTATCTCCGGCTGCACATTGCTGACCGTGCCATGACTGCCTCTCGATGTAATGATCGAATCAAGAGTCATCATAATAGGAAACCTGTTTGGTGCAAACTGATTTTTGTGTCTGGCATGTGGCACTAAAACCTGCTATAACCTGCAATTATGAAAAAAAAAAAAAAAAAAATTCATTCCAGGTGATTCAACTCTGTACAAACTAGTAGGAACATAGTACTAATAGTTCATCGTGACAAGGTCCCACAGCCCAGCCAAGCGAACACACTTCCACATTTCTTCTTCGACTTTAATGCGATACAGAACCTGAATAATAATGAATCATCCATTCCCCTTGAAACTGTCCGAAATGCCGATTTGCCGGCTTGCCATCTCTGACTGACAGTGGAGATGTTCCGTTTTCCGTCCGAAGTTGACACGCCTTTTCGGAGTTTCCTTATTTCCTCCGTATTACGGCGATATTCACCATCACATGATCTAGGCTGTCAACATGAGCACTCGGTGTACGGAGTAACTAGCGGTCGACTACGGTCATGATGATATCTGTTCACTATTCAATTTGCCATGGATGTTGGCGAATAATTATCGGTTAATCATATATTGATTACATTGATTACATCGAGTCCATCAGCTGAGATATCTGAACTGCCAAACAACCCGGCACGGAGACCGCGGGCCCCGAATAGTCCGCAGTTATGCTATGCATCCATCGAGAGTATAAGCCATCTTGGCCCCTGTGACGGGGGTCTATATTATTTACGAGTACGAAGTACGATCAGGTGAATCGATTCCATTTATAGTGGTCTGGGTAGCTTCTAAGCTTCCATTGACAGCTATTGAGGCGCAGCCTAGTGACTACCTGTCAGATGCTGATGGATCAGTTAGATGCATTGTAATTGCTGGAATTGGTAATTGGTCTGGTCTGTAGATCCACTAATAGTGTCAGTATGCTAGGAGTAGTCCCTCTTCATCTGTAATCGATGAAATGCAGTCTAGAAGTCATTAATCCTCCGTTCAAAATGGACTATGGAGGGTTACCCCAGATTTCCTCTCGGCCTAAGGCACCAAATCAAGCCCACCGGCCGGATATTGCCAGATTAAGCTGGCCTCTTTAGCCTAATAACCGCTTCAACACCTCTGCTCTGGGAACGAGGATACCCCAGATTTAACCGTGCCTCAACATAACTTGACATCAGATCCTTCAGATATGAATTCGGGCCCTGTTCCTTCGGTGTTGGTGTCACTATTCGTTGACCCTTTCAACTGATCGGCATATTGCGGGGTTGTTGTTGTTAGACGTCATCTGCCCCTCGTTCTACCTGACCTTCAAATAATCACCCTTTGATAAATCCTCCCTACCTACACTCAACAATCATGTCGTCAACAGCGTCTGCCTTTACCTTTATCCCCCTCGGGGCCATCATCCAGGAATTCCAGGTTGCCGGCCAGAACATTGTGTTGGGCTTCCCTACCCAAGAACAATATATCGAGTACAACACCCCGCACTTTGGCGCAACTATTGGGCGTGTCGCCAACCGAATCAAGGATGCTGTCATCCATAACCTCAACGGCCGGGATTATACTTTCGCAAAGAACAACGGACCCAACTCCCTGCATGGTGGTGTGAACGGGTGGGGTAAGCGTATTTTCGATGGGCCACACACTGTGAAACACAACGGCAAGGAAGCGTTGTTGTTCAAGTACCTTAGTAAAGATGGCGAGGAGGGATATCCCGGTACCGTTGAGCTAAGAGTGTGGTATACGGCGAGTAAGGAGGACATTGACGGTCCTGCTCCCAAGACAGTACTCTCGCTCGAGTACGAGGTGGAATTTGTCGGCGATGAGTGCGAGGAGACAGTGATTAACCTGACGAACCACAGGTGACTATCAATCCATCCTGAAACTACCTAATCATTCTTTGACTGACAGCTACCTGCTAGCTACTTCAACATCGCCAATGCACCAACCGTGACTGGAACCAAAGCTCAGCTGTTTACGCAAAGCTACCTCCCTCTCGATTCCACCGGCATTCCTATTGGCAACATCGAGGCATTCCCCCGGGAAGTCACCGCTCCATTCGATGTCGGACCCTTTGAGCCCCATATCGACGATGTCTTCGTGATGGAAAGCGACCCGGAGAAGATACCGCTGGACACGCGTGGACAGTCACTGAAGCTCCTGGCGCAGTTCAGCCACGCCACAACGAGGATGCACCTGGAGGTTCACAGTACCGAACCGGCGTTCCAGTTCTACACGGGCAAATACATTGACGTGCCTGCAGTGGAAGGGGCCCCAGCTCGGGTTGAGGGCGCGGGATTCTGTGTGGAGCCGAGTCGCTTCGTTAACGCCGCCAATGTGCCCAAGTGGCGATCTATGTGTGTGTTGAAGCGTGGAGAGATTTTTGGGTGCAGGAATGTGTACAAGGCTTGGAAGGATTGATTGCAGTGATATGTGCTGCACAATTTGTCTTGATTCTGTATCCCAAGACCCAAGAAAATGAACAATTCCCATTTCCAATTCCCATCCAAAAGCCGATTCTCGCCCGCTGTGCCGGTTACCCTTATCTCCGTGATATGTATCCGAGAGCGGATCCCATCCAGAGCAATTGCTAGTGAACCAAACACAAAAGTCTCCGTCAGCTCTACCTTACTCAGTAAGCAGTTAGCAGTATTATTCACCATAGACCCACTATTGGGATCCATCCTGTTAAGATTTTCCAGAAAGTCGCGCGACTCGTGATCAGGCCTCAATGCCGTTCGATTCGATGCGGCCCGTGGATGAAAATCGCTCATTTACTTACATACATACGGTCTCGGCAAAGTGTTCGCTGGGGACATGGACTATGATGGACTACTCTTTTTCTAGAAGGGTTCTATGGGTTCCAAGCTCGATAGTCTGCAAATATAAAGTATGTTGGCACAGTAGTATGTGCTACAATTGCATAGAATATTGTTGATCTACGTCGGAAATAATCAGGAGATTAAAAAAAAAATAATAATAATATGGAAAGATTTGGTATGTATTGGCAGAACGAAAATAACGCACAATGGCATTGATACAGACGGCAAATACGAACGGTATCAGAGCCCGGATCTGGGGAATGCCGTTTGTTACGGGCGTATTGTTACCGCCACTCCCTCGGAACGGCGAACCTCCCACGTCCCGCTTAGCCAACGCTACTATTGAAGTCAACAACACTCGACGCTCAACACTGAACCTCTCGGATCCTCGATCCATGATTTGGATGCTGATCTACAACGTCGGATCCTTTTGATTCCTGACATGAGTCTATTAATCTCCATACAGTCCCTCGCCGGGATGGAGTCTCTTCGTCATCAGAATAAATACTAGGCTTCACTATTGAATCTAAACACAATTGCCGACCACATGGACCATTTCACCTGTCAATAGTATCATATCGGTCAGCATGATACCGCATCTGCCACTGGACGATTCGGCATAATGGCTGTTTCTCAGCCCGACGATCGCACGGTCTGGGGATTAGCATTGGGATTATTTTCTGGATGCGGAGGCCTCAAAATCCGAAGTCCGCTGCAGAATCACGGGCATGTTGTGGGATAGACCAGAGAAACTCTGATCTCAGATCACACGGTCAGTTGCAGATCGTCCAAGGCATGGACAACTGGACGTTTTATGCTTGTGCCTTAAAAAAGGTCTACTAACTAATGGTCTTATAGCATTAGGGGAAGTAGTGAGCGTTTGTTTACCCCGCACAAATTGACCAGCCACGATAAGATATCTGACATGCGATAATACAAACAACAATGTGTGATTGTGATATCATCCCTTGAAGTTGCTTCAATGGCATCGTCTAGTTCGACATCCTCCCTGTCATCTACAACGGAGTAATTTCCCTTTCGTACAAGTCTCTTTCCCCCCTCCCCCACGAAACCAGGATGTTTCTTTTACCCCTGAGCTGTCCTTACGATACATACATACGACCAGAAAAGAAATTAAAAAAAGGGATGAAACACAATTCGATTATTGCTGTTGCCTGGAAACTGTGTGGCAGTGTTGCTTGATGTTTCCAATTGATGCTGTACCAGGTGTCAGAAATGGATGGATGTTTTGTCTAACTTGATCCAGGGGGACAATGCGAGATTGTAGTGGGAATTCGTGGTGAACTGGCAAGGCCGCCAAGCAGGGGTCAAGAATGGCTGTGCTCTTGTCTTCTTGGGTCCAAGGCCCCAGCCTCAAATTCAGACTCAGGAACCAAGCGTTCAGCCTGGCAGAAGCTCCATGGCGAGGTGAATTCAAACTTCGAGGGGATACGTAATGATGGCTGGGACTGTGGAGAAGACGTTGGACTGGGATTGGGATACATTCATAATCACATAGCTTGGATATGGATAGCGTGTCTCGTTTTCGTATCCGGGGAAATGCCGCAGACTAAATGCTATTCCTGGTTCGTTGTCGTCTGTACTCTGTATGTACTCGTAATACTCGATTACTGAATCTTCAAGTATGTGCATACGAGTATGAATGAAAATCTTCCAGAACTCCAGAATCAAACTTGGCGATGCTCTCAATATTGCTTCAGAAGTACATGGAGCAACGTGACTTCCCGATCTCGCCCGCACACGTGATTTTCTCCGATAATCGCCGAGATCTGCCCCGCGCGGGGTTCGATTATTTGGAGTCATGGTCTTCTCTCTGGGGTTGAGATAGAACGATAGAATCCAACATCCCAGCAGCTCGAGACAAAAAGAAAAGACAATGGCGGCCACTTATGGAGATCTCCGGCATCTACTGCCTGGCAATTACAAACGGTTCATCACCTCCTGGCTCGAAGAGGACTGTCCCAGCTTCGACTATGGTGGTTTCGTCGTGGGCGAGTCGGAGGGCGAAGCGCGATTGTTAGGGAAGAGCAAGGTAAATCATACCCAGTCTTCTTATCACCTGGATCTATCGTGGTATACTGATATATCGAGATAGGGCGTGGTTGCCGGTGTCCCCTTTGTCGATGAGGTGTTTTCGCAATTAGGCTGCACGTAAGCACTTTCCCCTTCCCCATCGATTCTATATCTAAATCTAAACCTCCATATAGAGTCGAATGGCATGTCAAAGAAGGAGACTCCATTAATCCCGTCACACATTGCGCCACCGTCCGCGGCCCCATCCGTAAAATCCTCCTCGGTGAACGCGTCGCCCTCAATATCCTCGCTCGCTGCTCCGGAATCGCATCCAAGAGTGCCTCCCTCGTTGCTGCTCTCCGCGCCCACGGCTGGTCCGGTACCCTGGCCGGCACCCGCAAGACGACCCCCGGTTTCCGTGTCGTTGAGAAATATGGTATCCTCGTCGGTGGTGCCGACCCCCACCGTCACGATCTTAGCTCCATGACTATGCTCAAGGATAACCACGTCTGGGCTTGTGCCAACAACAGTGCTGCCAGCGACGGTGGTGCTGGGTCAATCGAGTCGATTGCCGCTGCTATTCCTCGCGCCGTGCAGGCGGCCAAGGCGGCTGGTGGCTTTGCGACCAAGGTTGAGGTGGAGTGCCGGAGTGTCGAGGAGGCTGATGCAGCCATCGGAGCGGGTGCGGATGTCATCATGTTGGATAACTTCACCCCCGAAGAGGTGCGTACGGCAGCCAAGAAGCTCAAGGAGCGCTGGGCTGCGGAGAGAAAGTCCTTCCTGGTGGAGGTCAGTGGTGGGTTGAATGAATCCAATGCCGCTACGTACGCTATTCCGGATGTCGATATCATCTCGACCAGCTCTATTCATCAAGGGACTGGCATTGTGGACTTTTCTCTCAAAGTGTCGCTACGTTGAGAAACGCGTGGCGCTTATGATTGAGTAGAACAATGTGTATATACGAGTTGTGGGCATGTATTTTTAAGGCTATTCATAAAAAAAAAAAAAACATGAGATATGCATATTCACCAGAAAGGAATGACTTCGATACCCTTATATCCTCAGCATCTAATGTATATATACATTCAGTCCCACCTGATCATATCGCATATCCCATAGACTTCGTGATGAAAAACTTAAGCATTCCGAGAAACCGAAAATAAAAAGGAGTTCCCCATGATCACCAATCCCAGTTCGATCAGATGAATCAGACAGAGGATACGACGGGAGGAAGCAGAAAGCCAAAACGGAAGGGTATATAGGTAGTTCATGCCCAATATCGGCACAGTATAACATAAAAAAACAGAACCACGACAATGCAATCGCTCGCAATGCAACATCAAACAGAGGAGAAACAGAAAAGATATCAATGATTGCTTAAACCTCAATGTCGACGTATATCCCCTCCCCCTCACTCGAGCTCTGCTCTTCATCCCGATGGTCATCGTACTCTCTGTCCAAATCCTGCTCGGGCCCTTGGATCCGATGCCCTCGCCGGCCATCATCTGTCGATCTGCCCATTGACAAGCCTCGCCGCTGTCGTTCCAATTGGGCCCGGAGCTTTTGGTTCTCGGCATCCCGCTCCTCGAGCCGTTTACGAGCTCCGCTCCGATCGAGTAGGCGGGCCTCGCGTTCAGCCTTAAGTCGTCGCTCCAACTCACGCAGGCGATAAGCCCATTTTTCGTCACTGGCGGGGTCTGCGGGTGTATCTCGAGGACGAGACCCGTGTGTCATCGCCCCAGCGTTTTCCGCCAGAGTAGTTGTTGAGGAGAAGTGAGACGGCTGGGGAATGCCCGTTGAATTTCGTGCCAAGCCTCTCTCCGGACGCTGCATCGACTTGTCGGTCGTAGAACGATGTCGGACCAATGATGATGGATCTGCATCTACCCCCTCCATGCTAGAGTTCCGGCCTGGTGAGGGGCGTGGGGAGCTGGGTCCCATGCCCGCAGCAACTGCAGCAGCCGCAGCAGAGGGAGATCCGCGACTACGAGAATGCGACTGGATAAGATTCAGTTCCGCCTTCAGCAGTCTGTTTTCGCCTCGTAGCTTGGCGATCTCTGGTGACAGTCCCGACTGGTTTTTGCTGTGCTGCTGGGCCCGCATGTTCATGACCGACTCCTCCATGCGGTCAAGCTTCCTGATCCGCAGGCTAAAGCTATGTTCGAGAATTTGATACTGCTTCGTCAGGTCACGATCAACGCTCTTGATGCGGCCCTTGAAACCGGATATCACGCTCTCCACTGTCTTGAGGGCGAGCAAAAGGTTGCGACTGAAGCCAGGCCAGAAGAGAATATTACCAATGACCTCCTGACTTGGCAGATTACCATTAATTAGACTGTTTGAGTGTGCCCAGTCCGGTCCACACATCGACGATAGACGTTTCCACATGGTCAACAGCATTGTGTTTCGCTCATTGAGTTGGTCCTTGAACTGCTGCTCGAGTCCCGTATACCGTTTGCGGTCCTGGTTTCGCGCACTCTCCAGTTCCGAAATGCGCGAATTACTCTGCGTAATAGTCCGTGATGCCTGGTATTGGGATTTGAGTGCCTGCTCGAACGACTGCTTGTCTGCTCGTCGAGCGTGTCGTTCACGGTCCAGAAGCTCGGAAAGTTTCTGGGATTCGAGACCGTGACTTTCCAGGAGAGCATCACGGTTTCGCAAAAGAGACTCTTTTTCGTCTAGCTTGGAGCGAATACTCTCGAGCTCCAAAGCAGTCGACTCAAGTTCCTTTTGCAACTTCATAATGTTGGAGATCAAGCTGGAGCGACTGCCAGTCAGGTCACCAAGGGTTTCTCGGAGGTTATTTTCAAGGTCCATAAGTCGCTCCCGCCAGGTAGCCGTTTCGATCTCCTGGGCCGACAAGCCTTTCTTGAGTCTTCGAACCTCCTCCTTGGCAGCAGAGGCCTCGCGATTTAATTCGTTCATGATCCTCTGGACTTCTTGCTTCTCTTTGCCTCCTACAACTTCTCGCTGGTGCCTCTCGTCGGCCAAGCGCCCTTCAAGTTCCCTGGTCTTTTCTTTCTCACTATGAAGACTCATACTGTACGTCTTGAGCTCTGACTCGAGATCACCAATCTTAATCTTGTCACCATCCTGTTCCTCCCGTAGGAAGGCGATTTCATTTTGGCTCGATTCTATTTGAACTGTCAGACGCTGAACCTTGGTGTTGGCCTCATAGAGGCTCTTATCCAGCGACTCCATTTCTCGGTTTGCATCTTCTAGCTCCTGCTGAACAGCATGGTATCGTTGCAGATTGTTCTGTGCATCCTCTTCAAGCCGAATGATACCCTCGCTGGCAGAACGCATCTCTGCTTGTAGGGCCCTGAGGTTCTCGTCCTGGTCTTTAAGCTCTTCTCCTAATCGCTGACACTCGTCGACCTTTCGTTCAAGCTCTTCCCCGAGACTGTCCAATTCCTCTTGAGCCTCAGCTCGCAGATCTTGAAATGCGGCATCACGCTCATCTGCCATGTGTAACGCTTGATCGCGTTCCTGTAAAGTTTGGTCTCTTTCTTGCAAAGTTTGGTCGCGTTCCTGCAAAGCCTGGTCACGTTCCTGGGTCAGGCTCTGCATCTCTTCTTCAGCCTGATCCACGTCCGCCTGATATGCTTTGTCAAGAGCCTCTATCTCACCCAAACATTCATCAAGTTGTTCCCTGATAGCTTGATTCTCGAGTTTAAGCCCCGACACCTGGTCGCGCAACTGTCCATTACGGGCCTCCAAGTCGTCGCGTTCTGTACCACCGTTCGGAGAAGCCCCCGTATTATCACTGGTCCGAGAAGAAGATCTTCCATGTGCGCGCGATGCCGAGTAGTCGAAGATGCTATCTCCCGCGATTGACCGACTGCGGTCGCGACGTTGGCCGAGCTTTAGCTCCTCAATCTCCTGATAGAGACGCTCCTTCTCTCGGTTGCGGGATGTGAGCATCGAGGTCTGGGCGCTGACTTCTTTCCTTAATTCGGAATTTTCTTGCTTCAGCAACTCCAATTCCACAACCAGTGTGTGGCTACTGGAGCTGCCGGGGGTGGTTGTGTGCCGGTTGATGTCTCGATCTGAAGCAGCTGAATATGAGACCATTGAGTCCATGTGCTCACGTTGTGTAGGCCTGTAATTGCTCATTGTGAAATTCGTCTCGTTCCTCAGGCGTAGAGTTTCATCCCGAAGTCTCTTGTTCTCCTCCTCTGCTTGCTCACGAGCCGCTGTCTCCGCGTCAAGCATGTCTTTCCACATGTCCTGCAACATCATATAAGCAAACAAGTTACTAAGAAGTATATGATGGGTAAGAACTCACCCTTTCCTCCCTAGATCCCACATCTGAGCCCACCGGCCTGCCTTCATTCAACGACTTGACAATCTCGGCAAGTCTTCTCTTCTCGCTTTCCCTAGTAATGCTTTCAGACCTTAGTCTTTCAATCTCAAATTCATACGCTTCTACTCGCTCCCGCAAGAAGAGTAGTTCCTCGTCTGGCATCGCATCACGATCGTCATCGTCAGAGCCTTCTGGGTCATGATTGACCATGGATTCCTTGTCTGACTGGTGCTCTTTTAATTGCTTTTCCAAGTCGCGGATTTTTCGCCTGAGGCTTTGACTGTCCTTTTGTATCTTTAACTTGTCCGACTTCAGCTCAACATTCTCAGATATCATCTCCTTGATACCCTCCTCAGAACGTTTGTTCAAAGCCTCGTTGAGAAAGTGAATCCTCATTTTCAAGTCAAAGTTCTCCTTTGAGAGCCGATCGATTGTGCTGCTCTGTTCTTTCAGAGTCATGGTCCGACCGCTTCTTGCGAATGCAGGCGTTGATGCCCCCCCGCGTTTATCGGGAGATACCCCGCGGTTGCCATTATCCTCTCGGAACTGTTTTACAAATGTACTTGGGACTTGAATATCCTTGATGCGTTCGGCAATCGCAGTGTCGGTCGGGAGATTACCATCTGAGGGTCGGGCTTTTGGTGTCATTGGCCCCGAAGCATCTTCAGCGGGCGTTTCTGGTTGAGACGGTGACTCCGGGCGCGACTGTGCAGAGCCTTCCTCTTCGTTAAGAGTGTGTAGGCCTCCATCTGTAGCCCCACTGGGGTTCTTCTTCTCCAAGAGATTTTCATCACTGTAACTGGAGATTCCGGACGCCATACTCCCCAGACTGACTGATCTCGCGAGGTTGTTACGTTGTCCAGCTTGGTTCTGATGCTCTGGCACCGCGCCTCCCGATTGAAGTGCATAATCAGCACCCAAGGTCGCATCACTGTGTGTCATCTCGGTGTTATAAGTGTTATTACTCGCGACTGAGGAGTAGGAAAGACGATGGGCCGATTGACGACTGGTTAGGTACTTGGGTCTGTTTCCTCTTCGACTACCATCACGGGGAGCCGTGTCCGCATCACTGCCACTGTTGTCATGAAATAATCTCGAGCGCCCAGGCGACAAGCTCCGTGTACTATTTCTATGTTCCTGGTTTGTTGGTGGTAGCGATTGATCCCCTTGTGGGGCTGACGACCTAATGACTGAATCCTCTTGATAAAGCTGACTATTGTCTCGATTATCATCGGTGAATATAGATTGGTTTCGGTTCTCAGTTCTTGCTGCGGCAGCTGCTGCAGGCGACGATGGTATTGCTTCCAGCACTGTGGTGTTGTCGCCATCGTGGTGTTCCGACGCAGCGGGTGTAGCATTCATTCCGATGTGAGTGCCGTGTTCTAGACCGGAGGTCTGAGGAGTTTGAGCTGGATTCCCTTTCGATGTAATATCATGGATTGAATCATCCGGTGTCACGAAAGAGAGTTGGGATGGTTCTTGCTGTGCAGGCTCGGGCGCATTTTCATCGGGCACACCAACCAAGTAGGTATCGTCAACCCCGCTGTTCTTGTTGGTAGCAGCAACTTCGATAGTCGACGGCTCCGGCAAGAAACTTGATTCCACATCCATCAATCTCCTCGCCATTTCTTTTTCTTCGATAAGGGTCTGGTTGTCACCGCGCTCGTGGTCGCCATCCTCGCTGGACAGGGGCAACAAAAGGCTACTGTCGTCGTTATCGGGTAAGGGAGGTAGGAGGTTCGAGTCATCTTCGTAATCTGTTTGTCCAGTATAATCAGTCGTCGGGTGGTCATCTGATGTAAAATCGAGTGTTGTGGTATCTTCCTGCGCGTGGTCAACTCCGCTTTCTGCAGCTGTAATCGCAGTGACGTCCATTGTTGTCGTCGTAGTGTTGGGGGAAAGGTCTTCCCGCGCAGTCTCCGCCCCCATGAACTCGGTTGAGTCGCCAGAACACGCCTCAAAGGGCGGGATATCGTCGTCAAAATCAAAACCACCGGGGACACAGCCAGAAGACGACTTGCGCGCGCGCTCAGGATTCAAAATCACGTTCGGAAACGACAACGGGGAGAGTGGTGCCCGGGCGGAATCCGTCGACATGGTGACGGCGTGGGTAGCGTACTAGGGCCTCTGGGCGCACTTTGTTTTTGGTCTCTGCTCCACATCCACCGTTGATGAGGTTCTACCCACTTGGGGCGAAGATTGGCGGTGCTTGTAGCGACTAGTGTTGTAGTAGCAGGACTGCTGTCGATGAACACGATCTGGATTTTGGCTGGTCACTGGTTAGTTGGTATCCTAGATGATCATAATGAAAAATCAAGATTCACAAACCAAGCTTGAATAATTATGAGACCCATCTGCAGGCTATATTTGATGTCAAAACGTCAACAATCACAAAGCAAGGAGGACGAGAAGTGGGCGGCGGGCTATTTGGGGGAGAGGGGCAGACCGGCCAATCAGCGATAGGCACGCCAGCAGCGCCTACTTTGTATATCATTTTGGATGTCTCTACGCAGAAGCCTTATAATCTATCAATATGACAAGGATGAATTCTCTGAATTAATAGTTTTTTACATGGAAAGTACCTCGAGGAGGACACAATAAGAAAAGAAAAAGAAAAAATCATGGTATCCATAACATAAGTCTCATCAGAATTGGCACTCCGGCAAGGAGTAGTGATCAAGGAACAAAAGAAGCAGCAGACAGATCATGCATTGTCTGCATATATAGTCTCTAAACTATGTGTAAATGAAGATAAAAAAAATAAAAAAAGGGAGGGGAAACTGTACAAAAGGACTTGGGGGTTCATTATCGTCGAACGCAGTAAGAATGTGAACGGAGCTTCATAGTATATAGCATTCAGAAAGGAAGAAAAAGAAAAAGATAAAGCAGTACCCCGTTTCAAGTAGACACAGGGGTCTCAGTAGTAGTAGTTTGGTCGTCTTCTGGATGACTTCCTTCGTGCGATGAATAGATTTTGTTCTTGTGGTCGAACGCTGCCTGAAGGGAGTCGATGTAGGTTCGGAATTTCACAATCTCCCGCAACAAGTACGAGGATTTCTTCTCCCAGTTGGCCATCGCCTTGGTCGCGTTGGGGTGTCGCGGAGAAAATGACAGAACCATCGCCGGCCGAAGCTCGTTATGCTTGGTCAAATCGTCCTCAACGTTCTTGACGTAGTTCTGTAACGCCTTCAGCTGGTCCGGTTCGCTCAAAGCGGAGGCCACCATGCTCTGCTGAGGAGGGGCCCAATCGCTAATGTGAACGCGATCTGCCGGGAGTCGGGGTCGCACGCCCTGTTGGTCGAGGGAACTCCTGATCGAGCTTTGGATGCTGGGTCGCGCCCCGGATGACGAGGGCGGTGTGCCATTCTGATCGGTGTTGATCAGAGCGCTATTGATCACTGCGTCGCTCCACCCGTACTCGATATTACTGATACCGCCGACCAAAGGCTCCTTAGACAGTCTCGCACTCCAGTAGTTGGCACTGCTGACGAATTCGCGGACAATCTCAGGCGTGCCAGCTTGGAAGAGGTGTACGGCACCTGTGGGCAGGCTCAGAGCCCATACATGCGGCCGTGACTTGGAGTACCCAGGAGGCGGCAGAGCACTTGCAATAGTTTGACGTAAGAGAAACTTCCAAATCTCTTCTGCGTTCGACATCCAGTTGCCTCCCCCAACAATTACACCGCCATTCTGACGTTGCTTGGCCTTTTGGCGGACAGATTTGGTGGAGTTGCTGAAGGAGAATAGGCGCATCCAGCCCTGCTGGATGACAGCAAAGCATTCGTTCCAATTGCGGTCTTTGGCCCTCTTCTCGACGGAATCGAGATGATGCTTGTGCTTTAGGCTTCCTTCCTTGGCCCACGGGGCACCAGCAAGCTCTAGCGTCTCATCTTCGAGAAGTGGTGCCATCCGCTCATGGTCTTCTGAACTTGCGATAGAGTTAGCAGAATCTTCACGAATGATGGCCTGACTAAGGGCATTGGCAAATCCAATGGACTGCTGATACTCCCCGCGAGGGTAGTCTGAGCCAAATGAATCGACTGATGCGGAGGTCAGTTTGCCTAAAGAATATTTACTCCAGGTACTAGAAGCAGAGGGACTCCAAAGAGAAGACTGGTCGTCGAGACTAGTCCGGCTGGAGCCCATGGTAGACGGAGGATATAGCCTTACGCGCGAGCGGGGCTTTGAGGACCAACGTGCAGTGCCATAGCGAGAATCAGCGGAGCGGCCACGAGGGTAGATGTCAGAGCCGCTCTTGCTCAGTGTACTTGGGCTTCGGCGGAGACTATTCGAGTTAGGGCCAAGCAAATTGTTCGACATACGGGCCCCATCCTTTTCTGGCTGGGCGCCGTGCAGTGGAAGCTTTTGTTTCTGGATCGAGTTGTAGAAATCTTTGAGCACGGTTTCAACCTGCTGTTCCCATGCTCTCACTGTTCCATTGAACGGGTTGTTAACCAATGGGCCACTGTCGCCGTCGTAATCGGTGTTCATTTTCCCGGAGAGATCTGTTCGAGACATTCGGTTGAGAAGCTTTGTGGGTTGGTTGACTGGCTTTTCCGTGTCCGTATTGCCACGGTCGGATTCCTCAATGGGCAATGAGTTCGACCTAGCCGCTGAAAGAGTCATGTCCTGGAAAGGAATGGGAGCCCTAGGTTTGTTGATAGGACGTAATGTATCAAAACTATCTGGTGCCGCATCGATTGCAACTCGATGGATCGTAGGCATCGTGTTTCGAACAAATTGGTTCTTAGTCATCTTTGACTCAATATCTGCAAGATGCAGGTCGGTGTTTAACAAAAGGAGAGAATAGCAGATGGTATGAACGACGTCTAGTATACGTTTAGATCAAAAATGTAGTATATCACATCAGAACGGTTACATACCTGCGGCTTTGAAGCCATGGCGGGGATTGCATTCGCACCATCTAGTTGAAAAGGCGTCCAACACTCGATCGACCTGCTGTGTTTCTCCCTTCAATACAAGTCGGTTGCATAAGCTTCGGAGTGCGGCCAGAATGTTCATATTAGACCAGTCAAAAAGATCCATATATGCCTCTCGGATCGTAGCGCGATCGGGATCACCAAGCCAAGCAGCAGCCGGCTCGTTGCCTACAACTTGATCTTGACTGTCAAAAAGCTTCTGCGCTTGATCCCGATCGATGCCTGTTGGCTCATCATCTGGGGTATCATCGGGAGAAGCAGCGTCACTTTCAACCTCCTCGGCAATCCTCGGCTCCTCTGGCGACATCACTGGCGTGTTTGAAGCAGTATAGTAGTTCGAGATTTCCGACGCAGACTCGTTGGCGCCATCAACGGGAATGGGCAATTTGGCCGAGCCATCTTGCTGGTCTTTGGATGACTCGGTATCATGCACATCCCGGTTTCCATTCGACTCTGTCTCGCTCAACGAATGAGAATCTGCCAGGAATTCTGCAGACATTGCGCTTTTCTGAGAAATATCTTCCGCCACAGGTGATAGCGGTGAAGAGGGAGCATGTGGTGGTGCCAGTTTGTTTTGTGATATGTTGGTTAGCTTGTCAGACTCGGGCTTGACTATGCTGTCATGAGAATCGATGGCAGCCTTGGGACGATGATCGGACGAATGTTGCCCTTGTCTTGATTCAAGAGAGGCGCTAGGATCCAGGTCACCGGATTTAGCTGTCGGATCTTCGTCTCCACTGCTGTTTGCCAAGAATGATGTATCATGCCCACTAGACGATCCGGAAGGATAACCTGCATATTTGGATCTTGACCCAGCATTGGGGGTTATAATGCTGTCCATTTGTCTTTGAGTTTGCAGGTACTTTGGCCGTGGGAGCTCCGCTTCGCACAAGCTTCCCTCCCGATCGGGGTGCTGAGGCGGAGGTGCATGATCGAGGTAAGGATTCATCACTTTCCTCAAACTGCTCACAGGACTGGGCTCCGCCTTGAAGCTTTCAAATGGTCTGGGGGCGAATTCCTGTGGAAGCATAATTGGCGGTGGGACAGTCTCGACAACTGACTTCTTGCGTCGGCGGAAGAAAGATGACTTTTTGTTCACAACTTGTGGCGGCCCTTCACGAACCGAATTATTCGATCCTGTTGCCACGTTAGTCTTCGTCGGTGGTTTCCGGGCCTTGAGGCTCGCAGCGACACCAAATGAGTCCTTGGAGTCGTTCTCTGGATACGGCAGGTCAGGCTGCCCTTGGGATTCAGGGTTCTTTGAGGATCCAAACACACGCCGGAAAAAGCCCGGGCGCTCTTTGACCGGTGCTGGTTCAGGCGGGGGGAATATGGGCTTGTTGTAGGATATTGTGGGACTCGGGGCAGGGGGCTCTAGCGATGCGGGCATGGTTGGAGGCTCGAGGCCCGTTTCGTCCAAATTATCCAAGTCATTTCCGGGACTTCTGATCGTTGCTGTCCCAATATTCTCGGGACGGGGCTTTTTCGAATGATTTGTACGGGACGATTTCATGCTATTCCTCCTGGAGGCGACTGGAGTCCGCGATGATTGATGGCTCAGGGTCCCGGTGTGGTCGTCTTGGGAAGGGAGATGTTTCCTTGGTCCTGCCGGAACATTCGGGGTCGGAGCTGCGTCGACCCCATCATAGGTATCATAGCCCAAAGGTGCCTCTGGGAAGGGCATAAACGGCTGCCTGGACCCATACTCGAAGCTTGACGAACGTTTTTCGCCCTCCGAGTCCGCCCTAGCTCTCGAAAAAGGGGTAGCGAAATCGGCATTCGAAGATGAACTTCCTTTGCTACTCTTCCCCGCAGCATGCGTCCTAGGGGCAGTATTGGAACTGTATAACTGGCCTCGCGAACTGATTCCTTCTCGACTTTGACTACTACCGATTCTCCTCACGCTCGATTGGTAATTGGAGCTGCTGTTGCTGCGACGTCCTGGGGCTGGTTGCATTCCATAGCGGCCAGCGCTGTCATCATAGTTAAAATCGGGGTCGGAAGACAAGGAAGAGGAAAAGGTATGTCCGCGAAAACGGCCCTGCGTCATGGAATCCTGAGAAGGGCGGTTGTGGACATCCGACTCGAAGACCGAGTTGAACAGGCGATAGTCGTCCAGAACCGAGGAGCCAGAGAGAGCAAACTGGTCGAGAGAGAGGAGCATGTTATCGACAATGGATGTACGCGCGGCGTGTTGTGGGGATAGAGACAAATCATGTGGATCACGTTCGGAGCCTGAATCATTGCTACTTGTTGCGTTATCGGGAGGGTTCATGTCATCGAGGAAAGTCTCGCGCACAGAAGGTCGTGCATGTTGCCCTCGTCTTGAGGGTCTATATCTGGCGGATTGGGAGGGAGGCGTGCGAGGAGGAGAAATGTCGATAACCTGTTGCTGGGACATTCTGATGCGACCCGATGGGCCAGTTGAGCTCATTTATAGATGCAAGGAACCTTAGAACAAGCGACCCAAGCCGTTAGAGACGGAGGGGGAAGAAGAAGAAGAAAAAAAAAACAAATGTTGGAACCAAGTTTGTTTTGCGACAACGGTGCCGTCCAACAGGATCGCTTTGTGGACAGGGTCTCCCGCGATATCCGACCGATTGATGGTTGCCAACACGCCTTATGGCCCAAGCTGGCGAGTGTCAGAGCCCAAGTAGCAGAAGCGATTCTGAAACACGGGTGTGTTACCTGGCGGTCATCGCATTAAGGCGGCGGAGGTACTAATGCAGCGTAAGGGGAAGAAGTAACGGTTAAAACGGCGGCGGAATAAGAGCGCAGTAGTGTGTCAATATGGAGTAGTTCGACCCGACAGCGAATAATTGATTGACCAGAACAGATGGAAGATTGGCGACTGAAGCAGAGGTGAGTTAGCAGAGATTGTCGAAACTCGGTCGATACTTTTTTTTGGGGGGGGGAAGGATTATTGACGGGCAGAAACTGGGCGGGAGGGATCAGAAGGTATTCCTTGGGGAGGGGGGAGGCGAACCGGGGAAAAGGCTGTGATAGGCGCAAGGAACGAACTCTTTTCCAAAAATTTGTCAATGAGAACAAGGGAGAATTGCGATGGACAGATCGGAATGAAGGTGAAGAAGAAAGTGGTGATGCCTGGATTTGCGACCACCAAGGGATGAAGATAATCAATAGTAGTGCTCCAAGCTCTCTTGATTTTCTGCCAGACGAATTGCTTTGCGAGGGATTGACGCCAGTTGCCCTTCCTAATCGGGAACTGCTCAGGGGCAGATGAAGGCTTGGCAGTGGAGGCACTAGCGTGTTATGTCAGCATTTTCTTGCTAACTACTCCGTACCTGTATTCTTCTATCACTGGTATAATTATTATTCTTATAGCTATAGCTATTTACAGTATATAGCATACAGAGCACAGAAGAGATATTTTTATATCAAGTATCCTGTATGTCGAGGATGAATAGCGGATGCCGTGTGGTGTAGACAGCGTTATCAACAACAATAGTGGAGTGTGGGGCGACTAGTTTGGCATTGATCATGATGCCGCCATTTGAGCTTCATGATAGTCCTCTGTACCTAGTTTTGCAGGGTTACTCTGGGCGCTACACACACTTTCTCTGCATCCTGGGGATCCTGTTTCATCTACGACTCCACTCCAGACGGAGTAACTCGGCTAGAATACCGTCAGCGACTCCATAGGTGCTTGTTCATCCTCTCTCAACGGCCAACTGCTGACAGTCCAGTGTGTGTTCATTAATCCGAACAACACCATTTGCTTTGCATGGTACCATTCAAATCTATTCTACCTCAGCTGCATACCACTGCAAATGGTGTCGCTTAGCTCGAGCAATGTCGAGATATCCAAATTTAACCCAATCCATGAAGATCATCCCATCCTTTTGAGGGACGCAGCTTGCACTATTGTTTGACCACAGACTTGTCTCTGCCGATGGACTGGATTAACTCGGTGAATGAGCGTGCTGGTCGGAAATATCTTTCTTTGTGACCTGTCGACTCCTTTTGCGATTCTTGATTCTCATTAATCCCACTCGACTTGCCATGAGGCTGACCGTGTAACTGAGCTTGCGATGTATCGACTGGAGTGCTCCATCTGCTTGAACCGGCTGGAGTACCATGTCGGACAGATCTACATCTACTATTCAACTTGACTCAAACTCTACGATTTTGAATCTATTCTTCCTTGGAATTATCAGCCAAAATGGACAGGTCAGATGTGGAGTATTCGCCTACATTTCTATTCCCAGCCAGACGGTCCAGAATGAGATCTATCGACGGAGCGGGTGAGGGTGAATTCAAATATGATGAAAGGTGATGCTGATGCTACAAGCCACTGGAATCTAATTCAACCAGCTCTCTATAATTGCCGGTTCACTCTGGGATATTCGTCGATGGTCTGGATTATAGTATTATTACTTGCAGAGTACTCCTGTGGAAATCAGAGCCGTCAAGGCCGACAGTGGACAGGCACTGTTCATGCCATTGCTGAAGCGCAACTCCCAATTCATAGAAGAAAATATCTTGGCCCTTCATCATCTCCATCCCTCTATTTTCCAACCACTCCGTACTCTGCAAATGTAAATAGATCTTCATGGTGTTGTCTGTTGTAAAGATGCCCTCTCAACGGCCCCAAGTTATCCCGAGGATGACATAACCAACACCTTTCGCGTTTCCGACTCTCGACTCCAACTCCTAAATCAAGCCCAGCAAGATACCCAAGGCCAAATAGGGAATATCCCAGCCATTCCCCCGACGTCATTGATTCTAGAGTATATGAGAAATATATCCATCGCCGGTCTCCTGAGCACCGGGGCTGTCCTACCCATCGCAGAAGATGAATCCTCACATATCCGTCCCTCGCCAACATGCCAGTCCGGCCAGCTTTGGCGGCACAACGCCTGCCAGTCGCAGATCCAGTTTACGAATGCCGCGTTTCTTCAAAAGGTGTGCTTCTTCCCCAAGAGTAGCATGATGTTTATGAAATTGTCGACATCATGGTGCAAAGTGCAACGGTTGAGCTGACGGGAAATGGTAGATTGTTCAAGTTCCCACAGATGGACTTTGAAATGGCCATTTGGGAGATGACATCACTATTAATCGCTCCCAAAAAGGTGTTCAAATCAATCTATTACCATGTAAGTGGCTCCTCGGCTTGTTGATAACTTTATCATTGATGCTAATTATATCTGGCAAATATAGAAACGTAGGTGTTGCCCTCCTACATCCGAATTCTAATATTGACTTACGCAGAAACAAAAAACACCTGGCATCGTCCAGATCCCTCCTTCACCTATCTGCTCTCCTTTTTCCTCCTTCTCACTGCTCTGGCATGGGGCCTTGCCTATACGCCAAGCTTTGGTGCCATTCTCCGTCTCTCCTTCTTCTTTATTTTTATTCACTTTATCGGGTCATCGCTCCTCATCTCAACAATCGCCTACTTTGTCATCGGACGCCTGTTTGGGCCTAATGGAGCGGCTGCATCATTGGCTGGATTGAGGGGCTCTCGGGGCCGAAGACGCGGTGCAGCGCAAGGCTTGTTCGTGCAGCCTGGAGAAAAGGATCAATTGGAATTTGGTTACTGTTTTGATGTGAGCTCCGACGCAGTCCCCTGGATCGCTCTTGATTAACCTAGTCTAGGTCTCCAACCGTGCCTTTTTCCCCCTCTACCTCCATCTCTACGTCGTTCAATTCCTCCTTCTTCCGATCCTCACTCGCAGCCCGAGTAACTTCTTGACCACCTTCCTCGGGAATACGCTCTATCTCTCTGCTCTCCTTTACTATACATATATTACTTTCCTCGGGTACAATGCCCTGCCATTTTTGCATAACACGGAGCTGCTGTTGGTCCCGATTCTGGTGTTCTCGGTGATGTGGCTGGTGAGTTTGATTGCCGGGTGGGGAGTTGTGATGCAGGGTCGCAGCGTTGAGGGTCTGTTCTGGGGGGTTTAAATTTCATGCATTTGTGGCGTTTTTCCATTGATGTTTGCTGGCGCTGGTGTACGGCGGTATATCTTTCTTCATTTTCCCTAATAATGCATAGTTGAGGATTTCATATTCGGTCATATTCAGTACATTAGATTACTATCTTTGGGGTGTCTATTTAAATCAATTGATAGATGAATTCTGAATCCATATGGCAAGGATATATCGTCTTTGATATTCATTCCAATGGTGTATTTACCAAATCCCAGCATACATTGTATCATATTCCGGTTCTACTCCAAAGTTCATTTCTTCTTGGAACCACCCTTCTTTTTGCCCATTGCGGCCTCCCGCAGCTTATCCTCCCTCTCCTTGGCTCGCTGGTTGGCCTGTTCCAACTGCTCGGCCTTTTCTTCCTTCTCGGCCTCTTTACGCAGACGTTCGGCCTCTCGTCTTTCGCGGATCAGAGCCAACCGAGCCAGATCGGACCGGGCCTCCTCCGTCTTACCCTCCGCATGCAACTTCATGTATCTTTCCCGAGCTTGCTGCGCCTCGATTGCCTCGCGCTCGCGACGGGAAAGCTGGGAGAGATCCTTGCCGTTGGCTTTGGGTTTGGCCAGCGCGTCTCCGGAGGGCTTCTCAAGCTGAGAACGGGATTTGGCGGTATGGTTAGGATTGGCGGGGAGCTCTCCATCGTCTTCACTGTCGTCGGAATCTTCCGAGTCGGACGGGGGTAAGTCGCCCGGTTGGGCGGCAACCTGGCGTCGTTTGGCGAGGGCGGCTTGCTTTTTGGATTTCGCTGCTGCGCGGCGTTCCTCGCGGGTCATGTTAGATGAGGCCGCGGCATTGTCTTTGCTGTTGCTGGGACCGGCTTCGTCTTCGTCTTCTGATGAGGACTCCTCCTCTGAGCTGGATTCTTCTTCTGATGAGGAGGGGACATCGTCCTGGGTTTCCTATCCAGCGAATCAGTCAGCCAGTAGCATCAAGGATTAAGAGGGCTAAAGGGACATACCCGCCACAGACCGACTGGGTTACCATCTTTATCGGTAGGCTGGACATCGCGACTGAACTTCTTTCCGCCTGTTTACCATCCATTGTCAGATTTTGTCGAGTTAGTGTTGATGCTTTGCTACGTACCTCCTCTGGAAGGCTTGGAAAACTTTCCTCCACGACCGCGAGGAGCCATCTTGAGTGAATGTGGACTGATATGGGAGAAACTCGAGGAGGCGAAGTATAACCTACTTGGAAAGTCGTGTTAGCAGGTTTGTTGTCACTTGGCTGCGGGGTACGTGGGCTGGAGGGGTAGTGGGGAGGTTTTGTAAACATACTGTTGAGACTGGATAAGTCAAATGTAGATTTATTTGGATACTCAAATTCGAGCACCGTGATGAAGATGACAGAATACACAGACGATTGAAGAGAGAATGAAGGAGATGGATCGAGTCACGCTGGAGATTTCCAGGCGGGGAAGAAACGCGATGATTCACCGCTCGAGCAATCAGAGGCGCCGCAATGCAAAGCAGTTGAAGCAGTTGCCATCTGGCTCTCCTACCTTGTATTCTCGTCTTATTGGGTTTACTTTGGAAAAATGCAGTTTCTCTATTGTCATGATTATCATTCATATATATTTTGGTGCCGTATTTCCTCTGCTCACTGCCATAGTTGTTAGTCCTCACGCCCGCTCTATCTTCAATCCCAACTTGGCGATTCGAGCAGCGACCAAAGTCAACATCCCGGCCATAATGGCACTGCCCATGAACATCTGGGCATATAGGTATTGCCCATCACCTTCCTGGACGAGGGCACCAGCAATGGGTGACCCGATGAGAGCCGCAACAGCCACCACACTCAACACCATTCCCATCCGCACTCCGGTCTTCTTCAAGTCCGTGGTCAGCGTGCTCAACGTTGCTGGAAACAGGGACTGTATCCCCGCTGCAGCTAGGCCATAGAAGGCCGCAAATGCGTATAGCCCGCTCAGATCATGTACGCCAGCCCAGCAGTAGGCCACCAGAGCCGTAGCGAAACTGAAGGGGATCAACATGTTCAATGGTCCTGTGAACATGTCCGCCATCAGGTTAGGGACCAATCGACCCAGGATTCCGACTCCATTCATGACTAGGAGCAGATCGATGGAGGTGGTATTGGAGACCCCGATGATGTTGCGGCTGAAGCTTCCGATATAGAAAAATCCTATATATAAACCCCAGAAATTCAAGAACATTCCGGTAGCAAACAGGGCGTATGGAAGCTCCTTGAAAGCGCCCAACTCCAGGAGCGGACCACTCTTTCGTGGAGGCAGTCTCTGTTTCAGGAACACCAGGCACGGGGTGAGAGTGGCGAGGGAGATGAAGCCCAGCACGCGCATGGTCCATCCGTATCCGATCTGGGGCAACAGGCGCATGACAACGGCAGGGAAGACAAGACCCCCCGTTGCCGATCCAGAGGCAGTGATTCCCAAAGCGATTCCCCGCTTGCTGGTGAAGTATGTTGGCATCAGCGCAATCGTGGGACAGAACATAAGACCACAGCCAAGACCCTGGCCGATTCCTTGGGCCAGGAAAAGCTGCCAGTATTTGGTGCACAGAGAGGTCATGAAGATGCAAAACAATTCCAGTATGGCGCCCACAACTAAGGTGATCTTAAAGTAACCTGCGTCTGTGGCCCGGCCGGCAAATGTGCCCACGAAGAACAGCAGAAAGATCTGGATACTTCCCACCCAAGAGATATCCGACGGAGGATGGCCCAAAGTCTCGGAGTAGTAGGTCTGAAAGACACCAAAACTGTTGATGTATCCCCAGGTGTTGAAGATCACAAAGTGCCCCAGGGCAACCTGAGACCAAGCCTTGAAGCCTCCATCGGGGGGAGGGCCAACATCCCTTCCTGATTCTCTGGTACGGACGAGGGAGAGGGTTCGAGCTGCCAGTGTTCCTCCTGGCTGACTAGCGTTTGTGGGTGTCTTGGAGAGGGCGTGATCCTGGCCAATGCGATGATGGTCAGAGCCGGATTCTTCATCGCCGAGAGTGTCTGTGATAGGAGCGAAGTTATCGCTAGAGGCATTGCCATGAAGGTGGTCGACGGGGTTCTGCTCGACCTGACCATCTCCCTGGTGGGATTTTTCCGAGGCCATTATTTTACCTCTATCATGTCCAGGCCAATGGATAGCTTAAATTGATTGAATCAAAGGGAATATTCCAGAGTAGTCCAAGGAGAATAGAAACAACAGCACCATTCTTAAACAAACCAAGATAAAACAAGAAGAACAGAATAGAAACAAGAACGACCAAGAAAAAAAAGAGAGCGCAGGATGAGTCAGGGAGGATATTTTCCAGTCGATCAGTAAAATTGGGATTATCAACCCCGGACGAAGTCATTGTTTCGCACAGAAGACCGACTTCGGCTCTGCTATCCGACGATTTGCTTCGCCTGTCTTCTGCTTTCGCTATTCTCTAGAACAAGATGCTTACATTCTGGATTGAGTATTCCATCTTGCATCTCCATCCCATCATTCAAATTACCCAATGGATACAGTACCCCACACTACTCCAGGTTTTCTCTCCATATTAATTAGTTAGCCGTTGTGACGCCCACCGGCTGTGGATTCGGCAATGTTCGGTTCTTACTCTCGTCCTGCCTACTGCTAACTCATCATAATCATACAAATCACAATACTAGATTCTGGATAGATCATAAGACTCATTCATCATCCCAGTCATAATGCTGATTTCTACCTAATACACATGACCATCTGTATCGACCATCTGCATCTACGGATAACTCGGATCGCCTCGTGTCGGGCCGCACACAACGTGGAAAATGCGGGTTATTCTCCGATTGTTTCATCCTCTATTGCGTCTATGGCTCTATGTCTAGTCTATATCCATGTCTATCCAGCGTCCAGTTAAATCAAATATCCCACTTAAAAATTAATCACTGCATTCGCAATTCGAAAAGAGGTCAACCGCCACGTATCGCCCATCACTTCCTAGCGTGGTAATCCGCAATCACCACCTGCGCAATCTTCTCCGCCATGCCGTAAAACACCGTCATGACATGCGACGACACTTGAGTCGGAGGCACAGAGCCATCGACCACGCGAAGTCCCTCGACGCCGTACACCTTGGCAGTTGAGTCCACGACACCACCCAACTCCTTGGCCATCATGGAACAGGTACCCACCCCGTGGTAGTTGGCACGGAAGTGCTGCTTGGTGTACTCGGCCCATTCTTCGACGCTGGCGTTCTCAGCAACCGTCTCATATCCGGGGATGGTCTCAGCGGCAAAGTATTGCTTCATGGCACCCTTGCTGGAAACCGACCGGGCGAGCTTGGTGGCGGCAGCCTGCCCAAGCAGGTCCAGCTCGTTCAGGAAGTATTGCGGGTTGTATTCGAACCGACGGAGGTAGGGGTCCTGGTCAAGGATGTGCACATAGCCGCGGGTGAAAGGAATGAGATCCCACAGATCAAAGTTGATCTTACCCTCAGTGTCCAGGAAGAGCTCCGCATAGGCGACGTCGTCATTCACTAGCCATTCACGCTGGTTCTCGTACTGCTTGACGAGCGCCGACACATTGTGGAAACCACCACGGGCCACAGTCTCATCAGCCCATTGCTCTAGCTTGGTATTGAGAAGGTTGAGTGCTTTTGGGGTGTAGTCGCCAAAGGTCTCGTTGAAGGTGGCAAAGAAAGCAGCCTGGCCCTGGCCCTTACCAGCGTCAGTGATGGACGAGCGTACGTTGGTGGTGGTCTGGTCTTGGAGGTTGAGACCGACGGGGAGGTCGACGACCTGCTTAATGCCCACTTTGTCCAAAACAGACTTGAGACCAACGCCAGAGTGCTCGAGGATCTGAGGGGAGACGGTAGAACCTGCGGCCAACAGGACCTCGTGGGTGGCATAGGCTTCAAATTTGGATTGACGGTTGGTGCCGAATTCAACACCCACGGCCTTGGGAGTTCCATCGGCGGTCTGGTTCAGGAGCACCTTTCCGACTAACTGGCCGGTCAGGACCATCAAGTTGCGACGTCGCCAGTTGGGCAGAAGCCATTCCCGGGCGGCATCGGACCGGACCTGGTTCTCGTGCAGAGAGTTGGGGAACATGGAAACACCGTGAGGGTCGCCACAGGAAAGGTCTTTCTGGACAGGGACCCCGTCTGCAGAGACAGTATCCATAAGGGCCTTCATGATAGGTGAATAATCCTCTCCGGTATCGCGAGGACCGGCATGGACGGTGCCGTTGGAGCCATGGCACTTGGGGTCAAAGTAGTGGCCAGCAGCAATTTGACGGTCGGTGGGAGCACGCACACGCTCTGCCTTGGTCATGTAGCCGAGAAGGCCATCCCAGTTCCAACCTTTGTTGCCAAAGACTGTCTCCCAGGAGTCAATCTGAGCTTTGTGAGGGCGAGTCCAGGTGCCACCGTTGACCAGAGTTGAGCCACCCAGGCCATTACCAGAGCGGATCAGCTCAGTGCGGTTATGGATATCCAGTGTGACGGTTTCAAAGGCATGATCGACACTGGTACCGAAGATCTCCCCGTAGGCGTTGAGGTCCTCGATGGTCGGACCGCGGTTCGATTCGTAGAAACCGGTTTCGATAACCAGCACGGTAATGTTCGGGTTCTCGGACAGACGAGCAGCGAGAGTAAGACCCGTCAGACCACCACCAGCGATAATGTAGTCTACAGTCTTCCCGGCCACCTTGGAAGGGTTGGTGATGAGACTGGGAGTGAGGTCCAGCTGCTCATGAGGGAGTTGAGCGACTGCCGACGCAGCGCACAAGAGCGAGGCGAGGATTTGAAGCCTCATGGTTCAACAAACCAAAGAAAACAATTAGAATAACCTGAAGAATGAAAGAAGACGGACAGAAAAGAAATATTTGAATTGATTGATTGATTGATAACCCATTGTTGAATGGTTGGGACAGACTATTTATGTAGCTACAGATGAGTGAATCTTGATGACAGAATAAGACGAGCACTATCCAGATAGACTATGGAGCTCCTCGTACTCCTCAACCGGAGAAGAATCATCCCCATTCCTCCGTGTACGTACGTACCTTGATAGCTGAAACGACAAGACTCGATGGATCTCTGGGACCTTCAGTAGACTTCGTCCAGGAAGCTGTATTGCTTGCACGTGGGCCATGAGTTCTGCCCCTGGGTCGTGGCGAGATGCAGGAACGAAAGTTACAGAGGATCAAATTGGATTAGGAATCCCAACAGTCCAGACCCGAAGGCAGAGGCGTTATCTCTCGGCATGATGTCAAAGAGAAGGCGAACCGGAGAAGAAGAGAAGACGAAGCCGAAGGAACAACTTCTCGGCATGCCGAACTATTCAGATTGCCAAGAGCGAAATGGCAACCACTATAGAGACGATCACGATGATACGAAGAAAGCCAAGACGGTGAGAAGAGGACGAGGACCATGGAGGCACGAGATGGTGGGTTGACCGAAGGCCAATCTTGGAAGAAACGAAGTCAAAAAAAAAAAAAAAGCAAGTGAAAGCTAGAGATGCTGGGCTGAAAGTTAGCGACGACGATCATCCCAGCTCACGGTGAAGGAATAACTAACATGTGGGTCAAGAAATGGCTTTAGATAGACAACAACCTCATGTAATTCAGTTAATAAAGCGATGATGGCGATGATGGCGATGATGAAGATGCCAAGTCGAACCAAGACAGGGAGACGTTAACCGGACGCAGTCCGGATGTTCTGCTTGGAAATCACCCTCCAAAAGCATCTATCTGCCTCGTTTTCACCATCCTGCAGAATTGCATCTTTTTTTTCTTTCTTTTTTTGTTTTCTTTCTCAATCACAACAAATTAATGAAATTCAAAATGAAAACTCTCTTGGTGGCTGCTGCTCTTGCGGCCGGCTCTTGTACAGCCTCAACCCTTTACACCGCCTCGTATGCAGGCTTGGTTTCGTCTCTGTCGCTCTCTTCGTCTGGCGATGGGGCCGCTCACTTGTCTCTCATCTCGAATACCTCTGATTGTGGTCCGAGCCCTTCATGGTTGATGCTGGATGGCGCTCATGGTATTCTCTACTGTTTGGATGAAGCGATCAATGCCCCCAATGGGAGTATCACCAGTTTCAAGACTCATCCTAATGGGACCTTGACTACCATCGAGCATCTCAAGACTCTGACTGGCCCCGTCCAGTCGGTTCTATACAATGCGTCGGGGGTTTCGGATCGTCAGTTCATGGCGGTTGCTCACTAGTACGTCTTTTATTTCCTCTTTCCTGACCGATGAACACATATCTAATGACTGTAGTGATGCATCGACCATCACCACGTACTCTGTAGACCCAATCCATGGCCTGTTCAACCGATCGCAGACCTTTACTTATAACATGACTGCTCCGGGTCCCAACGCGTCTCGCCAGGATGCCCCTCATCCTCATGGTGTTGTCGTTGACCCCACGGGCCGCTTCGTGCTTTCTCCGGATCTGGGTGCAGACTTTGTTCGTATCTTTGCCGTCGACCAGGCTACTGGTTTGCTGCAGCCGCAGGAGCCTCTGAAGATTAGCCCGGGCTCTGGTCCTCGTCATGCCGTGTTTTGGACCCCCAAGGAGAAGAGGGCTCAGCAAGTGTACATGTACTTGGTGTCGGAGCTGGCCAACACCCTGAGTGCTTTCAAGGTCACCTATACGTCAACGGGTATTTCGTTTACCAAGGTATATGAGGAAAGCACCTATGGCGGCGACAAGAGTGGTCCGGACGGATCCAAGGTTGCTGAGATTGCGATTTCTGTACGTTTCTACCATCTTGATTGACATATGGGAATTGCTAACTATCCTAGCCTGAAAACAACCATATCGTGACTACCAACCGCCTGGACAATACCTTTGGCAAGAACAATGACTCGTTTGCCATCTTCTCCTGTGCCGATGCCACTGGAAACAAGTTCACCAAGCCAGCCTTCCTAGGCTTGAATCCAACCTATGGTTCCAACCCCCGGCAGTTTGAGATCAATGGCCAGCGAACTCTAGTTGCGGTCGCGATGCAGGATACCAAGGAGGTTGTAGTGACAAAGTGGGATGCGAAGAAGGGCGCACCGGGTGCTTTGGTGGCCTCCAAGAAGATGGAGGGTGAGATTCCAGCCGCGATCTGGGGTTAAACGTGAGATGTTTACTTAAGAGTACTGCAGAATAGGATCATTGGATAGAGCGATCAGAGCAACAGAATTGGATATGCCAGTATATAGAGTTATGTCAGGCATATTCTTCAGGCATGCCAGCTGTCTTACAATACCACTAGTATCCATGACTATGATATACAGGTACATTAGCGATCGAAATAATCTAGACTCAATAATATTATCAAGACTATTCACTGCAAAACCATCGATAGTGGCAATAATCCATCGCCCCCCCCCCCTTCTTTTTTTTTCTCACCGGCGCCCTTTACAGAAAGCCAAGTCTCTCTCTCTTTTTCTCTCCTTCGGCATCCCGTGGCAATCTTAAGACCGTTCATCTTCGGATGCCGAGATTGTCGATCAATTCTCTGTGCTGGATTCCGCCTTGGCTTTTCTAGCATTGTTTCACTTCATTCCATCACGTTGGGCTTCTCGTCGACTCCATTTGTCGGGATGTTCTGTTGATCGTGTTGATCTGTTGCTCTCCACTGTGAATTCTGCTCACTGTCATTTTGGCTTTATCCGGCCTTGGGTAGAGATTATACGGGTCCATAAGTCTACTTGCTCTCTGCATCGTCTACATCACTGTTTTCGTTTCTGCATCCCTCCTTTCACATATGCATCCTAAACACATTTCGCTGCAGTCCTTGTGATTCTGCCTGTCGTGGCCTCCAATTCATCTGATATCGATCCTTTCCAAGTCTATACCCTCAAGGCCAACAACATCACCACCAAGGTTATCCCTTATGGCGCCCGGTTGACTTCCCTCCTGGTCCCGACAGGGATAGCCAGTTCCAAGATATCGTTGTGGGCTATGACGACCCCCGACGGTACCTGCAGGACACCCTAACCAACCACACTTATTTTGGCGCCGTGATCGGCCGTGTCGCCAATCGAATCCGGAATGGCACCTTCACCCTCGACAGGAACGAGTATCATATCCCTAAGAACGAGAATGGGATTGATACCCTCCATGGTGGCGATTTTGGTTATGACCAGCGCAACTGGACAGTGACCTCGTATACCGAGTCTTCCATCACCTTCATGTATATCGACTATGCAGAGGAGGGCTACCCGGGCGATGTCCTCACTCATGCCATGTTCAGCGTTGATGCTAATCAGACCGAAGAAAACTCGAATGGTCTGCCCCAGCTGACTACCGAGTTAGTGTCTCTGTGATGGAAAAGCCACCCGTTATGCTCTCCAACCACATCTACTGGAATCTGAACGCATTCAAAGAGCCGACCATTCCGAACGACACTTCCCTGCAGCTGCCTGTTTGTCGGGACAGACAGTATCAATGTTTCTGATGGCTCGATTGTGAATATGAATGACACTCGCCATCAGGCAGCCGACTTCACTTCTGAGAAGCTTATTGGGAGAGGACTACATAGAGGTTGTGGTCTGGGCTGTGTAGGCTGCGACAATTGCTTCATCATTGACCGCGATTCTGAATCCTCCACGTCTTCCGACCCGTCTATCCTCCGGATGAGTTCTAGCACTACTGGTATCAGTATGGAGACATGCACCAGCCAACAGGCAGAATGGAACAATCTCCTTTAAGGAATCCCAGGTGAAGCGGAACAAGGGAGAAGGCGTGGATGTGGTGAACCAGTATGGATGTATTGCCATTGAGCCTGAAGGCGGGGTCGATGGCATCAACCACCCGGAATGGGGACAGCTGCCAAACCAGGTTTTTTCGCCAGAAACAGAGCCTGCTGTGAACTTTGCAAAGTACAGATTCGGCATGGAGTGGGTATGCACGGCGAGATAGAACGCAGGGATCGAAGCACGGATACGAATACAGTAGTTGTTATCCACACGAATGTTACCAATCCGTCACTAGCAGAACCCAGCCTCCTCTGCCGATTAATTTTAGAAAAAAAGAAATATGCTCGTATTCCATCTACTCCAGCCAAATCCATGGCGTTTGCCAAGTCTCCTTGGATCTTATAGTCCCGTCAATGTTTCACATGGATGACTCTATACAGAAGCCAAGATATGCCTTATCTCGACGCACTAAACAGGCAGCCTCATTCGGAATCAGCACGGCATGCCGACTCGACTCCATCTTGTATTCTGTCGGTCGAGCATGTGAGTGGGTCTAGCATTGATTATCAATCGATGTCATCTAGATCCCAAGGACGAAGTCTGGAATACATCCGATGAAGATCTTAGGAATCTACCCATTCGGCAGTCTCGGGCATCCAGTCCCTCCTCTTTCTCTCTCTTTCTTCCTTGATTCTGCTTCCTTACGGTGAGATCTGTTGTTAGTGCCTCCGCTGTTCACTAATGGCTTTGTCCTGCTCTTTGAAGCCAAGTTCTTCAAGCTCTCGGGTTTTTTCATTTCATTTCATTTTATTTTCTTAAGGGATGTTACTGGTAAATACTGTCTGCGTGGTCTATGAGAGACCATAAGCATTACGTATACTGACTGGTATGCTTTCTTTTGATTCATTATCTTGATGTGTCTATTTAATTGAGCTGTAGCAAACTACCCGTGAAACAATGCTAATAATACTGTATAGGTTCATCAATATCTACAGAACCCCTCTCTTCTACCTTGACACTCGCTACTTTATCAGAAATAAGAATGGTATTCTATCGCCAGCCACCACGGCAGTGTCTTCTTGCACAACACCTACAGCCAGGCATGTCTGACTGTTGCCCAAGGCCTCACTTGATGTGTCATTGCAGGGACCACTGGTCTTCATTCTTCTCATACTGTGCGAATCATAACTTCCACGCATCGTTTATCAGAAAAACGTGACTCTACAACGTTACTTTCGCAGCAGTCAATCTTCTCCCTCTAGCAACCCGCCTTATTCACCCATGATGTCTGTCAGATAAACCAGGATGGAGCTCGGCTCGGCTGCTTAGCGGGCTACCTCTCCCTCAATGACAGGGATGGCGTTGAACCACATTACCTTCATGATGACCTTAGAGTTGACGAAGCCAGCCTCGATGTTTCCGTCGCCCAAAGCGGGTGGGTCGATGAGAAACGTTTTGCGGACCGCTACCGTGTGGGGCGTTGATCACATATGTAACATATATCTGCGCCCTGCGAAGCTGCGGAAATGTCCGATTCAATAGAAAAATGTTCTCGGTGATCAGATGCAGTCTGCTGGGACCAGTGATGGTTGGTGACCGATGTTGGTGTTATTGGATAGATGGGAAGGCAATGAATGGGTGGAGTTTGCAGTAGTAATGAACAGGAGGATTTCAACAACTGTTATATATAAACAGTACTCATTGCAGAGTAATCTAATCGACTGGTCAATGACATTTTCCGTCTCATATCTATATTCTAATATAATATATCTGGCGTTATCGTTCCAAACTCGTTAATCTGTCTATAGCAAATTACTATCACGTAAAGCAAGCGGTCTTTTTTTTTTTGCCTGACGTGCAAGGCTGGACCCTGTTCCGATTCCAGGGCATATAGGGAAGATAATAAGAGAAAAGAAAAAGAGCAAGTAAGATCCCGTGGACACCAAAAGGGATGAAGAGAAAAGGAAGAAAAACACAAATCATGCTGCAACATCGCTAATCGAAAATCATCCTGACCCAATAACATAAAAATAAACCCCAGGTCAAACAACATGGTGATACGCCCTCTAACCCATATGATCTCTACGCCCCGGAACTGGATGTATATCGAGAAATAGAATAGACGATAGAATCCTGCACTGTAGATGTGTTTGGACGAGTGCGAGGCAATAAAAAAAATTAAATAAGAAAAGCATTAAAGAAGAAGCATTGGTCGATGATTCTTAGTACTCTTGCGCAGAAGAACTGCTGTTCAACATCGAGATCGTTCCAATGACATCGGCCGGTTCTAAGAGATGCCAACTCGCTGCAGTTTGTTTCGAGCTTGCACCGACAGTCACTGAATAGACATGATTCGTTGGAAGATCAAATTTCTGAAGGGCTCGGAACATATCTATAACAACATCAGTAATGGTTCGAAAGAAAAAGGGAGAAAGAGGAGTCATTAAAGTACCTTCATCCGTGAAGTCATCGCCCAAACACAGGATAAATTCGGGGGCTTTCCCTGGTGCTGTCCCGTATTCATTGACCAGCCGGGTCGCGATGAAGCCCTTGTTAACAAATGTCGGTCGAACTTCGAGATTCGCCTTGCCTGCCATGACTTCGACATCCCATTTCTTGCCCACCGTATCCTCCAAGTGTTTCCGACATTCCCGTGCCTGGAATGCCCCATACTCGGGATCTGCCCGGCGGTAATGCCAAGTCAAAGCCACTCGTTTTCGCTCAATGAAGGAGCCCTGCGTCCGCTCGGTATAATGTTGAAAGACCTCCATTACCTCTTTCTGCCATGCCATGTCCGTCCGCTCAGCGAGATTCTCCCAGTCATCGGAGCGAGGCTTTCGGATGAAGCACCCATGCTCTGCACTCAGACCCAGTTCCGGGATATGGCCCATCCACTCGTCGAGGAAGGCCTGGTCACGTCCACTAATAATCCACACTGCATTTCGCGGGTCTGCAGACAGACTCTTGATTGTCCGCAGGACACGATCTGATGGTATGGCGGCCTGGGGATCTTTGACAATTGGTGTGAGTGTGCCGTCGTAGTCAAACATGAATAGCCTCTTGCGCGCTTTGCGGTACTGCTTCGACAGCTTGGCCCGATCGAGGGCGGGTGTGGCCACGGACTGATCAAAAGAAGAAAGATTGGTAAGCAGCCGGTTAAGGTACTGCTTGGACCAGGTTGCGACAGTATTTGTGGTCACATGTTTGTATAGTTTCTGATGTTGTGACTCCCTTTGGTCAGGAGACATGGTCAACGCTTGGTTGATGGCGCCTGCCACACCCACCAAATCCCAGGGGTTGATGTGGATGGCATTAGAAAGCGTTCCTGCAGTACCAGAAAACTCGGACAAAATCAACGGGCTATGGTTGTTGTGCTGGCAAATTATGTATTCCAAACTTGTCGTGTTCATGCCATCACGGACCGTGGTGATTAGCCCAAGGTCTGCCACCCGCAACAAGGCGAAATACTCGGTTTGAGATAAGTACTGCGGGTAGTACTTAACAGGCGAAAAGCTCAAGGAGCCGAAGCGGCCGTTGATGGTAGACACAAGGTTTGAAATCTGACTAGCGACCTTATTATCAGGATCCTCCTTCTCCTCCTCAACGCTAGTTGGGCTGGTCACCTGGATCAGGACGACCTTGTTGCGCCATTCAGGGAACCGCTCAAGGAACACTTCAAAAGCCTGCAGCTTCTGGGACACACCACGAACACTGTCAAGCCTGTCACGGCCGACAATGATTTTCTTGCCCGCATACAGCTTGCGAATTCCCAGCACGGCTTTGTCAATATCCGGGGCTCCAAAGGCAGATTTTTGGATTGCCTTGGCATCAATTCCAATTGGGAAGACGTCAACAGCAACATGGGCGCCATACGCATCCACTCCTGCAGAATTGGAGTCGAATCCGAGAACCCGGGTGCAACAAGACGAGAAGTGACGGGAGTAGGAAAAGGTCTGGAAGCCGATCATGTTGGCACCCAACACACCCGTGAGTACTTCCTTGCGCTTGGCGAGGCAACGCATAAACTCGCTGCTAGGAAATGGGGCATGCAAGAAGAAGCCCATGTAGATATTAGGGATCCTTTGCCGTAGCATACCGGGCAGAAGGAATAAATGGTAGTCATGAATCCAAACAATGTCGCCTTCTTGGTATTCTTGCACGATGCGATCCGCAAATAGTTGATTCATCCGGACATAATCTGCCCACCATCTGCGCTCTGACCTACCATCGGTGGGGCCATGTTGTTTGTAGTGCAGGAGGGGATAGAGCTCTCTTTCAGCATACCGTCTCCATCTCCCTTGGTCCTCCAAGACAACTGTTTCTTCTGGCTCTTCAGACTCATCCGATAGCCACACGGGGGCAATCCTTCCGTACCGACTGGAAGACAGCTGCGTCTCCAGCCGTTCACGGTCCTCCTTACCAACACTTGCGGCCTCGAAAAGAGGATGTGTGGGTTGCCGTTGTGTTGCATCTACAGGAACGGGGGCTGCTGCCTTGTTAAGCGGTAAAGGGGGTATGTTGGAAGCTGGAGGCAAGTTCGTGCTGGTATTGACTGGAATTGGCTGTAGAGGCATCTTTGCACCCTGGATCGGTTCCACCTCGCCGGTCCAGCCCACGAGAGTATGTGACCATCTTGTCTCATCGGAGCCAAGATGTGCTAACGAATCGAACAGGGCCGAGGTGCCCGGACGAGGTTTAAGCCCCTATAGATGATTCAACCACAAGTCAGTTCAACGATGGCCTTATTGAAACGAGAGGAACTATCTTACCCATTCAGAACCCGATCGTAAAAAAAGTTTGTAAGGAATGCAAAAGGCCACGCTGATGATTCGACCGCTAAGCCGCAATCCAGGATACTGTTCGCGTGGATCGGGCTCCGGAATAACGGGCGAAGCATTTCCCACGAGACTTAGCCGGCGCAAGAGGTCTCTCCCCGATCTCGCATCCTTTGCAGCCTGCGCAGGCGTGGCAGGGGAGCCGTCGGGTGATCCTTGGTGGGCCCCGGGAAGGTCGTAGAAATAGGAGGGAGCATCGTTAAGCGGTTGGTGTTTCTTATCACTGTCAAGGCTCGGAGTAGCATTGGTAGCCTTGGAATACGCTCCATCGTTGAGGGATTTCAAGCCGGGGCCAACCAGAACCGGATTGGGCTGGCCATCGGGCACATTGACGGGGGTGTGGTTGTCGGACATGATATAAGGACGGAAACGGTAGTCTGGGGAAAAAAGAACAGGGGAGAAAAAGCAGCAATGGAAAATGCAGCCCGCTTGTCAATCTAAGATGTTCAGTTAATAAATGAGACTATCCAAAATCGTATCCATTTATATAGTGTAGAGGGAAAGAAGGAGGTTTTGAAGATAAGCAATGGTGGGTGTACCTCGGACGAACAACGGAGACAGCAGAGAAGATAAGCTGGCGAACCGACGAACGAGGACAGGGACAGAGTATCAACAGAACGAACAAGCCATGAGTTTTGGGCAAAAAGGAAAGGAAATTCTCTCTCTTTTTCTTTATTTTTAGGGGAAGGGGGAACAGAGCGAGAGAAGAAGAAAAATTGGAGGCGATAAGAGGAGCAGGTGGAGGAGAGAAGGCCGACAGGGACGGAGGGGCTAAAGGAGCACGGGCGGTGAGGGCGAAAAGTGGCGTCCCAGAGACAGTCTGGACTCTGTTCGGTGATCGTTTTTCGAGACAAGATTGATTGAGCGTTATTATTAATAGGGGGGTCGTGGGATTGCTGCGTTGCGATCGGTTCCAGAATGCTATTATTTATTGTCGTCAGGGAGAGCTACACATGTTCCATTGCTCTCCGGATGATAATGATGGGCGATGATGGCATCCTTGGGACTGGAATCCGAAATCCTCCTGCACTAACAGTCCGTAATTTAGAAGATATTATTCCCCGCCATCTTTGAGTGAATGTACGTCATGATTAACCAATCCTCCCATTGCCAGGAGTGAATTGCAGTCCATCATCTCAAACGAGCCTCTCCTAGATCTAGTTATCCATCCCTTTTCCCAGTCCGTCTATCAAGAATAGAAAATCCCACCGGAGCGTCGAGTCCAGAGGGAATTTCCAAATCCGGGGAGCGGCTGGTGCACGTGATCAATTGCTGTTTAGGGCTTTTTCATCACATGATTCAGGCATCAGATATTTCTGCCTCAGGCAAAGAGGGAACCATGTGATTTCATCTCTCCATTTTCCCCTTTTAGCTTCATTCAGTTTCTTCTTCTCCGGTAACTGCCATCATTATTGCTGTTCCACTAATCCCTTGACCATCCCGTATCTCAATAGCTGCTCTCTTGCAATCATAACCCATCACATCCGGTACATGCCCCGGATCGTCACGATTCATCCGCAATGCCTGTCTCTGACTGATAGCGCTGCGATGCGCCTCTTTCGCTCCCATCTCCCCTCTTCATTGCGTCCTCGTATTTCACTTCGGATCAAACCTTCCAATCGTGGTTTCCATGAATCGTTGGGCTACTCACAACCTCCTGAGATTTTCACCAACAGCCTCCAGAAGACTCTCGAGGCTCACCGAACCTCAAACAGAGCCAATTTGGTACGCAAAGTTATCAATACCTCCGAGCCCAAGGGGATATTTCGTCCTGTCATCCCACCGGAAAATTTGGCTGGCTATGAGCCGTCTAAAGAGACACCATCAGAATTCGTGTCTCCGCCGTCTGGCTCAGTAAGCCCACCGAAGAGAACTCGTCATTCCGCAGAAAAAAGCCCGTCCGAGGAAACTGCCAGTGTCGCTTTCGACAATCAGATACAATGGAATGTTGATTCAAGGGAAGATAGACTGGAGCAGCGCCCATGGTTATACCACCTGGGTTCCGAAAACCTCGGACTGTCTGATGGCCCCTCGCGTCTTGATGCCGAAATTCAAGCTCTTGGAACATATCTCACACCGACCACACGCGAAAAAGCCACTGTCACGCAGCTGATTACCAGCATCCAAAATCTCTTGGGTAGTGTGATAACTCATCCACCCCAGGTCATCGGGTCATGGCGAACAGGGTTCGCATCCAGCCATTCAGGTGTCGACTTTATCCTGCTCGTGGAGGACTTTGGGAGGTCTGTCGATAGCATCCGGAAACCGAGTGCCACCCGGCCCAAGGCCCTTGCTACTTATCATAATCGACTGCGTGAGGTTGAGCGTGCTCTCAAGCAAAGTCCCCAGTTCGATGGTCAAGTTCATTTTTCGGGCAAACGAAACCCGGTAGTCACGGCTCTTCACTGTTCAACCGGCCTAAAGCTGCAGTTCTACTGCGGCCAGGGACTTCCCGCTTCTATTGAATACCTCAAAGACTATCAAGCCGAGTACCCAGCTATTCGACCACTGTACATGGTTACCCGCCTACTTCTCGAAACTCGCGGTTTATTCGGTGCTCATACGCCGGGCATCCGCCCCGATGCCCTCCTCATGCTCCTTGCGGCATTTTGCAAAATGAACCATGGCCGGTTCCAGCGGTCGGATAGTCTAGGCGACCAGCTTCTAGCTTTTCTGCGCACATATGGGACTGCTGTGGATCTCCGGACAACGGGCGTCGCTATCGACCCTCCGGGCTTCTTCAATGCAGAGACTATTCGGGAGGAGATTCGTATGTTCGATTCTCACGATAGTCTGCCCGCTCACCTCCGCGGCCAACGCTCCCTTGTCAGCCTCAAACGAACGGCGGCCGCGAAACGCAATTTCCCCGCGGCGGGTCAGTTATGTATCCAGGATCCAGCTAACTACATGAATGATCTCGGTCGAGCCTGCTTTCAGACTATGGAGCTCCAGAGTGTCTTTGCAGATGCACATGAACGCCTGAGGGCTTCGCTGCATGCCTGGGAGGAATCCAGTGGTCATGGTTCCCGGGATAGCATACTCTCCCATATTCTCCAGGTCAATTTTGATGATTTTGAGAAGATGCGCACTCGAATTGCCTGTCTGGATAAATAGATCAAACTACGTTCCAATTAATTCTCCCTTCTGTCAGAAGCCATGTTTCAATTCTATTTAGCCTGTAAATTCGGCCTTGGTTCAGATCTATTAACAAATAAGGCATCTTAAATTTTCCAACAAGAGGAAAAACACACATGTGTAAACGGAACGCCGGTCTGCTGCTTGAGGGCCCAGGGCATAAGTATTAATACAGTGGCATCAAGCCAGCAATCTATATCAAGCAAAGAAAATGGTGGTGCAATGCAATGGACATAGCTGCAAAGAATGCGCCGTTATAGTGAAACTCCATGCCACGCTGCTAAGGCAGAAAGAAATTGAGAAGAGTATAGCCAATGAATTCAACAAATGCGTAGAAGTCGGAGCGCTCCCCAAAAGTGATCAGTTGCTATATAAATGTTAGTGGATTGACTTGGCCTCTGAACAAATCCTGGAACTTACTATATTTCCAGAGGAGAAATTTGATCCAACGTATAAAGCCAGTTTCCGCCTGACTCTTCCTTTTCCAGCCTATATCAAAATCGTCAGTACTTCACCACGAATTCGTGAAGGGGCAAAAAAAAAAAAAAGGGGGGGGGGGGGGGGCTACGAACCACTCATAGGGCCAGAGAATCACATGTCCCTGGACTTTATTCAAAAGTTCTTCCGCACGCTCCTTGTCCATCACTTCATCTGTTGCATGGAATTCTCGACGAGAACCAAGAGTTGTCGCTCTTCGCCTTCGCCTCCGTGTCTGGGTTGTCGCATTTCGGTTCAGGGCTTCCGAGTAGTCAACAAGTTGCGGGTTCGACTGCGGTTTGTCCAGTTCCTCTCCTACAGCCCTACTTTCGTCGGTCCGCGCGGTTTGTGGGTTACTCGATCCCGGCGTATCCGATGCTCTCAGTGCCGTCTTCTCATCTATTGATGAGAGGGTCTCTTGTTGAGCCAGCTCTGATTGAGGGCGATCTGCAACCCGAGCCTCGGGCTTCTCGTCTGGTGACTTGGGGCGCTTTTCATCCGTGGCTTGTTCCTCTGTGTTCTGGCTTGGCGGCGATCCTTGAGGTTTAGTATTGTTCCCAGGGGTCCCGGGCGGCCCTGTCTGTCTTGAATTGGAGGGCTGAAAGGCTTTGGCGCTGTGTTGGTTTTGCATTTCTGCAAAACGCTCTCCATAGGCAGCATACTCTTTGTACTCCTTCCATGACTTCACCTCGCTATCAGGCATGCAGCGGAACACAGTTCGAAAGATTTTTGTGTTTTTACTGGCGACGGCAAGCCAAGTGTCCAGATAGAATATGTCATTCACTGGATCTCTCATGCAATCTTTATCGATGAAGATGTGTTTCAAGTCTGGCATCAGTGGGTGTGGATACTTGGAATTATCAGACTTCTCCTTGGATCCGAACATGCCACTGTTACTGCTCTCGGTGTCATTATTTGTCAGGGATGGATGAAGAGCTGTTGGCAGCCCATCCACGACAGCATTTGACTCAGTGTCATTGACTACATTGGAAGGCGGCTCTGTGTTTTCGTCCTTACCATCAGAGCCAATCCGTTGAGAACTCGATTGTGACGATTGCTTGGGTTGTTTGAGAGTGCCCTTGCCTTCAGACGCAACGGGCGAGACCAAAACCTCCGTGCTGTCATCAACAAACTGCGAATCGCGTGCGTCTCCTAATCCCGCCTGTGTTGCGGTTTTCAGACGGTCATGACCATTGCCATCCACATCATTTTTGTGTTCCACGTTGGACATGACTCTCGCGTCTGCGGTAAGTTTTCTACTCGACTTAAGGTTCGGATTGTTACCCTGCTCCCAATCGACGTCATGGTTGAAGCTGTACATATCTTCCGACCGGGAGAGAAATTCGTCTTGAATCCGATGGCGACGCTCGATCGTATCTCTTTCGTCTTGCTTCTCTACCATCAGAGCCTCAGAGTCGAGTCTTTGGTGGCTCCCTGGGGATCGGGTGCCTTCTTCATCGATCTGAATTCTTCTCAACTCTTCCTCTGTCCCAATATCGTGCTCCATCAGCTCATCGACATCAATTCCAAGATGCTCTCTCATGAGACGCATGCGAAGCGTATGTGGGAACCGTCCAACAAGGTAGGGTCGACCGTTCATAGTAGACCGGATCATGTCCGTATCGCGCACAACAGCTGCTACCTCAGAATCTCGCGAACCCAACATGGACCGTTCGTTAATATTTGCAGACCCAATAATCGCCGCACGATCATCAACAACCATGCATTTGGCATGGATATAGAGCTGCTCAGTGACAAGCTGCTTCTGGTGTCCTATCTTTCCCCAGGCACGAAGGCTGAAGAACTGGATATAATCTTCCGGTTCGATCCCAAGCGCACGAAGCCGTCCGAAGATGGATGTCTCCCCACGGCAAATACTGCGATACTGGCACTGCATGATGAGACGAACACTCGTTCCACCTTCACTGTCAACAGTGTTCTGGAACCCTGGCATCAGTGGAATAACAATGACGGCGCGCCATGCCTCCCCATTCTTGGCTGCCCGAATGATACGCTCTACCAAAGCGTCCCCAATCAAGTTCTCGATTTTTCTGCCATCTATCTCACACGTACTGACGAAGAACTGATTTTCGATGTAGACGAAGTGGTCGGATTCTTCGATCAATTTAACGTAGGCGTTCATAATACTATGCTCAGTGACATCCGGCGTACCAGTCGACCACATACTACTAGAACGCAGGATCTGAACTTCACAGGTTCCATCCAAGCCAAGGGCTTCCAAATCGGCCGGGTCGAAATCAGGAGGAGGCAGGAGGAAAGGTGTGGGTCGAGTCGGCTTTCGCTGGCGCAAGATATAGTTCCATCTTTGGACAAAATGACGAGTGAGATCTCGGGCTGGTTGGCCGACTACATGCATCGAGATATCATGCCAGGGCATCCTAGGAATGATATTGCGGTCATACATTTCTTCGTATGGCTTGTCCAAATCGTAAAAATCTTGGATTCGAGGGTTGGAATAGTCTTTGCCAGGCCAGAGTTGACAGTGATCTGCATCCTTAGGCATGTCAGTAGTTTCGAAACCAGTGAGCTTGTCATCTGTGAGTTGGTGCTGCGGGGTGTCCCATCTTCCAAAACACAAATCAATTCCTCCGACAAAAGCCAGCGTGTGGTCAATGAGACATAATTTCTCGTGATGTGCCCAGAAGAAGGTATTCTGCCTAAACTGGTTTGGAGATCTCTGTACAAATATGTTTGGGTGAAGATCCAGAAGAGAAAACTTGGAGTATTCCGAGTCGATGGGAATAGCAGAGTTGATGTTTCGATACATAATGACAAAGATCTTCACACCTTCACGAGCCTTGCGTTGGAGAAGACGATCCAACCGCCATTTCTGGCTGATAGCAGCTGGCCGCCGCATGTAGAGCTCTGGGCTTAGCCACCAGTCATGAATATAGATCACATCTTTCGCCTGGTTGATAGCTCGCGACACAACCCACATGTGGTCACGCCCATCAACCAGCCACTGCGCAAAACAATTGCGACGCACCGGAGCAAAACTGTCAAAGCGATTTGGTTTTGCCCATGGGGTATTGCTGACCATGAATCGAATGGAGTCTTCGAACTGGTGTAACTGGCGCTCATTTCTGGCTAGCAGCCTCAATTTTCGCTCCGAGTTCACGAGTCGCAATGTGTGATGCTGTGGATGCCTCGCCGACTCTGTCGCAGACTTGGCAAGCTCCTTTGCTTTTTGGTTGCGTAGGCTAAAATTTTGGGTTTGGATCTGAAAGAAGGGATCGACAAGGAAAACATCATAGATGTTCATCTCTTCGGGCGAGTCGACGCAAACAACGTAACTATGCCTGACTAGAAACCACTTGGGCCAATGTCGTTTCTTCATCAATGCCGGATTCAAAGCCCTCCGGAAATCCAGGCCTTTGGATGATTGTATAATCAGAAATCCTTCTTTCCCATGGTAACTGCCTTCAGCCGCAAGACGGACACCCAGTGCCGACAATTCCAAGAATTTACACAGGCGGTTGCTGTCAGCACGAAAAATCAGAAAACGGATCATCTTTTGCAAATATGCCTCGAGCTTCTTGCGTTGTTTCTCAGGATATGTCTCTTTCTTATTTGCTGGACTTGCTTCCGCGGTTCCTGAAGCCGCCTCTCCGTCTTGAGGATTGGTGATACTGGACTTCCTCCGAGACAGAGCACCTGATGATCGGCGTGGCTGCTGCGGTTGCTGCTGCTTCTTTTTCTTTCCCGTTCTCTCGTTGCCGCTGGTGGCCTCAGCCGCTGTTTCATAACCAACCTCGTCTTCCTCGTCCTCGATTTCGCTGTCAAGGCCTCGAACACCTCGCATATATGGAAACGCACTTCTAGGGAAGCGCGGAAGATGATGTCCACCATCGGGGTTCCGCATCTGGATATACTTCTGGGTTCCGAAGTGAAGTTTGTACTTAAGATGAAGGTTCGCAAAGTCTTTCAGCGTTCTGTGGATAATCCATTTCATTCTTGTCATTCCACTGCCATATTCGAGCTCGATTCTGAACACCAAGTGGCGGTCTCCGGAGTGAGAATCAATCCGACTGTCGGTGACTCGGACCTTCAGCTGTTCGAGAAGAATTGGAATTCGCTTGCTACCATGCTCGTCCCGTTGAAACATACTTGCCAGAATCAAAGCTGCCGGTACCCCAGAGGTGAGTTCTGCTAGTAACTCCGCCGACTTTGCATGGTCCACCGTATTGTCTTTGTTGCGTCGCTGCCCTATTAATTTCAAACCAGCTTTTATCTGCCGCCAACGTTGAGCGCTGAGGCTAGAGCCACGATCCGCTCGATGACGCCTCCAAGGAGCTGTTAGACCTTCCGCATTTTCGGAAGGCCCAGCAAGCCCGGTAAGACGCCTAAGGTTACTAGGGCGCCTTTCGTCCTGGTTTGTTTGCCCTTCTGCTCGCCCACTATGTGTTATTCCACGAGAGTTAGCGAGCCATGCACTTCTTCGCCTCCATGTAGTATCTCTATTGAGACGATCGCGACCTTCATCCTCGGAGACGCCCTCGCGCTGTTGGGAAAATTCTGTAGTGCTTGATCTTCGGGGGAAAAAATTAGACCGATAGTTTTCAAACGGGGCAAATGAGCTAGACAGGTGGAAGGATGGTCGGCTCATCACTTTCGGTGTTGTTGGAGCAGTTTGAGGGGCCGAATCGACCCCCTGCTGCTGCTGCTGCTGCTGCTGCTGCCGTCGGCGTGTTTGCTTCTTCTTTTTCCGTTGACGAATCCCTTGTTCCCCCGCACTTTCTTCAGCATCCGCATCGATATCACTCCCCTCTTCCTCTAATGTGTCTGGAAAGCGGAATTCTCCCCTTTCTGAACCGGGAGTAGCAACGTCACCGGGGTGTTTTGCATCGGCGATGGTTGCTCCACTGGCTGAGCGAGAGTGTGGGCTGAAAGAAGGGCCAGCCGCAAAAGCTTTTAATTTGGTAAATATCGATTGTTTTCCTTTAGACGCCGGGTCTCCGTCATCACCCAACACGGATGCAGGTCTAGATTGTGGCAATTCGGTAGAGGGTTCGTTGTCGGGGGTGTCCCGGGTGAATTGTACACTTGGGCGACGCGGTGAAGAGGACGTCCCAGGCACAGACGGCTGTACCGGGCGATCCGATAGTTGTTGCTGGTCATCAAGGGACCCGTTTGGGTGTCGAGTACTCAGCGACTTAGGCTTACCGTCCCCTGCAGGATTATCTGAAATGTCTCCATTTCCAGACACAGTTTCCCTATCTATTCCCAATTGCGTGCCACTTGTCCAACCTTTCTCATCGGTAGCTTCTATTTTCTTGTTCTGAGTATCCGTAGGACAGCTGGCTTGCGTGGGTGAGGGAAAAGGAGAGGATAGTTTCGGGCCATTTGAAACGGAAACTGGCAAGGGCTCAGGTCTTTTCGCATCGAGACGGTGGGGGAGATTCTCAGCGCCCCTCACTGTCGAGGAGTCGGCCGCAGAGTCGGCCATGGTGCTGAAGTAAAATGTTGTCAGTGCATGATGGGCGCATATAACTTGGAGCCAGGTCCTGTACGTACTTGCGGATCAACTAGACCCTATCGGAACTGTCTGGATTTACTCTCTATACAAGCATCATAGAAAGTCGGGGAAAGCTTCTAGAAAAGCGACAGGTGACAGCAGGAAATAGACCAGGTTAAGGTCAAGCTGGAACGTTGACTTGAAAGAAGCGTTCTTAACTGTCCTAAGCCGTGGTGGAGTCTCGCCCCATATAGTCTGAGCCCGACTGGAGACGGAAGGCCCGCTTTGGCGTTAAGGAGACTGCATTAAGGAGAATGGCAGAAGTTTGGTCGCAAGGGGTCAGTCGATCCTTGGAGTTTTAACGAGCAGTGCTGCAGGAGCAGTGACTAGTGGAATCAATTATATTATTATTATTGTGTCAAGATCAGGCCTGCGTTCCAGGATTAGAGATTTTGTCGAAGACGCGGCAGCATCAACTATGATTGTTGTTCTTATTTTCTTCCGTATGACACCTACTAGTTATCACGGCTGACCCCTGGGAAATGTAAATTCTGCCTGGGGCATCGACACGTGTTGTGGCGCATGGCTTACAAACACAGCCACACCACGTGTATGAGCCTGTTTGAAACACACAAATTGGATGTTAGGTACTGTCCGGTGAGGTAATTTCAGTACGGAATTTCGGGTAAGTTATACCTAGACGGTTACGGTAATACCGTACCCTCGGCTTCTTCGTCATCGGTAGCGTCTCTCGCCGGTTGTATATCAACCCCACTACGCCGGACTACAGACAAATATATACCATTCTAACAGTATCCACCAATTCAATTACTATCATACCATTTGACTTACCTCCTTACCTTGGAACTAAGAACAAAAGAATAAAGATGACAGATCCCTTGAAGACTTTAGACGCAGGCCGTTCCGAACCCTCGCCCATTTCCCAGAAGACATATCCAATTGCGGGAATCCTCACAACAGTGTTTGGTTTAGACGAGCTCCCATCACAAGCTTCGGAGGTGGCTTGTCTCTGGCTTTTGCATCCGAGATTGGCAACCCAGGAGCGCATGGCAGGAATTGCGAGATCAGCCATTACGGACTGGAACAATAGAAATCGCGATGGTTCTAGCCAGCATGTCAAAGGATTGATCGCCGTGGCTTTTGATCAAAGGAATCATGGGACAAGGCTGGTCGATGCCCTTGCCAATGAGGCATGGAAACAGGGGAACCCCCGACATGCGCAGGATATGTTTTCCGTGTTTCGTAAGTCTTGTGCCTATTTCTAGCCCTAGGATATAGCAAAAGCTAACCTGAAGACGTAGAGGGCACGGCACGAGATGTCTCCTTATTGATGGACTACCTTCCATCATTCTTATTCCCTAAATCGGACTACAGTATTTCGGAACACCTCGTGCTGGGTGTTTCTTTGGGTGGACATGCAGCATGGAGTTGCCTCCTCCATGAGCCCCGGGTGAGCGCTGGAGTTGTCATCATCGGATGTCCCGACTATGTAAACTTAATGGCAGACCGAGGGCGGCTTTCAAAACTGCCGTCATGGACAGACAGCAACCCACCAGGGTCTCAGTTCCTTGGATCTGAAGCATTCCCCTCTTCTCTCCTGGACACGATTTCGAAATATGACCCCGCAAGTCTGTTTCTCAGCCTCACTGACAGCAAGTCGCAAACTGGGCCCCTACGAGAAGGACCCTTGCCCGAGCCGACAGAATCAGAAAAACAGGCCTTGCGGCCACTCTTGAAACGGTGTTTGGCAAGCAAAAGAATTCTCAACCTTTCTGGTGGCTTGGACAAGTTGGTTCCATACCACCGAGGAGAGGTATTTTTAACATGGTTGAAGAAGGCCATTGCTCCCGATGGTTGGTTCGCCGATGGCGCGGTCACTTTCGAAGATGTCATCGACGAGAACGCAGCACATGAGGTAACCCCTAAGATGGTGGAGGAGGCAGTCCGATTCATCAGTGAGACGTTAGCAGCTAGCAAGGATGGCTCGAGGTCCGGCTCAGTACGCAATTCAAAGATGTAGGCTGTTTGACTACAAGTTGAACAGGATGCCGACTAGTGTGTCAATTGAGTATTACAGCCCACTGTCCATAGAAATGTAACCATCATTATACCACCGAACCGTATCTATGTCATATAACATCTTAGGATGGCTTCGGACTTCTGTAAGAAGCTGGTGTTTTTCTGAACAGGTAAATTCAAAGCCAAAGGATTAAGAATTGAAGTCTGCGCCACACGGTGTGTATGTAGATGAACATCTACGACTGATTATTTACTGAGGTGGACTTTACGAGGACTCAACATTATGTGACCAACGAAAATATTATCCCAGTTCTGTCGGTCACATGCTGCTATCCTAGACGCCATGACCCATTCTGATAGAGGAATGATGGACAAGCAATGAACAGTAGAATCCTCCTTATGGTATTGGTTTAACAAAGTGAGATCGTAAGGGCGTCCGGAGGCCATGTATTGCTCATCGCAAACAAAAAACCCTTTTTCTTTTAAATACACAGATCGATATCTCGAATCCGCGGCTCCCATTTTTTCGATTTCTTATTCCCTTCTGGTCGAAGAAGGGAATTGACCGTCTATCACAAGACCGACTGTAGTCAGCGCAGCGCCTGCCCAAATTTCAATTTCCTCGCTTAAGCAACCAACTCAACAACACCGCCAGCCTCCTTGATCTTCTGCTCAGCATCCCGGCTGAAGTATCTGGCGCGGACGACGATGGGGATCTCGGGGACACGGCCTTTGCCCAGAACCTTGGAATAGCCGAGGGGGAGGAGGTCAATAACGGGGGCGGTGTCGGTCTTCTGGCCGCTCACGTAGGCCTCACGCTTCTCGGCGGGGATGAGAGACCAGAGCTATATTCAAAAAGTCCAGTCAGTCACAATTTCTCCTCCCAATGCCAATATTCCAGATTCCCCTTGTCCAATTCATCTAATGAATGTTCACAATCTTTATGTCTCCTTTGTATTGCAACGCAGTAGAAACCTGCTCCACTGGCCATCCTTCCCCCAATTGCTTTCCTTGCCATGCAATCAAATTTTCAACGTACCTTGTCGAGGTTGATGGTGGGCTTCCAGAACTGCTGGTTGGTCTTGTGGAAGTATCTCATTCCGACCTTACCGAAGTAACCAGGGTGATACTTGTCGAGGTTGGTACGGTGGTGGTGCTGACCACCGGCCATACCACGTCCACCGGGATGCTTACGGTGCTTACCAATGCGACCGTAACCGGCGGAGACATGGCCGCGGCTGAAAGAAAAGAAGAAGCCAAGTCAGCTTTGATTCCTGATAATTCGGTATGTAGGGTTCCCGGAAGAAGCATCGATTTGTCGCATTTCACCGCGACAAAGGCGATGTTCGACCGGCTCGGGACGGTAGTAGGGATGGAAGAGCTCTCGACTCACGCTTTCCTTGTCTTCGAGAAACGGGTAGGCATCTTGTCGACGGTGCTGTTCTCGACAAGACCGGTCTGAGTGTTTGGCGATGGGGGATGCGGTCGTATATGCTGCTGGTTCAGATGTTGAAATCAAGGCCCGGGGGGGCTAGAGTGCGCGCTAAACCGTTCGCTTGTTCTGCCATAGGGTCCAACCCTCCTAACTCTTGGCACAGCTTTTCCCGGGGCTTTCACGTGACTAGATGTCCAAAGATCTACTTTGGTTATTGCATCATCTTCAAGACTTTAAATTTAAAGCATTTAGGTACTCTCTGTGAGCCCTATCGTGGGTACTTCACGTTACATTCCCAGAAAGATACTTCGATCTTCTATTATGTCTTTTTCTTTACAAGAAGACAAATTACATGTTATGTACTTCAAGTTCTTTTAGCACCAAAGAACTTGGTGAGGTCCCTCACTGTTACACCCGCTGACCGTTGAGCAGGACCACTGGCCAAGCTCTGCTGAATCCAAGCAGGGAGTTTTCCACGTATATGCGGCTTCTCATACCTCCGGTCAATCATGACAATCGCTGCATAGTCACTGCGGTGCCTGATTGCACGTCCGATGCATTGGTTAACTGCTCTCATACAGGCGTTTTCATAAAAGTCTCTTCCTGCTGCTTTTGCAGTTGATTGTCGGTTTACCTCGGTTCCAGAGCTCTGCTTATAAGCTTTCTGCTCTATGTATTGAATTTTCGTTTGCCAGACCGCGCTCCGTATGTTGGGGAAAGGCAGACCGATTATAAAAACCCCTCTCCCCAACCTGTCGGAAAAATTGATGCCTTCCGACAACTTTCCGCCAACGACAGAAAGGAGCAAGGCTCCTGAGCCTGATTCGATGGCCTTCTCATACGCTTGAAGTAATTCTTCTGTTGTGGTTGCCATATCCCTTGTTTCATACAAAAGATGCTTCTTCTGTTCGATCAGACCAAGGGTGGTCTGGCCCCTTTCCCCTCCTGTAGGCTTCTTCCATATGCCTAACACGCGACTCAAGTAATCGTAGCTGGGGAAAAATGCGACCACGCCATCCGGGATGATTTGGCAGAGTGTAGCCACCGTACGCCCAAGATCAATAATCTGAAAAGAGTTAAACGAAAAGGGCCAGATAAGGTGAAGAATAATCATGGTATGTTGGAAAATGTCTCATGCCTACCATTTTTTCAGATTCCCGTGCATCATAGGTGAAATCAAACTCTGAGCCTTGAACTCCCTTCACTAGTGTATGTGCAGTAAGATTCTGTGATGGAATAACATGGCCATAGCTGAACGTATCCAACCGATGAGGTGGCACATAGGAGAACAAATGATTCATATAATCATTCATCTATGATGGGTTAGGAATAAATAAGGCTCGACATGCAAGGGTCTGAAAATGGATTATCTCTTACGGGAGACATTGTTCCTCCAGCCAATATGACTGCCCTGGCATCTTCAACGATTTCCCGGAAATGGTTAGTTGGATCAAGGAGCATGTATTTCAGTTGAACATCTCGCTGTGTTTTCAGATAAAACAATCGTCCCTCTGCAGATGGGTTCATGAGAGGAAGAAGAAAACCTTGTATATGAAATAAAACTGGCGTGGCAGACTTTTCATTAGACTGGGGGTCAGTTTGGGAAAATTCAACATATCCATCAACTTTCCTTGCCAATTTGCTTTCATGCAAGTATCGCGACAATTTGTATGGGTTGATCTGGTCCACGCCCTTCCCAGCCATGAGGTCTGAAGGCTGTACGGAGCCTTCCGGTGTCTGTTTGGCCTCAGAGATCGATTGAAGATGATCTGCAATTGAACTGACGAGCCTTATCACCTGGGCAACATAGCTTCGGTTCTTTCCTTTTAGGCGATTTTTAAACTTGCGTGCGTAGGTTGTCAGCTGAAAAATCGAGGTTCTCAACTGAGAAAGTGTGATTGTGACCGAGTGAATGTTGGATATTGCATCCATCAGATTATGAGCCTCATCGATAATGACAACATGGTTCTTGATGGAAAGATTGAGAGCCTCCCTAGCTGATCTTTGAAGTAGCAATGGGTATGGAAGAGTTACGATCTTTTCGCACAGTTAGCAATGATCAGCATTGAAGTGTGATGGTATGTTCACCTCACTGTGCTTGATGACTGAGCGGGAGGCGTAGTATGGGCATATCCCGATTTGCTTCCCAACCTTCCCTATGTCCTCAATGTCTTTGACTGTTGCCAATGCATGATCACGGAATTGAAGCGCCAGCCCTTCATCCTCTTTTGACGGTAAAAAGGGGCATTTGTGTTCAGCAGCCACGCCGGGTTGTTGTAGATCCAAGCAGCGTTCATTAATCGCTGTCGCGCTTTCCAAAGCAGCTACTCGAGGATTTATACACAGGTTTTTCCGGGATCCCAGCGAGAGATGTTTTATCTGCTCTGTAAATTCGTCCCCATCTTTGGTACCTGTGCTAAGTTCCTTTGGTAGACTAGATGGTATCGTGACGCGTCGTAGTTCGCTAGCAAACTGTGTTAACTGGGAATGTGTTCTTGAGCAATAGAAGATCATGGTCTCTTGATCTTCATCATCTTGGTCCTCTTTAGATTGCGTTGAGATTTGCCCCTTGAACTGCTCCAAAAGCGCTAAGGTACTGGTCGAGAGACCATCGAAATTATCTGACTTTTTCGTGGAAAATTTCTGCTCTTCACTTTCGCTATCATAGTCATCAAGGGCAAATTGGTTATCATCGTGTGGATCTGACCCGAAGGAGGCCAAATCAAGCTTCTGTGTTTTGGCTGTTGGCACCTAGCTATCGAGAGCCATGGAAGTTTATGGTGTACACATACTTGTTTCTTCCGAGGCTCTTCTGATTTCTCGGAGGCAATTCGTTGCTTTTCTTCCGATAGTCTTGTTCTCGCCAGTCGTGCCTCGAAAGTTTTTCTCTTTTCAGTAATGGCACGGCTTGATTCGCGTTTAGCAAATTCTAGCATCCACTCTGGCTCGTCTTCATCACCTACGAAATCATTAGAATACCCCTTCCGATAACTGACATCCAAGATTCTAACATGTAACATTGTTCACTGTCTCCTGAAACGCCTTACGCTTGTGATCTCGTAACCAAGTCAATGAGCCACAAATTAGGCTAAGAGATTTTCCCTGGTGAGTTTCTTAGTATCTCGACGAACCCATGGTTTGTGCTGAGAGAAGCATCGATATGCAACACCTGACAATCCCCACAAAAAGTTTTTCGAAGAGCGGCATAGAATCACAGCATGATAATTTGCAATTATATGCAAACACTTACAGTACCTATTCTCAAACTACGTTAGAAGGAAAAGTGACAGGCTAGATTGAGAAATCTTGTTCGGCTTACCAGTGGGAGACTCAAAGACAGCGACCTTACCCTCCTCGAGACAAGTATACAGAGCCTGCATAAACTGTAGTTGAATATCATACGGCGAATAGGGATGATGAAAATCATCCACCCTAAGCTCCATCTTGTGCTTCTGACTCTTGGGCCCTGTACTTGGGTTTGATTGTTGCCTTGGCTCCCCAAGACTATTAATGAAAAGTTCAGGGTAGATAGTCTGTCTGTTAGGACTTAGTCACTTAGGATATTATTAGCACATGCTGTTGGGCTTAAAATGATTATTCATGACATCTGTAAAGAATTGTTTGTAATTGGAGGATATGTAAGGAGTATCTCTGTATCAGACACGGGAGACGTGATTGGCAATTGTTGTAGGCTGGGATTACTTTTTTTTTTCTGGTCTCAGGAACCACATAGCACAAGGCCCGAATCTCTTGCTAGGGGGTTGAATCTCTAGATAGAGAATGGCAGAACAGCTGAATCGTACCTTGTCCAGGAAAATTTGGGGGGAATCTAATGTTGTGATAAGACCGCTGACTCTCTATAGGGGGGGCACCTGAGGCTCCAAGGAATGAGATGGATGAGTGTTCTTTATTTCTTTTGCGTCTCACTGCCTGTAATCGGCCTGTCAGCCTTAATTATTCTTCTGGAAGGCCAAGGAAAGAAACGGCTGGGATAAAAATACAACACACCTTGTCTTTCGCGGTTTCTGATTTGTGAATTGTGACGGGATGGAATTATTGGCAGATGGAGGACTAGTAGGGGACGACTACCAGTTGGTAGTTAGTTATCAGGTTTGGAAGAGAAAAACGACAGGGCCCCGGGCAGGGGGCCAAAGGGACAATACCAATAATTACGATACACGGAGAAACACCCAACCACATCTGATGTTATGTTTTCCAGTTCTTAAGGTGTTGTTTAAGGTAGTGACTATCCTGTTTTCTTCTGCGTTATTAGATGCTGTTATTCTGTACTCTGGAATGAGACAAATTTACTCACAAAATCTCTCATTACTTCTTGTCATTTCCAGGTGGATCCTCGTTTCCTCTTAGTCCTTAAGTTTCCTTCCCCCTAACTACTAGAGTAATATTAATCTCACGAACCCCGCTGTCCACCGCCCGCCCTAACCCAGCGCGCTTGCAGTATCATCATCATTTATTGTCCATTTTTTTTTGACTTCGTACGCTACTCCCATGATTCTTAATAGTTGCTTTTGCATGTCGTCAGGCTGCAGTTTCATTTCTGTTGTTTCCCTACTGATACGCAAAGTTCCTCGGTAGCAGTCGGTTTAACTCTCAGAATCCTTCGGCGCGTCAATATAGCGATCCCCACGCCCTTCTTGCCCTTTCTTTCTTTCTTTTTCTTTTCTTTTCTTTTCTTTTTATTAAAAAAAAAGAAAATCCACCCCCCTTCTTGACGTCTTGATGAACAGTTGCGGACCAAGAGCCTAAGCTAGCTCTAGTTCATACTCGGAGATTTAATTTCTGTGCAGGCCTGCAGGGGTCAAAGGAAGAAAAGTAATAATAATAATAATAAAGCAATAGTCCGCGGACGGGGAACCACCTCCGATAATGAACAGGCCGCCGCCGCAAGGTCGTGGTCAGCCACGGCTAGGTGCAACATGGTATCCAGGGGGCCAGGACGATTTTTACATGCCAGAAGTCATATCCCCTTCTCCTCAAAGGTGCGATCGCGCATTTCATTTGTTCTAGTTTCAACATTTGCTAGTGCTACGGTCTGGTTGACGGTGCTAATCAAACGATCAGGGTCATGCCTGAAGTACCGGAGAGTATGCAACACAATATCGATCACCTCGAGCACGAAGCTCGTCACCCTAACCGCGGTCATTATGCGTCACCGCAGTACGAACGTGCTCGCTTCCCCGAGCGAATTTCTTCCTCCGCCGCCATCATCCAGGGACCACCTCAAGAGCGGTCGCTCTCCCGGAATTATGCTTCATCGTCAGGCCACGACGCCAGCGCTTATGAGCAGTCTGCAGTTTATGATACCATAGATCCTCCCAATTTCTCACCGTTCCCAGTTCTGCGGGACCCGCCGCCCAATGTCCCTCCCACAGATGAACAGAAAGAAGCCAGTCTAGAGAATGCTCGGGTGCCAGTTCTGTCATCTAATGACCCCGAAATGCAACTTTCCTGGGCTCAGGATGCTCTAGCTTATGTTGAGGTTGCAATGCAGAATGAGACCCGTCTGTCGTTGATTCAACCCCCGCGGCCTCAGACACCTCAGGCGGAGCGTCAGTTAAGAGCTGATGCAATGAACATTGTCACCTTTCTGGCCGATCAGTATCATCCCAAAGCCGAATTTATCAAGGGCATGTGGTTGGAGTTTGGCAAATTTGGTTTCCGTGTGGATAAGAAGGAGGCGTTCCGGGCTTATTCTAGGGCTGCGGAGAAGGGCTACGCGAGAGCGGAGTATAGAATTGGGATGCAATTCGAAAGCTCTGGCGAGCCAGAAAAGGCCATCAGACATTATGAGAAGGGAGTTGCCCTTGCTGATTCCGCTTCTTACTATGTATGTTCTTCGCTTCTGGGAATAACGATACCTACGTACTAACTTTGCGATGATACAGCGTCTAGGTATGATGATCCTTCTTGGTCAACATGGGCAACGCCAGGACTATCAGACAGGATTGGATTACATTCAGCTTGCTGCAGAATCCTGTGATGAGAATGCGGCCCAGGGTGCTTACGTGAGTAATGATACTTTTTTGTCACATTTGTATCCATTTTTAACATGATGCCTACAGGTTTATGGTATGCTTTTGGCGCGGGAGCTGCCCCAGGTGAACGTGCCTGAAAGTTTCCTGCCCCTCGACTTGAATGCTGCTCGCATCAATATTGAAAAAGCCGCATATCATGGATTCGCCAAAGCTCAGGTTAAGATAGGCGCCGCATATGAACTCTGCCAGCTCGGCTGCGATTTCAACCCTGCCCTGTCTCTGCACTACAATGCATTAGCCGCCCGTCAAGGTGAACCCGAAGCGGAAATGGCAATCAGCAAATGGTTCCTCTGCGGACACGAAGGGGTCTTTGAGAAGAATGATGAATTGGCGTTCACCTATGCTCAGCGCGCAGCTCAGAGTGGATTTCCAACCGCTGAGTTTGCCCTGGGTTACTTTTACGAAGTGGGAATTTTCGTACCTGTGGATATCAAGGAGGCTAGGAGCTGGTATGCCAAAGCTGCAGCAAGTGGAAACAAGGACGCGACCAATCGGATTGACAGCATTTCCCGGTCCAAGACATTGTCTAGAAAAGACCACGAGAAGGTTGCTATTGCACGCATTAAATCACGGTACGGCTCTCATCAGCGAGGAAACTCTCTGGAGCCGACACCGGAGAATATCGAAATGCCCGATCCTTCGAAGATGAGTCTTACAGATAACAATGGACCAACCGCTGCTCCTTACCCCGACAGACCAGAATCTCGTGCTCGGCCTCCTTATCAAGCGAGCTACACGATGCCCGATCCACGGCCAAGCTCCGCTTTTGGTATAAACCCCAATATTCGCTCCAATGCTCCAGGTTACAACCGAGCCGCTTCTTACGGTCCAGGGCCAATGGGCCGTCACCCTCCCCCTGGTCCTGGAATGTCACCAATGGCTGGCCCAACTAGTCCAGCAGGCATGTCTAGCCCTTCAGGGACACCTAGGCTAGATATTGGCTACACAGCACCCCTTGAACCCCATGGCGCTGATCCTCGAAGACGTCCGCAGCGCCTCGATAACGGACACCCAGACCGGAAGCCCGTGCGAACACCTGTTTCCGCTCACCCGCCGGGTGGTCCAATGGGTTCTCCCAGGCCATCTGGCTCTCCTTCTACGGCCACATTTCCCCCACGTGCCGAATCCATACCACCTCCATCGAGAGGATCAACATCGTCGACGCCTAAGCCCGTGACATCTCCATCGAGCACAACAAGCCAGAAGCCTGCGTCGCAGTCGAGTAAGGCTAGCGGCCAGGGCCTACCGGGTAAGGGTCCTAAGACCTTTGAGGAAATGGGAGTTCCGACTGTTCAAAAAGATAACGATTGCGTACGTTTGATCCCAATACTTATGTTCATCATTTTTACCAAGAAACTGACCGGGTTTTAGATTGTCATGTGATACCCTGGTCCAAGTTCCACGCTCGGCATAATCATTCCTTTCTTTCTTTTCCATCTCAAATAGCGCAGGGGATTTTTCATCATAATTTGTTACGTGGCCATCTTGTTATTCTGAAGGCCAAAAGAAAAGTGGTTGGTATAAGACAATTGTGATTCTTTTGGGGGAGAAAAAAAAAAAAAACCAAACATTTCTAGGATCATCTTTGGACTGGAATTCATTTCAACCAACAGATCTGATCATCTCTGGTCTAATGTTTCAGTCTTGCCGTTTGCCGTATATCTCTTTTTGTTTCTTTTTCCAATTTTTTCGCCTCTTTTCCTGATTTATTCAACGTCATTATCAGCATTATCATAATTTCGACGACTCGTATTCCTGATACCCCTCTGTCTCCTAATCTCCTCGTATGGTTGGTTTTCCTGATGTATTGGTCTCACGTGACAATTATAGAGAGTGTAGATGCTCTAGATGTAGGTAGTACACCTCTCTTCATCTCAACTAGTCCGGCCTGTAGCAACGGTCATTGTTCTCTTCTCATTCCCCTCTCCTTTCACCTCTTTTTTTATTTTTGTTGTTTTCCCCGTGGGGCTTGGCCAGCCAACCAGAGCACCCTGATATGCATAAGCCATAGCTATCTTGCCCTCTTTGCCAAGCTATAATGATTATGATTACGATTTCAGCTTTTTTTTTTTTTTTTTTTTTAGATCTTTCCGCGATCACTCTTTCTAGAGTTTAATCTTACCATGGCCCACAAGAAGGGGAAGGGTGACAAGACTCCCGGTAGTGATGGTGAGCGAACCTCGGGATGAACCTGGAGAAACATGAAAGCTTAAGGTAACATCAAGGATATCAAGAAGGATCTGCCATGATCCTCGACTATCTTAGTGAGTGCACACAGAGATAAAGCCCGCATTGCTACAAGCCTATGGAGTCTTCTAACCGGCACTACAGGAAAACAAAAGTATGCATGTACCCTGTCCCAGCCATAATAGTTCTCAAATTTCTGTTGAAAATAACACATTGCCTTGATGGAGCAGTCGTCCATACTCGGTATGCTCTATGCTAGCACCTTTGATGGCAGTGAAGCTGTAACAAGGACTAATTGCGATTGAATTATTCCCATAGGCCATCGATATCTCAGCCAACTTGCACAACAAAGTTACCAAAAGTCAGAAAGCTCTGTGTTTACCGAATCTTCGCCGTCTTTCCTCTTACTGACAAACTCTGAAGCGTACGCGGCCAAGGCATTGCGAGAGCTACACCAAAACAAGGAGATTGAGGGTCGTGTAGCAGGTTAGTTATCAAACATTCAAAAGGGCAAATTCTTACCTTCCCGTTCGTTTGCTGTAGGAAAACAAACCGTTTATCATGCCCTTCAAGATTCATTCGACGATTCCACTCCAGAAGTCATTGCAGGCTTGGACCAAGAGATCAAGCAATTGCAGGGCAATCTTACGGCCCTAAAAGCCAACGAGCAAGACACACGAGCGGAATTGGCGACGCTTTGCACCAAACCTTTGCTATCTGACCTTCGGCGCGATATTGGCCGGTTAGATAAAGAGAAGGAGTCGACGCTTGCGCGCCTGGAAAAGCTACGGGGAAGTAGCTCGGTACGGATGCCCCCTGGGGAAAGGGCAAAGATCGAAAATGAGTGGAAATGTTGGCAAAAGTGCGTCAACATTCGTAGGCAAATATGTCGTGACTTTTGGACGAGGTGTTCGGAAGTGGTTCCTGAAGATATGACTCGAGACGAGCTTTGGGTATGAGTGAACTCCCATTCTGCCTCTTCACGACACTATATGGATATATTATTAATGTTGTTTTGACGGCTCTAATGACAAGCAGGAATCTCTGGGATTGGAAGGGAATCTGAATTTGTGAGTGCCAAAATTGAAAAAGAAAGGTAAGATAATGATGATCCCCAGTCACTTGATATATACCGAGGTACGGGCTTCGGCTTAGGATCTACACGACACCATTGCCAACAGTCTACAGAGAGATATATATAGTAGCGTATTCTTGCTGGCACTGACAGAAACTATCTTCCAGCATGACAACTTTGTGGGGGGAAAAATCGATTACATACTCCGCTTTGATTGACAGGGCATCGGAGCTGAGCAAAGCTAGGATGGATGATGTATGATGATCAGATGAACAGGAATCATATCATAGGGCCCAGGTCATTGCAGATTGCACCGTGACCGCCCTAGCCGGCTAGATCCCACTAACTACCGTGATAGAGGACACATGCAATGAAGTCAGGAGTTGAGCTTAGAAGGAAGATATGACGACACACCCTGTGCCTTTCCCCCCCTTTTGCCCCGGAACATATTTATCTTGCATGTTCATCTGGTAGTGTCATGCGAATGTCTGTTAACTCATCAATGCATTACATGGCTTGGTGCTTTTTGTAACTGTACTAATGAAGAGAATCGAAATAGCCGATTCCAATGCATCTGTCTTCAACATTGAGTCGAGATTTTGTCGTCAGGTATTCAAGCAGTGGTAATCAGATCGACTTACGTTGCATTCCTACCCAAACATGCCCCGTTAGGACAAATCATCATCCACAGAAAGAAATAAGAAAAGAGAGTTTCAGACACTTGAGAGATGTCCGACCGCCGGAGATGAGGCGAGGATCCATTTCAATTGCGTCGTCTCGTTGGAATCGGAATTCAAGCTGAGGCTTTTTTTCATTGTCCTGGGGATATTAGAGAGAGCACTGGAACGTAGCCTGTCCGACTAAAGCACAGCAAAGAAGCAATTAAAGGGGCAAAGGATTCCTTCTCGTCTGTCTAATAATCACAATAATAATAATACTTGATTTGCCTCACGATCTCTTCTAGCCTCCAATGCGCAAATAACCGTTCGGTCGGGGTTGATCGATCGATCTTCACTGATGCTGCTGCTTTACCCCCCTCCTCCTCGTGCTCTGGCCTGTTATCTATCTCCATCCTCACCTGGTCATTTTAGTCAAGAACAGAAATAAATCCAAATCCTCTCTTCTTCTTCTTCTTCTTCTTCTTCCTCCAAAGTGAATGAAGGTTGATAAAATAACAATCATTAATGACGGCTTCCACCGTCCCTTTCACCGCCAACAAATCCCCCTCCCCACCTGGAAATCTCCCCAGCCGATAAACCCCTCCAGAAACTCTCCAACGATTGCTACATCGTCAACCGTTTCTCCTCTCGTGGCGATGCAGCTGTCTGCCTCTCGGAACCCTCCTCCTCCTCCGCCACCTCCGAGCTCTTCTTTCTCCGCCAACACCACCGCTTCTCATTCCCAGGATCGTCTTTCGGGTGAGATGAGAAGTCGTGCTCCTCTTCCTGTCCCCTCTGGTGCGCAATCTCTCCAAAACGGTCATTCCCGCAATCCCTCTGGCTTCGACATGGCTGCCCGCAGTCCCCCCAACCAAAGCAGTAAGAGTAAGGCACTCCATCTCTAAGTCTGACTTATTTCTATGGAAAAGGGCGAGGAGCTAATGGTTTTCTTTTTGTGGCTGCTTCAGATACTAAGCATGTTCCCTGCAAATTCTTCCGCCAGGGAGCTTGCCAGGCCGGACCTGCCTGTCCATTCTTACACTCTACCGATGCTGCGATCGACTATGCGCCTTGCAAGTATTTCACCAAGGTACGCGGCTGCTAACTCGCCTGGCGTTTTCTTCCTTTCTCTTATCCTGCATGGGCTGCGCGAAATCGCGGGAGCACATCAATATTGACACCCCGCTCTCTGTAGGGAAACTGCAAGTTCGGAACAAAGTGTGCGCTGGCGCATATACTTCCAGATGGACGACGAGTCAATCGACCGAACCCTAGTCTAGGAATGGGAGGAAGCCATCTCAACCTGGGCGGTCGTGTCAATCCGCAAGCCTATGTCAACCAGGATTCTGCCTTGACAAACTCGGTACTTTCGCAACAGCGGATGAATGGCCACGATCACCGATATGCGTCTCAACTTCCTCCCCAGGAAGAATTCGCCGCTCTGCATGCGCAGCAACAACCGCCGTACGATGCGATTCCCACGATCGATACGGGCTTGGCTTCGGATGCTGGTTCCAAGTATGGATCACCTGTAGAAGATATTCGATTCCCCATGTCTCCAAACCACCGCCACTTGACAGCGCTCGATGCACCGCTTCCCGCGTCCTTCGATAGTCAAGGAATCTCACACGCCGCTCGTTATGGCCCTGTCGCCGCCTCCATGCCATCAAAGTTCGGGTTGGAACTGTCTCCGCCGGCCCAAAGAATGGGAGCGCCTTCGGATGCGCTTCGACATCTTCGTGATACTGCCTATGGTACTGACTTGAGGAAGCCCACAAACTCTTCCTTCATGGGGTCCTCTCCTCCTGGTGTACCAGATGATGCCTTTGGTCCACGGTTCCTACACTCCCAAAGACAGGTGAAACCGCGGGTGCTCTCGGCCAGTGTTCCTCGGCCCACGGCATTGGATGACTGGGAAGACAGCAATTTCCCGATGGAAGAAGATTACCTACCCATGAACCTGCATGATGATGTCCTCACGCCACAGGAGAGACTGCGACGACTTTCACGAACGGATAACGAGCTTAGCTCGAGCCACCGCGACCTCAGTGGTCTGGGAATGACGGGAACGAGTCTTGGGAAGGTTGGCTCACCTCTAGCATCTAGTCCATCCCGGTTTGGCGCTCTGTTTGCCAAACAACGCCAAAAGAAAGAAGAGGATGCTCACGGAACCTCGTTTACACACATCGGTTCGCCCCTCCGTGAATCTTCGTTGAGTCTGGGTACCAGCCCCAGCCTGAGGCCTATTGGTAGCCGGCACATTTCTGGCGAGGTCTCACCGTTTGTGTCCAGTCCCGCTCGGCAACCATCGACATCTATGATTTCTCAGCAGCTTAGTGGCATGTCTCTCCACCCTGGCTCTGCTCGTCATTCTTCATCTGTGGGCTCCAGCAGCCGCTTGGATCGTGCCGTCTCATCACCAGTCAACACAAGCACCATTGATGAGGAGCAGAGTGATTTGGTCTTTTCCATGGAAGAGGAAGAGAACAACAAACGGAACAGCGCGTCTTGGAGTACTGAGAAGACTGGCGAGAACGACGATGAGGAATCAACACCCACCAGCAGCCTGAGCTTCCAGCCATAGTCATTTGTGGCAAATTGTAGGAAATGGCTCTGGGTTTCTTGCTCTTTGTCGACACAAATCGAGAGAGAAAAATCAACCGATGGAAAGAACAAGAAAGAAAAAAAAAAAGAAGTGTCAAGAAGGAAAAGAAAAAAAAGAAAAGAAAGCCATATTGGTACCAGTCCACTAACTACCCAGCTCATCAAAAAAGTCACCGGGGAAGATATTTCAAACAGCACTTTGGTTTGATCTTCTCCCGGCAGACGATTTGCATAGATTGGTCAAGCGACTATGCCTCGCTACTTTTTGCATTTGGTCATTTGTTAGACACGCGAAATTTGGATGATTTTTCTCCCTTTAAAATCGAGGGTTTTGGAATGGTGTTTCATATTTCTAAAGAGACATTTGAAGTTCTAACCATCTTGCATCCATCTAATATTGTCCTCGGTCTTTGTTTATTTTTGGTTTGTTTGTTGTCTTGCAAATCTCGGGTTCAGGGTGCGAGGGGAAGAGAAGCTGAAAAGGGACAATCTCTATATTTCCCTATTCCAAAACGTTGTGTATACTCTATTCTGTTCTGTTGTTATTTCACTCCCTTCACCTTACTATCTATCTTCTTTTTCCACCTCTTCTCCCTGTATCCCATTTCATGAGTTTACGATGTCTTTGCTGCTATCCTGCTTTACTTCTCTATTCTTTCCCCTTTGTGATTTACTGCGAAAATGGATCTGCCAATGTACAAACTCAGAACATTAGGATATCTGCCAAAAGGGAACGGCAACACAAAAACAGGCCTAAATGAGCCGCGGCCATTATTTGCCATGCTTATATTTAATCATGCCTTGCTCATAATTATGGAATCCTACTCCCCATTTAATAATGTGCAATTGTTCAAGGTGTCCATGACGATGTTGATTACCCCATGAATCTCAGCTGAGATATAGAAACTGATGGTGTAAATAAAGTAATATGCTAACAAGACATGTAATTATAGCCACTTAGCATTTCAGTGTTAATCCTTGCTAGTATACACATACCCCTAGAGACATATTTGAACTAAATGATTCCCCAGGCCCAAACCCAGACACCGATGCTATTATGTTACGCCTTGGCTCACTAACGACAAGCCGGACCCAAGAAACCGGTTTCACTCCATCTGCCCCTTCTTTCCTTTGTCGCTCAAAATACCACGGGCGGAACTGAAACCCACTCTTGCCTGGTTCAAGTCCTTGGGTCAACTTCATCCATATACATGGCGTTACCTTTGAGGCTGACAAAGGTTGGTTTCGTCGAGCGTGTCTGAATCCGTGCTGTCTGCTCGTGTGAAACACGGTCGGTGAGAGCTCTACCCTCATGAGCCTTTTTGTCAGCTGACTTGGTGACCTCGGCCCGATCTTGATAATGAACTTCGTAGAACTTGTTAGTACCGGCTACTATCTGATTCGCCATGACCTCGATGGCCTTGGTCGTCAAAGTCTCCACTCGTCCAGCGAGGGCCGTCTCCTCATCCACACGGATACGCTTTGCGTTTTCCTCGCGTTTTTCTTGTTCCTCAACCTGCTTGCGCTTCCGTTGTTCCACTCGCCTCCGACGTTCTTCTCTTGCTGCAAGGTATTTGAGAGAATGACCTAGACTTTGCTGGTTGGATGAAACAATATCCAATGGAGGGGAGGAGAAGAATAACACATGACCATGGTCGTCACAATGGAACTGTTCACGGATATCATCTGGAATTGCAGAATTGGCAGCATCACTCAAGTGAAAAACTTCGATCGGGCGAGGAGCATTAGGATTGTACACTGACGGCGGGGCAACGGGCAAGCGGCTCGCCTGATAAGGCGTGTATGGTGATGGCTGAGCAGCTACATATGGATGAGAGACCGCCGGCGCGTGGTAGGCAGCAGGAAGAGGTGTTTGCGGCGCAAAGCTGCTAGGACGTCTCTGGAAAGGGGCTTGATAAGCCTGGGCTGGGGGGATTTGAGACTGATGGTATGCCGCCGACGGAACGGGCACTGGCGAGCTTTGGGCAGGAACCGCTGGTGCGGCCGGCGAGCGTGCTGGCGCTGGCCCTCCTACAGCAGCCATATTTACGTGACTTGGGCTACCCACACTCGGCCGGGTTGGTGGTTGGCTAATTGTCGGCTGTCGCACAGGAGCATGGGGGAGAGGAGGTTGGGGTATGATTGGAGGGGGTGGAGATGGTGTTGGCTCTGGTGGCGGAGATTCCTACGAGGAACAGTACACGATCAGCTCATGATCCAAACAGGAACATCAACAATAATGAAAGACTCACATTTTCATCTCGTGGACGGCGATGCACGGCTCCAATGACTGGTGGTGCGTTCTCTGCCCCCCAAGTCGGCTTGGGAAGATCATCCGTTTCCTTGGCATCATCTTTCAGCATGTACTTTATCGGACTGGGGATCTTTTTGATCCTTCGAGGAACATCGAAGAGGTCCATCTCATAATCCTTTTCTCTGACTTCATCCGGTAAGCAGCTTGCCCAAGTCTTGATCTTGTTCAGCTTGTGCTTTTCCTCATTATACCGCGCTTCGCAGACGTATACATCCTTGTCAGGAGGAAGGCCACGGGGTCGCCCACGGTTATAGCGGGTGAAAAACATCACAAAGCAACGGTCCACAATCTCCTCAATTCGGTGATCTCGGTACTGACCAGTCTTTACCACCTCATTGGGGTAAAAATGTTTTTCATAGTGATGAATGGTTTGCTCTGGGCGGTAGTACCAACAAGCATTAATCCATTTTTCACCTTCAGAATCCTGCCACGTTCGGTAGATTTGTGCCACGATGGGCTTTGTTACATCATTGGGGTTCTGGATGTGAACCCAGTCTCCGACTTTCCACAGCTCACCTGTATGAAGAATTCCGTCTGGTAATGGTAAACGCCCATCCTCCATCAGATACTCGCTGTCCGGCTTTCGCTTCTCCTTCTCGGCAAGCTTACGGGATTCCACCTGCAAGTCGACAGCATCTCTGTATATCTGACTCTCCGGCTGATTGTAGATTTTGGCGTTGCTAAACATCAGGTCCATATCCCTCATGAAATGATCAACGGAGCTGTACTTCTTTCGCTTTGACTTCCTTTTGATGATGTCGATAGCAATAGGCTCTTTTATCTCCACGTAGTAGTCCGGATACATCACCTTGTCAGGTAGTCGTTCGAAGTGGCGTACTTTAATCTGACCACTCGGGTCTTTCAGCTTTCGAATCCCCTTCAAGACTGCTTTGATCCTCGCCTCCATCGGAGTGTCAACTCGTGGCGGCCGACCTCGTTTCTTTCGCAGCTCGGGGTCGTTAGATTTATGGCCGTCATCTTTTCCACCTTCGCGCTTACCACCTGCGCGGGGCCCTCGCTTTCTCTTGCGCCGACCATCATCATCAGAATCTTCTTCTTCATCATCTTCATCGTCCTCGTCATCTTCCTCCTCCTCCTCCTCGGGAAGAGGATCGGCCTCGGGGATCTCCCCGAGATCAGGGAGTTCCGCCTCAGCAGCGGAGATGATGCCTTGTTTCGCCAGTTTTCTGAATTCTGCAATGAAAACGTCCTGTTTTGAATTGGGGATTAGCCCGAGTCTGTGATGTGGGCAGTGTACGGACCTTGATAACGAGTGCATCTTCATAAGCCTGCGAATTTGGTCGATTATACGTTTGCGCATTATGTGGGATCTGATTAACACAGAGAAAGGGTGGTCAAGTCAGCATTTTGAACCTATCAAAAGTCGATGGTCGACAGGGGGAGCATGAATACCAAGGCACAATCGCGCACGAATTCGGCGAAACTTTTGTACTCTCTCTTATTTATCTTTTGCTTTAGGATACTGAGCGCCATTGGCTCCTTGATTATATCATAGTAATCGGGGACATTGCGCTTGTTGACACTGCGATGGAATAGTTTCGATGGATCATGGCCACTACGATGCGGAAGGGGTGTGAGTTTCATGATCTATTGTGGCCGTTTGAATGGTGGGACTGGACTTACTCTTCTTCTCTGACTTCATATATTACCAGGACAACATCCATCATTATCCGCCATTGATCCTCGATAACTCCGCCAGTCGCAGAGCCAACACCCTTGGCCTCGTCTTCGATGGACTTGACGGGCTGCTCAGACGTGGGCTGGGCCTGCGACGGCTCCGATGCGTTCTCCATACTAGAGAAAACCGCAGCAGCGGCAGCAGCAGCACCCAGAGACTGCAGATAGACGAGGGAAAAAAGAGTGATTGATTGACCAGCTGGAGCTGCTCGAGCTGATCTTTCTTGTACAAATGCAGTGAAGGCGCGCAAAACGACCGCAGGAGAGATTCGCGCAGCTGCTATGCTGACTCATCCGATACGGTACCCAGTGCTTGTGTGTGGTAATTACGGTATTCATTACCTAGGTTCCATTAGATGTATGACATTGGTAATATACAGTAATGATACCTGGTCGATACATTCAATGACGCCATTTGACCCGAACAACAAGGATGAGATGAGGATGCAGAGAAATCATATTGCGATGGTCAAGCAGATATCTTTAAAGTATGATGCTTGACTTGTTTGGTGTCTGAAATATCTCAGAATGGTAAAGGCCCTTATATTGTTTGTTATTATTATAAAATGCGGGGTAAATTCCATCAGAGCTACTCCGTACAGTGGAGATGAATATATAGTATCAAGCAACATCTTTGGACTTGTATACAGCATCATTAGCATATAATGGATGATGGTCTTATTCTTCTTCTAAAAAGCCATTTACTGTTTCCTTACCTAATAACTACTAGGTTAATTCCATAGTGCCTAATGATCATGTCATCCGAATCAACAGTCGGATTGATCCATCTTGTCTGCCGCGGGGTTGAACGGGATGATGACATCGGACGATTGGCGCAGTGTGACTTGTTCACCAGAGGTATACTAGGTTTGGTAGTTTCATTCTGATTTGATGATTGACATGGACATTATTCTTCTTGTCATGTTCAATTATTGATTTTCATGGTTATCATCATCAGTCACAAGGATTGTGCTGCATGGATTACAGTGGCCCACATTTTTCAGGAAGTGTTGTCACTTTCTAGCCACTATCTATCCAAATCATCTCCATTCCTCCCTTCCTCAGTTTCTTGTCTCTGTTCTCAAGTGGAAAAAAATACCCCCCTCCCTTCAGCTATAAACTAAAACTAATTCTTTGAATTCTAAGAGGATGAGGATTCGAGTCCGGGGGCCTGCTGGACAGTCCACTGTCAGTCTGGATGACACGGCCACCGTCGACGATCTGCGCACTCAAATCGTGGACAAAACTGGCCTGACAGCATATGATGTTAAATACGGGTATCCTGATCTGAAGCCCCTTGAGCTACATGGTTTCCAACCAGGCCAGAAAATCACAGAGATTGGAGTCAATCTGAACGGTGAACAGCTTCTTGTCACCAACAAAGAGGGCTCGATCCATACACAAACACCTAGCACCAGTCACGACAATGACGCTAGAGCCACCTTCCAGAAAAAGCCACCTGAGCAATTCTCGCTGCCACGCAAGTCGCACGAGGGTGTTTCGGACGACCCCCCTGAGATACCCTCGCCCGAGCACTCGGGTACTTTCGTTCTCCGCATTATGCCCGATGATAATTCGTGCCTCTTCCGCGCGGTGGGTAGCGCAATCATGGGAGGGATGGATACTATGACTGAGCTTCGATCAATCGTTGCCCAAACTATCCAATCAAACTCAGAACTGTACTCAGAAGCTGTCCTTGAGAAGAAACCAGATGATTATTGCCGCTGGATCCAAAATGAGAACTCGTGGGGTGGGGGCATCGAGCTCAGCATCCTGAGCAAACATTTCGATATCGAGATATGCTCGATTGACGTACAGACACTCCGGGTCGATCGCTTCAACGAGGGTCCACCAACACGGTGCATCATGGTCTACTCGGGAATCCACTACGATAATATTGCCCTGTCACCGTCTGATCCGCCTTTCACTCACGCCTATGCCCCTCCGGAATTTGATACAAAGGTTTTCGATGCGGCAGATCCGGTAGTACTGGAAAAATCAGTGGCGTTATGTACTGTGCTCCGAAGCAAACACTACTACACGGACACTGCCGGCTTTCGCATCCGCTGCAACACCTGTGGTGGTACCTTTGTCGGCGAGAAAGGAGCTACCCAGCACGCAGCGCAAACGGGTCACTACGATTTTGGTGAGGCTGGTTAGATTATAGGCGATTTTGGAACTATTTTCCTGCTCTATTTCAAACCAACGACCTGGCTGTTGGGATGGATACCCACAAATACAAACATGCATGCATATATATACATACTGAAACTCGACCATTTTGGATTGCATGCCCTGAATGGGTCGCTTATGCTAGAAAGTCATACACCTAAAACATTGTACATACATAACAATAAATGGTGGCGGGACTGACCTCCAGCACCCCCGAGATTCTATTAATATGACTTAAACCAGAATTAAAACTACGTAAGATATCATCACTATCGTACATGAACTTGACCAAGCTCTATAGCATGGCGACTTCGTCTGCCTCATCATCTTCATCACCCTCGTCCTCATCCCCTGTGTCTGGGCTATCCTCAGGATTCCCTCCCCATTCCACATCATGGTCAATAGGATCGGTGAAGAATTCGTGTTGCAGAGCATCTTTGGCACTCAGTCGCTTGTATGGATCCAGTTCCATCAGGCCAGCCAACAGTTGAGTAGCTTGTTTTTCGCTTTCTGTCAACTCCTCCACACAGCTGGCCCACTTGACCAGCTTCTCCCAGCCGTACCCCTTTTCACCAATAGTCGGTATGTTGGTTTCGAATATTTGGCCATGCATGGCAGCTGCTGACTTCATGCGACGGGTGCCAAATATGCTGGCCATTTCAATCATCGCATCGACGTCATCGGCAGAGTTGAAGAATGGAAATCGACGCCCAAGCAGGGTCAAAAGGATAACACCTGTTGACCACATATCGATCTTGGTTGTTTGGGATGTACATTTGAAAAGGACCTCTGGTGCTCGAAACCCACGAGTCCCTGCCCGGTTAGCGCGCCTTGATGGTCTCGAATCATTTTTAGGGTAGCCCGCCGACAACACCGTGCTATTGCAGTGTGTGTTGTAATAACTTTGCATTACTCGGTTACGACGAACATAAGATGGATTGGCACAAAGGCAAGTGCCCGTATACTCCGACCCCTCACGCTAAACAAAAGATAGATGATTAGAGCATAGTTGCAATCATAGAAAATGAATACTTACTTCTGCGAGACCAAAATCTACCAAAACACCCTCTCGAAGCTCGGGGTTGTACAAGAAATTACTGCAGAGAAAGATGAGCATCTGCATCAGGTCTATGAGATGTGCGAGTCCTTACGTTGGTTTGATATCTCGATGGAGAATGTCATGTTTATGAACCGAGTGCAATGCCGTAAAAAGAGATCGAAAATAATGCCGCATGTCTGCGACCAAGAATGTACGATACTGTATGCGAAAGTCGGTGTGAGGGAAAAAGGGCAAGACTGCGACGACTTGATCTTGATGCCTGAAAGCAGTGATTAACGGACACACTGATCTGCACCCTCGGAGGTCATGCAGTAATTCAAGCTCATTTTGAATGCGAAGCGGACTGCTTGTCACGTAAATCTTCTTTAATGCGACGTATCGAGCTTTTCTTCGCTTCGTGGGCAATGAACGGCCACCCTCTCCTTCCAGCCGGCGTCTTTTAGGCGGAGGACTTGCCCAATTTTCGTTTTGGTCTTGAAATATATCCCAGTCATTCTGGTAGTGGTCATATAAAAGATCCTCAGCTTTGTAAACGGTTGAGAAGGTCCCTACTCGGTGCTTGTAGTTAGCCAAAGACTAGATATACATAATGAGAAATGAGAAAACTGGAGACGAGAAAGAATTTGCTGCACCTTCTCCAATCCTGTTCACGAGCCGGAACCTATCCGAAATTCCTGGAAATGTATCCTCAAGCTTCTTCATATCATCTTTCACCGAATCATCAACGTCCTCATCCTCATTTTCATGTGCGTCCTCATCCTGGTCATCTTGTGCATGAGATTGAGCCACAGAGGCTTCGCTGTCCGTGGCAGTATCGTAGTCTATCGCGTACTGGGGGCCTCCCCCACGAGGTTGTAGGTAGGAACCGGGTCTCTGAAGGTCAAAAACGCCCGTAGGAGCCGTGTTGACAGTCGACATGGGGCCAGACTAACGAGTAAGCTTGCGACTAGGTTGGTCAGACAGGTTGAGGAGAGGGGTCAATAAGCTTGCATTAAGCCGAATCAACACAACTGCTGTCTGAAAGTGAAAGAAGAAAGAGAGTTGAATCAAGTATCCGGGGAATCAAGGCTTGATTTTCTCCACATGGGCACCTCTGGGATAAATTCACGTCGCGTTGCGGTCATCCCAGTAATTAATTTCATCACAGGGCACTACAGCACGCAGAATTTCCGGATCCGGTATAGCGATGTTTGTTTACTTTCACCTTTCTGACAATACACTGGTTTCATTACCTACATCTCCCAGGACAGAGAGTACCGCACCTGTATTTCAGTACCTTACCATACTGCCTCCCCAGCGCCCCCCCAGAACCACTGAAAAGGAAAAATACAAACAAAGAAAAGACCCGCATAAACAGTCGTCGCTGCTTTCCACCTCGTCTTTCTTCCCCTCCGCCTATCCAACCCCCCAAATTGCGATAACGCCCTTATCCCCTTTATCCTGCCCCTCATTTTCGATCGCGTCTTTCGAGGTCATCCCTCGCAGTCGCCTATCATGGAGGAAAGGATACAGTTCGACATCAATGAATCCTTGAAGTATTACTTGAGCGACCCAACCTCAGTTCCTATCGGTGATGCCGACCCGGAGCTGCTGGATTGTGAATCTGATCCCGATCAGCTGTCGGTGGCTTTGATTGATAATGTTTTGAACCAAATTGTGGATGGTATCGCCGAGAATCCTGAAGGTCTGACCAGACCGGCTTTCTTCGATTCTCTGCAATTTCTTTTAAAGTGCGCCCTGATCCCTACACAACCCCCGGAAAGCACTGTCCCTTATGGATAGCATTCTGAACTTTTGAACTCTTGCAGATATTCCACATTCCTTCCCACAAGGTCTCTGAGCAAACTTCTCGACTTGGTTGTTTCCGGACTATCGGTCGAAGCGGACATCATCCACGGTGATCTCGAGTCCGAAGAACAAGATGCCGTTCAGCACCATAAACAACTACTCGAAATGTACGGCTTTTTACTCCAGTGGGCCCTATCTGCTGTTGAAGTCAAAGCAGCGGAAAAACCGGCAGAGGCAGCGCCTGCACGGAGAGGAGCAGGGAAATCGTCCAAATCTAAAGGAAACAGCAAGGATGGTAATTGGGATTGGACATCCCAGATCCAAATATCCATGGAGACCATGTGCAAGGTCATGAAGCTCAAACTTGGCAGAATTTTCCTGACGACTTCCGACCGCGACACTTTTATTAACCTGTTCACCCGCTCTATCTACTTAATACTTGAAAGTGAGCTGCGAGTCAAGAGCATGACAATCCGTATGCATGCTTTCAAGGTCCTGTGCATCGCAGTAAAGCACCATGGTCATGCATTTGGTAAGCTGTTCGTGATGCCTTGGTGTAGGAGCTATGAGGCTAAACTATTGCATAGGTGCCCAGACCTCAATTGTACAAAATTTGACCTATTTTGAGCACCTATCCGAGCCCATGGCTGAGTTCCTACACATTCTTGCGGAGCAATATGACTACCCGCAACTGTCAGATGAGATTTTGAAGTACGTATATACCTAGTTTGTTGGCCGAGATTGCAGCTAACCGCTAACGCAGAGAACTTGGGAATAAAGAATTCAACTCCAATGATACAAGGGGCCCAAAGTCTGTGTCAGCATTTATCGTGAAACTGTCAGAACTTGCGCCTCGGCTAATCATCAAACAAATGACACTTCTAGCCAAACAGCTTGATAGCGAGGTATGTCAATGTCCCCTCCCTTTTTCCTCATGTCCAACAATGACAATTTAACTTGTTTAGTCATACACTCTCCGATGCGCCGTGATTGAGGTCTGTGGAAATCTGATCTCAGATCTGAGTAGGCAAGAGGAACCGAGCGAAAACTACAAAACGCAAATAAATGCCTTCTTCGACGTTCTTGAGGAGCGTTTTCTCGACATAAATCCCTACTGTCGCTGCCGAGCCATCCAAGTGTATATGAGAATTTCCGATCTTGAACAAAAGTTTCCCAAACGACGACAGGCAGCCGCAGAGCTGGCAGCAAGAAGCTTGGAAGACAAAAGCAGTAATGTGCGACGAAATGCAATCAAACTGCTGGCGAAACTAGTCTCTACCCATCCATTTAGTGTTATGCATGGTGGTCAGCTTTCCTACAAAGAGTGGGCAGCCAGGCTAGATGCCGTTGATGCCGAGCTCAACGCACTGAGACCTCCTGAGACACCTGGCTTTGATGGAGGCGAGCCTTCGCATGTTGATAGTGAATTATTGGATGATGCCACGCAAATGCCCGAGGAGTCTCCTTCCAAGGCGCCTCGAATGTCCGACGAGGAAAAGGCCGTGGCAATCCAAAAAGCTGCTGAGCAGGCAGCAACTTCTGAATTATTGGCCCGGTTACAATTGACAAGGAAGTACTATAACGAGGCCATTCGTTTCATCGAGGTGCTCCAATCGTCTTCTACTATTGTTTCCCAGCTCCTATCATCCAGGAACAAGAGCGAAGTCATCGAGGCTATGGATTTTTTTGTGGTTCTAGATGCGTACAAAGTTGAAACTGCGCGAAGTGGGATCCGACGAATGCTTCGACTCATTTGGACGAAAGGAAACAGTGATGAAGGCAAAGGTGTTCAAACACATTTAATCGATTGTTATAAAGGCTTATTCTTCGATGCGCCGGACTCGTTCACCCCCAATGATGCCGCGAATTATATTGCTCGGAATATGATTAGTTTAACCTTTGGGTCGACTCCTGCTGAACTCACTTGTCTCGAGCAACTTCTCAGCACAATGATGAAGGCTGGCCACATCTCAGAGGCCGTCATTGCTAAACTCTGGCAAGTGTATAGTATACAGAAGAAGGAAATTTCCAGGACTCAGCGCCGGGGTGCTATCATTGTACTTGGGATGCTTGCTTTGGCTGACCCTGAAGTGGCCATCAAGGAAATTGAAGCTATGCTGCGAATTGGCCTTGGTAGCCTTGGAAGAGCCGATCTGGTGCTTGCAAAATACACGTGCATTGCCTTGAGGCGAATGGTCCCCGGCCGCCAGGCTAAATCAAAAGATGCTGGCATTCCAAAACTTGCAAGTGACCATGCTGTGCTAACTCAGCTCGCGGCAATGGTTGAAGTCGTATCAGATAGCAAGGAATGGTATGGAGTGGCAGAGCAAGCTATTAGCGCTATATATACTCTCTCCAAGCATCCCGATGTCTTGTGCTCGGATATTCTGAGACGCAAGACAAGATTCGTGTTCCAACTCCAGACCCAACGATTTTCACCGTCAAACGCCTCAGCCGACGGGGAGGAACAGCGGCCGGGAACCGCTTCAACTGATGGACAAGGGCCCACGCAGAAGACCAAATCCTCCGTACTCTCTCAATTGCTTTTCGTCGTGGGCCACGTCGCAATCAAGCAGATTGTCCACTTGGAAATCTGTGAACTTGACTTCAAACGTCGTAAAGCGGAACAGGAAAAGAGCAAACCCGCCAATCCAGCGCCTCAAAAGAGCAATGAACCTACTGAGGATGATGAGCTAGACCTAATTGGCGGAACCACCGAGGACGATTTTACAGATGCCATGGCACATATTCGTGAGCGTGAACTCTTATACGGGGGAAACTCTCTGCTGTCTAATTTTGGACCATTGGTTGCAGAGATATGCGCGAACAGCAACATATACTCTGACCGGAACCTGCAAGCAGCAGCAACTTTGTGCATGGCGAAGCTCATGTGTGTGTCAGCAGAATATTGTGAGAAAAACCTTCCTCTCCTGATCACTATCATGGAGCGGTCGGAAGATCCCACTGTCCGCAGTAATGCAGTTATTGCACTTGGGGACATGGCCGTTTGTTTCAACCATCTTATCGATGAGAATACTGACTTTTTGTACCGCCGACTCAATGATGATGATGCCTCCGTTAAGCGCACATGCCTTATGACACTTACTTTCCTAATTTTAGCAGGCCAAGTCAAAGTCAAGGGGCAGCTGGGTGAAATGGCCAAGTGTCTGGAAGATGATGACAAGCGAATTGCAGACTTAGCACGAATGTTCTTCACCGAACTTGCAAGCAAGGACAATGCAATATATAACCACTTTGTCGATATGTTCAGCCTTCTGAGTGCAGAACGGAACCTTGAAGAAGCCTCATTGAGACGCATTGTGAAGTTCTTGATTGGTTTTATTGAAAAGGTAAGATCACTCTAAAGCAAAATCTATTCTTGGTTTGTATACTAACGAGGCTTCATTTCTAGGAGAAGCATGCTCGGCAATTAGCTGACAAGCTTGCTGCTCGACTTCCCCGGTGTGAAACTGAACGGCAGTGGAACGATGTGGCCTACGCACTCTCTCTTCTGCCGCATAAAAATGAAGATATTACAAAAACAGTGACCGCAGGGTTCAATAAAGTAGTCACCGCGAATGCCTAGAGGCCCTTTGGATTTGCAATCTTTGATGCGTTTATGAAGATTCGATTTTTGAGCCTTTGGATTTGATAACCAGGTGGGTGGGAAAGGCGCCTATTGGATTCTGGATCGAGGACATGATGAGATTATGGATGGATTTTGAGGAATCAATTGTTTAGCCGGTGTTTTTGTCTTTTGAACTTTGTTTTGACTAAACTAAACCCGATGTTCACACCACCTGAGGATCTCTGCTAATTTTCCTGGAACTGTATATACAATTCGATGTGAATATTGAGATGGCCGTTGACCGTACCAAATAGTACAGTTGATAAAACCAGATCATGGGCACATCGGGCTCTAGTGCAAACTTATAAAAATTGCGGGCGATTCGGACTCGACATCCGGGACAACTCCCAGCAGAATTTCCAATTGGTATATGGGCGATGGTTATACATTATCCATAAAAGAGGTAGAAAAGGGGGCTAGTCAAAATTCAACATGTGCCGATGGAAACCTACCGCTGCATGCTGACAATTTAAATGTAGTATTAAGAGGAGAGAACAGAATGTAAAGATGCGGATTGCATGAATTTGTTCCCAGCCATGCTGGATTCAATCAATCAAGCCCATGCACATATAGAGATACCGAAAAGAGCCGGGTCAACTTAGGCGCCTTGAACTTTGCTTTCATCCAACATGTAATCGCCAACACGAAGTCCTTTAAGAACTTTCTGGCCTTCTTCAGTCAGCTCCGGCTTCCCTAGAGGCGTGACTGAGCCTGTGAAGAAGCGCGGTTGCCACTGCTCATTCTTCTGCTGTCGCTCGGCGGCCTTTTGCCGTTGTCGCTCCTCTATATCCTGCTTTAACTTTGTGGCCTGGCTGTATCGCTTGTCCAATATCGCCGCAGTAACATCTGACCAAAATTTGCGCGACTCATTTGTAAGTTGGTCTTCCTCCGGAGGCAAACTTTTGGCAACGGGATAAAGAGGTGTGATATCAATCAAGAGGCGAGGCTCGTTTGTACCGGCTAACGTGTAATGGATTTTGCCATGCCATGACCCGCTGATCCGAGCCAGAACATCGCCCTCGGGTACATCTTTGACTTTGTTTATTGTATCTTTGTCTGGGTTATATCGGAAGATCACTCCTTCCACTTTGTTTTGAGCCCTGCCGATCCAGCCCTCCTCCAAATATTGCAGAATAGCTTTGGTGCGCGTTTTGGAACATGTTATGTAGCACGCGTCCGACACTGTGATGGAAAGGGCGCCCCTCAAAAGACCACCGAGATAAGCATCCGGATGAGTCAACTGATATTCTTCATTGTCCCTCTTTTCAATGTTGACAAATATTCCTAGATTGTGTTGACCTGGTGAGACGCGGACGCTTGTGCCTGTGAATTTGGCACTGATTTGATCGAACCCTCGAGCCGAGACTCCTCGATCCGGACACTCTATATAGAATGCAGACACTGGTGGGTGGTGAGACGTTTGCTCGGTCAGGTAGCATACCTTGACCGTTTCACCGTTGGAATCACGGACATCAGATACCCGGTTACCGGTGGCGGTACCGGAAATCGAAACTTGAGGAGCGGTGTCCTCGACCTCCCAGTTACACTAAAATCCCAGAGAATTCAGCCACATTACGAAGATAGAAACAGAAATAACCCCGAGAACCATAGCAATTGGACTTACCCTGAAAAACTCACCAAGCGTAGAGTTGTAAGGCTTGCACGGTTTGCCCTTGATGTATTTCTGTCACAGGTTCAGTGAGGATCCCTTCAGAAATGTAATTCGCAGTTGAGATATACCAGGTCCTTGGTAAACCAGAACCTCAACACTTCCAGCATCCGTCCCAATGGCTCGTCAGACTTGCCGATGCTATTACTCTCGAGTCAGAAAAGATTAAAGAAAGACAAAAAGCCACTATGGCAATTAGGCTATTTTGCTGACCTTGCAAAGACCTCCGGTCTATCTAGGTAGTTCCAGTATTCTAGTAGTTCCGATTTTATCAGCATATAGAACTTTCGTGGCGAGATAGATAGGCCAAAATCTGAGCAACCTACCTAGATTCGGGGTCGGCTCCAACAGATGAGCTGGCAACGAGAAGCGAACAGATGCGATGTCAGTCACACCGATGAACCTATCAGGGTCATGCCATCGAATCAGTACAGGTTGGTCGATATATAGCTAGCAAGTCGACAATGCTGGTTTCCGAGGGCAAAGGCCTACTTTCGCAGGATCGACAGGAACGTTTTTAATTTCGACGAGTCATCGGGGGCCTTCTCGGGTGCATCGGAGGAAGATGACATGGTGGGGGGGCTAGTATGGAGGTTGATCGATTGTATGTAAGACCGTGGAAGACAATAGTGCTGTGCCGTAGACCAGCTATGTGGCAAAAGAAGAGCAAGTGCAAGAAAGAGGTTGGTGTTGAGGTAATACAAGGCCAGGCAAAACAGAATTTTAAGGTAAGAAAAGAAGATAGAAGGGTCGCTGCGTAAGAAGCTGAGCGATGAGTAAAAGGAAACAAAGACCCTCACAGGAACACTCACAACAGACACACAAGAAAGAAAGGAGAGTTGTCGTACGATGGCTCTTTGATGGTTGCTGGGCCCTATTGGACCTGACTGGTCTTCAGGCGGTGACGTTTTTTTTTTTTTTTTAATTACTTTTTTATTTGATTTGATTTGATTTGATTTTGCCCCCCCCCCCCCCCCCCCAACGGTGATAACGGTGAGGGTTGCAAATACGTCACCGACACAGTCCGTCCGACAGTGAGGGGAACAGACGCCCTGGGCCAACATGCTTGATTTGAATTGTTATTTGGAGGAGACAACCTAAGAGAAGGATAGATTTCCAAGTAGGGATTATTTTGCAAAAGACAGGAATTGTGCCGTCTGTCTATTGAATAGCTGCTTGGAAGACGGACTACCGTCCAATCGAAGTACCACGAGGTTGGGGTTATGGGGTACTGCCCTAGAAATCCCTCTTCCCCCGCCCCTGGACGAAGGGGTGGCCGTTCATGGGCATGCCGCATCAAAATCCCATTCATATCTCATTATTGTCATTATTCTTGATCGTCTGTAGCCATTATCATTATGTCCCTAGTTTGTACACGACTACAGCCCAAGCATTCCCCATCAGTAAGCACTCCTCCCTGCAGCTGCAAAGATGAGCATTCTGGCAATTATGCTTTAGGTCAAATATCATGATAAGCTTTCGATGACCCGCTTGCGCGCCAAAGAATGTACCCACGCTCTTACTGCTGGCCCATAATCATACCTTCGCCCAGCGGCATAGTCATCATCGGCCTGGTGAGATTGCTGCTCTTCTTTAATTGCCGCTCGGAGTTCCCGCTGCATGTTGCGGAGTGTTTGTTGGTGTTTTGCCAGTTCCTCTGGTGGACAGATCTGATACTCTTGTCCTTGGCCATCAAGCATTGCTGCGTCGATCCCTTCCCTGGTAAGAGCATATGATAGATCAGGCCCGAGGATAGTATCTTCAAACTTGGAATCTACAAACACGGACTGTGAGCAGGTCTCCGCATTGGCCATGCGCTCATTAACTATTTCCAGGCATTTGACGTTGACTGCCAATTTGTCAATGTGATCCAGTAGGGGGTCCCTAACAAGACTCAAAATGGAGAACTCGATTTGATCTTCCTCATACTCTGCCATTCGAGTGAGAATGTTTGGTTTCACCAAACTCAACCAGTCATCATGCGAACATTCTCCTGTGTCACTCAATGGTCAGCAGAAACAGGGCAAAACCTGCAATGGGTTCGATACATACCAAGAGCTTGGGGCTGACGCTCTAAGCCGTCAAACTTCCAAACTTTACCCATCGCCGGAACAAATGCTATAAAATGAAACCCCGCATTCATTTCATAGTCGTCATAGCCCTTCTTCCCTGATCGAGATCGCTTGGATGTCGCCTCGTTCTTGAGCTGTAGATCTACATTAAGCATGTCCATCTTCCTATCACGAATGTCAGACGCAATAATGCCACGGAATTACACTATACTGCAAGGCACATACCGTGCAAAAGAGTTGTGAACCCGTTTGACAAACTCGAAGTTATTTATTGCATCTCCCCTCAATGCGGGTGTAAAAGGCATAGTGAAGTCCTTGAAATGTTGTAGATTTTCACCGAGGTCTATTCCTTCGATATTGTTGACAATATTAAGCAATGCTACGCTGGCACAGGCATTACCGGCAGTCTGTTCGAACACATAAGTCTGTAGACCACTTGTCTGAATACAATGCACAAACCTGGTTTGCAAACCAAAGCCCTTCTGGGCAGCTTGCCTCTTGCTTGTCAGGATCATCCTCCCGCCAACGAAACAGAAATATTAGCCCGTATACAGGTTCACTACTTGTGTCAATGATCGTTAGTAAAAGGGAAGGGGGGGACATTGGACATGTAGAATTCAGATCAATCGTACTTGAGAAACGCCATCATCTCGTCATCCAATGAAACAACTTCTTGAACTTTGACTCCTTGGACTCCAAACTCCCGAAGCATTACATTGAAAAGAGCCTAAAGAGGACAAAAGGATTAGAGCTCAGCATTGCGTGCTGTTTCTTTCTTGCTTTTTTTGCAACCTACCGGTTCCGATTCAATCTCACAGAAGCCATTCCAACTGTTTTTTTCCAATTCAGTAGCCGATTGACATAAACCCCCAGTAGCTAAGTTTGAGCCAATTCCCAGTACCCCTGGTTGTGTGTCCATGCGTCTCCGTTTCGAGCGTTGGCTCATTTTGCAAATCTTTGTTGACGTAACCAAAGCGGTTTTGAATGGGGAATCTCGCCCAAATTGGCCTTGGAATCAAGACGTTTAGTAGTGGATTAAATATGACAAGGTAAAGTTCAGGTATTATCACAACGAGTGGACAAAGTTTGAAGAGCCAAGGGTCACAGGTCATCCAAATTGAAGGTGGTGACAATCCTCATGGATAATAGACGACAAGTTGTGTAGATAGATACATATTACCTCCAAGGTACCTAGGTGGGTAGGAAGGTTACCTAGACGCTGCGGCGATATGATTGGCCGAAGCTTCTGCTCCGACGCGACTCCACGCGTTTTTCTGGACAACCCCCAAGAAAGAATGATACTTAAAATCCAATTCCAGCAGTCTTGCTTTTCTTGTTTGTCGACAGATCTAATCTTCCAGACTTCATTCCTTCCAAACTAGTTACTGTATTGACAAGATCCTTTCCTGCCAATTTCCTTTTGGCTCACGGTCAAGCCTGAATGATTTCTCCCTTCTGAAGCGGCCCACTGCGCTACGTGCATCCGGCTGGTGGCATTCCGCCAAGTGCATAAAGCTTTTTGATCAACATCAAATTCTACTATTGATCAAACACCAGCTCTCCTGCTCCAAATCCAGATACTTACGGTACGTCTCTACAATCAATGTGAGTCAACTTGTAGTTCTCCTAGGCTAACCCATTATTTTCGACCATAGGCATTTTTTTCTTTTCTCTCTCTTTTTTTTTATTTTTAATTAATCCTGTGAAACTGGATGACCACAGCATGCCATGAACGGCACTCCCCGACTTCGGTCTGCTTTTCCGCAGACGCCCCAGACGACTCAAAGATTCAGAGATCCTACAAGTACCCCAACAAGGTCTAAAGCACGGGATAACGGAGGACTGAAGTCCCCGGCGAGAGTATCACAGAATGCGCGAAATCCAAGCTCGCCTCTAGTTCCGGTTGAAGTGATAGATGCTCCGTCACAACGACTCTATGTGGTGGCTTTCTATTTTGTACTCAATGCCTGGCGGGTGTATGAGTCCTTGACGGCGTCAGATGATTTGGACTCTACCTGGCTTTTTCTGAAATGGGCATCTATCGATGGAATCTTTCTTTTCGGTCTGCAGGCTTTGCGAATACCCTGGCTTGAGTGGGCGTTCCCGACAACACTTGCGGTCTTTCTACTTCACGTAGTCGGCAACATATTTTTGATGTTCCGTATTCCGGTATGTGTTGTTCGATTTTTAATTTAGACTGTCTGAAAATATGCTGATCTTGAGGTAGGTCCCAGTAGGCGCCTGGCTTTCAGGGATGGTCAAACTGGCCTATGACAGAGAATTGTCAATATCTGAACGGAGCGTTAAGCCTGGAGATATAATTCACAATGCCTCTCTCATTTTGGGCAAGCAAATAGTCCATATTTTACCAGAAGGGTACGTTTCTCAATTGACATTGTTAAATCACGCTACATTACTGATGAGTTCAGCTCTGCTACTTTGAATCCTGCGAGGGAACCCCTTTGCATAGACACCCAGAAAAATCCTGTCAATCTACCTATACGTGTTAACCAAACCGATCCGATCTTGATCGAAATACTACGTGTTGATCTTGACGGGGGTGCCAACGAAACCCTTTCGATTCCGTCGAAACAGCTGAAACAGCTGAAACGTCAGGCCAACAAAAGACATTCGGGCTCAGCCCTGGAACTCCACCGCGACCTATTGTTCCCAATCCGACGGAGTGGAATCTATCGTCTTCAGAGGGTAGTGGATGAATCAAATCTTGATGTCCATGTGCGATTGTCCGATGCTCTCGTTGTTCCCTGTCCCCAAGCGTTGATAAAACATTCGCACACCCATAAATGCAAAGGTGACCTGTCCAATTTGGTTTTGGAAGTCGAAGGGACACCACCACTCAAGGTCAAGTACAGTAGACAGGTGAATCATCTTGATCGTGGCTTTTCTTTCCAAAACATTCAACCAGATAATTTGCGCTCGCCTTTGTTGAGTCAGAAGAATACAGGCGCTTTGTTCAGCTCTCGGCAACCGGACATCACATGGGCTCAGAGTCAAAAAATTGAAGTTCCTTTGAACGAATCTTTAAATGTTGGTGGTGACTGGCTTTATACAATCGAGGAAGTTCACGATGGCTGTGGAAACATAGCGAACTATTCAACAGTTTTGGATGACATGGATCGACCGTCGCCCAAATCCTTGTCACAATGGCACCAGTTCTCTGTCCATGAGCGCCCTCGGCTGTCCATGCACGGCTGCAATGATCAGAATTTCCTCGAGGTTGCACGAGGTCAGAATGTGGAATTACCGGTTAAATTCCACCCTGTGGGACACGGCTATAATAAAGATGGGCCTTTCTCTCTTACTTACGCCTTTAGCAGTGATGACCAGGAGGATGATGGCGAGAATAAGAATGATCTCTCTAAAATTCGACAATTGTCCCTTAGAACTCTTGAGCAAAAGCCTCAGATCAAGGAACCTGGTTGGTACTCTCTCAGCACTGTATCCAGTCAATTCTGCTCTGGGGACGTTTTGGAACCAGCGTCCTGCTATCTACACAATCCGCCGGAGCCTGAGCTAGTTATCAAATACGAGAAGGTCTTTGATAAATGTGCTAATAATTCGGTGGGCTTGCTCGTCGACTTGGACCTCACCGGTTCGCCACCATTCCGTGTTCGATACAGTGTCGAACACTCGAAAGGAGTTGAGACCAAGCTACAAACCATTGAAGGGCTTCGCGCGCAACTTGATTTCACGCCATCTGAAGCGGGTTTCTACCGATACCGTTTTCTGGATATCGCCGACGTTGTTTATGCGCCCCGGTCTCTGAAAGACAAAGCGCCTGTCTTGGAGCAGGACGTGAAACCACCCGCCTCTGCTCAGTTCCTTGGATCCAAGCAAATGCGCAAGGCCTGCTTTGGTGAGCCGGTATCTGTGGACGTTTCCTTCCTTGGCGAGTCACCATGGACTCTGCAATACGAACTTGTCCATAATGGCAAGAAAACCAAGCACGTTTTAGACAGCGACACCGAAATTTCGACCATTATGACCGAGAGACTTGTTAGTGGCGGTGAATATAACCTTGTATTGACAAGCATCAAGGATCGATCAAATTGCAAGCGTGTTCTTAAAGATAGCATAAAAATCGATGCCCGACCAAAGCCGCCTCATGTCTCATTTGGCCAAATCGACCGCAAGAGAAGTGTGTCTGCTTTGCAAGACTCCAAGGTCGACCTGCCACTCAGATTAAGTGGTGAACGGCCATGGACAGTGAAATATAAGAACACGGCCGAGAGTTCTCCAGTCATTGAAAAGACATTCTGGGAAGAAAATAGCATATTGACAGTGGCACACGAAGCACGTTACGAGCTTATTGGACTGTCTGATGGTTCTTGTCCTGGGTCCATTGATCAAACGGCCAAAACGTTTGACGTTTCTTGGATACCACGACCCCAGATAACGGCCGTGGATAGCTCCCCTGTTGGAACAGCAGGACATATCGGGAAGTCTGAAGTGTGTCAAGGGGATGACGACAGCATTGAACTTCGGCTGTCAGGGAGTCCTCCGTACAGTATTCGATATGAACAACAACGAAAGGCGGATCGTGGTTCCTCCTCGGCCCGAGTACATAGTTTGAAGACAGCGCTCAATGTAGCCACCATGGAAATGGATACCTCTGAGGCTGGTCTTTACACTTACAAGTTCACCGAGATTGGTGATAACCTTTACGACCATGATTCGAGAAATCATCCTGTTGTTGTAACACAACAGGTGAATCGACTTCCATCTGCGCGGTTCGATTCTCCTGGCCATATCTACGGTTTTTGCAAAGAAGATGTTAGCGGCGAAGAAGTTGTCCCCATCACTCTCGAGGGAACACCCCCATTTTCGCTGGAAATCAACATAAAACATCATTCAAACGCAAAGCCGGAAATCGTGACCATACCGAATATCAACACCAATAGACATAATCTTCCCATTCCACGACGCCATTTAGATCTGGGTCAACACGTTGTCAGTATTCACAAAGTCCGGGACGCGCGAGGCTGTCAACGGACAACTGAACATGATGTGTCATCTGTCAGAGTTGCTGTATCTGATGTGCCTGCGATAGTTCCTCTCGAGTCCAAGGTCGACTATTGCGTCGGTGAGCGGATTTCTTTTTCCCTCTCTGGACATGCACCTTTCGATGTATTTTATACGTTCGGCGGGACTCAGAGAAAGGCCACTTCCCGGACGACCGATTTCCGCCGAATTGCAGAACGGCCAGGCGACTTCACTATCACCGGCGTAAGCGACGGGGCCAGTGGAAAATGCAAAGCTCATAAAAACATCACAAAAGCCATACACGAGATGCCGAGTGTCAGGATCAGTAGAGGTCAAACATCTATTGTCGATATACACGAAGGCGGAGAGGCAGAACTCCATTTTGAGTTCTGGGGAACGCCACCGTTTGAATTCACGTAAGTTATATTCGAAAGATGGAACGCTGTCTATGAAAAACTGACATTTTAAAGGTACATTCGGAGCTCAAATGTCCGAAAAGGGAAGAAACCCGAGGTGCTTGACATCAAGCATGATATCTCTTATGAGCATTTCAAGACCATAAAAACGTCTGACGAAGGCACATACGAAGTTGTTGCTATCAAGGATCACTTTTGTTCATTCTCTTCCCAGACACAGATAGGAACACCTGAGAGGTCAAAGACAGGCTCTTAATGGGGATGGGAGAAGCTGGTGTGATTTAATGCTATCATTGTTACTATTTATTCATGATGATTGTTCTTTATTGAAACAAACAATCCAAGTCCCAAGAAACTGCATTGCACTGGTGCTGCTCGGTGATATTACATACATATAAAAAATGTAAAAATAAAAATCAAACAAAAACAAAGCTTATTCGACACCCGTAGCTGTGTTGTGCACATCGATACTTTCAATCAAATTGGCACCAAGCCGGGAGATTTCATTCAATATGCCATCAATATTGGCCGAAACATGGTCGTTTTGTTTCCTCTTTGAATCGGCCCATTGATTTGGGGATGTTGAATAAGTCATCTTCAAATTCCAACTTTTAGATTTCGTTGCCTGGGGGTTCCAAAGTCCTGCAATGACATTGCATTGTTCATCCCCATGAAACAATAGAATGTTCTGATTATAGCACGCTTGGATGTCCCGAACAAATGACTTTACAATCGTAAGTTTGGCAGCGCAGCTTTTGGTGCGTTGTTCATTCAGGTTCTTAAACTTCATCGGCACGGCTTGTCGATCGCCCAATAGTTTTGAGCGTAGATTGATGACGAAATCGTATGGTGCTAGAGAGGTATGGAAGAGATCGGATATGTTGAGATCATATCCCTTCTCACGAAATAATTTCACAGCTGCTTTCGCCAAAGTTGTCATTCGAGCAGCAACAACCCTAGGTGGCATTTCGTACTGTGTCCAAGTTACACCTTCAGGATCAATATCCGACGCCGCAAACAAGGCAATTGCGTGCATCGCCGGATCGATGCTCCGCCAGGCGGAAAAGCGAGTCCGTATCACTTGGACAACATCCTGGTCTAACTCTCCGCCCAAATCGACCATTAAAGGTTCTTGTTGCCAGTCCCACCGCGAAAGGAGATGGAGAGTTCGCAGAAAGCCGGCCATGACACTGGAGGGCTCATTCCAGGGATACGGCTGGGTAAAAACCCGGGTTGCCATCAGCTCAATCAATTCCTCATTAACTTGCCCTGTGAAAAGGTGACAGTTGAACCAATATTTGACGAGACGAATGGTAGGCGACAATAGCGGAAAACGGGTGCACAGAGTACGAATTGCTTGTGTTAGGCGAGGAGAGTGAACAAACAGGCGCTTATATGCGGACAACGCATACGCAATCTCCTCCTTTTCTCGGGGGCCGTTGCTTTTCTCCTTGAGTTGACGCTCTAGCAATGTTTGCTCTCGGTCATGGTGTATCCGAAGATGAAAAACAGCGCCGGAAATATGAACAATTTCAAGGAAAGCATTATTTAAAATTCTGCTGGACTCATTCTCCAGGCCGACTCGGCACGAAGAAGCGGCACCAGATGATTCCAAACAATCACCGATTTTAACGAGAAAAGCTATTTTCGTCATCTGAATTGCTACAAGATCATCCGGCCATCTTGCAGAGCTTTCAAACTGAAGAACGATATTCACTGGCTCGCTAAGGGCACCCGGTGTATGTTGAACGCGGAGTGCTGTATAACGAAGGTGGGGGCTTGCCGGGACCAATTGTCGAACAGTCAAAGGAACGTTATCCATATTCTGTATAGATCTTTCTAGAGAGTTGAAAGCATCAGAGACCAGTTGGAAAGAAGGACTTGTGTAAGATACGATGCCGTCGCCACCACTGTGAAGTTTCTCATCATATTCGTCACCGATATACCGAACATCCTTTTCCGCAATGTGAAAATGAAGTTGCAGGATGTATACCAAAATTTGATATATTATTGATGTCGAGGACGGCTGATCGGACCACACCAAACTCTCAAGAATGCTTCCATCTTTGAAGCGTCTAAGCTCGGCCTTTCCTCCCCAAAAAGACCTGAAAGATGCTGCTTCTTCTTTCTGTTCTGCCGACGGGCCGTGGTCAACAGCTCGGGTGGAATTCTCGGAATCTAGAAGTAATCCAACGGAGAGTCTCGTGCTCGCTTTTTGCAACGAAGACTTTTTCTCAATCGACCAAGGCTCGACACAGCAACTGGAAATAGAAATGAGCTCAACTCGATTCCCGAGAGCTTTTGAGAGCACATCATAAAGAGCTAACTGGTTGCGGAGCCCTTGAAGAATATCCGCATTGTCCAAGTTAGGAAGCGAAACGACTCGATCAAACCGAAGTGTAGGCTCATCCACTTTAACAATGAAGACCTTGTCAAAGTTATCCTCACGCGACTCGTTCAACATCTTTAGTGTGATGTTTGCTTCGTGCCTAAGTAGATTGTAGGAACAAGGTGTCATTTTGTAAAGGGGATTCATTCCCCTCTTTCCATCGTAAACCACAGGCCCCCCGCTAGGGAATGAGAGGCCAGTAGCGGAAAACACTAGCGGCTTCTTCAGGTCCCTTCCAGCGAGAAATTGCATGGTTGCTTTGAATAGCTGGTAGCTGCTATACGATGTCAAAAGCACTGGCTTTCCATTAGGACCTCCGCCTTCGAACAGAAGAGACATGAGCAAACTCCATTCAAAGCCTCCAAATCCGCCACTCTGGAAAGAAGATCCAAATCCCCGTTGTTGGAGCCAGGTACGACCAAGGACACATGCATCCTTGAAGGCATCGCACTTGCGCGTAGCCAAATATAGATATTTATGATAGAGTGCCACCGTGGACTCTGAGCGAAGAGCAGCATTGTAGAACGGAGTGGGGCCTTCATGCCCAGGTATTTGACGGATGTTGCTTTTCGTTGGCAATGTTCGCGATATGGGAAATACCGTATCTTCAATCGCAGTGATGATGCGAATCTGCGATTTTGTGGGCATTACTTCAGTTTTCTCAGTACTTATCGGTTCCAAGACAAGAATAGGGCGGAGAGTATCTCCATCCTGCAGGCTGTATTTGACATCAAGGTTCAAGTCATTTGCTTCTCGAATTCCCGCAGCAAGGCATGCAATGTAATACGCTCTTTTATGAAAGTATCTGTGATTAACGTAGTCCTTCTCCTGAAAGAGAGAACTCGGCATCGTCACTGCCAAATCAACTATGTGAGGCCCTGCCGTTTTTATGCCTGTCCTCAGAGCAAAGCTCCCGACAACATTAATGTTTGTTGGCTTCGAATATGACATGGGGTATTTTGTATCCTTTCCTGGTCGAGGTTCGGGGAATGGAACAGAGATACCATGCGCACTGCGCAACTCTTTCTCGGCTTCCAATGCAGATTTGAGAGTTTTATCAGGAAGTCGTTCGATTATTGCCTTCAGTTTATGAAGAGTCTCCTGGATCTTCGAAACCTGCTTGTCATAGTTTGGTCTCAGCCCAGCCAATAATTCATCCATCTGTAGCTTAAAGAAGCTGGACTTGTAGAAGCCACTAGCGAAAGCAAGTTCAGCTGAACGGTCATTATTCACGTGCTTGGTCGAATAATCGGTTTTGCTGGTGCCATTGGAGGCGACAATTTCATTTTTCGCTTTTCCATCGGAATAACCATCTCTGGAAGGCTTGGGGGTTTGCGTTTCGTCATTCTCGGAGGAAGGACTGATTTTCCTTCTTTTTACCGTGTGGACTGTCATTATCTGTGTGGCTGGGTAGGATAGAAAACAAAATAAAAGAAAAGGAAGAAAGGACGAAGAACTGCACTCTAGAATTTTGTCGCTTCTGCATCGCAAAATTTCTTAGGTTTTCTCCAGATGCTAAACTCCGAGCTCCGGTATTTGAGTCACGTGATAAATCCCGCTGGCTGTTACATACCATCAGACATCTTGATTCGATCATGATACCAGAAACCTGCAGGGAATATTATCTACATTATTTGAATATTGTTGTTGTAAAATTCTATGTCTCAACAAAATAGTAGACACCTCTTCAAAACTACTACCCAAAAGCAGAAAATCATAAGTTCTCATTGGCTAAGCGGTGGTGGTCCATCGCCGAAATCGCTCGTAGCCTGTGGTGGGCTTCCTTTGGTCGCTGGATAACAGTAGTAGTTAGCTAGCCATCATTATTCATTACTCATTCATTAATACTACTACTTACTATTATTGCTACGCATTTTCAATCCTTCCTTTGCCTTTCTTTTTTATTTTCTTTTCTTTATCTCTCTAGTTCTCGGAGACCGCAGTCCATTCTAGTCGTTCGTTTTTGATTCAAATCTAGTCGGTCTTATTCTTCAGTTTTCTTCCCTGTGCCACAATGCTCCAGGCTCTTGGAGGACCCGTTCCTCCAAACACCGACCATGTATGTTGAAGCCCCGCGTCTAGAATATCGAACCCCTCTCACCCCAACCCCGCCCCTATCCCATTACACTACTTGGGATATGTACAAAGAAGATAAGAGAGAGGGAGAGAAAGAAGAATAGATGGGGAAGGGGGGGGGGGCTGCCAATGTTTTCATTTTAACCAAGTCCAATTTGTGCTTCGGGCCATGGTGGTACCCAAGAATTTAAATAGCCAAGCAGTCACTAACGTATGAGAGAGAAAAAAAAGGCAGTGAGTGTATCGCTTCCAACATGGAAAGCAATTGTTGGTTATGAAGAGGGAGATGACTGGGTCATGAACCGAATGCTATGCGGATATCCCAGATTTTTCGTGCATCCGATCATCCAAAAACTCGCCCAGGAGATTGTGCGCCGTCATGGAGATTCAGAGAGTGAATCCGCCATGGTGTTTCCATCTAGAAAAACCGCCCTTGTCTGTCACTCTTTCTTCCTCTCGCGGGTACCAAACGACTCGTCCAAAGTTCGGGTTGTAGACTTTGTCCCTTCTTCTCGCACAGAAGCCGAATCACCAGCAGTCACCTCGCATCTTTCGTGTGTAATATATCCAAAGGAGCATGGGCCAATTGCCAAACAAGTCTGGCAACACTCTGGAAACGGAGTTTCAAGCCGTCGGGCTGAATTCTGTCTTAGTTCTCTGGAGGACCGTTTTCTTGTTGAAGAAAAGAGAGTTGGAACGGCCGATGCGGCTTCACAGAGGCCCTGTAAAGGCCCACGGAGATACCAAGGAAGAGGCTCATCAAATGGTTTGACCCGAGGGACTGGGGTACACGGTGTGACCCCTGACCAATTTTCAGCAGTCAATGGCGCCCAAGACGGGCAAGAATATGGTCAATTCATTGAAGAGCGCTTTGGACGAAATTTGAGCATCTCATTGGCTGATCAGGCAAGATCAGCCGTTCGGAGGCGCATAGCAGGCGTTCTGACTGCCGATGTTGAGCTGAGTGAGGCCCTCGAAAAAGCATCAGCTGAAGGCAGAGTGGCAGGTTTGACCGAAAGCGATGTTTATCTCTTTCCCAGTGGCATGAGTTCGATCTTTAATACCCATCAGTTATTAATGGCAGCTCGAGGTTCTTTGAAGAGTGTTTGTTTCGGGTTTCCTTATATCGACACATTGAAGATCCTTGAAAAATGGGGGCCAGGGTGCTTGTTCTACGGACATGGCTCATCGGAAGATTTGGATGATTTGGAATCCCGGTTGAGCAATGGCGAAAGATATCTAGCACTGTTCACCGAACTTCCGGGTAACCCTTTGCTCAAAACACCCAATCTCAAACGTATCCGTGCGCTAGCAGAGAGATATGATTTTGCCGTGGTAGTTGATGAGACTGTGGGTAACTTTTTGAACATCAACGTGCTTCCGTACGCGGATATTGTGGTCAGCAGTTTGACCAAGATTTTCAGCGGAGATAGCAATGTTATGGGAGGAAGTGCTGTTCTCAATCCACACGGGCGCTTTTATCAAACTCTGAAAGAAACATTTGACCAGGAATATGAAGACACTCTTTGGGCAGAAGATGCGGTCTTTTTGGAGAGGAATAGCCGCGATTTCGTGTCCAGAATTGAGAAGATCAACAAAACCACTGAAGATATCACGGCGATTTTGAAGGAATCCCCTCTTGGTGAGTTTTCTTTTATAACAGGAATTATGGATAGTACTGAGCCTATGTTCAGTGAAAGAAGTTTACTATCCCAAATACAGCCCTTCGAGACCATTCTATGAGGATTTCCGTACTCCCAATGGAGGTTACGGGGGTTTGTTCTCTGTGACTTTCAACTCGACAGCAGATGCAGCAGCTTTTTTTGACGATTTAGAAGTCCTGAAGGGCCCCAGTCTCGGAACTAATTTTACTCTGAGGTAAGTCAGGGGTTTCGGTAGTGGCTCTAGTATAAACAATTTTGACCAAAAACTAGTTGTCCATATACGATCTTGGCTCATTATGGTGAATTGGAATGGGTAAGTAATAAGAGAGAAGCTTCGTCCCCCATCTGACTGTTCCCTTTCCCCATCGTTCCTGTCTTTATACGTGTTTGTGGACATCCTTTTTTCTAATCATTATCTCTAGGCAAGTTCTTTCGGTATAGAGAGCAGTTTGGTCAGGATAAGCGTGGGCTTGGAGGATATACCTGACCTCCGCTCTAGGATTCACCAAGCTCTGGAGGCAGTGGGGAAAATTAGAGCGTAGGCGGGATACATGTCTCGATTTATTATGGACTCTTAAGCTTTTTTTACCCTATTCTGAACATAACATTGCAACAACAATGATATCTGCAGAATGGATATTTAGTGGGTTATCAAAATTTACTCAGAGAAATCTAGATGGAACAATAGCTAAGTTAGTCATTGGATCAGCATCTGTTCGGTCACTTCAAATCAATTAGTGAAGCAACTACTGATATATAACCAGTAGATCAGCTAGTTGATAGGTAGTTTTGACTTTAAGAGCTGGACTCGTACTACCAGGGTGTTTCAGATCATGTAATAATAGATAATACCTAGGTATCAAACCTACCTAACTATTTTGTACCTTAGATTCATTGCATATTCGATGAATCAAACTATGGCTCACCCAAACAGGACAGAAGAGATGTCAAAAACGCGAAAAAACAGTACAGTAAGGTCTGCCTGATTTCCTGCGGTTGTATTATTGATTAGTACCTAGGTAGTATTTGTTGTATCAACCTACTTCAGGTTACCTACCTAAGTTCTCCTGTAATTTAGGTCCTACCGTAGGTATGTACATCTGTCCTGGGTGGATAGCGGGTATAACTACCTAGATACCTACCTTACACTACCAGGTAACCTAAGGAGGTTCTGACCCAATATTTATGATATGCCATCCCGCAGCCCAATTATGTTTGAATTATGCCAGTCTACCTCCGCTTCCTAGGTAGGTGCCCGAGGGTGGTGATTGGTGGGTAATCTATATCACACAGCCGGCTCTGAGGACGCGGTCTCATCGAGATATTAGGTCAGAGCTTAGGTATTACTGGAGATTTATGATGGATACTGTCTAGATAGTTTAGATTAGGGTGTATTCTATTTGTTTAAGTACATCTGGAAATATCGTTATTAACCCCATCATAGGTACCCATTAGGACAGGCTGTCTCACACCTAGGTACCTGGGTTGAAAATCTAATACCTGAGGTCATTCACCCGCGGTCCGGTACCGTAGGTCCAGGGAATAATAGATTCTGACCCGATAATACTGCCATTTAATACCGCTTTTCACAGGCCAGTCAGATATTACTATTCTGCCGGTACGTGCCCTGCCCGGTACCTATGGGCAAAAAAAGGCGTCGGGTGTATCATATTACACATATGGTATCAAAGGCAGTAAAAAAACGGCAAGTGATTGTATTCATTCAGCTTTTATGCCCTGTGGTGTGCTTGGCAAAATTATGAAGTTGTAATTTTGCAGTTTGCGTTACGGAAATATATCATTGTGGCCGTAATGCATGCTGAGTTGTTACTTACCTGAAATAATGGGCTCCCACTAAGGTAACTTAGGTAACTAGGTACCTACTAAGGTACTAAGGTGGTATTGTAAACTTCCTGCTTAATCTGGTCCACTTAAGTCACTGCTTCAGCCTTTCAGGATTCTCCCGGTCACGGGACTGCAACAGCAAAAAAGTTCTGGGTTGCGGATTGCCCTGGCTGGTCTATCAATCTCCCTATTTTGCCAGGCCTGGTTCACTCTTGCCAATTCTAAATCATAAGTATTGTAATCACTTCCCTTGGTGACTGCCTGGTATCAATAGTCTCTTCCATTTTACTAATTACTATTTCTGCTGTTTTAATGATAGGCACCAACAACGATCTTCCACTGCAATCTGTCATTTTAGCGATTTGGTTGTCCGGTTTCATCTCTGAGGATAGCAAACAATCCAAGTTATCCCCTTCAATCATTTTGGCAGCATGGCAACCTGTATCGTCGCCTCCAAAAGGCCATTCCTGACCTTGCCCTTTCTCCTGCCTTCCCTCTCTGAATCCGCGGCTTTGATCTCGCGACGGAATCAGTCTTCATACAGACGTGCCAAACAACGGCTACGCGTCAAGCCAGATGTCTCATTCGGCGTCCCTTCAAATCAATTCCAGGACCAAATCATCTACAATCCCCCTTCCAGCGCCCCGTCGATTTACCACACGCCAACCAAGTTTCTCCCTCCCAACGATGCTCGGAGAGCTCTACGCACCGATTCTTCTGTGGGTCAGCATAATGCCGGGGAGCTTCCTGGTGTATTCAAAACAGCCCCCGAAAGGAAATATCATTTGAACCCATCGGATATCGAGGAGATCCGCAAACTTCGGCTTAGTGACCCTATGACTTGGAGCAGATGGAAATTGGCCAAGCGCTTTGATTGCTCCCCAATGTTCATCGGTATGGTATGCGAGGCCAGTCCACAGAAGAAAGAAATTCAGAGACAAGTTCTGGAAGCGGTCCAATCCAGATGGGGCGCAAAGCGACGGATGGCTAGAGAAGACCGACAATTGCGGAAGGAGTCTTGGGGGAGAGATGAATGAGCCTTCAAAGGACAATAGGATTCTCGATTCGTCACCCTTTCCCTTTGGTCAAAGAAGGTTTGTCATGTTTGCATCATGTCAAATTCATGGCTTTGAAATACAAATCTGGTGAGGAACAACCAGTCAGTGGTTAGGTGTATAAAGATATGTATTCTAGCATTACTGGTATCGGACCACATATTGTAACTATTATAGAATGAAATGAGTATAGAGTTAAAGAAAATCCAATGTGTACAGAAATAATTTTCCTTTGAGTGACGGCTTCATTATGGTTAGTAATAGGAACGAAAATGGTTGGTTCTAGGCCACCGACTTACTACCTAGGTGTATCTAGATACCTAGGTATGTATCCGTGATTGGAGGTACCTACGCACTTTTCCATACTAGTACCTGGGCAATGCAGTAATCTCCCTCTGCGAACCAGATCCTTTCTATTTTCTGCCGCAGCCGCCCAAATGCCCCTCCCCCTCCGCCGTATTCCAGCTTCGCGTGCAGAATATAGGTTACATCTATTCTTCTCACCACCCAAATCACATTTTACCCAACAAAGAACACCCCATATATTTCTTCGTCGTTCTTTCTACGGACATATCAACGACAGAAAAATGGCGCCGCAGTTGGGACCGTTTTTTAAGCAGTGAGTTGATACTTTGCCATTAGCCTTGTCATTGACGAATCCAAAAGCTGATGCCAGGCGTTTGGTTTACCAGGGTTGATGACTTGTCTGGCTCCTTTGTTGATAGTATGTGGCTCTTCGCCTCTGCCAACAACTTACCAGATCTTTTATGACTAAGAATAAGACTAATAACGCCCAAGGACTGCGAAAGGCCGTTGCCATTCCATCCATTTCTGCTCAGGATGAAAATAGAAAGGATGTATTCAAGGTTGGTCAATCAAATTTCTCCTTCACGCCACTAGGCTGACCGGTATCGAAAAGATGGCTCAGTTTCTTGCCTCGGAACTGGAAAGTTTAGGAGCTGAAGTTCACCAAAGACCACTGGGCAAACAGCCTGGAAAAGAGCATCTTGATTTGCCTCCAGTTGTCATTGCTCGCTATGGGAATGACAAGAACAAAAGGACCATTTTGGTTTATGGACACTATGATGTACAGCCTGCATTGAAGGAGGACGGCTGGGCCACTGAGCCTTTTGAATTATCCGTTGACAACAATGGAAGGATGTACGGTCGCGGTAGTACAGACGACAAGGGTCCTGTTTTGGGTTGGTTGAATGTTATCGAAGCTCATAAAAAGGCTGGCGTTGAGCTGCCAGTCAACCTTCTCTGCTGCTTCGAAGGCATGGAGGAATATGGTTCCGAAGGGTTAGAGGAATTTATTCAAGCCGAGAGCAAGAAATTCTTTAAAGACACGGATGCTGTCTGCATTTCAGATAACTACTGGCTCGGAACCGAGAAACCCTGCCTTACTTATGGACTACGAGGCTGCAACTACTACTCTGTCAGTGTTTCAGGGCCTGCCCAAGACCTCCACAGCGGCGTGTTTGGTGGATCCGCCCACGAGCCTATGACAGACCTGGTCAATGTTTTGTCGAAGCTTGTTGATGCCCATGGCAAAATTTTGATCCCTGGCATCATGGACCTTGTTGAACCTCTGACGGAAGAGGAGAAGTCGCTGTACGGCGATATCAGCTACACGATGGAAAACCTTCATGAGTCTCTCGGGAGCAAGACAGGCATCCACCCTACCAAAGAGAGGACTCTTATGGCCCGGTGGAGATACCCTTCCCTATCTATCCATGGCATTGAAGGCGCTTATTCCGCTCCTGGAGCTAAGACTGTCATTCCAGCGAAAGTCATCGGCAAGTTCTCGATAAGGACTGTGCCAAATATGGAAAGCAAGGATGTTAACAAACTTGTTTTTGACCATATAAAAACCGAATTTGCCAAGCTGAACAGCAAGAACACCCTAGACGTGTGGCTTCAGCATGACGGAAAATGGTGGGTCGCCAGCCCAAAGCACTGGAACTTCACTGCCGCGAGCAAAGCCGTGCAACAGGTCTTTGGGGTTCAGCCAGATATGACCCGCGAAGGCGGCAGGTATGTTGGATGATGCGCCTCTTCAATTTTGGTGACTGCTATGATGCTAACGACTCAAAACAGTATCCCCGTTACGTTGAACTTTGAGCAAGCGACGGGAAAGAATGTATTGCTTCTACCCATGGGAAGCTCAACTGATGCTGCTCATTCTGTTAATGAGAAACTTGACAAGCGAAACTACATTGAAGGTGTTAAGCTGCTTGGAGCTTATTTGCACTATGTTGCGGAGGAGCCTATTAACACCTAAATGTTGTCTAATAAACAGGCTGTCATCAATCTTGTCAATTACAGAAAGCTCGGAATTAAGTTAACTCAACCCCTAGTTCTCTAAAATCCTCTCCTTTTCACGATTGTTCGGTCTTTTTTAAAAATCTTTTGGTTGCACGATACCTATTTGTGGAGTAAAAGTGCCTACTTAGTAGCTACTACGTACGTTTGTTACCTTAGCTATGGGGCAATAATAAAAACCTTGGCGGTAAGTGCTACGCGGGGCCGACGCGAAGACGCGGTTCATCAATAATGTAGACCTTTTAGGCAGTCCGAGCAAGGTCATGACACCATACCTTCGAACATAGGGCTACGCAAGTTATCCACTGGATCGCAGTGTTTTCATTTCTTCAAGGGAAATGAACTAGGCCTTTCTACTACTCCCGTTTCACATTTCCCCGATGTCAAGGTTGAAGCGCTCGCAGGCGTCCTCAGACCCTGAAGACCTAGATGACGACAGCATTGTTGATGATGGAACAGAGGGTTCTAGCCCCCTTCACTCGGTACGTCTCCCTCCCCCCAAAAAAATTAGGCTCTATAATTTCATGCATTCGATTAACCATCCTTTCAGAGAAAACGTCTTCGCAGATCTGATTCCCTGGTTTCGGCAGAAGACACTGGAGCAAGCGACGATGGTGAAGTGGTTAGGCCTCGAGCAATCACAGAGGTAGTTGAAGATGAGGATGAGCTGGAACTGCGCGCAACGCAAAGGATTCAAGAGAAAAACTTTTTTATGGGTGACGAGCCCAATGTGCCTGCCGAGCATGGTATTCTCGAGCGCGTTGAATGCTATAATTTCATGTGCCACGACCGCTTCTACGTGGAGCTGGGGCCGCTGATAAACTTCATTGTTGGAAAAAATGGCAGCGGCAAAAGCGCAGTTCTTACTGCTATCACTCTTTGTTTGGGTGGTAAAGCGTCCGCTACGAATCGTGGTCAGAGCTTGAAAAGTTTCATTAAAGAAGGAAAGGAGTAGGTGACCCTAGCTTCCTGAAAGCCTAGTATTCTCACAACCCTTCTCTCAGAACCGCCACCATCATCGTGCGGATTAGAAATAGAGGTGATGGGGCTTACATGCCGGACGACTATGGGGAGTCGGTCATCGTGGAACGTCATTTCTCAAAGACTGGGACGAGTGGTTTCAAGATTAAATCGCAGAATGGGCGCATAATATCAACCAAAAAAGCCGAGCTTGATTCTATTATTGACTACTTCACATTACAGTTTGACAATCCCATGAACGTCCTTTCGCAAGACATGGCACGTCAATTTCTCAGCAACTCCAGCCCGGCCGATAAATACAAATTTTTTGTGAAAGGAGTCCAACTAGAGCAACTTGACCAAGACTACCGACTAATTGAGGAGTATGTCGACCAGGCAGAAGAAAAATTGAGGGGCAGGGAGCAAGACATCACGGTTCTGAAAAAACGTAAAGATTCAGCAAAGAAAAAGCTGGAATTATCTGATCATCATGAGTCGCTCAGGATCAGAATCAGGAATGTTAGAAATCAAATGGCCTGGGCTCAAGTAGAAGAGCAGGAAAGGGTGAGAGCGATTCTTCCTTTTATTCACACATGATTATTCCTGACAAATTCAGGCAAGAGACACTCTTGATGATGATCTTACCACAGCAGATCAACAAATAGCAGCTGCTGAGGTTGAACTTCACAGATTTGATTCCGCTTTTCAAGATGCTGAAGCTGAAACTGAAACTGCCGCTGAATGCGTAAGGCAAGCTGCTTACAGAGTTGAGCAAGCGCAAAGTGAAAAGGAAGAGATCAAAGCGAAATCGGACGAACAAATGAGTGAACGTCATGACTTACAGGTACTGTCGTTGGCTTCCCGGTGTCTGTTTGCTCTTTTACCTTCTCCATCTAATGTCCATCTCCATAGGCCCAGCAGCGTCAAATAAGGGAGTATGTGAAGGCAGCACAATCAAGGATTGATGTAACTAAGCAAAAGATATCCGAGGAAACTCAGCGGCTTGCCGACCTCAGTGGCGGGAGCTATACTCGGAAACAAGAAGAAGTCGAGCAAGCCCGAGTTGAAGTTTCTGAAGCTCGTAGGCTATATGAAGAACATCAACAAGAGAGTGTTCGCCTAGTTCGGGAATCAGAAGAGGCGGAGGAAGAAGCTAGATCTGCGGCAGCATCTGTTTCTAAGAAAAAGGCCGACATTGAACAAGCAGAAGCACTTCTCCGGAATCTTTCGAAGGATGGGGGGCCTCGAACTTCTGGGTTCCACGAGAGAATGCCCATGCTTCTCAAGGCAATCCAGCAGGAGCGATCATTTTCTAGGCAACCTGTCGGCCCAATCGGTCACCATGTAAGCTTATTGAAGCCGACATGGTCGTCGATCTTGGAGAACTCGCTCGGCACGACGCTAAACAGCTTTATTGTGACTTCCAAAAGGGATATGAATGTTTTGTCTAGTGTCATGCAAAGAGTCAACTGGTAAGAATTCCTGTGCTTGCCCATGTCGAAAGTTACCATCAATTGATGCAATGGAAGCGTTTTTCCAATTTTCATTGGAAGTGATGGTCATATCGACACAACGGGACACGAACCGGATTCTCGTTTCGATACGGCATTGCGGGTTCTACAGGTAAGAATAGACTTGAGTTGACCTCTGACATTGCCTAACATCGAGAGCCCAGATTGACAACGAATTGGTGCGCCGGCAATTAATTATCAACCATGGCATAGAACAAATGTTGTTAATCGAGCGGTTGGAAGATGCCTCTTCAGTGTTATTTGATGAACAACGCCCGAGGAATGTAAAGAGATGTTACTGTATCGATAGAGCCGACAGGCGGCGGGGAATTCATCTCTCGTACAGTCGCACAGGGGAGCCAAGCCAAGCACCGGTCCCGGCGTATAACGGTAATCCACGAATGAAATCGGACCTCGCATCACGAATCAGGTATGATGGATCAAAAAAATACTAAATTGCCTGGTCCAAACTCTAACAAATATTTTGCAGGATTCAACGTGATGTTGTAGATGACCTTAGACGTGAACTAAACGATCAAGAGCAACAGCTGCGTGCCTTATGGTCCCGCTCAGAAAGCTGTAAGCAAGCTCGTGTGAGGCATGGAAAAAGGAGTATTGATCTGCAGATTACAATACAGAGGAAAGAAGATCACGTTGAAGAACTCTCAGATGCCCTTGACAAAGAACATGTGGAGGATGGTCATCTCGACGCGCTGCGAGCAAATCTTCGAGAAGCTGAAGAAGATAAACAGCTCAATGAAGGCTCATATAAGGACAGCATTGATGCCATGAAAGCAATCATGAGAAATTTAAAAGCAATCACGCAAGAAATAGATGCGAAGGTCGCACATATTTCTACTTTAACCCAAGAATTCGAGGTCGCCCAGAGTGAGGAGTACAGGGTAGTAGACAAGCGCCGAAAGATTCTTGGTGACAAAAACGCTGCAATCAGACAAATTGAGCTCAGGAAGCGCGACAGGGAAAGGCTCCACCAAAACAGGGAGGATGTTGTCGCACGGATTCTCGATTTCACAGAGAAGGCCAGTTTGGTTTCACCACGTGTTGCGGTTGACGAAGGAGAAACTCTTTTCAGTCTAGAGAAAAAGCTCGAAAAATATCTCAAAGATACTGAGCGCTATAATCAACAGTGAGTTGTGCATACACGGTATAAGCACGGCCCATCGTCATTATGCTGATGAATTGGCAGACTAGGAGCGTCTCGAGACGAAATCGCTGCTGAAACTGAAAAAACGAATACAGCCTATCGTCGGGCTTCAGCTCGTAAAAAAGAGCTCACCCTGCTTGCTAGTGTATGTTCACCCCTGATACAAATAAGCTTATTTTGCTAACAGTACACATAGATCCTTAAAGACACACTCACGCATCGTAAAAAGCGATGGGGGATTTTCAGATCTCATATTTCTTCCCGAGCTAAGGCACAGTTCACTTATCTCTTAAGTGAAAGAAGCTTCCGCGGCCGACTGTTGGCCGACCACAGCGGCAAACTTCTGGATCTACAAGTAAGAGTGACATCGAATACATGCGACTGAATATCAATCTTGAATCTAACTATGTTTACTCATAGGTTGAACCTGATATAACCAAGGACAGTGCCGGTCGTGGCGCAAGGACACTTTCTGGTGGTGAAAAGTCATTCTCACAAGTCTGTCTTTTACTGGCACTTTGGGAGGCTATGGGTTCGCCGATTCGCTGCTTAGATGAGTTGTATGTCGGTGGTAATCTAAAGGCAAGATACTCTACTAACTCATTCTTCAATAGTGATGTATACATGGACCAGGTCAATAGGAAAATGGCTATCGACATGCTTGTATGTTCCATATTACCAAGGATTGGCTAGAAAATTGCCCGTTAACCATTGAGCTTGCTAGATGATTGCTGCGAGGCGCTCGATTGGGCGACAATTTATTCTCATCACGCCTGGATCAAGGGCAGAAATCTGCCTAGCATCTGATGTTAGAGTCAAGGAGTAAATACCCTTTTCCAATGAATACAAAGTGCAAATCGGGACTGACGACAATTGTCTTCTAGGTTAGCAGAACCAGAGCGAGGACAGACATCATTGTCATTCTAGCTACCGATCTGTTTATTCTGGATTGTTCATTTTCCCTTTCGCTCACCAATTCTATACTTTTCCATGTCATTGATTCTGAACATGTACCATTTATTTCATTATCACTATAAATTTGACTTTCAAGCCCATAGCAAAGGATATCGGTCTCCCAGGAACCTGCAAGGAAGTCTATTCCCTGTACGTAAGACTGATCGAGGCCTGCGAATGATCAACATTCATGCCGTGGTATGGAGTAGGCGAAGATGAATCAGCTAGGTGGCTATCGACAGGGTGTGGTAGTATCGTACTCCGTAGGTGGTTTAATGCCGGTGGGGCGGCAAGGGCGCCCACCCATTCACTCACTTCCGCCCGATCTTTTCCTCCACCGACGTTTACTCGCACTTTCATTCTTAGCTTGCTCCCTCGTTCCCTCTGTGCGAAACAAAGCCATCATCATCCCCTCTATCTAGGCAAATTCCCAGCCAACTCACTCGATCTCATATCCCTCATCTTCCAGGAATTTTGTTCTTCATATTATCCTGAAAGTCTCTATTGCTCGGCATCTTGAATCAGACAGTCTCCCTTGGATTTCTAAACTTGACTTACCTATCTGGCTTCGAAAAGCTCAAGTCAACCCTTTTGCAGCCATTCCCTCTATCGAATATACGACAGATACTCACTATCCATTGCGTCTTACAAGAAAACCTTCATTCCAGTCTTAAATCACCTTGGCTGTCTTTCTTCTAAGGCCCCGCCAATCTTTCCTGTCCGTAGCAGGAACAGCCGAGTTTTCTCCCACTTCTTGTGCTCATTGATCCTGTGGCTTTTTCAAATACCCATTGCGTCCCGTTTACAACTCATCCAAACTAGCAGACACTTTTCTGTCTTGTTCTTCTTTGCCATTAGCTGTTCTTCTCTTCAGTTTACTGGAACCACTGCTTCAGCCTCCAAAGGCTATAAACCCCATATTACAATTTTTTTTCTTTTTCCAATTTCCGATCATCATCATGGCCGACGCTCTTGCCTCTCAATTGAATAACACAAACTTAGGGTATGTCAGCTGTTATATGCCATGTGGCGTGTGTATGCAGACAAAACTCATCAAGTTATCTTGCATAGGGAAGCAAATTCAGAAGCGAAATGGAGGGATCAGCTAAATGTTCCCGCTAAAGATGCTAGGCCGCAGACTGAGGTTTGTAGTGGGTTGTCATTATTCGGTGTTCGCAGATGCTGACCTTGCCGCAGGATGTAACTGCTACGAAAGGTCTGGAATTCGAGGATTTTTACATTAAACGCGAACTCATGATGGGTATCTTTGAGGCGGGGTTCGAAAAGCCATCTCCCATCCAAGAGGAAACAATACCAGTTGCCCTTACCGGTCGAGATATCTTGGCCCGAGCAAAGAACGGTACAGGGAAAACAGCAGCCTTTGTCATCCCCACTTTAGAACGCATAAACCCTAAGAGCACCAAAACCCAAGCACTGATTCTTGTTCCCACGAGAGAGCTTGCGCTGCAAACATCGCAGGTTTGCAAAACACTCGGGAAACATTTGGGTATCAACGTGATGGTCACCACGGGAGGAACGGGGTTGATGGATGACATTATCCGGTTGAATGATGCAGTTCATATCCTTGTTGGAACACCTGGAAGAGTCTTGGACCTGGCTAGCAAGGGCGTGGCTGATTTATCTGAATGTCCTACTTTCGTCATGGATGAAGCCGACAAATTGCTGTCCCCTGAATTCACTCCCGTGATTGAGCAACTGCTGTCATTCCATCCCAAAGACCGCCAGGTTATGCTGTTCAGCGCTACTTTTCCATTGATTGTGAAATCATTCAAAGTTTGTACCACCAGGTTGTTTTTTGGTTTTCTTGGTGGCTGACCGGTAGCATAGGATAAACACATGCGCAACCCCTACGAAATCAATCTCATGGATGAACTTACCTTACGAGGTATCACTCAGTATTACGCATTTGTGGAGGAGAAGCAGAAGGTCCACTGTTTGAATACTCTCTTTTCGAAGCTTCAAATCAACCAGTCGATCATCTTTTGCAATTCTACAAATCGTGTCGAGCTTCTTGCGAAGAAGATCACAGAACTAGGCTATTCATGCTTCTACTCACACGCGCGAATGCTTCAACAACATCGGAACAGGGTTTTCCATGATTTCAGAAATGGCGTATGCCGCAACCTTGTCTGCTCCGACTTGCTGACTAGAGGTATCGATATTCAAGCTGTCAATGTTGTCATAAACTTTGATTTCCCCAAGAACGCCGAAACGTATCTTCACCGAATTGGACGTTCCGGTCGTTTTGGGCATTTGGGACTCGCTATCAATCTTATCAACTGGGATGACCGCTTCAATTTGTACAAGATTGAACAGGAGCTTGGAACGGAAATCCAGCCTATTCCCCAAAACATCGACAAGAAACTTTATGTCTATGATTCTCCTGACACTATCCCACGGCCAATTGCCAATTCTTCACAGTCCCGCCAGACAATGACAGCGGCTCAAATCACCAACAATGGAGAACAACAGCAACGCCGTCAGAACAACCATGCCAATGGTGGTCATTACCAGTTCAACCGGGGACGAGGCTCCTACCGTGGAGGTCGTGGACAAGGCCAGCGGCGCAGTGTGCAACATGATGCGAATAAATTTGCACCTCCGCAAAGCCAACCTAGTGGCAAGTCCCAAGCAGCACCAGCATCATAGTTTGGCAGGGGCAGTTAAAACACATCTAAACCCGAGCTTTCTTCCCTGCTTTGCAATCTTTTCTCCCCCCTCTCTCCCTTTCTTCATCTTCCCTTGGTTTTCATTCCGCTTTCTTATTTTCATCTAGCAATGATGATATGATAACGGTGCAATAGCTGTATCATATTCGGGCTTTTGTGTTGATCGTCCGCTCTGGTCTGTGTTACATGGGAATTTATCCACTTGGGATTGCCAACTGGCGTCATTTCGGTGTTATGGGGTTTTTTTTTTTTTTTTTTCATCTGTGTTTATCTTTGCTTCTTTCCTCTCTCCTTGTCATTTTACATGGTTGTAAATATAGCTGCTTACAACCACTAGTTGCATTATGAGAGCTCGGGTGTGAAGGACTGGACTCGGGTTTTCTACAATGGCGTTATATTTCCTGGTTTTTTTGGTGACATCCATTGGCTTGATCAACCAGGTGTCCTTTATACCCACTCGCAATCACAAGTGATTCGATGCTTCTTCAGCTTCGGGTACTTGTTAGAGTGATACGGCTCTATCGGGTCGACATCCCTTTTTTGTCCATCCCTGTTGTTCTCGCTTTGTTTTCCTTCTGTCTAAAGATCTGTCAGATCAAATTGGCTCTCGCGATCTTGGCAGGATTGCCCATTCAAGCCACGTTGTCATTCATCGCAGGGTTTGGCCTTTACAAGTTGCACGCTCAGCCTTATCCCGATTGGGGGCTGCATTTCTGATCATCTCCGAGTCAGTAATCCCAACTTCCAGGTGGTTCTTTCAGGTATTGATTTAGGCGACCCTAGAAGGTACTAACTTCATATTCGCAGCGTGCGCCGAAATCTGAAACAAACATATGAATTCGACAAAACAAAAACCAGGTCATTGACTGGGCTTGGGACATGGAATTTCATCCATCTTGAGGGGGGTTCATACGGTGAGGGGAGGAGAAAAAGAAAAAGAAAGAGAAAAAAAAAAGAGAAGAAGAAAAGGAATAATCGGAAAAATAAAATAAATAAAGAGGAGCACTAGATGCTGCTGCGATCGATTCATCAAAAATGTATGTATGGTATTTACACGCGAATTTGCATCTAGTGAAATGACAATTGATCCCCTCTTACAACATAATCTCACCAAGTCATGCTCTTCTGTCTTGAGACGATCTTATCATTCAGATTCATGTAACTACATACCATGTCAAGTGGAGTGAATATCAGAGAAGCGGGTAAATTAAAGAATAGTTTGGGGGTCTGGATTGCGTAGCTTGCATTCTTTGCTCACCGTAGGCTTGGGATCACATCAGCGCCGTCGAATTCCAACAAGGACGGCTTAATTACTTCGACGTATCTTACCAATGGCCTCAATTGATAAAGAACAGAAGGCGAAGGTTGTTTCTTGTTTCTTGTTAAATGTTTACTAAAGAAAATACTAACTGCCTTACAGCCCAGTAGTCTGCGGTCTATAATAGCGGGCTCTACTGCGGGAGCTGTTGAAATCGGTAAGTCACTCTCAACGTTGACTCCTGCGTAAAAGATGATGTTTTTCTGACCGTTGAAACAGCAATCACTTACCCAGCTGAGTGTATGACTATGAATTGTTGCTTTTGTTCTCGGGGCTGATAAGTATACATTAGTTGCAAAGACACGCTCGCAGCTCAACCGCAGGCTAACAGCCTCAAAGAAGCTGCCGTGGCCGCCGTTTGGTCCGCAATGGTACGCTGGATGTACTACATTGATCATTGGAAATTCCCTCAAGGCAGGAATCAGTGAGTTTATATATTTAATGCACCAGCCATTTCATTTGGATTTATTTCTTTCTTTTTTTCTTTTTTCTTTTTTTTTTTTTTTCGCGCGTGGCTTACATTGACTGTCGCTCAAGGGTTCGTTGCTTTCGACACCTTCAAATCGCTGCTCCAGGATGAGAACGGCAAGATATCCGGGCCTAAGACAGTCATCGCTGGCTTTGGTGCTGGATTCACAGAGTCGTTATTAGCCGTCACGCCCTTTGAGAGCATTAAAACACAATTGTATGTCCATTCAAGCCTGGGACCTACATTCAAACCTCCATACAACCTCCTGCCCCGTAAATTGCAAACGTCCAAACCACTAATTCTAATTATTTGGCAGAATTGATGACCGAAAATCTTCGAATCCCCGCATGCGAGGATTCCTGCACGGTAGCAATGTCATATTCCAGGAGAGAGGCGTTCGTGGGTTTTTCCAAGGCTTTGTTCCCACGACAGCACGCCAGGCTGCGAACTCAGCAACAAGGTTTTCGACGTACACTATGCTCAAACAATTTGCCCAGGGCTACGTTGCTCCGGGGGAAAAATTGGGGACCGCGAGCACCTTCGCAATTGGAGGCGTGGCAGGTCTTATAACTGTGTATGCGAACTTCCAATCCCTCTGGCATTTTTCAAGGGTGTACTTCATTTAGACTGACCTTTATGATGCAGTTATGTTACTCAGCCTCTTGACACCGTCAAAACCAGGTATGATTCTAAAAAGATGGAATTTTCTTTTTTGATATTTACTCATTCTCAAAACAGGATGCAATCGCTGGAGGCCAGTAAAAATTACAAAAATAGCTTTGTTTGCGCGGCAAAAATCTTTAGGGATGAGGGACTTTTTACGCTATGGTCAGGGGCTGTCCCACGACTTGCGAGACTGATATTGAGTGGAGGAATTGTATTCACCATGTTCGTCCATGGGTACCAGTTTCTTGTTGACTGCGGCTAACTCTTCAAAACAGGTACGAAAAGACCATGGAGGGTCTGGATGCGATTGATCCTCAGAGAAAATACATATGAATTTATTATTGTAAGTATATACTTTGAGGAAAGACAAATGTATAATGCCAAATTGCCCTGAGATATCATTACACAATAATTATCTAGTGCTGTGCAGTCCAAGCACATAGTACCCTGGGCTATGCTATATCAATACAGTAAACTTAGCAAATATATCCACAAGCTGCAACATTCAAGAGAACTAGACAACGCTAAAATGAATATTACCTCTGCTGATTCCCATCCCCTATCATTTGGCTATTATATCTTGCTCTTTGTTGAGTCTTCTTCAACCATGGCCTCTACCTCTCGATCAACAAGCCATGTTCTTACACTGTCCATTACAGTTTCGAGACCATCGCCGCCATCAAGAATATCGTCCAAATTATGAACAGTGATACCACTGCGATGATCTGTACAGCGACTTTGTCCATAATTATATGTGCGAATCTTGTCACCACGGCCCATCCGGGCAATGCCACCCATGGCGCCTCTTCTAAGTTGGACAAGTTCCTGTTCTCGGGCTTCTTGTCTCGCTTCTGCCAATTTTGCGCGTAAAACTTGCCATGCCTTCTTGCGGTTCGCGTGTTGAGATCGCGAGTCCTGCATTGAGACAACGACGCCAGTCGGTACATGAGTCAACCGGATGGCTGACTCGGTTTTGTTCACATGCTGTCCACCAGCACCGCTGGCTCGCATCTTCTCGGTGCGAACTTCTTGAGGATCAACATAGTAATCGCTGCTCGGATCGTCGAAATTAAAACCACCGTCCACCCCGCTCCCTGTTTCAGGAAAACTAGGCAGTACCATAACGCTGACAGCACTGGTGTGCGTGCGCCCTTTCGTTTCCGTAGCCGGAACCCTTTGAACCCTATGCACTCCCGATTCAGTCCTCATGACATCATATGCCCCATTTGCCTCAACTTCGATCACAGCCTCACTCAGCCGGTCCTCCGCAGGGCCATCTCCGACATCTTGTTTCAATATAGTCGATCGAAGGCCACGGCGTGAGCAGAAGGCAATGTACATCCGTAAAATCTCAAAGGCAAAAATACCGGCTTCATCCCCGCCTGCTCCTGGTCGGATTTCAACCAGACAAGGAAGCTCTGCAAATGGATGACGAGGGATAAGCGACTGCTTTAGGCTATCTGATATCGCAGGTAAAGCAACATTGCTGCTCTCCAAGTCCTCGACAGCAAGAGAGCGTAACTCGGCATCGGTATCCGGGTCATCGAGTAGAGACTTGAGTTCTAATATGGACTAGCGCAAACAAAAGAACATGAACACTTAGTCAGTAATGTTTCAAATCCACTAGAAAATTTCAAGATGCACACCTCATTAGCACTGTCCCATTCTCTGAGTACTTTAGCGATTGATGCTAACTCGCCAACCCGCTTCGCCACTTTCGCATCGAATGTGTCCGTCAGGCAGGCGGAGAGTTTCGAATGCTCAGCGGCCAAGGAGCGAGCTCGAGTCAGTAGGGCAGAAGATATACCATGATCTGGTACTTCGAGATCGTCAGCTCCACCATGATTGAAGCGTATGTTGATGGGATCCCACTCGTGTTCAAAACCCGCCGTTGCAGAACCGGCCGCTGGTTTAGAGCGACTCTAACAGGCCGTATAAAACATCGAGAGCACGTCCATGGGATGTTGAACATGCTTCCCAATAGAAAATTTTGTACCGTCGGTGCTGTGAGAAAATAAGAAAAAATAACTACCTAACTTTCTTTAACTTACTGAAGATTTGTTCAAAGCTTTTGGAATCTGTCACGTGGTATGTATTACAGTATTTACTGTATTGTAATTACGACTCCATTCCGCACGTAAGGGACTGTAAAGGCCAGACTGGAAGTTCAAGGTTGACATTTCCATCCTTATTTCTACGGGGTACCCCGGAGCTTTTCTTGATCATGTAATGTGGTGTACGACCTCACAAATGGTCATCGCTGTATTTTCTTCTCAATTTGAACCTACGTGAATTTTTACATTTACTAATAGAATTCCTCGAAAGATCGACTAAAATCCAGAACTACATACTATGTACTTCTTGCCATAGAGCCTACTTCCCCTTCGCAGGTCCTCGTCCTTCGTCGTCTCAAACATGCTCATATTTCTGGGGTCTCTTACGGTCTTTTTGGCCTGTCTCTCAACTGTCCATGGCCTACAACCTTCACAGATTCCCCTGGATACACCGTTGTCATCCTTGATCTCCTCCGCAAAAACTCATCTCGCAAGTGGTTCGCCTGGTGATGCTTTGCTCTATTTCAATGCGGCTATTTCACGCGATCCTGCCAACTATGTTACTATCTTCCAACGGGGCGCGGCCTATCTATCTATGGGGAAAAGTTCGCAAGCTCTAAGTGACTTTGATCGGGTTTTGGAACTCAAGCCAGATTTCGAAGGTGCTTTACTCCAACGATCCCGTCTAAAGGCCAGATCTGCCAACTGGGCCGGTGCCATTAATGACCTTGAAGCGGCTGGGAAGAAGTCATCTCCAGAACATCAGGAGCTTCAAGAAGCCCGAGATGCTGCTGCTTTAGCGCATGATGCAGACAAGCAGGGGGCTTGGGACGCTTGCGTAAATTACGCTAGTGTGGCCATCGTGAAAGCGAACTCGGATTTGAGTCTGCGGCAGACTCGGGCACACTGTCGCCTCGAAAGAGGAGACGTAGAGGAAGGTCTCAGTGATCTCGCTCATGTCTTGCAGATTTCACCTAGCATGGTGGAGCCACACCTTCAAATATCGTCAATGTTATTTTATGCGTTAGGGGACACTGATCGCGGTGTGTCTCAAATTCGAAAATGCCTGCATTGGGACCCTGATTCCAAAAACTGCAATCGTCTTTATCAAAAGGAAAAAAGGCTAGTCAAGCGTTTAGAGAAGCTGCAAGGAACTGTGGATTCTCGGAAGTTCAATAATGCCATCAACTTGCTAGTTGGGGCTGGTGGAGACAGTGGTCTAATGGATGATGTGAAAGAGGATGTTGATGAAGCGAAAAAATCAGGCCATATTCACCCTGCGGCTCCTAATAAACTTTATACATTCTTAGTTGAGAGCACCTGTGAGGCTTATCGTGAGGTTCGTGATTTTGCGGGGCATACATTTTCTCGTCATTTCACTGACAAAATCCATTTATTTTAGATACAAATGCCCAGAAAGGCCGGGTCTTATTGCGCTGAAGCTCTCGAGCTGAATCCAAACTCCCTTCAGGCGCTTCTATTTAAGAGTCAAAAAGCCATCGACGAGGATCGGTTTGATGATGCTATACATACTCTCAACAAAGCCAAGGAGCATCATTCCAACTCCAAGGAAATCGAGACGCTTTTACAAAAGGCACATGCTCTACTGAAGCGTTCCAGGCAAAATGACTACTACAAAGTTCTAGGTGTTGGCCGAGATGCAGATGGGCGGACAATTAAACGTGCTTATCGGCAACTGACAAAACAACATCATCCCGATAAGGCCTTATCGCAGGGTGTATCGAAGGAGGAGGCTGAAAAGAAAATGGCTTCTATCAACGAAGCCTATGAGGTTTTATCTGATTCCGAGCTCAGGGCACGTTACGATAGCGGCGATGACCCAAACGACCCTGAGCCGCAGAGAGGGACACCATTCCAGGGTAACCCATTCGGTCATGGAGGTGGTCAGCATTTCTTCTTCCAGCAAGGAGGTCCGCAATTCAAATTCCAGGGTCAGGGATTCAACTTTCCCGGTGGTTTTCCTTTTCGCTGATACTTGATAACGCGGGGAAGGAGGGAGAGGGGATGTATCCAATAGAATTATTTAATGAGACCAAAGAATTTCAGCCTGTTGTTTACTGTCCGTGGATCATGCCTCTGCATGTAAATGCCCAAGCAAACAGGATAGCCAGTGGACACAGCATGTCACTTTCTCATGACTTACTTTGTACTTTATACTATATATCTTTTGGTTACTTGCACTCCGCTCTATGGTTTGGTAGGCATTCCGATCCTTGTATATTAGCCAGGCCATTGAAATATCAAATATCCCATTTCGCTGTTCCATCCATCCCAACTCATTGCAGTACCATGTTCTTTTATTCCCATGTCCTATTTATGCAAGTATGAGGTACAGAGCACCAGCAGTCGCTTATCTAGGGGGTGCATCAGTCAGTGGCACATAGCTCACTTGAAATACCTTTTCCTTGCGGATTGAACCATCCCCCATTTTGTCCACCACCCAGATATACTGCCCCCCACTAAGTCCAAGGCTTTCCAAAGCGTCTCCATTGGTTTCCGATTCGACGGGTATAAACATTCGCCCTGGTGCGCGGAGCTGCTCGACCAATATAGGGTGGAGCTTCTCAGCTGCGGCGCCAACATGAATTGCATCATACGGCGCTTCTTCTTTCCATCCCAAGCGGCCGTCTCCGGAGATGAACTTCGCTATTCCGGTTTCCAGGAACCTGCGGCCCTGTTCCGACTTACTCATGTTGATGCGGGACATATCAACCAACTCTTGTATATGATCAATCCCAATGACATGGCCATCGGTGCCGCCGGCAGATGACGGGTCGGTAACAAGATTAGCAATGACATGTGTAAGATATCCAGAGCCAGAACCAATATCAAGTACCCGTGAGCCTGGCTTCAAAAAATCGATGAGATATTCGCACGCATGACCATGCATGTGTGGCGCTGATATTGTTGCGCCATGGCCAATGGACTGCGGCGAGTCCGAATAGGGTCTCGAGGGGGAATAATGAGCCCGATCGACCTTCAATATCACATGTTAGCTATCAATAGGGGGTCTATGGGCAGCAATTCCATGTGCACCATTTAAATTGACGTGGTCTTCTGTGCAGGGTATTTGGGGTGGGACCGTGGGGTTAGAAATAGATACTTACGCGCATCATGGCTCTCTTGACCCGCTCATTCTTTATAAGTCCCACCTTAAATAGATTCTCAACTAGCTCGTCGTTAGTCGAGCCAGAGCAATACCACGCCATCGAAAAATGTCTTCTTATGGTTGGCTTTAGCGTTGGCGTTTTTGCTGCTGCCCTTTTTAACATGCAGGCACAGTGATGAGAGTGAGCTGGGTGTTGGTTCGAGGCCTGGTGGAGAAAGAAGGCAGTGACCAACAGTAATGCAATTGAGCTGAGAATTTCGCCGGTTTGTATTCCCAGATATATTACAACAAGACTCTTGGAATTCCATTTCTTTGGCACGTTGTAACGCTTGAAAATAGCAGTGGCTAACTGGCTATAGGATGATTATGATAGTATGACGCCATTGTCGTACATTTACACTTCATTATATGTCATAGACTGGCTTGAGAGGCACCGCATGATACCGTCTTATTTCTATGTAATGACTAGTGTAACCCCAAGCCCATGTTTGGATAACCACGCAATAACTACTACCTATCCACTCACATAGGGAATGGATTCCATCTAATGCTTGCAATTAAATATACTGTAGTCTATTCAATACATAAAATTAGTATAGGCAACTGCCACATAAACTATATTAAATATATATATATATTTTTTTTAAAAAAAAGATTAAGATTAAGATCAATAAATGATAATAATGTGAGATCATGTAACAATCTATAAAGGATACACAGACAGATAGTACGAAATTTATATTATAAAACTATGTTTGATTTCATATAGAGACTAGGTAGTTACTAGGTTAGTATTGTTATATATGAAGTCACAGTTAACCCTGTGTAGGAACTAAAGAGAAGGAATTACTACCTATATAGAGTCAGCATGAGCTGCATGGCAGAGCATAGATACCACATATATAATATCACCTGGCCACCAGGCCTAACACATTATACCCTAGATAAGGACAAATCCCTTTAATGCTACCTTACATATCAGTAACAGGTAATACATAAACATCCTGCTCTGTCATTTTGCTTAGTAATACACCACTTTCTAACTAGTCAAATTGGACAATACAACCCATCCATCCAGATACCACCTTACTGGCTATTATCCTGAGTCTCATCAAAGCTACTATGATGACCATACTAGTAGATGTGGCAATATTAATACCACAATGGAATCAGATAAAGCCAACTCAGATACCAAAACTGAAGTTGATATCATGATACTGGACTACCTACTATGCATCACCATAGATAGAATCATACACACAAAAATAGAGGCGAGGCAGTCTTATACATATGACTGGGATTCTGTCTGGCTCTTGCACTCAGTGAGCAGTAAGTAAGTCCTGCGGCCAGCCAACAGAAAAACCTATTGACCATGCCTTCGCCAATAAAGCCATCAAATCAAAAATACCAACATCCCAAACGCCCACACAGGACATGCGCATCAAACTACAGCTTCTGGCCTTTGCCACACTGTTTCTCTTTAATCTCCCGAACCCAGATTCCCGCAGCGTATCACCTGGATCGTCTCGGTCGACCAATGGAGAAACCTCAAATGCCGCTGGAAATACCACAACAGCAGACGGTCAGTTATCTGAGACATGGCTGCTGCCCAATCCTATGAGTCACGAAAATGATACAAGGAATGAAGATTCCTGCAAAGCACGAACGCCAATCTCTGAGATAGCAACAGAATTCATATCTCTATGTTTTATTGCCGAGGCGAAAATATCAGAACCACGATGGATGGACCTTGCAGCTCAATTCGCAATGCATGCTATGATCGAGGAGTACCAAGCCTCGGGAGATATATCCACGCTGAAGCCGCTAAACGAGTACATTGCTTGGACAGCCACCAACTTTGACCAAGCACAGAAGTGGTCAAAAGAATGTGCCAAATACATCAAGTATCTACGGCCATTACCTGGAACTTTGCTACAGGATCATCTCCAAGTCGTATCAGCAAACATGTCCGGATCGCGCTTCGCAGAGACGGTTGTTGATTTTCTGACTGACCTCATGAGAACGCTGGAGCCCCCGGTGCTCATCCAACTTGAGAGAGGAAAACTTGGTGGACTTAGCCGGGCAGAAACACAGCAATTGAAAGAACGGGTAGGGCTGCAATGAAGGACCAGCCATCCCACATTCTGAAGTAGGATAGGCGGGAATAATTAAACGGAATACAGATACGAAGCCCAAGGCAAAGATTTTATTCACAGGATATTTATGAAACAATATTGTCAATCAGCGATCCTAGTGTGAACTAGGTTAGCATTTACTATACCTGGACTAGAATTATTTTGTAGAACCCCGCCAATACTAGTGGTAAAATAGACATGAGAGCATTACCCTCAATATAAATACTGCTTATTTTCTGTATCTTAATTCGCCTATCTGAAATTTGCATGGAATAATAATTTACAAAATACCAACCCGTGTGGAAAGTCACAAGGTGATAGTTGAACCTCCAATGTTGAGTTGAACGGCGAAATGTGACTTCATCGGAATTATCTAACCCAATAACATTCGGCGTGGGTCTTCGATGTATTCCTTGACCTGAACGAAAAAAAAGAAAGAGCTAATCAGCGATTATCTTAGGTGACAATTTGATCGATAACACAAACCTTGACAAGGAAAGTAACTGCTTCGCGGCCATCCAAAAGTCGGTGATCGTAAGTCAGAGCAAGATACATCATCTAGTCATCCATCAGTAACTTCTTTTCAGCGAAAACCAGCAATTACACAACGTACAGGTCGGATTTCAACTTTTCCGTTCACGGCTACTGGCTTATCCTTGATAGCGTGGAGTCCGAGAACAGCTGGAGGATGTTAGCCTCATTTCGCATCTCCCTAGTACATTATACTGGAGAAACACCTACCTGTCTGTGGCAAGTTGATAATCGGTGTACCCATCAAAGATCCGAAAACGCCGCCCTGGACTGATATTAGTCTAAACATTGATGGCATCATGAGCGGATGGGCTTACGTTGCTAATGGTAAACGTGCCACCAGCCATGTCCTCAATTGTCAATTTGTTGTCGCGCGCCTAATACCGTCAACATCCGAATTGAGACTGCCATTGGTCTACTTACTTTCTTTCCAAGGTCTGCAATTGATTTTTCAATTCCAACAAGGTCCATCGTCTCGGTATTACGGACCACAGGTGTCACAAGACCTTTCTCGGTTGCAACAGCCACACTGATGTCAACATAGTCCCTATACACAATAGTATCGCCGCCATTGGGCCCCTCGATCGACGCATTGACTGTAGGAACATCCCTCATGGCAAGAACCGATGCGCGAGAAAAGGCGCTCATGAAGCCAAGCTTCACACCGGTTTTCTTCAATACATCATCTTTGTACAGCTTCCGAAGCTCCATAAGAGATGACATGTCAACCTCATTGAAAGTGGTGAGGGAAGCGGCCGTGTTCTGGGACTGCTTCAAGCGCTCTGCTATTCTCAACCGCATCCTGTTCATTTTAACCTTGAAAAAAGAAAGAAAGAAAAAAAACCAATCAGCGACAGACCATAAGAAGGAAGTAAGAGAAAACACACTCTTCGCTCCTCGCGACTCCCTAAAGAGGGTTGAGCATTTGATGTAGGTTGCGACTGCGCCTTTGAAGGTTCGGATTTCGGCGCGGGGGGCTGCTCAGGCACAGGGCTGGAAGACTTCGGTGCTTCCGGTGCCTTAGGCTGCTCTGGCTCAGAAGGCTGCTTGTTTTCGGCACCGGTAGGCTCCTTTGGCTCTTCCTTTTTCACATCAGGAGCACCTCCAAGCTCCAGCTTGACTAGGTCTTGTCCGACAGTGACGGTATCTTCCTCGCTCACGAGAAATTCCTTGACAGTACCAGATTCAGGAGCATTGACAGACACATCAATCTAAAATAGACAGATGAAAGAAACCGGGTTAATGGTCACGAGACTCTCTCATTATTCAAATAATGCATATTTTTTAACTTACCTTATCCGTTTCAATGGTGGCGATTTCTTCGTCTCGTTCGACAAAATCTCCAACCTCTACATAATCAAGGTAAGAAAAAGAAATATAGGAATACCATTGGTATGAGAGGCCTTACGTTTCGAGAACTGCTTTAGTGTTCCTTCCGTGATTGACTCTGCCATCTGAGGAACCTTGACGACAGTATCGGCTAAAATGCAGTTAGAGAAATTTCAGCGATAAACATATGAAGTGCAAATTACCATAAGTTCGAACTTGGTAGCCGCCCAGGGGGGCGACATTGCTGCGGAGAATATTGGCTCTGTAGTCTCGTCAATAGGCCTATTGTAAGGAATCAAAGTGCTGCCTTGAGGTGCTCTTACCCCGAAGCCCGAAGCAGACCCGCAGTTCTACCAGCGTTCCCGGCATGTTTTGGGATCGCAACAGACGTAAGACTCCTGCGACTCCCAGCGCATAAACCGCGGGACCCATGAGCAACTCGAGGAAATACCCTCAGGTTTTGCTGTGAGAAACGTTGAAGTGGTAATCGAGAAGCCATGATGACCCAAGCTTTGATAGCTCAATCGTTGGTCGATGCAGGATATAGTAAGCAAAGTAGACTTTAGAGACGCAATTGAATGGCTCTCGTGAAATCGGTGGATATTATAAAATAGGTTAATAAAATAGGTTGGGGGTTGTTCTAGTTGAATGCTGGCCACCAGGACTGGTGTTGGAAGGTGACGAAACTTTAGTCAGGGTACGGGACTTTGTAACGATAGTTCCAAGTCCGGGCCGAGAGAACCGGAATTTCCCTCAGCGGCCTCCTAGATTCCTTGCGCCCGGCAAATGACGGAGTATTATTATTACGCTCATTCGTGCACCGAAGACGACCAACTTGGCAGTTCAATCATCCACCAACTCCGCTAACGACAAGGGAATCTTGAATGCCACCTGTAAGTGGAAATCATCACGAAACTGTGGAATTGGCGCGTTCTGGGTTATTATAAGGGCCGCACAGCTCACAATTGAATATCTCATCTTGCTATCTTCAACGGAAGCTTCGAGGAAGAGAAACTAGCGAAGAGACATAATGTCTTTCAACGCTGTTGGGTAAGTTGGTAGCGAACCCGAGAAGAGGCCATGGCACGAAATCTAATAATATTTGAAGTTCACTCTATCGACGATCGTTGAAACTCGCACTTGACTGGGCGGTACATAGACAAGTGTGGCGTGGACAAGCCGTATACATTCGATCGCTTTTTGAAGCAAACAAAGATGTCCGCGACCCCCGTCAGCAAAAGGTATATACCTACAAGCCAGACATTCCCCACACTTGGCTTACATTTACAGGTGCTACTACGGGAGACAGAGAAACTGCTAGAGTCATGGAAACACCCTGACCCTTACCGAGCCCCTACAGCTCCAGGTGGTATGTGTCGTCATGGTGTGCAGTTTTACTGGCATGAAGTGCTCACGGTTATTTTAGGATCCAAATATGAGAGAAATATCCCTGCCAGGAAATTACCTTGTACGTCTAAATGAGAGCTGCCTTTGTTTTCGTACCACTGACATTAAGCTAGATGCTTTTGAACATGGGGGGGTCCATTGATTAACATTGAGGAGGTTGGAGGTGATTGGTAGCCTTCGAATTCTAAACATCATATTCAAAAGCGTCGGGTGGCCGTTGCACTGTATACCTATTTTCTATTCAATGCCGAGAACTACATTCTATGTCATTGAAACCTCCTATCGAGGAGCGAGGTTTGCATTGCAAAAGTGTAAGTGGCCTATATAAAGCAGCTTTTTTTTTTATACCTTCCGCTAGGCCGTATGGTAGATGCCTACGGTACCTAGGTTCCTTAGCTCCATCTGGCTAAATAAAATCCGGCCAATCAAATACTTCATAGTATTATATAAATATAGGTACCTATGTCAGTAGACCATCAACCTAGTGACTGCGGATGGCAAAGGAAAGGGGAAAGAAAATGGCCAGGAGAAGAAGCTGGCAGAATAACTGGACTGGAGCGGCCAGAGCAGGAAACCAATGAGCGGACAGGAATAAGCAGCAACGGCTTTGTCCATATAATAAGAGTACCTAGACCTTTGGATGTTAGAGAACTACTAGTGGGTAGTACGGATTAAACGGTACCTGATGGTAGCACGCCGTACGTCTGTTTAAACTTTTAGATTAATATCTACCAAGCGACTCTACGTATGCTGCTTTCTATTGATTTAAAAATGCTAATTATTTCAGTGCCACGTGATATTATATGATGGAGTATTATTGAAATACATATTTATTAAGGTGAATGGGGGTAACCAGTGATGATGATTGTTAAGAACCACCATTATATATATTCATCCGCTCTATATGCAACAAAGGCCAGGTATGTTCCGGCACCCAGCGATAACTCCAGTGTAAATAAAAAAGGATTTCCTCTCCGATGTATTCAAATACCATTTTGCTGAAAGCTAAGTATTGTAGAATTCGCTCTACAAGGAGAGTGCATATGCTGCGGTTCGATTTTTACTGAAAATACTCCGTAACAAATAATGTATGCAGGTACATTTGGAATCGACCATAGTTGATTCTAAGGGGATGCTAGGACATTTAGTGAGAAATATTATATACATTATACTCATGCCTGTTTGCTGGAGAATTTTATATCATGATGCCACAGCTTCCGTGACACTGAACCTAGCCTTCGCTCATTGTGCATATGCGGCGATCTAATCCGTAGTGACTGCAAAATCAAAATACGCACTAACCGACTGGCTAATCCGGGGTTCGGACTCGACCATGAAACAATACCTTACCAAAAAGGTGAGTTGGCCATACCCTGCCAGGGGTGAAAAGAAAAAGTTTAACAAAACTGTGCTTTGGAAGCTGTCGATATCATTCCATGTCCGTGGACATAATGTACAACCATAAAATTAAGGGAAAAAAAAGAAAAGAGAAAACGAAAAAGCAGAGCCATAAACGTGCCCAGTCCAGAACCCCGTTATCACATCAATAAGAGAACCAAACCACGCCGAATCAGAAAACCCACGAAAAAACAAACAGTTTACAGCTCCTGGCTGGGGCCCTTTCCACTCTTGGGAGTCTTCTTGGGGAGAAGGTCTACAGACACAATTAGTTATCAAAGACAAAGTTCGAACGCATTCCAGACTTACTTTGGTGGATGTTGGGCAAAACACCACCCTGTGCGATGGTGACGTGACCCAATAGCTTGTTCAACTCCTCATCGTTGCGAATGGCAAGCTGGAGATGACGGGGGATGATGCGGGTCTTCTTGTTGTCACGAGCAGCGTTGCCTGCCAGTTCGAGAATTTCAGCAGCGAGATACTCAAGCACGGCAGCGAGGTATACAGGGGCACCTAAATATCCCAATCAGCGACGAAGTCATACAATATGTCCAATGAGTATCTTACCAGCACCAACGCGCTGAGCATAGTTACCCTTGCGGAGCAAACGGTGGACACGTCCAACGGGGAAAGCGAGACCAGCCTTGGACGAACGCCTGGATCATGTTAGTCTATGTATTCATACAGTTGACAATTTCCACATACGATTGCGCGTTCTTGCTGCCACTGGCTTTGCCTCCGGATTTGCCTCCAGTCATTGTGTTGGTTTCGAAAATCGGTTTTTTAGTGTTGGATAGGGTGATGGGAAGCCGGGTTTGGGGTCGTTCAGAAATTAGAATTGCGATGGATGGGGTACGGTACAAAAGAACGGTTGGCAGCGCGAGGGAGCGGAGGACATTTATAAGGACGCGGCGAGGGTGACGTTGGGTTACCCAGATGTTGTTCAGATCACTCTCTCGCTTAGCGGGGTTGTCCAATCACGACCGAGATCATGTACTGGCGCATCCATTGCTTGGCAATGTATCTGCTATGATCCGTGTGGCCTAGTCGCGTTGGTGTTCCAGATCGAGTTAAGTGCTGTAATACACCCGCGTACTCTCCATTACATGGGCCTTGGCGTGATCTTAGTCTATTTTCCCTCGCTTTTGACGTGTTTACCCGGTTCTAATCATACGGATCATACACAAATGTGACGGTATTGAAATTCTGCCTCCCTCGCGCACATCAGGATCAACTGGGCTTTCGCGGCCTAGTATAAGTACCGCGCCTCCCTCGTCACCGCGTCTCATTCATTTCATTTTCCATCCCCATTTCATCTCTGTCCACGTTTACGCTCGCCCACCGTCAGGTTTTCATAATCTATCGTATTCAAATTTTAAGCTCAACGAACACAAATCATCAATATGCCCCCCAAAGCTGCTGAGAAGAAGCCTAGCACTGGCGGCAAGGCCCCCGCTGGCAAGGCCCCCGCTGAGAAGAAGGAAGCTGGAAAGAAGACTGCCGCTGCTGCCACCGGTGACAAGAAGAAGCGTGGAAAGACCAGGAAGGAGACCTACTCCTCTTATATCTACAAGGGTATGTGATGGATATTCAGGTGCTCTAGGAGATCGATACTAACATTTTCCCGTTGCAGTGCTCAAGCAAGTTCACCCCGACACTGGAATTTCTACTCGCGCCATGTCCATCCTGAACTCCTTTGTCAACGGTAGGTCCATTCTTCGGGTAGTCTATGGATTTTTCTGATTGTTTGATAGATATCTTCGAGCGCGTTGCAACTGAAGCTTCTAAGCTCGCTGCCTACAACAAGAAATCGACTATCTCATCGCGAGAGATCCAGACCTCGTAAGTCTGAGTATCACTTTTTCTAATGATCACCTACTGATGGGTTTGCAGTGTGAGGCTCATCCTCCCCGGTGAATTGGCGAAGCACGCGGTGTCGGAAGGCACCAAGGCTGTGACGAAGTACTCCTCTTCCGCCAAATAAGCTGTTTCATTCTGTGCTTTGCGTTTTTCTTTTTCTTTCCCCCCTTGTGTTTTCGCAGGATTTGTTCATTTATTTTTTTACCTTTTTTTTTTTGCTGCCTCGCTATCTGCAGCGGTTCTGAGGCGGTGGGTTTCAGGGTGTTCGCGGGATTTCTAATGTGTCATGGGATGGCTTTATTTTTTCCCCTTGGGCCAAATGTCTTTTATGGTTGTTATTCGAGACGTGACTGCGGTGTAACATAACTCGGATCTGGGGTTGGTTGCGCGGTGTCATCTTCCCTACTAGAACTCGAAATTTCAGGTGCTTTTGCGCATATGATTCAGGTATCTCGGTTGGTATTGGCTAGAAAAGCATATTGCGTTCTATTTCGTCACCATGCTGTCATTGAATTAAGCCAGACGAGCAATGTACGGCATGTATTCAAATCATCAATCTATTCGAGACCATCGGTATCATCGAGAGTCTCAACTTCATCAAGTGCTTCTTCTCGACCATGTCCGTGGTTAGGCTCGATTTGACCACTGACCACATTCACGACATGCTTCCCTTGTAAAGATTCAACTCTGTCTTTCCAATCCACCCAGTCATTTTCATCCCTAATGAGAAAGCCGATCAACATGCTTGGATCCATATCTTTGATATGTATTCTTCTTAGTCGACGGGTGTGATAAGTGTCCAATTCTTCGTCGGTATAAATTCCGCCAGCATGTCCGTATGGTAGTGCAGGGCGCGTATGGTGGGGGTCGAGGTAAAAAAAATATGGGCCTTGGACGCCAACAAAGTAATGAGAGGCCGACGGACGCCCACTATTGCAAATGTTCCCATGTATTAATATTCAGTGTTACGTAAGCTGTGGTGGGTGTGAGATTGTGAACATACCCTGCGATGCCTACCGACTGGGGGTACTGTAGTACAGCTCTCAGTCCATCCCAGTATACTGGTGTAATATGATCGATCCCGAGTCTGATGCCTAACAATATGAGGGTGGGGTTTATTCGCCCAGAATCATCGCATGCAATGCTCATAAATTTATCTTGATAGACATCTGATGTATCGTTCGTGACGTATACTCTCAGTTTCAGCTGTTCACATTGGCTTGAGAGGATCCTGACTCATCTGTAAGCTGGCTCCCTTGGACCCATGAAACTCATTACTCACTGTATACACTTTGCTGTCGCGGATGGCCCGAACCATTCCCCGGGGTATTTACTACATGACTCGGCCCCATGCTTTACGAATTGGTGTATTGAGAAGGGGGCTTCCGGAAGGTCAATAAATAATGACAACAGTTGCAATTCTTCTTTGCGATTCTCTCCTCGGCGCCAATCTATAGTCATATTAGTTATGCGTCTTTCGTCGAAGGGGTTTCGGCACTAATAAATACCGCGTCCCAGGGTCAATATCAATAGGCAATTTGCTAATAAGCTCTGGCCAGATCTTATCATACAGCCCCATCCGGTGTCAGAGGTGAAGCCCTGTGAGTCCATGAGCTGGTTTCTCAGTCGTATGCCTAGTGACATTGATGGGTTTCTATCATGCTTGTCGGGTCTTGGTATTGGCGCGAAGTTGGAGCGATACGTCATCCAGATCTTTGACTCGAGATCAGTAAGGAATGCTTCTGGCCATCCATTGTCAGTGCTGTCGTGTGATGTTGTACTCTGTTCGACTGGGTTGCCCTCATTTGCACTCAGGGGCGTCGATGGTCCTAAGGAGCAGTGAGTGTCTGTAATATAATTTTTGTTCTGTTTGTTTCAGAACTGACTATGTTTTCCTTCGAGTACTGCTGGTTGAGCATATTTCCTTCCCAAGCACCATATGGGTATATCCGGCCCTTCATCGTTCTTGGGCTCTGGGTCCCATAAATATTGCACGATGCGCTTGCATCGCCCTATGTCGATGCTGTTCATTTCCGCGTCGGTCGCTTGGTGTGGCTATCCTGTGGAGATTGTTGACTATATTTATCGGTTCCTGTTGATGGTGTACCCATGTCCATATAGATAGCACATGCAGATATATATTTTTGACGGGAGGCTCCGAGAGCGAACAATACCCAAATCTAGTAACAGACAAATGAAATATTAACACATTATTCTGGGTGGACTATTGACTAACCTGACAATGAATGATGCCCAGAGTATGCAGTGATTATCAAAGGAGGGGGCTGTGAGGTATGATGCAGTCACGAGGAAGATGGAATTGCCTACGTCATCACATTACAGAGGTATACTTCGTATGGGTAGTTTGATAACACACATGATATAAATTTAAAGCCCTGAAAAATGACAAAGCTAGTGAGGGTTTGTTTACATATAAATAGTATATATAATGGAATACAGCCCATCTCTTATATACAGTAATCAAAGTTGAACCTCAAGCGCCTATATATTAATTTGTGGCAGTTGTTATTTGCATGACACCAACTACCGCCTTCCTATATAGATACTTTTTCCTTCTTACTAAGTATAGCAAGGAGTATCTCTTGGTTCCCTGATAGCCGGGCATGTATAACAGGGTATTTGGGGTGGTTAAGAATTAGGGTGTTAGTATAGGTTAGGGACTTTTTTTTTTCTTTTTTTTAGAGTAACTGTCAGGGGGTGAATGGAAATTTTATTAAAGTCATTCTACCGTAGTAAAAAGTTAAGGTGGTTAGGATATCATGTAGATTAAATAACTAATAATTCCATCCATGGATGTCTAATTTCTAGGTAAGTACCAAGGTAGGTATATATGTATAATATCATGTGACAGTTACTATTCACCGCCTCCATTAGCCCCCCCTCATTAGTCATAAAAGTAGGTAACTACTACTAGGTACTACTTCGTATCTTAGGTATCATTGTAAGTATCGCAGGCAAAATATTTAATCACCCGTCTCCACACATTTGGCACTGCTGCCAATAATCTAGTAGCTCTAGGATCTATGATTACTGTCATTGCTGCTAATAATCACCCTCCCCTAGCCTGTTATCCTCACTACCCGCACTGATATACTACCAATAACTGCATTAATAGATATATCTTACCAATGGCTCGTCACAGTAAGACGAAGGCACGGATCAAAAGAGAGAATGTCATGGTAAAGGCTCATACTGGTACTGGTTACAATGAATTATGATTTTCGACTCATTTGTTTAGCTGACTACTTCAAGGTCCACCGCTGCACAAATTTACCATGCAACAAGAGGCACGAAATACAGAAGGTCGTAACCTATGGTCATCTGGGACTAATCTTCGCCATAAAGCTGTTCAGTTCGTGAGCGCAAGTGACCTACAACCAGAGGGCGCCGAAGATCATGTCAACCAGGAAACCAGCCAAGGCTTGCATGGGCAAATAACAGCATCCAAAAAGAACAACAATGACACTAATGGGACACTAGACCACGAGGACAACACAGAAAATGGTGTATTTTCCCTCGACCTGCCAGGCGAAAGTGTCACTGATACTGGACTTCCGGACCAAGTCTTGCAACTGCCTCCAGCCCCCCAAGAGGAATCAAGCGAGGATGAGGTAGTGTTTCTCGGGCGAAACAAAAATACCCAACATATGCCATGTGGTGATGAAGTGACATCGTCAGAGATGTTTATGCCGAGTCACTATCAACGGCGGAGACGCTCTACAAACATTCAACCTGAAGATGATAGAAACTACATCGGGCTCAAACAGCACTCTGCAAGGAAAGGGAAGCAAAGAGATTTGCAAGAAGATGAAAATGGTATTCTGGCCGATTATATCGCGAACATGGACAATGACTATCAAGAGCTTTATAACCCATCTGATATGGACACAGAGAGCGCAGCCATGGAACACTCCAATTCAACTAGTTCCACCGCTGGTGATATAACGGGTATTTGTCTCAAAAGCAATGATCTGCCAGTAAGAAATGGTCGCATTTCCCCAGAACAGGGGAGCAAGGAATTGGATCTAGTGTCGCCAGACAGTAAGCATCTCCCAATTTACGTGCGAAATAACCTGTACTGAGCTCAATAGATTTAGACGTTGAAGTGGCCGTGGAGGCATTTGGTATCCCACCAAACAATTCAAACAACACCCCGACAAGTTTATCAATTAGTTCATACATGAGGGAAATTGATAACGAGGAATCTGATATTGACTCTGAGGAGTACCCCTTTGATATGAAAACGGACATAGAGGCCATCGAGACTCTACAAGGTGGTGTCAAAGGGCACAGTGCCACCCAGTTTTTATCATCAGCATCATCCTTTGCCGATGCATTGGAATTGGATCCATATCGTGGGTTTGACATAATGGATTTTGATAGGCCGAGTATCAGAAACAAGTCAAAAGGAAAACAACGTGCTTTTGACTTGATGATCTCTGACAGTGAGCTTGAGCTTGAGCTAGAAAACGCCTGGCAAAATGACAGAACAAAGAAGAAGGCCAAAAAACAGAAGCGGGAAGAGCTACGTTCTCAAGGACTACTGGGCCGAAGTAAACCTGATTTAAAGATTAAGTATTCAAATGGGATGAGCATTGATCATTTCAAGTCAGAAATACGCATCTTTCTTCTTTCACCAAAGAACAGGTAAGTTTTAACACCAGGAACAAAGTTTTGATGAAACATGCATCATATGCTTCTTTTTCGGTATACTGATTTTATTTTCCAGTTTATCCCTGCCCCCTATGACCAAACAACTTAGAAAACTTGTTCATGACCTAGCAAATTCGTTGGCTTTGAAGTCACAGTCGCGAGGCAAAGGGTCTTCAAGATTTCCCATTCTCTACAAAACATCTCGAACCCCTAACTATACCACAAAAACAATATCCCAGGTGGACAGAACGTTATCAAAAGGGAAATTCGGCTATCGTACTAATCAATCGAGTCAGAAAAACTCTACCAAAGCGCGACGAGGTCGTCCTGATGCTTCTGTCTCTTACATGGACGGTGATATTGTTGGTGCATCTGCACCTGAGATTGGAGCAGAGAATAAAGGAAGAGCAATGCTTGAAAAGATGGGCTGGAGCATGGGGACTGCTCTTGGTGCCACCAATAAGGGTATCCTGTTGCCAGTTGCACATGTTGTAAAAAACTCCAAAGCGGGCTTGGGATAAGTCTGTCTTGGCCATGCTATGACTCCCCGCTCAGCCAGTGTGTTATTACAATGTGGTACAAATAGAATTGATTCGGAAATGATCGAAAGTTGCCAAAGTGGTGATGCATTGCAGCCAGTTCTATCAGTTCTAAATACTGGTTAAAGGCAACGTAGGCTGTAGATGTATATCACCCCCATGACACCATGACCAAACGAAAAGATGGGTATGAAAGTATTGTCTTGCTAACCAATCATTCATGACCGCTTTACTTTAACCATATTGACGTTGGATAGGTTCTGCGTGCCCAAGTTCTCGAATATGGGAGAACAGTTGGGTCCTAGAAGGGAAAGAAGCATTGCAAATTGTACAATTCAATCCTGTAAGTTCTCCCGCTGCTTTCTGGGCCGCCTTCCTGGCGCGTTTTTGCTTGGCTTTGCCCATTTTGCTGAGAGCCATTGGGGCTGGCTTGTTTATGTACGACGAACAGAAATTGTGAGACAATGTGTCTATTTCGTCATGATTGTCTTCCCGGATTGCATGTTCTTCTGAAAGAAGTCGGTCTTCAACGGCTTCCCTCGAGGCATAGTCAGCATCAGCATCGTCGAATTCGAAAACGGTGTTTTGTTGCTGTTCCACATGTGATATGATGTTCTCACCCCAATCGGATGCATCTTTCGGGTTCGGTTGTCTATTCAATTCCAAAACTATTTCATCATTATCGCCGAGAGATGCGACATCTGGCCATGCAATATTGCTGTTGTCATACTGGTTTAGAACCTTTCCAAGGCCCTTGTTTCCACCTGCATCCAAATTCCATTGCTGGTCCTGAACTAGCATCTCCCACCGAAGCTGCTTAACCGCTTTTAGGTGTTTCTTGCTTCGTTCGTGGGCCTCAAATTGCTTTTGACTCTTGAAATTTTTGTGGCAAACCACACATTCAAAATGTTCCGTTTCATTATCGGAGCTATCATTTTGATCATATTCGGGCTCCTCTGATTTTGCCCAGTCCGGCGTCACATGGCCTCGTAGCTTGGACTGGTTGACTGCTCGTGACCTGGCAGCTTGTGCAGCAGTAGACTGGCGAAGATGTTCCTGGCGCTGTGATTCAGTTTGGGCATTGGCCTTGTATCGTGGATCGCGCTTTTTAACAAAAGCCACAAGCGATCTGACGGCGTCATTAAACTCGCGAATGCCTTCCTCTCTTAGGCGCTTGTTTTCCTTTTCCATCAGTCTACGGACACGACGGTCCGGGGCTTCAGAGTAGCGGTAGACATCTTTCCATGCGTATGACTTCTTCGTGGAGAACCCACTCCACGCAGCATAAAATGGTCGGACGACCCCTTCAAAGTCATCATCACGGGATCCAAAGCCGGGATAATAAATGGTATCAGTGCTGTCCCAATTTGAGGCTGTTTCTTCCTCGAGAGCAAGCCGCGCAAAAGTCTCACGGAGACCACCGAAGAACCCCGTTTTATTGTCTGAAAAATCCATCCGAGGACTAAATTTTGCGAACAGCTTGAGGATATCACTAGAAGTTGTCATACGTGTATTGTACGAGTAACAGTCCTGCCCAGAATTTCCATCGCTCCCAAGAAAAACGTCTCGATGAGAATCATACCATGTCCTCTCGTGGGGGTCTGAGAGAACTTCATAGGCTGACTGAATTTCGGCAAACAATTTGGTGGCAGACTCTGAGTTTCCATAGTTCCTGTCTGGATGCAACTCAAGGGCTTTTCGCCTGTATGCCTTCTTGATCCTGCGAAGTAGATATTTTTCTTAGCTTTCATTTTTGTTGAATTGGGGTCAAGAATCAGGCGAGCTTACTCCTCCCCAGAAGCGCTCTGTTGCACATCAAGAAGTTCATAGTAGTCTACCTTTTCTTTTAAACCCCCTTCATTGGACTCTGTGCCCTTCTGGCTACCTGTGGAGTGATACTGTCCCATGACTTTATGTAAAAATATAAGAGGTATGATGGTTGGTGAATAAAGGGAAGGCTAGAGGGCCAAGAAAAAGAAAAGAAAGAAGGCTAGTTAGGTACTTAACAGCAGTCACTACCACACAAGATAGTATCACCACTTTGGATATACTGCTTTGAAACCATTATATACTAGTATAATCTAGATATATACTAATGAAATATTAGGAAGTAAAACTGGAGCTATTAATATTATTATGAGAATATATAGATAATAATATTATATTCATAATAAAGTAATATATATGTGGCTTCAAATATATCACTTAGTAGTAGTATTAGACCTCTTATTCCTGTTATAGCTAACTTTAAATATATATTACTATGCAGGATTACTTAGAGTATCACTCTAAAGCAGGTAGAATATAGCACTAATACTATAAGAGGTTCTCTTAGCTGTCATGGCACCCTTATCAGTGACTGTATCAGGCAGAATCAGGCAGTCAGGAAAAATAAATATTCTTATTATAGAGAATTATAAATTACTTATAAAACACCCTCTATAGCTACTACCTAATAAGTATATGATAGAATACTATTTAATAATATACTATAGATAGTAGCGTGTCACATGAGTCAAGTTTGAGTAGAGATTTAGGACTCAACTCATGAGTTAAGTTAGAAGGTAGGACTTAAACTTATTACTTAAAACTTATAAGTTTTACTTATAACTAAGATAAGTCCTAAATCTAAACTTAAACTTACCTTATTACTTAAACTCTACTTATTACTTATAAGTTTAACTTATTTATCCTAAAATAGACTAATATAATATAGACTAGGATAGTATTTTAATACTAACTAAGCTACCTAATATAAAGAATTATAAGTATATAATTATATAATATAAGATATATAAAACTTTTATATTTCTAAGTTTCTATTTATATAGAGTAGGTAGATTGATAGAGGCTCTATTAAATAGGCTATATACTTAATTATACATAGAGGAAAGTATTATATAAAATTAAATATAGATATAATATATATTAAGTATAAAGGTAGAGCAGAAATAGGAAAATAAAGAAAAATTAATAAAAGAATCTAAAAATATTAATATATAGGTATTATATTATCCTTTAAAGATAATATAATAATAGAAAGTAGGGAGTAACTATAAGGTATTTAAGGGGTTAAAGGGTAAAGAGATCTTAACTAGAGATAAGATTAAGTGTTAGGGCCTGTATGATATACTGTACATAGGAACCACTGCCAAGACCATAGTATAGATATATATATATAACCATATAGTATATGTCTCTAATTATAGGTTTAGAAGGTTTTCTAAATTAGTAATTAGTTCTATTACTAATTAACTACTATATTTACTATACTATCTATATTAATATTAAGCCTATATACTTATAATATTATATATTCTTATAGTTCTAATTACTCTACCCTTTTAAGATAGCCTAGAAGATATAATTTAATATAATAATACCTTCTATAAAAAGGGGTTAAAATAATACTCCTTAACCTCTTAAAGAGGAACTTATAGGTTAGTAAAATTAATAAAAAAACCTTTAACCTATAAATTTAGCCCTTATTAAAGAGTTCTCTCCTTCCTTTAACTAATTTATAAGAGGTAGGATAGAAAGTATTATTATAAGTAAAGATATATCTACTAGTAATTTATAGAATATATTTATAGCTAAACCTATAGGGCTAATCTTAATAAAATAAAAAGCTATAGTTTAATACTATATTTAAAAGCTCTAATATAAAGAAGTACTAGAGTAGCTTATTATAATATTTAACCTAAACCCTCTAATAAATAAAAATATAATAGGTATCTAAAATAGATTAGCCTATACTTAATTTAATATTAACCCCTTAAATATAGCTTTATAGATATATATTAATAAGCTAGAAATTAATAATCTTAAGGAATCCCTTAAGTTTAAGAGTAATAATATAAAAGCCCCTTTAAAACCTATATATATATAACTATTTTATAGAAATAATTATAATAAGCTTATTAATATCTAAAACTAACTAGAAGTATACTTTAATAAATATGACTAATATTTTACTATTAATTACTATAAGATTAAGGAAGGAGTTATAATACTCTTTAATAAGATATTAACTTAATAGATAGAATACTATAAAAGACTATATAAGAAGATTATATAAAAGTATTTTATTAACTTTTTAATATATTAAATTAATAACCCTAGTAACCTATATAGAGATACCTAATAAAAATAAAATATATAGATATATACTAATAAGTAAACTAATTAGTATAGGACTTTATAGTTTACCTTACTTAATTTAAGGTATATCTAAGCTTTATTTATATAGAAGAAATAAGAAAGGTATATTTATATACTTAAATATTATTAAAGGTCTAAGTAGAAGTACTAAAGTATCTAATTAAGGAAATATTATATAAAAACTATATAATTAGGTTTTAAATTATTAAGGATTAAATACTTAAAAGATACTATAATCTCTAAAAGACCTATATATTATAGTAACTTTACTATAGTTCTAGATAAGAGATTAGGACCTAATAAGAAGCTATAATAGGATAGAAAATATAAAAATAATAGATATTAAAATAGCTACTAGGATAGGAGCTAAAAACCTAGGTTAACTACTTATAAATTGTAAAGCACCGGGAGCCGAAGGTGCTTGGAGATAGTGATTTAGGCTGTGAGTTTCCAGTATACTACAGGCAAGAATACTGCATGGTAAACTTATTAGTGGTATTACTTAGAATTAATTACTTACCCTATATCTATCTATTATATAGTCTTCTAAATACTATCTTAACTAGCTATAGTTATATGGTTTAGGAAACCTACTAAGACCTTATAATAAGGTTACTACTAGTTTACTATTAGGTTCTAGGGTATAATAATTACTCCCCCCCTTTATAGGGGCTTATCCATAAGTTCTATACTAAGCTAAATTTAGAATAGTCTAGATATTAGATTAATATAATACTATAATACTACTTAAATCACTTCCTATTCTAACTACTTCTTCTAATTATTTTATATAATAAAGCTTTCTTTATTAATTTAGAATAGTAATTATATTACTATTATTTTATCTTATTATTAACAGCATTATAGTGTTATTATTATTATTATTATTAATTATTTTAGGTTTTTATTATATTAGTCTTATTAAGTAATATTAATATACTGTCTTATTATCTAGTATTTATTTAATATATTAAATAGGATTATTCCTATTATTCTCTATTTATAATAATTTCTAAATAGCTTTACTTATATATTACTTAGGCTTAGTATTACTATTATTAAATATAAATATAAGAAATTCTTCTACTTTATATAAAGGTAAGTTATCTAGTCCCCTTTATAAAACTACTAGTTTAGTTCCTTTATATAGTTAATTTTTATATTAGTTTATTATCTCTATCTCTTATTATAAGTATCTTTATTTCCTATTTATTTAGTTATTATATTAATATTATAGAGATAGGTAAATATCCTCTTACTAGTACTACTACTTAGGCTGCTAAGGCTAAATATTATTAGTTAGCTAAAGCTAATAACTTAATAAGTGATTCCTTTTATAATATTTTTAAATAGTATTTATATAGATAGTAAGCTAATAGTTATATATCTATTATAGGGTTTAGTAGGCTTTAGCCTTATTTTTTCTTCCTTTACTAGGGGCTAGTTCCCCTAGGCTCTTAATAGCTTTATTTTTATACTAACCTTTACTATTATTATACTACCCCCCTA